ACTATTAAATTAAACAAATAACAGAAAGTCACTAAATAGGTCTTGTTGAAAAGTGAGGTACTAACTAATAGTATTAAGATCCTAGTTATAGGATATTATAAGACTATCCACTAGAGCACTATATATACTTTTAGATAGATATAGATAAGTATATAACAGACTATTCTTAGGCTTAATAATAAATAAATAGTTTAGACTCTTATTACTCTAGTAGTTAATAATATAGTCTAGTCTTATAGGTGGATTAAGGCTGTATAGTAAGTGAGTATAGTAAGATTAGACACTAATTAGAGTGTTATTTTGTAGATAACTAAACTAAAGAATTATACTTTATTAATCATCCTAGGTAATAGTGTAGTTATTATTAGACTAGAAGAACTTGTATATATCTCTATCAGACTTCTATAATGTATATCTAAAAGACTACAAGCTAAATAACTCTTTAAATAGTGTATCTATACTATAGTAGAGAGTAAGTCTTTAGAGATAGTTTAGCTAGTCTAGCTAGTTATAATATAGTTAACAAGGCTAGTCTTCTATAATATAGATATATTAAGATAGTGTCCACTCAAGTGTGAGCAGTTAAATAGTATAGATTAAAGCTAATATAATTCAAGTGTAGTTTTAAGCCCTAAGAAAAGTGATACTCTTATATAATATATCTAAAAGCCCTAAGAAGAAGACTAGAAGTATAGAGCTTAGTTAACTATCTTGACTAGGCTCTAGTATACAGTCTAGATTAAGAAGAGTAATCTGGTCACTAATAATTAATATACTAGTTAATAAGATACTAGAAAAGATAGTAGTACTGGAAGAGGATATAATGCTGTTTAGACTAGATAGACATAATGATTATAGCTTGGAGATATAACAATATTAAGAGGGGGTCTATAGATAACTTCAAGTTAAGAAGTGCTTCTATAGTAGGTCTGATATTAAGAATACTAATCTATAATTAGATACTAAAGAGCTATAACTATGATTTAGTGTTTTGAGACTTAGATCTAGATTAAGGATAGCTGGAGTTAAAGCAGTATTGATATCCTTATTGTTACTTAGTCACTTATTATATACTCCCCTATCTAAGTAGAAATTAGTCTCACTTTCAGTACTATTATTAGACTTTATCTCTAGATCTAGTTTAGTTTCAGAGTCACTAAAGATCTCTATTCTCAAGACTGGACTAAGGTGATTCTAAATCTTATGATATAGCTCAGTTTATTAACTGCTTAGTTATTATTCTAGAAGCTATATCTAGTGCTATAGGTTAAATTAATAGGGATAGAGAAGCCAGGATATAAAGTGTGTCTATATTACACTATAGTATTTATAAGTATACTGAGACTAGGGAAGTATAAATAGCTAGTGCTATAGTTAACTAATATTATAACTATATAGTCAATATAGAATAACTGTGGGTGTGGCTATAGTAGTCATCTTACAGTGGTGATATAATTATTGTATTAAAGATCTAATCTATAATAGCTGGTGTTTATTAGTAGCAGCTATTATAAAGTGTTGACCTTATAAAGAGTTAAAGTATATAGAGATGTCTTGACTCTTATAGAATCTCTATATAAGAGTCTAGAGTATAGATAGTGTAATTCCCTAGTAGGTTATAGGCTATTTAATATACTTTAGCTATACTGTAAGATAACCAGCCTATCTAATAGGATCAAGACCTATCAAGTTGTTAGGCTTATTATCACTAGAATTATACTCTTGAATAAGATTATGAAACTTAATATACACTAGTTATTAGATCTAGGTATATTGCTAAGGAGTAGTGCTAATAGTAATATTAGCACTCTATTATATCACTATCTATTGCTCAGATATATACACTAGCTTATCTAGTATTATTATAACAGGAGTGATATACTAGTAGCTATTAGCTACTGTAGGAGTCTATATCTAAAGGATTATATTCTAAAGGATATAATCCTGTATCTATTTATAGGACTATTAGCTAATACTATAGATATATTTAAGATAGTGGATAATAAGGTCTAGACTCTGACTTAAGAAGTAATAGTGTTAACAGCCCTTCCCTAAGATCTAATATAGCTGTGGCTGTAGATAGAAACTATAAAATAGATTAGGGATATTAACTAATTAGGTTAGTCTAAGTGATTATAAATAGTTATTAATTCTAGATAATAATACTATGGGGGTCTAGTACTACTCTTTAAGATGCTGTAATATTGTGTATACTTAAGTAGAGAGAGTATAGCTATAGATATAGTAAACAACACACTGGATAGTAGGTGTTAGACAATAGAGAGCTAGGTAAATAATCTGAAGATATTAATCAAGTTCCTCTAGAGAAAATAATATCTATAGTAGGACTATACTTAAAGTATAAGACTTAATATAGCTACTTAAGAAATATATTAATCTAGTTGGGATCTAATAGTTATAGAGTCTACCACAATAATAGATAGTATTAGCGCTCTAGATATAAGCATAATATTATAGAATAGAGTGGTTGTATATAGAGTCTTATCTATATGAGAAAGACCTGATAGTACTGGGTACTAATCTTATTAGTAGGATTACTTTGCCTTATCTAGGGAGATAGTTTATATCAGGAATAGAATAAACTAGGGGCTCAGTGGGTCTCGAAGATGTGGCTTGATTAGATCTAGTGAGCCCCTTTTGGGGGACTAGTGTTAGAAAACGAGGATGAAGTGGGTCGGATTCTGCCCAGTGCGACAGGTTTAGAGTTTCAGGTACAGGAGAGAGGTACATGGGCGAGAAAACGCGACGGATGGTCAGATGGGGCCGTGACTGAGACGGTTTCCGGGCGGATTCCGGCGGAATTCGCGCGGGAATAAGTGAGTAGGCGTTAGATGATGACTGTGTCGCGGGGTCGGCTCTTCGGGCAGGCTATATGAGGTGCAGGAGGCGAAATACAAGAGATTGGGTTTCTCGAAAACGCTACGTGCCTTCTCATCGTCGTCAATGACGAAGTTCCACCAGTCTAGAAGTCTCGATCCGCGGCAGCGGGCTGGTAGGCTACAAGTTCGGTGTAGTACCGGTAGAGATCGATATACTTCACAGAATTTTCCTCTTCGAAAAAAGCTCGAGGAACGCACCGCTGGAGAGATGGTGGGGCTCTTCGATGAGGAAGGAGAGGTTCCCGCAACTCAGAGGGCGCACAAAAGCGTTTCAAGCTCGCGGCATACGTCAAGGCGGGCCGAGACTAAAAGCTCTTGGATCAGTAGACCAGAACCAGCGGCCACCGAGGATATCCCTGTGTTGTTGTAATGGCTGTGGGCATGTGTCAACGTCAGTCTGAGCTTCTGCTGCAGTCGCTCGTCTTTGCTGAGATAAGAGCTATCTCCTATCTGGCTTGGTTATGGGCGATTTGACGCATGTATGAGATTGGCGAATTGTGTGAAGACGCTCTCTACATGAGCGCGGAGACAGGCACGGACTCATCCTGCTTTTCCGACCCATCATCGCCCGTACCACCGTTCACATCCGCATTAGCTCCATTCATCTTGTTACTCGGGACCTCAGATCAGCCGCCGTGAAAACAGAATGATATCTCCGCTTCTACGTCAGTTCTGTGATGGGGTTAGTTTGTGGAGAAGGGTTGGGTCAGCTCTGGCATATAACATATGTTGCAGCTTTTCGATTGGGGAGATCGGCATTCTGATCCAAAGAAGGTCGTCGGGACAGCCGAGAAGCTCCATGAGAGTGACAAGCAAAATGTTCAACCAAAACAAACACAGCAGAGGGCTACCAGGGCTTCAGCTCATAGTCGAAAGTGAACTGCATCATGTCGAAGTCAGCAAAACGCATGCTCCAATTCCGGCAAATCTCGGAGCAATCAAGGGTTTTGTGGCTGTCCAAACTCTGGGCGAGTCGAGCCTGGTTGTCAAGACACCGCTGGCTGCCAAATGTCCTTTCGCTTTGAAAGCTTCCCAGCGAAGAACGTGGTGAGACCCAAACTTTGACGAAGCAATTAGACAAGCTTTTTGCAGTTGAGTGCCACGAAACGGAAGCTTTCAGCTTAGGGTCCACTTACTGAAAGCCACAGTACCAGTCTCGACTACAAACCCTACCTACTAGAAATCTATCGCCTACGTTCCCGTGTCGTTTGACGGGCCTGATGATCATCACGTTCATGTTGCACGCAAATAATGGAGCGGGCACCTCTGACCATGCTGTCACCTGTCGTACTCACCGTGAGAAACGGCTCAAATGATGTAGTCACACAACGCGCTTGAATTGACTTGCTGCATCGATTCTGGACGCGCGGCCTCCCTCTCATATAAAGTTCCTGATCACAATCGGCATGCACGCCAGCAAAGTCGCGTCCGGCACTGATTGCTTTGGCGGCGCGCCACATTCACTCAGCCCGCCACTGCTTTCTAGCAATTTACGTGGCCGTGAAACTACCAGACAATAGAGGCCTGCAAGTGCCTTCAATGCCTGGATGGCCTGCGTCCCACGAGTCCACAGGCCCAGAGAGCCCAGAACTAATAGAGACACCGGGTGCAAAGGAACGCCCATATGACTATACGTCCAAAGCGTCCGGAATGTCTAGCCCTCCTTCCCAGCGGAGGTGTGGCCCTGGGCAGCTGTTCGATTCCCCCAAGGGCTGCTAGTGACCACGTGGAAACCGGAGTTGTGCTTAGTCTCCAGGTAAACACTTGATTAAACTAATAAAACAACTTTCAGCCAAGGCGAACACGGACAGGTATGCTGCAGAATGCGAGGAGCAGGGTCTACGATTGAAGCAAGATGAATTGGAACTTTCTGTTAGCGCAGGAATTTTCGCAGAAGGGTTCATTTATGCCTTTCAATTTGAGACCATACTCGCCTCCAGTACTGAGTCCTCAACAGGTCCTGCGCATACAGCTGAACATGATTTCTGCTTTCATTCAAAAACCTTTCCGGCAGAATTATCTGTCTGAGTGAACTGCCAAGCAGACAGAACGAGTACCGACCTGCCACTACACATCGAGGCAGCTCACCCGCGTATCAAGATGGCAGAAAAGGCGGTCAACCACAACAATGCGGATGAAACTAGCAAGGACAACATTGATGTCGAGACAACAGAGACCGGCGTTCCGTCCACCTCTTCATCAGAGGAGGATGTGGTAGAGGCAGAGATCATGAAGGGAGCTACTCTCTCCTTAGCTATGGGTGCATTCGTCCCGTGCATACCAGTAGCTATTGTATCTTCTGTGCTACTGACACTAATCTTCCACAACGAGATCAAAGCGCCCTTCACCGTTGTGCAACAGATCTCGACGTCCCACTCAACGGGGTTCGTGAACACAACACGGACGGACCTTCAGGCGCTGGAAAATGGCGGTAAAGCTGTCTATTGGGTATGGGCCACAACTGCCACAACGCCCGGTACACTGCATACAATTGCATCGATTACAGGAAAGATCATGCCCTTTTTGACCAGCACCTCCATGGCTCTGGTGGCTTTTTTCGCCGGCAGACGTGTTGTGCAGGCCAGCAAGAAACTGAAGTACAAATCTATACCAACTCCGCATCAGATGTCGATCCTGATAAGTCTTCTGAACGGCAGTGGTGTGAGTCCGATCTGGCAGACTCTCAAATATCGCATGCAGGCCCATGAGACCTTGGTCCAACCTGTGCACTTAGCATTCTGGTCGCTACTGTGGATTGTTGCTATAACGTGAGCACTCCTGCCAATCTTGACCACGTCGTTGAAGCTGACTGATTGCTCCAGTCTCGCTATACAGGGAGTCGATTCATGGTTTGGCGTCGCTGTCCAGCCTGTCACAGTCGATCTTCTAAGGATTTCAAACACAACATCTTCCTTCGGGCGTGGATTGGATCCCACAATCTGCGACTCTCTTACTCACGATCTACCCTGCATCGGTGACAGTTCGAAGAACTGCACCTATCCCTGCAGCATTACAACGTGGAGCAGCTCTTCACATACCCAACGTTTCGGCCTACAGCATGCACAAGAGGGCGCTGAGGTGCTTATGAATAACTCCTTGAGTGATTTCGTGGCCAACGTATCGACAGGGAACTACTACGACTACAATGCCCAGCATTTCTTCCTGGGTGATATTCAGAGTAATGCAACACTCGACTTCAGTGCACTTGTTAATTCTGTGCAAACACAATGTCATGTTATCACACAAGATTGTGATGTCGGGGAGGGGTTCACCTGTGGGTCTTTCAGTGCGCCGTCCTTTGCATGGAGCGGTGCCGTCGGTCTCAACCCACCTGTCGGAGCTGGCTTGAACAACGAGTCCAATGTTGGCATTCAATTCTTCAACAGTTCCAACCATTCAGATGCCGTCGGTCGCAACGGGTCTACAAACTTATTCGCTATGCAAAACCCAATCCCATTCCTGGTCTGGTCCAAAGGGTTTCCTCCTGTCGACACATCATCCGATCAGTTCGCATATATGCGCGACAATCATTACATCGGATCAGACGCGTCTGGTGACCCTGTCTTCATCCTGGACTGTGAGATGTCAATATATCATGGTCGCTACAACTGGACTAACGGTGTCATACCAACTGGTGGGCTCTACGACCTAGCCTTAGCTGAACCAGAATATGGTGCACTATACTCGGCAGCTTTTGCAATGGACACTGCCTTAGGTCACCTAAGTCTTCAGGACGCCGCTGCGCTTGCTGCCTACCAAGACAAGCCCGAAACACTGGCAACCGTCTTTGCAAATCAATTCTCGAGGGCTGCTGTTGCGCTGACGGCTGGAATCACTATACCATCGACGAATATCTTTGAGCAACAGAGATTCAATGACGTTCTCGTCACCATGGTTCCAAAGGCTCCTCTGTGGACCTTGATAGCTTTGAAAGCTGTGTACGCACTGTTTGCCCTGGTGTTAGCAGTGCTTGCTGTGGCTCTTGCAGAGCCTTTGACTACACAAGACATCAAAGAGCGACTCACTATCAACGGTTTAGCTGCTGGTCTTTTTGAGGCAGAATCCCATCTGAAGACTGGTGTGAAAGAAATGGAGGAGCTCTTTGACGAGCACAAACACCAGGCAACTAGAACTGTCCAGAAGGTTGGTATAGTGCAGAATGAACGGGGAGGATGGACCTGGGCTTCAACAATGCAGCTGGCGAATAATTTGGGGCTCAATCCACTGAAGATCGAAAGGCTCGAGAACTGAAGCATTGTGTCTGCGAGTACTCAGCTTCTGCCAGCTTGGAATGTTGTTTCCACATGAATGAGTTGAAAGTGACGAGCATTTTTTGCATTGCGTCGGATGTTCGCTCGCAAGGGACGACCTGGATTTATTTCTGTGTTCTAGAGTCTGATTTGATAGATATTCAATGATAATAGTCCTTGAGGTGCGATGTCATACTCCGCCTGAGCGACGAATTTGGGCTACGACACTTTGACGGCCCGCAAGATAGTCGGATCCCAGGTTCGCCTGTATCATGGAGGACTTTTCGCCAACCCGGAACGAAAAACCGACGGATCATTAGCAAGACTTATTGACTAAACCACACATCAGATAATTCTAGACAGATACGTGCACAAATTAATTGACGCTGGTTGAGAAGCAACGAAGTGTTCGACTCTGGCACGAACTGTGCCGAACTGGAATGCAATGCTAAAGTCTCAGGGTGATTAATTAAACACTCAAGCAGGGTTCCTGTCATTAACGAGCAAATTACTGCGCGTCATTTTTTCAGAGTATCAGTAACGCGTCCGTAACGTTCCATTGACAATCATGATACACTTAACTGATTTCAAAAAGTTTTGGTCTGCAATAGCGGGCCGAGTAAGCGGAATCTCACAAAAGTTAGCGTGTCATTATCTCTGCTACGTCCGGAACTCAAGGACATTCGTTATGCCCTGTCTCAATGAAAAGTGAACAAGATGTCATTTCCGGACTCCTGCACTCAAGCTCTGATCGGCCAGGCCGAGCAGAGCGTTATCGGCTTCCTAGTGGCCGCTTTGAATCGATCAGCAGATCTCATGGTAATTGTGGCTTGCTGAGGTCGGCGCACGACGCTTGATCCAGAAGCTTGTCCAAACCTAGTCTGCGGTTTGGCCTCCGCATTGGTAAGAAGGGATATCAGGCTGCAAAACACCTTTACTGAAGGTTTATGATGAGTAGTGTCAAGGTTCGAAGATCGCACTTGTGCTGGGGCCGTCTTGGTGCCGCGTCAATGTTACAGGTTTGATCGACCACGCGAGAGCTATGCCGCTTAACGATCAAAGGTGGATGCAAGGTGCGGATTTTCCAGAGGACTGTGGCTCTCAGCTTTGCGCACAAGCACGTCTCGAATGCGCTCTGATACCGGATCAAATTCCAAGGACGTTGAGGGCTGTAACCGACTCGGAGTCAAGTCGAAATGGCCGAACTATCGTTGTGTGCTTGGATGGAACAGGGGACCAGTTCGATGGTGACAATACCAACATTGTTCATCTCACTAGCTGCTTGAAAAAGGATGCCAAGTCACAGCTGACCTACTATCAAGCTGGAGTCGGGACATACAGCACAAATGGACTGATTACCGGCTTTGTATCTGGCATCGACGCGGCTATTGGCAGTTTCTTAGGACTACACCTCCGCGACGCCTACAGCTTTATTGTTCACAGTTACAAAGAGGGTGACAAGATCTGTCTGTTCGGGTTCTCCCGTGGCGCGTACACGGCGCGCTGTCTGGCTGGTATGATACATAAAGTAGGCCTGTTACCACCGCGCAACGTGGCCCAGATACCCTTCGCATACGAGATATACAAGAACGACAGCCCGGCAGGGTATAAAACAAGTGCGGAGTTCAAGAAGACGTTTTGCAACAACGTTGATGTTTATTTCCTTGGCCTCTTCGATACAGTCGACAGCGTTGGTCTCATGCCACGCGAACTACCTTTCAATGCTGGAGCAAAGGACAGATGTCGCTTCTTCAGGCATGCGCTTGCGCTGGATGAGCGTCGGGCGAAGTTTCAAGTCCGTCAGTACTACGGCATACACGACTGGGCAAGGAAGCCGTGCAATCTTTATGATATAGTCCGATCTATCGTTCGTACTTTGGGAGCAGCGCCTCCTCCGGAAGCCGATACGGTTGAAGCTCAACTGGAAAGTCCCGAGCAGCCGCAATATCACGTTAAGCATTCTGGTGTGATCACGCATCGCCCTGACACCGATGTTCTGGAAGTTTGGTTCGCAGGTCATCATTCTAACGTAGGGGGCGGAGCATGGCCAAATGCAGAACGTCATAAGATGTCAAATATTCCGCTCAGGTGGCTGATTCGACAATGTTTTGAATGTAACACTGGTATCATTTTCAACACAGACGCTTTGGCGGAGCAGGGCATTGACGTACATCTTTTGTGGCCTCGCTACCAACCTCTCCAGGTTCCTACGATGGAGTCATCACCTTTCTTGCTGGAACAGTACAGCATAGGCTTGCCGCCGAAGTCAAAGCGATCACAAGCTTTGAAACCTTTCGAAAGACACAAGAAGAAGCACGGCTTCTACTCCTTGGAATCTCTCAAGACACTTCTCCAAGATTCGAGTACCGAATGGCTGCCTGAACAAATTGAGGACTGTTTCGACGCTCTTGCTGCAGACTATAACGCCTTGCAAATGAAAAAGCTATGGTGGATCCTAGAGATTTGGCCAGTTCAGTTCAATGTTTGGAATAGACTCAGAGGTGCCTGGGAAAGCTTCTGGGGCTTGAATTTGGCACAACCTCGTCCTGTTCACGGCGCACAGCCATTACTGCACTGGACCGTCCGATATCGCATGCTAAATCTCGGTATTTCTAGCCCGGCACGCATGCAAGATAACGCGGTCTGGAAAATTGTGGCATGACCCTGAGCCCATACCTGGGCATGCGGCTACGATGCTGCTCGGCGGATAGGCTGTTTAAATGTCCTGATACGAAGGAGTGTTGAAGGCAACGGCACGCCACGCTCGCTGGTAATGTTAATGGCAATATATGTGGCTTTCGACTTGACGTCTCCTTACTGTATTATAAGGCGAAGAGTGCCGGCGGCTGTCCGGTGATCTATGTTTAGTATCCCGTTGCACTGCGGCATCCCACTCCGTCAAGCAGTTCGAACAACTGCCCTGGCATAGCAAGGCTCATAGGCGACGGCACGAGGAAGCAGTTCCAGCAGGATCAACCCAGCAGCACTTACTCTTGGACACAATCGAAGGCTACCGACGTACTTCCATGCGGTGTGCGTGGCTGATGGGATCAGCGGCAGCTTTATTGCGAAAATTGGTGATCTGAGATGATGAGCCTGTTGATGATAAGGATGTGCTCTCAAGATGCATGACGACGGAGATCACGTTGGGACCGGCAGCGAGGATGAAGCGGACAGCATTGGACAATACTGAGACGCACGCACATGTCCACAACATGCGAGTTGGTGGTTGAAGGGGCACAACGTCTTTTGAGTCCATGGCACATATATATTCGAGTGTAAAAAGCACAGTCGCCCGCAAGTCCAGAGCTTATTCGAAGCTCACGGCCAGAGCCACTGCGCAAAAGCTGCTCCACACTCGCACTGTAAGCTCACATGCTTCGCCGAGTCGATTGAGGAGTGTCTCAAGCATGTCGTGGTCATAGGTCTTACTGTACGCTCTGCATAGTCTGTCCTCTTCTGGGACGCCAAGCCTATGGAGTATCCCGTGGTTGTTGTCCCGAGAGTCTATCTGAGTTCTGCGGCGTCTTGGCGTGGAACTTGGATCCTTGGCCGATCTCCCTTGTCGACTACACCTTACCTTTCCATCGCCCAATACGTCTCAACAGCTATCAGCAAATGCCCGCTAGCTAGCCGTACATGGCTGCTGGCGCTAGATCACGATTCCGCGGCTCCTGCCATCAACTGCTCACGTACGATGAGTGTGGAATCGGAATCATGTCGCAGTGGGTCGGTCCCAGAGCTTCTATCAATCTGCGGGTATCATATGTTTGAACGAGACATCGAAGAGTGCAAAAGTGTAGCACCTTCTCCTGGGCAGACGAAGTCGCCCTCTCTGCCAGCAGTGCAAAGGTTGCGCTTGCGATGTTTTCCTCCAGCAACCTCGAGCCCTTTGCCGCCAGCGAACCTCCGCTAGCCGCGACGAAACAGATCTCTTCGGTGATTCTTCCATAAGCAATCTCGGATCCCACGCTGCGGCGATGGCCAGCTCGACGACTTGAATCCTATTCCACTAGTGAAGCCTCCCTATTCGAGAACAGAGGTACAGGACGCCACCAGAGCAAGCGGAGCAGACTTCACCGCGACGTCCCAGACGAGTATACAAAGCCTGTTCGAGCCAGCCAGCCAGACTTGGCAGATGTTACTTCGACACTGTGAGCTTGGAAATGCTGGGTCCGACTGCCGCGTCACGATCTCGGTCGTCGAGGCCATCTGGAAGAGTCGGGGTCCGAAATTTCTCGCTGAACAGTCACTCTATTGCGGTCTTCGCTTTCTCGACCTCGGCCTTTTCCTGCACGGCAGCGTTCAGCTCGTCCACCTTGTCGTTGAAAGCAGACCGCGCATCGTTGTACTTTCCAATCCATTGAATGACGTCCTTTGCAAGCTCCGCCTTGCCGACTTCAAGGGCAGATTTTGCCGCCTCCAGATCGTCCGCTTTCTTCCGAGCTTCTTTGATTTCGGCAGAAAGGTCATCCACTCGCCTCTTGCCATCCTCGATGCGCGCAGAATAGGAACCTCTGAGCTCTCCCATCAGCTTATCGACGTCGCCGGCGCCGGCACTCTGCAACTGCGCGGTGGTAAGGTCCGTTCTCATCTGCTCCAGCTTCCTATCTCCCTCCGCCTTGTCGACTTCCAACTTATCGAGTTGCTCCTGCATTGCGTCACCCTTTTCACGCACCAGGCGGAGTTCGGTCTCCAGACCTGTGATCTTGCTTCGATTGACAGCCTCTGTCTCAGACAATGTTTTGATTTCACCGTCACGAGCCTTGATCGTGTCCTGAGCGTGACGCAACGCCCGACCAGCCACCTCAATCTGGTTCTTCTGAAGAGCAATCTGCCCCTCGAGTCCAGTCACCTGCTTTGTCGCTTCTATGTTCTGCTCCTCGGACGACGTGCGATGCTCTTGAAGACTTTCGTTGAGCTCCGAGATCTTCGATTGTGCATCCTTCAGCGCCGCCAGACTCTTCTCCCGGTCATTGGATATGGCCTTGAGTTCAATCTCTCGAACAGCATTGATGGCGACCTGACGATTTTCTTTGTCGTCTTCGATCCTGGCTTTGAGTGCTCGAATTTCGGCATCTAGATCGGATCGTTTGCGGTCCATCTTCGCCACGTGCTGCAGAAGCCACAAAGTCAGGTCTGCGATAGATCGATAAGTGGATTCATTCTTGTATTGCATCCTGATGGACTTGACAGTGGCTTCCCGACCGGACTTGACCTCCTGCATGCTCACTTCGCGTCGTAGCTCGGCGCGCATGAGATCGGTGGGTGCTTGAATCTTGTTGAGAAGATTACGCAGTTCGGCGTCGACCTCGAGGTGTTTAGCGTGTGTTTTGATCTGGATTTGAGACCCTCCCCACTTCGCTGCGCATTCAGCCCCGAATTGGACGACATGGCCGTCGCTGACTTTGATTTCGGACTGAGCATCTCGCATCTTGGCCAATTCGTTATCGAATTCGCTCTGGAGGCGTCCGCGCTCCTCCGCATCCCGCTTTTTGTCAGCTTCACGCTTCTCACGTTCGACACCGAGCTGTTGCTCTATACTGGCAATTCCTGCTTGCACTTTGTCGAAATGTGAGTCAACAACGGGAATACCTGTCGTCTGACCATCGCGAGATGGCAAAGCGTAGAGAGAATCGCGGAAGTACTCGCGCTCCGTTGGTGCCAAAGGATTCTTTGGAGGCATGCTGAGCTCCTGTCTGCCGCTCCAATTGTCTGAGACGTCTCTCGCCGTCCTCCGTAATGAGGCCTCGGATGGCCGCACGCAGCTTCTCTTCGGACTCCTTCGCATCACGGGCGTCCTTCTTGTAGCGTCGAACCTCAATGTCCGAGTAGTCGTCAGATCTCTGCGCTGGGCCGACGACTCTCACTGGTCTGTATTGTTCTGCTCGAGGGGCGGACTTCTGTAGCGCCTGCTCAAGCTTCTTGTCCATCTTTTCGACTTCGGCGGCATGCTGCTTCTCGGCCTTCTCTGCCGCAGTTTGAAGTCGCTGGACTTTGCATTTTTCTTCTTCGAGCTCGTCTTCCAATCGTTGAAGTTTCTCAATGTCGTCTTCGTCGTGGCTGCGTGTTGTGGTCTCGTAATCCCGGATCTTCTCGTTGGCCGCATTCAATTCTTGCTGAAGTCGGTCTCTGTCTTCCTCCCATTGTATCGCAGCCTCGTTGTGCTCTTCCAGCCGAGTTTGCCACCGCTCCATGTTCGCAGTAGACTCGCCACGTAGTGCGTCGACGCGGTTGAGCATCGATGCGAATGCGTCATCTCCGTATTTGCTGTACTCTCCCTGCAACTGAATTTGTGACCAAATGACTGGGTGGCGTTTAGCGAGTTTCGCGAACATCTGCATCATTTCTTTGACGGTTTGATCGCCCCCAATAGTCTTCAGGGTCTTGATGGGTTCGACATCGGATAGTATGCGAGCTTGTCGGGCGATGACCAGAAGCTGCCGCTCAATGGCCTGAATCTTGTCTTTGAGGCGCTGTGTAGCCTGGGCGATGGATTCGAAGTCCGAACGCTTTGCTTCTGCTTCAAGACGCTCTTTGATTTGCTTCCAATCGAGTTTTCCTCGGAAGCCGGGTTTACGCATCAGCTCTTTCCACTTCTTGAGGGCATCGTTGACGTATTGGAGGTGCTTGTCATGCAGGTCCAGCTGCGCGCTTGCGTGTAGGCGGACATGGCGGCTGTCCTTGGTGAGTGATTGTGGGATCCCGCAATTGGAATGCAGCAGTCGCCAGGAGCCTCGCCCGCAGCTTAGACGCACATTTGCGGAACTCCGGACCCGGAGTTGATGTGGAATGTTGCGAGCCAGATGAGTATGCTTGGAATCGACAAGCCAGGTTGAGGGTAGAGGAGAGAAACCTGTAGGCGCAGGCTTCGCGGAGTGCCAAAGGAAGTGAAGTAGCGGATCGGCTTCACAATACTCCGAGGTGACACAAAGAATATCTCCCAGCAAACAATCAACAGTGAACAAAGGCGCAGGCCGGAATTCAGGCGACCTCAAATCTTGCATCACCAAATCGGTGTGATCAACTTGATTTGAGCACACCTCTCAGGAGGGCTCTGATTGGATAACACCTCCACCTTCAGAACCGATTTCGCTTTACCAGCCATCCTCCTAACAAGCCACATCGAAGGCAGGACCGCGACTGCGCTGATCCGCACCAAAGCCCCCGCTCAGCCTCGTCGAAACCGAGAGTACGCTCCCAGTGAGCCAGGTCGAAGCTAGATCAGAGCCGCCAGCGAGATACGTCTGAGCCAACATGGCGACGACGCTGAGGCGCATCGAACAGATATCCGAGCCCGTTTTGCAACTCACACGAGCGATGACTGACTTCGAGAAGAAGCGAGAGGATGCCATGAAAGTCGAGCGCATTCCACATGGACTCATCACGCCTAAACGCGAAGAGATGTGGTATGCCTTCAAGGCCGGTGGGTGGCTCGCGATCTGTCAGTGGATGGATGAATATGGCCGGCGGCAATCGAGGAGCGGCGACACTGCATACAAATACTTCGACGATGATCTGCAGCGCACAAACCAATTGTTACCGTTCATCCTCTCCGAGATCTACCATACAGTCATAGAAGCTCTCATCCTCGGCACCCTTCCGCAGCTGGAGCTGAAAGACGTAGACGCGTGGTCGACAACGAAGAATATGCGAACGGAAGTCGGCATCTATATCAACTGTTTCGGTTATACTGGTTACACCGACCGACCCAATGATCAACGCTCCAGTCCTGGTCTGTACGCAGAGGACGAACGTGGCAAAGGTTTCTCTGTTGATGATTATGAGTCGCTTCGCAAGATCACGAAACAGTACATCGACCGAAACGATGTCGCATATCGCATCGATAGCAATCCGGGACCCAAGAAAACAGTCCAACTCGGAGATCCGAAGCGATTCGCCCACAACGCCTCGCAGATTGACCGCATCAACGAGTGGCGCTCCTTCATCAAGAAGAACATCATCGATAGCCCGCCTTACACCGACAAGTCGAAGAAGCTCGATCTGTGTCCAAATTATGTCGGTTATGGAAAGTGGGCCGGCCTTCGGGTTCTTGAGCACTTGGAAAACTTGAGTACTTCAGCACTCTGGGGTCTGATGAACGGCTTGTTGCGAGACTACCACAAAGAGAAATGGAAGGCGTACCAGAACTTCCTCCTTCCGATCTGTGGGCGAGAGTATGCAAACTTGGCGGAAGCGAGCTCTTCGATATTGGCCGGTAGCTATCACGATGAGGGAGGTCTCAATCCAACTCGCGCAGGCGCTACTCCAAGTATGACAAAACCGGCAGACATTCAAGCCTACGAGGAGAGCTGTGGACGAAACATCGAGCACCTTCTCAAGACCGGCGGCCGAAGCAGCAATCCACCCGGTGGCAGCTTGCTAGTGCGATCTGCGAAGCGAGAAGTGGAGAGAGTGACCAGAGTCCTCGAGGACTACGTTGACAACCTGCGAGATCCGATCATGGACCTCATGGAGCAAACGCAGCGGGATGCGGAGGATTTGGAAGATCAGTGGGAAGACCTGCAGATCATCGAAGAGAATCTCAGTACGCTGCTGATGAAGGATCGACTTAGCCAGCTAATCGACGCGTTTGAGAACGGCACCGAAATCGAAAGCAATGAACCAGAAGTACTAGTCACGCGCTCGCCGTGAGATCTGCGCGTCGACAGGCGAAGGAGAAGAATGATCTGCTGAAGAAATACGTTGCCAACAAGCAGGATCCGCAGAAGAAGGAAAGCTTGGAACTCAAGGCGGAGACGAAGAAGAACGCCGATGCTTTGCTGGAGAAGTGGACGGATCTGCAGAAGACTGAGGAATATCTCCGCAGGCTGTTGCTGAGGGATCGACTTGCTGAGCTGATGGGAAAATTCAAAGCCGGCAAAGATGGAGGCGAGATCCAGGTTCCACGGACACCTTGAGCTGGAAGTGTTGCTCAATTGAGCTTCGCCTGGCTGTCGATGTGCGAGCAGGGTGACGCAAGTCCGAGACCAGACTGCGGCTGGCATGAGCCATGATCGAGCTCGCTCGAATGCTGAATTGCGGCAGGGTTGAGAAAAACTCGATTATGTATCGAGCTTCATGTGCGACGAGTAGCTAGAAATTCTTCCGAATCCATCATTCGGATTCAATGTTTCGCTTCGTGAACTCGTTCCTGGCCCGATCTTGCACGCTGGTTTCCTAGACGACTTTCTCGAGGCGACCTTCCCATCTCTCGTGCTCGCTTCGGACGTCTTGCGTCGACCTCAGCAGGGACTTCAGGCACTAAGTCGATATTCTGGCTGGTATATTCGAAGCGGTAGTGGAAGACTCGTACCGTTGTCCAAGGACTGCCGTGCTTCTGAGCCGTGAATTCGTTTTCGGTCGGCTTGCTCCAGCGACTTGATCCGGTCGTTCGCCTCGCGCAGCTCTGTAAGGAGCCGAGTTTCGGTCCTAGCTCGATCTTACCCATCTTGACTTGTTTGCAGCAGCTTCTTCTCGGAGAGTATTGGTGTCGTTGAAGAGTTTCGTGGAAACTGCGTCGAGGAACGCGCTGAGATGCTGGTATGATTGCATCTTGTACCATAGGACGTGGTGGGCGCTGTCGAGCTTCTTGTACATGTCGAGCATTCCGTCGGCCTGTTCATCGCCCGCAATATCTTGATGCTCTTCGTCTTGGGCAGTATCCTGGCTTCGAGAGCTATGATTTCGAGCTGTTGCTCAATTTCTTGCATCTTCGCTTCAAGGAAGGCACAGGACGTGTTGGCCGCTTATAAATCGGCCTGGCACGCTTCTCCCTCCCCTATTCCACCTGCATCCAAAGCAAACTTGATCATATTGCCTATTCTGATTACACTGGCCTAGCATACGTGGCATAACCACACGCCTGATCCTTCCTAGCAGGACCCTGATCCGAGCACCAACTCTTAGCACACTGATAGCAGCTAGCAGGTAGCAACGAGTGGTCCGAGCAGCTCCTTCATCGTCTCCGATGTGCTGGCTTGCTGCTTCCATCGTGCGAGATTCTCGTTCGTCCACTTCAGATGCTCGTCGTACAGCTTTCGCTGCTACTGTGTAGACCGACATGATTGAGGCTTGCAAATTCAATTCCAGACCAAAAAGATCAAGCACGCACAAGTGTACGCTGACGAACTGAACACGAGGCAAGACTGGGCCAGCAGGTCGCTATGTGCGATTGCGAGGAAAGATGTAACAGAGCGGGATGCCATGGATCTTGGGGCTTTTTGCAACGATCAGGAAAGACGAACTTGAGCCGGAGGCCATTGATATCGGAGCTCCTTCCGAAGACCAGCAGAGACGAACTTGTGCAGGAAGCCATGGATCTCGTTCGGCACTGCGAGGTATGAACAAAAGTTCGGCGAGCTCTTTCCGGCAGAGCTGTAGCTCAGAAGACGGTCCAAGAAGCTCTTGCCCAACAACAGTAAAGGCGTGCTCGAGCCGGAAATCATGGTTCTGAAAGGTGCCTTCGGAATTGCAGATGACGGTCCGCAGCGCTCCTTTCTGCGACCAGCAAAGCCGTGCATGAGCAGGAAGCCAAATTCATCACAGCTCTTTCTGACGACCGGCAGAGCCACGAACGAGCAGGACATCAAGTCCGGCTAACGGTCAAAGGAGTCCTTTCCGGCGGCTCTGGCTTTCACAAAGTCCTGGCTGCTCTGCTGCTTGTCAAGCTTCTCGCTTGTTTCTCGCTGGCGGGAAGCACATTCTGGAGTTGCGCAATGAGATCATCAGACCGGACGAGCCGTGATTGAGCTATCGTGTCGGCTTTTCCAGTCGGGAGGCAAGGAGGAAGCCATGGAGTCCATTCGTTCCGCCCACGCGTGGATGATGGTGTAAGGAGCGTCCGGTAACGAGTTACCCCTTCCACCGACTGTCATACGAGAGTGCCTGCGGATTTAGGATGTAGAGAATGCGCCTGCCAATGAAGCGTGCAGTGAAGGCTGTTCCTGCTGTTTGTGACACGATCCCATAGGGCCTCCCTGTATCACTTTCGTAACGTCATACCACAGGGCCCTGCCCAGCCGTGAAAATGGCGGACTCGTATGCACATGTATTCGCGGTAATTTCGAGCATGGAAGACGAGATTTCTGCCTTTGAAGACCTCCAGGACGATATTTGCAGAATTGTACCTGCTCCTACCTGACTCATTACCGCGAAACGCCGTGAAATACGGCATGCATTCAAGACTGGTGGTTGGCTGGCGGTATGCACCTGGATGCAGCAATATGACCAGCAGACATCCATGAGCGGCGAGAACGCATATAAGTAGTTCGACGAAGATGAGCAGCGGAATGTCAGGGCACCCTTGACGTGTTGTAATTCGAGATTAGCTCAGATCGTCCTCGGAGCCCGCCCTGTGAGTATGCTGAGTTTACCTTCTCTGTCTGTTCGTGCATCTCGAGAATTGGCGTAGATCGTCTCTGGAGCCCGCCCTGTGGGTATCTCGGAGTTGTGTTTCTGTTTCTCTTCGTGCATCGCAAGCACAGGCACAACCCGTCTCTGGAGCCCGCCTTGTGGGCATCCTGAGTTTGAGGCTATATCGTTTATGGTGACCTTCTTCATATACTTGGTTGACGCGCACAATGTCTGGGTATCGGCAAACTCATCCTGCCCTTCGTAGAGATTGAAGGCGCCATTAACGCCCAGTTGCTGCTCGGCTTCTTCGAGGTCTTCAGAGCGTGGCTCAATGAGTGTGGCCAGGCCCAGCACATCATCGGCTCGATTTGGATCAGGAGTGCTGGTCGCCAACTCCGTGAGATCGGCATTCATCTGCTTGACCGTGGTGTGACTGAATGACTTCGGATTCTTCGCGGACTGGGCCGCGTCCACAACGACAGACTTGCCACTGAGGTCGCGCTCCCAGCTGTTGATTTCTGTTTCTGTTTCTGTTCGTGCACATTCTTAGAAAGTCGACGGGCGAGAGTCGAAGCACGGATTTGCCTGCGGTGCCCGCGCCGATCCATGACTCAGAGCGACCTGGATCGCCATGCCTGCGCGGACCGCTCAGAAGGCGGAGGAAGGAGAGCGAGTGATCATTACACCACTGCGAGGCGAGGATTGTGTAGCTCTTGTGAGGCTTCTCGAGGGGAGTTGCTGCCAACGGGAAGCAAGACTGAGACGGACAAGCATAGTCCTCGAATCGTCAGCCTTCGCTTTTGGGACGGATGGCGGTGACACAAGCGAGCATTTACTGCTGCTGTTAGATCGTCGGTGGCTTCGCTATCGAGGACGCGGATACAGTCGAGCCAGCGCCTGGCATTGGAGGCATCATGTGCGCTCTGCACATGCCCGGCATCAGTCTTCAGTTCTTCCGTACAGCGGTCTGCTCGTATCTTCACGCCATGTTCACATTGCTCGACAATCAACGCATGCTCGATACCAGTCACCCCACCTCTTGTACCACGTAAAAGTGCACCCTTCGACTCGACATGTTCAGGGACCACAGGCTTCTCGGAGGGTTCTGGACTGCGGCAGGAAGGTACAAAGCGTTCGAGCAGACGTTTATCCAAGTACCTGCTCGGAAGGCTGTGACGAATCTGATAGATATCGTGCGGGAACGGGAAATCAGAGGTAGGACGAGGTAGGACGAGGTTGCCAAGGGCGCCGGCATCCTACGGCGCGTCCCACAGCCAAAACATGCAGCGGCTTCGCCGGCATACGCAAGGCAAGTCCAGCCACTGTCAACCGGTTAAGAAAATGCCTCAACTTATCCATGATCACTTTCGCGGCGAACAGTATGCTCCGAATCCTACCACGCTAGCTGATCTTCACAATGCTGTACAATTACATCCCCTGACCCCTTCTAGCAAGCCTGATCCGAGCACCAACCCCGAGCACACTTACTAGCAGCTAGCACTGCGAGCGTAACGCCGCTAATTCAAACAGCTTTTATATTCACCTTCAACATCCCATGCTACGGTACCTCTTGGCCATACTCACCCAAATTATTGACCTAGCTAGTTCCTGGGACTGCACTCCGCTCATGCTTGACCATTCTCCTAGGCAGTATTCTATTCTCGCTACTATGGTGGTACCTTCAGTGATCGGATCACTCTTCGTGCAACATGCTCCGTGCTCAGGTAGGTGTTCTCTAAGCGCTCCCAGACCCTTCATCACGCTGCACTGCGCTTGATTGCGTCCGCCGGCTTTTAGAGATCGTGTCTGCTCGGTTTGCAACGCCACCAACCGATTTCAATGAGATGTCACTGAAGACGGTCCTAGCGGGGATGCTGGCGAGATTCTTATTGCTCATTATCAGTCTCGAATGCAGAACCTGAGTCACAATATAGTCTTTGAGAAATGAACCTGAATCGTCAATTATCATTCATGAACGCGTGTGTTTCATCGTCTACCTGCTTCGTAACAACCGACCGCTCGCCCTACAAGAACTATCCTACCGCTCATACCTCACCCGCAACCCTCTCGCCTGCACCGCCGTTGCCCTACCATCCTCCACCTCTACCACAAAATCATCCAGCCCGACCCCGCCGTACACCAGCTGATCCGTCGTCAACCAACTGATACAGTTCCCGAGCACCGGATAAGGATTCAGCACCACCGGCAACTTCTGAACGTAGCTCCGGAAACCAACCTTGCCCGGACTCGTCAACGTTGTTGGCCACAACCTCATCGTAGCATTCTCCGCACCATTCAACGTCGCATATAACGCCAAAGCATCCGTCCCATTCCAATTCCACTCACTAACAAGCAGACCGGGCCCGTCGTCCACCTCCAACACCATCACGTCCCCATCATTCTCATACCGACCAGCATACGTGACATTTGCCTCCTCAGCGGCCGCCTCATCCAGCACACCAACCACAGTCTCCGCCACAATATTCGCAACCGTATCCACCGCAAGACTCACTTCCACCCCACTGGCAAGCACACTATAGCCAACACCCCAATCCGGCAGCAAAACAATCTCCGACGTGTACTGCCCGTAGTGGCCTCCCTTGGTGTACATCCACGACTGACGCTCGAGCGGAGCTCTCAGTATCTCCCAGGGTGCGCCAACGCTGACGTTCGGGCTTCCAGTAAAAGTGACTGGCAAAAGCCAACGACGGGTTTGCGCGGGTGTGAGAAGCCTCGAACTAAGCATCGACTGCCCGATGATCCGTAAATCCCGTATGTTGGAGTACTACATGGTCAGCAAAATCCGCAACGTGGAAGTAAACTTACAAATCCCGCCGCAGGAGCCTCGTTGAGAGTCTCCCACAAAAATCCGCTATACGACAGATTGTACGGCACAAAGCTTCTCTCAAGCTGATCGCTTGGCGGCAATGAGTAAGTCCCGGTAAGATTGAGAGCCGCAACGAAGTCATTCGCAAAGATATCGTCAAAAGCGGTGCCGGTAATATTCTCCAACGCCATGGCTAGGAGTGAGTATCCCACATTGGAATAGATTGGGGTATGAAACGCCGGCACGACAGGACTCTGCACAAGAACCGCCTTGAGGTATTCTGAAATGGTCAGCACCCACACGCCAGAGGCCTCCCCACTCACCAGTCCGATTACACGGAAACAACGGCGATTGATCCGTCCCATTATACCCGCAATAGCTGACATTCACAGGCGACACCGGTGGAAGGACTCCCGCAAAGCCATCATCTGAGTCCGGACCGAATGCAAAATCGCGATTGACACCTGACAACTGCGAAGCCAGTGCGCCTAATGTGATGCTGTCGAAGTCGTAATAGTCGATACCTACCTCGCCAGCGCGCTGAGCAGCATACTCTGCCAACACCGGAACATACTTCGTCACGGGCTCGTTCCAGAGAACGTCTCCAGCTGCAATGAGAAAGTTGTACACGCTGAACAGCTTTGACATGCTGCCGATCCGCAAGACCGTGTCTTCTGTAATCTGCGAAGCGCCAACACTGGCATTTGCGAAGTCCGGCGCATTGAAGGTGTATGTGAACAACGATTCATTCGTACTGATTGAGTACATATCGAGGATAAAAGATGTGGACTGATTGTCGAGAGAAGGGTATTGTGATCCTCCTGCGAGGGAGTCCTCCAGAGTCTGATTCAAGGTCGTCAAGGCATTGCTGAAGCTGCTTGATGTAGACAGATGCTGCGGTGCCGGAAAGACCGGCCCCAGAGGAAAGCATGGCTGCTGTTGCGCAAGAGTCGCCGCGATGAGCGTCGCCGGGACGAGGAGGTTGCGACACATCTCGGACGACGTCTTCGCAGGACTAACGGCGGCGGCATTGTCCTCGACAAGCTTATGTATAAATGACTCTGCGCAAGGTCTTCATCGGAGTCGAGTGGCGCCGTCCTCAACCCACGTGCAGGCCAAGAGGTAGAGCTGAGATAGAGTTAGGTGATCGTGCAGAGTTTGGGATAGACTTTTGCAGAATACGAGCTTGGACGTCCGTCCACAGACACGGTCCGCGTTCTGTTTGACTCATACTCTTGGCGTGTACCGGACACGAGTCTGCCATAGCTATGCCGCCACCTCGCCGTCAAGTGAGACAAGGCGCAGCTCGCGTTACGCCGGATGAACGTTGAATTCGGGCTTCTTACCTGACGCCACCATGCGAAGCACGTAAACGGCAGGTTATTGGTGATATTAGAGAATGCGAGGTCAAGACCCAGGTTGTGAAAAGATGCAGTCCTACCGTACTTCAACCAGCGGTTGCGTTCCTGATGCCTGCAGTTTCGGACGGAAACAACGATGCTCGCTGTAGCTTGCGCCGTGCGCCGTAAGAGTCCCACCACAGCCCTCACCCAGCTCAAAGCGCTTCAACTGCGAACGCCTGCTGTGAAGACTCTGCCCGGCGCGCGCGATAGCTTACCGTCAACGAGCCGCAGATTGCGAAGGCGCGCAGGCGGTCAAGCTGCGCGATCGAGACCAAGCAAGGCCCGGTACTCGACACCGAGGCACTGTCCGGCACTGGGATTGAGACAAAAGTTCCGAGCTGCTTAGAGTTCGCGCCACCCTTCACGTGGGGTGTACTTTCAAGCTGTCGGCGAAAATATGAGTGCAGCATATTTTCATCCGACAGGAGATCCAGATGAGCATGAGCAATCAAGCATCAATATTGATCAATGTGATGCTGAAACGTGACTGATGACATTCCGCGATGAGCGTGTAACGCTGCAAGAAAATCCGGGATGTTGTGTTGTGGTTGCTCGAACCCCGATTCCCAAAGTGCATTAGCGCCAGCCGAGGGGACTTCCCCTCCTTCCGAGCTCCCTGCATCGTCAATGCCTTTGGTTTTGCCGCTTTCTCACCATTGCGACAAGTGCAGAGGTCACATTTCATGCACTTTCACAACTGAAGCACGAAGCTGAAGTGCACCCCAATGATTGGGCTTACCGAGATAATGGACTTCGAGATTGCCTAAGTGGCTCATTGGCGAGAATCCGAGCGCAGTTCATGTCCATTGCCGCTGTAGACGCAACCATGTCCCCTGATCCTTTCTAGCAGGCCTGATCCGAGCACTATACCAGAGCACACTGATCTAGCACTAGCAGGCGGGGGCCTCGAGCACTGCACGCCTGGGCAGCCTGAGGCTGAACCCAGAACACACCTTGATACGATCGCAAACCTTACCATCTCAGCTGCCAAGACATTTTGCGGTGGTACACAGAGTATAGCTCAATGGCAAAGTGCAAAGCTTAATGTTCCCACGAGCCACCCATGGAAATGTATGTCTGGACCCATGACACAAAAGGGCGGGCAATGCCGCCGGCTATTCGCAGACGGTATCGATCACGTCAACCATGATGAACTACATGCTCTACGCATCGCTTCTCGGCTTGGCCTTCGCGTCGCCGCACCCCAGACAAGATCAACGGCAGATACAATGGGGCTCTTGTCCTGACGGCGTGCCCGATGGCTTGAACTGCTCGAAGTTGTCCGTTCCCATTGACTGGAACACGCCTGGAAGCGGAACGATCGACATCGAAGTTGCGGTGCTGAATGCGACGAACCCGGAAAAGCGACTCGGATACTTGATGCTTAATCCTGGCGGTCCTGGTGGGGCAGCGATTCCACTCCTGATAGCTTACCAGCGCGGAAGTTGGTACTTCTCGGACGACCTGCGGGAGCACTTCGACCTCATCGCGGCGGATCCCAGAGGAGTCGGGGCCAGCAATCCCATTTCATGCAGCCCGGATCTCTGGAACGAGCGCGTCATTCTGGTCCCAGGCAATCAAACTGCCTTCGATAGTACCGTTGACTACTGGAATAGCTTCAGCAAGAGCTGCGTCAATGCGACTGGCCCACTCTTCGGACACGTCGACACCGCGAGCGCCGCGAAAGATATCGAAGCCCTACGACTTGCGCTTGGAGGCGAACAGTTGAATTGGCTCGGCTTTTCGTACGGTACCATGCTGGGCTCGCAGTATGCCGAGCTGTATCCCAAGAACATCCGCGCCATGGTCCTCGATGGCTGTGTCGACCACCGCTTGGACGGCAATGCCCAGATTCTCTCCGAAGTCGTATCCTACGAAGCGACTCATGGAAAGTTCTTCGAATGGGCCGCTCAGAACTCCACTAGCGCATTGTACAATCAAACTCCCACGCCCGTCGAGATCTGGGATGAGGTCGTGTCACGAGCATCAGCATCGCCGATCCCAGCTCCTGAATGCCAGGACGTATGTTGTTCCGACGTTTCCTACGAAGAGATCATCTTGAACGGACAGGAGATGCTGATCTGTCCTTCGTCTGGCTTTACCGAACTCGCTCAAGCCCTCAACGACACGCACTACTCGAACAACGCATCTCTCTTCTCCACACCGCTCGCTGTTCGCGGCAACGACTCCGCATTCGGTGGACAGGCAATCCAGTGCTTGGACTGGCAGCCACATCAGAGCACGCTCGACGCGGTCTTGTATCGACAACAAGCGGCAGAATGGCTTGGACCGCATGTTCGTGGTCTGTGTCAGTCTCTGCAAGTTGTGATGAGCTGTCTTGGGTGGGCCGTGGACAGAGTCGACCCGCCGCGCAGATACAACGTCAGCGGGACACCGAATACAGTGCTCCAAGTCAACGCCTTATGGGATCCATCCACAAGCTTCCAGTGGGCAGTAGGATTGAACACGCAGATCGAAGGAGCGGTTCTGGTCACGAGGAATGGAAGTGGCCACACAAGCTACGAAGGAAGAGGCGAAGCAAGTCGTGTAATGGACCGGTACCTCGTCAATTTGACAGTCCCGGAAGCGCATTTTGTTGTCCAGGACTGAAGCTTTGAAGACTGACGGCATAGGCGGTTCGCGGCGGCGGACAAAGATTGCGCTGCAAGCTGACACGCGTTGCCAGCATTGCTCGATTGACGCTAGAACGAATCCTTCCCCACATTTTCCTCTTCGGGAGGTCTTCCAGTTTATTTCTGTGTGTTTTTGGTTGGAGTAAACGCCGGTCCCCGCCAATCCGAATTGCTTCGATTCCCCGACTGGCTCTGAAGATTGACGCTCGCCAACCAGGAAAACGCAGCGTTTGCTGTCAAAGAATTACAGGCAACCTTCTCGTCGCATGTGTTAGGCGACTTTCTTGCCCGCTGCTGCAGCTGAAGATGGCAACGCCGCTTCTCACATTCCTCCTGCTCGCCATTGGTCTCCTACTGATCTTGCGCCGTTCTAAAGTTCCCCGCGGCCTGCGTCGCGTGCCCGGTCCAAGAGGCTTGCCTATCGTCGGTCACACATTCTCCTTGAAGCAAGCACCACAGCAGCAATTACGAAGCTGGGCCAACCGATATGGCGAACTCTTCCAGATACAAGTCGGCTGGTACAATTGGGTCTTCATCAACAGCCCGGCCGCCGTGAAGGCCATGCTAGACAAGCAGTCAGCCGTCACCTCAAGCCGAGTACCTATGCCTGTGGGAAACGACCTGATCTCGGGAGGCAAACGCTTTTTGTTCATGGGCTACACACCCGAGTGGCGCAAGCTACGTGCTGTTGTCCATAAATTATTGACTCCAAAATCATCGGAGACCTTCAAGCCTAGTCAGGAGCTTGAGTCTTTGCAGCTGTTACGTGACATATTGTATGACAACAAGAAAGAAGACTACTCGAGCTTCTACATGCATGTTCGGAGGTATACGACGTCGGTCGTTATGACCTCAACATATGGCCGACGGGTGCCCACCTGGGTGAGCTTTTTCTGCAGATACATTCACGCTGAAACTCATTCGTACAGGACTGCGACGATGTACGTGATGTCTACGGCATCATGAAAGAGTTCTCGGAGCACACAGCTCCCGGGACGTACTTGGCGGACACGATACCGCCGATTGCCGACATAATACCGCGCAGTTTGCAGTGGTGGAGGAAGTCTGCTTCATTACTATACGAGCATCAGCTTTCATTGTGGATGAAGTATTGGAAGACATTGAAGCAGCAAATCCGGCAAGGGAGCGCACCCGAATGCTTCGTCCGCGACTTTGCGGCAACTGACTATGAGGATCAGGGCATAAGCGAAGAGCAGGCAGCATTCGTTGCAGGCAGTGAGTCCACTGTGTCGTTCTTGACCTATGCTGACATATACTAGCCATGATTGAGGCGGGCTCTGAGACTACTAGCGCGGCCCTCAACAGCGCCATCAAGTATCTAGCTGTCTTTCGAGATGCTCAAAACACCGCTGCCGACGAGCTCAATCACGTCATTGGTGACGATCGACTACCAGGATTCGCGGACGAGGAGCACCTGCCGTACATCAGAGCCATGGTGAAAGAAATATTACGCATCAGACCTGTCACGAACATCGGAACTCCCCATTTCACAACCGAAGACATAGTCTATCGCGACATGCATATCCCCGCAGGAACAGTGGTAAGCATCAATCAGTACGCGATCCACTTTGACGCCCGCCACAAGGACCCTGAGAGCTTTATGCCCGACCGATTCCTCGATCATCCCCTCAAAGCTGCCGCGTATGCGTCACATCCAGATCCATATGTCCGTGATCATTTCGGCTTTGGCGCTGGCCGTCGTATTTGTCCGGGTATGCATCTGGCTGAGAACAGTCTCTTCATCACTCTCGCACGACTGATATGGATGTTCGACATACGGCCATGTCTCAATCAGCAAGGGGTGGAGGAAGCGTTGGATGTTTCGGATGACGCATACGAGCCGGGCTCAAACACGTTGCCTAAACCGTATCGTGTCCGATTTGTGCCGAGGAACAGTGCCAGAAACGCGGTGCTGCTGAGTCAAAGCAATCAGCTATAGGTAGATCCTTGAAATCATCTAGGCCACGAAATCTCGAGTCGTCTCTCGGAAGCTAACATGCAACCAATACGGTTCCGCGACAGCATGACGGCTAACCGCGTGGCGAAAAATCTTCAGAGTAGTGCAGAGAAAAGCACCGCAGCTGACTATGCTATTGCAGTCCAAAGCAAGGGGTCGAGAACGAGTAGAACGCCAGGCTATTGGGAAGGGATTGGCACAGAGTTCTCCTTGAGGTCATCGTCCAATAGCTGGCCGATTTCGACGTGGCTTCTGATCACGACCGCCGTCACTCCGTGGCAGATCAGCAACTGAGCAAACCAGACCGGATCAGCCTTCATGTGTTCGAATCTTCAGCATCTCCATCAAGTTGTTCCGACTCCCATGTGCCCTATAGCTCTTCCCAAAGATAGATACCACAGGCAACAAAGCCACCATGCCTGCAGCCCCCGAACCCATGACAACAAACACCCTCAGCGGACCCTCAGTCGCAGCCCAAGTATTGACGAAACAGCTATAGCTACTGCGAACATGTCAGCTTTGTCACAGGAAATGGGTGTATAGCTGAAGGAGTCCTACTATATGAGGAAGTTCTTGACGCACATGCTGGCGAGGAAGATCTCGGAGCTCATACTTCGATATGAGTCAAGCATGTAGTTCGACGTGGTAACCAGGACGAAGGTGATGCCAAAGAGACCCATGCCGTGGAGAAAGGCGGCCAGGATGTATGACCCCTGCTGTTGGACAACATAGCCCCAAGCGATGAATCCAGCAACCGAGACCAGACCGACAGGACAGAGCAGAAGGCGATATTCGGGCTCATAAACACCTTTGTTCTTGCGAACACACCACTTGACGATGGGATCGGAGACCAAGCTGAGGACGGTCGACGCCAGGAGTCCTCCTATGAATGGACCAGCGAAGAGATACCCGACCTCGCTTGCATTGAACAGATAAGGTGGTGGACTGAAGAACTGCGCCAGAAGATATGCCACGATTACATACAGTGACAGGAAGTATCCGCCCATGATGAGGCAGAACGCGACTGGCAAAGTCGTGAAGACGCCAGAGGACCCAAACAGAGCTGAAGCAGGTTCTCGTGCGAGTAGACGCCTGTGTAAACTGCCAGTTCCTGGATGAACGTCTTTGCTGCTGGCTGGCGACGACTGACAGACTCGACGCTGACCTGAGGCTCAAGTTCCTTGCCTGTCGGTGCTGCATTGACATCCTCGATCTCAACTTTGCCAGTCTCATCAATGTCATACTTGTGGTCGCGTCGGAATTGAGTTTCAGGGACGAATAAAAACTGAAGGAGTGTCTGCAGGCCGCCAAAGAGGATCAAGAAGTTGAAGAGGTACTTCCACCCCAGATGCGTCGTGATGGGACCACAGAGAATTGAGCCAAAGTTGGACACGGAGGCCAGCAAGAACGTCATGATTGACATGTAGAAGCCACGCTCGTGGACAAAGTAAAGATCGCCAATCATCGACAGAGCCAGAGATTCGTAGGCGGCGCCAGAAAGACCCTGTACCAGTCGAGCAGCAACAAGCATGTGATAGTTGGCCGCGGCGGCCCCTATGGCACTACCGATGATGCCCAGAAGTCCAGAGACTAGGAATACTGGCCGCTTACCCCACCGACGGGCCAAGGCATTGACGGGCATGATGGAGCAGCCGACTGCCAGCGGTTGGTAGCCTGAAGCAATGACGGCATCCGTGAAAGGTATCTGGAGTTGCACAGAGATATCTGCCAGGCTGGCGTTGAGCAATGGGCCCAATGTGGCGCCCCAGATACATGTGCCCAAACCAGTGATCACGAAGATCCGGAGCTTTTTGTTGAAGGCGAAGTTGAGAGGATCATTTGGGTCGTCGCTTGGTTGGGGCGCCATCACGATACGGCTGTCCTTCCCTTTGCCATGCTTGATGGCGCTGTCTGTGTGCTGCTCTGTCGATGCTTAGTCCAGGATTATCGTTCCAGGCACAGTTGCGAGGTGCTTGTCGTTGAGAATTCCGAGGAAAGGCATGTTGATCGTATGCGGGCTGTGTTCGCGAGGCGGATGGGCATGCACTGCCCTGTCCACAAGGCGGCCTTCGAGTGCTTTATTGTCTTTGAAAGTGTATACTTCTTGTCCGCAAGCAATAGGGCGTAGTAGGCTGCCCATGTCCATGGGGAAACTGATCCTGGGGAAACGGGTTGTCTTACTCCAGACCGCGGCGACACGTGGCGACAAATATCCCGGCATCGGTACTGTAACAATTGCTCGTCAGCTGGGCTTTTGCAGAGTGCTCCAAGAAGACTGAGCGCTCTTGAAGCGAGGCCACGCTGCGCGAAGCTTGTCGGCTCTTCAAACATTGAAGCATTCCCGTTAGCCTGATGCCATGCCTCCAAATGAGTTTTGGGGATCAATGTGATTGGCTCCGTCCTCCACCTGCCAGATCAAGAAGACCTCCACCTACCACAACCGGGCACTGGGAGTCAGTGGGGTACCCCGGATTACCCGATCCAGGAGATGTGTAACCCAGATTGAACTAGCTGGCAGTGGACGTTCGCTGGAGAGGAGGGCGGACTGGAGCCCTCGATTGGAAGTGCAATGACCCTGGGAGCTCACCATTACGGAACAAACACAAACGCATCTTGATGTGAGGACAGAATTGCCGCCGAAGCGAGCTTTGTTGCGCAGGTACCGAATCCTGGATGCGCAATTGCGGCTGATGCTGCTCACATCCCTGCCATAAAAGTTTTCCACGCCTGCAGCAGCACGTCAAGCCCAGTCTTCTTGGCCATTTCATAGACTAGCGGGCGTCTGCCAAAATCTTCGCTTTTGGTGCTTTGAACGAAGCGGCTGCCAGCATCACCTGGCCCGTATACTTTCGCGGCTTCCATTCCCTTTCCAAAGCGTGGAACCGCCTCCTTGCCTGACACGAAGTCGAGAACATCGTCACAGAACGCCAAGGCTGTCTCCTGCTCTTCTTTCGACAGGTGATCCTGGTAATTCAAGAACAAAAAGGCAACATCCAGGATATGTGTGGAGAAGCCCTTCCACTGCCCGTCCCAAGGATTGTTCTCGTTGAAGTGAAAGACATAAGCACTCTGTGGCCAGGTCTTTGCAATCTCAACGACAGGGGCATAGAAGCAGATATCGTGGCCAAATTCGAGAACGCGCTGCAAGTTTTCAGGGGTGTCTTCATTCCCTATGCGATATCCGTCCAAAAGAGCTGAACGAACGTCGGGGTACTTGGCCAGGGAGCGCTCTGTTGACTTGACAAAGTCGCTGACCAGCGTTGGTAGTCGATCGTGTAGCATGTAGAAGAGAATCGATGACTGTCTTCGTCAGTTCAGCAGCTCTCGATCAGTGTTGTACTCACATCGAACCCGCAATCGCCAATCAGGAGGTCACACGTCGAATTGGTAAAGTTGGTTGACAATTTCTCGAACGAGTAGTCTAGTGGTACGATGTCGCGATCCAGAACTGGAAGAAAGGGTGTAGAGGGCGAAACTTTGGACACGACGTCTGCTTTGTCAATTGCCAGCAAGGCATTGATACGTTCCTGCGCTCCCATATCGTGCAAGTCCAGTTGTTTCGTAACAGATGCATAGATGTTATCTGCAAAGGCTTGCGAGATGGGACTCATCAGTAAAGGTGTCCCGCCCATACTCATGACTCGTCGAAAGAGTCGATCTGAGCGGCATGCATGGATCAGTGCCGAGACTGTGCTTGGGTCAGTTTGATCGTCTTCGTTGTCATACTATGCTCACTGGCGCCCGCGCTCTCTCCTGCAACAGTAACATTTTCGGGATCGCCTCCGAAACCAGCGATGTTCTTATGAATCCATTCCAACGCGACCAGTTGATCTTTGAGACCTCGATTCGCGTCGATGCCGGCATCCAGAAGTTCTTGTGATGCAAGGAAGCCAAACACACCCAAGCGATAGCTGTAGAACCAGTTAGGCGGGCACTGGCGAGGTTATGAACACCTACTTGATTCCCACAGCAATGACTGGTGTGCCGCGCTCGACTGATCGACCTACGAAGGCCGCCAAATCATACTGTGGCCACGCATTCGAGCCCAATGCAAAGCCGCCACCGTGTATGAAGACGAACACGGGAAGACCGGTCTTGTCAGTTGTAGGCATGTTTATGTCGAGGTTCAGACAGTCTGTATCAGACGACTTGACAGGCGTGTATGGTAAGCTCTTTTGTATAAACATGTGCTCGGTTTGGCAAGCGTTGTCCATCATCACCGCGGTAGGGCTGACATTGGCGTTAGTCGCTATGCACGCGCGATTTCGCGAGTCTTCTTACCCATGCTTGTCGAATTTGCCGCCCTTCTGGTTGTTCACGACCAATTTAGCTTGTGCGAATCGGTTTTCGAGTGTGGCATACTGAATGCCAAGGAAGCGAAGTACGTTGCCGTGTTTTATACCGGCGACGTGGCCAAGCTGAGGATGTTCCAGAGTAGTCGACATTTGGAGTGATTGAGAGCCAGCCGTGTGAAGGCGAAGACCTGCAGAGTGGTCTGCATCGCGATTGATAAACGGCCGTGTAGAGTCGGCATGTGGGGTCGTGTGCTCTATGGCTCCTGGCTTTCCCCAGCTCCGAATTGAGCGTGGTCTTCGGACATAATACCTCCACAATGTCCGACTTGGAGTCCACACAGTCAGCATCTGTCTGACATTAAGCACAGTATGCGACTTTCGCGATGCGGCCGTTTAGATTGCCAGCTTGTTCGGGTAGAAACTGAGTGTTTTGTGTACTTGTCCGTTGAATTCTGAGGTTTCAGGTCAGCGCGGGTCCTGAGGACCAGAACGGTCTTGCAGATTGAGCCAGCAAGTTTGAGATGAGCCTCACTTTATTACTAAGTCGCTGAAACGTTTCGTCATCGGTTTTCTCGCCAGGAGGGTGCTGTAGGAGTTCGTTATATCTCCGCTAGAGCTGGAGAAACCGCTCATTTCTGGGCCGAACAACTTGACTGCCAGTATGCACCGCTTCGTGGATTCGAGACTAAACGGAGTCATTTCCTGAGGAGCGAACATCCTGGAGGCGCTTCTCCAATGTGTCGGCGAGCTGTCTGAGCACCCAGCCCATTCTAGCTGTGACTGTGACAGAACGAAGTTAGCTCAACCACCGCACAAGTCGCACCATGACAACGAAGCCGGAACAGAACGTCAGTCCAGGAATGTAAGGTACTCACGTCCCCAAACCCACGTATCGTCATAGAAGGCTGCCCAATACCTTGCTAACTCGGCTGCAAGACATTGCTCTCCAGGCACGAACTTGATACCTGCGGCTGGAAGGATATGACCTGCTCGAGTCACGTTCTCTAGCTCATCGGCAGCCGTATCGAAGTTCCGGGCCTGCGCCAATTCGATTTCGAAGATCCATTTCGTTACACATAGTCCTGCATTGCTCAGTGACCATTCAAGTACTGTATCGGGTACTTACCAACGTCCCAGCCCGCAATGGCGTGCTCGATGCTCCAAGTCAAGGCTGCCGTCTTCTGTATCAGCAGGGCGCCGCCTCTAATCGGAACCTCGAAGGCCTCCAGCGTGCGAGAAACTACTCTCGTAAGCAGCTCGCTGCGTGGACTTGCCCGTTCAGTATAACGTCGAACCGTCTCCAGTATGTCGCTTGAATCGTGTCGAACGAGAATATTCTTGTCAATACTGTTGGCGTCGGTGAATGCCCTGATGTAGCATACACGGAGAAGTGCCAAGCTATTGAACAGTAGCGGACACTCCTCCTTGGGCGAAACGATCTTGGATCCATCTGGCACCCGGTTGATCATGCTGGAACATCGTCCCAGAGCGGCCTCCATGTGGGTTGTCCAGTGGGTTTTATGCATTGCGTGAAGGTTCTTCTCGTCGCCATAGATGTTCAGAGAGTCCGTGAGCTCCGTGATGTGGTACACTAGTGTGTTGACCCCGTGCATCGAGACCATGGCCATGAATGGCGTCCAGCGGAGAGAGCCTAATTGGCCAAGCTGTTCGGGTAGTTGCCCACTCATGGCCCACTTCACCGCGAGTCGCAGTGTTATCCTCGGCGACTCGATCATCGTTGCCCTGCGGTTGGCCCACTCTTCTTCGGTCATCGCATCCCATAGCTGCTGATCGCCGGGCAGTTCGAGATCGCCGTGCTGAAGAACAGAGAAACCTGGTGCGAGTCCGTAGCATATAGCTAGGAGCTGCTCATGATGAATATGCCACACAGGAGCCTTAAACACGACCACGTTAGCTGTCAGCTTCCTAGGCCGGATTACATGATCCCTACCTTTTAGTACACTCTCTTTCCGCCCATTGGTTCCAGGACAAGGGTGTCGGAGACATACAAGCAGGACTTAGATCGCCTTGACGCAATCGGTACGCCTGTGATTTTTCAGTCAACAGTCCTTCTCGAGCTGAGCGAACCCACACAGGATAGCGAACCAATCTCCTCCATAGATCGCACGACCACGTCTGGATGGCCACAGAATGACCCAAAATATGCCAGTAGCAGTTGAGTCTGTGTATCCCATAGTGGTGGCGGCTCAGTCTTCGTTCTCGCAGCCACGGGCTTTGACCAATCCCAGAATACACTCGCGAGCTCCAGTTCGGCTCGCTGATGTCGGCGCGTCAGAGCTTTACGGGAGAGTGTGTACATCGTCCCAGCATTCGAGCGATCAAGAAGATGAAGTGCGCCGATGGCACAGATCGCCAGTACCAAGGGAGACCGCATCTCGGCAAAATCCATCGTGGGTAAATGGAAGATCGGGAGATGCGTATTGAACGAGTCCATGAAACTGTTAATGTCTTTCGATAGGACCGAAGCAGGTGGAACGTCGTTTGGAAGTCCCTCATTGTCAGGAAGACGTCCCGCAAGGTCCTCTAGCAGTCTGTCTCGAGCCGCGTCAGTGAACTCGAGCGGCGCACGTTTCGCTTGCGGCATGCACGAGATCTCTGGTGGTGACAATCCTACGTCTGTCTGGTCGGCTCGCACTCCTCGTGTGTCAGTTGTTCGGAAAGGTGAAATTCCTTGCCGATTTAAGACTGGCTCATCCGTAGTCGTGGGAGCCACCGCGGGCACTGGATTGTGTCCGGATATGCTTGCAGCCACGAATCGAGGATCATAGCCAAAATCGAAGTATGGACTCAGTATGCCGAACGAAGTGAACGCGTCGAATGCATCCGTTGTGTCTCCGGGGAGTACTCCAAGCGTGTTTTGATAGTCTGCAATATCCGTCGGCAAGTTGTGGACTTCGTCGATGCTGGCAGTAGGACGAACATCATCCATCACAACGTCATCGTTCGCAGCCGCGTGGCCCACCCTGGCTTCGATGCGCGCTCCTTGACCGCCACTCGGCTCCTCCAGCACGCTTGGCTGAGCATGACCGAGGTCACCCTCTTTGCTGGCTTTGGTGACAGATGCGTTAGAACTTGTTGAAACCGATGGACGTCGTTCCGTAGTCCCGACTCGCTCTGAGTGCAGGGTCTTCTTATGACGCAATAAGAGGTCACTGTTGAGATCTTGTCAGTCGCGTTGCCTGTTGTCTCCATGGCCAAGGTGATTGTTACCTCCGACTATATGCCCTTGAACAGAACGTGCACCGATACGGCTTCTCGAAAGTGTCTATTTCGCGATTATTAGAGCGCTCGACAACAGATCGTCACCACGCCGCCGTTTCGTGAAGCACACGTACGAGATCTTTCGTGTCGATTGCAGTGCTCCGCGCGTTTGAAGCTTTTCGAGCAGTGCTTGCAATTATAGTTCCGTGGGACGTTACTCGCGGTCGGAAAATTCAATATACCTAGCATCCTCGAAGGAAGAAGCGCGTCTTCGTGGGAGATGCGTGAGTAATACTATTTCAGGCATCGATGTTATGGTAAGTACGGTGATGAGCTGATCCAAAGAAGCTACAACGTTTGCTCTGACGAGTAACTTTGGGGAAGCCACCAGGGCTGTGCGGGGAGGCCTGGTCACGCAGATCACGTTCCAGGGTTCCCCGCAACCCAAATATGAGCAGGCACGGGGCCAAATCATGCCCAAGCTGTTCGGACAAGAAATGAGCGTTTTCTCCATCCTTAACATCCACGGATACCTCACACCAAATTCCTTACAGCGACCTCCCTGGCTAGTAAATTGATGGTAGATAGATCCTGCGATATGAGGCTCAAGTGCGGCTCCTCCCAAAATTCCTGGCTCGATCCTCAAGCCAGTTCCGGCCCTCAGAGCCCGCCTTGACTCGAAATCTTGAGGTTCAACTGACCCGCTGAAAACGCTCAGTTCATGCCCGAACAGCCTGCATGCCCTGGAGTCCCCTATAAGCGAGCGCCTAAATTGGCTTCCCGCAAGACCGGAAACTGCGGATCCCATTGCCCTGCAAATTTCTGTCCCCAAATGCCCTGCTTTCCAGGCGATAATATTGCATCTGGATCGAGTGTGTCCTTAAGCTTCTCCACAAACCTCTTGTATGCATGATCGTTGAAGTCGTATAAGTTTGCGATAGCGTCTATCGATAGTCAGTAGGTAAGCACAAATAGCTCCGCGACACTTACCCATATGGTTGACGTGCGACCGATAATTGCTGAACCCCTTCGCTTTCGCCTCTTCGTACATTTCTGCGAAGATTGCTTGTATCGCCTTTTGTTGCCACGCCTGCGTCTTGTCGAAAGGCTGGAAGTTGACAAAGATGAGATGACGTTCGTGCATGAAGAAATCGCAGAACAAATCGAAGCCGTACTTCTCGCAAATGCGCTGCGACTGCTTGATCCACTCCAATGTCGACTTGCCATCCGAGGGAATGATGGAAGAGAAGTCGCCATGACCTGCAATTCCTTTCTCGCCCGCAGGCAGTCGAAACTTCACCATCGGTAGACTCCACAACGTTGGCACGCCTACGAAAGGGCCCCCATGAGGCTCTGGAATATTCGAGGCTTCCAGCAGCTCATGTTTCTCACCAGAGAACATCTCGAAGCGGAATGTTCCAGTCGGCGCCCGAGCATTCAAGACCGACTGAATCTCATCGACTTGCGCTTGCAATATCCTGCGAGGCCCAAACAAGCCCCACTTGCAATTCCAGTACCCCAGATTGTGCTGCTTCTGGAGAGCCTTCAACACATGTGGTGGAATTGGTCCGGGCCCGCTGTAAAGATCCGCTCGTTTGTTGAACATAGCCAATACTTCTATGATATTCGACACGAAGACTGTGTTGGGTATCGTGCCATTCTGCCGCATCGACCCAAACGCCTCCGTAAGCACTTCAATGTCTTCAAGTTCAGGCATCTCGAAGAAGCAGGACGCGTACGCTTCTGGCTGAGGAGTGAGCCAGATCCCCATCTTTGTCACTACACCGAGATTGCTTTGCAGGAAGAGTCCTTCAATCGAGGGTCCGAAAGTGAACTTCGATAGGTGTGCTGCGTCCGAATTTGAGATGGCGAATTGGCCGGTACGAACCACATCTCCGTCCGCCAGTATCACCTCAAGGCCGGCCATGTTCTGATGGTGCGTCGCGGTGGGCGTGAAGCCAGTTCCTCTGTCCAGGGTCTGTAGGAGGTCAGCCACACTCTGAGCATTACAGATTTCTTACATTGCCTATCACACTCCCCCAGCCAAGCGACGGAGTGCTCGGCCACACTCGCAGCTTATTGGCCTTGCAATAGTCGTAAAGGTCCGTGAATGTGACACCGGGCTCGACCACCGCGTATGAAAACTTTTCGTTGACCTCGATGATTTTGTTCATGCGATGCAAGTCAAGGGCCACCGAACCACTGAGTCGTGGTGCCGGTCCGCCATATCCCAGATTCTTGCCGCGACTGAACACCCATAAAGGTATGCCGTGTTTAGTCGCTATCCGGAGGACTTCCCGCACTTCATCGGCAGATCCTGGACTGATCTTTTAGCATGTCTGCGTTGGCTGTCTGAAAGGTACGTACCAGATTGCACCACTTGGCACCTTTCGTAAAGGCAGGTTCTCGTTCATTTCGTAGGGATCGATGTACTCCTCAACATCATTCTGCCGGTGTACACACTTCTCGCCTACAACAGCGGCCCACTCCGACATGGCTGCATCGTAGGTGTGCTGTTTCACTCCGGGAGGCAATATAGGCTCGAGTGGTTCTATGATGGACTTCGAGAATAGTTCAATGTGGACCTTTTGATACTCTGGATCGTGGTATTTGTCGCTGTGCAATTCGGCTGAGCCGGCTTCCAATACTTGTGACAACATCTCGAGAGGCCTTCTAGGTATCAGCTCGTTGTCGACGAGGACGCGACAACATCGTCCGCGCTGCGTCGTTATAGCCGCATAGTAGACTTGCAATTGTGGCGGCACCTACCCCAAGGCGTGAACGGGGCCGATGTTTGGGGTAGACATGGGCATGTGGACAGACTTGGAGTGCCCCACTTGCTTTACCCGGGCACCATTCGGGCCTAGATTCACCCATTGTGGCGACAGTCCGGCACTTCCACAGCAGGAGCACCTCGACCCAATTTGGACTTCTGTGCGGCCAACTTGGTGGTGGAGAGACAGGTAGCGACGGAACTCACCGTGAAGGCGGAGAAGCATCTCAGCCAAATCGGAATGGAAAACACGAGCAGTCGAACACGATCTCGCACACGGCTTGTGTTTTCCGGTAGTTCTTCAACATGTGAGAACGCAACCCCTGGATCTCGCCGTCAACAACTCAGCCTACGCCAGCATGACAGAGCCAGCTAACATTTCGAAGGTGGGCCGACGTTACTGAGCCAGCATTGAAACTCTCGCTGACGGCGCTGACTTAGGTAATTGTCGTTGGCGCTGGACCAGCAGGTACGATGTAGAGCGCCCGATTGCTTCGACAACAGACTAATTCGCGCAAGGCCTGATCCTCGCCCTCCTCCTAAGCAAGGGTAACATCGCAGTCGACATCTACGATGCTGGAGATGGACTTGACAGCGCCCCAAGAGCAACTCACTACTCGTCTCCATCTATTCACGAGTTAAGACGAGCAGGCATCATCGATGATGTTCGAGCCATGGGATTCAGTCCAGATGGGGTGACCTGGCGAGATATTAACGGCAAGGTACTTGCAGGATTGTCAACCGCATCGCTTCCCGAACAAGACAAGATGCTCTGTCTGCCGCTAAATAAGCTGATGGTGATCATCAAAGAACACCTCGATCGACAAGCAAATGTGCACATCTATTGGGGCCACAAAGTGGTGAACCTTCATCAGGACCAAGCTCAAGCACACATCGTTATGCAAACATTGGAGGGAGAGAAGACGGCGTCCGCAGATTATATTGTTGGATGTGATGGAGCAAACAGCCAGATCCGCAGATCTCTCTTTGGCGACATGGCCTTCCCAGGCAGAACATGGGAGGAGCAAATTGTGGCTACGAACGTCTGTCGAAGCGCTCCAGATCCGACTTAAACCTAACTTTGACAGGTCTACTACGACATGAAGCCCTACGGCTGGGCAGACGCAAACTTCATCATCGATCGTGACAATTGGGGTATGGTCGCGAAGATTGGCACCGATGGCCTTCTACGGATCACATACGGCGATATCCCAGGTCTGACGCGCGAGGAACTGATTGCACGACAGCCCATGAAGTTCAAGCAGTTCCTCCCTGGCAGACCAGATCCGGACAAGTATAAAGTCGTTAATATAAGTCCGTACAAGGTGCATCAACGATGCGCAGAGAGCCTACGTGTTGGGAGGTTTCTGCTCGCTGCTGATGCTGCTCACCTTTGTAATCCGTTGTAAGTGCCGGTCCTAACCGGTCCTAAGCGTGGTCTGACATGTAGCCAGTGGAGGTCTCGGCCTTACAGGTGGGCTGGTAGACGTTGGGAATCTGTACGACTGCTTGTACGGGATCCATCGTGGCTTGGCGGACGAAAGTATCCTCGACAGATACAGCGAGGTCCGGCGACAGAAGTACAACGACATAATCGACCCGGTCTCCAGCGCGAATATTCGACGACTGTGGTCTGATCCAGCGAAAGTGGTGGAAGACGACGAGTTCTTCCACATGTGCGCAACGGCCAGCAAAGATCCAGGGTTCAGCCAAAAGATGCAGCTGGTCAGTCCATTTATCCGAATGAGGATCCTGCTTGCTGACGAAATTGCTAACACAGGGTCTCAATGCGATCATGCACGACTTCAGGAAAGAATACAGACCAGTTGGCCATGCTGTGCCCGTGTGATTGGGGATCATTGCTCAGGAGGCTTCAACTACGGATACTATGCCTCAGCTCTCTACAGCCGACAGTCATGTGCTACGGGTTCGGCCTTATATTAGAGGACACCGGGGTGTTCGAAAATGTCACTATTTAATGGGGAGTCGTAGAGCGGATCTCGTGGACATCGCATGCATGGCAGTTCTGACTCATATCTGCTAAAACACGATACCTGAACAGAATTCATTTGGATCATTTGGCAAACTATCTGGTCTTATGAGATGCCTCTTCGTTCCACACATCGTGAAAAGTCCCACTATTGTGACGCCTTCTCGCGCAGGCTAAGTCGCATCATCAAATCGTGCTGGTAGGCGAACCAATATGAAGTGATAGTCCATGGCTTATCCTTGTTGACGAGTTCAACGTCGAAAGTTCTGAAAATCTGGGCAATCGATTTCTGAACTTCGACCTGCTGTCGTTAGTCGATCGTGGTCAAACAAGCGCCTACGTCCACTTACCAAAGCAATGTTTCGTCCAACGCACATGCGGGGTCCGGATCCACCGAACGTCATATTGATTGACTCTAGATACCGCGCCCTCTCGTCGCTCTCCAGCCATCTCTCGGGCCGGAACTCATCGGCATCTTCTCCCCATGTACCACGGTCGCGATTGTGTGCAATAAGGCTCATGCCAACCGGCGTGCCTGCAGGAATGGAGATGTCGCCTATCGTCATTCCAGAATCTGGCGCGTGACGCAGAAGTTGGAACACAATTGATGGCCACAACCGCATTGCTTCCTTGGTGACTGCAAGAAGATAAGGCAAATTCTGGCACTGCAGGTACGTGATGGGCTCTGTCAGCTGACTCGCGGTGTAGTAGTCGTCAATTTCTGCTTGCAACCGTTTGCACACGTCCGGACGCGAAGCGATAGCTTCCAGACAGGCACGGATTGCGATAGACGTTGTGTCGGCACCGGCGCCACTGCATACACGTCAGATTGAGCTGGGAAGGATTTGATCAAACTCACACCAAGTTAAGAGCTTCCGAAAGCACCTCCTCGAATCTCGCAGGATTCCCATCTTGATCTCGCATCTTGAGGAAGTGAGCTAACATGTCAGACCTGCCTTCAGTAACGGACTTCTCCTGTCTCGCCGCTGCGAACCGCGGCTCGACCTTGTCCTTGCTCCAATCCTGAAACTCGGCGACGCGGTTCCTAATTCCACAAAACTTGAACATTGCCTGTGTGACCGGATTTGTGAACAGCTTCATCTGACCCAAATAGTGACCCATGCATGAGCTCAGGAAGAAGAGATTGAAGATGTTCTTGCGTAAATCAAGCACGTCGGTTCCCGTCTCGAGATGCCCGAGCTGCGTGCCATAAGCAAGCTCTCCAACAACATCAAACGCAAAAGCATTGGTCATCGCCGACATATCGACCGTCTGGCCCGTGGTAGCATAAGTGCGTAGTCGATTTATCAGAAGATCTAGACAGCCTTGAATGAAGACTTCGTATCGTAGCACCGAAGACATGGTGTATGCGGCCGAGACTCGTTTCCGGAGGAAGGAATGCAGCTTACGGTCTCTGACAGAGAAGAAAGCCGGCGCCCCGATCGGTGGGTCCCTGGCTTCTCATCAGCATTGCACCTGGCAGATTGCAATTAATGTCACACTTACCACACACTGTACCAGGACGTTTTGACCGTGTTGCAACCGTGGCCATAAAGTTGTTTCATCGCAGTCTGTCCAACCACAGAGACCTCATTTGGGGCAATTCGTACGACGGGACCGTACTTTCTGTGTACATCAACGATGTCATCGTGCCAAGTTCCGCGCCAGTATCTATTGTTCCGCCATAGCCCGCTCAGTGCTGCTGAGGGAGGGCCTGGGATATGGGAGAGGGGATGGAGGTAGCGACGATAGACACCGAGACAAATTGATGCCGTTAGGGCAAGGACCAACACCAAGAATCCTGCGAAGAAGGGATCGCGAATAGCGGCTCCATTGGATATCGTCAGCAGTGCCATGGTCTGATCAATCGAACAGTTGGTGGATCGATGAGCGAACCTTTATCCGCGTGTTCGAGGACCTGTCTTGTTGGGCCGGAAGCTATGATATTTAGCAGTCTTTCTGGTACAGAAGCATTGCCGTTGTCCAAGCGCGATGTCCTCGAGCGCCTTGGCATCCCGGAGAGGCCAGAATAAAGTTCACTTCCCCGCAATGGGGATGGCTGAGGTGATTGAAGGTTTCGATGTCTGGGAAAGGTAGGTGGAGTAGTCGGGGTAATCGGTCGAGCCGGGGGCTGTACACCCTTACTTGTTGCGGGAGCTCGTTAGGGCAGTGACGCGAGATCGCATCGTTCGAGCCTCGACGTATCGACACAGCCATCCTGGGCTAGTCTTCATCCACATCGGGCCTCTCTCTCCTGTTCGCTGCCCTTTTGTCTTCAGTCATCGAAGTGATCTTGTCGACATGCTTGGAAAACTTGAGACTCATCTCCGTGACCTGGCGGAAGTGTTCTGCGGTCACCTCCACCATTTGCCCGGCTGGTCGAGCGTCGTCCTCACTCGCTTCGTACTCCGCGAGAGCAATCGCCGTCTGAAATGCATTCCGAATTTCTCTTCCATTCCACTGGGTTTCCTCGGCATTCTTGTCCGACAAGACATATGCCTTCGCCTTTTTCGAGACATACCACCTGCCAGCGGCCTCTGCCTCCATCTTCTTGAAGAACGCCTCCCAGATCTTGATGCGCTTCTCATTGTCAAGCTTCGGGTACTCAATCTTGGCATGAATACGTGACGCGAAGGAGTCGTCGATCTGTCCAATGCGATTCGTGGTGAGAAATAGAAGACCTCTGAAATACTCAAGCTTGCGCAAGAACACAGAGACCAGGCTGTTTCTTTCCACGCTGTTGAGAGACCGCTTCTCCAGGAACACGTCTGCTTCGTCGATCAAAAGGACAGCATTCCAAATCTCCGCCAATTCGAACCATTGGGTCAGTTTAGCCTCCATCTCATCCTCTTTCACACCAATATCCGCCACGGACAAAGACAACAGCGGCCGACTAAAGTGGCCTGCGATTGACTCCACAGTGTATGTCTTGCCGACACCGGGCGGGCCGTGAAGCAGAATCACTTGACCCTGGCCCTTGCCCGAGATGAAGTCCACGGAGATCGTTTCCCTTCTGACAATCTGCCGGTAAGATATCGCCTTCACAATCTCCGCATCGCCAGGCTCAAGCACAAGCCCTTCGAGGGCGTCCCTATCGTACTGCAAATCCCGTATACCACCAACGTCGAACACTCGCCATACCTTGTCGTTCAAGCCGATACCGCCCATGAACGGAAAAAAGAGCAGATGATGCCTATCATCTAGCTTCGATGTAGTCTTGAGTTGATCGAACTCTCCGTACGTATTCGCATTCCCCGTGATTTCCAGAAGATGAGGCTTCGATCCAGCACGACCTCCGGACTTGCAAACCAGTGTGTGATTTCACTTAGCCTTGCGGTGGAGCTTGGATCGATGATGGCCTTTCCTTTGTACCGCCTGGGCTGATTGTTCTTGATATAAGCGATTCCATCGACAAGGACTGGTTTGCTTCTTTGCATGAAGAGATCAGCAACAAGTCTGCCACGTTCGATATGTTTCACACGGGTCCCTTTGTCGCCGTGATAGATCAGAGGGTACGCTTCCAGCTGCGATACCTCCTTGTCTCCTTCGAACTTGCGCACATACGTGTGAGATGTAGACCGGCCAACATTATCACCGTCGCTACACATGCACCAGCTCGAAACAGCATACGCGCGTTCCATCGCATTTTCGTTGTTTTCTGGCACAACAGAAGGTCGTGATCCATATACCACGCTTGTAAGCTCGACCGATCCGGCGGGAGAGCCATCTTTTTCTGGAATATGCGTCCAGATTTCGGTGCCGGGCTTGTAGATCAACCAGAGATTCTCGTAGGAGATCACTGGAGTTGCCAATTCAAGTTTCTTTTGAGCAGGCCTGATCTTCGACTCCATGGTAGGCTGGAGGTAATCCAGAAGGATCTTGACATGGCGCTTTGTCTCGTCGCAACACAAAGACCGATGGCCATGAACGCGACATTCTACGCCGTTCAGATCCTCACACGGTTGTCTAAGGGTCTCAAATTGGTCATGATGATGAACGAGGCACTCGTACGGCTCGAAGATTGTGACAGTATCTCCGGTTAGGGCCTGGAAGGGATAGTAATGAATGAGTCGTCTAATGGCGTTGAGCAGTTTTGCGGAGTAGATGACTATCCTGAGCGTGCCCACCTCCGTAACCTCGAACTTCTGGAGGAAGTCTGAAATCGCTGGAGGATTCTCATCGTCATCGATATTGTCGTCATCCCAACCAGCTTTCTGGGATCCCGCCGGCGCTGATATCGTTACGGACTTTGCGGGCTTGGATTTGCGCGCTCTGGTGCCGATGAGTGTGATGACTTCCATCACCTCCGGGTACTTGGCCGTTTGCGTAGTTGTTGAGGACACTTGGGCGGCCTTTAGAACGGCAAGTGAGTCTATCGGAATTGATTTCAGGATATCGGTCTTGGGGTGGTACCACTCAGCCTTGTACGAAACTTCGCGGCGAAGCGTGTCGGTCGCACCGAGTATCTCTTCTGTGGCTGTCGAGGCATCAACGGCTGCAGACTTGCTTGCAAGTGATATGGCGTCGCCGGCATCTGAGGATGTTTCTGCCTCTACTGTGCCATTGGACGGTACTGAGGCAGAGGTTTCGGCCGTGACAACTTCTGTGAGCGCAAGCTTCACGTCTGTATCCGTGGGCTCATGCATCGCATCTGGCGACGAGATGTGCGCCACTTCTTGTGCCATAGTTTGACTATTATGTGGTTGTTTCTTGTTAGATGCAGCGTGAATGTGGAAGCTGAAGTTGGCGTATTTGCATCGTCGATGGGACGTCACGCCTTTTGTTTCCGTCACCATTACTGGGTGGGAGGCTGAAAGATCTATCTCTTGCTGCATTCTTGCCATGGTGTGCCGCTAATGCATGGCCGTGCTAGGCGAGGCAGCGCCCTGGTCCAGCCTGGAGAACAAGCGCTGCGAAGCTTGTCCATAACCCGACGAAAAAACTGCACACGATTGCACGAGTACGTCGCAGATTTAGGCGGACACAGTCCAGTGTCATCTCGATACGCACTTCAGATATTGATCTTCTTGTAAAGGGTCGTGCATGGTATCGGTGAGGCAAGACGTGCGTTAAAAGCACGTAGCGATCTGTTGTTAGCCCCCACGTCTTAGTCTTGCAAGCTGATACGCTGCCGAGGTCGCCCTTTGACGCTTATGCAAGCCGGTGCGAGGGGGCCTCTTGCTCACCGGTCGTGCCGTGCCGCCCCAAAGTTTGAATTGATTTGCTGTCCCGAATGTCCTGGCTGCACATTGGGCGGAAGTCAGCTTGACTTCGTGATTGCGATCAGCTTCGTATGCGACATGCATGCTGCCTAACTGATCGATAACGCCGGCACATGGCTTTTTGCTGCCGCCACCCAGCCTGACGTATTCAGCGTTGGGAGAATAGTTGAGCGAAGTTCTGCGCCGTGCCGGCTGGTGCCACCACTTTCACAACTGTCGAGACTGAAAAGCCATGGACAACGGGGCGGAAAATGGGAGAGCGCTCAAGAAGCGCTTCGAGAAAGCTATCACGACATTCACCAAGATCGCCCAGGCTCAGACGCCCCAAGAGAACTTGACGCGCGCCCTGGTGCTGGCCGACGATCTCGATGAGCATGCTCGCAACGCGACATCGAGTCTGTCGCGGAGGTGGCAGAATCTCTGCAGGGGACAAGTATTGGCCGCCGACTCTGACCAGACTAGCCAGAGCCCACCTGCAGTCGAGGATCTGGATGATGTCGCACGCCGAGTCATGCAAGCATGGCGTAAATTCGCTCGCTCTTTGCCCAAGGAGCAGTCTGCTGAGCTTGAGAACAAGCCACCCGACTTGCGATTCCTCCAGCAAGCTGTCCAAGACGCGAACGCATCTTTCGAGACGAAACGCGAAGGAACCGGCATTAAGCAAGGCTTCCAGAGAGTCTGCAATGCTTTCGGTAACTATCAACACCTGGCGGGCATCCTCCCGGATGGAGATATGTATCTCTGCCTCATTTCGGGCGGCTTCGGAGCCATGATCAAGGTAAGAGTCAACCGTGCGAGACTGTTACTGACTTGAGCAGGCCAGCGTCAACCATGCGAACATCGCAGAGTCCGTGTCGAAAGCCCTGGTCGAAATATCCGAGGACATGTCGTTCTGCGGCCGACTGATCATTCAACATCCCGTCAACGAGACCATGCGATCGTACATCCGACAATTGTATGCGCTGATCTTCGAATGCTTCACCGATATATTCACAGAGTGGCATCGATCTAGTTGGAGCAGAATCCGACACTCTTTCAATCCGGATGCCTTAGCTAGGATCGTGGATCGCCCTTGTCGAGACATGAGAGTTCGACTCGAATGGCTGCAGCGAGAAGCACAACTCGAAAACACCAGCGAAATGAGGCAGACATACCAGTCTGTGATCGATCTGCATCAGACTCACATTGCTATGGCCGGCGAAGTGTCACGGCTGACCACTTTCAACGAGAATATGGAGCGACACTTCTTCAGTATGTCTCAACAGCAAATCGCGCTCGTCCGGACCGGTAAACAAATGCAGCAGACCCTGCGGGCGGGTTTTCTTCGCATCGAGTCTGACCGGCTGCACATTACCGAGCTTGAAGGCTCCTCGCGTGAGAGCTCGGGAAGCAGAGAGTTCCCTGCCATCCCGGCCGAAGTTGAAATGAGATACAGTAAGGCCGATCTCCAGCAGGCGATCCGCGTCTACTCCGAGCCGCTCGCGACGGTGAGCCCTCCGATGCCGGTGCTGTCGACTTCCGACCTCTCAATTGACACCGACGTGCTCTTAGCTTTGCAAAGGTGGACTACCAGAAAGCCTCGAGCTTTGTATGGATTGAAGGACCTGCAGATGTCGAAGAACCGTCCGTCAACACCCTGACGAGTGTATCGTTGGTCGGGATCGCCCAGAAGAGTGCTATTCCGTACGTCGCATACTTCGCCGAACCAGTCAAGGCGCCAGATGAGGTCGAAAGGGCCAAGCGTGCCTCGAAGACTGTCGCGGCGCTGGTCACAACTTTGATCTGGCAGATCGTGAATGCTCTACCGGAGGATATCGAAGTCGGTGGAAATTTCTCCCAGAAACGATTCGCGTGCTTGGCCGGCCATAATAACGTTGCTGCGGTGAAGCTTCTCGGAGAGTTGCTACAGGTATTCCCTCTGCCACTGATTTGTGTCTTGGATGGATTGCAGCACTTAGATCGTGGTAAAGAAGCAACGAGGGCGCTGCGGAAGTTGGTGGAAGTATTGTGCACAGCTAGATCAGCTGATGGCGTCGTCAGGAGGGTTTGCTGCACCACCAATGGCTTCTCGAGTGTATTGGGTCGTCAAGAGAGACCGCTCAACCGCGTCACCTACGATGTTGAGCGCCATGCTGGCGACACGGGTCTGGAAGTGCTCAGCGTAGCCATTTAGAGAGACTGCCTGACCTCGGACGGTGTAAATGTCAGAACATGTAATGAAAGAGACGATGCGGGAGCCGCCGGTCTACTCGCCTGCAGAGTGATGACGGTGCACCCCGCGCCTCATCCTGACGCGTTCATGAGTCTGCAGCAACAAGCAGGTCTGCGCTGAAGCACTCTGACGATAGCGATGTGCGCCTTCGCGCGTCAGAAGGGCGTCGATTGGGCTGTCGATGGTATCCAAAGCGCGTCAGAGCTCTGATGATATGTTTGTGGCCGGGTTCGCCAAGCCCGACAAACTCAAAGCCAACTCCGGATCCCGGAAGCCGCGTACTCCAACGCCATGCGTCTGCAAAACAGTCCGAGACCGATTTTTGGCCTGCATGCCGACAAGTGTACGATAGCGCGGCATGAGTTGTCATAATAGAATTATTCTGCCTATGACCTAGAAAATGGGGCAACGGTGTAACCGTTGTATTAGGACAGGCTCCTTAAACTTATATTGGTAGTCGAGCCCATATCGTAGCGTGCCAAATCAGCTCTCGGCCGCAAGCCTCGCCGTCTCTCATAAGCCATGGCCTAGCCAAATGGGCCGACCTCTCACATTCCACAAATAACACCAAGATCGTCAACCTGGAACCTTCCAAAAAACCTCACAGGTCCACTCAACGCAGCCAGCACCTGTTCAGTGACCTCGCCCGGTCCACCCATGTAGACTCCCAACGTGCCATTCGCAGCACTGCTGCCCATCCCACCCACAAACTCATTTCCAGCCATCCCGACTACACCCACCGCATCTGTCAGGTTGCCACTGCCGCCGAACACGCCGACTGCCTTCCCATGCCCGTACGCTTGCTTGATAAACTCCATCGCATCGCCAGCCAATCCCACTCCAGTCGCATTGATCGACGACCCAACAAATACAGCATCATAGAACACACTGCTGGCGGTTATATAGCTTGCCGTCGCATTCACACCCGTCGCCAACATACCAATCCTCGGCCCAACAATTGCCAGACTGACCTGCTGCGCTTCCAGCAGGGGCATCATAGCACTGAGGTCCTCCTCAGAGAACATCGTATCATTCGCAACCACCGCAACAGTCAGCCCAGCATTGCTCTTGTTCTGCATGCTCTGCTCATTCAGCCGGTAGAGCGACGGATATGTTGCGCTTCCGTTGGTCGGACTCAGCGCCGGCATAGTCGCTCCAATACCATACGCCACACGACGCGCCAGACAATTGTCGATCGGATTTAGATAGCTGTCCACAAAAGTCTGCACCACCGTTTTGTTGGCGACATTGCCGAGTTCGAACACATATCCATCAACAGTATGCTGCTGCGCGTAGACGTCCATGGAATTCCAGAACTGTCGCGCTTGCAGATATTGAATGTCCACGTACGGCTGATAGCGGCCGGCAATGCCATCCACCGAGGGACTGCCGTAGGAGTAGCTAGCATTCGGAGACGCAGCAACGACACCGCCGATCGAGTTCGGTGTCGAGTCCGACTGACCGACGAAGATTCTGCATCGTTAGCTAGGCTAGACGCCAGCTGGAGCACTCACTGTGGCTGCATGTATCCATTGCGATAATTGTTGTTGATCGGAACAATCGGCTTATTGATAGGCAAGAGATACCCGTTCGGAGAGTTGTGCCGATGAGTGCTCGTGCTGCGACAGTCAGCTTTTCCCTACAAGAAGGCGCCACATACTCATCATATGACATCAACCGCCACTGCAACAGAGGATCCGGCACGAAAGTGAAGCCATCAACCACATTCGACGGAGCAAAACTAATGGCCTCCGGCTCTGCGAAGAAGTTTTGATAATTCCTGTTCAGAGTGAGCTTGCCTAACTTCACCGGCTCGACTACCTCAAATGGAACAATCACAGTCGGAGTGAGCAAGTCGTATCCCTGGTACATGTAAGACCCGTCATCGGGGAACATTTGGACTGCAAATTCCCACTCCGGGTAGTTGCCGGCCTCGATGTTATTGTAGAGGTCAATACGCGGGAAGTTGCCATTCTTCCCAACGAGGATCTGCGCTTCGTCGTACACGAGGGATCGCAGGCCAAGTACCGGCAGCCAAAACCACTTGACCAGAGTGCTTTGACCTGTCGATGTGATGAACCGGAATGTGTGAACACCATTGCCTTGGATATGTCGGACATCGCGCGGGATCCCCAGATCACTCAGCACATTTGTCAGCTGAAACGCGCTCTCTGGATGCTGCGTGAAGAAATCGTATGCTGTGGTATGTGCTGTACCGCCAGTCGGAAAGCCTGTGTTTGGTTCGGCCTTAACGGCGTGAATGAGATCCGGGAACTGAGCGCCGTCGTTTATGAAAAAGGAAGACAGATGATTGCCCTAGACATGTTAGAAGAATCAGCTCGGGAAGACCTCCTTACCACAAGATCCTGGTTCCCACACTCGCTGTATATCTTCGTAGCAAACCCATGCGTATCACGATTGCTCTGACTCCCGCCGACGCTGGCAACTACCACAGAGAACCTTGTGAAGACCTCACTCACGGCACCTGCGTGGAGCCAGCATGCAGATGTGAGATTTGACCAATCTCCATAGCTTTCGAACTGTCCGTATGCCCCGGTACCGAGTGCGTGGACAACGCGTTCTGGCACTCGCTCACGATCGAAATGGATGATTTTCTTGCGTACCGCGGTATCTTCGAGTAGGTTGAGTCCACGTGGACCGGCTCGGAGAGAGGCTGATGTGTTAACGAGGACTCCAACGCTGTCAGTCTCGATCTGTCCGTTCGTGTCGACGGTCGCTTGCTCGAGTTGCGAGAGCTGCAATGATCAGACACGAGACTCTTGATCGGCGAGACCCACCTTCGTATCAGATGTATTTTGGGCTGTGACAATGGCCAGAGCGCCCACGACTGCAAGTACGAGCTTCATCTTGGAAGTTGCTGCACTCCAGCAGTCTCGTCGTACGTTGACGACGCATTATATGTCGCCGCATTACCTGCACCACGACAGCTCCATCACGACTCCGATGGTTTTCATTCTTCAATCCATTCGCGTAATCAAGCATCAATAGGTGGGCCAAATCCACGTTGGTGGATTGCTGCAACTGACAGGGGCCTTCGTTACTGCGATCATTGGACGAGGAGCCCTTCCTGAGCCGGTTTGGGCATTTGCTGCTCAAGGCGTTCACTATGAACCATCACATCATCCAGCCTCGGGGATCACCCAAGCAATCGATCGAACTCTCTGTGCTCTGGAGCCACTCGTGCCAGGCTGCGTCCGGTGTCTCCATAGCCGGGAAAAGCAGCTAGGATGATCGCGCAGGCGCAACGTGTGAACGGCGGCAGCTGTGGCGCAGCTCCGACCAAGCCTGACGTCTAGAACGCAGTGGGAGTCGTGAGACGCGTCAGATTCCTTGCGCCGCCTGGGTTTGATGTCGAGGTGTATAGCGGAGGACCCGATTGATGAAGGAAAGAGGCGTTGATGAAGAAGTCAAATTTGACAAGTTCTCGCCAAGAGATTATGGAATCGCACCCAGTCGTGAGGTTCAAGTCGTGACTAATGTTACTGTACCTGTCCGCCCGCTCGATTCCAGGCTCGCTTTGTCAGCTCAGAGATCGTCGAAATATCCAGCTCCGGCGTACGCTGTGGGCTCAGGTCATGTCTATTGTTTACAAGATCATGCATGTTCGTCGGTGGCAGTGACGGACTTGTCAATTCCTACGTCATCGGTTTGGCGATGCGGCTGCCGGCCATATCCTTAAGGTAGGTATATCATCTTTGAAAACTCCAGTCGTTCAGATGGCTCGCAGAAGACTGGCGGCAGAGGGCCTAGTCCGGAATGTCGCGAGAACAGAAGACAACATGTTCGCAGTGGCCTGCCGATTCGTAATGGGGCCCGCCTTGGTGGGATGGGATCCAGTGCGGAGATTTGCTGGGAATCTAAACATCCCCTGAACCTGCCAGTCTATGTATCAGTAAGTACAAAGGATGCCATAGTTGACCACGTGCAGCCGTCCCTCCCAAAGACCCGTTGTGACAAAGCTCATGGCCTTCTCAACCATGCTGCCGATCTCTACCGCCGAATCCCCAACTACGCGTCGAAGCTTAGGAAAGCTTAAGCCCGATTGTGATCAGCCATTGAAAGCTTAGGCATGAGAACGCAAGCGGCGTCGAACAAACAGCGAATAGGAAACAGAACGGAAGCCGTGGCTTTTCTCCTGACAGCTGGAAAAGGCACGGCCCAGTGTCGATCTCTTCCCAACTTGGTCTTGTCGAGGTCTGTGAAGGCAACCTTTGACGAGCCAGGCACGGAGGCACGAAGTTTAGGCATTGAATGACGAAGTACTTGTTATCACTGTACATGCCGGCAGCTCTAAGCGCACGAGATGTAGCCATATCGCCTTCCACTGATATATGCCAGCGGAGGCGTCAGTCATCTCGCGGCCCTCCTTCAACAATCTGCCAGGCAGCGAAGCCAGCTCACCAGCAATGGCTACATCGACGATACCGTCTATCGCGATAGACACAGTGGCTCCTCACAAGGAGTACTGTGGTGGTCTCCGTGGGCCGTACAGCAACTATTTGCTGCCACTGGATCGGCCCAAAGCGCTACGAGCGCCAACGTTCGGTCAGATTGATGATCTTATCGAGGAAATGCAGTGCTTCTGGCCATATACTTATTCCACGTCCACAACCGATCTCTCGCGAACGGAGACCGACAGCTTCCTGAGAGAGCCTCGACCACTTTTCGTCCACAAAGCATCAGCGAACAGTCACTACTCAGAGGACGACGCGTCAGAACCATCGTCGCCGCTTTCAGACTCGGACGGCAGTACATGGCCTCCCGTCACTCCGGCTTCCTTGGAGTCAAGTCCGTCACTGTGGACAGAGCCAAGCTCGCCGCCAGCGTATACAATACCGAAGCGAAAGTACCAAAGAGCTTCTCAAAAGACCGTTATTGAGCCCGAGTCACTGAAGCCATCGTCGGCGTTCGATTTCTCTCGAAGAGACGTGATTTCGGAGATGCTCGACCAGCTGCCAGCTATCGTCTATCGAAAGCCGATCCCCAGCATGCCTGACGGTGATGATGATGTGGTCTTCCAGCAGCATCCGGCAGTGCGCCCGATGAGCAGACACTCGTCGCTCAGAATGCCAAACAAGGCGGCGGATGCTCCCAGGCGGTCCCTGTCCGTTCGGCTGAAGGTGAACATCCGGAGGCCACGAGCCAGCTCGCAGAAGATGTGAACAGGCTGCGAAGTGCTCGGCAACGCGTATCGATTGTCTGTGCCTCTGTCATCGGGGTGGTCCGTGTCTCTATCACGCGAACATCACAAAAGGCGACCTTTGTCTGCATTCGGTCCATCCACAGCCACTTTGAATGATCGATCACTGATTCAGATCGGACTTGTGAGAGGAAAGTGGAGGCATGGAAGCTCTTCAAGCTCCACGCGACTGCGTGAGGTGTCAGTCCATCCTTCTGTCGCTGTATCGTTGTCAGAACGTACCTATTCTGCATGCGACGTCCATTATCTCCTGACGTCAGACCATCATCGCCGCTGAACATACGCACGCCGATTCGCGATGCCACACGTCAACTTCAGCGTCTGATTCTCGATCATCATGCGTTCCAATCGTCGCTTCAACATCTCGTTCTCGCCACCCAGACTCGTCGACTTCTGGGCGAGCTCACCGATCTTGGTCTCCAGGTCGGTGACCAGCTTTCGTTGCCGATCACGATAAGCTTGCTGTCTGTACTTGTCGTCAGATTTAGAACTGAGGCAGATGATTGACCTACGATGCGCGATTCTGCTCTCTCCGCTTCGCCCTCCGCTCCGTTGGCTCAACCTTTGACTTACGACCACCTGTGGCGGGACTCTCAGGCGGATCGCTTTCCGAATAACTTGAATCAGTACTGGAGTTTCTGGACAGATGGGGCGGCAACGCTTGAGCATGTGGTGCCATGTCTATCGAGGTGTCAAAAATGTGATCGTCAAAGCCGTGTGTAAACATCGAGAACGCTTCCTCATCGAGCGGGTCAAGGTGATGCGCAGGGTCGAGGACGAGATCGCTTTGGTCGGCAAGTAGATCCGTCATATAAGAAGCAGTTGAGGCATGCCAGTACCGAGCATCCTCCAACATTGTTAGATCTGGGTCCTGGCTGGAACTGGCCATCTGGATTTTTCGTGTGGATCGGTTTTGGTGAGATGGTCTGTTGGGATCGCATCCAAGATCAACCGTTCTGCGTGTATCTTATAGCGCCTTGCATCTATCATGTCAACAGAAGCTTCGTCATATATACTACGGCCGTCTTCGTGCTCCTCTGTTGCCCTGTATTTGCCAATATTAGTCAATTCATCAGTCATACCTCTTGGCGAGCCTACATGTGCGAATCTCGATTGATATCTGTTATTCATGCCTCTCAACGATGCCCGCATTCCGCGGCCCGTGATCTCATACAAGCATCGTAGTATGTATAGCCTGTACAAACTCCTTTCGGTGACTTTTTGAGGCGCTCTTGTCCTATTGGGCAGTTAAGAAATGCCAAGCGCGGAGGGATGCTTGCGAATATCAGATTCGAACGAATCAGACGCCTGCGTTTAGAATCAGACCGAAATCGAGGAAACAGGCAGCCTAAGATCTCTTTAGTCATATTTCGGTGCCTCGTTTGAGGAGTACGCCTGCCCATTTCTGACAAGGTTTGGACGCCTTCTGCTGCCTGCTAGGGAAGTCTTCGAGAACGACAAGGTCCCGCCACGGCTGGTACTGCTCCAATGCAGAGAGACATTCTCCGCTAAAGACATTCTCTACACCGACCAACGGACCAGGGGGTTGGTCATTGCGTAGTTAGCGAGCAAGTACCATCGTTGCGTGATGCTGCTTTCAGAAGTTCTCCCGAGCTTTGTTGTCAAGCTTCAACTGGGCACTTGTCACCAGAGATGACTCGATTTGGGCTGTGCTTCATTCTTGGCCCATGAGCCAAGCAGATATCACCCGTGTTTAAAGTCAAGCAGATCCCGACCATCAATCGATCATCATAAGTCGACTTGATCTCAGAAGCTCTCCGTCGGCGAATGTCTACAGTTACCAAGGAAGTGCTGAATGACTGAGCACCCTGCGAAAAACGTGGTTGGCTCATCAAGCCTCACGTCCAGACGAATGTCGCCGTTTGCAGATCATAGATCGAAATAGTTCACTGCATGTTGTCGAAATGTGCTCCCGGCAGCTACTCGAAACAGCCAGGAACCCGACATGCTTGCTGCAGATACGAGACGCTTGATAGTTCGCTACTCGCGATGATCTGCGCCACAATACGTTGACTAGGATGGGCATCTGTACTATGCCGGATTTGGGCAGTGCAAATGGCGGCAGATCTATTGCACCACGTTTCAATCCCCGCTGCTCTGTGATCCGGGTCCAAAAATCAGATCTACTGCCTTGTTTAGTCACCATGTACCGCTACCAATTGCTTGTTGTCATACGTGCCGTAGTGACATACGGCATGTGCAACCGCCAATCGTGCGAGTTTCGCTCCAATATTTGCTCAGACCTTCCATCTGCCTTGGGCATGACACTTGCCTTGCTGACTTCGTTTAGCTAAGCCAACAGGGGACAATGCGCCGTCGATCATATGCTGACTCAAGTCGTTTCTCGCGTGGCATGGCCATTAGCTAAGACATCGTCGTGCATGAGAAAGCCCTCTGCCAAGGCTAGGGATAGTTGAAAGAACACCTGTGCCATCACTGTTGAGCTTGTCTGTCGTCATTGTAGAATCGTCTCGTTGGCGCGGTTGTTGCGTTCTGAGGTCGTACTCCAGGAGGCCCACACGAGTTCGCCCGAGGTCAGCGCATCGAAAATCAGATACCTCCGCGGCGATCGGACGACGGCGAGGCCGATGTTTGCCGCATTCAACACATCGTCGAACTATGCACTCGCTTCTGCATCCTCCCTCGCATTCTGCGTGTCCCGTCTGAACACACATCCCCCCTCAAACCAAGTCTGCATCACCCTCGCTCCCTCGAACTCACCCTTTGCTAGATCCTTACTCACCACAACAAAGTTCGCCCACTTTCCGACCTCAATGCTACCCACGAAGGCCTCCCTGCCCACAGCCTCTGCACCACTCAATGTCAGCATCCTCAGTATCAACCCGGCAGCCTCCCTCTTCCTCTCCTGCTCGCTCTCCGCTCGAACCATCTTGCTCTTCAACACACTCTCCATGACCGTCATACAGGGTCCAAAGAGGTCCGCATCGGGTTGATCGTACAGATCGGTGCCGATCGTGACATGCGCACCGACATCGAGCATGTTGGCAAAGTTCCAGTCGGCGAGGCCATCCGGAATGGCGATATTCTGGACAGCGAAGAGATTGGCTGGCGACATCTCGGCGGTAACGTCGAGCCGGCGGAAACGAGAACGGTCATCTGCTTTGTCAGCTCGCACTCAGTGCCATAGGGAGAGTGTCACTCACCATCACGAACAGCATTGCAGTGTGCAACTTCATGTCGTGGTCCGTTCGGATTCTCCCTCCTCAACTGTTCGTACCGGTCGAGGCAAAATCGAACGCTCCCCACGCCAGTCGCATGCGACTTGATCGTCATACCCTTTCGATCCAGAGGTCTCGCTAACTCCAGAAAGTCCGGCGCAAGGATTTTGCACTTGACAACCTCTCCGTCGCTTGTCAACCCCGCCTGCGTCATGATGGGCGAAATCGGAACGCCGTCCAGTATAAATTTCGCAAAATTCGTAGCGACATGCGGCGTCCGGTATGTCTCGGCCTTCTCGAGTGTATCTGCGATAATGTCCTCCTGCTCGCCGTGCAACCACGTAGGCCGGACCGCGATATGTGCTGCGACGTTCATCTTCAGCAGAGCAGCATTGTCCAGCTGCTGTAACGCAATCAATTCCGTCTTAGATGCAGAGGCCTCCTGCACGCTCGTCACTCCACATTCATGCAGCTTTCGTACTGATGTCATGACCGCACGCTTGACATGCTCCGGATCCGGTCTCGGCATGCTAAAGAACACCTTCTCTTGTGCGTTCTCTGCCACTTCGCCTGTAAGTGTTCCGTCCGGACGACGCATGTATAGGTGCGCAGATTGATCTGGCTCGTTCTCATCGTAGCCAGCTTTCTTCATTGCAGCGGTGTTCATTAGCATAGAGTGACCGACTGCACCGCGAACGGCGACGGGCGTGTCGGGGTAGATTTTGTCCAGATGTTCACGGTCAAATTCCTCGATTGCAAGCGTGTCTCCCACTATCCAGTCTCCATAGGCCCCTGTACAGTGACAACTACAAGACTTCAGCTTTTCTGGCAGATCGTGACTCGTGACGCCCATTCCCAGAGACCGACTTGAGAGACTGATCATCCCGGCCCAGAGCAGGTGTACGTGCGCGTCGTGTATGCCTGGCATCACAAAGGCTCCATCTAGGTTGTATGTTGCCAAACCATCACGTTGAGCGATTGCCAGAACTTCCGCATCGCTTCCGATTGTGAGAAAGGAGCCATCTTCTCCAACGATGAATGCCTCCGCATGCGGCTGGCTACTGGACACGGTGTAGACGTTGCCGGAATGGTATGCGACGGCTTTTGGTGGCATTCTGAGGGTGTGCTATGTTGCAGCTCCAGGTCGATTGGTGATAAAGACGAATTTGGTCTCTGCCAGGCAAGCATCAGCGATTTTCCAGAGGGTATATATGCTCTGAGTCTCGGGGACCAGGCCGCCGAGACGACACTCAGCCGCAACCATCTTTATGAGCATCGCAACGACATGTTGTGAGTTGCCTATTCCGGACACTTTGGAGGACAAGATCTCGAATCGCTTGGTCAAGATTACACGCTGTAGAACACCGGATCTTAGCGGTGTCGACCACCATAAGCTGTACCCAAAATGCGAGAGCTTATGTGATATCGTGTCCGCTCTGCCTGTTCGGCGCGCTCCATAGCTCTTGTGAGGTTCATCGCACAGGATTGAAATGAGTCTGCTTCCGCAGCGAACGAGCGGCATCAATGAGCCGACCGTTCCTTGAGGCCAAGAGACGCTTGAGCAGGTGCGGCGTCGTCACCAACGCGCCAGTGCATACTCCAGCAGGAGCGCAGCGGCGCCTACCTCGAGAGCTCAGGGCTCAATCAACTCATCCGACTTGATGTCCGAAAGGCAGTGCGAAGAGAGCCCCGAAGCAGAGCCATCGTAATATCCAACTGATTGCCTGCAGCAGCCCAGAGATCGACCTGATCCGACGCCAAGAGCCCCGCGCCCGGTACCCGACGAACAATTCTTTCGAATGCTGCTGACACACTTATACGAGGCATTCATTTTCTGATGAGACTCATGTCAGGAGCCAAGTTGTGATTGTGCTTGCACGCGGGCGGTAGACCCGAAGCGAGCGACGGGAGAGTTGCGCGTTTCGGCCGCTGGTGGGAAAGTGCAGCCCCGGAAATAAGGCAGGACTTACAGGTGGGTCACGTTGATTGCCCATACGGAAGCGCCAATCGCCTTTCTTGAAATAGTTCCAAACATCGTGGTCGCCGATAGAATGGACACCAACCGGATGGATTGCCTACCGATGTTGCGAGGTGTAGTTGCGTCGCGAAAGTACTTGAGGTCTCTTCCTCCCTCATGACGCCTGGCAAATTTCGGGGTTCACACGTACTCTCTGTCGTTGACGCACGCTGCGAGTCAACATGACGCGCACAGTCCTGCTCACCGGCTGCTCAGACGGCAGTCTAGGGTCCGCCCTGGCGCTGGCCTTCCACAAAGCTGGGCTGAAAGTGTATGCGACAGCACGGAATCCCCAGAAGCTGACGAAGATGGAAGAGGCCGGAATCGAGACCAAAATACTCGACGTTCTGGACAGCGCCTCGATCGCCGCCTGTGTCTCGGCGATACCGCAACTCGACATCCTCTTCAACAACGCTGGCGGCGGCTACTCAACTCCATATGCGGACATAGACATCGCCAAAGCCAAGGAACTCTTCGATCTGAACACCTGGTCGTACGTCGCAGTGACGCAAGCATTCTTACCGCTCCTGCTCGAATCGAAAGGTATAGTCGTTAATAACACGTCCGTCGTCTCTGCAGGCAATATGCCATTTGGCTCGGCTTATAACGCTTCGAAGGCGGCAACAGCAATGTTCAGCGACACTGCTCGTCTTGAACTCGAGCCTTTCGGCGTCCGCGTAATCGATCTCAAAACCGCATCCACAGCGTCGAATTTCGCACAAACCCATATGGCGCCAGCCAAGGTCAAAGAGAGCTCAATTTACTATCCAGCGAGAGTCCCGGTCGAGAAGGCGATGCGATCTGTAGCTGACGACACTCACCTTCTTGGTGCCGCAGACAAATATGCCGAGCAGGTCGTCAAAGGAGTGATGAAGCCCGCCCCGAGCAAGACGCTGTGGCTAGGGAAGGGCGCTTCTGTTGTGCATATAATGCAACACTTGCCTTGGTGGGCCACCGATTATGTTTGGCGGCAGATCGCGCAGATGAGCCTCGTCAGGCGCGACCTTGCTGGGAAGCAGAAGTAGAGCTGAGGTTTGCTAGACATCCAAGGTACTGTGGCCGAACAAATGATCAGGACGCCATAGGATCGAAAACCGCCGTATGGATCAAGTCATCGCGCAGACCGTTACCCGATGCGCCTTCGGTAGCCCGCTTATGAACAAATCGCAAATGCATAAAGATTCGCGCCATTCCAAGTTCTGCCCCACGTTTTCCTTCCACACGATCTGGACTCCAAGGTGGGATCGGGAACTGTCCCACAAAGCTGAATGTGGGGAGAAACCTGCAAAGCCAATGGGGACAAAGGGAATGCCGAATTCGGTAAGCTTCACGGCTCCAGCTTTCCAGTGCATGAAGTGGGTGTTATCCGATGACGCGGGGCAGCGACGGTAAATATGTAGGAGAACGCGCTCTGCCTGGCACTTACGTCGCTGCTCGATTCGCTACTCAATACATCCAAAATGGTCGTCATCGGTCAAGAGTCAGACAAGTCGCTCGTCGCAGTCGCGCTCGTCTTCATCAAGGCAAACTTCGTGTTTGCACTCTTCGGTGCTGTAATCGTTCGCGCTCTACTGAAGAAGTATGCATCACCTCTCAAACACATTCCCGGACCGGCACTTGCTCGATCTCGCGCTTCTGGAAAGTCTGGAGCACATACAATGGTCACACCGAGCTAGACCATATCGCGCTCCACCAGAAATACGGCCCAGTCGTACGAACAGCGCCCAACGAAGTCTCCTTCGCATCACCGAATGCAGCCAAAGATATCTTCGCCGTGGGCAAGGGCTTCCACAAGACATGGTTTTATTCAGTGTTCCCACCCAAACACGCGCCAGATATCTTCACTGAAGTCCGAGAATGGAAGCATGCTCAGATGAAGCGGTTTGCTGTGACGCCGTACTCGTTGGCGCAGATGTCGAAGCGGAACCCGCAGATTGAGGCCACGATAATGACATTGATGGGCAATTTGACAAAGTATGCAGGCGGGAAGCAGAATTGCAATCTCGGGAACCTGCTGCATTACTTTGCGTTCGATGTCCTCGGTGAGGTCGCGTTCTCGAGACGGTTCGGCTTTCTGGAGCAAGAAGTTGATGTCGAAGGGTCGATCAAGAATGTACGTATACCTCAGTCTGAGCCGGATGAGGCATCGATCTCCCGGTCCTTCTCGATTTATGTTCGGTCTTACTAACAAGTGCAATAGATAGACGATGTCCAGTCAGTAGTTCCATCTCCGAAACCCTTTGTCCAAGCATAGCAGAGACTGACCAGGCAAATCATAGGTGGTACGACGGAATCGTCGGACAGATACCAGAATTCGACATTTTGTTTCGCAACAATCCAATCCGTCCATACCTTCCGTTCTGGAAGCCAGAGCCCACAACGATGACTCGAATCGCAGTTGAGGAGCTCGAAAAGCGAAAGCAAGCCGATGGAACATATGACTCCACCGGCATCGATCTGTTGGCGGAGCTTCTTCGAAACCATGAGGGCAACAAGGACAAATTCAGTATCAACGACGTGTTTAGTATCGCTCATGGCGCAATGTAAGTCGGTCCTGCTTTGACTGTGACAACGCTGACAGCCATAGCTTCGCCGGATCAGATTCGACCGCCTCGACGATGCAGTCGTTCTTCTACTGCGTACTCAACAATCCCGCCGTGTACAAAAAGCTCCAGAAAGAGATTGACGACGCCCAAGCTGCCGGCGAGCTTTCCGAGATAATTCAATACCCGGAAGCGATGAAGCTGGAGTGGTTCCAAGCCTGTCTGAAGGAAGCTATGCGTATTCGCCCTGCCGTCGGTCTCGGGATCTACCGCGTGATTCCACCCGAGGGCGCCAAGATCGACGGACAATTCTATCCTGGCGGAACGGAAGTCGCAGTCAACGGCTGGGTACTGCACCGTGCGAAGGACGTGTTCGGAGAAGACGTCGAGACATATCGGCCGGAGAGGTGGTTTGAAGGTGATGCGAAACTGATGAACAGCCACATGTACCAATTCGGTGGTGGCAGCCATCTTTGTATTGGCCGGAATTTGGCGCTTTTCGAGATGAACAAGACTCTGATTCAAATATTGCGGGAGTTCGACATCAAGCTGGTTCATCCGGGGAGGCCACTCGAGTATCACTCGACTTTCTTCGTCGTTCAGGAAGGACTTGAAGTGTACCTTGAGAAGCGAGCCAGATAGTAACCAGTATGCAGAACATTGACATGTCCCACGCAGACCGTGCAACATACTGTAACAAGAAAGGCAAGGAAGCTGTGATCTAGCAGATCGCATACGAATCTAGGGAAACGATCTCCGGATCGGCGAGAAAGCTATCATTGACAGTATCCGAGCCGATCGTTTCGAGCGTACGGCTTTCGACATTCGACGTCGCAAGAAAGACTTGGATTGAATTCGCCGCAAGCATGGCCGACTTGCTGTTGGCGGAGAACAGCATGAAGACCTCCAATGCTTCATTCAAGGATTGCGACCGACTCTGCTCCGTGTTCAGGGCCGAGTTGTCAGTGTGACTGGACGACAACGTGACAATCGCATTCCAGAGAGGGATGAGAACCTCGGTCCACCCGTACAAGATGTCAGACGCTGTACAGGCGGCGTGCACTGAACTGATGAGCTTACGCGCATGGGCGTATACATCTATTGTGTGCTGCCCATTGGACCTGGCCCGGAGATTCTCATTGTTGCTCGTAGTGCTCAACCGTTCACTGGGCCGGCGACCAGTAATCAAATACATGTCGTGATAAGAGAGGTCAAGCAATATATCTTGCCTCTGTCGCCACCGCGGATCGTCGCGTTGATACGCTTGGTTTGTAGCTTGGTCTTCACGAATGCTTCTGCTCCTGTCGACATGTCTCCGCCATATCTCGAGCTTCTCAACAGCGGCAACAAAGCCACAGGGGTCTTCTCCCCGGGTTTGCCTCTGTTCACCGCAACCATATTTGGGCAGCAAGTCCGCTCCTTCTGTCGTAGATGTCAAGAGGCCAATCATCTCCATCAAGCGGAGAGTGTGGCTCGCCATTTGTCCGTCCTGAAGAATCTGAGGCTGTCGCGACCCAGAAGAAGCGGTCGGACCAGGGTCGCGCCTATGGCTTGAGGCATGTCGAGCTGAAGCGAGCATCGGACATCCATCGCGAAAGTCGTCGTCCAGAACAATCGCAGATCGTCTCTGCCACTTTCCTCCACATCCTGTAATCGATGCAGGCTTGACATATATGCCTTGCGGACGGCAATCCCGAGCAAGTTGTACGCGTCACGGACAGCGCCGCCACGAATGAGATAGAAGATCATGAGAGCAAGAGCTTGAGCACCTATCATGCCAAGATCTTCCGTGGCTCTGATATGATCTCGAGCCCGGTGCCAGTACTCGAAACCTGGCCAGTCCACTTCCAGCAGAGGATCTGCTTTGCTTTGAGCGGATGCCAACTTGCGAAGGCCCAACGTGCGATCGAAGAGACCGGTCGAAACGCAATGCTGAGTACCTAACGCGAGCATGGCATCGACGAGACAAGTTTCAGACGTGTACTCATCCAGGATTGTAGAAGCCGGGAGCTGGCTGAGCTCACGGAATCGGCGCTCGCTGAAAGTTGGGACAGAGGGATGACATGAGTCCCAAAAGACTTGTAGGTACAGCGTCCGTGCGAACTGTGGCAGCTCTGAGCACACGATGCTGTACTTGCCGGAAGGCAGAGCAGGATGTGGGAGCTGGCGAGGAAGGCTTTCATCTGGAGGAGGCGTATGTAGCTGCGTGGACACCATTCTCGCAAGGCCTTGCAGCTGTGGAGCGCGATCTATCGGTCCCGTAGTACTACAACCTCCTCCGGGCTCATAGGCTACAATTCGCGGTGATTGGCCGACACTTGTGATAGGCGTTGCGTGTTTCGGACTTCGTGTGTGGCGTTGATGCCCACTATATGAGGTACAATTTGTTCTAGCTCCCACACATTGATCGCAAGGCCTCCGCTCATTGCACCTGACACGCTGTATGCGACATCGATCGCAAGCGCGAGCAGTCTTGCCGCGCCATGATTTGGAGCTGGACGCGTCGTCCTTGAGCCTGATTCGGCGTTGCCTTGAGGCTTCAGCGACGGGATGTATTTCGAAAGCTTGCGATCGCGATGTGGCAGCAGAGAACTTGTGGAACATCTGATGCGTGAAACATGATGTCTGCTCTGCGTGCCTTGCGCAAAGAGGCTTCATAAATCAACGCGTCGTGGTTATCGTCATTTGATCATGACGTTGATCCGGAACAATAAGGTAGGCAGATATAGAGTTTCGGCACAATTTCGACTTCTCAATTCTTACAACATGCAGTTGCAAAACTTATCGATCGTTGCTTCCACAAGACGGTCACTATCTACTACAAAGCAACTTTTAGTCACTCCAACAAGTGTTAAACTATGCAATGTCCTCGCCTTTGCTCTTCTCCGCCTGATCTGTTCTCGCATATCTCGACCGTGCCCTAATGGCAGGGCCATATCGATAGAAAACGAAGGGCATTGGCATGAGAAGAATCGCAACGCCACCGACCAATGATCCTGCTCCTCCAACACCAAGAGCTCTGAACATAGATGGCGTGAATAGAGGCGAAGCCGCAGCACAAGCTGATCGCACAACAGTGTTCGCTGCCACGGCGGAAGCAGCGTATTCCAGGTAGGAGTCCACGATATAATTGATGAAAGTGACGAATATGAGGAGTATCGACATCGCAAGCACAGCTCCAGCAATGGTTGGTACGATCCAGTGGATCGAGTTGTACTCTGCTGTCCAGGAGAACCAGAAGATTGACACGGCGAAAAGAACACTCCCAACCATGGAGCCAGGCAGACGATCTTCGGGAACCGGCTCGCGGTAGGAGTCTTTCTTTGGATTGCGCTGAGTCTTGACAAATAGTGCGAGACCACCAATGCAGGCGCCGATGACAACACCGATCAGAGGCAGCCCTCCGACACCGGCATTCCAGCCACGCTTTTTTTGAAAGACGATCGGGTAGATTTCGAACAGCATGTAGAGTAATGTGTACACCACAGCATAGTACAGAGCGACAAACAAGTTGATCGGGTCGAATAGCAGGATCCAGGGTCTGGTAAGCGCTATGCTGAAGATGGTCTTGAAATATTGGTCGTCTGCGGAGGACTTGATGTGTTCTCTTCCTGCTTTTCGCAGCCGTCTGGCCTTGTCATGCAGGACCTTTGTCGCGAAGGTCTCCGGAAGCGTGAGGAGGAACACTTCTGTGGCGCCTGCCATCCACAATAAGACGTAAAATGTCCACCGCCATGTTTCCGTCAACTGCAAGAATCCACTGACAACAGGTCCAAGCGCTGGTCCCACAAAGGTCGCGACCGAGAACAATATCATTGCATTTCCTCGAGCAACAGGTCCCCATATGTCAGCAATAATGCCCGGCGCGTTCGTCAGAGCAGCGCTACAAGCTGTGCCGGTCAGAACTCGGCCGACTATGAGTCCACCGAAATTCGGTGTGAACGCGCAGAGAAAGCCGAAAGCGAGGTATAGTGTAAAGGCTCCAAGGGAGATCCAGCGGCGACCGAAGAACTCTGACAGCGGCGCCCAGAGCAACGGCCCTGCGCAGTATCCGAGCAGAAACATTGTGGTAACGAGGCCTGCTGCCTCCGTTGAAACGTGGAACTCTTTGCTGATGCCCGACAAAGCACCTGTGGGAGCTGACGATGCGAACGTGGCGTTCATGACGAGGGCAATGGAAACCGCGGTGATGTAGCATTTCCGGGCGAATGAGTAGTTCTTCGGGTTGCTGGGGTCGTTGGGACCAAAATCCAGGTATCCATTTTCATCACAGGAGAGATGCTCATCTGCCGGCATCTTCGAATCGACTTTGTTGCTTCTGGCAGAGATGAGTTTGGCGTGAGACGTGTGTGCAGAGCGAGCAGTCCTCTACCTGGCGCTAAAGGAACCAGGATTGATGGCGTGGTGAAAAGCCATGTCGAGCTCAACGGCATACTATATATCCCAGCATGATCCGTCTGTAGCGGCTGGAGTGACGTGACGACGTGTGCAATATGGCCATACCTGCCTCTTTTCCTTGATATGATAATGTTCGTGGTGATAAACAAGAACGTATGAATGAATGTCATCCGGAACCACGTCTCTAACCTGAAGGAGATGCACCCAAACCTTCATGTACATTACTCCTTCGGGACTCGTGCATACCGGATTCGGCCAAGGCACAGCTCCATTCGGCCATTTCATCGTACGTAGTCTGAGTATTCGGATGCCTCGACTTATCGCTGTATCTAAGATATGTTCCGATATTCGTCCTGGTCATTCTTCTGCACTTGTCAGCAAGTACTACCTGTATGACATCAGTCGAATCGCCAATCCACAGATATAAGATGTTCTCTCTGCGTGCTCTATGCCGGAGTTGTCTCGCAAGTACAAGACAGATATACATTCCATCCAGCATCTCACAGAAGACCATGCCAAACTCACTCGTACCTCTCAGCTTCGGCGAAGCAACCCACAAGCGGCGGACATACCGCGACCTCGAGAACCGGAGCACCGTCGCGGACAAGACCATCATCTCGCTCGCTGAAGCAGCCATTGTCGACGTCCCATCTGCATTTAACAATCAAGCAGCACGCTTGACCATCCTCTTCGACAATGACCACAAGAAGTTATGGTCAATCACAGCTAATGCCCTCCTCGCCAAGATCGGGGAAGAGAGGTGGAACAGCGGAACGAAAGATAGAATTGCAGGCTTCGCAGGCGCGTATGGTACGATCTTGTTCTGGGACGATCTGGAAGTCGCGGAGAAGATGCGAAACAGCGCTCCGGACATCTATAAGGACAAAACAGACGAATGGATACATCAGAGTAATGGGATGCATCAATACTACCTGTGGACCGCACTGGAGGCTTTGGGTATGGGAGCAAACCTGCAACATTACAATCCTCTGATTGATGATGAAGTGCGCAAGACGTGGCGGGTTCCCGAGACGTGGAACTTGAGGGCGCAGATGGTATTTGGTGCGTTAAAGGCTGGAAGTGACCCTGGTGAGAAGGAGCAGAAGGTGCCGCTGTGCCAGAGAGTACAGCATTTTGGAGCAAAGATCTGAGATGAAAGCAGCGAACTTCGGAGTAGCACAAGTCTGCGGAGCTCACGTTGAGGCTGTCCGTATGCGAGGCGTGTTGGGACAAGTTGGATATCTGATCGCTTGATGCGCAGTATCTCTGAATGTTCCCTGCGTCGCAGACATGCTGTTCAGTGAGCCTGTCGAAAAGAGCTGTATTTTCCGCAACTTCCAGAACTTCGCCGAATCTGCACGGACCACGGCACCGGAGAAACCTTCTTGCATCGAAGCGGAGCACGGATCTCACTCACCGACGGACGACCACCGGCCATCCGCTAAATTTGGCTGGTCTGCACAAAGATAGTACCTGACTAGTCCTCCTTCAAGCAATCTGATCCTTGCGGCAAAGATAAGGTTAGACCGAGATTTCAAAAGATTTGCGCTGTTTTCCACTTTTTCCAAGTTCCTTGGACCCCGTGCTCTGCGTGTTTTGCTGCATTGGGTTGTTTATCTTTGAGAAATCTCTGAAATCTGACACTAATCAAGCCTTCACTCTCCACAACTGTGGCACCGTTGCAACTTGAAGACGCGTTCGAGAATTCCATGCGCCTTTTGGCTGACTGACCGCCTTCACCTCGTCTCGAGCTCATCCCTTTTTATTTGAGCAGCTATCGACTTTCGTTCAAAGCAAACGCAGTTCTCTATCTACCACATAAACACAAGAATCCTCCATCAATCACACACGTCCCAACATTCACCCGCCACCCCTTCGCAACCCTTTCTACGCACCACACAAACAAATACCTCGCCATGTCTCTCCTCGCAATCACAAAGGCCACCGTGCCTGCCATAGCCACAGCCGCCGCACCTTTCGCCGCCGTTTACTACTGGCCCAAGGAACCTCAAGTCTTCCACTACATCCCAAAAGGCGCCAGCACTCCTCTGCTCAGCCTGCCGCGGGCGAGCGTGCCCATCAAGGCTTGAGCGATGCTCACTTGATTCGGTACAAAGCCGCTCGGCCTTTAGCGCTCGCCATAATCGCTCGAGTGAGATACTCAGTATCTGACCGCGTGCTAGTCGGCTGCACCACGTCCGCCGGCATGCCATAACTTCACCTAATTTCGTCAGTCGATCACGACTCAGCCAACGGCCAACCCCAATCTTCACACGAACGCGAGCATGACCATGAGCAAGGGCACAAACACAGGAGCATACGCTGCAAGGAACACAGGAGTTCAACAACGCCATAGACACATACGATACCCGATAGATCGGCATGACTTCAGAATTTGGATTATGTCAGCTTTACTTTGAGCTTGAGACGGCGTTTTATCAGAAGGTGTTGCATATTTCGCACCAGTCGCCCGCAGTGGCTAGATCAGATACGTGGATGGCGCCATGACCTTTGACGGAGAGGACATTGGACAATATAATCCCTCTGAATCAATTTGCTTCCTATTGACGCTTCTCCTTGCACTCCCAGATGTTGTTGGTGTACAGCCCATCCAGCCCGTTTCCTCTGTGTTGCGATTCTTAGTCTCCGCCAAACCGCGCTCATCGCGCCGCAACAGTGACTCTGCTCTGCATCACAACTGCTTGTATAGCGGTTCAAGCAGCAGCCGTCCCGGAGCACTCCGACCTAACCCCTAGCATAGATACCACCACTGATCCTGCCTGGCAAAAACCCTGACCCGAGCACTATCTCTTAGCACACTGATAGCAGCTAGCAACTCGCGACCAGCGATTGAGCCAACTTCGTGGTGCGACTGCTTGCTTGGCATCTAAGTACGGGTAAAATCTACGTCGGGCTCACGTGGGCGCTCACCTTCCCGGCGCCGCCTTAAATGTCGGCACACCCTTGCATCACTGTTGACTCACCTTCCACTCACCCTGCACTTACCCTCGTCTATCTATCACACCATTATATGTCGCTCCCAGGCCTGCGACACACTCCATCATACGTAATCACAAAAGGGGATGTTCTAAAGATAGCACGACTATAGATTCCTATTGTGTCGCCCTCCTGGTCACACCGTTTAGAGACCTAGTTCTACGGACTTTCTAAATATCCCTATCTTTCTCCTTCCCCTTCTTATATTACCTCTGTTACTCCAAGTCACTATTATTTACTCTCTACCTTGGAGCAGCCCCTTCCTCAATAATATATAAAGAAAGATAGTATAACAAACTAGCTGATAGCCCAGGGTGTTTTCACTAAAATCTTTCACTGTCAGAAGATACTCCTAAGTGTGGACTATTTTTATAGGACGTTAATTCACGCGATTCAGTAGTAGCTTAGTAAATGTATTGATAGTAAGGGAGCCTAGACCCTGGATAAGTTTCCGCTACTCACTTATACAGAGCAATATACTATAGTCTAATACTCTCAGTGTTCCACTCAAGGTAACCCCCAAGTTTTTGGTTAAAGCTATATAGTGAACTATTCTACAGTCAATAGCTTGACAGCATCCCGCAGTAAGGAAAGCGATCAGTATGATATTGAATACTTTTAAAGCTTACTATTTCAACAGGATGACCCAGGAGAAGTTAGTCATGCAGATTGAGAAGCTGGAGAGGTTGACGAGAAGGTTTCCGGATAAGGAGCATTGGACGGGTTCGAAGAAGGCTATGGAGCAGGCGAGGCTGTAAGCAATTTGGGCTCATCTGTTCATTGCGCAGTGGTGATTATGAAAGCTGTGTATGCTTGTGAATTGAATGCCTAAGGATGTAGACGCGTTCCTGCGGAATCTGCAAGCGCACTCTCGTACAACGCTAACGTCATGCTTCCGTTTCCACCCTTTCAAGCTCGTCTTATTTACCCGAGGCATTACCTACTCCTTAGCCGTCGTCGGCATTTCTGGAACGGAACCATCAAAGTGAACCTTCATAGTAGTAGGGAAAGGGAACACGGAGTCCTGGGCCTCACGCATGTAGACATAGAATCTTGTGAAGGTGTTAGCCAAATCCCAAGCCAAAAGCAATCAGGGGCCACTCACCCTCCAGGACGCGGCAGTTTCTTCAATTCACCCTGCGGCCCGGGCGCTCTCCTTAAGCCAGGAAGCTTTCCGACGACACGCAACATAGCCGTCAGAGCGATCTGCGACATGCCTTTGCCCAGGCATGTATGGGGACCCATGCCGTAGTGGAGATAACTGTCCATGGGGCGGTCCAAATCAACGACGTCCGGGTTTGGGAAGACTGAGGCATCACGGGCAGCGTCGACGAAGCTGCAGAAGACATTGTCGCCCGGTTTGACGTGAATCTGCCTTCCGTATTCCTCAAACGTGTGTTCAACATTGGCATGTCGATACATACCGAATGTGCTGTTCAGGCGGATGCCTTCTTGCACATAATGGAGGAGTTTGTCGTCAGCCTCAGCAGTGTCTAACGCAGCCCATTTCTGGATGTCAGGGAGATGTTGATCACCAGGTCCGAGATAGAAGTCTAGCAACTGGGTGAACTTGTCCTGGTCAGCCTTTGTGCAATCCATGCGCTTGTGTACTTACTACTTGGCCCTGAATCGGGATCATGGCAGCCGCTGTCGGCAAGATCTGCGAGAATGCAAGCTCATGAGCCGACATACCAGTCTCGGTCAACGCGCGAATCATGTGGATGCCGTAGGCTGCCAATGGATTGTCGCTTTCGCGATAACTGTCGATGAGCTTGGAAGCAAAGCTCGTTCCGATTACAGTCTTGACATTCATTTCGATCAATCCGCCCAATGCCTGCGCGAGCTTGCGTGCTACTTTTCTTAGCGGATGTGATTTTGTTGGTTCGAAATCATGGAAGACGCTGGCGAAGATGACGGCCGCGGCCATCCAAAGCTCGTGCTCTGTGAAAACCCCTTTCGGGGTTTCAGCGGTCTTTAAGGGCAGGCTGAACATGTTTGCAGCAAAGTGCACGTGAGCTAAATTTCCAATGCTGGCTCAAGTCAGCACGACATCACAACTCAATGGCCATCTGAACTTACTCCCTTGTGATATCGACTTGATTGATGCCCGCAATCCTCACAGTCTTTTCGTGGAGCAGCCTAGTGGTGATGTACTCGTAAAAGTGCTTGACATGAATCTGCCACTTATCGCGATGCAACTGCATGTCCATCGTTTCACGCTGCTTTTTGTGGAAAGCAGTATCACCACCGAGGCAGAAACGTTCTCCGGCATTGCCTAAAACAGCTCCGAGGCCCTTGTTCACATGACCTTGAAGTCTTGATCATGTTCAAGCAGGTACTTTGAGTTCGCATATGAGGTGAGGAGAACACGATGAGTCCCAGTCACAGGTTTGTCGAAATTGTAATCATCAAAACGACCAAGATCTTTCATCACTCTCACATTTTCCTCTGGAACGGTGAATGGATAGTGGGCGTAGATACTGTCCGGATGGAAGTTGTTGGGGAATGCTCTGAGCATCAATTTGTAGAACACACAACCCTGATTGATGCTGATGTCTGAAGATGCCTCTTGAAAGCCCCAGTTGGTCAAGTTCTTGGCGTTATAGTCGACCGTGTAGAACCGGTCTCCCCTGATAAGGGCTATAGCGTCGGCCAGAATGGCACGAGCGAGCGTATGATTTGGGGCAATTCCGACTCCCGGGACCATCGGCGTCTTTGCCTCCTCGACCATGATGCCAGGATATAGCTCGACATAGTCAGGATGTTCGTACAAATTCCGTAGCTGTTGTGCCACCTCAGGATCAGAATTGATTTCTTCGAATGTCTCGCACTTCTTTAAGCCAAAGTGGGCTCGAAACTCATTTAGTGTGCACAAGTTCCAGGCACGAGCTTGTTTGATAGCTAGAGCAGAGATAGCGCGCATTACTTTAGGAGTGTTGCGGGCACCAAATGCACCTTTCACCATCAGCGTCGAATTCGTGTGAACGGTTGTACTTACCGGCCATCTGTTCGGCCCCACCAGTCATGATTTTCGCCAGCTCGTCGTCGTTGAATTTGCCATCGGCCCCGCGCTTGAGACCCGCAAAGGATCGCTCCATCGGATCACTGGGTAAATCATTGTCGAATGTCGACAGCCCAATCATCAGTTCCCGAAGGTCGACCTCCTCGGCTCTTTTGTGGAACAGCTGTTGATAAACCTTTTCGATCCAGACCTCATCAGCCTGCCCAATGACACTATGCCATCGGTAGCACAGTGCAAACTCGGCCGAGACTTGATTTCCAGTTGCTCCGTATCCATTTTCCCTGGTCAAGCCATCACGAGGATCCAACGTCCACGTCAGATTCGTTTTATTGAGGTTGAGAATTGTTCTCACGTAGTCCTTGAGAATTATATTGACCCACAGACCACATGTGACGAGACGGCCTGTCTGAAAAAGGTCATTGTCATACTTCTTCCACGCTTGATCGGCACTGGGGCCAGACAGTCGGTCGGAGGGTTTCGTAAAGCGTCCCTTTTCGTTGATCACAGCTAGCTGTTCGACAACGTAGTTATGGAATCTGTTGAACATGATCAATATCACACCCGCAGCCGGCGGGAAAGCAAGCAAGCGCTCTTCGGAGAAGCAATCCGGCTTGATTTTGCCGTCTTTGAAGAGCCTGATGTGGTCCTGTTCGGTTTGCGTATCACCGTATAGGTAGAGAGATCAACATAACTGGACGTTCTCGATATGCTGAAGTCGTTATGGTCCGTCTGGAAGCAGTCTTTGCTCGGTCAGCACATTCTAGAGTACGTCATTACATCGTTTGAGCGTACCGTGGATTACAAGAGAGGCAAATGCGAAAAACAACGATGACACTCCGCTGGGGTGTGGCGTGAATTCCTGACGAGCCATCAACGCATCGAAGAGAAGAAATGGATCGGGCGGCGCTCCAGGAGTCATAGTAATAGCTTCTACAGGTTATTTATTATCCATGGCTCGGAAAGGGACTCACGGTTGACAGATCGAGCATACGGCGTATAGGCGGCTCCCAGTTGAGGATACAGGTAGTTGTTGTTCGATCCATCTCCAGAGCGGTATTTGAACTTATCTCCTAGGAAAGAGAGTGGTGGATGCTCCAAGTCCGTCCAAAGAGTGTGGACAAACTTGTTAACAAGGGTTTCACGGGCCCTAGACTTTTCTGGCAGCGCGGCAGTCACCTAAAACATATAAATCGTGTGCGTAGGACTTGCTGACCGCTCCTATACGTACTTGTATGACCTTTTCCATGGTGTATTTTCGATCGTCCATAGGCTTGCCAGACGCTGCCGCCTCCAAGATTTGGGTAATGTCTTTGACCTCCTGCCATCCAATACTGCCCAGATCACCGAGCAGACCAGTGGGCTCCTCATGGCTAATGTACGATCCGTTCCCAGTCTGAGTGGGCAGCGGACGCTGGGCTGCATGTATTAGGCTGGCGAACTGCGAGAAAATCCCCTTGACAGCAGCAACGTCGTAATGACCTGACTCCGTATTGCTCGCAGCTATGTTTGCCGCCCCATTGACGTCGGCTTGATTGCTGGCACCGTTCATTTTGCCGTTGTGAATATTATCGCTCAGCGGTCGTCCAAGACGTAAAGTGAACACTCAAGAGACGTCTTGCAAGCTTGAACAGATGACAATGGACTTCTAGGAGGTCAATCCCTCAAGTGATAGCCATAGATAGCGAATCGACTGTAAGTCCGTCGCATATCGTTGAGGTGAGAGGCGGATTGCGCTCTCGAGAACCTTGGGAAATGCCCGACATTCGTGACATCGTTCCGGCATTCCAAGGTTTGAGCCTTCGGTGTGCCAGACCTACACCATTTGTACGCAGCTGAAAGCGTCGATGCCTTGCCTGACTTGGGACGATCGCGACTTCTGGACCGCGCCACACATGGATTGGGTGGAGGGAAACTGTCAATACGTACTCTGATGGCACGCGATTATTAGCTTGGACGCGCGGACATGCTCATTCCCGCCTCGTGGTCTACAGAAGTTAACTTTCACGTAGCGCAGGGTTCGCTAACCACAGGCGGCATGCATTAGCATATGGGGCTATTCAAATCAAAGCGCGAAAGCTATCTACTCAGTCATTCCGCCCCATGCTCGTTTCCTGACATTCACCTATTGTCAAACGTCTGTGCAGCCAGGACTGGAGGCCGAGGTCTAGGACCTGATAAACTCTGCGGTCCTCAACCGTTCAACATGTGTCTCCAATCACTTGTGGGTCGTTGACCACGGCCGCGCTGCCGAGAGGAGGCGATTAATTTATTAAAAAAGCCTCTTCGTGCAGGGACTTGGTCTAGGTGATTGTCCGTTGACTTTGCACTCCTGCCAACAGATGTTGAACTGCACAAGCGAGGTTCGGAATGGTAGGATCGACATGTCTAAAGTTGCGGAGTCCGCTTTTCTGCTGTCCTTCGGATATACTACTACTTCGACAGCTATAACAATCTTTGCAACCACATCAAGTGCTAGGTGGTCACTAGAGCCAGAATCGACCTGGACTCGTAAGCCTCAGCTCGAATATCAACACGAACACTCTTCTTGCAAACAATGATCATACACTGGTAGTGCAAGCGCAACCAGCCACTAAGAGAAAGAGACTCGAGGAATACGGCCGACAGTTTTGCCCCAAAACCCGTGTCCACGGATAGCGATTCAACTGAGATGCAACAAGCTACAAACTCAAGGGACATGTTGTAGCGATCACGGTGGGATCCAATTATTCGCCAACGTTGGCACGTAACACCTCGAACTGCACGAAGGGTGCTCATCGTCAACACGTCGATTCTATCAAACCGTCCCACCCACAAAGTCTAGAGCATCAGAAAAGAACGCCATCGCTATGAGATCCTCGCCCGCCAAGATACCTAGTAGATTCGCTGTGACATGAGCTCCTTCATACATCGTCCACCCAACACCGACAATGAACATCCAAAGACCCCTCAGATCTCTAGCGTCGTGAATCCTCTTTCCAGCAATCATGAAACACCTCAACCATCCTCCTCATCACTATTAGGCGGCTGCGGCGTCCCCTTAGGACTATTCAACCACTCAATATACCTCAACCGCCTCCTCACCTCCCTCTCCTTCAACTGCTTCTTAGTCATCTTCTTCTTCTTCTTGCCCTTGAAGTTCATCTCTGAATTATCCTCCGCACCCGACGCCGCCGGCGTGCCCTCATGACTCGCCATCGGACTCCCCGCCCTACTGACCTGCAAACTCCCACCCGCAGAGCTCACCGCACTCGACCCCGGCCTCGAGTCCTCAAACCTACTCAAATCAACAGCCAAATGCCCCCTATGATCCAGCCTCCCATCCTTAATATGCCACTGCTCCGGACACAACGCCCCGACAAACTCCTCATTATGACTAATCATAACCACCCCACCCCTAAACTCCCTCACCGCCGTCGCCAACCCGCCTAAACTATCCCGATCCAAAAAGTTCGTCGGCTCGTCCATCACCAACAAATGCGGATTATTCCACATCGCGCCCGCCAGCACAACTTTCACCTTCTGCCCACCGCTCAACCCGCCAATCTCGTTATGCGCGGCAATCTCAGGATCGAGACCAACATCCTCGAAATGCTTCGCGATGACCTTCGGCTCTAGAATGCGATACCCCAGGCCCTCACGGGAGGATTCATGGTCGTCGAATTCCTGCACGAGTTTCGCGAAGCCCCACTCTAGGAGTGTCTCGCGACTGACCTGGCTGTTGAATTTGGGGAGCATGTTGCGCCATTTGACTTCGTACTGGAATGTCTTCTTGTATTTCTGCCGGCCGATCAGGCTCTCGACTTGGCGCTCGCCTTTGCCGTCGCCGAGATCGAGCCATTTGTCCATTTGGGCGCGGTCCTCGGCGGTGAGGACGCGGGTTTGCTTCATCAGCACCTCGCGATCGTCGCCGTGTGCGTACCGCCAGAGAAGGTACTGGGTGGGTGTCTTCTCGGTGTGCATCTCGACGTGCTCGAGTGCGTGTTGTTTGATATATCCGATGCGCAGATTGGGGTGTTTCTCGACTTTGCCAGTATTGGGGATCGTCTCGCCGGTTAGGAGCTTGATGAGGGTGGACTTCCCGGCTCCGTTGGCGCCGATGATGGCGACGCGGGAGGAGAGGGAGAGCTGGCATGTGACATCTTGCAGGGAGGGTTTGGAGCCGCCGGGGTACGTGTAGCTGACGTCGGTCATGCGGATGATGGAGCGGGTGGTGGATTTGACGCCCGTGAGGATGCCAGGTGGGGGGAATTTAAATTGCACTTGGGCGGCGGAGAGAGTGTAGTATGTTTTCGCCTCGGGCTTGACTTTGACGAAGTCGGCGAGGTTGCCGGTATAGGTCTTGAGTTTCTTTTGTTCGTAGTGGATGATGTTTGTGCAGACGGCGTCGAGGAAGCCGGAGTCGTGGGAGACGATGAGGGAGGTGATTTCGCTGTGGGTGTTGAGGTAGTTCTCGAGCCATTTGACGTTGGCGACGTCGAGATGATTAGTTGGCTCGTCGAGCAGGAAGACGTCGGCGCGCATGAGCATGGCGCGGGCGAGAGCGAGCTTCATCTTCCAGCCACCGGATAGGGAGCCGACTTTGTGCGATTGGCGACCTTCAGGTCCGGATGTGAAGCCGACTTCTTCAAGGACGGAAGAGATGCGCTCTTGTCCTTCTTTGGCTATTTCGGGATCTTTGGAGACGTACTCGAGAATAGTGATGTCGGCGTCTTCGCCCTGATTGTGCTCGACGAAGCATGTTTTCAGGACATCTTGTGGTGGGAAACCTTCGAGCTTGCCATTGGCGATACTTCTCATCAGAGTCGACTTGCCGCAACCGTTCCGTCCGCAGAGACCGTAGCGATGACCTTTCAGAAGTCTGAGATTGGTGTGCGAAAGCAAGAGCATTCCACCATATCCGAGCGAGAAGTCGGCATTGACGACCTCAACTTCTGTGGGGTCATCAACGACCGGCGCTCCGTATTTCTTGTGATCCTCCTCGACGAAGTGTTGCTGTACGGCATTCGCCACGGCCGTCCGGAGATCATCTGGCAGGATATACCGCAGATAGGGCGCGATTCGATCTGGGATTCGATCGAAGACCCGAATGTTGACATCTTCCTTCACCAGATCGGACACATAAGTCTGTCCCAGCTTCCATAACGCAGCATCCTCCTTCTGAATGCCACCTTGCGCCCTCATCTTCAATTCGAGGACTTTCAGAACGTCCTCCATAGTCGTTCTTGAAAGCTGACCCTTCGTCTCTGCATCTGCGCCTTCACCCATAGCCTGCTTCATTACATCGACTGCCTGGTAGCCAACTCTCTGACTTCCGGCAACGACGCACCATTCTTGACTTTCTGTACACCAGGCATCAACTTCGGCAAGAACACCCGTGCCTCGATCGGATCATGCACCAGTCTGGTCAAGTTCTCAATGACGACCGTTGTTTGCCTCAACACCTCCTGCGGCGTGCTCGGTGTGTTCAAGGCCCTCTCCAGGTATGGCGTCAACATGGCGAGTACAGGGCTCGTAACCTCGGCCACAAATGTCGTCTGACTGAGCGCATGTACTGCCTTGTGTGTATTCTCTGGCTTTGGGTTCTTCATGACGTCCAACAGCAGCGCTATCCTGGGTGCCACATCGTCGTTCTGTAGGAGTGTTGTCAAGCTCGTCATGGCTTTGGTGGCAGCCTTCCCGACCTCAGCCTTCAGATCATGCATGCCGTTCTCGACGATAGGGATCAGCTCTTTCAGCATCAAACCCATGGACTCTCTCAGCACATCTTTGGCCTGCTCCTCCTCTTTGGTGCCGTCACCGATCTGGGCCCTGTCCGCCATCTTGCCGAGCAAATTGTACGCGCCAACCGTGCCCTGCCATTTGCCAGTTGACTTTGATAGGTAGCGCAGCAGTGCCGGCAGCAGTCCAACGACCATCGCCTCTGGAGACAAGTTCTTGAACAGCTCGTCCACAGCAAATTGCGCACTCTCCCGGACCGAGCCGCCCTTGTCCGCTAACCCATCGAGCACGACATTGAGCACTCCGCCATCCTTGACGAGGAAGATGACTTCGCTGAGAGGCTGCTCTCGAGGCATTCGCTCAAACAGCGCGCCGAGAATAAACATGGCGCTTTCCCGTTTGGCGCCATTTTTCTTGTCTGCTGCGGCCTTCTTCGTCTGATCTAGGATATCGTAGGTGAGGAGGCCTCGGGCGCCGACTGACTGGACGAGGAGGTTTGTCAAGGAGTACGAGGCATCGAGGGCTGTTTGAGCATTGTCGGTGTCTATGATGGTGCGAAGGAGTGAATCGATCTCTTCGTTCGTGGGAGGAATGCCCGAATGTGTCGATTTGGTGGGAACTGTGATGACAGACATGTTGCTGCGCTGTAGCGGAACGGCATGCGGCATGTCTTGATGGCGTTCCAGTTGAGCTCAAGGCTCGAGCGCGAGAGTGTTGAGGAACGCAGGATGCTGTCGAGAGCAAGCGAACGAATATGAAGAGAGAAGAGAAAAAGGTACTCTCCCTGGCCCCTCCTTCTGAGGAAAAGTTGGCCGCCCGCGAAATTTTTGAGAATTTGCGAGGAAACTATCGATAGCGACAGAACTGCGGAATAAGCAGCCGCTATGCCTAAGCCAGCCTAGGGAGGAACCGCCCGAAAGAAATCATGAACTCGCGCGGACTGAAATGCCCGTGCTGGCTCAGCAGTGAATGATTGGGAAAATATTCATGTCTATCCGCGTACTTGTGGTTTCTATGGTACGAACGTCGCTGTGCTATGGACATGTCGTTAATCGTGGCTCCGTGGGTATGCTCGGTATGCCTACATCACATCATGACTATCCCTTCGCGCGTCTACCTCTTCCTTTCCCACCCCATCTGAACTTGTTCTCGTCGTCACTCTCCTCATCCTCATCGTCCCTGATAGTAGTCACTGGCAACGTCTTCTGGCGCTTCTTCGGTGCCGGCGCAGCGGCGATCGATGCTGTCTTCCGCTTCGTCCCACGTGTCGACTGTGTACCTGACGCCGTGGCTTTCGTTGACTGTGTCTCTCTGGCGTCATCACCCCGTGTGCGTCTCGGGGAGTCGACATCGATCTCGTGGTCAAGGACCGAAGCAGCCTCCGCCTGAAGACGATCAAGCTCCGGGCTGACATGTTGCTCGTCCCCGTCCACGTTATCGACCGGCTGCTCCTCGTCATCGCTCACATTGATCGTCTGACCACTCCTGGCCTGACTTTGGCTGAGACTCTCCTGGGCTTTCCGCTTCTCTCGCTTCTTCTTCTGACGTCGCTCATGCTCCTTCTCCTCCTCGGTCTTCTCCCAATACCGCTCACCTAGGCCTCCAGTCTTGGCTTTGAGTGCCACGAGCGGAACGAACACTTTGCCTGCATGATTCGATTTGCGGACAAGACCTTTCTCCTGAGGTCGGAACTTCTTGAAGTTCTTCAAGCCGTTCCATCGCTCATCCCATCGTGGATCGTCCTCCGGGTTCATGCCACTTCGGACAATGCGCTTTCGGACCGGAAGCTCAATGTGCTCGACCACGGCTAGGTGGGTTGGACCTCTCTCTTCGGGATTGTACGTTGACTCCGGAGGTTCCTGGGATCCCTCACGCTCGGCGTTCTGTTCCTTTGCACGCTCACGCGCCATTCTTATGAGTTCGGCAGGATCTATCTCCTTCTTCTTGGTCGGCTTAGCCACTGCAACAGGTTCAGTCGTTGTCTGCAACGGCCGCCCTGTCCGCTCAGCCTCTTCCTCCCACTGACGGCGTTGACGTTTCATCGCGTTGGCCGCAGGAAGAAGTTCGTCCATCATGTCTCTCTCTGGACTTGGCTCTCGAACTCGCTTACGTGACGTTTGTTGAACAGGCTGAGAAGCTGGAATTGCCTCTGGTGCAGCATCTTCCGCTTCGGAATCGTCCACGATGGAGACTTGTGATCCTTCCTCGTCGTCTTCCTCTTCGTAGTCTTCCACATCATCAGCATTGAAATCATCATCGAATTTCTTCACTGCGACTGGCGGAAGATATCGTGATTTGCGAACTTGTGCTTCGAACGTGTCGGGTTGAGGGGCGGAGTCTTGAGATTGAGCCATACTTCCTGCAGTCGGCTGTTCTGGCTCTTGAGCTACGACTTGATCTGATGCAGGCTGACTGCGGCGTCGTGCAGCTGGTTGTTGTGCTACGGGCTGCGTGTCGAAATGAGCTGTTGAGGTTCTGCCGCTCCGGCTTTCACGTGTTGGAGGCTGCACAGGCGCTACACGCTTCACGTGATGGTTCGTCGGTGGAGGACTTTCACTTGAAAGCGGGTTCTGTGGTGATGGGGAGGGTGTGTTGCGGGTATGGCGTGCCTCAGCAGATCTCGAGCCATGCCCATTAGTCTGAACCTGTGTCTGACCTCTCCCAGCGGCGAACGACGGCGGAGGTGCTCGAATACCTTCAACGAATGACTCTTGCGGGATAGCTTGCCGCAGCTGAGCCGCGTTGTTGGACAGAATTGCATCAAGAAACTCGGACTGGTCAATCGCCCTCTGATCTAGCTTCAACGCTGCCTGATCGATTAGGTGGTTCGTCCAGTCAGCGTGAGGCTCGGCGCCCTTCCATCTAACCAGGATCGCTCCACCATCCGATCGTGCGTGAGAATTGCCAGACTTCTTCCCATCTGCGTTCTGCATGAACGTGACAAGATCATCAACCGTGCTCTGTCCATTGACGACTTTGAACCGAATCGCCTTGCCATGACCGGTGGTGATGACTGGCATGAGGGTCTCCAGTTGCTTCTCATCACCGAACACGAAGACGAAATGCTCAAAGACATGAGTTCTGGTCGGCTGAGGTCTGTACGCTTCATCAGGTTTGGTGGTAGGCTCTTTTGCGGGTGCGGGCAAATAGAGTATCTCGTTGGGCCAATTCTCCTCGAAGTCCTCCTCGAGCGGACACAGATTTTCATCCTGGCTCAACGTGTTGGGTGTAGCAGCCAGCTCCAGAGCCTCGACAAACGCATCAGTGACCACGTATTTACCCGTGATCAAGGCTTGCAGACCTTTCGCCGTGTTCCGCTTGGTAGCGACGACATGCGTTGTCTCGCCAGGAACGAAGTCAGTAACGGCCTTGATGCCCAATCTCCTCGCCTTTTCCTGCTTGACCGCCAACACACCAGCCTTGAGTTCCTTCTGGAGTAGATGATATGAAAGTGTGCATGGCACCCACTTGATCAGAAGCACCTCATCGCTGTTTCCTGGCTTCACAGTGTTGTCAGCTTGGGTCAGCTCCCTGCCTTTCATTTCGTCACTGCTCTTCAGCAGGATGTTGTTGACGGTGGTCCCACTCTTGGACGTTTGATCTATGACCACACATCTTGTACGCTCGTAGAGCCGAGTCTCTTCTCCATCCGCGGGCGCTGATACCTCGATGATGAAGTGTTTGCGAGATACTGTCTTGACATCGAGCGCGTAGGCCACATCATCTCTCTTGGTTCGACCGAACAAGTACGATTTGCCTGGCTTCAGCCAAATGCGTCGGCCCTGGAAGAAGTCGCCGCTGGACTCGAGGACCCACATGGTTGTGGCATGGTAGAGAGGCTGGAGCGGTGATGGATGGGAAAGGGATGTCGAGGGTAGATGAAGAGCGCAGCGACAGATGGAAGGCACGTTACTGGCAGAAGTTCGACGAAGCCATCACGAAATCGACACGTGAGGTAAAGTGCAGGCGCGTAGTCCCGTGATTTTAGGCGCCGCTTCTTTTCTTGGAGATGCCCCAAGCTTCGAGTTCGGAGGTGGAGGCGGCGCTAGGCGGCTATTCGGCGCCTAGAGTGCCTGGGATCTGCGACGTTGCTGCCTGTGACGTCGCCTGTTTCTCGCTCGTGTTTCGGACCCCTCGCTAGGGCCAGCTGCGGTGACCAACTCTTGGGACTTGAGCTCGGACGACAACCAGGTTCACTTCGTACTCTCCCGTTCTTTGTTGCTGTTACAATTCACACTACCGCTACACCAAGAGCCACCAGCACCACCGAGCACCTACATACAACCTCCCTCGCAAGCCACCAGCATGTCCGCCATTCCCGACTCCGAAACCACCAGCATTGGTGTCGACCAATCTCCCATCTCGCCTATCGAGCGACGCAACTCCCTCGAAAAGCACCTACAACACCGTCCTGACGCCCAGGACCTAAAGAATCGCCACATTCTGCTCGACTCATCCGCTGCACCGTACGTTGCCTTGCTCACGCGCTCGACGTCCCTGCTGACAAGTACCCCGCGGCACAGGTCTCTTCAAGCCAAACAAGTCGAACTCGAGCGAGCTCAAGCCACTGATAGTCTCAGGAAGCACCTCGAGAAGCGACCAGAGAAAGATGAGCTGATTGAGCGTACGCGGCCATCCCGACGACGAGGCAGCCACTGACAATGCGTACAGGAAACATCCTCCCCGAAAGCACTGCGGCGCCAGGAATTCAAGCGAGCCAGAAGAGTCTTGAGAAGCATATGAGGGCAGACAGCCTCGATCAAAAGCTACAGCGCCGCCCAACTGCCGACCAGCTCGTGAAGGAGGGCATTCTGGAAGAGAACGAGGTGCCCGTCCAGCCTCAGTGAGCAGATCACGCGATCAAAAGAGATGGAAAATGCTTTAGTAGCTTCATAGCCCAGCATTCGAATCGTCAGTCATTTCAGCGTCTACAAGCACCTTCAGTAGCTCTCCACCTCTTCTGGACCGTCCCTCCTCCCATCAGCAGCAGCGTCCGGTCTCCAGCCCTTCGGTCTCTCCTTGCCTCTTACCAACATACTGTACACACCATTCTCCACCTTCTCCACGCTCTGCCTGGTGACTGTCAACTTGTTGTCGAAAGACTTCAAGTCTCTGCTCCCCTTCACGTCCATACCCTCCAGAAAGCCTCTGATGGCCTGCATGTCCGCCAGTACGCCCATGCCGCCCTGTCCGCCGCCAGGCAGCTTCCCGTTCGTGGCCATGTACGTGATACACCACCGCATCATCTCGCCAGTCGTATCGAAGAGGCCCAACAGATAGTCCTCCTGCGTAAGTCGTATGCCTTCCGGTAATGCTGCAGCTGCTTCGGGATGTGTTGGAATTCGTTGTGTCTGCAAGTAAGCGTGGAACAGATAGGCTTCCATGAACTCCTGGATGCCGGGCGAAATGTTGTAGTGATAGCGGTGGGCGTTAATTCCTTCAAGGTCGGGCACGAAGGACTCAAGAATCTTTTTGATAGAAGCGTACATAGGGTCGATGACCTTCGTTATTGAGACATGCGTGGGCTGACCGATTTCGCGTGTGCTTTTGGCTGCTGTCAGCGAGGGATCGGATTTGAGTCGAGAAACTCACCGTTGCAAATTGAAGATTCTAATTCCTGTTGTCAATTCAAGACCAAGCAGAGCGAGCCAATCTACTCACATCTTCTTTGAAAGCCCTGTCACGTCCCTCGACGCCTTGTTGATTCGTTCTCGCCGATCATGGTGTTCGTCAAGTTCGGCTCTGAAGGTCTCAAACATCGGCATATACGGCGACGCTCTCGCCCCTCCGTTGGGTGCTGGATCCATGTCTTCCGACTTTCGCTTCACCCCAGCCATTAGAATACCGATCGCTCACTAATGCGCCTGTCGAGGTCGATCGTAACGAAAATCAAAACAACAAGCGACGAGAACTGGACATCATCACCGTCGTCAAATTTATAGGGTTCAAATTGTTCGGCAACCCTAGCAACGACGTTCTCCTTTCCTAAGATTTCATAGCTCAATTTCGACATTATTCTATGTGGTCAGCTTCTCAGTCGTTCGATCCAATCCCACGCCGCGACGGCACTTTGAATTACAGGCTGCATCAGACTCATCTGATGGAGAAGCGACGGATTCGCAGCAGTAATCGGTAGGGCAAACATGGCCATCCAAATCTTCAACTCCCCCACCACCGTCTTTGGCTTGGCATTCCTCCTCCGCCTTGGAATGCTCCTCTATGGCATCTACCAGGACTCAGTCTCGGCTTTCAAATACACCGACGTCGACTACTACGTCTTCACCGACGCCGCCGCTTACGTGGCCAAAGGCCAATCACCCTATCTCCGCGCCACCTACCGCTATACTCCACTCCTCTCCTGGATCCTCGTTCCCACAACCTACCGCCCGCTCTGGTTCCACAGCGGCAAAGCACTCTTCGCTCTCTCAGACCTCCTCGCCGGCTGGCTGCTCATGCGCCTCCTCCAACGCAACGGCTATTCCCGCTCCACTTCCCTCCGCTACGCCTCAGTCTGGCTCCTCAACCCCATGGTCGCGAACATCTCCACCCGCGGCTCCTCGGAAGGTCTCCTCTGCGCCCTGATCCTTCTCACCCTGTACCTCTTCACCACCAATCAGACCACCCTCTCCGGCATCCTCCTCGGCCTAAGCGTACACTTCAAAATCTACCCCTTCATCTACGCGCCAACCTTCCTCCTCGCTCTCCGCGGCCCACCCCTCCCCTCCGACGCGGGTATGCCGCAAATCTTCAACGCCATCATCTCCACACAACGCACAAATCTCGCACTCGCCGCACTGGGAACCTTCACCATCCTCAACCTGGTGATGTTCAACCTCTACGGTCCAGAATTCCTACAGCATACATTCCTACACCACCTCACGCGTCTGGACCATCGACATAATTTCTCCGTGTACAACACTTTACTCTACCTATCATCCTACACGCCCAGCGCGCTGTCAATCGAACGCCTCGCCTTTCTCCCACAACTCCTCCTCTCCGTCGTCCTGATCCCATTCAGCCTCGCCACCACAACCAACCCCACAACATCCCTCCCAGCGACCCTCCTCGCGCAAACCCTGGCGTTCGTCACGTTCAATAAAGTCGTCACATCGCAGTACTTCCTCTGGTATCTCGTCTTCCTCCCTCTCTACCTCCCACAGTCAACATTCATGCGTCATCCCAAGACCGTCGGACTGCCCGCACTGGGCGCATGGGTGGTGAGTCAAGCGGTGTGGTTGCAGCAGGGGTACGAGCTGGAGTTTTTGGGGAAGAGCACGTTCGTGCCGGGGCTGTGGGTTGCGGGGCTGGGGTTCTTTGCGGTTAATTGTTGGATTTTGGGGGTTGTCGTTGGGGATGTGGTCGGGAGCAAGGAAGACAAGGGAAAGAGGGAGGAGAAGGAGAAGAGAAAGATGGCAGAGAAAGTGGAATAGGGGGATTGCTCTCATGATACTTCTGTCTTTTGTGAAACAAAGCTGAAGTCCTCTAGGTGGCCTACATCCAATGTCAACCAGCTGCTCAATCAGACCCATCATGTGTCCAATTGCGAAACGGTAAGGCCGCGGTCCGCGTACATCGTAGCAACAGCCTCCTTCGACATCTCCACGGTTTCCACGCCAGAGATGACTTCAAGCAGCTTTGAGTTCTCCCTGCGATAATTTGTTACGGCTCCAGCTTGCTGGTTCTTTGACGAGCATCGCGATATGTAGCTGGGCCAGAAAGAAGCATTCCGAGACAGTAGATACAACAAAGCTTTGCAGTCGAGTGCTAATGGCGCGTCTTCATGCCGAATACGGGTACCACTCATGCATATGCTCATTTGCAACTGTTCGACTGATGGACACTCAAGTAGACCATCTCCAATGCTGCATGCGAATCCGAGGAAATGTCCACCACTACTAAATAGCAGGTGGCTTTTGATGTTGTGCTCTTTGAGACAGATGAGAACAGGGCTGGATGACAAGCCTCCTGCCGAGGTTGCGATGACCAGAGCGGAATCTCGAACGTTGTACCACTCTCCGCCAACGAATGCCGTGTTCATGTGAGCGGAGCAATTCCGACATTTGGGAAGTTTTGAAGCTGTCACCCGAACTTCGATGACGGTACGTTGTTGCAAACTTTGCAGTAGCGTGGGAATCTGGAGATCGAGTTGCTGGAATAAAATGTGGGCATCGCTGAACGGGTCCGAGGTACACCACTTCATGAAGTGCTCGAACAATTGATGCTTGTCCATCGTATAGTCGACATCAAACGCCTCGTCAGCCGGTCCCTGATCAACAAGACCCAGGAGACCAATGACACGATCTCGGATGTCGGAGCACTCGGTCCGACCAAAGATTCTTAGCACATCGGCCATGGAGTACGATACGATAGATGAGTAGCGTTGCCTAGCCAGAAGCGCGGCACGGCTACGACAAAATCCCGAAATGAGATCTTTCATGCCCGAATTCCACACGGACGGATTGTATCGCCAGGCCTTTGTAGGGTTGAATGCTCGGTAGACCTCTGAGAATAGCACACGGCTGTGCCCCGCCATGATGAAGACTTCCTTTGCAAGCAAGACTTCTTGGATGATCCAGGTGCGTCGAAAGTAAGGGTCATCAAACATGCCTACGACTTCGTCTCGGAGCTCGGTCAGTACGGCTTCATGAGTCCCCCATTTGGACACGATGGAGGCCTCCTCATCTGCAGTTCTCCGATGGGTGGAAATGCTGGACACAGCTTCGTCATCTGGCCTGTAGTACTTAAACAATGGAAAGGTTTTCAGTATTTGTTCATAATTCGATGTGACGTCTGGTCCGGGGTGGAAGCGACCAGGTGACAGATCTGAGCGTTCCGGCGATTGGTCCAGAGAAGGGTTCGTCCACAGTGACCAGTTCAATGATTTGTTGTTGAGCCAAATGGTGACGGAATCAGCCGAGCTGTATATGAGTCTCATCAGTCGGACCTGGTGATTGCGCTCCACTATACTCTTCTGATTGATACAAATTGCATCAATCCAGAAGGGGATGTCTTGCTCCGTGAACACAGTCCGCGCAGCATCCATAAAATGCCACAAATTCTTGGTGACAGCGAGCTTGCGGCCATTCACCAGAACTGTCCAGGGACTCTCTGCTGATCCCCACATGTACGAAAGGCATTGATATGGCTTGGCAGAGATAGTTGAGTGATGAAGGAAACATTGAATGAGGCCATCTCTCGAGAGTGTACTCGCGACTCTGAGCAAACGGATCGCCTGCGCTTCGTGGTCGAGGCTCGTGTAGGTAAAGTCTCGGAGTCGGCCACGGCGTCTTCGTCTCTTCCTGGGCACGGTAGGCATACGGCAAAATGATGGAGGAGAAAGGACATCTGGAAACGTTAAATGATGAATGATAAATATGCTTGGTCCGTGCTCGACGCATGGTCTAGAGATGTGTTTCGGGCAGTGTTATTCGGATCAGTCCAATCAGGAGCCTCGGGACTTTGGTGGACTTTTGGACCAAAACCAACGCACCACAGTAGTCGGGCGCTGATTGAAAACTTAGGTTTCGTAAGCGATGACTGCCGGCGCACACTTCTCTGCCGTAGCTACATCGACAAGCTCGACGCGTGTCGACACTGGACAGGGCGTACATTGTAGAAGGCACAAACCTCACAAGACCGTTCTCTTAATGGCGTACGTGCCCCCCCGGTGATCTTGAGGCCTGCAGACATCTACGAATACTCGGTCCTGCCACAAGATCTCGAGTGGTGGGCTCGTCATCCGCGGATATCCATGGGCGCGTTCTGAGGACTCCTGCAGCAGTCCGCAAAGAACAGACAGTTGTACTGGTTCGACGGGAAGGATCGACATTGTGCACCCGGGTCAGAGCACATGCTGGAGCAGGCGTCCAAGCTGTTATAAGTCGTAGAATTGCGTGTGTCCAGCGTGCAGAATTGGCCAGCCGTGCAATACGTACCATCAGGGCACACGGTGTACGGAGCGCCATCGCTGTAGCACTGCGAGCCTAGTGGACTCCCCGGTACAGGCGAAGCCAGTGGCGTTGGTGGGTTGTAAACTTCCGAGGGGTCGTCTCCTGAGCGGTCCCGATAACAGTCTGGTCTGGTGAAGCCGCATTCAGATTCGGACTGGTTGAAGTAGACGAGGCAGCCCAGGCAATCATATCGGCATACCTGATTACAGTTCGTCGCGTTATTCGCATAATCAGGACTCGAGAAGGTGGTGAGACCCGTACACTGATTGCTGTTGAGATCCGAACCTGGGAATGGATAGAATATCCTGGAGTCCCTTCCTACGGTGCAACCTGGATGATTCGATGGTCTCGCCGAAGGTCCACTGGTCGAGGAAGTGACCACAGAGGTTGCTGTTGATGTCAAATAGCTAATCCCTGCATCACCGCTGGACGACGTCGCGGTGATAGATGGCTGCACATCAGATGAGCCGGCTGAGGAAGTGCCGGTGGTGAGATAGCTGCTCCCCGGATATTCGCTAGTGGCTATCGTGGTGGTGGTAGTTCGGAAGCTAGATGAAGCATCTGCGCTAGGATAACTGCTCCCTGGATTTTCATTGGTTGCTGTCGTGAGGCTGTTTGTCTGGATGTAGGGTGCAGTAGTTGAAAGAGGATGGCTGGCTGATACTCCGCTGGTTGTTATCGAGATGGTGGTCGTCCGTACATCAGGCGAGACGACTGCAGTGAGCGAGCTGACACTCGTTGAAGGTGTAGTCGTGTTGGAAGCGCTGGCAGCGTTGCAGATGAGTGTCGTCAGACTTGACCAGATCTCAACATCAGATGGCGCCCGGTCGATGGTGACCACATTTCCATCTCCGAAAGGCGTGATGACGGCCGGGCGAAGCACTTGGCTGAAGTAGTAGATTGGTTGCAGCTCAAGCGTACATGCCGTCAGGCTGGGGCACTGACCGTTGCTGACCATACTGACAGCTTGTTTGACAGGACTTTGACGTTTCGTAAGCCTGTCGTGTCCGGTACGATGGGCGTTGGCTTTTGTAGGCGGTGGTCGGTATGGCTGGGTTGGCGTGCAACGGTTGGAATGCGGAACTTATTGCCGACATAGCCTCGCCGAACATTTTTGCCGTCGTTGCAAAGCCTTGGCTCCCAAAACAAGAGTATTTCAGCATGTAGGCCATTCCGGAGGGTGAGGATGAACTGTGTCAGTGACTGTGAGTCTGTTTCGCCGCAACAGCTGCTGTACTGTACGGTCCGGTCCCCGAAGAGTCGGATGGACATCGGCCGCACAATGCCCATCTCGTTCGGCGTGGGTTGAGAGCAAGGTGGCCTCTAGGGCCACGCTCGCACGTCAAGTCCAACAAAACGACAGAGGAGAGCTTGTGTTTTCGAACTTACAATATGCTACCCGCCCATATGGCTATCAGCGACCGTCGCTTTGGGCAGAGCTCAACGTCGCCCAAGCGATGAAGTCACGGATGACCAAAGCACTCAACGATGCGAGTCCGGTGGACAGGTGGACGCCAGAGCATCGACATGAGCACTGCTAGCGGCAGACGGCAGTCGCGAAACAGTCGCAAATGGCAGGAGTGCCCATGGACGACGAAAGTCCCCATTCAACATCACGGCACGCGCCGAAAAACCTTGGCATGCCCGACGGCTTGCCGCCTGCCCTCGCCGCGCTCTTCGAACCACCACTCAACGCTTTCCCTTCTTCCTATCTCCTCGCCAATATCATCCCATGATGTAGTCCATCACTTCACCACCCGAGCCCATGTCAGCACCGCGAAACACGCCCAATGCACCGATCAATGTGCCATCTCACTCGTCCTCACCCTCGAAATCGTCCCTCCGGCGAGTTTCCGGCGGTGCCCAACAGCGCAGCCTTCTGCCGAGTCCGCATTTCGATGAGCCGGTGATCAGCGCGAGCCACGATCGCAGCCCAGAGCGGGAAGATGCGATTGAAGAAGATAGTCGGTATGGCGCGGAGGAAGCAACACAGCAACGTGCCACGCCTTTCCAGCCGTTCTTCACGTTGATAGAGGACACTTCTACACGAGAGCATTTTCATCCGACCGTGCACTATATTTTTGCGGACGACGAGGCGGATATCGTCACCGAAGCAGCATTGCGTAGTCTGGACACGAACAGGCCTCGTGACAGCGAGGATTCTGCAACTGCTTCCGCCGCATCACAGCCCACAGCACAACGCCCGGCTCGTGAGGAAGATGAAGCACGACCATACTTCCCAGCAGCCCGGTCAGATGTGAAAGAGCACTACATCGTCCTCGATGTGCAGCCTGTTGCGCAGGCTCCGGTATCATCACCACAGCTCGGCCCCGCCGAGGCCAGCACATCGGCATCCGCGTCTGCCAATGTCTCCAACAATTCCTCGACCAACCCGCTCTCACCACCGCCCTACGAAGTCGCCAACGCCTACAGTACTTCAGCCGATTGGCAAGTCCTCCGCAGTAGCATCTCACAGGCTCCCACGCTAGGCGAAAATACTGCTGCAGAGGAAGGTTTGATGCTGCGGATTGAGGGGCGTGGGAATACGCCGACTGAGTCAGCACCCGGTGCGGTGGAGAGTATTGAGGAGATGATTGAGAGGTTCGAACGGGGTTTGGAAGACGTGCGGCTGGTGCTCGAAGCAGGAAGTCGGGAGACAGCAGTGGCCGATGAACGGGACAGCTGAAGGAAGGCAAGGAGCGGCGAGGATACGAGATCATGACTTGCATGCATTCTTGCGATCTGGCGTTGACTGGGTCTCGACCATTTATTCTAGGTCATCTAGGCATAGAGTCGTAATTTCGAGGGCAATGCAAGCCCCTACCACGGATCGCCCGCGCATGTTGTGGCCATCGTGAAGTCGTAGCCCGCTGTAAAGAATGCTGTAGCATGATGCTGTAGCATGCATGGACGCCCAATAACGCCTCGCTTAGACAATTTCCGTTTTCGTGTCCTCTACTTGTGTGCCAGGGCCATTCATCTCGTCCGCGTCTCCCTCCCCGTCCCCGCTCCCTGCCCACCAGCACCCTCCTCAGCCCCATCTTCACCCTCATCCACAACCTCCTCCTCAATGGTCACCACCTCCAACACCTCCTCCACAACCTCTTCCCCCTCCCCACCACCACCCTCCTCAACCCCATTCCCACCCAAACCCCCCGGCATCCCACCCCGCCGCGCACTCTCATTCTCCTCTTTCCGCCACTCAAACTTCCGCCTACACATCGGACACAATCCCCGACTGCTCTCTTGTTGGACCCACATGATCAGGCAATGCATGTGGAAGGAGTGCTGGCATTTGCCGATCAGGAGCGGGCAGGGGTCGCCTGGTTGGCGGCAGGTTGGGCATGTTCCGTCGAACTGCCGCCAAAGTGTTAGTGAGGAAGGAGGTGAGGAAGGGGGGAGTGATGGGAAGGGAAAGGGTAGGATGGCTTACGGCGACTCGACATATGCCGCAGAGGTCGTCGGCGTCTGGGGTGGGGAGTTGCCAGGACCAGGTTGCGATTAGGTTTGTGCTGAGAAGTGAGACTTTCATTATGGCGGAGGGATGTGTCGCAGGAGGGACGTAGTCTGTTGACCGAGGGGTCGTAGCTTCCGCTGGCGGGTGAAAAAGGGTGGGGATCAATCGTGGCTCTGATCTGCTGGTGAGCGGCAGGGTGTGTGGGCAGAGTAGCGATGTGCTGGGTCGCGCTCAAATTGATGTAGGTTTTCAAGCATGCGATATGTCGGCAGTCGTAAGGATGATGGCAGAGGCTGTCTTCGCAAGAGACACTGATTGCGTGTCGGCAGACTGAGGTCAAATCTTGCGTGGCTGATCTGTTTGCCTCGTTGATGCCAAGCTTCCGGTCTGGATGGTTCGTCAATTGCCACTGTATGGCCTGCTCCTGCGCTTGTGCTTGCAGACCGACGCGGGATGAATAAGTGAGAATATCTCTATCTGTCCGATCGGGCGCCGAAGAGTTGAGGTGAAGGTTGGCGAATGAGTTGTAACAGACGCGGCGCCTCGTCTTCGCCTTGATGTTTACGCGTTGGTCCGGCCGGCAAAACCTCGCCTCCGGGCATCCCACATGTCAGTGCCGTGGCCTGTGGAAGCTTCACCCCCACCAGATAGTCGATCGCGAGCTTGCTCATTTTCTGCCGTCATAGGTCGTCGACAGATACGACAGTCTTGTCATTGTTGATTCATCTCAAAGCATTGCGGAACTGACCCACGACCGCTCCCTCACGGTCCAGCTTACGAGATGCCAGTGCGGTAAACCGGTCTCACCCACAGAAGAGCTTCGGAAAGCTTCTCCAACGCATCGAGTCCGAGGAAGTCTGTGACCCGCCGGGACAGAGGCCGGTCTCACGGCTCCTCACAATGGCTTTGGCTGCTCTATGCCGTCCTACACTCCTACATCGCACGCCTCTCCCGTCAATACACCGCTTCACACACACCAGAATGCAGTCAAGCCTGTTCAAAAGCTACATCGTCTCGCCCGCTGAGGTGAGCGAGGCACTCAAGCAGAATGCACCCTCAAACATAAGCACTGCTCCACGAGTCGTTCCTATCTGTGCCGCATGGTTCATGCCCAATGATCCACAAGGTCGAAAAGGAATAGATGTGTTCAAGCAGAAGCGGATACCAAAAGCCCGCTTCTTCGATATCGACGCTATCAAGGACGAAGAGTCACCATACCCTCACATGCTGCCAACCTGCGACGGCTTTGCGGAAGCGATGTCGAATATGGGCCTACGAAAGGACGATGAGCTAGTGGTGTACGACACTGAAGAGCTGGGACTGTTCTCTGCACCTCGAGTAGCCTGGACACTGCGGTATATGGGCATCCTGGTGGAGTGCATATCCTGGACAACTTCAAAGAGTGGGTGAAGGAAGGCTACCCGGTCGAGGAGGGTCCACCAGAAGTGCCCAACATCACCAAGTACCCCACGCCGAGCTACAATACCGACATGGTGGTCAAGTTTGCTGAGATGAAGACCATTGGCTACGACTATGGCAAGGAAGGAGCAGAGGACATTCAGATCCTGGATGCACGGCCTACGGCGCGATGGGAAGGCACGGCACCGGAGCCGAGGGAGAGCTTGAAGAGCGGGCATATGCCTGGCAGCACGAGTCTACCATTCCAACTACTGTTGGATCCGGAAACGAAGAAGATGCTGCCAAAGGAGGAGTTGAGGAAGGTGTTTGAGAGTAAAGGATTGACTCCAGACAAGCAGCTGATTGCGACTTGTGGGAGTGGTGTCACTGCAGCGATCATCGAGGCGGCATTGAAGACGGCGGAGTATGGCCAGCCGGATGATCGGAGGTTGTATGATGGGAGTTGGACGTGAGTTGGCCTGTTCTTCTACGGTGTATGATTGAATGCTAACGATTAGGCAGTGAATGGCTTCCAGAGTGTCGCCGACGTCAGGATTGATCAAGACTGGGACAGCGTCTCCCACTGGCGGTGAGAAGTAAGGTCGCGATCATCGCAGTGTTTGTTCAAGATGGCATTTATCGAGATCTTAGCATGTCCTCGGATCTGTGGTCAGTGTGGAGTTGACGAACTGGTGGGCAATTTCGTGGGCGTTTCTTTAGCATTTTCGATGGCGATGAAGCGACGGCGCAATGGGAGTCTATCGAGTCGGCAATCGTAATGAGCGTAGCATGTCTCAGTGTAGAAAGTCGCATGCCTTGATATTGGTCCAGCAAAGAAAGATGTAGGAAAGCACGATGTTGAGCGTTCCTGTCGGATCTTGTCTCTCCTTGATGGAGTCAACCCCGCCACCTCAGCTCGCACCAACGTCCGCATCATCCACAATCCCTGCGCTCAGTCATTCTTCGCTTCCTTTACAGTACCACAGAAATACATATCCAAGTCCAGACTATCTCTGACCTCTCCTGCAGTGGAATGACCACCCACTGTGACTATCATTCACTGCGCAGCCAGCAAGTCGCCGCTGCATATCCATAACAATGCACTATTCTCTGCCATCTTCACCAGTCGACAGAAGTAGGTCGTCACCTATAGCAACCACACTTCACTTGTCACACAACCAGGCGCATTATAACTGACTCCGTTTACAGATACGGTGGCATTTTGCTACTTTACCACTACGCCGTCCACATGAAAACGTGAAGGCATCACACAATTCCCACCACCATGGCTTCCGCAGCCACCAAAACAGTTCAGTGCATTGTCGATGACACTGCGCTCACCGCCAATATATCTGAAATTGAAACATGGGTCGTTCGAGGCAGCATCGCGCTTGTCGTGCCCCTCCACAGTATGTCGCGTCCGCAATAAACAGACTTCACTGACCGCGCAGCCATCAATCGACTGCATCTACTCAGAAAGGACACCTCACAAATCGGTCAGAATGCCCGTCGCTCCATCAAATTCCTCGATAAGATGACCGGCCGAAACATCACCGTGCAGGAGTCCATCGAACAATATGCGACCTGGCAGGAAGTTGAAGCGCACTACAAGGAGGACGATGGCAAGGAAAAGGACGTTGAGACCAAGCAGTCTACAGATACTGCCACGAAGCGCACGTCAGGCGGCAATGCCTTGTCGCAGATGCTGCTCGACAAGCTCAACTTTGCGCCTACCAATACCTCGCCCAAGTCAACTCCTCCCACGTCGCCCATTTCGTCCGGCCCCCAAAGCTCCAAGACTAGTCCAGAGGTCAAAAATGCGAACATTGCGGTCAGTGACAAGAGTCCCGTTCCGCCCGCCCTGAAGTCGCTCCTGAACTCGGTCGTCTGGTACGTCCACGAGAAGGACAACAACGGAGCCGAGGTCTTCTTTCTCACCAACTCTGCCGATATTCAGCATCTTGCTCGCGACTTTGATGTGCCGACTCGAACCATCCACCAGATGCGAGATACACTCGGTGCCGAGATCACAAGTCCTGCCACGACTGAGCAGCCAAGCGACTCTGATCCCAAATCTGAGAAGAAGACTCTTTTCAGCTACGATGACGAGCTGTCTGAGGAGGAAGAGGAAGTCGTCTTCAAGCCACGAGGTCGAGGAGCTACCAAGACCAGTACTGGCCGTGGAAGCATGCGACACAAGCCGACTGGCCGCTCTCCCCGAAACTCATTCAGTACTCCCGTCACCCCACAAACACCAGCCAACGCCAACGGCACACCGGCTCAGAACAAGCCCAAGATCCCAATTGAAGAGATTGATCCCGACTCATTCGATCGAGGTAGTTTCGGCCGCGGATCAGGCCAGCTCGCTAACGTTGGCAATCATGTCGGCAACTACATGGGCTCCGGAAACCACTTCAATCCTCCGAACGGTCCGAGAGGTGGCAACTCTCCACGAGCCAACTTCGCCAGCCCCGCCAGAGGCAATCATATCGGTCGCGGTACTCCACGTGGCCGAGGCTTGAATGGCACACCAAACACACGAGGTCGTGGCAGACTCTTCGTTCCTTAGTCGGTCGAACGTTCTGTCGGTCCGTGTGATCGCAGCAAGACCATACCTCACAAGATTTCAGTCTTTAGCAGAAAGGATCTGATGATTCACAATCCTTCAAAAGGTGAAAGCACCACGGTGGATGACTTCTTAGTCTCGACGAGATCGATCAGACGTGAAAGCTCTGGGGCAAGGACGGATCCAAAGGGTGGAGTGGAACTGGTGACTTGTACTGGGGACGGCGGCGAGGAAGTACAGGTTGCAATTCCTGACTTCGACACGAGGACGACCGGCGAGTGATCAAGAGTCCTCCGGCATCTTCTTGCGAGCTGTTCTCTCCTCCGACCAGCTCTTCAGCACAATCATCATCACGATATCGGTGCATTACCGTATCTCAGCCGCATCGTTACCGACAGACCTCACAGCTGGCGTGGCATTCGTTCGGCACGGCCGGTTTGAACCAGATGCGAGCAATATGGACGACATATCGCATTTCAATTCTTTGCAGGACAGCCTCGTCATGTCGTAACAGATCATGCGCCGGCTCTGCGTTATCATTTGACCGAAGACATTTCTCGACACGCGGTGGCGAAAGATTTATGGTGCGACACATGGAGCACGGCTTGAACCTCGTTCTACGAAGGAATCAGGTGCTCGCTCGCTTTGGCACACGTTGGGAGGATTCTGAGCAGGACATGATTGGTGGCGAGCATGAGAGGAGTGTTGCTCAGAACACAAGCGCTGCTCGTCTATCTCGAGCATCACATTCATTCATTCAGGTCGCAACAACGGCTATCTACGAGACAGAGAAATCCACATTCATTTCACACTGTATTCCTCAATTGCTTTCTCGAAAGCACCGTAGTTACAGGCTAATCAAGAGGAAAGCACGACCGGGATTGGTATTCTCCAGAAACGAGGCAATTAGGCTGCCACCTTCCCAGGTTTATATTGCGCTGTCATGCAGTTCCTTTCTCGGTTCCGCGAGTCTCCTTCAGTACCTCGTGCATTTTCATAAAATGCGAGCAGGCGTTGGGCCCAAGGGCAACCAAAGCTGCACATCCGAGATCATTGCGATGTCCTACATGGCGATCGTACGTCAGATCGAAAAGTGCAAAACACACACTTCTCCGCGGAGTTTTTTCTCAAGTTTTCAAAGGCAAGACTTCTGCTCGTCCAACCCATCGAATCCATCCGCCGTTCCATCCATATGTAACGACCGGCTCGAACGTATGCATTCGATGCCTCCCGGACGTTCGCGAACACCGAATAAGCCGGCAGAGAGAAAGGGACATGAGACCATCAATTCACAACATCACAGCGGAAATCATTTCCATCTTAACTTTACCACAACGTTCGTCTCGCGCGGAGGCATGACGTTCTCCCGACCACAACAGTTGCAATGTGACACATAGTATTGCCCATTCGTAGGGTTTGAGATGGCGTCTTCATTGCTCCCTCCAATTGTTGGAAGAGCTGTGAGAGTGTTTGACACATAGTATTCCCCATGGAAGAGCTTATGATGGCGTCTTCAACACTCTGCGGAGTTCAGGCAGATGGTCAAGTTGAGATCTCTGTACAGAGGAGATGTCTTTGAGGGGTTAACTCAGCGTCGTCTCTGTTGACTGATGTGCAGTCGTTATATGCAGTACTGATCAGCTGACAGGCCGTTGTGCCCAATCGCGTTTTTGCTTCCACTTCCTGTCTCGTTTGCAAAGTCGACAATACCCGAGCACGATCACGTCCCGGTCAGAGCCAGTCTGTATACAAACTGCAGTCTACGTGGTGAGATTTCAGAGCGAGTGTTGGCTGGAACAGGGTCCCGTTGTAGGACTATCGGCGGCAGAGCAGTGCCTTTTGACGGGTCCTACGATGGCGAACGCATACGAGGGAGACTGCTAGCATACGTTCATTGAACGGCACCAGTTCGGAATTTTCGAGGACCGTTTTCCACCATGCGTGACCTTGAAGCAGCGGCAGACCTCTCCGACGCCACCGCCCATCATGTAGAGCTCGCCCACGTCAAAGACGCTGCCCAACAACACACCCTTAGCATCCGTCAATGCCTACGCTACTTCTCACCACAATGGTTCACCGTCACTATGGGCAGCGGCATCACTTCCCTGCTGCTCTACGAGTTCCCCTACCAAGCTCGATGGCTTTACTGGCTCAGCGTTGCGGTATTCGCTCTCCACCTCGGCCTCTGCTTGTTGTTCGCTACCCTCACGATCATCCGCTTTGTGCTATGGCCGGACTTGTTTGGAGCTACGCTAAAGCACCCGGTCGAGAGTAATTTTGCTGGGGCGTTTGTTGTGAGCTTGTTGGGAGCGGCGAATATGGTCGCGCTGGTCTGTGCGAGTGCTTGGGGGAGTTGGGCTGCAGATTTGGGGTGGGCTGTGTGGATTGTAGCGAGTGTTATGGCGGGTTTGGTGGCTATTGGTGTTCCTTGGATGCATGTCGAGAGCTGTGTTCGAAGGTACTCTGCAAGCTACTCTGATGCAGGAGCTTCGATGGACTCGGTTCGTGAACACCCAATGAAGGCGATCGAAGGCATGACAGCAGTCCATCTACTGGCCCCAATCAGCACTATCGTCGCTGGCGCCACTGCAGCTACGGCAGCCTCAGCGGTAGCCGAGCCAGAGCGGGTCGCGGCTACGATCACTGTAGGATACGTTCTCTTGGGTCTTGGGTTGACCATCGCGCTCATAATGATGATCGTCCTCCTCTTTCGTACGATCATGTACGGCCTGCCGAGCCATGACTTGATTATGACGGGGTTTATTACGGTCGGCCCACCGAACATGGGCGCGGCAGCGTTCGTCTTGCTGGGAGAGTCGGCGAGGCAGGTGAATGTGGGCTGGCTTGGTGATGGCCAGACAGTGCGCATGATCGGTGTTCTGGTTGCTTTGCTGCTCTGGGGATTCGGATTGCTGTGCTTATGGTTCGCTGTTGGTGGAGTGGTTTATCATGTTCGAATCCCGCTCGAGATGAGGCGCCCTCCCGTCACCATGTGGAACAGCAGCACGATCTGTGCAGGAAACAATATACCTGCGATCAAAGTCACTCCAGCGGCACGGATCCAATTCAATCTCTCATGGTGGTCTCTTGTCTTCCCGCTCGGCACTTTCGCGCTCTCGACCTCTCACCTCGCTGCGGCCCTGCCCAGCGCATTTTTTCGTGTCTTTGGCGCGTTACTGTCGGCTCTGGTCGCTGTGTTATTCGTTGTGCTTTTGGCTCTGACGACATGGGACCTTGTGAGTAGGAGCAGTAGAGGGAGAAATGTGCTGCGGAGTCTGGCTGCGGAACAGCTGGATCGGCGGGAAGGGAGAGCCCAGAGGGAAATGAAGGAAGGTGGCCAGAGCGAAGGGGTCGAGCTCGAGGGAGGAAAGATGCGGAATAATGCAAGATCTGGATCAGAAATTCATATCGAAGCGGGACGTCCGAAGAGGAGATCGCAGCAGCGAGCCGAACCTGCCCGCCATTGCGGGTGTAGAAACTCACCATACCACCGTAAGAATGCTGTCGATAGAGCGGGCGCCGAGGGAGTACAGGACGAAGAAAAGCACGGGTCAGAGACATTAAGCGGGAGTGAAGGTACGACTGACAGTGTCGATACTATCACTTCGACGCGTGCTGCATGGATCGCGCAGCCCCGGACGTTGGACAAATAACGCCTTAGTTACGACCGATTCATGATTGTAATTGCAAGCAGTGATGAAGATGCTGAGTTGTTGTGTACATAGAATCCACGCAAAGGCCTCAGTCTTAAGCTGGATGGCACCACGTCTAATGCCAGGCTGAGCATACGGCATCGTGACAAATTTGGAGAATCGAGGTGACTATTCAGGTTTTATTGAAGCGTGCAGGGTGTGAATGAATATTGTTTGCTGTGTGGTAGGCGTCGAGGAGTGCAGGGGCGGTGGCGGAGTCGATCTGCCTCGTTAGCGGCTGCCTTGTCGCCTATCTTGCGGCCCACATGCCCGAGCTCGCCTATTCGTTTGGGGAAGGAACTTTGGGGAGCTAACGCACCTCCTGCTTCGATGTGTTGTCAAGCTGATCGCGGCTTTCCATCACTGTCATTTGGAATTGGGCAGGATGTGAAACTGCCGTGTTCGCAGCAGGCAGATTTCTTGCCACCCCAAAAATCCTCTCTACGAGCACCGCGCATCTGTGATTTCTGCAACAACCATGTTCCTGTCTGTTTCGTTTCCCAATCCCTACCCGCACTCTACGCTCTTTCTTCCATCTTCAGCGAGATATGCCACAGCTCCGCTGGATACTCGATATTTTCCCTCCATGATCGCCAACTCAGCTGAAACGATTCGTTTCATCGCGATGTGTGCATGGAGGGACATAGTAGGAATCAACCGTTCGCCCTACCATGACCGGCGTCTCGAGGCTGATGAGATTCGCTTGCTCAATGTCCAGCTCATCAATGACAACCTGGAACTCAGTACTGTGCGGCACAGTCTCACAGATTGTCCAGAATACCATGCCGTATCCTACGTCTGGGGAACAGCTCGCGCGTCCGTCCACGTGTCATGCAATCGCAACCCTCTGTCTATCACGCCTACAGCTTACGAGATGCTTCAACACCTCTGCCGGGGTATGAATGTTGTACGGCGGCTGCCTTTGTGGATCGATGCCATCTGCATCAATCAAGACGATCCCGATGAGAAGAAGCTCGCTGTACCGTTGATGCACCAAGTGTTCTCCCAAGCCCGGGACGTTTTCATCTGGTTGGGACCTGCAATACCTCAGACGGAAGCGTTCATGCACAAGTTTGGGTCGGTATTCGAGCTGGCGGAGGAGCACGATTTCGCAAAAGCGGTCGAAGACGATGAGGGTTGGCCTTCCGACAATGATCACTTCTGGGCTGGACTGTTTCACATACTCAATCACGACTGGTTCAGACGACTGTGGACATTTCAAGAAGTCATTCTTGCGCGCAAGAGCATCACCGTCTGCGGAACCTCGTGGGTGGATCTAGATAACCTGGTGAAGTTCGTTGTCCAGGAGCGATTCCGGGGAAAATTTGCTTTACCTTTCAGTGCACTGATGTTCCCGGCAATCCTCGGAAGAGTAATCTCGCGTGGGGCGCTTGCAATACGATTGATCGTCATCGGAACCGCTCGCGGACGAAAGATTTGGGTGTGTCGGCGACAAGACTTCCGGCCTTGCTTTTTGACTTGCGTGCTCGCAGCGTCAAGGAGGCAGTAGACCGAGTGTGGGCAATCTCTGGTCTATTTAATGAGGATCTCCAGAAGCAGCTGGCTCCCCTAGTTGACTACAGCGCTTCAGGTCGTAAGGACTACTGGCGGACTCACGTCCGCTTTATGCAGACCCTTCTCGTGGAGACTCAGTCGCTAGGTATGTTATGTATACCTCCAACGATCGAAACGAAAGCCCCAGCTATGCCTTCTTGGTGTCCGAATCTCTCAGGGAAACCGGCGTGTTATATGTACCTCGACGCGCTTTGGGATCGAGCTGTGAGCCCTCGGCTTGCTGCCAACCTTCCGGGCATGGACAGCGATGACGACGCGTGCTCACGAAGGAGACGTGATATCAAGTATCATCCTCGAAAGCACATCACGACTGACGACAAAGGTGGCCTGCATGTGCGCGGTTTCGTTGTGGAAACCATATCTGAAGTGGTCGAAGATGAACGACTGTTCGGTGCTACTAAGTACATGGACGATCTGGGTTGGGAGGCATACAGTCTTGACAATCCTACACATATCGCAGCCCTGGAATGGTACTCCAGAGGCCTCCGGCTTGCCCGTCGTGTTCTTCATGGGTCAGACGAGGGAGCAGCTGGGATTCCCCGAGAGTACCTCATGGCTTTCTTCGTCAATCACCGTCTCAGAGACGAGGCAGAGCTTGCGTATCGCGATGCACTGACTGTCGTGCAGACCGGAGACTTAGATCATATTCTCAGCCTTAGGGAGACCTCTAGGTATGAGCTTGCAAGACGATGTATGACGCAACGGAAAGCCATGTGCGGGCACGCCTTCTTCAGCACCAAAGGTGGTCGTTTCGGTATTGCGCACCCTGGGGTGAAGCCTGGCGATCAAGTCTGCGTCTTCTATGGGGCCGAGCCGTTGCACATTCTGCGCAGGCCTGCACCGCAGCAGACTGACAACGCCAACGCGGCCCATGACAGTACTGCTGCTGCCGCTCAGTTCATTGGCAGTGCGTTCATTCCGCATCTCATGGAGCAGCAGCTGTCGGACACCGCTCGTCTAGGACCCGATGAGATCTTTCTCATGAGATGACGAGCGAAGAGCACGCAGTCGGACAAATAGCTGAGACACAGTACACGAGTAGCAGGAGAGTTGTCATGCGGAATCTGGTAATGGGATTGTAGTTCCTCGACAAGTGCTCGGTCATCCACAGAGCCCTCCGAGGGCAGGCGCCTCGGTAATGCGCAAAGTTGTTGATCCGCCTGCCTCCATCTATACAGTCCAAACCACAACCCGTCCATCAACACCACTCGTGCTGAACCTCTTCACCTGACCACCACTACCCACATCATACGCCCTGATTGTGTTGATGGTATTCTGATGGGTCGTGTTCAGCTGCGTATCGTTCTTGTTGCTCTTTCCCTTCAGATCCATCTGCTTGAACATCTGCAGCGCTGACTCTTCCTTCGCGATCCCCGGACCTCGCTGCTGCTCGACAGTGCCACTAATCTGCCATCCAGATTCGTCGCCACGGAACTTGAATGCCTCGCAGTCGTATCCTGCTGCGATGATCTCCGTTTCCGAGGACCAGATCAGCGAAGCGAACGGCAAGAGCTGCGTACTGATATTGATCATAGCCTGCGGCGGAGCTTCCGGACCAGCCGGACTCGGATACACGACCGTAATACTGCTGTCATGACTGGAGAAGGCGATTGCATTACCGCTCGGCGAAAAGCATACGCTGTGCACCCATCCGGCAGCATCATTGAGGTACTCCCCACACACAGTATTGAAAGGCAACCTCTCACCCCACACACTCGCCTCAGGCCGCTCGTCTACCCCCTTGACAAACCCCGAAAACACACGCGCGTGACTGTCGGTCGATCCTGCCGCCAACAACACAGAGTTGGGATGCCACGCAAGCGAAGTAATGGTGCTGCGAATCGGCTTCTTCAGATGCTTGGAAACCCACCAGTCGTTCTCCTCCTCGAAATAGCAAACAGCGATGAGACGGGCGCCGCTGCCGACAGCGAACTTCTTCTCGTTGGGGGACCAGCGGACGAAGGTGGCGGCGCGGTTGATGCGGAGGAGGACGAGGGTAGGCTTAAAGGAGCCGTTGACTAGTTCCCAGACGTAGGCGTTGCGGTCTGCGGAACTCGTCAATACACGCTGCTGTGGTAGGGGAAGAACTGGTGAAGGATGGGAGAGTACGTACCCTGCGAACAAGTAACGATCATGCCACTGTTCGGCGCAATGTCCACACCGGTGACGGTCTTATCATGGCCCTTTAGCTCATCTTTCAGGGTGAACTTGTTGCCGGACTGAGCGTAGAGTTCGACATTGTTGTCGCGGACTACGGCTAGAGTGCGGCGGTCGGCGGAGAAGGAGTGGTCGGCGATGGGGGCGTGGAAGAGGTGGTGGATTTCGGGAGCGGCCATGTTGGTGGTTGGAGCGATAGGAGTAGCTCTCTACTATCGCAGTGCTGGGTGGAAGGAGAGAAGGTGGTGTGAGAGAAAGCGTTCCAAAGATGTCGATGGTGGGATGCCTGTTGGACAAGACGTAAGTCATACGGTAGGCAGTTCGGCAAAGACTGCAAGTACGGTCGACTAAAGCTGCGGTCTACGCAAGTTCCCTCCCCAGTTCTTGCTCCAGGGATGCCCGGTCCCTGCGATGCGCGGCTGACCTCGCCCGCGTGCAATGGCGCAGGTGGACTTCCGAATTCTGCCTTCCCAATATTGTATAATCATAGTCTGAAACCGCGACACAGTCCACTCTCTCTCGCCGAATATTCCAGCACAGACTAAGCACTGGGCACGGCACAAGTCCCGACGCCAACGCTCCCGCTCCACCACGCCGCGCGGTCTCCGAAACCCGTCGTCCTCTGATGCATCAATGACCACAATTGTCTCGGACAGCAGTGACCCGGGAGGGAGCGAACCCATTCTTACACCTTCATCATTAGCCTCTCCCAACATCCCTCCGAAGCAGAAAAGCGTCCCCGATGAAGAAGACGACTCGGGCATGGCATTGGCGAGAGGACGTTCACACACTCCCTTATTAGCACACGACGACAAGCACGAATACAGAGGACGACGCACATCTCCCGCCTTTCCACGCAGCATGGAGTCCTCCTTCCACACCACGCGCACGGCACGTTCCGTACAAACGCTGAGGAGCGTAAGCCCAACATACGCCCAACCAGAGAACCTTACACGGCGGAAGTACTACTACGCCGGCTTCTTCCTCGTGGTCTCGCTTATCTCTTTCGTCGTCCAGACCGAGACAGCTGTCTACATCCAACACGAGCTACATTGGGACAAGGCGTACTGTATGCTATGGCTAACTCACGGCTCGTGGATATTCCTGTGGCCGACACAATTCATCATCCTGCGCATTCAAAAACGGAAGATTACATTCGACAACTTCTGGCGACGGCATATTGAGATTCTGCGGACGACGGCTCAGATGGTGCAGTCGCAGTCTCTACATCCGTCACCCACCACAACACCTACCAATCCTTGGATCTACATGGCCAAAGCGACCGCCTTCATCACCACCTTCCTGACTGTTGCTGGCGGAAGCTGGTACGTCGCAGTCAACCTTACATCTCCTTCCGATTTGACCGCCATCTACAACTGCTCCGCCTTCTTCGCATACGTCTTCTCGATCCTCTTGCTACACGACAAGCTGCGACTGGACAAGATGATCTCCGTGTTCCTCGCCATCATCGGAGTACTTGTGGTGGCATACGGGGATGCAGAGGAGCCAAAACATGGCAGCCACTCCGGTGGCGCGACAAACCCGAATCAGGATCCAGGAGACCTGCCACACTCCAAGCTCTTCGGGAATCTTATCATTGGAATCGGCAGCGTCATGTACGGTCTCTACGAAGTGCTCTACAAGAAATACGCGTGTCCGCCCGACGGCGTCAGTCCAAATCGCGGCATGATGTTCGCCAATACGTTCGGAAGTATGGTTGGCCTCTTCACTCTCAGTGTGCTGTGGATACCGCTTCCGTTCCTACATTTCACTGGCATCGAGCCATTTGAGCTTCCTCGTGGGAAGACCGCCATGCTGTTGAGTGTCAGCACACTTTCCAACGCTGTCTTCTCCGGCTCGTTCCTCATCCTAATGTCCTTAACCTCGCCAGTCCTTTCGTCCGTGGCGGCACTGCTTACTATCTTCCTCGTTGCGGTCACAGATTGGCTGATCACCGGAAAGCCACTATCAGGGGCTGCCATTTTAGGAGGCGGACTGATCATCGTGGCATTCATCATGTTGAGCTGGGCGACGTATCGGGAGATGAGTGAGGAGGCGGACAAGCGGGCTAAAGAGGATGAGGGGAAGTACATTGATGAAGAGGAGGAGCTAATGGGCGGTGCAGGAGTGAGAGATGGGGATGAAGATGAGCTGGGGAGAGGGAGGCGGCGAAGTGATGACAGCTAGGAGCATGTCGCCTTCGAGATGGCGACTTTGGGTGTTGATCCTGGATCTGTATAAAAGCTGAATAGAATTGCTTGCTTCTTCAGTGCTGTGTGCACTGTTTCCAATTTAAAAGTCACGATCGATTCACGTGATCAGCAAAAGAAGCGCGGCGCCGCCGCCCCATCGAACCCCTGCTCAAGGCCTAGAATTGGTATGATTTCGTTATCTTTGGGTGGGGATTTTGCGGCGAACTCGACCGGGGTTTCGGGCCTTGGACTCGAACTTCGAACTTCGCTATCTTACTCTTGCTCACCTCACTTCGTCTTTACTCTACACTCACAACAGCCTCTGCTCAACGCCGTATACCTTCCACAGTCGTCTTAACGCTAGGAAATACCTCTCGACGACATCCACTTCGCTGCCGCATCCGCGCAAAGCCTCAGTCGATCTATCCGACCCCCACAGCGAGCATGCGCACGAACCACTCGACATCCGCGCCTCGGTAGCCCAGCCTTCGCCCACGCACACCACCACAACCATGTCCGCGAGCGCCCCCTCCGCCAACAGCCTCCCAGTACGCACCCAACGCTCCGTCTCGATTCTCTCCCCCACCGACGCAAAACAATGGACACCCCAATCCTCCTCATCCTCCTCGCACTCCCCAACCAGCGGCTCTCTGCACCCTTCCGAACAGCCCACCTCGTCGGGCATATCCAACATGAAGAATCTACGCACCCGCGTCGTCGACTCCTTCCGGCGGGACCCCACTGCGAGCTTGACGCGGAACACGAGTGTCGGACACTCGACGCATAATGGTGACTCGAGGAGGGGGAGTCGGAAGGGCAGTGGAGAGAGCGGTGGTGATAAGGGTGATGGTGGGGATGAGGAGAGTGGGCCGATGCATCTTCCTAAGGCGTATGATGTCGAGCAGGCGACGGAGGCGACTGCGGCGAGTCCGTTGTTGAGGCAGTTGAAGGGAAGGCATTTGCAGAGTATGTTCTCTCAGGCTTTTGCGGTCCATCTCTCCGTTACTTTGTTATGGAGCGAGATCTTATCTTCATGCTCATACTGACTCTGCGGCAACAGTGATAGCAATAGGCGGTTCCATCGGCACGGGCCTCTTCGTTGGCTCAGGCAAAGCGCTTGCGCATGGTGGGCCGGCGTCGCTGGTGATTGCGTTTAGTCTGATTGGTATCATGATGTACTGCACAATGCAGGCGTTAGGAGAGATGGCGGTGTTGTTCCCTGTTGCGGGCAGCTTCTCGGCTTATTCGAGCAGATGTGAGTACTACTTTTTTTATCCTTTTGGTACAATCGTGGTGCGTTCGTGGGCGAGCCCAGGATGCGCGTGGCAGAGGGCGGTAGCAGATTTACACAATCTGGCTTCATTGCTACGGATAGTGGGTAATGTTACGGCTATTTGAAGGTCCGAGTTGTTGTTGTTGCGGTCAGAAAAATCCGTGTCTGTGCGTCTACGGCACCTTGCAGTTTTCTGCCGCACAGCACAGACCTTCCATCCACATGTCTCGGAACGGATACCTGCATCACACCCCATCCCACTGCAGCCCTCCGCCGTCACACCGCTTCGTCACCACTCCTCCCTCCTGAACCCTCTACTGACCATGTTCTGCAGTCCTCGACCCAGCCTGGGGCTTCGCCATGGGCTGGAACTACGCCATGCAATGGCTGGTCGTCTTCCCCCTCGAACTCGTCGCCGCCTCCATTACCGTCGACTACTGGGTCCACAGCACCTCCCTCAACGCCGCCTGGATCACAATCTTCTGGTCGTTGATCGTCACCATCAACTTCTTCGGCGTCAAGGGCTACGGTGAAGCCGAATTCGTCTTCTCCATCGTCAAAGTTACCGCTGTCATCGGCTACATCATCCTGGGCGTGATTATGAACATCGGCGGCGGACCAGAGGGAAGCTACATCGGCTTCTCAGTCTGGGACCGCGACGGGGCATTCAAGAACGGCTTCAAAGGTCTATGCTCCGTCTTCGTCACCGCCGCTTTCGCCTTCGCTGGCACCGAACTCGTCGGACTGGCGGCAGCTGAAACCGAGAACCCGCGCAAAGCCCTCCCCACCGCGATCAAACAGGTCTTCTGGCGCATCACCCTCTTCTACATCGTCAGCTTATTCCTCGTCGGCACGCTAGTCAGCAGCAACGACCCACGCTTGCTTTCCGCCTCGTCGAGCGCCGACGCCACCGCATCCCCATTCGTCATCTCGATCGAAAACAGCCTAATCGCCGGCCTCCCAGGAGTAATGAACTGCGTCATCATGATCGCCGTCCTCAGCGTCGGCAACTCTGCCGTCTACGGCTCCTCACGCACCCTCGCTGCCCTCGCCGAACAGCGCCAAGCACCCCACATATTCGCATACATCGACCGCAAAGGCCGACCCATCGTTTCCATCCTCCTCGCTAGCTGTCTGGGCTGGCTGGGTTACTTCGCGAGCTCACGCTTCCAGCAGACTGCGTTCGACTGGATGCTGGCTATCTCCGGACTGAGCTCGATCTTCACTTGGGGGTCCATATGTGCGGCACACATCCGCTTTCGTGCCGCGTGGAAAGTGCAGGGCCATACGCTTGATGAGTTGGCGTTTATCTCGCCGATTGGCGTTGCGGGGTCGTATGTCGGGTTGATAACTAATATCTTGATTTTGATAGCGCAGTTCTGGACTGGGTTTGCGCCGGTGGACTATGAGGAGAAGTCGACGAGTGAGAGGATCGAGGGGTTCTTTCAGGATTATTTGGCTGCGCCGGTCGTGGTGGTGTGCTATATTGGGTATAAAGTGGTGTACAGGACGAAGGTGTTGAGTGTGAGGGATATCAATCTGTATACGGGGAAGCGGGAGATGAATGTGCGGGGGTTGTTGGCGGAGGAGAGGGTTGAGAGGAGGGGGTGGCCGAGGTGGAAGAGGATGTATAAGTTCTTTTGCTAGTCACGGTCCACACAAGGCTTGAGCAGGAGTTCGCGTGTGGAGCTTGTGGGTGTATGCGGAAGGTTCATTTGCTGCGTTCGGAGCGATATGTGTGGTTCTTTGCGATGTTGATGGTTGATCTGAAGATTCAACGGGTCCGGAGCGACATCCGGAGCCTTTGGTCTGAACACAGCGACTCTGGACATATAAGACCTATCCAAGAGATCTATCTATACGTCACCCACCCACGTCGCCATACACTCCATAAGCGTAGATGCGATCCACCTCAAGATTTAGTCAAGTCATACTGAGAATGGTTATGCTTAGATGTATCAAATATCAAAGAAGACTGCCTCACCTGGTAGCAGCGAATACTACCACGGCATGGCAAGTGGAGTGGGTGGTGTTCCTCGCTGTTCGGGCGAGGAAAAAAGAAGACGAGGGCGAAGCAGGTATTCATAGGCCGAGCGACAAACTGGAAATCCGATACAAACCGAAATGATCACTTCACCAGGTACTTCACTTCGATGAGGAGGTATTCACAGTGGCTTGCCTGACTCAGGGCCGGCTGTTGCCTGGTGTTGACCGGTTCACGACTCGCTTCACTGATGGAACAGATACTGATAGAACCTTCAAAGAAGTCTCAATGCATGCTGGTTCGGAGCCCATGGTTACACTACCTAAGGGCCGCTCTACTCAGCATTGTCCTATGGTTCCGGCTCTGCTTTCTGTCTGCCCGCAAGCTTCTGCCATCATCTACACTTGACGATAGCGCCCTTGTACGAATGCCGTCTACGAGCCCTGGACATCGATGAGAATCTTGACGTGTTTATCCTTCTCGTTGATCAACCTGCATGCTCACCATATGTCAGCCGGCCGTTAAGCCACTCACGCCATCCTAGGACGACTAGTCTCCACACAGAGTCGCCTCATGTTGCCAACGGCAAGGTAGAGACAAGAGCCAGAAAGTCTCGAAAGTGGAAGGGAGGAAGAGCACTTACGCATTATACCCATCCTCAACAACCCGATCAACCCTGATCTTACTCGTGATCATCTTCGTAGGCTGTAATTTCCCATCGCCCAGAGCTTTGACGACGCCAGCGAAGTCCTTCTGGAGGTAGCCGAGCACTGCGCAGTAGCATATTTGTCAGCTCCCTTCCAAAGAATGTGCAACCTAACGTGTAGACGCGGGCTCAAGGCAGGGGTGTCTACGCCCATAAGCCCGCCTGAAGACGCGTGCTGAACTCACCAGCCTTATAACTCTTCTCCCCAAACACAAACCAATTCGGCTGCACCGGCACCTCTTTCTCCCAGATCGCAACATTCACCACCGTCCCCCGCACCCTCACCGCCGCAACCTCACTCTTGATACTCGCAGCCACACCCGCACAGTCCAACGCAACATCCACTCCCTTCCCACCCGTAATCTCCTTCGCCTTGCCCGCCACATCCTCCTTCGTCGGATCAACAATATGCGTCGCGCCAAAATGCTTCGCGAATGCTTTGCGCTCAGCCGCCACTTCCGCCACAATAATCGTCTCGGCGCCACGGGCCTTCAGGCATTGGATCACACTCAGCCCGATCGGTCCCGCGCCTAGCACCAACGCTGCGTCACCCTTCCGCAGTTCGTACTGATCGACTGCATGCCACGCGACCGCCAACGGCTCGACGAGCGCGCCAACATCCAAATCGACATTGCTGGGCAGCTTGAAAGCGAACTGTGAATCAATGCACACGAAATCGCTAACACCACCACCGCCACCACTGAGCCCAACAAACCCGCCAGACGAGCAGATGTTGATAGCAGATTGGTCGCACGCGTCACACCCCGCATGCTTCCCCTGACTCCAGCAGCAGAGTGTCGGTTGAACAGCGACTTTGTCGCCTACCTTCCACCCATCCTTAACCTCAGAGCCGACTTCAGTGATCGTCCCGGAGAACTCGTGTCCGACGCCGACAGGGGCTTTCTCGCCGGTCAATGGATGAGGGGTGTCGATGGGCACAAAGGTTGCGGTACTGTATTCGTGCAAATCGGTGCCGCAGATGCCGACGAAGGCGGGCTTGATCTTGAGCTGGTGCGGTTGGCATTTGGGTTCGGGGACGTCGGTGTCGACGCGCAGGTCGCCTGGGGCGTGGTAGCGGAGGGCTCTCATTCTGGTCGTAGTCGGGGATGTTGGGCGAGGTCAACAGTTGTTACCGATATACAATTGCTAGTCGTGGATAGCTGTCGGACGTGATGCCGATGACGTTGAGATCTGGATGTCGTAGTTGGGAATTGACAACGTGCCTTTCGACGATGATGCTTTTGATGCAACGATTCAGGGGGGAACGAGTGCAAGCAATGACGATACTTACCTTGCGAGAGAGAAAGACACTTGACCTACCTGCTTAAAGCATGTTCATGACGTGCAGCTTCCGCCGGTCATCGCAACGGCCAAATGGAGGAGGTCTTACCAACCGGAGCTCGATTGCTCTGAGTAGGTGTGAACAAACTTTGCGGGGAGATGGAGGGACACGTTTTCGACAGGGGAGAAAGGATGGAAGCTACGAGGGGCGCGCGGTCGTGTTTCCGCTCCAACGTTCCATCAGCAACTGCGTGGCTGTACACGGTCGTGATATCTGCGGGCAGACGGTATGCGTCTGTTGTTGACACCGAGTCCGCCATGGTATTGTGTAGACAGAAGCTCGATGAGTTCCTGGATCGGAAGATGGCTTGTAAGTCGCAGCCAATCACATTGCCCGTATTTGGCAGCTTAATGTGACCGGGAATCGAATCGCTCCTTCGACCAACTTCGAGCAGTCAACGTGCTTTGCGTTAGCAGCTAAATATTTCTGCATTATCTTTCAGCTGTTGCAGGCCTGGAGCTGCGAGTTAGGCTCGTCTCTCATTGCGACTTTCGATTTGCTCGGTCGTTCTGGTGCACTGGAGAGGCGGTCGGGTCGTCGAGGCCTTCGTTGACGTGTTCTTGTCTCCAATACTCATTGCCTCTTGATCAACACAGCACATCAACCCAAGCCGATGGGTGCGACCGTAAAATCAGAGAGCTTACTGACAAATCGAAGAACGACGAGGAGTACATGTAGCCTCTGTGATACAGCCTTTGTCTTCAAGATGAAGTATCGCCCCATCTCATAGCAGTAGGTGCTAAGCAGACATGGCACCATCGCGGCCATTTCGCAAGCTTGTGACGAAAGACACAAAGAAGTCGAGGCAATGGCAGCTACTTATAATCATGGTATATAGCAACTACCCGACGCGAGCCGAACTCGATAACTTCACTGGTTCCAGGAGGCATTGACTGTGCGTTGCATGATGCAACGTCGGCTGTTGCCTGCTGCCTGCCCCGATCTGGTTGAAGTGCCGCTGCCACTTCAATTGCACTTAAGTGGCAGGTCAAGCAAGAGCGAGCAACCATTGACCTTTATTCGGCAAATATGACATCCATGTGGACACATTTACTTCGTCCTCAGTTCCAGCTTACAAAGCGAACACAGCACCAACGGCGACTACACAAGCCATGACTCTTGCCGCGACGCGGACCTGGCCAGCAGACGACCCAGCAGTGGCGCTCGAACTCGCGCTGCCAGAAGTCGAGCTTGGAGAGCCTGACTCTGACGCCGTCTCCGAACCATCGCCGCCAGCGCCGATCCCAAGCGCCTCAAATACAGGCTCCCACGGATTCGTCTCCGTATACTCTCCCGCGACCATACAAGTACCCGGCGTTGTGTCCGGCATCTTGTTTCTCCAGCCCAAACTATTGCTCGGACCGTTCGTGGCATACTCTCCACTGACCTCGACTTTACCACTCACAGCATCCGTCCCCATCACAGTCCTCTCCCAAATCTTGCTCACCGTCTCAGGCGCATAAGCGCTGACACTATGGCCCGCATTCATCACCCTGGTGAAACTGAACTTTCCAAATTGCTTCACCAAAGCTTTGAGACCGCTCTGACCCTGCATCTCTTCGTACCCGGCTTCGACAAATCCTTGCTTCCCGTCCCACTCCGCTGCCAGCGCAGTCATCGCTCCACCCTGCCATGGACATCTGTAGTCGCGATCGCCGAACACGAAAGCTACCTTGACGCCATCCTGCAACAAGTATTCAATGTTCGGCAGGCCGTTTTGACGGATCGTGTCTCCGGAAGTGGCATTCACAGGTAACGTCTGTGTGAGGCCGAAGTTGGAGCTGACGATCGAGGAGACGTAAGTGAAATTCAAAGGTACGCCGAGAAGGAGCTGCGTGGTGGCGTTGTTAAGGTAGGTCTCGACGGGGAGATAGTGATCGCAGGGTGGGAAGGGAACAGCGGATTCAGCTGTGTCGAAGGCCCATCGCTGTGGAGGATGTCAGCATAGATACTGTTATTTGTGGGAATGGAGAGATATTTACCTCATTCAAAGCAGGAAAAGCACCAATGATCGTCTCCTGGCACAATCCGAAAGCCTTCATACAGGCTTCGTTGACGGTTGCGTTGTTGCTCTCGAATGTGGGATCACCTTCCAGACCGACAGCGCGACATGCTTCAATGGCGTCTCGACAGCCGCCTTCCATCGTGAAGTTGGTCAGCGCTGCCTCGTATTCGGCATCAGTGGCATATTCGACGTCGTACGTGTTGTTGTGTGCGTATTCGGCATAGCCCAGGATGCCAGTGAGCTGATCAACGCAGCCGTTTGTGATGCCGATAGAGTCGACTCGGTGTTGTTTCAGTGGATGACCGTCGTCGAGCTCCTTCAGGTTCTTGACAGTTTGGGCGGCGAATTCAGGCACATAGTATCCGCCCCAGCTGTTGCCGATGATGTTGATGTCCTTCGATGTCGTGTCGTAGGCCGGGAATGAGGGCAGCAGATGGTCGATGACATGCCACAAAGCACGACTGGCCTGGACCGTATTCTTGACAGTGAGGTTGAACGACTGATCTGGAAAAGTCCCATACCCAGCGACGAGGTTGGACGGCGGTGGCGGAGATGCGGCATCGAAGTCCTCTAGAGGTGCTACAGCGCCTCCAGTCTCGGTCAACTCGTAGGTACCGTTGATCAGCTTGCTGTAGGAGAAGCCGGCATCGAGAGGTTGGTCAAGGTAGAGCATATTGAGGTAGTTGTTGAAAGACCAGGGATTGTCAATCGTGTCCGTTCCATCGGGATTGACGTAGCATGGACCATTCTCGCTGGAAAGAGCGGAGTATGTAGAGGCCTCCCCAGGACCACCGGCGAGGTATATACCCAACGGCGCATTTGACGCGTCTTTGCGCGATTCGAAGTACAGAAAGAAGGTATTAATGTCGAAGTCTCCAGCATCAGGAGCGGAGCCAGCCGGGATGTGAACGTAGCCACTATACGCCTTGACTCCGGTAGTATGCTCGCATACTGCGGTCTGCGGATGAAGTTAATTGTTGGACATGAATTAGGAAGAAGTCGACTGTACCTGTTTGAAGGATATCGATGAGCCACTGCCGACCACGGACTCCAGGGCAGTCAGGTCAGTAGGCGTCGACGGGAACTGCGCTATAGAAAGGAACGGTAATGCTAGTGCTGCAATGAAAGCTCTGAGGGAAGGCATACTGGCGCAGAAAAAGTACGACTGTAACTGGGTTCAAGTTTAGCACACCTCCGCGAACGATCATACCATTTATACTGCTGGATCGCCACAAGCCTCCAACAATGTGACGGAGCGTTATACCAGATCGCGAGGTGATGAAGTCGCAGACCTACCACGCTGAGCCTGCGCCATGGTGTGCGCGTGAGACTCTAGTCTAGTCGCGGAAATTGCCTTGAGGCAGCACGGCAGCTTCAAAATGTCAAGACGTTGGTCACGAAAGTGCCATGAGGAGTCCTTCGGCTCTGTGCGTGGACATCGGCCAACTCAACGACATAAGAGAGCGTGCCTACGCTAGCGGCCGTTGTCCAATGGCTGGAAATAGACTGTCGTCTGGCACTAGCCGACAAGCAACGTGGTGCGAAGATGAGACTGAGCTGTCGACATGCGAAGATGGGTGATTGTCATTTGTGGTCATTCTCGAGGCCGCCCGCAGTCTCTGCAGTTGATGCAGGCACCTGGTTGTAAAGACAAGAGACCAAAGCAGCAACGTCACCCGTGCTAATCCCATCGGGCTAGAGGATTGCCAATATTTTAGTATCTTACGAGCTCGTCGCCCCCACCTTTGCCGACGCCCAACCTGCATCGATATGGACGTCAAGCCGCAAATCCTTGACTCCATCGTCGTCGGCCAGCGATCTAAGCTGCTCTTCCCGTCACAATGGCGGCGCGATTGCCTCCTTGATCATGAAAGCGTGCGACTGCCCACCATGCGTGTGATACTAATGCAATTTCCCTTTTCTTTGAAGCTCTTGCCAACTCCGTGATTCAGTCCTCTATCGAGCCGAATCAAGTCGTATCCACAGAGACCCTGTGTCTGTGTCCGTTGTCGGGCTAGTATCACACGAGCAGCAGTAAGCTAGATCCCATCCAGAGCCAGCCGCCGCCGCAGTCCTGGACGGAGACGCAGAGTATGCCACCGAAATCGAACGTGCCGATCAGAATTGGCGGGTCTCGCAACCGACTAGGATGCAGAACATGCAAGACGAGGCATGTCAAATGCGATCAAGCACATCCGATCTGCGATCGATGCAGAAAGGCCAACCGAGAGTGCAGCTACGACAACCCTTCTGCATCAGGCACGCCAATGACAACAGCGACGCCTCCTGTCTCCGTCTCACGCTCCAGTAGCAGCTCTCGGGAAGTTGCATGCCTCAAACGAACGCTCAACCCCCACAGCTACCACGAGGCAGCTAGCTGCAGTGCCATGCAACATTTCGTCACCGATCTGGGGAAGGAGCTTGCTGGATGCTTCTCAGACAAGCTATGGTGCGACACCCTTCCCCGCGTGGCACAGCATGAGCCTGCAATCTGGCATGGCATGGTCGCGGTCGCCAGTCTGGATCTGGAAATGCGTAAAAGGAGTGAAGCTCCTCCGACGGATGTAGCAATCATGCACTACAGCAGAGCCTTACAGGCCTTACAAGTCCGTCTGGAGGATCATCGGTCACCTCCAAAAGACGTCGTATCGCTCGCATGTGTAGTCTTTGCTATGTTCGAATTCAAACAGGACCACCACCAATCTGCCTTGCGACATATCTCCGGTGGCCTCAAAATACTGACTGAGTGGCTACGCGGAGGGCTCCGAGGTAATTCGTCGTCAGGTACTTACCTCGATCGGGCAAAGCTCCAGGGAGTGTTCCTGTGTCTGGACGCACAAGCCATCCACTTCGGCGTCAAGGACTTCCGGGAATTCTTTTCTGGGCCTGCATTGGACGACCACGTCAAGCTCACGGACTTCAGCAGCTTCGAGGACGCCCATATGTTCTTCAACCAGATCTTCCACCGCGCTTCCCATTGGATCAATTGGCTCGATCCCGTGACTGCTTTGGGAACTCGGCCAAGCGATGAGTGGATGGCGTCAGAAAAAGAAACGCTCAAGACACAACTCGCAGCATGGGATACAGCATTTGACCGCCTCGGAGCCACCGTCACTGCTCCGTACCATCTCTTGTTGGCGACCCGGAAGATCATAGAGATCGTCTTCGCGTGGAGCGATGATCCGTCAGATCCGCTGGGTTGGGATAAGTACCTGCCGGAGTTCAAAGAAGCGCTGTTCCATGCTGAAGCCTTTCTGTCCCTCACAGTCGAGTCACCGAAAGGTGACCCTGGTCGACCTACACTGACGGTCGCAATGGACATCGTCATGCCATTGTTCCTAATAGCGACTCGCTGCAGAGACACAGTTGTCCGCCACAAAGCGTTGAAACTACTGCAGACATGCAACCGCACAGAAGGAATATGGAACGCGGCACAGTGCGCTATTGTCGTGGAGCAGATCATCAAGATGGAAGAGGCAGCTGCACTCGAGCATGATGGTCACGTCCCTGCCGAGGCGAGAATGATCTGCGCCGACGTTGATTGTGTTGCCGACAAGGCGGCCATAGTCGAGATCCGTGTTCGTGACGAGAAGGACGAGCTCCACACCATGGGACTACCGCTCCTACTCGTCTAAACTAGCACAGCACACAGCAGATTTCTACCCACTCTCTTCCTTTGCTCCCAACCTCTTCGCCCCTGCAGCCCACACAATCCCTCTGCGGACCATATTCATGAACCACTCATCTGCCTTCACTGCCGTGCCTTTCATGATTGCTTCGAAAGCGGACAATAAATCCGACGAGATCAGCATAATTAGCCGGAATGACGGAGGCTGCCTCTACACCTCAACTTCATTTATCGCCACGGAATCTGTCGAAATACGATCGAACACCCTGAAAGCCCTCCCGGCGCCTGTTGCTAGATCCAACTTTTCAATCCCTTCTCGCGACGAACGGCCTTTCGCGTTCAGCGATCGCATAACCCGTCGACCAAAATGATGCCGGGTACCCCACACTCCACCACACGGGCAGCCAAGCCTCAGCCGCAACTCCACCTCCTGCTCTACACCCGCTGCACCGGCTACAAGCACACTTGCATCCCAGCCGCCGTGACCGCCTTCCAGAGCCTCGGCCACCACACCGTTGTCACTGAAGACCCTACAGTTTATTTCCGCTCCGCTGATGCCCTGACCGAGAACTTCGACGTGGTGGTCTTGCTACATTGTATCGGCGATGACATCTTCACCCCCACCCAGCTAGCCTCCCTACGAGGCTTCCTCAACGCCGGCGGCGGCGTAGTCGCAGTACATGGCGCCGCGGCTGCCATGACGGGGGATGAGTGGTACGGAAGGATGGTTGGGGCACACTTTGATAGCCATCCTGACCCTGAGCCGGGCATGGTAATCGTCGAGGAGTCGAGCGCCGGGCATGAGATTCTGGCCGGACTGGCAGGTCTCAGTCGGAAGGACGGGTGGGTGGATGAGTGGTATAATTTCCGGAGGCACCCGAGAGACAATGCCAATCTGAAGATCTTGCTGAGGGGGGATCCGAAGAGTTTCAAGGGTGGGAAGATGGGCGAGGACCATCCGTTGAGCTGGTGTCAGGAGTTTGAGGGTGGGAGGGTGTGGTTTACGGCGTTGGGGCATTTTGATGAGGCGTATGAGGATGAGTGGTTCATGGGTATGGTGGAGCGGGGGATTGTGTGGGCTGCGGCGGCAAAGCAGGCAGGCATAGGCGGAGGAAGGTAGTGGCCGGCCGCTCGGGCAGGAGAGCGCGACGGAAGGACAGACACGCGGATCGGCGACGATGGTGGCCATTCAGATTTCCCGTTGCGCTTGTTGGGGAGGGCCTTGGTCCGGTGAGGCGAGGAATTTGCAGGTCGCCGCAGCCATACAGAAGTGGGTCAGGTATGCTATGTGTATTCGTGGATAGTGTACATGCCATACCCAAGGAGGTGTTCCTGCACACGTTGAAGCCACATAGACTTCCTTGCGGTATAACACCCAGACTCCAGGTACCAGCTCGGATCGATCGATACTGTACCCGCTTCATGCGCTACCATCCGTACGCCTACATTCCGCTACCTCACAACTTCATCCCCAACGCCTTATGCACCTTCATACTCTGCCTCACACTCAAGTCCAACATGATCTCCTCCGACCCGCCCGGAATCTTATACGCCAACGTATCCCGATACAGCCTCTCGACCTTGGCACCCTGCCCACCACGACTATAAGCCAAGCCACCAAAGATCTGCGCCGCCTCCTTCGTGCAGAATTCAAACGTCGTGGTCGCTTGAGCCTTCAGACCCGCAATGGCACCTCCCAGCTTCAACATCGCCTCCGTCTCGCCCATCATCTGGCATTGGAAGACCAAGTTCTCTAACCACGCATAACTCGACTCGATTTGTCGCGCCATGTGTGCCAGCTTGAGACGAATAACGGGGTGCTTGATCAGTTCCTGACCAAAAGTCTTGCGCTTGCTGGCGTACTTGACGCTCTCCTCGAAACACACACGTGAGAAGCGGATGCACTGGATGATGATCCCGATGCGCTCGTGGTTAAAGTTTGTCATGATGACCTGGAAGCCCTTATTCTGCTTTCCGAGCAGGTTCTCGACGGGGACTTTGACGTCCTCGAAGGTGATGTATGTCGTGCCGGAAGACCACACGCCCTGGCAGTCCATTCGTCGAGTGGAGACACCCTCGCCGCGTTCGATGAGGAGTAATGAGACGCCGCTCATGCCTGGTCCGCCGGTGCGTACCGCGGTGGTGAAATAGTCGCACCAGATGCCGTTGGTGATCCATTTCTTCTCGCCGTTGACGATGAAGTGCTTGCCATCCTCGGAGAGCTTGGTTCGCAGGTCAGATTGGCGACGTCGGAGCCGGCGTCGGGTTCGGTGATGGCTAGACAGATGCGCTTGTCGCCGGAGAGGATGCCTGGGAGGATGCGTTCCTGAAGAGACTTCTTGCCGTATTTTACGACCGGAGGACAGCCGATGCCGAAGCCGCCGATCAGGTTCCAGACTAGGCCGCCGGAGCCGGTGCGGGAAATCTCGTCGGTCAAGAGCATCTCGTGGAATAGATCCCACTGTTCGGGAGGAACACTCTTGACTCGCTTGTCGGTCAGATGTGTAGGGTAGTGGACGCCTAGCAGACCAGCAAGGTAGCCGCGCTCACCCATCTGTTTGTAGATCTTCTCAGGGACGTTCTTGCCCTCATCCCACTCAGTAACGTAGGGATCGAGTTCGGTGTCAACCCATTCACGGACTTCAGCTCGGAGGGCCTCGTGGGTCTTATTGACGTAGGGAGAGTGGTAGGACTGATACCAGTTGGGGTCGCTGTAGGGGATGAGGCTGCCGAACGTATCTAATGGTTCTGCATTCTCTGCCAGGGCGAGGAGATTAGGCTGGCCGACGGGTGCTACTGAGACAGTGCCGGATTCAGCAACTGGTTCAGCTTTGGGCTTCTCTGCAGGTGGTGTTGCAGGTGGCGTCGGAGGGGGCGCAGTTTGCTTCTTCGAGTCTAACGAGCCGACTTGCAGTTGTGACTTGTATTTCTTGAGGATGCTCTCGTTGTGATATTTCCAGAATTGCTTCGAGGCGTCTTTGCCGGCGACTCGTTGGAGGACTGTAAGGCAAATGTTAGGGGGCTGAGAGCACGGCGAGAGCATGGGACATACTTTTCTTGCCACCTGTTCGACTTGTTAGCTACATACTCGATAGATCTGTGACTGTTGATCTCACCTGGATGCTCGTCCTGGAACTTGGTCAGATCGTAGACATCTTCGTCGACCACAATGTATAAATCACTGGTCTTGTTGTGCGCTGCCACATCGGCATTGCTGAATGTCTTGGACATGATGAAGATCTATCTGCTACGCGTGTAAAAGGAACGACGAGTCACAGGAGACGTCTTTGAGATGTAAAGATGCGTGCGGCGCGAAAGAAGGAATTCGAAATCACCGAGTGCTGAGCCATGTGACTTTCAAAGTGTTTGGGAGCGCAGCAGAACTTCACATGTCAGCTCCGGGCTCAGGCTTCATCAGCTTCGCCTTCACGCTGTCCGCGTGCCTTTCACCTGACTCGAGCCCCATCGCTTCTTTCGGACACAGCCCCAGGAACAGCAGTACCCCGTCCGGAGATGAGGCATCCAAAATGTACACAATTACGGCTCATCCTATTGGCGTTGTAACGACGGAGTGGATTAGAACAGAGGTCACGTTCGCGGCTCAAAGACGTCACCCAGCCCCGGAGGCTCGGTATGCCTCGGCTTAGCATGTGCGTCGAAATTGGTCACCGAACAAGGGCATGCATGCGCACAGACATGGGCACAATGCCAGTGCCCGCTGAACATATCACTGCCGATCGTTCTGCATCTTCATCAACTCATCAACTCATCGCACGAACAACGTCGGTGCCTAGATCCGCTATTCTGGCCTCTTCAAACTTCTGAGGATATGCTCATCCGAGCACTCACTAGCCGCCCTTCTCCCCTCGCTCCTCCCTCCCGCTATCAAATGTGTTTGCCCGCTCTCGCATCCTCCTTCCCTCCATCAGACCTCTCAAGCCTCTCTTCTGCAGCCCGATAACAGAGCTCACATCTCCCGTCCACGGCTGCCTAGTGCCCTCCCTCCTCTTGTCGCCCACTCCGTCCTCGCCATCACCCTGCGTGCTTTCTGTGTCCGTCTGCGACAGGTCTGTCGTGGACGCTGACGCCGACGTCCCTGTCGACGCTGACTCCAAGGAGTCGGACTTCTTGTGCCCATTGACTCTGCCCGTGATGCCGTTCGGCTGCAACTTATCATCAGCGCCAGTCTTCGTTGTCCCATTGCTGTTGGTAATCCGCAGATTCGCAAGACTGCCTGCTGCGCCCCCAACCGTGGTTGCCTCGCTTTCCCGTCGTCCGAGGTTGCCGTATGCAGCCAGTCCGTCATTGAAGCCGGTGGCACGACCACCGCCAGCCGCCATAGCTGCAGCGTTGAAGACCGCGGCTGCGTTGCGGCCATCCAGCACTTCGTGAAGACGTTCCACGGTCGCTTCGAGAAGTCCATCAATTTGATATGGTCGCGCCATTTGCAGAAGTGAACACAAAGTATGCGGTGTACACAGTGGTGCACCCACGGGCGGCAAGGAAGATGTATAGAGGTACTGCAGCAGCAGTTGCAGAGTCTGGAACATGTGTGGTAGGTACAGACTTCGTGGACGATGCGAAGCAGGCACGTTGGTCGTGTTTGGCAACTCGATGGCAGGCACTGGTCTCGCCGTCGCCCGGCTGATCGAGCGTTGTGGATCCAGCAGTGAGTCGTGAGTGCCTAGTGATCCTGCTGGGCCGATACCATTGGCGACGCTTGGTGTTATGGTGATGGATGAGTTTCGGCTTGCGAGTGAGCGCGCGTTCGAGTGCAAGGTCGATCCATCGGATATCATAACACTCGCATTGTCTTGTGTCACAGCGGCTTCTGACATGAGTTGATTGAAGTATGGCCCCCATCTTCGGGCAAGAATGTGTGAATTGCAGGGAAGACGTTCGCCACCAATCGCCACCAGCTCCATGTCGGAAATCTCATTAAGCATCAAAGCGGCGTGACCAAGCTGCTCCGCTGCCGTCGTGTATGGTCTGCCGCCGCCTTGGAACGAACTCGAGTTGCTTTGTACAGATTGAGGAAGTGTAGGTGCCGACACTGACACGTAGCCAGATGTGGGCATCGTCTTGCGCGGGTTATCGTACAAACCGAAAGCTTCCAACTCGACCATGCAGACATGGCTGAAGTTGATTCGTCTATGGTTATAGTCATCCACAAGACTTCGCTCACGATGACCAAGGATGACGAAAGTGTTCCGCCGATTCCAGAGCACTCCACGATTCCAGCTGCCTTGCTCGAAGATGGACACGTTTGTGTCAATACGACCCCAAGTCAAGGTTTTCAGATCCAGAGCCCAAAGTGCATACTCGTGCTTGGATGAAGTGAGGTACGTTCCGCTGACGACAAAGTGGTTGTCCAGTATCCCGCCATTCGGGAAGCGGAGGCCAGGCGGCGAGTTCGGTCCTTGCATCGTCTTCTCGATCATCGTACCATCAGGCTTGCGGATCTGGAGCTCCAATTTCACGTCCAGGAAGTTGTAATTCGAGTACACCAGCATAGATGTTCCTGTTGCTTCACCATTTGGCTGGAACTGAGGTTCATCGAGAGGAATGTTTTGGCCCATCAAGTCTGCTGATAACCCAGTCATTGGTACGACCATGCTCTTGTAAGCACCACATTTCCTATCCCAGGTTGTAGCGCTCGTCCATTTCAGATTCCGCAGATTAAAGACATTGATTTGCTCAATGTAGTTGTTACTGCTATCCTGCCCACCCACAACAATCATCTCTGCACCACCAGTGCCATCCACTTGTACGCCCAGTGTGCCGGAGTTGTCCGACGTCGGAGGATTGTGATGTATAGCGGAGAGCGGAGCAGTGGCCGATGAGAACACGGCTGATGACGGCAAAATGGCTGCACAGTGGGCGTATCGTCCCTGCGGAGGAGGGTCTGCTGTTGCGATCTGTGTCCATGTTCTGGTCGTGACATCGTAGATGTGTATATCGGACATGACAGTCACTTCGGGCTGCGGTTCAGTCTGTGAAGCAGCAGGATTGCGGACTGAAGGAGACATTCCGCCATAGCACACGAGCTTCGTATCTCCAAGTGCGCATACACTGTGAAAGTATCGCGGCGGCGGCACATCCCCAAGAGCATCGATCTTCTTCCAGTGCCGCTTGATCAGATCCAACTCGAACAAGTCCGACGTCAGCTGTGGCCGCGACCGTGAATGTAGGCGGCCACCAAACACGTATAACTTGTCACCGAGAGTCGTAGTGGTCGCGCCTACGAGTGCATGAGGTTTCTGACCTGTCGTCCGATGCACGCTGCACACCAGGCCCGACAGATGAGTAGGCCCGACATTCTGCTGGTTCGTAGCTGTTGAGATTCCTACATTGCCTGACGGCACGGGGTCGCCCTGTTGCGACCTCTGTTCATTGCTGGCTTCTGACGCCAAGCTTACCTGGCTACTATTCATCCTCTGCGTAGGCTTGTCATCGATCTTGGACTTCAAGCGAAGAGGTGGCACAGTCAAGAGCGATGGATCCTGAATTTGTCGAGGCTCTCGACGGAGCACAGGTATGTGTGGTACTGGCGAACGTCCAGGAACACCTGCATCCAATGACTTCGTCTCCCGATTGAATGGATGTGCAAAGTCGGGGATGATTATCGGGACATGACGAGGTGACGTTGCTCGGCGGACAGCTGGATGTGGTGGAAAATGGCATGCACCGAGCGGCGGGAGTGGTGGAAGATCGTCCTTGCTACCGGTAGAGATCTCCGAGACGGTAGAAGTCGACTTATTCCACTTGAAACCAAGAAGTGAGTTGAAGATGTGATTCTCGCGTGGGTTGGGTGTTGGTGGCTCAGGATCGTCCTCTGGGGATGCAGGTTCTAGATGCGAAGTCTTAAAGTGGTTTGCGAGTCTTCGACTTGATGAGAGTGAATGGCTTGAGCTCTTGCTCCGTAGTCTAGCCATGGTCAGCGCTTAGCAGACGCATTACACGACTACGAAGATTGGAATTGCTGCTGCTGATGAGGGCCGCAAGAAGCACAACAGTCACGCATCGTCCGGATTCGGTGCTAAACCCGCCATTTTCTCGTGCGACTTGTCCAGACGCAATGAGTTCGCCAGTTTGCGGCTTGGTGGAGGAAGATCTCGACCCCTCATGTATTTGGGCAAGCATGATGCAAAGCGCCGACAGGCAGGAACGCATAGGCACAGAGGAGGCTCACCTGCGAACAAAGAATGTCTCGGGAAGGACTCTCGAATTCGACTGGATGTCAAGACTGTCGATTTACAGGACCAGGAATGCTTCCAGACTTAGGAATTCGGAAAAGGAGGGTCGTTGTCGGTATCGTCTTTATGTCTCTGTTCGATAGAGACCCTGGTATAAGTTCGAACGTGTTCTTGCTATGTTGTACAATCAACGCACGCGTCAATGATGATATCAGAAAGGGTTGCAGCGTCCTGTGTCACTCTGAAGCCCGTTGATGGGTTTCGTAAATTGAAGATGGGTCCGTCAGGCTCTAGAGCGGCTTGACCGCCCAAGTTTTCGTCTGGCCACGCCAAGAAACGCGAGAGTGGGAGGAATACGACCTTTCAAGCGACGCGCTGGCGACCTGCATATGCCGCTGTTGTAGCTCGGGAAGTGCCATTGGCTGTGACGAGTGGTGCTCGGCGCCATACTGCAATATTTTACGCGTATCTACATCGTGTCATGCGTGTGATATGTTCGAACGATGTATTCAATCACGTCGCGATTTGACGTACCATTGATGAGATGGAGGGGCAGAACTTAATCCCTGCAAGATGCCCAACGTGCTCGACTATCGAGCGATCACTTCAGAACTCGTTATGTCTCCATCAAGAGGAGCAGGTTTACTGTACATATGGACATCGATTGACATATGTTCATTCGCTGGCTGAATGTACCTGTATGGCCGCTCGTCGCTGAAGCAGCACATGCGCCTTTACGAGAATCTCGCGCAGGTAGACTATTTGCTTTCCCTTTTCCCAAAATCAAGTATCGTTGGTATGCCACGCTCAAGCAGCGCTTGTCTTGTCCTTTGGCAGAGGAGTTGTTCGCAGGTATGGCTTGATGATCTTGAAGTCTGGAAACAGCTCCTTTGCCTGCTCGTTCTTGACTGATGGGTGGACAATAACGTCATCGCCCGGCACCCAGTTGATGGGCGTGGTGACCTTGTGCTTGTCGCCGGTCTGGAGAGAGTCGACAATTCTCAGGACCTCAGCAGTGTTGCGGCCAGTCGAAGCAGGGTAGGAGAGAATGGTTCGGATGGTCTTCTTGGGGTCGATGACAAAGACTGAGCGGATGGTGAATGCAATGCCCTTGGAGTCCACGTTGGTAGCATCCTGCTGGTCCAACATGTCGTAGGCAAGGGCAACCTGTCTCTGCTTGTCGCCGATAATTGGGAACTTGAGGTCACTGCCACTGATCTCGTTGATGTCCTTGATCCATCCGCCGTGGCTTTCGATTGTGTTTGCTGACAGGCCAATCAGCTTGACGCCTCTTCTGGCGAACTCAGGTTCGAGCTTTGCGAAAGCACCGAGCTCAGTCGTGCAGACGGGAGTGTAGTCTTCGGGGTGCGAGAAAAGCACAACCCACTTGTCACCAATGAATTCGTGGAAGTTGATGGGACCATTGGTGGTCTCGGCATCGAAGTTGGGAGCAATGCTTCCCAGGCGCAGACTGTGGCGTGTGTTAGATGAGTGGTGATGGTCGCGTGTGGCAAGAGACAACTTACGGCTCAGGACGACCGACGGAACCCATGTTGGCTGTGTAGTGAAGGTGATGTGCGGTGAGTGTACTGGTACTGTGTGAGGCGGGTTGCGACGAACTCAGGGTGGGTGGTAGCCAGGTGACGAAGTATTTGTATGGCGATGGCGAGCACGCCAAATTTTGGGTCGAAGCCCTCCATTCTGATGACTATTTCCTTCTCCCTGGAGACTGAACTCTGGCAGGTGCAGTCAAGAGTCGACGCTCTTGCGTGTGAATGGTCTGAAATGGCGTAATTGCCAGATGTGGGGAATCTCGCACGTGACTTGACTGCAAAATCTGCCCGACAGCCGCTGAGATAACGGCAGTCGGCGATCATGATCCTGTCTCTGACGCCTGCTTTTTCCTGCTTGATTCTGGCTACTTCGATCCTCCCGTCTACCATCAAATCATGCTCTAGAAACAACGGCGGATAGCAATCACGCCACTCAGCTTACGTGCTGCTCCTGGTCTATGCCAGTGTCGGCTTGCCACGAAAGGCCACTACACTCCTCGCCGACCCATCTCGGCCTTCACCTCTCGTGTGAAAGAGGGCAACCTGCTTTAGGCGATTGACTGCTGATGCCATGATTCCAAGGCCAGAGGTATACAGGTATCAATGCAAATGGACTCGACTTCTGCGAAGATGTGAGTATTGCGCGGAAAGCCATGTACGGCGATCATTGGCGCGCTCGGCCTGCTTTATCAGCATCTAGCCATAAATGTAGTTCTGTCATCGACGCTCCCAGGCATGCTTACAGAGCATATTCATGTTATAGACGCCATTGAAAGGTGTCCATCGTCTTGGGTGCGAGTGTCATAGGAGTCACCTCGACCGAGGCAGAGATGATCCTCACCGCCAGAGACTCACGACGATGATGAGAACCAACCCTAAGGCTTGCGGCAACGACTGCCTGACGCTCGGGATCAGCCAGACTGATAGTCTTCGCTGTTTTCATCGTTTTGTTGGTCTCCGGGAAGTGTTGGTCGGTCTACACCTGTAGAGCCGTTCCTATCGTGACTGAGCAGCTCACAGGACCGTTGACAAATGCGTGTAGGGGAAGCAAAGAGAGGTCGAACAGGCTTCTGTGTTCAAATTGTCGCTGCTGTTTACTTCGGGAGCCTGGAGATAGCGACCGCCAAGCTGAGGCCTGGAGCCAAGTCAATAAATACTAATCAAGCAAGGGTTGCTTCTTGCCGCACAAGAGGTTCGCGTCTCGGGCTTGAGCAAATTATAGCCATGGTATTGTCAATAAGTGCTAACAACATCCCCGTGGGACTATGCAGTTCGGTCTATGCTCCCTCCTGGGAATGTTGCGTATGACTATGGACCGGAGAGAACCATGCTGACCGGAAGGACCGCCAAAGCACCTGCCTGCGGATCGTTACGATTGCGAAATATCACAATACGTCGCGGATGGTCCTAGCCGACCAGGCAACTTCACACGCAATGCTTTCTTGCCGCTGAGAATTCTCAGCGGCCTCTCTCGGGGAGGCCTCTGCACCGGAGGCTTCAATTCCTCGACAATAGCCGGCGATCGTCATTCCTCACTTGGGCGTCACTTTATCGTTGTTGATCAGTCCCCACAGCTCAGAAATCCTACCTTCAAGGAGGCCTCTAGGTAAACTTGGTCTGGCTGCGCTCTTTATTGGTTGCCATGTGCCAGCATTGATGTTTGGCCATACTGATAGAACACAACGTGCATAAATTTCACATGTACCCAAATCGGCTAAACGAAACGCCACGCTCGAAGCCGGAATTCTGCCAGAGCTTTCACGAGCGCGGCTCGTGTCCTGCCTCAAGCTATGCTGCCAGCTCGACAGCCAGCTCGGTGGCACCGGTGGCTCATAGCTGGTGCACAAGAAAGATCTTCAAGCGATCATATGCGCCATGGCTCTAAGATTGATCCACTCTGGCCGTCGTGATTGGGTGAGCGATTCATACAACCTATTTCGGCGAAGTGGCTTGGCTTACTAGCACCATGACAGGCAATGTGACGTCGATTCTGGTACCTCACTGCCTCGCCATGGCCAGAAATATCGTTCACGAAATCAGAAGTCGAGCAGAGGTTGCATTGACCATTGGTATAAGTACGGGACACGCTTGCTCGTCATGTCACAGTCTCTCAAGTTACAAAGTCCTCCCTAGTGCGCATAACATCAAAAAATTAACAACCACCATAACACCAGCATGGAATTCTCCAACGATATCCCTCCACCTTCTTACCAGGGCAAAGCTAAGAGCGACTACCGCGTTTTCAACGTCAACTACAAATGGCGGAAATCCCAAGGCCTTATCACCGAACCCGGTGCAGAACATCCCACCTATATCATTGATTGCAGCAACTGGAAGATGAGGTATCGGTTCCGCAGAGGTCCCTCGGTCAGCGGCCTCCCCGTCTCAGACGATACGAAGATCTCAGATCAACAACTCGAGGGCAATGAGACGGATGTCGTTGGTGATGGCTCAACGCAAGCCTTCAGAATTGATTGTCCGCTCCACATCAATGGTCGGGCACTTACGCTCTCAGCTGCGAGCAAGCTGCAGACCAAATACAACTACACGTCATACGCCTACGCCACGGACCCGAACAAGCCGGCCGTCATGCAATGGTTCGGCAAGTCTATGGTGAAGTGGTTTGACTTCGATTTAACCGATGAGGCTGGCAACAAGGTCGCCAGATATTACACCAACTATGCTGGAATAAAGCGGATTGGTACCATCGAAATGTTTGGACCAAAGGCGCACGATCAGCTGGCAGCCGATGAAGTGGTAGTCACTTCCGTCATGATGGCTTTCGTAATGATGTGGAGAGTCTCCAACATGGTGCCGCTGGTGGGAGCAATCACTTCGCGGTCGGGCAAGTCGTATAAGGTCTCCGAGCAAGAGGCTCTGGAGGAGGAACGAAAGAACCTGGCTGCACACGGCGGGGAAGGCAGCACGGACTTTCTCAACCCGTACGCTGAGAACATTGACAATCCGGATCCATACAGAAAGTCGAGTGAAGTTGTACGATGATACAAGCAGGAGATCTATAGACCATTGAACTCCGCGGACATTGCTTCTTGTATGCTAGGAATGAAGGCAGATTACCCAGGACGCGAAGATCATTAAGGCAATTTTCAAGGCAAATATATTTACCCATGACATCATGCGCTCGCTATCAAATCGCTGCAAATACCTCATAAACTTGTGTCACACTATTTGTACTCGCACTGCTGGACTGAGCGATCAATAAATTATCCGAGAATGGATCTCGCGCCACAAACAAATCAGACATCAACAGAAATGTCTTCGACAACACAGTCGCCACCGGAACTGCCGCCAGAAGCAATCGCTCTGGCGAGCCGCTTCTTCGATGGGGCGCGAACGGGTCAGGAGGACTTGCTTGCTCAGGGTCTAGCACGTGGCATACCGCCGAACATGATGAACGACAGAGGCGACACTCTTGTGAGCACACCATCACGATCAAATGCCTCTACACTCGGTCGATCCCGGCATCATCTTGGGCGAGTCACCTGACCAACATACTAATCATTCTAGTTGATGCTGGCTGCATACCACGGACACGCCTCACTGGTGTCTCTCCTGCTTCGCCACGGAGCAGACCCGAACAGGATTAACGACAGAGGCCAGAGTATTTTAGCGGGAGTCGTGTTCAAGAATGAGGAGCAATGCGTGAAGTTGTTGTTGGAGGCAGGTGCGGACCCAGAAATTGGGACGCCCAGTGCCTTGGATGCCACGAGGGTGAGTGTGTGACGTCTTCTTGCGTTCTTTGTTGTTCGTTACTGCGTCACCGTTATGTTCTTGCTTCCGAGCCCTGGAGGTCTGGGCACGTGTATCTCGATACGTCCTGGCAGGACATCTGGCCCCGGAATCGACCACAAACAATCGACCACGTCTAGACAGATGGCCAGACCTACCGCTTGGGCAACCACTCAGCACGTGTCCCGAGCTGAGGAACGCGGTTCAACGAGACACTCGACTTCGCCCCCGACCTCGGGACCTGAAAGCGACCGAGCTGACCCATGTCTCGTTGGTCGCCTTGCGCCAATTATATCTGGCCCGAGGTTGTCCTCGCTCAGGTTCCCAACACCTGGTACAGATCCAGCAGAGCACATGCGCGAACGTCTGCATCTTCAGGCATTCCCTCGAGATCTAAGAACTGCATGGAGTGACGACATTCCGCAGAATATGCAACATTGGTCCCGCAGCCACAACCGCAGCCTTCTACGCCATCGTCATCATGGAAGAAACCGTTTTGGAAGGATAGAATAACGACGACCACTTGTCTTCGACCTTGCAGCGTAGTCTCCGACATCGCTTTTGTCCTTCATATGTCGGTTTGCAGCGGCACACCATCATGCGATGATACAAGCGTGCTCGCATCACTTTCCGTCTCCATGATTCCAAGCACCACTCCCCGGGCGGCGACATTCCGGCGTTGAACCACTTCGATAGCCATATTCAGGGCACAACACCTGCTCGTCCGCTGTTATCAGTCCTCGGATCCTGGCCACATACCCCAGGCAAACGCACAGCTGACTGTACCCGGCCTGATCGACACGCCCTACCGCTCGCATCCTCCACCCGGATACTTTTCTACTACATGGCGCCCAATCACCACCAATCCTACCTGTCGGTACTGACACGCCACTCACGTGCACCCTTGCAAGAGGACAGCACAGTCCAGCATCGCCCGTTCTCCCCGCCCGACCTCGCTCGTTTCGGCCCCCAATATAAGCATAAGCATGCTTTCGCTTCTTGCCCATCGACCCTTTTCGGAGTGAACTTATCTGTGGATTCCTGTCTCGAGCAAACCGATGTACAGATCTGGAGAAATTATGCTGATCGGTAACTTTTGGCGATGGTGTAGGTCTTCAAGCAGGAGCAGTACGAACGGCTGTTCTTGGCGCAGATTAAGAAATTGAAGGAAGCGAAAGGAGGTGCTGTGAATGGAGATAGCACTGGCCTGGTCAATGGTCATGGCGAAGGTGGTGCTTCGTGAGTAGGGCCTTGTGGGCAAGGAAAGACAGGAGTTGCCGGCACGGGAACGCAAGTATTGATAGGAAGTTGAGACAACAGCTTCGAAGTCACGGAAAGAGATAGAACTTTGGCTGTTATGATATGGTCATTTCTTCGTGATAGTATCGTCATCGTCGCTGTGAAGCGGTATGTAGCAGTCTGGTCGTGCTAATGTAGTCTTTTCATGCCTTGCCTGAATGATCCCGAACTCCTCGCTTGCCATTTTTGAAAGAACAATTTTCCATCTCGCTCAGGACATCACTGATAAGCGTGTGTCGCCGACCTACTCTCTCTTACTCGCCTCACCAGCTTCTCCCGTCTAGCCCACTCGTCCTCCTCGGCTTGTTGATAGCTCTGTCTGTAGTCCGCTTCGACCTCCTCGGTGGCTTCAACGTAAGCCTCATCCCGAACCGGCACCGGCCGTGGAAAGCATGCCGAGCACCAGTCATACTTCCTTGCCTGCATGATATGCATCTGGTGGCACCACTCGGCCACAGGCCCCGAAGGCTCGATCTCAAAGGATGAGCGTGATGAAGCCACGCTGACCGGGTTGGAATTTGTGCCTGCGCCGTTATTGGAGCTCAATACGTGTTGAGACCGGTAGGAAGACGAGGCAGAGGATTGGCTGTTGGATCGGTGGCGGTCCTCGTGAGAGTAGTTCTGTTGGGATGTATAGGATGGTGAACCAGCGAAGTGGACGCGAGGTTGACGGTTGGGCATTGAGAAGTTCTGTTGTTCGGTTCGATGATTGTGATAGTGGTGTGGTTGGTCGAGGGTTTGTTCTGGCTGTTGTGGTGGTGGGACGACCATTTCGACCTTGCCGTGCTCGGCTTGGCTGTGAGGGACGGCTTGCTGTGGTTTTCTGAAGCTGGTGAGCTTGGTGGAGAAGGAGAAAGAGAAGCGGCGTTGATGTTTGAGTGTGGTAGTGCCGAGGGCCATCTTGCTGGTTGTCGACGATACTTGTAGTCGAAACGTTGCCCCAGGATGAGAAGGTTGCACAACTAGTGACAGTCCCCTAGTGGGAAAGGAGAAAGTTGAGGATTATAGATAGCGTGTATACAAAAGGTGTATGCCTGAACAACTCGCAATACCCCTGTTCTTACGGGATGGTGAGCAAAGCAGATTCCGGCCCCGTAATTCGCTAACAGTTGCAGATGACAAGAAAGCCAGTATGCAGATGACGTGGATTCGTAAGTTCTTTGCCTGAGTAGATGGCCGAATCTGTACGAGTTGCGCTTATTCAGTCACGAGCAGAGTCCGAAGTCGCGGATGAGGTGTATTTTGTGTGCCGAAGTATTTTATGCTCAGAGGGATATTGCTGATCCGGGGAAGCCGGAATGGCGGACTCAAGTCAGGTGCTGCGGTTTTATGTCTGCACGGGTCTTTCAATGTTCCGATGGGCAAGAATGGAAGTATGTGAGGATCGTGTGATTTGGGATAGACAATCAAATCAAAATAGGAACTTGCTGAGGTGGCCTCGTGAACGAATGTGTGGAAAGTTGGATGTGGTGAGTATGTGGTGAGAGGGGCCAGGACCAGCAAGATCTGCAGCAACATTCTTATGTAGATGTGTACTCACCTCTTATCATCAACAGCAAGGAAATCAATATTGTGGATAGGAAACCACTAAGCATTCTTTCGATGCAGTAGGGTCTGACTTCTTCATCAAGCACATGCTTGGGCTCTTTGTTGGGCGTCCATTCGATGCGGTACACCGATACTTTGTGGCACGGCCACGTTTTCGCGCGTAGGTAAGCAGTGAAACATCAAGGTCCATGCGCACTAAGCGAGTATCCCGAGTTCTGTCCCACTGCGATGCTTCGCGTGATGGTGCTGCCATATTGGTGATAGTAAACAGTCAGAAAGGGGATTCATGAGGAAAAGTCTGATAGCGTGATGGTAGTGCTGAGGTTGCAAAATGCGAGGCTGAGTTATGCCTTCGAGAAGGTGCAACATCGCCAATGCAGGTCTAAATTTAGGCTAAGCTTTCTCATGCGCGTCCACATGTTTCAAGAACAATCGATATCAGAACTTTGGATCGTTCTTTCCTTGAGCAATGTCAGTCGCCGTCAGTGCATCGCGCTTGACGGCGACGAGGAAGGCCCTTCCGGCAGAACGCGCCTTCTAACTTCATGCTACTCAGAGAGTCGAGTTGAGCATCACGTCTCAAATGCCTCGCGGCATTTTGTCGGCCGTGTTCGGGCGCGACATCATTGATCAACATCTGGAGCATTTAGAAGTCCAGCGACCGCGGCAGATGACGTTGTTTGTCTCTGCAACTTATCTAGCAATGCCGCCACGATCGGTCTTCGATGTCTGGACGTGAAATGAGAAGTGAGTATCCTCGGATCTGACTGATCGAGCAGGAAGACCTTGGGATCAGCCAAAGGCATCTTGACTCGATTCGAGCAACAGCGTCTTGACATATGCGACCTTCCGGCTTTCTGAAGCCTTTCTTCCTATCCCGCGAGATGTTATTTGCCGTTCCCCAGAAGGCAAAACAAGTTCGTCGGACGCTCCCACTCTCTGAAAGCGCCAGCCTTGTGCTTGAGAGCTCAGCCTTATCGGCGGAACAGAACCATAAATTGTCTAGCAGCGACCGATTCAATGACAACCTTCAGGGCGACGGATACACAGCAACAGTGGCTCCAAAGCCGTGGTTCGGATGCTACTAGCTTCTGATTTGATAAATTGAACGCTACGAGCTGAGAATACCATAGCCAAGTCCTCGGAGCCTTCAGGCGAGTGAGCCGACCACAGGTAGGATCATAGACACGCGTCGCACGGCCTCGAGGAGCAATTCATCTCTTCAACGTGCATTCTTGACACCCTCGGCATAAGGGAAAGTACTTACCAAAGCATCCAGCGAGACGAAGCGTCCTTGATCCTTGACTGGCTGCCTGACTCCACGGACATGGTTCTCCATGACCGGACGCGGGGAAGACGCGTGCGGAGAGGCGTTGACATGCATGCTAAGACTCTTCCAGGCTATTGGTATTGTTGAGGGGTCTCAGGATAGTGATTCTTATACACAGAAGTACAGTTCCGTCTGTTGGAGTTCGGGACCGCTGCTGCGCTACTGATACTCTGTACAGAAAGCATTTACAGAACGGCTAACATGGCATCAGGAAAGCAGAATAGCGTAAACGGCGCCAATGGCGTCAACGGCCATGGAGGGAGTGCTCTATGCAGTGTCGAAGAGTTTGTTAAACACAAGTATGACTTTGTGGTCGTTGGTGGAGGCACAGCTGGCCTTTGTGTGGCAGCCCGGTTGACAGAAGATTCCAATGTGACAGTCGGCGTTCTCGAGGCAGGCGAGAATCGGATGGACGACAAAGCAGTCTCTACACCTGGTTTGTATCCGACTATGATCGGAAGACCAGAGTACGACTGGTGCATGACAAGCGTTGAGCAGCCTGAAGCTGGAGGCAAGGTATACTCTATGCCTCGTGGGAAGCTGCTCGGTGGATCATCTGGAATCAACTACCTGATGTGAGTAATCCTTCAATCGTTGAGGCAGCGATGCTGACGCTATGCAGGTACGTTCGCGGCTCAAAGGGCGACTACGATGGCTGGGAGTCCCTCGGGAACAAGGGCTGGGGCTGGAAGGGTCTAGCACCGTATTTCCGCAAGCACCAGACGCTCGACCACGTCGAAAACAAATCAGGAAACCCTCAGTTCATGCCTATCGCTGGAGCCGACGAGTTCCATGGTACTGATGGACCAATACACACATCCTTCAACGACTGGTATAGCCCATACGAGGAGGACTTCTGCAAAGCTTGCTACGAGGTGTCTAATTCAGAGAACACATTGCACGATGCTTGGTCTGGTGATCACATGGGCTTCTACTCGTCGCTTGGAGCCGTGAACCGAACGGACGACCCTGGCAAGCGGTCGTACGCGGCTACTGGCTATCTTCGACCGAACTTGAAGCGACCAAACCTGAAGGTCTTAACAGGTGCCCAGGCCACCAAAGTTCTCGGCGTCGAAAACGGTACGGCGAATGGCGTCGAATTTGTCCGCGATGGGCAGAAGCACACCGTCAGTGCCTCCAAAGAGGTCATCCTCAGCGCCGGCGTCATTCAGACTCCTCAGCTACTCGAGCTTAGTGGCATCGGTGATCCGGAAGTGCTTCGTGCTGCAGGCATCGAATGCCTAGTCAAGAATACTGGCGTCGGGGAGAACTTCCAGGATCACGTCCTCGGTGGCATTCTGTACGACCTGAAGCCTGGCGTTCCCTCACTGGACGCTCTCCACGGAGCAGAATATGCCAAAGCCAGCCAAGAGCTGTACGATAAGACCAATCAAGGTCCCTTCGGATCACCTGGCATGGGCATGGGCTTCGTCTCGTACGCCTCGTTGGTTAGCGACGAAGAACTCCAGGATACGATCAAAGAAATCAAAGCCACATCTCTCGCCAAAACCGATTTTGCGAAGAAGCAAGAGAAGGTCATCCTCGACCAGCTGACATCAAAGACCTTCGCGAATTTGCAGACCTTCTGTATCATGTGTCGATTGGACGTGGGCAAAGGCTCTGACCAAACACAGTTCTTCAGCGCGCCTCCAGAGGGCACTGAGCAGGTGTCACTGCTCATGTGTCTCGAGCACCCACTGTCTCGTGGCTCAGTGCATATCACAAGCTCCGATCCTCTGGCAGCACCACGTATCGACCCGGGCTACTTCAGACATCCTGCTGATGCGAAGATCTTGGCGAAAGGCATGCAGTGGATGGAGCGCGTGGCCAAGCACCCGTTACTGGCCAAGCAGATGGGCAAGCGAGAGCTGCCTGGTGATGGCTACAGTCTCGATAGTGACGAAGATGCTATCAAGTATGTCAAGAACCATATCTCGACACAGTACCATTTGATCGGTACTGCTGCAATGGGCGAAGTCGTCGATGACAGTCTATTAGTCAAGGGTGTCAAAGGCTTGAGAGTCATCGATGCATCAACCTTCCCTGGTCACGTCAGTGGGAACATCATGAGCAGCACGTATGCTGTGGCTGAGAAGGGTGCTGATTTAGTGAAACGCGACCATGGCATTGAGGTTGGCAGAACCATGTGAGCGCGGTATTGCAATGAATGAGGCAGGATTCGACCTCTATTTAACAGTGGAAGATTCGGGAATTGCGCTTTCCTCGTAGTCGACTGGCTGCCACCTGGGTATGTCGATATGCCTAGGAGGACTCTGATGTGTTCGCTCCTGCTTTCTAGATCTTTGCTCTTGCCTCATCGGATCTCGCTCCTGCCAGTACAAGGCCCAGCCGCGCCGTCACATCGATCGAGCCCCACTAGTAATTCTAGTTGTGCCGCAATCCATGGATTTTCATAATTACTCGGTTCATTGTACCTACGAACACTTGCCACGGAACGCAGGAGTGAGCTCGATCACGATCGTGGCATTGCTTGGTATGGACTCCATTTCTCACAAAGCCGTTGGGCGAAGTGTGGAAATGTTTCAGGAGGCAGTGCGTGGAGGTGGAGCCTTTACCCGTGGCATCCACGAATGTGATGTCACCACTACCTCCAACACCATGAACACCACACCTCTCTGCTCAGCAGCAGACGAAAAATCTGCACGGCTCTCCATGCCCAAAAGTGCAGCTTGCAGCCACACAGATCCGAGACAACAGCTATTCGTGTACCTACCCTTGCCTGTAGGCAGTAACCTTGATGCGCGCGCATTCCTCCCGATAGGTCGATCAGCTGCATCAAGATGACGCTTACGCAGGGCCACGACCAACGGCAAGAGCAAGATTTTTTCTTGTCTCAACGGCCCGATGGTGGCGAAGCTGGGGCAGAACGATCTTCAGGTGAGCTTTTCGCAGTTCTCATAATGAGTCGCAGGTAGGTGTGTGATCACTGCTCGTCCTCTTCATCATTTGTATTACCATCACTGTCGCTCAAACACCTACATTCGCTGCGAAAACATCAGCAACTATGCGCACATCAGTTCTCGCCGGCCTTGCCGCCGCCCTTCCTTCCACATTCGCCTACCACGGCTTCAACTACGGCGCGACCAACCTCGATGGCTCCGTCCGCGTACAGTCCGACTATGAGGCGCAATTCAACGCCGCAAAGAGCCTTGCCGGCACCAACGGGCAATTCACATCCGCTCGCTTGTATACCTCAGTGCAAGGCACAACCGGCGGGCCCAACTCGGCCTTCGCTGCTGCAGTGAACACGCAGACATCGCTACTGCTGGGCATCTGGATCAGCGGGAACCCCAATATCCAGACCGAGATTGATGCTATCCTGTCCGCGGCCTCATCACAGGGCAGCGCATTCACAGATCTCGTCGCGGGCATTTCCGTTGGAAGCGAGGATGCCTACCGTGTGACGGATCTAGGCATTGCCTCAGGCGCTGGCCCAGGTGTCGACCCGCAGGGCATCGCAAACTACATCAGCCAAGTCCGCTCTGGTCTTTCCGGCAACAGTGCGCTGGCGGGTAAGCCCATCGGCCACGTCGACACATACAACACATACGCCAACTCCTCAAATTGGATGGCACCCGTCGTGGAAGCATCCGACTTCATCGGCATGAACGCATTCCCATATTTCGAGAGCACAAAAGCCAACGGCATCGAGAATGCTAACTCGACGTACTACGCCGATCTCGCGGCCACCGAGGCCAACGCACAAGGAAAGCCCATCTGGGTCACGGAGACAGGCTGGCCGAGCAGTGGACCAGTGAGTGGTGCGGCGACGGCGAGTGTGGCTAATGCAGAGGAGTACTATGCGCAAGTGGGCTGTTCGTTGTTGAGCAGTGGGCGGAATGTCTGGTGGTATACGCTGCAGGACTCGACGGCGGATGCGAGCGTGCCGAGTTTTGGGGTTGTGAGTGACTTGTCGTTTACGCCGAAGTATGACCTGAGCTGTTAAGCGAAGAACATTAGACATTAGTCGTGATCTTGGACATGTGTGTACAACTGGCGGAAGGAACAGTTCTGGATAGCTTTTAATGACATAGTAATGCCACGCTTCACTTTGAGTTTCAGTCTGATCCTTTTCAGCCACAGAAGCATACTGTCAGGATGATTCTGCTAACGCTGTTTCTTGCTAGCAATCGTCCAGCTGGGCCACATACCGCCTGCGATATTTTGCTGGATTGGCCCGTCGTGTGTTGGTCATCATGTGTAAAGTGGGAAATGCTTTCGGCGCATCCTCAGCAAACAGCCAGTTGCGCGGTCATATTGTCAACGAACGGGCCCACAAAGACGTGCTCCTTGGTTGCATGGCCCATGTGGGGAGAAGTCTAACGCCCGAAGGAGTCATGGTCTTGACGACGAGGACCGAGAGGGTAGCGAGGAGGTATATAGATCCCTATCGCTTCCGTTCAAGGTGTGGTCGAAAAACAAGGTCGATATCCATAACCTGCCAATCTGCCACGGAATATAAGAACCACGTCCGCTTCAAGACTACCAACCAAGCCTGTCTCCAATACAATAGAGCCTGTGAGACTGTCAGCGCAGCACACCGGTTGCACTTCACTGCCGAAAATGGGTTCCGATCGAAAGTCGTCGCAGTCGAGAACCGATAAGTATGGATCCGGAAGAGGTCGCTCCCATGGCGGTAGTAGTCTTCCGACTTACAGCGAAGACGGAAGAAGTAGAAGTAGAGGGCGTGATCATGGCAGTGGCCATCGCAGCAATGGCTTGAGCAGATCCGCCCACGCACCATCAGCGCATAAGATCAAACACGGCAAAGGTGTCCTTGTGGAGAAGGACCCATCAGCGGCCGGCGCTCAACGTGACGCTCGATATGCAGAGGAGTCTGGCTATACCAAGACCAAAGAGCAGCTGTTCAAGACCACTCCTTGCACGGGCGCAATGTATATCATCCTGACGTTGTTGAGTCTCGAGACGGCCGGAGTCATCTTCCTAGCTGTGTGAGTTGTCCCTTGGCCATTATGGCGGCAATGTTGGTAAGACTGTCCATGCTGACCAAAGTGCAGGAAATTCACAGCCGCGCATAGCAAAATTCCCAATAGAAAGAACATCAGCAACCTAGGCGACGCGATGAACCTCATCGGCGACAATACCGAAGCGGGCGCGTGGATGGTCGGCTTGACGATGTACCTGATGGCGTGGTGTTTTCATGCGGTGTATCTCGTCGTGGTTGTTGGGTATAACATGATGATTAATAATAAGGGAGTTTTCGGCTTTATGAAGCGCATGGAGGAGAAGAACAGGAAGGAACGGATCGAGTACGGCGAGAAGAAAGTGAGGGAGGCAGAAAAGATCATCGCGGAGTTTGGTGATTCTGGCAGGCGCGGTGGTCTGTCATGAAGCTGCGCTGCTGCGATTCGTCACGAAGCTTGAACCTGATTCTGTAGTGATGGTTCTGGGTCACGAAGCAGTATCTTTTATCATACCTTGGCCATGGGTCGTGTCAATCAATCTCATGTATCATTAAGCGACTGTCGGAGGTCAGTTCTCTGCTTGTCAACCGGTCTCTACCACCGCGCTATGCGAGGATTGAGCGTAACGCACGAAAGTCGTGACCTGGTGGGTAGTTCTCATGAGAGGAATATAAATGCCACAGGGGCTCTGATGGCTGATCTGTATTCTGGTCATCAACCGCCCTGAACTTGAACATCTCTGAAGCTTAGTCTGCTGCTACGGAGATGCTGTCGTTCGCACGAGCAGTGAGCGATCGAAATTGCACATCAATGCAGGCAGTTGAAGAGAAAGCAAGAGCGATGTTGATGAAGCGGAAGGAGTCCCCGCATCCGAGGCCGAAGCGGTCGCGCCTGACTGGTGGGGTGATGTCACTTCCCGTTTAGGTTAGAGCCAAACAAACAATCGACCTCGTTGTTCGTGCCTTCTCCAAAGGAGATCTGGTTCCGATCTGTGCGTAGTTCCTTCCACCGACAACACTAACAGCATTCAGTCTAGCAACATGGCTCCTACAAGTCCTGTCAAGCGCGTTACTCGTGCGCGCGCGGCAGCGAAGTCCAGCACTACCGAGCCGGCCTCGAAGAAAGTCGGCACCACCAAGGTCACCAAGGCCTCTGCGACCGAAGCGACAGCGAGCAGCACGCGTAAAGCCAAAGCCGCGCAAGAGAGTGAAGATGAGCTAGCAGCTCCTGTGGAAGCACCGACAAAGAAGACCACGAGAACAACCAAAGCCACACCCATCACTACTGCTGCGCCAAGACGACGAATCAAGGTGACACCGCTCGATGCTCCGGCTGAGCCAGTGTCTGTACCAGAGCCTGAGCCAGAGAAGCCCAAGAAGAAGTCAACGACGCGATCCAAGAAGGCCGAAGAGGACGTCATTCCAACAGTCGAGGCTACTGCGCCTGCAAAGCCACGCGCGCGATCTACCAAAACCACCACAGCAACCACCAAGAAGACAGAGCCAGCAGGGGCACTTGCCACTAAGACGCGTGGTAGGCCCAAGAAAGATGTCGCCACGGAAGAGAACACACCAGCAGCAACAGAGCTACCTCGTGCGACCCGCCAAACCAGAGCTCGATCTGCTTCAGTCGCGTCTCAACAGCAGCACAGCGACATGATCGAAGTATCTGCAGTATCCAGGGCAGGCGGTCGTAAGAAGGTCACCTTCCAGGATTTACCAGAAGACGACAAGGAGAATGAAATCGTGCCAGCGAAGAAGTCGACCACGAAGAAGAGCACACCCGCCACAGGCATGCGCGCAAAGCCTGTCCGCAAACCGACAACCGCCACCACGAAGAAGACAACGGCGACTAGAAGTCGTGCTGCAAAGCCCTCAGAGCGCGTATTGACACCAAAGAAGGTCACTCAGATCCCTGTGCCCTCTCTGGAGGAGTCGGAGGATGAACTCAACGGTCAGAAGAGCCCTGTCCGTGACCTCACTCTCTCACCCAAGCGGAATCCTAATGTCGCAAGCCTGCTATCTCCTGCGAAGAAGCTGGACTTCAGTCAGTCTTTGTTGACAAACTCGCCACTGAAGATTGCCAAAGGTGCCAGCCTATTGAGTCCTGCTCGGCGGCCGACATCTCCTGCCAAAGCCGATACCGAGGATGCTGCTTTCTTCAACTCAGCCGTAAACAGCCCAGCGCGGCTACTGCAGTCACCCAAGCGCGGCATCCTTGACTCGTCCATCTTCCCGGCATCTGCCATCAAGGCCCAGCGATCACCACTGAAGGAGTCGTTGCTTCAGTCACCAGCTCGCCGTCTATTCTCTCCAGCAAAGTCGAAGACGCCTTTGAGCGTCCACCGAGATGTTCAGAACGACGACACTTTGGAAGTCGAAGAGGTTGCTGTGTCATCCCGGTTCCGTGCGTCTATGTCTCCTCAGCGTCAACGTGTCTATAAGATGAGTAACGAGGAGCTCGCCGATGAACTCGCCATGAGCAACGAGTTCGATCAATCAATTCTTAAGTTGACCAGTCCAAGGAAAAGCCCGGTCAAGGCAGCAAAGCCCCTCGCAGCTGTTCTTGACGAAGAACCGCCAATGCAGATCATTCAGAACGATGCTGAAGAGACTGCCAAGGCTGTCGAAGAGCTTGCAGCTCCTGAAGAGATGACTGTAGAAGTCAGCGAAGACGTCGAGGAGACCGTTGAGCCAGCTCACATGAGTCTTACTGCGACTGACGAGTCCGGGGAGGAAGACGGGACTACTGAGCAGCGTCCACGCATGCAAGCCCCACGTCTTTCGCAGATACTCTTCCGTACTGCTCGTCTGAGCGACGACGATGAGTCTTCAGAGGATGAACTGGCTGCTGATCAGACTCCTGATCGTGCTCCAAGACTGTTTCGGTCAAGTCTCACTGGCGCCACCAACACAACATCACGCCTCTCACAAGTTCAGAACAACGACTATACGCCCTTGGCTGCTCAGATGAGCGGATGGCTTGCTGCAAGTCCACACAAGACTCCAGCAAAGTCAGCAAAGAAGCAAGCAAACGAGACTGGTTTGTTCTCACCTCTTGCTTCTGAGCATGTTGCAGGGGAGATTCAGATCAGTCGCAATAACACTCCTCAGCAGCATCGGCCATCACCCGCCTTCAAGTCATCCATCAATTCTCGTCCGAGCTTGAGCGGAAACCTGGAGAGTCCAGAGAGATCAACATTCTTCTCCGAGCAAATGGCTTCCGTCAATGAAGGAGCAGCCGAAGAGCACGTTGACGAGATGGATATCTTCGTTGACGAGCAACAAATGCCTGTGACCGAACGCGAAGTTGTTGCAGAGAATGAAGTCCTTCGCGCGGAACTCGACAATGAAGCTGATTTGGTCATGACCTCAGCTGATGAAGAAGAAGAGGACACCGTGATTATCAGAGCCCCGGAAGAGCTGACCACTGATTTGGTGAATACTGTCAATGGTTCCGACACCGCTATGCTTGACTTTCAGGAGCTGGCACATGAGGCTGACGTTGATGCTGAGCAGGACAATGCTCTAGCAAGCTCGGGCTCGGTCTATGGCGATGAGAACGCGCCGCCGAAGGAGACTTTGGACTTCGGCCTTCTGGAGCAGGCCACGAATGCCCGAGATGAGACTATGAACCTCGACGTGGTAGAGCAGGAAGTTGCGACCAGTGTCGATCAGACACTGAACTTCGAAGTCCTGGAACAACAAGTCGATTGCGAAAGTATGGCTAAGCCTACGTCGACGCTGTCTGATACTGTGATGGATGAGCATACACTCAACTTCCAGGTCTTGGAACAGAACGCCTTGACACAAACCCCGCGAGCAGTACAAGCAGCGCCCAGATTCACCGCGGCCGATGAGCCAACTTGGCACTTCGACATGCTTGAGCAGACCCACACTCAGGCTTCTGCCGTCACCAGCCAGATGCTTGCTGACGAGCAGACGCTCGATTTGGACGTCCTGGAGCAACAAGCACTCCAACAAACGCCCACGATCCTACCTCACAACGCTGCACTGTCTCCAGAATGCTCTCCAGAACCGACCGCTTCTCCTTCCAGGTTTCTTCAGACCGAAGCTGACACGGTCACACCTCGCCCTGCCGTCGTTGGGCCACGTGTAGTCAACACAGTCGTCTCCAAAGTTCCGCTTAAGCCAGAAGCAGGAATCTCGCCTATCAAGATCGTCAAGAAGCGTAGCCGGTCCATGTCTATGAGTCGACAACAGTCGCCGCCCAAGAGACCGCAGCTTACGCCGCTGGGCAAATTGGCTGCACGCAGTACTTCCGACCCAGTGCTATCTCCCACTCGCTCTCTCGCTGCTCCATCTCCAGCACCCTCCACCCCAGGACAGATGAGCTTTGCTGTGGACGACTTTGGTGACAGTACGCTGGATGGCATTGAGATGCCTGATGAGGACATGACTATCGACTTCTCAATTCAGCCAATGGGACCACCAGCCAGCACGAAGTCTGCGAAGAACATCAGATCGGCTGCACCAACACCTGTCCGAGCTCCTCTGCAGACAGTCAACAAGGGAGTGTTGCACGGAGCTGTCGTTCACGTTGAGGTGTTCACGAGCGAAGGTGTAGATACCAGTCACGTGTATGTCGAGCTGCTGACCAGTCTTGGTGCTCGTTGCGTCAAGGACTGGAGATGGAATCCTCGTGCTAGCGTTCACGGTGGTGATGATCTGTCGGCTGCTGGTAAGCCAGGCATCACTCATGTGGTGTACAAGGATGGTGGTAAGCGAACACTTGAGAAGGTTCGGGAGGCGAAGGGAGAAGTCCTGTGCGTTGGTTGTGCTTGGGTGCTTGAGTAAGTCTTGATCTTCCTAAGTCCTTGATTTGATACTGACCGTACCTCAGCTGCGAGCGGAACCAGGAATGGGTGGACGAATCGAACTATATTGTCAGCACCGACATCTTTCCTCGTGGTGGCTCACGTCGGAGAAAGTCTATGCAGCCGCAGGCACTCGTCAACGACAACGGCAACATCTCAACTGCACGGTCCAACACCGGCCGTCGATCAGTGTCCGCCGAATTCATGACCAACCAGATGCGCGATGAACTCGTCAACACTCCTGCCCGTATCTACCAGCCGCCGTCCACCGACATGCATAACGACAGCCTCTTCGGCGACAGCGATATCTCCTCAACATACAACTCACCCACCACGACGATGAATGTTCATCATGTCGCAACACCGACGGAGCTGATCGGCTGGGATCCAGCAACGAGCAAGACGCCTGCCAAGGCCGCCGGCGATGATGGCATGGACACGCCGTATCTGATGAAGCAGGGTGGGATGGTGATGAATGACATGGCCAGAGATGGAGGTGTGATGAGCGCGCCACCCAAGCAGATCGGTAAAGGCCTGTTCGATCGCGATTCAGGAAAGGATGCTGGTGAAGATAAGAAGATGAAGCTGAAGCTGCAGGAAGCAAGGCGGCGGACTCTGGGGTTCAAACCTGTCATCGGCAGTCCTCTTGGGAAGTTCTAATGGGTCCTGGAGATGACCTCATGATGTGTCGGCGTTGATGGCGTATGTAGCTTGAATGCGGTCAATGTGCTTTCCGGACATAGATGCACAGTGGATTGACCTGCTAGGACATCCGAGTGCAATGACTCTTCCACCGATCTCTGGACGTGCCCGTGCGCTTGTGATCAGCCGATGTTTTGCTGGTGTGACCCCACTTCGTTCACCCTGTTGCCCTTTTGCCTTCAAGAGTGCCTTGAATGTTTCCCCATTGGCATTGAAGTCGGTATTCAGATTGTCACTTCCAATTCAATCAAGTGAAGTCGTCTTCTTTGCCTTGTATAGCCGAAACGATACAATACGCCTGCAATCGTTGCCGTAGTCTTTGTCTACTCAAGTCGCTTGCGCCCTCGCAACTTTGTCTTCTCATAGAACATCGAACTTGGTTCATCGGCCAACTCGTTCGCGCTATTGCTCCTACTAGCCGAGAAATCAGAACCGCCTGAGCACTTCAATCATGTCATGCGCCGCCGAGTTCCGCAATGGCAGTAGTGGCTCAGCCACCAAGTCTTCCCGTAAGTTCCGAAGTTGATGATGGTAAAGCGCTGACATCCATTCTTCGACCCAGCCGAATCACTCAAGGCACTCGTCGTCGAAATCCGCGACCACCCTAGCACGGAGTACTTCTCTGTCACTCCCAGTGCCGGCGTTGCCCCAAATGTCAGTGTACGCGACCCGCTCTTCTCTGGTAGATCTGACAGGCCCAGGGCAAGAGATTCCTCAAGACGACCTTGAACATCACCATGAAACAGGATGATCCGAACGAGGAGGGCCAAGAGGCTTTGCTGAAGCTGAGCGTCCGTCTTAACGACCGTCTACAAAAGGTAAGACATGTGCAGTGGGTTGCTGAATATGGCGAGGCTAACGGTTCGCAGCTGTCTCCGGAAGAACATGCTTGGATCATGGAAGTGTTCGAGCAAAGCGTCGAGAGTCTTGCGGCAGGCACCATGGTCGAGGATAGTTTTCAGAAGGGCACAGAAAACGTCGATGGGAGTCTCCCAGACTCGAATTCCTAAACCCGCTCTCCTCGGTTGACTCCGTGCAGGTGGTCTTTTGTCCCGAGACTACTACTTGCGGCCAATAGCAGTGGGGCTGGTCGGATCAGCTATTTTGTTGGCGAGGAGGGGCAATCGAACGCTTCAAGTCGCCAGAGGTCGAGGCCGGTTCGAAAGGCGCGGTGGTCTCGGTGGTCGACAAAGGCCACGGAACATATTCTTGCGTACAGAGACTCGTCGTAGATAGTTCACACCAGAAGTCTGCGTGCACAAACTACTTTGTCGCTTCAGATCTTCGTCGTCGCTCTGCGTCTAAGTGTATTACTTACAATAAAGCCGACATATTGGCTGCATGATGGCAGCAGAGTCCATGGACATCCGCATGTGTGATTCGAAACCACGACTGACCAGTGATCGCCTCTTGGTCCACCTATCGCATATTAGACATCATCTCTATCTAGCCGCGTTTGATGCGCTGACTTCTTGAGACGCGGATACCGTTATGACATGTGCAACAACAGAGAGTATCTCCAGTCGCTTCTCTTGCGCGTCTCTGTGAAGGTCGTGTACTGCCATCGGGCTGGTTTGAGCCGGCGGTAGCTACTGCTGCGCTACATCCTGAACCTCAGCTCGGCGGTCTCATGGCTCTTTAGAGACCCGCACGATGACCTGCCTGCTATGACCGACCTACTGTATCTGGCGTCCCTACCCTGAACGACGAGTGGGGTCTTCCGACCGCAATCTTCGACACCTTGTTGGCAAGATGGACTTTACTGGTCACAGAAGCATGAGTCGCGGCCATCACCACCGTCTCTAGCGGCTCTGTGCGTTAGCTGGTGGCTAAACTAACGACAGTCGTAGAGTATATGTAGGATTCTATAAGCTTGTCTACTGAAAACATCAGTGGCATGATCCAATCGAATCTGAAGACATACCAATCACGTGATGTGACGTCGAACTTGTTCCTCGCCGGCACCAGACCCCCTTCTTACATTTTTGTTTCTCTTCCACCGTTGCGAAAATCGAGCTTTTTGCTGTCAAGTCTAGCGCCATTTGAATTGTTCGACCACCATGAAGTGAAAAGAAGTGTCTCCGTACCAGATGACCAGAGCACGGGTAGGTCATGACACGCCTCGCAAAAGCGCTTCACGGCGAGAAACTTCGACGACTGCACGGCTTCCCTACCTCCGTCAAAAGTCATCAGTCTCGCTACTTCGCTGGAATCTTCCACAAGTCGAAGCCATAATTCAGACTGTTGAGCGTCCAGCGACCCCGATTTTCGCATCGAACTCGTGTCAAGAGGTGAAGCACCGAAAAGCCGGGCTGAGAGTGCTTCGAGAGCCACGATATGCTCAATGACGCTCGACTGAGGAAGCGAGGATGTACTAAACACTCTGCGGGGAAGGTAACCATGGGATGTATGGTGCCGTCTACGTTTGGGGGTCGGCCGCGAGGGTGGTCGTACGTAACCTCAAGGTATTGTTGCTGCCTTTGTTAAACTTCACTCCACTTCGAAACGTGAAGACTGTATCAATTCACTGCGCAATCAGCTCGCCCTTCAGTTGTGCCGCTAATCCTTCAATTTGCTGTTTTCATCCATTCACTGGGTCCCATTTAATGCATGCCGTCAAGCTTGCTTCCGTACTTGTGAAGTGCCTTCACCTATTTCTATCACCCATGATGCATTTCACCACTCTTTCTTGCAACCATCTACCACACCCCTATTCCTTTCAGTCAACGATCTTTCCGCGCGACTCGAGAGAATATGGCCGAATCACACCGTGTCACAGGTTTCCTGTGCCGTAAGTCGATCTGGATCCAGAGGTGCAGAAAATTTGCTCATCAGACTAGTCCCATGCGGTGTCAAGACAATCGCGAGTCCATACAGAGATTTGCTTGCGGCTCGAGTCAGTGGATCTAGACCCAGAGACGATACGACAATCACACTGACCCGTGCAAGTTCCCCAACGTGATAAGTGCATTCGAAGAGATCAGTCCAGAGGAACGCAAGGTCGGCACAGCGAGAAAGGTTCGCATGTGCAACGGCGTCGACGTGATCTTCCTGTTCCTTCCAGAGTTGTCTCAGAGCGAAAAGTGTCGCCCTGACTTCAAAGATGTCCTCGGCGAGTATACCAGAGCCTGGCGAGACTGCATCAGGGATCTAAAGGCCAAGGCACATGATATGGTGTCTAGTCATACGGAGCCTACACAGCAGGACTACGACGACATGCTTCGCAAGTTCTACTTCGCTTTACCAGTATGGGCTGAGCCGACGCTGTGGGACGACCGCTCGTCTACCGGCAAGTTGTGTGATGTCGCCGAGTTGGAAGCGATAGCATGGAACGACTTCCGCAGTGACGAGTATGAGGACATACACGATTATCACGAGTCTACACAGCGCCAAGTGTTGCGAAGGAGTTAGACAGTACATTGGCAGTGTTGGAATCCTTGAAGATTCCACTGCAAGAGCGACTCGACGTCCTCACTCAAGAGACCGAAGTCACTCGCAGCGCCAATGCGGCAAGTGGTTTCACAACAGAAGTCTTATGTATGCTGACGGTGATGCAGAGTCGAACAGCCCAAGTCGAGCGGATGAAACTGAAGCGGCTATACTCGGACACCAATACCGCTACCGACACCGTCGTGTACACAAGGCTTCAGAATGCTATCACAGCCCTCGAACAGAACATACATGCTTCTAGTGACCTGGTAAAGGCACTGGGAAGCCTGAAATCTGAGATCCAGGAGGCTGGCGACTGTGTTCGTCATCAAGTCCGTGAGATGGAATGTGTCGCAAGAAGGAGAACGAGGCTTGAATGCAGTGTCAAGGACAGCAAGACAGCAATGGCCAAGCTGGTCGAGGCTACGGACACCGATCACAACACGGTGAAGCAGCTTCACGACCGACTCGCCGCCACGGCAGAACAACGCCAGATGATCTTTCACTGCTGTAGGACTTGCGCTGTGTGCAGAAGCTGGAAACCTCGCTGACTGATCAGTTCCTTCCAGTGAAACACTGGGTCCAGACCAGAAAGCCATCGCGACACAAGTGAGATAATCGATCCAGAATTCTGTTGGTTGGCAGAACTAACAACTACAGGGAACCTGGCTGCTGGAAGTCTTCAAATCGGTGGATTGCCCGAAGTCTGGCTCAGCCGCAATCCTCCACATGATTGAAGATGATCGCAACCATCTTGTATTCATGTGTCTTCCGGAAGTGTTAACGGCGGAACGCGACACTCGTCTTGGGTACATGGGCGCAGGCTACGTCAACGACTGGATCACATGTCTACTGGATATAGAGCGCGAGCTTGCGGGATGGTCCTTAACAGACACGAATTTGATCTTCAGACTCTACCTGCCACCGACGCACAACGCAGCGCAGACCGATTACCTCCTACAGGTGGCAACGGGCCTACTGCGTCCACACACGGTCGTCACCGATTGTGAATACAGGAAATGGCAGTCGATCAGCTCAGAAAGCGGAGCGGAAGCACCTCAAGTCGCCGCGGGAGTATCAGGCCCTGGAATCACCCAGAACACGTCTCAAGCCCAAGACAGTGACAAGTCGGACATGGTCAATGCACAGGTCGAAGCGCTACAGCAAGAGCTCGAGCGTGTCAAAGCTGCTAGAACGGTAAGTCAATCCACGCTACACCGTGCGAGCCTTACTAACGAGGATCCAGAGGCCAGAGATCATAGATGCGGCGCAGAGGCTTCATGCAAAGCTAGAGAGCGCAATCAAGGCGGCGAAGAAGAATGACTCGATCACAGACAACGTGACATCCGCACTGGAAGATCTGATTGATGGGTTGTTGAGGTCTAGCGATATCGTTCCGGAGCTGGTGGGCAAGATGATCAAAGCGGAGCAGGAGCTCGAGCGTCGATTTCAGAGGAGCCAGCGTAAGATGACAAAACTGGTGAAGTCGATGGGTCCGGACGGCAGCGTGGTTCACGAGCTGGTGAAGGCTCACTTCGAACAGCCATTCCTCGAGATGCTCCAGATGCACAAGGATCAGGAAGTATCAAGCCAGTGAGCATCCGTGGGGGTTGCGCCGAGTTCAATGCAAACACAGCATCATTCGCTCCCACGGTCTCGCCATGGTATGGTCACCTCATTCCAGGATTAGATGTCGTGAGTCAGCAGACACTGCAATGACAGATGAATTACTCGAACACGTTTCTAGTGTAGCTTATGCCATCTGTAGATGATGTAGATTTGTTTTTGTGCTCGGTCAAGCCATACGCAGCGCGAAGGATCTGCAAGTGACGCTTCCTCTTGTGCTCACTGGTACCTACTCATACCTCGTATTCTGGGGCGGAATACAAGAGTGCAGGCTCAAGTCTCCTACCGATTTTGGCGCGCTCGTCGGCTGCTGTCACACTGCGCATTCGGAGCGTGTCCTGGCTCAGCTGTCGCGGTGGAAGCCCTCTGAATCCAGAGACTGACCCTCACAGCGATCTGTGAGCACAACACTGGAGGGAGTTACACTGAATTGCCTACACATGTATTTAGATGCGATGCAACACGTAACAGGAGAGTCATGAGATGGTTTCCAGACCGAAGCAATGCGAGATGTGGGAATGGCTGTTGAGTGGGATAGCCAGCGCAGAGGTGGGATTACGGTGCAAGTGACGGTTGCGGTAGAGAAGAGCCTGAGGTGCCTCGACTATTCGAAAGAGTTCAGACTGAACATAGTCTTCTTCAAAGAAAAACTGATAGAAGGAAGGTCAATGAATGAAGCAAGAAGGAGCGATGCAATCTATGAGACTGATCCTACTTGGCGGTGATCCTAAGTCACGCTGATTAGATCACAGATTGCCGGACCTCGCGCGACACTGTAAACCAAAGTCGATTGGCTCTGCAGTGCTAGCTCTCGATTTCGTGGGGTCCTGCCCATGGATCGATCGCTGGTCGAGTGCTTCCAGGCCATCGCAGTGACCTCGCAGTTCGCTCGCTAAACCCACTCCATGGCACAGATGAGACTCTTCATTCCGCACTCAGTCGCTCCACACCCTTATTGCTGATGCGGCACGGATACCAGTCAAGAGATCCTGGCTTCATACTGCTGGAACTCTTGGTGCAAAGAAGCGACATCTGCATGGCCTCAGGATCTCCCAAATCAGGGAGAGTGAGTAGTCTCGGATACAGGTATCGCACAGTGGGCGCGTCGCACTGAAAGCAGAGACGACGCAGATTATCGATCTAGGACATAGCAAATGATCAATACATCACATCGCCGACTATCGAATGAGAGCCGTCCACGTAGCATTTGCAGAGATATAGTGAAAGAACGGTGTCATTCGCTGTGACTCTGATGTCCGAGGACATACGAATAGCATGTTAGGCTCTGAAGAGCCTCAGCTTCTAGAGCCACAGTCGCGAGAAAGCAATAACCTCGGAAGAGACTCAACGTTTCAGGTGCAGATAGGGGATCTCGTGGCCTCCGAAGAGCCCCAATGTTCAAAGGCGTGATCGAGAAAGTGGCGACCTCTGGAGACCCCGGGATTCGGAGCAATGATGGAGGACGTGAAGCTTTTCAAATGACCCGGCGTTCAGAGCCATGATCGAGGATGTGATGACCTGTGAAGACCCACGGCAAAGAAGGTGGTCGTTGAAGTCCACCGACGAAAGTGATGACTTCTGATTGGCCACTTCGGAAGTGGTGCCTTCTGGAGGTCGCCGGCGAAGGTGATGCCCGTTGGACAGCCCCAACGAGACTAGTGCCCTCTGATCGGCCCCAGCGAAAAGCGATGATCTCTGAAGCGTTCCAGGCGATCAAAGCCCTTTGAAGAGCCCCGGTGTTGACACTGAATGTTTGCCTCTCGCCAAGGCTGATCGCCTTGCCACGTCAGGCAACTCGGGTCGCTCGCCGACCACTTCCACAACACAGGCCTCCAATACTAGTACCATTCCTACCACTCGGGATGAGATAGCTTCGGCGCCTACTGTTCCGAGATTCGAGCTCCCCAGTGCTCAGCAATTCAGGCGAGAGCTTCCGTTCATCAAAGGAGGCTGCTGAGTTTCTCGCGTTTAAAATCATGTCATTCTGATGCCTGTGAACGGTGATTGTCTCGTTTGATCATCTCCGTATGCTGTGTTTGGCTCATTGACCCAGATCTGTCGAAATCGGAGGAATAGCTACATGAACTGTGCCTTTCTCGCTTCGGCGTTCGAAAATTCATCCGGTGTCAAGCAGACCTCTGCTGCCGTTCTGATTCCAGTTCCGATACTTCCACTCTCACTCCACTCGTTCGCGGTCTGCTTGCGCGATCAGAATCTGTCCCAGGCGAGCCAGCAAGTCTTTGTCCTCTGGAGACATGTCCTTTTCTTTGACATCCTTCACCCTCTCCAAGAATCCCTTGACTCCGTTCTGGAACCAGAACAGCTTCTCGATTCGATGATCGACTCCATCCTTGTACACCATGTATGACCGTTTGAGCTCCTCGGCATCTCCATCCCCATTGGCCCTGGCCTTCTCGAACATGACCTTCTTCATGGCCTCGATCTGGGCAACGGTTAGTTCGAGAAAGGCATCGCGCCGCAGATTGGACATACCTCCAACGCGTCGAGCACAACATCCGCCTGAATATCGACTGACGCGTCCGATGAGCGATAGACTTGGGTCGCCATATCTCCGGAGATATGCTATGGATTGGTAGCGCTGTAGGACGTAGGGGGAGAGGATGTTCGCTCGCTTTCCCGGTGGGTCTCGTCGTGAGTCGTAGGGTAGGAGGAGAGCAGGCCTTGCAGCCTTCGGTGGTCGTGAATGGGAGTGGTAGGAGTGATGGCGGGTGGTTGTTGTGCCTGAAGCGTCGAGGTATATATGGCCGAAAGCGGAAACATGGTCAAGGAGCCTTGCTCTTGAGCAGTGATTGTAGCTAAGTGAACGAGCTAAGTCACGAAGCGATCAATTCTGTGCCAGGTGCTCACAGGTTTGCGCCGTCTTATGCTTCCCAACGAGAAGCCTTTGAATGTTGCAAATGCCATCGTTGGGTGTGGATGCTGCCAATGCTTTTTGGACGGGTGTAAAAGCTGCCAGTGCTCGTCCTTGGGTGGGAAACTGTCAATGTTGTCCGACGAGTGTAGAAACTTTCAATGCTCACTGTGGCTGGTGGATACTGCTGATGCTCATCAATATTCATCATCGAATCTGAACTATGCCAACGCTCATTATCGAAAGGGACGGTTGTAGGTAGGAATAACGCTGTTCCTGGGGTGCTGCATAGCGCCCCAGTCTCGTCTCCTTCGGCCGCGGAAGAAGAATTGACCGATAGTGGGAGCTGTGATTGGAACAGCACCCTCGGCTCCTCCTTCGTCCGCAGAAGATGCGTAGACAAAGAGTGCGAGCTGTGATTGGACGAATACCGCTGAGCTTCTCCTTCAGCCGCAGAGGATGAGTAGAGAAGGAGTGCGGGCTTTGATTGGAGGAACAGGGCCACGCAGATGCTACGCATCGCCTTTCCCAAGACGCAGCTTTTGCCCCTTTACCCCATAGAAACATCCTTCGAAGGCACCTAGCCGCTTCATTCGTTGGAGAAGCACCTAGTCTCTAACCATAGGTATTACCCTCCAACGTACCTGCCTATTGCACCCTTTGGCGATGTAGCTTTTGATCCTTACCTTCCAGAAATCTTCCTCCATGGCACATGCCTGTTCGACGTTCGGCGAAAGGGCTCATAATACTTGCCTCTCAGCAAAGATCCTCAATGGCACTTAGCTGTTCATCGTTCCTCGAATGGGCTTACGGTCCTTACTTCCCAGGGCATTTTCCTTCGTGATACCTAGCTGTTCGTCGTTCGGCAAAGAATCCTTTAGACCTTACCTCCTACACATTTTCCTTCATGGCACATAGCTGTTGCTTCGTTCGGCAAAGCGGCTTTTCGTCCTTTCCTCCAACGTGTTCCTCTCCAAGGCATATAGCTGCTTCGTGCCTCGGGGATGCATCATGGACAGGAATGAGATTAGACAGACGATGAGTCAGACTGACGGCGAATGTCGACAAGCTTTGATAACGTGAACGTACCTTCTCAATTCGCGTCCGCGTCGCCGATTGGTTCCCATCCGAAGGTCACAATGCTGCATCTCGCAATCTGAACTACTTGCTGCAGCACATGCGCAGCAACTTCCAGCCAATCAGCGCCATGAGATCGAGCACTGTGAGTAGGAGCGGACGCGAAGCCTACTGATGCACGAGACGAGGGAAGTAGCAAAAATTGCGGTAGCGGGTTGCGCTCCAAGCTCGCAAGGCTGAGATTCCATGTCCAAGGCTGAGTGCCTGTTTGCCTTGTTGCCAAGAGCGCCTTGCCGCACTTTACGTCCTTGTCCTGGGGACGTCCGGAGATGTAGATCGAGGCAGTCAGGATCGCGGATACTAGTGCAAGCCCAGGAACGGCGTTCTTGGCCGCGGAGGTGTCCTCGACAGCAATGGAACAAATTTCCTGGCGGTCTGCGTGGATTTCACCGAGTACGCAGCGTCACACTTCACGTCTCCATGAAGGCCAGATACCCACACTATAGTTTCCAGCGATGGTGATGAGTGCAGGAATGGCACGGAGATTCTGGCCGGAGTCGAGGTAATTGGTCCGACAAATGCTGCGAGGGCAGCCAGTGGCAGGTTTTACGATTAGCAAAGCGAGCGGAGGCGCTTGACCCGACATGTCCAGATGTCGATATATGTGAGTTGGAAGATCTCAAACCGCAGTTCGAGGCATCTAAGCCGCCGGCGAGATGTTCGTACAGACGGGGCATCAATTGGCGCAACTGGCATGTGTCAGAGCAAATTACCGAAGCCAATCACGGCGTCCGTTGCGACGAGAGATCCGGTGTCGCAGCTTGTAATTGACAGCCTCTAGTTTGAACCACGGGGCAAATGGAGAGAAGGACTCCGGAGCACGATCACAACGACCAAGTGAGCAGAGGCGCAGCCGGAAGGCGATTGATTCACTTTGTTGCGGGTTTCCGTTAGGCTTGGTGTGCTTAGCCTGAGCGACCATTCAATTGCCTTTCTCTTCTTTTGCCCGGTGTGAAGATCCGATGCAACGTTGAATGAACTTCTTGGCAATCCACAATCTCTCCTTCGTACACAAGGCAGTTGCAACTTCTACCACTTTCTCCAGACAAACTTCCTACCTACCACGGGCGCAGACAGGGTGTGCGTTTGCAGCCGACTCCTTCGAGTCTACGGTAAGCACAGATCTCCTTCATACACCCCTGCAGACCTTCTCACACCGACCCTTCAGACATCATGTCCAGCGAACAACCTGCCGAGGACAGCGGCGAGTCCGCTCCAACTCTTACCAAGATCCCGAATTATCCAGAGGCTTTCATTACTCGAGGCGAGGCGCAGGTTGAGAGTCTCAAACAGGCAAGCAGACCTTCCGCGATGATGTTGGGCAATATCCTAATGATGGCACAGACGCAAATCGCACTCTCAAAGCTAAACTCTGGAGTTGGTGCGCAAGCTGCCAGAGAAGTCAGCGACAGTCGACTGCGGGTTCAAACAAGTCTCAAGCATCTCAAAGATATCGTGGCGACAGTGTCGAAGGAGAGCCAAGACATGTTCGCGCTCAGTCAAGCTGACATCGATCGAGCAAACGCAGGGGCTCGGGAGTTCGTAGCCTCCTGCGATGTTGACGTCAACAACAAGGTCGCGGACGAGCCGGAGAAGCGCCTGGTGGTATATGCTGAGCTATTGAAGTTCAGCGCAGTCATGTTTGAGATGAATGTCGCTAGATTCATCGCACGTGTGCGTAAGTAGCCCACCACCGAGAGAAGATCGATTATCGACTTTACAGTGCGGTGCATGCTCTGGAAGGCAGAGGTCAATGGTCCATGGTATCTAGCATCTGCGCGACCTCTTGAACCAGAGCTCGTTTAAAACACAACAACGGGACAACTTGACCACAGGCACCTCGAATCACGGATCTTCCAATGGAACATAGCACATCAGGATGATGCCACAAGATAGCCACCATTGCAGATGCAAGTAGCTAGAGGCCAACTCTGATCCCCTAAATGAATATTGCCATGCCATCTTGTACTCTCGATTCCAAATACTGACCTGACTTCGAAACTGAAGCGTCACAATACATGCTACCTAGTATCTGTGGTAGACTGGAAAGAGGCGACGAATTATCCGCCGTGAAGCTACCAATGCAGTATTGACCTTTTCGCTGTTTGGCACATACATCTTTGTTTACATTCAGATGGTGTCTGTAAGCAAGTATCGCGGAGCCAGGCTGACTGAATACTCGCCAGGAAACCTTCCAGAACCTGCTATGCCATTTTGCCGGGCCAATGACCTTAAGTACGTGCCTGGTTAAGCAAAACTGTCGAAAGGTCCGCAAGGCGCATCGTATAATTGTTGTGCGTACCTAGACACAGCCGCGGACTCTGGATGCATGGTAAAGCAGTGTCGAAGACCAGCTAGCACGTCACGAGCTCCTCCACCAACAATGAGACCGAATGTTCAGAGTGTTTGCCTCGTGCCAAGACCCTGCCGCTATAAGTTCGTGCGCTTCTGCGAGCCCTCTGCAGTGACCACCTCTTCTACCACTCATACAAGCGACGAAGTTGCGACAACCGCCCAGTACTGTACCTACCCACGACCATGGCCAACGATAAGGCTCGAGAGCGAGCAAATCGCCCACTGAAGATGGACGAGTGCGTTCTCTTTCTATGCAGAAAGTACCTATCAATAAGGATGCTGATGTATATCCAGGAAGGTGCTGCTGCTGAAGCTTACATATGTTGCAGAAAGCGTGAAGAAGAAGAAGCGGGAACTCAAAGATCGAGAAGCTGCCTGCAAGAAGTTGAGGGCAGAGCTTGAACGTCGAGAGGCCGAATGGTTGAAGTCAAAGGAAGAGCTTGAAGGTACTTTGCAACAACGCGCCGACGCAATCGACTTGTGGCAGAGCACCATACACCTCAAAGCTGAGCGGGCCAATAAAGCGGACTGGTGGGAAATCAACCAAGAACGTAGAGAGTTGTTGGATAGCGCCGAAGGGATCGACTTCAAGATCGAGGAGGATCGGCGGATGCTTCAGACGGGCTTGTCCACTTCGATAAGTCATGCCGCATCTACCGCGCAGATTGTCAGGGATGTTATGGGCAAGGCCCCCACAGGCGTCTAAACGCTCATATGTGCCAGCTAGCGTTCAGCATCCGGCTTCCAGCAATCAACATCCGACATTCGGTGCTGTTGAAATTGGCATGACGGCTCTTACTGGCAGAGACAGTTTGGTGAAGGTGGCGAATCCCTCGAAGCTGGGGAATCTCAATCGAGGTCAGCATGCCCATCCTTAGTGGCTGAGAATCACAGCACGATTCTACAGCTCCGCCAACAATAGTCCAGTCGAATGCTCATGTGTTTCCGAACTGTATTCCTCATGCTGTCGAGATTGGACAGCGCCGCTCTGCATGGCTTGGGCGCTAGCCGTAGATTCTTCTCGTCGTTGTTGTCACTCTCCATTGTCAGCTCCTTCCTAAGACCGGTGTTTCAGTGGCGGACAGGCTTTCTTTTCCGATCTATTGCGGGTCTCCACTGAAGACTCCCTCCCACACATCCAAAACACGAGGAAGGCACACAAAGTCCCACCACAGGAATTGAATCAGCTCAGATCGGACCTCATAGAAGTCGCTGGCAACAACATTATCGAAACGACCAATAAGGAGTCCTCTCAGGCGCCGGATCCACCAGTATCTGTCTGTCTCCGAAGCTGCTATGGATCCCATGACGGTCACCCACAGCGTAATGTCACGGTCAAAGAACTCTACTGCCGGATCGATGGCCATCAGAGCACTTCGGAGGCGTGCGGAGAGCCTTGGTCGAGTCTGAGGTTCCGGCAAAGTTGGGAACAGGACGAGGTCCTGGTAGATCAGTGCTGCAATATGGATCAGGTAGCGATGAGCGATGCTTTCGCTGTCGAAAATGTCAATGGTGTAGTCGGGCAAGTACAACCAGGGATTGCGTACCTCCTCCAGTAGAACGTGCTGGACGAGGTCTCGGCCTTTGAGGAGTGTGTCCCACGATGAATCGTACTGCTCTTTTCGAGTCCATTTGTCCAGAAACGTGGTCACTGTTGCGGCCATGCGTAGGCCCTTCAGAAGTGAGTCATCGGGAGCTAATGAACGTTGGAAGCCACTGGCAAGAGGACTGGAACAGCATGCCGTCTGGAGTTCGAGCTTGTCGAACTCGGCTTGCGTATCGTCAATGTAGCCAGCACGCCAGATCAGTGGCCTCGACCAGTCGATCGAAGACAGCCACAGGTCGGTGTAGGACACCCAGCCTGCAAGCATCGCATCGTGTATGCCTCTCAAGCCACCTCTTCGCGCAATGGCAATATTGAGAGCATCGAGATGAGGGTTGTCTTGGGTCCAGTCGATGGAGGCACGGATCTGTGTTCGTTGTTGTCTCACGGCTAAAGGCGTTTCCTGGTATGGACTGACGTACGGTGGCGTCGTACGAATGCGACCGTGCATGATGACGAAGATGAAGATACACAAGATCGTGATGTCTGAAAGAAGCTCCTCGCCACTGGCTCCAATCTCCTCTCGCAGCATCCGGATCATCTGACCACGGTGCATCATGATTCGTCGGTCCATCACTTCGTCGAGGGGTCGAGTCGAGGTGTAGGGCATTACTGTCATAAATCCGTGAAGCACGATTGGATTGCCGACCATGAGCTGCGCGACAGAGCGACGCATGTCCATGGTGGAGGAATGCGGCAGGGCTTTCGGCCATGAACGCGAAAGCGATTCCACGATAAGCTCGCGCACGTATCGAGGCAGATGTTGTGGCGCCAGTCCATCGAAGTGGTCCCATTGTACTGTTGAAGGGTTGGCTGGTGACGAGCTGTGGCGAGAGTCGGAAGCTAGCGATGTAAGCTCTGATTCCTCTATCTCAGGTGGCTCCTCGTCGTCCTGAACTTGTATCGAAGCCCAGACTTTCGGTTTGCGCTGAGGCGCCTGTCCATCTAGAGTCCTGTACACAGACTGTTTGCGACGCTTCTTCTCATAGGCCACCAACGCCGCGTGGGAAAGGCGGGCAGATTTCTCGAGTTCTGCTTCCCTCCTAGATCTCCTCTTCGGCCCAGGGAGCTCTTCACAGAATCGTATCATCTTAGCACAGCAACTTGCAAATGCGATAGCTTAGTGTGTTATCACTTAAGACCTCTAGATATGGCGCGTATCACAAGGTCTGGCATCGATGTCCGATCGTCGAAACATGTCTTTGTCTTAAGTGATACTAATAGCCCGCTCTCCTTGCAGCTGAGCACTACACAGACAATTACATATCCGTGTCATTTTCGGAGGATGTTTAGTAAGACATGGGCCAAGCTGCCAGTCCGTAGCCGATAGGTGATGCCAACGTCGTACAAGGCGATGGCGCGACCCCCGGTGGCGAATGGGAGATCCTCACTGGCATTTTCGCATTCAACACAAATACGAGGAGCCCGGTGGTGGTCGATGGTGGCTGATTCGCTTACTTAAGGAAATTAGAGGCAGCATCCTATTGCGATACCTAGTAAGACCATTTGGCAGACCTGCCCCGAGGTAGTAGCCCTATCTGAAGGCAGGAGCGAACAACAGCCCAAAGTGGCAAGCTGCGAAAATTGGCTAATGATGTGACCCACCTTGCTCATGTCATTCACGGATAGATGCTTCATGATTGATTGCTGTTCCTGTCACACTGGAGTATACCGCGATACGAGTAGAAATCTGCGCCCCTCGAATTGGCCCTTGTAATCGGGCGACGAACTACTGAGCTCCAAACGGCCTGCACATGCCTCACCCTCACCTATGATCATCACTGTCCTCCGCAATATATACATCTGAAAGCTAGCCACGCGGCGTGTGAGTGCATCCGCCATGTGCAGCCCGAACATTTTCAGAGCGCGGCAACACCGATGAGAGCTCCCAAGCTGCTCCTGGAGCACCGACTGACGGTCAATGTCCGCGTCTTCATCCGGGCGTGGTCTACAGCCTTCGCCTGGACCTAATGGATCAAGCAACGATGCGCCGCCGCGGCTGTCATTGCCCACGTTCACATCTATCGACCCTGCTCGCTCACAGTCGCGCGACAATTCCAAGCCCGAGAGCAGCACCTCTGGCTCCCTCCGCAGCCGATCGCGGCTCAGCACCAGCCGCAGCCGAGAAAGGGACAGAGCCGTGGCTGACGGGCATGCTGAGAACTCCATGCCTGAGCATGCGACAAGGCTCAGCGTCCATGCTAGCCCGGCCGTAAGCGGTCCAGATCAGGAGAAGCAGCACATCGACCATGGCAGCGCAGGACGCCGTTCATCTAAGAGAGCCTCGGGCGGATTCCTGCTTGGCAGCATCGGTAGGTCCGGTCGCATGCCAAAGATCTTCCAGAAGCCGAGTGATCAGCAAATGGACCGAAAGGGCAAGAGCAAGAGCACGGACACTTCGGCTAGTCAGAGCGAGGATTCGAACCTTCTGCAGCCATATCACACGCCTGTCACGAGATTACGGCAATCCGAGTCACGTCCAAGCTCGAGCATAGGGAGCTCACCACTGAGTGTGCAAGTGACGAGCAACGACGCAGATCATGTCGCGGACGGAGTTGATGCGAACATGCGACCTCGATCGAGCCTAACGCCAGACCGGGGAGTCAGTCTCGAGATACCGGAGCAGAAGATCGAGATCAGAAAACGACCAGTCGCAAGTGCAGGTTTTGACTCAGATCCTGCCCAGATAGTCAACATGGCTTTAAGTCTGAGCGAGGCGAGACGGCGGCAGGCGTCCGAACGACGGTACATTTCTGCTACTCAACCCATACCCGGCAGAAATGTCTCTGCGGCACACACCGGCAGTGCTCGAAGTCGCCAGCAACGTGTTGGCAGCGTCGCCCAATATCTTCAGACTCAGCGTACACCATCACTTAGGAGCAGCATCGGCGGCCCGGTGCGCATTCCGAACACACCGCCCACAAATGATGCTACGTTGGTCGACGATGTCGATGATGCTATGGACGTCGATGACTGGGAGCAAGATGTATCTGCGCCAACACAAGCTCGAGTTGAGAAAGCAAAGGCCTTCTTCGAGCTGAGCTACGAGCATCGGCGCCTTCTCTCGCATTTGCCTCCTGTCCGGCGTCCAGGTACATCTGTCAATCCTGCCAACCCGGACTCTCGAAGCAAAGCCTATAATCCGCTGCAGTATATTCGCAATCGCAAGTTGCGTCTTTGGAGCAAGACTGCCATTGATGCGGAAGCCGAGGGCTGGCATGACGTTGAGAAAGTGCGCTCGTGGTCAATGCGGTGATCGGAGGTCATGCTGCGACTCAGCACGATGAAGATGAATGCGTTCGTCTCCCACCTCTTGTAGAGAGGGAGAAGGAGCGCAACGGCAACAGTAGAGCGGCATCTCAAAGTGTTTCTACGGAAAGATATGCGATTAGATCGCATCAGGACTCGACGATCAAATCTCGTCGACCACGATCCGATTTCGTTTTCCATCCGGGAGATCTGATTGCCGATTGCTTTTGGTTGGAGCAAGGTATCAACAAATCGAGGATCTTGGACAGGGACAACAACAACATATACCCACCTAATACACAATTCAAATTTTCTGGCTGGCGCAATCGGACACCTGTTCATCTACCAGAGGGCCTGCAGCAACCGTCGCCACCAGGGTCAGACGCAGAGGACGAAGTCAAGGATTCTTCACTTCATCCCGTCTCTGAGCTGCCGGTCTTCAGATCCGCGCATCATGATGTGCCTCATAATGCAAAAAGCGAAGCAAGGTCAAGGACTCCATCGCCGCTGCCGACGAAGGAGGTTTTGCCAAGGGCTTGAAAGTCCTGATGGATGATTCCGCCTCTAGCGGCTCGGATGACTCTTCGGGATCAGGCAGCTCAGGGGATGAGAGAGAAAGAGGCAGGAAAAGGCTCAGAAAACGTCAAAAGCAGAACATAGATGTCTCTCCCGGCCAGGTTCCCACCCTGCCACCAGTGCGGAACCTTCACGACACAACAGCAAGTGATCAGAGCGCTCCCTCATCGAGGCAAGCTTCCAAACGGGCATCTCTTGATCATGGCCCGTCACGAGTAGGACGCTTTTTGAAGAGGGAATCCGCTTCGAAGAACCGCAAGAGCACGTCCACAACACGAGAAGAGCACCGTCCGCAAGATGCGGTCGATAAGTTCCCGGTCCTTGAGGAACAGCCTCGTGCCTCTGCGGAATACGATACCACTGCACCGAACTCGCCGACCCACACGCACTGGCCAAGCATTGCCATAAATCTCGAATCACCTCCACCGAGTCGATCAACTTCGCCAGCAAAAAGGCAAAGTCATGTAGCTGCGATTCTCAAGCCACTGCACAGACATCATAAACAGGAGTCGATCTCTGCTGTGGACTTTGGCGCCTCGTCAAAGAAGTCGTCCGTGTCTGCACCAGGTGAGAAAGCTAAAGACGACTCCACCGACGCCTCTCGTGGTACCAGTCCAATGACGCGTGGGCAAAGTCCGATGACAAAACGTGACTCTGATCTACCTGTCGCGAATGCTGTTTACGAAAGTCATCCCATGAGCCGCTACAGTACCAAGTCAAGCGCTCCTTCAGACCATCACAAGCTTCGCGGCATTTTCAAAGGTGGCCGGATCGCCGAGATCGTTGGACACGAAGTCTCGAAAGTCGGCGACTACATCTGGAAGAAAGACCCGCCTCCGGCCTACCGCGGACGCAAGCCATCGGAAGAGGGCTCTGGGTACGAGACTGATGAGGAGACGGAGCCTATGAATGGTGCTGTGCTCAAGACTCCGCCCGCGCATATAGTTCGGTCAAGATCATCAACAGTCTCGAGCACGAAGAGCGATTCGCCGAAGGTGAACAACAAAAGTCCACCTTCGAGCGGACGGCCGAAGTACAACAATCCGAACCTCCCTAGCTTTACATCACCCTTTGACAAGGACCGCGAAGCTCAAGAGAAGAAGACCGCGCTACTCACTCCAACGGCGACTCGGGATGATCACATTTCGCGCCAAGCTGCTGAACACCGATCCAATTCGAGAAGTCCTAGAATGGACAGACTAGCGCCTCCGAAGCTGGACACGGGCGATCGATCTAGCAGCGGCAGCCGTCTCACGCCTCAGCGATCTCGCGAATCCGCTGGCCTTGGCTTGGTCTTGACCCGTTCTCAGGAAGCGACCAACAAGCTAAACACAGCACTTGGCGACAAGGTTGGACTCGACCTCACCCGCATGGCCACGCACGACCTCGACGAATCACCTTACGTCACCTTCCGCGACATCAACCGTGCTGTGGCATTCATCTATACCTCCACCGTCAAAGCCAGGGAAATAAGTCGACACGCAGACTTGCCTCGCAAGCGGCCGCAGTACATGACAGATGCCATGACCGGCTTCGGCAGGGACTCACACGCCCGCGCCGACCTAGCGATGGTTGCTCGACGCGAGGAGAAAGTCGTTGCGGCACGGCAGATCATGGAGAGACTCACGGAAGACCACGAGACATTCACCACTAAATTACAAGAGTTCTCTGGCACCACGGCACCGGCCTTAGCACGACTTCTCCAGGAGCAGGAAGATCTCGTTGAGAACAAGATGACTCCGCGTGTGAGGCAGAGTGCTGACGAAGCCGGCGAACTGAGTATCAGGCTGGCCTCTACCAGTACATTGGCAGTGAAGGGTGTCAATGAGGCGATCGATGCCGCTATGATGAAACGAGTAGGAGGGCCGATGCGGTGGGTCAGAAGCACGTGGTACAGGGCCGTGGAGATGACGGTTGTGAGCTTGTTGTGGGCTATCTGGGCAGTCGTGAGTATCATAAGGGTCTTCTTGGCCATAATAAGTGGCAGTGTCAGGGGAGTCAGGTGGTTGCTGTTCCTGTGAGCTTAGCGTCGGCCGCGACGAGATATACCCTGGTTGAGATTTTGACACATAGCGTGGCGTTGATTTCGGGAATTTGGGAACCGGCTACATGCAGCACCGTGTTGATCGGACTGATCGGACTAGAAGCAATTATATTTGTTCAGGTTCGGCAACGTTCAGTCATACCTGGTCGTGCCAACTTGCCCAAAAACCTTTTTCGTCGACCTTTAGTGTCTGCTTGGTTTACATCGGCACATGCGACGGGGGCTCTTTGTTTAAGTTTCATTACAGTACTTGTCGTGACGAAAGTAGGCGACCTCAAAAACGATCGCACCGCCCAGGCCACACTGGCATCTCAGACCGGATGACAGGCATGACGACGTCACCAGGACATCTTGGAGAAACTTCTATCGTTCACATCACCCAAAGATTTGTCTACATGCCTCGAGCCTGAGAATACACAACACTCCCCTGCCCAAACCAGGAGCTGAGAGCCAACATCTCATAGCAGGGCCTTCTTAGATCCTTCCATATACCCAGCATCCAGGCCATCACGATACAGCACCTTGCAAGCGGATGTCCCAGCCATGACCTCCTCCAACGACCCGTCCACCGCTGAGAACAACAGCAACTCCTCCGAATCCGACATGCCGCCCCTCCGCGTTGACCCTTCCCGCCTCAGCACCCTGAAAGCTAACATTGCCTCCATACACAGCCGCATACAGGCAGCCACATCCTCTTCCCAACACCCGCCGCGCCTCGTTGCAGTTTCCAAACTAAAACCCGCGACCGACATCCTCGCCCTCGCTTCCAGCTCAAGCACTTCCACTGAAAACGACTCCTTGCAGCCTCCACCGCAACGCCACTTCGGCGAGAACTACGTACAAGAACTCCTCGAAAAGTCCAAGATCCTGTGGGACGCCGAGCACGAAGGCACGAAAGTGGGAAGGCGCATACGGTGGCATTTCATTGGTGGCCTACAGAGCAATAAGGCGACGCAGCTGGCCAGGGACGCGAAGGGGTTGTGGTGCGTTGAGAGTGTGGATTCGGAGAAGAAGGCTAGAGGGCTGAGCAAGGGTTGGGAGGGGAGGGAGTGGTTGAGGGAGGAGGGCCAAGATGTGTCGGCGGCGAATGGAGCGCATGACGGAGAGGGTGACGATGGAAGATTGAGGATTTTCATTCAGGTCAACACAAGCGGGGAGGAGAACAAGTCTGGTGTCGAGCCCGACAGCGATGAGTTGCTGACGTTGGCCAAGTGTATACGGGACGACTGCTCACAAACGCTGAAGCTACAAGGTCTGATGACCATCGGCGCGATAGCCAGATCACAAGCCGCGAAAGAGGGAGAGGAGAACGAGGACTTCGTTAAGCTAAAGGAGGTGAGGACGTGGCTGGCGAAAGAGTTGGGGCTGGATGGTGGCGAAGAGGAACTGGAGTTGAGCATGGGCATGAGTGACGACTTTGAGAGCGCGATACGGCTGGGCAGTAGTGAGGTGAGGATTGGAAGTACGATCTTTGGGGAGAGGCCGCCGAGGAGTGAGGCGAAGGTTGTTTGATAGGGTGACTTGAGGTGAAGTGAGTTACCCGACTACCTTCTGTAGAGCCTGGTCATGGACGCGCAAGTGACGCATCGGAGACGTGGTTGCCAGGAGGCTTTTTCACGTGTAGCATCTGCGCCTTCTCTCGACATAAAAACATCGCGGCGTTAACTTCAGATTTCCCTCTCCGACATCACAAATTATCTCGCCTATCGGATCGTCGCCAGTACTCGGCGCATGCAAGTGGCGGGAACAACAATGGACGCAGAAGTGTCCAGCATACCAGACGATACGGCAATGGCCGCGAATACCGCCGCTCTGGCTTCATTATTCTACAATAGCGACTTTTCAGATGTGACCATCAAATGCCAAGCGCGAGAGTGGAAGTTGCACCGAGTAATTCTTGCATCGAAATGCGACTTCTTTCGGGCGGCCTGTGGCGGGCAGTTTAAGGTGAGATATCTCAAGCTCAAGGACCTCGTGTCTGCTTCAGACCAGCTAACAGCAACTGTCCAGGAGGCGATCACAGGCGAGATCGATCTCAGTGACGATGATCCAGAAGCTCTAGACATCGTCTTCCGCTACATCTACACCGACTCAGTCGTATGCATTCAGAAAGATCTGCACGACGACTTCATGCCGCCGGGCTACTTAGTCACGCTACTGGAGACCGCTCGATCAGCCGACAAATATGGCCTTCCCGGGCTTGCTCTCGCGGCACATGATCAATTGAGACAACACTTTCATCGACCGATCGGTCCTACTGTTGGGAGCTTCGTACGCATAGACGTCGCGAAGGAAATCGATCAAGTCCTACTGCTTCTACACAGACTATGGGAAGACGAGCAAAATGCGAAGGAGGCGGAGCTACGGAAGTTTATGCTGACTGAGCTTTTTGCTGGACTGAAAGGCGAGGACAGAAAGTGGTTCTTCCGGTCAAGCATTAAAGGCCATTGGCAACACAGCCCGGCGGATTCTAAGGGTTGCACAGACAAGCAGACACGCCAAATTGCCGTAATCGACGATCTTTTCAATCGACACCCACAGTTCGCGTTCACCATCATGAAGATAGTTTTTGACGAGACCGGCGAATTTTTGAGGTACGTCGATGATCGCCAAGCCGCAGTGTGCAAACTTGAGCAAACCGAATCGGTGCTCAATGCCACAATCGAGGAACTCACCGACACGAACCAAGACCTGCGCGGTGAAGTTGCGGACTTGAAGACCAAGCTTGGGGCCGCACAGCAATAGGAGAAACAAGCGAACGAAGAGACGCGAAAAGGCTTGCAGCGCTTCGACGAACTCAAGAAGAAGTACGAGAAGATGCTCTCCGAGTGGAAGGCAGAGAAGGCACGTCGCCCAGCTCCAGAGAAGGTATATGGACGAAAGTCACATACGCTGTCGGGACCTCCATATGGCGTACCGCAATCGGTAAGCAGCTCCTCGAGTTCTTCTTCGAGCTCGCCGAGTCCGCCCAGCTCACCAACCTCACCCCTCGACGCTATACGTTTTCCTGTCGCCAGGCCAATTCGTCCAGCAAGGAACACGTAAGGAGGACCTAAGGGCTTCGAGTTGTCATCAATGTTACTGTGGCGGAAAAGCTCGCAACAGGAGCGCGTCACACAACTGCCGTATGAGCACGAAAGATTGGCTAGGACGAGAACCTCAGCAGATCAGTGTGTACACGAGCACAGGGGCCCAGGTTCCAAGCGACCAGCAGGGCTTTTGGCGCGAGAACGCTTCCGACTGGAAGTGCCATTGAATCGTCCGCATGCTCAAAAGCACTTCGTCAATAGAGACAAAGACGCAAGCGGCGCTAGGAATTTTCGATACAGAGATTGAGCCAGCTTGCTTCGACTCTGCGGTGAAAATGGATGTTATTATGGCGCCACGAGACGATGTGCCACAGAATAAATTGTGTGAAAATGCTACAGCGCAAAAGCTGAGCAGAAACCCATTATGAATCGATTGCACCGATGCTGCTCGAATGAGACTCTCCTTTAGTTGTCCGACCTGATCAATGAAGCAATGTCAAACCCTTCGGCGCCCTCCCTAAGCTATGTGGATTCCTATGATGAGCTAGACTCATGGCATCTCGTTGACCACATGCGCCACGACCTTCAATCGCATATGGATGTTCAGGTACGAAAAGTTAATTTACGACTGTAGTAAGACGCACTTTGAGCACATCCCGCATTCCAGCACCAATATTCCGACGGACAACTTCATTCCTTCCTGTGCACTCAATTGATGATTTCTTTGACATCGCGAAAGATGACCTCCACGCAGACATACAAAGCCAAGTTACCACTCCCCGTCTTGCCGCGGGTCGCAGACGTGTTCTTTCTAGCCAGGACAGGCAAAGACCATGCATGGATTGCGTGCACAGGCCACTTCCGCAGTCGACTCAAGGTATCGGCGCTAAACCTTCTAAAGTCTTGACCCTCTGAGCCATTTCTATCATTGGCACGGGTAATAAGCTTCGGGGGATCTGGCAGGTACCAGGCGGTCTGTGCGCTGTTGCAAGCTGGGGACTTTGCAACCTCCCTGACTCGGTAAGCTTGAATAGCTGTGGAATACCCCAAGGAAGGCGCAGCAACCAAATCCCACTCGCACTGTGACACCTTCTTTCTGTGCTACGAGATTTCAACACCCACTTTCTTTCACCTGAAAGATGCGATCGAATATCCCTCATACAAAACCATGACCGGCCAATTTGCGGTGGCTGAAGCTCGATGCTACCTATAGATGGCCAAGAGGGGCAGTTCGCATCCGAGGCAGCACACGCGCCAAACCACCACGCTATGCACTGACCGACAGCTCGATTCGCGAAACGAAGTCAACAATGCATTTCGACACGTGCTCGAATGCCTCAATTTACACCGTGAGAATAAATACGCAGGTTCCCAGTATCGGCTCTTTCTTTTGATCTTACTCTCTTCTGCTCCTTCCTCCTCTTCTCATCAACTTCCCGAGCACAGCGTCCGTGTGCAGCTTCCTCCCGTCCGCCTCGCTCTCCTCCCAATTTCCCCCAAAACCATCGTATCTTGACCCCTCATCCTCTACATTCAGCACTACAATGGTGCACAATAACGATGAATCAGATCTACCACCTGAGATAGCGGCCAAACGCCGTATCCTCTTTGCTGATGATGAGATCCAGCCCGTTCCTAGCCGGTCTGAGGGCCCGTTTCCTGGCCCGGCGGCGGCTGGAACCAACACCAGCATTCAATGGGGCAACTTGCCAAACCTGAAGCGCAATGACACCAAGGAGAGCATCAAGTCGGTGCGGTCAATCAGCAGCCGCAATCGGGATCCGTCCTTGGCTCTACCAACGGTCTACCGTACCGTCTCGTTCAACATCACTGCCTCGCAAGAGCGGCAACAAGCTGAGGCGAGCAAAGAAGCAGCGAAAGCCAAGGCTCAAGCCGGCGGTGACTTCGCTGATGTCGATTGGCATCTTGTTGACCATATAACACTCTACAAGAGACTCGAGACAGCGCCTGAGTCTGGTCTGACTTCCACACAAGCAAGTGGCAAACTGTCTCAGTATGGCCGCAACGTCCCTTCAAAACCGCGATCCCAGCTCCCCCAGAAGCTGTTCGGCTACTTCTTCGGTGGCTTCGGCTCCATCCTCTTCGTTGGCTCCATTCTGGTCTTCATCTCGTGGAAGCCGCTCGGAGATCCGCCTGCAGTCGCCAACTTGGCGCTAGCAATCGTCTTGCTCGGTGTATGGCTACTCCAAGCGCTCTTCAACGGCTGGCAAGACTTCTCAAGTTCAAGAGTCATGAACAGTATCACAGGCATGCTTCCCGAAGACTGCGTTGTGACTCGAGATGGAGCACAGCGAGTGCTACCAGCTGCGGACATTGTACCTGGAGACATCCTCTCTTTCAAGGCGGGCAGCAAGTTGCCAGCTGACATCAGGTTCATTGAGGCGAGCTCGGACGCTCGCTTTGACAGGTCGATCCTCACAGGCGAGAGTGTGCCCATTGTTGCCCAGACAGAGAGCTCCGAGACCAATTATCTGGAGACTAGGTGCATTGGGCTGCAGGGAACGCACTGTACTTCAGGCTCTGGTCTCGGTATTGTGGTTGATACTGGCGACAGAACCGTCTTCGGTCACATCGCCAAGCTCACAAGTACGCCTTCAACCGAAAGGACGCCTTTGCAGAAGGAGATCCTCCGCTTCGTCATCATCATCGTGGCTCTCATGATCACGATGAACATCATCATCATCGGCGTCTGGGCTGGATATATCCGCAAGACCTACCCCGACTATATGCCCGTCAACTTGTTGATTGTCAACATTGTCAGTATCGCCATTGCGTTCGTTCCTGAAGGCCTCCCGATTGCTGTCACTGCTTCTTTGACGATTGTTGCGAACCAAATGAAGCAGCACAATGTTCTCTGCAAGAGCTTGAAGACAGTCGAGACCTTAGGCTCCGTCTCTGTGCTTCTCTCCGACAAGACGGGCACATTGACCAAGGGCACTATGGTGGCAACGAATTGTCTGATCGGCTTCCATGCAATGACTGTGGACGAGGCCGAGCGTGAGCTACTCGAGAGCCGGGATACCGAAACGTCACGACCCAAGAGCAAGGCTGTCGGTTTATTGCAGCTCCAGACCGCCGCCGCAGTCAACAACGCTGGCGAATTCGATCCAACAACCATTCATCTGCCACTAGCCGAACGGAAGGTCATCGGTGATGCCACTGATGCCGCAATCCTGCGCTTGTCAGAAAGACTGGGCGGCAACGGATCCACTGTCACAACACGGGCCTCCTGGCGGACTCGATTCGATCTGGCCTTCAACTCGAAGAACAAGTTTGCACTCAAGGTCGTGTCACCACGAGACAGCGAGGCAACATCCGTCGCCCTTGGACCCTACGTTGCACGCAACTTCGATTCCGAGACGGACACGGTTGTGCTTATCAAGGGTGCCCCTGACATTCTCATGAGCAGATGCACCAAGTTCATCGACTCCCTCGGCGAAGTCCACCCAGCCAGCGCAGACTTCCAGAAGCATCTCGAGCACATCAAAGACACATGGTCTAGCGAAGGCAAGCGCGTTTTGCTCCTAGCCCGCAAGATTCTTCGCGGCGGCGAACTCAGCGTCAAGCCAAACGAAAGCAATTTCGAAGAAGAGGTCCTTCGATTCGCTGCCAACGATCTCGTCCTCGTCGGCCTAGTCGGCATCGTCGATCCTCCTCGCGATGAAATCCCAGAAGTCGTCAGCACTCTTCGCCGCGCCGGCATCCGCATCCACATGGTTACTGGCGACTTCAAGTTGACAGCCCAGGCCATCGCTCGCGACTGTGGCATCATTGGCTCAACGAAGGGCGAGAAAGTCGACGGCGTCAGCGATCTGCCCCGATCCGCGCCGCCCACCATTCCCGGTGTCGACACAGATGGCCTGTCCCGCTACGGCGCGGACAGCCTCGTCATCTCTGGTCCGGAGATTGGCGGCCTGTCCGAATACCAATGGGACCTCATCACGCAGTACCCCGCCGTTGTCTTCGCCCGCACCACTCCAGACCAGAAGCTCCTCATCACTCGCGCCTTCCGCCGAAGGGGCTACGTAGTCGGCATGACCGGCGACGGCGTCAACGACGCGCCTTCCCTCCGCGAAGCCGACATTGGCATCTGCCCCGTCACAGCGTCCGACATCGCTATCGCTGCCTCCGACATGGTCCTGCTCGACTCCTTCGCCAGCATCATCATCGCTGTCGAGCGCGGGCGCACTGTCTTTGACAACCTGAAGAAGACGATCGCCTACCTTCTCCCTGCCGGCTCCTTCTCCGAGTTCTGGCCCGTCATGACGTCTGTCATCTTCGGCTTGCCCCAGATTCTGTCCAGTTTTCTGATGATCGTCATCTGCTGCTTCACCGACTGCGCCGCCGCAACCGCACTGGCGTACGAGGAGCCTGAAGCGGACGTCATGCTCCGCAAGCCGCGAGACCTCAAGAAGGACAAGCTCGTCGACTGGCGGCTTCTGCTGCAGAGCTACGGCCTTGTGGGTATGATCGAGACCACCACGAGTTTCGCGATGAGCTATTGGTATCTGAGCATGAAAGGTATTCCTTTCGGCTCGCTGTGGTTTGCTTATGGTAACTACACGTTCGAGGGGAGCCACGATTCGGACTACATCAACTATCATCTGAGTGTGGCGAGTGCGATCTACTTTGTAAACTTGGTGGTGATGCAGTGGTACGTTACTCCCCAAGCCTTATACTGATTGCAGCGATGCTGACGATGCTACTTCAGGTTCAATCTGATGGCCCTCCGCACGCGCCGCACCTCCCTCTTCACCCAGCCGCCCGTCCGCTTTACCCGCACCACGACACTCCACCCATCCTCTTCTTCCAATGCCTCGCACGCCTGGAACACCAGCATCCATATCTCCGGAAACTGGTACCTCTTCCCCGCGATCCTCATCGCGCTAGTCATGATCTTCATCTTCTGCTACATCGGCGGCTTGCAGGACGTGGCGTACAGCGCGCCGGTGCCGGGCATGTACTGGGGCCTGGGCTTCGCGTGGGGAGCGGGTCTGCTGGGCATTGAGGAGAGCAGGAAGATGTTGGTTCGGAGAAGTGTAAAGAAGGGTGAGAGAACTGGGAGGAAGGGTTTTTGGGAGAAGATTGCTTGGTAGAGAGTATATCTACACATGATCTGCGTGGCAATCGTGCAGAGCCTCGGCCACGGGGAGAGTTATCGAAAGAGAGCGAAGAGAAGAGCTCGATCATGTAGAGCGTCGCTGCATCGTCAAGAGACGAACATAGACAACACCATGAACACCATTCATGGACACCATTCATGGACAATAGCATGCTTCAGAAGTTCCGTGATTCCTCTTTTCGTCTGATCTCCACCACCTAGTCCCCCTAGCGGCACCACAACTTTGTAAAAGTAGACTCGGTCCAGATTGTTTCGCAGGAACAGGATTGTGTGACGCCTTCCACCAAAACCGAGACATACACTTGCAAATGTGCAGTCCTGACCAAGCCCTTGGACGTAGACTTAGGGCGTCGGGCAACATGGTCTATGAGACTATGGTCGTTTCGACCAGGGCGACATAGCATCGTTCGGCGGCCGTGTCCCAGTTCTCTGCGATAGCATTCTCGGAGGTGATGGGCTCTCGATGCTAGCTTGGCTAGAGCGGGTACTCGGGTCGCTGGTGGTCGTCGAGGTGGCCTTCGAGTGACCTGTACTGGTGGCGTTCGACTTGGTCTTGGGTCTACCATGGCTGCCAGGGGTAGGCGGCACGGCCGCAGATCCAACAACCATGTGATTGAGTTCGAAGTGTCTGGTCATGCTATCTCGTCGATTTGTGCGTTTGCCGCATACAGTGCAGGCATAGGGTTGATCGGAGGTATGTGTCAGTGCGTGCCGCTCGAGATCCCGATTCGTTGCGAATGCTTCTGTACATGGACCTAGTAGGCATGGGTGTGGTCGTGTGTGACACTTCTCATGGTCCCTGTTGTGAGCCGCCGGTCAGCATACTGTTCGTACCATAGCCTGCAAGATACGTACCGGCGTTTACTGGGCATGGCAAAAAGCTTGGGACAGTATTTACACTGCAGGCTATTTGGGTCTGTCGACAATGTGTTGATCGAGAAGTCGGTATTGGTAATGAATGAGGAAGTATCATGACCGATGATGGGCAAATCGAAGTTATCGTAGTTAGTCGTCCATGGTAGTGTCGGAAAGCCATAATTCCCGTTGATCCAGTCCGTCTGCTCCAGTCCCATCGGAAAGCCGTCATTCAGCAGGGTCGCGGAGTACATCTGCGTATCAACGGCCAAGTCTTGCCCCATGTATAGGCCGTCCGCTTGTCCTGTATACATGATCGCTTGCTCGACGGGAATGTCGAGCGATCCAGCACGTAGATTGTTGCTCGTGTTCCGCTCAAAATAGACCCAACAAGTACAGTGTGTGTGTTGGCCGCAAATGCCGCAAGGCATTGTGGTGAAGTCGGACTGTCAGTTCAGAAGAGCGGCAATGCTGAGATAGCGTGAGAGAAACAAGCGTGGAGGGGCCGTGAAAGCCATATCAGCGGCGTGATGGCGGCGGACGGGCCGCCCATCGGTGTCGAGGTCATGAGAGACGGCCAATACCATCAACTGCTGAAGGAAAGCACCAGAGTGAGCACTCAACATTCTTAGCAAATGAAACAGGCACTGGACTGTATGGAGTCCTTCAGGATACATAGTAACTGGGCGCAGTGGGTCCCCATCGAACACAAGTGCCGTGTGGCCAGTCGACTAGGATTGACCCTTGTAAGGTTTTCACGAATTGAACTTCCGCAGTGTACGGGCCATCAAAGCCACGTAGAGCTTGAAGGTGATACTTGCCAGCTTCATGACTTGGCGTCAGGCGCGCCAAAGTGTCCCGTGCAGTTCATGCAATCGATCAGAGACGCCGTGGCGATGTTAGTCTCACCTATCACTCGCCTCAACTGCGATGTGCTCCAGGACATTGTGCACATTTGTGTTGTCGAATGCAAGCAACATTCGGAAGCGAGGAAAGCGCGCTCCAAATGGCATGAGTTGGTCCGAGGTATAGCTGCTGAATATTCGCAATGATGTGGCTGCCGAGGTGCAGAAGCAGGTCTACCTTGTACTGGCAGAAGAGGAGGACAGACGTGCTCAAGAACGGCGGGTCTTCCAGCGGGTTTTGTATTCTACGTCCAAGACCAGGTGTCAGCTCCAAACCGGGCGCTCGAGGAACTGCTACCTGTTCGTAGACAAGGAAGAGAAAACGGTCAAACCTCGAAACCGGTGAGGCCATTCGAAGAATTCCGTTTCGAGCCTTATTGAAGCCCTTAATGACAGATGTACAACCGGTCGCGCTGAAGGACGCAAGGCGGATACGCCCGGGTCGAGGGGCAGTGGCATTGCCCGGCTCGCACAGGACGGTCGACCTGTTGTGCACAAGAGGTGTCTTCGGCTTTTTCTGATCTGAATCACAAAACGCCGAAGAATGTCCACTATAGTGCGCACAAACAACCTGGCCATCCGCCAAGTAGTGCTGTGTGGCCATGTAGCTTTATCAGACTCCGTCAGGTCGCAACAAATCATTGCTAGGCTGCGTAGAAGTCCTCGAAAGTCACAAAAGGTGAAGCAATGAAGTCAAGGCGGCCAATGGGAGTGGCTACTCTTTTCCAGCAGCTGACCTATCGTTGGCATTGGCAAACTGGGGCCTGCGGCATCGCGTGCAGCTGAGTCGTCTCGCAGTTGCATGGCTTGCAGACTGCATCAATTAGTGTCGTGTGGCCAGGCACTATCTGCATCCCCTCGTCGTCGTGACTCGCTCTTGCCGTGACGACTCTGGACGACTGGTCAAATGCGCGTGCGACTTCCTTGAATTAAGTGCGATCAAAAACATCAGGTGCGATGAAAAACCGCCAATGGTGAACAGGAAGGCACGACTCGAACGACGACGCCCGGTTACTGCTGAAAACAGCATGCGCTGAGGCCAAGGACTTCGGTCTCGCGCTAGGCTCGAAAGTTCCGAATCATTAATTCGTTCTTCCGTGGAGAACTTTGTCAGTGCCTCGAGGTTGATCGAGCGTCGCGCCAGTTCATCACATTGGAAGAGATTCTCTGTGCATTTACCTGTGGCGTTACTTGTGATTGAAATGCTACAGAACTTTTAGGTCAAGCACGACCCGATCCCACCGATTAGTTGGCCACATGATGCTAGGTACAACGGCCCAATTCCTAACAAAATTCGACCCCCGGCTTAACTCAATTCCGTCAACTGGGTATCAGCTTGTTCCTAGAATGCGCGTGTATAATTGAGTCAACATCATCGATCGTCACAGGTCGTATTGCCGCGAGCTTTACCACAGCAGCGGTCATGACCTTGACATGTTCCTCAGATACCGTGACATCCAGCTGCTGAGCTCTCGAGTTGATTGCATTGCCGCCAGCCAGTCGAGATGCGAAATGGACATAGCTATCCATGCCGAAATCCTTGGGATTGATGAGCTCATATGTGGCAGGCTCTGCTAGTATTGAACTGGCGTAGGTACCTGCCTTGTGCGTAAAGGCACAAAAGCCGGTGATAGGGTTGTTGAATGGTATGTTGACTGCTGTCGCATCTGCGACGATATCCTCAAGTTTCTTGATCTTGGCCAAATCATACTTACTCTTGACATAGTCTGGTGCGACGGAGACCATCCGGCCAATGAAGCCACCAAGAGGTGTAATGCCATTACGTTCCCCGATACCCAGCACACTGGTGTCGACGTGTGTGGCGCCTGCTTCAAGTGCGGTATATGTGTTGCCAATAGCGCAACCGGTATCGTTGTGAAAATGGACTTCAATGTCACAACTGACGACACCTCGCAAGGTCCGTACCACGTCGTAGGCTTGTCTCGGGGAAGCACAACCGACGGTATCAGCAATCCCAACACGGTGAACACCAGCTTTGTCAACAGCTTGATACAGAGTCAAGATGTCAACGAGATCAGATCGGAACGAGTCTTCGCTCGAGAACCGTACCTCCACGCCCTTGGACTTGACAAAGCTGATCACTTTGAGTGCCGTAGCCGTGACACTCGCCATGCCTTTCCCATGTGAATGCTTTTGAAGGAGCGTCGAAGTCCCGAGAAAGATGCTCACACCATCGACACCTGTTTCGATGGCCACGCGGGCATCGTCCATGTGACATCGTATGTGAGTCAGGATCTTGGCCCGGAGGCCTAGCTTGCAAATGGCTTCGCAATCTTTGCGAGACTGTTCTGATGCTACAGGTGTGGTCAACTCTATGTAGTCGACTCCAAACTCGTCGAGGGCCCGGGCGATCTCAATCTTCTTGCCAGTGTCGAAGTACGCGCTTGCGAACCTGGTCAGGCACTGTCAGCTCCGTACGGATGGCAGGCTGGTCATATGCTGCACGTACTGCTCGCCCTCTCGTAATGTGCTGTCAATGATTTTGAAGCGCGCGACATTGCTGAGAAAGTCGGTAATGGGCACAGGTGGCTTCATTGTTGCAATATCAAAATTCTTAGTCGTTCTCGCTGCGATTTCGGCGTGCCGTCGCTGCGTTGTTCAATGTCGTTCCGATAAGTGCTTATGTTCGGGCTCTGCGCGCTCAAGTATCTGCAAGGTTATCGAGCAGTCGAGAGGGTTGTCCGTATACGCTCGCTCAATTAATGAGTGGTATGGGTTATTCTGAGTCATTTCGAACCAAGGTAAATTTGCTGCTGCACAACCTACGACGGCCGAGAACGGCGCCCACAAAGTCTTCCCCATGCGAGCGGATCCAAGAAGGAGGCTCCAGAAAGCAGACGCACCCAGGGACAAAACAGTAGTGCTCCGCGAACTGACGCTTGCCACCAATTGATCCGGCTGGAAGACGCATAAGTCGGCAAAAATGAGTTTGAGTCGGTACCTCCACCAAGATGCGATGTACCTGTTTTCATCGAAAGCGGTGGTGGGGCCGAGACGCGTGGTCATTTGTTCGGACGTTCTCCGACGTCGACTTTCGCGCACCATCTGGGACACTTACCGACCACACAACAAAGGCCCAACGAGTACCTGATGGTGCAACAACGACTCATTGATGGCGGGAGATGTGTGCGGAAGCCTCTCCACTTGCAGTTGAACTTCATCTAGGGTCGGCCTGCCGTCTCTTACGTGGTCGTTCCACGGATACCGATAATTCAAGCTCTAGAGCGGAAGGCTTCAGGTGCTTATACAGAGCTTTCAATTGCCCCGAGGCAGAGTCGGGGACGCTTTCCGCTGACCATCCAACACGTTTGGGTGATTCAAGTCTAGGTACATTCAAGAGGCTGACCATTGTCCTGTCGGTTTGACAGCTGTTCTGTCAAGTCTTTAATTGCGGTCTAGGTGGCCGACCTGGACTGACTGCATTTCTGCTGGGAATTAAAGGACACAAAGCTTTGAAAGCAATCTCTGACCGTTGAAATTCGAATCTCCACGTGTCCAATGCAGAAACGCGAAATTCCCTTACAATCATGGGATTGCCATGTACATGTCCTGGATCCTGAGAGATTTCCATACCGTCAAGATCGCACTTACACGCCATATCCCGCACTGCTGCCCGATCTTGTCCAAGCTACGACCTCCAAGGGCATTGTGATTGCACAGGCGAGTGTCGAGGACGGACCTGAGTGTCTGCTATATCACCTAAAGGCAGCTGGTCAGCAATTTCCGGAGCATACATGGAGAGGTTCAGTCATTAGCACCACTAGAGAAGATCGTGATGTTGTGCTGATGCCACATGCGTATCTGCATGATCTCCACGCTGCCGGCGTACGCTCTGTCAGAATACAATGTGGTTTCGGGAGTTTTGGATCAGACCAACAGAAGTTGCAAGACTATGTGATTGCTCTGGCTCAGTCACACTGTGTCAAATCACTGGGCTGGAATATCTCAATACAGCAGTCTCCGAAAGCCTGGGCAAGTATGGCTGAGTTCATAGAACGAGACAAACGAGTGCAGCATGTTTGCTTCGTCGCAGAGCACAACGGTTCCGCGACCCCGGAAGTGGTAGGCACACCAGAGTTTGACGCCTTACTGGCTCTGCGGGAAAGTGGACGCCTGTGGATGAAGATCTCTGCACTTCACCGTCGTAGTCCCGGGAATATCAATAGGATGGAGGAGGTCGTCATACGACTTGTCCAAGCTAGGCCTGATAAGGCTGTCTTCGGGAGTGATTGGCCGCACACGAATCCAGCAGCACAAGGCGCTGAGCCACAGCCACCGTTGCAGGGTGTTGATACCAACGCTGAGATGGAAGCGGTGAGGACGTGGATCGGGAACGAGATTTGGCAGCGCATGCTTACGGAGAACCCTGTGCGCCTGTACGGATGATACGAATCTGTCGAGTAAAATCTATAGGCGTTGTGCGTTGAATTCATTGATGCCGACGGAACTCAGCCCACACCGGCAAAGTTCTCGACCCAGAAGTACACGGACAAAGCCACTGCTCCAAGTCCGGAGAATGGGGTGAAGCAGCTCTCTACCCGCGGGGACAACGGGGATAGTCTGTTTCGAACGTCTACCACTGCTTGGTGAGCTTCCGTGCTCTGAGTTTTGCTAGCCAGATGTGTGGTGCATCCATCGGAGGTGGTACTAGGTCCATCGGACTCCGCCCGAAAATTCATCGTTTTACATACCGGTGCCAGCGGACAGGCATACCCCAGTTCAATGCCATGCGGATGGTTCCCGGGGACGTCGACGGAGACCCCCATGACAAGCCTCCCAAGCTTCTCAAGCTATAAGACCAAGCATCGCCACAAGTCTTGTGCTTTTCTTGCCATCAATAGAATCGAAACCTTCAGATCGACCAAATCAACATTGCGCCAACATGGACCACAGATCAGAAAATCAGAAGATCGATATGATGGCAAAGGCCGAGCGTCTTGAAGTTGAGTTAGGCCGAGTTCCCACTGTCGTTGATGAGTATCATGCTCTGGACCCGGACGATGCAGCAGCTGTTGAGCGGTCATTGCTACGAAAGATCGATCTCAGAATCTTGCCACTTGTGGTAATAATCTACGTGAGTGCTCCCATTTTCCTATTCAATACGTTGGCTTGTCCCGACCATGTCAAAGTATGGTCATAGTGTCAGTCCAAAGGGAACTTCTTGGCCGGTTCCTTTCATGTCCTTTCTGCATGATTGGTTCTGCGAACAGTATACTGAGCTTTCTCCTCTCTGCAGATCTTCAATTACCTGGACCGCAACTCGATCACACAGGCCCGCCTCTACGGTCTGCAGAAGGATACAGATGTCAAGGGTGCTGTCTATCAGACTGCAATCAGTATCTTCAGCGCTGGGTACATTGCCATGCAACTGCCCTCGACACTGTTGATGACTAAACTGCGGCCATCCCTGTTCCTGGTGAGTAGGTCGTATCCAAACCGAACACACGTCTGACTAGACACAGCCTATATGTATCATTGCATGGGCCGTTGTTTCTGGCTGCACAGCAGCGACGAATTCGGCAGCTGGTCTTCTAACAGTGCGCTTCTTTCTGGGCATAATCGAAGCACCCTTCTTCCCAGGTGCCATGTACTTTTTGTCTTGTTGGTACACACCGAGAGAACTAGGTGTGCGCATGGCCCTTCTCATTTGCGGACTGCTGCTATCGAACTCTTTCGCTGGTCTCATTTCTGCCGGCATACTATCCGGCATGGCCGGCGTTGGTCATCTTCATGCCTGGCGATGGCTCTTCATCCTGGAGGGCACCGCGACTGTGCTGCTGGGCTTGGTGGCGATGTTGATCTTGCCTGACTACCCAGGAACCACCAAGTGGCTCAGTGATAAGGAGAAGATTGTTGCACAAGCCCGTCTGTCCAAGGCTGCCGGCACAACCGAAGCACTGGGCGACATGGAGACACCATTCCTAAAGGCAGTCGTGTGGGCGGCCAAGGACTACCGAGTCTGGATCTTCGCCTGCCTACAAATGGCTACGTCTGCCTGCATCTCATATTCGCACTTCTTCCCTACTCTGATCCAAGGCCTGGGATTCAAGGACAACAAGACAGTTCTGCTGCTGACTTCGCCTCCTTATCTCTTCGCCTTCTGCTGGGTACGTGCTCTCCTGTCCGTAGGTCCCTCCTGACGTCTGACCTTTATATAGGCCATCAGCTTCGCCTTCCACGCCGATCGCGTGCAGAAACGCTCCCCTCATGCCGGGATCTCCTACCTCATGACAATTTGCGCGACAATTGTCATGATCGCTCTTCCGTTCCGTTACCAGTGGGTCCGCTACGCACTTACTTTCCCGATCACTGCTGGTGTTTTCGGAGTCTACAGCACCATCTACGCGTGGCTATCCTCGACCACCACGGTTCCACCCGTCAAGCGCGCCGCCGCTATGGGTATCGCAAACTCTATGTCGAACTTGGCAGCGCTCTACGCCAATTACTTCTGGCTAGATGAATATGGCCCGACATACAAGGTATCGTGGGGCATTCTTCTTGCCTTCCAAGGATTGGGTTTGACATGTGTGGTCGCATTGAGGCTTCTCCTGAAGCGGTCTAACACAAAGTTCGATGAGCTAGCTGCACGAGTCGGTGGGGAGGACAATATGGAGTTTGCCAGACTTGATGCGGAGCAGCAAAATGCCGTCGCGAGAGGATTCCGCTACATCACCTAGACATCAACTGCCTCCTTGCTATAGCTTGAACCAACGGTGCACGAGATACTTACGCCCACTTTTGGGCGACTCGCGAGGCCACTGCTGTTCGTAGAATGGTAGAGACTGCCGTCATCATCGGTGATGGTTCGGTTAAGCTTTCAGGCGCCCGGCCTTACCAAAGGTATCCTAGGCGTGCTTTCGCGTCCTACTCCCCTTGACTTACGAGTCATTTCACCGCTCTGAAGTCTCGGGTGATGTACACAGCGTCGTGTTGCGATGTTCGCCGCAACGTACGATGTCCTACTCTGACAGCATCGCGGATACAGATAGACTGTGCACGACGCGCTCTTGTCGCATACCGGTCACGCTTGTTCAGCCTGGGAACTGAATCGACACAGCCCGTTCAAATCGCACGACAACATGGCTTCATCGGCACCGAAGCCTCAGCTTGACACGTCCGCCCTGGCCGAAATGTACAGCGTCATGAATCGCCAAGGCAGCTATCAAAATGCCAGCGGCCTCAAACTCGTTGAGATGCTCGACATCCACAAGGGCCAGACCGTCGTAGATCTTGGTTGCGGAACTGGAGAGCTGACTCGTCACATCACTACTATTGTCGGAGAGTACGGCCGTGTAGTTGGGATCGACCCTTCGGCAGACCGTATCGAGAAGGCGAGAAGCCTCTCGCACGCTGATACGGAGGGTCCGTCGAGCCAGGCTACCGCGACCCCTGTCGTATATTTGGTGGGTGCGGCGGAAGATGCTGAGACAGTGCTTCTGGAAGGTGAACATGCGCAGAATATTGATGGGGAATTCCGCGCTGATGTAGTGATCATGAACTCGGTGTTTCACTGGATCGAGAACAAGAGCAAAGCCTTGAAGGGAGTGTTCAATATTCTCGCCGAAGACGGAAAACTGGGCATCAGCGGTGGTTTGAGCGATCTCTGGAGCCCCATGGATATCCGGAAAGCAGTCTTGTCTCGATCGCCGTTCTCTGAGCATCCGATTGAGGGTCTGGCGCACTATGTGAGCTCTGCTGAGATGGTGGAGCTTTTGGAATCAACGGGATTTCGGGGACATCACCGAGAGTTCGTCGAGCGTGAGAGAACGTTTGAGAGCGTGGAGGCTTTTGTGAAGTTCTGCGAGGCTAGCACGAGTGGCCAATTTCTTCACGTGGACTACCTTCCGGAGGAGCTCAGGATGAGAGCTCGCGAGGCCATCAGGAAGGAGTGTGAGTCTTTGAGGCAAGGTGATGGACCAGAGGTCGTGATCAAGGCCACTTTAGCAATTTGGGTTGCTTCTGAAGAATAGCCATGCCTGCTGAGCACACGCGTTCAACAAAAAGCCGATGGCGAGGTGACCAATATATCACAAGCAGCGAGCTCGGCATCATTCAACGAGAACGTGTTGTCCCAGCAGACTCGCCACGTGTTGCAGACTCGTCAGGCGCAGTGTGTACTACGTTATTCAACGCCGACTTTCAAAAGATCACTGATCGCACCTGCCCCTGCGGCTTCAAGTCCGTCACTAGAGGTCCACTTCACGGCGGCTGCCCATTGAAGGAGCGTTTGGGTTCAGACTTGGCACTTGCTTCAGATGATGCCGGTTCAAGACTTCTGTTTGCTACAACTTCCAATTGTCAAAGGCCTCCCTGGGTGGAAACCTCAAACATTAGGTACATTCGTGACAAGCCAGACCACGCCTTCGATCGAGATGTTGAATCGACTTCCACCGGAGCTTCGAAATTGCGTCTACTCATTCTGCGACACCGACACAAGATGTGTACTCGAGTTGTGGGCAAGGCAATCATGCGACCACCGCGCTAGAGACTGCTGTGACACGAGAGGAGAGGCCGGCTCGCTGCGCGTCACATTCCATCGCGGTCCCGACTCGCTGCAGTATTTCGACTCCCAGAACGGCAAACGAGCTATATGGTGGTACGACATCGGTCGCGAAGGGCCATGCCCGTATGTCAAGTCTGGACACTCAGCCCTACTGGGTGTCAATCAGTCGATTCGCGCCGAGTATTCGAGTCACTTGGCTTTCGCAGGGCTACAACTGGACGTCATATCTGGCTCGCCCTGCTTGTGGGCAGACGCAGTGCACACGATGAAATGCGTCTCGAGCCTCGTAATGGAGCCCTGGCGCTCCTTAATCACTACCATACGACTATGCTCAACGATATATTCACGCTGCTGGCGGTACTCTGGCCTTGCGCAACCGCTCACAGTCGGTCTCCCATCATTACGACAAGTAACGTTTCTGGAGCTATTCAGGACTAAACGCAGTGCCAGAGAGCTTCCTGGAATCAATGAGTTGCGCGTCCCCAGTCTGCAACAGCTTCGACAATTGACAGTAACCCAGTGCAGTCAACATCTACTTGAGCAATTCGCGCGCTACGGCAGGGGAAGCTGGAGACCTTTAGGCATGGATTTCACCGTCCGATCATACATAGGGACCATATCTGCAAAGTTCAACACGCTCGATCGTATCACACGCAGGGGACATAACCTTCCACCTCACCGAGACTTCAACGTTGTCGGCTCATTGGCAGTAAGTTCACGCTCCCTCTTATAGCGCTGGGGTCCTCCCGGCTTGTTTACAAGATAAGGCCGTACTAATTCGAAAGCACAGTACGCAACTACCACTCGTCATGCACTCACCGGTATCATCGACCACGAGGTGGAATATAGTGCTGCCACGGAGGAGATCCAGAGCAAGATGGCCGAAATCGAGTCAAAGGGATATGGGCCCGATCTTGCAGGCCGGATCGACCGCATTCAATACTAAGCAGAGGCGGAACCGATCATGTCATTCTTGGGTTCGTACGCCAGGGAGGCCTCTACGCCAAAGCATCGGGCGTTGATGCACTGCACAAGTCGTGTCTTTCCTCATCTTTGAGATGAGTGTCAGTTCGGTGACCCTGATCATACATATACGGTTGACGGTTTGAATGCCAAGCGGCCGGCGGATGACGAGACACGAGGCTACTGCTGATGGACAGGCTCGCGTCAAGTCCTCAGCAATTTGACAGGAAAACATGGATAGCGTCGTTGCAAGAAGTCGTGGTAAATGCAGGAATCTTCAAGCTTCGAAGTCATGTACACAAGGTGACTATGAACTCATCATTCTCTCTAGAGTGCTCTGTAACGATTTCGCTTAGCTAAGTACCGATCAATCTGGCCCTCTAACCATGAAACGCCGTACGTTCGGAGCCCACCTCGCCTGGACATCGTATCATGAAGGTTATGACCGCGAGACCACCGGCCCCAGCTTCGTATCATAAAGCGTCTTCCCACACTCCTCGCACGAATCCTCCGGCTTCGGCCGCCCACTCAGAATGTCCACAGTCCCCTTATCACCCAACCAGAACTCATTTCTCGGCCGGCGATCCTTCCAGTCGGTGCCCTTAGCTTCTAGACCATCTGGTCCTCCGAGCGCGCTAAACTTCACCTCTGAGCCGATGATACCGATCACGACCGCAGACATGGGGTCCGCAGCGCAGTTTTCTTTACCGATATGCGTGAAGCGTTCTTCGAGGAAACCCATGCACTTGATTGCCATTCGCGAGGCACGGATGCGGTCCATGGGTGTTGGCTTGCCGCCCTGCTGGAAATGGCCTGGTACTGCGGCGCGAGACTCAAATCGGCCACGGGCTTCCGCCTTGATTATGTCAGCGATGAATTGAGTGGTGTAGACATCGCTAGCCTGCTCATTTCGCAATATGATCTTGCCTGCGCGCGAGGCACCGGCGTCTTTTGCAAAGTTCTCACGAAGGTACTCGATATCACGGGCGAGCATGTGGATGTTAATGCCTTCTTCGGGAATGTAGACGGCCAGCGCGCCGATAGCGAGACCGGCCATGGTGGCGAGGTAGCCGGACTTGCCACCTTGTGTTTCGATTACGAAGACTCGGCGCCGTGACGAGGAGGCGGACTGTCTGATAGCGTCGCAGAAGTAGAGCAACGTGTTCAAACAGGTATCGCTGCCGAGTGAGTATTCTGTGCCGGGAACGTTGTTGGAGACGGTGGCAGGCAGAACGATGAGGGGAATCTTGAATGCCTCGTACTCGTCTCGGGCTTTGCGCATCTCGCTGGCTGCAGTGAAGGCTTCGAAACCACCGATCAGGAGAAGTGCGTCGAATTTGTAGAGCTCGAAGGTGTGGGCAGTCATGGCCATATCTGCACTTGGTAGACCACGGTTGGTGCCAATCTCGGAACCACCCTCATTGACCCAGGGGTCGGCATCTAACCACTTCACCTCTCGAACGGATCCCAACGGTTTGTCGGCATGATGTCGCTGCAGACCTGGGAAGCCGTTGTGAATAGCAATGGGAGTATGGCCACGGGTGAGGCAGTAGGCGACAGCGGCTCGGGTAGCGGGATTCATGCCTCCGGCTGGAGCACCGACGTGAATGATGGCAACTCGCATTCGTTTGGGTTCAGGGAGTCTCAATTTTGGATGATCGGTTGAGGTCGTCATCATGTAGCTTTCGAAGTACTCCTTGAATTCGACATCTCTCAGCTGCATAGCTAAGTCAAAATCCTTGTCTTGGATTGCTTTGGTGACTTTCTTCGTCAGCGCCACACACTCCATCAGGTTTGACCGCTCGATCTTGTTCTCGCGAATGGTGATGACAGGGCTGGGAGTGTCGGGAGTGGCTTCGAGGACGGCATTGACAGCTTCGACGCCTTGCATAGTTGACAGCCACCGGTCGTAGAAGCAAGCTTGACCGCCGCGTTGAGTATGACCCAGTACCGTGACTCGCGTATCTAGGTTCAAGTCTTTCGTCAGAAGATCCTTGACTTGGTTTGCGGTGATCTTGTTAAGCTCTCGGTCGTGGGCACCTTCCGCGATGATGACAATCGTTCTTCGCTTTCCGAGGGATCGATGCTTGGTGATTATGTCGCACATTTGCTTCTGCCATCCTACACGAGGAGGCTTCTCGGGGATGAAGACGTAGTCTGAACCGGTAGCAATGGACGCCATTAATGCCAGCCAACCACAATGCCGACCCATGACCTCGATGACGAAGCCTCTCTGATGTGAAGCTGCAGTATCGAACACGTCATCCACAGCATCGCAGATTCTCTCGAGTGAAGAATAGCAGCCTATCGTAGCATCTGTGCCGGACAAATCATTGTCGATCGAGCCCACTAATCCCACGATGTTGAGGTGCTTGTATGGTTCAACATCTTCTTCCTTCATCTGACCGGTGGACACGAGCTCTGCTATCAGGCTTGGCCACTCGGACCGGAACTTGTCTGCACCAGTCAAACTACCGTCACCACCGCATATGACCAGTGCGTCCATTCCGCACAAGACCATGTTCTTGGCTGCTTGAAGTCGGCCTGCTCGTTCCATGAAGGACATACACCGTGCTGTGCCGATGAGTGTACCGCCTTTTGAGAGAAAGCCTCGGACGTCGTCCCACCCCATCGGAGCAATCATGCCGCCGCCATTCACCAGACCCTCGTATCCCTCATGAATCGCGAATGCTTCGCAGCCTTTGTAGATGGCCATTCGCACGACGCTCGGACGACGCCATTCATGCCAGGGGAGTCGCCTCCGCTGGTCATGACGCCGATACGCCGCTTCTTCGGGGGAGGAGGAGCTGTGTCGCCCATGATTGCGAGTGTCTCAACAAGTCGGGTACCTCGAGAAGTTTAGATAAGGCTGTCTCAAGGTCCGCGGAGGCTGTCTGCAGCAAATTTGAGGTCGCAGAAGTTCAGGAAGGTGTGGGAGAGCCAGGACTGGGAATAAAGATAAGAAAGAATAGAATGAGAGTCCTACAGCAGAAGAAAATGTGCAGCAGGTGACAAGCTGGTGAAATGAGCTTAGAACAGCTCACCTCAACATCCCGCGCATCTTGCATGAGCATCGCAACTGCCCCGCCGTGTCGCCTGTTTTAACTCTCCCGGCTAACTTTCTGATCCTGGCTAGCGTGAAGATAGCCAACGCTTGTTCCTGAATGCCAAGGCGTCAACTTAGACGTGCCTTCTTTCGTGCCGTAATTTTCCTCTTTACACTGTAGAGTCATCAGACCGTAAGAGAGGTAATGGGAATGGTGAAGTAGGAAGGCGACCCAAGTCCGACGTAGCAATGGCCCTCCCGATGCGCGGGCCGGTCGAAGTGCCGTACCGATCACGACAGAACGGTGCTCCGACCGAGTTGAGTGCTCGAATCAATCAGATCTTCGTCCAGAAGGGACCTTTCCGGAATGTGACGCTGGAGAGGCTGGCCAACGACCCCGAAGATGACGCGTCCGACGAGGAGAATGGAGATGACGACCAGATTGGAGGAAGTATCGAGGACCAGACAGCGGAAGGAATCGCAAAGCAGAGATTCGAACTCTACAATGCCATCACACAGCTCACAATCGATGTCAACTCAGCACTCGACATGGTGTCCATGGTGTTGTCGCAGAAGAGCTTCACCGCAACAGGCACTTTCTCGGCAGGCTTGAAAGGTGCTCTTGCACCAGGAATGCTGGACAGCCTTGTCCTTCCAGAGGGTCATCCGGAGCCAAACGTGAAGCCATTGAGCGAGATATCGACTGGCTGGAAGACATCTGCTTTCGAGTCTGCGTCAAAACACCTCTTGGCAGCATCAGAGCGAGTGCGCAAAGAAGCAGACATGCAGTCATCGTTCTGGTCACAAGTAGCGGGCTTGACGGAGCAAGGCTGGAAGGTTAGCCGACATCCAAGCAACAAGAAGATAGCAGGAGTGCACTTTGGTTTCGCTGGATCCGCCCCGCAGTTTCGTGGTCGTGGTTTTGCTGTTCTACGCCAAGACCAGGATTCGAACATCTACTTGGACAAGGCAACGCTCTCACGACACCAAAAGCGCGTGTCTGTGACCGTTATTCGCGACGGCAAAATCACGGGCAAACACAGTCCAAGCATTGCTTCTGGTACTGGCGTCCTCAGTCAAGTCATCAACGCCAGAGACAACCTCTTCGAAGAAGAACTTATCCACGAACTTGGCCGCGAAGCTAGATTTGCAGCAAATCTCGGAATCGTTGCACGAGAAAACACTGTCGAATTCCCTCTAGACAGCCATACAAAGGTCTCCCTGTCTCTGACACGAAGTAAACCAAACGCAAGACTTGACAGCGGTCCCGATAACGCGTTAGCAAGGTTCATTGCGCTCTCCATTCGAAGCCTCCTTCTCCAGTCCTTCGAAAAGGCTGAACAACGTCGATCAGAGTTCCCCCAAAGCCTGTCCTCAGCACAATCCGGGACAATGCCTCCTCCACGTATCAGCAGAAACCTCGTAGCGTTGTACAAGCACAGCAATGCTGTCGAGGCGCTCACGAACCAATTTCACTCTTCCGTTCGCAATCCACTAGGATTTGCAGGCTTGATCGCAGATCTGTCGGAGCAGCAAGAAGAGTACAACGATGACGCCCCCGCTGCAGTTCCTACAGGTCCTTACGTCTCGCGTTTCAAGCTCACAATGCCGACCAAGGAGACCCTCACGATCACCATCACCACCAACGACAGCGCCCCTGACTACGGTCAGACCTACACCACCACCGCTCCCATCACCCTCAGCTCTCCTGACTCCCTTTCCCGCCACCTAGAAGACCTCGTCGTCACCGACCTCGCCGCCCTCGTTCTCGCTGCCTATAAGGCCAAGAACGGCGCCAGCAACGCGTCGTTCGAGCTCGCTGTCGCTCAGGACGCCGTCTCGCGTTCCGGCGCATCAACCAGGATCTTCTGCTCTGTTCTGTCGAGTTCGTGCTCCAGTTGCAGCACGTGGCGGTGGTGGTGGAGAGCGGAAGTGGGAAGCGGGGTGCGTTGTTGTGGAGCAAGAACGGGCACCAGAGTATGGGTGGGGAGTGGGAGGGGGAGGGAAAGCTGGAGGAGAAGCTGCGAGACGCGCTGGAGCAGAAGCTGGGGCTGGAGGAATTTGTTCTGCTGTTTTTGGAGCTGGAGTGGCAGCGGGAGTGCGGCGTTTTGGGCGTTTTTTCCGAAACCGAGATGCAGTTCCTTGTTTAGCATTTTCGAAATGAAAATCCCGCCTGGGAGGACTCTGTGCTGAAAATTTTTGAATTGCTATTTTTCGATTTGAGCTATATTTGACGCCGTTTTGACGGCTATCTCACGATCAGGTGACGCATTTGTGGCTAGCACTTGCTTCTACCCATCCTTACGCTTGACCTCTATCGACCCTGGCACTTGCCTCTCCTTTACGACGGCTAGCCCTGAGATAGCTCTGTGGAATGGCTTTCATAGTCTTCAAGCAGTCAGTTGCAGATTCTTCAGTTGATCGTGGGACAGCCCATCATGAAGAGACAGATGCGAAGCAGGGGACAGGGGGAATGAAGGACAATTCATTTCCGGCAAGCTTACACATATGACTGTCGGAAGGACTCTGCAGCATTCGATATCCCTGAAGTACATCCCACTCCTGAAAGCCTCATTATGCCCCGTAATAATTGCTTGGTGGCTCTCGAGCTCCCGATCTCCGCCCCTTAGCAATTGTTATACCCCTTTTGCTGCCAGATCTTTACACTCTTCACCAACATCTCCGCATCTTTCCCATTCTCGCCCCAAGTAGGCAGCCACTGCTCTCTCGCGTCCCAGAAGTCCTTCTTCGCACGCTTACTGCTGTCAACCCATGGCTTCCCACTCTTACCGTCCTCAAACCAACCGTTTGTGCCTCCTACTGCGACGTTCAGGATCAGATAGAAGTCCTGGTCGAACGGCGTAGAAGGGACAGTGTTCGGCCCGCTCCAAGGGTCAAGCAGTAAAGTACCATTTACCGCATCTGTCTTCGGAAACTTGCCGCGGTCCCAAAGATGCGTGTCCGGATCGAAGTTGACGTACATGACCTGCAGGAGACGAGAGTCGATGTAGGTGAAGATGTATTTCTCAGACCACTCGAGGCCGAAGGTGTGGAAGTTCTTGCTGAACGTTGTATGAAGTGCGTTGCGCTTGTTGTTGGTACGCCACCAAGCATCGTTTGCTGGGTTTGGACCCCAATGTAGGGCAGACGACATGATATCGTTACCACCTTGGCGGTACGTATGGTTATTGCCCCGGCTCTCGAGGATGTCGATCTCGCCGGATGAGGGCCATTCTCCGTACTTGCGATTGACAGGCAGCATCCAGATCGCCGGCCACAGCCAGTCGCCCTGAGGTAGGCGGACGGTGGCTTCGATACGACCATACTTGATAGGCTTGGACTTGGCGTTGAGACGACCAGACTTTACTGGCGGGACGATCGTGCCGTTGGTCGTGTTTGTGGATGTGAGACAGTTCGACCATACAGGCGAGGTGCACACGCTACCGTTGCGAAGGTCGATGATGTAGTCGGTCTCGATGTGCTTCGCGTCCTCCAAAGTTGGCTTGATGTGTAGCATGCCATCTTGAACAAACACGTTCTCTTCGGTCGAGGTTGTTTGCTCGAATTGGCCATTACCGAAGCCACCAACCTCTGCCTCACGGGTCCAGATAGCGGGATCCAGGCCGTTAGCGAATGAGTCGTCAAGCACTGGGCAATAGGAGTGATTGACGACTGTCTGCAACCCATCCCAAACGAAGAACGCGGATATGGCAAGGCCAACTAGCATTCCGATTAGTGGTATTATGGTCACCCATTTCTCCTTGGGATCTTTGTGATCCATCCATGGCTTCTCAACGTTGCCCTTCTTCACTCGTCGTGATCTAAAGTACTCGTTGGGCTGCTTGGGCTTTCGAAGGTCTAATGCTGAGCCCATTCGCGAGGGGAGCTGTGACTCCATTGGCGTTGCAAACGGGTCTTGCGTGTATTCAGCTTTCTCCTGGCTGAGGCTCAGTGACGCAGAGTCTCGATCGCTAATCGTTGCCTGAGCAATACTACCAATAGAGTCTGCCGAAGCCGGCGCGCGCAGATACTGTGGACGAAGTGAGTGAGCCATCTCGAACCGCTTCGGACAATGTCGATCAATGCAACAAGTGAAAGTAGGAGATCATAGCTGCCATGCAAGTCAGTGGGAAGGCGATTGACATGGCGATTCTACATCACGAAACTGATTAACGTGCCCACCGAAGACCAGATCCTACCGTAGGCGAAGGGTCGAGCAGCTCCGCTCTCCATACACCACATATTGACGTGTCTCGGATAGGTCCAGATTGGAGCTGCAAGTCATGAAGGCGAAGGGCCGCGTCAAGCTTCAGGGGCGAATCGTGAACAGGATCGCATCCTTCGACGGATTAGTGCGAGCAAGCAGCTGCAATGTCTACAGTCTTGCATATGTGGATGGCCTGGTTGCTCTTGACGAGTGGCAGGATGGAAGGCAACGACAAGGCAATTCGAAGGCAAGGAGGCACGCGAGAACGCGCTAGTCTCTTATCAAGCCTAGCGTGAAGGGGCTCCTTGACATCACGATCAGGAAGGCGCGTTCCAGATTTCTTCTCGTGCATAAGGTTATCACACCTTCCATTTTCGAAGCACCGTGACCATCAGAAGGCATCGAAAGTCTCGCTGGTACTCGTTCTGTGCGTTGTTATTGTAGCCGGCCATGCATTGTGATCCAATGACGCGACTGGCATCGAGTACCCTGGTCTGTCTGAATAAATTACGCAATCTTGCTGGGCTTCAGAAGGCAATCGCGGCTCCTGAGACATATCGTGCTGTTCTGGGTCGATTGATTCCCTCTCCCGGTCGAGCTGGGCCTGCAGCATGGGTTCGAATGCCTGGAGTGAGACCGCTCACCACTTACAGAGATCGGCAGACTTGACACCCGGTACTTGGAAAACTCCGTGCTAGGCCCTTACGAGATGCCAGAATGCCACGCTTGCTGTCGCTATTGACCTCCTTCTTCTTAAGCTCCAACTCTTCCTCTGCCCGTTCTGCTGACCTTTTTAGCATGCTCAATCATGGACAGAACATCGAACTTCACAGAAAGCTTCAATGAGCCACATCCAGGCAGTCCGTTTCGCCCTGGAGAACCTCAAATCCAACTCAACGACACCACAGTAGATCTCAACTTCTCTCCGGATGTCTCCCGCCCGAGTACGCCTCGATCGCCGGCGTCGTCAAGCTTTCGTCCTTCTGATCCAGCAGCTGAATCGTCCATCTCCGAGAATATTTCCAGCTCACCAGATCCAGACAGGCAAGCAGATACTCGATCCATCCGCAGCACTCGCAGTCGCGTATTCGACGACATAAAGTACGAAGTCATGATAAATCACCTGTATCAGAAGCAATGCGCCCAGCTCTGGATCGACCACAACAGTCCAGCTAACGCCGAAGGCGTTCTACTTCGCAAGTCAAGAGGTCAATATCTTGCCTGCCCGCCACAGCTGATCCACTCGACATTCGCGTCGGCATGCAGCCAGCTCAACCTGCAGGTAGCCATGACGGTCAACTCGAGAGTCATCAAGGCCTTCGTTGCTTCATCACCCAACAGCTACGAAGTCCCGCTTAAGGATGGCGCACGTATTCAGATCTTGCCCGACATGCACCACCTGCCGTTGGCACGCAAGTACCACTTTGCGGCCTTCTTAGCGGCGGAAGAGCTCTTGATCGTCTGGGACGACAATGCTGCTAAGCTTGTCAAAAGAGCCAAAACGATCGAGGATGCTTTGACGGAGCTTGTCTGGGGCAATCCAGACGAAGAGGAGGACGAAGATGCAGAAGATGAAAAGAAGGAGGATCTCGATCCGGAATCTGGCGACCCGGTGCCAGAGAATAGGCCGACTAACTTGATGAACACGATCCTCGTTGCCTTCACCCTGATGATCGTCATCATGCTTCTCGGACTCGCGGCTCGGTCTCTGGCAGTGGAGATCGCGGTTGACAAGGGCTTCATCCGTCTTGCCTTTCTGTCATTGGTCCCGGTACAAGTCTTCTTCACTCTAGTAAGCTGAACAGCCCTCCAAAGGTCATAGTCTGACATGCGCAGTTCTTCGCACAAGTCATCGTCGGTTGCTTCGCTCAATGCGTTGGCCCAATCCAGCAGATGCAGCTCAACTCCAAGTACTACTCCGCCAAACTTCCACCTAAGCTCCGACGCAAAGTGCTCCCTCATATCACTGTTCAGTGCCCAGTCTACAAAGAAGGTCTTGCTTCTGTCATTGCTCCCACGGTTCGATCTATCAAGCAAGCGATCTCTACATACGAGCTGCAAGGAGGATCGGCAAACATGTTCATCAACGATGATGGTCTACAGCTGATCTCGGAGGAAGATCGTCAAGCACGAATGGACTTCTACCAAGATCATTCCATTGGCTGGACAGCCAGACCGAAGCATGGGCCCGAAGGCTTCGTTCGTAAAGGCAAATTCAAGAAGGCGTCAAACATGAACTTCGGTCTGATGCTGTCTTGTGCGATCGAGGAGAAGCTATCCGCCGTTCACCGCAATCCTGCAGACTGGGATCAGGCGTCAGAGGATGCTGCCTACGCCGCGGCATTGGCAGAGGTCCTTGCTGAAAAGCCGCGTGCCTGGGCTGATGGCAACATCCGCATGGGCGACTATGTCCTTCTGATCGATAGCGACACGCGCGTCCCGTCCGATTGTCTCCTGTCAGCTGCTTCCGAAATGGAGCAATCACCGTCCGTTGGCATCATGCAGTTTTCCTCAGGCGTTATGCAAGTCGTTCACACGTACTTCGAGAATGGCATCACCTTCTTCACGAATCTGATTTATACGGCGATTCGGTATACAGTGGCCAGTGGTGACGTCGCTCCCTTCGTGGGGCACAATGCCATCTTACGCTGGAGCGCCATCCAGCAAGTCAGCTACACGGATGAAGATGGCTATGAGAAGTTCTGGTCCGAAAGTCATGTCAGTGAGGACTTCGATATGAGTCTACGCCTTCAATGCAACGGCTATATCATCCGACTGGCAGCTTGGGCAGGCGATGGCTTCAAGGAGGGCGTCAGCCTGACCGTTTACGATGAGCTGGCAAGATGGGAGAAGTATGCGTATGGCTGCAACGAGCTGCTGTTCTATCCGATGCGCAAATGGATTTACAAAGGGCCGTTCACGCCGCTGTTCAGAGAGTTCCTCTTCTCGAACATTCGCTTCACCAGTAAGATCACCATTGTCAGCTACATCGGAACATACTACGCAATCGGTGCAGCTTGGATCATGACGCTTGCAAATTACTTTGCTGTCGGGTGGTTCAACGGGTATCTCGACAAGTACTACATCGACAGTTGGAAGGTATGGTTTAGTATCGTTATTGTGTTCAACGGCCTCGGAAACCTCGCTCTGGCAGTCATGAGATATCGTGTGGGTGAAAAAGGCTTTTTTGCAGCGCTTGCGGAGAACTTCAAATGGATTCTCATGCTATCGGTGTTTCTGGGGGGTCTGAGTCTGCATGTCAGCCAAGCGTTGTTGGCACATATGTTCGAAGTGGTGAGTTGCTCCTTCCCGACATCGATTATTGTCCCTTCCACTGCGTTCATTACGCGATGCCCACTATTGAATGCTCTGACTGACACAATGTCTCGACAGGACATGACATGGGGTTCTACATCCAAAGAAGCCGAACGAAGCAACTTCTTCATCGAGGTCCCCAAAGTCATCTCCAAATTCAAATTCAGCATCGGCTTCGCAATCTTCGGCATCATCACCATGATCTGGCTCGCGACAAATCCTGGTGGACTCATACCATACGACTGGGTCATCGCCGACTTCATCGCGATTCTACCGATGTCGACGGTTTGCGCAAGTCATTTGCTATTGCCGGTCGTGCTGAATCCGGCGCTGATGACGTTCACTTTCTAGATTGTCACAGTATATCAGGGCTCAGAGCAGGAGCGACCAAGCAAGACGCGATCATGAGGTGGAAGTGGCGATCGTGTTGGTGGCTGCTCGTCGCTGCCGAGTACAAGATGGTCGAGACGTGAGGCACTTCTTGCTCTAAGTGGGCTGCTCCGAAGTTTCATTCTCCTCAATTCTGCTGTTTGTCTAAATAATCCTGGTTGTCTGTCCTTCAGTGCCCGAAAATGCAGCAAACATCGTGGACGCTGTGGTGCTTGCCTTGCAGACCTGCGATAACATTGGAGCCTATCTCGCTCTTTCCAATTCGCACCTTCCTTTTTCTGTGCTGCACTTCTATCAGTTACTGGTCCTCAATTCCTTTCGCCATAATCTTCGTCGTTGATCATCAGCGCCGCCCGGCCATCACTGGTTATCAGCACGACCCAGCATCTCTGCCCGGCCGTGCCATTACTGACGTTCGGCAGTCCTTCTCTTCACCTCAACGCCTCCCGCAGTGCCCACACCCGTTCCCATTACCAGCGGTAGGCGGCCTGCCCTGATCCGGCGGTCCTCCGTCTCGTGTGACATACCTTCGAATCGGCGGATCTGGGACTGTCACTGGTACCCAGATTGTCTGACCTTGCCCGCTACCGCCGCCAGCCTGATGGGTACCATGTGCACCGCCTGACTGTGTTTGCCTGTGTCCGGCAGCGTGTTGGACCCAGACCGGCATTTGCTGCACATGCAGACCTGCTCCGTGCTGTGGTGTCTGTCCTTGGGTTGTGTTCCACCTATTTGGATCATATGGAGGTGGCGGCCCACGACGAGTTTCGGCACCAAAGTCGAAATGGACATGTCGGGCAGGGGTGGGTCGTGACGGCGGCATCTGAGATCCCTGGAGTGGCTCCTGTGACGATGTCTGGTTCGGCCCTCGATCTCCGTCTGCAGGCGGTCTGCCTTCATTTGGTGGACCGCCATCGTTCGTGAGGTAGTGAATTCTTCCCGTGGTAGGGTTGTAATAAGCTCTTGGATCTGACATTTTGGAGGATGCTATCAGTGCCAATTTTGACTCTTTCGTTGGCTCCTTGGTGGTCTTCAAGGTAGGTTGAAGAAGCTCAGACGACGATCCAGACTTGTCCAACAGTATTTAACGTCGTGAGACTTGCTCAGGATGGTCGTCTTTGCTGACTATACCAAGTGTCAGCACATTCGCTTGCATTTGCCGTGGCAAAGTGCAGGCGAAACAACCCATCAACATCAAGAAAACGATCCAACAAAGCCACTGCGGTCAAACGGCCACTGTTGCAGGCCATCGACCCTAGCCAGGCGTTGAGCCGGGGCGCTGCCGTTGTCAACGAGTCGGGGTGACGAACGAACGCCAGCCAGCACGTCTGTATGATCCGTCCTCCACAGGCACCTTGGTGAACCAAATCTCCCAAAACAGGACCGAAGTCTCTGTCAACTGATACTACCCACCATCCATATCACGATGCCATCTCACGCCGACACCGGATTGCAGGCTCTGCGAGATCTCAATGCAGAGGCAACATTTGCTCTCGAACAAGCAGAACTTGATAGCAAGTTGTCCAAACCAAGCACAAGTGCAACGTCTTGTCCAGAATTGGGACAGTCCGAGCAAGGGATTCGGAAAGTTCAGGAGAAGAAGGAGCAAGCCAAGCTCGTTGTCGAGGCGTGGCATAGAGAAGAACGGTCAGGAAGACTGGCGAAGGGCTGCGGCAAGCTCTGGTAGGGATTAATGGAAGCGACCCGATCTCGGATCGAATATGTCCCCAATTGACTGGCCGCTTTTCAACCCGCAGGCCCTGTTTACCCAACACAGCCCACTGTCAAGCTCCCTGCATGCGATCCGTCATCGACCACACCAACAACGATATTCCCCCAAATCAACCACCCAACTCGCCATCACAGGCTGCTTCCCTGTCGGCGGCGTACACACCCACCCAATATCCCCACCCCACGCAATACTGCTGAACTCCAACACCGCCTTGTTTACCTGTCCCGATTTCGGATCATTCACGTACAGCACCTGGATCCCCTTGACAGGATACTTGTCGAGAGCGAGATGCGGAATATTCCAGCGCCAGATGATCTGATTGCAGGTGTGCAGGATCTCGAGGGTTTCGAAGGACGGGATGGGAGGTGCGGTAGACAGGTCGGAAATGTATGCTTCTTTACCAGTAAATGACTGGCTGCCAAGCTATGGATGGGCACGGCCATGTTAGTCACCGAAGTTCTGAAGGAGAGATGCCGGTTAGGCAATTGAGGAGGGAGAGCACGTACAGGATACCCCGCCAAGTAATTGATGCTGTCGCTCTCTTCAACGTAGCCTTCGGCAAGCAGCGCCTGGGCTATCTCAGCGGTGGCGGTGCGGTTTGGGTTGGTGAGGAAGCTGCTGAAGGTGGCGACTATACTAGTTGCTTGCTCGGTGGTAAGGCAGTTGTGGTGGTCCTTGTTCGGTGGAGATGGGTACTTTGGTGATGGGTAGGAGTTGGTTTCGTCACTGTGGGGAGGAAGGGCTGATGCAATGGCGGTGCTGGTGAGGGCGAGGAGGAGTGTGGTGAGCGTTGGGAGGAGCTTCATGGTTGCGAGGCTGGTAGAACAGCGTTGGTAATGGTCGCGGAATAGTTTCGCAGTACGCACAAAAGATCAATTCGATGATGGCTTTGCGCGTGACCTATATACTTACCTACAGTCATGCTGGAGGAACGTGCTCTGAGCACAGTGTCTCGCGATACCTCGTTCATTCAGTCAGCTGCATCATGCAGACCGAGTACGGATGCTTTCACATTGTGTCGGGATGTACCGGTGGAAGTGCGAAGCTCACAATTCCCCGCCATTTGGCCCCTTGTAAGCAAAGGGTGGAAATGCCATCGGGTAGCAAGTCAGACTCAGGCGTTAGGACATCATACAACACAGTTACGGGGATGTAAGGGTAGGTAGAATGATATATGCGAGCTCAGAATCGCCTAATGGGATGTACTAAGCATCGTGTTCCGGTAAGGGAAAGGATGAGGTTGGAATCTTGGAAGTTTATTGGTGTTTGCCTTGCGTCGGCGCTGGACGCCTCGTTTGGGTGAACACATTGCACGATGCAGGATCAATGTGATCGAACAGCGCCGGTCTCCGAGCGCGAAGCGTCGGTGGGCTTCTGCGAAAGCGGTGCAATGGTTTGGAGGATGGAGGTTGATGCAAAGCAGTGAGGATATCATTTTGTCTATATTCCGCGAAGGCCGGATTGTCCTTCTTAGGGTACTCCACAAGATCACATTTGAGCCCTCAGCAATAGGAGTACGATGATTGCGTTGAGCACGAGATCCGCATCATCTTCAGCTGCTCCCACGCTCTACGTGAGCTTCAGCAATCCCTCCAGGTTGATGGACTTCGGCCGCTCAATGGGCATGCCCAGAGCACGGTCCCATACAAGCTGCGCTAGCGGACCAAGACCTCGGCTCACACCGAATGTGACCGTATAGTAGAGAGGATCGCGGAAGCCATAGTGGTGGAACAGCACGCCCGAAGCAGAATCAACGTTGGGATGAGGATTCTTGGTCTTGCCGTGCTCGGTGAGCACACCTGGCGCGATCTCGCTGTTCGCCTTGACCAGGCGGTAGACTGGGTTTTCTGCGATGTCTTTGCGGGCATCGCCAAAGTCGATCAGGGCCTTAAAGCGAGGATCTGGTTTCCGTAGCACACCATGGCCGTATCCAGGCACGACCCGACCGGATTTGAGGGTGTTCCAGAGGTAGTCCTTCACATCTTGGTCGGAGAAATTCTCGCCGATCTTGTCTTGCATGGCGAGGATCCAGCGGAGGACTTCTTGCGCTGCCAAACCGTGCAGTGGTCCCGCTAGGCCGAGGAGGCCAGCTGAGTAGGACAGGAAGGGATCGGAGAGCGCTGAGCCAACCAGGTGGGTGGCGTGCGCGGAAACGTTGCCGCCCTCGTGGTCGCCGTGGAGGGCAAGGTAGAGGCGGAGAAGATCTTGGAAGCCTCGTTCTCCTTGCCTGGCTTGCCGAGAAGTTTGGCGAAGTTGTATGCCCAATCTTGGTCCATGTCGAGCGGCATCTCTGCTGCTTCTTTGTTGAAGATGGTGGCTGCGACTCGGGGCAGCTTCGCCAGCAGGTTGATTGAGTCGTCGAATGTAGGCTCCCAGTATTCGGCCTTGTTCAAGCCTTCAGCGTACTTCTTTGCGAACACAGATTCAGTGTTCAGGGCGGCAATTGCACAAGACAGCTGTGTCATGGGATGTACATTTTTGTCGAATGCCTTGAGCATTGAAACGACGTGTGCCGGCAGCTCAGACTTCTCGGCTAGTTCTTTTGACAGTGCTCGGACTTGCTGGGTGGATGGGACTTGGCCGGTCAACAGGAGCCAGAACATGGCCTCCGGCAGCATCTCTGTGCCGGATGTTCCCTTCGGTAGCTCTTGTTGGCAGTCCGCAATCGTCTTGCCGTGAAATCGAATGCCCTCGTCCGCGTCCAGCACCGAACCTTCCCAGACCATAGACTTGAGCGTACGCATGCCACCAATGACCTGTCCCACGGTGACATCTCCGATCTTTGTATCTGCTTTAGCCTTGACCTGCTTCAGGAGCTCACGCTTCGCAGGGATAGCCTCTCTCAGGGTGCTCTTGAGGTCTGGCTCAGCTGAGGCATATGTTCGGCGCTGAGCACGAGGTAATGACTGCTTTGGCACGCTGCGGAGTGCCCGCAGAGCGTGTTGAGGGGTTCTGGCAGGCATTGTGTACACGCGCGCGGTCGTGGGATGGGAGAGCTGTTATGCGCAAGAAGGAGGGGCTGTAGATCAGGCTCGTGCTGCGAAAGGGAAGAGAAGCAGGAAGCACGACGGACGCACGTGTGTCGAGCTCAGAAAATGTTCACTTGGACCTAGCTTCTTGGTTCCTGCAGAATGAGGTAGGTGTGATGGACATCCATCCGAATGCTGTTTCTGCTTCCCGTTCTTGCCCGCCGTCACTGAGTCTTGATCCCGAGGCATTCGGCCCCGCGGCTAACCGGCCTCATCTTCCAGGTTCCGGGGGCAAGAGCAAGAGGTCACCACCGCTCCGGCATGCTTCTCGAATGGGCTAGCCTCATGCTTCCGAAGTTCGGGCAGTTGCCTCGGAACGGATTTCTCTCCAACTGCAACAGTGGAAGCGACCACCAGCATCCATTGCGATATTAGCAAATGCTTTGCTCATGGCGGTGACACTGTGAATAGGCAAGCGCGCACTTTTCAGTCACCCTTCACTCTCATTATCAATATATTCAAGTCAGATTCATAGATCCACCAAAGCTGCTTGAGCCTGCAATAGACCTCTGCATCGATACCTTACATGCAAACATTACTGCGTTGACCTCTCTCGTCATTCCCAGACTACCTTCCGAAGCAACAACTCGTGCTAGACCTCGCAGTATCTCAGCATGCTTCGTCAGGTGCCCCGAGCACTGCGACGACCAGCCGGCCAGCTCGCTCGCTCTTCCCGATGCACACTGGCCCCTCGCCTCGCCATGACTGCCCGCTCCGCATCGACCCTCTCACCAGTCTCACCTCCAGTCTCGACTGCTCTTGCCTCAGACTCGTTCCAGCTGCTCTCGACAGCAGACAAGGCTGGTGCAGCAGAAGATGCCCTGTTCCAGCAGCAAGTCCAGGATGTGAAGTCATGGTGGGCAACAGACAGATACAAGGACATAAAGAGGCCATACTCCGCAGAGGATGTAGTGAGCAAGCGAGGTACACTGCAGCAGTCATATCCCAGCTCAATCACTGCTCGCAAGCTATGGAATCTCATTCAAGAACGTGGCTCTCAAGGCCAACCCATCCATGTCATGGGCACCATCGACCCTGTACAAATGACACAGCAAGCACCACATCAAGAGCTGCTTTACGTCTCGGGATGGACGTGCTCATCTCTGCTCACCACAACCAACGAAGTCTCCCCTGATTTTGGCGACTATCCATACAACACGGTCCCGAACGCCGTTCAGAGACTGTTCAAAGCCCAGTCAATGCATGACCGCAAGCAATTCGATGCGCGAAGGAAGATGTCCGCAGATGAGCGCGCCAATACGCCATATGTTGATTACATCAGGCCGATCGTCGCCGATGGCGATACGGGCCATGGTGGTCTGTCAGCTGTGTTGAAGCTGGCAAAGCTTTTTGCTGAGAATGGTGCTGCGGCGGTGCATTTCGAGGACCAGCTTCATGGTGGCAAAAAATGTGGCCATCTGGCTGGCAAGGTCCTCGTTCCGATTGGTGACCACATCAACCGTTTGGTGGCTGCTCGATTTCAGTGGGATATGATGGGGTCCGAAAACCTAGTCTTCGCTCGAACAGACGCCGAGAGTGGTAAGCTCATAAGCAGTGTCGTCGATGTCCGTGACCACGAATATGTCTTGGGCGTCACAGAGGAAACGGAGCCGTTGTCAGAAGTCCTGCAACAAATGGAGCTCGATGGAGCTTCTGGCGCCCAAATCGACAAGTTCGAGGCAAAGTGGGTGAAGGACCACAAGCTAGTGTCCTTCGATGAAGCTGTAGAAGCTCACATCAAGTCAGAAGGTGGCGATGCCGCTGAATATCTCGCCCAGACCACCAAAGACCGAAACATGTCGCTGACAAAGCGTCGCACTCTGTCCGCCAAGTACACGAAGAAGCCTGTGGTATGGTCCTGCGATATCCCCCGAACACGTGAGGGTCATTATCACTATCGAGCAGGCATTGCAGCCGCCACCAAACGCGCGATGGAATACGCTCCCTACGCCGAGCTTCTCTGGGTGGAGACTGGTCGTCCGCTCGTCGAACAAGCCGCCGCCTTCTCCGCAGAGATTCGTGCTGTTCATCCCAATAAGGGCTTCGTGTATAACCTGAGCCCATCCTTCAATTGGAAGAAGGAAGGCTACGATGACAAAGCCTTGAAGAGCTTCATCTGGGACCTCGCGAAGCACAAGTTCATTGTCCAGCTTGTCTCCGTGGCTGGTCTGCACACGCAAGCCACCATTACCACAGAACTGGCACGCAGGTACAAAGAAGAGGGAATGCTGGCTTATGTCGACATGATCCAGAACAAAGAGCGTGAGCTCAATATTGATGTGCTCACTCACCAGAAATGGAGTGGTGCTCCTTACATGGATGGTGTGCTTGGTGCCATTCAGAGTGGCAGCAGTGGTAGCAAGAGTATGGGTGAGGGCAACACAGAGGATGACTTCTAGTCTTGTTTGCTCATGTGTTATCGATTGTCCACGGAGATAAGCAATACACCGGCAAGTGACTTGATGTCGTCGCTGTGGCCAGCCTCGCTCGGCGACTTGTCTGCTACGACATCGAGATCCTTTGCGCCTGTCTCCTGCTGTAGGAGACTCGAGCGCCAATTCTTCCAGTCTTATGTGGCTGGATATCACTGTCTACCTCCCGAAATTTACCGTCATTGTTGTTTGTGTGCGGCTCAGTGCTATAGCGCCTGTCTTGTGTATTGGGCGTTGGTGTTGGCTGTGTCGGTGTGCTGAGCCACCTGTAGGACTTCCCAGTTCATACCCACACCCAAGTGCTCTATATTAACAGCTACGTCTCAGGCAGGTCCACTAGTTAACTGGTAACTAACGCCGAGCCTGCCGAGCCAACAAAATGTCACAATCAAACAATGCCGAGAAAGCGGTTGAGCGTCAACGCTCAATCTCAAGCTCCACTGCTGCCAACACTGCCGAAACATCACTGAAGGCTGAAGTCTACAAGCTCAAAGAAGAGGTTGAAGGCGACAACGGCCGATCGATCGAGGAGCGCGCCACTCCTCTACAGAAGTTGCGCAACATCTTCGACAACATTGTCCTTAATTATTCTCCCTGCGAAGAACGCGACAAAGTTCTCGTCGAGATTGCGAACATTCTACTTGACCTAGGCGACGTCAAATTCGTTGACAAGCGCAAGAACGAAGCCAACGAACTTCGCATGCTTCCGGATCGCGCACTCTCCATCGAAACCGACGAAAGCGATCACGAGTCAGAAGCCAACATCATCGACTCGATCGACCAGTCTGCAGCTGAGCTAGAAGAGTCAATCGACGAATCTGCCGCTGACACGGAGGCTTCTACCGAAATCATGGTAGTCGAAGATCGCAGCACCAAGTCTACCACCAAGGTTGCCTCTCCCGGCATCAAGTCTGAAGACTACGAGGGGCCCTTCCCTACCGAGTTTCCTGGCTGCTTCAAGTGGGAAGGTCGCTGGTGGTTGCCGCCTTTCGGTCCAGGTCACCCTGTCTCTAATCAAATCAATCCTGGCAACCCTCCCTACGGCTACGGCTACATTGCCTCTCCCAATGGCACCTCGTTCCAACCCTTCAGTCGTGAAGCCGCACTCGAAGAGCACTTCCGTCGATTTCCGATCCAAGACTCCGAGAAGTTGCTTGAAGCCTACAGAAACAAACATCAGCAACATCTCACTCCATTCGACCATGGTGATGACACCGATGACAAGGTCCTGGTCTGCAATTGCCTCACCTACCCTGACGATCGTCAGTACATCCAGTGCGATAACACCTACCACTGTCTGAAGCAATTCTATCATCCTGAATGTCTCGGCATGCCAGCTCACCTCATCCCCACCAATGAAGACAAATGGTTCTGTCCGGAATGCCTGCGTGAAGGCCGCGGCGGCGCAAAAGATATTGCTAAGATGGTCGGTTTCTACGCCAGATACACCTTCAACAAAGTCGTCGCCGATCCCAATCCCGAACGCTACATCAAGCCGTGGACCGCTGATGCTCTCAAATCCGCCAGACCTGAAGTTCTCCGCGACCTTGGTCTATCCACTTTCGAAGAAGCCAAGAACACCCTACTCGAACGCTCCGCTCAGAAAGTCGGCCGTCCAGTCCCGTCCACCCCTACCCAAGCCATCCCCATGGTCGTCAACGGTACTGTCGTCAAGCAGCCAAACAAGTTCTCCTGGACTACTGAGGAAGACCTGATCCTCGTCGAAGTCATGCGCGAGCTCTACAACGAAGGCCTCGTCGGTCAGCCCCTGTGGGATCAATGCGAAATCCGTCTCAAAGCTCGAGGCTGCGATCGTGTCATGGGCGCTGCTCGCAATCGTTGGATGCGTGGTCTGCGCGAGGAGTACAACCTGGACGAGCGCCGCAAGAAGAATGCCAATAAGATGACGACTGCGATTCAGGTTGGCAAGTCTGAACGTGATCCGGAATCGGTCAAGAAGAACAATGCTAGATACACTGTGTCACGCAAGGCTGAAGCTCCGGCTGGTCATGTGCAGGCTCGTGCTGCAGCTGCTGCGGCTACTGGTGCCAATGCTGTCGCTGTCGGACGTCCTCCTATGTCTGCTCCACCCCGTATCTCGGCCTACGGTAGAGGTTCTCAGCAGGATGCTCTCGGCCTCAACGATATGTACCTTGGTCGCGGCTATTCCGATGATGATGGTAGCGAGACGATGGAATGGAGGTGGACGTCGATGATGTTGAGATGGGCGACGATGAGTATGATGGAGGCAACGCTGCCATCATGGGCAGTCCGACTGTTGCTGTTCGTCGTCGCAGTGAGCGTCGTCGTGCCTAGACTTCCGGTCCAGGCGGCCTCCAGAGGGCAAATAGCATGGGTTGCAATTTGTTGGCTAGTGGTGATGGATAATGGTTGGCGATGGCTGGAGAATCGGCCTGGGGAGGCCTCTGGGAAGATTCGCTGTCTGAAATCGGGATTGTCGCTGACATTTGGCAAAATGCCACCAGGAGGCCTCCCTGCCAGCAAGACAGGATACCAACACGAAGATAGGATCCGATAATGCAAATGAAAATTGTCAAAATCTGACACGAAAATGCTGGGTACAGAGTCCTCCCGAGCGAAGTTTTGAGATGTGCGACTTCACCATCAATGGCTTCAACTCGATTTGCGTTCTGCGCTATCTTCTGGTATCGACAAGTGCCTTACGTGTCATGTGCATTCGAACTGAGACAAGATGCAGACTTAGCAACTCCCTGACTCTCTGGGGTCCAAAACCCATTGCTGTGCCACTGCTGCTGTTCGTCTAGCTTTACTGCAGCTGCGCAAGCCACAGCTTTCTCGAGCTCCCACAATCTGCTCTCCTGGACCCATGACGGTCATTCTTGATGTTCGCTTCGACCACTTCAAATCTACCACCTCGGCACGTCCCCACCAAATCCGCCCTCCGTTCCAGCAGCCCACGGCGGTGTGATCTTTCTGCCTTCGTTAGCCTGACTTTGACCTCCATGACCACCCTGACCATGATTGTTGCGACCTTGCTCATATGTAGCAGGCATACTAATCTTCTCTGGAACCCTCAGCCGTCCTGCAGAGCCGTTGTAGCCCGGTCTCAGGATGTTAGGAACGGCAGGGACAGGAGGTGCTGAGGCCTGACGCTTGACTTGTTGTGCTCTGCCTGCATTGGCAGAAGAAGCAGAGGTGATCGAGGAGCCGTCTGCTGTTGCTGGGCGGGAGGAGTATGGCTGATAGGTAGTAGGTGCGCTGACGGTGGTCACAGTGGAAGGGTTACGCTCAAGCACTGGCGGTGCAGTAGGGGTTCTCTCCGGCCAAGTCGGTCGAGCTGGGAAGTGGTCGTGTTGAGGGAACGCAGCTTGGAGTGGTGATGGATGAGCCATCTCTTGTGGTTGAGGGACCGGCTTTCGATTGATGGCAGTGTTCTGCTGCGCATAGAATCGTTGGACTGCCGGCGGATACTGATGCTCTGTACTGCTGAGCTCGGAGACGGCGCTCTGTGGCGGTGCTTCGTAGACGTTGCGGCGAGCATCGCTATACGGCTCTGCCATGGCTGAGGGGAGTTCTGTGCCCGGTGGTGGACTCGGGTCGCTGTAGGGACCAGGTAGGTCATCTTTGGGATTGTCGGAATCTTTGCGGTTTTTTCTGCAGCAGCGGTAGCGGATGAGAAGGAAGATGGCCAGAGCGATGATGAGTCCGCCAGCGACGGGACCAGCAATCCATGCGAGTTTCGTGTTGGATGTCGGAGCATTGTCGGTGCCGCTAGGAGGCAGTGTGCTGTTGGACGAAGGTGTAGGTGCGGTTGTGGTGGTGGAAGTGACAATGGCCGGGCCGGACGCCGACGTGGGATTGCCTGCTGATGAGGTGCTCTCCGAAGACGAAGGGGTGGGCGTTGTCGATGCATCTCCGGACTCTGAAGTCTGCGACGAGGATGATTCGGAGGATGAGGTGGCAGAGGTGGTGTCTGACGAGTCGGTAGACGAGGTGGACGAGCTGTCGGACGAAGACTCGGTCGATGATGTGGCCGAGGATATTGACGAGCTTGACCTCGAGGTACTCTGGCTCTGCGAGCTCCGCTTACCCGTCATTACACTGACCGAGACGGAGGTGAATATGGATGTGACAGTGGCCATGTTTGTCGTAGTGGTACCTTCTGATTTGATTGTCTTGATCGTCGTCGTCCGAGTGAGAGTGCAATTGTCGTCATCGGAACCTGAAGAGCAGGCTTCAGCCATGACAGGAGCGCCGATGTCTGTGGAAGGAGAGGATGAGTGAGAGGCCGCATTGATGTTTGCCAGCACAGAGGTGGAAGTCATTGTTGCGTTTGCTGTGTCTACTTCAATGACTGTGACCATGCTGCGATGGCCGAAGTTACTGGTCTGATTCATTGTGGACTCGAGAGGATCAGCCATGGCGAAGTCGCGGTCTGTCGGTGTGTTCCATTGACAACAAGGTAAGTATCGATCGAGCCTTGGAGGACGCTTTCAAGATAGAGGATGTCACAGTGTACGGAGTCGGACAGACATCGACATACAGTCACGGCTACCTGAAAAGGGTAGAACAGGGTCATTAAGAAGAGGCAAGTGCAGGTGACACGAGGCAACCGTTTGCCTCTCTTCTGCCAAGTCCGTGGAAGGTGCGATGGTACATGAACGTGAAGCCACGCCTTCGAAAACCGGGTTTCTGCCCATCCTGCTCCCCATGTTGTTCATCAAGTCCTATTTCATTGGTCTCTGAATATAATATACTTGGTCGATACCTCTCACTGCCCAGCTGTGGGTGTTCGCTTGATCCCACGAGGCTGTACGCATCAGGGGCGAGGCTGAGCCCGGCAAACTCTGTCATGACATTTTAACCAAGCTTTCGTCGTGTCGTGTAGTGTAGTGGACAGAGCAGTTTTCAAGATAGAGACGTTCATAGGAAGTCATCGTAGTCGATACATACTACAAGGGCTTCCTTTGGAATGACCAAAGAACATTACAGGTTCATGAGAGCAATTACACGCGCATCGACACAGAAATCGTTCACGCAAGTGGCCTGCGAGATGCTCAGATAAGCCCCATAAGCCGCGACTTCGAGCTCCTGCCAGCTTCATGCTATGCTCTGAGACCACATTATTCTCGAGGCTGTCGTCAACAGCGGCGAGACGGTGAAAGTGCGCCAGAGGACCACCAAAGGAACCCACTGTGGGGTCGACCGGAGTCGCGAGGGGAGGAAGGCGCGCAGACACTGACGATTGCTCAGTGCCTACAAGGGCGCGGATATCGAACGCTCGAGGACTATAGGGCATGCCGCACGGGGTGCAGGACGACGATGACGCTGAGTGGAGATCTCATGGTATCTAAGCTGAACTGACTGCTTTCATGCCGGTCATTATGGGATGGTATTTACATTTTTTTCCGGACGTTGTTGCCTCCGACCGTACTTGAGCGACTGCGTAGACGCATCCCGACCACATTATCATTGGTCTGTGACTTCTCTTCCATCAACCAAACAAGGTAACAACGGCTGCTAGGAAGACCAGCACCGCAAAGGAACTCTCCTGGTACGCCATCGGCACGCTCGAGGCTGCGTAGGCAGCATTGATGCTAGCGTTCGAGGTGCCGGTACTCTGCACGAATCCACCTGTTCCAGCAACAGTGACCACCTGAGTGCTGGTGGTAGGCGGTGACTCCGTAGCGGCGGCAGGTCCAGCAGTTGCATTGGCGGTTGGGAGAGGGAAGTTTGGTGTCATCGACGTATTGGGAGTATTGGCGGTAATGGTGTAGGCCCAGTCGCTGTCAGGAAGGGTGGCTGTCGGATCTTGAGTCTCGTTGCGAGTGGCTGATCCTGGTCAGTATTCTTCTTCTCATGTCATATTAGCTTACGGCAGAAGATATCCTGGGTGTAGTCTATGATGGCCTTCCTCGTCTCGACACTCTCTGCAACACAACCGTCCACATGTTTCTCCGGGACACCGTTGGCGACACAAGCGGTCAGGTCGATCCTCCAGCCTTCGAAGTTACAAGCGCAGGTGATGTTGCTTGGCTTGCATGAGAACGGAGTAGATGTATCTGAAGTAGCGAACCCGAAGCAGCCAACCTAGTAATATCAGCATGTGTTCTGCTGTCAGCAAATGCTGTGACCTACAGCGCACTCAGGAAGATCGTCCCAGGTCGTGATGTCCACAGCGGAGCAGATTGAGGAGGTAAATACAACGAGAGCCAGCAGACCGAGACGGAAGCCGGAAAACTTCATTGTGGCGAGAAAGATAGTCAGGAGTGATGCAGTGACACACGCTGACTGCGAAGACGCTTTGGCATTGGACTTCGCGGTCGTTCGAGTGAAATGATACCGGTGGAAGATGGATGTTGCCTGTATCGAGGCTCGAAGTGCTGCTGAAAGTCTGGCAGCAGGAGGTGGAGTCAATTTGATCGCGGTTGCCTTGTGCCGCACGGAGTGAAGGAAGGCGCGGTCTTATTCCTTGGTCACACTTCACTTGAGGAAACCACAGCAACGACAACAACGAGCATTCGTGTCGAAACCCATTCTTGCGAGATCTCCCTTTGATTCCCAACTGATGTCACGTTGCACAATCCGGCAGAATCGCAAACACTTCTTTGTGTAGTCTTCAATGCAGGCAGCCGTCTGCAGTCATCATTTGAGCTTCTCGCGTAATTTTGTGGCTGCTGCATCAAGTTCTCTGGCTATGGCTCTCTCCTTTGAATGTTCCCTCGGCCAGGAGATGATCTGGCCACGGCATTGAATACCCTCTGTGATAACAATAGTATTAAACCGCTGGGCGAGCATTACCTAGGAACTACGAATGACTGCTTCCACCGTCAGCATTAATTACCATCTTCAGGTCTAGTAACTTTGGACCCTGCTTGAAGCTGCCAGAACTTGCACCGCTTGTTCGAGGTGGGATCCGTACGTATATCAATCGATTCCCATATTGTACCGAATCTAACCATGGTCGCGTGGTTGCCCTGTGGAGGAAAATAAAAGTCTACACCAGGGCTTGGGTCGCCGGTTGCTGCAAACGAAATCAGGCACCGTTCGAACATGGACCCGGCATCCTGATTCTGCGAAGCATGCGAGGTGTTCGAGTACAGTCTGATGCCCAGGTTTTTCGTACCTAGATCGTCGCTGAGTTCGAAAGCGTACGTCCGGTTACCGAAAGCCTTGTTGATATAGTTGGTATTGCAGAGTGTGTAGACCTCCGCAGCAATAAGCGAGTCGCGATCCGTGTCGTCGAGCCCGTCAGATTCTGATGGATAGAGCTCTTCGAGGGGAGCAACCGTGTCCAGCGTTTGGTAGAGGAAGAGCTCAATGGCACCATTGCCATGATGACGCATAGGCATGATTGCCACACCTTCGGTATCGGTATGACCAACCATGATATCGAGATTCCTAGCATGCTTGCCCTCGCTCAATAGAGTGCCCGGAAAATCCGGCACAAGGTCAGAGTCGATCCGTGGACCGAACTCGTGGTTTGCGTATGCCGCATTCCAGACTTGATACCATGCAGCACGCATGATGGCCGAAGAGTCGAGCCGGCGCGCTTCCTCAAAGGACTGGACGCCCAAGTAGTTCAGAAAGAGGTCGGACTGTTTCTCGCGACCCTCGTCGGGTGCCCTTCGTGGTACAAAAGCCGGGCTTATAATGACTGCTCGCTGGAATGAGACCGCCTGGTCACCGCCAAAGGCTGTGATTTGGTGTTCGATCGATCCACCTGCACTGGTCAGAGCTCAAATACACATCATGATATGTTCGGACACTCACCCCCGGCACCCTGCCCGAATAGCGTAACTCGTTGATTATCGCCACCAAACAGATGAATATTCTTGTTCACCCATTCGATGGCCAGCCGCTGGTCCCGAAGAGCCGCATTTGGGATACCTCCTTCGCCCTCCAGACGAGGACCCGCCAGCCATCCAAGAGGGCCAAGTCTGTAATTGATGCTGACGAGGATGATGGGCTCGATAAGCATGAGTTCCTTTGCTAGGCTTTCTATGTCTTCGGAGTGTTTGGAGCCTTGCACATAGTCACCGTCATGGATCCTGTTTGTGGTCAGCAAAACATGGTTGCAAATGCCCAAAATGGTTGGGCCCTCACCAAATCAGGACGGGCGCAGCAACTTTCTCAAGCCCGTGACGTTTGTACTGGTTATGGGAACATCTCTCATCTGAAGGCTGGAAGACACCGCAGGGGACATGAATGTCGAGAAAGAGACAGTCCTCAGTCTCAGATTCGTGCGGTGAGTACTGGTGATAAGGTGCCTGGTTGGCATACCAATTTTCGGCTTGATCCCAGTCGAACTCCCGCTCGTGGTAACCGTCGAGATGCACAAAATCAAACAAGTCTTGCTGGACTCTCTTCCGGGCATACTCCGCCTGTGGACAGATTCTCTGAGTGAGGCCGGACTCGGTGTGGTTGCTCGAACCCGTTGCAGGAACAGGGGCTTTGAACCTCAGGTCGTCCACAGGTGGCATGGCATAGCGAATGTTGCGAAAATGATACGACACCCCGCTCTGGCGAGGAGTCAGTAGGAGCAGCTCGACTGCGGAATAACTTACTCCTTCACTAGGGTGCCCCTCGTGAATTTCATAACCAAGGTCGACCGTCACCACGGGTAGTTCGCTCGTGCCCTGTAGTGACAGGACAAGAAGGCTAAACATCGCCAGGAGGAACAGATACGCTGCAGACAGCATAATGAGTGATGCGAGTGTTTGATTTGGCGTTTGATGTCAAGGTGGCTTGCCACGTCTAAGGAGTGAGCTGTGATGGAGCAGTGAGCTGTGATGGAAATACTGAGCTGTGATGGAAACAGTGAGTTGTGATGGAAACGATTGGTGGCAGGCTGATCCTGCAGAAAGAGCTTGGCCGCGTACTCGATACAAGAGCTAACGCTGCAAGGTATAATCGCGTCCAAGATGTGGTCGACGGGTGTGAAAGGTGAGAGCAAGCTAGATCAGAAGGTCGTGAGCAGAGTCAGGCGTGACTGCCTTGAAAACAGCTTGCGCGCGATGTCCAGGGCAGGCGCGATGCTCACGGCAGACGCGAACAACATTGACGGCTCTGCCTCGCACAACCATCACTTCGAGCATTTTGCAGACGATACAGCTATCGTGAGTGCCGACGAGCTGTGTCAACATGGAGGACTTTGCCTCCAAGCGTGACCAGGCGCGCGGTGCAACCAGATTCATGGGCTGGCATTGTGGGGTCGACAACATAAGATTCGACTACCTTGAACGAAATGCTTCCATCGCATGAACTGGCAGACCACCCGTGCGATTCCAGTAGACCAAGCCGGCGGCCAGCAAACCATACCTAGGTATGCGCCTGGGAAAGGTGCAGTGTCAGTCAACGCAATGCTGTTACGACCGTGCAGAGTGTCGCGTGGGGTAGTCACAGAGAGGGTAAAGCGTATGCAAGGAGATAACGCCCGATGCGTTGCCGCAATCGAGTATGCCGCTTGAGTTGGCGCGTGTAGAAAATTGCATTCAATTCGCAGGCATAACAATTGCAGCAGTAAGGTATGCACGTACTAGGTAGGCGAGACGTCGACGCGATCGTGATCGTCGTGCCTGATGTGCCGAGGAATGCCTCGTCATCCGGCGCAAGGCTTCGATCTCGGTGCACGCGGTGTCCACCACTATGCTCTCTCTGATCATGAAGAGTCATTGTAACGGTGAGCTCCATTGAGCTCCAACACTCCGCTGGAATCACGAGAGGTACTTTGGACAGGGAGTGGTGAAAGTGCCGCACGGTCAAAGCAAGATTGCCACCTGTGCCAACACTTCGAGAACCGACAACTCGGAACAACCAATATATTTGACAGGCTGAGCGAGGACGGTTCTGTTCTCGCGTATACCGCATAACACATGGACGGCGGCGCGAAGGAACTGTGAGCCACTCACTGGTACGGATCGCGATCCGCTTGATCTTGCTGCTGTTGGGAACTTAGCATGGCTACCATGGCACGCCCAGGTCCCGGCCTGGGCATAGCTCAACAACTCCGCAAACCGACATCCATCTTCGACAACAATGGCGGCCAGGCTCACGACCGGAAACCGCCCGCCAACGTCTACCAAGCCAAAGTCCGCATCGCGCACAAGTACAACATTCTCGGCTTCATCTCCAGTGGCACTTATGGGCGGGTTTACCAGGCCGAAGCCCGCCAGAAGGACCCCTCCACACCCACCACCGCCAAAGAGCTCTACGCGATCAAGAAATTCAAGCCCGAAAAGGAAGGCGATAACATCCAATACACTGGCCTCTCGCAATCCGCCATACGAGAAATGGCACTATGCACCGAACTCTCCCACCCGAACGTCGTCCACCTCGCCGAGATCATCCTCGAAGATAAATGCGTATTCATGGTCTTCGAATACTGCGAGCACGACCTCCTCCAGATCATCCACCACCATACCCAGCCCACCCGCCGACCTATCCCGGCCTCCATGATCAAGTCCATCCTCTTCCAACTCCTCAACGGCCTCTACTACCTCCACCAAAACTGGGTCATCCACCGGGACCTCAAACCCGCCAACATTATGGTCACCTCCACGGGCCACGTCCGCATCGGCGACCTCGGCCTGGCCCGACTCTTCCACAAACCCCTCTCCTCACTCTACACCGGCGATAAAGTCGTCGTCACGATCTGGTACCGCTCACCCGACCTCCTCCTCGGCGCCCGCCACTACACACCCGCAATCGACATGTGGGCCGTCGGCTGCATCTTCGCCGAGCTCCTGTCCCTAAGACCCATCTTTAAAGGAGAGGAAACCAAAATGGACAGCAAGAAAACCGTCCCCTTCCAACGCAACCAAATGTCCAAGATCGTCGAGATCCTCGGCATGCCCCGCCGCGACCATTGGAAAGGCCTGGTCGACATGCCAGAATACCCCCAACTACAATCCCTCCTAATGGGCCGCGGCACAATGCACTCTTCCCTGAGCTCCACCTCCTCCCTCTACCCAACCTCCGCCTCCGCCCTGAACCGCACAAACAGCACCTCTTCCCTACACTCCCACTCCCACACCTACTCCCAACCCTCCAACACCGCCAGCACATCCAACCTCGAAACATGGTACAACAACTGCCTCCGCTCCACCACCTCCACCGCCCCCTTCCAACCCAACCCCCAAACCCACAAACCCGCCTCTACCACCCCATCCCCCACCTCCCCCGGCCCCCTTGGCCTCGCCCTCCTCGCGGTGGCTCTTCGACTACGACCCCGAGAAACGCCTCACCGCCAACCACGCCCTCCACCACGAGTACTTCAAGTGTACTGATCCCGACAACGAGAATTTCGGGGAGGTGTGGGTGAGTAATAATTGCTTTGAGGGGTTGGAGGAGCGGTATCCGGCGAGGAGGGTTAGTTATGAAAGTACGGATATTGGGACTGCTGGTGGAGGCGGTGGTGGTGGGGGTCTGCTGGGTGGGGGGATCAAGAGGGGTTTGGAAGATAGTGGAGTGGGCGGGATTAACAAGAGGAGGTGATGGGTACAGGGTGCGCTGGGTTGTGGTGTGGCTGTGTGGAAGGATCGTGACATGGCTTTGCCTAGCTTGTGAGGAGCACGCGTAGCATTGTGCTGAAGTACCAGGACTTGACGATCGGAATGATTGCATGGCATAGCGTTATGTAGGACAGCACAGTACAGCACAGTGAATTGATGATTTCTTGACGATGAGTTGACGTCTCTGGCAATGACAGGAGCTGGCTTCGAGTCATGCAAACCATAGTGACTACTGCTTAGGCGCGTCAGTGAAGCGATCATTTCGGCTTGTGTCGGATCTCCTCTGGGGTGCTAAAGTATAAGTATCTTGCCGGCCCACTGCTTCCCTCCTTCTTGCCTTCTCTCAACAAACCTCAGCAAGTCGATTTCTATTGCCATGCCTCGATAGCAGTACCCGCCAGTGGCTGCTATGTGGCGGGACGAGCCAATCTGATGATGCTGTGAAGGTACACCACCTTCGAGAACGGGACTGGGGTACGATCGCGGCCGTCGTCCTTGTTATGTCAATGTTGTGGTTCTCGCAGCTTCCTGGGGACCCTAGCAATGACTTAGTACTGGGTGGTGTCGCTTCACGACCAGAAGTGGTATTTCGCGGCCGAGTAGCCATCCATAAGTTTCGGTCTACAAAAAAGAAGGTAAACGAGACGATGCGCAGTGGTGGCTGTGATCCTGTCCAATAAGCAAGTCGGACGCAGGCAGGGTGTGGCTTAGGATTCTTGAACACGACTCATGTTGCATTCAAAATCGGCTCTGATGTAGCAAAAGTCTGAGTTGCTGTGACCATACTGTGTTGGCTGAGCTAGTGTTGTTTGGCTCTTAATGACAACTCTTCGACTGCGAAGCCCTTTCCGGCTGGCAAAATCGCAAGCTTCCATCGTGAATCCCTTCCTTGGGTCTTCCACCTCAGCGCAAGCTACTGTGCCGGTTCAAGCGGTCCATCACTGCTCAAACGCCAGCTCAGGATATGTCGCCAGCAGAGTCACATCTCGTGGCGAACTCAGCGCGTCCGTCACTCAAATATTCTCGTCCCACGCACATTGGTTGGCAGAGCTTTCTAAGCCTTCTGGCCACCGGCGCCACCAGCAGCGGCCTGGTTGGGGTTGACCTTCTTTCCATCCTTGTTGAACCGAATCCTCGGGGGAGGGGCACGATTGCGGCGTCCTTCTCGGGAGCGGACACGCACGATCTTGCCGTGGATGGCGCAGGAGACGCAGTATTGTAGCTTGAGATACATCTTGGGGACGGCGTAGTCGGTGAAGACGGAGGCATCGGAGATATCACCTTTTCAATATCAGCTTTTGTGTCTTGGAGCAGGATGAAGGCAAAGTATACGAATAGCGGCTGACTCGACCATGTTGCGGATAGTGAATCTCTTGATGGCCTTGTCCTTGGGTGTGCATCTCGAGCAGTTTGAGCATCTGATGGGCTTGACGTGGCCGCGGCCTTTCTTGTTGCGTCCGCTGTTCAATTGTTAGCATTGTGTCTAGTCGCAGCCGCCAAACGCCGGGTTATTGGCAGGCCGTGTTCACGTACTTGGACGCTCGCTTCTTGACCATGATTGCGGTAGTAGAGACGGCTGACTTCTGCGATGGTACACAGAAGTCGATATCTCAATTGAGGACGGGACGAGTGGTGGATGGAGATAAGGTCGTCTGGGTGCGCAGTCTGAGGTTCGCAGTTGCTGTCAAGTATGCCAAGATTTTTGCCAATGTGCGAGGAAAGTTGCCCGACACGTGACTGCACGACCAAGATCGAGCTAGCTTAGATCCGGCCTAGCATCAAGTGACGGAAAACATGCCGACTCTTGCCGAAGATAAACATTCACCTAGCAACCACCAGCGCACGGCACCTCCACAGACATCAGGAAACTCTCTTTGACGCGCTTTCCCCTGACGCAGTCTACACGGTCGCACTTGCATTCTACTGTAGGACAGTACAGCGGAGTGAAGCTCTGGTGAAGCACTGCAGCAGCCAATAATTATGTCTCACATCAGTGGTACTGTCCGCGGGACACCGCAGAGACGAGGTCAGGTCCCATTCGAGAACAGCCCCTCCAACATACCTGTGCCCCGTCCGAAACTCGAGAACACTCCGGTAGGAGGTCATAGTGAGATGTCGGCGACCTCGACCATGTCGACTAGTCGTCAAAAGCAGAGCAAACGAGATGAGGTAGGCATTTAGATCCTGGCTACGTGCTGGAGTACTGATAGACACAGGCCATCCGAAGAAAAATGGAGGCCGACCTCTCAAAGAAGACTCGCACCACCGGTCGCGCTCGACATACCCGCAAAGCACCACCAGGTACTGTCCTAGCCTTGAAGCCCAGCCAGGCCCTTCAGATCAAACCCAATACCACCGTCGCCGAAGCTGCACAACTGATGGCCGCCAAGCGCGAAGACTGTGTCCTAGTCACCGACGATGACGATCGCATTGCCGGTATTTTTACAGCCAAAGATCTCGCCTTCCGTGTGGTTGGTGCTGGTATCAAAGCCCGAGAAGTCACCATCGAGCAGATCATGACCAAGAACCCGCTGTGCGCACGAACAGACACAAGCGCAACAGATGCCCTCGACCTGATGGTGCGGAAAGGATTCAGACATTTGCCCGTCATGGACGAGAACCAGGACATCTCAGGCATCTTGGACATCACGAAGTGTTTCTATGATGCCATGGAGAAGCTGGAGCGAGCATACAGCTCATCTCGCAAATTGTATGATGCTTTGGAAGGTGTTCAGTCAGAACTCGGTGCAAGCCAGCCTCAGCAAATCATACAATACGTCGAAGCACTGCGATCGAAGATGTCGGGGCCTACCTTGGAGTCCGTGCTCAATGGCCTGCCACCGACCACCGTTTCCGTTCGCACGTCGGTCAAGGAAGCTGCACAACAGATGAAAGAAAACCACACCACCGCTGTACTGGTCCAAGATCAAGGTTCTATCACAGGCATCTTCACGTCCAAGGACGTCGTTCTGCGAGTCATCGCACCTGGTCTTGATCCTGCAACATGTAGTGTTGTCCGGGTGATGACACCACATCCCGACTTTGCACCCACCGATATGAGCATTCAGGCAGCTCTTCGCAAGATGCACGGCAAGTGACCCAAAATTTCGTCTTCAAACTATGCTAATTCCTTCTAGATGGCCACTATTTGAACCTTCCAGTCATGAATGAGACCGGCGAGATCGTAGGAATGGTCGACGTGCTCAAGCTCACCTACGCAACACTCGAGCAAATCAATACCATGGCAACAGGAGACTCAGAAGGTCCAGCGTGGAACAAATTCTGGATGTCAATGGACAACGCCGATTCAGAGTCAATGATGTCTGGTGAAGGTAGCCACCGTCCCACCACACCAGGCCACCGATCCATGCTCGAGTCCGAACCCGCCCGCCCCACCGTCGAACGCGGCGACAGCGTCATGCCGCATGACTCAGCTTCCCACCGTGGTGATGACGCCCATTCCGAAGTCCTCCCATCTCCTGGTCTCCCTACCGAGAACACAGAGGAAACGCCCTTCCCTTTCAAATTCAAAGCCCCCAGCGGCCGCGTCCACCGCATCCAAGTCGTCGCCGCAAATGGCATCGCCGAGCTCACCGACAATGTCACCTCCAAACTTGGCGCAGAGATTGACGCTGTTGGCGGCGAGGTTATTGTCACGGACGGCCGTCTTGGAAAAGAAGGATTTGCGCTCAGCTACATGGACAACGAAGGGGACACCGTATCCATCACCACCGACCAGGATCTTGTTGACGCAATCACTCTTGCACGACAGGGCAAACGCGACAAGGTTGATCTATTCGTGCACGACCCGGCGCAGCCACCACTCAGCGCAACCGTCGATCCGAGGCCGCAACTACCACCACACCCACCCACGCCGCCGGAGTCGGTACTGAAGGAAGCTGAAGAGGACGTTTCACGTGAGCACTCGCGTGTACGGACAAGGAAGGCTACCGCGCACCAGCAAGAGGAGCAGTTGATACAAGGCGTGCCAAACGATCTATTACTGCCTGGTGCTATTGTCACGCTGGCAGTTGTGATTGTGGGCGTGTTTGCTATCAGTCGGGCTACTTCGAAATGAGTGGTGGGATGACTTTCTACTGGTTGCTAGCAGAGGAGGCGGAGGAGTATGATACCCATGAATGCGCTGTGACCATATTTCTGTCCGGTACGGTGGTTTGGAAGCCTTACCGCAAGCCTAGCGTACTTTTTAATCGATCCAAATTCAGCTCCGGGCAGCTTCTTTGACAGCGCCTTAAATCTCGCGAGCGATTGACCATCGGTCTGGACGCCCACACTTCCAATGACCTGGGCTATAGAATGAAATGGTGAAACGGAAGGAGGCACGATCCGGCACCTGCCCGATCAAGATCAAGGCCGCATGCCTGGGTTTTGTGTGCCGCCGTAGCATATCTGAAGTCACCGAACTTTAATTCAAAGAAATTGGGAAAGTTGATCGCCCTACGATTGTAAACGCGTCCGATCACACCCCAGGATATTCCTACAGCAGTACCTCTGCAGCGACTTTAACGCCATCAAACATATTGACAGTCACAGTCGTCGATAGAGTGTCATTGAATATTCGCGACCTTGCTGTGTATTTCTGCGCGGTCCCGCTGCCTGACCCCGCCTCCATTCACGCGGCAGTCGCTCCCACCAGAACTCCGGCACGATGTCGATGCTCCCTGCCGATGTGCAGGGAGCGCTCACTCACCTCCTGCAAAACTTGCAAAGTGGAGATAATGCAGTTAGATCAGGTGCAGAGAACGAGCTCAATAACGAGTGGTTCACCAATCGTCCCGATGTCCTCCTCATGGGCCTCGCGGAACAGATCCAGTCAGGCCAAGACATACAGGTATGTCGCTAGAGGTGGGTGTCGAAGGCTCTACTGACAATTACAGACACGGTCATTTGCTGCTATCCTATTCCGACGGCAATCGTCCAAGACCAAGAAGGGCGCAGATGGGCACTCTCGAGAACTCTTCCTCGCCCTAAGTGCCGATGCACGCACAGCCATCCGGTCTAAACTCCTCGAGTGCCTCGCAAGCGAACAGATCAATCATGTCAGGAACAAGATCGGTGATGCCATCGCTGAAATTGCGCGTCAATACACAGACAGAGGCGAGAGCTGGGTCGAGCTGTTGAACGCCCTCTTTCAAGCCAGCCAGTCCGGTGACCACGGTCTGCGAGAATGCGCGTTCAGGATATTCTCGACTACGCCCAAGATCATCGAGAAGCAGCATGAGAGCGCTGTGCAAGAAGTCTTCGGCAAAGGTCTGAAAGATTCGAGCATCGAGGTTCGGCTGGCTGCTGTCGAGGCCTTCGCGTCTTTCTTCGCCAGTATCTCCAAGAAGAACCAGACGAAATACTACTCCTTGATCCCTGAGATCCTGAACATTCTACCGCCGTTGAAGGAGACGGGCGACCAGGAGAATCTTTCAAAGGCATTCATCTCGCTTATTGAGCTGGCTGAGAGTGCCCCGAAGATGTTTAAGAACCTGTTCAACAACGTCGTCAAATTCAGTATCTCTGTCATCCAGGACAAGGAGATGAGTGATCAGACAAGGCAGAATGCACTCGAGTTGATGGCCACATTTGCGGAATTTGCGCCCGCCATGGCCAAGAAAGACCCGAATTTCACAAGCGACATGGTCACACAGTGCTTGAGTCTGATGACTGACATCGGCGCTGATGACGATGATGCCACTGAGTGGAACTCACAAGAAGATCTCGATATGGAGGACAGCGATCTCAACCATGTCGCAGGTGAACAGTGTATGGATCGACTTGCAAACAAGCTTGGTGGACAGATCATGCTGCCGGCGACTTTCACTTGGCTTCCTAGAATGATTCACTCATCAGCATGGAGAGATCGGCACGCTGCTCTTATGGCTATTTCTGCAATCTCAGAGGGCTGTCGCGACCTAATGATCGGTGAGCTCGACAAGGTATTGGAGCTGGTCGTTCCTACACTAAAGGACCCTCATCCACGAGTTCGATTCGCGGGCTGCAATGCTCTGGGTCAAATGAGCACAGACTTCGCCGGCCCAATGCAAGAAAAGTACCACCAAGTCGTCCTGTCGAGTATCATACCTGTCCTGCAGTCACCCGAACCTCGCGTACAGGCTCATGCTGCAGCAGCGCTGGTCAACTTCTGCGAAGAAGCAGAAAAAGCCATCCTGGAGCCGTACTTGGACTCATTGCTCAACAACCTGCTGCAACTGCTCCAGTCGCCGAAGCGATACGTCCAGGAACAAGCATTGTCCACAATTGCTACGATCGCAGATTCTGCTGAGAGCGCCTTTGTCACATACTACGACGGTCTAATGCCGCTACTGTTCAACGTGCTGCGATCTGAGCAGTCGAAAGAATATCGCCTGTTGCGTGCTAAAGCTATGGAGTGTGCGACTCTTATTGCGCTGGCCGTAGGCAAAGACAAGATGGGACAAGATGCCGTTGGACTGGTCGAGACCCTCGGCATAATACAGCAAGGCATTACAGATGACGACGATCCGCAGGCACAATATCTCCTCCACTGTTGGGGACGCATGTGCAGAGTTCTCGGTTCAGATTTTGTACCCTACTTAGGTGGTGTCATGCCGCCATTGCTGGAGCTGGCCAAAGCCAAGGCCGATATTCAACTCCTCGAGAACGACGACGATCAGATCGAAGATGAAGGCTGGGAGCTTGTCCCCCTCAAAGGCAAAGTCATCGGCATCAAGACACAGACCCTTGAGGACAAGAACACAGCGATTGAGTTAATCACCATCTATGCTCAAATCCTTGAGGCTGCCTTTGCACCCTACGTTGCCAACATTGCAGAAGAGATCGCTCTTCCCTCATTAGCATTCTTCTTCCACGACCCAGTCCGAGTCGCAGCAGCCAAGCTCATCCCTCAGCTTCTCAACTCCATCAAGAAAGCTTACGGCGATCAATCACAAGAGCTGATGCAGCTGTGGGCGCGATGTGCGGACAAGGAGATCGAGATCCTATCAGCCGAGCCAGCGATCGAGACACTCGCAGAAATGTTCCAATGCTTCTACGAATCGATCGAGGTCGTTGGCAAGAACTGCCTGACTGCAGAACATATGACCAAATTCATCGACTCAACACAAGACACCTTGAAAGAGTACCAAAAACGCGTCCTCGAGCGCGCAGAAGAGCGCGCCGATGCCGCCACACAAGGAGCCGAGGAAGAAGACGACAGCATGTCGATGCAATACGCTATGGAAGACGACCAAACCCTCCTCTCAGACATGAACAAGGCCTTCCACACCATCTTCAAGAACATGGGCGCCAATTTCCTGCCTGCCTGGGAGCGACTCATGCCATTCTACGATGGTTTTATCACCAGCACCGCTGACCCCACCCAGCGGCAATGGGCGACATGTATCTTCGACGACGTTCTCGAATTCTGCGGTCCTCAATCCTGGAACTATAGTTCCCATATCATGCAGCCGCTGATCAACGGCATGCAAGACTCCAACGCCGCAAACCGGCAGGCTGCAGCCTATGGCGTCGGTATTGCCGCACAGAAAGGTGGCGAGCAGTGGTCAGAATTCGTCGCACACGCCGTGGACACTCTCTTCCAGGTGACACAAGTGAACAATGCACGAGGCGAGGACGAAGTGTTCGCGACCGAGAATGCTTGTGCCGCCATCGCAAAAATCCTCCATTTCAACAACACCAAGGTCCAAAACGCACAGTCCGTTGTCGAGCGCTGGATCGACACGTTACCCATCACCAACGACGAAGAGGCTGCGCCGTATGCATACAGTTTTCTGTGCGAGCTGATTGATACGTGAGTCCATACCCAAGAGTCCTCCTAGCCAACCAACCACTAACAGCGCCCAGATCAAATCCAGCAATCCCACCCCGCGCCTCTCAAATCTTCACACAAATCGTCCTGGCCCTTGAAGCCGAAACGCTACAAGGCCAGACAGCGCGCAAAGTCGCCGAGGCCGCGAAGAAACTCGTCTCGCAGAACCCGAGTGCCATCAATGCCGATGCAGTCTTGTCGAATCTGACGCCCGAGGGACAGGCGACAGTGAAGTCGTATTTCGAGTAGAGCTCGCCGGATGGTACGCGTGAGTATTGGCGGGGGAGGATCCCTAAGTGGCAGTGGGTGCCTGATGGGTTGGATCTAGTAGTCGAGTTGATGCGGAATGTGCTCCGGCAGCAGATGGCGGAGCTGGGTGCATGATGCTCTGGATGTAGGTGCGGACGAAGCGGTATACCCAGATTTATATAGACAAGGAATCGATCGAGTGAAGCAGATCTACTCATGAGAACCGAGCATTGAGTCAGGAAACCGAAGGCCTGCCTATGCCCAATGCTACCACATAAAGTTGCATCCCTCTTTGAAGCAACACGTCAGTTCCACTCATCCTCCCTAACCTTCTTCGCCAATTCCGCATTCCCAGCATAGTCCACCCGCACATCAACCAGACTGACGCCCTCAAACGCAAGCGCCTCCTTCATGACCGACTCAAGCTCACTCACATCCTCAACCCTATAGCCCCTCGCGCCAAAACTCTCAGCAAACTTCACAAAATCCACCCCTCCCAGCTTCACCCCCGAGCTTCTTCCATACTTCATCTCCTCCTGGAACTCCACCATATTGAAGGCCTCGTCGTTCCAGATGAAATGTGTGATATTGCATTTCTGCTGCACCGCGGTACTCAGTTCTTGGGAGGAGAACATGAACCCGCCGTCGCCGCTCAAGCTGACTACTTTTTCGGAGCAGGGTGGATTTTGTGCCAAGGAGGCAGCGATGGCCCAGGGAAGGCCGACGCCGAGAGTTTGCTGGCCATTGGAGCAGAGCAAGCGGCGGGGCTCGTAGGCGAAGAAGAAGCGCATCATGTAGATGTATACCGTGCCGACGTCGACGGTGACGGTTGTGGTTGGCGAGACAAGTTTTTGCAGTCGTTGGACAAAGAGGAGTGGATGAACTTTGCCCGAGGTAGCTTTGAGTTCGGGGCGGGAGAGCAGGATGTCTGCTCAGTGCGGAGAGATTTCAGGAAGTCGGTTGAGGTGTTGTCTGGTATGGAAGAGAGGTGGTTGGTGATGTACTTGATGTTTTCGACTATGCTCCCAAGGAGTTCGGTGGTGGGGTGGTAATATTGACCGTAGTCGGAGGCGGTGTAGTCGATGTGGACGATGTTGAGGCTGCCGGACGGGTTCCAGACGTTGGCGTCGTATTCAACAGGGTCGTAGCCGACGGCGAGGACGAGATCAGATTTGGCAAGCAGTTTGTCGCCGGCTTGGTTGTGGAACAGGCCAATGCGGCCGTAGAAGAGGCGTTCTGCGAGGTCCTGCGAGACAGCGCCGGCGGCTTGAAAGGTCTCAACTGTTGGTAAGGGAAACTTTTTGAGGAGGGCTCGGACTGCATCAACCACTAGAGGCGATGAAGCACGCATGCCCAGGTAGATGACAGGAAATTTGGCTTTCTCGAGCATCGAGATGACGGAGTCGATGGCTTGGGGTGGTGCCGGTCCATAACGCGGCGGTGCGAAGGCTTCGGTCGGAAAGGGAAGGATCTTAGACTTCTCCTTGGAGACATCCATAGGTATCGAGACGACGGTAGCACCTTTCGGGGATGTGTTCGCTGTCCGAAACGATGAGAGAATGATCTCGGCGGCTTGGTCTGCGACGTCCATATTGGTGGCAGACTTGGCTGTGGGACCTAAGATCTCGAGAGCTTTCATGCTCTGGTGTGTCCGCTTGGTGTTCAACAACCGAGGAACGGAACCAATAAGAGCAACCACAGGATCGCCTTCTGTCGTGGCAGTGACAAGACCAGTGGCAAGATTCGATGCTCCCGGACCGGAAGTGGCAATGCAGACGCCTGGTACGCCTGTGATGCGACCTGTTCCTGCTGCCATCATGGCTGCATTCTGCTCATGTCGACAGACGATGAGCTTGATCTCAGGGTGGTCCGACAAGCAGTCGAAAATGGCATCGATTTTGGCACCTGGGACGCCAAAAACGGTGCGGACTCCTGCCTTGTACAAGCTGTTGACAATGATTTGTGCTACCTCATCTTCTGCCATGGTTTCGGTTCTTTTGTAGCAATGTGGTCGTGTCTATCGATCCTGAACCGTGCTTGTTGTTTTGGGCCAAGATTACACTGTACAGCACACTCCAGTAGGCGGTGTTTGTGAGGCTTTACCCAGGTGAACGGCGGCAGCGACAGCGTCGAAAACAGTACAAGACGACTAGCTCACCGACTCGTGCCTGCCAGAATGAGGGCCTATCACACTCTAAGGGGAGGCCTGATTGTCTTTGTCACTGAGTAGGGAAAGAACATTCAACATTTATGTAACATGAGTAAGGGCTTTCCCGAAAGAGCTTGCATGTGCTTTCCGTTCTTCTAGGATGACGTCTTGGCCAATTCGTACCTGCATACCCGCAACCTTCCGAGAGATGTTGGGGAGGCGCCGTCGATCGAAGCTGCATCTTAGGTACTGTCCGAGGACACGAGTGTCATTTAAGGCAGGAGCAGGGTCTGAGAAGTGCGCGATCTGTGGTTGACTACACAGAAGTCCGCTCAAGCAACCAACACAAGACCGATCGTTGCCTCGTTGCCAAGGTTTGATTGCCTTGTTCAGTGACGATCACGACGGACTCTTCCTGCGGAGCGGCTCACATATCCATACAACAGGCAAGTTTCCGGCAGCGCCATAGCCACGAAGGTATTATTCTACACCACCGCAACCAAGGCCACCAACCCCACCGACTATCTTTTGATCCGTTCACTACCATCGTCAAACAAGAACCCCTAGTGCCGTCCAATACTCGTCTCTGGCACACGACTCGCCCTGCCTATCTTCCCTCGGCGACTTCCGGCCCCCACCATAACCACCAACATGGCCGCAACCAAAATCCCCCCAAACCACATCTACCAATACTCCCTAGTCAACGCCCTCATGGCCGGCGTATCCTCATCCGGCATCACCACCACCACCCTCCTCCAAAAGGGCAACCACGGCCTGGGCACTTTCGTCCGCATGGACGGCGAGCTCCTGCTCCTCGATGACACGGTCTACCAACTCCAATCACACGGCAAGATCCGGAAGGCCTCGCCGGACGACCAGATCCCCTACGCCGTTGCGACACATTTTGTGCCCGAACACACCCTGCATGTGAAGCTAGAGCACAAGGATTCCGTGGACAAGGTACTAGCAGAAGTGAACCCAAACGCGGAGAATTTGTTCATGGCATACCGCATCACCGGCAAATTCAGCCACAACAAATGCCGCACTGTCAAGGGCCAGGAGTACGACAATCAGCCGCTCTCGGAACTAGGCAAGACGCAATTCATGGCTGAGTATACCGACGTGGAAGGCACGGTGGTTGGTTTCCGGAGTCCGAAGGCATGGCAGGGGTTCTTTGTGGCGGGGGAGCATCTGCATTTCATCAGTCATGATAGGACGTTCGGGGGACATGTGTTGGAGCTGGAGGCGACGGAGGAGGTCAAGTTTGAGGTGGGCACGATTAGTAATGTGCATATTGAGCTGCCGACGAGTAAGGCGTTTAACGAGGCGGAGATGGTCACTGATGATGCGGGTTTGAAGAGTGTCGAGGGCTGAAGAGGTCTGGAGGTCGGAGAATGTTGGAAGAAGTAGGGAACAGAAGGAGTGAACGATGTTAGTATATTGTATGATTGCTGACCCTACGTTCTCAGTGGACTGTGAATAGATCCAGTGACACCGCCAATGTTACAATCGCTATGCAAGTGAACTTTGTAAAGTGTGCGTCGTGAATCGTGGTCGTGTTGGCTAGCGCTTGACCGAGCCGGCGTGACGACGGTATTTGACCATCAGGCGAAGAAAAGCTTTCGCTGCTTGCTGACCGCTTCCAGTCCAGAAGGCCCAGGCACGCCCTTGCGCTTGCTGTTGGCAGACCGAGGACGATTTGGCACCTCGGGAGTATTTGTTCTGGATCTCTGCGAGTCCCCCTGCGGTACAACGACAGGCACGGTCTGCGTCTGAGCAACGGCTTCTCTGATCGTTTGGCGTGACAGGCACAGGTCAATGTGGGCGTTGAAATTCCGATCATCAGCAGGCTGAGGCACAGCGCAGATCGGGCAGTCCCACGTTTCTTCTTGGTCCACCTGCTGCTGCGTCGCGGCTGCTTTGTCGGGTGTGGGAGGTGCACTGTTGAACTTGTATCGACCGAACGGCTCGTGCCAGTCTGCGCCACTTTCCCCGTTCCTCTCATGCTCCTGGCTGAGACGCTCGAGCTCTTCCATCTCCTCCTGCCTTTCCGCCCGTGCGGCCGCTTCGAATTCTTCGTCAGGCCACACTTCCCACTCCTCGCTACTGTCGGTCGTCCTCTCAGACTGCAAGCCCGGCTTAGCTGATCTCGGCTTGAAGAAGTTGCCATTGTCCTTCTTGGTGCTGATGAGATGTGTGCACCGTAGTCCCAATAGACGAAGCCTCATACCAGGAAATTCCTTCTCGAGCTTGGCGAGCATGGGCAAGGAGAAATCGTAGAGATCGTCAGCCAGGCTGACTGCCTTTGGCGGACAGACCTGGCGCGTGAAGACTTCGTATGTGTGAAGCTTGATTTTGAGGCAAAGCGTCCTACCTTTGACCTCTACTCGAGCCATATCCTTCTCCAGCTCTTCTGCAGTGTGCCGTAACTTGGCTCTGAGGTCCTCCTTTGACCATATATCACGAAAAGTGGATTCAGTGCCGACGCTCTTTCGCTCGTAGTCATCGGCAGGGTGTATATCGGTTCGACCAAGTCCCAGGGAAGTTTGTAGAAGGAACTGGTATGTTTTCTCGCCGAACAGCCGATTCAAGTAGGCACGATGTTGATGAATGTCCCCACAGGTCTTGATTCCGATGGCATCGAGTTCACGCTCAAGTACTCGACCGACGCCATTGACCTTGCGGACAGGCAGCTTGTCGATGAATGCCATGATAGCAGCACGGTCATTAGGAACACGAAACTGGCCATTAGGTTTGTTCTGATTAGAACATATCTTCGCAATCTTGGCATTTGGCGCAATACCGGCAGAGATAGTGATCTTGCACTTGTCCTTGACTTCATCTCGGAGCTGCTGAATGGCCTCTTCTGGTTCCATGTGATGCCTGTCGCAGTAGTCGGTGATGTTCATATAGGCCTCGTCGATGCTCGAACTTTCATATCGTGGATCGTACTCCGCCAAGATGGCTCTGACCTCTCTTGCTTTGGCCGTGTACTTCTCGAAGTTCAAGGGCACACAGATCAGTTGTGGACACAGCTTCTTTGCAACGAATCCAGCCATCGCACTTCTGCAACCGTACTTGCGGGCTTCGTAGTTGCATGTCGTCAGAACCCCGACGCCAACAGCCATGGGCACGTTTTTCAGCTCTGGCCGATCAATCTCCTCGACGGCGGCGTAGAAAGCATCACAGTCGATGTGAACGACATATTGTGACAAGTCTCGGGACAGCTCGAGGGTGGCGATGTAGTCGTCGGCTCTGCGGAGGTCATGTTTGAGATCTAGAGTCTCTAGATGTGCCTTGTTCTTGAAGATCTTCTCGATCTTCTCAGTCAAATTGCCATCCTTTTTCTCTTCATTGTTGAAGAATTTTGAGCCTTTGGATGCATCGTAAATGATCTCTGAGACCTTCTTCAGATCGACTCCATCCTGACCAGCTTTGGTGACGGACGGACCTAGCAGATGATGCTTCAAGGACTTCTGCTCCGCTTCCGGGACTGGCAGTGCCTCGATAGCGGCAGCAATCGCCTCTTTGCTGGGTGGGGCTTGGGCGTCATCGTCGGTGGCTGCGGTTTGAGTTGCGTTCTGTATGATCTCTTCTGCTTCTTCAGGTGTCATGATATCTTTCTTCGATCCATTGCGGGGTCTGCGGATGGAAGGCGGCAACGCAGGTTGTCGGTGCAGCGTTCCGTGGTACGTTGATGCAGTGATTGACGTCGGCACGACGGGCAATCGCGTACACAGTAAAGCCGCGTCGACTCCATTTTTGTCTTGGCACCAATCAAGGGCGACGGCGGCGCTCGTCCAAATGTGACCATCATCAACAGACCAGGACTCCGCTCCCAAGGGTTTCGATGAGGCCTAGATATCCGCATGCACGGACTTTGTGAAATGGTAGAGTCTGCACCTACCCGATGTCGTCCTCGAGATGCTCGACATGCCACACACGACAACGAGGGTACAGACTAGAATGCCCCCAGACAAACAGAATGCGAAGCCCTTCACCCCGTCGCTCAGCTCGAATTTCCGGGGTACCAAAAGTCCCTTGACCCCGAGACTTGCTGGCACCGGCCCTGGCTCCGGACAAAGTACGCCTGCGTCTGGACCGCGTCGTGAAGCCTTCGTCAGATCAAGGTCACCAGGCAAGGAAGAGCAACAGCAGCCGCAGCAACCCAACCTCGGCGGCAACATCACTCCACGATCCGCCGCTCGGAAATCGCGATTTGGGACAGAATCACCCTCGACGACACCCACCGCGAACCGGACCAATGTCGCGAGCCCACCTGTGCATTCACCGGGTGGTCAGAATGGCTTGGGCATCTCCGGCGCTCACGTAAGAGGAGCAACGTCGTTGAACGAAGTCGTGGCCTCAAACGTATCGCCGTCGCCATTGTATACCGCCACGCGAAGGGTTTCAAATACACAGAGTACTGTGACTACGCAAGACCCTGAAGCCTCGAAGTTCTTTCACGCCAGCGATGCGCGGCCTACGCAAGCACAACCGCAGCCCAAGCCTGATCAAGGACGGTTCTTCTATGTTGGCGGCACATCTAGCATATCATCGCCCAAGGCAGACCCGCCTGCAGGGGATGACAAGTTCTTCCATGCCAGTGACGCCAGGTCGCAGAGCCAGCCAAAGCCGACCCGACCAGAATTACATACACGAAGCACGGCAGGATCAGCGGCTTCACTACGATCAATTCAAGCAACAACCACACCACGCAACAACGTGCGCTCGACCTCGCCTGGGAAGACTGTCCAGTCAAGACCGCGGTCATGGGGCAAAGATGCGGCGCCCAGGCCGTTGAGTGGTATCATGTCGACTGCTACAGCTTCTACGCCGAATCGACGTGGCAGCGTAGGAAGCAACCTTTCCGCCAGCAAAGATGTACAGACTGCCCACAAGAAGACGATGAGTGCCACTTCCGTCACCTCAACACCCACAAGGAAAATGAGTGGACCACGACCTCTGCTCATACCAACACTGGAGCAGCGCCTAGGAGAGGCATTGAGCAATTCCACGGCCTCGACAATCTCCCTGCCAATTCCAACGGCATCACCAGAGACGTTGAGTGCACGATCGTTGTCACTAGGCTCGCAGATCTCAGACCGATCACTTTCGAACGCCAGACCATCAGCCGTCCAGCAATCGCCGGAAGTGGGCACAGTGCCCTCCGTGCCGTCTTCGCCGCGAAAGAGAGTTTCACTGTCACATTCAGTCGAAACATCCGCGCTGCCGCCAAATTCACCACCACTCCCTGCAACCGTTAAGCCTGCAGATCCAGCTGTCCAAGCCCGCCGAGAACGCAAAGTCCTTGACCTCGAAATCTCTAATTCCTCCCTCCTCGCCATCAACAAGACCCTCGAACGCGAGTTACGCAAACAGAACGGGGAACTCCGCCGGTTCCGCCGCCTGTCTCGCTCCGGTCGGCTCAGTGTTGCGCCCAACAACGCTCGCAATGTTAGCAACAGCACGCTCGGCACGCTGCCCGAGCTCCAGGACGAAGTGGAAGACGACTCCGAAGACGAAGACGAGCACTCCGACTCCGACGCCTCCTCCTCGGGCGACAATGACGACCTAGACTCCCTCCGCAGCAATCACTCAACCGGCGACCTCTCCTCACCGACAATTGAAACCACGAAACGCGCACGCCAGCGCCGCCGTGACGAAAAGCGCCTGCTCCTCGACCTCCACAAGCATCAACAAGCACTGCTGGCTTCCCAAAAGCTAAGCCAGAGTATCCGCCGGTGTCTCCTGTCGACTGAGGAGCTGATCCGTGATGGCGAAAAGGCGCTGGAATACAAGCCGGATCTGTTGATCGGCGGGCGGGTTCTCAGTCATGACGGAGCATTGCTCAGACCGGGGACGGCGGACTCTGCTGGTGAAGACACGGGAACCGCAACGCCGGCGATGGTGGCGGAAGAGGGGGCTAAGGGCCTTCTGAGTCCAGGGGTGGAGATTGGGGACTGGCTCGCCGGCGGCATGTGGGTGAGTCAGGGAGCCGGGAAGGTCGAGACGATGGTCGATGATGGATGATGACTGTGGTGAGATCGCGAAAGCGCCGATATGAGTTGACGCACCGAGGACATCCTCTGCTCAGCGCTCTTGCCTTTCTTCTGGTTTACCAAGATGATATTTTGTATATACCCCACTTCGCAGCGCTATATTGCAATTGAACCAAGTCCTATACGTACGACTATCCATGCCTCACCTCAATATCATGCCTGCTCTGATGATTGCTAGGTACCGTAGCTTGTTCAGCTTGAGGCAGTGAAAGTACGGCTGCGGCTACACGCCCAATGCGTCGTTCGCGTCCGAATTGCGACGTCATTCAAAATCTGGCCGCAAAGTGCGGCCTGCGTATTAGTGACTCGTGCTCAAGAGAAAGTCTTTCAATTACTTTCGATTTGCGTGTTTTCTGTTCTTGTGCTCCGGAGCCGCAAAGCACAAGTATCTTCACCTGAAGACTGCTCGTTGCGAGCCATTGCAACGGTCAACATGACTACCCTGACATAGCCCTCTTCTACAACATCCGTCGCTCACTCAACCCACGAATCCTGACAAAAACACCCGCCGGCCTCCACCTTCGTTAGACCGTCGCCGCAGCAATGGGTGTCACCAACCTCTGGACAGTCGTCTCCCCGACCGCGCGCCCAACCTCCCTCGCCTCCCTCAACCGCAAGCGCCTCGCCGTCGACGCCTCGATCTGGATCTACCAATTCCTCAAAGCCGTGCGCGACAAAGAAGGCAATGCCCTGCGCAACTCCCACGTCGTCGGCTTCTTCCGTCGAATATGCAAGCTACTGTACTTTGGCATCAAGCCTGTGTTTGTGTTTGATGGTGGCGCGCCAGTGCTGAAGCGGGAGACGGTGCGGAAGAGGCGGAGTCGGCGGGAGGGGAGGAGGGAGGACGCGGTGAGGACGGCGGGGAAATTGTTGGCTGTGCAGATGGAGCGGGTGGTTGAGGAGGAGAGGGAGAAAGAGAGGCGGAGGCGGGAGAGGGGGAGGGATGTTGAGGATGAGGATCGGGAGGAGGATGTGGGTGATGAGGGGCAGTTGGTGTATGTGGATGAGATCGGGATGGGGGAGGCGGAGAGGAGGAAGGGGCGAGCGGAGGGATTTAAGAGGAGGGATCAATACCATTTGCCGGATCTGGATGTGCGGATAGAGGATATGGGTGCGCCAAATGATCCGAGGATTATGAGCCAGGTCGAGCTGGAGGAGTACGCGAGGCAGTTTCACAGTGGGGAGGACATCAATCTTTATGATTTCAGCAAGATTGATTTTGAGAGTCCGTTCTTCTTGAGCTTGCCGGCGGGGGATCGGTATAATATTTTGAATGCGGCAAGGTTGAGGTCGAGGTTGAGGATGGGGTATACTAAGGATCAGCTGAATGGGATGTTTCCGGATCGTATGGCGTTCAGCAAGTTTCAGATTGAGCGAGTCAAGGAGAGAAATGAGCTCACCCAGAGGCTGATGCATATAAACGGCATGGCTGATGACTGGGACAGTGGTGGCAGGATTGCTGGAGAGAAAGGGAAGGAATATGTATTGGTCCGAAATGAAGGCGTGGAAGGTGGCTGGGCTTTGGGTGTCGTATCGAATAAGCTGGGTACGAGCAAGGGCATGGCCATTGATGTCGATGAGGAGTATGGCGATCAGGTCAAATCAGAAGAGGAGAGTGATGAGTTCGAAGATGTCGAGATCGAAGGCCTCAACCGGCTGCCAAAGAGCTGGAAACGCAAACGGGCACGGTCAGTCGACTACGACTATTCCTACGAGGATGCTGCGGAGCAAATCGCAAAGAAGCGAAAGGCGGTGTACGATGGTCGGAAAGCTGCGGCACAGAACCCTCCTCCGCGCACTGCACCGGTTGTTGCGGTCAATGGCGAAGACGACCCGTTGTTCGTTCCTCAGGAGCAGCCCGATGAAGATGACGACCTGTTCGAGGACGTTGATATTGGTCATGCCAACGACGCCGATGCGGAAGATGACTTGCAGAAGGCCATCGCAATGTCTCTGGAGGATGCTACAGGCGAGGGCGATGACACTCGGAATGGCCACACCAAGCTGGTCAGCGATGACGAGGACGATATGTTTGGAGCGGCCCTCGCTGCATCCCGGAAGTCGAAGCCAAAAGCTCAAAAGAATGGCAAGGAGTTGTCAAAGACTGCTCTAACAGGAGCAGCACCCAACTTCTCCGGTCCCTTGCCATTTGAGTCAATGAACCTGGGCCAGTCTCTGCTCGGAAAGAAGAAGGCGAAGAAAGTCGAAGAGAATCTGTCGGGTGGCTTCGACCGCAATTTGGGCGAAGATGCGTTCCGCAAAGAACGACCTCCACAGCCTGCACCATCCTGGTTCGACGCTGCACCTAAGACAAAAGACATGAAGCGCATGGAAGACGCAGACGATGGAGAAGATGGCGAGGATCATGTCACACACAACGATCAAGACAGGAGTCGTCGGGAGGTCCTGCATCGACACCCTACCCGCGAAGTCATTGATCTGGAGGCGGAAGGATCGACTCAGCCCAAGCCGAGTCAGATCGAATTGTCGAGCGACGATGACGACGACGATGATGCCGAGTTGCCTCAAGAACCACAGGCAGAGCCGGATGACTGGCAGCTACCAGAGCACGAGGAAGTAAAAGACGACATTCGCCGTCAGCGTGAGCGAGATGCCGAGGAAGAAGCAAGAGAAGCACGTTACGCTATGGCGCGCGAGATTGCTGGAGAATCAGACATGCCAGACGAGGTCTTACCTCCAGCTGTCCCTCAAGTTGAGCCTGCAAAGGACGTAATCCTGCAGCCCGAAGGTCAGGAAGTACCAGCAATGGACGAAGTGGCTGACAGAGTTCGAGAGAACCCACCATCGCCTACCTCGCAGCCGAATTACATTCCTTCCCCTAAGCCCGCGGAAGATCTGCCTCAACAAGCCGATGCCGACGAAGACATGGTAGAATGGTCTGCCTCCGAGCCCAACAGTCCGCTATTTGTGCCCGCACAAGCAGAAGACGACGACGACGAGTTCGAGGACGTCCCAATGAATGGAGTCCAGCCACCCACATTACTTTATCAAGAATCTACGAACGAGGCTTCGACCATGCCTCTTGACGCGAATCAGTACCTCATGCCAGACGAAGACGAACAGCCCTCAGCCAATGACGCAAATGCAAACGATCCCAGAGACATCAGCGCTGGCCCGACCGAGCCACAAATAGACGACGACTTCTCCGACTCCGACGAAGAACTCATGCGCCAACTCGCCAACGAGGTCGAAGAGCACGCCCGCTTCACCTCAGCCCTTACCAACCCACACAAGCAAACCTCCGCTTCCACCTCCAATGGTGCGACTGCTACCGACGCCGCCCTTCGCGACTACGAGCAAGAATTGAAGCAACTCCGCTCTCAACAGAAAAGTAATCTCCGTGACGCCGACGAGGTCACACAAACCATGATAACCGAATGCCAATCCCTCCTCTCCCTCTTCGGCCTCCCCTACATCACCGCGCCCATGGAAGCCGAAGCGCAGTGCGCCGAGCTCGTTCGTTTGGGTCTGGTCGATGGTATCGTCACCGACGACTCCGACATCTTCCTCTTCGGCGGGACACGTATCTACAAGAACATGTTCAATGCGCAAAAGTTTGTAGAGTGTTATCTTGCGAGTGATTTGGAGAAGGAGTATACCTTGACCAGGGAGAAGTTGATTCAATTTGCGCACCTGTTGGGGAGTGATTATACAGAGGGTGTGCCGGGGGTTGGGCCGGTGACTGCGCTGGAGATATTGACGGATTTTCCGTCGTTGACGGAGTTCGCGGAGTGGGTGACTGCAGTCCAACGGGCGGTCGTGTCTCCGCACCCTGCGACCGCGCTCGATGGGCTGTTGGGAACGCCATTCCGGCGGAAATTCAAGTCCCAAGCCACGAAGAAGCTCTTCCTGCCCAACGGATTTCCGGATCTAAGGGTCGACAAAGCGTACCTGGAGCCAGAAGTGGACTCGGATCCGAGCCAATTCCAATGGGGCGTGCCGGATCTGGAGAAGTTGCGAAGTTTCTTAATGGCAACGATCGGGTGGACGCAGGAGCGGACGGATGAGGTGCTGGTGCCGGTCATTAGGGATATGAATAAGCGGGAGAAGGAAGGGACACAGGCGAACATTACGAGGTGGTTTGAGGGAGGTGTCGGAGTTGGTGGGGACACGAGAGGCCGCGTACGGGCGGGTGGAGCAAACGCTGCTGCGGCTGCGGCTGCCGAAGACACGGCAGCGGGCTTAGGTCAGAGGAATAGGACTGGGGCTGAAAGCGGGCGGATGAAGAATGCTTTCAAGCGGTTGAGAGGCGAGGCGGAGCGGAAGCGCCGGGGTTTGGATGATGACTATGACGAAGAGGTGGATGGTGACGCGAGAGTCGACCGTGCTGAAAAAGCCGATGACATTGAGGCTACTGCAGAGCAGAACGGAAGCGATATCGCGGATGAAGTCGAGAGTCTAACAGCCGACGACTCTGCTGCACCCAAAAAGAAGAAGGAAGCGGGCAGGTCCAGGGCGACCACGTCCCGCAAAGCGAAGAAAGCAGCTTCTTCGGATGATGCAAGCCATGATGATGAAGAGGGCACTGCAGACGACGAGAGCTATCAGCCGTCGTCAGGCAGGAAGAAGCAGCTCCCTGGCCGCGCTCGAGGCGGCGGGCGGCGGAAAGCAAAAGCAGTGTAGCCAAACAGTGTCATGAGCTCGGTCTCGTTTCTGAAGTCCTTCATCTTTGTGGCCTGGTTGACTCCTGCTCACGCTGTCCGAGAGCGTCCATGCGGTTCTGCCTTTGTATTCCGCGCCTGTGCATACCTTCCTTGTCCAAGATCCAGCTCCTGCCAGTCGAGGGACCTTGGTCGCCACCCTCTCCGTGATGCAAACGACAGCTTGAAATTAGCAAGAGCTATCGAAGCCATCGGTGGCAGGTGAGACTCGCTACCCGCTCTTGTCATCCGGTCTGACTTATATCCGACCATTTATGGCTGTCATCCGGTCTGCCGTACGACCACGAGGAATACTGTTCTTTGTTTCCCTCCAGCTCACACCTTACATCACTCGCTCTTTACTCACCCGCCAAGCTCCCTAATAGCATCCAACAAGCCCACTGTCTCAGTCGGACTCGCAATCCACGCACAACAACATGCACTCCTGGCCTTGAAATCATTCCCACCGCCGGACAAGAACTGATCACCCACGTGCAACGTCTGGCTCGGCAAGATCCCACCGAACCACTTCTGACATGCCTGAACTCCCAAGCTCTTGTCGCCGATATCAAGGAACACATCCGCGCCACCGTTGAAGACGGTGAAGGGGATATGGGCATGAGATGGTGGCTCTGATGACGAAGTAGTGGCCTTCGGCGAGGCAGATTTAGAATTGACCGTCGGCAGTGTTGGTAGTGGTGGAAGACGGGATGACTCAATGACCTGCTGCACGACTAGGACAGTCTCTTCGAGCTGCTCGCGTGTGAGCTTCTCGCTTTGGTCCGCGGCATAGATCCCGACGGCGCGCTCTTTGCGTAGGACCTTGGCCTTGAGCTGGAGAGTCTTGATGCATGATTTGAAGGCGCCTTCAGCGACGTCTAGAAGCTGTTGTATGGCCGCTTCGTTCCAGTCGTGCATGGCTTCGAGAATCCACTCGCGGCGTGGGATGTGCCGGAGGAAGTGATCAGCGGAGTCATCGTACACGAAGAGGAAATTGCTTTCGCCTCCCATAATTATTAGATTAGACTTCTGCTGTGGCGTTAGGGTTGAGTCGAAGCGAATCGCAAGTAACAGGCCGGACAGGCGGGCGAAGTAATTCTTCGGCTCGGTGTAGCCGGCGGCTGTAACGATGCCAATACGGACGTCGCGTGAGAGAAAGTAGATCAGCCGGTCGATGACTGGATCTTTCTCCCGTGAGATCAGACTAGCGCCATCATCATAGAGTGTGACGTCTCCGTCGAAAGTGAGCAGTTTCAGTTGTGAAGGTCCTGGTGTAAGAGAGGAGTTGTCTCTGCTAGGGTGTTGAGGCTTGACCAAAGACAAGATCTGGGCTGTGTTGAGGATGAGGCGGATGTCATTGAATGACGGTGGTACGAAGCGGCGGCTTGATATTGCTCGAAGCGCATCTTCGTGCTTGAAGGCGTCTTCTAAAGCGAGTGGCGTGAAGAAGGTGCTTATGCTTGGGACCAGCATAGATAGTTTAGACCGAGGCTTGAAGCCAGGAGGTGTGTTGGCTTGGTGGACGATATGGTCACTGATCAGATCCTCCACGTCGCGAAAGATATCAGCATATCGCTGATGGGCTGACCTGGCCATGTTGGCCATTGTACTGGTGTGGGAGTCGACATGCTCCTCGTAAGCGGCGGCTGGCTTGGAATTCAGTACGAAGGGAACCGCCAAAAGGCCCTTGATCCATTCTATGAGCTGATCCCTCCGATGAGTCTGTAGGTGGTATGTCAGTGGTATTTGCATGATTGGACCTCACTCAGCTTACCTTGAGGGCGTACTCGACTCTATATCGGGTGGTCATACCTGGCCCACGCTTTGCTGTTTGCTGTGTAACGGATTCTGTTGTTGATGGCGTCCCCGGCAGACCGCAGTAAGGCTATCGGATTTATCTAGAAGCGGCTGGGCAGTGTCGTAGTGTCCAATGCAGAAAGATCAACCTGACTTGGGAATACTTGAGTATCTGCCGTTGACCGTCTGAAAGGGAAATGCTTGAAATGAAGTCGGACAAATGTCTTGGCGCAGCACCCTCCAAGCGGCTGGTGTTGAGATGATCGCAATTGCTCCTTTCCTATACTCGCGATGATTGCGGTCCGGCTGCTGCAAAGGGAGCGTATGTTTCGTCGACACTGGAGTGCTACCGCTCGGCCCAGTTCTTGGTTTGCCCGAAGCATATCTGTTGTCTGGTTTTGGATATATTTGCATCTAGGTCGCTCGGCCGTGTTCAAGCATCAGATCCTAGGTAATGTCCCGCCAGGACATCACTCGAACTATGATGGATATCGGTGTGCTGCACTGACCGGATCACAAGACCAGCAGAGGTACAATGTACGAAGCAGACGTACGCACATCATGTGCAAGCACAGAACACATTCGAGCACTCAACTCTATGACACCGTAATCGAAGTCTCGCAGAAGCTCGCCCTGTCAAGTAGCAGCAGGTGCCAGCTTGGCATGGCAAGTGATATTCCTCTGAACGGCTTTGATGATGGATGCAGGAAAAAGAAAAAGGCGGAAAGAGGTCAAGGGCAGATCAACTACTTATACCTATTCATCAAACCGAAGATCCGGCGCAAACCGAGAGGAGCACTTCACTGACTCAGTCAAGAGATATTCACTGTCCGCTGCATAAGCCAAACCCGGTTGTTGGTGGATATCATTGAGCAGATAGGACATTGAGAGCCAAGTGAACGACTTCCGAACACGAGACGTTCGACGCCCATTTTCCGTGACTACAGACCATGCGTGGACTCCAGTCATTCACGGCAGGCTGACAACTCTCACCAGGTCAAATACCACATTGGGATCCAAGAGCGCTGCATCCAAACCGAAGAGGTGTTCCTCGACTCTTCTATGTCTGATTTGCCATCCGTGGCCGACCACGCCCCTCTATGCTGCACCTGGCCCCAGGATGCGTTCTTTCGGGCGACTGTACAGATCAGACGGACAGAACCTCCACGTCGCCTGGAACTTGCTCCCATACCACCAAACCAGGATCTGAGAACAAAAATGTCAGCCAACAAACCAAGTAACGACTTCCACCACGCTCGAACAACGCCTTGCGCGCCTGTCCGTCATCACAGCGGACGACTCGCAGCCTCAGGCTCAGGAAGGACTCACCATTTTCACCAGCCCCGGCATCGGCGGGAAGAAATGTTTGCCGCCCTCAAACGTCGCATCGTGACATCCTAGGATGAAAGGTACCAGCTTGTCCCGCGAGGCACCATCCATCGCTTTTTTCTTCCCTTCATCCAGAATCCTCCTCGCCACCGCATTATCGGTATTCTCCATAGCCAAGATCCTGTCAACCTCACTGTTCAGGTGGCTTGTCAACGGGGGCACGAACCCATCCAACACCTTGAACAGCTCCTGACTGTTATACGCTTCTGGTGTTGTTGTCCTGGCATACTCCCCTAACTTGTCCAGCCCATCGTGGAACTCCCTATGCTCCGCAACGTTTTCCAAGAGATCCTTCCGATTAGTGGCTTCAGCCCAAGGCGGGAAGATGAAGGACTCCTCGCCTTCATGGTGATGGTGAATGAGGTCAACAGAAACGGCGCAAAAGTGGAGAAAATCGCGAATGTCCTCGGCCTTTGTGACATGTTGCGCGTAGTAGTAGATGCTGTTGATCGCACGAATCAAGCAGTTGTGAACGAGCACCATCTCGACGGCCATTTCGACGGCGGCGTGGCTGCCTGGTGGGCAGGGAGGCGTGGGTATCACGGGGATGGGTTCACGGGTTGGGCCGGTGGCCATGATTGTCGCCTAGCTTGGGTCTCTTGGTGGGAGGAAGTGAGAGGCGAGTTGGCTGCCCTACCTTATACATGTTCTGGGTCGCCGCCTTGTATATGTGCTGCGGCGTAGTGCAAGCCTGTTGCGGCTAAGGTTCGGGGGCCGTGTTGCAACGATACGCGTATGGGTCACATTAGGGACGACACGACGCGCCAGTAATGTCAGGCGAGCGCTACATTTGACCATTCTGGAAGGCGTTGCATAGATAGCCGAGTCTGGGGCCAGAAACACAGTACACGCTGGTGTTGTATACTTTAGCGCAACATTGCAAATCTTGGAAGAACAGCTTGGTAAGTCAGCAAAGAGATATTCCACCGTTGGTTACCCCACGTGCGAGGTCCCTCTAGGCAGGTGTCCCCACGTTTTAGAATAACGTCGGTTAGTCCCCATGCCATGACCGGGCAAGCATCTGTGCAAGCATCTGTACAAGACTTGACATTGATGGTAATGTGCTTTTCATACATACGTGACTATGGCCCCTCCCCTTGACACACACCTCATCAGCCCTGCAACTCATTCTGAATCCCGCCAATCGTGATACTCTTGATCGTCGTGTACTCATCGATGCCGTACTTCGAACCTTCTCTCCCGAACCCACTCTCCTTGACGCCTCCGAACGGCGAAGCTGGATCTGATATCAGTCCCGTATTGACACCCAACATCCCACACTCCAACGCTTCTGCCACCCTGTATATTCTTCCGACATCTCTGCTGAAGAAGTACCCCGCCAGCCCGACCTCCGCAGCATTAGCGAGCTTGACGACCTCCTTCTCCGTCTCAAACGGGAACAAAGGCGCCACAGGACCGAACGTTTCCTCGGATGCGATCTTCATGTCCGATGTGACGCCCGTAAGTACGGTAGGCGAGTAGAAATTCGCGCCTAAATCAGGCAGCGCCTTCCCACCAATAGCAACCTTCGCGCCCTTGCTCGTGGCGTCGTCGATATGCTGCTGCACCTTCGTCACCGCACGATCATGAATGACAGGACCGTGCGTGACGCCGTCGTCGAACCCGTAGCCGACGTGGAACTGCCCGACCTTCTCGGTGAATTTCTTCGCGAATTCGTCGTAGATGCCTTTTTGCACGTAGATCCGGTTCGCGCACACGCAGGTTTGGCCTGAGCTGCGGAATTTACATGCGATGGCGCCGGCGACGGCGGCGTCGATGTCCGGGCAGTCGTCGAAGACTATGAAGGGTGCGTTTCCGCCGAGTTCGAAGGAGAGTTTCTTGAGCGTGCTGGAGGCTTGTTTCATTAGGATCTTGCCGACGTTGGTGCTGCCGGTGAAGGAGACCTTTTTGATGCGCGGGTCCGTGGTTAGGAGCTCGCCGATCTCAGCTGTGTGTTTCTGGGCGGTGATGATGTTCACTACGCCCTTGGGAATGCCGGCTCGTCGGCCGAGTTCGGCGAGGGCGTTGGCTGTGAAGGGTGTTTCGGCGGGCGATTTCGCGACGACCTGCAAACTGATTAGCCTTGTGTCGGGAGAAGGGCGTAGGCTGGAAGGTAGGATTGTGAGGCTAGCTAGAGCAGCTTCCTTGTCCGAGACATTTGCTCGGGTGGTCTTCAATGCAACGCTCGTTTCCGGTCACAAGTCTGACCTTGAGGGAGCAACTTACGGTGCAGCCGGCTGCTATTGCTGGGCCGATCTTTCGCGTTATCATAGCAGCGGGAAAGTTCCACGGTGTAATTAAGCCAGCGATGCCGACGGGCTGGCGTATCGTCATGATGCGGTTGCCGGGAACTGAAGCGGGAATCACGTCGCCGTATAGTCTCGGGGCCTCTTCGCTGAACCAGTTGAAGAAGTTGGCTGCGTATGCTACTTCGCCTTTTGCGTCTGCTAGTGGTTTGCCGTTCTCCCAGGTGATTAGGCTGTTTCAGAGCATTTTCGTCAGCTTTGGCTCGAGAGATGATCATGCAATGGAAAATCGCATGGGAGAGGCGGCAGTCATGGCTCGCGAGGACCTGGTGTGCGTGCTCAAGCCAATGCTCGTGTCATCGCTCAGTTCCCAATACAAGCTGACCAGGGTACTCACGTGGCTAGGTCATCTGCGTTCTCCTGCATCAGGTTGAACCATTTGCGTAGCAAGGTCGAGCGTTCTCGCGGCAGAGTCTTGCGGAACGAGATCAATGCCTCCTCTGCGGCGTCGACTGCCTTGGTTGCATCGTCCTTGTTGAACTCTGCGCACTTCCCAATCACCTTCCCTGTGCCAGGATCATGGACCTCAAACGTCTCGCCGGAGCTGGCGGAGACGAACTCGCCATTGACGAAGCTCTTCTCGATGAACAGAGAGGGATCTTTTAGTTTCGGAACGGTGTGCATGCTGGCGAGGAAGCGGAACGTGGACGGTGAGCGGAGGTTCAGCTGGTGCTGGAATGGGCGGGTGCGTGTCGAGGATAGCAGGGTGCGGAGGGACGAGGCCATGGTGGGATGGTTTGCGGCGGATGTGGTGTATTATATCATCGTCATCAGCCCAGACTCGGCCTACGTGTGGTTCTACGAACCAAGATGAGCAGGAGCAGGGAGCCGTTCAACCATGACGGCTCGAAAGCTTTTAGATTCGGAAGTGCTCAAGTTGCCTATGATTCACTCGAGCAGTGACCGGCATGCTGCCGGTTGACATCACAGGCGCTGACTAACCTGAATAGGCACTTACAGGGGACGTGTGGGGAAATCCGGGTTCTTGAATGTGTACTCTTGAGGCCGAGCTCAGACGAAGGTAATGCCTGAAGGCAGATGTTTTATGAGGGCACTGAGCCTCGTTGTGCTGGTATTTCTATCGACACCGATCCACATCGCGGGACTGTACGGAGGTGCCCTCGCGCCCTGGCGTCCGTTGCCTGCGACACCTCGCCACCCTCCAGTCTCCGAAGGGCGTTCTCTTGTATCTGCTCATCACTGTCGCCTGCCAATATTCTACCAGTGGCCGTAGACTAATATCGCTGAGTCCTCTCTCGTGTGCTGTGACTCCACGATTGTACAAGGAAAAGAATATGTCAGCTCGTGGCGAACTCTCCACGAGCAAATCTCGGACCGGGAACGCTTCCCGGCTGCCAAATTCCGGGCACCACGACTTGTTTCGAGGAACACCGTGCTGGCCGGCCTATCTTGACCTCACGAGGCAACTTCCACTTTGATTCACTTTACGCCTTGGCGGGTTAGTAGAAGTCCCATGGTCGGCTCTGGTCCTACTGAGCTGCCGCGGCGTTGTTCTCCACGGCCTCATTTGCAGCTGCTGCCAGTTGAGCTGCCATCGGCGTGATTTGGACGCCAGTCGTTTCAATTCGGATCTTGAATTGATTTTCAATATAGCCTTCGAGCTCGTCACACTTGAGCACCGTCTGTCTCATGCTCTTATTCTTGAGGAAAGATGGTTGTGACTTGCCACAAACGATGCTGATGTTGGCCAGTCGGTCGATCAGCTGTTTGTCGTTCTCGTCGACGTTGACGGCAAAGGTCAATTGACAGTCCTGGCGACAGTTAGCATCAGCACAAGCAATAGTGAAATTCGACTTACACAACTCCAAGCTAAGCGTCGTTGGATGAGAGGCTCCTTCGGCTTGGTCAACTGGTGTATTAGGTCCTCGAGACGGTCACCACTGCCTAGCTCCCTGTTGTCGTCATCGAGACTGCCGAGTGGGGGAGGCGCGAGGTTGTAAGGACGACGATCGTTGGGCGATCCTTGACCTGATGGTGGAAGATGCGTCAGTGTACCTGCAAAACTGGCGAGTTGAGCCATTTCGATGGCTGTCATGTAGGGTTCCATACCATTCTGGGAGAATGAGTTGGGGTCTGAATAACCCGCATTGCTAATGGACGGATCGATGAGGTTGTGGTTCATGGGCAGCTCTTGTCCAGGAACTGCCAAGTACATGTCAGTGGGACTGAGGCTAGGGGTTGGCAGATAGGTCTGCGTACGCGTCGAAGGAGGCTGATCGGCAAGCACATGTCTGCCGTTACCAGCGTCCTTGATGATGCCCTCCTGTAGCGCCCAATTGGTGAGATCTTCATCCTCGCGCTCTTCCTTTGAGTCAATGATGTCTCGGGAGAAGTGGCCGCCGACGTGTTCCATTCGATCATTCCAGCTTCCATCGCCCTCGAACACACGACCGCAGAAGCCACACGTGCTTCGCATGGGAGGTTTGCGCTTTTCCATCCAGCAGCGTTGACGAACACTTTCCAGGGTGTCCTCGAAGGCTTTCCAATCTGCACTACTTTCTTGACCGGCAAAGGCGACTGATCCAGGGCCACTATCCGGTTTGTGCATTCGACGGTGGTGTTGAGTGAAGAGATCCTTGCGATTGAAGTCATTGTAGACCCGCTTGTGGCCTGGAACTCCAGGGTTGTACTCCGGATTGCAAGGACCTACATCGCAACGATAGAAGCCAAGCTGTAGGTGTTGAATTGACACATGTCGCTTCCATTCATTCTTCGAGCTGAGTGCTACGTCGCAGCCGTAGTGACTGAATGAACAGATGAATTTCCGCTTGGCCGGCTCGGATCGCTTTGCACCAGATCCGGGGCTTTTCCGAGCTCGAGGCTTTACAATACGGCCGGGATTGGAACCTGAGTCCGAGATTGAATGCAGTGAGTCTTTACGCGGTCGCGCCTTGAGTGGGCGATCGGTTGGACTGCCTCGCAGAGCCGCCGCAATGTCATGCTGGGCGATGTTTGTTCCTGGGCTGTTGTTCATTACCGCCGAGTCTTGGGGTTCTGGTGGCAAAGTTAGCGAGGTGTCATTGCAGCAAAACTTTACGTGTCGATTCAGATTCGTGCCACGCAAGCATGGACACGCGACGACCTCGGCATATCATCTTGAGCGCCTGTAAACATCGCAAGGAAGTCAGTGAACTTACTTGAGATGAGAAACTGATGGAAGTCAAGCCTCGTTGGACTGGGGATGTCGAAAGGCTGTGCGACAGCCTGAACAGCAAGGCGACGACTCCTTAGATCGATCTATTCTCCGAAACTACCTCCCGGAAGTTGTCGCAAAGGGTCACGAACGCATCGCAGGTTGAGCGGTGATGAGGGCCTGAGCTGTGCGGCAAGATGAGATGGTCGTTGTAACAGTGGACGGAGACAAGCCGAGCTTGAAATTTGAGCGACGGCTCGCGCCAAGGAAATGGCTCTGCGGCAAAATGGTTCGGGCAAGTGCTCAGAAATCGAATAGAAAGTTCTTCACGTGTCGCCAGATACTTTGAATGCGTGAGAGGGTCAGGAGACAATCACGAGCGGCTTCGCAAGTCTCAGCACACCTTGCGAGTCTATCGTCACTGCTACGAAATCGAATATGTGAGAAGGGGAGAAAGAGGGCAGGTGGGCAAGAAGCATCGGCCAGCCTTCTCCATATCTCCCGGGCCCGTTCCTGTCTCGTTCGCCCTGGTGGCTGTGCATCTGGCTTGGCCTGGCTGATCGCGTTATAGGCCGAGGTGATTCAGTTAGCTGCTTTTTGCACCTGCAGGGAGGACTCTGGTGGGCTTCAAGCGTGCAGTAGCGATGCATTGTTGCCACTCTCACGGGAGTTGCCTCGATATTGCCATGTGCTTATTACACGGGAGCTCCCCTCGACCATGTCGGTCCCGATGGGCGGCACGTAGTCGCTAACAAATATGGCCCTCACTATCGGGTCTGAAGCAGGTATCTACGCTTTCGTGAGAAGTTGCCAGTCTTCCTCTTCAAGCCTGTGGTCTGGTCTCATGTTATGCTGGCCTCGAGAGCCAGAATGGCACGCTCGATGAGAGCTCGGGAGGGGCTAGCAGACTGCTGGTAGTCGCTATAGTGGAATACAGTACGGTCTTATCGAGGACTTACCACGGCATTTCGACTCGATCTTTAGGCGCTGATGGCCGAAAGTGAGGGATACTACACTCCCCGCTTCTGGCCACCGAATCACCATAGCTCTTGAACCACCTCTTGAGTGTTGACGAGGCTCCATCTATGCGTGTAACACGAAGGCGGCAAGTATTGCGGCCTGGCTGGTTGGCTAGATGTAAGCCGGCATTTTGTGCATGTCACCTGGCGACCAGGCTGATTATATGCTTGGCCGGCGAGGTCAGATCTGGTAAATTCTAGCCAATCTACCTAAGCTGCCTCTTCAGCAGTCCCATCATCGATTTGCGCGGGTTCCTCGTCTGCTGGCACAGGCACATCGACCTCTGGAGCGCCGCTGATACCTCCATCGTCAATGTCCATGGCTCCGGGTGGTGCGAATTCGGCATCGTCCTCGCCCTCGTTCTCTGCTTGGCTCTCAGCAATATCTTCACCGTTCGCTTGAGGCGCATCATCTGCACCGTCGATCTGTGGTATGGGCGTGCCAGCGGCCGAACCGACGTCTTCCGTGGCGCTGGCATGGCCGTTCGTGGAGGGCTTCACCTCTTCCGCTTCTGACTGTACGGGCTCTGCCTCGACCTCTTCTGCAGGTGGTGTTTCTTCGCCTTTCAATGCCTTGGTATTTACTCCGTCCTTGATCTTCTCACACAATTCGAAGCGACGGCCAACCAAAGCACTTGCTCGTAGTGCGCGCCACAGCGAGCCTTGGATCTTCTCCTGCAGCTCCTTCTTCTCTTCGTCCGTCGCGAAGTCTTCGTCCAGCTTTGCGGCCTCAATCTCGTTGTAATAGTCTTCTAGGCTGCGAATGTCCTCTCTCTGGCTCGGATGTTTGAGTGCCTCGAGAGGCTCAGCATGCGCCAAGAAGTCGAAGTCTTGTGCACCAGGAGGATTCGGAAAGGGTCGTTTTCCTGTCGTCTCAAGAAGAGACCGCTGGGAAGTCATGAATACGTCCACTCCAACTGCAGGCTTCTGAATTGGTGGACATGCACTAGCCTTCCACCTTGCCCAGTTCTTGTCCCGACTAAGTACGGTGTCGACCATTCTGTAATATGACTTGCCATCATTTCCGGGGCCTTGTTGCTGCAAGAATCCTGCGATGGCGTTGCGCGTGGTCTGACAGTATTTGACATCCTCATCCGACAGTGTGAAGCCGTACAAGACTGAATTATTCGTCAGGCCTTGGTTCTTAGCCTTCGCAGAGGGTGATAGCGATAGCAGAAAGTCGAGCATAATCAGGGCTTGTGCTAGGATGTGCCGTCGAAAAGCAACATCATGAACCTCGAGGTCGAACAGATCCCGGTTGGTCAGATACTTCGGGTTGTATGGCTGTGATGTCGTCGCTCCATCTGTTTCGCCACGTTTCCGCTTGGTACCACGGTCTGGAGCCGCGGAACTGCTGGCTGTGTTGGCGGAGAGCGCCTTGAAGCAGGCCAGCACAGCCGCCATACCATCCTTAAACTGCTTCAGGCCTGTTGGCTCAAACAAAGTCGTTGGCTGAGAGAAAAGATTCTGCAGCGACCAGAATTGCGGATAGAGACTGTCCAGATCTGGAGGCGCGAGCTTGGTGTCTGGCTTCGATCTCGCAGGCAAAGGTGTGTTCCTGCCAGTCTTTTGCGTCGTGTCCACATCTACCCCAGAAGCCGGTGTACGCGCGCCTGACGACGAAGGGAAGCCACCCTCGACGTCGACATCCATCGGCTTCACAGCATCGGCCGAGGGTTTCTGGTCCGCATCAAAATGCGTGACATTTTCTGTGTGAAACACTCCTCTCAAGTTGACTGAGCTTCGATCCCCGAGCGGGAAGCTTTGGAAGAGAAAGATGAATACTCGACCACAGAAGACAGTATCCTCCGCTCGTGACAGACGCCGCAAGAGTTCATTGCAGCACCGCAGTATGACCAGTGTCTTTCTGTCGAAATTCTTGGCGGTCAGTCTCTCTCTTCTTGACTCAAGATAGTCAAACACTCTCCTACATCCGCTGACAGTCTGGCTATCGAGGAGGTTCTCGATCATGAGGAAATTCGAGGCTGGTTCGGAGAGGCCATGATCGGCGAGGATGGTGGTGATGTCGAGGAGGTACCACACCTCGATGAACGCGGGCTCGGTGATTGAGATGGCGGAGATCAGATCGAAGAGCAGCTCGCGGAGAGCAGTGTCGACGGGCGAATGATCCACAGTCCATTGGACGTTATTGTGGCGTGTCCATATTCTCCGTATGTCTTCGAGTAGATTTCCGCACTCGCCGTCGCTGACAGCAGAGTCCCGTGAGCTGCCTCTACGGTCGACTAGTGACTGTAAATGGCTCTCCAAGCACTGTCGACACGCAGCGACTTCATCGCTCGACATTGGCGCGGCTGCAATTGGGCATCTGCACGACGACGACGGTCGTTGTGCGTGGCTCTTGACCGGACGAAGTGAGCTCAAATCGGGCGTATCGGACGCTACTGGACTGGTACAAAGAGTCCTTGACAACTCGTTGTGTTGATCTCGAAAACCCAGCCAGAGTGCTCCCTGGGTGTTCAGGTGGTGGTGAACCGCGACTACAGGTATTCGTCCGCCGAAGTTTTGCCGTAGAACCTGCGACTACTCCGCAAAAAAGTTGCGATGTTCAAGTTGAGTGTTTCGCAAGTCGCAATGGCGGCACAGAGTCCTCCCTGACGAGTAGATGGCCCTGGAGTTTCGCCCGGCACTGGCCTCGGTGTCTGGCACAATGAACGGCTCGGCGTCCAAATGGAACGAACTTGCTGAGAAGCACCTGAAGTCCGCCTCAACCAGACCGCGACCAGATGCCATACACGAAATTTGGACAGCCCTCGAGGCCGACAGCTTCTCAGACCGGGCGATAGCATACCTGGAGGATCTCCGGATCTTCGAGCACCTACTCTGGCCGACTTACAGCGACGAAGCCTCAAATCAGCACGTCCTGCTGCTCGCGTTCGTTTCTCATTCGAAACAGCGCAGTGGTCTGCCATCGTGGACGCTCTATGCCGACAGAACAGACGACTTCTCGAGTCTATGCCGCCGCATATTGTCACTAAGTCTGGACACGTCGCTGTCCGTTGTCTCGCGACTGGCACTGCTCAACTTTGTCATCAGCGCTTTCCAGTCTCTGGAACACGATTTTGTGCGCAAGGAATTCGCGCCGCTGGTGTCCATTGCGACATGGCACAATCTACATGACGAGGCTGCACGGAATCGAGCTGTTGAGAAGACTTCAGCCAGAAAGAAGGCGTGGAAACTGGCACAGAAGCGATTCGACGCCGCTAGTCCGCAGGATCAAGCCAGAATCAAATTCGAAAGGTCATGGCTTTACGCCACACTGTTGGACTTCCTGCAGCGGGCGGACTCCGACAAGTTCAGCACTTCCGACATCACCTACGGCGAAAGATTCCTGGAGCTTCTTTGTGATCTGACGAGCCAACTCCCCACGAGACGCTATACAAACACGCTCATCAAAGACCTGAATCTCCTACCGGTGCTGCGGCGATCGGGCCTGTACGAGAGACCGAGTCATGGCTCTATACGCGCGCTGGCCTCCTTGTTCGAGCACTTCCAGGGCTTTGCTGTGGATGAAGCCGACATATCAGAACCCTCCAGTCGAGCGATGCTGTCCGCTCATCATGCAGCGCTGGCTGACTTGCAACGTATTGCATATGAGCACTTCGAGTCAAAGCTGAAGGTATTGGCTATGTCCAATTATGGGTCAATCGATACGCCGGAGGAACTGCAGCAAAGTCTCGGTCCTTTGACCGATGAGGAGCTGCAGAAGCTATGCGGCTTGCTGGGCTTTAGAACATCATACCCAGCAGGTGTATCAATTCCTACTGGTCGTAGTCTGTGGCTGCAAATCCTGCTCGACGCCTATGCACGGCCCAAAGACAGCAGGCAATTGATGAACGCGCTATGCGTTTCACCAACAGAAGCAACCTTGTACAATAGCAACCTCCTGCAGCACGACACATACGATGGGACTCGTCCCCTGGATCTGCCCAAGCTGAACTTGCAGTACTTATCGCTGACAGATTTCATGTGGCGATCGTTCCTGCTTCATCAGGCTGAGAGCTTTCACGGTATCAGGAAAGACCTCGAGAGCATTGTGAAACGCATGAAACCCAAGCTCGGCCAAAAAAGTGGCGACATCCTCTTCGACGGCTTCTCCAAGATGGCCATGCCAATCGAGAAACCTGCTATTGTGGAGATCAGCCCGCCGAAAGTTGGCTCGAATCACCCAGGCCTTGTCAGAAGCGAAGTCATCATCGACGTCAGCAGACTCACAGAGTCAATGCGAGCGGAATGGGACAGCCTCAGGACTCACGACACTGTCTTCTTGATGGCAGTCCGGCCCGCAGCCGAGTCTAACGGCGTCAAGGATTCGAAAAAGGAGAAGAATGCGCTTGGCATCGAGCTCTTGCGGACGGCCGAGCTCGTGCAGATACTAGATGACGACAACAAGCCGATTCGAGAAACTGCGAATGGCTACGCCTCGCGGAGTCGACGACGACATCTCTTACTTGATATCGATCCCGTGGCGTTCCAAGCGGACAGAGATGCTGGCAAATCAGACATCTACAACAACATCAATGTGATAGCTCGAAGAAAAGGAAGAGAGAACAACTTCAAGCCTGTTCTTGAGACGATTCAGAAGCTTGCAAATGCACAGACCACTTTGCCGGACTGGCTACAAGAAGTCTTCCTTGGCTATGGAGATCCAACGAGCGCTACATATTCGCAGCTTGAGAGCAAGATCCAATCGATCGACTATCTTGACACCTTCCTCAATTGGGAGCATCTCAAAGAAAGCTTCGCGAATCGCGAGCTGGCGGGCAGTGGCGATGAGTCTCTTTTCAGCCCACCGTACGTTCTTGAAACATTCGCAACGACGTCGTCAGAGCCCGCCTCGAATCCAAAGAAGCGGAGAAGAGATCAGATTGAGGAGGACTCTGGAGATAGTAGGGCGCCAGTTCGCGTGAAGACATATCAACCACCAAATACGGGCCCATATCCAATCGATCAACCAAAGAAGAATTCTGTGCGCTTTATGCCCACGCAAGTGGAAGCAATCGTTTCAGGGAGCCAGCCCGGCCTCACGGTTATCGTCGGACCACCAGGGACTGGCAAGACCGACGTGGCTACCCAGATCATGAATGTGCTCTACCACAACTTTCCATCCGAGCGAATTCTGCTCATCGCACACAGCAATCAAGCCCTCAATCAGCTCTTCCAGAAGATCACTGCCTTAGATATTGATCCGCGCCACCTGCTCCGCCTGGGACACGGGGAATCCGAGCTTGAGACCGAGGCATCGTATACCAAAGCTGGGCGCGTCGAATCTCTGCTCGAGAACCGCCAGGTTCACCTACAAGAAGTCGCTCGTCTCGCTGCCTCCATTCACGCGGAAGGCGCTCATGGTAGTTCCTGCGAAACCGCCGACTACTTCAATCAGGTCTTCGTAAAGCCCGCCTGGACTCAATTCTGGGGGAACGCAAATTCTGAGTCGTCCACTGCAAAGACCATTGCCGCGGCCTTTCCCTTCCATGCCTTCTTCAGCAATGCACCCATCCCTGCTCTCTTTCCAGAGTCAGCCTCGCGAGAAGAAGCTCTTTCTGTCGCCTCAGGCTGCGAGTATCACCTGAATAAGCTCTTCATGGACCTAGAAGCAATCCGGCCTTTCGAAATCTTACGCCACCCACGCGATCAAAACAATCATCTGCTGGTCAAAGAAGCGCGCATCATCGCTATGACATCCACACATGCTGCCATCAATGCCACCGAGATTGCATCACTGGGCTTCCACTATGATACACTCATCATGGAAGAAGCAGCGCAAATCACCGAGATCGAGTCCTTCATACCACTCGCGCTGCAGAATCCCTCGCCCACCTCGGGTGCTCTCCCCCTAAAACGCCTGGTCCTGGTAGGCGACCACCTCCAAAACGACCCGATCATTCAAGACCTAGCCCTGAAACAGTACTCCAACTACAACCAGTCCCTCTTCCTCCGCCTCGTCCGCCTGGGGGTGCCCACAATTACTCTCAATGCCCAAGGTCGCTGCCGACCATCTCTCGCCACACTCTTCCAGTTCCGCTACCCAACCCTCACAAATCTGCCACTCACGTCTACGCAACCCGAGTTCCTCCACGCGAACGCGGGCTTACGCTACGACTACCAATTCATCGACACATCCACCTCAGAGGGCGCCCTGGAACGAGAACCCACGCCGCACTTCATTCAGAATCTCCCCGAGGCCGAGTATGCTGTTGCGCTGTATCAATACATGCGTCTTCTGGGCTATCCGGCGGGCTCTATCAGCATTCTCACCACGTATGCTGGCCAACGCGCGCTGATACGTGATGTGCTGGAACATAGATGCAAGAACAACGCCCTCTTCCGCCTACCCAAAATAGTCGCTACCGTCGATAAGTACCAGGGCGAACAAAACGACTACGTCATCCTATCCCTTGTGCGTACCAAGGCGGTGGGATACCTACGCGATGTGAAACGCCTCACTGTTGCCCTCTCCAGAGCCCGCCTGGGCCTGTATATCTTGGGCAATTGGGATCTATTCTCCTCGTGTCCGGAGATGGCACCCGTGATGGACCTACTCGGGAAACGGAGCAGAAAACTTTCTGTCGTGACAGGCGAGATGTGGGGTCAAACCACCAGGGAGGCCTCTGCAGAAGTTGAAGCCACAGAAATCGAGAATCTGGAGCATCTGGGGACATACGTATACCAGATGACGGAAGCAAAAGTGAAGGCTTTGGGCGGAAGGGTTGCGAATCAAGCTGCGGAGGACTCTGTGGCGATTGTGGAGGAGATTGAAGATGATGGTGATGAGGACGACGGTGTTCAGGGAGATATGTGATAGTCTTAGAATCACCTCCAGGGAGGCCTCTGTATCAAAGTTCCAAGGTTCCACCAGAAAGATCTGCTATTGCTCATGGCTTGCTTGATCATCACTTCCGTTACTGGCTGACTTTCGGAGGCTTATCGACCACAACCTGACTCTGACCTGACCTCATTCTGACTCCAATGGTCGAGTCCAACCTGATTTCAGTCTGACTCCGACCTGACTTCAATCTGACCTCGACTTGACGTCAACTTGACTTTCAAGCTGATCTCACCTCCATGGGACTAGTTCGCTCACAAGGGAAGTAGACCTTCCTATTTAGCACTTCTATCTATCTGGCGAAAAGCGAAAAAAATCTAGGAATCGACCGCCTCGATTTTGCAATGGACAGATAGAAGCTGAAAATATCTCAAATGAGCAGGAAGCCTTCCTTTTCCGCACGACTCGCAGTCGTCCGGTGACCATTACTTCATGCCCATTCACCGGACTGAGGCTGATGAATAGTGCTCAGCAAGGGGCAGTCTCGACTTGACCACTCAAGACTACCCGGACTCTTCTACATTGTCTCATGGGAGCGATTTTCAGTCGATAGGAAGCATCTGCACGCCGACCCCAGTAACAACGATGTCCTCGCCCAATTTGTCCACACAACTCACATCCGCCACATTCGTCCATCGCCGCTTTTGCCGACTGACATCTACGCGAACGTCATCAGTCTTTTGAGGCGCTACCATCACTTCCCAGGAAATCACCCTTTGATCGTTTCCGGCGCTGACGACACGCACATTCCAACGAGCGCGATCACGCCAACGAGGCGAGACTGTCTTGCTCTGTACTGATAGAATCTTCAGTCCAGTCACCGCTGCAGCATGCGCATCAGTGACCTTGACAGATGTGAAGCGTGGCCATTGTGGCGTGGGGTCGCTGGTTGTGGCACTCGCAATAACTGTAAGGCCGAGGGCGTTGTCATCGCCGCCGGTAGCGACGAGTGAGAACTGTTCTGAGAGCTTCGTGTGGTGCATCGCGAGGATACTGGATTGATGGATCCGGTGGACTTCAATTGTAGGTTCTTTAGCGCCAGTCACCATGTGTAGTAGGTTGAGATACCCACTGGAGCCAGCTGTGAGAACTGTGTAATCCTCAGGCTGGTCTGCAGACGTTGTAGCAATCCCAGGCAGCCAAGCCACCTGCATCAGGCAGAACGTGCCAAAGACAACCTCCCGCTCGAAGTGCCACTTACTTGTGAATCCAGTCTCGTCGAATTCGAAGCGCAAGATCTTGACCTTACCGTTAGAATACGCAGCTGCGATCCGAAAGCCTTCTGCACTATCAGGTGCATTAACCTGGCTCACGTCGGTGCTCATGATCCGCACATCGGCGTCTTCATCAGTCTGTGGCATCTTCGAAAGCAGCATCACTCCCACGCCAATGACTGGAATCCCGAGGGTAACGCGCCATACGTAGAGTTGTTCCGCGCCGCCACAGCTGAACAGGAAAGAGCCACAAGACGAGAAGGCTAGGTCCTGCAGTCCGGCGGAGTGCTCATTCAGCACGCATAGCTGCGTGAACTGTGTCTCGGTGATTTGGCCGTCTTTGTGTTGACGCACGGCGAAGAGGCGGATGGTCGTGTCTTCAGCACCCGTAGCGATAAGCGAGACATCATCCAGAGCTCGACGTGGATCAGCGTACGGCTTTGGGCACACAGACAGCGCTTTGATCTCCCGGCCATGCCCACCTGGTTGAAGCGCCTTGTGATCGACGCCGTTCTGTCTGTGGATGTTGAACGTGCCGGCTTTAGTCCAGACAAAAGTGCTGACACGTTCCAGGCCATCATAGTGAAAAGCCCAGCTTCTGTGAGCCCCACCACAGTTGACGGTCATAACATCGAGCTGTGAGGTCTCGTCCCAGACTACGAAATCTTTGGATCGGAAGCCATATAGAATGAGGCGATCTCCATTGCGACCCCGGTCGACCTTGGCTCCCTCGATGCAAGGGCCAAATGGTGGAGACGAGCGGTGGACCGTTCGAAAGGACGACTTTGCTGAACTTCCTGGGTGCTGGATCTCGTGGACACTGTAAGTGCCGTCTCGGCCCGTGGAAAGGACATGGAGCTGGCTTTCTCCTACATCAGACGAGATGTATGTTAGAGAGGTGACAGCGTCGGTGCCGTGTACATGACGCACGCATGTAGTAGCTTGCGCTTCATTCTGCGAGGCATCAACATTTGCGTACACAGCAACAGCTCCAGCTCGAGAGCCCAGTGTCAGTGTTGAGGTTTCGTAGCTGTAGCATCCACTTGTGACCACGAAGTGCTCAGGAAGCTGTAGCCACGTGATCTGAGTTCGAAGCCGCGTGTCCGTTTGGGACAGCCATATGGTACAAGCAGCGCCAGACATTGACGTTGCAAGCACACAGTACTCGACCGTGTCTTCACTCCGGCTGCACTGGCCGGCGACATGAAGTGATGCGACTGGTCGTATGAAGCGTTGGGACAAGTCGACAAAGATCGGTTCTCTGCCTGAAATCTCGACGCTAACCATATCTCGCAGACCGACTGCTATGAGTCCCCGTGGTAGATTGGAGCATAATCTTGTTGCGGGTACCGGGTTATCCTGAGGCAAAGAATCCCACTCCAAATCGCCTGTGCTTCCTGCCCCACACCTGGCCACAGTACCGATGTCGGTAAGCGCAAGGATCCTTCCGTCTGAAATGACGCTGTATTCTTTGAGTGGCCCGGTGGCACCCAGAGCAAGATCTTCAAAAGGCATTGAGCTCGTCAATGCTTTGTGCTCGCGCTTCTTGGCTGCGTCCAAGCGTCGAGAAACGACACGGCCATCTGCTCCACCTGATAACATGTATTGGCCAGTCGAGTCTTCGTACAGCGTCCATGCCCATACGTTCTTGCCCGAATGGTGTCGATCGCTCCAGACTGGAACAAGCTTCGTCACCATGGGCTCCTTGTCCTCCGCCTCTGGCGTCGTCTTCCAGATTTGGCAAGTACCATCTTCTCCACGTGTGACGAGCGAGAAGGCGTCAGCATCCGACGTACCATTGGCGCGCAAAAACTCCACAGCCCATATCCGAGACTGGTGACCCCAGCCAGAAGCTACAGGTCCCTCAGTGCCACCCTTGATGTTGCCGAAGCCGGTGCTGTGACCCTCACTATCTGGCGTGATATGCTCTACAGTGGGCCCAGCGTTGCTGATGCGCCAGATCTGCACGGTCCGATCATCGCTGCAGCTCGCCACAAACCTGGATTTCTGGTCTCGCCAAATTATCGCATCCGATATGCTCACACCGAAGATCGACCCTGAGTGTCCTTCGAAGCGATGCAGCGTTATTGCAGTTGCCAGGCTATTCACGTCACTCCCAGTCTGCCGGCATTCCCATACCACTACCTCACCGAACACTGATCCTGCAGCAACCAACAGGGTAGATTCATCGTTTGACTTGATGGTCCCTGAGTAGAGAGATGATCCCGGTCCAGTCGCTAGTAGATTGACGAGCTTTCTACTGCTGCTGGCTGGGTCAAGGTTCACCTCGTAGAGATTGTTGTTGGTGGTAAGTAGCACGAAGTTATTTCCGTGTGATGTGACTGCCAGTATCCATTCTTTGGTCGAAAGAGAGCAGTGGTGGATTGCGCTTGCCTCAACTCTGTCATCCCCTAGAACTTCGATCAATAACACAGCAACTTCCCGCCCTCCAGTAGCTACGACGGTGCCATCTTTCCGTCCCACTTGGTGGCAGATCTGATGGATTGGTTGTACGTCGAAGACCTTGGTCCTGCCGACTAAGATTGAGGTGCTGTCATCGTAAATACATAGACATGGCCCTTGAGCTACCAAGATGAGACGCTGGCCATCGATGGTCAGTTTGTCAATGGCAGTGACAGGAAGGCTCATAGTTGAGACGGCAATGGGGGTTTTATTTCAATCGTGTGGAAGCCCTTTTTACAAATGACGAAGGCGAGGACAGATGTGTGTCATTTGAAACCAGAAAATTTACACCACGACGAATAAGTGAGCATGTATCTGACAGCCATACACACCATGGACAGACTGGCTATTATGGATGAATAAAGACTTTTCCTAGGTACAGTGGGATGCGCTACATTGATGGAAGTCGCCTTGCTTGTCGATTATTTCTGTGTGACTTCGCTCGGTAGCTAACGTCTGTGAAAGCCTTTGGTCGTTGTTGTCGTTCATGTCCCCTTACACCGACGAATTCATGGGCCTGCTGCCGCTCAAGCATCTCATGCGGCATGATACTGGCGTCGAAGTCCATGTCTTCGCTGGTTGCTCTAGTGCAACACTCCAGCGAGGCTGGCTGCCAGAGCGGCATCAGCGGAAGGACTGCAGCCTTCAGCTGGGTCTTTCCAGATGATCTCGTGGCCAGTCATAGGCTTGTCGCAACTGGCGGCGTACTGCCGCATGCAGCAGTCGACATAAGCGTTGGCTTCGGTCATATCCACCTGCGACCTCCATTCCTCGTTGTTGTTCATGTCGGTCAACCAGTTCACATACGCATGGCACTGCGCGGTGGGCTTGCAGCAGGTTCCCAAGAGACCTGGCTTCTCCGGAGGTTGTGGCAGGTCCTCCGAGAGACCGAGTGCGGCATAAGGAATGTCATGCGTGCCTTGCATATGGACATTGCCACCCTTGACCACCTTGTTCTTGTGATAGTTAGCAGAGATTATAGGGTTGCGATATGGGTCTACCCACGTTCTTGACCTGGAAGATCACTGTCTTGTCATGACCGTAGCTTTGGGGAACAGGGGCCTCGGCCTTTTTGTATACTGCACCTGCCGTGACAGAGGTCACAGCAGCTGCGAATGCAATTGCCGCTGAGAGACGCATTTTGATGCAAGGCCGTAAAGGAGAAGGGGGAAGACCGGTCGACGAGTCAGGGGAACGTGAACGAAAGGAGGGAAGGACAAATTCGCTCGAGAAATGGCTTCCAAAGAAGTCATATACCTGGGAAGAGCAGATACGCGCTACTATCAGCAGAAAATTTGTTGAGCTGATAGTGCAGACGTCGATTGCATCGACTTACCTTTGCCTTTGCCATATTCTTAGCACTTGCGCTCGTCGTTGAGCCAGTATGACAGCGAGAATTCATGCCGGGACCCTCACAGTGGGCTTGAATCGTCTGTTGGCCGTGATACCACAGTATCAGCCAGTCCAGCTCCTCGATAAGGCAATGAACCTGGATCTCGTTTGGCCATCAGCGTACAGATGCCCTGAGCTTGACTGCAGTGGGTGTAAACAAACAAAACTCTCAGCGGAGTTTTAGGATCCATTGCGCTTGTTGTGCATGAAGAAATGCTGAGATATCTGGCTGTCCTTCTATTCTGAGTATGATCCACGACAAACCTTGTGGAACAGCGAAGGAGACGGCAACACAAGATTCTAGGTCTGGGCAACCCGAACAGCTGTACGATAACATTGACGGAATGCTTTTGCTTTGGTCCTCAGTATCAATCGTGTTGCCTTAACCAGATCAGTAGATGTGTCTGGCAGCATAAGAGTGCCATTTTGCTCTGCAGAGCTCCGTAAGCGATGGCCTGAATGAACGGAGAAACTGCCCACATGTAGGTCCCAGGTCGTTGAGGCATGAGAGACTCGGACGTTAAAGCTATCTGTTGCTTATTGCCGTTTTAGAGCGCAGGTGCGTTCATGACCTCGAGGCTGAGTTTGCGATATCTGCTCATTCAGCTGGTCATCCAGTCCAGAGCGAGCACGGCCAGTAATATTAGAAGCGTGGAGTTCGGACAACTGGGACTTGGGCGTTGGGGCGATGCATTGGTTCGCGAATTACGTGGTCATAATGATGAAGGAGAAAGGAGTCAATGATGGTGACGAACAATTTTCTACTCGTCGGCTTAGAAAGCGATGGCTGGGCAGACAGACAGGGAGGTTTGAGGTCTCCCCAAGTACACACACAGCGGCTTCGGCTACGGCATCGCATCCTTAGCAAGTGTGTAGTCGGCCGCAAAAGCGCGGTTTTCGGGCCGTAGTAAGATTTACTATATATTTTAATACGGCAAAAATTTTGCTCTGAAACAACGCACAGAATGTGATCCAAACATCCTTAGATGCTTCCGGCCGCTTGGTGTAGTGGTTATCACGTTTCCTTTACACGGAAAAGGTCGCCTGTTCGATCCAGGCAGTGGTCATTTTGCTTTTGGTCATCCTATCGACCGACGTTCGGTTTTTGCTGTCCTGAACGTCACTGACATCCAAGGACGGAGTGCTGAGTGAGTCTGCCCGGGCTCATCCATCCCAGTGGTATGCAAGGCAAACCACACCCCTGCGCTAAGGTCTCGGACGCACAAGCTCGCTAAGCCAGGAGTAGACAACCTCGCCGATCTGTTTAATCTCACGACAGCGATCACTCGTCTCCTTCTACAACATAGCCAATGCTTCGCTGGCAATGACGATGTTCCTCCATACGCAATGTAAATCAGGTGGCCGTCGTGGCCTTGACGAGCTGATGTTGTGGCCTCATGCGCGTCATGGCATTGATGGCAGTCATGAGATCTACAGGTAAGGATTGGCAATCGTTTACATTTATGTAGGTAGCTACCCGCGTGAATGTTCAGGCCGGGAGACCATTACATCAACAATTACCGTTCTCTACTGTCAACCTTGCAAGCACACTGTTTTGCAGTACCGCCTTCGCCGTCTGTCAGCGTCATTTGCCAGCCAATCATCAACATGCATTGCTCATTCGTTCTCTTCGCTCTCATCGCCTCAGCTTTGGCTTTGCCAGTACCACAGCCATCATCGGATTCAAGAAGTCTCGCCGCGGAAACAGAGCATAGCCTCGCTTCAGTCACAGCCGCGCCAGCAAAGCGACAAGAAGCTGAAGATCTTGAGCATGGCGGCACACCTTTCGACAAGCGCCAGGACGACGATGATCTCGAGTCAGCATCACCCTTCGACGACATCACTGGAAAAGTCTGAGTGCGCCTGCAGCGACATTACATAACATGTGAGGCTTTAACGAAACGAAACGACAAATACACCTGTGGCTACTGCTTACCACATCCGCGCAGTCGGACACCACCATTTCTACACACTCGTTCTAATGTATATAACATTAATGTCAGCGGTAGGCGGTCTTAAAAAGACGCCGGATCCGATCTGCCCCATATCTCTCTAGCTGCCGCTGTTGCCAGCCCACGAACACCTCCGCCCCCGGCTCCTGACAAGGCCTTCATTCCAAGTACTTGAATCCACTGACTGGCTCGATCCAAGCATACCCACTACTATCCACCAACGGCAACACCTCCTTCTTCCTCTCCGTCTCCCGATCGTTCGCCTCCTTCCACCTCTCGACCTCCCCCTCTACACTCCAATCACTAATTTCATCCCTCCCCAACCCGATCTGATGCAATTGCGTCCCACTGCTCTGCGTATTCAGCGGCAACGGCACAAAGTTCTCTATCGCCCCCTGCACCCTCCCCTCCAATATCTCCTTACACAGATACGGCTCTGCTGCCAATGGTCTCCCAATGCCCACTCCATCACAGCTATCCCCTTCAATCGCCTTCACCATCCCCGCCGCGGTCCGCAGCCCGCCTGTGACATAGACCTTAGTCTTCTTCAGCAGTGGGCGAAGCTGCTCCGCGAACTCAATGAAGTATGCTTCGCGCTTGACGGTGCTTTCCTTCTTATGCTCAAACGCCCTCGCCTCAAACGTCCCACCTGACAGATCGACGAAGTCCACTCTCGCGTCCTCCAGCATGGTGCATAACTGTCTCGCTTCCTCCGGACTCGTTCCCTTATCTTGGAATTCCACGCTGTTGAGCTTCACACAGACAATAAAACTCGGATCGTGATCCCTCACCCTCCGATCAATCTCCTTGATGATCTCAAGCACAATCCGCGCCCGGTTCTCAAGCGGTCCGCCATACTCGTCGGTGCGGTGATTAGTGGAAGGCGAGAGGAACTGTGCGAGGAGGTAGCCGTGGGCACAGTGAACTTGGACGCCGTCGTAGCCGGCTTTCCAGCATAAATAGGCGGTCTCACCCCATTTCTGGACCATGGTGTGGATTTCGGGGACGGTCATTGGACGCGGTTTGGCGAACTCGTTGCCCGCCCATTTTATGGTTAGGTGGACGTCGCTGGCGCTGACGGGGTTGGGGTTGAGCCTGTTTGTGATATTGTCAGCAGCGTGGTCGTACTGACAATCCTGGGTTGAGGGAGAGACCATGGCTTCTACATTGAACTCTGTATTTGACCGGAACACTCCGATGTACTCACCATTTCGTCCCCTGCCTCCCCGGATGGCTGATCTGCGCCACAATCAAACTCCCACCCTTCTTCGCCTCCCTCACCACCTCCGCAAACGCCTCCACCCGCCTATCGTGATCGTCCACCAAAATCGGATTCCCGTACGCTTCGACCGCGTCATACGCTACCATTGTGTTCCCAGAGACGATCATGCCAATGGAGCCCTCGCCCCAGCGTTGGTAGAGGAGTTTGTACTCCGGAGTGGGGAAGCCACGATCCGAGATGGGTGCGGATGGAGCGTTCCAGCGGCAGAGGCGCTCGGTCATGGGGGCTTTGAGGAGGCGGTTGGGTGCTGTGCGGCCGGAGAAGGGGAAGGTTAGGGGTTGGGCAAGGATGGAGAGGTTTGGGGTGTCTGTGGGTGTGGGTGGTTGAATGCGATGGGCGCCGCCTCGGGAGGAGGAGGTGGGTGTTGAGGTGTTGGCGGTGGCGCCGGAGGAGGCGCCGTGGGTGGTGCTGGCGGTTGAGGTGTCGTACTCCATGTCGGCGGATTTGGGGAAGGTCAAGGGAGGAGAGGTGAAATGCTACGAGATGTATACAATGCCGGCTTGTCACGATGACCTACCTTGACAGAAGACCTAAGATCGGTAGGAAGATTAGAAATAGACCACGCAATCTGCCATCACATCATCGAGTCGTGCCATGAGTTGTGGTCATGGACAGGTCTACAGATGCCGAGGTGAGTGCGGAGAAGTTGAGTTTCGCTTTTCTCCATGATCAAAATGGTCAAAGGTATGACTGAAAACAGAACGAGTGGTGATCTTGGGCTCGGGCATGCTATAGGGACGCTCGGGTCGTCCAGTATAGGTTATCACAGTAATCGGTTTGACGAAATCAAGGGGACGGGCGCTGTTGCTGAGGGTGATGTATGCCAGGCTGCCTGATCTCCCATTTCACGGACGGATGATGTGGCAATTCGATGTAATGATCACGAACTCGATATCTCGCGGTAGAGGGGATTGCTCTGTGGATAGTGTGGATTGCATGCCACGAAAGCATCATAGGTCACTTGGCGTTCCCCGTCGTGACTTCGACATGGTGACCTCGAATTGACCACAAACAGTTATCGGAAGGCTCCTGCAGATGAAAATAATTTCAAGGACCTTTTCGGTTTCAGATTGTGAGTTGGCTGCCCGCGTGACCTCGCTTTATGCCATCTCTAGATCTCGCTATGCCGTGATGTGATCAATCGCCCATCTTTGGTGGCGAAACCTGCAACCTGGGTCTTTGGCAGACCTAACTTCTTAGCGACAATCCCAGCGACCTCCCATGAATCTTCGCCCGACTCAACATTGCTCATCTAGAATTTCGTGAACGCCTTGACAGCCTTGCCAGTACGGGGAAGCACGCGGAGGACATTGAAGCGGACCTGTCCCAGATTAGTACCTCACGAACGCAATATCTCGTGCAAATCTTACAGTCTTGCTGAGGGGTCGGCACTGGCCAACGGTGACTGTGTCGCCTTCCTCAACACGGAAAGCTGGTGACACATGGGCCGCCAGGTTGGTGTGTCTCTTCTCATATCGGGAGTATTTGGGAACGAAGTGGAGGTATTCTCTTCGGATGATGAGGGTACGGTGCATCTTTGTGGAGATGACGGTGCCGGTGAGGATGCGACCGCGGATTGAGATCATGCCAGTGAATGGGCATTTCTTGTCTGTTCACCTCTTCTGTTAGAATTTCATTTCCTGGCTCTTTTCGCAAGCTCAAAATCGGCAGACGAAACACTGCTGGGGCTGCTGCTGATGGACTAACCGATGTAGCTGCCTGAGATGGCAGTCTTAGGTGTTCTGAAGCCCAGACCGACGTCCTTGTACCATCTTCGACCACTTCCTGACTTCTTGCTCTTCGCCGCCTTTTGCTTCTGGTTGAGGAAGATATGTGGCTGCTTCTGGTAGGCGCGTTCGGACTGGACAGTCAATTCGGTAGCCATGATTGCGGCTTGTGACTGACTGCAGCGATTGTCGAAGAAGGGAGGGAATCGGAAGTCGTGATCTTTTGCTGCGGTGCGGTTGACGATCAAGGTGCCGCTCAAAGTGCGAATCGGCAGGAACTCTTGGCGTTGGAGCGCTAGAGCGATTCGAGCGACCAAGCTTGGCAGATGCGAATTTGCTGTCGGAAGCTGTTTTCTCCGAGCCGGTGTTGACACGCCGAAAAGAGCACTAGCTTCGATCCATGCCAACGACCTGGACGCGGCTCGAGTTGATATCCACCACGGTGGGCTGTCTCTTCCAGTCGCGTGCACGACTATTGTTACGGCTTTGCTGCCTTTCGATGTTTATGTTGTAGACTCTCGCCAACAACACAGCCGTCGAGCTGCTCTTTGCGCACAATATGGACAACTCTACCGCAGCAACCTCTCGCTCGAAGCGAAAATCGATCGCACATATACCGAGTGGCACAGCAGTGGGCAAGGACAATGCGACAACAGATATAGCAGCGCTACAGCGCGCCGAAAGCGCACGATCAGTACTCAAGAAGAAGTCGCGCGGCAAGAGTCTCGGTCCAGGAGGACTCGAGGCACTCAAGGAGACGTCAGGAAATGCCACTAAGGTGCGACAGAGGCAGTCTCTCGTTCGAGCTTTGCTAACGTCGATCAGATCGATGCAACGATTCAGATCAGATCTATTCTGAAGCCGGCTATTCCCCTAACGCCACCGAAAGTCATTCCCTCGTTCGACGAATTGCGACAGCGAAGTACCAGGAAGCGCTCGCCTGCCAAATCTGGCGCAGAGGAGCTGCTCATCGACTTCTCTACGCCAGCTGCGTCGCGCACTACGAATACACAAGTGGCCGTCACTGGCAGCGAAAAGGTCATTGATCCATTCAGCCCTGCAAGGCCGATGACCGATGGCCCAGACGCGATGGTGGAGGATGACGACGAAGTTGAAGCAAGGCATCAGGCACAGAAAAAAGCAGCTCTGGATCGCCGAGCAGAGCGACGAAAGTCGATGGCCAACAGACGGGTCTCGTTTGCGCCAGAAGCGACTTTGCATACATGGAGCGTGATGGAGCTGGCCGAAGATTCGACCACAAGTTCAGCTTCCAATTCGACTCGTCGACAATCGTCCATGACGGCCGAGGCAACCCCAAAGCCTCAGTCATTTTCACCAGAAAGACCGGCCACGCCAGAAGAGCAGGTCGACGAACTCCAAGTCGAGGCATCGCCAGCACATCAGCGCGATCTACATCAGCGTAAACATCGCAGAAGTAGCACCGCACCTGTCGCACAATTAGAGGGATCCTTGGAAGAAGTTCTGTCGTCTAGCCCTTCAGGCGATATCATGACTGAAAGCAGTCCTGTCCGCATCGATGACAGTGTTGGGTCTGACACCGACGATGATACTGATGGGGACACTGCTATGAGTATGGATGATCCGACATCACAGTCGGTGGTCTCAGAAAACTCGACGAGCTCTCAGGGTAGCCTGGACGAGAGATTACGGCAAGCCGCAAATTTGGCTGGCACGCGAGGTATCGATTATGATGAGAACGGCGAAGATCTTTCCATGGAGATGGCTACATCGACAGTGACTAACGCCTTCCAGCCGTGGGCCGCAAACAACCGCGTTGCGCCTGAATCGACTGCGATGCTCGATCAGGAAAACGCACCCTTTGTCTCCACCGCGAATGAGCAACAAAGCGAGCGCGACGATCCTGACGACGGGCAAGATGACACTCAAGACATGAGCATGGACGTCACGAGCGCCGTTGGAGGTATCCTGTCTAAGGGACAGCCTAGCGCCAATCGACGAAAGTCAGTCGCGTCACGCCGACGTAGTGTGGCTAGACGTCGATCTTCTGGAGTTAATTCTGAGAACGACGATTCATCTATGGACTTTACTGCTGTCGGCGGTCAAATTCTGACTAGAGGCCCGAATGATGATAACGATGGCGCTTCTGACGAGGACCTGACCATGGAGTTCACCAGCGTCGTGGGGGGAGTGCTGGGGCAGCCATATCAAGGCAGCTCCCCCGAGAAGCCCGAAGCTGACGAGACGATGGATTTGACCGGCAATATGGACATGACTGTGGCATACGGTGGCATCCTGCCTCCCATCGAGGAGCAGACCGAACCAGTGACTGATGCCGAAGACACCCAGACTGCACCTATGGACATGACTAAAGCTGTAGGAAACATCTTCCAAAGCAAAGCGCCCACACAGAAGGCAACGCCAGCTCGCGACCAGACTCTTACCAGGTCCACTCTCACAGATCCGCGACATGCTGGAGTCCAAAGCCAGGCTCCTGTGACATCCATTGCATCAGAGACAGGTAGCCCGGACATCACCTTGAAGCCGCGCCTCTCTGGGAGGTCACGCAAGCCTCATGGACCTTCGACGACACCCAAATTCAGCCCGAAACGCATCTCTCCCGTCAGAAACTCGCCCATGAAGCTGAAAGCTGCTACACCAACTAAGCAGCTGACTCCTCTACCAGCCCGTGTCGCGACGCAAAATAAGACTCCCGTGAACACAGCGGTCGATCAGAAAACAGCATCACCTAAGCGCCTGTTCCAGGATGAGATCAAAGCACGCCAGTCTCCTGCTCTAGCCAGAAATGCCAGTCCTGGCAAGACTGCCATTTTTTCACAGGATATGCCGAGCGTGATACTCTCTGCGGTCAGACCTCAGCTTACTCGGAAGCGATCGAGTGGTATAGGCATTGATCAAGAAGGCTTCGGATCACCACGTGTGGCTGAGATGCTTAATCGGCGGTCATCCATCGTAGATTCGGCTGCTGAGTTCAAACTTGATGTCGGCCAGCGGTCTCGCTTACGGTTCGAAGATCCGCAAGAGCTAGCACGCGAGGTCGATGCTGAACGAGCTGAAGAAGAACGACGCGAAAGTGGTCGATTCATCATGGAGCAGGAAGCAGACGCGCCGCAGCAAGAAAACACTACCATGAATCTCAGTCAGATGATCGAGTCAATGACTCCGAGAAAGGAGCCGAAGAGCAGATTGAAGGGGCGCAAGAGTCTTGCAGTCGGAGCAGCGAGAGGCCTGCTCGGCAAGCGTCCCGCGGAGCTTGACCTGGACGAAGAAGACTCACCTTCAAGCCCGAAGAGACTGAGGGCTATCTCAAGGGAAGGAAGTCCAGTCAAGAAAGTGCATCTGCCTAGGCCCCCATCAAAAGAAGAGATCACTGGCCGGCTCACAAGAGCCGAGCAAGTACGACTGAACGCACTCGCAGGACCTGGTAGCACGACACCAGCTGCTTCACCACCAAAGAAGTCTGCAACGAGTCCGCATCCCGGCCCTCGCTACAAAGATCTGCCTTTGGAGCAAGCTGACGAACGACCAGAGTCTTTTGTCGACAAGTTGGACAATGTCATGGATGCCGTTGATATCTCCATTGGGCAAGATGCTGAGAAAGAGAGCATCTCGTTGCAGAACTTCCTCAACATGACAAATATCCACTTCATCGAGCTTTCAACTACTAAACGTCGCCACACTCAAGCTCCAGCTCCTCAGCGACCATCGCAAGAGCAAGAGGACAGATCAACGGAGGCGCAGTTCGCGGCTGCCAGCACTACACTACCGCTCATTGAGCTTTATCAGCATGCCACAAGGGAGCTCAAGCGCAACATCTCCGACGGCCGAAGAGTGATAAGATCTATCGAAGCCGAAACACTGCACGAGCAGCCGGCGCTCTTCCGAGAGTACGTCGACGCACGACCAGAGGTCAGAGCTGTCATGGACAATCAATTCCGGAACGGCAAGACCAATGCCAGACTACAGAGCAAGGAGATCTGGTATACGTGGCGCGGGCAGCTAGTCAGTGGCTTGAAGTCCGGCCTTGACGACATTGCAAAGGGTCTGCAAGGGGATGACAAGTTGCTGGAAGAGCAACAACGAGAGCTTGATCAAGTCCTTCCGGCACTTCAAGAACAGCATTCGTCTCTGTCGGAAGAGCTGTTGAAATTGCAGGAGCTCCGCGCAGATCTAGACAATGTGGACATGGATGCCCTTGAGCAGACACGGAAGGAGCTTAAGGCAGCCGATGAAGAGCATGCTCGCAAGTCAGCCTTACTAGACGAGCTCAAGCAACAAATGCGAGAGAAGGAAGAAGCCCTCGAAGCGGCAGAAGACTTCAAGGTTGAGATGAGTGCCCAGATCGAAGAGGCAGATCGCGTTCGACAGGAATATCGTGGCTGGCCTGTCGCCGATGTCCTTGCCCTTCAGTCAAGAGTCGAAAGTATCGAGAAGCAGACGAGCTGGAAGCTCATCACTGCGGAGGACGACACAGAAGATCCCAACGAGTTTGGTGGTGCGTTGACCCTGTCCTTCCGGGACCAGCTGCGGCTATTCTTCTACCCCAGTGCGTATGAGACATCCTCCGGCGGCGGCAAGAGACGCTCCGGGAGGAAGTCGAAGTCGGTGTCTGGACCAACAGCTCCAATCAGCCTTACATACTCGCCCATGAATTACGACGGCGAGGTCGTGTCCGGGGCAGTTCCCTCAACGCAGAATCGATTCTTCCTGCAACTTATCCGAAGTCAGCTGCACACCTTCTCCATGATGCCAAAGCGGTCAGTTGCGCCAAAGGTCGTGCTCGGGACTGTCAGTCGAGGCTGGACTCTCGCGTCGCAAGTCTCGGAGGAGATCAGGATGCTCAACATGACTGGTGTGACTACAGTGCAGATCCTTGGAGACGAAAAGCTTGGAGCGCGGACGAAACTCGTCTTCCCGGGAGGCAGCCGCATCGATGTGGAATTCGAGCTGTGCGTCAACACGCTCAACGATGGTGAGATTGCGTCCTCGACCGCAGTGTCTGCAAAGGGCATCTATGGTCCCAAGGCAAGCCTTGTCGCTGGCTCGAAGGGCCGCAAGGTTCAAGTCGCGCTCACCAAAGAAGTCGAAAGCAAAGACCTCGGCTCAGGTGCCTGGATCAGCGCAATACATGCTTTCGAGCAGTGGCTCGATGGTCAGGTCGAGAAGCAGCAGGAGAAGGTTCAGCAGAAGTCGTCACAAAAGCAGACCATTGTGAAGGCCGTTGAACCAGTCGAGAAGTCTTCAGAGCTGCCCCTAGCAGCGCCCATCCTGTCAGCAACAACAGCTATTGAAGCCGCAGCGACGCAGCTACGTACCGAAGAAGGAACAGACGCACAGGCCATCCCTCAGACCGCCTCGCGCGACCTTCGGCGCTCACCACTCGCACCCAAAAGCAAGAACGTGCCTACTGCTGCGGTGCAGAAGAAGCTGCCCGTGCCGTCGAAGCGCTTCGTCATGGCCAACGCCAAGCTATCGCAATTTTCTGTCTCGCAGCAGCAGCAACAAGAGGATACGGGTGCCACAACAGCAGCGGCCGGCAAGGAGAACGTCATCCCCTCTTCCCTGGCTGCCGTCTCTTTAGCAGCAAGCAAGCTCCAGTCCGCGGCGGCTGGGCTGCTACGCCAACCAAGCAACTACATGACTTGGCTACTGATCAGGACGACACTATGGATGTAGACACTGCAGCAAATGTCGATGTACTTGGTGTGAAGCCGGCGATACCACCTGAGATGCAGGAGCAGATGATGAATTTTGGGAGTCCCTTCAGGCGGAAGGGTGCGTTGAGGAGGAGCCCGATTTGATTGGGGCTCGGTCATTGGTGCTTGGAGAGCAGAACGTAAGCGAGAGAAAGAGAGTCTTGCATGCTATGATTGACGAGTTCGATGTTGGTGGGATTGGAACAGTGGCGAAGGACACGCTGTCATTTGGTTCGCCTAAGCTGCTGAACTGATGGCATATCCGAAATCCACACAGCGGCCTTCCTGGCCCGGTTATCATGATGTTTCTGTATCTACTGACACTCGTGAGACTCATATCTCAATTCGTGAGTTTGGGAATGTATGTGGTTGGGTCCACGAAGAAGAGAGACAGCGTAGAGGTGCAGCACTTGGAACCAAGCAGGTGCTTAGTTACGTACCAGTGACGATGGCGAAATGAAATCCCTGGGCACCCTCTACTGAATCCTGAATAATGCATCCGGCCATATCCTCCTCGCAATTCCACCGCAAGGCAATCCACATCCTCCCCGACCCCATGTCAACTCTCCCTCAACCACGCAATCCCCTCGGCACCCTCATCCTCCTCCTCAGGCGCAACCACAACCCCCTCTGCGCCGCCCGCCGCCAGTACATCTGACTCCGCGGACTCACCGTCCCCGTGACCGCCTCATCCGTCCGCAGAAAGTCATATAGAGCCGCTGCTTCGCTCTCCAACCCCAACACGCGCAGCGAGCGCAGGATGCGGGTTAGGCGGAGATGGTTGTGGTTGAATCTCATGACCCAGTTCCTGCTCGCAGTATCGAAAGTCGGTCCGCGTGTAACGGTTTCAGTTTCCTTGGCGATAGCGTCGCCGTCGTTGTTGCTGGCCTGCAGAGCGTCCTCGCCGCCTGCGTCGTCGCTGAATTGCAACCCATAAAAAGCAAGCATCCTCTCCAGCGCGCGACGGAGACTGGCGCGGAGCTCGGAGCGGGCGAGGAAAGCGGCGCGGACTTCGGATGTGACGATAGGTGCGAAGCTGAACATGCTCTCTTCGGGCAGCGGGAAGACGGTTTGGATGTAGTCGTGTGAGGCTTCGAGGTGGGAATCGGGCCATGAGAGGATTGTGATGAGGGTGCGGTTGCGGGTGTCGGGGGAGGCGAGGGTTGGGTCGAAGAAGCGGATTAGGAGGGGGACGGTGAGTGTTGACATTTTGAGTGGTCTGGAGTGTTGAGGTGGTTCGGTGTGGTATTGGGGTGGTGTAGAGTGAGCAGGTGTGGTGTAGTCTGAAGTTGGGAGATATGTGGGTACTGGGCAATGTTCATACGACTAATCTGCCTGAGTTGAATGATATTCGACTTCACTTGTCGATTCACATGTGTTAGTCAACCGGCTGTCCAGACTGATTCCCAAGAGAGAGTACATCCAGATCTTGAGATTGTTGTTGGTGCCTTCCCGAAGCCTCAGTCCAGTGACTGCCCAGTGCTCACCAGTCGTTAATCAGTCGGGTGGAAGGAAGGCACGATTTGTAAGGCTCAGGATCAGTCAGTTGCGCTTGGAATACTTGGACGTATTTCTGCGTAGAGATGATCGCCAATAGAGTATATATTCAACGGGACCAAGTCGTGACGAAAGCTGCCGTGCCCAAGGAGTTTGCCGCTGCACGCTACGCGCCCGTTCCGCGGCAGAACAATGCAGGATAACGTGCAATTCACCTGCAAGAGCAACCTGAGAGGCACTCCGGTCTGCAGAGCAGAGGCACGGTCGAGGTCTAGTGACGTGTCAACCGGTCTCGATTGGAGTCTTGGTCATCCGGTCTGGACTAAGTCATCCACCATGATCTATTTTATGCTGCCAACCGGCTTGGGATGATGAGAGAAGTTTCTGCTCATATTGAAGTATTCCTCTTATCTGAAGTACAGAGCTGACTTTATGAAATGCTTCATTGGAATTTGCCTTCGCTATACAGTCGGCATTTCCAGAGCGTCAAGCGACCGAAAACCCTGAACGGAGCCATCCATAAACCTCGAATGTCCATTTCAGCCTCAATTTTCAATCGCCTTCTCCCCCGCGCCACCCTTCCCAGCACCCCTTCCAGCACCCTTCCGCTGCGCAGCCTCATGCCGTCTCAACTCTTCCGGCACCCTCGACCGCTCGCTTTTACCCAACATCATCTTCAAGTCATACAACACATCATTATCCTCGGGTCCCAAGAATGTAATCGCGACACCCGTCTTGCCTGCTCTGCCAGTTCTTCCTATCCTGTGCGTGTAGGACTCTATGTTTGTCGCCATGTTGAAGTTGACTACTAAGCTGACGTCGGGAACATCGATACCTCTACCAGCCAAGTCTGTGGCGACGAGCACGTCGGAACGCCCTTCGCGGAGGGAGAGCAGCGCAGCTTCACGCTGTTCTTGTGTCTTTGAGCCGTGTAAGGTGACGGCGTTGTAGCCCATTTGCTTGACATCGCGAGCGACGGCATCACAGTTGCGCTTGATATTGACGAAGACGATGATCGGTGCAGGAAAGCCGCGCAAGATGTCCTTGAGGCGGTGTTTACGTTTGTCTTCTCCAGACACAAACTCGACGCGTTGCTCGACTGTGTCGACTGCTTCGCCCACGTTGCCGATGGTGACAATAGCGGGCCTTCGGAGATATTTGCGTGCTATCCGCTCAACGGCAGCGGGCATAGTGGCCGTGTACATCATTGTTTGCCAATAGCGCTCCCGGTCGCCAAGGTGGGCGGACATGGCGCGGGCGTTTTCTGCAGCATCCGTGTCGGGTTTCTCATTGCCAACTGGCAAAGCGGAGAGGATGCGGTTCACGGGCTCTTCGAACCCTAGGTCAATCATGCGATCGGCTTCGTCCATGATGACGTAGCAGCACTGTTCCAACACGATGATGCGGCGGTCAATACAGTCTACAAGCCGACCGGGCGTGGCGATGATGATTTCGCAGCCGTTGCGGAGGTTGTAGGCTTGTTCTTCGATGGAGTGACCTCCGACGATGGAGACGACATTGAAGCCCAACGGGCCGCAGAACTTGCGGGCTTCCAGCTCGATTTGTTGAGCCAGTTCGCGGGTCGGGGCGAGGACAATGGCGTAGGGACCGTTTGAGCGGCGCCATTCGGATTCGTCCAGGCGGGGCAGCTCGGAGATGTAGACTAGGAGAGGGAGGAGGAAGGCGGCGGTCTTTCCGGAGCCGGTGACGGCAACGCCAATGAGGTCGCGGTTCTGCATGGCGATGGGGATGGCGGCGCGTTGAATGGCTGAGGGGTCTTTGTAGCCGATCTCGTCGATGATGTTGAGGAGTCGGGAGGGCAGGTTGGACTCTTGCCAGTTGCGCATCGGGTTAGGGATGGCGCCGCCTTTGGTGGCGATGTTGAAGTCCTCTTTGAATATACGCCAGTCACGTTCGCGCATCTGGTTCAGATCTTTCTTGCTCCAGTGCACGTCGATAGCCATGCGGTGGGAGTGCTCTCGGCGTCTTCGTTCCTGTTCTAGGAATTCTTTGGCGCGTGCGGCTCCGGTTTCCTTGTCACGTGCCTCGAGAGCTGCGGCATATGCTTTGGCGTTCTCTTGCGCGACCGTGTCGTCGAAGCCTCCCAGACGACCTCTGCCGAAGAATGAGGTCTGCATCTTTGAATCTAGCCACGTGTCGTTGGGTGCTGAGGTGTCTTCGTCCTCGTCCCAGCCGAAGTTGAACTTCTTGTCTGTTGTCCGTTTCCGCTTCTTGCTCGCCGAGAAGGTGGATATGTTGTGCTCCGGACCCAAATATCTCCTTCTGCGCAGCTCTTCCTGCTCTTTCTCGAAGGACTCGGCGTCGCTAGCTTTCTTCTTGGAATCTCCTGCACCAAAAGCGATGGGCTTGGGCGGAGCGGGTGGACTGAGATCTGACGGGCGACCATGTTTCCGCATTGCTGCTGGACCGCTGGGGATGTGTTCGCGATCACGGTCTGCTCTTGGGCCCTTTGGGAGGGCGTCGTGGCCGTTCGAGTAGCCATTGCTGTAGCCATGACCATTCCGAATATCCTTGTTGCCGTTTGTGTGCTTCAAGTCCTTCTCCGTTGGAGCGTCTCCATAGCCATTGGTTTTGACAGCAGTCGAGGCTGCAGCAACCTCCTTAGCCCGTTTTTCCAAGGCAATGCGCTCTCTCTCGGCTTTACTTATGAATTTGGGCTTGCTAGCCGCCAAGTCCGCCGCCCTCTTTGCTTTCACTAGTTCTTCGACGTTCAGTGGGGTTTTCTTGCTCGGGGGGGCTCCCCACCCTTGTTTCTTCACGCCATTAGTGGCGGGAGGCGGAGGCGGTGCATCTCCCATAGTCGCAAGGAGAACAGGAATAGCGAGGGTGGCCCAAGAATGAAGCGTAGACGGTGTCTCAGGAAGGCGAAAGGTGGTGTGTGAGAAAGGCAGGTAGGTATGAGACGTTCTATCGATTTGGAGAATTCGCTGCCTGTGTTTCTCGCTGCTATCTCCGTTCTACCCCGGGTGGCACTTGGTCGATATAAATCCTCGATTTTACGGCAAGGAGTACCCTATCAAGCCTGTGCGGTCTGGTTTTCCAGTCGACTGATGGTGACCGATAAATTACGTGAGGCTTCGGTGTCACGGGGCATTCGTGTCTAATTGATCCCTCTCTTGCCTTGTCTCAGACGAAGGGGATTTGGGAAGGCGGCAGGCATCGCAGGCGTACAGCAAGCACTGTACGAATTGTTGCTGATGAGCATGGGAAATACTGTCGTTGTTGACAGCCACTCAAGGATCTGGACATTCAGCAGCTCAAGCCATGCAGTACTTATGCCTAGTCAGTGTGCTACCAAAGCCTCAGTTGCTCTCGCCCCATCCGAGACTCGTCACAGTTTGTACAAATTCAGCACTGTCCTTGCTCCTTGTCCTCTGGTAATTTCCATGCCGAGCCACGGCACAATGCTTTTCGTTCCATCCGAATGCCAAGCTGTGTCCGTAGCCCAAGCTTCCGTCGAGTGTAAATACATGGCAAGTGAAGTATGAGCTTCTTTCGCCCAGCAGAATTATGTGACACAGAAAATCCTTGCTCTTGTATCGGGATCTCTCTGAAAAGACGATCTTTCGTCTCCACGGTTTGGGTGCAGGTAGCCAGCATGCGATCTGCCAAGTCGTTTGTATGGATGAGACCGCTGCTGGGTAGCATACCGAACGGTAGCTGCCATTCAAGCACTACTTGGCGGCTTGTAGTACTGGAGGCTGCTGTTCGCCGTTAGTACACGGGACATCAATGTAGAGCAGCAGCACTTACCTGGCCATTGATACCAGCCGCAGCTTTCGAAGTAGCAGACGCCTTCGTCTGCGGAAGCTTCCGAACCGAAGCCGGGCCGTTGATCTCGCGATCCAGGTTGAGATATTCCTTGGCCGCATCTTTACCACCCTTCTCGAGCAGATACGCCATATAAATACCGATAAGACTCTGGATCGTGCTCTCAGCCAATTTACTCTTGTGTAAAATGCTATCCGCGACTGCTCTGATCCGGTCATACTGCTCCTTCTCGGACTCAGGTGTTGTTGGCTGTGCAATCTCCATTTGCAGGTAGCCCTTCCAGAAAGCTTCGCTCTCCGTGTAGTGCGCTTGATGATTCTGGAATACTGCTCGGGCATTCTCTGCAGAGCCCTGGATTTTCCAGAGTAGGTTGGCCCACTCCGCAATGGCTGCTGCTTGGTAGGTATGCTGACTGCAGGTGAGTCTAGCTGTGCGGCGAACACAGCGACTGCATCCTCAACTGTGCCGTGTCTTCTCGTCAGGTTGGCCAATGAAATTATAGTCTCGATGTGGCTAGGCAATTGGACCAGTATGGCTTCGTGGATATCCTTGGCGACATCGACTCGTCCGGTCATCTCCTCGAAGAACGCATACTGCAGTCGAATGTTCGGTAGAGCAATGGGTACGAATGTGCATGCAGCCCGCTGATAGATATTGCGTACCTCCTCTTCCTTGCCTTGCTGGGCAAACATCCATCGCGCATACCGTAGCCAGAACTCTTCGTGCACCGCGAGCACAACAAGACAACGCTCGTAGAGGAATTGAGTCCGAGCATAGTCGCCTAGTCCCTCCTCAAAGTCCAGGTACTTGCGCCAATTCTCTAGCTGACCCTCTTCCAGATCCGTAACGTGGAAATATGGTCGCTTGATTTCGGATTCGTACGTCCATCGCTTTGTCGTTTCCGCCTGTGTCGATTGGAAGATCTTCAGATGTTCGGCATCACTACGGCGTCGTAACTCAATCTCCACTTCTTGTGCACTCCGACCAGCCTTGTAACCAAGTCCTTCGTTTTCGACATCCATTTGGAGCTTTGTAAACGTCTGAGGTGGTACAAGTGTCTGCACTGGTCGAGACTGGGCCAGTTGTCGGTATTTCTCGAAGTATCTGGCGTATTGATGCATTGGGATGTGAATAATTCGGCTGAGAAGAGCAAAAATCCGGTCTGGCTGCTCCATGCGCTCTTCAAACTCGATGTACTTATCCCAGAAGATATGTGACAGGAAGTCGAGACCGACAGCTGCTGCACCACGCTCGAAGAGTCTGCAAGTTTGTTAGCCCATATTGCTCAATGTCAAGAGAAGGTGGAGGGGGTGGGAGTGGAAGAGGGGCCAAACATGTCGGGTGTGCTTCATGTGCAGATGTTCCTTTTTCCATCTAACGACTCAAACAGAAGGTCCAACGGGAAGTGTGTGGGATTAAGTGCGATCGCTCGGGAATGCAGAGGGCAGAAGCGCCTGGTTGTCTTCGTGAGAAGCAAATCTAGGGAGATGGCATGATGAACCTCACCACACTGTCAAGGTGCATCATCATGCTCGTCCTGGCCGCGGCTGGTGCTTGTGTGATTGTAGAGGCTGCTTATGAGAGACTGGAGAGAGACCGCGCGATACTTACTCTCGAATGATGTCTGGATCATGGCTGGTTTCGGTCTTGAAGGAACAGTAATTTGTCCACAGGTCTGCTGAGTTGATGATGCTTGCGACGCCGCGTTCATACACCTAGACAGCTTCAGCATGTGTACTTTTGCGCCGGACGAGGCTCGTACCATTTCAGCTGCCTCTGTTCCGGCAATAGAGAACTCCAGGTCGGCGTATTTCTTCCAGTAGCCAAAGAACAGAGGGAACTTCATCAGGAACCGATCGTAGACATCGCGCACCGCTGAGATAGCTTGAGAACTCGAGTTGCGATTGATTCCTCCCTCAAGCGTTTCGACGGTCCGAACGAGCTTCTCCCAGATTTCGTAGTTGTCAGGATCTGCGTGCTGTACACTTGTTAGAGTCGTCGCTGGAGCGTCCGTCCATTGCTTACCATCTCGCTGAGGAGCTTCCTCAGCTCCACGCTCTCCTCATCGCTGGACCCGAAGGCGTCCATTGCGACGCAGCCTCCGGAATTTTGATGTATTCTTCTTTCGTTGTCGGTGACCTCGGAGGACTAACGAGCGGCAGGCAGGGTCGCAGATCTACCACTTGCCCGGACAGCAGTCGCTGATCGTTCTCAGGTTGGAAGTGAAGAATGCGACGGAAGATGTGAAGGTTGTTCAGGTCAACCTCGTTCGACTTCAAGTTCGGAGAAATTTGCCAAGCCTGTCCGAACCCGACGTAGAACGGCAGACCTTCATCCATTCACTCTTCGCCCCAGCGACCTGAAGTCGTGACGACCTCGCGAAGAATTCAACCGCCGGGAAGCCGAGATATCGATCCTACAATGGCGACCGCTACAGTGGCAGCGCCTGCAATGGCAAACATTCAACTTCTCCTCCCGATAGCCGAGCGAAACAAACTCCCTCTACGCCTCGTACGCTTCTTCAAACGCTTTCCTCCCGAGATCTATTCCGCGCGCGCAACCGGAGTCATGCTACCGCTCACAAGAGAAGACTCCAAAGCCATGCGGATAGCCGAAGCCGCAGCTGAGGCCGAGAAGCAGGAGGCGAAGACAGTGGCTTCCAAAAAGTCACGAACATCTAAAACTGAAGCAGCTACAACTAAGATCGCGGCAACGGCTACGCCTATAAGGACACCCACAACTGCGGACTTGTCACCGACTATCGCCTCAGCTGTAGGAACACCAGCAGCCACATCAGCAGCGCAAGCAGATAGCATGAACGCGACCATATCAACGCCCGACGTCTCAGCAACAGAAGACCCATCAACCACATCATCAGCTCTCAACACAGCCGCAGAGACGTCAGCACCCATATCACCACCTCTCATCTCAGCTGCCGAGATACCACAAACGATATTCGAGACACAACCAGAAAGCACCTCCTCAGAACCAACCACCACTCCCAGCTTATTTGGCCGCAGAATCGACGGCCTAACCCGCGCAACCCGCTTCCCCAGCAACCCTTTCCTCCCCTTCAAAAATCCCGCCACCGGCAACTGGATCTCTCCCAAATACGGCCTCCGCGAGCAAGCCGACCTCTGCAAAATCGCCCGACAGCACAGCGTCGAAGACCTCCTCCCACCTTCCCGAAAATCGTCAATGTTCAAACAGGCACGCATCCTCCAGAAGGGTCTGCGCGTCAGGGGTACAGGCGAGGGCCAGAAGGTGAAGGGCCATATCTGGGAGAGGCAGATGCCGGCGATGTTGGAGAAGAGGAAGGAGGCATTGCGGCAGATGCCGCAGTTGGTGCGGGACTGGCAGGCGAGAGGGAACGGGAAGGGGTGGAAGGCTTGGCCGAAAGCGAAGACGAAGTAGACTGTGTACAGACCCTGGGAGGAAGGAGGTGGGTGGTGGTGGATTTGGGGGACTTGTGTACTAAGATGCATAGTAGAACTGTACATCATCCAACATTCACAATTGGAACGAGCGTTTTCTTCTAGGACAACTACCGGGCAGAAACTGGCGCTGCTCCTGCAAAGCGGTCTCCGAGCAACAGTCGATCACAGTAAGGCACGAAGCTGCTCGTCCCACCAGGCAGCAGCAGGTACCACCAAGGCGTGACAATCGCTGGCGGAGGACCTCTTCGATAAGGAAAAAGGAGCAGAAGCGGAAGTCGAGGGCAAGGCGAATACTTATACCTCTTGAACAGAGTACAGCTCCGCCGCAAGCCGATGCAAGCACTTCACTGACTCGAATGGGGCCATTCACTATGACAATGCTTGATGGATTGCTGGCTAGTGTAGTCACCTGAACGTCCGCATCAATTCTGACTCAGTCGGCAGGAGATGTGGGTGTACGGCCGTTGATGGCGATGGCTGTAGTCAAATCGCTCAAATATGTTCGCAAATCACTTTTCTTCGCCTCCTATCAACAGGCTCTACCTACACCTTCATATCAACTTCGTCTCCGGCTTCCGCTTCCTCACAAGCAACCACCACAAGAACATCAAATTCCCCGCCCCCAACAACATCACCAATCCCGCCCATAGCTGCAACCCCAAATAATTCCTCTCATCCGGCCCACTAACCCCAACCTGACTCAACGCACCCGCAATCGGACTCCCAATCAGACTCGCCACGCTCCCCAACCCCTGCGCCATGCCCATCCTCGCCCCTAAAACCTTCGGATCCGGACACACCACAGGGAAAATACTCGGCGGCAGCGGTATCAGCGCCCCCGAGAACGCTCCATAGAGCACCGAGAACGCAATGAACGGCCCTTCACTATGCACACCTGTCCACGCGAGGTTGAAGACAGCCGACATCAGTCCACACGTGATCCAGGGTATCATCACCCCTACCCGACTGGCGGCGTAGCTCGCAATCAATCGCCCCACGATACTGGATGCCTGGGCAAACACCACTGTGTACAGCGCCCAGCTCCTTGGCATCCCCAATGCGAGCTGCGCAAACGTCGGAATGAAGAAGAACGGGATCATATATCCCATAAACAAAAAGAAATTCGAAAACGTATACGCCCAAAACGGCCCATCACGGAATGCAGACTTATCGAAAAGCTTCCGCGCCTGTCCGCTGCCGATATCGCCGACGTTGTGCGCGCCCCAGAGCAGCAAAGGGAAGGCGATGGAGTAGGTACCCAGCATAATGAAGGCGAGCACACGGACCGTCCAACCGAAGCCCAAGCCGCCAATCAGGCGCTCGAAGACGAGGGTGTATACGATCCCGCCGATGGGAGCGCCGCAGCTGACGACGCCCATAGCGACGGCGCGGTGTTTCTTGAACGAGCGGCCGACGAGGGCGAGTCCGGGGAGGTACAAGAGGCCGTTGGCGAAGCCCATCACCACACCTTGGGTGAGAAAGATCTGCCAATATTTGGTGGAAAGGCTGAGCATAAACATCCCAAAAGTCTCGAGGGCGGCGCCTGCGAACAGCATGGTTTTGAAGTAGCCGATGTCGAACAGTGGGCCGGAGACGATGCCGGTGAGGATGAGGAGGAACATGGTCAATGTACCGATCCAGGCTATGCTGGAGGAGGTTTCGTTGGTCAGGAGGGTGAGCTCGTAGTAGTTCTGGAAGGCGCCGAAGCAGAAGGGCAGGCCCCAGAGGTTGCCGAAGACAAGAGCGGATCCGAGGACTTGTAGCCATGCTCGGGTGCCGCCGTCCATGGCTGGTGGCGGTTGGGGAGGGGGGCCTTCTGTTAGGACGACGGCCTTTTCGTCGACTTGCTCGGTAAGTGATGGCTTGGTGGACTCTCCGAGGTCGGCAGGGGACACTTCATCTTTGGTAGTAGCCATGCTGACTGGCTATATGGTGGCGAAGGTGGTGGGGAGTTGTCAAGAAGGTAGCGGTGTAGGTAGAGGAGGCTTCTTGGCTCGACACATTGGTCACTATGAACAGCTGAGAGCCATGTCGTGTCCTGCTGTAGGTGCTGAAAATTGTGCGTGACTGTCAGGAGGATGAGTTTACAAATCGCGAAGGTACAAATCCTATATTCAACGTTACCCCATGTTTTTCGTCAGCGATCACGACTTCGATGCACGGCAACTTTGTGCCGAGTTAGCTCAAGGTTACCATTCTTCCCTGTAAGTGGTGGAAGCGGCGGGAGATCGATTTGCTAACCGCGGTTCTCCAGGTCCGCATTCGGTAGCGAGGTTTGCATAAAGTCTGTGACACCTGGCGTACAGGCCTCAAAAGGGCACTGCTTTGGCTCATGAACGTGTTTCGTCCAGGCGCGCGAGCATCATCGCTCGTGCTGACGATCGTATCGCACTTGATGATTGTAGATAGATACAGAAGGGGGTGTAAGGAACGAGGTGCGTTATTGTGTCGGCGACTTTGCGAAGTTGGAGTTCTTCGCCTGTGCGGAACGAATCCACTGGAGGCGGACATGTCCTTTGGTGCCTGTTTTTCTGTTTACAGAAAGCCACATCGTTTCCGCTTCATGTGCCAGAGATACAATTGACGGGTACTTATGCGAGCCAAGAGCCGTAAAGCTCATCGGACTTGACGACATTGATGTACCATGCTCTGATCAGGACCCACCACATTACCTCTCGCCGCAAGGTCGCTGCACTCAAGACCGCCGCCAAGCAACTTCAATGCTATGTATTATTGAGGTCAGGCGGTGTGCCAGGCGTGATGTACGTTCAGGGCGCGGAGGAAGGCGTTGTGCGTGCCTGGGTCGACACAGTGCATGATCTGCGTTATAAGGACTACCAGCTCGCTGCTGCACCGACAGTCATGTCACGTCCGTTCTGGCTGGGGGCTCAGGGAGTGCTCGAAGAAGTGGAATCTGTCAAAGAGCTGGGGCAGAGATTCGACGAGGCGCAAATGAAGGACTGGTGGAGGAAAGCGATGGGATTTTCCAAAGATGCTTAATGATTCTCGTGGACGAAAAGCATGCGGCAGTATGAGCTGCAATCGCTCTTGCCTCATGGGTCATCGCTTGAGCAACTTCCTCTTCCGGATGCGACTCTACGAAGTTGAACGCCATCGATGCTTCCTAGAATCTTCCGAAGTTTTGATACACAGACTTCCCGGATACTGATTGCCGCTTGATCACAGACTACAGCTTCTGGTACTCAAGCTTGCCCTCCAGTTTCTTCGACTCCGCAACTTTCCGCACCGCCTTGTTGAAGTCGTCCTGGTTGACGGCGTCCCGGTAATCCTTGATCGCGAACAGGCCAGCTTCGGTCACCACATTCCTCAGATCGGCACCATTCAGTCCGTCGCTCATTTTCACAACGCTCTCGAAATCGATATCACCCTCTGTGACCACACCGGCGGCATGAATTTTCAAGACCTCTAATCGACCCGCCTCGTTCGGCAAAGGAATCTCAATCTTGCGGTCCAGTCGACCAGCACGTAGCAATGCAGGATCGAGTGTGTCGGGTCTGTTGGTAGCCATAATGATCTTCGTCTTGCCTAGATAGTCGAAACCGTCCAACTGATTGAGCAGTTCCATCAGCGTTCTCTGAATTTCTCGATCTGCCGATGTGCCTTCGCTGAATCTGCGCCCGCCGATAGCATCGATCTCGTCCATGAATATGATACACGGCTCGTGTTCTTTGGCATAGCCGAACATCTCCCGAATAAGGCGAGCCGACTCGCCGATGTACTTGTCAACAATAGCAGATGACACGACTGTATCGAATTAGCGAACGGCTTCCTCTGAGCGGGAAAATCATATACCTTTCAGAAAGTTTGTGTCAAGACTGCTGGCGACCGCTCGAGCGAGGAGTGTCTTGCCGGTACCTGGAGGACCGTATAGAAGTACGCCCTTCGGCGGCTTGATGCCAACCCGCAGGAAGAGCTCTGGGTTCTTGAGTGGTAACTCGATGACCTCTCTCAGCTCTCGGATCTGGTCGTTGAGACCACCAATGCCAGCGAATGATACTTGTCCGGGATCCTCGAGCGACATGTTGTAGACGAGTGGATCGACTTCTCTTGGTAGCATGCGCATGATTGTGAGGGTAGTCATGTCGAGCGCCACGCGGGTGCCTTGCTTCAGTTTGGCCTTATCGACTTTTGACCGGCAGCCGACAACATACCTCGGCCCTGATGACGCTTTCACGATGAAACGCTCTTCGTCAAGTTGCTTCAGAACCTCGCCAATGATCTGACCAACGCTCTGCAGTGCCTTTATTGAGTCTTCTGTATGATCGAAGTCTGTCTGTAGTCCCTTGATATCCAGCCGTAGGGCCTTGAGCTTTGCCTCCCACTCTCTCGATTCCAGAAGCTTGTCTTTGTATTGCTGCAGCGCCTGCTGTCTCTCTGGATCTCCGCCGCCGTCCATCTTGTGCCGTTGAATTCGAACGCGGATGAGAGGACCTGAGGTGGCTCGCAGTGTGGATGATTCAGTCAGAAGATGAGTGGAGTAGCCAGCGATTCGATGCAGAGGACGTTCAGAATCGAGCTCTTGTCACCTGCGTAGGTGAAAGGCAATGGTATTTCTAGTATTGCAGGCAATCAAGACACGCGCGGCGAACTGAAGTCGATACCCGTCACTATAGGGTTCGCGATGGCAAAAAACCCTAAGGCACTTAGCATAATCACGTGCTCGATTCCCATGCTCTTGGATCTGGCGAGTCTGGTACATTCAACTCTCTTCTCCTGACTACATCCCTTCAATAATGTGTTTATCACGATCTAACATTGGAACGCTTGCAGAGCTTCGGGTAGCTCATTTGATCTTTCCGTAATACCTTCCGATCGTCGGCAGAAAACGGATGATGTCCTAGATTGAGGTGGAAGGTACGACCTGGACAAAGGTACCGACAGAGGGACCCCTGCGGTAAATTTGAGGAAAGCAGAAAGAACGCTCGCTCGATGGCCTGACGCGTGTCTACCAATCTTTGACCGTACACTCCTGCCATCACTCGATGCGCAGCAGCATAAGAATGATGTCTTGAAGCAGCACTGCTCAATCATCTAGATCAAAGCATCAGTCAGGTACCGGGGTCTGACTAAGGTAAAGTTCCTAGCGAACAAACAATCGGGTGCGGAAGTGGACGGTTCACTTTTGAAGCCTCAGTTACCCGCAAGCTAAAGATCTCAATGGAGCACCCGCAAATCAAGCGTAACCACTCGTAGCAAGAGCAAGCCAGCCAAAGAAAAAAGATGTTCGCGACTTCCCCACCAGTGACATGGCATTTGGGAGCGAGATTTACCCCTCCACGCTCCAACATTTTGTTATTGCTCAACCTTCCCGTCTGCATCTGCGCGTTGCTTCTTTGACACACACAACTTCCAATTTCAGAGCTCAGCAACTTCGTCCTTGCATCAACACAATCACTCACATCGACTGACACATAGCACTGAACACCCAGTAAGTCTGAGACATCTTCTTTCTGCCATCCTCGTCGAGCAGAGCCTGCAATCAAGCAGCGGTCAATGTCTCCGCGGAAAGAACTCAAGCTCCCTCTGCGCAGGATATATATAGCGTCATAGGATCGCACTGACATCTGACAGCCATGGCCATCGTCAAAGTCCACGCCCGATCGGTCTATGACTCTCGAGGCAACCCTACCGTCGAAGTCGATGTTGTGACTGAGACTGGCCTCCACCGAGGTATGCTCGCAAGGCTTCGAAGACAACATGGTGCTCACAAGTCCTAGCAATCGTACCCAGCGGAGCCTCGACAGGTCAGCATGAAGCATGCGAGCTTCGTGACGGAGACAAATCAAAATGGGCTGGCAAGGGTGTGCTAAAGGCTGTCGAGAACGTGAACAAGACAATCGGTCCCAAGCTCATCGAGAAGAAGCTTGATGTCACTGATCAGTCTGCGGTTGACAAGTTCCTGAACGAGCTCGATGGCACCGAGAACAAGACCAATCTGGGAGCAAACGCCATCCTGGGTGTTTCTCTCGCCGTTGCGAAAGCTGGTGCAGCACAGAAAGGTGTTCCTCTGTACGCCCACGTCAGCGATCTTGCCGGAACAAAGAAGCCTTTCGTCCTGCCAGTTCCATTCATGAACGTCCTCAACGGCGGTTCGCACGCCGGTGGTCGTCTTGCCTTCCAGGAATTTATGATCGTCCAGAGTATGCCACCCGATAGCCCCACTAATCTATGCTAACGCATCGCCAGTCAAGCTCCCTCGTTCAGCGAAGCTCTCCGATGGGGCGCAGAAGTCTACCAAAAGCTCAAGTCGCTCGCTAAGAAGCAGTACGGACAATCTGCGGGTAATGTCGGAGACGAGGGTGGAGTCGCTCCCGACATCGAGACCGCCGAGGAGGCTCTTGATCTCATCACGGCCGCCATCAAAGAAGCCGGCTATGAGGCAAGATGAACATTGCCATGGATGTTGCGTCCAGCGAGTTCTACAAGGAGGAAGAGAAGAAGTATGACCTTGACTTCAAGAATCCCGACAGCGACAAGTCCAAGTGGATCACCTACGAGCAGCTTGCCGACCAATATCAGAAGCTCGCCAAGAAGTACCCCATCGTCAGTATCGAAGATCCTTTCGCTGAGGACGACTGGGAGGCGTGGAGCTACTTCTTCAAGACCTCAGACTTCCAGATTGTTGGGTGAGTATGCTCTGTAAGCTCGTTGTAACATGCTGACAAGAGGCAGTGATGACTTGACCGTCACGAACCCCGTCCGCATCAAGCGTGCCATCGAGGCCAAGGCCTGCAACGCTCTGCTGCTGAAGGTCAACCAGATCGGTACACTCACAGAATCCATTCAGGCCGCCAAAGACTCTTATGCTGCTGATTGGGGTGTCATGGTTTCTCATCGCTCTGGCGAGACCGAGGATGTCACAATTGCCGATATCGTCGTTGGCCTGCGTGCTGGTGAGATCAAGTGTGGTGCTCCCGCCCGGTCCGAGCGTTTGGCCAAGCTCAACCAGATTCTGCGCATCGAGGAAGAGCTCGGCTCGAATGCTGTCTATGCCGGCTCCAACTTCCGTAAGTCTGTCAACATCTAGAATGCCCAGCTGCAACCCACGCCAATACCGTGAGGAGGGAACGATTCGGACGGAAGCGAAGGTTTATGTGATAGACAAAAAGCGATCATGGGAGATGCGCACATAGCGAATGTATTCGATACCCATCACGAGGAGCACAGTATGCACTCGGTCGCCAATGAAAGTGCCTTATACCCTTCGCGGTCATATTTGACGCTGTTACTTCTACTTCCATAGTGCAAAGTGAGCAGACTGGTCAGGCATAAATTGATCGTTCTTAGCGTGTCTGGTGAACCTCAAGCTTTCGAGTCAAGGCGGGCTCTGAGTGATGGCATTGTTTTGCAGATCAAGTCTGGAAGTTTGGAACGAGCCTCACTTGAGCGTCAATTCGCAGATTCAATCTCTCATCGATTTGCCTGCCAGGGAGGCCGCTGTTACAAAATCGGCGTGCATATAGGGGATGGAGCAAATGCTCATGCGAGTGCCGCGAGACTGGAATCTCGGGCTGTCTGCTGGTGACGAAGTCAGCCAATCACATTCGCAGTTGCGACACTATTTAGCGCGCACATGCGAACGATCGGAGTCGCCTTGTTTTCTAACGTACTAAATATTTTGCCCCTCGTCGAGTTGTCACTCGTTTCCTTTGTCTTCCACAGCACTCAAATCGCTTACTCGCTCCTTCCGCCCAAATCGAACCAGACAGGTAGACGCTCAACTACAGTTGTCTTCGTTTTGAACCTGTATCGCGCTCAAAACACTTGTCCTACAAGGGAACGACTGTGTTGAGCCGCCAACATGCCGCCCAAGCAATCGTGGGGTGAGTTACCACCCGTGTCTCTTACATCCTTTTCTCACTGACCACTGCAATAGACGAGTCGTCCGATGAAACATCCTCTGAGGAAGAGACTGCGCCCCCTCAACGCGTTGTGCCCGTGGCGGCCACCGCTCGCAAACACTTCGACGATGAGGAGGACAGCGATGCGCCGGACAACTGGGACGACGAAGACTCCGAGGAAGAAAGAGAGAAGGCCAAGAAGGCTGCTGAAACCAAGGCAAAAGCAGACGCTATCGCTGCGGCCAACAAGAAACCAAAGGCAGTGAGAATTGAGGAACATAGGGAAGCGGCTCGGCGGCGTAGAGCGATGGAAGATGAAGAGAGTTCAGACGAGGAGACGGAAGCCGAGAAAAGAGCACGACTGAAGGCTCAGGAGAAGGAGGCCGATCTCAGTCACGCCGAAGCACTCATTGGAGATGTGGACGCACGGAACAACAAGAAAGCCAGCAACAAGGCCAGCGTAATTGCGGACCCTTCAAACCCCGGGCAAGCGATCGATTTGTCGAAGCTGCCTCTCTTCCAGCCAAAGACCAAGGGAGGATTCGATCAACTGTCCGAGGCAATCACACCACTCATCCGAGCACAAACCAGCAAAGCCCACTTCCCATTGTGGATGCCAAATTTTGCCAAGGGCATCTGTCAGGATATGAACAGCGTGGACATCAAGAAGGTCGCCAGCGCGCTCACTGCGCTCTCGAACGAGAAACTAAAAGCAGAGAAGGCTGCCGATGGCACAGGCAAGAAGACAAAAGCTGTCAAGAGTAAGACTACTCTCGCGGCGGATCGAGGCATTGGTGCCGGAAGAGCGGACACCAAGGCCTATGATGAAGAACTGAGTGACGGAGATTTCATGTGAGCATAGCCCTTGCGCCGACGCCGACGAAGGTTTGGAACATGATCAGGGCGATGAAGACCATGAGGATACGATTTGCGATGATCTTGACGCAGTAGGGGCTGCAGCGCTTGCAGAATGAAGGAGAGCACCATAGAATGATTGCCGCCAGCTATCATGTATGCCGCGCACGTCGAAATGGAGCATCACGACGTAGCTAGACTTATCATCGAATGCAATGTCAAATGAACCTCAAATCAAATACCTTACTTAAGTAAGGCTCATCCCAGAGCTACCAACACACCAGCTGGGAATCTCCGATCTGCAGGCCCTCCCTGGCCCATACGCCTGCAATAAGCAGCACCGTGGTCATGATGACCATCCAGTATTCTGAAACACTCCCGGAGTCCTGCGACTTCACTCACTGCTTAGAACTACAGCCTCAGGGGCAAACGATGACGTCGCCCACCGCACATCTCTCGCCACGATTTCTTCATGTAATTCACCACATATAGCCACCAGAGCAGCCATGCGTGTCCATGTCGTCGCTCGACTACGGCACGCGCAAGCGTAAAAGAATAGACGACTTCTTCAGCAAAGAGCACACGAAAGCCGCGAAGGGCAGTGACACAAAGAATGGCTCATCTTCGCATATAAGTACCCATAACCGCATCCCAGGCTTGACGATTCACAACGAGTTCGTCTCGCCTCAGAGGGAGCTCTTAACCATCGACTACCTCAACAAGCAGACATGGAGAACCGATCTAGCTCGCCGTTGCATTCACTATGGCGGCACATACTGCCTCATGCCAAGCCGTCACTGCACTCCAGAGCAGCGTAGACAGATCGAGAGCCAGATCTTCACAGCTGACCCCATACCCGCAGAACTACATCCCATAATCGATCGCATGGTCGATCGAGACATCTTCACTGCCTCCACAGCGCCCGAGTTCTGCATTGTCAACGAGTACCAAAACAAGCAAGGAATCTCAGCCCACGTAGAGAATTTCCGATTCGCATCGCCTGTATGTGGCCTGACGCTCCTCAAAGGGGACTGGATGCGTTTTCACGAGCTCGAGAAGCCTGATGATGGGAGCGTGAGATCTGGCAAAGCGGCACAGGCCAAAAGGACTGGGAAGAAGGTTGATGTTTGGCTACCGAGGAGGAGCCTGTTGGTTATGGAGAGGGAGGCACGGGAGAAGTGGCAGCATGAGATTGTGAGAGGAGCGAAGGATAGGAAGGGCGTAGATTGGAAGAGGGTGTCTCTGACGTTTAGGACAACAAGGACGAGGCCTGTCGCTTCGTCGACGTAATGAACGCAGCGACTCGAGTGCGTTTCCACCTGAAGAGAGTCGCAACATACCGTCCATCCATAGATGGCTTCGATGTATGTACGTGTTCGGAGCTTCGCAACCACGCATTGATTGATCCCTGATCACAGCCACCCGGTGCAAACACTGCCCATAATAGCAAAAGATCCAGACGCCCCGATCTTGTCGCCTCATCAAGAGCAGTAGATGCTAGCTTGACATGGCAATGTTCCACCAATATTCCATAATCCCAATACACCCACTGCGGAAGGGTGTATGGGAACCTCATGGAGAGAAGGACGCGAAGAAGACAAGCATAGAGCGCCTACTTATACCTTGTTGATGAAGTGGAGATCGCGGCTAGCACAGGATAGAACTCTTTCGTGACTCCTACGAGGATATGGTCACTTTTGGTTGTGTACCTAGGTAATTGAGCATTGCACTGCCAGCTGAGTGTTGTGAAGAAGACATCCCTCAAAATAACCAGCAGTACCTAGGTAGTGATGCGCCAAAGTCAATAAGGTAGCGAGGAGACGCTCTCGCCAAGGTAGACGCGCTTATTTGATAGTCTTAACACCACTCTTGGTCTTCAAAATATGCCGGTGAGAGTGAATGAAGGCAGACTGAGGTGAATGCCCGAAACAACTCCGCTGCTACCTAGCAACCAATCACGAACTTACCCCTCGATCTGTGGAGACAAGATACAACTGCGGGCGGTGTTCAAGAAACGTCCCTCGAATCTATCCTCTGCTCCCTTCCTCTTGCACACAACCACCTTCGACGTCCATCCCCTTCCCGTCAACCTCACCAGTCCATGTTCGAGGACCTAGCTTTCGACATGGCGACCCTCAAAAAGTTCTCCAGCATATTGATGCTTCTGACTGCGGTCGTGTTCTTCTACATGAGCAGCAATGTGCCGGGAGCAGAAGCAGCCAAAGGTCCTAAGATAACCAAGAAGGTGTACTTCGATATCGTGCAAGGCGACAAGGAGCTCGGGCGGATAGAGATGGGCCTTTACGGTGGTACCGTCCCCGAGGTATGCAAAAGCTAACGATCAGAGGTTGCATGAACGCTGACCATCGCTGAAGACTGTCGAGAATTTTCGAGCACTGGCCACTGGCGAGAAAGGCTTCGGATACGAGGGAAGCTCGTTCCATCGAGTCATCAAGAGCTTCATGATCCAGGGCGGTGACTTCACCAAGGGTGATGGCACTGGCGGCAAGTCGATCTATGGAGCCAAGTTCAAGGATGAGAACTTCAAATTGAAGCATACAAAGCCAGGGTTGCTCAGCATGGCCAACGCTGGTCGAGACACGTAAGTCAACGCCTATATACAGGCTCATGACGACTGGCAGCTGACCTATGTTCACAGCAACGGCTCTCAGTTCTTCATCACAACGGTCGTTACGTCCTGGCTCGATGGCAAGCACGTCGTCTTTGGCGAAGTCCTGAGCGGTATGGATGTGGTGACAGCCATCGAAAATTGCGATAAGGGGCCCGGCGACAAGCCGAAGGTCGCCATTACGATCAAGAAATCTGGCGAACTTGAAGTTGCAGAAGGCGGTGAGCATGTCGAACTCTAAGTCTTACGATGGATTTCTGTCGTAAGCACACCAGGGCAGGTCACCCTCACTGCCCTGCTCTTTCCATCCCAGGGCAGTGAGCTGACGAAATGGCTTTGACTTCGCAGTATACTCGACGGCACATCCGGAATATGTTGAACCTGAGCCCGAGCTCGCAGCGGGCAACGCTCCTGCAGATGCAGTGACCGAGCACAAAGAGCAGCCCCAGATGACCAATCCGTCTCAATTTGGCGAGCTTGCGTCATTTAGCTACTTGCAGGGCTTCCTTATGTTCGCTGTGGTCCTGATCATCGTCGTCATCTTTGCTCGAAGGCGGAGGTCGGGTGCGTCAAAGGAAAAGGTACTGCCTTAGATAGACAAAAGCAATGATAGAGAACTATGTCGCACGGCTACGGGTCATTGGCTTGGCTTCAGGCGCTATTCCGACTTCTCTGAGCATCCTTTTAGACCTCAGTCATCCGATATTGTGCTGATGCTCATCTCTTGAGCTTGAGTATATAATTGTAGAGGGCTCACTTCGGGCTCGGTGGGCTTTGACGAGACCGGATGACAAGGGCATCGAGATTCGTTCATTGCTCCCGCTGCAGGCAGTCCCAACAATCTAATACTGCAGTTCAGGTAGGATTTGACAGTGCAAAATGTCTGCTACCTATGCGGATCCTCTCGTCATCTGGGGAAGATCCGGATCAACATACCCCAGCGAAGAAGTCCGTTGCTCCGGGGTAGAGTTCACGACTATACAGTATGGCGAACTTATACCCCTGGAAACGACACATCTGTCACTCTCTTCAAGCCTTGTGTAATTTAGGGGGACCATGTAGGACATTTGAGTTGCGGAGTGAATAAGAGATACAGACACCAAATATGACTGACCTTACAAGCAAGCTGGCTCACCTGGAGGCGTCGGGCAGGCCAATCCAGGTGGGCCTCATCGGCGCTGGCAAATTCGGGAGCATGTAGTAAGTCATTTAAGACCATTTGTATGCCTTATACTGCTTTGGCACAAGCGCTCAAAAATTCCTAGACCACGATACACTGACACAGTACACCACCACCAACAGCATTTCGCAAGCTCACCGAACAGCCGGCGTCCGCCTCGCAGCTATCGCCGACCTCTCCCGTGACCGTGCCCTCGCCGCACTGAAACGCACTGGCTTTCCGCCCGACAAGTACGATGTGAACTTGACCCTAGCCGAGGGCCTGAAAGCCGGCAAGGCGGCCATCACGACTGACTCCGCGGCCCTGATCGCCCAGCCTGGCATCGATGTCATCCTCGAGGTCACTGGCAGTCCGGCCGCTGGGATCAAGCATGTGCTGCTGTGCTGCGAGCACAAGAAGCATATCGTTATGGTCAACGTCGAGGCGGACGTGCTCGCGGGTCCGTTGTTAGTCAGGAGAGCGCGGGAGGCTGGCATCATCTACAGTATGGCTTATGGTGACCAGCCAGCGCTCATCGCGGAGATGGTGGATTGGGCGAGTGCGGCGGGTTTCGATGTTGTTTGTGCTGGGAAGGGTACGAAACATTTGCCGGAGTATCATTACAGTACGCCGGATACAGTATGGGACCACTATGGGTTTAGTGTGGAGCAGCTAAAGTCTGGTGACTTCAACAAGCAGATGTTTAACAGCTTTTTGGACGGGACAAAGAGTGCGCTGGAGATGTCTGCGGTGGCCAATGGGTGTGAATTGAAGGCGCCGAGGGAGGGTTTGAAGTTTCCGCCGTGCGGGACGCATGATCTGCCGCAGGTGCTGAAGCCGAGGAGTGAAGGCGGACTGTTGGACGAGAAGGGAATGGTGGAGACAGTGAGCTGTCTGGAAGTCGACGGGAGAGCGGTGGTCGGCGATCTGAGATGGGGTGTCTATGTTGTTATTGAAGGTATCTCGCCGTCGAAGGTCATATTGACGTTGCGCTGACCTGCCAAACAGCTCCTGGACCATATCAGAAAGAGTGCTTCGCGCAGTATGGAATGAAGACCGATGCATCTGGACGATACGCAGCACAGTACAAGCCATATCACCTTATCGGCCTCGAGCTGGGCATCTCTGTTGCGAGTATAATGTGTCGAGGCGAACCAACAGGCCAGTGTAAGACATTTGCTGCGGACACAGTTGCAACTGCGAAAAGAGATCTTGCAGTTGGGGAGAAGTTGGACGGGGAAGGAGGCTTCATGCGTACGGCAAGATCATGCCTGCCGAAGACTCGCTAGCGATTAGAGGCCTCCCCATTGGACTGGCACATGGCTTGTTGCTGAAGAGACCGGTGAAGAAAGACCAAGTGCTGAGTTGGATGATGTTGAGTGGAGTTTGAAGTCCCAAGCCGTGGCAGTGAGAAGAGAAATGGAAGATCTGTATAGGAAGGAGTTTGCAAGCAGAGTGAACGGAAACAGCAGGAGCAATGAGGTTAATGGCAGTAATGCTTGAGAAACTGAAGAGAGGCGGCTCAAAGCCAGAACGTTGAGTGTTGTCCCATTTCTGGATCTGTCCAGTCTCTGCTCTACCTCACAATCGCAGTGACCATCCGACCAGATTGCAGTCAACTCTGATTGAAGACCCTCGAAGGCTAGCTACGATCGAGGTCAAATCAAGATTCGTAGTGAAGTAAGACGCGGTCATGAGTGACCACCCAGAGTCCTCAATAATTCTTCAAGCGAAACCGTCACCAAAATGCAATATCCTGGTGTAAGTATCGAGTAGAGAGTGAATGGCGGCAGGATGAGGATCCGGGAAGATCATGGTGCTTTGGGTCGAGAGGTCGTCTGAAAGCATTAAGACTGATCCATTCGTGCTCGGTAGTTTGAGAACCAATCAGTGATCGTCATGTTACGGCGTCTGAGGTAGATGGCGACACCCATAAAGTGCTCCCAGATGTGTTTCTCCAGACGATGAGGCAAATATCTCGAGCCGGGCAACGTAGTGAGCTCCTATTGGGCGGTCGTAATCTCTTGGCGCGAGAAAATGGGAGCAGGCCCTACTGAGTTTGCCGCCTGCGGACTCAAAAGAAATTCTTCTCTCTTCATCTTTTCCAAACTGCACACACTCACCACCTTCCACACAATTTGAATCCTTGTCAAATCGATCCTCCCACTGCTCACAGTCTTTTCTAAGTTGTGTCCTTTCTCAAGCTCGTTTCCAGATAGACCGGAAGAGGCGTTATCAATTGTCTCTTTTACTATCTGCAGATCTTGAAAGGTTCCTGCAGCCACAAACAATCTTCAATTTCGAAGTCCTTCCACGATCTTTCCCGCAGCGACGTCAATACTCGGAGCGGTCGAAAGAACCCACCTACGACTCTATCGAAACACAATAATCGTCTTGTGAGTACAATTCACTGCACTTTTGAATTGTCAGGCTGCAACCTGTCGATTTGAAACAAATTATTTGGTGTCCTTATCTCTGAAGTTCAATTCTAACAAACGAGTCCCACAGAACGAAAAGTCATCCTTGTCAACATGGCTGATCAATTGAACATGAACGGCCTGTCTCTTGGCGAGTCCAAGCACGCCGGCGGTCCTCACGGCGGCATCGGCCGCTCTGCCTACATTCCTCCTCACCTGCGCAGCCGCGGTGGCGGTCCTCCTCCGATGGACAATCTTGACGGTGCGGCTCCAGCTGCCAACCTCAACGGCAGCGCCTGGGCTAGCAACGGCGGCGGCAACCCTGGCTGGAACGGCGCTCCTCCTGCAGGCCCGCCTCAACAGAATGGTTGGAACGGACAGCCAACACGCGCTTTCAACCCCGATGCGTATGGCGCTCCAGGTGGCGGATATTCTGGCGGCGGTGGTGGTCACTACGGCGGTGGCGGTGGTGGCGGCCGCGCTCAAGGCTCTGGTGACGGTCAATGGCGTGATGGGCGTCACGTTCCAGGCCCTTCGAACCCCAAGACTGAGCGAGAGTTGTTCGGCGACGCCAATGATTCGAGCAAACAACAGACCGGTATCAACTTTGCCAACTACGATGACATTCCGGTTGAGGCTTCTGGTCAAGACGTGCCAGAGCCCGTCACCACATTCACCAACCCTCCTCTCGACGACCACCTCATCAGCAACATTGCGCTTGCTCGCTACACGGTTCCTACCCCTGTTCAGAAGTACTCCATCCCCATTGTGATGGGCGGTCGAGATCTCATGGCTTGTGCACAGACTGGTTCCGGAAAGACTGGTGGCTTTTTGTTCCCCATCTTGTCTCAGGCTTTCCAGACCGGCCCCAGCAGTGGTGCCCCTCAGGGTGGCGGCTTCCGTCAACGCAAGGCTTTCCCGACTTCTTTGATCCTGGCTCCTACTCGCGAGTTGGTGTCTCAGATCTACGATGAGGCCCGCAAGTTCGCCTACCGTTCTTGGGTTCGTCCTTGCGTCGTCTACGGTGGTGCTGACATCGGCACACAGCTGCGCTCCATTGAACGCGGCTGCGATCTCCTGGTGGCCACTCCTGGTCGCTTGGTCGATCTCATTGAGCGCGGTCGCATCTCTCTGGCCAACATTAAGTATCTTGTCCTGGATGAGGCTGATCGCATGTTGGACATGGGTTTCGAGCCCCAGATTCGTCGCATTGTTGAAGGCGAAGACATGCCTTCGGTGCAGAACCGCCAAACCCTCATGTTCTCCGCAACATTTCCTCGCGACATCCAGTTGCTCGCTCGCGATTTCTTGAAGGATTATGTTTTCTTGTCTGTTGGTCGTGTTGGATCTACCTCAGAGAACATCACCCAGAAGATCGAATACGTCGAGGATGTCGACAAGCGCTCCGTCCTTCTGGATATCCTCCACACACACGCTGGTGGTCTCACTCTCATCTTCGTTGAGACCAAGCGCATGGCCGATACCTTGTCCGATTTCTTGATCAACCAGGGTCTTCCGGCGACTGCTATTCATGGTGATCGTACTCAGCGTGAGCGTGAGCGCGCGTTGGAGTATTTCCGCAACGGTCGCTGCCCCATCCTGGTTGCCACTGCCGTGGCTGCTCGAGGTCTTGATATTCCCAGTAAGTGTTCCATGAGTGAGGGACATCAGTCTCCCGGATCTGAAACTCCCCCATTACACGTCCGTTCTAACAACCTCTCTAGATGTCACCCACGTCGTCAATTACGATCTCCCTACCGATATTGATGACTATGTCCACCGTATCGGTCGTACTGGTCGTGCTGGCAACACTGGTATATCCACTGCTTTCTTTAACCGCGGTAACCGTGGCATTGTCCGTGACCTCCTTGAGCTGCTCAAGGAAGCTCACCAGGACGTTCCTAGCTTTTTGGAAAACATCGCTCGGGAGTCCTCTGGCTTCGGTGGAGGCGGCCGTGGTCGCGGTGGCGGTCGTGGCCGCGGTGGAGGTGCGACTCGCGACATGCGTCGTGTAGGAGGTGGCTTGGGAGGTGCTCCTTCTTACGGTGGTAGCTACGGAGGTGGCGGTGGTGGCTATGGCGGCGGTGGCGGTGGCTACGGTGGCGGCGGCTACGGTGGTGGCGCTCCCAGCTATGGAGGCGGCTACGGCGGTGGCGGCAGCTACGGAAACCCTGGTGGTTCCAACGGTCCATCCTCTTGGTGGTAATCCAGCATCCACCATCACGAGAAGCATCTCACGGCGTTTATCATGTTTTACGGTTCATCACTTTCGACATCACTGGTCTGGTCTCTCCGGACTGGTGAGCATTTTCGGCATCTCCGACAGCATGATAAAGACGATAGACAGCGTTGGCTTTTCCGATCGATTTTCCAGATACCCAAATGTCGAGGCTCCTCTCGATGCAGCGATAGAGGAGCATCGATATGATTCACAGCATTGGCCCGGCCCGGCCTCGAATCTCATGTGAGCGACACGATGAAACGCGGCAAGCGAACCGTCAAAAAGTTTTTTATGACACGAACCAAAAGTTGCCGCTTTTCTGGTCGCAAGGATAACACATGAATGACGACTCAAAAGCGATACGATAGACTATGATGTGGGCTGGGCAACAACGCATTTCGCTGGGAAGGCGGATCGGATCTGTTCTGCACTTGAAAATAACCAGAAGTTATCAGTGGGAATGATTGCATACTTTCGGTGGTGTTTGTGCATACTACTAGTGTCTTGCACGGACCAAAAAGCGAGGGTGAATTATGCTCGTGTCACCAACGAGATGGACGATGAAGAGATCTCGAAGAGCGATGTGAGGCATGGCTTGCTCGCAATGCTGGTGTGCGCGACTCTGTGTGCGCATTGAATTAGTTCTCAAGTGACTAGGCAATGCGCTGAAGTAGGCAGAATCCATCACGCTGTACAGGCATTTCACCTCATCCATCGGGTCTTCTATCTGCATGCCTCGCTTCCCACAAGGAAACGTCAAGCATATGTATCCGTCGAAATAGCTCGTATTGCTTTCTTCGCACCTGGTGATATGAAGTTAGAAGGCGCTGTATGTCCAGTCTTCGCGTCGATACTCCGAAATCGCAGCGGGACATGAGTCATGGGTTCGGGAATGATTGGGAAACGCCGGCCTTACCGTGACCGCTACGGGTAATTTCTTAGTAATTTTATGCATATAGAAGATGATCTCGTTCATTCAGTCTGTTCGACTACATGGCTGACGAAATATTCCATGATGCTATGTCGCGACTGACTATCATAGCCACAAGTCACGCCCGTTGTTCAGCCAGCGAAGACACGCATGGGTACGCCAGCAGGGGCGAAACGGCAGCGTCGATGGGCGCCGAAGCGACGGACCGGGTGTGGAAGCTGCAAACAACGCCGGCTTCGGTGCGATGAGACGAAGCCAAATTGTCAAAGATGTGTCAAAGATGGCTTCGATTGCGACTGGCAGGTCGAACCTCGAAGATCCAGGACTTCTAGTCTACAACCACCGCGGCCAGCAAGCAGTGGCACTTCTGGGAGGACCCTGAACGGCACTTACGATCGAACGCAGTATACTACGGCTGTGACTGCCTTCACTAAACACAAGGACGGCCAGCACGTGCTTTCCTCATCGTTCCTTCCAACATACACAACGCCCTCTTCACCCTACGGCAAGGAAGCGGATTACGTCTACTTGTCCTACTTTCTGCTCAAGGTTGCGCCTCTTCTGTCAACGACCAAGGCGTGGCGCGATCTTTGGCAGGTTACAGTCCCTCAAAGTGCATGGACATCTGATGCAGTTAGACATGCACTAGTCGCCATGGCTGCAAGCTATGAGGGCCTCAAGCACAACGCCGACAGACAAGCGGTTGTGCTGAAGCAGGTCAACCTTGCCATCGGTGCTTTTCGTCAGGAAAAGATCATTGGACTGCTTTCAGATAGCAATGGAAGTTCAGATTCGGACGTTCGTCACGATCTCGACGTTGCGTTGCTGTTGTGTAGAGTCCTTGCCAGCGTCTATCAAGCTCAGAAACACTGGCGGCTTGCTTCAGCCACATGGGCTGGGGCGCAAAGATCCTACGGCAAGCAATGATCCAAAGTCGTGCTAGCAGCAGCACACAGGAGGCATCGTCGATGCCGCTCTCCGACATCGCCAAGACGATAGCACCCTCGTTCATGGTTGTTCTGAATGAGTCGTTGACGGAAGCAGATATGCCGGTTGGAGCTTACCTATCCGAAGACAATAAGAACATCTGGACAGAACTGCTTAGGTTTCGATCATCCTTCAAGGAGTACTTCCAGAAATGGATGGACCAGATCTGGCCTTCAGTCAATCGTGAACTCAAAGCGCATCTACTCACCAGCTGGGCCATGATGAACCATGCTATCAGCTCCGTCCTATATCCAGATCTGGTATCCTTCAACGCACAGGATCCAATCAAGCACGCCAGTGTTATTGAAGAGGAGCTCCGTGAGAATGGCAAATTGTATACTCTCGGTCACCTCACTGCTTTCGCGGACTTCCTCCTCAAAGACATAGACGCGTTTCTGCTCAATCTCCCAGGCTTGGACTCTGTCGCACAGCTTCTTGCAGAGAGACTGCGAACATGCCTGGAGAACTACGTAGTACAAGCTCGAAATCTTGAGCCGCGCATGTCGGCAGGCAGCTACTGGAGCAACAGACCAGAACCAAGGTGTGCAGTCATGATACGCCTTGGGTTAGCCAGAGAGGGAGAGGTGCTCCCTAACGTCTTCGAAGTGGACAAATACGGCAATCAGAACCCAGACAACGAATTGTTAGATGCCGATGAACGACAAAATTTCTATCTCGAACACGTCTGTCCGTACAGAAGCGGAATAGTGCCTGCGGGATGTTTTGAGGACATCTGCTCCCTTACTGACGACTGTTCTCTTCCTCCGAGATCAGCGAACGACCCCACGTGAGTGCTCGCACACGTGGCCCGTACAACCACAAGAGGATAGGGACTGGCCATGCTATTGCAAGAAACAAAACAGCCAGAACAGTGTTTCCAACACCATATCCAAGCCTCTCATACAGTAGTGGTGAGAACAGAGGAAATAAGAATCCGGCCAAGTAGCCCCAGAACTTCGATGCGGCACTAGCTGAGGCAGCGAATGGGCCGAACTCGTCCACCGTGTACGCCAGCCAAACCTGCGCCAATGCGAATGTACCAATCGTCCAGAAAACCACTGCGATGTCGACAACGATCCAATGTGCGTGCCTTTCAGCGGCCCAGCCGTACCACGTGAGACCGATCGGCACGATCACAGTCGCCAAGGCACCTAGAGGCATGCGAAACTCTTGGGCTTTCTTGTCGGTCTGTCGAGCCGCGTACCTGGCCTTCAGCCTCCGGTGCAGCAGATCCATTAGCCGGCCGCTGACTTGCACAGCTATACTCGCCCCAAGGGCGATGGCCATGTAGTGAAGCGACGCCGAACTCTCCGACTGGTGGTAGCGCTCTGAGTACAAAGTGGCAAATGTGGACAAAACGATGCAGTAGATTCCGAAATGCATCCCATTGAGGAGGGCGATGAGCGTCAGAATCGGCCTCGTGCAGAAAAGCCGGATGGGACGGAGCAGCGCCTGCCCGAGACGTATCTGCGCCTTCTCGATGTGGTCGCTACCCGCGGTCGGAGCGATAGTCGACAGTCCCGACGGCAATCTCGTTGGCGGCTCAAGGTCATCCGGCACAGTGCCTTTGTCCATGACCACTTTTCCGTCTCTAAGGGTGAAGTACCTTACCCCAAGCAGTCTTTCTTTCCGCCATCTGACCTTGAATGCGGCAGCTTCCTCCTTTTCTCTCTGCACTTTCAAGTATTCGATCTTCGCTGCACTGCTCTCCCTTACCAGAAACCAGCCGCTGGCCAAAAGGGCAGCTCCGAACAGAGCCATAATCCAGAACACCCACCTCCAGCCGACTCTCTCGCCCACCACGCCACCGAACAAAGGGCCTAGTGCCGGACCAAGGTACACCGCTCCACCAACTAATGCCAGTCCCTTTCCACGATTCTCCTCCTTGGGGTACAGATCTCTCATCACCGGCGCGCTAAGCACGACGCTCGTGCCAGCACCCCAGCCTGCCAGAAAACGCATGGTCAGGATCAGACCCAGAATTGGTTTTCCAGAGCTTCCCGTTATCGCCGTGAGGGCGTTTGCTAAAGTAAAGATCCCGAGCGAACCCAGGAGGATCGGTCGCCGGCCGATGCCAGGGTGTTCGGATAAAGGCGCGAAGCAGAGTGGCGAGAGACCGAGGCTGAGGAAGTAGATGGTCATGGTCAGAAGGGTGAGGACTGGAGATGGCGGGGATGGGTTCGAGAGGAGGATGGAGAGTCTTGGGAGCAGTGGTGATGGGGCGGAGGCGCAGGAGAGGGAGAGGAGGGATGAGAGGGATAGGTGCGCGGTAAGGAGGTGGCGTTGGAGCGGCGTCCAGTTGGCGGGTGAGGTGCTGGCTGTTGGTGGCGGCCGTGGTGGCAGCTCTTCCGGGAAGACTTCCGGAGTGGATGGTTCTGCTATGGTCGATGGAGCCATTGGTGGCCTCGACCGGTCTGGAGTGGGAGGCAGAGCAGTGAGCTCGATGTCTTCCTCCCACGGACTGCCGGTCCGTCTGTGGCTATGGCTGGATGCTCGTCTATATACGACCATGGCGTGCTGTCTGGCTCCGCCGATGTTATGTGCCTCGACGCCTCTCCACCGGCCCCTGGAAAGGAGCCAAATTCCAGGTCCAGACTGCGTCGCCTGGTGCTGACCCGCCGGCTGAGAGAGCGAAAAGCTCTTGAAGGCGAACGTGCAGTTGCCGCTCGACCTCGCGGGATCGGTGTCGGAGTGTCGTCCTCGTGAAGAGGCGTGAATGGGCCTCCGAGAGAGACTTGGGGCGGGCCGTCCTTAGGGACGTTCATCGTATGAGAATGGCACCTGACCTGGAGTTGCCCTGTTCTGATGCTTGGCCGGATATAGGAATGTATACTGAAGTGCAAAGCGCTATGGACACATCGAAGGATTTTATAGGTACGTGGTAATGATACAACACAAGTAGCGTTCGGTCATTGGGATCAATCGGCCAAAAGCTTCCATGAACACGGTAGGATCAGGCAGCATAGGGCACCGGCGAGGAGCAGTGCTAGCATGACGGATGAATGAGGGCACAGGCGCAACTGGAACAATCGGGTGTTTGCGAACGAATGCATCGTTCTGCACTGCAAGAGGTCAAGCATTCGGCGTACGAACGGTTCAAGCGTATGGTGGCATCTCGACGTGCGTGCAGCGTCAAGATAGCAACATCAATATCATGCCTCCGTAGAAGCGGTTCTTCTCGTATAGATGTGTGGAGCACATTCGCATCACACACTAGAGTGCTGTGGCCGTGTGCGGCTGCACACAAGAAACGCAACGAGCTTAGCTGGGAGCAGCATCCAGGAGCCAAGAAGCATACGTGACTGATCACGATCACAGTCTGCAAGCAAGCGGCATGTTGGCGTGAGTTTTATTGATTATTGTCCACTGCACGCGAGGACAGCTACCGGCGGCGGCTGGCTCCGGACATGCACGGAACAGGAGACTCTGCTCACCTTTATGCTGCGGCCTGTGAATGAAGCGCGGTCGACTTCAAGCCTGTCCAGATCCGTTGGCCTTCCAGCTTCACAGTGTCATGAGTGCCTAGCTGAGCTTCGAAGGACGTATCGTCGTTTTTACCGTGAATCCGGGAGCATGATGTAAGAAAGTGTCCAATCAGGGAACGACTGCCGTATATCGACCGATGTCGCTCACTGGCAAACTAACGACATCATCAGATTGGCTGTGGTCAGCATTCATGGGGTCGGCCTTCGTTGCTGGTTTCCTGGCTTGTCACATTGATAAGCTGGACTTACAGCAGTAGATGCACGAGTCAAGCTGACCCTCCTGGACGAGAGGACAGCAAGGGTGTGCCGCACGCATCGTTAGCAAGACTTCTGCGCGGAATCAGTAGGTAATGCAACTGCTGAGACCCATGTTGCTCCAATTCAGTACACCAGGCAGCAGCGCAATCCTGAATCATGCAATGATCAGTGACTGCAGCCGGTCCGACTCAAAGCACGATCTTTACATTGTCTGAGCAAGGTATAAATGCAGCTATAGCCATCAATTTCTTCTTCATTCCTTTCCCCTCCCAGGCACGAGACTCAGACCACTGCGAACTTGCCACGTTAGATTAGTCTATGCTGCTATTTGATGGGGCGACAACTATGTCGAACGTCCTGTCACCACGCGCAGATGTTGCTATGACAAATCGAGACTACTTTGACAATCCCAGTGATACTGAGCTGTCTGCGGATCAAGCAATTGACGCTCGTGGGCTCGTCCCACACCATGTCTATTCTGGAACCGAGATCTTGGGCTTGTCCTCGACGATAGCCTTGCAGCTTTGCCCTGAAGCAGACATCCCATTGTGGTCCACAAGACGACTGTGTGCAAGGTTTGAGTTGGCACATCTGGATAGGCGATGGTCTCAGCATGAAGATATTGAGCTAGACGGAGCTTCAAAGTGCTGACACCTCCTTCTACCCTCGACTGCGCCATGAACATGGGAACGACCACATGATACTTGTCCGAGACCGACCAGAGGAAGCTCTTCAGAGCAATGATAGCACCGCAAAAGCTGAGACATAGCTGACTGAGCTGTCCCTAATCGAAGTAACGTCGCTACTTCTCTCGTAGCGAAGGAATCGAAAGCGCCTCTTCATCTCTGTCTCGTTCGAGCCCACACCTGACTTCCTCTCTACTTCTTCCAGCCCTGCCATGAAGACTCCGATGGGATGTCTGCCGCACACTGTGTTGCCTGTGCCTTGCAGGATATCCAAGAACGCATCATGCGAGCCTGTGGCGATGGCACACATGCAAGCTCTGTCCACGTGAGCGATCGACTCGTGGATCTTTGGGCCTCGGCTCGGAACATCTTTGGATGATCTCAGTGAGATGCCTTGGGAAACTGATGATTGACTGTGAAGCTGGCCGTCTCGTGAAGGATTCGAGAGACCATTGGGCAAGCTTCCCGGATCGACTGCTGGTGACGGCGAAGTTGGCACATAGTACGTGTAACCAAACCGTGAGCCCCAGTGACAGAAGTCAGATGAGATGACGAACGCGTTGGTTGGATCGGCTATGTATGGCGCGAGGAGTTGGCCGAGTGCCTTCTCTGTAGCCGGACTCGTGCCTCCGACCATAATTGGCACTAGGGGAGGATAAGTCGATGTCGGTTGATCTGGGTAGAGTTTCTGGAGTAGTCGGTGAATGTATGGCAGCTGCATCTCAGCGGAGTGTTCAGCCTCGTCGACATCCTTGGACATGGTATTGAATTTGATCTGCCGGTTCTGCGAGGTTGTGGCAGTCATTGTGGACAGCTTCCGTATCAAGTCGAGATCCAGGGGCAGCGGATCAGAAGACAAGGGTGTCAGATAACCCTGAACCACTGGTAATGCGGCAGTGCTGAGGTGGTGATGATGGGATGGATGTAGGATGAAGATTCTCTTGGCTTGAGATAAGTCGAGAGCTTTGTAGGCGTAGGCTGCGGCAGGTCCGGAGTACGCAAATCCAGCATGAGGCGATATGACGACTCGAGAACCAGGTAGAGGCAATTCTGAGGGTGGCTTCGAAAGCCATGTGTCTAGTTGTTGGGTCAGCTCGGGACCGTTGGCGCTGTACCACGAGCCAGCATGATCAGGCTCGCGGACGGCCATTGCGACCAGGTGTATGCACAATTCCGGGGATCACTGTCAAACACAGTGAGCTTGGGGTGTAATGTCAGTGCAGGAGGGAAAGTATGTGTCGGTGATATGTGAAGATGATGTTGGGAAGAAGCGGCGGCCGAATTGTCACGTCCGCGTCTGCCCCGCCATCCCGCAGATTCGACTCAAGATCTCCTTCAAGTCATATTCACTCTTACCCCTGCTTCATCTGTTTCGCGAAAATCACCTCGGTGTTATCGCATTGTGCAAGAGCGATTCAGGCCTCTCCCATCTCGCAGACGACAGGGCGGCATTATTGTCCGACCTGCGTCATACCAGAGAACAACCGGATCTCCCTGTTCACGGCTTGTCTTCTCGAGATCAATGAAAGGGTACAGTCAGACCTGGACGGATCGCAAAACAGACTCGTCGTCTTGACCGTGCCTCACTTCCGCATCTCCGATACAGGTAGGGGGATCTGAAGCCAAAGGTCGTGACTTGAGCCTTGACGGCGAGAGCATCAACATTGCCATCATCCACTTTACGCGTGAGAGGCGCGCTTTCCGGGCTACGTGATCCGAGGTGGGGTTGCTTTTTCCCCAGCCGCGCCGATCTCTAGAGAGTCGTGTGCTTAAAACCTTGAGGTCCCTTCAGTTTTCAGCTGGAAGAGCGCCATTGCTTACTCGCGAGCTCTAGACATCCAGCTGCCCTGCCTTGCCCTGCCTTGCCCTGCAGGCTTCTGTACCTGCATATAATCGTCCCGAACCCCGATTTCTGCTCTGAGCTCTCGTCAACAACACGCACGCGACCATTGCTCCTTACAACACCACGCCTCACGTACATTTGCGATCGCCATGGGCCTCAAGCGAAAGGCTTCCTCGCTTGAATGCGACTATGCATTCCACCAGCAACAACAGCCATCCTCGCCACCCTCAATGACATTCTCCTCCACCACTTCGTCACCAGACAGCATGATCACCGAGCCTTTCCACACCACATCTACCTATCACCTCCCCATAACGACCAACGCGCCTTGGCTGAACTCACGAACGCGCAAACGCGTACGCGACAACCGGCCAGATGAATCTCAGATTCATTCCGACACAGTGCGAAAGCTTTTCGAAGCACAGAAGCCACACCTTCCGCAAGAAGACGCGATGATGATGGACAGCGACGACTTTTACCAGAACAACTCGTTGCCTACACCACCTATGGACGTTGAGGAAGAGATGGCAGAGGACCCAGCAAATGAAGACGCGTCAGCAGCGGCAACAGCTGATCTGCTTGTCCCCGAGGCGAATCAGCGCAGCTTGCACGACTTCTTCCGCCGTCAGCAGCCACATCAACAGGTCAACGTTTTTCCGCTCACGCCGCCCGCCGTTGTGGAAAGCACTGTCCCACTCTATACCCAGCAAATTCTGTTTACTACTCGTCCACCGACACAGCAAGAGATCGCTGCAGGTGCGCCGGCCCCCGTCCTTCGACAGCGATCGTCCATGGGCGTTCTCGGGGAGATCAACACGCCGCCGCCATCGCGTGATGAGCAGCAAGATCCTTCAGAAGGGCAGTCCACGTTCGCAGGAGGGGTGCTGGCTTGTGGGTTCCGGAGCAAGGTTGAGATTGAGGCGGGTTTGTTCGGCGGGATTGGTGTTGATGTTGCTTCCGGGGCAGATGCTATGGTCATGGGCTGAGCTACGCCGCGAATATGTCAGCGTGGGATCTTCGAATCGAGCAGCTTCAAGCAAGTATTTGTTTTGGCGTGGTGTAATGGGAGCATAGCGACGGTCTAGCAATGGCGTGCCACATGAGTAGAGAGAAAGCTCAGCAATTTTCGTTAGCTGAGAGGCGATCGGCACGTGTATACGTGTGTACAACCAAGTGTACGCGTAGATAAGGAAGAGCCCATGAAGGCCACAACTCCCTCGAAAATGAAGTCAGTTGCAGCAGCATTGTCATCCTCGTCTATATAGCACTCTGCATTAATCCTGTTCTCGGATGTCCATCCCATCACTACGCATTCTGGACTGCTGACGACGAATCCCTTACCACAGATGGAGCAAGGCTCATATGAGCTCTCCGCCAACGCAAATCGGGACAGATCGCCGGGCAGCGACTACTGCCACTGACACATGCAAAGAACAGTGAATGTCTCCTTGCAGGGTCAGTGAAGTGACCATGAGGATTTGCCGCGGAGCTTCATTTTGTTGAAGAGGTGTAAAAGTAAGCGTCTTGCTCTTCGACTTCGTCGTCTTCTCTGCCAAGTCAGACTTTAGCTACATGGCATTGCCATACATTGTAGCATCTGCTGCTGCCTGGTCGGACGAGCTCCATCGAAAAGTCGACTGCAGTTGCACATGTCTGAATCATGCAAATAGCAGTGAATGCTTCCTGGCCGAGTGTGTGAAGTGATCGGTTCGGGTTTCCTTGGATGGTGGCTTTGTTAAGAGGTATAAGTACTTAGTTGTCCTGCCCTTGACTTCGTCGTCTTCTCTCCCCTCAACCACAGACGAATTGCCATTTGATGAGTTTGCTCCTCATGCCATGGTAGTAATTGCTGCTGCTCGGTGGGACGAACAAACTCGTAGTATGGCCGACTTCTTCTCCGCAATCGTGTTCAAGAATGGGTCACACAGCCAGGAACCATCCCTGCGATGCGACGTTCCCTTTGCTAGCACAACAACTGCCATCGGCCGATCAGCATGGGGAACGACGGGACCACTGTATGTATGCACGATGCCGAAAGACCAGTCAAGTCGACTGCCATTCGTCAATCCATCTCATCAAGCTCATTCCCTACTTCCCCCTGCCCATGCTCCTTGCTCAGCAATGCCATCTCCTTCTCTTTCTGCAAACTCCCCTCCCCCTCCCCAACCAGAATCCCCACACAACACTCCCCCAACATCCCCTCCCAGTTTACCCACGGATGCACCTCCATGAATAGCGCCTCTCCCTCTCGGCCCGCCGCCCTCAACAACTCCGCTTTCCCACCTGGATGGAAATTCAGGTACGGCGTAACATTATACACTCGACCCTTGTAGCTCGTCCACGCATCCTTGCCTTTGCGACCCGTCTGCTGCTTCAGGAGAGAAGGTGGGATCTTCATGAGGGCACCACTGGGAGACAAGCGCTGAAAGTCGTGGCCGAGAAGGGTAGTTTGCGCGTTACGGGATTTAGTCAGGGTGGCCCAGTCGAGCGGGGAGTAGCCAGGCGCCAGGGTGATTTGCCGGGACTTTTTGGTATTTTGGGTGGTGGGGATGGGGAGAGTGGAGGAGGCGGGCTGCATGTGAGTATTGCTCAGGACCTTAGTAGCGGGCACGCGCAGGCTGGCAGCAGCGAGGGTCGAGGTGGAGGCGCATGGTAGGAGGTTTGAGGCGTGGTGGTGAGGAATTGCGAATTGCGGAGACTGGCGGTCGTTTCGACGTGGTTGGGCGCGGAGGCGGGAGCATTGTCATGCTGTTGGTGTTGGTTGCTGGTTTTTGACGTGGCAGTGATGGAGGCGCAACCGCAGGTGTGTCTCCTGCAGTGGTAGAGGTGCTGATCGAAGGAACAGGTGCCTCATCGGGCGCGACAATTGACGGAGGGGCAGGCACGTTGCCATGGCTACTCTGCCGAGTCGTCGCTGCTGATGTCAAGTGATCTGTGACAGCGCCATTTGAGACTATTTCTCCATTCTGCTGTTCCTTCTTCTCCAATGATGTTGAGGCACCTCGTTCTTGGGGCTCGCCATTGGCATGTCGTGTGAGGAAAGTGTAGATGAGGCAGGTGGCGATCAGGGTACCGGCGCCTGCAGCGATCCAGCCCATGACAGTGTGAACGGCAAGTGACCCCCGGGAAGTGACTGTAAAGTCGTCATGGTGTCGACTGCTAGCACGACATTGCAGACACTCGAGTTGTGGCGAGGACGGATCTGGTAGAACACTGACTGAAGTCAGACCTACAGTGCCAAAGTGGCCGCCCGGAGATAGATCGTCGGATCTCCGGACGATCTTCGGAGTCTTCCTGACCTCTCCGACAACCTACTGACGATGACGGCAATATCATTTTCACATCAAATCAAAAACCTGGGACCCGCTCACAGGCCACCGCTCTGGGCCATCAGCTCAATCACATGCAACTTGGGCGATGGATAGGAGCGAGAGATCATTTGGTCTTCATGCGAGTGCGTGCAGAGCTCTTTCACCAACCGCAATGTTCGGTACCTACTTTACTGAGGAAAATGGCGAGCCACGCGCTAGGATCCAGTGGGCGCCCATCGAGAGCAACTCTTCTCACTGCCACAGGCATGCCACGAAGCACCTGACGCAAGCAGACAGGTCAAGTATCTAAGGAGAATCTCTTGTATCCATTCTAAGTCGTCTGTTATCCATCCTTCTGCCATACTAGCATGTATTTGTCTTCAGGTGAAGTACACTACGCGGGAATCGCCAGCCGAAGTACTCGTTATCTGTTCAGATGCATCCAGTACGATTATTTGAGTACCTGTAAAAGGTAGGTTGCCAGCTGGAACTCAGGTACAGTTTCAGCCAGCGCAATGCCCCAACAGGACACTGTGTCATGCAACCGGCAAATGCAGAGAACTCAAATCGCACACTTCAAGAGACAGGCAAGAAGAGCGATATCTCGTATGTTTGAATATTGTCGATCAAAATCACTTACATTCAGCCACCTCACCTTTTGAACTCCAGGCGGTAATCATTCCCTGCGGTGCAACCATCAAGGCCTTGACACAAAGGTCTCCGCGACAAGTCACAACAGTCCCCCGACGAGATACATACCCAGGTACCCACGTCGACATGCCAGCACAGGAGCCTCGAGGATTTGTATGGCCTCATCCGTGCAGCGCCGCAGCCAAAGCATGGCCCACGCTGCAGCTGACACCGATCACACCGACCATCCTCAACAGCCTGTCCGAACACAGACGCGACTGCCCAATCTGCACAATCGAATTCGCACCCGACAACTTCGTGACCATCTTTTCATGCTGCAGTACAGCCGCACATGTCACGTGCCTTTCTGCCTACCTAAACACACCTCCACACGATCGCCTAAATGCGGGACGTGAAGAATGCATATGGTGCCGTACCAAAATCACAGTCGGACGCAGATTGAACCGAGTCGTCGACCCAGGTCCGTGCCGAGCCTGGACAGAACAACAGAATTTCGAAGTTCCCAAGGATTTGCAGTCGAAGACCTGGCCGCTGGTCATCGACGTCAGCCCTCGCGTCATCGACCCTCGTCCCAGAGCAGTTCATCGCGCGCCGCCAGCCCCCAACATACAACGAGAAAGCGACGATAACCCTCCAAGGCTCACGTACTTCCCGTCAAACACTACGTCTGTGCCAGACAATGCCGCGCGGCCCAATTTCTTCATCTGGCCTCAAGCCTACTACACACGCAGCGAAATCGACGGTATCACGTCACGGTCAATAGCTGCGCCCGTACCAGACGATGCTGCGCGGCCCAGGGTACTTTTCCCCCCGCCTCAAAATCACGCCCCTCGCGAAGAACCAGACGGCATGGTCGCAGAGCACGAAGCAGAAATGGCAGCCGCCGCGCGCGCAGCAGACTATCCACACGCGGCGCTGATCGAGGAGTACCTACTCCAACAGCCAGAGCAGCGCGACTTGTTCATCCAAGATGGCATGATACCTCCCAACCCAGACCCAGGCCAACCGGAGAACGACGTGTCTGAACGGCTCGCGCCAGCGTTGAACGGAGGGCCGGTTCAGGAGCCCAACAATCAGGAAGCCTTTCCCTTTCACCGGCAATTCGAACGTCCTGCACGACCTGACTGGTTCGAACGACTCGACTGGCATGGACGTGAACGCGAACGTCAGCAAGCCAGCACGTGGGACTTCAGTATCCTGCCAGATGGTTACTTCGACTTGCCAGGACTGGGAGCCCGGACAGACGATGACTTGGACTCTCTAGCCGCGGAGGTGGGCTCACCAGGGGGGCCAGTACAGCCACAGCAGCCATACCTTCAGGCCCTTCTTGCTGGATCCGTACAAGAGGTCTCAGACCGGTATGCGGAGCTGCTTGATGGGATGAGCGCTGCCTAGGCAATTGAGACGTCTAGGTGACAAAATTTGTTGTGTCTACAAGTCCTCCGGTAATCGATTTATGTAACAGATCGTTGGCCATTTGAGCACCGTCTCAGTCACGAGACGTGATTACTGCTATGTAAAACTAGCTAGCTACCTGTCCTCAATGCTCGTAGCCCTGATGAAGGACGGCTGTGATCTCGTGCGTCCAAAACCTGACACATACACACTCTTCTGCGATTTAGTCCCGAAACTCCATGCTTTGTCCGTGCCTGCAATAGATCGATTCAAATTTCCCACTTGCAATTGACCGTGACCATTTTCCGGTAGCCCATAAACACTAGTAAAGAGTCCTCACGACTGCTCTGATTTATCCTGCTCGACGCTCGAAACCGACACTGTCGGGCCAACCAATGTCGGCGCGACGCGTCGTTTCTTAGATCGAGCGCCGTCCTCCTTTTCTGATTCGCTTGCATTTGCAGTCACCGAGTCACGCTTGCCGAGCACACTTCCCGACACAGATGATGTTGCACTATGCAGACCACCATGTGCACTGGCGGGTGTCTGTGGAGGAGTGTTCATCGGTGGTATGGTCAATGGTGGTGCAGTATTCATAGCCGTCGCTAACGGCACGTGGCCAAGCGTCGGAGTAGGATTGTTGGTTATTGACTGCGCGCCAGTCTGTATCGATGCCATTGTGGCAATGGACGACTGAGAGTTCGACCGAGTGGGACTACCAGGTCGTATCGAAAAGGTAGGCGCAGGTGATGGGTGTGATGGTGGCTGGAGAATAGGAGATGCCTTGGTTAGAGATGGCGAAGCTGTTGCTGTAGGTGTCGGTATCCGGGTTGTATCAGCTGAGGAGGTAGGTAACGCAATCGAAGTTGAGACGACCGGATGATGATGTGTAGGTACTTGGCCTGTATATATCTGGCCAAGTTCGCCAGGGGAGAACGATAACGTGGAGCAGAAGCCGTCCGAGGACGACATAATTAATGTCAAGCCATCGTTGGACCTGGTGAGAGTTAGCAACGTTCTGGCATTGAATGTGAGACGCTTACCATGACAGATCCGAAAACGTAGCGAAGTGAAGATTACTCACGACCGCCAAAGGTATCGTTTGTTGTGTGTCATAGACGAATACTGCATCCTGTGTGGCAACAGCGTATACCATGCGGTATGGTAGCGCAAACACTGGAGTGGGAGCGACAAGATCAGCATCGGGAGGCTTTGGTGATGATGTTGGTCGACTCGTGTCTCCCAGTGAGGAGTTGGTGTGCATCAGAGGTGGAGGATCCATTGAGGCGTGTGGCACGATAGGATCTGGTAATAGAGGTATTTCTTCGCCGGCTGATGCTGTGTCGATGGTAATGTAGTTGGTGGGCCTAGCACTTTGGCGTAGGTTGTAAAAAATAGGAGAGCATTTGACTGCTATTGATGGCTTCTTGTGTCCTGGTAAGTGGGCTACAGGCGGCTTGTTGAAGCCAGCCCGAGTGTAGATGTAGACGGTGTTCTGGACTTCGTCTATTGTCTTTGTTGGCTCTGTAGGGATGGGATGAGAGACTTTGTACTGGCCAGCAGGAGTGAACAAAAGACTCCCATCCGGTGTGAACGTCAATCGTCGGAAGAAAGAAGTGAGAGTCTCGTTGTGGTAGATGTTGGTATTGCGTACTGCGAGGCCCATCGCAGCATTCAAGCTTGGTGAGGAGATTTCTGGTCTGACAGCAGGCAGTGGCAGCGAAGGAGCCGGAGATGCCGAGCGACGGAAGGAAGGTGACGACCCAAACGACGATCGACGACTCTGTGTCATAGCTGCTGGAGGGTCCATGGGCAAGGGTGTAGTCAGGGGCGTGCCAGGATTGCTAGGCGCGGGCGACGCGATTGGAGCGTTGGTGGCACTGGCACTGGACACTCGATGGTGATGATCGGGCGCTGGACTGTTGGAGGATATTCGACGGCCAGGCAAGTCCATCTTGTTGAACTTGCCGAACGTCTGAAGGGTGCACGTGCCATCCTTAAGCTTGAGAGCATAGATGTGGACTGAGCGGTCGGAGGATTGGGTAGCCACGAATTCGTTAAGCGGATCCCACGCCACGCCCTGAATGTAGTGGTTATGCTCTGCGATCTGTCGTATCAAAGCACCTGCTAGAGTCAGCACAGAGATATGACTGCCACCAGGTGGGACGGACCTGTTTGCCCATTGTATATGCGTGTTGTATTGTCCATGCCTCCTGTGATGAAGTACATGCCATCGGGCGACCAAGCGAGGTCATAGATTTCGGCGCCGGTGCTTGTCCGGATCATGTGCTTGACTCGCCATGACTCCTTGTCTTCCGAATGGTCTTCTCCCATAGCAGCAGTAGGTGCATCGGCGGGAACCCATAGCAGGATATTCCCATCGTCGCCAGCGGATGCAAGCGTTTCACCTGGAAGGTTAGTGGAAGTACCTGTAGAGATTACGATGGAGCGAACCTTTGGGACAGAAGCGGACGACATTCACTGAAGCAGTATGTCTCGTGAGGGTCGATAGGTATGTTACTTTACGCTCGTCCCCTACCGATTCGATGCTCCAGAGCTGTGGACATTTAGCAAGCGTCGAAGGACGGATTGTGGGGTACTCGCTCTGATGTTGTTGTCTAAACCGGCAGTAGCTACTCTGCCCTTGCCATTGGGATCATAGTGAACCGAGTATATGGCCTGATTCTCGTTGTGCCAGGTGACGAGGAGGGGTGTAGCCTTCATGTTTGCTTGCTCCGTGCGGCCATCGGCCGCTATAGAATCTTCAACAAACGAACTTCGGGAGGCTTTTGTGTGCCGCTGGCTGTAAAGACTGAGTCCTGATCAAGCCAGTAAGGTGTGGGAGAGCAATGAAGAGATGTTGAAGGAGGAAGCAACGGGAAAGATGTGCAGACTTGCTACGGTTAACCTGCAGGTGCGACTGCAGTAGTTGGAGTGCAACTGCTGGACTAGACGACACGCGGGTTGAGTGGGACCTTCCCTGGGCGCGTCAGCCAATTAGGAAAGTGCACTTAGAAAGCCCCTCGGAAAGTGCCATCCACAACACACCATCCATTGATCATGGTCATCTACCTAGGTACACACACGGAAGACCTCGTAGGAAACAAATGGTTCGATCTGCATGTCATGAGGTGTCAAATGATGAATTGCGGTTATTGATCCTCATGTACCACCCAGCCGCTAGGTTCGAGGTACAGTGCCTGGTATCGATTCTGTGTAGTCGCGCTGGGCCTTTATGCTCCTGCAGCTTCTCGCCTGGCTACCAGCCACCCTGATCGCTATCACGATACCTTAGAAAGGCAGCATGTCCAAAGCACTCGCCAACAGGATCCCAGTCCCTAACATCGGCGCCACAATTCTCCCAGTATGCCACTTCACCCAATCATCCAGCCGCCTTTCCAGCTCCTGATCCCTCGGATTTCCAAAGTCCTCCTTACCCTTCTCTAACGACTGCCCCATCGCCTTGATCTCATCGTTGATGGGGAAGACCAGATAGACCTCCCATGGCCCGGTAGGTATCATGACTGCCACCGTAGCGACGTAGTGCTTCCATCTAGGATCCCCGTTGGTGAAAGCGATGGCGATTGCAGCAACGAGACAGGCTGGTATGATGCGTGAGGAGGGCTGCAGGTAGGTGAAGCCGAGCTGGATGATGTGGTTGAATTGGCGGATCTTAGAGGATGTGGTGGGTGCGAGTCGGACAAGGGGGATGCACCAGATGGTGAGAGACAAGGCGATGCCGGAGAGGATGGCAAGGGAGAATGTTGCTAGGAAATGGAGGATGTTGGTGAGGAGGAGCGCGACAGGTGCGGGTGACATATTGTTCGAGCAGCAAGATTCTATAGAGAATGTGGTTCAATGTCTGGTTACCTGATGTAATGGAATTGAGGAAATGATGGAGGAACGCTGCTGATGTTGGGACAGGCTCTAGTCACAACGGGAGCAGTCGAATCTCTTATGAGCCAGGGCTAGTAAGTGGCAGCTGCCTAGCTGTTGCCCTGACTATTGTCGATCAATCGGTGCAGGTAGCATTGCTTCCGAGTCGGCAGCGGATTCTCACATGCCCCGTGATATGGTTCGGGTGATGGCGTCACAGTGCGAATCTGTATTCAAGGTTTCTTGGCCAGAAATCCTCTTCGAGGTAGTACTGTAGCAGACTGGTAGCGTGGCCCATGCCGAAGTGGAATGGCAAGTTGAGGGCGATGTCCTGAGTAGGCGGCATAGATCCTCTACCTCACTGGCATGGTCATCAACGTAGCTCGGCGGTCTCTAAAATTAAACGTTACGTTTTGTCTTGTGAAAATTGTGGTATAGTACAATAGATTCATTTATCATAGATAAGCAGATACCGGATATCTTTACTGTGATATAGCAGAAGCTTGTGCTAACATGTGTTTTGAGTCTGCACCAGTCTGTGTTGATAGCAGACCGCTAGCCATACAACATGCTTGAGAGAAGAGAGATCTCCGTCCTCGTCAGTCCATCGCTTGCTCATGTGCTCGGAAGAGAGTAACATGGCACCCTTCACCACTCCAGCCTTGAGGATCTGTCGCGTCGCGCGGCGATGCGCTCCGCGATCCTTCTTCGTTGGAGTGCCCGTAACGCCAACCGCACCGAAAGCACATAGTAGCCTCCTTGACGTACTTTTGGTCGAATTATGTTGACCACCCATCGTTGATGTCTGATGACATGCCTGCTTCGCACCACGGGAAGCATTGCCAGTTCAGACCAGTAACGAAAATGCTGAGCATCGCTCCCATACCGCTCTTCTAGAAACTCTGAGCCGACACTTGAGCAGGCTGTGGAAAGAATTAGTGGTCGTAGACCTGAATGGCGCATTGTTTGACTTACCGGACTGTTGAGCATATTCTGTCGAGCGTTTCTACCCTTTTTGATGTGACTCTTCAAAGCATTCGAATCGAGCGGCTTCAAGAGCTCGAAACTGCACAAAAGATTGCTTGACACCGACATGACAGCACCCCAGTTATCGAACTCGCCGCAGTACTGTGACGTGTAAGCCTCGCACTCAAAAGCAGGATGAAGTCAGTGGGTACTCACGTTAGGCGCTGAAAATACCGTCACCAGTAACCGATCGTTGAAGAACTCATAGCCGTCTTCTACACCATGTGTGCTCGGCACACCAGATCGAAGTCGTGGCGTGAGAGGAAGTCGATGATCACCTTCTTGCCAAAGCAATAACTCACGCCACGCTCGTTGGATTCCCAATCTTGATCCATGTCGGCCGGATCGCTCCACAACAAGTCATTCAGAAGACCATAGTCTGGGACGTCCGTTGGTCGAGCAATTTGTCTGATGTCGTCCATATGTGTTAGGCTCGGCGAGAGACCGCCATGAACGCAGAAGATCTTCTCTGCCACGATGGCCGCAATCGGTAGGCAATTGAAGGTGTCGATGAACGTCTTCCATACTTTGATATTGCATCTTCGCTTGCATTCGTCGTAAAACCCGTACACACGCGTGACATTGGCGCACTCGTGATTGCCTCGCAGAATGAAGAAGTTCTCCGGGTACTTGAGCTTGTAGCAGAATAGCAGGAGAATGGTCTCGAGCGATTGCTTGCCGCGATCGACATAGTCTCCGAGGAACAGGAAATTCGACGCTGGAGGGAAGCCGCACATCTCAAACAATCGTATCAGATCGTTGTACTGGCCATGGATGTCGCCCACGATCTTGACCGGCGCACTGAGCTCGATTAGCGCAGGCTGCGACAGGAGAACCTCGCGAACAGCCGTGCAGATAGCAGTGATCTCGGCATTCTTGAGGCAGACTGCTTTGGTGACCTTGGTGCTGTATCCCGCGTCGAGCAGCCGCGAGATCATGTCGTCCAGATCTAGATCGTTCACGTCTCCCAACGCCATGGCGCTGCTAGGCGATACACCTGGAATGCCTTCGGCCAATTTTGCGCGGATCGAGGCTTTGGTATCCGGAGAGCGCGGATTTATCTGGTTCTCTCGTTTGACCAGAATCGATTCGCCAGCTTTCTGCGTGGCTGAGTGGTGGTGAGTCTGATGGGGTTCCTGATCGGACACCGCACCTACTTCACCAGTGCGCTGCGCCCGGTCTAGGGACTTGTGACCTTTGCCCATCGACTTGGACTGTGTCGGAGACGGAGGTCTGACGGGGGTACCAGTGCCTGGAGACGGAGCTTCGTCATCTTCGTCGTCGATCGTCGTCGGCGACTGAGCTGTCGCAGAACGTCGAACAGATGCGGATGACTTCAGAGAGCTCGTTTCGCTCTTGTCTGCGCCGTCAATGCCGGACAGCGCTGACCCACTTGCTCTCGGGCTGTCGGTCTTATCATCGGTAGAGGACGACCGCATCTTTGACCGGATCGACGAGCGAATCGAACGTGATGTGCTCTCTTTCGTGTCAGACTTGCTGAAGGAGGGGTATTGCTGGAGGCCATCAGGAACGAGGTTCGAGGAGGATCCAGACTTTGTGGGAGTGCGAGTGCCCGAGTCACCGCCTTTCGACTGATTTGCACCCATCGCTGCTGCGCGAAGGATCTACGTCCGATGCGCGGGTCAGGGTGGTCGAAAGAGGGCGGAGGAATAAAGCCTTAGGGGATTCGTGTTGACGGATTTCCTCTGACCGCAGGTCAGATGTCGAGTCTCGAGCAGGTAGTATCTTCGACTTCGAGGACGATATCGGCGCCGATGAGAATAAGTGTATGTTTGCTTTTGGGAGCGCGATTTGCTGGAGGCTCGTCAGCGATTAAATCCGAAACAAAGCGGCTTTCTGGAGTTTGGGCTTCGTCATCGCAGCTCCGCCGAGCGGGATCAAAACTTTCACTTACAGGCCGACAACGCTCTCAATGTTCTAGTTGAGCAAGTTCAGAAGGCGCGCAGGACAAAGAAAACGAATGCGCTATGTTCCTGGCTACGAATCGCCGGCTGATTGTAGCAATGACGATGGAGTTAAACGGGAACTCTCAAGTGAAGATCGCTCACGCCAGGCAGGCACATGCCTTGGCAAGGCTCCGAAACTCTTTGGCTTCTGCAACCGAGCGCCTTTGTTGCCTACAATTTTACGTGCTCAATGCGACCGGTCATGTTCCGACGCACTCGCTAGCAACCATCGCATGGCTTCATGTCGCTCCTAGCCTCCTCGGCTCTTTTGAAGTGAAGACATCATGTCTTCATGGTAGCATGCGACTTGCCGACATCCGTATTTCCAGTGCTTGGGCTGCCCCGCCCCGCCCCTCTGACATTCACGGATCTCGACGGCAACAACTCCCCATAGTCGACTAATCAACTGAGAACATCAGACTGAGTGGCAAACGCTTCAGTAGCATAGTTCGAGGGCCACGGCCTGATGGGCCATCTCGTGATCGACCTCAGGGTCACTTGCACAACACATTTGGCGAAGCCAGATGTTTGAGCGCGACTTTGGCCAGGACCGCCGGACAATTCTTCCGTCCCGGGGTGCTCATTCGTGTCAGCGCGACGTCGAGGCCTCGAGGTCGTCAGGGACTTGTCGTACTAATCCCGAGTTCAAGTCTTGGATCGCGTTGGCAAGCTTTGTCCTGGAAAGACCTTGTCCTCCAGTTCAATCCTGCGAAAATGATCTCCGCCAACTGTGACGAGGCCTATATATCGCTGCGACATATCTGCTCGTGCTGGCTTTGCACCTTCCTTAGCGTTCGCCGCTTCCGCGAGCACTCGAGCCTCTTCCTTGGCTGATGGCTTGCGGTACTCAAACGTATTTGACAAGATAATATTCGCTTCCTGATCCGTAGCCTTGAAAGTCCCTGTGCAGTGGTTAGTGCCTAGATCTCGTTGTCTTCCGGCGACTGACCGACAAGCAAACGCCCATCCTCAATAGTTACGTGGAGCGTCTTGCCCAAGATCGATTCGAGAAAGGCCGTAGAGTCTTCGTTGACCATCTCTGCAAAAGATGAGAGACGTTGCAGCCCCTGTGTGAACTGTGGAAGGACAGCCTCAGTGGGAGTGCCAGCCGAGGGGTGGAAGTCGAATTTAGGCGTAACTCAGCAAAGCTTAGCCCATACCCGCGCCTGATATAATTTCAAGTTACACCCCAACCTCAATCTTGTCATTGTTCTGATATCTGTTCACCCAAGGCCCGTGTCTCTCGGGTCTGCCGTCGACCCTACGGCTGTCTCTCGCTGTTCTCGGAAGCAGGGGATCACGACGAGCCCCTCTCTGACGCGTCATGAAGGTCACGGTCAGAGTACAGTAAGTCAAATATCACTATGTATTCACCACTTCTCCTATCTATGAGCCGGCATACTGTTTGATCCGCCTCCCATATCACGGACCTGGGCTACGTGAGCGACAATGTTGCATAGTGATAGGTTGGTCGCCCCTTCGGTCGGCAGAGTCCATGTGTGTTGACGCCCCCAGAGATGGACTACAAGAGGTCTCTGCTTGCCGTTGCTGGTTCGTGGGACGAAGGCCTGGGGCGCACAGGCACGCTGGAGTCACTGCACATTCAGGATGTTCTCAGGTTCGAGTGCTTTTTGGACGATTCGGCGCCATAGGCTAGTCATCGCCAGCGACAGTGAATGACAAACGCGGGGCACGGCAGTGAAGTATCGGTGTCGACCACATCATAGCTCTTGTCCTGCAAGTATACTACTGACCACAATTTTCATTTCTCTATCTCCCCACCTACCACTGATTGACCTTATTGCACTGTCCTTTTTGTCTTGGACTGTTGCGGTAAGCAATGCTGGAGTTCTTAGGGATCGCTGTACTCGCCTGAGGGGGATACAAGCTCTCCGCCATCGTGACCACCAACTTGAGGCTGGTCTTGGTCTCGGTCTCAAGAGATATCTCAAGACAAGATCGTGTCTCGATCCTTCGGTCAAGGGCTTTGACCTCTTCTCGATCGATGATGGCGCCAACAAAACCACCTCGACATGAGTGGTCCGAGCAGGATCGTATCCTGCTCGCACTGAGCTACAGATTTTACCAAAACGAAAAGTCTGCCATGTACAAGATCTGGAACCAAATCAACCATGCGGTTCTTATTCGCGAAGGCTTTGCGAACGGTGCTATTGCGAACACCGCACTCAACAGCCAATTCGCAGAGATGAAGCGCACCCAGGCAACAGTCTACAGACAGGTGTTCGACCAGCCAGTTGATGTCGTTCGCCGTCAATTTCGGGTTCATAAGGACCTGTTGGAGGACACCGCACAAAAGCTGAATATCTCGCTGGTCCTACGAGTACATCCACCGGCACCATCGACCGCGCAGCCAACCAATAATGCTCCACCACCAACTGTAGCTGGAGGTCCATTTCGTCGAGAGGATTGGAGTCCTTCAACAGTACGCTCGGATCACATTACAACCCAAAACAGCGATCTCGATTCGAGTCACGAGAGTCCTGTTGCCAGTCGACCGAATCTACAGTCATTCATCTTTTCGGCCGACGGCTGGCAGCCCGCTGCACCTGCTGTCAATCACACACCAGTCTCCGATACCAGACAAACAGAAAACCACGTCAGCGAAGCTCAACCTACTACCAGACCATCATATGTTCCCCGTTCAGTCTTCAAGGGAGTGTTTGTTCCACCGCCTCCGTCTACTGCACCTGCCACTCCTGTGGTCTACCTCCCCGATACACTAGCCAACGTACGGAAGTCGCCAGTTCTACGAACTCCGTTCGACAGCGAAGGCGTCCTCGGAAAATGGCATCCCGTACTTCTCTTTCGCGCATTCGATCCTGAGCATGGCCTGACTGCACGACGCTTCCTGGACGAACGCAGCATTCCTATGCCACCAACAGTTCTCTCTTCAGCATTCAAGGACGAAGTCACTCCACACCTGCGTGGCGACACAACTTACCAGAGTCCTTTTCTGAGTCTGACCCAGAGCGCAAATCGTGCCTTAGATCTCATCGAGGAATCGGTTCATCAGAAGTCAGTACGCAAGTATAGCTCGGACGCACAGAAGTGGCTGGCGGTCTTCCTCTATAACGACATCGACGACGAAGCGCGTCAGCAGTTTGATGGACAAGGTCTTCATCGCAACAAGATGAGGCCCAGACTGGTTCCGACCATATGCAATGATCATGGTCTGGACAATCTGCCAAATGGTTACCGAGGATTTGGCGAGTTTCTGGTTTGGGGCAAGTTGGACAGTCAACCTCTTCTGATACTTGATACAACCCTGGCCCTAGCGCTAATCGATGTTCTCAAGAACATGACAATGCTCTGTCCGGAAGCAGCTGAGGATCTGCTGCCGTTCGTGAAGGATGTCGTTCCCGAATGGCGAGATACTCTAGTGCGCGCGTTAGTGACAAGTCAGAAGATACCAGGGGCAGATCGGCCTGACAGTGCCACTTGGCAGACTTTCGCGGATATGTTCTACGCCGAGGAAGATCAAGACGCTGCTAGATCGAGGCGCGCCACTTCGCTCTTCTCGCACTTTACAGTTGAGCACGCCAATGATGGTGAGAATGTCGTGATCGTCGAGGAGGACGAGCACGACGTCGAATCGAAACTACCGCGTACAACTGTGCCGAGAGTCACCAATGAAGCTGATCTTGGCGAGGATGTTGAAATGTATGACGAGGGTGCTCAAGGCATCGAAAACGAAGCTCATAACAGCGACTCTGAGGACGATTGGCAGACTGTGAGCACGATCGGTCACACATCTGTTGATGAACACGGTAGCACTCCCGACGACTCAGTGACAATGCTGCAGGGCATCAGAGACGCCGCGGGATCGCCAACTCCTGTTGGTCAAGTCCAACCTCTGAGAGTAAGTCGGAGTCCGGAGCAGACTAACGCGATCACCATTGGGGATGAGCCCTTGAAGAAGCCTGTCGTCATAGACCTTCGAGATGATTTCGAGGAACCGATCAACTTACCAGTCGCTGCCCGTAATGCACCGGTCGAAGTGATCGAGGACGACATCGAGATGGCAGAGGCCGACTCCGAGCCCGACTGGGAAATCATCGGCTCAGCTCACCGCCCGCTCTCTCACCGCAGTGGCTCGTTTGCTCGGAACCCGACGCAGGAGACGCCAACGCCGGCATCCCGCTTTCCAAGAAAGCATGGTCACATGCTCGATTGACTTTCCACGTTGCACGTCTTCATGATACGTCAGATCCCACATTTAGAGAAGTCACCAATCACTAACATTGATTCAGAGGCGTGTTGAGCCTGCACACGACACGACGATGGATGAATGGACGAGCCTTGAGCATGGCTTGCTGGAGGCCGCTCAAAAGCTTTGAGGACCTGGGTGGGTAAGCACAGGAGAAAGAGCTGTCAACATACGAGCTGACTCTACTTGGTACAAGTCCAATACAGAGCTCTCCGGGAGGTAGGAGCGATGCAGGCATCTCGTCTCCTGCTTCTGAAGTTGCTGTAGCATGAGATACTCAGGATTGGTTAGCTCACATAGACTGATTGGAGCTCGGACAATCAAGACAGCTCATGCTCCGCGATGATTGCAGCCAAATGACAGCGCATCAAGATCTCCCCAGACCGATTGTCACCCTACATGTAGATATATTACATCTTCCGTTCCCCCCTAGGTAGCTAGACAGCACGACCGAGCTGTAGACTACGCGATGGGACAGGGTAACGAGCACGTGTCTCCCAAAGTATGAGTGAAGAGGACCTGGAGCGCATCAGTCTACCTATCGAAACAGCTATCTAGCAAGGAAAGCCGCAAGCCCTCACACCCCTACATATTTATATGCTCACATCAACATCAATCGCAAATTTCGCTTGCTAATAAGAACAACAGTTGAAATCACAAGATCGTCCATCTATTGGACATGAGTCTCAAAATCCACGCTCTCTTGCCTGAATCGCTTGCTCAAAGGCGAGAATCACGTCATCTACTCCAAGTCCCACCATCCACCTTTGGTGTGGCTGCCGATTCACCAAGCATTATACTGCCCTTTTCGCCAGGACTCTCTGGTCCACTTCGGTAGCTCGCCGCCAGGCTCCCTCCAGACTCATCTTCGGTGTCGTTTCGGTCATCGGCGTGCCCGACGCAGGCGACTCGCCTGGACTAAACAACACCTGACTAGGGAGCCTGTCCATCGTCGGACGATTATGCTCATCTGCTTTGGAGACACGAAGCAGCGGCGGAGGCCCATCGATGTATGTGATAGAGTCGAGCCGCTCGCCTCGATAGAGGACGGGTTCGTCGAAGGCGTCAACTTCCTCGATCGGGAGATTGTCTTCGTCATCTCCTTCGTCCTCGTCTTGCTCTGCTAGCATGTTGTGGTTGTGGGAGTCCTCTGCTTCGTCTTCATCCTCTTCCACAATCACTGATTTCCGCTTGCCGGGCGTGTTTGGCTCTTCCGGAATGGCTAGACTGCCGCCGATTGAGCCTGCAACAGCTCCGGAATTGGCTGCTTTCTTATTGCGGCCAAAGAGGCGGCTCGTGCTGTGATCGCTGCCTTCCCGATTGCGGCCAAAGAACGCTGGACTGCCGGGCGACGGGCCTGATGGCTGAGTGAACAGGCCAGCGGTGAGGTGTGGGCCTTTGAAGGCAGACTTTTTGCGCTTAGCAAACATGACGCCTCCGGTGTGGGATCCAATCATAGCCTCGTTAAATTTGGATATAGGTGCGTGGGTATTGTTGGCCGCAAAGGAGTCTTCGTTCACTGAGCTGCGGATTAGGCGGCCACTGGAAGTGAAAGTCGGACCGGCTGGGAGGACTTTCAGGCTGGAGTGCGGGCTGCGGCCGCCATGTAGGCCCATACTGCTTGCACGGCTCCCGCCTGGTGAGTGGATAGTCCCCGATTCGCTGGACTGGCTCGACGCCTTGCTGTGATTGGTGTGTCGGGGCATGGAGCGGACCGAGGACACTGAAGACGACGTCGATTTCCGGCCTCGTAGACCGGCATTCGAGGAAAAGCGGCGGCTACCTCGAGGTGTGACTGGTGATGGTGAGATGGACGCACGGCCACGATAGCCAGCTGAACCATTGGAACCTGTCTTCTGGTGATGGTAGGGCTGAGGGCCATTCGAGGCGACTGGCGTGAGTGTATTGCCATAGCTGCTATTACGTGTAAGTAAGGTGGACTGACCCGTGTGAGACCTGTCCATGTCTGGTCGTTGCCTGGGGGATAATGGAACATGGAGCGAAAGCTGAGGTTGAGACTTGCTCTTCTCTTTCCCAAGGCCAAACTTAGACGAGCTTGGCGATTTCTGTGAGTCTTGAGAGCCTATAGGACTCTTTGCCCTTTTCGTGGATTCAACGAACCAACTCTTCAATGCGTGCATTGAATTGAGAAATTGATTGTTGCGTCGAGCTTTGCCAGCGCGTGTCTGTCGCTTAGCTACACCGTTACCCGGACCCACGAGATCAGAATTGGAAACCACCAGCTGCAGATTAGAGCTTCGTCGTTTCCACTCCCGAGAAGTGCCTTTTGGTGGCAATGGAGGTCGTACGCCACGTGAGTTGCTTCTGGACCGTACACTGTCCTTGTCAACAGGCTTTGGCGGGTTCAGGATGGGCGAATTGACAGGGCTGCCCTCCGGAAGCTGAGGGAGATCGGTCACCATGATTTGGGGAGTTGAGCGCCTGTTCCTTCTTCCACGACTACCACTGCGTGCCCGATCGTGATGAGGAGCTGATCCAGAGCCTGGCCGACTCTCCTCTTCCACCTCTGGCAATGTAGTCTGAAGTGTGCTAAGACGGCCAGAAGCACCACTCAGCCGCCGGAGTAACTTCTTCTCAGCATCTCGTTCCTTCCTTTTGCGGTCCCTTTTGGCTTCTTTGCGGTGCTCTTTCTCGTACAGCAGTGTCCACCAGCCAGATAGAGCGTCGCATCTCTGGCTCAGCACACTCTCGATGACTTTGTCGATGTCGACGCCGGCCATTCGCATCCGCTCCAGCACATTTTTTTCTAGCTCAGTCGAGAACGGTGCTGGCTGCGTGAGCTTCAAAATCACTTGCTGGGCGGGAGCATGGTCGGCCAGAAATGGATCTGCCAGAACATCGGACAAGGCTGGTCGAGGGAAGGGCCTCTTCGAGAGCATCTTCTTCAGTAGATTCACTGCGGTTTGAGGGAAAGTATCAGGGAACACGGGGTCATCATTGAGGATTTTGCCCTTCGTAACAGCGTCGTCATCGTCATCAAATCTGCCGGTTTTGGTCAGCCTGAACCCGACATTCGGGAAGTCGCGAGAGGTAGTGGAAGGGGAGATGGGCTTGAGGCCAGACAATCGTCATCTCGCCGCCAGGAGAGCTTCAAAGACGGCAGCGCCTCGCCCGAGGACCATAAGATGATCTTCAGAACAGTTCAGAACCAGCGTCTCTTACGCTGCATCGAGATTGCCTCCTGATCGGCGGATGGTTCAGGCTCACGACAAGCGGATATACTCACGGGAGCTCGCCTCGAAGTAGGGCGTACAGAATGATGCCCAGTGACCAGACATCAACCTTCTCCGCAGCGTATTTCTCTCCCTTCAGCATTTCAGGAGCGCTGTAGCAGACAGTGCCGCAGAAGGTCTGCAGATAATTTGCCTTCCCTTCATATTCGCGGGTGAAACCGAAGTCACACAACTTGACATTGTCATTCTTATCCAGTAGGACGTTTTCCAATTTCAGATCTCGGTGCACACATTGTTTTGAGTGTAGATAGCAAACTGCGCCAACCAATTGTGTGAATATTTTCTGTACAGTCTCGACCGGGAGGGCGCCCTTCCTGCACAGATAGTTGTACAACTCATCTCCTGGGCAGTATTCCAGGACAAGATAGACGCTCAGCTCGGTCACGATGACCTCGTAGAGTTTCGCAATGTGTGGATGGTCGAATTGACGGTGGTGATGTATCTCGCGGGCAAGATTGTGATCCTCCTTGCTTGACTGTTTGAGGACAACCTTTGACCCGTTAGACAAATCATGGCGGGCGAGGTAAACCTTTCCGAAGGCTCCCTTGCCGATGAATCTGCCAACGGTATAATTGCCCACGTGCTTGAGTTCTTTGCTATTGAACTGATCTAGGAGCTGATTGTACGAGTTGACGAGCTTTGCCTTGTGCTGTTGTTGCTCGGCTTTCGTCTTCTGATTTTGCATCACTCCTCCTGATCAGCGACTCGGCGGGAATCTTCGGCGCGTCAGATGGAGACTGCGGGAGCGTCGGACTGTGTTCAGACATCGCAGTGCCAGGTGCAACTTGGCGCAAAGCGATACAGAGGGTCGACCGAGGGAAATGCGACCGGTGGCGAGCGAGGGACAACGTTATCGTGTATAACTAGTGGAAGTACTGTTTATGCGATGCGAAGTAGTAGGATCGGTAGACTGCTCGAGCCTGCGGATGACTCGAAGTCTGGCGAATCCGGGGTGCAGGGATCGCCTTGCCTGCCAACGTGCATCAACCGCACTTTCTCTCATCTGTCTGATATATATTCCGTGGTGCATTGGCTTTTGACCCGTGCTGCCATGGAAGTGTACTATGTTTCGCCAAATGATGGGGTGGTCAGATTTACGTGTTTTCGGTGTCATGACAAAACGCTGCGACCTGAAGCTACAAGAAACTATTACAGCAGCACTGAGAATGAGCGCCGACGCACAGTGTACGCGTTGAGTGCGCTAGATGCCTTACTGGCCGTGCCACAGGACTACGTGCTCAGCTGGGGTGAGTCGATGTCATGAAAGGCGCGAAATGCTTTCTCGGCACAAGAGAAGAGGTAATGCGACAGAGGACCTGACTCGTAGGCACGAGTCGGACATGCACATTCGAAGGTTCCAAGCAACGTATCATGGTTCTCAACGGGAAAGCTACGGCCAAGCTGCGTGCCGTCCGGAGAGCTTTGGCACGGGGCAGAAGTCTAATGCGACTACTCATGCCTTCCACACTCGTTCTCTGTATCAGAGCGAATCATCAGCTCTTCACAGCGAGGTCACAAGGCCCAGTTTTGGCTCAAAGATGTGCAAATATGTTCACGACATCAAGCTATACCAAGATCCCAGCACGACTTCGAAACTCTGCGACGATCGGACGTTGATAGCTCTGGATTCCATATTCCTAGCTGGCATAGACCTACCACCATGCATGTGAGTTGAGCTCGTTGACGAAGTCCAGAACGACCGCTTGAGCCAGAGTTCTGGAGGCAGGACAGTGACGGTGGTGAAATGTCGCAGCCTCACATCGTACTTTCAATCGACAGTACCTTGAGGTCCTGGAAGCCGCCTACTGAGGTCCTGTCCAGCCAGCATGGTCGCACTGAGTTATCAGTGATGGCATGAAGCACGCCATATTCTACACTTTTGGGCTACCATCTGCGCGAAGAAATCGATGGCCCCGGGAATAGTGTGGCGATTAAGGGACGCTCTCCCATGTCGCGCTCGTTTACGCCGATCGGTGCCTCTATGTTCCTTGGCATATATGAGAGAGTCGAGACTCTCGGGAATACGATACTGAACCTTATTGACACCATGGAAGCCATTGTGTCTCACTACTGCCGGGAAGATGCAGGATGGCACCTGACGAGAACTCAGAATCAATGCATGATGGTACTGTCTACTGGAACTAACACCGCTATGAGATCAACACTTGTTCCTACCGCCGGATCATCGCCGACAGCGCCAGCATCTTGGAAGTTGTCTCGGTCGGAAATGTTCTTCAGGCTCCAAAACCCATTGAAGCTAAGGCCGGTCGGATGAGGACTCCGACATAGGGCCGAGGGGGCTACTGCAATCTTGGCAGATATGTGGATGCCCTCGGCGCCTTAGGACTTGGCTCGTTTCAGCCATTATCCCTGCTCGCTACCCAAAGACGGGGTACGCATGGCTGTTGGATCACCATCCTGGCAAAACGCCCTCTTCGTGACGGCCTTATGCGGCACTTCTACCGTGCAGATCTTGCACGGAGGGCTCTTTTGGACTTCTGGTGGGGCCACCTAAATCAGCTCCTGACTCGTTGCATGCACGGTCCTGCGAAGACATTTGCTTCGCCCAAGATTGCAACTGTCCTCGCTATCCTCACTATCCTTTAGTAGGTGGTAAGTCAGCCTCGGCTTGAGTCGTCTATGCTTCGATACGATGCACAGGACATTGTCAATCCGGGGAAGTCGCAGCAACGGATTATCTGCATACATCATGCATGGGCCTAAAGTCCTTCCGGCATGGATCAACCATCAAGGATCAGGCACGATCAACAAGGTAAGTCCTGCAGTATGCTCTACGTTGCTGACATGCCTGGCAAGCCCACTCGAGCGCCGCGGTGACCTTCTAGCTCCTGCTCTCCTCAAGAGTCAAACCATCGCGTGTGGAGTGCACACACTTGCGCAGCTCTGTATGCCCGATGCCTTGCCCTCCCTGTATCCTAACTAAAAGCGCAGGTCCAGTGGTCTAGTCATTGCAGATCCAAATCTTCTCCAAACCTTCTCATGAATCGGGATGTTCAATGTTCACTAGGCCAATGTAATTCTCCGCCTGTGCGACACATCTAGCGCATCTTTTCTGCTGGTCAAATACATCAGGGTGCGCTCGAGGTCAGTCTGTGTTGAGATGACAGGGAGATGACAGCAAGAGACCATCAATGCTGACAGACTGTTGACGTATCCGACGATGTTGCTTGCCCATATTGTTGGTCGTCGATTTGCGATTCTGTGCAGCTTTCTGACCCTGCTAGTCACTTCTGCCCATGGCCGGGTTCTAGCAGATGGTCTGGCACTCCTCGCGTCCTTTCCTGCTTGCGCGGTAAGGACATCAGCACCATGGCACCACATGTACTAACAGGCAACAGAATCAATGCTTCCTGCAGATCATTCCGACGACAGGTTGCAATACCACCGATTTTGACTGCCTCTGTGCCCACCCCACATTTGGTGATGAGTCCATCGCCTGCTTCACAGGCGAGTGCAGCGTGAAAGACACGTTGAGAGCCACCAATGCCTCCACAGTCCTCTGCGAATGGCCGATTCGCGACCAGAGCGACACACCTAAGATCACCATCATCGTCCTTACTAGTCTTGCACTGCTATGTGTTCTCATACGAGTTGTCGCGCGCAACCCGTTCAGAGGCGAGCTATTTGGTTGGGACGACGGCCTTATCGTCATGTCGATGCTGCTGTTGCTGCCTATGTTGCCAACACAGCTCCTGCTTGTTGACAACGGTATCGGGACGGACGTGTGGACTGTATCGCTCAATCGCATAACACAGTTCTTGAAGCTCTTCTACCTTGGCGAGATCTGGTACATGTTTGGTGTGAGCATGGTGAAGCTTTCCATCTTGGTGAGTGTCATTGCTACCTATGCATTACTCTGGTCACTCAGACGGCTGACCTTATTAGTTCTTCTATCTTCGAGTCTTCCCCCGGACTCGGTTCACAGTGGTTGTGAAGACCACTATGTGGATCATTGGAGGGTACAGCTTCGCATTCCTGATGGTCATCCTATTCCAATGCTGGCCGTTATCATTTATCTGGACAAGATGGGATGGGGAGCACGAAGGCAAATGCGTACCCATGTCGCTACTTTGGGTTCATGCGGGGCTCAATGTCGCTGGAGATCTTTGGGTGCTGTTCCTACCGTTGCCAAAGCTGTTCAAGCTGCAAATGAACTACTCCTGGAGAAAGAAAGCCCGAGTAGTGGCTATGTTCTCGACGGGCGTGTTCGTCACTTTCACCAGCATCATGCGGATGCGTACTCTCAGCATCATGAGTTATACTCGTCCGAACTTCACCTGGGACTGGTCAGACTGTATGTTATGGTCTGGAATTGAAGCGAACACTGGGATTATCTGCGCGTGCATGCCCGCAGTGCGCGCCTTTTTCATACAGAAGCTTCCAGATTGGCTGCAGAGTACTCAAGGGACCAATGCAGGCACTTATGGCCACAACAGTGCAATGCGAGCTGGCGCTCCTTCCAGGGCAGGTCAACCTGCAACATCAACCACGGCCGGCACCGGAAGCAAGAGAGAAGACTTTGTGCAGTTGACTCAGTTTCAAAGCAATGGGACTGGGAGTGAAGAGAACTTGACCCCCGTTGAACCAACAGCAGTTCCAGGGATACGCGCGAAGCATGAGGTCAGAATCTGGGGCGGTCAACGGTCGAGGAAGCGGCAGTCGTGGCCGACGCCTCCAGAAAGGTGAGATGTGGTGTAGGCGGTCGATTGCGATGTAAAAATGGATGCGTGGATGCGTTCCAACAGCCAGCGCTGTCTATCAATGTATAGTGGTCGTTGAATATAAGAGCAATAGAGAACGCCTCGAGGCATCAGACTCCCAGAAAATTACGTTTACCGCGCGCTAGATGGTCAATTGTAGCCCCCGGTATTCTTCCCGAGAATACGCCGATTTTTGTCACTTCTAGCCCAGCGATCGTTCGAGTTGGTTCTTCAACTTCAAGTTCGACCATGACGACAAGATGTGCGACATCAACACTTGAAACGCACGCGGCATTAAGACCAAGATGCCCCTATCGTTAGTTCACCTAAAGCGCCATTGGCGATAATTTGATGGCTTGAGCGACTCTTCCCAGATCTCAGAGCGCGACTGCTGGATCCGGCACAGATCAATTCCGCCAATGTATTAAACCTAATGAGGTCCCTCGAATGATCTGTACATCTGTCATCAGTCCGGCAGTCCTGCCATGTCTACGCCCAATCCTGTGTTCGACAAGAAACGTCATATCAAGTACTGGAAGCGTTGTGCCGACTTACTACCCGAGCAATACACCGCCGGCGATGGCAGCCGATTATCTCTCGCCTTCTTCATCATTGCTTCTCTCCATCTGCTGGACGCACTAGAGACAACATTCTCCGTCCGGGATAGGCAGGCATGGATTGACTGGATCTACTCGCTGCAAGTGGCCTCTGGAGGCTTTCGAGGATTTCCAGGCACAAATCTGGGTGACAGGAGAACCCTGGAAAACGAGCACTGGGATCCGGCGAATCTGCACAACACGTTCATGGGGTTGCTTACTTTGCTCATGCTTGGGGATGATTTGAGTCGTGTACGGCGGAAGGAGTGCTTGAGCTGGGTGAAGAGCCTGTCACGGCGAAATGGGAGCTTTGGTGAGATGTTGGGAGAAGGGGGAATCATTCTCGGCAAAAGCGATCTGAGATCTGTATATTGTGCTGTGGGCATAGTGTTCATCCTAGCCGATCGAGACACAGCAAGTGAGTGGCTGGACAAGGATGATATCGTTAGACACCTGTCCAACTGTCAGGACCATGATGGTGCCTTTGGCCAGTCGTATCTGCGAGAGGCACATGCTGGTCTCAACTTCTGCGGTATGGCCACCTTGGAACTTCTAGACAGACTTTTTACTTCGGAAAAGTCAGCTAAGAGTGGTTTTGCATCACCACTACTGGATCTTGAAGCCAACATTGGCTGGGTGCTACATCGACAAACAACGTGGGTAAACGACGACGACTCAGACAGTGAAGACGAGAACGAAGAAGACTCCGCGATTGATAATGCACCACATGATGAGCCACAAGCAATCCCAGTCGGATTTGGAGGTCGCTGCAACAAGATGGCGGACACCTGCTATTGCTTCTGGAACGGAGGCGCACTAGCTCTACTGAAAAAGGAGAATCTGATCGAGGCGGATGGCATGCGGCAATATCTACACGGAAGTACACAACATATGATAGGAGGCTTCTCGAAGGTGCCGGGTATGTTGCCAGATCTGCTGCACGCATATGCTGGTCTTGCAGCATTAGCGATTGTGGGAGAGGTGGGTCTAGAAACACTGGACAGCGCATTGGCGGTCAGTCAAAGGACAGCCGCAAGGCTGAAAGAGCTACGAAGCTCTTGGTCTGCTTTGAAACCAGACTGAGATAGCCGCAAACCACTGTCACGCCTGGGTGAGTCTTTCATCCTGCAGATTCTGTCCAACGCGAGAACTCTGAGGACCTGGTAAGACTAGCGACATATCTTAGAAATTTCTCTTGGGTAGACATAGTTTGCTGCGAGTAGATGTCTTCAGGCTGCTGAGAAGACTCCGTATCTTGACAGCAGGACCCGAGAATAGTCGTTACTTAACCTAGGTAGACACTTGACCTGCTAGTAGCTGCTATGAGGGCAGAAGGCAACCAGTGTGGAGTCTGCCAAGAAAGAAGGCACGGTCTTCACTTTGTTGTTATTGAAGTGGTCGCAGACTACTCTCTCGTACCTCCGCAACGAGTTGACGCAATCTGACATGTCACACGTTCTGTCGATGCCATCTGATCTCTACTGAGGACCAGAGGCTGAGATGCGTGCGGCGCCACTTGAGCTATATGCTGGATGGCGCGATGTCTTCGAACAATCCAGTCGAGGTCAGTAGCAGCAGCGATTCCGACGGAGGTCCACCCAGGCAATTTCAAGCGAGGAGACAGCCTGTCAAAAGACCCGGCACTCAAAGCGACACGATATATCGCAGAAATGGCATTCCTTCTACACAACCTACCAGAAGTCCTCTGGACTTCCGTGGTCAACCCCCAACAAGGATACGACCGCAACAATCAACGCCCAAGACATTGTCTCAGAGAACCCGTCCGAACGGCGATATCACGAAGACACCCGCTCCTAGCGGACGCCCAGGTTTCATTCAGAACGCTTCGAAGGAGCTTGTTGTGCTGAGCGATGATGAGAGCAACGATGAAGGCAACCATTCAGGCCAACCCCATGCTTTCGATCTCGAGCGTCAAACCGGAACACCTAAAAGCACCACGAAAGCTCAAGTCACATCAGCAACAAAGCCTAGAGTTGTCGTCCAATCTCTGTCCCCTCCATCAACATCACCACAAAAGAGACCGAGTTCGTCAAGAGCACTTGCTCCACCCATTGCTGAGATTGGAGTGTCGCGAGCAAGCAACCCAAGACCCACCGCCACGTCCCGTCCGATATCAGAAATCGATAAGGAACTTAATCCACGTGTATTCAAGATTTCCAACTCACCTCAGAAAACGATCACAGCATCAAGCAAGTGTGAATCGTGTACATTACGTAATGAGCTATGTGACGGGCGCAGACCTTGCGGGAGCTGTCGCGCAAATGCTCGCCCGGATTGTCGTTTTCACGTCTTCGCCGAACCAGATGATCGCTTCCAGTCGGTTGTTGACGAAGTGGCCAGAGACTCGCGGCTACCGAAGAATGGTATACCACAATCATACTCAGCAGTGACGCCATCCACTGCTAATAAGGTCAAAGACCGTGGTACACAGAAGACTACGCCTGTCAAGATTTCTTACAGGAATGGTGTTCTGGCATCACATTCAGCTGAGGAAGTGTCCACGTCTGACACAGACAAGGTCACTGCCACACAGAGCATTGCACCTGTCAACACAGGGATAGAAAGTCATGCTTCGAGAGCAGTCACCAATGGTGGGTTGCCCGCGTCTGACCAGGATGAGGACGAGGACGTTATGATGCAAGACATTTCACACACTGAGCCAGTCGAGTTCATGACCCCTGCGGACTTGCTCTGGCGAATTCTGGAGGACGAGTCCGAATCCGAGAATTCTGAAATTGACCACGAAGAGATCGATGCTGGAGAACCCCAGCCTAAATTGGAGCTTTCGTACTTTGAAGACCTGATCTCAGGTGTCAAAAGAAGTATGGAAAGATACCATGAGGAAACAGTCAAAGGTTCGCTACGTACTGCCCAGTTGCAGACAAGATCTGATAGCTTGAATGCTGCCGCCAACACGGAGCAGGAACCTGTATCAAGACCTAAAAAGAATCCCTTTGATCAAATCAAAAGAGGAGAGGGCCCACTGAAACAGATTGCCGAGACGAGGACAGGCAAATCTCATAAATGGGAACCGATTATGGCACCCACACCAGTCAGCAACTCTGCAACCACAAGTCTACCCAAGACTAAGAGTATTGGTCGAGTTGGCCCGTCCGTTCTCAGTCACAATGTCACAATTGGAAAGTTCGATCCGTATTCTGCTGACGATGAAGGCACTCATAATTCATCTGGCAAATACAAAGAAGTAGAAGAACGCTACCACGCTTTCGGAGCGAACATCAATTCGTTTGACGGCCAGAGGACTTGCGCAGAGAGCATCAGCATGTATAGACAATTCACGAAACGCATACTAGGGAAGTTAGAACCTAGCGACATTGTCCAATACTACCTTTCAGACGACGAGGAATGTCAACGCCACTGCAAAGCGACGGAGCTCAGTCCCCACAGCAAGGAAAGAACCATGGAGTATTTCGAACTCCTGAACAATGGACGCGTGGCTGTCTGTGGTACCTGCGAGCTAGACATCAAGGCCGACAACAGAGAAAAACTGCTGCGAAAGCAGTATAAGGACTCATCAGCAAACTCTCAGTCGTATATCGAAGCTGGCCTACTAGCATGCGCCTTTCTCAATGTCACTGGTCTCAGTCTCTGGCATTTAGTCGCACCAGAGTGCTCTACATCGTCAGCACACCATGAGCAGGCAGAAGAACCTGACTTGAACGAAATCGAGCAGATTTGCCTAGTCTGTGGGTTACACAACTGCCCTATTCATGGCAAATACAAAGACGTCACTAGTGATCATAGTGGCTCGCCTGACCACAAAGTCCTGCTTGACGATCCTGAAGCAGATGGGAATACGAAATGGTCCTTCGTGACATATGCAGATCCGATTTCGGACGAAGACCATGTTTGTGGAGTGTGGTGTACAGGAAATTCGACAGACATTCTTTCCTTGGAAGATTTCAGAGGCGTTGTTGCGAAAGGTAGAATCGATGGCTACATCAATCTATCAGTCAAGACATCGGACCCTTACCTGCCGGCGGACGAGGGCTGTTCAGCTGATTGTTTCTGGTTCAAGACAACAAGAGAAGACGTCCCCATCCCGAAATTGACTCAGCTCGAAAATGGTGTCTTTCTCAGCAACCTCCGTCAGTGTCTATCAAACGAACGAGGGGCTTGCATGATGAAAGATATGCTTCCTCATATTAGATGCTGTGCACTTTTTGCACTGATGGTCGCACGAATACAGGAGCAACCTCACCCCGAGACTAACAGCCGGAAAAAGGGCAGGGGCAAGATTAAGCCGGACTTGTCCAACGACTGGCCCCCTACTGATCGGGAGCCATTCTTCCCATGTAGCCACGACGGTCCATGTCTACCTCGCAAGCTTGCCAAAGGCGAGCACTGTCGATGCGCAGAGGCTAAGGTTGCATGCGAGCCTTCCTGTGGCTGCTCAGAAGAATGCGACCGAAGATTCCGAGGCTGCAAGTGTGGCACGGGGCCTGGCAGAGTCTGCTGGGGAAGCAAGTGTGATTGCTGGAACGCTGGCCGAGAATGCGATCCTCGGCTGTGTTCAGGATGCGGCGTTGAGACCGTACTGCACCAAGCCTACAAATACGATGAAAAAATGCGTGTACATCGTTGCTATAACAATCGAATACAGCTAGGTTTGCCAGCACGTACGATCATGGCTCCAAGCGAGGTGCAGGGTTACGGGCTGTTTGCAGGTCAAGATCTGAAGGAGGATGACTTTGTCCACGAATACCGAGGCGAAATCATCAGTGATGCTGAAAGTGACCGACGAGGAGCACTCTACCATCTTGCCGGCCTGGAATACCTGTTCACACTCAACACCGAGCAGCAGGTCGACGCCAATAGCCTCGGAAACAAAGCACGGTTCATGAATAATTCCCTCAAAGAAGCGAACATCAACGTCCAAGGAAGGATCATGCTCTGCAGCGGACAGCATCGGATCGGCTTGTTCGCGAAGAAGGACATCGAAGCCGGCGAAGAATTGCTCTGGGATTACGGCTACCCGGAAGTGGTCACAGAGCAGTTCTGGGAACGCGGTGAGAAGAGTGCGAAGCTCAAGGCGGCCACGCCACGCATGCCAGCTGCCGCACGGACGAGGAAGGTGAGGACTCCGAAAACCGTCAAAGCCAGTGAAACTCGAAGAAGTGCAGAGGACAGCAGCCAAAGCCCTCTGGCTCGACGAGGTGGCAAGCGCAAGAAGGGTGGGCTACAGTCATCGAGTTCAAGGGCTTCGTTACGAGACGAGGACGTCGAGTTTGATCCGATGATGGTGGACGAGACAGCGTTGAACCTGAACGATCAGGCTGAACAACAAGACTCAGACTACAATGATGAAGGCAGCGACGAAGAAGAAGACGAGCCTGACGAGGAGATAGCTGATAGTGATGTTGAAGAGGAAGTCGTCAAGGACTCTCACATTGGTCCGTCAACGGGCAAGCCTTGGGAAGGCCTCAAGAAAGGGCGATCACGAAGAAAGGGGCAGTAAGTCGCTACCCAAAAAATTTCGCGTGCCTTCGCAGCATGACAGGAAGGATTATTATTGCCAGCAAGTACGTTAGTGGCCACAAGCTTGCTTCCCAAGTCATCACGTCTGAATTGCATCAATCCAGCACAGCCGCAAGATCGACATGAACTCAATCCCAGTCAGCATCACCTACACCGAGTCGACAGCAAGGTCATGGAGAAAGTCAACGTAAACAGCAGTCTGGTCGAGCCACAACATGACATCAGAGGCTTTATTGGGTGTTCCACAGTTAGCGCCCGAAGCCCTTCGCGCTTGCTACGCAGGTACAACTTACCATAGCAACCAAGTATCACTAGCAGCAAAAAGCATTTCGGATAGCTTGAACAGTAAGCGTCTAGGCTCTCGAGGGGACCCCTTCTCAGCGCAGGGCCGATCTTAATCATCATCATAAACAAAACCTCGCTGCCTCCCTCGTGTGCTTGCGAATTTGAAAATTCCCCATCTCTGGCGCATCACAACCGCAACACTGTTTGTAGAAGCACCATTTCAGGATCTCACTGACATCGACGACTCGTTCCTGACAAGTCGACATCACCACGACTACTAGTCCAAGCTATTCAAGCCCATTGAAAGGTGTGTATCGAATTCTCAAACATTGTTTTCTTTGTGGTTCACTGATGACGTAGAGCTCCGCCTCTCCCGAGTTGTGTGGATGCAGCTCCCGCCTCTTGTCCAACACCTTACCTCCTCCTTATGCCACTGAGCTACATCGTCTTCTGCACTTATTGTTCATCTAGCATATTCATCAAGCTCTCGAGACAACACACTCGTGACCTGTCTTGACCTGCGCTGATCGCTGCTTACCAGAACTACCCAAGGCGACCTTTGTTGCCTAACCTCACCTCATCACAGCCCCCACACCACTCTGCGCAGCTCCAGACCCCTGTCAGCTGTCCGCGCATCCCGCCGACGAAGACCGAGCTGATCAGTCACCACCGACTATCCTTCCTTCGTAGTCGTCACTACTATCATCACTCAAGATGCATCGCACGTATTCTATGCGCCAGTCGCGTGCGCCAACTGCCTCGCAGATCGAGAACCCTCCTCCGCCACCATCGTCGACCAAGGGCGGTCGTCTATTCGGCAGGAGCAACTTCGGTATGATAGCGCGAAGAATACGTCACAGAAGAGCAGTGCTAACAGCATACCACAGGTCATGCATTCCGCAAGGGCACAGCTGGTGCTTTCGGCCCAGATCTGGCCAAGAAGCTATCACAGCTCGTTAAGATGGAGAAGAACGTGATGCGCAGCATGGAGCTCGTCGGCAGAGAGCGCATGGAAGTCGCTGTAAGTGGCTTCGATCACATGCATGGGAAGATACTGACCAGAGCAGCAACAACTCTCTCTGTGGGGCGAAGGCTGCGACGATGATGTCTCTGATGTCACCGACAAGCTAGGTGTTCTTATCTACGAGATCGGTGAGCTCGAGGACCAGTTCGTCGATCGCTACGACCAGTACCGCGTGACCATCAAGTCCATCCGCAACATCGAGGCATCTGTCCAGCCCAGCCGAGACCGCAAGCAGAAGATCACCGACCAGATCGCTCAGCTGAAGTACAAGGAGCCGAACTCTCCTCGCATTGTCGTCCTCGAGCAGGAACTTGTCCGCGCCGAAGCCGAGTCACTGGTCGCCGAAGCTCAGCTTTCCAACATTACCCGCGAGAAGCTCAAGGCTGCGTTCACCTACCAATTCGATGCTATGCGCGAGCACTGCGAGAAGCTGGCCATCATTGCCGGCTTCGGTAAGCACTTGCTCGAATTGGTCGACGACAACCCGGTTACTCCAGGCGAGACTCGTCCAGCTTACGACGGCTACGAGGCCAGCAAGGCCATCATTCAGGACTGTGAAGATGCGCTTACCAATTGGGTTGCCTCATCCTCGGTTGTTAAGAGCAAATTGTCTCAGCGTTCGCGCACTCTGAGCCAGCGGAGAAAGGAGTCTGCCCAGCGCAATGCTGAGGGCGGCATTGATCTCAGTGGTCAGGACCAGCCACTCAAGAGCGATCGTGACAGCTGGGTCCCTGCCGGGCAGCACGGTGAATACGCTGGCGAGGACGTGTCCGACGAGGAAGAGGAAGAGGAAGAGACCGCGGCCACCAACGGCGAGAACAGAGGTAGGGCCGAGGCAACCGCCGCTTAGAATCGCGAGCTTCCTCAAACTTCACCGCGAGATCCATGCCAGTACGACTGGAGTTGCCAGACCGCGCGCCGGTGACTGCAGGACGACAAAGTTTTGAAGGATTTCCAACCGCAATAATAGTCATATACCCCAGAAGAACACGTGTTTTACGGGTCTGCTAGGAATGGGAAGGAGCATCGGGAAGGAAGGAAGGATCGTCTCAGACCCAATCGACGGCTTCGCCTTCCTCTGCTTGCGACATCCACAGTGCATCATGCGCAAGGCGGTAAGGCGAAGTGGACGAGGCGGTTCTTGCTTTCTCCTGACGGTATCGAAGCGCTTGTTGTTGCTCTGGACACTTTGTTCACATGTACGCTACCAATAATAATCATCATCCATCGTTCATACCTGTCCTGGAGATCTCAGAATCTTGTCGTAGGACGTCGTGTGCTGGCTTGGCTGCGCTGCCCGTTTCGCGGCCTCGATTGCGTGTCTTTGCTCCGTCGCTTGGAGCAGCCACCTGCGCACAGCACAGCCACACGAAATTCTGGGGTCAGGGTTTTGCTGCTGATCACCTTACCTTTTACACGCAATCTACACACGCAGCAGTGCTCTCGACGCGCATGCCAGTGTGAGACTGTCTCTGTGCTCTCGCTCAAGCACTTTGCCACAGCACAATGGTGATCATCTCAACGGACAATCCTCCATTGACGGCAGGAGAAGGATCTCGCAAATCGTGGCCCTAGGTAATCAGGGAAAGCGAAGGCCACCAGGCCAACCAAAAATAGATCCCCGGCGCGGCATCGCTCGCCTGCATGCCTACAGCCACTGCGGGGGCCGAGACTTTAGGGCTTCATGGTGGGGGGTGTAACCAGAAATTTGAGGGGGATCCAAAATCGCTTGCAGGAGCAGACCACGCGCGACGAGGGCAACGATGAAGTCGACTTTGACTCACACTATGTGCATACATATACAAGTGTTGTGTATAGTGTACTTGACCTAGAAGAGGGCATCGAAGGATGTTGTACTAGGTGTTTACACACGCGTTAGCAGGGATCTATATCACTAATCGCAGGTTCCCAGACGGCTGTCAAACGTTGGAAGCATCTGGCTGTCAGCGCCGTGTAATCTGTTAATGCTCCTAAGGTCGCAGACAGTTTGCTGCGACCATGTCATAGACTCTCCGTCTCCTGCATTGAGGCAACCCTCGTATGCTGCAGCGTCGGTACTTGGCAGTTGTTCAGCTGGGTACGAAATGGTCCAGGCGTCATCAGATGGGATTATGGTGGAAAGGCAAATCCCCCAGGAGCGTTCAGTGTAGGTTGCGGGATGCTTGATATCGGCGACCACCCCATCGTGATGGCATTTCGCAAGAGAGGCAGTCGTCAGCACTACTTCCTTAGCAAGGTAACACCCTGTAGCCATAGCAGCCACGTACTGCAACCTATACCGCTCTGCCTTGCTTTCCAGAACTTCTGCGCAAAGTCCTCAAGAAAGCCGTTGAGAAGGTGAAGGTTTGATGCGGAGGAGAGGCTTAGAGATGCTAAGGATTGCCCTAGGTAGCAGAAAGCGCGGCGAACGGACGGTTTCAGGTTACGTAGGTACCTTTCCAGGCTGTGTTCTTCTGCATCAGAAGGAAGGAACAACCAACCAAAGCCCTTCGGTTCAGCTCCGTCGGGCGATGTAGAGCTTACTGCCACGCACTAAGTGACCTGCAACGCCTCAATTCGCGGTTGTTAGTCGGCGTATGCGACCCCGGGATACCTTAATAAGGAAACACTGCCATCGCATTCTGTGCTGCTCGTATCCTAAGATCTTTATATCCTCCAGAGCCTGGCCTGACCAGACGCTTTCGTTTCTGTTGTTCATTTCAGCACGTTATTCGCACCTCAAGTGTTCAGACTGTCTATTGTTCCATAGCAGATTCGGTGGAATCGACACCTTCGTTCACCTAGACCCTACTCCGCGAGTCACGGAAGCGGGCATACTACAACCACACTCTCTTCCTCAAAACACCGACCTCACTACCTACTCACAGAGCACACAAGCAATAGACCGCCCATCATGGTGCAAGCCGGTCGCGTAGCGTGCATAACGCTCCCATTCCTCCTCTCCCTCGCCGCCCTCATCACCCTCGTCCTCGTCTTCCTCGCCGGCACAATGGAAGGCAACTCCACCACAGGCGACCTCTTCTTCGTCAAAGTCGACCTCCGCAATCTAACACTCAACGCCGCCAACGAGCTCGCGGGCAGTGGCGCCTCCTCAAACGAACTCTCCACCCTAGGCGCGGCTCTCGACGCCGCCAAAAACTCGCTGGGCATGAAAGACTACTACACCATCTACCTCCGCAACTACTGCGACTGGAACGCCGAGGACAAGGCGTATAGCAACTGCACCGACCCGAAATCGTACTTTTGGTTCAACCCCATCAAAGTCTGGGGTCTCGACCGCGCGAGCCTGCCCGTGGACGACTACCTACCCAAGTCCTTCCGCGACGGCTGGACGCCTACCACGCCGGCTCAAAAGCCATGTTCGTTCTCTACGCCGCAGCACTCGCAGCGAACGCATTCACACTGCTGATCGGCTGCACCGCCATCTTCTCCCGATGGGGCTCCTTCTTCACCACTTTCTTCGCCGCAGCACAACTGGTCACTTACCTAGCCGCCTCCGTCGTCGCCACAGCAATGTTCGCCATCCTAAAGGGCGTCCTCAATAACGAGCTCAAGGACGAGTACGGCGTTGAAACCACGCTCGGCAACCGCGCCCTCAGCGTCTCCTGGATTGGCACCGCCGCTGCCCTTGGAGCTGGCATCTTCTGGTTCTTCAGCGTCTGCTGCTGCTCAGGGCGGAGTCCGTACCACAAGGACGCGGCGCGGGGTGGCTTCCGGGGTCGTGGCAGGGGAAAGACGCGCGCGGAGAAGACGCCGTATACCTACGAGAGGGTAGGGAGTCCGTATCTGGGTCCTAATGCGGGTCAGAGCGTGCCGCTGGGCGCGTATAGCAATCCTAGCCATGCTGGGGCGGGACGGCCAATGCACCAGGGTGGTGCGTATGAGCCGTTTAGGAGTCATGCCTGAACGTGTGCTGTTGGCGTATGAATGAAATTGGAAACGAAGAGACAAGCAAGTTGGCATCATTATGAAGCGGGCGTTGGGGTTACAAGGTGTCATCGCCTCCATAGCAGGCAGCTGAATGCTGTCAACATCGAGAATGTTCTGAAAGCTTTGATCTAATTTTCATTTTTGGTGACTAACTCAGGAATGCTTCACGAACGACGCTGGAAAGCGTCTCGTGGAATGTTTCTTTTCTACTTTCCTACCCAGACGCTCTGTCGGCTGGACGTTATCGTCGTCTTCTCGGTTGCAACTTCCCATAACGCCTATGTAGTATCAATGTGCTCGTGCTTCAACCGCTCGTCTACTTCCTGGGCCTGTTCGGCACACAGCCATTACCGCCCGCCACCACCACTTCTAATTACCTCCTCTAACTCCCTCCGCTCTCCACTCTCCTCCACCAGACTTCGAAAGACCCCATCCGCGTTCTCCATCAACTTCGCCGGCGTATCAAACTCAACAACCCTCCCCTCACCCATCACCAGAATCCGATCAAAGTCCGCAATCGTGCTCAGCCGATGCGCAATGACAATCAGCGTCGCGTCCCCAAACTCTTCCCTTATGCTTCTCTGAATCAGCGCATCGGTCTCCATGTCTACTGCGCTGGTGGCTTCGTCCAGGACCATGATTTTAGGCCGGGAGACGATGGCACGGGCTAGGCAGAGTAGTTGGCGCTGGCCTTGGGAGAGGTTCAGGCCGCCTTCGGAGATTTTGGAGTGAAGGGAGCGGAAGATGTTGGTGTTGGTGTTGGAGGTGGGCGTAGCCGGGGTGATGGGCGTCTGGGAACCCGACGGGACGGCGGAGGCTGACGGGATCAGATGCACGCGTGCTAAGGCGTCACGCAGGTTCGCCGTCGCTGTGTTGATCGAAGGGGTCAAGGTTGCTGCGGACTGTGCCGCTAAACAGGACTGGGTCTTGTGGGATGATGGCCAAGCGGGAGCGGAGATCTAGTAGTTTGATCTTGGAGATATCGATGCGGTCGATGTGAATGCTTCCGGATCGTGCTTCGAGGAAGCGGAAGAGCGCGAGGGTGAGTGAGCTCTTTCCTGCGCCTGTCCGGCCTACCACGCCTATGCGTTGATTTTGCGCAACCGAGAAGGTGAGGCCTTTGAGCACAGGCGGCAGGTCTGGCGCATATGAGACGACCAAGTTGTCGACTTCGAGCTCCCCTCGGGTCGGCCACGCGGCCGGTGGCTCTTCGCCGCCTTGCTTCTCGAGAGCAATATTGGAGTACTCCACGATTCTCTCGGTCGCGTTGCTGTCCAGCTCCACATTGCTGTACTGGCGAAGCATCCAAATCACGGCTTCCGAGAGGTTGAGCGCGAAGGATAATGCGAACCCCGCAAGGGATGCATCGATTCCTCGGACACTGACAATGAGTGCTGCGACAATGGCAGCGAAAACAGCTCCGACCATGTTCAAGCGAAAGCCCATCCACCTGTTGAACAGCCACAAATGCCAGTAGGCTCTGCAGTGTGTGTCGATCTTCTTGTACATTCTTTCGATATATGCATCCGTCTTATCGAAAGCGCGTATGGTGGCAATTCCTGTGAGGACTGAGCCAAATTGTTCGAATACTGGGGACTTTGCATTCGACTCGAGTCTCTTGACCTCTCTTGCACCAGCCAGATACCGCAAGGCATAGAAGAGGCAGACACCGAGCAGCACCACAGCGAAGATGATCATAAAAGGTGAGACAATCACACCCGCGATGATGACTGCTACCACTTGCATAGCATTGTGCAGCATGAACGAGATGTCGTACGCGATCTTGCTGTCAATCATTGCGAAGTCTGATGTAAATCGATTCAGGATTCGTCCCAACGGAACTGTGTCGAGCCAGCGCAGTGGCGCCCTCAGAACGGCAAATGTCAGACTTTCGAACAGCACCTTCGATGCTCTGATTGATGCAATCATGACTGTGAAGTACCTTACCGTTCCGATGAGCCAGGCGAGCAACGAGATACCAAGATAGACTCCGAGATAGTAACGAAGATCACCATCGAGCTCTGTTGCTGCCAATTTGCTGCCGTAGTGATGTATGGTCTGTCCAGCTTGCTGAACGAGATAGATGCCAACCTTGTTGTCGTCATCGGACTCGGTGCGATATGACCGCGTCCACACGCTGATCCAGTACGAGCGGGCAAGATACACTAGTATCCACACCCCAAAGGCCACTATGATGAAAGTCCAGTATCCAAAGCCTCCACAGGCACGAATATACCTTGCATAGATGGCCCACTTCACTGTGCCAGTCTCGCGCTTCTCATCTTCAGTAAACTTCTTGGGAGGGTCCTTCTTTGGGACTTCGCCATTCTCTATTGTCGCGTGGGACCGTCGGCGATTGAGTTCTGGTGCAGAAAGATTGGATGCACGACGAGACTTCAAGGATTGATTCGTGAGCATTTTTGACAGGCCTCCGCCATCGTCGACGGCTAGCTCTTGTTTGAGAGCCTCTTCTTCCTCCTTCCGCTTCTCTTCGACGTCTTCAGCCAAGATGCGCTTGAGCGTGCCATCCTTCCGTAGCTGCGATGTGAGGCCAGCCACATCAGCGGTGCCATCTGCTAGGAGCACGCTGTAGGTTGTCTTTGGCAGGCATAGTGCAACGTGATGAGTTACAAGGATTCGAGTTCGTCCTCTGCACAGCTCTCCCGTCAATGCCTTCTCATATAGGTGCCGACCCACATTTGCGTCGACGGCCGAGAAGATGTCGTCCAGGACCAGAGTGCCGGCGCGCGAGTAGAGAGCACGAGCGAATGAAACTCTCCATTTCTGTCCACCACTCAGATTGATGCCATTCGCACCAATGTCAGTCATGTCGCCATCCTCGAGCATTTCAAGATCCTTTTCTAGCGCACAGCTGTAAAGCACCTGTTGGTATCGCTCGTTATCAAGAGGAAGCCCGAATAGAATGTTGTCTCGAATAGTTGCATTCTCGATCCACGGAATTTGGGCGACGAAGGCAATGGATTCCGGAATGAGCCAGGTACACGAGTAGCTTTCGAGTCGTAGCGCTCTTCGGCAGGAGGTGGCCGAGGCACGGTCACAGTACCTTCGCTTACCTCTGCTTCGCCAATGATCGAGGCCAGCAGCAAAGTCTTTCCGGAGCCCGTTCTGCCCGAGATCACACTGAGCTCATCTTTGGGAAAGTCGAGATCTAGCGATCGCAAGTGGAACATAGCCTCTTCTTTTGTGACATCGTCTGATGGCCATGAGATTGTGGCGCCGGTAAATTTGATTCGGGAACCTGGCTGCGTCTGTTCCGTGACTTCCGGGCTGTCCAGGTACGTCTGAATACGTCGCGCGCTGACAAGACAGTCCAACAAATCGGTGATCATCTCTGGTATGATCGCTAGAGTCATCTCAATCGCCTCGAAAACGCTGATAGTCGTGAACGCAACCGAAGCAGTCAGCTCTTTATGGATGACCGCATAGACTGTTAACGAGATAGCGGACAAGAACACTGGTCCGAAGATCCAGATACTGATGAGAGTTGCGTCCCAGCAGAAGCAAGCCCATTGCGTCTTGAGCTCTCTCCTTCGAGTCTGTAGAACTTTATCATACCATTCGCGCTCGAGTGCACTGAACTTGATTTGTCGAATGCCCTGCAGAGCCTCTGTTACGACCGCCATCTTCTGATCTCGATACTTCATCAGATCGTCCTGAGCGCTCGCATACTTCTTCGAGGCCCAGATGTTGAGTGGGAGGATCAAAGCTGGGGCCACAAAGCCGCTCAACATGGGAATCCATCCGATCAGGTTCACTAGGAAACTGACAGCGATGATCAGCTTAATGGCAGCTCCAAGGAATATGTAGCAAAACATGCTGAAGTCCGAGATTCTCTTCCCATCCACTCCGACAAGGTTGATGGTGCTCTGGCGGGTCTTTGCAGTGTCTTCCTCATCACCGTCAGGAGGACTCTCGGGTAGCATGTCTTCGCCTTTCGGACCAGCATTCTCATTGATCGTGATGTCACCGTTCGCGAGCTTTTGATCGGCGTCGGGGATTTTGGTTGTGCCCTTGACGTCCTTCCGGCGAATTGACTTGGCGAAGATGACGGCAGACAGTTGTTCGTAGACAGGTACGCCTACCCTCATAAAAGCAACGAAGAACATATAAGCTTCGACCCAGGAGGAGATCGTGACTGCAAGACCGAGACCGGCGACGAGAAGCCATGCCTGGAAACCAACGTCTAGACCTTGATCGCGGCGCTCAAGGACTCGAAGAATGAAGTAGAGCGCAATTTGTGGCAGGAAGTTCGTGACCGAACATATTGCCTGCAGTACCCATTGTTGAATGAAGGAGTATCTGTGCGCAAGGAAAATAGACTTCCACAGCTTGTCACGTTGAACACCCGCAAATCGCTTCGTCAATGTCGCTGCTCGAGCATTGTTCGCGATCTCTGGCAAATCCTTGTAGTCGAGGGCTCGATTTCTTACCGCGTACAAGAGGATGTTCGATGGCCAAGAAAATGAGAGCCTGCCCAGCATAGACGTAGTATACTGTCGATCGACAATCTGACCATCCCGGTACACATCAGGTCTTCTCGGTATCAGTAAACCAGTGACAAAGATCAGTAGGCCGGCAAAGAACTGGATCAGAGAGAAAGTGAGGTGAATATTTCGTGGTATGTGAAGGATATTCTGCTGCCACAGCGACAGATTCTCCACAGCGACGGCGATGATGATGGCTAGCGCCGATATCGATGTGTAGACGCCGAGGGTATACTTATCGGCTGACTTTAGCGTCGTGAAAACGACTATCGACTGCACCAGAACGAAGATCCACGTGCCGAACTGCAGCCATTGTTCGACGGCAAGAGACAATTGTGGCTTTGTGGCAATGACGACCGCAAATGCAAGTGCATCAATTGTTGCTACCGTAGATGCCAGGAGCAAGATCAATCGCTGAACAATGTCCGAGAAGGCAGCTTCTGATTCAGTGGTCGCTACTCCATCCTTGTCTTCGTAGCGGTCGTTGAGTTCCTGATATCGTTCCTTCCGTCTTCGAAGATTCTGGACAAGCCGGATGACTGTTGGGATTGTGAGAAGAGCGACGATGACCAGGCATGCGATTGCTATCGCCACTGACGGCGTTGTCGAGCCCACCATAGTTCAGCGCGCTTGCTTAAGTTGACATAGCTGTCGCAGTAGATTCCAAGGCTCAATGGCCAGCACTGAGTAGGTAAGAAAGACCCGAGAGAGTATTCCTTCGACTTCAAACCAATAGAGTTTTCCGTTCACCGCGTCACATTTACTCAAACGCAGTTGTTTGCCACACTGTCACTTGAGAATCGCCTAGACATCAGCTCGACTGGTGGTAGAGTGCAACCGTCGAGGAAGATGTCACGCTATGGCTACAGCAAATGGTCAAGGTCGTGGCTCACGAAAAGGTAAGATACGATCGGTCGGAGTTCTTCTAAGACGGCTACACATGGACCTAGCGAAACCTTTGAAGCTAATGCAGTTCGTAAACGCTTTCGAAATGCTAGCGAAGAGGAGATGATGATGCTGAACGCCGATTCGTCGGCTACTGACCGCATACCTTCAGAGCTTCGGTTAGTGACTCAATGGTGCTGTTAGTGTTGGGTGAAGACATGTGAGTCACCCAGCACACCAAGCATATCATCCTTATAAGTCAGACTCCTGTCCTAGGTCATGGCGACACGGGAAAAGAATACGAGAGTCAGTCGACAAGTTGTTTGGTAGTGAGCGGCTTCATTGTGCCTGTTCTCATTGGCTATCTAACCGCAATACACCCTAGTAATCAGTCTTTCATTTTTTCAGTTCGAATCAATGACGACGACCTCTGCCTCTGCCTCGCCAATACTCTCAACAGTCAAGACATCGCCACTGTTGACCTTTGTGACATACGCTCCATCTCCTTCACTGAGCACTGTTTCTCCAGCCAGCCTTATCTTGGCCTTGCCACCCTTCGTTGCTGGGAAATGAACGTACGTCTTTCTGTCGAGTTTGCTCGAAACGTAGTCATCACCTCCGATCTTGTATTCGAAGGTGCTGCCAGCAGGTATGATACCGGCCGAGAAGACAAGATCTGCGTGGACAGGAATAGTGCCGTCCTTGACTGGGATCGCAGCCTTCTCGTCTTCGAGACTGGCCTTTGGACCAGCCTTGAGCGGCGTGATGATAGGCACGAAAGCCTTGCGCTTTTGCTCCTCGCCGAAGGTTGTTGTGTGATAATTGGGTGGCAAGCCCTTCTTCCATGGCATGGCCCAGATTTGCAGGAAGTGCACCCAGTCCTTGTTGTGTTCATTCTGCTCGCTGTGTGCTATGCCTTTGCCGCCAGTAGTGAACTGTACGTCGCCTCTATGCATGCGATAGAATGTCTTGCTGTCGTTTGACTCCTTGCCCTGCTTTTGCATTGAGTCTCGATGAGTGAGCTCTCCGGAGAGGATGTATGAGAATATTTCCGCATCGCGGTGAGGATGTGTTGGGAAGCCAGTACCGGGGGCGACGCGGTCTTCATTAAGTACTCGAAGAGCTCCGAATTGTTCGTGCTTTGGGTTGTAGTAGCTAGCGAAAGAGAATGTGTGCTTTGTGTCGAGCCAGCCATGGTCAGCTGCACCGCGTTCGGCTGATCTCCTGGGGACGATCTTGGCTTGTGGTAGAGACATGGCTGCTTTCAAGACGTTCGATGCTCGCATAGAAGTTTCTGTAGTCTGTTGTGGTTGATTGAGCATGTAAATTGCTGCGACGACTAGTAATGTGAAGGCGATTGCTTTTTGGATGGGAGACAAGTCAAGCATCGAGAAGCAGAGGAAACATATATACTCAGACCTGTGTTACTTCTAGACTTGTCCAGCTAAGGCCAGATTTGGGGTTTTAGAGCATTTGTTCAGCTTTATCAATTCGTGTATTTGCGCGTCGAACCTAGAGGAGAAAACGCATCAATGGAAGCTCGATTGCCAATTGTTGCGTAAGCGGTGCATCCTTACTAAATCATCTAACCGTGAACGGACTAGCACGGCACTCTTCCGGTCTGGTCCCGTGACCTGCAGTCGATAGTCCTTTCCGCGTTGTGAATTGATCCGAGCGCTTTGCAAACCTGCCATCAGCCAAGTTGTCCCATGAAACGAGACCACTCGGAAGTACAATCGAGTGATGAATCCTACGTCACCGCGGAAGACAATGCCGCCACACCAGAGAGTCGCGCTCGGCCCTCTACACTTGCCAGAGGCGTCTCTCCTCCACGAGTGAGCCGTGCCAACGGTGCAGGAGCAGGGCGGAACCTTCTGAATCGGAAGGCACCATCGGACGTGCAGCCGAGCACTGCGCAGGTGGAAGCAGGCATCGAGAGAGTCGATGATCATGTTGCCTTCTTCTCGAAGAAACTCTCTGCTTTCACATTACCACTATCTTCGCTGCCTCGCCTAGCTCATGTCGATTGGCTAGACCTCTACGATCGTAATCTGAGTTCTTCCGGACATCATTTCGTGATCCATCAACACGATCACCCAGTCGCTGGTACGCACTATGACTTGCGTCTCCAGATCAACGCGACAAGCAGCATCAGTTTTGCCATTATGTACGGCTTGCCTGGTGATCCCAACTCGAAACGGCTGAATCGAAATGCTACAGAAACCCGTGTGCACTGTCTCTGGAATCATCTCATCGAGACTGCGTCGCCTCAGACAGGCACTATGTTGATTTGGGACACCGGTGAGTATGAAGTCCTTCAGAGAGTCCAAGCAATAGGGAATGGGCATTCAGACACCGAGACAGAATCGGATCCGGAAAGCTCCTTTCAGTCTGATTCCATGCCTGTATCGGAGCCCGACAGATTGGCATCAGCCTTCTCGTCTCGCAAGATACGCCTGCGTCTGCACGGCACACGTTTGCCCAAAGGCTACACCCTCTACATCCGTCTGACGAAGGAGAATGATCGTTCACAGCAGCCCAAAGCGCCTGCCTTCAAGCGACGTCGGAGAGCTCCAGACGTGGATAAAAGCTCTCGCGCTGCCAAAGCGAGTACACCACTAACATCTTCATCCTCTTCGAGTGAGGATGAACGGTCCCTTTCTCCCGACCGGCCTTCGGATTCAACAGACAATACACAAGCTACGCGGAACTCCACCCATCGTCGACTGAGACGCAACGTATCTTCTCTGGAGCGTAGAGCCTCGCCTCCACCTCAAATCAGCCACGTTGCGATTGCGAAGACTACTGATGATAAGCCGCAGCATTCAGAGCCCGTCGAGGCAAAGCCACCTATAGTTGAGCAACATTCGCCCTCAGGCCGGCCTGACACGACGCATGCGCATGGTGATGAGGTCTCTGCAGCACTGAAATCCGCGGCTGACGACAGAGAGAACGAACGCGAGCAGGAGCAGATACGCTTGCAGAATGTCTACCCCGGAGCCACCAACAGTGTGAACAGCATTCACCAACGCAAGTGGTATCTTTCTCTCGATCGTACGCTGTCGGGATTTGTCTCAATTCCTACGCCAAGTCATATCCGCAATCACCATGCGAAGACGTACTGGATTCCTGTCGGATCACTATCGTCACCGCACAGCAACGATGTCGACATTAAGACCGCCCGAACTACGACAAGCAATGGTCATAGCAACGCCGATGCCATACGAGACCCAGTACTTGTCCTGCAGAATGACGCCAAAACAGATAAACAGCACCGTCTTCTCAAGGCAAATAAGAACGCCTGCGGCTTCGCCAGGTTCCATGTCCTTGGCCGTGAACATGAGCGAAGTATTGTCACAGGCCGCCTGGCAGCCGACATATTGAGCGACGAGGGCGTGGAGCGATATGTACCAAGAGCCTTGTGGCGCGCCGTGATTGAATGAATAATACCAAAAGGACTGCCAGAACTAAAGTTCGTTCGCCCTCGCACAGTACCATCTCCCTCGAGAACTCCAGCAGAACAGACTCCTTGGTGACCGAAGCTCAAGTCGCGGCACCAGCGCTGTACACAACCTTCCAGACCTCGCACCTTACCGCCCACACAATCGGGAATCTCGACGCACCCACCGCACCATGTCCATACCCCTGCAGATCAAGTGGTGCGTCCGGATCACTGGGTCCAGGCGCGGTCCAGCCCTTTTGCGAATGCCAATGCGTGAGATGGTAGTACGTCTCATTGCCCGTGGTCTCGTAAAAGTCACACTCTGTGGATATGCCTTCGCCCTTCACGACCGGATCGACGTACATGAAGCTGATCTTTTCCTCCACACGTGTGAGTTCTCGCCAAATGTTGGGAGCGCTGATGTTGTAAGGGGTACCGCTGACGCCGAAAAGGATGACATTGCCAGCAATTGGGTATTGATCTTGGACTGAGCCGGTCCAGGTTTGGGCATGGGTGATGAAGGGTGAAAGAATCAGGACCGCGAGGCTAGCGAGGTGGTGCATGATGGTGGAAGAGGGGCTACTGAATGTCGCTGTAGGGTGCTGGATGGCGTCGGAGGCTTTGCTTCTATGGGACAACATGAGTTGGTCATAACAGGACTGTTCTTATAGATCTACCTGACGCCAAGACCGGCGCCCGTGTACCGGGGCTGAAGCCTCCCTGCTCGGTACATATCGAGCGCGGCGTTCACTTCTGTGTGCACAGACATTACATTTGCTCACATCCGCAATAGCGCCGGCCGTAATCTCCTCGGACGTTGTAGGATCTCTCCTTCGGTGATCTCGCATGGTGCTCAGCCTAATCATGTCAGTTTAACGACACGAATATATTCAGAGACTCGGTCCGGACCACAAGGAGACCGCTGTCCCTTCTGCCACATGAAGTACGTTTTCAGCCTCATCTCTAACCTCCGTACGATAGCCAGCATTCACCCCAATCAGTAGATTGCTGCTCCGCGTGCGCTACATGCACGACTTCGAAGCATAGTAGCCCCTGGCTAACCACGCTCTTTCCCACTCTCGTGACCAATCTACATCCGAACAGAAAGTCCGAACGGCCGCTCCTGCATCGCAATCTCCGCATGACTACCGTCGCACCTGGCCCCATACCGGAGAGAGTCCTGGCTGCATGCCTGCGACTGCCGTCGCTCGCAGATTGCAGCACACATAGATCGCGTTGACAGCTGTGTACCATGGTACCTGCTAAATTTGGAAAACACCCCTCGATCTCGTCGAGAAAGGGCCGGTCTTCCATTACTGTGGTCAGTCGGGTAAGTTGCCTTGACCCGCCAATCTCATGTGCAACTTCACCGGCGCTGGAAGTCCATAGGATTATACTGATACCTCGTCTGTGGTAGCTGCTGATACTGGTCGCCGTTCTGCATGTGTGACACTGGACTAATGACGACATTTGAGCCCAGGTCCAACGCAGACACGACACTTGCCCTGTCTGTGCCTCCAGGTGCGATATCGTCGCTCAAGTCGGAGAGAAGACTGTGCCGCCTAAATTGAGGTGACGGTTGAGGCTTCTGTTGTGGTATTGATCCAGGTAGCTCGGCTATGAACTGCTTGCTCGGCGGAGCTGGAGGCATCGCTGACATAGAGGCATGCTGATAGTGCTGTGGGCGACCAGGATTGTGATTCGAGGCGGCTGTGTTTGAGGACGCTTGAGTGTGAGATGTATAGTTTGAAGCAGACGTTTCGGTCGTGTTGGCTGTAGACCAGCTTCGGTTGTGAATGGTTGGCGTGAGATTATGCGTCAATGGCCTATCGTTGCGGAAGGCTGGATGGTCAGCCAGATTTGGTGGAGCGTTCCCACTTCGAGGCTGCGGATAGTGGTATTGTTGTGCTGTTATTGCCTGCGGTGTCGACATCTGAGGAGATATGCCATCCGGTTTCACATTGTGAGGAGCCCTCGTCTGCGGCGATGTCGTCTGCGGTGTCTGGATTGTTGGGGACTGTAGAATTTTGGAGTGTGACATGTGACTGCCGACCTGAAAGCCATTCCCATAGGCTTGCTCCGGTGGATTTCTGCTGAAATACTCTGCTGTGGGTGACAGCAAATTGCTATGTCCTGACCCAGTCCCACGGCGAGCCTCTATCATTTCAGCTTTCTTCATAATGCGCTCGACCAGAATCCGGTGCGCCTCGTCCAGATTCTTCCTAACGAAACTGTTCAGAAATCTGTTGCACCGCATCTCGCACTCCTCCTTGAGGTACAGTCCAACTGCAGGTGCCGTGGACCCGAGCTCTCGCCGTTCTGGTGGCTCGCCTGGCAGACTACCCTGTATCGACCACTTTTCTCGAATGTCCAAGCCAGTAGGCGCATAGATATGTGTCTGCAGACCATTCGGTAGATCGTGGAAGCATGCCTTGTATGAGACCTTCCCCTTCACCAGTCCTCCAGGTAGGTAGTGGACCTTGTCTGTGAGTTCTTGCCAGGCGCAATCGAGGAACTCGTCTGCGGGCGCATCGCGAGGGGTCTTGATGGGTCGATGCTCAATGACCATGGGGTTCAGCTCGATCTAGACGATTGTTAACTTGTGAATAAAGCAACTTTGCAGCACCGTGTACCATCTCATCATGGTTGTGAAGCATAGCTATCGCTACCTCCCGTGACACCGTCGACGGCAGCGGAGTGATGTTGCAGAATAGTGTCTTCTTTCCCATCTTGGAGGGCTGACCGCGGTCGCAGACTGGCCTTGAGAGCGTGGTACCAGACGTAGAGAGCGGGTGCCCCCTCTACTTCATGCTGTCAGAGCACCATCATGGCTCTGTGCTGAGTTCGAGGATGTCGAGGACTCCGCCCCGACGTGACCAAAAGAACGTCGGCTTGCCTACCATGCTGCGGCGACGCCGCGGAATGACTGGACAGGACGATCACTCGCTTGTTCAGGGTTCACCGCATGCGTCATCCATGGATCTTCTAGGCCCTGGTTCCTCCAGTATAGGCATAGCCGCAGCTAGCAGGTAGCCGAGGCTGTACCTCTCAGGCAGCCCTAGAATAGATTGTCCAGCTGCCTTTCTACATCGCAGGCGAAGTTTCTCAGCCTGTGCGGGCTTCCAGTCATGCTCGCAATTTTCCGATGTGAGTCTGGTGAGCTTCGCCTTGTGTTCGAAATAAAGGTTAAGGCACTGTTGGACGGTGTTCACCCTGTGTGGGAAAAGTCATGGTGCCCATGTGACCTCGCGATAACTTCGCGGTGAGCCTGACGCGCCGGAACGCGTTCGCGATTCTCTCGCGTTGTACGGACACCGCTGCTGAGACTGATGCAGGTTGACACTGCTAGGATTGCTCCATCTGGCTCGCATAGCTTGTCAGCATCAAAGCTAGCCACTCACAGATATCTCAGAGGGCCTATCGAAGGATTACGCACGCAAAAACAGATGCTGCACGGGATCCCGACCGCTACTAGTGAGTTGAACGGTGAATGAAAGGCAAGGAAGCTCGCACACTCTTTGCATACATCGCCATGGTCATCTCTTACCCGATGGACTGGATCGTCAAAAGACTAAAAGGAGTTGGAACGCCGGCACCCAGAGTCGAACTGGAACCTTCAAGGCAATCCCACTGGTGATGGCCGACAGCAGCTGGCAATTGATCACCACTTACCGTTAGCGAGCACAGGGCTGAGAAATGCCTGACTATGCTTTGCCATTTACACTATGCTGTCCAAATGACTTGTTCGTAATAGGTTCTGTGTCACAAAAACTAGTGTAGTAAACCATAGGATGTTAGAAAAGTGAATGTGGGAATAAAACGATCATGTTCGTACGGCCCATTGCATGACGAGCACGGCCTGGGGAAGACAGCTCGGGAACGGACCACATGTGTTCGAGTCCTGGTTGAACACTGCCTTCACGAGCACGAGGACGCAGACCTCGAAGTGCTGGACTCGCAAAGCCAGCCACATCCTTCTCACGCACTCCAGTAGGTGTCCATCGCACTGCTTACACGATGCAGAACAGCAACAAGTCATTGTCTCAAGCAAGCCCGTTCTTTCTGTCGATCACCATCCGCTTCTACATTGTCTGCTTGCCAGGACACAAACACGCCATCGACAATGGCGATGCTTGACAAGACCGCCATATAAGGTATGCTTGAGCTCGACCACATGGACGGAAGCTGATCTCCATTGCAATCACAAGTCTCACCATGCAGAAGACACCGAAACGGCGCCAGCCAACCAGGAGCAAGTCCTCCAGCACGTCCTCCAAAGACCACAGTGCAAAGTCACAGAGATCCTACCACTGGTCCTACAAGCCTTGTCCAACTCCAAGAACCCTGAAGTGCGCCACTTCCATCATAAACTCCAGGAGGATCTCGAGCCAGCGGCAGAAGCGCTTGATGAGCTTCTCAAAGCTTTCGCAGCTCTCGCAGAAACCATCTCCAAGCCAGATCTCGACACCAACGACAAGACCAAAGCTCTACACGCAGAGATCATCGAAGGAGATCAATCCATCTGCGAGTTCATCGCGGAGAGACTTGCCAATGCTCTGACATTCTGTTACGGCCATCTTGGGTCCTGTCGTCGAACAGTCATCGCAATCGCCTGACCAAGCGAGACCGAGAGCGCAGAGGTATACTTCAGGACGACATTGCAAGACTCCGACTTGTCCGTGACAGAATCGAATCCATTCGTCAAGGTGAGACCCACCACACGTCCCAGGTCAAGCGCACCCGATCGTCCTCTGGCGTCCGCGCCATCGAGACGCCCACCCAGGACGACCCACAACCACCACCAACCAAACGCGCCAAGCTCACTCAATCGACAGTCGCCACAACTGATCACCCCATAGCACAATACCTGCTCATGAAGACTCCAGCACTACACATCCTGCGCGCAGCCGGCATCCACCCCACACACCCACCCCTAAACGCCCACCTTGCCTGCCTCCTCCCACAGAAGCTCGGCGACGTCCCCAAACCCTTCCGGCGAGAAGTCGACGACCTCCGACGCACCGGCGAGCTCATGTACTGCGACGAGCTAGAAGAGGCGTTGCGCGTGGGAGCGTTAGTCGATGGGCATTGCGCTGGCGGCGGACGACGTGCTGGATGTCAAGAAGAGGTGGGCGAAGATGCCGTGAGGAATCCTGCCGGGACGAGGCTGGCCGTATACCAGGATGTGATGGTTCGGATGATGGAGGGTTGGTGGGCGGCGAAAGACGAGGTGGAAGCGGAAGCAAAGAAGCAAAGCCTGGAAGCAGCAACAGCAGGAGGCGGAGAGGGAGAGATGGTCCAAGACAGCAATGCGACTCAGCCAGAGCAAGATGAGCAGCAGGACGAGCTGCCAGCACGAATGACAGCAGCGCTAGCAGGAGAGGTGAGTAACGACTCGTGTGAGGCGGAGGAGCAATCGACGCCGAAGGACGACAGCCACACGGGAGACCGATCGCATTTCCACGAGCAAACAGTCCAAGAGGTGGTCGACATTCAGGAGCCGCAAGTGCTGATGACCTGTAACGAAGAGGTAGAGGCCCCTGCGGCAGAAGAAGAGGACGCGCCAGGAGAGAAGGATACAGAGATGGAGGCCTGAAGGGACCGAGGTCACTTGTTGCGGTCCATTGTGCAGTCGTTGGTGTAGCGAAAGTTGCAATGAAGGGTGTGCACAATCTCCATGCATCGTTGATCTGACAACGAGGTTGCACGTCGAATAGCTGGTTGGCAAAGAAAAGTCGAGCACAATCAAGAAAATTTGAACGCCCAGGAGTACTCTCGCATTCCGAGAACATCGCAGAGAAATGAGAGCCTTCGACAAATGGTGAACGATCATCGATCATAGCAATTGTCGCGTGCTCCCAAGTTTGAAATAAAGGAGCATAATTGCCAAGACTTCGAATTCTCGGTCATACTAACCGTGGGCAAGGCAATACCTGCCAAGTTGCCAAATGAAATTCGATTGCTCACGTCGAGAGCGAGCATTGTTCGAAACTTTCCATCGAACGCGATCCTAACGGCGGAGGAAAGTATGAGATCGATGCCGACGCTCCGAAGCGTGAGCTCAGACAAGCTTCACAGCGAAGCGGATCGCCTGCGCGAGGCAGTCCAATCCTCAACGACCTGTGCGCAGTCGATCGGATCAACTTGACACGTTTCGAAGTAAATAAGCAGCCGCATTCTGCTTAATCTCGTGACCTCAAATCGCCCACCGAGGAGAAGCGTTGGGTTCGAGAAGGCCAGTAGTAAGCAAGCATTCCAACGAATCTGGTCTCCACACCATGTCCCAGGAATGCAGCCTCGCCTCGAGGAGTATCACAACAAACCCGTGCTCATCCACACGGCAACCCAGGCTCGACGCGCCTATCCGATATAATGTTCTTGCTTCCGGTCTTGGCTTCTGCTTTCTTCTCCAGGTCGATACACTCACTTCAGTCACTCTTTCAGACGTCCCTTCGTTTTCCAGCTAACGCGTAGCTACCTGACCCGAAGTCACTCTTTTTACTTCGTAATCCCCAACAAACAAAAATGCATAGCCTCATCCTTTCTACCGCCATTGCGGCGCTCTCTACCCGCGCCCTGGCTGGCATCATCGAAACTCGAGCTGATCCGAGCGTTCTCCAATTTGTCGATGGGGACTGGGAGGACAAGAACCAGGGGGATGTGTACCCAATCAAATGGTCGAAGGGAAATGGCCAGGACGTCGCTGTCTCTATCAAGGGCGAGGGCGGCTACTCTGAGATTCTCTGTGGTAGGTCGAATCGAGCCATGCCACTCTTTTCAATTGCTGACCTTGCTCTTCAGAGACCGAAGAGGCGCCGGGCGAGCTCGACTGGACTATCGATATCCCCAACTGCGGCGTCGAGTACTCCATTTGGCTGAAGCAGGAGAACTGCGAAGAGCTCGAATCGCCCAAATTCAAGGTCCTCTGCCCGGCTCCTGTGGCACCAGTTCCAGGTAACTGGTCTGGCCATCCCGAAAAGCCATCTATCACAGTCGTATGGCAAGACGAGGAATGCTCGTGCCAGAAAACCAAGGTCACCGTTCCCCCAACCCCGAGCAAGACCATCTGGTACGATGCCGAGCTCTCCTGCTCAGTCACTGCCACTGCACCACCGGAGGAGACGAGTTGCACCGAGAGCTCAGTTCCTGTCGCACCAGCAACCAATACTCCTCCTGCCTGGACTGCTCCTGCTCCTAAGTCGCCAGTCGCTCCTGCCGCGGCTACCTCTGCATCGTGGACTGGTGCCGCACCAACCGGAGCCAAGCCTGTAGCACCCGTTGCGACATATGAGGGTGCTGCCTCCAAACTCGGCGGCTCTGCCCTGGCGCTCGTGGCTGTGTTCGCCGCCGCGCTGGCTCTGTAAGCCATGTGATAACCAAAAGGCAAATTCAACTTTCTGCTGCACAAAATTCCTGCTGCATTTACTTGGAGGCGTACATGGAAGGACAGGAATCTGAGGCGAGGAGCTGATGGTTGCGTCAACCAGAGGACAGGAGATCGAGGATTGTTGGAATGGTGACATATATGACGTCCTTGGGCGCACATTCGAATGAGATACGCTGTTCTTTGCTCTTAACAGGTCATGTAAACGTGATCGAGATGATTTACGGTGAACGTGCTTCCTGTTCAGCTCTTGCTCTGCGCGTTTGACTTGCTGACTTCTGCGCTAGAGAACGAGAAAGGAGACTTGGCTAGGTCAGGTGATCGAGGTGACAATGCGACCGCGAAAAGATCGTCCGGGTCATCAGACGTGGTGACTGAGTCTGTGGACGTCGGCATGCTTGTCAGAAAGTCCATTGACGAGGTCTGCTCCATACCCGACTGCTGCCGTAATATTGATGCGGGCGGTGCATGTGCCACCACACGCTTAGGGGCAGTGGCCATTGAAGCTGACTGAGGTGACGCTGGACCGCCTCGGAAGGTGCTGAACGAGGAGTACGCAACGTCGCTGACTTCCGGTGATAATGGATGCAGATCACTCGTGGGAGTATTAGCACGAGCCAGGTCTTTCTCGCTCGTGCCGAGGCTGAGTCCTTTGAGCTTCTCGCTCAGTCTGCGACTGTTGGGTGATCGTGGTGGATTCAGTGCCGGACTCGTAGGAGCAGCAAGCTGATCTGACGAGGTTGACGATGTGATCTCCAGTGCGGAGGGTTTTGTCTGTAACCCGAAATTGTCTTGTATCCAGGTTTTTTCCGCATTTGCCATCTCCAATGCAATTCCTTCAAGATTGTGTTCTTGTTCGTGTCGTATTTCTTTCTCCAACGATTGTAGCCGCTTCTTCGCCCATATCGTATGTAGAACGCCTTTCTTGCCGCTGGCTTTGGCTGTTGCACCCAATTCCGGCGTGAAGATGGCGGGCAGTGGCTTGACAGTCTTTATAAGAGGCTCCGAGGCGTGGTCTCTCTCGGTTTCAGGCGGCTGGAAGGACAGTTTGATGTGCGGTGGAACGACACTTCCGGGGGGTAAGAGGAAGTAACTTCTTTGGATCTTGTCTGATGGACGGTCTTCTGCGGAGATGTATCGATTCCCAGCCCAACTGACATGCCATGAGCCTCTCTGATAGACATCTTGTTCTGCCTGCCACTCAACCATCGGGATCTTGGTTCCCTCATTACCACGACCGGCCTCGAATTCGAAGCGAGCAAGAGCCGTAACACCTGTCAGCGTATCGGGGCTTATGGGAGTGATGGGCGTCGGAGGAGCCATCATTTCAGAGGCCATGATGGCGGCTCAGTGCTGCGTACGGTACAGGGCGAGAGACAATGCTATGCAAGGAGAAGGCGCAAAGCTGCAGAAAGACACAGTGCTCCGTGGGACAGCCGTTATAAGATCTATATCTGGAACAACCCACGAGATCCGAGCCCGTGGTTGGAAGCATAAAATAATCCAACGACAGCCTGCATACGGGCGACCAGGGGAAGAAGGTTCGGTGCAGCGCTTGTGGCTTCCAGGTTTCCGCAGTGCCGAACGCTGCTGCCGCCACCAAAAGTTTCGTTTAGGAAACATCGAAAGTGCAACCTGCGTCTGCAACAGGGGAGGCAAGCCTGTAAGCGAGCCCGCTTATCCCCTGCAACCGCATAGCTTGCCCAATTGATCAGGCTCTGGATCAGAAGCCTTTCTGGGCATTGCAGTGGTCTCGGCGGTAATTGCAATATCAGACGGAACGCTGTAGAATCTCTGGCCTCAGGCCTTTGTCAAGGCGGTCCAAAGTCGGCGGACCGCTTCAACGGCGCGTTCGGTGCCTGATCCCTGGAAGTTGCCCGCGAGGAATACGAAGGCCCTAATCCTTCTAGAATCTAGATGACTTTGGTGCTGACAACAGTATTACTACCAAATACTGTTGTAGATGTTATGCGAAGTATTGGCACTTGAACAATCATATCGTGAGACAATCTATCTAACGATCTTGGGATCGCTGTTGGTAGCCTCTGAGCTTCTACTGATACATGAACCACAGGTAGGGATGGTCGAGCAGATATGTCTTTCGCCAGTACACAATGCTGTCTGCCTTACAGCTTGCTGCCCTCAAGGTAGCCCTTTTGCTTCAGCCAGGCTTCAACATCCTCTCGATCCCGATTCAGCCAATTGCTCTTAGCTTGAATGGAGTCGAGACTCTGCTCCAGACTGCGGTCATAGCCCTTCTTGTCCTTGTCCTTGAAGAAGTCCACCACTTTCGCCTTCTGCGATTCATTCGTGAAGCCACTGACGCAGATAGCAACAACTGAGCTAAGCATGTTCATCGACGGCGGCAACTTCTTGACAATTTCATCCCAATTCTTGACCATCCAGTCAAACCGATCTTCGACACCCTTCGAGGTCGAGGACAACCCACCTATTGGCATGTAGATATCCTGCATCTTTACTTGGCCGCCGAGAGCAAGGCCCAGCGTCTTCTGGATCAGCTGCTCGTCCTTGGTTCTACCTAATGCACGAAGACAAGTGTTGCGTTCATCCGCCGTCGGAGCATTGTGGAAGCGGTCCAATAGGGCTTGCCAGTCGCTTTCATCACCATCTCTGATACACATGGCAAATATACTGCCACGCAAATTGGGATGAACGGCTTCGTAGTCGCCCTTCTTGTACTTGTCAAACATCTCCCGAGCAGCAGCCGCAATCTTCTTGTCGCCTGACAGGCCTGCAGAGCCGAACATCAGAGCCTTGAACTGACTCAAAATGTGGTCTTCGTTCTCGGAGAACTCCCAACCGAGCTCATGAGCCTTTGCTGAGCACAAGGACAGCTGGAATGCTTTCAGTGAATCCTTGACGGCCTCATCTTCGAACATCCACGTGTTCCTGAGTGCATTAATCCTAGTCATGATCTCGTTCCACACAAGGAACTGCTTTTCGGTGCTGAAGGACTCCAATAGGGCCAATATGCCCGATGTCTTCCCATAGCCAGAAGCAGCTAACACGCCGGCATCGGCGATCATGCCAGCTCGGTCTTCTGTGGTCAATTTGCCCGCTTGAGCGGCCTCGCCGAGCTTCGTCAGTCGCTCTGGTGAATAGTTCGTGCGGAACAGAGCAGAATGATCAGCATTTAGCTTGTAGAAGTCGAGTCCGCCCTTGACCTTGAAGGTCTGCTCGCGTTCTGTGAGAATCAACTCTTCATCCACGCCGTCTTTGGTCCTCAGACCCAAAATGACAGGATAGAGAACCTCGTCTTCTTCTGGCTTGACGTCTCCTGTACGCAGGAATCGATTCTGCTTGACTGTTATTGTGCCTTCTGAAGCATTCTCCCATACGGTGATGACAGGATAGCCAATCTTCTTGGTCCAGATGTCCATTACTTTGGGGATATCTTTGCCGCTGGCTTCACTCAGAGCAGCCCACAGGTCGCCGGTCTGCGTGTTTCCCCAAGCATGCTTTTTGATATAACGTCGAACGCCGTCGATGAAGGTCTCTTCCCCTATGTACTTAGAGATCATTCGAAGAATAGCAGAACCTTTGCTGTACGAAATACTGTCGAAGATCTGGTTGATGTCCTCAGCGCGATGGACAGGCACTTCGACTGGATGCGAGCTTCGCAGACCATCGAGGCCGAGCGCGCCCTGCAGTGTGTCGATGACGAACGTCTCCCACACCTTCCATTCTGGGTAGAACTCGTTGCATGAGTACCATGACATCCAGGTGGCGAAGCCTTCGTTGAGCCACAGACCATCCCAAAAGTCCATGGTGACCAAGTTACCGAACCACTGATGTGCTAGCTCATGCTGAACGACTTCAGCCACCCTCTCCCGGGTACTAGCGCCGGAAGTCTTCTGGTCAAAGAGAAGATCTACAACCCGATATGTGATGAGACCCCAATTCTCCATGGCGCCCGCAGCGAAGTCGGGGATGGCAACCATGTCCATCTTTGGCAATGGATATGGTGCTTCGAATGCCTTCTCGTAGAATGCCAGGGTCTTGGCGGCGACCTCGAGTGAGAAAGTACCGTCTTCTTCCTTTTGATCTGGTGTCATCCAGACCTTGATTGGCAGACGGAACTTGTCAGTCGAAATAGATTTGAGCTCGCCCACGATGAATGCCAGTAAATACGTTGACATCTTCGGCGATCGATTGAACTTGACAGCCTTCCTCTTCGCACCAGTGATCTTTGAGTCTACAGTGGTGGTTGAAGCCTCGTCCATGTTCGAAAGACAGGTCATCCCCTCGTCGGCGACAAGCGTAACAGTGAACTCAGCCTTCAGTGCAGGCTCGTCGAAGCAAGGCAGTGCCCGTCTGGCATCCGTAGCCTCGAATTGTGTGACTGCCAGATACTTGCCATCCTTCCTCTTGGAGCGGTAGAAGCCGGCCATGTTATCATTGAGCTCTCCAGTGTAGGTGTGTTTCAGTTGCACTTTCTGACCCTCCTTCAGCTCCTTGCCCAGATCAATGACTGTTGTCTGTGTGTCCTTGTCGTAGGACAACGTGGGGGTGTCGTTGACGAGAACACCATCTGCATGTACTGACGTAGAGTGAATCTTGATGTCGACGGTATTGAGCGAGATGGTCTTGCTGTCTTTCACAACATCGAGGTCGATGATAACACTGCCTTCAAAGGTGAACTTGTCGAAATCAGGCTCGAGTGTCACATCATAGTGTATGGGCTTCAGGTTCGTGGGAAGAACAATACGGCCTTGGCTGTTGGCCACGCTGCCGGGATTACCAGACGCATAGCGACACATGTTGAGAGCTGTCAACAGTCCTGCAGGCCTTATCGTGGAGGTAGTTGACAGAGCAGTTGGTGGGGATCGTCGAAGGTGTGGGCTGGAGTAAACGGCCTTGCGCTGCTGTTGATGAGAAATGAAAGATCCTGCGGTAAAAGAGCGACAGTGCCAGCGGGACAGCCGAGGAACGATGCTCGACCCTTTGGTGACTCGCAGACTCAAAGGAAGTGGTCTCATAGACGTATGCTGCAAGGGAATGATGATGCTGGAGGATTGATGTATGCAGGCTGCGAGTGTTGCGTCGACTGAGTTACCAGAGCGGGAAATCTGCTTACATTCGAGATGGGAAGGTTTAACCGAGTCTATACCTTTGCTCTCGTTTTCACGTCAATGTGCTCCATCCTTGGACATCTCCCAGAACGCTCATCTCTTATAATTGGAAATGCCGCTTGCGGTATGTGGACTGTATGACAACGTAGTCACGCGCTTGATGAATGCGGCAGCCGTCACTGTCGGACGAATTCGCGCTTCGCCCACATGGTAGGTCTGAAGAACGATCGCAAGCACAAATCATGAGCCAGCTTCTTCCAATATCTGTCTCACACGGTGCTGGACGGGCCAATGGCCTCTGTCTTCGCTTGCAAGAACGGCACTTTCGCCAACCAGTTTGAGAATTACATTCCGTTCAGTGGATGTCACTTCATAAGAGGTTTTGGTACATTTATCCAGCTAGCTAGACCTAAAGCCGATCCGAAGGTAACACGACCAGCGAGTACCAGTCCCTCTGCTTCTCGCTCCTGATCACTGACGCTTCGTTATGAGTATCCACAGACATTCAGCCCTGCATCGGTGCAGAGACCGCCAGACCATGACCCTCTCTCTGCCTTCAAAATGACGCCTTGTCTGTGAAAGCATTCTCGCTATGGGTATCTTTCGTGGCATCTTCTTGCAGGCATGTCCTGCCCGGATATGCGATCAAGCATCCCAGAAACACGTATCAGGGCTGCTCGTATACAAGCAAGCACTTCCGCCAACGCCGTGAAAATGTGATCCGCCATCATCGCATAAGCTCCGCCCCATGGTTGGTTGATCGATTTAAAAAGATTAAAAATCGAAAGTCGCTCACGTTTTCGAGTGCTGAAATTGCTGGTCAAGCACATCATGCTTGCTTATCGGAGGAAATGCTCTTTCCCCTCCTTCATTGAGGTTCTTCGCCGAGAATTGACGCGCAGCAGTCCTCTCAAGTCTTGGAAACAACGCCGACGCTAGGATTACTAGAGCGATGCGACAAAGGTGGCGAAGCGCGCGTTGGTGACCCAATAGATGGAGCTGATGAACGCTTCGAAATGACATCAAGCTTCCGTCGGAGCGCCGTCAAGCGACCCGTAATGCTTGTCACGACTGAGCGGAAATGTTAGTACATTGCATGAAAGGGCCATTGACAAAACCTACGAGCTCGCACAGTCTTCCTATCCTCTGCTTCCAAGCCGTTGATGGGGACGTCATCATCCTTTTCCTGTTCACCAGCGACATCCTTGCCTTTCAGGTCTTCGTCGTCGCTCTCCAAGATGGCTTCCAGCATTCGAATTGCAGTGATGTAAGATATCTCACAGCCTGGAAGGTCTTCACCGGTAAGTTCGTTGATCGCAGCTGAACGACTCATCTCCAAGGCACGATCGTACATCAACCGCTCAGCAGTGATGCCAGAGCTGACGATGAATTGCTCATCAGAAGTTCCAAGTGCGCCGCCAGATGCAGTCGCAGCTGAGATATTGCTTGGGTGGCTCGGGTGATCCTCCGGCAACCGCTTCTGGCTGTCAATAAGCTTGAGTCGAACGAGATCAGTCTTCTCCAGGACCACGTTGAATCGTTCACGGCCCCACTGCACAACATTGTTCATCCTCTGCTGCGCAGCAAGAGCAATCTTGCCACTTGCGACATCGACGTTAGAATCTCGCTTGCGTGACCACCACTGCGCAGCCAGGTGTAACGAGCGTGCAACAAGAGCCAGAGCTTTGACATAGAGCACCAGTGCTTCCTCTGAGACGATCACGAGTGCTTCAATGGTGAGTTCGTCGTTGAAAGACTCGTGCTCTTCACTGACATTGGCGTCTCGCAGTCCCAGCCCTGCCTGATTGGACGAGGGCGTAGCAGGGGTAAGCTGCTTGTATTTCACCTCTGCGAAGCCGTAAACAACGTCGCTTCTGGTGGCCAATTCCTCGACGAGTGCGATGGCTCTAGAATCCTCGTCGAGCGGAGTGGGTCTTAGCTTCTCGCCTACGACGACGAGACTGCTCTGTGCACCGGGATATGCTGGGAACGGAGCGTAGCCACCGGGAGGAGATCGTCCACCGCGCATGAAATTGACGGGTGGTGAGAATCCGATTCCGAAGAGACGGCCACTCGCCATGTTTAGAGCTTTTGAGATTGCGGAAGTGGCCGAGTTCGGACTACGACCATAGTGTCTCTCGTGAGAGTTCTGTCGATGATGCAGAGGTCGTCCAGACGCCATTTGCACGGCACGAGATGCGCTCGTCTGTGCTCCTGTCACAGAGGCGGGATGTCCTTGGGTAGTGGCTCGTCGAACAATGGCGCCTGATTTAGGGGACAAGGAAGTAGCGGTCGCAGACGGCTTGCTGCGTGGACTTGCGGCCATCTCGTCTGCAAAGGCATTGAACTCAATCTGCTTCTTCTCCACCACAACATAGTCTCGCTCAAATGCAATATCTTGTTCGGTGAGCTCTTGCTCCTCTTGCTTTTGTCGCACACGAGCCTGCTCTTCGTCGGTGATTTCGTTCCGCAACAGTGATGGAGGTCTACCGCCGCCGCTGCTTTGACGAGCCATGGCTGTAGACGCTGGAGCAGGATTATTGTGTAGCAATTCTTGGCGACCAGGTGCAGTAGCATGTGACGGTAATTTTGGTCTCGCATCGTTAGGACTGACCGGTCGCTCGTGGCTGAGCTTACGGTCAACAGTGGGACGAGTAGAGATGCTTGGCTGTCGAGGAGTATGTGAAGGTCTGCGAGGAGGTGTACGTTGACCGACCACCTCTTCTGACACGGCGCGAGTATGATCAGTATAAGGGCTTTCGGGGTCGGGCCGTGCGCCAGGACGAGTGGGAAGAGCTGCTGGTTCTGTGCGGCTGGAACGACGACGATCCTGGTCCAGAGAACCGCGCTCTGAAATGGCTTCGGGCTGAGGCATATCTTCAGGTGCAAGTCCTGGAATGTCGCTTACAACGACTTCATGGCCAAAGAAATCGGGGAAAGAGATGCGGTCTCGAGGATCGCGTCTGAGTAGGGTTCGTATGAGTCGCTTCATGCCATCAGATACGACGACGTTGTCAGGGAACTTGATTCGGTCCTCGCCCTTCTCGATGCGTCGCAGTAGTTCGACGTGGTTGGCTGCGCGGAAGGGCGGTCTCGCAGTGACCATCTCGAAGAGGACTGTACCAACGGACCATAGATCGGCTTTGGCATCGTATTTCTCGTAGCGCAGGATCTCGGGCGCCATGTAGAGAGGCGAGCCGCAGAGAGTCTCAGCCAGGGAAGTAGGAGGTAGCGCTCGAGCGAAGCCAAAATCGGCAATCTTGAGCATGGGTAAGGATCGAATACCGCAGACAGGCGTGAGGGCAGTGTCGCTTGCGCAGTATGGCATGGGATTAGGCTTGTGCTTTTTGAAGTAGTCCGGTGACGGATTCAGGAGCAGGTTCTGCGGCTTGACATCTCGGTGTATCAGATCTTTGGCTCGCAGAAATCGCAGCGCGCTTGCGAGTTGCTGCAGGAAGTGCCGGGATACAACTTCGTGCAGACCACCGACCGGCGGGTTGGGGTACTTTCTCATCATGTTTCCAACGAGCTCGCTATGCTTGATGGTGTCCCGCTGCTTGATGAAATGTGATAGGTCTCCGAGAGCGACATACTCCATGATAAGGTGAATGTGTGAGCTCGTCTCTTTGCAGTCGATGAGGGCGACGATGTGGGGATGATGCAGGCCTTTCAGAATTGTTATCTCGGAGGTGAGGTTCTCTCGCAGCTTCTGGTTCAGCTTCGTCAAGTTGACCGACTTGATTGCCACGATCGTTTGGCCATTGGCTGGACTCTGCGGATTGTCAGAAGTGTCTCAACGTGGTTCACCGAGCTGGCACTTACAGTATGAATGGCTTTGTAGACCGTAGCGAAGCTGCCACGGCCGATCTCTTCCTGGCGATTGAAGGCACCGATCCGGTCTGACTCTCGTGATCGTCGAGATGTGTGAGATTGTGTGCTGGTTGATGCCATGATGGCGTGGGACCCTTTCGGGTTGGTAAAGAGACCTCAGTACTACAGGCTCGGGTAGCTATGTCCCCGGGACGTAGGGAGGGTGTGGTTGGCGCAGGTAGACTCGAAGGACATGAATCGAGGATAGAAAGTCCGAGTCTTTAGGCTTTGCACATTGGAGGCTGCCAACAATTGGTTGAAATGTGAATGAAGCAGTGCTGCAGGCAGAAAGGCTCGGCAAGCTAGTGCGTTCGTTGATGTCGTCGGGTTGATGTGCAATCACATAGGTACTATCCAGTAGCCTGATGTGGAGCAGACGCCTAGTATGCGTTATTGACCCTGGCACCTGCGGAGAGATGCACCAAAGGGCTCCTAGGTCCAGACACACACGCACACAGTGTCAGATCTTTAGCCTGTGCGGGAACAGGCCAGAGGGAAATGTGAATGATAAACGCCCAGCTGGAGGCTGTTGTGGCTATTAGAACAAGCGCCTCTGGCTGACGGATGAGTCACTCTTGCTAGATAGCGATATAAGGGTACTAGGTGGAAGGGAAGGTCGTGAGTGAGAGACAGGTGTAGAAAGAAATGTACAAGTCACCAGCAACGTCGAGCCTTGTGAAGAGGTATAGGACGAAGGAATGGTGCGATGCGCAAGTCTGGAGTTCAATGTGATGTACTGGTCAGGGCCTTGGAGATCCGCTATCTGTACAGTCTACACTTATCGCCAGACCAACCTTATTGCTACGTTCGATATCTTACTCTTCAAGTCCATTCTTGCTTCACGTGAATCATCGATCTTTATCCATACTTTCCTCAACAATGCCGGAACTCTATGGCTGTGAGGTCTGGGTAGACTAACGACCGAGGAAGCACCCAACCCATCATTGAATCGAAGGCGTGATGCTGGTCGGGAAAGCGCGAATGACCGCATGTGCAACCAATCATCTAGGCTTTCGCTCGGCTGGTGGGTCAATCACACAAAGGTCCCTTCAACACACCACACCCCCTCAACTGGCGAAGTCAGGTCACAGGACAATGTAGCAGTCGTCCAGCCTCGGATTGCCTGCAGCAGGCCCTGATATGCTATGCGTGGCTCCGTCAGTTCGTCATACAACCACTATCGCGATTAGTACAGGCGAGCATCGCGCTCCCCCACGCTAAACGACGGTTTCGTGGAACGCGTTGAGCGCAACGCGGGGTCGATCTGCGGCTTAGACTTGCCGCTTTGAAAACCTACCAGCTGCGAGAGCCGGATGCTATTTCCGTGCTTACTCTGTGGTGTTCACGCTCATTCGAAGCACTCCGATGGATCAACACCAACTTCATCATCAGAAGAGGGAGCCGACAACTACCTGGCAAACTACTGAGTCTCAAATGACTGCTCGGTGTGTATTCTGCCGCGTCGGATTATCAAGGGGCCTCTATGGCTTCTGCAGCTTCTCAATCCACTTCAGACCCTCGGTCGGCTCAAGGCGGTGATGGTATTCCGGATTCACGAATGTCTCCCTGACGACACCTTCGCCATCCACGAGAATCGTGGCTGGAATAGGCACATCTAACGACTTGTCCTTCCAAGCCGTATCCTGGCTTTCCAAGAATGGCCTCATGCCCTCCGATTGAGTCGATATGCACCCAAGTTTTCTCGCCACTTCGTTGTCCGGGTCTGACAGCACTAGGAAGTCCAAGCCCATCTTTTCTCGCCGAGACAGTGACTCCTCTGGCGCGTCCGGCGAGATTGACACCAGCGTGACACCTTTCTCGTGAAGCTGAGGTAAAATTTTCTGCCAGCCGCGCAGTTCGATGTTGCAGAAAGGACACCAGCCTCCTCTGTTCAGCGACAGCAGTAGACCATTCTTGTTGAGAAGGTCTTCCCGCTTCCAAGTCTTTCCCGTACCATCATGCAATGCGAAGTCTGGGAGTTTATCGCCAGCTTTGACGGCCTTATCGCGATTGAACGCTGCTTTCATGTCCCTGTCGGAACTCTTGAATGCTTCCGATACATGGGACGGAGCTGTTTTGTGTATATGAGCGTACAGAGAGCTCAGATCCTGTCTCAAAGCCATGTCTGGAACCTCCGATTGCGAGTGTTGTCGCAGATAGATCGAGAGAAAGTCGACAATGATCGGAGCACGCGTTTGGGAGGGCAAGGCAGGTGTATCTTAAAATTCAGCTCACGGAGTGGCCCTGCACGGAAAGTATTCGACTATGCAAGATCGCTCATCACTGGAGCTTGCGACACATGCTGAAGGTTTCTCTTCGCGGCATCGACGCTGCTGCCGTTTGTCACACTTGGATATCAATGGGTAGCCATTTTTGGTAATTATTTGGCTGCCACTACCGTCCATCTTGACTAAGCATTGCTGTGGAATGGTTCCATCGCTTGGACAGTGGCACTGTCTAGCACAGATTTTGAGTTTGCGATACGAGCATCGAAGTTTCAGCCCAAGTGCTCGGAAAAGAGCGCTTGGGCGGCCTGGCAACGATTTTCGTGTCACGCTTGCTCGACTCTTTCAGCATTGGCAACACTCAAGACCGCTTCACAATCCTACTAATTGGTATTCTTTAGCATCATTGAAGGCCGTTCGCATTCATCAACTGCTGTGATGGATAATCACAGCAGCCAGGTCCTCAGTGAATGTGTGCTACTGTCTACAAAGCTACACAGGCCTGAAGCGACTCCTCCCTCTGATTCTCTCCCCGTACACATAAAATAAGATCGGAACAGGGGCAAATGCCACGCAGAGGAACCCCAGCACACTCGTCGCCCAAGGGACGCCCAATGCTGAATACATGTCGTATGTGAACAGAGGGAACGCCGCCCCAGCGATGCTCCTGATGAAGGTGTTCACAGCAATGGCGCTGTTCGAATAGAAGCCGTACACATCGATGAGATAGTTCATGGCCTGCCAGAAGCCGACCAACATGCCCCAGCCTATCAGCACGGTGGACAGAACCTGCGGCACCCAGGTGATCTCTGGACTCGAGGTCCAACCATACCAGAAGAGGCCAGCCGGAAGCAGCAACGCACCCACGATCATCGGCGGCAACCTCTCTTCTGGAACAATCTTGCCGTACTTCACGAACGACTTAGTGAAGTTGGTGCGGGTGCTGTATATGATGGTACCAAGACCGAGGAAAGTGCCGACCGCGAAAGCGATGAACGGCAAACTCGCGACACCGATATTCCAGCCCCTCTCGTTGTGGAAGCTGTATGGATATGCTGCGAAGAGCAGATAAAGCACGCCATATATGAAAGACATGTACGCCGTCATCAAGCTCAATATAGGCTCCTGGACGATCATGACGAAAGGACGGACCAGGTAAACAGTCACTAGTCGGTGGGCGTCCAGAGGGTTCTCATCCATCTTGCTGTGCAAGGCCCAGTTCTTGGTCTCATACCGCAGTCTCCTGGCTTTATACTGCAGGATCTTTCCGGCACTGGTCTCGGGTATACATAAGAATCCGATGATGCCGAAAAATACTGCGAGAATTAACGTGATCCAGGCCGTCCATCTCCATCCTAGATTCGGCTGCATAGTCAAGAAACCTCCAGCGATGGGACCTCCACAAGGCCCATTGAAGGCGCCCGTGGCGAACATACAGATCGCATACGCTCGCGGGATTGGATCCCAAATATCGGAAAGTACACCGCCAACAATCGCAAGAGGCGCCGTGGCGAACAGTCCGCCAAAAAAGCGGCCCAGCATGATTGTCTCGACGTTGCGTGCCACGGCGACAGGGATCTGAAAGATAGCGAACAGCGCATAGCCGATCATCAGGGCGTCCGACGGCCATACGCCTCCGAAGCGGGTCCGAAGATGAGCGGGCCGAAGACAAAGCCGAGCAGGAAGAGACTCACGCCGAGTGTGGCCGTCGTGCGGCTTATGTTGTACTCTTCTGCCACTGGCTCGACTGCAACACTGAAGACTGTGCTGGCGAATGTCACGACGAAGGTCATCAAGCCCATCGAGGTTGTTATCGCCCATTTCCGCGCTGTAGAGAAGTTCTTTGGGTTGTCCTTGTCGTCTACACCGTCGAAATCAACCAGATTGTCCGGATACTGCTCGAGTTGCCCACGCGGTTTCTCGTCCGTGCCAACGACTTGCTCGCTTCGAACTCCGTTCACCGTGTCCGGGATCGATCCCTGTGTCGGAGCCTCATCTGAAGAGCCGGCTTGTGGCGAATGTAGCGTGGAAGCTGATTGGTCGCCATCGTTGTCCTTCTCGGGGCGCGCGTTCCGTCTCTCAGACGCCGAAACGTCTGCTGTTGGACTATCGAGGGGTACTCGCGGATCGGCCTGCGGGTCTGGACTGGTATGCAAGTCCATCAACGCAAAGGCAGGCTTTGCGAAGCATTGCTAGAGAGGTCGGCAAGAGAGCGTTGGAGAAGGGCGACGACGCCATTTAAGAACTTCGTCAACTTCTCCAAGTCTCGGATCTGCGTGCCGCTGAGCTCCGATTCAGGACAGAAGACGATGATCTGCTATGGATGTGGTCCTGTCGTCACGCAAATGCTTGCTAAAAGACAGCGAGGCGGTCTGTTACAGAGCGCTCAGCAAATCCTCTGATTGGATTTGGTATTATGCTGTGTCGTTTCTGACTCCTACAGTACAACGGCGACTGCTAAAGAGTGCCTATACCTTCGTGCCTTCTAGCTGACCTTCAACACCGCTCTACCTGGTAGCTTCCCAGCGATCATCAGCTCGCAGTACTTATCGACATCGTCCAATGTCCCCTTAGTGAGAATCGGGTGTACTAGGCCACGAGCTGTAAAGCTCAGCGCTTCTTCTACATCTTTCAAGGTTCCAGTAACGCCTGTAAGTCGAGTTAGTCTTGCTTCAGGACTTCGACACAAAGTATTCATGAGGCAATCGGGCCAGTTCCAGGAAATAATAACTTACTGCCGACAACATTCAGTCTCTTCAAACATAGCAGAATAGGAGGTGCGCCAGCGATAACGCTTGGATCCTTAGGCAAGCCAACGGCGACCACCGTGCCACCAGGACGCAGCAGATTCGGTGCCGAAGCATACGCTTCGGCCGTTGCGGCGGTAACAAGGACGCCGTGGGCACCATACGTTGTGATTCGTGTGACTTCAGCAGCGATGTCCTTTGTGCTGGTAAAGTCGATGTACTCTTCAGCCCCGAGCTTCTTGCAGAGTTCGCCTTTCTCGGCGCCACCATCGATGGCGATTATGCGCATACCCTAATCATGTTTAGCTCCAAAAAAACCTGTGATGTTTAGTACTTACCATGGCTTTGGCGTACTGCACGGCGAAGTGCCCGAGCCCGCCTCCTGCTCCTGGAAGCACAATCCATTGTCCCGGCTTGACGGCACTTCGCTTACAAGCGACGTAAGCTGTCACACCGCCGCACATGATGGGACTAAAGGACCAGTCTAGTAAGTATTCAATTCGAAGGCACGCAGGGGCGTGGGGCCTTACCCGGCTTCTTCGTCTGAAACACCTTCTGGAATTCTTGTTGTGTATCTTCCATCTGACACGCAGTATTGCGAGAAAGTTCCTTGTGTCGTGAAGCCTGCGTTGATCTGCTTTGGACAATGCAACTCGTCCACCCCGTTGAGCTGTGCATTCACTGTCAGTAGCCAGTACTCCCTCTGACAAAGGGTGGCAAGAGCTTACGCAGAACTCGCACTCTCCGCACGTCGACCACACCCATTTAATGCCAGCTCTGTAACGGACGTCAATATCTCGTCTGTGAAGATTAAAGAGACCTCGACAACTGACCTATCACCATTCTTCCACTTGTGTCGCATGTTCTCGCCCACGGCAACAACGACGCCAGCTCCCTCATGCCCAGCAATACCTTTAGTCTCGTCCTTCATGGCCACACCAAATGCTGCCCACTCGTCATGAATGAGTGACTTGTCGGAGGCGCATAGACCAGTCCTGCAACATTCTTCAGGGACCGACGAATCCGCCAAGGGACCTCACCTACCAATTGATCTTGACAAGGATTTGATCGGGCCCTGGCATCTGCACATCGACCTCTTGCACGGGGGCTTTCGCGTCATGGCCACTGCCCTGCTTCACGGCTGCGCGTTGCTTCTTGGGAATGTCTAAGGAGCCCATGATACAGGTACTATAGCAAAGGTGCTGTAATCTCTTAAGGTGCTGCTCAAATGCTTGGACCTACTTCGTCTCGATAGAAATCGCTGACAGGCTTAATGCTTTGACAAGACTTGCGTCCATTGTAGCAGACCTCGTTATACTTGACTTCCATCCGCCATACCCCGCGTCTGCCACAGCACACATGATTGACGGGAACTTTCAAGATCCTAACGGCAAGCAACTTCGGTTAGAGCCATTCGCTCGGCTAGACGGTTTGACGCAGGTCAGAAAGCGCGGGGTACGGCATTGACTTGAGCGAGAATTCCGCGATCCGCATACGCGGAACCTAGGAGACCCTGAAGGCATTCACAGATTAAGACGAAGCAGAAGCACTTTACCGGATACGCAGCAAATTGCAGGCCTTGGCCCAGTCCAGGACGAAAGTGGGATCAAGACGTTTGCGGGCCAGGACTTGAGTGAAGGTCTCGGAGGGTTGTTCCTGCGGCTCTCTTTGCCAACCAGGGGCAGCCCTCGCCAGGAAACCAACAGTCATCGTTGTGCACTCTCAAGACCAGAGATGACCGGCCCACTGTTGATACATTGTATCGACGTTCAACCATTCTCGACGGCCCACAGGACTCGTGCAGGATAATAAACTTGGAACAATTGATGACCGGAGCAGGGATACCAAGGCCGTCAGGTACCTATACATAGTTCACGCAATTCAACAGCGATGGCTACAGGGACACAAGCACAGCATCATGGACCGCCTACATCACTGGGCGACGGGATATATGGACACAAACAGAATTCTTATGTCCTGGTCTGCACACAGTAAGCACTGACGAAGTCCAAGACCAAGGCCCGTATTCAGGCCCTCTGGTTAGACTTGCGAGATGGCCGAGATGGTGTAATCCGATGGAGAACGATCCGTGATCCTCGTCTCGCCCTGGTGGTAAGATGGAATTTGGCCCACATAGGATATCAATCGCGCTTCGCAGATTGTATACGTAGCGAGTGACTACGCAATTTGTATGTACAGGAAACGCTCGAGAATGCCCATGCTCGCGTCCCGGAGATCTGCTGTGTGAGTAGACGGGCGGCACTGATCCCATACATACCGTGAACACAGTCATGGCAACGCCGTCCTTCAAAATCGAGCGAGTCGCCGTGATAGGCGCAGGCATATCTGGCGTCAGCTCCGCTGCGCACCTCCTCCGCCAGGGCATCTCATCAGTAGTTCTCTTCGAGCGATCCCCTTGCCCGAGCGGCGTCTGGCATCTCGACGAGCGCGTTGCGCCTGACCCTCCATACCCCAATTTGACGCCTAGCCATGGAGATTATGAGGGATTGCCGCCTACGAAGATCGAAGATTTGAAGCTGACGCCACCGCGGACGCCTTCTCCTGAGAGACGGACTCGGGCGGAAGTCGGAAGTCTGGAGAACGATGATGTCGACGAAGATTTCGCGACGAAGTCCATCGCATTCGCCCCGCCCGGCCCAGCATATGTCGGATTGAGAACCAACACAGTCCTGCGCACGATGGAGACCTCCCTAGCAGCCTGGCCGAAAGGCCTTCCCGATACCAATACGGAACGGGCAGATGTGGAGCGGTATATCCAAACCGTTGCGGAGACGTCCGGAGTGAACAAGATCGCGCTGTACAACACCCGAGTCGAAGAAGTGCGCAAGGACGGCGGGGAATGGATTGTGCGGACGAATACCCTACATCGACGTGGTCGAATTGAGGAGCGGATCTGGCGATTCGATGCCGTCGTGGTGGCGAGCGGGCACTATAATATGCCACGGATTCCCGATATCCCAGGGTTGAAGGAATGGAAGGCGCGATACCCCGATCGAGTACAGCATTCGAAGAGCTACCGCTCGCCGGTTGGGCTCAGGGACAAGAGGGTACTGATCATCGGATGTGGTGCTTCGGCGTTGGATATCGCCAAGGAGACTGCTTCTGTTGCAGGCCAGGTCTATCAGAGCTCACGGGGTGGTGCGATGAGCCATCCACCGGAGATGCTGCCGGAGAATGCGCTGCGGATCGGTGGAGTTAAGGCATTCCATCTTGAAGGAGATGATGAAGTCGACGGTGCTATTGCGGGATATGTCGAGCTCAACAACGGCTCGAAGATACGGGACATTGACCATGTGATTCTTGGGACGGGGTATGTGATGTCATACCCATTCCTACGCTAGTACCACGCCGATGACACACCGATCGACATAGCGGACGAAAGCGTTATTGTTACGGCGGATGGGTACATGATGCACAATCTCCACAAGGACATCTTCTACCAAGCCGAGCCGACGTTAGCGTTCGTTGGCGTGCCGTACCATGTCAACACATTCAGCTTCTTTGACTTCCAGGCTCAGGCTGTAGCGAGAGTGTTTTCTGGGAAGGCAATTCTGCCTTCTCGAGATGCGATGAGGCAAGAGTATCAGGAGCGACTGGTAGAGAATGCTCCTGGTCGTGACTTCCATAGTCTCAGGCAGGAAGGTGGGGAGATTGCGTATGTGAGAAATCTTGTGGATTGGATGAATAGAGATGCTTTTGTCCTGGGCGCAGAGCCGATGAAAGGGCATAGTGAGGAGTTTTTGGAGGCGCATGAACAGCTTATGAGCATGTTGCGGTCGATGGGACTTGCGCACTTCTTTCGGAAAGATATACCGGGGAGGACCTTTGACCATGTCTATGTGTGAATCAAGCCACCGGCATGGAACAAAATGCCAGTGCAATAGGCTTAGGATATCGATGCTGCTTCCCCTTCTGCTTGACCTCGTGCCGCGACAGGTGCTCGGTCACAATCTGTAATCGTATATCTGCAGAGGACTGACACAGGCCAGACTCATGCCCTGTCTACTGATGGAAGTCTGCCTCATTCAGATCTGTAGATCAGCTTCTCCATGACGTCGAACCTAAAGTGCTGATCGCCTTCTAAAGACGGTATACTGATATTCTCAATGGATGTATAGCCGTTCTCGAAGTACAACACCTCGCCAGGCTCTGTTGCCGAGAGCGTAGCGTACAGCGAACTGTGGGATCTCGGGTACTGAGCAAGCCCATGCTGTATGCCTTGGCGCAGAAGCCCTCCGGCAATGTCGTGACCTTGATACTTTGGCAGCGTGCCAATGACTGAGAGGTACAGCTGATGGGATCCATGAACATCGTCCAGCAAGCGTTCCTCCGCAAGCGCGAGGTTGTCACTGATCAGCTGTGCCCGAGTCATGTTGATCGCAGAGCCAGGACATTCCTCGAACGAAGTCGCCCACATGGAACTGAAAGGGTTGAAAGGACCAACGGTCTCCCGCGGCTCCTCAACACCAAGCAGCAGCCAGGGCATCTTCCAAGCGGCAGCAGACACGGCTTCGTCGCCCTTCTCTGTGTGAAGAACAGCAACGTGAGCGAAGATATGTGCATACTTGAGGCCTTCGGCGATATTCAAGGTTGCGCACTTGACTAAGGTCTTGAAATTGTCGGGATTAACGTGCTGGTAGGCATATTTTATGTGTGGTAGGTCGGCGAATGCGGTGAGGATGACTTCTGCTATAGCTCTCGCGTCGTCTACGGAAGCGAGTCGCACAGTGACCTCCAGGTCTTGCTTGAGTGGCTTTTGGTTGATAGGCGTAGCAACAGCAAGGATCAAATTGATGCAGCTGGCGAACGCGAGGAGCACTCGCACTGGGCATTTCATGGTCGCAGCAGACGTTCTGAAGGGACGAGACGACGTGTATGATCTTGACGAGTCATTGATATTGATGTTGCACCGTGTTCGTGTTGTGTTGTAAACCTGACGTCAGAAATGCGAGTTGACCAGGATGAGGATAAGCGAATCTTGGTGTTGACTTGCAAGCCTCCTGTCGGCTTTCCGCTCTCTTTTGGGATGTGTCGCTGGCGAGCCGGCTTCCTCAGAGCCCAACGGGGGCATAGCAAGGTGATCTTGATGCTCGATTGGCTACCGGCTAACAGCAGCCGAAGCCGTAGCAGACATGCTTGCTGTTGAGGAAGAGGTTTCACATCAGACAAAGCTCCACCATTATTCGAGCTGGCCCGTTTCCTACAGATAATAGACACACAGATCGTTTTTCACTACTGACGGCGACATACATCACAACAGCTATCTTCTATCTACTAGGCACGACGAACACCCCCCGAAGCTTCGCTAAAGCGACGCCAGACGATGGGTGCACACACATAGGACTGCAAATACCAACATATCTCTTGCTCAAGTATGGCAAATTTGAAATATGGCAATATCATTCGACCGATGTTGTACAAAGAAAGGAAAGAAGATCTCTGAGGAGGACGGGAAAGAGCCTGACTATATAGGTCTGTAACTGGGGATCACATGTCAGCGAAAATGATCAATCGGAGCACGTAATACGGGGTGGAGCGGAGCTGAAGTCGTAGAATGGCTGCCTGCAAGGTACCTAAGTTTGAAAGTGGGAGGAACATGACTCACAGCGGACAGGAGTCACATGATCATTCGTCGTTTGCCCCAAGTCTCCGCGCAAGCAATGCCGCATGAGGATCTGGTTGCTATCATGTCCAGCGCATGCAGGCTCTATCTTTTGTCTACGTCCAGCGCGGGTGGTGTCTCTGCTATGCGATGCGGAGCGTGTCCGTAGCCAATGACTATGCTGGTCATGGCGATCTTCGCAGTTGAGCGGACAACCGTGACCACACCTAGTACGAGTCATTGGCAGGCGGGAAGGGGGGTGGGGCGGAGACTCTTGGCACAAACAACACAACACTCAGCTTGTTGTTAGACCAACCGGAGATCGAGTATTGGTGGCAGCCTCTTCAGCTGAGCCGGAACACCCTTCGTGACTCACCCTGACTTCCCGCTGTCGTATCCATCAACCACCAACAACACCCGGAAGCAGAATCCTGTCCAATATACGCATCGAAAAATTGCTCAGCCGAGCCTCCGGCACCAAATCTTAACAAAGGCCACCTCACAGTACCAAGAAAAAGTCAGGCCGCTCGTAGAAAGGACTGACTACAAATCCCCTCCAGATCTTCCGCTTCTCTTTCCTTCCTTCATAGCACTTGATGAGTCTAAGTCGTCTGACCAAGCAATCAAGAACACAACTGCTATAGCGAACTTCAACCCCAATCACCCAAATCCTTCTTCACTCAACTCATCAAGGCAAAGATGGGTTGCCCAAGCTTCATTCGCTCCCTAATCTGCTGCATCCCGCCAAAAACCAATGCAAGCAAGAAAGGCAAGGTACGACGCAATATCAATTCGTTGATGTCATCACGTGCAAGCCCGATGGGGTCAATCGGCTCTCAGAACCCCTGGAACCACGCTGCCAGAGTTAGAAACAACGTGCAGCAGATCGTATATGAGGAATGCTGGGGTCACACCGCCCAAGGCCCTCCGTGGATGAGGGATGGTGTGTACATGCCAGATCAGCCGCGCTACAAGGCGGATGCTCGTTCTCCTCAATACAGGACGTCAAGCGGAAGTTTCTGGGAAGCTCCCTCCCCTGACAGCCGTGCGAAACTCTCGCCGGACTTAAAGGTAATGAGAAAGACGATGCGAGGAAATTGCAAGACCGCATGAGCTGGGGTCGTTCGCGACAGTGAGTGTTGTTGTGTGTTCGGGGAAAGTTTGTGACCACCCGGACGGGACCTATGTGGGAAAATTGTGTCCCTAGGCCATGGTGAGTTCTTTCTTAATCTGGGAACTTCTATATCTCCCTCCAGAGGATCATGTCGATAAGTTCAAGTTACCGAAGTGGAAGGAAGTTGGAGCGTTTGTCCCGACTGGGATCCCCATGGTCTTTCTTTCTGTTGATTCTGCGTCGATTAGTTCAAGTGCCAAGATGGACGGAAGCGGGAGCGTTCGCTTTGAGTGATAGCACACTCGTGGCAGGCCCGAGCTAAGGAGCCCTGCTCGAGATAGCTACTTCGATGTCGATCGTCTATCCGCCGGAAACTGAAAGCGCTGCGTGAGTTTCTCTGTAGTGGGACCCCAAAATTGGTTGTCAAGTCCGATTGGGTTGTGTTGCACTGTGTCGGCGCGCTGGAGTACGGCGAGTTCTCCCCCGGTGATTCGGCACGTGTGATCGCCTAGGTAACCAGAAGCTGAAGCCCCGCGCATATTCTTCAGGGGAGGTTGTTGTGACGATTCAGAGATCTCCACGAGCGTTAGGTTGCACTGTGTCGGCGCGGAGGACTACGGCGAGTTCTCCTCCGGTGATTCGGCACGTGTAATCGCTCAGCATTCAGAAGTCGAAGCCCCACGCAGTTTCCTTCAGAGGAAAATTTTATGGTGATTCAGAGATCGCCACAATCGCTTCAGCGTATTGAAGCTGAGGTACCACGTGATTCTTCAGAGACTCAAAAGGAGCTGTCATCCCAGTGTCGGAGAGGACCATTTTGTGCTGTGTCAAGCAAAGTTCCATACAGTTGCAATCGCCTAGGCGGTAAGCCGAAGCGCATGGTCGGCCTGCGAAGTTGACGCACTTTCCCGCAGTGCAGGCTGTCAGTAGTCCCTCACTGGTACCTCTTCCAGTGTGTGGATGAAGCTAGGACGTCAACACACAAGGTAAGTCATCACTGACCTTCCCCCGAAGCACCTTAGCGCTGAGCCCGCTGTCCATCGCCTCGGGTCTAACCTAACTGTTTACTGCTCCGAAGCTCTCAAGCTATGGTCAAATGGACTGAGCGCCTTCTCCGACCTGCTTTCTCGGGGGGGAGTACTTTTCAAAGGGCTGCGTTTCAACCTACAGCTGCTCATTTGATTCAAAGACTCACACATAGATAGATCGGCGCCTGAATACATGTAGCAACAGTTCCGAGATTATCTGGTGGCATGTTGATGTACTTAGTATTGTTATGCAGAAGCTAGAGCTTTTATCATAGGGTCACATTTCGATGATGACAGCCTTGGCACTCTCCTCGGTCCAGGCTTGGATGCCCCTGAACGTTTCGGCTGAACACAGCACTTGAAACGATGGTAAAGAGAAAAGAGCTTAGAAACATCGGTCTCACGCGAAATCGGAACGCTTGCTTATTCGCAACTTCATTGGAGTGATGTACCGTCTCTGCTCAAGCCCAAGACACGACTTCTGTCCGATGCATTCGGTCGCGACTTCGTCAACAAATGAGTTGTTGAAAACCACGAAGGGTGGATTGTGCTGCCTGCAGGAGCCTTCCGCAGCGCGATTGTCGATAAGTAACTAAAAGTGCGCATGCCTAGAAGCTGCTGAAAGATCTCAGCGGCCCGCATATCTTCTAACCACACAGCCAATTCAAGAACAACAAAACCGTTCCTGTATCAATCATGGCCGATTCATCGGATACCGGAGCAAGCTCCTTGCAGGCCATCAGTACCAAAGCACTGCTACAACAACTGCCAATCGAAGAAGCAAAACAGAGCTTTGCTTCACTACCACCACTGGCCCAAGCAAACCTCTTCTCAGATCTTCTCAGCCAGCATCGCGAATTGCAGCAGAAACAGGACGGCATCCAGAAGTCCATTGCCCGTATACCGTCCGCAGACCGCCACGTCGCTTTCATCCGTCAACGCTTTCTTACGGAGGGCACCGACTATACCGACCACCCCTGCGAGCTCGCGGAGACCTTCTGTGAGATCTGGCAGATACGGGACGCACCTGCCGAGTATGATCCTGCCCGGCGTGGACCTGTCCAAGTCGATCGGTCAGGCTATGACCTTTTCCGCCTGAGTCAGAACGAGCCTTTTTGCTGGATGTCCTCTCGCAAGCAAACCAAGCACGTGGAGCAATCCGGGCAATCTTGGGGCGAATATATGCAGTCTTCGCTGTTCTCTAGCGCAATCTCAAGCCAACTACTGCTTTACCGTCTGTGCGCTACCTTTGGTCCGTTGCCAACACAATGTGAGGGATCTGACTGGTACAAGTCGTGCTGGGAAATTTACCTGGTCTACAAGAAAGAAATAGATGCGGGCGTGAGCACTGCTGGAAACGATGACCAGGCTGTGCCTGCTTCTGAGCTCCGTCTCTGCGACATCAAGGCTTCTGCTTACGCATCCTTCTATGGATCCGAAGAAGCTGCAGAAAAGGCACTTGACTTGATCAACTACCTGGTCGGTCCGAAGTGTGCGCATACTTACGATGGTTGTGTCGCTGGTTGCCAGGCTTGAGGATGCTGGAACACCCTATCGTGTCTTGTCTGGTCGGTTCGAAGTGTGCGCATACTTACGATGGTTGCGTTGCTGGTTGCCAGGCTTGAGGATACTTGATCACTTCCTATCACATTCAATGCAATCAGACTACATACAGAATTGGATTTGGCGGAACAAAGGTTCGTATGGACTTAGGTCGCTCGTCACATAGATACTCGCCTTCTGATGCTAGAGTATCGTAGAGAGTTCCTCATGAAGGAGCAGAGCCGTGTAATATCCGACAGGGAGCGACCATAGGGTCCCTTCCTCAAGGCTTCGAAGCTGCGATGTGTTGACGAGGTGGCCTTCGCGCTTTAAGAAAGAAGCAAATAGTCTGCCGCGGCCAAAAAAGTATGGCGGCTGATTTTGCAACAAACGTATTGCAATGTTCAACGATCCTACTAAAGCTACATTTTTTACTACGCCATGATCTTGTTGATACAGTATATTCTGTGCTCTTTGTGTAATAAACAGCCAGACAGGTCCCAGATCGCATTGACGCATATCGGTGTGGCTATATCCAGACGCGGAATCGAAGGAGGATACTCATAATCCTGAAGACCCATAGGTCGCCATATCTGTTCAGGTCAATACGACCATGGTCAAGATGGTACCTCTTCCGGGAGATACCTACTCGAAGCATCATCACCAAACAGCTGCATGTCTCCTTTGCCTCCCATTTTCATGAACTCATCTTGCTGGCGATTAGCTGCTGGATGCTCCTCGTGGACACCATAATGGCTTTTGCCGTTGACCGCTTTCTTCACGTTGGGATCGGCTGTTGCCAACTTCCCCTCAGGGTTCTTCTCCCATACTTTCACCTTCTTGGTGTGGGGCTCCGGATTGCCAGGGGCTCCATCGGCCTTGATCTTGACGACCTTGCTGACCTTGATGTCGTTGATGTCGGCGAGCAGCGTTCGCTGTCGCTGTACCTTCCGCTTAGAGAAGTCCAACTCGTCCATCGCACCAGTCAGACCATCCGTGCTGTCGGCGGGATTGATATGGCCGTTGGCCACGTTACGAGTCCAGGGGTGTTCCAGACATTCGTCTATTGTTAGCCGCTTGTCGGCATCGACGGTGAGCATCCGATCGATCAGGTCGAGAGCGGGGTCTCCTATCGGGTCCCAGTAGGGGCTAGGATAGTCGAAACGACCCATTTTGATCTGCTGTGCCATCGTGTATGGATTTTCTCGTGAATACAATTCGTCGGAGAATGGAGGGAAGCCGCAAAGACATATGTAGAGAACAACGCCAAGTGACCACACATCCACAGCGCGGGTGTATCTTCGGTGTTTAGTGTTCTGCAGAATCTCTGGAGCCACATCTGTACACGTTAGCAGGAAACGATACAGGGGGGATGGACTTACAGCTCGGTGTGCCGCAAAGTGTGGTCGTGAACGACTCTTCACCAATAATCTTCGCGAGTCCAAAATCTGCCAACTTAACAGCAAGGTTCTTGTCCGTCAACAAGATGTTCTCCGGCTTGATGTCACGATGTACAATGTTTCGCTCGTGGAGGTATTTCGTGCCCTGGAAAAGCTGAATGAAGACTTTCCGTGTCTCTTCTTCAGTCAATTTCTGCTTGGTCACGATCCAGTTGAACAGCTCTCCCTCAGCTGCCAGCTCCAGGATCAGGTAGACACCATCGTCCTCGTTGAATGTATCCTTCAAGCAGAGCACGTTTGGATGGCTGACACTTTTAAGCACGGCAATCTCTTGCTGCAAGCCTTCCGTTTGCGACCGCTGAGACTCGCCCATGCGCTTCTCGAATTTCTTGACGGCAAATTTCATGCCAGTCGTGCGCTCAACACATAGATACACTGTAGCAAAATGACCTTTGCCCAGCTGTTGAAGAATGCGATACTGTTGCCCAAAGCCCGACGACGAATGGTGTCGCGGGTATCTGAAGATGAATCTCGCGTCTTCCAGGAGGGTGATCTCGTCGCCATCTTCTAACTCTCTCCGCTTGTTGCGACCCAGCACTTGATCGTTGATGTGCGTTCCGTTTGTCGACAAATCTTCGAGGATCGCTCGCGTATTACCACCTTTGTTTTCACTGAAGATCAGACAATGTCGGTTGGAAATCGTGGGTATGTCAACGATCAGATCGCATTCAGGATGCCGGCCAATCAAATAGCCACCACTCGGGAAGCCTTCTTTGCACTTCGTTGCTTCGTATGATTCTTCGTCTTCCACGAGCGACTTCTTCGACTTCTTCTTTGTCTTCACGGCATCCTTGCTGACTTCGAGGGGCTTGACCGGAGCTGGACAGAAGTTTCTCTTTTGCATGACGAGTTTACCGCCAAGTTCGGGATTCAATGGGTACAGCACGCCCCACGTGTCTTCCTCAGCATCGACATCGGGTTCGATGTCTCTTGAGGGGTATATAAATTGCGACAAGGGCTGAGTGTCGTGTGGAGGTGACGAGACCTGTTGCGACGAGACTACTGGCGTGGCTTCACGTAGTCCTCTTACAGGTGATAGTCCTCTCTCATCTTTTTCTGTGGCTGTTGACTCTTGGTTGGTCAATGGTGAGGGCAGATACTGATTGTTGATCGGAGTGTGCTTCGTGTGAGGCTGCGACTGCGATGCCACTCGCTGAGACCGACGAGGTTTCTTGATCTCTTGGTCCTCGCCAGTGCTATGCTACGCCGCGGTCAGCCTCGGGTATCACGCATAGTACAGGGCTGCGCGTACTCGACCTCGCTTTAAGCCGCTACTTTGCTGGGCCTTCGGCGCCATGGTTGGAAGTGAGCGAATGAGGTCGATAGTGGACTAATATTCGGAATTCAGAGAGAAATGGTGACCCGTCAGACTGCCGTCATGCGTAGCGGGTTGTGCAGCCTGTTCAAGCCCAGTACTGGCGTCCTGTGCTGTGTGGAATGCACGGCCGTCGAACGCGTCTACAGTGTCAACGGCAGTTTGATTGACAGCCAATAAATAATGATGGGATCAATTGTCAGCAGTCGCTGTAATGCACTCTCTGGCCCGGAAGGAGGTTCCTGGTCATCGTGGTCCTGTCGATTGGATCGCCGAGTACCCCAATTCTCGAAGCTGGCGAGAAAGGCTAGGCTTGAGATGGCCCATGTCACCGGAAGGTGGGGATCATTTCCGCCCGGAACTTGAGGCGCTATCTCCATCATAGGTCACGTGCCGAGTTTCATCGCTCCGAGTAACTGGCGACTTTGGTGTCTGACTTCAGATCACCTGTCTGACTTTGTTCCCTATAAAGGGATTCCGCCTTCAGATAGGTATCCTAGATCATGCACGCGATGCGCTGTATGGTCTTACTGCACAGTCTTGTACCCGTGCTGAACTCATCCGATCAGGCTTCTACTGGAAGCGACTTACACATGACTAACGCTCAGATTTGAGAAAGAACTTTCGTTCGTCGGACACACGCTTCGTCAGCTTATGTGATATCATTGCCCAGACAATGTCCACGCACAGTCAACAAAGAAAATGAGAGCGGGTGTAAGTCGACCCAGGTTGATCAGGGCTCGCGTTCAGATCGCGGAGACCCCGATCTGAGTCCTCCAGGCTCATTCCAGCCTGGCCAACGTCATCTCATGATACACGTACGAAGAAAGTCGTGCAGCTGGCGAGCAGTCCAATAGAGAAGATCCAGGATGCAGTACTGGTCGACTATGGCGAACGACGCTTATGCAGCGAATCCTCGTGTCCCGGTCCATCCGCGCATGAACTTTATCGGTACGTCGGGTTCGTGATGAGGCTCAGAAACTCACCCCATGACCAGGACCCTGATGGTAAGGCGCGTCAATTCATATATGTGTCATCCCGACCGTCTTCGTAAGGCATGTAAAGGTATATATGTGTCAGCCCGACCCATTACTACGATCTTCATCTCTCAGTGAACATCTGCAAAAGTTCGACGTAAATTGAGCGCCATGGATACCACGGAGGCAGCACCAACGTCCCCAAAGCCAGCCTCTGATGCTGGGTCCCACAAGCCAGGTACGCGTGTACCGTTAGCATTCGTGGCTACGTCTTGTTGCGGGTTGCTGACCAGAATGTGCTACTAGGAAAATTGTCGTCGCTGAAAGCCAAGATCAAGAAGCTCCTCGCGAGCCAGAAGGAGATGATCAAGGACAACCAAAACTACCGCTAAATGCTTTCGTTTTCCTACCAACACAATCACAACGATACCCATGTACACCACACTTCGATGACGCTCTATACCCATACAGCTCTATATACCCACACATAGTTCAGCCTCAAAGCGCTATGCACCAGCAGCCTGCAAGCTCTTAACCAGATCCACAATACTATCCTCCAACCTCCTGTACTTCAATCCCAGCACCTCCTTGCCCCGACTGTTGTCCACATCGAATCCAAAATCCTTGGGCACATACTCCCAGCTTCCCGGCAACTTCTTTTCGTACTCGGGAAAGTTCTTCTTCACAATGTCTGCAACATCGCCATTCCTGAAGAAGCCCGCCGTCACGAAGAACCTCTTGCCCTGCGCCTGTTCCCTCTCTACCGCTTGCACGTGTGCGTCCGCCAAGTCTCTTACGTCGACAAACAGCGGCACCCTCGTCGCTGGCAAGCCGTCCTTAGCAAACTTTCCCTGAATCAGATCCCGTACCAGCTCATTCGACGTGTTCAAGCTCTCCAGACTGCTGAAGTAGTGCACTACCGGTCCCAGCACGAGCGGCGGGCAGATGGTCGTGAGCGTGAAGTTCGGCTTTTCGGTCTCGACGAACTTCCACGCTGCTTCCTCAGCGAACTTCTTGCTCGCGCGGTACGCTGATGCGGGATCCTGGACAGCTTCCTCCATGGTGATTGGGTTCCAGACTTTCTCGCTGTAGACTTTGGCGTGGTTGCTCGGATTTATGATTGAGGCGAATGAGCTGGTGATTGCGACGCGTTTTACGGATGGCGCGCTCTTCTTGATTGCTGCCAAGATCCCGTTGGTGCCATTGATGGCGGGGTCGAGAAGGTCCTTCTTGGGGTCGGTGACGTTGAAGTGGAAAGGCGACGCGGTGTGGAGGACTGCTTCAAATGGTGGGTCCGACTTGACGGCTTCGTCGAAGGCGCAGGGTTGTGCAATGTCTTTGACGATCACGTAGGAGAGTTGATCTTTGGGGCTGTTGGGGTGATTGGAGAGGATCTTCTGGCCCTTCTCATCGGAGCGGACGGTGAAGACGACCGAGTGCTTGTTCTTCAGCAGGGCTTCGATTACATGCGCGGCGATGAAGCCGGAGCCGCCGCTTACGAGGCAGCGCATTTTTGGTTGATGGGTGGTTGAGAAAGTTGTAAGGTTTCGAGGTTTATAACAGGTGATTGGACGTGGAGCTGGTTTTGGTGGTGTCGGTGATCACTTCGAGGCCGGTGGTGTATTATAGATATGCACGAACGTTGAGAGGCTTGATCATTTTTCTATCTTGTAGTGTCGCAATTTCTCCATGAAGCACGACAATTGATTCCATCACGACGTCATGGTTCATGAATTTATCTTCGGCAATAAAAAATCTATGACGGAACGTGTCCGAACGATATGCGATAACGTGAATCCCATAGGCGACCTCGTTCGCTTGCAGCCTCGACTCGGTTGCTACTTGTAAGTCGAGTCGGTTCGCTATCCCAGGCCAGAGCGTGATGGGATCGTAGGAGCCGATGATCAGCCGCCGGCGCCGCTTTTCGCTTTAGTGGTGGTATTCCCACGCTGCACCTCAGTACAATACGAAAGGTCCCTCAGAATTGTACGCAGGACATATTCTAAGTACTCGTACGCCAATATTGCGCACAACGAAGCATGGCGAAGTAGGCAAAAAGGTTGCCTCGTTCGTGCCTGATGTGGGGGCCGTCGAAGCCTATGTAAGTACTGCTCGTCCTGGATGCTTTGTTGTCAGAGTCAGATGAGCAGGATGAGAGCAACGAGACTTGACCGTAGTGGCTCGATCGTCATCGGCTTCATTTGGACTCGGAAGTCAGCAGAATCACACAGGACCGGTTGGTCGTGAACCTGTGAGCGTCGGCGTCAGAGGTACGAGACAGCTACTGATGACTGGATGAGCTGATCAAGATGTAATTGCCAGTCAAGCTTGACAAATTGTCAAGGTCCAAATGCTCGAATATTCATTGTACTCATAATTTTGTGCTATCCCAGGCGTGCTTCACCGTGTATAGGGCAGCGATATTCGCTGCAGTTAGGTCCCCGACAGAGCTGAAGGCCGATCGTATCGGTGTATATTGCACCTCATCTGCCAATACGCCTGATTTTCCCGATCCAGTTTCAGCCACGCACAGAATTCACCCATGATGAAATATGGCGACCATCCGGTACAGGCTTCAAGGCTCCATGACCTATTGACGACGCCTTCTCTGTGAGCGCCTCGAGAAAGCGGACCCATTTCTTTGCCGTTTCCGCCTCTACACAGCACTCATGCTGCCTGAACTCAATCGTCGGCTTCTGTCGCTGCCCATCCTCGCCAGGCTCGGTGTACATATGCTCGTACAGATTGCTGAAATTGTACATGAAGCCACGATTGAGCGATCGGATCCTCCTATCGTCCGCAGTTTTCCGCTCGCGGACGCTCTGGTATGTCTCCAGAAGCCGCTGTGCTGAATTAGACGGATCGAACACGATCTTCCACACTGTGTTCGGGTCCAGCGGGTATGCGAGGGAGTGCTCCGCGGCAAAGTGCCGCGCGTTTGACTGGACTTCCGTGGCGTTGGTGAGTCTTGCTTCCGCCTCCAGGACCAGGCGTTCGTTTTCGCGTATATCCCTCAACTCGTTCGTGAGATGATCTGCTTCTTTCTCTGCTGGAGTCAGAGCGTCTTGTCGGGCTTGTTCGGCTTGTTCCCTTTCGGTTTCCTCCTCCCATTGCCGCTCAAGCTCTTCTGGGCTGATGTCGTCGAGTGCTGTGGTTTCCTCGACGTCTCGACATGGTGACACGGCTTGTTCACCCGACCGACTTCGGGGGAAGCATTTGGTGATCAAGTCCTCGTGCACGAGCAGGAGGAAGAGCAGAGCGCGAATAAAATTTTCGCTGCGTTTCCGGCTCTCGATATTGTCTGCGTCGCTAGCAACGCCAATATGCACGTGCATGCCCGCCCACACAGAGGGCATTGTGTGGCATATCTGGCCGTTTGTGATGGCGTCGATGTATTCATGGATTGTATCAAACGACGCGTCGAATTGGTCGAACTGAAAGACGGGTGTAATGAGTTCCAGACCGTGGCTGTCGAATCGCTGTATGTTTTCGTCGTTGACTTGTTTGACGGAAGCGATTATTTGACTCGGAAGACACCCTGTCAGAGTAAAGTCGTTCGTTAATGTCCAATGTGTGTAGTCCGCGCTTCTCGAGACCAGACGATCGCGCTCGCTGCCTTGTGTGGGCAGTGGAAGGCTGTCGTGGGTCCCAATCGTTCCAACAACACTGACAGGTAGGCTTTGAGATTGTAGAGCCTTCTTTGCAATTAACAAATGCTCCATGTAGAGCTTCCTGACACGTTGTTTCTGCTCCGCAGCGTTTGGGTCTTGTCGATAGAAAGACCCGCGATTGCTAGCGACATGGTCGAATTGGGCCGTAAGTTCCCCGTCTGCGGACACTGCCAGTGTCCAGGAAGGGTAATGCATTCGGCAGTCCTGAGAGGCCACGGTGGCATCATGAAGTTGACTGTCCTGGAATTGCTCGTCGAACGCCGTCGGGTGGCCCTTGACTATTGCATGATGGTTGATCTGATGGTCCTGCAGTATAGTCTGTAATACGTCTTCGTGGTAGACAAGGCATGCTTCGAACTCGATCCCAAAGGTTTGGACTTGCTGTTCTGGTGGGGTTATCGACATGCTTCTGATTCCGTTTTCGACGGCTGCGGTCGTGCGTGCAGATCGTACTGGACGGACTGATTCGATCTGCGATTTTGAGGGCGTTCTCCTGGTTGTAAGGAGTAGAGAAGTCTGTATGTGGCCGTAAGCCTTCCAGCAGACGCTGGCCGTCACGGTGTCACTCATGATGGCTGAGTTCAAGCAAGCACGCGGATTCGTTTAGCGAGTATAGTTTGTGTAAACAGTGGACGAATATGGCCGTGCTGTATTCGGGTCCTTTGTTGTAGTTTTGGCTGTTCGAGTAGTATCACAAATGTAAAGCACGAACACAGGCAGTGTTGTAAAGCAGCGATGAGACATAGCAGAGCGATGTGTCCTCTTCGCAAGGTACTCACAACACGTGTCAAGTTCCACGGGAGCCTTGTGCGGCTGACTACCAAGCATTGTCGTGCACAGTCGTGGTTCTGCTGAGAGAATTGTAGCCAAGAAGGCAACAATGCTTGTTCTGTAACATTTGCCTACCTCTCGACTTCGCGCCACTACGCTCCACGAATGGGAAAGGCGTCCAGGTGCTGCAGGCAAAGTTCTGCAGAGTACCCATGTGCTTTGATGACATAGAGAATCTAGGTCGAGGCACGGTATCTCTTGCCGGGAATTCCTAGCGTTATAAAATCCCTGGTACCTGCCAAGCCCTTTCCCGAGGAGTTGTCTGTGCTCAGCTGATTTGATAAATCTCGAGATGAGGTCTGGCGCTGCAGCTTCGGGACCTTATCAACGTTAATATTTCGTGTCTTCCGGCGTTGATTGCTTCAGTAAAACCCTAGACAAATAACATTGAAATCGATCCCATCATGAGTGGAGATAATGTCAACTTGTCAAGCAAAAGCTTTGAACGCTTCAGAAAACCTAAGATAAGAATTATGCCCCTAACACGCCCAAAAGTCAAATGCCAAGCCTCAAGCAAGCTCAACACGAGCGAAGCTTATCAGTGGCTTGACTCTTGGCTGCATCTAGCCAGTAAGATCGATCCGACTGGCGAGTCCCGAATTTGGCTATCCCGCAAATGTTGGGTTCATTCGCTTCTGCAAGGAGCAAGGAGCACGAAAAGAACGTGGAGGTACTGTTGCTCTCGCTAAAAGATGGTGTGGCCGAGATCGCGTGGATGGTGGCCCTGCACGGAACGGTCTCAGATCTTTTCGCGCACGAACCGATGACAGGGTACTTAATCCCACGGGTTGCCATTCTGCTTGCGCTTCCCCAGACAACTTCTACCTAAGTAGTTGCTGCAGCATTCGCAATTCACCTGCTCGTACGTCCTTGTACAACCATCCTTTGCCAAGATGTCGGTGGTAAGTAGCGACTTGAAGCCCACCTCGCTGGATCGCATCACTTACATGATTCAAGGCACCAGGCCAAACGATGCCGGAGTTCGATCCCTCCATGGCACGCGGTGGTGATCCGGTCGAAGTCAATGTGAACCTACCGTACACTGGTCTGGAGTTCCATTACATCTTCCAAATCATCATGGGCTGCCTGGTGTTCTTGATCATCCCAGGTATCGGCATGTTGTACGGAGGCATGTGTCAGCGGAAGTCGGCACTGTCCATGATCTTCCAGTCGTTGACTGTCATATCGGTCATTTCATTCCAATGGATATTCTGGGGTTACACGCTCGCTTTCTCGCGAACGGGAAGTGTTTTCATCGGTGACTTTTCCGAGTTTGGCATGCAGAACGTAAGTCCCAACACAGGATCCTCCTTGACGTGGCTGACATGGAGACAGGTCGCCGCAGCGCCATCGTGGGGTTCTGCACTGATCCCTGAGATTGTCTTCTGCTTCTACGAGCTCATGTTCTGTGCTTGTGCTGTCATGATTGTTGTCGGTGGCGCCTTCGAACGAGGGAGGATCATTCCTTCAATCATCTTCGGGTTTGTCGTCTGTGTCGACCAAGGAGAACTCTGCGCTGACCTCATGGCAGATTCTGCTGGGCAACTGTATGCTACTGCCCAATCGCGTACTGGACATGGAACGCCAATGGCTGGCTGTTCACCTTCGGCGCTCTCGACTTCGCTGGCGGTGGTCCAGTCCACATGTCATCTGGCGCAGCTGGCCTAGCCTATGCCCTGGTTCTGGGCAAGCGCAGGAGAGTTGGTGAGAAGCACGTGTACAAACCACACAATGTCACCATCACCTTCCTTGGCACATGGTCAGTCCCTGAAGCAGGATCAGTTCTGACGATCACTAACAAGTGTACAGTCTCATCTGGTTTGGTTGGTTTGGCTTCAACGGTGGCTCTGCAATCAACGCTAGCATTCGAGCCATGCAGGCGATCTTCAACACGCAGATCGCAGCCTCGACTGGGTGCATCGGCTATAGCATCGTTGGGTACTTCAAGAATAAGCGCAGATGGAGCGTCATTGTTGCCTGTGAAGGTATCATTGCCGGCCTTGTTGGCATCACACCTGCTGCGGGCTATGTCACAACGTGGTACGCCGCAGCCATCGGATTCATCACTGCGTTGTGCTGCAGCGGCTTGGACGGCATGGTAAGCTTCCTTCTCACTATCATCCCCTGCTTCCTTTCTGACGAATTGCATAGCACGAGTGGCTCCGCATCGACGACGGCCTCGAAGTCTTTAAGCTCCATGGCATCGGCGGAGCATGTGGTGCGTTCTTGACGGGAATCTTTGCCACCCAATCGATCTCAGCACTCGATGGCATTCCAACACTTGCATCCGGTGCCGTTGACGGCCACGGTGTCCAAATCGCCAAGCAACTGGCTGAGATTGCTTCGATCATGTCTTACAGCTTCGTTTGTTCGGTCATCATGCTGCTAGGCCTGAAGTACACGCCATTCATGGGTCTTCGGGTCAGTGACGAAGTCGAGGACCTAGGTGTCGATCTTGACCAGTTCCATGATGAGGTTATCGGCGAATGGAGTAACTTCAACGTCGAGGACGATGGTTACACGCAGGGCCTGACTGCAACGCAAGCCCGTGCATCCATCTCTGGCGGGCATGGTGGCCCTCATGGTGGCACTATGACGCCGCGTGCTAAGGAAGATCCAGAGATCGCGTCGAGCGAGAAGCAGTCTGCTTGATGGAATTGTGTCCGGAGATGGCAAGCTGGCCTCGTGCATGGGATGTCTGCTCAATCAAAGGAGGTCTCAGCTACTAGTCCTTCCGGCGACATGACCGCCGAGCAGCGCTTCTGCGCGACGTCTCGAAGTTGAGGATAGTCTCTTGTACCAAAGTCATCATGTCTACTAAGCAGTCAACAATGCAAGCAGCTGATCATTCTTTGTCGATGATGGTTCCTTCCGAGATGATAACGGCTGACACTCGCCAAGACAACTTCGCCCCCAAAGGCGTCTGGCTGGACCTCGTTGTCTCACCCGCCCTTCAACATATGCATATAACATCGCTACCGTCGCCCTGTACGTTTTCACTCGCAACTATTCTGTGCAGACCAATAAAGAGTACATCATGCACGGAATCAAGCGGAAATATGTGTCCGCTGGCGACGATAGACTACCGAAATCCCGCGGTGTTGCTACAGTGAACGACAACAAAAGCTCCAGCTTCAACTTGATGGGTTTGCCCGCCGAGCTGCTGATCCACATATTCAACCTTGCCCGCGAACCATGCATGATTCATGCGTGCAAGACACTGTATGTTCTACTACCCGACTTCGTCAACTACACCCGTTCGCTCGTGGGACTCGCGTATGGCACCACAGATGTCAGTAATCCACTAGCTCTGTTGCACCCCCAATTCTGGCCGCTGACCGGACACGAAGGACACAACTGGACTTGCGAGGAGAGGCAGTATCTGCAACGCGATGTGGCTGCTAGTTCATGGCTACGGATCTCGCACCTGAAGCAGCTACACAAGTTCTTATTCCAACAACTTGTAAGGGTACAAGTCCTCAACAACGAAGCGTACCGGATGACTAGTGTACGAAGAGGTGGTGTGGAGATGGAGACCGCGAGTACGCCCTTGAAGGATCTCAATATGCAACAGTTGGGAATATCCGTCCAGATCAAATCAGGTCGATGGCGCTACGGCTTTCTCCAGTTTCGCGACAACTTCCTTCACGCCGATGTTTACAACGCACGGGGCGTTTCGATGAAGTCTCTGAGACGCGTGTACGACTTGTTTTCGGTCACGTTTCTCCCAGACTGTCTGATAACCCACGACCCGGTCAACGAGAGCTCCTACCTACGCGATCTCTTCATACGTTGCTGTACCATCGATAAGGACGCGTCTTATGACAAGTTGACGAAGGAGCCGGATGCAGGAGATTTCCGACGCGACTTGCGATGCAACGAGGCACTATTGAGCCAGCGAATTTATCAGACCCTCGAGCAGCCTTCCAAAGACTTTCGCCGCAAAGGGGAACACCTGGACGATGCTCACTACCTGTACCGCTGGCTGATGCTGAACCATGTATGCGACTTTCCTGTGGTGATCGATTACAGGATGCTCAGCGCGTGCGTGGAATACGGTCTCCCTGGTTGCCTTGAGCTCCTTCTAGGCAATTATATGCCCATGCATTGCCACTGCGTGGGCGGCAGCCAAGGGGATAGTATGGAACTGCGGCCAACAACTGTGACCGAGAAGGATCTTATCAAGCTGGGCTACAGAGCCATAGAACTGCTTCGCAGTCAAAGTTGGAAGCTGAAAGACAAGGAAAGCCGTATGTGCTGCCTACAACTCATTGTCGACCAATTGGCACATATTGCTAGCATGAAAAAACTTGCGACTGACTACGAAGTGGCGACCTGGGTCGAAGCGGAGGCCCTGGTGCGGGAGGAGAAGGCAGAGAAACGTAGAGTTGAACACATTGCGTATAGAGTCCGATTGAATAACGAATACCCTGGAACTGAGGACGGCGGAGAGGAAGAGGAGGAGGATGAAGAGTATGAAGTGGAGTGGGAGGATGAGGACGAGGACGATGGACTAGGTGAAGAAGACGTTCAAACCTAGTGCGTGGGAGTGCTGCGGAATGTCCACGTTGCTATTCGCAGCTTAGCAGCCCCAATGGTAGGCAGACCATGAGATGCGCGCAGCTTTTGTCAGTATCAGCATACACCACGCGTGTTGCAACATGGTTGCGCCATGATCTTTGGACTGCAGACAATGTATGTATGGTCAAGCTGAAGGTAACCCTGATCTACCCCTTTTTGGCCCTTGAAATGCAGCAGATACAAGTAAGACCCTCCATATGTTGTGATGCCCATTATCTTGGTGCGCGAAACGCCCGGTCCCGAAATGAATCCTAGAATTTTGTCAGATGGTTCGCCTGACACTGTCACGTGCGTTCATTTGCCGTTCCTTCAACACTCGACTTATGCTCTCGTAAAAGATGCTCCGTTGAGGAAGACATCACGACTTGGTCGGAATTAACTGGTACCATAGTCACAACCGTGGGAGGGAAGGCATCATCGAGCCACTTCCTCCGCCACCGTTCGTCGTTCCTGCTCTTCAGCAGCAGTGCCTCCTGCCCCACTGACATGGCTTCTCACAGCTTGTAACGGATGCAACAACGCATCCACACTCTTCTCCTTCAATCCGGTCACTGTTTCTGTATGCTCTTTACTCAATTCTTTCTGCTTTACGAAGCCGCTGCTGATCACGCCGAGGAAGGCAATCACCGTGTACATGATCCACATGTTACGCAGACTCCACGCGAATGCGTCCTTCACTACGTCTCTCTGTGTCGGATCCGTGATCGTATGCGTCAGCATCACGTTCGCAGCCGCATTCTTCCCGCTGAGCGCCTCTACCAGATCAGCTGGAAGGCCTGAAGCTCGTAGAGTATCGCTACGATTGTCCATGCTGTTCTGGAAGACGACACCACCCAGTATAATGGACACAGCCAGAGCCAGACTGCGGATGAAAGCGAAGGTAGATGTGGCTGTAGCAACGTTGTCTTGCTCAATGTGAGCCTGGAGCGCGACCAAGGGCGGTTCAAAGAGTAATCCGGATCCGGCACCTGCAATGAGCTGGAAGCCCACCATCGCCGCGATTGAGGTATCGGGTCGCAAGCTGATAAAAGCGCCGAATCCAGCGGTCAGGAGAACAGTACCGATCCAGCCTAGTTCGCGATATTTTCCAGTGCGATGCATGATGATGCCAGTGAGGACACCACAACCAGCCGTCATCACAATCAAAGGCACCAGCAGAACACCCGATCGCAGCGGACTTGCTGCTTTGGCGCTCTGCAGGTATAGTGGGAAGTAGTATTCCCCAGCGATGAAGCTCATGCCATGCCATGCTGTTACCAGTAGACTCGCGACATTGCTCGACTCTTTGAAGATGCCCATTGGCATCAAAGGATACCTCGCCACTTTCTTCTCCGCGAAGACGAAGATTAGGATGCATACCACACCGAATACAATCAAACAGATGACCTTCGGACTGTCCCAAGGGAATGTCGCGCCGCCAAAGTCCAGTCCCAGCAACAGCATTATCACAACCGCCAGAATGCTCAGACTGCCAGCCCAATCAATAGCCTTGACACCTTTCCTCAGCGGCGTCCTCGGGTTATGCACGTCCAGGAAGAACAATAACAACGTCCCCGCCACGCCACATACTGGCAGATTGATCCACCAGCACCATCTCCATGAGGCCAGATCAGTCAATACACCACCCAGAATCGGCCCGATCGCTCCCGCGGCAGCCAGATCCCTTCACACATCCCCAAATACAGCGCCCGCTCCCTCATCGAGAAAATATCGCTGACCACCACATTCGTCAACATGATCAAACCTCCACTGGCCGACCCTTGGAACGCCCGTCCCACAATCAGCGCCTTCATACTCTGCGCTGTGGCACAGACCACGCTCGCCATAGCAAATATGGCCACAGCAGCAAGTAGAATCGGCTTGCGGCCCCAGATGTCGCTGAGCTTGGCCCATATCGGTGCGGCAGCGGCGTTGGCGATCAGGTAGGCGCCACCAATCCAGGAGTACCCTGAGGGGCTGTTGAGAGAGGCGACAATTGTGGGTATGGCCGTTGTGATGACGGTGGCGTTCAGAGCGGCTACAAACAAGCTGAGATAAATTGCCACGAGGATCATGGTGACACGGAAGCGGGTGCGTTTGGCTGGCGGGAGGCAGATTCGGTGTCGACATCGGCGGCATCGGGTGTAGTGGCAGCATCTTTGCTCTGCGTGATTGTCGGCAGAAAGGCGGGATCTTTGTGGTCTAAAGCAGTGGTGGGCTCGAATTGCTGAGAGCCTTGCTCGAGGGGTGACGGTGAGGCCGAGGAGGTGCCGACGTGATCGACCATGTGCACCTCAGTGTCGGTTTGGGTTTTAATGTCCGCCATTGTCGTCCTCGGCTGACTACTGCCAGCAGCTCTGACCTTTCTTCGTCCAATCCCGTTGGGACGCGTTGTAGCCGAAAGCGCACTGATCACCGCTCACAGCGCACTACACACCTTCAAAGGAAATCTACCACAAAGAAAATGACCTACGCGTTCCTATCGTCAACGACATCAAGACACTCGGACACGGGGAATCAGGCAACATATATAAAAATCGCCATTTCCCCATCTTTGCAAGTCCGAGTCGGTCAAGCAACGTGGGCCAGATGACAAACTCAAAGAGAGCACGCAAAAGCACCGAATGAGTCACTACACGCGAAGTGATCGTGTAATAGTGGCGCAAAAGCCCGCCCTGGCGTCGATTTGAGCCAGTCTCTGGGGGCTTCAGCTCGGCATTGGGGGCGTTTGTAGGAGAAAATTCTTGGTTCGATGGCGTCGGTGTACTCCGACTACCACCTAAGAAGCCAAGAATGGCATTTATTTCAGGCGGTGATGACCAGCCCACCATTGACAGAGGCATATATGTGCATCGAAGACAGGCATCTCACAGCGACTGCGCTCGTAGTGCTTACTCACGGTATTCGAGCGTACCTGCGTTGGTATGTCCCTCACCAAGGGGCGTCATCCGGACTCGTGCAAAATCTTGTCATCCGGCTTCATACCCTGGCCCTGTAACTCGTCTACCGGCTTCAGTTCAGGCCACGTGGACTGCATCGACCAGCTCAACTTGCGTGCTCGCACCTTCCGCTCAGCATCATGACCTCCAAGGACGGCTGAGTACTCGAAGCTGATGGTCAACTCGAAACGGTATATACAGCTGCTCCCCTGATGGCTGAAGACACAAGCAGCGAGGTCTGATGTGAAATGCCTCACACGATATATATAATTACACGGCGGACCCTCACATTGATAGTTGTGCCAGGAGGCATTTTATAGCCAACATTGACAGTCAACCGGCTTTGACGACCCACGTGGAATACCTTTCGCGGCAGGGGCACCTAGTCTTGCATACTAATTGAACAGCTTGTTGCAATTCATACTGCTTGCTATGTACTAGATATCAGGTGCGCGTCCGTGCTTTCTCGAGAGCGCCATGGAATACTGCTGCCACCCCGGTTGCACTTCCTCGACTCCGACCACAATCGACAGTGGCGTAAGAAGACTCGCTGCCGGCTGCGAGTCGGCTGCACACTGCACGCTGCACGCTCATCTCACGTTCATCGCGCCACTTTCACCACCACATTTGAACAGACCTACAAGTCAGCCTCCATCTGATCCAGGACCGCCCGTGTAAACTCGTGCGTCGTACTGCTCCCACCCATATCCCGCGTCAACGCCTTCCCCTTCCCAATAACCTCATACACCGCCTTCGCAATCCGATTCGCGTGATCATCGAGCCCCAGATGCCTCAACAGCATCGTCCCGCTCAACAACAACGCCGTCGGATTCGCCTGATCCTTGCCCTTGATATCCAGTCCCACATGCCTGCATCCGGGCTCGAAAACTGCGACATCTCGGCCCAAATTGGCGCCGGGCACGACACCCGGACCACCGACAAGGGCAGCGGCGATGTTGGTGAGGATTCCGCCGTAGAGGTTGGGCAGGACCATAACGTCGAATTGTTGCGGGCGAGAGACGCATTGCATGGAGGCGTTGTCGACGATCATGTCGTCGACTTGCAGGGTCGGGTAGTCGCGGCCGGTGGCTTTGACAGTCTCGCGGAAGAGGCCGTCTGCTAGTTTCATGATGTTGGCTTTGTGCTGCGGAAAGTTGTTAGTGTCCACGCTGATGATATGTGTCCCTCCTGGAAGGGGCAACTTACGATGCAAGTGACCTTCTTCCGGTTGTTCGCCAACGCAAAGCTGAACGCAAACTTTGCGATCCTCTCACTCTTCGCCCGCGTGATAATCTTCAAGCTCTCCACCACACCATTCACACTCTGATGCTCCAATCCACTATACTCGCCCTCGGTGTTCTCGCGTATGATACACATGTCCACATCCTTGTGTCTCGTTGCCAACCCCGGAATATTCTTGAACAAGACCACACTTGCGTAGATGTCGAGTTCCTGGCGCAGGGCGACATTGAAGGACTGGTGGCCGGAGCGCTCGACGGGGGTGTGCAGGATACCCTTGAGACCGAGCTTGTTGCGCTTGAGGGAAGCGATGGACTCGCGGAAGAGCTCCTCGGAGTGCTTGTCGCCGGAGTCGACGCCCGTGACGTCGACTTGCTCCCATTCGATGGGCACGTTGTCGGCTTTGAAGATTGTTTTTACGGATTCGGCGACTTCGGTGCCGATGCCGTCACCTGTGGGTTGGGGATGCGGTGTGAGCTTGGCTGGCCCAAGAAGGAGGTTGTGGTTTGGGTGCTGGGGATGGCTTACCTGGAATGAGGGTGACGGTGTACTTGCCGCCGAACTTGGTGGGCTTAAAGATATCGGACTGGATCGTCGCATACGCTGGCCGATATGGTCAGTCCCGGTCTGCCTCATGCTGGAAGGATTGTGCACTTACTTCTCGGAGCAAAGCTGGAAGCTCGCTGTATCGAGCGCAGCAGCGACTGATCTCAATCAGCTCCAGTTCCTATTCTTACTCCGTCTTGGGAGCGACCTACCTGCGCCGATCGAGCGGACCTAGCGACTGACATGGCCAGTAGATCACTCTGTGAGAGCCAGGCGTGGGCACGGAACTGCAAGTAGCCTCACTACAGAATGTACCAGCTGTAATATGAACCAGATGTAGCTCGCAAGAAGTCCTGTAGTGAGATATGTGAGCTGTTCTGCAACTATCAGAAGCAATCAATCAAAGTTGAGAGGTGCGGGAAGGTGCAGGTCAAACTGCGGGCTTTTTGAACCGAAGAAGCTCCATTACTGGTTTGGGCCTAGCATGATTCATTCCGCGGGTACAACGACGGGTAACTACAAGGTAGACACGGGGAAGGAAGGCACCACACAAGCATCAATCTCATGCATTCTGTACAAAGTAACGAGTCTGCCAACGCCCCAAGCACTGGCTTTTCGAAGACACGCTTGCCTGATGTCAATTGAAATCACGCCCTCGCCATGCCGCGCCATCCCATCGACGGCGACCGTTGCTCGTGATAAATCTGAGACAGTATCCTAGCCTTCAATGTACGTGTCCGCTTTCAACGTCACGCATACCGCGCGCTCAGATTAGCGAAAGCATCCGGACTGTGTCTTCCACTCTCCAGATTGTTGATGGCCATGCTATCTCGACTCGAATGTGACATGATGCCTCCTCCTGTGCTGCTCGATCCCTGCATTGAATTCTGCATGAAGGGATTTCTGTTCACGCTTGCCAGATTGCCCGCTCCTCCTGCCGAATGCATGTTGCTCATGGTGACAGGCATAGTAGCGCTCCGCTGGGGGATCGTTGGCTGTGCTTGATACGTAGGATCCTGTTCATTGCCAGGCTCTGGGATTGAGGAAAGACCTTGTTGTTTGGCCGGCGTCAGGGTAGGATAGTTGTACAGAGCCATAATTGAATTCTTGTCATAGCGGCCAGTCTGCTGAGGAGCCATCGGCATAGCCTGGCCAGGTTGCCCGTACTGACTTGCGCCTTGCGACAGATTTGCATACGGGTTGTTGTTGATCTGTTGTAGGGGTTGCTGGTACTGTGACTGCTGTTGCTGCTGTTGCTGCCCATACTGGAAGTTCGGCATCTGTCCTTGTTGAGGCTGCGCCATCATTTGTTGTTGGAAAGGGTTCGCAGCACCACCGGCGAAGAGTCCTGGGACCCCAATTTGTGCACCAGAGTCGAATGATCCCTGTTGCGACTGCTGACCTTGCTGTGGCTGTTGCTGGGCGGAATCCGACGGCGGAATACCGAATGGATTATTCGCAGCAGAGTATGCCGACGGTGATTGCGGTTGCTGTGACATGAATGGGTTGTTCGGTGCCTGTGGTTGCTGCTGACCATAGACGCTCTGTTGCTGACCATACACCGCACCACTAGGTTGGACTGGCGCGGTCTGTTGAGCGTAGAATGACTGTTGAGGTTGCTGCTGCTGCTGCATGAAAGGATTGGTACCAGTCTGCTGAGGCTGCAACTGTGGCTGTGGCTGTTGGAAGAATGGGTTGGAGTTCGTCGGCAATGGCCCTGGAGACGCTGTGTATCCATACTGCTGGGAGATCATCGCAGGTGGCGTCATTGTTTGCGTACGTGGATCCGCTATCCCATAATGTTGCCCAGCGAAGCCACCCGTGTTGTTTGGAAACAGTGGCTGTGGAGGCGGTTGAGAGACCTGCAGATTCTGGAATGACTGCACCAGGCCTCCGTCAGTTTGGCTACGAGCCGGAATGTCGAATGGATTGTTACTGCCAAAGGATGTTTGCCGCTGCTGAGCGGCTGAGCCGGGGTCATTGACAGACCAAAGCCTGACTGGCCCCCTGATACCTGATCGAAAGGATTGTTCGAGCCCCTCGAGGCACCTGTGTGTGTCGCTTTGATGCCGGACTGAGCTGAGTCGGATCCAGGCGCCGTAGGCGCGTTCGATCGAGAAGAGCCCGTAGCCTGCGGCATGACACTGTTGTTGACAGACGACGTCCGTTCTGCTGGTTGAGGACCCAGCTGCACCAGGGCATCGATTGTCCTGGCCAGATCACCATTCATTCGCCGTAGCATTTTCGAGTTGATTTGTGTGTTCGGGAAGCCCATGTCTTTCAGTTGTGTGATCTTAAGGTGTAGCTCTGCATCTGAGATCGGCGCCGTAGACCTCGACAATGACCCAACATCGTCTCCAGAGATCGGCCACGCACTGTCGACTGTAGGCTCTGGCGGCAGCTTCTTCTTGCTGGACTTCGACGAAGGCAGTGTCGAGGATGATGCGCGCAAGCCGAACCCGAAGAATCTGCTCTTCTTGGCTGGCGCGACCGGTGCAGCCGGTTCGTATGTCGGCGATTTGGGAGGGACTGTTGGTGAGACTTCGCTACGCATGCTCCGCGAAGGAGGCTCAGGTCTGCCGCTCTCCAAGCTCTTCTCCTGGTATTTCTTGCGAATGAATCGCTCCATGGCCGAATCCACCTCATCCGCGTCAAGCGGAATGTCTGGCCGTTTGTTCTTCGGATTGTAGATTTTGTTTACAGCGGAGTTGCCGTTGCGCTTCATGTTCTGTTGCCAGGTCAGCTCAAGTGCCGCAACTCTCAGCGAAAAGTTGGCATACCTCTACTTGCTCAGATGACCAAGTATCCATGCTTAGCGACTTCACCTTAGACACATGTGTGCCCATCTTCCGGTGTATACTTGCGCATCGCATGCAGAGGAATATGCCCAGATTCCAACTTGCCCACCCTGGATTGTTCGCGCCACAGTCGCAGCAAGTGCCATTGCCGGGCACTCGGAGAAGCTCCTGCAGTTCGCGTTCATTTCGCGCCTGCTGTCGCTTGCTGATCGACGCCATGACCGCGATCAGAAAGGGGTGGCTCGATCAACGGCGCTGTCGGGATCAAGGGCACGATTGACCGGAAGTCGAGACAAAGCTGCAGCTGGTCAATAAAAAGGAAGTCTCCCGTACATCGAGCATGCCGTGGAAGTCATCGTCGTCCTCCGCTGTCCTTCTGCGCGTCCGTGCTATGACAATGGGCCCGAGCTGGAGTTGGTCTCGCTCGAAATTGGCATGTCGAGGAGTGGCTCCGCTGATTAACCTGACCCCGGGTCATTCCAAATGGGTGTCACGTGACGGTCACCACAAGCACTGGCCGCTGCATGATGATACTGAACTTGCTCACGCACAGGCTTGATTCATGAAGGTCATAGAAGATGAGTCATAGGAGGTCCAATGGCACCGAGAATGGAAATACTGGGGGATTGCATGCATCCAATTTATGCTCTATACAACTCCTCTTCTCGGGTATCAATATGCTTGCTGACACTATGGCCGCGATTCAATGCAGCAAGTGCTAATCCAACATCACAACATTTCCTGGTCATCGTCCATCCTCTTTACGCCGTATAAACCATGTTGCGACCACATCATCTGCTGCAGCATTCCATACTGCTGTTGTTAGGTGAAAGGAAAGCAGAAGAACGCCATACACAACTCACCTGATGCTCCATGTGGTCATCTTCACCCATCTGCCACCATTCACGACTGTGGTTATACACTGGATCTTTGCATCGTTTGTATGTCTGATCGTCTGGCGAAGATGCAGGATTCGACAGCGGCTCGACGTCTATCTTCGTTTCATACAGCTTGGTCATGTATGGCTCGGCAGTACCTCGTGAATCGTAGCCTGGCAGGGCACAAAGGGTTTTGAGACGGTCTCGCTCCATCGCTTCCCATCTAAGTCTCGCAGCTTCCTCTTCCAGCTCCATGTTCGTCTGTGGCCAGTCGGTGTTGGCCCAGGGAGGCAGCTGGTTGCCTGGCGTTGGTGGTGAGATTCTCCACAGCTCGACGAGTCGCCGCTTCTGCTCATCATCGGCGTTCTTGAAAAGCAGCAGCTGAGAAGGCAACAGTGCTGACGCATTGACACCAGCTTCTTCAAGGACGTCTGATGCCTGTCTCTCGGAGGCTGGTGCCTGGTGTGCTGAGTGATGGTAGTGCTGCGTGATGTACGCGATTGGAGCGGGCTGTGGAGAGACCTGTGGTGTTGCAGGCATCGACTGACCATGTTGAGGTTGGACGAGACTGAGGTGAGTCCCCATCATGCCGGCGAGTTCGTTGTACATCTTCGAGTCGCTCTCGGCGGCTGAGAGCCCGCACTGTCGCCACAATCAGAAAGTCATGAACAGGGAAAGGAATGGACAAACCTGTCGACAGTATGCATGCTCTTCAAATGCTGCAAGTCCATTTGTGACATCCGTTTCGTAGCCACAGTTGCTGCAGCGGTGAATGGATGTCATGGTTATTTCCCAACTCCCTGACGATAGTTTCGATGTGCGATATCAAAATCCTCCAACAGCCAAGCAGGACAGTCTCGAAGGAGAGAAGGTGTAGGCCACGAGTGGGACGTGATGTGGGATTGTGCTAGCTATACTAACTATCGAACAAAGCGCTATCAAAGGATCCAGTTCCAGTCCAGTCCCGGTCCGGTTCAGTGTAGGTATGTGCTGCTGTGGACGGCCTGTTGTAGTTGCCAGGAGGGCTCCCGGTGACCAAAAGCCAGGTAGAATAGTCTGGGTAGACGTTGGTGAGGTAGAGGTGGTCAAGGGAGGGGTTAATTTTCGGGGAAGGGGCGGTCAGCAGATGAAGCGCGGGTGTCAGTTCGACATAAAAACTGGACACCGGAATGTAGTAGCGACGGAGAGGGTGCTGGACAGAAAGCGCAGCGGCAGTTGTGCTATAAGCAAGAAGGTCTCGGTGAGTTGAAGGTGGAAGAGATGAAGCAGGAGCAAGCAGCCTGAATCATGTGGTCATTGGGGAGGAGCAGCCACGTTGCTGCCCGAGATCTAGGGTTAGGTCTTGCTTCTCGGGGACTCAGGCTGCTGGTGACCGCGTTGCTCAATGCCGTCGCGACACCCAAGTTTCCATAAGAGCACTATATACCTTCGCTTACGATCTCCTGCCTTTGCGATCGACTGCTGAGACACGTCTCATTCATCCACCATCACAGCTAATTCTGATAACTGTCCGGCATGGTGAGATCATACTCATCTTCATGACCGGCGATCATTACTGACCGAACCCTCAGACATCAATAGGTACAGGCTATGACCTGTCGAACTCAGTCTTCTCGCCTGATGGACGGAACTTCCAGGTTGAATATGCAGTCAAGGCGGTCGAGAACGGGGGCACATGTGTAGGCATCCGGACGAAACACGGCGTGGTATTGGCCTGCGAAAAGATCATCTCCTCCAAACTGCTGAAGCCCGGCGCAAACAAGAGAATAGCCACAGTCGATCGTCATGCTGGTGTTGTCACATCGGGTCTCATCCCAGACGGCCGACATCTGACTAGCAGAGCAAGAGATGAAGCAAGCAGTTGGCGAGGCACATACAAAGCTCCTATTCCAATCAGTGCCCTGGCGGGTCGAATGGGAGGCTACGTCCAAGCATATACCCTCTACTCCAGCGTACGGCCGTTCGGTGTGACGGCAATTCTCGGCGGTTGGGACTCGGAAGCTGCGTCAGGTGTTGATGGTGAGGTCGGAACGGGTCCGGATGTCGGAGCTGGCGGGAAGATTGAGGACGAGAAGGTGAAGAAGGGTGGTCCAGGACTCTACATGATTGAGCCGAGCGGCCTCTACTGGGTACGTCGGCATATGGAACACTATATGGCAAGCCACTAACCTCTCACAGGCTACTACGGCGCCGCAACAGGCAAAGGTCGGCAAGCTGCAAAAGGCGAACTAGAGAAGCTCGACCTTGCAAGCCCCGATTGCGCTCTCACACTAGAAGATGCTGTAAAGGAAGCAGCTCGCATCATATACGTCGCCCACGAAGACTCAAAGGACAAGGAGTTCGAGCTTGAGATGACATGGATCTCAGGTCTTGATGGACCCACCAAGGGTCGACATCAGCAAGTCCCAGAAGAGCTACTGCAAGAAGCTGAGAAGGCCGCGAAGAAGAGTCTCGAGGGAGACGACGAGGACGAGGAAGAAGACGAGGCTATGGCGGAGTAGGAGTCCGATGACCAGGGTAAGGAAGAAGACGAGGCCATGTCGGAGTAGTCGCCCCACAGCTCGGCCTCGTCGGACCGGTGGAACGAGTATTTGCGACAGCCGGTGACCTTCGCAGAGTCCCCTCCGTCATCATCATCTGAGTCCGGCGTCTAGGAAGATTGGGAGGGCACGAGCGAGGGTCAAAATTTTTGGTAACCGCCCGTCACGGCAAACTGTACTTCGTCTCCGGCCAATGCCCAGCCCAGCCGCCTGCCTCATATCGTCCCAGCAATCTTTCCCTCCGCCCATCCTCTCCGCTTCACTCCCAATTCTACCGCCGCATGCCCCCAGTCCTCCCCGTGATTATGGCCCTTCGCTCCTTCCCCGTCCCACCAGGCAACCCCGCCCGCGCCAGCCCCTGCTCCTCGCTCAACACGGTCAACAGCCCAAAGATAACCGGCACACCACTGTCCAACTGCACCCGCATCAACCCATGCGTCACCGCCTCCGCAATATACTCGAAGTGCATCGTCTCGCCCTTGATCAACACCCCAATCGCAACCACCGCATCAAACGCCTGCCTCAATTTCGTCTCCTTCTTCCCCTCTTCCGGCGCCTTCGGTTGCAAACTACCCTGTAGATCCGTCTGACTCGCGCTCCCTCCCAGCAAATCCCCCAGTCCCTGCGCCAGACTGCCTACGCCGCCAGCGACAGTGCTCGCGGTGGACTGGATCTGGGAGGCGGAGTAGACGCGTTGAACAGCGAGGGGGAGTTCGTAGGAACCGGGGACGGATTCGATGACTATGTTTTCTTCTTTGATGCCGGAGGCTAGCAAGGACTTTTTCGTGCCAGAAATGAGGGAGTCGATTATTGTGGTGTTCCAGCGGGCGTGGACAATGGCGACGCGCAGGCCAGGAGCCGTCGTGTGTTTGGGGGGCGCCGGGGCCTTTGAGAGCTGCCATAATGGAATGGGGATTGATGGAAGGGACTTGATCGAGGGTGTCACTGGAAATGCACAATACTGGATGGAAGGTCGACGTTGTCAGTCAGTTATTCTTCAAAGTATGACATAGCGATCGTTCAGGCACAGACTTAGCAACCCATGCGCACAGGCACCGCCGATCGCGGGGCATTTCACATCCCACTTTGCAGCTCTTCCAGTGAAGGGGCGGCTAGTTTACTGTTGGTCATACCTACGACTGCCTATCCATGAACCCACCAGTCAAGTGACTGCACGGCTCGACCTACTATCGAGGACGGCTCGGCCTGCACTTAGGGATCAGCTTCCTGCCGTTAGGGATACACCTTCACTTAGAGGATTAGCACACATTCAATTCTCAACACATGATTTCGGATATTCAAGGTCAGCAGTGATTCGCCTCCCTACGAACAACATATACAGCATCCGCCCTACGGCATACAAACAAACGAAGTCACTCCCTCACTGTTGATCTAGATATCTTTCATTGACCCCAAGTTCGCTTGATCCTGCCCTGGCCCGGAATCACATCGGCTACAGCAACACTGGGCACTACAAGCCAATCAGCTTCCCATCATTACTGAGTACCGAATCTGGCATACATCAATACCATTCACCGTCCAGAAACCCAAGATGTCTCCAATAGCCATTGACGAGACGAATGGCCACGCCAACGGCACCGTTAGCAAATCTGCACCAACAACAAGCCCGGCACAAACATCCAAATACCACGCTTCCACTTCCGACGAAGCAATCCACGCCGAACACACCTACGCCGCGCATAACTACCATCCCCTTCCCATCGTCTTCGCCAAAGCTCTAGGCACCAAAGTCTGGGACCCCGAAGGCCGCGAATACCTCGACTTCCTCTCCGCCTACTCCGCCGTCAATCAAGCCACTGCCACCCCGAACTTGTCAAAGCCCTAGTCACGCAAGCCTCAACTCTAACTCTCAGCTCGCGCGCCTTCTACAACGATGTCTTCCCGCGCTTCGCCCAGTTCGTCACGGAATACTTCAACTTCGATGTTGTTCTACCAATGAACACCGGCGCCGAAGCAGTTGAAACCGCCATCAAGATCGCGCGCAAATGGGGGTACAAGTCCAAAGCCATCCCCGCAAACAAGGCCCTCGTGCTCAGCGTCGCCGAGAACTTCCATGGACGGACCTTCTCTGCCATCTCGATGTCCACTGACCCAGAGTCAAGGGACAACTACGGCCCATTCCTGCCTGCTATCGGCTCCGTCTGCCCAGCAACAGGCAAGCCGATCCCCTTCAACGACGTCCCTGCCGTCCGCGCCGCGTTCGAGACCCATGGCAAGGAGATCGCCGCGTTCATCGTCGAGCCTATTCAGGGCGAAGCCGGGATTGTGGTTCCTGACGACAACTACCTCCGCGACATCCGCGCGCTATGCGACGAGCACAATATCCTGCTCATCTGCGACGAGATCCAGACCGGCATTGCGCGCACCGGCAAGTTGCTCTGTCACGAGTGGGCGGGCATCAAGCCGGATATGGTGCTTCTGGGCAAGGCTATTTCCGGCGGGATGTACCCTGTCTCATGCGTCTTAGGTCGAAAAGAGTGATGCTGACCGTCGAGCCGGGAACGCATGGGTCGACGTACGGTGGCAACCCGCTGGGCTGCGCAGTTGCTATGAGAGCGCTGGAGATCGTGCAGGAGGAAGGGCTGACGGACCGTGCCCAGCGGTTAGGCGAGGTGTTCCGGAAAGGACTGGAAGATCTCAAGTCGCCCATGATAACGACTATCCGTGGAAAAGGCCTCCTGAACGCAATCGTGATCGATGAGGCGAGGACGGGTGGGCATAGTGCGTGGGATTTGTGCATGCTCATGAAGGAGAAGGGGCTGCTCGTGAGTGTTCTCCTATGCCTCAATTCTCTGTCCCAGGCTTTCGTTCGCATGAACAGCTTATACTAATATCAACCCCAGGCAAAACCAACCCACGAGAACATCATCCGCCTTGCCCCACCATTGGTCATCACAGAAGAAGAGATCAAGAAGGCCTTGAGCATCATCGACGAGGCGGTCAGAGAGCTACCGACCTTGAAGGGGAAGAAGGAGGACGAGGTCATTCCAGATGGGGAGAAGGACGTTAAGATCGGAATTGAAAACTGAGGCTGTGGTATCAAGGTTGATTCGAGGATGGGAAAATGGCAAAATTGGACTGGCTCGATTCGAGCAGGCTGGATACTTGGGAACCGAGAGTCTAAGCCTCCCTCCACCGGCGGAATATGCTATTTGGCGGCGCATACACTGCGGCATGTAGTACTGAAGACTACAACACCACGTGTGCCTCTCTTGACTCATGGACTCCCTCCTGTGCTATCCTGCCCCACTCTTCCACTCTCACGGCTATCGAAATAGTGCTAGTGGACAGGGAGGCTCTCGTGCCCATCTTGTCTTGGCTGCCAACCCCATCAGCCCATCAACGTCCCAGCATGCGAGCCTTACATCATATTGGATTGGTCTTCATCAATAGCCCGGCGAATACGAGCACTATGAATTGACTCTCGGCATCTAGGCTCTGCAGGAGCATGTCCTCCATCTCGTCGACCATATCAAAGACCTCCTTTACCAGCTCTTTGTACTGTTCATTGGCTAACCTTTGCGTTTCTCTGACCATCTTCGTGGAGGCGAGCTTGATCTTCTCCATCCACTCTTCATGCAAAGCATTTAGCCTCTCAAGCATGACAATCTTCTTGTCCCGGGACTTCAGCCTCTTCTCGAGGATGCCAATGAGCTCATTCCGATCGTCTAGCATCTGCTGGAGGGAGGCTATTTTCTCGGCAGCGGTGGCGTCTGCCTCAGATTCAGGAACTCGAGATTCGTTCGTGGCGGGACCTGAGTGCTTCGTTTCAGCCGTGGTCCTGTCGTCGTTGTGGGTCTCCATGACTGCTATGTTCTCGTCCGTACTGTCGTGCTTGTCGTCTATGAGCTCGAGCTTGACGTCTCCTCTGTGACTAGTATCGTGCTGCTGAACGCGGATATTGTCGACGAAGCCGACCTCCTCGGCTTTGACAGCAACCCCTTCATCGCGATTGGGAAAGTGGCCGGCCATGATATAGCAGGCTGTTGCGTCGGTAATTGATACGAAGACTGAGATAGAGAGTCAGCGTAAATATGCAGCAGCAAAGCGACGCGTAGACGGACTAGATGTACCTGAGAGGGTGCGAATTCGCCACGGATGAAGGATCGAGAGGTTGAGGACCGCCGCAACGCAGACCTGCTCACGTATTGATGAGTTGGGATCGATGTCGTTGTGGTGGTGGTGATGTAAAGAGGCGGCATATCATTGAAAAATTGGTAAAGCACGCCGCCCTTGCGCCTGCCGACATTGAGCTGTCGAAAATCACAGTTGGCAAGTGCATTACGCCAGGATGTCCGGCTACTCATAGGGAAGTGACTACACCGTTTAGCGGCCATGCCTGCATTCTCTCCACGCTAGAATGTCGCTCGGTAGTTTGCTGAAGAGCCTCATCCCTCGTTGCATAATCCACATCCACCTCACAGAAAGCCTTGATGCCGTACACAGTTCCAGAATCAGGATACACCCGAGTCGACAGAGCCGTCCGTTCGTTGACGAAAATCTCGAGCACACTGGCATCGTAGAAGGCATGGAAAGTAAGGTCTTCAAGCATAGCGCTGTTGTCGTTGCCCTCGATCTCGAACAGCGTGTGTGGCGCTGTCTTCTTCCCAGTGCCAACACCTCTAATCGTAGTTGACCGTGAACGGTCGACTGTGAGTATTTCCGAAAGAGGCTCGAAGTAAACCCTTGTAAGCTGGCTATGGTCGGGAGAATGGAAAATGTCGAATCCCATGCGCTGGCTTCGATTTGACATACAGAAGTCCAGGTCGAGCTCCCAGGAAGCACACCCATTCTCAGGAAAGTCAATAATTGAGCCATCCAATAGTGTAAAAGGCGGACCGCGCATGTCCTGGAGCCGCGGGTCTGGCATGGCGGTCAATGTCCTCATTGTGTAAGTCCCACTGGCATCCGCTGTACTGTCGAAGCAGCTCAATTCGCCCAACGGCGTCTTCAAGGACCGCGCGACCCTTTCCCACGTCCTGAGTTGCAAGATCCTCGGGGTAGATAGGCAGCCACTCCAGCCTTGCTTCTGCACGGCGGTTTGCGGCAGATCTTCTTCGAATAGCCAGCCTATTGTGACAAAGTGACCGGTCGCCGGGTCCCAGAAGCCATTGGAGCGTAGAAGCAGCATGGTCAAGTACTCCGCCGTATCGATACTGCATTTGAGGATCCCCAGTAGTGCCTTTCGATAGGTCTCCGCACAGCCACATCTGACGATGATCTTTACTGATCTCACCACTCCTGCTGTCTGACTTGGTGATGCCCTCAGCACTGATAATGAGGAAGGAGTGAGTCTTGTCCGCCTCATCTTGTAGGCTCAGAAAGTTGCAGACTTCCCAATTAATGCCAAAGTCACCTGTCCACCGTGAGGGGTTGTAGTTGAGGCCCACGCTCGTCAGCGAGCTGAGGTATGTCCATTTCGTTGGATCCACTGTGTCGATGTGATACAAGAAAACCGTGGGAGTTTCGCCACGGAGACCACCAGACACAACGCCGTATAGTTGACCTCGACGTGTGCCGAGTACCTCGTCAAGAGCATGCCACTCTCCGATGTACGGATCTCGCCAGCCTGTAATATCAAGTCCAGGTGGAGGCTCTTCAAGAGTGATATTGTCTGGACATCTCTGCCATGTCATGCCACTGTCTGATGAAGTCGCAAGGGCAAGTTTCTCACTGCCTCGTCTGTACGGCAAGGTGTAGTGGATCGGTAGGGACTGAGCAGAAGTGTAAAACGCTACCTGCTTGCGATTGGGTTTCGTCACGCCCTGGCAGGATCGTGAAGGAAGCATACAGCCTGTGAAGACGCCACTGAAATCTTGCGTCGACGTCGGATTCATTGCTTCGCGTGATGATACTCTCCAGTTCATGAAATCAGAAGAACAAGCAGTACCCCACGACGGCGGTTCCCAGCTGCAGCTTGACGGGTTCCATTGGAAGTTGACATGGTATTGACCTGTTCGAACATCGTACCCGGGTGCACAAGGGTCGTTCATCCAGCCGCGAGGCGCTGTGATATGGTACCTTGGTCGCCATTGTGGCAGCGAGTGAGCTTGTTCCTGCCATTTTCGGACATCAAGCTGCACGGATGGTAGTGTCGAAGGCGCTGGAGATTTGTCGTACCGCTCAAGTATGGTATTTGTAAAGGTAGACTTGGAGATTTCGTCTAGTCCTAAGGTTTGAACATCCGGAAACAGGACTTCCAGAGCCATCTTCGAGCTGTTTCGTGCTCACGAACTTGCTGAGTGCCTTGAGTCTGAGTATCTGGGCCTGTGGGGCCGAGTACTGAAGATGTTGTTCTTGTCACAGTGAGAGAAGTGCTAATCTCGTCAAATATACTGAGAAGACTCGACGCATAGTCATCTCATCCGTTGAGCATGTACCTGCTGGTAACAATTCGGGCTATCCCCCAACAAGGACAGGACCCGCTGCTCGAGACTTCCCTTGCGCACTGGCACTAATTCGAAGTCTCAGCTGCGTATGGAAATATGAGCGGTGGATTCTAAGATTGTTAGTCGCCTCCCAAAGCCACTAGCTTTCAGCCCAAATGTGGGCATTGCACTAGCGTCGCCGAGTACTCCGAGGTCTCCGAGCTCACCGAGCTCGCCGTCGTGCTTGCGGGGAACCCTGCCCCGACTCCAGAAGTATTTGAGTATCGGATCTCCCACACAGTCTCGTGGCAAGCATCTGCTTCACTTACTATCACCGTGGAATAAACCATGGGCGAGACCAACAACATGGGCGTCCCGCAGGCTATCACAGCCGAAACGAAGGCCGGCTCTACTGTCGATCATGTGGACAGTCAAGGTGCTGCTGTCGTCCTGTCTTCAGAAGTCAATTCGACACGAGTATGGAATCCTTTGTTGATCATGTCATGTGTGAGCTTCGGAGCCGCATCCATGCTGTTTGGCTATGACGACAAGGTCGTCTCGCCGGTCGCAGCAATGGAGACATTTGTATGTATCCCATTCTCATTGCTGAAGTCTCATTGACATTGTGTCCCAGGTCGAGAAGTTCCAAGGACACCCCAATTCCGCTGGAGCCCTGGCGCTTACCGCACGCAATCAGAATCTGGTCTTCTGCGTTCCTCTTGTTGGCGCCATCGTGGGAGCAGCGGCGGCAGCGCCGTTGACGACACGGTACGGACGCAAGCTAGTGGTGATAGGCGCATACGTTCTGTCTCTCGGGGGCACCTTCCTGCAGGCGTTCGCCCCGACAATGGCTGCATTTGTGATCGGACGCTTCTGGAACGGCATCATGATTGCCCTCGGTTCGACTGTATCCTATCTGTACCTATCGGAGATCGTCCCAGCAAGATACAGAGGGATGGCGGTGACATCCTCGAATATATTCAACTTAGTTTCGGGTGTCATCTCGACCGTCATCTGCAACGCGACCCATCAGCAGAACGGCGCATCGTCCTACAGAATTCCACTGGCTCTTCAGGCTGTAGCTCCTGCCATTTTGATCCCGATTACTTTTTGCATGCCTGAGTCTCCGTTGTGGCTGCTCACTCGAGGTCGGGAGACAGAGGCGCGACACAGCCTGCGAAGCGTCCGCGCATACGATGACACGCTGGTCGATGACGAATTGAGAGTGATGAAGGCCGCCTACGACGCTGAACAAGCACTGAGTTCGGGTGTGAAGTTCTGGGATCTCTTCAAGCGTGGCAATATTCAGCGTACTTTGGTCGCCGGGTCGATGTACTCGGTCAACCAGTGCTCTGGTATCATCCTGAGCAGTACTTATGCGACGATCTTCCTCACCGCACTGGGGGTTGGGAACCCTTTCCAGTTAACCATTGCAGCATCATGTTGCGTCCTTGCAGGGACCCTTGTCGCTCCGCTACTGGTCGATCGTGTTGGGCGTCGCCCTCTCGCAATCGTGGGAATGTCTGTACTTCTGGTCATAGACATCACAGCGGGTACATTGGCCTTCTACACGGACAAACCACATGTGCCGATCGCCATCGCAGCACTGTCGTTCATCTTCAATGGCTTTTGGGCAGCCTCTTTCTATGCACTCTCGGTCACATTGCCGACAGAGATTCCGAGGCCAGAGCTTCGGAACATGACCACATCTTATACGCTCGCCTGCGCGTACACTACCGCGGTCATCACGACATTCGCTGTGCCTCAACTCGTCTCGGCAGATGCAGCAAATCTCGGCGCAAAGACGTACTTGGTCTTCGGAGGCATCGTCGCTTTCATACTCGCCTTCTACTACATGCTTCTCCCGGAAACTGCTGGAAGGACTTTTGCCGAGATCAACGAGCTGTACGAACGAGGCATTCCACCGCGCAGCTGGAAAGGTACACAGACGTCGACAGAGAATCAGCAGGCGAAAGTCGTCGAGAAGGGAGCGTTAAGTCATGCTTGAGAGGCAACTGCCGAGTCGTGCCGTAGGGAAACCATATTTTTGGTGCGCTCAAGGGATGGCCGACTCAGGCGCCGCTGATCAATAGAACATGGTCCCCGAGACAAAAGACTAGCCATTCTCGTGTGGGATTGGCTGGATTGAGCTGTATGCGTCACGTAGAGCTGAGATAATCGAATCGTTGCCATCTCGCAGCTGCTCAAGTAGCTCAAAGAATCCTTGCAGGGTCGTGACACCAGGACCGGTGGATGACTCGAGCGCTGTGCCTCGAGAGTACTCGATTGCCATGACGACACCCATGGCGATGTCATGAAGTCGCTCCGCCATACCCGCGCCGTGAACTTCCAGAAGACTCCTGTCCAGCTGCTGACACTTGGCAAGGACCTGATTGGCCAGGTCTATCACGAAGGACGGCTTCATGAACGGCAAGGTGCTTGCAACATCCAACAGATCATGAGTCAGGCAACAGACCCATAGGCGGACCAACAGCCATTGCTGCAGGACGAAGCAATCGGCCCATTGTGCGCTGTTCAATTGTGGGTTCGTAGTCGTAGCGTGAGCCGAGGTATCCGTGAAATCGTGGTCGATAGCTGCTTTCGTTTGATGCATCGCCCCAGCAATTGCATGATACACACTGCTCACTCGAGCAACATCAAGCTTTGTACAAGTCTCGATGTGAGGGGCGCAGGTGCGGTTCCAACAGGGGATGACATACTCATCGACGGCATCGCATAACCTCATCAATTGCAAAAGCCCATGCATCGCAGCGACATCGCGGCTGTCATGTACGAGTATGCTCGAGATCTTGATCGTAGCGTTGCCGTCTATGCGTCGGTACAGATCATCGATGCGGTCCATGTATTGGCCAGTGCTTCGTTCTTTGTAAGCTTGGATCGGGCCATGAGTGGAAGTAGAGAAAGTGTTGGAGGGAAACATGGAACGGCAACGCGAGACAAAGGCATCAGGAACATCTTCCGGACCTTCAGTCTCCATTCCACTCCCGTTCCAAGTGTGGGAAGTAACTCACAAGGTGATAGAATGATTTCGCTGCAGCGCGTAACCCCTCTCCGTTACAGTCAGGATGAGAAGTAGTCGAAAGCGCTGGCCTTGCTCATCCGAGGGCAAGGAATTGTAAGTCTCGGGCAGATGCAGACCGATGAGCTTCCCATACTCGATTGCTTCTCTCAGGCGCAGCCACGCCGCCTTATGATAGCCAAGACCAAATAGAGCTGCAAACATGAAGAAACTCGCAATGACAGCCTCGGAGCTGATTTGTTCTCCAAACGTGATGTCCCTATGGTTCGTTGCTTCTCGAAGCATTCCCTCAGCTTTTGCTACACGTGCTGGCATAGACTGAAACTCCTGTCGATAGACCGGCTGCACTAATGTGAGTGCGCAGAGCGACAAGACCATTGCCGCGAAATGCGGATCTCTGTCTTGTCGACGAAGCATAATGTCCCTATACAGATTGAGGCGGTTGACGATGGGCAGCGTTGAATAGAGTCGATCAAAGAAAATGCTGAGCCACGGCAGAACATCGCTCTCGCAGAAAGCGCTTCGAGAGGAATAACTGGTATCAAGTGAGTTACCAGTCGCTGAGGCGTCGGTAGGGTGTTCAAGTACGGTGTCCCCACCAGGCGATGCTGTGCCGCCAGATATAAGCACAGAAGCATCCTCTCGCTCAGCGACAGTACCGGACGAGCCAGCGGGTGCTTGTGCGAAAGGCCTCAGTTCCGTGTCTGACCCGGTAACATGGTTGATATGTCGAGCCTGAGTGGGCTTGTTGCGATGCTGACGATCAAGGAGAAGCTCGACGCGTCTGTTCCGGACAGTGTTGGGTGCGAAGGAGCAGTCAAGGTCCATACTGAGGCACCTGTGACATGGTGACTTGCCATCGCAGCGGAGCTTTCGAAAACGGCACGCTGCGCACGCCTGCTTTGGCATGATGATGCCGCAAAATCAGAAGGAACATCGCGTCGAAGGTTCTATTGCTAGTGTATCACCTAGAAACACGATTCCGGCGGAAGTCCACATTTGAACACGGGCTACAATCGACGGCGCCAGGTTAAATGGGATGACCGCATAAGCAAAGCAACTATTGAATTGTATCTGGGATGCTGAGTTGATGGACTAGCAGGCGTTTAAGACCAGGCCACGTGACGTAGTCCAGTCATCCGGTCGACGGTGCAGTGGCAATCGCGACACAGATGTCACCCTGCTTGGCACGACCGCGACGATCCGTCTCTCCTGCTCCAGGCTCAGCTCACTTGTTCATAAGTTCGAGAGTGCCGGCCGCCTTTCGCCCTTGCAAGGTCAGTGCCAGTCCATGCCAGCAGCTGCACAGCACACTGCACTGCGGGCTCCTATGTGGGGCTTTTTGACTTAGACCATGATCGTGGGGATGCGCGGGGAGGCACCACCGAGGCCAAACCGGTGGTCATGCGAAGCTTGTATGAGGCAGCCAACGTGAGCTTGCCCGATCCCCACAGCCATGAATGTAGGCAAGTTTCACGTTGCATGTTTCAGAACGCCACAAGGCTACATGACGGCGATTCCAAGCACCGAGCTTGGGGAACAATATGGCAAGAATCTCCAGTAACTCCAGTGAAAGCCCTTGGCACGAACGCAACGACACTGAATAGCTGTTCCGTTCCTCAACGTTTCCTATCAGGACAGCGCTCAAGGCTAAGTTGCGCGCAAAAAGAAATCTACTGACGACAGGGTATTGGCGCTTACGACTTGAGAGTGCTCAACATCAATTGCAGAAATTGCCGTTTTTGTAATGGCTTGAGTGGGTACACATCTGTACAAGTCCGATATAGAAGCCACAGCTCAGCACAAGCACCTTGAACATCTTTATCGATCAGGAACGTTCACGGAGGCACCAGCTCGGCTGAGTACACCAGGAGGTAGGAGACCTACAGGGCAACGATTGCCGTCGTATTTCACCACTCATCTCCAAGGCCAATATATCAGTCCATTGCAGACATGGCGTTCGCAACATATCACTACCTTCTCGCTGTCCTCAGTACCTTGATACTGTACAACCTCTACAGCCGCTATCGCTTCAATTCGCGGTACAAGCTTCCACCAGCCCTACCTGGCGCACTGCCCCTGATCGGCAATACGCACCAAATCCCGCCACTGAACCAAGGTCTCTGGGGTCAGCGCATGGCAAGACAGCATGGTGAGCTCTTCACCGCCTCGATCGGCGGCTCAACTTGGGTCTTCCTCAACTCCTCCCGCGTGGTCAACGATCTCATGGAAAAGCGTTCCGCCATCTACTCTTCCCGAGCTCCTGCTCCGTTCGCGTCTGGCTTGTTGTCCAACGACTGCCGCATGCTGTTGATGCCATATGGCGAGCGCTGGCGTCTGCTACGTCGGATTCTCCACTCCGTGCTCAATAAGCAGATGATGCCCACATTTGCTCCCTTCCAGGACGTGGAAAGCCGGCACTTGCTTTGGGATTTTCTTGATAATCCGCAGCAGTGGCATCTGGGTACGCAGCGCTTCGCGAACAGCGTCATAATGTCTGTTGTGTTCGGAAAGCGTATGAAGCTCGAGGATCCGGATGTGAGAGAGTTGTTCGACACATCAAATGAGCTGATCCTAGCGCTGCAGCCGGGCGCTAACCTGGTTGATTCGCTGCCGGTGTTGGCGAAAATTCTGCCTAAGCCGCTGCAGTGGTGGCGTAAGCGTGGTGAGCGTTTGCATGACAAGACTGTTGGAGTATATAAGAAACAAGTGCAGGACCTCGAGAGGCGGATGGCGGAAGGCAAAGCAAGAGACTGTTTTGCGGTCCGGTTTCTCAAGGATCCCAGTACAAAGGACTACGGAGCGACGCAGACTTATTTCGCTCTGGGAAGTCTGATGGAAGCCGGAAGTGACACAAGTCGTATGACAATCAGTCAGGTCATGGCGCTGCGGCGACAGACAAGCGCTGGGTGGTGACAGCCAGGGAAGCGTTGGACCGAGTCTGCGGCTCCGCCGGCTCGTCTGCCACGGACATGCGATTGCCAAATTTCGATGACCGTCCGGAGCTGGAGTACATCACGGCAACAGTGAAAGAGGCTTTCCGCTGGCGACCCTTCGCAGAAATAGGCCTGCCCACAATGCTGATTCAAGACGATGAGTATGAGGGTTACAAGTTTCCGAAGGGGACGCTGTTCACGTGGAATGCAATGGCGATTGCGCTTGATGAGAGGGAATACGAGCAAGCGGAGCGGTTCTGGCCAGAGCGGTTCATGAACGGCGATCTTAACAACGTCATGAAGGGCCACTGGAGTTTCGGGCCTGGTGAGTCGCTTCCATCGCTCATTTCCATAATTTCAATCGACAACGTGTTGCTGACGCTGGCATGATACATCTAGGACGACGAGCATGCTCCGGGTACAACGTTGGCGAGACGAATGTTTGGATCGCAGTTGCGAGACTGATCTATTGCTTCGACTTTGACGAAGTCCCTGTGAGAACTCCCTCTCTCGGCTGCGCTGCGCCGCGAAGGCCAGGCAGGATGATACTGATCTAACGTGCGACCATAGGGTAAGCCTATTGACACCCTCTCCACAAACTGGGGCGAGCACAGATGGGCACCTATCGCTGTGAAGATCACTCCGCGAAGTGTCGCTCACGCCGAGCTGGTCAGGCGGGAGTGCAAGGGAGCTGTTGATGCAGAGTATTGATATTATGCAAGATGCGTTCTATATACGTCGTGTGCGTATACACTACGGTGAATTAAGGGTCGTCCGAGGACATAAAGCAGCGATTGAGTGTGTGGAGTGGATGGCCGGTCTCGATCGTGTTGTAGTGCACTCGGCCGCCATGTTTGAGTGCCAATTATATCTTTCACCTTCCAAACAACGTGTACTTTTGCTCAATGGGCAAGATTCTTCACCGGCACCGGAGAACAATCTCGACGAGCGCCACTCTTCCCTGTCCTCGCTTCTGGTCAACTCGATCCCTCGCATCAAGAGGATCAAAGAAGAGATGGTCACTCCATGTAGCAATAGAGCTAGTCAACCGGTCTCTTTAATGACCTCACAAGCTTGTCATCCGGCGTCATGTCCGCCGAGCCAAGAATTAGGCTTGTCATCCGGTTCAATCGGGGCAGAGATCGAGGATTCTCTTGGATTTTCTGGACATCTGAACCTCAGTCTTTGCTGGCTACCTAGTACATTCTAGCCTGCGTTGAGTCTTTCTCATGGGCCGCGCCTAAGACGTCGACTCTTTTCTCAGGAAGAGTTCTTCCCCAGACTCCTCGGCCAAATGATTGTTCCGAGCCTGAGGACCCCAAGCTCTTCCCACATGTTCCCCATAAAGTAGGTGGGGTATTCCCCAACACTGATTCACGGTTCCCACATGAGCCTAGACGTTGCTTCGGTAGCCGAAGATACTGGCAATGAGGGGCTCTTTTTGGCATGGTGGCATCACTGGTAGGGTTGATGTACCTCAAAGCCATGACGAGACTGATAGGGACCGTCGTGCCATACTTGCGCTCGCTAGATAGTCATTGACCGACGACTGAATCAACACTGCCCAGCAGCAGGAAGGCTCGACAGCCAGTGACCAGAGGGAAGGCGCCAACGTTCACAGAAGACGCCCGTCATGCTTGCCACACAAAATATTGGCTCGCTGCTCTCTTTGCCAGCGCTGCAGCCGCGATCTTTGCGTTTCCCATTGTGTCATTCCTCGCGTTCTACTTCTACACCATTCCCAACAGCCTCAAAGATTCTCGACGTCGAAAGTTGCCTCCAGGACCGCGAGGACTACCATTTCTTGGAAATTACCTCGATCTCGCCAAAGCAGACACATTCCGCTTCCAGGTTCAAGAGTGGTCGAAGCAGTATGGCGAGGTGTGGTACACGAAGATCGGCGGCGGTGACTGGATTTGGCTGTCGTCGCCACGAGCAGTCAAGGAACTTATGGACAAGCGTTCTTCCATCTACTCGTCTCGGCCACCAACACCTCTTGCCGGAGATACTGCTTCTGCAGGCCGCCGTCAGCTGTTCATGGCCTATGGTCCCGCGTATCGCGTTGTTCGCAAAATCGCCCACTCGCTGCTGAACATTAATGTCACGACCAGCTATCAGCCCATCCAAGACCTGGAGTCGAAGCAATTGATGTACGACCTGATCCACAGTCCAGAGAATTTCTACGATCACAATCGCCGCTACTCGTCCAGCGTGATCCTCACCGCCACATACGGCCACCGCATGCCAGATTGGGACGCACCCATCATAAAGAGCATCTACAAGGTGATCAACAACCTGCAGACCTTTGCTACTCCAGGCGGCTGGCTCGTAGATACGTTCCCAGAGCTCGCCGTGCTGCCGTCATGGATGTTGGGCAACTGGCGCGAGTTTGGCAAGAAGTGCTTTGAGCACGACTCGCCAATCTACTTGGGTTTGTGGCGCAAGATGAAGCAGGAGGTCGATGAGGGACGCTGCAATCCCTGCTTCGCGCGCGACTTCTACTTGTCAGAACCAGAGAAGCAGGGTCTGGATGAGCTCCAGGCCGCATATCAGACTGGCGGCCTGGTCGAAGCAGGAAGCGAAACGACGTCAGCATATCTCAACTCGTTTATTCTCCGCATGCTAGAGAACCCTGACGTAGCGAAAAAGGCACAAGAAGAAATCGATCGGGTTATTGGGCACGAGAGATTGCCCGAGTGGGAGGACGAGAAAGATCTGCCGTACCTAAGAGCAATCATTAAGGAGTTGCTGCGCATGAGACCGCCAAATAAGATCGGCATCCAGCATGCCACGACCGAGGACGACTGGTTTGACGGCTACTTCATCCCGAAAGGCAGTGTTGTTGTGCTTGATTGGTGGTATGTGCCCTCCCATTTCCCTGCTGCTGCCCTTCCCGCTGACTTGATCCGGGATAACACCGCTCCATCTTCGTCCTGGACACCCCTGGCACAATGCTGACATCCTCCCACAGGACAATCAACAACTCACCCCTGCTCTGGACCGATCCGCAGAAATTCCAACCCGAACGCTTCCTCAAGAACCACCCTCTTCCCGCCGCAGCGTACATCAACGCCGCCGACCCCAACGACCGCGACCACTTCTCATACGGTGCCGGCCGCCGCGTATGTCCCGGCGTGCACCTCGCCGAAAAGTCCCTCTATCTCAACATCTCCCGCGTCCTCTGGGGTTTCAACCTCAGCAAGAAAGTGGGTCCTGATGGGAAGGTGATTGAGCCCGAGGCGGGTATGGTGCCAGGTTGGATGACTATTCCGCTGCCGTTTGAGTGTGAGATCACGGTGAGGGGCGACGGCAAGCGGAAAATTATGGAGAGGGTATGGGAGGAGGCTAGGAGAGGTTTGAAGGCGGATGGCGATATCCCTGATGGGCAAGGGTACGGGAACAATTTGAAAAACCGGGGCTAATGGACTCAAGGTGGAATCAATGTTTTCGCATGTATGCTCTATACATCGGTGGCTTGGCCACAGCATTTGTCTGAACATATTTTCTCATGCACCAACGTTTTTCGTTGTTCGAACCACAGCGCTTCCATGCTCAGAGCAATGTCTACACGATTTCGATGAGAAGAGCTGCGTCAAGAAATCCCCATTATGTTCGACTGAAATTGGTGCAACATGTTACTTATTTGCGCGACGCGTGTAGTCAAGACCGCTTCCAGACCGGACGCTAGTCAGAACATGTCCGAGAAGGAAATGATCGTACCGACAATACCGACTTCGCAACAAAACGTCTCCTACGAAATTCCTGGCCACGACCCATTACTCTTGCTCATGTCCATTGGAAGTCACGCCGCAGTCTCATTCACCAACATCGTGGTATTGTACGCACCAACCTTCGTCGCAGGTCCCAACTTCGCCTCCACTGCACTATCTGGGCCAGGTCCCAGGTATGCCTGGCTGATGAAACCCTCGAAGTTCTCTCTGAGACCATGCGTTGACTACACACATAAACGGTCAGCACCAACACATCACACACATCCGCTACACCAGGAACGAGGAACAAGACTCACATGCGCCATCATCTTCGCCAACTCCTGATCATCCTCAGCCCGCTTACACAACTTGAAGAACTCCTCCCTGTCCTTCTCACTCTCCGGGTTCCAGATCAAGTCAAAGTTCTTGCGGGACATCGGATCGATGACTGTCTTCCACTTCTGGATGCGTACGCGCGAGTACTCTGTGAGGATGGATGTGTCTTTGACTGTTTGGTTGTGGATGGCATACAGCGCGTCGTAGAGGGAGCCGACGTCCGCGAAGCCGCCTGTTAGACCCATTCCACCGCTGAGATCGTCAGTAGTGGAGGGAAGGTAGGAAATCGAGAGTACTTACAAGGGGTTGCAAAGATGGCCAGCATCAGCCACGAGCAAGAACCTGCCCTCCCGCATCGTATCCGCGCACCGTTGGTGCAGCTTGTACGGACTCGCACTGACAAGCTTGTAGTCACCAGGCTTGGGATTTCCCGGCAAGATCTTCTCATATCGCTCTGGCTGCCGCTGGAGATATTCTTCTGTGCTAAGCCCCCACTTGTCACCGTAAGTAACACGCCAGAGCCCGTCCTTGGTGATCTTCGCCGCCATATACCAGTTCTCTGGGTCGATGATAAAGTTGCTGTCCCAGTAGCCAAACTTGTGGAAGTCGTAATATACATTCGTCGCGATGATCTGATGCTGGAGCGTCTCGCCAGGGTAGTTCAGGTCTCCATGCAGTGATCGCCGGATCTGCGAGTTGGCGCCGTCAGCTCCGATGATGTAGTCCGCCGACAGCCATTTCTTCGAGCCGTCCTTGAGCTCGACTTCGACTGAAGCGGAGCTGTCGTCCTGCTTGATGTCGACGACTTTGTGCTCGAAGAGGATCTCCGTGTTGGAGAGGCGATTGAAGTGCTCGAGCAGTAGTCTGTCAAGGCGATCGAGTGGGAGGCAGACCATGGGATAGTCTACCTCAACTCCACGATTGCGGATACCGCCGATGAGGGTCGTGTCGGGTTTGCGCCAGCAGACGCTGTCCGGGTGGAAGCCTTGCTCACGCAGGTCGTCGAGTACGCCGGCACGATTGAGGTCGTAGCAGGCAGAGGGGGCGTAATGGGCGGCTCGAGGGTTCTCGTCGAGCTTGTGTGAAGCTTCGAGCATGGTCACTGGGATGCCAGCTTTGGCGAGGAGGATGCCGAGGACGAGGCCTGAGGGCCCTGCACCGACCACGATGGCAGACTTGATCGGCGCTGCTGGCTGATCCTTCCATGTTTTGGCCGACATGTTGGCTGGCTGATGTGTGAATGATAGCACTGTTGGAAGTGTTTGACTTGCTTAGCTTGTGAAGCAATTCGTCCTGTCGTAGGCCCAGCAGGTACAGTGGTCGTGTATGTTGACTTTGAATGTCTTGGAATACCGAGTGTATGCAACACGATCAATCCGCAATTGTTCCGGTGACAAGTCTCCTCGTCTCTGGTATAAATTGGGGTATGAGACCTGGGACGGCACTCAATGGGGACGGTCCTTCGTCGGTAACAATATTATGCCCGAGCGACTTCCTGACAATCCGTGCAGGATGGAATTCGCGAGACCTTGCTATAAGACAAGCCCACATAGTGTTTACCTAGGTATGGTGCCATGTTGCTGTCTGTCACTGAAGGAAGCCCCACATCCTTGGAGACCCGTGTGAGGGGGGCAGGCGCGCGACGAAATGCCCCAGATTTCCCCACATTGTGGCGAATGCTCCGTCCGGGTTCTGGACTTACTTTAGTGATCTGTCAAGTGCTAGGGGAGATTTATGCAAGAACGCATCGTCCACGACTCGTGGGCTGGGAATCAGCTCTTACAATTCTTGCCATGAGGGTTTGTTCATGCGGGAGACTGACTCTCAAAAATGCCCGATGTGCCTGCCATGCCAAGCCGGTGGTCAACACGATACCGACCCACGGAGAACGCTGCGCTGTGTACTACTTGACGCAGATTCTGACGATGGCCTTCGTGACAGCGCTGAAGGTCCCTTGTAATAGCCCACCACCATCACAATGACCTATTTGAGCTGCATCTGCAGATCAAGGAACAGCTCGTCCCAGTCAGGTGCATCGAAATTCGGTCCATGTTCGATATATGACTGCCAGATCTCGTCAAAGTCAGACTGATCGTGCTGATCATGCTGGGTCTGCATTGCATCAAAGTTGTCGTCAAAGATTTGTGAATTCGATGGCAGGCCATCGGGCACTGGTGCCGCCTGTGGGACCCCGTGAGCCACGCCGTTGGCAAGTGCTCCAAAAGCAGCGAAAGGCGGCGTGCTCCTTTGCTGTGATTCAGCAGCCGGTCCATCAATGAATCGAACTTTGTGTTTTCTCATCACATCCATCAGCGAGTCGAGAAACTTCTTGGCCACTGGGCTACGATCTTTGGCACCCTCGAGCACGCTGAGCGCGTCCTTGACTTCTGCTAACCTTTGCGCTGCCTCTGAACTGTTGCATTGCCGATCACCCTTCCCGTTCATGTTAAAGCAGAGGTCCATGACTAATGCGACGCAAGCAAAGAACATGTGATGGTGAATTCCAGACATGGCTAAGAGGCTGGTAGCCATGGACTTCTGCCTGTCAAGCTGATGTTTGATCGCGATGACCTTGCGGGCTGACTCGAGACAGACGTTTCGCGAGTGTGCATAAGCAGGATTGGTGAAGCCACGGACCAAGAATGGCTGATGCAGTCGGCATCGTCGCATTTGACAGATCATGTTGGTCGTGTATTTCTGGACCAGTATGGAGGGTCGTTCAGCATACAAGCTTTGATAATGTGCATCATTGACTGGGTCGAATTGAAAGAATGGCGGCAGCTCTCTGAGAAAAGCTGCAAATCTGCCATCAAGCGCGATGATGTCTTCGTATCGAACAGAATCGGCTCCTGAAGACCCAAGCGGGATCGTGTCGATGATGTGACGGGCAACTTCGGCCAGCTTGATGCGTTGGATCAAGTACGACGATGCCGTTGGTGTCGTCAGCGGACGCTCGAAGGTAGAATCTTGGATCTCGAGATCTTCCTCTTCGATATGTCTTGGTAGCCTGGTCGCGATATGCCTTGGTTGTACTGAGTAAGTTCCTACCGTCTGGTCAGCATTGTCGTACGAGGACTAGACATCCAGCCGACGCTACGTACCTTCAGAAGGCCCACCACTAACGCCGAGCTGCCTAGTCGTTGTTAGCAACGCCGATAATTGCTGGAGTGGGTGAGGAGTGAGCGCACCAATCAGTGGCCGTTAAGTGCCACCATATCCTTCTTCTCACCTCCAGCTCGACTTTGTCAAGGTTCTGATAAGAAGCTTGTCTTGTATCCGGATGATCAAGTCGGTGAAGCCCCAGGTCCTTCGCGATAGCAAGAGCTACCGCCATGCCACTTCGGGACCGTCCCGAAAATCCCTCCAGGTTATACATCAGAAAGAACGCAGTGATGGACGCTTGAAGGTCTTCCATGCTTACGAGGCCTAGCCGACGTGATGAATCGAGGCAGTCAAATGCATAGCGAGCCCAGACAGTGCACAAGACTTCGGCTTCGTCCCCGGATATTGGCATCCCAGGAACATCGACAGCGGGACCGATAGCATATCTCAGGGCTGCAGCGCTTGCGAACAAGCTCAACAAGAGTGCAACAGCTCCTGGCGACGGTTGTTCGTGCCTTTCGATGGCTTCGTATACAAGATCCAGCGTTCGGTATACATGCGGAGTGTAGGTGACATGATGTAGGAATTCGATGTGCTGATGGTACACATCCAAGAATACAATGGCCTGGAACTTCTGCGGCAGGTATATCATCTGCGCCTGCGTCGATGAACGCAAGCGGCTGAGCTTTTCGACATAATTGATATAGTTGATGTGGACGATGCGATACTCTAAGTCGATGGCCAGTTTGATCTCGTTATTGTGGGTTCCTATGTTCTCGAGATGTCGAGTATCAGTATTGTGTGCGGCTTCAGTGTCGTCGGTGATCGGTGTATGGTAGGAATCCGATGGTGTCAGCTGCTGGGGCAAGCTATGTGGCGTCGTGTGCGAATTATAGGCTACTGGCGTCGCTGAGACCTTCGCATCAACGCGTTGAAGTAGCTCCTCCAATCTCTGAAGCCTGGCGACAACATCAGGATCATTGTTGTACGACGTCGCCGGAACGGCGCTCTGAGCCTTGGCATATTTTAGAGCATGATTCGAAGTCAGAGTGACTCGGAAATGCTTACCAATGCTGAAGCTGCCCCTGGTAAGCTCTGCTCCCGTTCGCATGCCACGCCTCTCGAGATGCAATTTGAGCATGGCTGCTGGCGAGAGCATCGCAATTTCTTCTTTCTGCACAGAATACATGACACCTACGGTCCTCCAATCAGCAACTTTGTGCAAGCACTGAGGCCAGCACACGTACAGGGTCTTGGCGTCGGGAGGTCATAGTCAACACAGTCGCTGGCAATTTTCATGCAGTCTCGCTCTCCTGGCGATTGCTCGGACTCTCCGTGAGAGTGAGCCAGATGAGGGCGCCATGCATTGATGGTCGGGGGGTAGTTGAAGACAAGATGACATTCGTTCCTGCACTTTCCACGGAGTTTCCGCGTAGTGTCCATGGAAACTAGACCTCTTTCGGAGCTCGAGAAGAGGAGCTAAACCGCTTCGGACATTGGGCTTGGAATGAGTGAACGAGAAGCATTCCCCACCACTGTTGCTATCTGCTGCACTGGGGGGCAGTCATCTTGGACAGAAGCTCTAGCGAAGGTCACGGTGGCACTACTATTGGTGCGCCAGCCGTTCGGAGTGTCCATATCCACCGACATGGCTCCATGGCTGATCCATATTTCTACCTTTGTCTAGGTAGCGTGATGAAACGATATCCGTAGCGCTCGTGGCTCCTCTACCATATATAGTTCCGTTACAAGCTCTTGATGCCACAGAGTGATTCAAGCAAGTGGAAGCATTTCTCAAAAGTCAGAGTAGCGTTCACAGCAGATATGACTGAGAAAGACACAACCATCGCGGAAGGCAAGTCGCTATCGTCCAGATCGATAGCCGCTGATGAAGCCCTGTCAGAGTTTGGTGCAGCTGAGAGCAGTGAATGGACGTATGTTGCAGCTCACAAACTCCTGAATGTTGAGAAGGACAGCGCTAATTGTCCCGTTAGGCTTTCGTCCATCTCATGTCTGATCGGCTCCTTCTGCTCGTTGTTCATCTCAGTGGGCTTCCTGAACGCCTGGGGCGTTTGGCAGACATACTACCAAGAGCATCAACTAAAGGACCGATCAGAATTCGATATTGCCTGGATCGGCTCTTTCGCGACCTTTGTTCTCATGTTTGGTGGTGCAGCAGCTGGTATCCTGGTCGATAAACTCGGTCCCACGGTATGCCGCGTTCAGCACATGTTCAGGTAAACTCTCGTCTAATATTCTGACCGCTCATAGCCGCTACTGGCAAGCGCATGCACAGCAGTGTCCTTGGGATTTTCCTCACATCGCTCTGCGAGGAGTACTGGCAATTCTTCCTAGCTCAAGGGCTCCTCACGGGCCTGGCGATGTCGTTTCTTACCATTCCGTAAGCCCTCCCAAGCATCGAAAGGCAATTGAGACTCAGCTGATGATGACCATAGATGCGTGTCCACTCTGGCGTTGCACTTCACCAAGCATCGCGGTCTAGCTACCGGCCTGACCATCGCTGGCTCTTCGCTTGGCGGCGTAGTTTGGCCAATCGTTGACGATCAATTGCTCAACCACCGCCGCTTGAGCTTTGGCTGGACGATGCGCATCAATGGCTTCATTGCGATCCCACTAGCGATCATAGTGACCGTCTGCGTTCGACGACCCAACAGCGCGCCGTTACTCAAGAAGGCTAAGGCAGAGTCCACCCCAACGACCGCTGCTGTCGAGCAAGACAACAAGACAGCCAAAGAAGAGGAGGATGAGAAGAAAGCCAAACGCAAAACCGGACTCGCGATCTTGAAGCGGCCGGTCTTCATCCTTTTCGCTGCGGGTGCTTCCATATTCAACCTGGGTGGGTTCACTGATGCTCTTTTGTCCTCCCAAGTGTGCAGTGCAGATTGCTGACCTCGGATCCAGGGATGTTCTCACCCTTCTTCTTCGCCCCAGCATACGCCACACACCTGGGCTATGGAGCCTCATTCGCCTTCTACACGTTATCGGCCCTAAACGCATCATCTCTATTCGGTCGCATTCTGACCGGCATTGCTGCCGACCGGCTTGGCGCATTCAACCTTGCGACTATGGCTGGCTTGATTGGTGCTGTCGTCTGCTATTGCTGGACTACCGCCACGAGTCAGGCGGGCATCATGGTGTGGGCGATTGCGTATGGTTTCTCCAGTGGTGCGATATTATCGCTGCAAATGCACTGTGCGACGTCGATAGCGACGAAGGAGACCTACGGGACGGTCTTGGGAGCTGGGTTCGGATTGTGCTCAATTGCGTATGTCTTTCCAGTCTTGCTACTCTTACTCCTCTCACTGAGCGATTCATGACTGATGATTCCCCATAGTGGCTTGGTAGGAAGCCCGATAAGTGGCGAGCTTCTCCCACACGGCTTCCTTGCTCTGTCGATGTATGCCGCGACCACGCTTATGGTTGGGGGACTTTGCCTTGGTGGCGCCAGGTTGTGTCTGAGCCGGAAACTTCTGGCGAAGGTGTGATGAGCTCCTTCAGTCATCAATCGGTTGTTCAAGGAGCAGCGTCGACTCAAAAGAATCAAATGGACTCGGACCTGCATCGTAGATCAAGGGCTGCTATAGCACGGGAATTTGTAACAATGAAGCTGGCCGAAGGATGGGGCTGGGGAGCATAGAACCCTCGGCGTTACCTTCGGCCAGCGCCATCGCCACTCACCACACTACTGTTCAGTCTTGGCACTTACCAAGATGTTCTTTATATATTGTCGTGTCATATTTTCGGTCAACAATCGACCAGAAAATGATTGCCTAGCGACCGAGTTCTTAAGCCACCATCGTCCAGATGGGTAGCAGGGTTGGGTACCACCATAACCACAAAACCTCGGGCCACCCTGCTATGTTAGGCAGAGAAGAACACCTCCTCCTCCTCCGATCGATCGACAGCGTTAAAGGCGTGGAACTTAGGAATAACAACCATAACCATAACCAAAAAACCTATTCAATTAGGTTTCTCGAATGGCCTTCGGGAATTTGAGTTTTTGCGTTTTTGGTGATGCGAATGAATTTGCGATTGCCTAATGACTCGGTCTAGACGTAGTGTCTTCTTGCCGGACATGCCAATGGTTGCCGGGCCAGATTCGGCGTATACAGTTCTCGGTTCGACTTAAAGATGGCTTAGCACTGCTTTCTTCTTGCGTTTTGCCAGTACATTACTTGACCTTGGTGCGACTGCAGAGCTACCGCATTATCCCCGGTCCAACTGTCCACACCGATAGCTACCTGACGATAACCTGATCACGTCCGCCACGCGATTGCCCAGTAAGCAGCCCCTTCATCTTTGCCCACCACTTGCCCACACCGTTATGGTTCTGTCTATACACGTTGCCTCTGCTGTCCACTTTGTAAGCCGGCGTGTCAGAGCGGCGCGGCCTCGGAGCAACTTCATCACTGGTCGACCGGTCCGAGATATCATTGCTGAAGCTAGTCCCGTCACCTAAAGATGCACCCGTGCCGTTCTCGCCGGGCAGAGCCGTCATCCCGGGATCTTCTGCCGGCAGACCCTCACGGCGCTTGGCGAGCTGCTTGATCTGTGACTGTTCATCTCTCTGACGTCGCGCTTCAACATAGATGGCAGCATTGCTGGAGCTGGCATCTCGCTGGGCGGGCGAGGTCTTGAATGATGAATTCTGATAATGGTTGTACGACTCCATGCTTTTCTGCGAGATGGCAGACTCTACGTGTCAGGTGTTTGTTGCTCGGAAAGTCTCACGGTAACAGCTTTTGATGATGATTTTATGGCTTACCTGGACGGCACACAAGCTGACAAGTCGGGGCCAGGCCTCCCTCGGCCTGATCATCGGACCGTCGTCCTTGTTACCACTCGATGGAAAGGTTCATGGTACAACGGACAACAGCATACGAGCTGTTGCGGTAGCTTAGAGCTGGGGAGTTGCTTGCAGTTGTGCATCACCAGCAATGCCATGGATCCCCTGATGGGAGTACATTAGGGAAAGAAGGCAACAGCAATTCCTAAATCACGCTAAGGAAGGCAAGCTCTTGGCAGTCACGTGTCGGCCTTACTTTGAATTGCCTGCGTCACTTTTGTGGTATCTCCGCATGCCTCAAAGTTCAAAGACAATCTGCAGCATCTTCTGTTCCCTAGGTCCGCAGTCTCACTGTTCGCATGCAATACTGATCGCGTGAGCTCTTACCAGGGGTCGGAAAGGGAGGGATCATCCAGGCTACTTTAGGCCAGCTTCACAATCACAAGATGGTTCGATCAAGATGACGACCAACTTTCTTCAAGGCATGCGACATGTCGCCAGACTTGCCTCGCGCACTGCCGCCGAAAAGTCGTCTGCTTCCGCACTGGTAGACTACTCATACAGATATCATATCCCACGGCGGATATCGACAAGAGGTTTCTCGAGTCATCATGGCGCGACTGCACAGGCACTCTTCCTAGACTCGAAGCAGAAGAAGAAATCACCGCCTCCTACAAGTCAAAGTGATAGAAAGGAAGCCAAAGTAAGAGCAGCAGATGGGACCCCAATATCTCTCTATCTGGGAGAGCTGCACGAGAATGGCAACTCGTCTGCATCACAAGAGACTTCATCGACCTCGAGGCCGCCCCACGGTATCCTGAACCAGATTCCTAAGCGAGCCTTCCACACCTCAACCAGGCGAACAGATGCGGAGAAAGGAGACCATGCCGCAAGGTCGCCTCGATCAGACCAATCGGTTGACAAGGCCTCGTCAACGCCACCCGAGCCGCAAAAAGCTACTCAAGAGCATTTCTACGACAGGCTGCACATGCCGCAATTCCATCGACCGACCAAAGAAGAATTACTTGCTGCAGCAACGGGGTTCTGGTCAAGATTGAAAGTTCGCTTCAAATGGCTGACCATCAAGAGCGTGCGACCTTTCAACATGGACGAGATCTTTGGCTTCTTTTCGTGGATCTTACTTGGTCACGTCGTGTGGATCATTGTCGGAACCACCACGTTTGTCTCGCTGGCCATCCTTGCCATCAACACTGTCTTCGCGCAGGAGACGCTTGCTGGCTGGGTCGGCAACTATCTCACCAAATCATCAGGCGTCAAGGTCGTCTTCGAGTCCGCCATCGTGCCTAAGTGGAGCGGTGGTGTCATCACATTCAAGAATGTCTTCGTGTCCCGTCGTCCAGGTCCGCAGAAGTCGAAGGTCACTAAGGGCTCACCCGAAGCTGCAGCTGCAGAAGCCAGTGCTGAGGAGCCGATACCGGATGAGGACCAGAACTACACACAGTTCGATGTCAATATTGGAGAGGTGAACGTAACCTTATCGTTCAACAAGTGGTGGAATTCAAAAGGTCTACTGAAAGACGTCGAAGTCAAGCATGTCCGAGGAGTGATCGATCGCACACATGTCTTCTGGACTGGCGACCACGGTGATCCCAAGTCATGGCGTCATGAGCATGTTCCTGGCGATTTTGAGATAGAGTCCTTCAAGGTAGAGGATCTGCTGCTCTCACTCCACCAACCACATGATTTTCGACCCTTCACCATCAGTTTGTACAACGCAGAACTGCCTCGACTCCGAAAGCATTGGCTCTTCTACGACTTTCTCTGCGCAAATAATATGAGTGGAGAATTTGACGGATCGCTGTTCACCATACACCAGCGCCAACTCCACAGCTTTACGGGTGCGCCATTGAATGATCCCACGGAAGACCCGACCGAACCATGGAAGAAGCAATCACGCATTCGACTCGATGCGCTCAACATCGACCACCTGAATCGAGGCGTTGAGGGCCCTTTCGGCTGGATCACAGAAGGCAACGTCGACATAGTCGCTGATATCATGGTCCCGAACGATGATGACGAGTCCGCCCTGAAGATCATGACCGATTTCTACGACCGCCTCGAAGCCACACTCACCTCCCGCAAACATCTGGAACAAGTCGTTGCTACCACATCAGAAACGCCATCATCGGCGACCGCCGCACGAATTCCCTCTTCTCCACAACCAGCATCATCTCGCTACCTCGTCATGGACCTGCGTATTCACCTCAACGACGTCCGCGCATCGGTACCCATCTTCACACGCGATCTCAGCTACATCAACAACGCCCTCATCCGTCCCATAGTCGCATATATCAATTCGCGGCGAACATTCATTCCCATTAATTGCCGCGTCGTCAAGCGCGCATCAGACTTTGACGGCAGCTGGACCATCTACGACTCGTGCCTGATGGACGACTTATCGGCTGAAGTCTACGACGCGTTCGCGCGCGATGTGACGGACGACCAGGCTCGAATGCGGCGATTCAAGGCGGTTGGGATGTGGGGAGCGCAATTGGCTTTGCAAGCACTCTTTCTGGTGGGTGGCCCTTTGACTGTTTTGCTACTTTAGTGTATGTGTCTAATACTCCCAAGGGAATGGCTGGCGGAATTGCCTAGCGTGTCATGCTGGCAACGTTGTAACGACGATGATACCCCTCTCACCAACTTTGATTTTCTGCATTACCAGCGGGCAATGGCGTTCAGGCTCGGGCGGGCTTCATGGAGGGGCGGCGGGCACTTGTTGATAGCATGGATATGTATACACAAGAATGGCGCAATGAGAGGGTTCTCGTTGCGGACACGAACGGAAAATCAGGCCTTGATGGATGTACATGCTGGGAGGCCGCCCAGTAGATAATTGTGGGCGGGTCCGGTTGATATGAGAATCACAAAGCTCGATTAATATTTCACCTGCTGCGTCGTCCTGTCCTTCCGTCTTTCCCAGCCTGTTGCTCTCTCTCATCATACATCATGTATTCGTCAATGCGCCAATTTCTCGACCTCACTCTTCCCCAAGAATCCCGCCAACTTGTCACGGATGTCCTTCTTGATCTTTTGCGCGGCGGCATCCCCCAGACTCGTCAGCACGTCCCTATTCTGACACCTCCCACCACTCCACGCCACCCCCTCGAACCGCCACTTGATCCACTGCACCGCACTCGGCACTCCCGTCAGCAGCAGCGCCGCGTGCTCTGCACTCACGTCCCTTATATACTCGATTCTTGCGCCGCCAGCGCAGTAGAAGTCATACAAAGCATCCGTGTCACTAATGGGCGAGATCTGGTCTTGCACGCCTTTATACATGAAGACGGGTATCGAAGCAGGAATGGGGCGCTGGCCCATTGCGTTGGCGTTCGTCACTGCTAAAACTTCTGGATCGGAGAAGAACAGGTCTTCGCTCGTGAAGTAATCCGCCAGCACGTCCTGTCCCAGGAACGAAAGAAGGTTTGCGCCGAGACATTGGGTGTGTGCCTTGTTGAAGTATTCAGCTTTGTTGGATAGGAGGTTCTCGGAGACTTTAGCTGCGATGTTAGGGTACTCGTTCGCCAACCCGATGATGCCGCCTGGCACGAGGCCTGCGAAGGGCGAGGCGGTGAGGTATGGGAGGGCGGTGGTTATGTTTGGGACGGCGCCGCCGAGAGCTACTCCGATGAGCTGGGATAGAAGCTCAGGCGCATAGGTGGAAGCCAATTCGGCAGCAAACGACGACACCAAGCTGCCGCCAGAATATCCCCACATCGCAACCTTCGCGTCAGGATCGACGAGCCCGGAGGAGAAAGTAGCGCGAATCCCATCAAGGACATGCTGTCCGCCGCGCACATTGGCGAGAAAAGCGGCATTCGGTCCCTCGTGGTCCGGGATAGTGACGATCCAACCCTCAGCGAGCGCGGCGCCGATGGCGAGGATCTCGATCTGCGTGCCCACGGTGCCGAAGGGGCCACTGGAGGATGAAAGAGCTTGGAAGGCGTAGCTCGGCGCGCAGTTGAGGGAGGCGGAGTCTTGGGCAACTTGATAGGAGAGTAGTTTGGAAGGGGACGGGTTCGTCAGGGGGACGAGGACTGTGGTGACGGTTGAGGAGGGGTTGCCGAAGGAGTCGGTGCTGCGGTAGAGGATCTGGTGGGCGGATTTGAGGGGGACGGGCAGGATCCCGAGCGCGGCGATCAGTGATGGCGGATTGCGTATTGCGAGAATGGTGCCGGGCGCGGTGGATTCATAGCCGGCGGGAGGGGTGTAGAAGGGGTCATTGGTGGGTGGTGTGACGAGTTGGCGGGTGCTGAGTGGGGAGGCGGTGACCAGGGCGGAGAAGGAGAGGAGGACAGAAATCATGAACTTCATGGTGCAAACGAGTGGACGCCTCCGGATCGGAAGCAAAGAAAGACTGTCTGAAGTGAGGGACAACGGCTTGATGGTTGATCCTGGAAGCCTTGTGGAGGAGCAAGACAGCGTTTTATGCTCTGAACTCACATTTGGGACCTACGCTGGGACCTGGGGCTTCGCGCCTGGTGCAAACTCAGCATTTGCATGTGCGAGGGATTCAGGCGAGGAGCGCCGAGGCAGGTGGGAGATTTCATGAAGAACGACGTTGTCTTGTCCTGATTGTCTGCAGTGTGCCACTGACTCGACGACAACTTTGCAAGGGTGTCTTCGGCAGCTTCCGAGAGGAGAGCCGCCTAGTCGTATATAGATCGAATAGAGGTAACACTCCAGATGAACCGGACGTCGACGCTTTCGCGGGGAGAAGCTGGGTCTTGCGCAATCGATAGCAAGACTATACAGCGCCACTTTTGTACCGACATTGTATGTCCTGGCCAAGACCGGGAGCTAGATCCATGTGGCATAGCCGCCGAAATTAATCGATGTTGACGAAGTCTGGAGGCGATATTATACACCTGTTTTGGCTAGCTCGCAGGGCGCTCGCGTCTGGGGTCTGGGGAGCGAGGGGACGACTACCACCAGTGCCTAGACGGTACAATACCTTTCGCGTGGTCATAGATGGACGGCATCAGTTGTGCAGTCACAGTCCCACTCGCACTGTTGCCTCAGCACATGCTCTCGCCATGACTTTGCTCAAACTGTTCGTAGACCGCCGCTGCAAGGGAAAGAAAGATGTTGAAAAATGCGCGTCACGGGGCGTGGTCAAGATCAGGGGAAAGCTTGGCATAGTGGAGCCACCTGAAGAACGTCAAGTCGGAAAGCGCGTTGACGCGAGATTTCCAGCTCCTGGCACAATGTGTTCCTGACCAGGTGTCTCTGACGGGCTTTCCTCTGGCCATCAACAGGCTGGAGCTTCCAGCGTCGCGCTCGTTGTTGTTTTGCTTCTGCAAGTGGTATTGTGTGCGCTTAGAGCCGGGCTCCCATGAGGACGGCGGTGACTGCCGCATGTGAGTCGTGTCAGTGAGGCCTTGACCTCCGATGCCCATAAGATTGCACAGCGGAAGCAGGCACGTCTGCATTTGAACGCGCGTGCTCCAATGCATGATAAGCGAGCACGGTCCTCCTACCAGGCTCGAGAAGGTACGACCAACGAGCTGGGACTTTGGAAGAAGTTCAAATACATGAGGAAAGACCAAAAGTTATTTGACTCGATAGTCCGCGCATGTCGTATCATTCGATCCACTTGCCTCAGCAAAGTTCGCGGCCGGCTGACCTCGAGTGGCCGACAATCACGTACCTCCGTATCCGTCCTTTATATCCTGCTTCCCTACCTCTTCTTCCCATCAGCGACGTGATGGGCGTCGAAACTGGTATACCCGCCGCTATACAGTCCACTGTTACCGCCCGCCGTGATCGCTCCAGCGGTCTGGTTCCCGGCCACTCCAGGAGTGTTGGCCGCCCACTTGTCCAAGCTGGCCTGGTCGTGGCCCGTGTATTTGATCAGATCGGCTTCGCTAATCTTGGACGAGCCGTCGGGATTGCGCCCATTCTTGTGGTTCTTGAACGCGATGTATTTGTCGCCTAGCCAGCCCATGGCGGATGATGCGTGTCGCTTGACGGATTTTGATTGAAGTTCTTGATTGGGGTGGTTGCTACGGCGCTCGACCAAGGTTGACTGGCCTGTCCGAGAACCCGCTTCGTGAGAATGACGTGATGGACGACATCTCTGCAAGCAAGGAAGCCGTCTTTATAGTCAGCAGCTGTGAGGCACGAGCATACCGCGACCACAGATTTCCCAACCAGAATCGCTAGAGTAGTGGCGTGAGTCAAGGTAAAAATAGAAGTTCTGGTCGTATCCGTACAAGCTCAGGTGACAGATGTGGAAAAGTCCCGCCAAGCTTCATTCATGTCGATGTCACTGACCGGTCCATTGCTAAAGATATCCGTCAATCCGATCTCTAGCAAAATCGTCCCCTCGGTTGGCTTATCTATCCACGGCTGGAACCAGCATGATCTAGCCTCATGATTCGGCATTCCTGGCGATGAAAGCTACGAACTCGATCAGGGCTAGCTCGCAGTTCTGGCTTTCTGCAGATTTCTCTGCTATGGACGCCGCTATAATGAGTGCGTCTGCAAGTCAGAAAGCTCAAATTAGCAACCCAGAGAACGAGGCCTGTCGGCCGAACCAGTCTTAGGTCGGGACTGCAGCATATCGAGCTCGTTCACGAGACCAGTCCACATCATCACTACCTTCGACATAGTACATTGGTGTCAAGGCCTGCAGGATGGCGCCCTCCATCGTATCCCATTGGTTCAGGTCAATGGCGTACCAGCCTGAAGAATGGTGAATGTTTGTGCTCAATCTTGGATACAGGTCCTGGCCGCTTCTGATAAGTTGGCCACTTTTGGGGAACTTGCTGAGCAGCCCTTCCAGAGGATGGCCAGGTTTGGCATTGGCACCTGCTGCACGACAGTCGTTGATTGCCTGTGTCCAGAAGTCTTTCCACAGGTCTGTACTGGTCTTTCTGGATCCGAACTGCCGCTCTGGAAGATTCTCGAGCAGATTCCGATATCCCAAATTGGTGATTATCCGAGTTTGCTTCTGCAGCTCGGCATCTTTGTCCGCAAGCAAACCTTTCAGGACCTCAATCTTGGCAACTAGCTCTGCTTCCCGCCCATTTGACAGAGGCTGGTACGTGAAGTTGCGGAGGGCTTCGAAGATCTCGAATGGGTTGAAGGGCAGGTTCGGAATTCCCGCCGCTTCAGCGAAATTTGCCAGCCTGTGTGACAATGCTCGCCAACTATGGCTGAGGTTTTTGACTTGACGTACTGACTGTTCGATGGCATGGACTGCGTCTATGGGTAGGTGATGGGCGAAGATGGTGAAGTGGTCCGCCGCATCCCTATTATCCCGGAAGAGGTATAGCAACTGCTGTGTTTGTGAGTCAAGCTCCAGGCGGATATCGTAACGGTACGCTTTCTGCTTGAAATGGATCGCGGTCTCATTCTCGACTTGCGAGCTTAGGAGTGACATGAACACATCTCTCAACCCAGAGCCAGCCACGACGTCAATCCGTGCGATGAGCTTGGCCAAAAAGACTTTTGGTTCGCCACGGAACACGTCCAATGCTTCGAGGAAGTGAGGATCATCGTCGTCGTCAACGAATGGTCTCACTGGACTTGCTGACAGGTTTGTATTATGCTTTGACCACTCAGTATCCCGGTAAGGGTTCCACTTCTTCCACAACTGTCCAAGAGTAAGGATTTCCTGCAAAAATGCTCGTAAGCGCTCAACATTGACGGCGCAATTTCCATTCTCATTCTCAATGGCATCTGCGAACAGCAGGCTTATGTCTGTGCTCTGGAAAAGCTGGCTGAGTGTTAGGCTTGTGGCCGCCATCTGGCCTCAACTCGAGGTTGATAAAGAACGATGGCTAAAGCCGTCTATGCGTATCTGCACTCTGACACTGACCAGATGATTCAAATCCTATCGCAGATAACATCAGGCTCGACGTGCCAGCGTGGAGTAGGGAGACCATCTCTGCCACAAACACATTGCTTACCCCACGCTGACCACTGCTTGCGTGGCAACGAATCAGATGCTGGCACAAGCGCCTGCGGACCTGCGGTCAACAGCAACAACAAATGCTGGATCATGGTCCCTGATGTGGTGATCCATCAGCTGAAAGGAACAGGATGCAAAACAGCGTACGAGAAAGTCTGGACAAGCCTTGTCAGAAGAAGTTCAAATTGCTTGTCTAGGGTAGGCCCTTCATGCCGCAGTATCTCAACCACGCGGCCTCTCCATCCCCGCACTCTATTGAAGCCACCTTCCTCCAGACATACCTCGAACCATCACACGACACTGCTGCTTGCTCCCTACAGCTGATATCGGAAGTTGGGGCTCCTGTCAGTAAATCCAATTCCACCCTCACGCTCAGCACGCTCATCCTCCTCTGGAGTCCAGCCCTCAGCCAGTCGTCTGTCCTTGCCTGCTTCTCTGCGCAGGTAAATCCATCGAATGATCCACCAGCTGCAGAATGCATAGCCCAGACACGCAAGCGACCAGCCGTGGCCCATCTTGAATTCGGGGGCTGACTTTGTCTGGTAGATCTGTCCCGACACAATGCCACCCAAGTTCGTCAACGTGAGCTGGATACCCAAAGACACAGCACGCTTGCCATCTGGGGCACAATTACCCGATAGCCAGGCGATGTTGCCGCCTGTGCAGATGAAGCAGGCTGTTGCAATCAAGTACGTCGCGAAGTACTGGACACCGACGGGGACATCCCAAGCCAAGAGAATCGCGTAGCCGGCCATCCCGACAGGAGCCATAGTGACCAACACCCAGAAGCGCGCATTCTTTTTATCCGAGATATACGCGCCAATAGCGTACACGATTGCGCCCCAGAGATTGACAGGAATGACAAGGTATTGGGACTGCTTGAGCGTGAAGTTGAAACCGTTGCGCAGGATGACCGGCAGGAAGGTTCCAAAACCATATAGGATCGTCACCACCATGATCTGTGTAACAGCGTGCAGCCAGGTCTTGATGTCGCCAGCGCCAGCCTTGAAGTGTTTCTTGCCGTAGTGACCAGTACCGCCGGAGTAGGCGCGAGACTGCTCAGCGCGCCAGGCCATGATCTTCTTGTCCTCTGCGTTTAGGAAGTAGGCGGTCTGATAGTCCTTGGGGACCAAGTAGATGCAGCATCCGGCCCAGACCAGCGTGATGAGTCCTTCGAGGATGTACAGCCAGCGCCAGCCAGGATAGCCAGCGACTCCGTCCATGTAGAGAATGGCGAAAGCAATGAGGCCGCCGAAAGCTCCGCTGAGCGCAGAAGCGACTGGCAAATGGTCAGCGTATGAATCAAGATCGGGCTTGGGAGATTTCACTCACTGAAGAGGTAGGACACACGCTGAGCAAGCTCTTCACGCTTGTACCAATTGGCGAAGAACAAAGTCAAGCACGGAAAGAGGCATCCTTCGAAAAATCCAAGGATGAGGCGGCATACACACAGACCAGCAAAGTTCTGGACAAAGCCATTGCACATGCATGTCAGGCCCCAGCAGAACTATCTGTGTCAGTCAGACTCGACGAATGGTTCAGAGAACTTACTGTAATGGCAGGGATCACACGGTTGAACTGCAGACGCTTGACAAGGACAGACGTTGGGAATTCAGCCAGGATATAGAAGATGTAGAAGATCGAAACGGCAGTCTGGCAGACGCTTAGTTTATGCTTCGACAGAGTACTGTAGGGATGGGCTCTTACATTGAGTTGATTGCCTTTGAGTCCGATATCCTTAGCCATGCCCTGGGTCGCAGCGAAGCCGATGTTGCCACGGTCCAAATATGAGATGAGCATGAGCATCATCAACACTGGTGCAACGAAGAGATCCAGCTTTCGGACGAGAACTTTCTCCTTGCGCTTGAACTCGGCTTCATCGGCAGCGACGCCATGCTCGAGGTAGCTGGCTTCAATCTTGGCCTCATCCTTGAAGTCGACATCCTGGCCGTCCATGCTGGTGCGTGGGACCGCAGCTCTAGGGTCCACGACCGCTGTCGCTGTCATGATGCTGGAATGGTGAATGAAGTGGCAATGGTCTCGAGTTCCCGAGTACTTGGTTCGTCTAGCGAGGAAAGAAGCTCTTATGTCTTTCTCATGGTTTCCGAAGGAAGGGATGACTGATATTGGGGAAGACGGAGTACTCCAGCATCCCCATCTGTCACTGAACTGGGCGGAGGAGTCTCCAGGTCTCTGTCTCGCGTGGCCATGGCTTGCCACTCAGGAAGGAAAAGATCAGCCGACAGGAGGGTTGTACCAAGTTTGCTGGGGAGACTTTCGAGCTAACAAGACGGAGTGCGCCAGCCAAGCAACGCTAGTATGTTAGGATGAATCATTTTGGTGTCAGCTTGGCCGCCAGTATGGATACAATATGACCCCAAATTGAAGTCCAGGACAGAAGGTGGCCAATTGAGACTCCTATCCGGCATATCCGAGGTGAAGATTGAGTTTACTGAAAGTCAGCTTTGCAAGCGTGTGTGTTGGAAACGGTGCTGCATGGCTTCTTGAATTTGCCTTTTAAGGTCTGCATTCCCCAACATCGACGGACATTTGCACCCGTGCAGGCCGTTTCTCGGGGCCATGGTGAGGCAGGAGCAGACAGAACGAGTTCTGAAAGGACTCGACCACTGTGCAGCGAAGACACCCCCAAGTTTTGAACTTGGACTGAGATGTGCACCATCTTCACTCGGTGGAGGTAAACATGGCACCAGACGGTGTCCAAGGCCTTGTCAGAGACCACTCCGCGTTTTCACTCCAAGCGGTCTTCTCCAACAGGAATACTGGTCCAGTCATTGGACTGTGATGGAATGGAGGAGATTGAGTGCGGAGCGAGGCATCGCAGACGATAGAGGCAGTGGCCACTTGATCTTTGGAGGAACTATGGGACCACTGACAAAGAGCTGTACGACGGATCGTGATATCAAAAATGCTCCGACAGAGCGTATGCAAGTGTTACTGAAGAAACTTGTACGGTCTTGGAGGAGGGAATAATGCCATCTCACATTCCACGCAACGGGCGTGTGAAGACCTTATACCGTGGGCTCAAGCCGCGCCTGCCGATGCCTTGTTCTGTAACGAGGGGCAGCTAGCTTGAGCCAAAGAAGCGCCCCTTATTCCGTTCGTTCTCTTCCCACTCAACATCATGGGCAAAGATCACTTCCACACCATTGACCTCAAGCTCTCTGATCCGGTCAATGGTCTGCTCGGCCATCTTCTTGTCACCATGAATGCAGCAAATATGACCCTCCGCATCGTGCCATTCGCCAATCGCCCTTTCCTTGCGCATAATTCGTCGATCGTGGCAGGCGTCACCAGCCAAGTACACATTTGTTGTCGGTCCAGTCCGAGCAAGGATATTAATATGTCCAGGCAAATGGCCTGGTGCATCTACAATGAGCACAGATAGGTCTCCAAATATGTCGAGCACGCGTGGGAGATGGCCGTATGAAGTCCACGCTCGATCGAAATCGACCTTTCCAGGCGCTGGCTTCTTCACAGGTTCGCTTTGCGGCTCGGGCGAATCGCGTTCGTAAGGATTTCTGAGCTCGATTGTCCGGTCCTGGGGTAGCAGATCCGACTCGAAAAAGGAATGGCTTCCGCGCAGTGATGAAGAAGAGCCGCTGAGCAAAGCGAGTGCCCCGTTTCCAACGACAAATCTACTCCGTTGGAAGTCTCGTGGTTCGCCTACATGATCCCAGTGTACCTAGAACATTTCGTAAGTAATGTGTCTCTGACGAACTGACGGATACGTACATGGGAATATATGACATAGTCAATGTCATCTGGAGTCAGCCCGCCTGCTGCCAGGCTTTTTGTGACATCCGGATCTGTTGTGAGTGGCTGTCGGGTATCGATATGTCTCTGGATCGGCTCTGGATATCGCTCTACATTTCTCCTGAGACCCAGATCAAGCAAGATCCGTGTTGTCTCATTCGTCTCGGTGTTATGATGTTGGATCAGAAACGCAAGCGATGGGACAGTCTTTCTCGCCGTATCAGAGGCTGGATTGACGAAAAACCGTTCTGGCAGCGTCAAATGACCAGCCTGTAGCGCATAAACCTGAACAATTTGCTCTTTGGTATCACCAGGTGGCGTGGCAGGTTGCGCGAAAACAGAAGCCATTGGCGCCGGTTGAAACGACAGCTTCTGGCGACTCTACACTCTCAAGTCTCGGTAGTAGCAGTCAAAGAGGGTCGGGCAGGAACAATGAACTGGGTGTACAGTCGTGAGGGTGTTAGTTGTTCTTGCAAAAGTTCACGCGTCTTCGGGCGCAACAAAGATAGCTAACACAACAATCACCGATTAGACCTCGAGGTGGGGAGCCGTGCATGTAGGAAGAAGTGCCGCGCTCTAGGCATATTGCAGATCAACCTCTCGCGCAAAAGGCTACTATCTCGACTGCTTGTGCGTGGTTCCGTCTCCCCATGAGAGGACGGCCTGGGCTGGAGTCAGTCAGCGCGCTGCAAGGATGACTACGAGTAAGTTTTTAAGCCCCCATTTCGTCGCTTGTGCTTGGCCTGTGCTACCCCAATTCGACGCCAGCAGCCAATGTGGGGCATGTCCGTGAGAGTACCTGATAGATACGGTGGTGTCTATGGTCTGCTGGCGCAGGCCATTGGGGTACGTGGATGGGGTAGGCCTTGGGCATTGAACCGAGGCTGGTGTGGGAGATTTCCGTTCATTTGGAGTGCCGTTCTTTGAGCTCGAAGACGTCGGGGCCCAGTCACTGACATCGAGCCTCACGCGCATCTGTACCTTGGCAGGCATATTCTGCGGCTTGTTGGAACGGTTAGGACTGTGGTCATTATCCCATTACTCCGCTCCCAGTGATTTGCTGTTGAAGTTGGACGACTTCTGCTTTGCTACGACAGCTGCAACTTACGAGTTCTTTGAAAGAGGTGAGCCGGCAAGATGGGCAGCGTCGATGCCAACCATGTCGGATTCATCGGTCTTGGGGCCATGGGCTTGCCAATGGCGGGCCACCTAGCAACAAAACTGCCCGCAGAAACACACGTCTATGTGTTTGACGTTGTACAGACTCTGCTTGACCAGATCTGTAAACAGCATCCTGAGAAGGTGACGGCATGTTCGAGCGCACGAGAGGTGGCTGAAAGATCACAAATCATTTTTACGATGTTGCCAGAAGGAAGACACAGCAAGGCAGTATATCTGGATGGACCCGACTCGATATGTGCCAGCGATGTCTCGAACAAGTTATTGGTCGACTGCTCAACCATCGATGCCGCGACCAGTCTAGAAGTCAAAGACCACATCAAGGAGAAGTATCCTTCAGCCTCGTTCTACGACGCACCAGTCAGCGGAGGTGTAGTGGGAGCGCAGAAGGGAACAATTGCTTTCTTCTTTGGCTGTCGAGAAGATGACGAGAATCTGCCACGGCTTATGCGCCTTCTTGAGATGATGGGCAAGCAGATCATCCCGTGTGGCGGTCCATCACTGGGACTAGCTGCAAAACTGTCTAACAACTACCTCTCCGGCATCATTGCAATCGCTGCTTCGGAAGCTTATGACATGGGAATGCGCTCTGGTCTGGATCCTCGGACCTTGTACAAAGTCTTCAGTGCTGGGACGGCGCAGAATACCATCTCTGACCGGTTTTGTCCCGTCCCAGGCGTGTATCCCGAAGCGCCATCTTCAAGAGGCTACACCAACGGCTTCAAAGTTCAACTGATGAAGAAAGACTTCGGCTTGGCCATGGAATTAGCCAAACAAGCTGGGTCAAGGAACGTGCTTGGAGCGGCGGGTCTAGAGACATATCAGAAGGCTAGTGAGGATGAGAGGTGTCGAGATCTGGACAATCGTGTTGTGTTCAGGTATCTGGGAGGTAATGAGGACTGGCAGAAAGACTCATAGAGGCCACGGCTGTGTCCTGAGAACAATCACACCCTCAAACCGTAGCCAGTTTCGAACAGAACTGTCATTCTGCAACGTGTGATCTGCCGTCTCCCGAATTTTGGAAGCCCTCATCAGTAGCGCAGATGGTACAGTATTGTTGGCTCACCTAGGCAACTTGGGTGTCCGTTGGGGTACATCACCTCGGTTGGGGAAGGTTCCAGCGAGCTCCAACAGGTCGGAGCAAAGCGTGCGACGGCCGATCCAACAGTGAATGCGGCTGATGAGGGGCATTTGCGGTAGCAGAAGGTCTTCCGACCGGTGCTCTTCGGTCTTGACAACGTATAGATATCGTATGATCCTGGTACGAAGTAAGGCAAAGCAGTAGACGAGAACTAATATCCCAAGATCGAGCCCAAGAGCAATCATCTGCCACTCAACCTCCACTAGATACGCACCAAGCACACCACAGACACCGCCGTGATGTCAACCGATCCCAAGTTCGACGAGCTGCACAAGCAAATGTTTGAGGAGGGTCTCAAAATGCGACGCTCCGTCGTCGGCGACGAATATGTTGACCGTGCCCTCGCAAACGGCTCGACAGAGTTCTCCCGTGAAGGACAAGAAATTGTTACTCAATGGTGCTGGGGATATGCCTGGACACGACCAGGCCTCGAAAAGAGGGATCGCTCCCTGTTGAACTTGGGCATGCTGATGGCTCTCAACCGCGCTCCTGAGCTAGCTGTGCACGTCCGAGGAGCAAGGAACAATGGGCTGAGTGAGCTAGAGATCAGGGAGGCCATCATTCACGCGACAACTTACTGCGGTGTGCCTGCTGGTGTCGATGCCTTCAAGATCGCGGAAAGAGTCTTCAACGAGATGGCTGAGAAGGGGGAGAAGCCACGAGAGCTGGGTGCGAAGTCTGCAAAGGCATAGAGAGGTCTTAAGCGATAGAACGCACACGCTGAAGTGTCGGGGGGGATAAAACTTGTTGAAGTGCAAGCTTTTGACAAAACCAAAATCTGCTAGACACGCGTGACAACCGCGACTGCTCGTGTAGCCCCTACCATTTTCGTCCGGGCGGTGTTCTGTCGCCTATGAGCGAAGCACTCGGCCCAGCTGCCCACGCGAAATACTCGCCCCGCAAAACTTGGCAGTGGCAGTCAAGGGCTCGGAGCAACCTCCCGTCTAAGAGCTCTCCCTCTTTTGCCAGAGCCACCACGGAAAGCGGTCGTAGTCGGCAGGACACGCTTCGAATACAGCGCGGGACATTGTTATTGAGTCAGCACCATGGAAAGCTGCTTGTGAACAACGCGATTGATCTCAAACTGATGGCATGGATTCGTTCGATTCGGAGCAGCAGGTGTCCCAACCCCAAGCGGCGCCTGGAGCACCTCCAAAGAAGCCGAAGCGCTTCCAATGCGAAAGATGTCAACGCATGTTTGCTCGTCTGGAGCATTTGCAACGCCATGAGAGAACCCACACGCAGGAGAAGCCGTTTGCGTGTATGCAATGCGATCAACGCTTTTCCAGAAGCGACCTCCTTGTGCGGCACGAACGACTGAACCACAATAGCGACAAGCAGGATGACCCGACTTCGACAGACCGGCCGCTCGTGAAGCGACGGCGGTCCAACATGGATGCCGACAATGCCATCCAGCACTCCTCGATGTCACCAGGGTACTCGGATTACTTGGCCATGCCCAACGGTAGCTCAGGCATTGGCCATCAGCACCAAGACCTGCCCTTTGCGACCTTACTGATGGCTGCTGAACAGGCGCATCCAGTGAGCACGTCGCTGTCGCATCAGCCATCTCTGCATGCTCAAAACGGATACCAGCAACCCACTTCGATTATGCCGCCACCACCAGTGCATCAGCACCAGCAGATGATCGCCGCTACTGATTCGATCCTGCCACCCTCCTTCAACGGAGTATACGACTTTGAGGACTCGCTGAATGACCTCGCCAACTTCATGGAGAATCCATCGCTGTCAACGTTCCACTTCTCCTCATACATCAACACGGAGCAATCAATGCCGTTCTTCTCACCAGAAGAGTCGTACGCACAAAACCACGAAATTTTACCGTCGACGGAGACGCAAGCCCGAGATGCTGGCGGGCATGTCGAGCACACGGACGACAACGGGTCTTTCTCCCGATATGGATCGAGACTGCCGTCTCTGCAACCAGAGGAGAGCCATGAGAAGCACTTGCGGGACGATTTTGCTACGAGCACACGCTCCATCTCAGATGTGACTCAGGATGATCGACAGAAATGGCTCTCGAAGCTAAATGAGTTTGCGTCCGTGCTTCCAGCTGGATTCCAGCTTCCTACGAGACTTGCTTTGTCGAGATATGTAGCCGGATATATCAACGGTTTCCATGAGCATCTCCCATTTCTCCATCCTCCAACGATGGCAGCAGACACGTGCTGTATTGAGCTCTTCCTTGCCATGGCTGCTGTTGGAGCCCAGTATTGCTTCGAGGGCGAGAAAGGCGTCGAGCTGTTCACAGTCAGCCAGGCAATCGCCGCGCAGCGAATCCGACAGAGAGACAACCGCCTGGCAGCATTTCACAAGCACGTTGAGGCTCAGAGTGTCGCTTCGACTAATGGGAACGACCACGCGGGAGAGACCCCAAGGAGTGCTTCCGTATCCGGCCCGCTTGGGCTTCCATCCCAATTCGATGGAGATGGACCGCTTCTACGGAAGGACGACCTCATGCAGACAGCTCAAGCATTGCTGGTTCTAATGGCTATGGCCACTTGGGCAAAACACAGAGAAATCCTGAGAGAAGCATTGGCCATCCAGTCCGTCCTGGCCACACTCGTGCGCGACGACGGCTTGAAAGCTCCAGATCCTCCGACGGAGACCGATTGGCGCACATGGGCACGCTACGAGTCATGCAAGCGCACCAAATTTGTCGTTTACGCCTTCTTCAATCTACACTGCATCGTCTACAACATTCCTGCGCTAATCATGAGCTCTGAAATCAACATGACGTTGCCCTGCCATGCTGCTGAGTTCAAGGCTCCATCAGAGGCTCGATGGAAAGATGTCCGGGCTAAACAGACGACGACAAATATATCTTTCCAGGACGCTCTTGCAAGGTTGTTTTCTCGTGGGACCTCTTCTGAGGCCAACTCGTACAATTCGAGCTTAGGGAACTATATCTTGGTTCACGCGTTGATACAACATATCTTCCTCGTTCGCCAAGTTTCAAGGCAGCGACTATTCAGCTCTGGCGAGATTCCGCAGGAAGATATCTCCCAGATCGAGCTATCGTTACGCAACTGGCAAGCAGCCTGGCGGCTCAATCCAGAATCATCTCTCGATCCACTGTCGCCTTCTGGACCTGTCCCCTTCAACTCGACCGCACTGCTGAGGCTGGCATACATCCGGCTCAATGTTGACATTGGACCGGGGCGGGCACTTGATACACGAGATCCGGTGCAGATAGCCCGTGCATTCAGGGACTCGCCTGCGCTCAAACGGGGCCCGAAGCTGCTAAGAGCAGTCTTACACTCTGCTCACGCATTGAGCATTCCTATCAAGATCGGCTTGAGGCTCGTGGCGCAGACCCAAACCTTCAACTGGAGTATACAACACAGTCTGTGTACCTTGGAGTGCGCTTTCCTGCTGAGCAAGTGGTTAGAAGCCCTCAGTCTGGTTGCGGACGGAGCCGGAGATCCAGTAGCTGGAGGCATCACTCGTGAAGAGCGAAAGATTGCAAGCCTAGTAAAGACTATGCTGGATGAGACAGAGTTCGGCGTCCCTGACAATTTCGCAGCGGGAGATGGAGGCACGGACCCTTCTGCCGCGAATGGCATCGTGGTGACACCAAACGGGACGTCCAGTGTGGTCGACTCGCCGGCGACCATGAAGTATCTCAGCGCGAGTGTACTCAGGGTCTGGGGAAAGGTCTTTAGGGGCGCCCAAACATGGGCGATTGTGGACATCATTGGCAGCGGACTGAACCTGTGAGTTTCCCCAGACTGCCTTATCGAACAAGAAGCTTTGGCTAACAACGGAAATTACAGCTACGCAGATATGCTCGAAGCTGGATAGCCTTGGCGGATTTAGGAGTCTGTGGTTGTCCTGACTGCTTCAACCCACCTACGGGCCGACGAGCAATGCGTTGACGTTGCTAGATTCACACTACTGATCGTTCAACCACTTCCAGACGACTCTCGCGTCCTTCCCCTTGTACCTGTCATCCGCAGCACACTCCTCAAACGCCGTTAGGGTTGTCCTTCCGGTGTCCATCCTCGCGCCACACATGTCTCCGAGCTCAAGACCCATTCCTAGCACCTTCTTGCACAGCTCAATTCTGAATCCGCCCTCATAGCCACGACTCGCCGGCGCGTTCGCGTGAATACCCGGCACCGGATTCGACTTGCTCGTGACCCAGCACTGACCGCCGGACGCATTGATCACATCTGTCAATAGCTTCAGATCGAGATTGAGCTTTGCGCCAATGTTCAGAGCCTCAGATGCTGCTAGCGAAGTAACAGCCGAGAGGTAGTTGTTGATGACCTTGAATGCCGTCCCTGCACCAACATCCCCACAGTGGAAGATCCCATCCTTGTTGCCCATATGCGCCAAAATCTTCTTGACAGTCTCGTAGTCCTCCTTCTTGGCCGCACCGACCATGAAAGTTAGCGAACCGTCTTGGGCGCCCATAGGGCCGCCGGAGACAGGAGCGTCGATGAAGGTGACGCCACTGCCGGAGCCTGACGAGGAGATCTCGGAGTCGACTTTTTGGGTGGCTTTCTGAACGGCGAGGATGGTGGCTGTCTCAATGGTGCCGCATTCCATGAGGACTTTCTTCACTGGTTTGGAGGAGTCGGATTTGGCGAGGGCGGTGATGCCGGCGAGGATGCCGGTTGAGGAGTCTTCGTAGACCGAGGTTACGACGGGCGAGATGGGCAGCATGGTTATCACCATGTTCTGGCAGCATTCATTCGTCAGTATGATGTTTCCCAGACATGGTCTGAGCCGTGTGCCAGAATCAATGCAAGCAGGACAGAGCAGGGCGGACGTACAGCCTGCTGAACCGCCTCAAAGCCGTTCTTGACCCTCTTGACAGGGCCTTTGCCTTCCATCTGCTTCTCAAACTTGGACAGTGCTTCTTCCGAAACGTCACAGATGAGCAACGTCTTCGAGGAGTCGATCTTTGAGCGAAGGTTGACGGCCATGGGGTAGCCCATGACGCCGAGGCCTTGATACCATCGTTAGCATGCATCGTCGATGCTGACCTGGTTGAGCGGATTGGTGTTGATGCTGGGGGAGTAAGGAAAGACTGTCCCTGCGGTAGTTGTGGTCACGACGGAGTGCAGCGTATGGGCAGATACAATGTGCAGGTCCCGAGGTGTTCACAGGTGTTTTGTCACTTACCTATGAAGGCGATGGTGTTGTCGGCGTCACTCATGTTGCCGGATTGGTCAATGATGGGGTTACTGGGTACTATCGAGTGATATGATCGCTCTTGCGGGCTGTCTGAGTGATTGCCAGCCGTGGAAGTACGGTACGTGCTGTGGTCTGGTTCCCAATGCAAGTCAAGTCTGCTGTTGGCAATACGATTGTAAAGGACACAAAGAGGCTTCCCACGGACCGATCTCGCAGTATGCTTGCATGCGCGTCAACCACCAACCGTTCAACTCACGCGATCGCTTGCATCTCGACGCCCCGCCGAGCCCGCCCATGTCACGGTACGACGCCGTGGTCATCGCTGCGGGGTATGTTGGAGTTAGAAATGGAGAAGCAGAAGGAGAACTTCAGGCAGTGAATTCCATGCCCCGCTGCCTCGGTACCGCTCTTCCAGGAAAAGTTCTTCGGATCAATTCTTCGTTGGGGTAAGGCACATGTTGCTCTGGTGGGATGGTGGGATGGTCCCGATCGTTCGGGAATACGTGCGGCATGATCGGCGACAGGGGAGTCACTGACATGATCGACGACAAGGAAGTCCCGGCCAGCCACAGGCTGTTGCAATCCAAGGCAGAGCATGAAACGAAATCTGCATGGCAGCAACATTGAATGTTCATGGCATTGGCTACACAGTGCCAGGAAAGAACCTGTCCTTGTTCTTCTCCCGCCAGCCTCCATCGTGAGCAACAATGACCTCTACCTTATTGACTCCATCAGCGAGTAACTCTCCGCCCGGCATCAAGGTCTTGATGTGGCCTACGGACTGCTTCGCTGCATCCGTATCCACGTGCACGCTGCGCAGCTCGCCGTGTCCATCATCGTATAACGCGATGTCTTTCTCCCCAGTCAAGATTCTGTAGTCGTGACAGCAGTCTCCGCCCAGATAAATCCACTTGTTCGGGCCAATGCGACAAAGCAAGTTGACATGTCCAAAGAGGTGACCAGGGGTGTCAATGACATATATTGAGCCATCGCCGAAGAAGTCAAGCGCTGCTGGGAACGAGGCGAGTGGTTCCCATTTCTGTGTGGTCTGAGATGAGAATGCTGTTGTGCTCTTACCGACTGGAGGCAATTCTTTTGTGCGATCTCGAGGGAGCATATCAGGGTCGAAGATTTCCTTTGGGTAGTGCGGTGGCGCTCCGTGCTCTAGAAGATGTATCGTACCGCTACCCACGACGAATTGGGAGCCAGTGAAGTCCTCCGGCGTCCCAACGTGGTCCCAGTGAACATGACTCAACATCACTATGTCAATATCATTTGCGGGATCCAGCCCTCCCTTCCTCAGGCTGTCGGCAGTATCGGGATGATGAATCGTTGGTTGACGGTTGCTGATATGAGTCTGCATCGCCGGCATGTACTTCGTGACGTCTCGCTTGATGCCAAGATCGAACACTAAATTGGTTGTAGATCGTCCGTTCGCACCTGGCGAAGGATGTCGGACCAAGAATGCCATGGATGGCACAGTGGCCTTCTTCTCCGGGTCTGCATCTGTGACAAACAGTCGCTCAGGAAGCGTCAACTGTCCTGACTCCAGTGCAGAAATGGTGACATACTGCTGCTTCTCAGCAGCTGCTGGCAGTGAGTGAGGCAGGGTTGGCGCCATTTTGATGCTGTAGGACGTCGTTTTTCTGGGTTCGAAGGTCGTATGTTGTTGTGGCACACAAACTCAGCTACACGGTAGAAAACAACCTGGCACATTTCTATTTTGGCGTCATTGTGGAGAGGCAGGCGCGTGTTGGGGAAATTCGGGGATTCTGGGATTCTGCCCACGATCGTGTGAGTTGATGCTCAGGATCGGCAGTTTTTCCACGTGGGCAGGCTAAGGCCGTTGACCCGAGGAAAGTACACTCGCGTCGCTGTCGCTGTCGAAGCCACTGTTGCGTTCAGCGCTTCCTCTGCCGTTTGGCTGGTCTCTGCTGAACATCGTCGGCGTCTGCTTCAACAAACTTCGTGGCACTTTTGGAATCGGACATTCCCTTTGCCGCTACAGATTTCCAGCCGTCGTTGACGACGGTCTTCTCGTGTGCATTCCACCGCAGCTCACACTCAGTCTTGTCGTTGTCGTTGTCTTCGATCCAGCGAGCGGCAAGCTTACCGGTATAAAGGCGCATATCCTCGACTGCCGATTTTGGCTTGATACTCATTCCATGGTCGGCGCCTTGCACGATAGCGAGCCAAGATTTTGCCTTCATTTTTTTCCTTACTTCATTGAGTTGCTTGATGGAACACATGTTGTCAGAGTCTCCAGAGATGAACAGCACTTTGACGCCTTCATCGATAGCAAGCAGTATGTCATCTCTGACGCTGCCGTTTTGACCGACGAGCGGATACGACGCCAGGACGAGATGCTTGATTTCAGCATGGTCAGCTGCAGCAAGCACGGCTGCACGAGCTCCCATGCTTCTACCTCCCAACACCGTTGTCGTCGCCTCATCGTCCTTATGATGATCGATCATTGCCGAAAATGACTTGGTCCTGGAAGGCAGGTTCATGGATCCTTGGAAACTGTACACGAGCGCTTTCGTCGCAGCGCCCTTCGCGAATAACTTTGTGGCAGGATTAGCAATTCCGCCTCCCGCACCGTGTGTGAAGACGAGCTTGTGTTCGCTCTTCGTAGATCCATAACGCTCATACTCAATGTGTTTGCCATCGAACGACAACGTGTGTGTCGTTGCACTTTGCTCTGCCGCATCATTGGCATTGGAGGATTGGTTGCCTGTCTTATGGGAGCCTCCCACCAAGTCAGTGAGGACGGTTTGTTGTTTCTTTTTCTTCTGTGCCTTTGGCGGCATTTTCCGAAGCTGTACGCCTGCTTGCTGATTGCAAGTGATATGCAGACGCGTCGAATTTGTTGCAGGCTTTCTGATAAGTTGGCGGTGAAGTCAAACACGTCGCGTTTCTCGCGAGACCGCCTGCTCACGTGACGTCATGGGCCTGCCTTTCAATCTCCTTCTTAAGGCCGATGGGGGCTCCTTCCGTCTGTTTCTCAAGACATGGTGCTGCCACAATGGTCGTTCGCCACGGCGCCTCCTACTTTGGAGCGCTCTCGGTGGGTAATCCAGCATTCTACGCGGTAGCCGTGGCGGTAGAGTAGTCCGAGGTCTACCGTGCGTGAAGCTCTTCAATCCTGCCGGGATTCGTGGTCTTGCGAATTAGCTGTCAGGCGTCAAGCTCACCCGGCGCTGCATCAGCCATGAAAAAAGGTACCAGTTTTGTGACTAATTCGACGCCTGATGCCGCCCCTCTCTTCGTATGGTACTCCTTGCTCGTTTGGGAGAAACTTCGCAAGATCTCCCGTTGCTGAAGCGGGTAAGCACTGTATATGAGCTCGAGGTCCTTCGATGCTATGGACTCTAGGAGGCTGATTCTGTCTCCCTCAACATTTCACCAACGGCTCGCTGCCAAGTCGAACCACCACGGAAGCTATGCTGGTTCTTTTGACCTGTGGCTTGTTTGCCTGGGTACGAGTTGCCAACCTTGTCGTCGTGAATTGTTACTGACCGTACACCAGTGGCTCAGCATTGTAGTATATCGACTCACGATTCATCCACTCGCTAAGTACCCGGGGCCTAGGTCGTGGGCGATAAGCGGATGGCCTGTATTTAGGCCTCACAAAGAAGGCAACTGGCATCTCGAACTACAACAAGCCCATCAACGGTATGGCAACATTGTCCGCTGGGGCCAACAAGCTATCTTTCCGTACTCCTCAAGCCATCCAAGATATCTATGGAGACCGGAAAGCGAACATGATCAAGGGTGGAGGCATCATCGGTCTGGCGGAGCAGATGTACCCAGATCCCAGCACTCATGCGACGTCCAACAGAGAGGTTCATGCCGGCCGGCGCCGGATCTTGTCGCAATGTTTCTCCGAGAGTGCTTTGAAAGGTCAGGAACCGTATGTCTTGCAGACTGTGCAAAGATTAATCAGCCTTCTCGCGACTCCGAGTGACACCAATAGCGACAACGAGGAACAAGGCTGGAGCGCCCCAGTCGATATGGCGACCTACTCTGGAAACTTTGCCTTGGACGTTCTTGGAGAGCTTTGCTTCGGCAAATCCTTCGAGGCTCTAGGTCATAGCAGACATTTCGCCCTCAGTGCCATGACCGAAGCGTCCCAGAAGGCGTTGGCGCTGGGTGCTATTCCCAACATTGAGTTGCTGGTTCCGCTCCTACGACAACATTGGTTACTAGAAAAACTGCCTGCGGAAGAGTAAGCTGTTTCTTGCGTGTCACATAGAAGGGGCATGCTGACCTCCATGCCAGCCTCAAAAAAGGACTCGCGTACCGCAAGATGATCATCACTCTACTAAAAGCCCGAGTTGAGCTGGAAAAGTCTAACAAGCATAAACCGCGTAAGGACTTCATGCACTACCTCATGGCTGCCGTCGATCCCGCCACTGGGGACAAATACAGTGAGGGCGACCTCATCTCCGAATCAGGCGTCGTCCTCACTGCCGGCACAGACACCACGGCGACCGCACTCGCCGCGACCATCTTCTACCTCACACGATACCCACACGCCTTGAAGAAGCTGCAATCCGAAGTCCGTGGCGCTTTTGGCAACATCAACGAGATTAGACACGGTCCGGAGCTGACCAGCCTCATCTACCTGCGTGCCGTCATCGACGAATCGCTCCGTATGTCCAGCCCTGTACCGGACGTTCTCTCGCGACGCGTCCTACCCGGTGGTGCGAAGATCGACGGCCAGGACATTCCTGCAGGAACTTTCGTCGGCATGTCAATGTACTCAGTGCACCACAACGAGGACTATTATCCCCACAGCTTCGAATTCCTCCCCGAACGCTGGATCGTGCCTTCCAACAACGATAGCCCTGAGACCACGTCATTTCCATTCACAGTGACACAAGAGACAATCGAGCGCGCCAAATCCGCCTTCTTCGCTTTCAGCACAGGCATACGCGGTTGCGTGGGCAAGAATATGGCGTATCTGGAGCTGTCGGTGTGTCTAGCGAGGTTGGTCTGGGCGCTAGATTTCAAGATTCCCGATGACGCAGAGTTGGCTAAGGTTGGTGGGGGTGGTGTTCACCGCGGTGCTGATGGCGAAATTGTGAAGGGAAGGCACAGGGAGAAGGAGTACCAGACTTGGAACTACTTTGTAGCGGATACAGAGGGTCCCTATGTGCAGTTCCGGGTCAGGGAGGGTGTGGATTTGAGTGCGGCTTGAGGCATGATTGTGAAGAGAGGCAAGGAAGGGAGCTTTTCCTGTGTCATCCGGCGTAGCGTGGGCTTCAGCTAGTCATCCGGTCTTTTCGGTAGTCACTAGGAGAAATGTGTCATCCGGTCTGGTTCAAGCCCCGAAAGAAGCCCTGGAAGGAGACGAGTGAGGACGACTTCCGAGGATGTTGTTAGGCGTGGTGCGCCGTAAGATCCGGCCTATTACCCCTATGGTGATGCCCTATTGGGGTGTGGCAGCCCAGCAAGGCGTAGGGACGTCCGATGAATATATTCGCTGTGTGCGAATCCCTCCCCACAATTGTCAACCTCTGGTACAGTAAGTGTCATTCGGTCTCAGTCAAGGCCTCTTCCCATGCCGTGCTTGGTGTTCCGCGTGTTTCGCACCACATAAACTTATCTCCTCAGGGCGAGCTACTGATAAAGAAAGCCTACGTATTCTAGACCCCGAATGCCTCATCTGTTCACGCGTACATTCCGCTGCCTCAGTATCACTTATCTATCGTGCACCCATCAATCCTCCTTGAATATATCGTAACGCACATGGACCCGCGTACTGCCCCTGTGCCATGTCCAAGTCGAACATGCCAGCTCGAGCCTCCCTGAACATCTCACTCCCGCTTTCCCTTTCTCCATCCCTTCCACCAAGTCATACTCATAGCCGCAACAATCACCGGCGCGATACTCACAATCTCCCCCAAGCCTGCGTAGGCCGGTGGGATCCTGACCTTCACAAACGCTCCACCCGCCAATAGCACCGCCAGTACGTTATACACGGCGGACCAGACAAAGTTGAACACGATCCTTCGGTAAGCTGCCTTACTAACGTCCAACAGTCGTGGCACACCCTCCAGACTACCGAGCAGAACAACATCAGCAGTGGCACGAGTGACGTCCGACGCAGAGCCACCAGCACTACTGCTGGCCTCCAGCTGGACGCCTACATCTGCAGCAGCGACGGCGACGGCGTCGTTAGTGCCGTCGCCGCAGAAGAGAGTCGTTTTGCCAGCGTCGCGGAGGGCTTTGACGTAGTCACATTTTTCAGCTGGTGTCTTGCCGGCGGCAATGTTCTCGTGCGGGATACCAAGTGTGGTAGCGACGTGCTCGACTGCAGAGACGTTGTCGCCGCTGACGATGTGGACTGTGAGCCCGCGGTTTTGGAGGTCGGTCACGACTTTGTGTGCTTCTGGACGGAGTGTGCTCTTCATGCCGAAGACGGCTGCTAGTGTATGGTCGACCGTGACGCAGAAGGTCGTAAGACCGGGTTCTAAGGAGGATTCGATGTTGACGCCCAGCATTCTGCCTTGCCTGCTTTTACGTGCTGGCCGTGCCAGTCAGCTTCAATCCCGGCGCCAGGGCTTGAGACAACGTTATGGACATCTGTGGATGCTGTGTCGGTAATCGAATCGGCGATGGCGCGAGAGACTGGATGCTGATTGTCTGACACCATGGCTTGGATCACGCCTAGGACGTTCTCCATTCTGACGTCCTGGTGGACCACTTCCAGATTCCCCTCTGTGAGTGTGCCAGTCTTGTCGAAGATAACATCCGTGACTTTGTGGCCTCGTTCAGTGACCTCAGCAGATTTAATGATGACGCCTCCACGTGCAGCGACTCCGCCTGCGACGACGAGAACCATGGGCACGGCGAGGCCGAGAGCACATGGGCAAGAAATAGCGAGCACAGCGATAGCATAGCTGATGGACAGTCCAGCTGCGACGTTGGCACTCCTGTTCCGGACCTTGACAGCAACGATGGCCCAGGTGATTGCGACAACGACAGCGACGAAGACAATCACCGGCACAAAATAGCCCGCGATACGATTGGCCAACTCCTGGGTCTTGGGTCTCGCATTCTGTGCCTGGTTGACGAGATTCTCGATATCGTTGATCGTGTTCTTCCCAGGCAGTCGAGAGACTCTCGCATTCAGCAGAGTTGAGCCATTCAGTGTGCCGGCGATGACACTGTCTCCAATGCTCTTCTGGACAGGTAGACTTTCCCCGGTGAGAATCGACTCATCAACTTCACCAGCGCCCTCCTGAATGATGGCATCTGTTACGATCTTCGTGTGAGGCTGCAGCTTGATCAGGTCACCCACATGGAGAAGCCTAGCATCGATCTCTTCACCAGAAGCTAGCTTGGCCATCGAGACCTGGAGTGAGCCCAATGAGACAGCAGTGATGGCTCTCTTACGAGCCCAGGAAGCCAGTAGTCGACCTAGTAGTACCAATGCGATAAGCAGTGTGCTTGTCTCGAACAAGGTTCCGGTCTCAAGAAGTTGGCCGCTGAGCTCAATGCCAAAGGCGACGACAGAATAACCATAGGCAGCAGAGATGCTAATGACGACCAGCATGTCCATTTCGATGACGCGATTGTAGACCAGCGAGGAGATCGCAGGTCTATAAAATTCAGGATAGGCAATGGACTGTACCAGAGTTGCCAGCACGAAGCATACGGACAGACTTGCTTTGGAAGTCCCGATATCATCCTCACCCCAAGTTAGAACCAGGACTGGAATCGTCAGCAAGAAGGCTAAGCCGGTCTTGACTGCTTTGTCGATAAGGATGCGCTTGCCATCGTCCAGTCTGCTGTGATTCGCAGGTAAGAGCTCCCCACCACTAGCAGCAAGAACCTTTCTGGCGCCAATGAGACAAGGATCATATGCAACAGCAAATCGACCCTTTCCAGTAGGCTCGCAGCCTTCAACTCCATGAGGCATATTGAGTCTGAAGCGCTCAAGCCTCTGGGGCGAGATGATCAGATCCAGTGTCTGCGAGTCGGCGGAGAACGGTGTCAATTTGTAGCGAGTTGCCCGTTGCCCAATACTGATGACAGCTCAATGCTGGTTTTCTTGAGGTCGACATCAAGCTCGGCAATACCTATGACAAACGCCACTTGAACGTTGCGAGTGCCGGGTACTCGAAGAGCCCTGGCCAAGTTATTGGCGCACCCGGTACAGTCCATGCCGACCACATTGAGAAGGACGTGCGAGAACTGGCCGTCCTTCTCGATATCTGATTCATTGGGACTGTCGAGGACATGGTGGCTGTGGATCTTTTCGACCTCATGGGATGGGCCAGATCTACAGCAAGAGTCGTCAGAGTGCTTGTGGCCATGAGCATGGACTGTAGCGGCTTTCTTCCGGTTGCGTCGAGTCATGTTGCTTCCGTAGCTGTTGCGGTGATGGGATACACTGGACGATGCAGCACCGGCGCTGTCCTTTGTGGGTGGCAACAGTGGTTTGGACGATCCACAGCATTGATCTAGCTGAGCAGGAAGAACGCTACGACAGATGCAACGGGCTTGTTCGAGGTAGGCAGCGTACTTATCAAACGCAGCCTGCAGATGGGAGCTGCACGGTTGGCCGAAGTCGTGATTGTCGTTCTCGTCGTGCTGGTGGGCGTGTTCGTCGTTGTGCTCATGGTCGATGCTATGCTTGTGATCGTGCTTGGCAGTCGATGTGCAGACAATCGAGGCGGCAGGGCCATGTCCTGGCTCTGGGCCTGTGGCACAGCATTCATCGCGATCTAGTCAAATATCAAATCCATAGGTTCAACAGAGTACTTGCGAGTGCAGCACCTACCAGCCTTAGCCGGCTTCTGGCATGCAAGCTGGCATTCGACAGCTGCGGCAATCGTTATGCACTTTTCTATCAGCCATGAGTTAGAGAGAATCTTCCATGTGAAGGTCTGTCTGGCCTACCATCGCAAGCTTCGCCATCTGCGCAGCAGCCTTCACTCATGGTTCCAGCCTCTCCCTGGAGGCTGGTTCGTTCTTCAGGAAGCGGACTTCCATCGCGAGATCCCCAGCAGCCGTCCGAACAGCCTTCGGTGTTCCTTTCGACTGCGCAATCATCTTTGCGATTGGGGTACGATCTTCCGGGAGCACTCAAGCCTTTGTTATCAGGAGATGTTTGCTTGATGGAAACGTTCATCTGAGTTTCTGTGTCTCCGAGCTCGATTGCATCATCGCTTTTGACGCCTGCCATCTTTGATCCGCAGCATGATCCAGCCATGACTGTTTGCCGATGTTGAGCTTCTGTGTCGTAGACGTTTCCATACAATTCAACAGAGAGATATGAAGAGCTCGCCAGACTACTTAGGTAAGTATGTACGCCCGTGGGCTGCGGGATCGCCATGCGGTGCCCAACGCCAAGACGGCATCGCTGCTGTTGCCTCAGGCGTTTCGAAATGCGTTACAGGAACGATTTGACATGTTTCTGTGCAACTATTTACGCTATAGGAACTTGATTCAAGCCTTTATCAAGCTCCCGTGCGGCAGAGCTTGTAAGCAGGGAGCCTTGACGCCGCGCGTCGACCTATATACCCTTCCAGCCATTTTCCTCTCGCTTTTGCTTATACCAGTCCCGCACGTACTGTAGCCCAGTGTGTGGTCCATAAGGCTCAAACTCCCAAGGACGCTTCGGTGGTTCCAGACCAGTCTCCTCCAGGCAATTCTCCTGCAATGTCTTCAAGTCGCCACCTCTGTTGTATGCCGGTACATCGCCTCGCTTGGCTTTGATCTCGGCTCGCAGCTTCTCCGTTTCCGCTTCCTTGACTGAAAAATCTGTTATGTCGACGACAACGCCATAGTTTTTCTTCGCACCTTCATAGGTCACGAGCTTCTGGTGCACTTCGAGCGCGACCTTCTCCGCAGGACGGACCAGTGGGTCACCGAAGCCGCCACCACCCCAAGTCACCCATTCGAGAAGATCGCCGGGCGCCACTTTGATATGGTCGCATTTCGAAGGCAATGAACGTGGCGTCGGGTTTGAGGATTTGGAGTACTCATAGAAGATCTTGCGAGACCGCATGCCCGGCTGGCCGCCTTTGATGCCCCAAGGCTTAGTGAACCATCTGTCATCGTGCAGCGAGAATTCGCCCTTGGCCAAGAAGCGATAAAGCGTCCGTTGAGCATTTCCTCCACGGAATTGACCTGCACCCCCACTGTCTGCCATGCTCTCGTTGGCTTCAATGCGTAAGGGATAGTTGAGCTCGATGCTTTCAGTGGGAATCGATTTGATGGCGGGCCACAGGCAATGGCAATCGGGACCATCTCCTGCCGGACGAGCAGGTACGCCACCGAATCCGATCTGGTACAGTAGAAACCATTCACCATCTTCTTTGAAGCCCGAGTAGTAGAAGTGAGGAGAGTCGCTGAAGCCAGCAGCAGTCTTGTAGCCATCACTTCGCTGGCCGATGAGTGCTTGGATGACGTCTAGCGTCCGTCCGAGGAAGTGCGTGCGACATGATACTGGAGCTGGGCGCACTGGCTTCAGTAGCGATCCCTCAGGTATGTAAACCTCGATCAAGTCGTGGAAGCCATCATTGATAACAGTACCTGGGGCTGCTGCAGCGATCAAGTAGTAGCCGATGAACATTTTGAACATGACTTCGCTGAAGTAGTAATTGATCGAGTGATCGGATTGTGGAGATGTGCCTGAGAAGTCAGTAAATCGCAGACATTGTGGCAGACGAAGCACTTACCAGTCCAGTCCCATCTTAATTTGCCCTCGTCTGTACGGTGGAGAGTACATGTCACGGCCCATGGTCCGACTCCGTGGCCATCATCGTCAACGAAATCGGTGAATGTACCCTTTTCGCTCGTGAATGTTGCGTCGATGATCTTGGACATGGCCACACGATTGCGGTGCAGTAATTCATCGCACGAAGCTTTGTAGAGCTCGATTCCGAACCGATCGATCAGCTCGACCACACGACCAGCTGCTGTTCTCGTGGTTGCAACAATGGCTGTCAAGTCGCTGCGATACCAGTCTGGCATCCGAGAGTTCCGGCACAGCAGTTCGACGAGATCCTCATTCATGACTCCCTTGCTATAGAGCTTCACACAAGGGATCTGCACACCATCATCGAAGATACTGTTTGCTTCGATCGACATCGAGCCCGCAACCTTACCGCCAACATCGGTCAGATGGCCGAATTGGCTGGACCAACCAGCTAACTTGTGCTTGTAAAAGATCGGGAATAGAACGATCACATCGTTCAAGTGTGAGACAGCGCCTTTGATTTGATAGACGTCGTTCGTGACATACACGTCACCTTCTTCGACCGGTTTGTCACCCCAAGCATCGAGAAATTGCCCAATGAAGGAGCCGAATTGGCCAACCAACATCTTACCTTCGGGATTCGTGATAACATTGAATTCGTCCTGCTGTTCACGAATTGCTGGAGACATCGCAGTCCTTAACATCATAGTGTCCATTTCTGATCGAATTGATGCCAGGGTCGACGCGATTAGTGTCGGAATGAGCGGGACGTCCTTGACCAGGGCTTTTGCTGCCGCAGTATCTAGGTTCGGCGCCTCGCGCTTCTTCTTCTCAAGCGGGTTGATGACGATGTTGCCGATGGCATCAATCTCGCCAACGTAACCAGGCAAAATGAGTGTGTTCGAGTCCATCTCAGTCACAATAGCAGGACCTTCGATTTTGATGCCCTCTTGAGTGATCTTCGTACGGTCCCAGAAGTTCGCTTCTAGTTTCTTGCCCCCAACAATGATGCTTGACTTCTGAGTCAAGGCATCCGCCGGTGGTTCGCTGCCGCCAGCCTTTTGTACACGCGGGATGGGCATATCTGCGGAGTTGTCTTTCACAAGCGCGCCTAGTCGCATGATTTCCAACTCAAAGTTCGTCAAGCAGTAGGTGAACTGTTGTTCGTGCTGAGCGTCAAATCGTTTTCGCAGGAGATTTTTCAAGTCATCGCTGCTGGAACTGATGTCTTCCTCAGTCAGATCGACAGTCAATGTCAGCGCCTGTCCTTTGTATCGCAGGTCGGCTTGGTAGACCGTTTCCAGCTCGAGATCCTTCCGACCTGGCATGGACTCGCGCATGAAATCGACGCCATTTTGCTGCATCGACTTGTACCTCTGTTTTACTTCCTCAATATCTGTGTTAGAAAGCAATTTGATGTAAGATTCGGACGTGTCGTGGCTCAGCTTGGTAGTGGCATCTCCTTGTGCACACAGAACACCAGGACTTGGTGGAATGATGACTGGGAAAGCTCCCAACAGCTCGCCGACAGCGTTGCCGTGCATAGGTCCAGCTCCACCAAATGCCACGAACGCATGGTCGCGAGGATCGTAGCCCTGCTCAACAGACACGACTCTGACAGCGCCATACATGGTTTCATTGACAATGTTGATGATATCTTCAGCAGCCTGCTCCATAGAGATACCCATTTGCTTCGCGACCTTGCCCACCGCCGCTCGGGCAGCTTCGACGTCAAGCTTGAACTCGCCGCCAAGGAGGGTTTCTGGAAGGCGTCCCAGAACCAGGTTAGCATCCGTCACAGTCGCTCGTTCGCCACCTTTGCCATAGCATGCTGGACCAGGATTGGCACCAGCGCTTTCGGGTCCGACGCGCAACGTTTCCGTCAAGTCCATGTAAGTGGCAATAGATCCACCACCGGCCCCAACAGTCTTCACGTCGATAGCTGGAGATCGCACTCGGAGCTCTTCAACGATAGTCTCACGGCGTAGTCTCGGATCACCGGCATGAATAACAGCACAATCAGTGCTCGTGCCGCCCATATCCAAGGTGATTAGATTCTTGTAAGACGTGTGTTGGCATATCGCATCTGCCACGCCCTTGACGCCACCTGCTGGACCAGACATCAGGATGCTGACTGGGAATTGGCCGGCGACGTCCAGACTTGTCAGGCCACCGTCACTTTTTAGAATCCTTATCGTTTCTGAATCTTCCTTCAAAGTCGACGATAGATTTCCCAGATACTTCTTGACAAGTGGCATGACGAGGGAGTTTGCTGCGGTCGTCACAGACCTCTCGTACTCGCCAGCCTCTCTGAGCACATCACTGGAGCAGACGATGTCGATGTCAGGGCCAAATTCCTCTCTCAGTACCTTCGCAACAACCTTCTCATGTTCTCCGCTCGTGTACGAGTTCAACAATGAAACGGCAATTGCTTCTGGCTTCTGTCGTTTGAGGTCAACCAGGTCCTTCTTGAGCTGCTCAACATCGACCGGCTCTACCGACTCCCCATAGACTGACATCCTCTCCTTGCATTGTACGGTCCTTTGCAAAGATACGACTGGTTCTGGGGGGTTGTACATAAGCCATGCTCCCAAGTGACCAGGGATCTGCGAGCGTCTGATGGCGAGGATGTCCTTGTGGCCTTGAGTGACAATGAGGCCAGTCCTAGCACCCTTGTTCTCCAGGATAGCGTTGGTGGCAGTCGTAGTTCCATGGTGTATGAATTCGAATGAGCCCTCGAAGCCGAATTTGCGTTTCAGGATCGCCCTAGCTTTGTCGATGCCGTTCTTAATACCAATACTTTGGTCTTCTTGAACAGTCGGAACCTTGGCTCGCACTGTCTCCCCATGTGGCGTGAAGACACACACATCTGTGAAAGTCCCACCAACATCGACACCCAGCTGGTACGCTTCTGACACAGCTTCGCCCATTTTGATTGACCGGCTCTGCTAGAGGTGAAGCACTACGTTGCTGCCGCTGGATTTCATAGCAACTTATGATATGCTTTAGACGGGATTGTCGCTTTTGGCAACAGCCGAGCGGTAATACAAGAATGTTCCTGACTTCATCGGCACGATGCCGCTTCACTGATAAAGGCGACGTCCGTTATCAGCACGAAGACCCGGTATCTTGGCCCGGTAAGCAAGCATCGAAGCTTGCCCCAGAATATGCGAGCCATTGAGCTTCTGCGATAGAGGAGGGGCATTGCTGATCTGCCTCGGGAGTGGTCATCTTCAGGCAGGCGGAGCAGATGATGACCCCGCGACTGAAGCTTCAACGCTCCTGCCGACCGGCAGAGGTTTGATTTTGGTCTAGACCAGCACGTGTACTGACTCGCGATCGGCCTGTATGACGAAAAGTGGCCTCGATTGAAGAAGGTATCTGTAAAAGATACGAAGGAGGTAGATCGGCGGAAAGTGACCCGGAAGATGCTCGGAGGAAGGCGCTGTGGTGGTTATCTTTGTGGTGGAGAACACCTCCCACTCACTGCCCATCTCACCACTCAGACGTTCTGCGAACGCGTTGCGATGTACGGCCAGAAGTAGATGGAGATGGAGATGTCCAACGGCGTTGCCCACGGCCGAGAAGACCGCGATCGGACGCGTCTATGCCCTATAAGATGTATCTCTCGCGTGGTGACCGTGGGCGTAGGCCTGGTCCCACCACACGATGTCTGTCGTTTCGCTGGCTGACGCAGCTGCGTAAGTGAGATCCAGCCCGTCTCCATCGCAAGAAACTGACATGAGGTAGATCGAAGGTCACCCGAGAAGACCTGATCAGTGCAGCGGAAGCCACGGGATTTTCGATCAAGGACGAACAGGATGAACAGGACTACCTTGTCCTTCTTCAGAGCGCTGATGCTATCATCGAGGGCATAGAAGCCGAGGAAGACTACATACCTCCCCAACTTCAGCCCGTGGAGACCACCCAGGAGAGAACATTCTGGCGGCCGAATCCAGAAGACAATCCTCTGAATGCTTGGAGTCATCGAGCAGAACTGCAGGCAAAGAGACCAGTGACAAACCTGCTCCAGGGTCGAGGCATCGCACTCAAAGACAACGTATGCGTTGCAGGACTGCCCACAACACTCGGGACTTTTGCCGAGCTACTTTCAAAAGATGGCAAGTACCCTATCTCGGCCATCGATGCGACGGTCGTGCGACGATTACTTGAAGCTGGGGCCACAGTGAAAGGCACAGCAGTCTGTGAGAATTACTCTGCATGTCCGCTATCATACAGTGCATCGACAGGGCCAATCCACCAACCCTGGTGCAAGGGCTACTGCGGAGGTGGCAGCTCTAGTGGTTGTTCAATCCTGGTGGCTGCGGCAGGCTTGGCTAAGGGAACAGGCAATCACGGCGAAGTGGTTGACCTAGCCATTGGCGGTGATCAGGGTGGCAGTATCAGACTTCCGGCTGCATTTGCGGGCTGTTATGGGCTGAAACCCACCCATGGCCTAGTCCCGTACACCGGCATCGCTGCACTGGCTCCTATGATGGATCACGTTGGACCAATGGCCACATCGGTGCTTGACGTCGCGAAGGTTCTGCAAGTTATTGCAGGCTACGATGGTCTCGACGCCCGTATGACCGCCGAAGCTCCTCTACGGGATCAAGTCAAGGACTACCCGAAACTTATCCAGGATTTCCTCGAGCTGCCAGAAGCAGGAAGACAATCAAAACCTCTGAGGATAGGGCTATTACAGGAAGGCTTCACCACGTACGGCATGACAGAGAGCGTTCGAGACACAGTCAAAGCTGCTGCGACCAAGTTCTTCTCCGCGGCAGGCGCTGAAGTAGTCGAAGTATCTGTCCCGATGCACAAACTAGGTGCGCACGTCTGGACGGCTAGTACGCGCGCCAGCTTGTCGGATTTCGGTTTCCTCGGACACATGGCCGGCTATCTCACGTTCGCACCTCCTCATCTGCAGCCGCGGCGGCCTCTGGATCAGGAATGGTACGAGCTCCTCACGGCAACCAATCCATCAGCTGTCAACGTTGCAATCGCTGGCAGCCATCTCAAGAAGAAGTTTGGGCCTCACCCTGAAGCAAAAGCCCATCGCCAGGTCTTCAAGTTGCGGGCAGCGTACGATCATGCCCTCGAATCTGTTGACATACTGGTGACGCCCACGACATCGTCAGTTGCAATGCCACATCCTAAGCTGAAATTCATCGACGGAGATCCGGCATCATCTGTAATGGACAAGTTAAAGATGAGTATCGGTAGCTCAACCAACACTTGCCCGTTCAATGTCACCGGGCACCCAGCATTGAGCGTGCCGTGTGGCTTCGCAGCGCCGGAAGACAAGAGCACAGATGTCAAGTTCCCGATTGGCATGCAGCTAATCGCACGTCGCTGGGACGAAGAGACGCTACTTAAGGCCGCAGCACTGTTCGAACGGGAAATATTGGGCAGCGGTGAATTGCTCGGCTCTGCCGACCGAAAGCAGTAATAAGCCTGCCGATCATTCTGGCCATGATCCAATAGAGGGGAATTTTACCCACTTCCATTCGCAGTCTTAGCAGCAATCCGTAGACCACAGCATTGCTATGGAGTCCATGCATAGAGCAGTGAGGGGAGTATGGGGAGCGGGAGGTTACAGTGCCTAGGAGAGCAGCGGCTCCGCATCGAACAAACTTCAGCTATTCTTCGATGTGCGGCACGTCTTTGCCACAAGCATACAAAGTGCATGCTGCGAGCAACTATACGCTCTACTCCAGCTATATGATCATTCTCCATAACCGACGGTAGCAACAGGTACTCAGACGCATCTGTACGCTATTGCTGTGGTCGACTGTTCAAACATTCGCACCAAGAATATAGCGTCATTACTGCGCTAGCTTCGCGCTGAGGCACTAAGAAGGCAGCCTATGATAGCTCACTAGCAAGGACCTCTTTGAGATCGACAATCTGCATCACCAGGGCCGACAAGACAACAACAGATAACCACCATGGCGTCCTCACTCCAAACCAAAACGCTCCCTCCCACCACAAACCTCACCATGGAGATCCGCCACAACGGCCTGGACACCTCGTCCATCACCCCGAAACCAAACACGGCTTCCAGCAAACGGTCATGGTGGAAGACCACAACCGTCTACCAAATATGGCCCGCCTCCTTTCTCGATACCACCGGTTCCGGTCTCGGCGACCTCCGCGGCATCATCTGTAAGCTTCCCTACCTACACAACCTCGGCATCGAGACCATCTGGCTGTCACCCATGTACGACGGCCCACAGCAAGACATGGGCTACGACATTTCCGACTACACCGCCATCTACCCGCCTTACGGCACGATGGAGGACATGGAGGAGCTCATCGCCAAGATCCACGCTCTGGGAATGCGGATTATCCTCGATCTCGTCGTGAACCACACTAGCGACCAGCACAAGTGGTTCCAGTCCTCCAAGACAGGCAATGGGCTGCATAAGGACTGGTATATCTGGCGAGACGGCAAGCCCAACCCCAAGCCATCGACTGATGCCAACAAGCCCACGATCCCCCTCCCACCGAACAACTGGGCCTCCGTCTTCGGCGGCCCCGCCTGGACCTGGTGCCCCTCCCGCCAGCAGTACTACCTGCACATCTTCGCCCCTGGCCAGCCGGATCTGGACTGGGAGAACGACGCTGTCCGCGCCGCCGTCCACAAGGATGCCCTGAGATTCTGGTTTGAGAAGGGCATCGACGGGTTTCGGGTGGATACCTGCAACATCTACTCCAAGAACCAGAAGCTGTTGGCACGAGATGGGCGTGTCACCGAGCGGACGAAGCCGTTGGGGGAGTGTGATCCGGGAATCATCAATGGGCCACGGATCCACGAGTTCTGGTCTGAGATGCGGCGGGAAGTGATAAACAAGTATGTTGGTGGCGATCCGTTGATGGTGGGGGAGTTGGCGGACAGCAGCGTCGAGGAAACGCTACGCTTCATCGGGCGGACTGGGCCGAAGAAGGAGGTGAAAGAGGAATTGAGTATGGTGTTTGACTTCAGCTATGTGGATTTGGGCCGTGAAGACGCGCTTCCTCACTTGATCAAACCAATTGATCTCCCTGCAGCGAAACGCGCCATGGGCACTCGGACTTCAAACTACCTCACTGCCGGCGCATGGACGTCGATCTTCAAAGAAAACCATGACCGTCCGCGCAGTGTCTCTCGTCATCCGGGACCCACTGACCCTAAGAACTGGTCGCGTATTGCCAAGCTGCTGGCTATGATGACCGGCACCCTCTCCGGCACGCTATTCCTGTACCAAGGCGAAGAGATTGGGATGACGAACATCAACCCCGACACCTGGTCTCCTGGAGATCTGAAGGATATTGCTTCATTGAATTACTTACAGGCGATGAGAGAGCGCTATCCGAACGACCCAGTGATGTGGGACAAAGCGTGGCGGGGTGTTTGTGCCGTGGGGCGGGACAATGCGCGGACGCCGGTGCAGTGGGCGAACAGAAAGAATGGGGGGTTCAGTGATGGGAGCAGGACGTGGATGCGGGTGAATGAGAACTATAGGGAGGGAGTGAATGTGGAGGAGCAGGAGGGAAAGCAGGGCAGTGTATTGGAGTTCTGGAGGAGGATGCTGAAGTTGAGGAGGCGGGAGGAGGGGTTGTTTGTGTTGGGCGGGTATAGGTGCGTGGATGAGGAGAATGAGCGAACGTGGACTTTTGAGAAGACGGCGGATGGTGGCAAGGGGAGAGCGTGGGTGGTATTGAATTTCTCGGATGATGAGGTTGAGTTTGAGAGGCCGAAGTGGGCGAGGGAGCTTGCGCTGACGAATTACGGGGGCGAGAGGGATACAAAGGAGGACAAGTTGGCGCCTTGGGAGGGAAGGATCTACATGTAGATAGTAGGGAAGAGCTGAGACGATGGCGTCCTCTGATGCTCTGGCGAATACTTTGCTTCAGAATCCATTCAGGGAGCCGACACTACTCGACCCTTCGACTGCGAATCATGTCGTAGAGGTTCTCCTTGATCCGACTGCAGTATCTCGTCCGCAGCAAGCTTAGGCACATTTCGTGGCCGCTATCCATTGACAAGAGCAGATCAGGTGCGGCATCAGTCATGTTCTCGATCGTAAAGAGCTGTGACTTCACTCCGTCGACGCCAGCAAGCACGCCGATAGCTCTTGTGCTGATTGGACTCTCTGAGCTTGTGTGGCTGTCACTTTCGTGATTCATCAGGTCGTTGGCGAGACTGATCTTGAGCGGCACCCGGGTCCTTATGAGCTGCACCACTTCCTTGCCAAGTTATGCTGAGAGCCAATGGCGCAGTCGCGAAACTGATCAGAGAACCTGCGCTCGGCACAGCCTTCGGAGTCTCGAAGAAGGTTGTGAAGCCCTGGAATGCCTGTCTCAACGAGGCTGGCGATAGGAAGATGCCTGCTGAGGATGAGTCCTTCCAATTGGTGAAGATGGCCAGAGTGCCCGGCATGATGGCCGCACCGTGGTCATTCCAATTCACGTCCTTGTCTTCAGGCTGGGATGGCCATCCGAAGAGCTGCGAATCAAAGCCGGTACAGCCAGCAATATAGCGCAGGACCTGATTGAAGGCTTGCCCTGCTTGTGAGCCGGCATCTGTGATTGAAGGTGGATCTGAAGGTTCGTGTGCCTGGAGGAGGATGAATGTGGTGACGAGGTTGCTGTTGCTGCTTTTGGCCATGGAATCGAGGGTGCTGGAGTGGTGAATGACTTGCCTACCTTTGCGGACACTCCTTTCACGTTATATATGTAACATCTTTGGCGTCTTCGGAGGGTACTAAGCTTGACGCACTACCCTACATGCTATATATGGACGCCTTCGGACAGTTTCGGAGGGTTGACCAAAAACCTACCTATGTCGTTGATTGCCACAGCCTCAATGTTGGTGTGGCCGGTGCCTACAAACGGCCGTCGCATTGAGCAACCTTTCCGGTTCCTTGATGACATCGAGTGAGGAGCAGTCGGCCAGCACGTGAAAGACGAAACGGAGGAAAGGGTTGACGTCGGAGGATGGTGCAGTAAGGTGGTAACGCGGGAAGTAGCGGTGGGAGAGGTTGGGGGTCTGCCTAACCGTCGGACTTAGTTGAATCACTTCCGCCTTGAGCCCTTGATGGCGATGTCACCTGCTCCCATCGCTCACAGATTCTGGTTTCACATCTTCAACCTCACTAGCAATACGGATCAGGCGTCAGGCACCTTCCGCACGACACGCAAATACTTCATAAGTATTAAAAACCCTCTCCGCAGCCAGGTCACCGTCCGTTTGACATCACATCTTACAAACCACCATCGGACTCACGACGGCTTTCTCACAGACGATCTGAGCATCACTTCCGGCATTTAGTCGCGTTGAGCGTCTTGAGCAGTCCACAAGAGCCTGGAGAGGGCCTGGCGACATGTGTGTGCCTCTCACACCCCGCTCAAGATGGACGTCGTGGATATGAAGACACCTGCAGAGCCACCGTCCATACCACAGGAACCGGTACCACTAGCATGCTCGTCACCAGACCGGCCGTCCCTGTCGACCTTTGAAAGAGTCGTCTGCTCGAATCCTCCCATTCTCGACTCGCTGTTCGCCCAGCTCACCACACAAGATGCTCTTCATATTTACCATACGAGTCCCTACCTGCGAGCATTCTTGCGGAACTCGCCTACCGCCTGGCGCTTCGTCTCATGGCGTCTGTATCAACAGACAGTCACAGCCCCGACTCCCACGAACAGTACGAACCAGCCGAAGCAGTCCAGCAACTACGCTCTCGACCACTTGCTCATCAGCGTCATAAACCCATACAGTACACGTTTACAGAGTCTAGAATTGGACAACACTGCAGTCAGTGGAAGCACATTATCACAGACTGTGTTGGTGCTACGGAGAGACACGTTGCAGCATCTCTCTGTGAGAGGGTGTAAGAATGTCTCGTTGAAATACCATATCAATCCGTGGCTGCAGATGCACGCCCTAGCAAAGCAAGCAGGCGTCTTTCCCTACGATAAGTTGGCCCTCAAAAGTCTGTACACGTACCGCTGTCGGCATCACAGACGGCGGCCGTATCTACCACAGAGCCTGAACCGGAAAGAGAGCGACAGTGAACCCACACATGAGCTGGTGAAAGCATGCCACGAGCTCGGGATCTGGACAGACACCGCCTGGTGCACAACTCCGGGTCCTCGCTGTTTCCGGCGACGTGGCTATGTCACCATGCGCACTCCGCAGGATCCTCGCGAAGTCTGGGTCGTCTTTGATCGATTGTGGAGAAGCAAGAACTGGATCGGTCCGGCCGAGACCAACAGCAGTTCGAACACTACGAATGCGTCGTCACCGAATCAACGCCGATCTGATCCTCGTCTGTGGGAGTCGCAGGAGGTGGCTCGCAAGGGCGAAGCTACTGGCATTTCTGGTGATGGTAAAGACGTGCCAATGCACCTTCGTGCCTCCCATCGGGTCTTCGTCGAGGATCACCAATGCCACCAGTGTGGCGAGACAATACTCGAGCGCTGCGAGCAGTGTTCGATACTCATGCATTGCTCCGGATGTCGAAAAACCTTGTGTGCTTCATGTGCGTTCGATCGACCGTATCTGCGCAACAAGACTGCTCCAAAGGATGATCGAAACAAGTTCTGGTGGGCCCCCGGATGCGCTATCTCACCATGTTCCATGCAGGATTCTGACACCCAGCCTCCTTTTGCGAACGCAGGCAATCTTGGACCAGGTAACGCTCTTCCGAATCTTCGCTTCAAATGGTGCTGCACCGAGCCCGTTTTCTCAGGCGGCGGTGGCATCTCTTTCCAGACAACCACTCGTAACGCGGATCATATCCGTGCCGCGCCACTACCCAAAGACCACGGCTGGGAGGACAAAGAATTTGCAGAAGCGTCAGAGGACTCGAGTTGTGGTTGCACTAAAGGTGAACTGGCTGGCCGTTGGAAATCGCTTCCTGATTTCTTCATCAAAAATCTTGCGCTCAACGAACAGGGTGTGCTGCTGCCGGCTCTACCTGTGCCACGGATGTTATGTGAGGACTGCCATTCGTCCCCAGTCTGGCGGATCAACTGCAAGTCATGCAGCACACCAATATGTATCAAGCATGATTTCCGTGACAAGATGAAGATTCGGATATGCGGTGTTCGAGATGTGTCTGTGGAAGCCCGGGAATACCTTGCAATGAAGAAGAAATGGGATCAGCGAATAGGCAAGCTTAATGCAGGCAATGATCCCGACTGGGAGCTACTGGCACGCGAGTTCTTCCAGCAGAAATTGGCTTCTTTGAACCACGTAAGGTCAACAGAAACGAGGCCACCAGTCGCGAATGTTTCGTCGCTGTTGAGGCAGAGCTTGCAACCATGCAACGACCAACCTAGTCAGATGCCAGTGCCGACTATTCAACCACTGCCAGAGGGGCTTGCCGATGACACTTCATCCCATCAATCAATACTTGAGACTGATCTCCCACAGCGTCCATCATCTCGAGGCTCAAACGTCTCGGACACAATTTCTCGCGCGTCCTCGCCGGCACCTTCAGCAGAGACACCTCCTGTCACTCCGGAGCCCAAATCAACTCCGAGAAAGGCTGCAAAGAGAGATATCAAGCCAAGTTTGGAACCTCCCTGGAAGGCTGCTTCGCCTTCTACTGTAGTCCTACTAGATCTGCGGGCGACACGCGCCGAAGATGCTTGGCACGATGCGACAGTGTACCGAATGCAAGATCAACGTATGCGAGGAATGCATAACGACGATGGATCCAGTCTGTCCATGCAGAGGCTGCAAGATGGCCACCGGCGATGACACCACGGCTACACATCCGCCGTTGTTCTTCTGCAACAATTGTAGATGGGCGAGAATGGTCAGTGGGAAATGCAAGAGGTTTACTGAGCCCTATCTAGCAGCACAAGCTGCTCAAGCTGGCAGAATCCGACGACCGAAGAATGCATCAAAGCTGCGCCAGTCCACCGACGCTAGACGACCCTCGAGCAGTAACACTGCTGATCCTGATATCATGGCAGGCTTTCTGGGCGAGTTCTCAGAGATGAGATTTGATGACATCCGCCCACTGACTATCAGTGAGCGAGCTCGCATACTCATAAATCAGCCGACGCCGAATGTCACCCAATCGAGTGACCTAGAACAGCGTAACGTCGAAGAGGTCGGAATCCTGGTAAGAGAGCTCGCCACCCGAATGCGAGACCTACGAGCACACTTTGGGCCAGACTCGCCGGCTGCGCGGGCATTACCCAATATCACTATTGACGACGACGGGACCGAGGCAATCATACAACATGTGGAAGGGCTTGTTCATATCGACACCGATTCCAGTGGAGATGACCCGTCGAGCTGACCTGTCAAATGAGTTGTGTGAGGAGATCGGTGGGATGGCACTCATCTGGCACGCGAATAGAGACAGTATGTAATTCTAACAATGATTGACGACCTCCTACTGTATCTACGATCAAGCGTCGCCAGCGTATCTCCCTCTGCAATTGTGATGCCCTTCTCTGTCGCTGCTACTTACCTCCTCACAATCCTTCAGCGCGAGTCGAGCAGGTCTGTGAATATATTCAAGCCCCACATTGCAGCTGCCTCGCCCATTCCTGCTCATACTCGACAAGCTGTGCTCAGACACGGTCCAGTCCAATCGTCTAGAGGTGCGTCTGCTCGCGGGTGTCTCGGGCTGCTCGAATGTGTGCTCAATCGATACACCTATATACTCTCTGCTCTTCAGAAGCTGCGATGGTCAATGGATTCGGAATTTCCGACACGACGGCAACTGATGTGGGGTCAACTACCGAAAATCCCTCCTTTTTCCTCCCTCATTTCCTCCACACGGTGTCTTCCCAACTCCACATCGGGGTAAGATGATACTATTCAGCCAGTATGCGCAATTCGGGTACCAAGATGGATGCCGACAACTCCTCTGTCAGCATTTGCACACTTCAGCATCAGTATTTCCCAGCTAGCAGCGACTATGTCGACATCGACCCTGGAACATCCCAGCCTGGGCAAGGTCACCGGCCTTCGTAGTCAAGATGGCATTGAGCAGTTCCTGGGCATACAGTATGCCACGCTCAAGGATCGTCTGTCAGAGCCTGTCTTGAGGACGGACTACAGTGGTGGGATAGATGCTACGCAACATGGGTGAGTCAAGGTCTTCCCACCCTGCCGTTCAACATCAGCGTCCCCAATACGGTCTGGCACAATGCCTCCACACAAGGTCGCCATGGCTCATACGACTGCTAATCTGGCGTCAATAATGCAGACCTGTAGCTTCTTGCGGGCCACAAGGCTTCGAGATGGAAGTCGGGACCTTCATTCAGAAACCCATCTCAAAGCCCGACCTAGTGGAGAATGACACCGACTGCCTGAATCTGAGCATTACCGTCCCATCAGGCGAGCAACGAAAAGGGTCGAAACTGCCCGTCTTCATCTGGGTCCACGGTGGTGGGTTCGTCGTTGGAGCGCACAGCTGGCCGCACTATGACCATAAGCGGCTGGTCAAGTTAGCTAGTGAGGAGGGTGTACCTGTGATCGGGGTCGGGATCAAGTAAGTATACCATGGTTTCAACGACTTCGTCCGTCTGAATTGTCAGAGGGGGCCTGTCACCAACACCAGAAAGGCTGACGATCACGAACTAGCTACCGACTAGGCCTGCCCGGCTTTCTGACCTCGGAAGAGCTTAAAGCAGCAGGCTACAAAGGAAACAACTTCCTTCGCGACCAACGGACAGCCTTCGAGTGGGTGAGGAAATACATTGACGGCTTTGGCGGCGATCCAGACAACGTCACCGTCGTAGCCGAGAGCGCTGGTGCCAGTAAGCCCCGTACTGCCCTCCATCTCTAATACCAGAAACTTAACAGAAAACCCCTAGTGGCTGTCTCCCTCCACCTCCTCTCCAACAGCCCTACTCCTCCCTTCCACCGCGCCCTCCTAACAGGCGGCACCTGCCTCATCCGCCCCGCCCTCCCGCCTCCTGTCCACGAAGCAACCTACGCCCAGGCCATCTCCGCCCTCAAACTCGACTCCCTCTCCCCGTCCGACCGCCTCCACCAACTCCTCACAATCCCCATGTCGACCATCTACGCCACCGTCCCACCCAACATCCAACCCAACGCCGTCATCGACGGCGACCTCTTCACCAACATGATCTCCTTCGACTCCGTCCTCTCCGGCTCCATTCCCGCCAAGACCTGGCCCCTCAAAGCCCTCTGCGTAGGCGACTGCGGCTTCGACGCCAGCGTCTTATACTGGCTCGCCGGCTTCCTCAAACCCCTCGCCAAGCGCTTCCCTGACTCCGCCCGGAAATCCCTCGCTGCTCACCCAGAGCAAGCCGAGAAGCTGCTCTCACTATACAAATTTGATGAGGCCACCGACGACGACGCATCCTTCATCAAAGTCCTAGAATTCATGTCCGACACCTCCTTCCACCTCGGCACCCTCGCCTTCGCCAAGGCCTTCGCCACCCACTCCCCAGACACAAAAGTAAGCGTCTTCACATTCAACGAACCAAATCCCTTTCCAGGCTTCTTCAGCGGCCGCGCGACACACGTGTTGGACGTGGTCTTCCTGTTCCAGAATTACAATGATGACTTGCCGCCCGCGCAGAGGGAGGCGGCGAGGCAGATGGGGCTTGATTTTGCGCGGTTCGTGAGGGGGGAGGAGAGCTGGAGGGGGTTTCCGGGGGCGAAGGCTTATGGGCCGAGTAGTGTTGAGGGTGGCGCGGGTGGGAAGGCGGTGAGTAGGGTGGTGGAGGACGTGATGGGTCAGGAGGGCGCGAGGGAGGCGGGGCGGAAGGGGGAGGTGGTTGAGGTTGCGGAGGTAGTTGGGTGGGACGTGCTGGGGGGTGTTTTTGTGGATTTTATGATGGGGAAGCATCTTTAAGCTCCTTGCGGGCCGCTAGCCTCACGTGGACTTCCTCGGGCTCAACATATCCGTCTCTGGCATTGATCTTGTCCTTCCAAGCCACAGCTGCGTCGATCATGCCGTCGGCGTTCTCAGGTAGGATTCCGGTCGCGAGATATGACCAGATTTTATACCTATTTCGCACAACTTCCTGAAACTCAAAATTCGGCTCGATGGTAAGCGAGTCGATAAATTCGACGCCAGCATTGAGCTGGCTGAGTGCGACCAAAGGCTCTTCGCACTGGGAGACACGAGCAAGATCAAGGGCAGTGACGCCGTCCTCATCTGCGTGGCCCGTGTCAACTCCAAAGCGATTCAGTATTTCCCATAACTGCGGCCACTCTTCACCACCAAAAGAGGTATGCCATCCGTCTTTTGGAATGCTGTAGTGAAGCACGCTTCTTCCACTGTGGTCTGTTGCGTTGACATTAGCTCCGAGACGAAGCAAGGCGTACGCAAGGAATGGCTCTCCTGTGAGCGTAGCGATCATGAGCGGAGTTACCCCAGTGTCGTCACAGGCGTTAAGATCCAGCCCACGAGACACCAGGAGAGGTATGAGGTTGATGGCAGCTTGCTCGTCACCACCAGGGTAATTAGCCACGAGCTGGTGCAGTACCTTCTGCCGTAGACCCTCTAGCTTGACCATAGCTCCAACTTCGATAAGATGATGCGACCATAGTACGCTGCCGTCGTTGAGCGCGGCCGACAGTCCGTGCTGAATATCCTGATCGAGGCTCCGGACGTAGGACAGATAGTCCGTACTGAATACGGTCTGTACAGCATGTTGCCAAATGCTGACCAGCATGCCAGGCCTCTCGTCAGCAGGAGCCATGCTTATCAACACATCCATGACTTCGATGTCGCTCGCTTGAGCAGCAGCTTCCCAAGCCGTGACAGATTTCAAGCCTTTGGTCCTCAAGTTTATATGTGCTCCGTTCCGCACCAAATACTTTATGACGTCCACAAGCTCGTGGTTGACAGCAAGGACCAGCACAGTTTCGTCGTCCCAGATTCTGTTGAGATCGAAGCCACGACCCCTCAACAAGCTCAAGACATGGCAGACCACAGCCTGGTAAGCGGTCTCGCAAGACGCCTTCTTGAAGATCCACTTAAGATAGCTGACATAACCAGCCCTCGTTATGACCTCGCCTCCAATGCTGAAGAAGTAGGTGAAGAGTTCGTTAGGCTTGTCCGACTCTTCTAGCATTTTATGCTCCGGCTCGGTTATGCTTGGGGCTCTAGCTAAAGCGTCATGTAGGTCGTCGCGGTGTTCGTTGACAACAGCTGTAGCCGTGACAGTCGCTTCGGCAGAGTGTATTCTTCGGACTTCTGCGTTCAGGATCTCCAGACTCCGGTATATATCATGCTTTGCGAGCTCTTCTGCAAGCGGGCGCAGACCGAAACAGCTGGAGATGAGCCATCCTGGACGCTGACTGGCGAATCTTTGGCCCAGGCCATGGTAGAACCGCCGGTTGAAATAGAGCTTCTTTAATCGACGCGGCCAGGCTGAGAGCCCTTCCTGCCACCAAATACCACAGAAGACGTCTCCAGCCAGACTTGATGCCAGATCGCTCCTGCTTGGCAACAGCAGCAGAGCAGCTGCGCAGTGCGATGGCCACATATGCGTCGAATACTCGCGGAAGGACGTCAACCCACGGTCATATTCTGAACTTTGTCCCATGGAGCTGCCAGAATCGTCAGCTTCAGAGTCTTCTTGCACCGAAGCAGTGACGACCGCTCCCAGATACTCTGTGGAGTGTTCATAATCCGAACTCGTGCCTGATTCACTCGGAAGTGAGTCCTCATCTTCGTCGTTGGCGCAATCGTCCACTTCAGCCTCTCCTTGGATCGGACCGGTGATGGACTCGTCTGGACCTTCTCCGGAGTGTTGTGGGTCTGAGACAGTTACTGATCCATCTGTAAGCGAGTCCGCATCTATGTCGTTCATGATACGAATTTCATACAAGCAGATCCGCAACAGATATTGATGGCACTCCCCTGTGCTGTACGCTGCTCCCTCATCGCTGCTCAGTAGATAATCCACGACTGACATATGGGAGAATTGCATGTGGGTGACTTCTCGTTTGAGTACATCGGGACCATCCCGGGGGATTTCAACAGGGCGCAGTAGATTCCTGGTTCTTGCTTTGACGTAGTCTTCATCAACTTCCGCGTCCATGTTGGTGGAAGAATGCTCGAGAGCATCGACGTCTTTGATCGCCAGTACTGCGACCAATTCGGCCAGCGACAAGCCTGGCGAGAAAGCTGCGAGCGTAATCTGGAATGCCCGCTTTGCAATTTCTCGAGCACGTCTACCATTATTGTTTCGCTTGAGAATATCTGTGTATGTGCCTCGAAGAGTGTCGTCAGCTGTGGCACGATTGTTCTCGATCTTTCGAATTTCGTCCTCGACATCTTTTCTGTCAACAGGGGGGCTATCTGGAGCTGCGAAGAACCATGTTAGACGAAGCTTGACCCATTGAAACCTGAACACCATTCGACATATGTCTGCATCAATGTACATGCGAGACAGCTTACATGCCCTGGGCTCGCTTCAAAAGAGCCAAGACTAGACGCTCTTCAATTTCAGGATGCTTTCCCCGTAGTAGCCTGTCCTCTCGCTCATGTCCAAAGATCTCTCCTCTGACGAATACTTCCATATCGAATTGGGTGAGCTCTGCAGCCAGTACTTTCGTCGTGCTTGTCGGGAAGTATTCCTGCACTTTGACCTCCTCGCGACTGGTCAGGAAAATTTTCATGTTCCCTTTGTGATGTTTCACAGCTTTTGCCAGCGCGCTTAGCAGGACGTTCCAGTCTCTGCATTCGTCGAGGGCGTCGATGATGATACGTGTCTCAATCCCCAGGTCGAAGGTCTCCCCGACCAATTCATCCTGCTCACGGCGCGATAGCTCCGCACCCTTCGACCGCTCATGATTGTGCTTGCGATAGAAGGAGTCAAGTGGCTCCACGATCTCGTTCTTACCTTCAATTTCAGCGAGCTGGCGAATGAGAGAACCGAGGACTGTCTCTGTATCTTTAGCTCCACCAGCAGCAATACGTGAGCAGTAGACGTAGGCAAAGCTTGTGTCGTTAGCTTTTGCAGAGAAGCTTCGAAGCTCTTCAATGACTCGGCATCTGGTGTGCGACGTCAGCAACACTCCTGGCACGTACAGCGGGACGACTCACGATAAGGTCGACTTGCCAGTGCCAGCTGACCAAGGTTACCACCAAGTATTCATGGAGATAGGAGCGACATACCAGTACCTACTATCCACAAAACCTGCAAGCCAGAGCCAGCATTCCAAGCTTCGAACTCCCTAGATCCAAGAAGCCACTCACCACATAGCGAATAGCTGTCGTCGACTTTGGAGCTCTTGATCAGCTCACGATGAGCGACGATGTGCTTCGCGTCCGAGATCCAGTCCAGGGTCTTTCGATTGTTGTCATAAAAGTCGCTTTCGGCTTTGATGAGATCGAAAGAGGCTTCACACCGTCTATGTTTAATATCCACGTCGGCTTTAGCTGCTTGTATTTCGTTGGGGAAGTAGGGCGTCTGTGCCACTGCAAAGACCGTGTGCTCTGCAGCGAGGTAAGTCAGTGACTGTCAGTGGAGGTGTGCGGGACATCGTGCCATTGATGTACTTGTACGCGGAAGCAGTCCACATGAGGATTGATCTGTAGACCTGCACCAAGTCGTCCTCGGCTTTTTCAAATGCATCTAGATATTGGTCCCTTCTCCGACCCAGGATCTTTGCTTCTTTAGATGCCCATGTTCTGGTCTTCAAGCAGATATCCTCCAGTTGGATGTATACACTTTGGTCAAGCTCGATCTTCGCTAGTGCAACCTGCTCACGGGTGTCAGTTCACTGAAGATCAAGAATAGCCCTCATCTCTCCTGTCTTGCTGCCTGTTTGACCTGCACTGCACGCTCTAAACCTGCCGACGCTCTCTTTTCTTCACGTCTCGCGCTCTCTCATCAGGCTGCTCTCATTCCACAGCTTGCCCTAGCATGCTACTCCGATGTGACCGGCAGCATCTGGAGACAAGCTTGGAGATAGCCCAGACTTTGAGCACATCATGCTGGTACGGGGCAGAAGACAGCATATTCCGGCCGAGCACATGCCAACGAACCCAGCGAATACTTACACCTATCAATGATGTCGTGGCCTGAACGGCTATCGTGGCAGCCCCTGTAGCGTCAAATCGCCCAGCAGCTGCTGCTGGACCTCGAAACAAGAGCATATAGCTCGCAGCACGTATCACATGTCGACGATTACCAAACCTCTGTTTATCTCGCTTGGAGGACAGATTCTTTAGATCATCCTCTTGGGCCTTGTTGATGTCGTGAAGTGATACCGTCTTAGGGTCTTTCAATATTCTCTTCAACTGTTGGTATGCATCTCGATCGCTCTCTTTCTTGCTCTCTTTCAGCGTATCCAAGGCCTTCTCCCATAGGCTCGAGTAGATCTCCGGTGCAGCATCTTTGGACGTCGATGTTGAGCTCGGGTCGGCTTTCAATGGCTGCGCTGCACCCTGGGAGATCGAGATGGGTCCGGTTTCTGCTCTCTGTGTCGCCGCACTGTCCGCACCAGTCGAAGCGACAGTCACAGCATTGCTGCGCGATGTTGCTTCAGCCTTGCCCCGGCTGAAGAACTTCTTGAACCCTGATCTCTTCGATGTTTCCTTAGGTGTATCGGAGTCTTTGTCCTTCATGAGGATGTCGGAGCAGCCACAGCGACCGTAGCTTTCGGGTCGGATCGTCAAAGGTTTAGTACCACGCGCCGCGCGACGTCCTCCACTTGAGATATTGAGAACGACCCGGTTTAGTCTTATCTCCGTCAACTCCTGGTGACAACGTTGCGTTTTAATTCGCTGCGACATCTGAACTCCTCATAGTATCTGCATCGCTAACCCACCAGCGAAGTTATTGCACGGCAATAAACGCAGCTGTGCCAACAATCATGTTTCGGGCGTTTGAGAACCAAAACGTTGGCACGCATGAATTCTAACCGAGGTGATAGCATGACAATGCCAGCTGCCGTCAGGAGACTTCCTGAACACGGGGCTACCTAAAGCAGGCCTCGATAGCCAGCGAGAAGACAAGAATGTGGTGCATAATCGATCAATTGCAGCTCTGGATCATTATGCTTGAGTCAGGTATGTGCTCAGGCTGGTCGCACTCAGAGCTTCGAACTTGTGCTCTGGGTCTTTTGAGCAACAAGCAGGCACGCGACGAGGGCTCGCCTGCCTGCCAGTGTTGGCTATGCGATCTGTGTCATGTGCGACTTCTTTTTCAGCTCAATGAAGACCAGCAAAGAGCAGGCAGGGGTCAGCGGCGGCCCTGGACGCTCTTGCTCACGCTATGGGCCGGAAGAGGAAGCAGCAATTCATGGTTCAGGGAAGCCGCGACCACTGTGGGTTCAAGTAGCTCTTCTGTTGAATGCTTTGGCCATCTTCTTGGCCCTTTGATAATAATATCCTCTATGCCCAACCTTGACCGACAGGGTTTAGGTATGAGCTCTGCTTCTCTATGGTGCAAATTTCTATATCATGACCGTTGCATCGACTCATCATAATTTCGCCACGATCGGCATAGCCTGGGGCTCATCGATCACTTCAGCAGTCACCTTGGACCTCGCTTTGATCCAGTCCCTCAGGCAAAGGACGAAAGCATCTATCTGCGCCGTAGTGTTGCCCGCGTGTAAACATACCCTCACACGTTCGGTATTCTCGGGCACAGTCGGTGGTACGACAGGTCTGACCACAAACCCCAGTGACTGGCAATGCGAAGCAAGGTCTCTCGGGACAGTGCTGAGAAGTGCGAAGATGGGCGAGTCTGGGCACGTCTGGGGCAAAACTAGCATGCTTGGATCCTCGAGCCGAGATGCTGAATCGGCAAGCGACTGTAGTCGGTCGAAGAGGTAGCGAATAAGATATTGCAGGTTCTGTGACAAGTTGTTCGTCCGGCCGTTGATCATCCAGTCGTACGCGGTGCGAATGGCAACCAGTGACGGGAACGACATAAAAGTGGTAAAGATGAGTGGTCGAGCATAATTGATGAGGTACAGGCGCATGATTGGTGAGCACAATATAGCTGCGCCATTGCAAGCCAGGGCTTTGCCGAAGGTGTGCAATCGAATGCCAACACGATTCTGCAGGCCCAGCTCAGACACTCGTCCAGCTCCGTTATCCCCGTAGCAACCGGTCGAGTGTGCCTCATCGACGATCAGATGCGCTCGGCCCTTCGGTACAGCAGCGTCCAGTAGGTCACAGATCTCTGTCAATGGCGCCAGATCACCTTCCATGCTGTACACAGATTCGACTGCCACGAAAATGTTGTTGGTAGATGATATCGGCAACACAGCTTCTACTACCTCCGCCAAGTGCTGAACATCGTTGTGCCTGAACGCAATACACTGCTTCGCTCGGCCAGCTCGCATACCGTCATGAACGCTGGCGTGGATGAGCTCGTCATAGATTACCACATCGCCTGGCTGCGGTAGACATGTGAAAATGCTGACATTGGCATCAAAGCCCGAATTGGTGAGCAGTGCTGACTCGGCGCCATGGAAGGCGGTGATGTCTTGTTCAAGCTGTTCGGCGAGGCCTGAGTTGCCATCTAGCAGTCTCGATCCCGTTGAGCCCACTCCAAGATCATAGCTGTTGAGTCTGTCGAGGAAGTCCTGGCGGAAAGCAGCATTCGTTGATAGTGAGAGGAAGTCGTTGGAAGAGAAGTCGATTGAGGCTGATGGAGTTCGCTTTAGCGTTCTCAGTTTCGAGCTTTGCTGTCGTTTATCGAGAATGGTCTGCAGCCGTTTCTCTAAGGCGGTCGCCATCGCGCGAATAGCAGGCCTCCCACCCCTGGAAGCCAAATATCCGGGCTCTGTTAATTGGTTGCTCTCAAGCCCATAACGGCCGAAACTCGGACAACGTAATGCAGACGAACTTCCGACTCTTCTGAGAGCCACTTGTAAGACTCCTGGCCCTCGTTGCCCTACTCCTACGATCATGAAATTGTATGCTCGGATGTGAAGGTGTAATAGAAGTCAACGAAGCTCGTGGAGGTCCATGCGAGTCCAGGCACCCCAATCATATTTCTGCTGAGCTGTCTTGGCTGCCAAGTCTTCAAATGTTTCCGGTCTAGCCCGATGGGCCTGGCCTTCGAGTGCCTCGTCTTGACCACGTCTCTATGATCACTCCTGTGTACTGACATAGCGCTCGGGCTTTCGTGTACGTGGAGGTCAGATGCTGTGGAGGGATTTGAGGGTATGGCAGGTCTACGGTGCCAATACCGATGTCGGGAAAACGATAGTGTCCACGATCCTTTGCAGAGCCCTCCAACGTCGAGCTCCCAACAACGGAGTCTTGTACTTCAAGCCTGTTTCAACAGGACCTCAGGACGAAGCAGATGACCGTCATATCTCGAAGTTCGCGCCCGGAGTACTGTCGAAATGTTTGACGCAATTCTCTGAACCTGTCAGCCCACATCTGGCCGCTCAGCGAGACTCAGCGACTCCAGTCCGTACATTTCTGTAGCAAAGATTGCATATGACCTTACTGATCATTCTAGGACTCTATTCAAGACGGCAAAATCATCGCCAAAATCAGACGCGAGCTGAGCAAGCAAGCAGGAGCAGGCACGCGCTATGCTCTACTGGAAACAGCGGGCGGCGTTCTGTCACCCGGTCCTTCAGGGACAGTCCAAGCAGACCTGTATCGGCCACTACGTCTTCCAACTTTGCTCGTTGGCGACAGCAAGCTTGGCGGAATCGGTACGACCCTGTCGGCGTTTGAGTCTCTGCATGTTAGAGGATACGATGTCGACTCTGTTGTCCTGCTTAACGAGCCCAAATGGGGCAATTTCGGATACTTGCGAGATCATCTGGCAAAGCGTGACGTCCGAGTCATATCTCTGCCAACGCCGCCGCCACGAGTAGATGATCCAAGCGAAGACGAGGAAGCACTGAGACGGTTCTACGATGAGTGTGCTGGGTCTGCTGAGGTTGACGCATTCCTGGAGAGCCTCAACAAGAAGCACTTTCAAAGGATTTCGGCTCTCACATCTATGCCTTCAGAAGCCGAAGATATTGTCTGGCACCCGTTCAGGCAGCACGGCATCTCCCACAACATCGTTGCTATCGACTCAGCACACGGTGACAATTTCGAGGCATACAACCAAGCAGCCGATCCTGTCGTTGCCAGTGCCGCTGAAGACAGTGGAGCAGGAATCCAGCCTGCCGTCACGACGAAGTCGAGCACATCCCTCATAACTCCGCTGTTTGATGCCTCTGCATCCTGGTGGACGCAAGGCTTTGGCCACGGCAACCCGGAACTCGCACTTGCAGCAGCCCATGCAGCTGGCCGCTACGGTCACGTCATGTTCGCCCACTCCGTCCACGAGCCAGCGCTGAACCTCTGCTACAACATCCTCAAGACCCTAGCAAATCCTCGTCTAGCACGAGTCTTCTTCACCGACAACGGCAGCACCGCTATGGAGGTCGCCATCAAGATGGCCCTGCGCGCCTCATCAGTTCGCTACGGCTGGCACAAGGACGATGACGGCCCGCCGGTGGAAGTTCTCGGTCTGAAAGGCTCCTATCACGGCGACACAATCGGTGCAATGAACGCCTCTGAGCCCAGCGTGTTCAACAAGAATGTCGACTGGTACAAACCGCAAGGTGTCTGGTTCGATCCTCCACAGGTGCTCATGCATAAGGCAGATGGCGGATCTCGGTACCCGAATCCTTCTTAGAGCCGGGAGCAACCAAGACCATGTATTTCAAGACTCTTTCCGCGATATTTGACTTCGATGCCCGACGGAAGGATGCCGAATTCTACCGCAATTTCATCCACAAAGCTCTCAAATCACTGGTCCACGACCAAGGCCGACGCTTCGGCGCCCTGATCATGGAGCCAATCATCATGGGGGCTGGCGGCATGATCTTCGTCGACCCGCTATTCCAGCATCTCCTCATCACCACAATCCGCAGCGAACCGAGCCTGGTGAATCCGACCTACACCACTCCTCAATCCAGCGTGACCACATCCTTGCATCAAGATGCGCAAAGAGACTGGTCTGGCCTCCCTGTCATCGCCGACGAAGTCTTCACAGGCCTCTACCGCCTTGGCCGAGCCTCCTCATCCAGCTTCCTCGGACCCAGTCCCATGGCCGCCACCAACGCAACCCAGCCACTCTCCCTCTTCACAGCCCCAGACATATCTGCGCACGCCAAGCTCCTAACCGGCGGCCTCCTCCCCCTCTCCATCACCACCGCGAGCGACGCCATCTTCCGCGCCTTCTACAGCTCCGAGAAACCCGATGCTTTACTCCACGGACACAGCTACACCGCGCACCCGATCGGCTGTTCTGTAGCGAATTGGTCGCTGAAGAAGATGGAGGAGTTGGATGCGTCGGAGACGTCGGAGTGGAATAAGTTTCGCGCTGCTTGGTCTTCGCCAGCCTCACGTACCAGTTCTGATGCTTCGACTGGCAGCGAAAGTGTTGAGTCAACGCATTCCGCTGGGCCATCTCACTGGTCCGTCTTCCCACCCTCCCTCCTGGACACACTCTCCCACCACCCCCTCCTCTCCGGCGTCTGGTCCCTCGGCACAGTCCTCGCCCTGACGATGGCACCCACTTCCTCGGGCTCCGGAGGCTACGCATCCAACGCGACCGCCTCCCTACAAAGCCGCCTCCTCACGACCCTCGACCCCACCACTGGCCAAGGAATCCATGCTAGGGTACTGGGCGATGTGATTTATGTGATGACGAGTTTGACGACTACCAAAGAGAGCGCGGATCGTGTCGGGAAGCTGTTGTTGCGGGCTTTGGAGGAGGAAGAAGTAGAGCGGGAGCAGCAGTAGATGGCGTCGCTGTAGGCAGTAAGTACGTAGACAAGCATGGCTTCGGGGCGTAGTAACAGGTTGCAAGAGATGAGAAAGTCCGATGAAAGCCAGGGAGCTGACGCTGCTGCTGGGGGACTGACAGAAAAGCATAATTATAAACTAGGACTTGCACAAAGTGTAGGGCTCGGGTTGTGATAGCGATCTACTAATGATCAGATTAGCTCCAGAGGCCACCCGGAGATCACGATAGAGTCGCACTGGCCCACATTCTGACCAATCTCGAGACGACCCTCAATTTAGAGGTCGAATCGACTAGCTATCCCACTCCGACGGAACACCCACACTCTAACACTCCCATTATCCGCATTGATAGCCACGTCATCCACAATATCTCCCACAAAGCGAGCAACCTCCACCCCCTCCACAGCAAAGGCACCTCCAAACACTCATCCGCTGGGCCTTGCAACGCCGCCTCGTTGCCCATCTCATCTTCGGTCATCGAATTGGGATGAGTTGCCAAAACATTGTCCATGGCGAGATCGCTCTGTGCAAGGACGCCCGATGTTTCGTCCCAGACGTCCGTTGAACTACGAAGCTGTTTCAATCGAAGGTAGACGTCACTGGGAACGCTCCAAAGAACGACACTGCCAGCCTGGTATGCTGCGACGACGCGCAAGCCCCAACGCGTCTCAGCGGCAGCGGTGTACGAAGGATTTCGAGTGTACTGCAAAACTTCGTCGCTGGAATGAGGTGAGAGGAAGACAACCTTTCGGTTGAGCTTCGTGGGTGCTCCGACAGGAGCATCACTACCAAGACAAAGTGGACCGATCTCGGGGTCGGTGTATAGGACGTGATCTCCGTCACTGATTGGGACGGCTTGGTAGTGGTCGCAGTCCACTGCTCGGAGGACACCTCGTCGCTCGTCCTCTTCGTGATCGTCATCATTGGGTGCCTCTGACTGCCAATTTTGGGGCAGCACAGCGGACGCGGGAAAGGGTAGGTTTCCAAAGAACAAACGGGTCAAAGATTGTCGTCGTCCACGATCGTGTGTCCCCTTTCGTCGGAACAGCTTAGGAGGCAGACTGAGACTTCTGGGCACTAGTGTTGCTGGAGGGGCTTTGGCACTGGAGATGAGCCGGAGCCTTCTGAGGGAATCATTTTGAGTACTCTGTGGCAAAAAGTACAAGTGATCACTGGCTGCTGCCAATGGGAACCACCTGTTCAGGCCTCTTCCGGTCAGTGCGTCCGTCCAGTGCAGCTCGATCCCAGCCCGACATCCGAATGCCGCACATTTTCGCTGGGGACAAACTGCGACGCTACGAGGTGGATCGTCTGGAGTACCGAGATCGTGATAAGTGGCTGCTGGTCGCACCTGTATGGGTAGGAGATGTTCAGTTGCGGCAGGACCGAGTTGTGGCTCCGGGCTTTCGGTCAACAATCTGTCAGGCAGAATTCTCATATCGGAACCATCAGATTCTGTGGTCCCGGTGTCTGAGTCGGCTTTCCAATCGTCCATCACCTGTGGTAACTGTATTACCGTGCTGCTCGCATCTGCAGTATGGCTAACACGCTCTGGCTGGATGATGCTGCCGTGCCGCTGTGGTAGAGACGCAAAAATGGCCCTTTGGAAGTCGGCCTCACTAGTCTCTGCCTGTGAGCCGGAGCGGATGGCTAATCGAATGTTGGACTCGAGATGCGTTGACCTCTGGCCACCAATCTCCCACAACACGCCAGTCCGATTGTCTAGCAGTGCACAGACGTCGTACCTGCCAGAGCTCGTGTCCATGCTGACTCGCAGAACATCAGAGCTTGCCACGAGCCGCGTGATCGGAGTTGGAGCCTCTAAGAGGTCTGATATCCGGTAGACAAAGATGTCGGGTCCAGAACATGCAAGCAGATACAGACCACAGCGTGAGACTGTGAAGAAACGGCGTACTGATTCGCTGTGCCTGTCTCCAAACAGCTTCCGACGCAGATCGACATGTCCCGAGAGACGAAGTCGAGCTCCGTGTTCCAGCAGCGTAGAATCTATTCCGTTTCCTCGCCAATTGGCCGAGAGTCTGATTTCTGTAGCGAGTCGTTTTGACAGCAGCCATTCGTCACGCAGGCCAGACCAGAAGTTCTCAAGTTGGTGTGACCATGTCGGCTCGTTCTCCTCGAATCGTGGACTGGTGGGATGTGAGCGTCTTGACCGGGCACTGAAGGACCGTCTGCGACTGGAGTCGGCCCTCTAGGCGCTTTGACATTGACACCTCTTCAACATCCGTCTCAGTAAGGTCATGTCTAGGCTGGCAAACAGCCACGCACGGCAAGTGTGGCGAGCAGAATCGAAATCAGACGGCTCTTGGAACGAATATATGTGTTGTAGAAGCTCTGCTGGCAGACGTTGTATTGATGAGACGTCATTCTCGACGGCCGCGAACGTGACCTTTGGTCCCGTCGACTGACCTGGTGAAAAGTCCTGCGACGGTGCATCTGATGAGGTAGCAGCTTTTTCGAAGTGTTCCGTCAATTGCTTGCGACGATGATGTGGTAGATCTGAAATCCTTGCTAACGTGTCTCGATGCCCCTCGAATGCCCCAGGACGAAGGTATGACGATCCGCTTGAGGCGGAATTCTGTCTTGTGCACTCATCCGGGCTAGGATCGAAAGGGTCCGAGAAGCGCACTTGAGGTGTGTCTGTCTCACAATCGGCCGTGCTGTCGATTGCATCGGCTTGGCGTGTAGTCGCTTGGTCAAGGCAGTGTGTGTTGCCGGATGACTGGAATTGGTCGAGAGTGTTGTGAGGCTGGTGATCTGACATGCTCATCTCTCGGTCGACACTCACCACGCCGCGAGAGAGATATATCTCGAAAGCCAGAGCGACTTCGGCAGCTCAAGCCTCCTCAAGGTTCTGGATGTCTTCGATAGGTATGAGTAAGCTATGAAAGGTAGTGATATGTGCTGCAAATAATATAGGGAGAGGGAGGTGGCGACAGAAGTCTGTGAGAGCTGTCAGAACATATGATGGAAGTGTAGGCCAGCCATACCGCACTTGCCGAATGAGCATGAGGCAGGTGCAGGAACGACCGACTCTTCCGTATTGTCTGAGACCTGTTAGCTTCGTCGAAATGAGGCAGGTGTGACTTCGGGTTACAGCTCGAGCTCCTTCTCTCTCCAGGGCGGCCTCCAGTCCTTGCTGATTTATGGAAGTCTTTCCGCACATGTTCATTCATGGTTCAATCAATAATTCGTTGTTGAGCATCGATTACATGTGCTGAGTTGGGTTTCTGCAACTGTGCACGCTGCTGCTGGACCTCGCCTCACCATTCTCGGCAATGTACGGAGTACACTGAGCCTTCCGATATGCTTAAAAAGCACCTCGTGCACCATAACTCTCACACTGATGCGCTCCGTCGCCACTTTCATTCTCATGTACCATATCTCTCGGTTGTCTGTAGTTGTTTGTAATCAATTCTGTCCATACTCAGTTCCTCTCTTTCGTGACAGTTTGACTTAAGCTCTGAGAGCATCCAACGAACGGATGGTCGATTCGGCTCGGTCGATGACAGCCTTCTCCATGCCTTCCAGGTTGAAGGCTTCGTGTGAGGCCATACCTGCAACAAGGCATAGTTTTCGCGCATTGTCTTCAGCACTTGCGACGTGCTCCCTAGCCTGATCCAGTCTCTGCTTTAGTGTGGTCTTCTCGTGCTCAACGCGATCACAAACACAGTCCTGCCACTCTCGAACGACCTCGTTGCTTCCGCCAGCATATTCCGTCGCCTTCGTTACGATAGCATTTTCCTCGCGAACGAGCTTCAACAACGCATTCTGGAATCATGTCAGTACGCCGAGAAGGACTCAAGGGGGATTTGACTGACCTGAGAAAGCTGAAGCATAGTATCGAAGATGTGGCGATGAGATTGTGAAACTTCCATGTTCTGCAAATCATGCTGCCACTCGTCCTCGTCTTCAACAGATGATGAATCGGGAGGCATTGGCCGTCTTCTGGAAGATACCCTTGCGGGCAGACTACGAGTAGTGTACAGGAAGCTGTCAATATTTGCTTGCACGGCCTCGACCAAGGTAGGGTCGTTGTCAACCTCAGCCTCGAATGCCCGGTCAAGCTGATGTTGCTTCATCCCATCTGCGAGCTTGGTGTGGAAAGGTGCCGGGGTCCCTTGTGGCTGATCAACTTCTCCATGTGTAGCGGGTTCAGAAATTCCTGTCGGCTTGACACGCTCTGGGAAGAAAGATGCGGCTTGTTCTTCAGGCTCTCTTGCAATGACCTGAGGTATCTTCACAGCATCCTGGGTAGTCGAGTTGTGGCGCCCCGCAGAAGCTGTGGTGGCAACGCGAGTTGATTCAGTTGAGGCCCTGATCGCCGGAGGCCGCATTGAGCCATATTCCGGGTCTGTGGTGCTCAGAGCTGCTGCAACAGTGTCCTCGACCCCGGAGGGAAATTGGAGTGCATCAGAGTCCTTGCCTCGTATTTTGCTCGAGACTCGAGCATCTGCTGTTGAATCTCGCTGAACATTCTTGGAAGGCCTCTTGAAATCCGCAGTCTTGATTGTTCTGGCTGCTTTTGGGTGTGTTGTCGTGATGAACGTGTCCACACCAATTGATTGTCTAGGAGCCGGTCGAAGGTCCTTAGCTTTTACAACCCTGACTTTGTTGTCGACAGGCTCGTCCGATAGAATTGCAGGGGCCAATTTTGCAGTCTTCGCTCGCCTGCCGTCCTGTGCCGAGGGCGAGGCACTTCGTAATAGCTCTGCCGCCGAATCTTCGTATTCGGAGGTTTCTTCGTTGCGGCTAGCATCCTCAGACGAGGACGATTCAGTGGTTTCTTCGTAGGCTGTCAGATTCATTACGTCCGTCGTATTCCGGTGCCTATCGGTGACCTCGTTGCTGCCACCGCGAGCTTCTTCGCCGCCAGTAATGTCAATGTCCGTGACATCGATTGATGCGGCGGTTCTGCCTTCGACATTACGAGTCCTGGCCGAGACAGGCTGTGCGGGCTCGCCACGTCGACTTCCCACAGGTTTGGAGACTGAAACGCCCGGGACATTCATCTCTCCCACTGTAATGGCTCCTATTTCCACGTTGCGTTCGTGTACATCGTTGAGAGCCGTCTCATTAGGACCGCCATCCTCCATCATCATGATGCCTTCATCTGACTGGGCGGAAAGAGCCTCAAGCTCAGTGTCCCGTCGTCCCGCATCTCTCTCATCCGTCTCATCGGATGAGTCTTTGGGACGCAGAGATGATGCCACTAGCCGTTGTGTCTTATTGGGTGCCAGGGCACCGTTCTGTAGATTGTTCGTGGTGACTTGTTTCAGCATTGACGCACCTCCATTGCGAGTCTTCACAGACGTGGTGGTCTTGACGGGGCTGGGATTCGACGGCGAGTCTATTCGTCGACCCTGGTTGCGAGCACCATTTGGGCCAAAGCTTATCACTGGCGCCTTGCTCGCACTTTTCTCGCTTGACAAGGCTGCCGTGGGCGTGCGGAGCTTTTTGAGGTTTGCGCCTGGAGTGCGTGGCTCGTACTTTTTGGCCTCGGACTGTGGTGGTCGGACTAAGACCGGCTCGTTGCGCTGAGTGGCGTCCAATGTAGCCTTTGATGCACGCGGTCTCCGGACCGATTCCTTGGCAATTGGAGTGGCCTTTCGTCCTGGATGGCCGACGTTCGATCCGAATCGGAGGTCCGTGACTTGTCGCTTCGACAGCGAGATAGAAAGGGGGTGCTTTTCACTGCCTACAGATTTGGTTCGTGGAACCATCTCAGAATCGACAAGGTCCGAGGACTCTGTCACAGAGACATCTTGAGCAGTTGTGTCATCCTCCAGAATCGATGGGCCGGCTTCTAAACCTGTTGCAGCCTCTGAGGCGACTACAGAAGCCGCGTGAGGAGCATGATCTTGGTTCTTAGCCTCCCTAGCAGACGCGCCCATCCCAAGATGATCGATGACTGCCTCGGTGTGCTTTACAAATGAAGCACTGCCAGCCGCAGACGTGTCCGGACTGGGGGCGTCATGCAAGTCGTTGAACTGGTCAACGATATTGCCAAGGGCCGAAAGTTCTTTGGTCCCGGGACGTGGCTGGTCAGCATCCGGTCCATGACCACGAGGCTGGGGACTCTGCCGTGTAGCTTCTGAAGACTTCCGGGGCTGCTTACGTGCGGACTTAGCTTTTGCGCTCTTGATACTATCAACAAACTTGGTCTTGTTGCCAAACGGGGTCATTGGCTTCGTCGTCGAATCCGTCGCGTTGTCATTCCCAGTTTTCAACGTCGCCTCGTGTGATTTTGTGGTAGACAGGCGAGTGAGAAGATTCCGGACATTGGTTCCGAAGGACAGGTCACCTTTCGCCGCATGTTCCTCCACAGCTGACTTGTCCATGGGATGCGAATCTTGTGCTTCGTTGGCTTCCACGGTTGTATCGTAGGCATCTTGGGACACGGCAGCCGTTCTGGTGTGAGCTGTGACACGGGAAGTCTTCTCATTCAGCATAGCGGGACCATCAGCGTCAACAGCTGCAGATCCATGCGGCGACGAGTCGTCCAAGAACTCGACCGGATGCGCAGCGCTACTGCCTTCCTCTCTGTGCGGTCTTCGTTCACTGGTCCTCGGTCTCAACTCGCTCCCATCTTCGTTGTGACCAGCAGATATGTGCTTTGTTACGTGCTCCTTGTTCTCTATCCCGCTTGCCAGTACAGACTTTCTCCGACTTTCGCTAGGGCCAGAATCTGAAGAAGCTGCTTCGTCACTGTCAGCTTGACTGGAGGCCTCGCGGAGAGTTTGAGCATGAGATCTTGTGGCACGTCTTAGTCGGTTCGACGCAAGCGTCTGGTTGGCCGAGTTGGTTGGCTTACTTGCTTTGTTGACTGCGGTCTTGCCTCCTGGCTGCGAAGGCTTGGTGGGGTTTGCTGGCTTCTTGAAACGCGTACTATCCTGCTTCTGAGACGGCTTGTCGTCTTCGTCGTCTCTTTTGTGGTATTCATACGCGTTTTGCCTCGTTGGCTTTCATGTACTTCGTTATCGTCATCGTCATCGTCGTCGTCGTCGGTAATAGGGAGATCGAATTGATTGGTAGAGCTGAGCTTCTCGTGCAAGTCGGTCTGACCCTGAGCAGACTGGCTATTCCGCTTTGATGAACTGCTCAGAGTGGCACTCGGCTTCTGCTTGAGTCGGCTGATGGAAGAGTCACTCGGCTTTAGCGCATCTGAGTTCCCATTTCTCGATTGGCTGCCTGCAACCTTGAGCAGACCTTGAGAGGAGCTGCGAGCGGAGGTAGATGAAGACGGCTTTGCTTTCGCTTTTGTAGCCGCCGACATCTTTCTCGCAGACGTTGTACTCAGTGGATGCTGTGGCTGTGGAGAGTTTGTAGTTGTAGTTGACGGCTTTTGCTTTGTTGGACCAGCAATTTTGGTAAGTGCATTGGAGACCCGTGCGACTGCCACATTAGGTTGAGGTTTGCGACTGACCACCGGTGCGGCAGGCGCGTCCCGATATTCTTCACTACTGTTTGGCTTGGGTTTCTCTGCGCCGCGCTGCGGGCGCTTCGCACCATCATTGGTTGTTTGTGAGGCGCTCATGCGGTCTCTAAAGGAAGATTGTACTGGAAACACAACGTCGTCCTCGGAGTCAGTCCCTGCAGCGATGAACTGGTGGAAGACCTCCTGGTACTCCACATTCGAGGCGTCCTGACTCTTTCGTTGAAGCGGACTAATGACTTGCGTATCAGACCCAGCAGTCTCAGTATTGGCTGCGTGTTCTACAACAGCTTGTTCTTCGGCATCGCGCAAATCAATGAAAGCCGAGGACGTCTTGCGCTGAATCAACGAAGGTTGACTGTCTGCCTGGAACCCAGTAGCAGTCGACAGTCTGTTCTGAACTCGCGTAAGTTCGTCGCCGGATACTCTGAGATCGCGGAAAGATGCAAATTCGAGCTCCAGTCTAACCACAGCGGTCTTGTTGCCATTCGATACAACGAAGCCTTGATCGTCATTGTAGGTGAGGGTACTGGTCGGGATGCCTGGTGTCTCAGCGCCATGATGCTCCAACATCATGCACCCAGGTTCTAGAACTGGGTATTGAAAAAGCACGAGACCGTCATCGTTGTCTGGTGCCACAGAAAACAGTTTATCTGGTTCAGACAAGATAATCACTGCGCAGGAATCACCGGTGTCCTCCCGGGCCAAGTCCGGTTCGCTGAATACAGAGATGTTCTTGATCCAGAAGCAGGCAGATCCGCTGGTCCTGTCAGCACCGTTCAGCTTATTCGGACGATGAACTTACGCTCCCTTGAACGATTGCTTCTGGTCAACGCTCGACAAGTAATCTCGAGCATTGAGAAGCCAGGAATCGGTGGCATGCTGCTCGGACGGAAATTTCTCGATGCTTTCGGGCGCAGTTCCATGAGGCCAAAGTGAAGTCCGATCCACTCCATTTTGTATCAAGCCTCTCATCACATCTGCAACCAGGATACGCAGCACGTAATCGTCCGAGGTGAGTAGGGCGTCTCCGAGGACGGTAAGATGCTGGCTTGGCCGTAGAAGAGTGCCAAGGTCGTTTGTCCCTTTGTTCATGATAGAGAGCAATTGAGCGACCGCGCGCCTAGCCTCTGGTGTTGCTGAGCCCCCGCTGATGAATCTAACAACATTGTGGACCAAGCTCTTGGTGAGAGATCGCTGGTAGCTATGCAAATCATTGGTGCTGACATCAAGCTTGCGGCTTTTCAGAGCGGCTGATAACGTTTCCTCGGATTGATAGACTCCAACAGCGTCCAAGAGGCTGTGGACCGCGCGCTGTTGCTGAAGAGACGGTACAGCATGAAGTATGAGTGAAAGAATGCCGGCAAGAGTGCGTGGATGCAGTTGTAAGTTCGGGTTTCGTTTGGCGTTGCCTAGTAGGCTGTACAGCGGACGAAGCGAAGCAGTGGCGATGAGTTCGGCCGGCTTTTTGAATGGCGCCAAGATCGCGTCTTTCAACCTGGATGGCGCTCGATCAGTATTGCGCGGTTCGCTGAACATTAGGGTTGATGTACTCACTCCACCAGCCGATCAGCTTTCAACTCGCCTTCAAGATGAGAGACCAGATCGCGAACCGCGTCGTCGATGTCTGGGACAGCCATCACACTTGGGCACGTGAGGAAGTGGCAATGGCGTATATGAGTCAATACTACAAAGAGGAGGCCGCCGGCAGAGGGACCATCGATGGGCTCTGTCAGTGAGAAAAGAACATAAAGGTGTAGGTCGGGTCTTGGCAAACCCGGATTCATGAAACCTCACTCTTGCCTACCTAGTTGTACCTATTCCCTCTGCATAGCGCCGGCCTTCAGCACTTTTTGTGTCGCCGAGGAGACAGCAATGTCCGAGACCCATCTTACCGATGACCTTGGTGCCGTGGCATCGAGCTTGCACACCGATTCGCGTTGTAAGTAATGCATCCTGCCGATCCGTCCCCGCGAAAACATTTGGTAGCGACTAGCTGCCAACAACGACAGTGACTAATCCCGGTAGCCGAGAGTCTTGCTAAGTCTCATTTGCAAAGACCAATGTGTCGTGCCCTCTCACCAAATGAGTGGCGCAAAGGTTATCACATACTAACAATGTGCCTCATGCATCTCCCACGTCATTGTCCCCCCACGCGATTTCGGAACCTACATATGCATTACCTCCAGTATGGCCAGACTCACCTTGCGAGTTTCAGCGATACGGCAAAGTCGACTTCAGCAAAATGTCGGCTGAACACCAATATGGTGTGAAGCTGGACTGCGGAGCAACCATTATCCACGGAGATGGGGCCAATATCAAGGAGCCGTTCGAGGATATGCCAGTTGTGATGCACGAACTAAGCCCAGGAAACATGGCAGATGGGAGTGGATTTCCTTCTTTCGGCGGCCAGCTTGGATTCATCGAGTTCAACACAGACGTTCGCCTTCCCCGGCATGTTCACATTGGGCCAAACAAGGCGGCGCAGCCCGATGCAGAGCAGCGGTTTCTAGCCGAGCGTATACTGGTCCTCTCCGGATTCGCGATGGTCGAAATGTGCGGCGAGCTGTACATTATACCACCAAAGACCCTGGTCCATATCCCTCCTGGCGTGCCTCACACCTGGACGGCATGTCCGAAGGGTGTGGACATAAATGCTGCGGTTGGTATTGTCTCTCAGAAAGAGCTTGCGTCGGACGGCACTTTCCTGATGATCTATGAGTATGAAGACCCCACAAGCTTCAAGCCGACGAAGCAAATCAACGTCCTGAAGGATCTCAATGAGTACGAGGAGGCTGCCGAGGAAGACTTCGAGGAGATCAAGATTCCAGCATTGTCTTCTGCAGAAGTCCACAAGAGATGTTGGTTCGTTTACAACCGCGAGGTGAAGAAGTCCGAACGCAATAACATCAACGAGAGCGCTAGCCTCGCTGATGTGTGATCGCGTAAACACGTGTCTAGCAAGGCGTTAGCAAAGTGAGGGTCCGCTCCTGTCAAGGGAGATCACCTAAGATCACATCATCATCAGGACCCGGCGTGGTAGGACCATATATAGGGTGCATGGCCGGTCTTCGAGGCTCACCTCCTTCGACTACCCCTCGCATCAGATGTGCATCAGTCGCGCGATGTCGAAATTCAAGATCCCAAATAAAGAACGCGGCACGATGGATTTTCAGATGCTTCTGTTCCAGCTCCAGCCTATGGTAGGGCGGCCAGCGGGACCACACATGATGAATTGGTCACCGCCGCCCGGACCTCTTTGGAGCGACGATGGCGCTGTAGCTGTGCACAAAGCCGGAGATCATGCTACGACGTGACAGCAGCACGTATATCCCGTACATACTGATCCTACAGATTCCTTCCCTCAACAGCGACGTGCCAGAGCTGCGCCGAGTGATACGACTGAGTTCTGCTTTCAAATCCACGTCCGGTGCCTCGGATGAAAACGCGGCCGAATCCGACTGCAAGGACTCCAGGCTACTGACTGCCTGATCTCGCCGCCATATAGCTTGAAGATTGCGTGATAACACACCAGCAGCACGTCAAACCCCCACAGACGCCAACATGACCACAGACTCGGGTTCCTGCGCCATGGCAGCCGCCCACGAGTGGCTCGCAAGCCAAACACAACCCTCGCAGCGGAAGTCCACCCAGATCCCCAGTTCGAGATCAATACCCCAGATCTGCCCCTCAAGACTACACACCACCGAGCCAGCACGACCCCTCGACATCGCAACCATCCAGAATACCCTTCAAACAACCCCAGAAACAAAAGAAACAGTCCTCTACCTAGCCTATGGCTCCAATCTCAGCGACGAGACCTTCCTGGGCGCCCGCGGCATCCGCCCGCTCTCCCAAATCAACGTCCTCGTCCCAGAGGTCGTCATGACCTTTGACCTCCCCGGCATAGCCTACAAAGAACCCTGCTTCGCCAACATCCGCTATCGAAACGCTCCAGCCTACCCCGCCACAACAGACGGCCCAAAGCAGAATACAAACGAATACCACAAAGACCGCTGGCACAAACCCCTAGTCGGCGTCGTCTACGAAGTCACCCTGAAAGACTACGCCCACATCATCGCAACCGAAGGCGGCGGCGCCGGCTACCAAGACGTCCTCGTCGACTGCTACACCTTGGACCGCAACCCGCGCCTCGCCGTCCCCGAATTCCCCCAGAACGCCCCATTCAAAGCCCATACCCTTTTCGACCCCGCTGGCCAGCACCGCGCCGACCCGTCTTACGCACAGCCCTCAGCGCGGTATCTGAAGCTGATCACGGATGGGGCTATGGAGAAGGGCTTGCCGTACGAGTATCAGGACTATCTGCACCAGATCCGGCCGTACAGGGTGACGACAACGCCGCAGAAGATCGGACAGCTATTCTTCCTGGCGTTCTGGGGCCCAATATTCATGGCATTAATCAAATTCGGGGGGGTGCTGTTCGCGGGCAAAGACGGGAGGTATCCTGCTTGGTTGGCGACTGTCATGCATGTTTGTTTCGGGTACGTTGCTCCGTCTCCTCTGTCCCATCACCTATAGTGAATCCAGTGATTAACGGCCCCCACAGCGCGGCATGGACATCCTACGACAAAGTCTTCAAGCCCACATTCGGCGACGGCGAGCGAACAATCGGCGAGACCGACGACGATCTCAACGAAAAGGCACCATTGATACGTGACGTTATCGAGAGGTATGGCGTCGGAGGCCGCATGGGAGGTCAAATGCAAGACGATTCTGCTGTCGGCCCCAAAAGCGCCGATGATGATCTTCTTCTCCAGGACTATCAGATGCGGTTGAGGCTACTGGAGCAACAGAACAAGACACGTCTTATGATGGCGCGTCAAGAGCAAGACAACCAGGTCGATCGTGACGACGCACCAATGGCCGGCATGGGAGGTACAGGGATTGGTGGTGATGGGGTCTGAGGGTTTGTCCTATACTATACTATATATGTACCGATATGGGGGGCTGTTACGTGCAACGAATGAATCAAGCATTGGACATTCTTGAGACGCCAGACTCGCTACGAAAGCGTCGGCTCATCCCTATCTCCGGAACAAGTGTAGTGTGTTTCGCGCGCAACGACGCATATAAATCGTTCAGTGGTATGTGTACCATCATAATCATCGACCAGATCCGTGACGGAATATCGATCTGGACACGTTCTTCTCGTGTATAATGCTTCTACTGTGCCCAGAAATTGTACCTTGTAACAAAGGCAGATCCTTCGACTCCTCGGTCACCGAAATTTCACCCACTCCTGCGTCCAAACTAACCCTCCCAACTCATCCTCCTGACAATACCTCACCAAGAGCCTCCCCTCCTCCAGAAAACAAGTATAATCCACCCACTTCGGATCTCCCAGTCCCTGAGTCCCAGCCATCCAGTTCGGCTGCCCTCTGAACCAGCCCGTCATATCGTTGTGAATCACTGAGTCCGCGTCGTCGTCTTCCTCACCAATCCCGAAGTCTCCGAAGTCGTTGACTGCGCCATGGGCGGGTGTGTTAAGGATCGATGGGTCCAGATATCCGTCCATCGACAAGTCCTGATCAAGCAGACTCGTCGTGTTGATCTCGAATGGCTCCAAATTCGGCTCAAATCCCTCCCCCATCATCCCTACTCTCTCCACGTCCACCGGTCCCACAACCAAATGCCGTTCACTAGGGTTCTTCATCATCGCGGAGGTGGCGATCGCACTCATCCCGCCCATACCATCCCGTGCAAGCCTCACGCCATCTGGCCGAAGCCCAGCATGCGCGACACCACCTCTGCCCCTTGGCATTAGGCCTTCCAAACCTCCCGCCGCCACGATCGCATGTTCTTCCACCGCCGACAGCTTTTCCGCAATGCTGTAGATGCCCATCTTGCTCCACACATCTGCCACCAACCTGTCCCTCCCCAACAACCCCACAACCTGATGCCGCACCTTCGTCGACTTGTGTTGTCCGCTCTCACCTCCCTTCCACAATGGTGGCCCAATTCCCGTATCCACTGATATGGAGTGCTCCGTGTCGTAAGCAAAGTTCGTCTTCTCAGCCGCTTGCGGAGAGGTGGGATCAACCGCAAACAACGACTCGCTGAGCACAACCAATCGTGCAAAGTGCGCATTCAGAGCACTCTTCCGCTCTGCGTAGTCCCGACAGCTGCGATGGCAGTCGCAGCTTTCCGGTGGGAAACACAGAGGCACGATTTCCTTGCCCGAGGAGGAGTCGTGGAAAGCAAGCTGCGTGAGTAGTGTCAGGTAGAGTGCTTCACGGTACGTTTTGAGAAGGTGAGATTGTTGCTTCTCGCGGCGCTTCTGTGCTGGGGATGGACTCAGGGGTGCGGATTTGGTAAACTCGGCGTACGACATTGACCAAGCGAGGAGGCGCTCGATGTGATTGTGTTGGGTTGAAAAGCTGGTATTGGTGCCGAGACTCAGGGAGTGCCAAGCGGCCCAGATCCAGAGTGCTTCGGTGAAGAGAAAATCGCGTGCTTCTGCGAGGGAGGAGAAAGCTACTGGGATGGGTGTGGGTTCGAGACCGAGTGCTGGATCGCTCAGAGGGAAGAACAACTGGCTGTGGAATGCAGGGGCGGTATCTGTGGCGGGAGAACTTCCGAAGAAAGGCGCCTTGTTGGACAGCTTTTCGAGCGATTGTACGAAGGTGTACAGCGGTGTATAGCCGACTTGGAGGGCTTTGTAGCGACTTTCGCGGTGCGTTGTGACTGTTGGCCGCCGGAAGATCTGACGCAGACCAGTAGTGGTATGTTCGAGCGCCTTTTCGTTGTTGTCTTGGAAGGTTTCAAACACACTCAGAAGCATATGCGAAAGCATCGTGATCTCGGGCGCGGAAGGGTGATTAGACGCCTTATCTGCCGCGAGCAGCTTGAGGGCACGTTCGTGCTGCTGGTCAGCGATAGTGCAAAACGCGAATGCTTCTGGTGTGATGCCTAGTTCGAAACGGCGATGGACTGCGCCGACGGCGGCTGCGGCGGCTAGCACAGTCGGATGCTGGAAGCAGGCTCGGAGTATGAAAGAGCGCCATATCGAAGAGTCAAAGTAGGCTGCAAACTCAGGACCTGTCCGATGCTGGAAGAACGTAAAACTGTACTGATCCGCAGGACTGCTGAAAGAGTTGGTAGTAAGCGATTGTCTGCTGTAAGGCGTACGTAGTAATCGCACATCTTCGCTAGTCGGCGACGATTTATTTGTCGTGGTCGGTGAGTGTGACGATGAAGATCTCGGACCTCTAACATCGACACCAGAATCAGGTGTGTTGGGATCCGTTGTAGATGAGGAGTTGGTGGTACCTCTCCTCACAGCGGTCTGGGGGTTAGGTTGCCGTGTCGTCGCAGTGTGGTTCTCGACAGTCTGTCCCTCGTAGCCGTCGCATTTCCTCCCAGTGGATGTGCACCGCTTGCATTCTGGTTTCGTCTCGTCGCATTTCTTGCGTCTACATGTGCGATTCGGTTAGCAACTAAGGCAATCCTAAAAGTCATTCTGTCTTGTTGGCGCTCAACTCACCTTATCTTACAAGTCACACAACCAGTCCGAACCTTGTGATGTGTTTTCCGTGTTCGCTTCGGTTTCTCTCTCACTGCCTCCATCACAATAGTTGCTACCGCGGCCATTCGAAGATATCTGGGGGCACAACTCCCTCGAAACGGATACAATACATCGCGAAGAACAAAATTGGCAGCTTCTCGAACTCAAGTAACGCAGCTGTCGCTCTCGCTTTCGGTAATGATGTCCGAAAGGCACTGGCGTCCGCAGGCGAGCCTCTTCAGGGCAGATTGAGTCACTGTGAGATACTTGTTGCTGGTATAATACTGCATAGTGGTGGGGACTGTACGCGATAGTCGAAGGCTATTGGTCGGGGCGTAAAGAAATGCAGTTAAGGCACCCTGGATGTGGGATCGTGCTTCTGGGCTCCTGCTCTAGCCGGAGGATGACGTCGAGGTTGCTTACATACTGACCACTCCGGCCAACAACACCAAACCTTTGGGTCGTCGGTTGCCTAGTTGGTGCCTGGATACTGACACGCTTGTGGACATGGCTTTGGCGAATGCGAGAATTAAGATCGTGTTTAGATAAGCGTGGCGTCAGCTCCAGCAACGACAAGGCGGCAAGATCTGGAGACACTGGCAGACCTGTATTTGTAGAGCTGTGGTCTGAGTGTGCTAGAACTCACAGAGAGCACACGTACAATTAGACAGGCGAAGTGAGAAGCAAAGGATAGTTTTCGAAAAGTACTTTCTGTACACAATTGCTTTGATAGCACCTACTCTTGGTCTGTTCCGATTCCCAGCACCAGAATGTGTGTGCATAGGCAAGGGCGAACCTCGCCTGTGCGACTTCCTCAAGCATTCAACACCTCACTGTCGTGACCGCCGCTACGAGTGTTCCATCCACGACCCAGATCTTTCCACCTAAAACGCAATGCAAAACAAAAGCTACGTCCCAATCAAGCGAAGGCCATACTCTTCTTAATCTCCGCAATCGCCTTCGCCGGGTTCAAGCCCTTGGGACATGTCCTCGAGCAGTTCAAAATCGTGTGACACCGGTACAAACTCATGCTGTTGTCCAGCGCCTCCTTCCGCTCGGCAGTCCGCTCGTCACGTGAGTCAGCCAACCATCTGTAGCTCTGCAAGAGAATAGCGGGTCCAAGATATTGATCTGCGTTCCACCAGTATGATGGGCATGATGTTGAGCAGCAGGCGCAGAGAATGCATTCGTAGAGACCGTCGAGCTTCTTGCGCTCGGCGGGTGATTGGCGGTTTTCCTTGCCCTACGGAACAAATTAGAAACCGGTCTGCAGCAAGTTTGAGTGGCATGACTTACATCTGGCGAAGGGGTGTCGCGCTGGAGGTATGGCTTGATGGACTTGTACTGCTTGTAGAATTGGGTGAGATCGGGCACCAGATCCTTCACCACATAGGTATGTGGTAGTGGTAGATGCGCGATTCCTTGGTCGTCTCGGTTGGGATCCGGCACAGACAAGCCAAAGTATTAACGCCATCGATATTCATTGCACAGCTTCCGCAAATTCCCTCTCTGCAACTCCGCCTGAATGTCAATGTCGGATCAACTTCGTTCTTGATTCTGATCAACGCATCCAGCATCATTGGACCCGTCTTGTTTAGATCTAGCGTATAGCTCTGCATTCGCGGCTTCGCGGTTGGCTCATCTGGATTCCAGCGGTAGATGTGGAAAGTCTTGATTTTGGCGTCGGCATCCTTTGCGGGCTCTTGGACCGTCTTGGTCTGCGACGCGGGAGTGACGGGTCGGCCTCCACCGGTTTCGACAGATTCAGTGACTGTGGCGTATGTTCGTGCTGAAGCCGCGAAAGCAGGTCGAAGGACTGATCGGGAAGAGGGCGCGGCTAGCCGACTTGCTGCGCGCAGGGCGGACATGGTGTTCATGGTGGCTGTATGGCGGGAAGGGTGATATCAGCAAGCTGCCAGAGCTGCCTAGGACCACAATAGTGTCTTTAGACGGAGGGGAGAGTCGTTGTACGAGCAAGGGTGTGCGTGAAGGAGGTCGATATCGGATCGGTTCAAGGTTGTGGCAAGCAAGTCGATGATGGTTTCTTTGGACCCTAGCCAATCAGAATTGACGCAATTATGCTGCACCATTGAAGCAGGAGAAGCCGAGGTTCTCCGACTGGCATCTGCTCAATCCGAACATCTCCTTCGATCTGGATTTTGATACTTTTTAAAGATCAGTCGGTCTAGCTACATATATGGTTGGACTGTTTAGATGCGACGGTTTCGAGGAGCTACTAGAAGACCATACCACGACGTGTTGAGTTTCCCGCAAAATGATCACGTTCCGTTCATGTCCTCTCGGAAGGCCACTGCTTGAGTCTAGCCCCGTCCACAAAGCGGTCCGCGGACCGACTGACTTCAAGGTCGCTTTCCGTCATCTTGACCCTTCTCATTCACCTTCATAGCACTTCCATCAATCTTGTACAAATCCTCCATCGCCTCCGCAATATCCTGCTTGACCCCTTCGAGCACAGCAATGAACTCCTGCTCAAATCCCTTAGCCGCCAGCGCGATGTCCTCAGTAGTCTTCAATATCTTTCCCTCGATCTCTTTCTTTGCGGTGATGAGGTTGGCGAGTTCGTCAAGATAGGCTTGCAGCTGTACGTCTGAGGTGGGAACACTGCTAATGAAGTAATATGTAACGCGTTAGATTTACTGGGACCAGAACTGGCATTCGACATGACAGAGTCCCGTGGAAAGGAAAGTACTTACTCGTGATTAACATCTCCGGCACCATCGACTTCATCGAGGCGAGCTTGCAGACGGCGGAGATTCCTACTGTAAGACTTCTCGAGGTCGGCGCGTCGATTGGCGAGGCGTTCTTTGTGCTAGGCTTGTGTGTCAGTGGTGGTGAATACTGAGAAGACAGCTGGGTCAATTCACATCGTTCCGCATCTCCTTTTCCAGATCTGCAGGTCCAGCGAACGGCATTTTGGCGAGCTTGGTCTGTATGATAGTATGAGACCCCAGTAAGGGGATTTTGGTTGCGTCACTGGTGTCGGTCTGATGCACATGGTATATCATGGAGGTGGTGATTGTCTACCTAGGTATATTTACGCAAGATTTGACAGAAACACTCGTCATCCGGTCTTGCAACCGCGCGGGTCGCGCCTTCTCATTGATACTTGATCCAAGTAGGCTGACATCTTGTGCAACTTTGGGAACTCATCAGGCGAGTCTCTTGGTATCCTCTGGCGATTCCGCGAAACTGCTCACCCTTACGCGATCGTGTGCTTGAGGCTAGACACGGTAGGAGAGAAGACCCATAGCTCAATCAAAACAGAGTCTGCCTGTATTGGTACCATGCTACGCTCTACTGTGCCACTTTTTTACCTCGATCGATACACAGCCACTGGCTTCTATGAACGACTGTTGCCTACCCTTCGTGAACCAAATCAAACATGATGTACAGTCCTGCTTTGCAAATGCTGCCGTGCCATGCAAACTTTTGTACGAAGTAATGATGTAAATCTCCAATCTCAACCCAAAGAATTGGGCGATCACTCCTGAATGGTCAACTCCTCCTCGCGCTGCGGCGAGAATTGTTCCTTGTGATCATCCCAAATCCTTTGCAGCTCTTTGACATACTTCCCGTGTATCTCATCCAAGTATGCATCTGTGACAATGCCATCCTGGGGCTGGTGTACCTCGATCGGTCTGCCTACAACCAAGTTGATCGGCCGACGGTACGGCATCAGACCAACGTCGTAGTTGAAGATGCCCCTGGCATGGAATAGTGGGATAGTGAATCCTGCCACCCATTTGACCCAGATCTGGAACTTGTACAGCCACGGGTGCGTATTACTGTCGACCTGTTCATAGATATCGTTCTCGCCAAAGGCCAGCACGGGGACGAGATCGGCTCCCTGACGGATGGCAATCTTGACGAAGCCCTTTCGGATATTCAATATCAGTCGCAGATGATATGGCTTGGCCATCAGACTCTCTTTGGCTCCTCCAACAACGATCGTGACCGCACGTCCCATGCCGCTGCCATTGGGACCACCCTTGGAGAGCAAGTTTTCGATCGACTCCTTTGACACCGAGGCGAGACCCATGGCAAGTGCATATTCGCGATAGAATGGAAGTCGAAAGTTGGCGTCCAGAGTAAGGAGCGTGTTGGTGATGCCGGGGAAAAGTTCCGCGAAACCCATTGCTTCCGTAGCGAATGCAGCGAACGCTCCATGAGATATGATACCGTGAGGATGGTAGCCGAAGATGTACTTTCTGTGTCGTTCTAGCTGGACTGTACGGTGGAGCCGAGCGGGAAAGTAGCTGGCGAACAGAGACCAGACCTTCTGTCGCCGCAGCCAATTTGAGCGTCTTCTTAAGGTTCCAGACATGTGAGCATCGCTGAAAACGATATAGAGGAGGTACGGGACCAGCCAAATCCAGTTCGGTGGAAATGCAAGACACAGGAAGAAGATGCCAACCATGGTCACAATGGACAAAGAGTGCCAGAGCACTGCCATGGTCTGCAATCGACGTTGGAGAGGTACATTGAGAGGAGCCCACCGGATTCTGTGACATACGAGTGGTCAGTGAGGAGCAACAGGGTGGGAGAAAGTGTCATGGCAAACACGAAAACAACTCACGCTGAACGACCCCATCCAGCACCTGCCTGTCGACCGCTTTCGAGCGGAGCGTTAGACTGGCTCTTCTGTTCTTTCTCCTCCTTATTGTCTGTGTCCACAGTGACCAATGTCGATCCATTAGATGAGGCATGGTCTTCCCACCCGTCTTTAGCACTGGCATACTCTTCAGTCGAGCTGTTCTCCTTGTCTCGACGGTCGGGGTGCCATTAGCCCCGGTTGTGCTGGATCCAGCAGCCGGCGCTGCTACAGGAGAGTGGTCTTGTGGAGAGTGGTAGCCACTGTCGTTTCGACTATTTCTGTTGTTACGGCGGTCAGGACTGTTTCCAGTCGACGAGCTTCGTGTTTGTCATCGTCCAGCCCCGCGTGGGCCGCATCTGCGTAGGATTTTGGGGGCAGACTAAGCTCCTCGCGCACCTCCGGATTGGCCGGCTCATCGCTGAGCGGGCCCGTGCTGGTGGTCGCGGCCATGGTTGAAGAGTTTCGTCTGCTCTACAGCCCCGAAAACATTGGGAAGGAACGTCGCGGTACTGCCAAATGACTGCTCGGCTAGTGCTCCAATGACTGCCAGGAGATCTTCAGATGTCGGCGGGATCAATGCGAACGATGTATGCTAATGGCAAGTGAGATCGTGATCAATATCAGTGAGAAGTGCGATGTAGTGCATATGGTCTGATCAGAGATCGAGTTTGAGCTGAGATGAAAGCGCTGGCTGTGCTACGTCATTGCCGATCTCTTTCCATCCCTGGAATGCTCTTCTTGCCTTGGCGTGTGGTGCCCCCTGTGGCAGTCTCTATTAAGTAGCACATTTCCCGCGCAGTGTACTAATCGTTCTTCATGCTCTATATGAATGCTTGTATGCTACGAACGATTGGTCCCGCCAACTCCTCGGATTTCACTTCAGAAGGACTGTCGTGACATTATGCTTCCATCCAATGTAGCCTTGTGCTCGAGATCTTCCTACGTTGTTTACCACAGATCCTCACAGCTCCTTGGGTGCCCAGCCAAACTGTGGGCCGTCGTTGTCGAAGACGGCAAGAAACGCCTTGAGGAACACATCACCCAAAATTGCTTGAGGCAGACCTAAGAGGTCATGTTAGCACTGACCTTCTAGCAACGTGTTGTGGAAGAGTATACCTTGATTCGACTGAATGCCACCGAAGCACGCTAGACACCGTTAGCATGCACACGTGAGAGATGGTTCGCAACTTCGACTTACTGGAACCAGATGAGTCAACAGGCGCCAAGTTGATCAAACTGCCCGGGACTGTGGCCTGACCATCTCCGATGCCGACAACGAAGTCTGGAAGTTCGGTGCCGCAGTCGAAGGTGTAACCACCTTGTTGGCTATCATAGCTGGCAGCACTGACCTGGCCGTAGTACGCCTCCACGATAGAGTCTTCGACGAGAATTAGAGTGGTACCAGTATCCGCAATGGCTTGGAATTGTTGTTCCTCGAAATTACCAGAGCCGACACCGTATCCTCCGGCAGTGAACTCCCAGAACCCATTCGAGCTGTCCACTGGAGTGTACACGATGTCGCCGGTATGCTTGCTGTCATCGATAAAGCCAAAGTCGTACGATCCAGGGGCACCTTTCTTGAGATCGGCAGTGAAGACTGGTTTGGTAAGAAGTCCTTGTGCTAACGCAGAGTCGAAGAAAGTAGTCTGCGCGGTGATGTCAGTCGGAATCGGGCAGGAAAAGGGCTTCCTGGGTCTCAGGATGCCAGAAGGTCAACAGCACACATGCTTACCTGCGATTGTGGTTGTACTGATCATGATTAGTCCGATGAACCAGAGCAGCTTGGTAGAGACTCACCAGTATTGATACTACTGAACGCAAGACCTAGAAGACCGTCATTGTTGGCATCCTGCTGGAATTGCCCGCTGATCTTCTTTGCCGCCTCGACAGCTTGGCCTTTAACGATCACACCGCCGACATCAACATTGTCCGTATACACCTACGTCTCTGTTAGTCTCGAATGGAAAAGAGGGCACAGTCTAGGGGCGGAGTTCTCTGTGGATGGGCGCTTCCGTTGTCCGGGCACGCTACGTGTGCATGAGATCACTGCATGCCATCCTCGATCTCGACGCAGCATTTTTTGGGATTTGCTGTGGGCAGACTCACATTTCCACTTGCACCGGATCCGTCACCATACTGGATCTTCCACGAAGCGCCACTGAGCTGCTTGGACGTTGATGACTTGGAGGGGTTGTAAATTTCATGGCCAGAGGTTTGGCTGCGAGGGAGCTGAGAGGAGAAGACCCAGCTATCGTGATCGTATCAGCAACTGCTATCACGGGTATCACAGGTTCAACGACTCACAGATCAGCAGATCCAGTATCGAAATCCAGGTTGATTGTCTGACCACCAATTTCGACAGGTGAGAGATACTCGACGTCTCCGTCTTCTGGGTTCGCTGCGACAGTGCCTTCGCCAGCGGCAGCTTTCGCAACATCTTCGGGGACAGCGACATTGTACTTCTGAAAAGCGTTGCGGAGTTGCACAACGGGTTTTCGATAGGGCTTGGGTGTCTTCTGGTTGACAGTAATGCCGCGCTTTGCGGGAGGCACAGGTCCAGCGAAGGCGAAAGTTGCCAGAGCCGAGGCCGCGACGATCTTTACGATGGAAGGCATGGCGTCTGGTTAAAAGAATGTAGGGTGAGCGACTGGGTGTGTGAAGTACTAGGTATCGATTCCTGGATATTGATGGTGTTAAGTCAGATGAGCACACGCGCGTGGTCGGTCGAAAATTGCAACAAAAGAGCGTGGGCCGGCGTGATATGGGCAGCAGGAACGAACGACTGATGGTCAGAGGGAAGGAGCGACGAGTGACGAGGTTTCTGCCTTGGAAGCTGAGCACGGAAGCCAAGAGATGTTTTGCAAATGCCGTCGGGCTCTTTATACCACCTTCGAAGCCAACAGATTCACCTCGGCAGTTCACTCGTCATACTTTGGCGGAGTGTTTCCTGATATCCAGTTCTGAAATGAAGTGCACAGGACGGATGCAACGCCCCGCGGACAACGACGAGCGAACGAGAATGCGCCCTGCACCGAGACCATGGTGGCGATACGCAGTGATCGACGTGGTGGTGCGGATATCGACAGCAAAAGATCACTATCCGGCATCTTTCAGCTGCAGACGTTCTGGCGGATAACATGGCCGCTAGTCAAGAGAAAGGACCTGCTCCGTTCGATCGTACGCAAGGCAAGGACCACAACTGGGCACGGCAAGCTTTTGCCAATTTCACCTTGCTCTTGCTTGAGTTTCAACGTTGAGTACCGACCGGGGACAAGCCTGGAAGGGCGGCGCATGATGCGTTGACTGAAGCATCAGAAGAAATAACAAGATCAGGTCAGCGTTCTCGCGTTGTGGTTTGTCTGAAGAGTATTGAAGTAGGTAAGTAGCCGAAATTGAGGGTAGATGCATCAAATGGCAGATATGACTTTTGACTGGAGGTGAACGCCCGAAAGCTTGTTTCAAGGGTGTGGGGAGCGGTCCATCAGGGGTGCATGCTCTTTTGCCACTGATGAACAACATGAATGCTTGTCAGGTACGTCGACTCGCCCGCAACTTGAAGGCAGTAGAGGTCCTTGATCGTATATGCAGCAACTGCAAGGGCCGTCCCGCGAAGAAGGCGGAAGACTGAACTTGCACAGTAGAGTGACTGCATTCGTCTGCCGCAGATGAGCATCATTTCCTATCGACCCATTCACGATGCGATCAAGCCACATCTTTAGGCGAGATCTTTGAGCGTGGGGCACTTCTAGAAGATCGTCAGGACAATGCACGTGCATTATTACTGTTGTGTTCACGGTGTCTTCTACTACCTTATGTTGTGAGACATGAGACCAGGTCAGGGGCTCCCTCTCGCCGCCGTGGACAAAGCAGGCTGCCATTCCCTGGCCAAAGACCCCGTGCGCGCGTGACGCTAGCCTCGTAGTTGACGATGCCCCGATTGCGCCATCTCCGATGGTGGAGTGTGAGGCCTACACAGCCCAACGACGATACCACCGTCAGCGCGTACGAGCGCCGCGGCATGTGCAAGTTCAGTGATATCATGCGCAAATGTTCGTTGGGAAAAATGCTGGTACCGAGGAACTGACTGAGAGCTTCACATGAAAGGCAAGGCAAAGCGAAAATCCAATAACATTTCTGAGACGTTTTATTCCTTTTATCGTGAGTCATGCTGCTAGACGACTCAAACGTCTGAACTGTGCCGCTCCATACACATCGAAGCCGATATCACAGCCGCCCACAACAGCAATGCCTCCCAAACCTTTGTAACGCCTGTATGGTCCAATTTTCGTTTCGTCATTTCATGGGAACCTTTCTATCGCCTTCCTCTACTACTTTCCAGGCCAACGTCGTTCCTGCGCCGGCGTGGACCCAGGTCTCGATCCTGGCGTGCCAGACGCCAAACCTGCAAGTGTGGTTGCAGCCTCCGATTCCGACCTTTCAACAGGTGATTCGGCTGTAGACTCGCGTCGGATAGGATATGGTGGACCACTGAAGAACGGAGGGGCATTCGTGGTGTGCCCGGGCTGTACTGGTGGTGGGCCACGCGGAAAAGGTAGTGTACGATTGACAAGCAGATCCGAGCTTCGGTCACCGCCGCCCAAGATGGGCGGAAGTGGAGGTAAAGTGATTGCTGCCGCTTGTGGAGGTGGCAAGTGTAATGGCGGCTGCATCGGTGCAGCGCCGGCGTCCATATAGCTACGAAGCTCGGTCGGACGGCCTCGCCAACTGCTCTCCGATCCCATGGGTGAGGGCAGTGCCACCGAGTGCCCACTTGTCGTGCTGCCATAACTTGGCAGCGACGGTGGTGGACCTGGGAAACGCGCTCGTCCGCTGTCGACCGAGGACGGCTTATCGCCATGAATTGGTAATGGAGGGGTGGCTGTCGGCGGCGTGCTTAGCGACAACGAAGCCGTCCGGACTAGGGGGTCGGAGTCACTGCGTGGTGCTGAGGATTCCTCAGAGAGGGAACTCTCTTTCGATACCTGCCCACGTGAACCTGATGGTGCCGGCCGCCAGCGATTGTCGCGCGTATAGCCGGGCGGTGGCGAGGCCGCACGTTGCCCAGTTGCGCCATGTCGTGTGGGAAGCGGCATGCTTGGTTGAGGCTGCGTCTGGACTGATAATGGAGTCTGACCTCCAGCAGGCGATGTTGGTGTCGTCAGTATCGTAGACGAGTTGATCGACCTACAGAGCCTCCCCGGCTGTGGCCACGTGACGGACCTAGTTCTGTTGCAGACCCAGCAGATAAAAGACTGTCCTGAGCATCCAGCTTCGGCCTTTTCTGTTCAGACGGTCCAGCGATAGCACCTCCTCCATGCTTCGCTTTGAAGTCTGTCAGGTATAGTGAGTACTCCTTGAAAGCGTCCGTCTTTTTGTAAGCCGACAGTTGTATGTTATAGCGCTCCTTGGCTGCATTGGCTTGCTCCTCGTAAGGCTCTTTGCCCTGTGGATTGAGCTTCTGCCAACGATCTCCCACCAGCTTGGCTATTTGCGTGAAGGAGAGATTTTGCTCCTTTACTTCTTCCCGGATCTGGTTGGAGAAGATCACATACGCTGATGGCGGGCGCTCTGGAGCATTTTCATCTGCTTTGGGATGTCGGCGATATTTCCGCTTCGTCTCAATCCCGGCAGCAGGCGCTCCTGGGAGTCCTGTCGTACCACCAGAGCTCTGCGAGGCTCCATCTCCCCTGGCTCCTTCGACGGGTGAATCTTGTGAAATCACAGCATACAGTCTCTCATATGGGATGCCTCGGTACTCTGCTATGGCTCGTTGAAGTTTCTGAAGACATTAGGGGGATCTTGCTCTGAAATGGGAGACTCACTCGTCTGTGGCCAAGCTTGATGCCAAGAGCCTCAAAATCGGTCTCCTGAATGTCTAGAAGCGTGTCCCATGTCTCAAAACCTTCTCCGATGAGAACATCAAGGTATTGCTCCAGGCCCAAGCGTCCTAGAGTAACTCCGAGATCTGCTGTCATTCATGCGCCACGGTCCCTTTGTCATTGGTGATCAAGTCTGTTGCACTTGCCGACGCTGGTATACCGCTGTCTTAGCCAGCCGATGCGCAGTAGGTTGGTATGTGTTGTCTGATGCCGTAGAGTCGATACCGAGTACTGAATGTGTGTTGGTGTAGCGAAGATCGAAGCGGGGACGACAACCGGTGCTTCTGCGGGGCAGTGGTAAATTTTGTGTCGTCTGGGTTGTGCTATGGTGTTGCGATCGGTGGCACAGCCGTGTTGTGTAGAGGGTCCAAGGGTCTATCCACTACCTAAAAGTAGTCCGGACCTGCTGTATGTTGAAGTTGAGTGTGACTGTGAGCAAGGATGAGAAAGCTTAGATGTCAGATGCGATGGTGAAATGCATTAGGACGGGGGGATGAGGATGGCAGATGAGATATCGATTGAGGGGCGCCGATGTATTGGCTGCTGGCCCGATAGCTGTCACGGGCTCTGCGGCTCTGTTGGATCCCTTCCAGTGAAGGTTGTATCTAGGCGACCGAAAGTGACGAATCGTTGGGCGAAAGATTATTTAGCTGGACGATCCAGAGTCCAGTAGCTGGTGCTGCAGGGTTTGGAGCAACAATGGTGAGAGTCGCATAAGATGGGCCAAGGCTCCAGAATGCGGTCGATCCCACGGTCAATGAGACAACGAGGCGACAAGCGCCGGTGTACGGAAAGAGGGAAAAGTTGCAGGTCGGGTGATGTTAACCAGCGCTCATAGGTGCCTGAGGAGGAGAGATGTCAAGACTCTACCGAAGAGGAGGAGTATCGAGGCTACTAAGAATATGATGCAAGCAAGGGAGCTCGGTTTGTGTGCGGTTGCATGGGTACTCCGTACGGAGTTAGTCCTAGCATGCGTCGCCTACCAATCGAAACTCTTCGCAATAAATGCGTCGGTTTAAGCTCGACTACGAGAGGTACCTGCGTGGTCGCCTTCTTCTCGGCACTTTTTGCCTGCAGATTGATGTCACTGCTAACGATACCTCGTATGACGTAGCCGGCCGCCTCGAATGCTGAGAAAGCACATTTCTCCTACACAATTCTGCGGTGAATTTTGAGAGAACAACAATCATTTTCGTGATGAGACTAAGCGGCGGCTCAGCAGGCTCTGCTAGGGGCACCTACCAAGCTTCTTTCGTCCAGACAGGCGACAAAGTGAATCGGAGATCTCTTGCAGCCAGCAAACCAGTTTCTGGTCTGATGGTGGATACATTTCTGCTCGTTTTGGCTGTCGGTAGATCAGAGAGCCGGTTCAGAGGCATGTCGTTGCGGCGAAGTCGTTAGGTGCACGTAAATTGCTGGTTAAGTGAACGAGATTGTCAGTATATCTCGCGATGTACAAAACTGAAACCCATGCTCCGTGCGTTGAGGGCAGTAGACGATGGTCAGCGAAAAGTTCGATCCAAGATCCGCCGGCCAAGGAAGGGTCCTTATAGTGTCATCTGTGGGAGGATCCGCATATGTTTCGCTACTGTCAATAGGCTCGCGGCTGTCGTTGTGTGAAGTTTTAGAATGTCAAAGAACCGCATCGCTGCTGAATAGTGATTCTGGTTGGACGACGTCGAGCTACAGGACAAGAGTACACTTCCGAGGACGACTGGGGCGCCACAGTATTCGAACTTTCTCGTATTCTGTGCCATAGGCCTATTCTTCTTATAGCAAGCAGATCCCCCGCCAACGAATAGGATTTGTGAGGTCCGGGTGACACAAAGACAAACTCCATAAGCATTTTACACCGAGACTCCTGCGGTTGACCACCGGTAATCGGGTTGAAGGAGTCAGAACGCGTGGGGTCGCTTGTCATGGAACGCTTTCAGCAACGAGGCATTCCGTCTCATCAGACAAGCACTCGAAGGGCCTTGTAACAGTTTAGCTCAAGTTTCGTACACCTTCATTCCAGAAGGACATGAGCGTGGTGCGAGGACTGTCACGCCTTCGGGTTCATCAGTAGAAGCCACTGCAGACCGTAGAGTGGGTCCAAGTTTGCCAAGCATGAGACTGCTTCAACGCCGCCTCATACCTTCAAGACTCGAGACGCAATGATCAGTCCCAATTGATAGATTTGAATCGCCTCTGAGCACACGGTGGCAAAGCGCAGGTTTGGGCCGTGATTTCGCGTTTGCTCGAACGTGATTGCGCCCGAGAAAATCCGATCTTTTGCCTCACCGATCAAGTGACAGCTGTCTCCGCGTCGCCACGCTTCCAACCATGGCACCTGGAAAGAGCGTTCCCGATCAAGACAATGTTGCGCGTGAGCAAAATTCTGGCGAACAGAATCCGCAGCGGATTAACTCTGAGTTGGCACAGGTTTGTCCCACTGCCCTAGATTCGAAATATGTGGCTGACGGTATCTCATGCAGGCCTTTCAAGAGCTTGCAAGGTATCCGCTATTCAGTTGAAAATCTGGCTTCGGTGCATACTAACGCAGTGCAGAGGCGAACAGCAGGCAACCGCTCTAGAAGGCCGTCTGACGGAAATCGAAGGACGTATAGAGCAACTACTTGCAAGTGTTGAGCAGAACGCTCGTGAGAACACCGCAACAGTCTCCGGATCTGACCCATCTGCGAAGGCGGAGTCCAAGCCAATGCAGTGACCTGCGAGGTATGCAAGTAAGCTGGGACCTGGTATGCCGATATTGTAGATCTTCTGCAAGGCTTCCGCCACATTTGGCAAGCAAAAGTTACTTCCGGAAGATATGCTCAAAATCAAACCGGCCATCTACTTTCTCGACGACGCCACATTCGGTCACAATGCCATCTATCAGGCTGGCAGGTGTCACATCAAATGCAGGGTTCCACACGTCGATCCCGGTGGCAGCGATGTTGATCGTTGCCGGGAAGTGTTCGACGAGCACCTTGCCGTCCGTATCGATGCGAGGACCTTTTATCCTAGTCACCTCATCGGCTGCACGTTCTTCGATGACGATTTCTTTGCCGGAAGGTGTTGCAAGATCGATCGTTGTGCGAGGCGCGGCCACCAAGAACTTGACGCCGTGGTGACGGGCAAGCACTGCCAGAGAATAGGTGCCGATCTTGTTAGCAGTATCGCCATTGGCCGCAACACGATCGGCACCCACAACGATAGCGGCGACGTCTTGACCTTCTCTCTGAAGCAGCGAGGCCGCCATCGAATCTGTCACAAGAGTAGCGGGTATCTCGTCGTGTACAAGCTCATATGCCGTCAGTCGAGACCCTTGGTTGTACGGTCTTGTCTCAGAGCAGTACGCGTGCGTGAGCATGCCGTTGGAACGAAGTGATCTAATCACGCCAAGCGCGGTGCCATACCCTGCTGTCGCCAATGATCTATTATCAGTCAGTCATGCACATTACCCTATGATCCTGGACTCACCCTGTGTTGCAATGCGTCAGAACCTGAAGGGGTTGCTCAGGATTGCTTGTTCTCCGAACACCGGCAGTAGTATGCTTCTTTATCCACTGTGCTCCATGTTCACCGATGGCTTTGTTATCTGCCACGTCGTCTTCTAGCATTTTCTCCGCTGCTTGCAGGTATGCTGCCACAACAGTCGTCGGCGAAGCATCCGGCTCTGACGCAGCGGTCTCGACCACTTTCTTGAGTTTCCCTATGGCATCACTGAGATTGACAGCGGTAGGTCTGCTGGTCTTCAGATAGTCCAGTCGACGACCAATTTCGTCCTGTTGTTTCCTCGCCGTCTTGAGAAGCGACCCAGCTTGTTTCTCATTACTCAGCTCTGTCGCTAGAGCCAAAGCTGCTACTATGGCAATAGCAGGTGCTCCTCGGACTTGCATTTTCTTGATCGCCGAATGAGCACCTTGGCATGTTGTGATTGGGATGAAAGTGGTCTGATGCGGCAACAGTAGTTGATCCAGGATCTCGAGCGAGGCGGGAGTGACATTTTGGCCCGAGGCTGTCTCGCCCTTGAAACGGATAGCTTCGAGGACCATGCTAGTGCGTGCGCGGTGAGTCGAATATAAATGCGAGGACGCCAAGGAGGACTTCCTGCAGTTTTTGCTTGGACTGTGGTGATCAACAATGTTACTTCAGTGATGATTTAACAGTCTTGTTGGTCTCCCCAAGTGGCGAAGGTGTTTCGATCAGCGGTGAGTCCGAAATACTGTGCTTGCCCGAATAGCGCAGTGCGGTGCATCTGATGAGTCGTGCCTTCCCAGAAAATTCTTGGTGGGGCATCAAAATTCCAGACGTTCTCCGAAACGAGAAGTTCGCTTTCTTGTTCAAGCTGAGGTATTCGTGACGCAGGGAGCTCCTCACGACGAGAGCGGATGACTCGCGGCTCCGTCCAACATGACTACATTTCAATTACACAATGAGGCCCAGACCGGATTCAAGTCAGCAGAAGCGTACGATACAGGCCGACCGTCATATGCACCCGAGGTGGTGGATAGCCTGCTAAAGCATCTCGAGGTGGAAGGTGTCAAGAACGCAAAGATCCTTGATCTAGCTGCGGGTACTGGCAAATTTACAGAAGCTCTAGCAGCACGATCAGAAGAGTATGAAATCGTTGCCGTCGAGCCACACGACGACATGCGGGCACAATTGTCCAAGAAAAGTTTGAAGAACGTGACTGTGCTCAAGGGCAACGCAGAGAACATGGAAGGAGTGAGTGATGCGACTTTTGACGCCGTCATTGCGGCTCAAGTAAGTGGCTATGCTCATGCGCTTTCGTACTCCCCGTTGACAAAAGCTGCATCAGTCCTTTCACTGGTTCGCGACAATGGAGGCGCTGCGAGAAATCGCCCGTGTCCTCAAGCCGGCCAAGACACTCGGTCTGATATGGAATATTGATGATTGTGAGTCGAGCGCTTCTATATGAGACCATGCTGATGTTCGTCCAGACAACGCTCCTCAATCGTGGGACATTGCTGCTGGCTGGGATTCGGAGATGCGAGATCAAGTCTGGGAGCTGGATTTCGATCAACCACGATTTCGCCACGGCCAGTGGAAGAAGGTCTTTGACGAGCAGAGTACGAGCAACCTGTTCACACTGAAGTTCGCAGATCCATTGTTTGGACTGCCCATTGGCGAGGAGACAGTGCCGTACAAAGTCTGGCTGACTCGTGAAGCTGCTTGGGAACGCATGCGGACGTTAGGTCAGATCGCAGTGCTGGAAGGCGATGAACTGGCCAGGGTCAAAGCTCGATGCGAGAAGGCATTCGACTTGAGCGGTACAGAGACCGACGGTGACAAGATCGCTCTGCACGGGCGCACAGTGATCGCGTGGACGTCGCACATCCCAGAAGTGCCTCTGCGAAGTGAAGAAGCAATGTGACCACAGTAGTAACGTTGGTTGATTCGACGCGGGCAGCAATCCGAGCGCGTCTGAGCTGAACGTGAGTCGTCATAACCAGACGTCGAGGGAAGAGTGGCCTATTCGCTGGATATGTACAGTACTGCCAAGTCAGTGACAATAAAAAGCATGGACTCAAGTGCTCTCACCGTTGTTCCCTCGAACAAAAGCGTCTCCATATGTTCTCCTCAACTTTCCGTGGACGAACTCCTGGCACTTCTCGAGCGCAATGTTCATGTATCCGTCGACCGATTGAAGCTCGCCTTTGTATACGACACCTGAGTTGAGCTTGACAGTGACAGGAACGCCGATGATGGATGACAGAAAGCTCGCTGGGTCCTTCGAACCGCCGGATGTAAGCTGGTCCGCCATCTCGTCGAAGGTCTTGTTTACTTCAATCCGACTCCTTTGATCGAGATGGTTTTCTACGGGTTCAAACAGCGAAACTCAGGTGAAAGGAGTGAGAAATGTTCAAGGCGACCTCGGACGCCTTTGTAGTGCTTGGCAGGCAAATTCTAGGCGCCTCGCGTTCAAGTCCCAGGCGCGATGCGGGGTAAAGATCGAGGGCGCGTTGCCCGCCTGTAGCGTAAACAAGGACTTCTCTTCATGTTCTCGCTACTGGACAATCAGCCGACAAAAGAATCGCTGCGCACTCCACTGTTTGAGCACTGCATCGTACTAGAGTACCAGGACAGGGTACAACAATGCACAGGTGGGCTCATGACCGATGAGTGCCTCGAAACCATCACTATTCAAGCGCCCAGCATGGGCAGCAGCTCCGAACGCCACGGCCGCCAGTGCAGGAAAGCTGTCAGTCTTTGGTCAGCTCAATGTCGCCGAAGACATTGTGGCGGAGGATCGACGGAAACGAGAGGAAAGGGAAGCCAAGCAGCGGGCAAAAGCAGAGAAGTTGTCTGCCAAGTCGATCGCGGATGATGAGCAACCAGCACCTAAGAAGAGACGGATATCGAAGGATCGGGAGTCCTCTCCTGTAGACAGTGAAACATCGAGCACGCATGCAGGCTCATCACCCTTCAAGGCTTCGACACCTGAGCCAGTCGAGACGAAACGCAGCCTGCGGAGCACTCCAAAGAAGAATCAAGTGTTACTCGAAGGAATAGAGCCAGAGAGCCGAAAGAAGCCGGAACGCAAAACAACTGTTATATCTCTGGACGAAAGCGACGATGACGGTAGTGGCGATCTCATCTCGCCTGCACCCACGCCCAGACAGAAACCCAGTGCCGGTCCTAGCACATCAACCCGAGCATCAAAACCAGAACCCGCACCACCACCAGAAGACGAAGAAGATGACCCGTTCCTCCGAGAACTACAACGTAAAGCCAGAGAGTCAACCAGACAGCAGCAGAATGCTAGACGGTCTCAGCCGCCCATAGAGACACCTGGCGCTGCTACAGACGAGCACGGTTCTCCCTCACAGGCATCACCCGACACCTCCCAATTAATCGACACCACTCAACCCACCCAACCAACCACCCGCGAAGCCAATGTCGCCATCTGGATCAAAACCCACATCCCCAATACCAAAGACCTAGTCGTCAACCGCCGCGCCTCCCAAATCCTCCAACAAGTCCGCGAGTTCTGGATCAACAAGCACAAACTCGAGCCCGCGCTTGCCAGCCAAGTCTTCTTCGCCTGGCGCGGCACCCGCCTGTACAACTCCTCCACCGCGCAATCACTCATCAACATCCTCAAACGCGAAGCGGGCATTCCCTTGCACTCAGACGAGGACCCATCGGAGGGTAAACTCCACGTTGACGCCGTGACGCAAGACATCCTCGACCAGCAGGCTCGCGCGAAGGCGCAGCTTGCCGCTGCTGTCGAGGCTGCTCAGAACGGCGCTGCTGAAGAAGACGATGACGCAGCAAACGCCGACGACGCGGGAGAGGGACCGCCCGAGCCGCCGAAGAAAGAGAGTCTTCTCCTGATCCTGAGATGCAAAGGGGTGGAGGAGCTGAAGCTGAGCGTGAGGCCCAGCACGCGGGTGAGCAAGATCATGTCTGCGTTCCAGTCGCAGAGGAAGATTGACAAGTCGAAAAAATGCTGGTTGGTGTTTGATGGGGATCGGCTCGACGAGGACGAGGCAGCGGGAGGGGTAGGATTTGATGATGCCTGCGTTGTGGAGGTGCATCCGAGATAGAAGATGGGATGGAGCACTTGCCTGCATGATATGTGTGTCGCTGGAGGAAGATCAATGTAATACATTTGTACAAAGTCATACTTCGCTGAAAGCATATGTCACTTCAACTCGGCCGCTTGAAACCCAGCATAGACATGTTCCACCGCCGATTCCTCTCCTCCAATCCCAACGTCTCACCTGCCAGCACTACCACCTTTTCCTCCGCCGTCTCCGCAACGACCTCCACGTCACCAGCCGGCTGCGGCTCGTACACGCTCTTCTGTTCACCCTCGCCAAACACACCATCCCAGATCCCCTTCTTACAAACCAGCGCCCCCACCAACACCAAAGGCAACTGCCACACACTCGCCCAGAACAGTCCCCTCGCACTCCCTCCGCCGCCCTGCTTCCGCCAAAACGCCACTGCCTCCTTTGTCATCCACAGATTACACGCCGTGCTGATCACCAAGAATCCTTGGTTCACCAGCCCGATAGCGTACATCCCTGCGCAGATCGGGAACATGGCCAGGCTATACCGCAACGCGACGCGTGCGTTGCGTGCGGGATTCGTCCAGGCGAGCATCTTGTGGCCTGCAGCGCGATAGTCCTCCCGAATGGTGTGGGAGAGGGACATGAAGTGTGGGAATTGCCATGCGAATAGTAGTGCGGCGAGAAGCCAGCCGCCTGTCGCGGACTCGGAAAGCAGGAGGTCCGTAGCAGAGTGGTGTTCCGTAGTAGCGGCTTGGCCTGCAGCAGCGCACCAACCCATCAGGGGCGGGATGCCGCCGACAATGGCTCCGACCCAGGTGTTCGCTGGTGAGAGGCGTTTCATGGGAGTGTAGACTCCTGCGTACAGAAAGATGTTGAGCGCTGAGAGGGCAGCGACGGTGGGGTTTGTGCCGACGTACAGGAGAGTGAGGCCGGAGGCGGCGCAGGCGGTGGCGAAGAGGGCGGCGGAGCGTGGCTGATGAGTTGGCGCACGAGGGGTCGGTTGCGAGTGCGGGTCATGAGGGCATCGTATTTGGGCTCGAAAAGCATGTTGAGGGTATTGGCGGCGGCGCAGGAGAGAAAGGTGCCGCTGGTGAGGAAGAGGAGGGTGAGCGTGGAGGTCGAGAGCGTGGTCTGCAGGGCTGCGGTGGAGGAGGATATGATCTCGGGTAGAGGGTAAAGACTGTAAGCGGAGGTTGTAGTGAGGAGGATGAGGAAGGAGAGTCGTGGTTTGGTGAGGGCCAGGTAGGTCGCGAAGCGGCGTCGTAGGGTGGCGGACGTGGGCAGCGTGGTGGCCGCTGTTGTCAGCTGGGAGGAGGCGTCAAGTGGTAGTGACTCGGACGTGTCCTGAGCGTCCTCTTCTTTCCGCCGCTTCCTTCGCCTATGTGGGAGCAGCTCTTGCTGTTGTCCTTCCTCTGTCGAGAGAGGAGGATTATCAAGGCTCTCGGTGGGCGGCAGACTTGTGCTTGTGGCAGCTGCCGACGAATGGCGAGACTCGGCAGGCAGTGCAGAGCTGTGAATGGACGCTTCTCGCCCTGCTGCTGTGATGGAGGATGTGGTGTTGGGCGACTCAGAGGCTTGCTTGACGAACGAGCGCAACCCCTCTCGTAGCCACTCTTTATTCATCGAGGGATTCGCGGAGAAATAGTCCTGCACAAAGCCATTCTGAGTAATTACTGCGTTCCGGCGAGTAGCCAGACTATCATGAAGCTTCCGCTTGGTGTGGAATGATGATCTGTAGAGGTTGTTGGCAGGCAAAGGCTGTGGTCGGACGGTGCGGGCTATGCATCGAGAGCAGACGCTGCCACCGACCAGCCGTCTCATCGATACTTCGGCCATGCTATGCTACGCCATCTTCCAACGTGCGCAGGACCTTCAAGTGGGAATAAAAGTCCATGTGAAGTGAGAGTAGACCGAAGTTGAAGTCGATCCCGAAGCTGTGGAGCCGAAGTTTCTCCGCGCCGCCAAACGACGCGCCCAACCTGGAGGAACTCGATCTACGTTCATCCCGACTCTAATTCAAGCAACGTCCTATCACACCATGATAGCTAATCGCGAAGATGGCGGGCTTGACAGCAGACCAAGTCGCGTCCCTTGAAGATCTCCGCCGCCGCCTGTCCGCCCTCAGCAGGAACCTCCTTACCCTCCACAGTCAATTCAATGCCGCCACACGCTCAGACGACCTCCAGGGCCCGTTCAAGACAGTGGCCTCCAGCCTGCACGAGCTGACCAGGGAACTCTCCAAACATGACGACCTGTTGTCCCGGACGGTCGTTTTTCCCAATGCCAATTACCCAGCGAACACAGCCAGCGGCGTGAGCGAGCATCTGCTAGCAACGCATCTCGGTCTCGCAACGCAGGAGTGGATCGAGCGTGGACAGCAGGGCGCGAAGGAGGCATCGTCAGCCGGCGTGCTGTCAGATACGGATCGCGACAGGCTGTGGGCGAATGCTCCGAGACTGGCACTGGATGAGGCGAGGAAGCAAAGATGGGGCGCAGACTATACGCTGGCGGAGGTGCAAGCCGGGGTTGAGAACGTCACGACAGGTCTCAGGAGGACTCTAGTTGTGCCGGAAGACGACGATGATGAGGAGTTCGACGAGGAGAGTGAAGACGATGCCGACGACGATGTAGATGCAGACGAGGATTCGGAGGCTATGGATGTCGACAGTGCTACAGCACAGACGAAGACTGCGGCCACAACTGCACCAAGCGCACCTACGATGCCTCCTATGGATCTTCTCGATCTAGTTGCCTTCACCGAGACTGGGAAGACGATGAATGCTGCCTTGAAGTCAAGACTTCAGCCTCAAAATAAGCGGTGATGTTACATATTCATACCAATGGATTGACAAGAAAGACACTATGGCTCGAGCTAGACCGCCGTCTCCTGCAAAGCCATGCACTTCATGCTATTACTTCCGCCCTGAGGCGCTCACAACCCACATTACTTACAGGTATGCAGCCAACCCCAGCAAGAGAGTGCCCATCATGCCCACAGCCGGAACCACAATTTCACCAGCAACGCCTTGCGAAGCCTCACTGCTCGCACTGCTGGCCGCGCTGCTGACTCTGCTGCTCACCACACTCGCCGAGCTAGATGCGCTGTCCACCACCGAGCTGGCCGAGCTGATTATCGATGAAGCAGAGGCCGCTATGTCGCTGGCATCGGCCGAGGCGGTGATGCTTGCGGTCGAAAGGGAGGAGAGCTGTGAGGAGACGTCGCTGCTAATCGAAGAAAGGAGGGATGACGCGTCTGAGCTAACAGACGAGAGGATGGAGGAGATATCTGTGGGAACGGAAGAGACCACGGATGCGGCAGCTCCGGCAGCTTGGGCGTGGACGGTGTTGGCGGCGGTCAGGAGTGCTAACATTGACGCTGGGATATTCATGTTCGCAGTGTGTTGTCGCTCCGTGGGCACGTACGATGAGTGGTATCAACCCAAAAAAGCGTCGCGTGGTCCAGACGTCTTCTTCTGTGCGAATGAGGGCGTGTGGTGAGGAGTGCTCGGAAGTTGCGGGAGATATTGGTAGATGCGCAATCACAGCAGAAGCCCTACCTTATACTCACATTGGCTTGCTCGAAGCATCGCTGCATCACGCCAGCAACGGGGTCGACAAACGAGTCACCGAATGTCGCTCGCACGGCGCGCCAGCTGACGGGTCGCCTACATCTGATACCTCTCTAGTCGTCCAGGGCAATGGTATAACTCTGACCTGACACGAGGCTGTCGTTCATAAGTGAGTGTGACTCGGCCTAATCCGACTCTTCCAAGCCCGGGGGAAGCTGTCGACATCGAATATGGTATCATCCTACCTTCGTAAGGCTTGTCAGGCTAAAGCCGTGATGCTCCGGCTCATCCTGTCGCGGGGGAAAATGGTACACATGAGAACACATCCAACGCGTGGCCCTACTGATGCTGGGTTTCATGTAGCAGGTGCCGCGGGGAGAGTAAGGCTAATGGACGACAAGTTCACTAAACAAATCAGTTCCAATGTTCCGCACTTCACACCAGGATATGCAGTCGAGCGGCGCTGTTGAGTCTGAAACAATGGAAAAGTCCCAGCAGTTACAAAATTTGGCGACTGCAGCCGATGTAGATATGAATGCTTTGACTGCTTTCCGAGATAGGTAGTGGGCGAGTTCATTGACAGAGGGGAAGATAGCCGCTGACGTGCATTGACGACCGTGACGGCGCATCTTCGACAGGAGCGGCTGCTTCCGCTGTTCCCCAATAGTGCCAAGCTTACCCCAAGTCGTTGATGTCATTGCTTCGGACTACTATTTCGCTGCCTACATGGAGGTACTGTATTCCCACGATCATGGTCGCATGTAGTGTCGCTACGCAGTAAGAAAGCTCGAGAGTCGCGTGAGGAGCAAGCAGGCTGCACGATACTGGTTGCGACTCATACAAAAGCGTTTCCAATAGTATTTCTCTGGGTTGGAGTAGACTGCGCCTGCCTGCCAGATACCTACCATCGTACTAGTAGGCATCTTAGCAGCGACCAGCGCTCTTGAAAGCTCTCCGACAGTTCGAGGCACATCAAGCACGTCAACTATCCTGTCGGTGAGCCAGAACAGGCAATCATAATCCATCAGACCACCTCTTTGTGGTGTGACCACTTTTGACTCGGGCAGTGCCCAAACTAATGGAACCCAACAATCGACACATGTTGCACATCACCCACGTGAAGTACACCTCCGCAACCATATGCGGTTTTCCGCTGGTGATCTTTCCCTATGTCTTGGTGAGCTTGTGGGATGCTAAGTTCCGCATCTGCAACGGAACGAGGAAATAGAACCTTGGGACCCTGTCGCCATGTGCTTTCAACATAGCCATGAGTTGCGCTGAAAAAAGCCTGAACAGCGGGAAAATATCCACCATGATCTTTAGAGGTCGATCTCGCTCTGTTTCAAGGTCTCTGCATCGTTTGATTGGAGGCTGCTCTTCGGTATCTACGCACCGGAAGTTTGGAGACGGCCCCAGATCGACGCCGGAATACACCGTGTGCAGCCTCATCTGCTCATGAACCAATCATTGCCGCTAATTGAGCAGGGGTTTCGAATTCTTCAAAGCAACCTCCTCCAGTTTTGATGCCTCGACCGTTCCTGAGACCGGCCAAGTTCTCCAATGTCCATGTTTGACACCATCACAGACCATGGCATTGTCTGCGCCTGTATATGCTTTTGCTGCAAAATTTGCGCATGAGATGTGCTTTAAGATGAAAGTCATCCGGCAAATCAACGATTCCACTGTCTCTCCTTCACACAATCAAAACATGGCTGAACAGCCAAATCCATCCGAGAACGGATGAAATCATCAGAGTCATTGTTGGTCGAGCCATTTAATGTACTGGAGGATCAAGCAGGGCTGGGACAAATGGTCCCAGCGACAAGCGGGCATACGTCGCCGCCAACGACCGACCATGGCTCCATGTCCCCGCCAGAACAACAGCACAAGAAGCGGCGGCAGCACAAAGATACTTATCGTCGATTACATCCAATAGTGACGACTGCGCCGAACGTCCCCCCCAAACGTGGGTCGATCTCATCAGGATCGTCCACGTCTTCTGCTGCTTCTGACGGCAGTGCAACGCTCGTACCAACGGCGCTCGACGCACATCGAAGGGATATGTTTGGTGCTTACCCAGTCCAGCTTGACGCACAGAGCCTTGAGGCTCTGGACGAGCAGCTCAATTCTGTCTCGAATGAAGAGCTGGTCTTTGATATTCGGGGTGGCCATAAGCACCCAATGCTTGCAACGGTATTCAGCAGATCCTTGCAAGATGTTGGGCTCTTCTCATGCTATGTCGCAGCAGCACAGAGTCTCTTCCTGCAGCGGCGATCTCGGAAGGGCTTTCAGCCTTCGGATCAGTTGATGGCTCTCCAGAATCGAGGTCTCAGTCACATCAGAGATCGGATCATGGGCGTGAACGCAGTCATGGATGACATTCTCATTGCTAGCATCACGCAACTGATGGTTGCCGACTCGGTGTGCGGCAACATAAAGTCGTTGCTTTCTCATCAACGGGGCGTGAGGAAGCTCCTCGGGCTACGGAAAGACGCACTCAATGAGCCTCTGGTTGCAATGAGCCTAGGCGTCATCGTGGTCATTGAGTTCTACATGGCACTCGTGGCATTCATCTTTCCACCAGAGAAGCCACCACCTCCGCCAGCAGACAACGCCCTGCGATATATCAAACATCCTTTCCCAATCTCAATCTGCATCCGGATGTCTCGGCTGCCACAGGGTCTGGAGGACCTGGCGCTATCCAGCAAGTGTAGTCTTCAAACTATCGACTTGCTTGAACACCTCAGTGAGTGGTCGTCAGATATGCAAGCCATCAATGGAGCCAATCAAGCAGCAACAGAAGTCTACGCTCGCCTGTTCGCCGAGCCTATGAGTTCGTCACGCTCCGCTATCTTCATTCTCCGCAATCTGCGGCACGCCAATGCAGAAATATCGATCGAGTACGTCCTGTGTCTGGGAGTCATCATCATCATTAAGCACCAAAGGACAACCAGGAAGACCGACTATTTGGACGACGAGCTCGTGCATAGTTTTGTTCGAGCTCTAAAGCAGTATCCGCACGCATCACATTGCGAAGTAGCAGCAATCATCTGGCTTGTTGCCGTGGTCGCCTGGCGAATATCCGGCGTGTTCAAGCCCGAGGCAGATGACCTTATCGACTTCACCATCAAGAAGTACGATGAAGCACAGAGTCTCAGCACAACGCGCACGATATGGCGGAAGTTTCTTTGGCACGAAAGGTATGAGCATGCTTGGACGCGCATGTGGCAACTCGGCTTGGACCGATATCAAGTTGGCAAGGCCGAGCGGCTCATGCGTGCTCCGGCGCCGAAGAACGGGATGTTGAAGCGTTCGCAGTCGTCTTCACTCCCGCGGGATTCGGCTTCTCTCAAGAAAGAAGACTCGAATTCGAGTTATCAGTCCTCCAGCAATTTCAGCAGACCGCCTTCCACAGTGCATTCAATGGACAGTGTCACACCACCTGTCTCGGACAGCGACGTGCTATCTGGATGAGTGGATCTCTGTTGCTGCCTCACATCGAAGACTCAAACATCGAACAAATCCAGGGGCAGTCCTCGGCGTACTTTGGACCGCGCATGTGCCCGGATCAGAACCTCGGCGTTGGGCATTCACCACTGAGATCTGGTCGGTCATTGCCTGATATGGACATATCACCCGAGTACTTGCCCGATGCAGGGTCTCGGGGATTCTCCAATTTTTGCGCCATCAAACACTGATGAACACATGTTCGCGAATTCAGGCTCAATCTCCGGCATCGTGTTAGAGCACTGACGTCAGCTTCCATTGGTCACGCGGAGACGTGGGCATTGAAGTCGTTCGTTAAGCAATAATCTGCAGTGGTGCCTTGATCTTCTTGCAGCCTGAAAGGGCGCGGTACTTTTGTTGAATACATTGGGCAAAGCTTGGCTAGCATTTGAAACAGGTCCATGCAGGCGTTTAGGCGGTGTCCAGCAAGGACATCAGGAGTGTATAGTATCGGCGTTTCTGCATCGCAGGGTAAAGGAAACAATTGAGAGGCCCAGACACCCCAACACTTGGGTAGGTAGTTTATCCAAACACTCACAATCTTCGAATTCTTCCAGGATATAGGGGCTGGTTCCTGACGTGCACGCGTCGCCGCAATGTAACATCTGAAGATGAAAGCTCTGGAGTAGTCCAATTGTCCCCGGTCTCGTGGGTCTGGAAAATCTGTCCGATAATCATATGGTGATCTCTGGCATAGACGACTTCAGACGACAGCAGCGTTGCTCTACTGGCAGCATACGGACCTTCATCTGCCAATCTCATTGTCGTTGATCTCCTTAGTCGAAGCCTTAACAATTGTTGGCAGCAAAAGCTACCATGATCATGGAGGTCAAGCACATCAGGCACGCCTAGACGCTCCGCCGAGGTCGCTCGCGCTAGGCGGCATTGGTGCTCATTTACAGCGAGAAAGCAGATTTTTCTCGGCCGCAATAGCATGATGGATATTAATTTGCACGGAGCAAATTTCGCTCAACAACAGCTCAGAAAACTGTGTGACCTTAGCTCGTAAGTTCGAATGCAATTCGGAAAACGCAAGCACAGAATTTCTAACAAGCTGTTCAGAGTTGGGAGAGCGTCAGACTGAAGTCATAACTCAGTCTCAAACATCTGAAGGTCGTGTGTGTAAGCATCAACCTTTGTCCCATGTGTGGGTGTCAGTGTACTGACACCATATCTAGTCGATCCACACAGGTCACAACGTCCAACTTGACATTTCTTTTTGTGTTTTTCGTGATCATGACTTGTGCAAGTAGGTCGCTAGAATTCTTTTTGCTACTTGGCTGTTCTTCTGTGCGTCCATTGAAGCTCGGAACTTGGCGCATCCCACTCTCATTGCCCCCACGAACGACCTGAGTCCACGAGCATTATTGTGTACACTTCAGCGGCTTCACCGGGCTGTGTAAGCTTGACGGCCTTGCAAGGAGCTTCAGCATACTGAAGCAAATACTGCGTGTTCTTGGGAGTACATGTTGTTGGTTCCTTGCATTCCTGTCACTCTACTTCCTCGCAAGCATAGGCTTTGGACTTCATGAAATTGGGGAAACCTTCGAGACATCGATGAAGGTCTTCAATACACTTCGAACACTTCCCTGTTGCCGCCAGTCTTGAGATTGCACCAAGACAACATACCTTCACGGATTCAAGTATTCGGCCAATCTAAGGCGGCCCTCCCTGATCAGAAACCCCCAGAATTCCGAGCTATCGTACCAAATCGAACTCATATCCCTCGCCACTCACCGCGACAATGCCACCAATCCCAATAACAATAATAACCGGCTTCCTCGGCTCCGGCAAAACAACCCTGATCCTCAACCTCCTCCCCCAACTCCCCACCAACTACCGCGTCGCCCTCCTCAAGAACGAATTCGGCGACCTCGCCGTCGACACCCAACTCGCCTCTTCCAAATCCATCTCCGGCGTCCGCGAGCTCCTCAACGGATGTATCTGCTGCAATCTCGTCGGCCAGCTCGGCGATGCCCTCTTCCAACTCCGCGACACCGTCGACCCGGCACGCATCATCGTCGAGACTTCCGGCTCGGCCTTTCCGGCGACGCTGGCGATGGAGATCAATCGCATCAGTAATGAGAATTCGGGCATGTTTGTGCTGGATGGGGTGATCAGTGTGATTGATGTTGAGAACTGGAAGGGGTATGATGATGTTAGTCCGACGGCGAGGATGCAGGCGAGGTATACGGATTTGATTATCTTTAACAAGTGGGAGTTGGTTTCGGAGAGGAGATTTGATGAGGCGCTGGATCGGGTGGGGGATCTGGAGGTGCAGACTCCGTGGGTGAAGTCGGTGAAAGGATGGGTTGATAAGGAGGTGGTGTTGGGGATTGATGGGGCGATGATAAGGCAGGAGGGGATCAGGGAGGCGATTGCGCTGGAGCATGAGGCTGGCACGCGAGGGAGGAGCATCATCAGAGCGAGGTCGAGGTGTTGAGTGTCACGCTCAGGACTGAGGATGGGCGGCCGCATGCTGTGAGCCTGGATGATTTTGAGGAGCTACTATTGTCTGCGCCCAAGGACGAGGTCTATCGCATCAAAGGTCTCATAGCGAGTCGCTCGCGCCGCCGGACAGCACAGGAGATAGGAGAGCAAGTCTGGACATGGATGGAAAAGGACTATATGTTCTCAACTGGGCATTCGGGCGATGGACATATACGGGCTTGAGCTCGACACAATTCGACGTGCTGGATGCTGCGAGTGCAAGACTGACATTCATACTCGCTCGTGGAGAAGCTAGGCGGTGGAAAAGGAAGCTCGAGACCGGAGAGCTGCTGAAGGTGGATACTGAGCACAATGGCGTGGTCACGGTCGAGAAAGTATCGAGCGAGGACGGACATAAGCACTGAGCTTGATTGCGGTCATATGTCTTCGCTTTGATTGTCTGCTGACAGTCGAAATGGCACTACCGTTCGGCCGCTGGCTTGGACACTCGTCAGTCCAACATTCGAAACCACTGCAATCGGTAGCACGTGCAGATCTTCCACAGGATTATCACCTTCTTCCTTGACCGCGACAGGATTGCTCAGGGCTTCAGGTCGGTTCACATATCTGTCACTGTGGCAACGTGAAGACTATCAGCGGGTACTACAATTTGGCAGGTGAAGTCACCAGATGCCAAGTGACCGCGCACATCACCACCGTCAGAAACATTTGACGATCTCTACCGTCCACGCTTCGCAACTCTACCACTCCCCGCCACAATACTGACCAGCCATCATAAGCGCCTAGTCGACCACAGACTTCTCCTCACCATGGCTGCTCCACCTGCCGCAAATGATAACGAGCTCATCACAGTCATCGCAGACACCTACAACAAATCTTTCGACATCCCGAAGTCCACTTTGACGAGAGAGAGTGGCTACTTTGCGACATTGTTCAAAGGGACGTGGCATGAGGTGGAGTCCGGAGTCATTCGGCTTCGTGGTGATCACGGTCTGGCAATGGTCTTCGTTCTTGGAATTCTTGACGCGGGTGCAGATCCTACAAAATTCGTTCGACTGACACAAGTGCTCAGCGTCTCGTTGGTTTCGGAACTCCCACGCCGGGAAACAACTCAATACGCCTATGACACAGCTGTCGGAGTGTATACGATCGCAGACAAGTACGACATGCCAGTACTACGTAAGCACATGGCAGAGCTAGCCCTACCCATCATGTTCAAGCAGTCATTCGACAAGGAGTGGCCTTTCTCGCCCTCACAGCTTAACTTCGTTGCTCATGTCTACGTGCGGTTTTCGGAAGAACTCGGCGAATATCCTGAAGATCTTTTCGACTTGGTCTGTTCCGGCGCTGCCCACTTCCTCGGCAAGGATGGTAACGCGGACCACATCATTGAGCACATCTCGTCGAACCCAAAGCTACTCAAGCATCTCATCCGGGATCTTGTCGACAAAACGCCAGACAATCCGCAACCACTGATCGATGTCGCCAAGCAAGCTGCAGCGGCCTTCCGTACGGGAGCTTCCGCAGGGGACGATAACAACGGGGATGAAGACAACCTCAGCGACGAGACTGGGGAACTTGACGGTTAGTACAACGACGTGCACGGGGCCTGGGGCGAGAACGGAGCACACAACGAGGACGGTACATCTGGCGAGGATGGAGTCTACTACGAGGGAAGGGAGTGCGACCTCATCTGATGGCTGGCGTGGCATTGGCAAACAGCTCCTGGCGCAGGTATCAGACTGTAGCTACGGCAGATCCAGCGTGGGACCACGGCTAAGGGTATAAAGAAAGACATCCTGGGCAGGTCGTTACTTTCAGACTGGACTCGGATATCGACGACAGAACGGCTAAGAGGCAAAGTGAAGGAAACGCCGAAGTTTTGGATAAATCCTGTGGCATCGGCAAACATTGCTGCTGCCGCAATCCGAGCATAGTAACATCATTGATTCCACCGCGATTGCGACTGCTCCAGGCACCTAGGCATACTCTCTTGCCGTTGTTCGAAGCGCAATACGCTAACAGAGAGGATAGGAAATGGTTCGCACCACACAGATCATGCACCTGATTCCCTTTGCCCCGTCGAGAACCTGACTTCGCCAGGTCTGTCCCAACCACTAGGCTGGATCACGCTGAGGTCACTGTGCAATGTGATTGCAGAGAGTGGGCCTGCGAGACTCGAGCAAGTGAAGACGCCAGGCAACAACTGCGCACCCCCTTCATCGGAGACATGCCTGAACATTGCTCCCTCTCCTTTGCTGCACACTACTCCACTCCACAGCACCGAAGCCGCATAAAACTCTTATTAAACGCCGAGGACTCTTCGATGTGAGTACTCTCTGCATAAAAGGTGTCGATGAAATCGTCACAGTCTACAATAACTCGACCGGCAAAGACCATACCTTCAAAATTTCCAAGCTCGCCCTCGTCACAGCGAGCGGCTACTTCGAGGCATTCTTCGACAAAGACTGGGAGGAGGTGCGCATCCCAACCATTCATATTCGCAACAATGGCTCTTCGGAAGTGGATGTTTTTCGTGGTGCGCTGGCGGAGCACGGTCCGGACGAGTTTGCTACAGCCATTGACAGGGACCTGATTTATATGATGTACGCCGGCACATATATCTATGGCGAGGTTTTCGACAAGGCCGTTCGCATGTACAGCATCGCCGACAAGTACGATATGCCAGCACTGCACAAGGTTCTGGTAGAATCAACCTTTCCTTACATTCTCGAGAAGATGTACGAAAAGGACTACTATGATTATAACTACCAGGGAGTTTTCGCGGATCAGATCTACGATCGTATCTTCAGGGAGCTGGGCACATATCCCAAGGACCTCTATTGGATGATCTGTAAAGGTGTAGACATCTCCATCCGCCATGACGGTGAAGCCGATTACCTCATCGAGCGCATCTCATCAGACGCACAACTTCTTGACCACGTCTTCCAATACCTGATGGAGAGAGTTTCCCACAGACCGCGTTTGCTGGCGGGTCTCGCCAAGCAGATCGCAGCAGCACCAGAGAACGACGAGAGTGATGACGTCGGAGAGGAAGAACAGCCAGCTGCAACCCCGGCTGCGAGAGCGAAGAAACCGAGGACAAAGGCGACCAAGACCGAGATCACGGACTCCAAATGAGGACAGGCAGAGTAGACGATCATGTCTAGCGACGCGGAGTCACAGCCTGCAGCAGTGTCGGCAAGAAGTCTTGGGATCCAGATATGGAATGGCGGTCACATCGAACTCGCGGTGTGCGCAAGACCGAGGATAGGGAAGGGCGCTTCTCAACATGTCATTTCTTCTGCGCCCACGGCGCCCACATGATACATAGCACAACGGGACCAGTGCAAGATGGAGGCTGGAGTTTTGGAATGGCGTTCTGGCAATGACGAGCATCATTCTTGATCGCAGAGAGCGAAGATACCTACGGTCGTTGAAGATATCAGTACGGTCGCACGAGAAAGCCATTATGAATTTCACGGAGCCAGCTCAGGCGACTCCCATTCAGACTTGCAGACTTGCACATTGATGACCGTCTCCTCACTTCCGAGTCGACGGGCAAACCGGTTGAGGCTGCCTCACATCGAGCTCCTGTCACTGTAGCAACTCCAACACAACAAGTAGGCAAGTGAAGAGACTCGGCAGGAACTGTTTGTGCCTTGGACTAAGCAGGTGTCGCCATCTCTTTTCTGCCACTTTTCCACTACTTCTCCTTTCCACCACTTCGACTTAGAACCCTGCGCAACGGTACCATAGATACTAGACCCTATCTCGACATGGCACGTCCCACTCCTGCAGACGATGACGAGCTCATCACGGTCGTCATCGAATTAACGAACGGGCGGTACCGTATCCTGAAGTCTACACTCACCAGAGAGAGCGGTTTCTTCGAGACACTATTCAAAAACGACTGGCAAGAGACAACCTCCGGAGTCGTTGAGCTTACTGGTGATGACGATCTAGCATTGGCTCTTGTCCTCCAGCAGCTGCGCAATGCCGAGACCACGGCACAATTCGCTCAGTCCATCAACGACGTTCTCACTGACTCTGTGACAGTGGGGAACCATATGAACGATTTCTACCTAGCCATGGAAATGTACATGGTTGCGGACAAGTATGATATGCCGGCACTGCGGATAGTGCTAGCCCAAACTACCTTGCCCCGACTCCTGAAGAAGTTGTACTACACCCCAGGTCTTGACACGGGTGGCCAGTCAGACTTTACACGCTATCTCTACGAGCACTACTGTGATCGGCTGGGTGAGTATCCTGAGGAACTGTTCGACGTATACTGCCACAGCGTCGCACACCTCAGGAATGAAGGTCACGATGTTAGTCAGTTCATCGAATGTATCGGCCAGAACCCAAAATTCCTCAAACGACTCGTTCACTGCCTTGTCGACGAGCTCCCGGCGAACGCGGACACTCTCGCGGCTGCCGCTAGGCAACTTGCAACGGTGGCGATGTGAGCGTCCCCAACGGGGAAGATCACATCGAGCATGGAGACAACAAGACGAAGGACGAGGACGGAGCCAATACGAAGAACAACGATCAAGACAGCGGCAATGTGAAAGATGACAAGGGTGGAGCTTATGAAGACACAGCATACGACGATGGCTGAGGCTACCCAGCCAAAGTCTGCGACAATACTGATGCAGACTCGCAAAGCAGCAATGTGACTGTCGCAACGACAGATCCAATGTCTGCACAAGACCAACGGAAACAAGATTCCCTCTTCAGCCAAACGGTCCGTCTGCAACGAGATGAACTCAAAGGACTCAAGGAACAATAGGAAATGCTTGCGAGAGGTTAGAGTACGGAACACAGCTCTGGCCTTGCGAGCACTCTTGCTGGCTGCAGAACTTATCGCGACGCGCAGTGGTGTGCTGGCGTTATTGAGCCCCTGCCTGATGGCACGACAGCATGCGACTGAAGCAAAGTCATGACAAGCACCACATGGACCTGCAATCGACGCTGTCGGCTCGATCAAGGAGGCAGGAAGGCGGATCAAGCAGGCAGGAAGGCGGATTCGCTATTTCCATAGACTTCCACAGAGAATCTCTCACGCCTCAGCAGCTCACTGCTCCATGGTGACCGCACTAGACTCGGGCTCAGGCTCGTCAGCCTTCTCGTTGTCCACCTCTGCCTCCCAATCGTCAACAACCACCTCTTCCTCCTTCCTAACCTTCCTCAACATCTTCTCGTTTGCCTCTTTCTCCCGCTTCCTCTCGGCAGTCTTAGTCCCCAATACCGTGAACACCGATTTCTGCCCCACAGGTGCCGCTGGCACGAGCGTAGTACGCTTCATCCCTGCCGCAACTTGCGACCATCCTCCATTTGAGGCCGGAGTAGACTTGGTCTGCACAGCCAAGACTTTCGGTTCTGGGCCTGACATGTTCAGCTGAGAACGGAGCACGCTTGAAGCAAGATCGGCGCTGATGATTGCTGCCGAGAGGGTGGGCTGGATAGCGTTGAGGTCAATTTTGCCGCGCGGAATCAACGCAACCTCATCGGCAAGGAAGTAGACATCCATGGTCGAAGCAGGCATTGCCTTCTTGATGACAGGTGAGATCTCATCCTCAGTAAGAGCGAACTTGAGACCACGCAAGATGAAGCCGTTGTACTCGGGCTCTTTGACGACTGCAGCAACAGGAGCAGCCACATTGAGTTGCGCTCGTCGGATCCTCGCGCTCTGAGCAAGGGTCTTCATAGGAGCCGAGACGAAGCGAGGCGTTTTGAAGAGGACGATGTGGCGGTGTGGCTCCGGATCGACGGACTCCGTATCGAAGCCGAAGTCTTCTGCCAAGCTGTGTAGGAACTGGCGCTGACGACTCTTCATTGGGTCGAAGCGGAATCGCTTCTCCTCGTCATCTGCAGCGAATAGACGAAAGATCTCCTCCTGCTTGTGTGCCCAAGGTACGTCCTCGAGATACATCTTCAGAGTCTCCGTTGAGTACGGCACGTGATCGTCTGTGTGGCCATCAGGGATGCGAAGAGCTTCGGCGAGGACCTTGTTGCGGGCTAGTCGTGCACACTCGTCATCGCATTTGAGCGATGTCTGTCGACCGGAAGGTATGGGAACGCCAGCGCGAGCATTGCAGCGCACTTCTTCCTTCTTGCGTTGACAGTCGCACGTGATGATCATCTTTGACGGGCAAGGCTTATCCTCTTTGCAGATGGACGGCGCATGGCATGCCTTCTCGCACGGATGGTCGCAAGTCTTCTTGGCTTTCCCACACTGCTGTTGACAGTGCTGCAAGGCGTCCTCGCATTCACCGTCCTTGTGACAAGTCTTCTGGCATGTATGAGAGCCGCACTTGAGTGTCTTCCCACAGACTAGACCACACAGGCCATCTGACCGCCAGCACGGCTGGTTCTTCAGCATCTTTTTGCCACACAGGCACTTCTTCTCGGTAAGAAACGGGCATTTGGGGCATCCTTCATCATCCATGTGGCAATTATGGGCAACTCTCTGATGACCGCATGTAGTCGGCCGACGACACGGAAACGAACATGGTGGCGGGCTCGTTCCACAAGCTAGAGGAGCCTGCAAGACCGTTCGTCCGCAGTTGCAAGATATGTCGTCAAAGATTGCCTCCCGACAAGTCCCACATGGGCCTTTATGGCATAGCTCAGTGCAAGTGTGATTTCCACACTTCAGCGTTCTGCCGCACTCCCGTGTGCAGATGTGCTCAGCTTCAAAATTGGCTTCGGATCGAGGTACTGCGGCTCCAAGTGGCTTCATCTTTCGTCTGGACGTCAGTCGCTCGGCTGCTTTCTTCTCTCCTGTGCAACACCGTTCTCCACATTCATGCCGACCACAATTGAGTGTCGCCTTGCATACTCGCAGGCACGACGGAGGTTCTTCGGTGCCTGATGACAGATCGTGTCGAAGCTATTGCGTCCGCAGCGGCACAAGATCGATACCCTCTTGGTACACGGCAAACAGTCATCGCCAGGGTGGCAGGTCTGTGTGCACTCATGACCGCAAGGCAGTGCTCTTCCGCATTGTTGTTTGCAGCTCGATATCGGGTCTATACAAGTTCTTCGAGGCTCCGCTTGTAGGTCCTGCAGCTTGGTCTTACCGCACGCACAGTGTGAGACAACATCCGGTGACCGTGGGCAGTGTGGTCGTTCCTCAACTTGCGAGTGACACAGCTTGTCGCATCTGTGTTCGCCACAGTCGTAGAGCTGATCGCAAACACCGCCGCAGTTGAAGACACCAACCCACGCATAGCTCTCCTTCTCTTCTTCCTGCTCAGAACACGGCATCCTCCGTTCGACTTTACCACAATAGCATTTTGCGTCGACTTCGACCGGACAGCCACCACAAATGCCCTCGTGACAAGGTCGTTGACATGTGTGCTCTCCACAAGGCAGCATATCGCCACATACTTGGCCGCAGCTCCAGCCTGCGTCGTAGTCGGTGTGAGAGCAGGGCCGCTGACTCTCATTCTTCCCACAGAAACAGACTTGCTTCGGACCTTGAGCCAGACATGGAGGACAGGGACCGGCATGACAGACCAAGTCGCAAGGGTGTGGACAGGTCTTGGGAAACTTCCTCGCTCGGCCGCACGTCTGCCCGCATGAATGTGGTGGCAATCCAGGGAGGTTTGAAGGATTCAGCTCTTTCTCGCACCAGCAGTTGTAGTTGCCCGGGAGTGTCTCTTTTGGCAGATTGCAGCCCGGACACCGCCATTGTCTCCGTCTCTCTTCTCCGTCGGCACCAGGTCTATCTGAATTATCGTTTTGTGACCATTTTGTGATGCATCTCAAGTGGAAGACGGTCCAACAGGTATGGCAGGACCAGACTTTGGAATTCCTTGCTACTTCATTGCTGCAGATGGCACATTCGTATACGCCGTTGCTGATGTCTTCATGCGTGCGAGTGGCAATGTCTGGTGCAGTCGATCGAGATATTGAGACTCTTCGTTGTGCGGGCTTCTTTTGTGGAGGTCGTGCTTGTGCAGGTGCTCTTGAAGTTTGTGAGGAAGCCGCTGAGGGCGATCGGGGCGGTAAAGAAGCAGGTACGAAGTCTAGAGCGGTGGCGTCCAAGTTTCTGGTAAGTCTTCCTCCAAACGCTCGACCGGCAGGTGGTGCTGGTGGGGTGGCAACTGCGGCTTGAGGTCGTTGCTGGTAAGGCGCGCCACCTTGTTGTCTGTTGCCTCGACCGCGTCTACGGTTGTGGTTAGGTCTAGGAGGATGCTGTGGCTGCGGTGCTTCCATATTGGCGTGAGAGTGAGGACGTGGACCGTCTGGCCGTACTTCAACGATCTGCGTACGAGGGGACCGTGAAAAGGAAATCGAGCGCTACAAGATGGCTCGTGAACTGATGTTGCTTGCAAAAAGACTGTCTATCAACTAAGAAAGGAAGCGCGACAAGAAGGACGCCCTCTAAGGTACCAAATATCCGTGGCAAAGTGAAAGAGTGGCTGTTTGCTCAGAGTCACAAATTGTACCACTTGAGTCATTGGAACTTTTGGTCCGAGAGTGGTAGCGTCCGGAGACGTCATTAATTTTAGGCTTTGCTCTAGCCTCGGTAGGGGCGCCGGATGATCGCTTGGTTGCCTTCTAGGCGTTGCGATGTTCATCATCCTGTACAGGTCCAAATCCCAGCTGATTCACGTAGGCAATCCCTACCTACATGTGTTGCGACACAGCACCAGATTAGCATGCCTCCTGAAGGCTCGAAGTCGACCGTTGGCATCGTGTTTCGCGAGTGAGAGCCTTGGGTCCTTTTGGGAAAGTGCCTTTCCCGATTCGGCTGTTTCAACTTCTATCCGTCTATCCTGAGCCCTCTATCTACAAACTTCGACCTACGCCGTGCTTCTGTGCCGCCCCGAGCACGATCTTAGCTAGAGATTGTTGATGATGTTCGCGCCCCGCTTTTACTGTAGGGGCAACTTGGGGGAGTGCATATGGGGCGCGGGCAGGGAACCTGAAGTTTTGGTGTCGAAACAGTGACAAAGTTGGGCGGCACGTGACCAGTGGACTGCTTTATTAACTGCCTCAGTCCTGTCTAGGTACATTGAAGGCCGTGACGCACATACTGAGGCTCTCTCCAGTCGTCGCGCGGCAAGTAGGCATACTAGATGAAGCTGCTGATGAGTTGACATAGGTATGTCGTTCGAAGTGAGTGCCCCTCGTTGGCTAAACTCTGTTTGTTCCCCAACCTGAAGCCTCCCTGCCTATACCTGTTGTGATATTATAGAGCACGTCACGCGTCAGAACCAAAGGCCCTCAGACTCTGTTGACTTACCAAAACATCACTTTCAACAATACATATCTCAGGCTCGAGCACAATGTCCGTTTTCACACGGTTCCTGCCGTTGACCAGACGGACGGCACCGCGAGTCCTGTGGTCCAGGCAACCACCGTCACCACTCATACCACGACTTCGGTGCATCAATTACCAACGTTCACTGTCTACGACCACCATCCACCGCACAAGCGCGTCCAGAGCTACATCAAGCACCCCAGAAGCCCAGCCAGCGCTTCCAGAATTCAATCTCACCTCCAAAACAATCCTGGTCACCGGCGCCGCTCGCGGCTTAGGCCTGTGCATGTCGCAAGCGCTCCTCGAAGCCGGCGCAACCGTCTATGCACTCGACCGCCTCCCACCAGACCAACAGTCCCCAGACTTTGCCCACATCGCCTCTCGAGCCAGCTCTGAGTTCGACACCTCCCTGCACTACCGCCAAATCGACGTCCGCGACGTCGACGCCCTCAACTCAACCATTGAAACTATTGCCGACACAGAAGGTCGCATTGATGGCCTTATCGCCGCCGCCGGCATCCAGCAGGAGACACCTGCGCTGGATTACGCTCAAGCGGACGCAAATAGGATGTTCGAAACGAACATCACCGGCGTGATGATGACCGCGCAAGCCGTCGCCCGCCAAATGATCCGCCTGAAGCAAACCAAAGGCTCGATGGCGTTTATAGCGAGCATGTCCGGCACCGTTGCGAATCGCGGCCTCACTTGTGCCGCGTACAACGCGAGTAAAGCGGGTGTGGTCCAGCTAGCGCGGAACCTGGCGAGTGAGTGGGGAGGCCATGGCATACGGGTGAATACGATTAGTCCGGGGTACATTGTGACGCAGATGGTGGAGGAGTTGTTTCGGAAGCATCCGGAGAGGAGGGACCAGTGGGCGCGGGAGAATATGTTGGGGATGTTGAGTCGGCCGCAGGATTATAGGGCGGTTGCTGTGTTCTTGATGGGTGATGGGAGTCGATTTGTGACGGGGGCGGATTTGAGGATTGATGGAGGGCATGCTGCTTGGTAGAGGGCTGTAGAGGGCTGGTACGATAACTCTGGGAATCCTAAGGATCAGAGCTCAAACTGCCGTGCCAAACTGGCGTCTGCTGCTGCTCAATGGAAAGCTAAAGTCGAGGCTTTTTGACTGCGTTTGGATGTGTCTGAGTCATGCAACTGACAGTGATTTGAACTTGTCGAAACAGTGAAGTGATCGTTCTGGATTGCGTCGGGTGTTCGCTTTGCTGGAGAGGTATAAGTCGTTGTACAACTCTTGACTTTTTCTCCTTTTCATCCTCCGCCCAGCGTTCGTGATGGAAGAGCTCGTCACTTGCCATGCTAAGATAGCGCCTGCTGCTTCTTGATGGGGCGGGCTTCACTCTTCCGAAGGTATCTCGTTGATGGCGTAGGTGAATTGGGTACTGAACAGGGCGTTGGCGATGTACGTCAAACGATGAAATGACGAAGTGAGCGCTATCTGAGGGTATCTCGTAGTCAAAAAGAAAGATGGAACACGCAACGTTACAGATGCAGGGGTCGTCCTTCGCTGATCGAAATGGTGCCCGAGACAACTCACGAAGCCTCATCCTCTCCATCCTCCTTGACTTCCACAAAATGCTCACACATCCTCAAGAACCGCTCCCGATACTCGTCTGGTGTAGTAGTAATGGACATCGGACCTTTCCTATCAATCAGATTCCACGCCTTGATCAGAAACGTGAACAGCTTCGGCGTGACCTTGTGCTTCGCCCAGAAGAAGTCCAAAATTTGTGCTCTGAAGACGTACTTGCCATCCGCAGAGCGCACGCCTGTACGCCACGTTGGCGGGCTCGGCGGCGCGAATGGTGGAAAGTCGGGCGCTTCGGGCGCGTTGTCGTGATCTGGTTCGTCGGCGAAGGGGTTTTGGGGGTTTGAGAGTGGTATGCGGACGAGAAAGAGGGAGTAGTCTACTGCGTTGTGGGAGGCGAGGAGCGTTGTGTCTTGTTCGAGCTGGCGGATGAAGATGTCGTGCTGTTCCTGGGATAGAACGATCTTGTCGTCGAACTTGTCCGCCAGTCGAGACTTGGTGGCCTCGGATGCGAGCTTTCCTCCAGCGATATCTCTTTCCGGGAAGAAATAATCCGCGGGCTTGAGGTCAAAGGTCTCCCAGTCACCGCCACCAGCGCTGTCCGCTTCGTCCTGACCGATCAGCAGGTTCTCCATGGTGATGTGATAGGTAGGCACTAGGCCAAGGATACCACCAATAGAGAAGTGCTTCCAGCCAAGGAAATCGGTGATACGAATGAGAAGCGACCTGGCGTTCTCCTCCATGTGCTTTGCATAAGGCTCCAGGAGGTCATCGCGGAAGTAAGAATGCTCGAACTGCCTGGGAACAGATTTGATGAGATATTTGCCGTCCTTGGTGGTGAAGAAGGATGATCCGGAGTACCCCATGTCTCCTTTGGTTTCCAAAGGCTCGTCACCGGAAAAGGAACTTCTGTACGCTTCATCATCCATTTCCCAGGACTTTGTCCGTAAACGCTCGAAGACGTCATCTTTGATGCGTGTAAGTCGCAGCTGAAACAACGTGAAGAAGGCAGACAGCACGATTAAAACGCGCTTGATCAGTGACAGACGCTCGCGCGGTGGGGTTTTCAGCACGGCGGCGACGATAGATCGCGATATCGCATCATTGCGCGCCATTTTGAGTGATCATCAGTTGTACTCAGGTCATCAAGAACATGTACCCTGGACCGCCGGGCGCGCTTCATGGTTGCCTTCGCGTCTGAACCTTGAACAAGGATTTGACCTTGGTAGTGGTTCCTGGAGGCGGAGGTCATTTCCGGTCGATCTGTCAATCCGCTCAACGCCGACAGAAAATCTTGGCGTTGCTCCGGACTTGCAAGTTTCTCCGCATCTCGAAAAAGTTGTGCTTGCACACCTGCAGGCCCTTTTTGAGATCTGACCACCAACTACAACACTCTCTAAGGCGGTCGACGGCCTGTTGCAGCCTTTCCTACCAGCAACATGGGCCTCGCCGCGCCCCGCAAGCGCAACAAAATTGCACACGACCCCAACAACCTATCATGGTCGTCCAACGCCGCAGCCAACAGCTTCGGCCATCGCATAATGGTGTCACAAGGCTGGAGTGAAGGCGAAGCGCTCGGCTCAAAGGCCTCAAAACACCACGCAGGACTGGGTAGTAAGAGCGAAAATGCCTCACGACTGGCCGCCGCGAAAGTCAAGACGATATACAAAGATGACACTCTAGGCCTAGGAGCAAAGTACCGAAGCAAAGACAATGAGGCTCAACGTGCTGGAATGGATGCTTTCATGGGCTTGCTGGGGAGGCTGAATGCGAAAAACGCACAAGAAGAGGAGGAAGTCGAGAAGAAAGAGGAGGACAGGAAGCTGCATGGGTATGCGAGCAGCAGGTGGGGCAGGATGATGTTCGTGCCTGGTGGCGTGTTGGTGGGCGACAAGCAATTCGGGACGAAGAAGGCAGCGCTGGAAGCAGCAGACTCAGAGGCACCGGACACACCAGTGGACACCGCAGCGGATGATGCTGAGTCGACGGAGGGAAGTGAATCAGACGAAGCAAGAGCGAAACGAAAAGCAGAAAGGCGGAAGCGAAAGGAAGAGCGTCGCGCCCGCAAAGCGGCAAGAGCTATTCGGCGAGCTGCGAAGGCGGCACGCAAAGCAGAAGCACAACCACAGTCCGCAAAGTCCTCCCAGCCAACTTCACAGACCACGTCAGATGACGAGGAAGAGATAGAGAACACCCTGTCTACATCGAAGCCACGATCACAGTCGCGAAAAGCACGGAAACACGGTCGACCTGCATCGGATGCACCCAGCGCCTCGGACGACCAAGCAGAGTCGATCACTGTGAAGGCGAAGAAGCGCAAACGGAAAGCAGACGCGGATTCACCGCCAGAGAAAGCCGAGCTACCGAGCCCTGTGCCTCGACCCGTCGTCATAAGGAATGCGCGACATATACTGCGCGGGAGGAACATAGCGGCAAAGACAAATGCTTTCCAGGCTGGAAAGCATCTGGATGGCATTTTCTTGAAGGCGGCTGCTGCATAAACGAATATCGACGTGGAGCATCGGCAACGGTACTTAGAGAACACAGCGACGACTCATGACTGCGTGAATATGAGATTTGTTGTGGATCTCTCTCGATCAGACATCTTTCAAATCTAGTCATCCGGTCTCGCTACTACATTGCTACTAAGTGGCTACTCCCAGTACATATGTTCGTGCCTGTTTCTCGTAAGTACATTGGTCAACCGGTCTCGTGTCAGCCCGGAGCAAATTACCCACGCAGGCCAGCCAGACTTCCTGCGCACTCGTGGGAGTTCACGCTCGGACTGATGAATACAGAGACTGCCGTTCACGGTGACGGTGCTGCACGCAGCATTTGATCACATGACCTAGGCCTCGAATCACGTGCAGTATACATGCATCGGCCAACTCGGAGGCACTCAAGATGCATAGCAGGTTGTTGTGCTTACTACTGATACGAGCAGCCTCGCTATTCTGTTGTGTATTTTGCCCATATGAGGTGAGATCTGTGCACCTCCAGGGGTAGAGCCCTGTTTCCATCCCTCAGCATTACCTAAGTAGTAATCCCAGGTCCAGTACTATTGTGACCTTGAATGTTCAGCCGTCAGTGTCTCCTGTACAGTGCTGAAACCACTTGCAGCCTCATATGGCGATCCCTAGCATGCCATACACAGCCCTCCATGAATTTGACAGCTTGACTATGTGATCAAGACAGTCGATGCATAGTTTGCCCCCCGATCTACACTTCCAGGCCTGACTTCAAGACTCTGCCCTTCATCGCTCGCAGAACGACCTTCCTCTTCACCTGCTCCCAGCTCTAGGCTGTACAGCTCAACGTCATGTTATGGAATTCGTTGGCTTCATCAGCTTCATCACCATCACATCTTGGCCGTCCTCCAGCATCTTTGCCGTTTCAGTCGGAATCCAACCCAGGACCACTATCCCCCAGCATGCGTAGGCTCGCGAAGAACGCGCGGTTCCAGGCGCAATGAGATGACTTCGGCCGGGATACGACTTGGCACGAGTCGCAGCATAGCTGCAAGATCGCTGCCGTTCTCGGCTCGAACTGAGAGTCGGCGCAGTCCTGTGCGTAGCACATGACTACAGACCAGGCCACGCCAGGCCAGATCGAGTCCTCCTTCCTGAGGGAATCAATCCCTTGATGCAAGTTTCAAACCTGCTTTTTGTGTCTGTGGGGAGAAGAGGGCAGATGTGCGTTGGAATTGACAGGATCGACACACATCACTCAGTGCTGTGTTGTCACCAGCCTGTGCCTGCCACCGCACATCCACCCCATGGACCTGCTTCGCTCATATTAGCAAAAAGTCCCAACCGTTCATCTGCATCACATCCCGCCAGTGGATATTTTGCTGAGTGATCTGGCTCTTCATCGTGGGCGTCGACATCGCTTGCTGCGCCAGCGCGGTACCGCCGATGCCAATGCCACCAACATTACCAACCATATGTGTGCTTCCAACACCGCAATTGCTCCCGACAATCGGGCTATTTCCGCCGTTCGCCGTCAGTGGCGTGCCCTCGCAACCCAGACCCTGTAGTAACGCCTCATCACCGACCCGCCACACTTCGTGCAATAGCTTCACCATCTTCCCAAAACTGCCCATCTCGGATAGTGCATCGCCCATCAACTCGACTCTCTGCGCCAGAACCCTTCGGAACTTGCTGCTCGGGACACTGTTCGCGCCACAAATCAGGTACGGCCATACAAGACTGCGATCGAAACCGAGAGGACCTGAGGGAATGAACTCCAGAAGATCCGCCATCTGATCAATCAGATTGCACGTTGCAACTTGCGTTTTCTGGTATGCCGGTACCAACGAGCACAAATAGACGCGAGCAGCCTTCTGGAAGACAGCAGTTATGTTCTTGCTCAATTGTCTTGGCCGTAGTGCTCCAGATCGGGAGTAAGGCAACCTCGGGGCGGCAGCAGGTAGAGTGACGTGCATCCCTGTGGTTTCATCGATGGTCGCGACAGTCTCTGTAGCATTGAGTTGCTCGCCGAGAGATGCCACGTGCTGGCAAATGGCATGATCGTCAAGCTTTCCGTCACGCTTGAGACTATCGAGACATGCAATCTCGGAGAGCAAGTACATGACTCCATCGTGGCAACCCATGAGCTCAGCAAGACCGGACGTTGAGCCTGATAGATGCTTCGTACGATACGTGTTCGCGAATGTGGGGCTCCGACCGAGCATGGTTGAGCCCAGAATATCGATCCAGGCTGTCAGAGTCATGTTGAACGGTGGCGACGCATGAGTGGCGGGCATGGACTCGAGAGTCGTTGGCAGCATAAGCTTGTTGACGAGTTCGGTCGCAGCCTGGAAGTGCGAATGCCAGGGAATGTCCCTTGCCATGGCAGCAGGTGCGGATATCTGGTGGTCATCGATCGTGGGCGATGGTAGCGTATGCGCTGGTGGTGGAAGAGTCGACGGAGGCGCACGGCCAACGCACGTACCGAAAGTGATCATTCCCAAAGTCGCCTCTAGGATCTCATCATGATGCGTGTCATTTGTCAACGCATTGACGACTTCTTGCACGAATGCGTACTTGTGTCGCACGATCGAGTCGTCGATGGTAGCGAGATCGTCATCATTCACAGATGGTCCACCAGGAATATCGAGTGACGAGCGCTGATGAGTCGCAGCAGCTGTGAGGCAGGAGTGCAAGTACGCCTTATTGTTTTCGAGTGCTGGAAGCAAAATGTCGGTCCGCACGCTACCGTGCTGATTGGCGTTAAGAATGGGAAAGAGTAGCGGAAGGACATTGGACAACATGTAGCTGAACAAGGGCCTGTCGACATCGTCAAGTGGAATTTGAGCCGAGATGTCGGCGCTGACTTCTGTCCTCTCGCGTGGCTGCTGAGGTATCTGGACTGCTGGCTGCGATTGAACATGATGTTGGTGATGTGGGTGCGAGTACTGGAAAAAGTTGAAGTCAAGATCTTCTTCGTGCGACAAATCATCAATATCGGTATTGAGTGACGGCATGTGCGAGGTGTAGTAGCTGTCGGTTGATTGATGTACTGTACCACTCCATTGATCTTGCGTGGCCGGGTACGACGGCAGCATGGCTTCAGGTGGCGGAATCCATGTTGAGAATGTGGAAATTGATGAATCTCGCCGTGTGGGAACATCGTTGACGAACATTTGACGTTCAGTCTTGACATCGACTTCGTATGGATGATATCCAGTGTATTGGACAGGAGTCTGAGTCATACTGCCTGAGTACATAGGCATGCAGAAGGGATCGTACAAGCCTGGAGTGCCGGTAGGAAATTGGTTAAACTGGTCGTAGTCCTCGGAATTCGGTGACGAGGCGCCGGACTGGCTGTACTGCTGTCCATGACCAGAGCCATGCTTACTTCCTGGCTGTGTACCTGTGGTGGAAGAGGATGTTGGTACATGCTTCCTCGATGTTGAAGGAGATGAGGATGAAGATGACGCAAGGAAATCATGAGATTTGCGCAAAGACATAAGAACATGGGAAGGATTAGGTGGCGAGACTGGCCGACCGCGTTGTAGAAGACTGTTATGAAATAGTGAAGACATACTCTTCTCGTTCGTCTTTGTGCGCTTGATGAGGGTTTTGATCTCGTCCTTTTGTTTGTGGCGGGTTTCCTGGTTCGACCACCACAGCGGTCGCTTGTACTCGCAGGTCAGTCCTAGGTGACGGCATGCCTTACACTTCGGTCTGCCCTCATCACATTTCTTGCGTCGTAAGCGGCAGGTGAAGCATCCTGTGACCAATGTTAGACGTGTTTGTGCCTTGCGGACTGGGGAGTGCGCGTAGAGATGTGGTAAGTAGGGACAACTCGGGCGCGTCCGGGATGTGGACTTACCTGATCTTGACCTTCGATGCATCTTTGCGGCGGCTTTGGCTGCTGCAGCGGAGGCTGCCTTTGTGGCTGCTTCATTCTTCTCTACTGCGGTGGCCATGGATGCTATGTTATTGCCGGGTCGAGGGTTTGGTGGTATGTTGCAAAGTGAAGTTGTGCAGGTCTCAATTAGTCATTAATGAAAGTCGATGAGTTGTATCCAGCTGCTATTGCTTCGCTCGAGGGTAGTCGCGTATTAGGAGGGAGTGGTCGCGAAGTCTGTCCAGCAGTCTTCGCAGGTCTATCGAGACAACGGCGACAGCGACACCAAACACCAAGGCAGGTAGGGGACAGCAACGAGGCAAGTGACCGCCGTGCACGCAAACCAGTCAAACGCATCTGGTCATGCACGGCTCGAGTATATGTTGAGTCGTTCTGGAAGCAGACAAATGCAAAGATCTATTTTTGTCCGCAGTATATGGAAGATGGTGTGGGGGATGGCAGAGGAAAACAGATGAGGCTCCCGAGATCGCTGTGCAGGAACCGCACAAGCGCACGAAGCTGCGAGTGATTGGCGACAGAGATGACTTACTGCAAGGTCGACGAATGGGAGTCTGTGGCCTTCCATGATGAGAGGTATGATCTATCTTTATCGCGTCTGTCTTGATTCCAAAACGGGAAGAAAGCAGGTGTATTGCCTGGAGGTTGGGTGAGAAAGAGGACATCATGGGTCTGGTCAGTGACCGATGGAGTCGATAGCCACTGGGCTAGTGCATATCGAAGATGTTGGTGGACATGCATCGAGTGGACTCGCTTGAATTGCGAGCAAAGAAACGAACAGACTGAGCAGGTGGGAACACCCCTGTCGAGGAGGAAAAGGATGCGGGTCGGCGCTTCCAGGCTAAATTTACTATTGTTTAGCGCCAGGTCACACGCACCCCTCACCTGCTGCTTTTCAGGGAACACTTGCTGACTGGCTGATTGCGAGCCTATAGACGTCGAGGAATTATTGGTGGCTTGATTGCTCGGAGGACCAGGCGAGGCCAGGCAGGACCACTGGCGGGGTAGCTCATAATGAGCCTGTTCAGTATATCTTCGAGCTTGTCAGTTGAATGACTCATGCTACATGAAGCACACTTTCGAGGACTTCCAGTAATGTGGTCCTTGGGCCCGAACAGTTGTGGTTCAGCATATGCAGCTCAACGTGACGTACAAGAACATAGTTCATACCACATGAGCAACGATAACAATTGTGCGACAACACAACATTGTTGTATGCACGCATCCGAACAGACGGTCACCCACAGCAGTAGTCAGATATGGCTGTTCCACACATTCTTGAGTCAGTTACTGAGTACTTTCAGGGTCCAAATGATCCCGCGCCTCGAACGTGCATCTGAACTATGCGATCATTAAGTCTCTGAACTGTTGAGTTACATGCGATATGCTTATCTGGTGGTACATTTCTATCTCCTCGCTCGTGCTGCGTCGAATTCCCTGAAGATTTTCCGCGTAATGAGCGAGTGGCTTGTTTTAGCGAGGCTCGCTGGTACTCCATTGCGCTCTCCTCCGGCATTCGAGACTTCCGGATCAACCTGAACACTGTTCCGTCTGCAAGTAACAACGCTCTTGCTGGATGGAAAGTCCAAGCTTCGAACATGTGCATGATTTCTTGCATATCGAAGAGCACACCGCGAATGCAGCCGTTTCAGGTTGACACTATTTGTGAGAGGCATACTTTTGTTTTGGCTTGCACCCGGATCCATCTGTATGTGCAGGTGGGGAAAGATCAACGACTTGATCAACAGCTTACTGTAGCTTCGATATGACACCCCCACAACAGAGCTCGCTAATGATCGTCTAGACCGGGCTCGGCCAAGGTGAGGTCGCAGAAAGACAAAAACGAGCCTAGATCAGAGCAAAGTCACGGTGACCAACCGTGACGCCAAGGCCCAACGTGCATTAGTCCTTTTGCAGGGATTTGGTCCGATTTTCCCAGGCAAGCTCGGGCCACAATGCCAGGAAACTCTGCTTGCACGTCGTGACTCGCTGGATTTCTCCTCATCCTCATATCTCTCTATGTCACTCCACGGTCGTCAATCTGTTTCCTCTGGATCCACAGCAGTGTTGAGTACATCCTGACAAGAACTATCACGAGGTATCTTCAACATCGACGTAGTCACGGAGAAGTGACCGTTTCTAGCTCTGACAGGATGCAAGGACAAGCTGTTGTGAGAGAGCCGAAGTGCATCCTCAAGCTGCTCAAGTACCTGTTGCGTCGGACTTCTCCAAGATGTCGTCAGTGCTTTTGCGAGTGTTCGAGGCATTCGATGTGGACCGCTGTCAAGTCCTTGGCCGCGACCAGTAAGTACATACGACCGATCACTTAAGAAATGTTCGGAGTCATCCGGCAGGACTGCAGCGAGGTGTTGTTCTGCTCTGGCCGCACGTTGGAGAAATCCTGAGTTCATGACCTTGCCCCTCAGAAGGTCTCAAGCTGTTCTCCTTGTCGTGCAAGACTTGTGCTGCCAGATAGCGTAAGTCAATGCAAAGCTGTACTACTTTCGTGTGACTCGCAGGATCTTGTGCAATGGACAGTTCCCGTTTATGCCAGAAGCTCTGACAACATCATGTCAGGGACACGAGCGCTGCTGCAGCAGTCAAGCGCTCGTAGGCGGGGAAGTCACATTCACGCGTGAGTCAACCACGCTCTTGACAGGTCCAGCTATCCCTGTCACTTTCAATTCTTCACAATGCTCATCATAGAGCTTGTTGCAGAAGCGAGGTCGTATACAAGGTTGCAGAAATGCCACTGCGCTTCATGAGGTACACCACCCATCTGGACTGCTCATCGACATGGATCTTGTACTTACCTGTTTGCCCAGATGTGCGAATTGCTCTGAACCAGAGTGTGTGAGGAAAGTAGTACTGCATATGTTCCTGCATTTTCCTGCAGCATCGACGGAGCCACGAATTGAAGTACTGCGGAATTGGCGACGTTGGACTGTGTGCTACAAGCACAGCACACTGTGGGCTTGAGATCATGGTGAGTGTGCGATGCTGCGAAGCAGCTCTGAAGCATGCGACGTAAGCGAGGTGACGAGCATCTAGCTCGAGATCGTCAGCCTGTGCGCGGAATACTTTTCGCAGATCAGGCACGCTATCGCTTAGACTTGCATAAGTCACGAACCAGATCCCCAACCACCGAGTTCCTTCCCTCGAAGCAACTCGTGATCATGTCTCGAGAGAGACTCGCTAGGCAACTCGCTAGGTACAGGGGATTATGTCGTTGCGAATGCAGTGCTATGTACCGTGTACAAGTGCTCAGCACGCATATCGAAGCAACCTGCCGACATCGACACATCTTTGTGATTGGCATAAGTGCCCACCAATCCGACTTGATCGGCGGTGTGCTGTGATGCCATTGCATGCAGACCATGGCGGGATCAGCCAACTGCTCGTTGATGCATGGAGGTACACGGGCTCGACGGGGTAGCCTCTAACGTGCACTGTCACCTTTTTAGCCGTCATATCGGAAGTGCACGGGATCCCGTGGCCAGAACTGTCTATGCTCACACGGAAACAGTGACCCTCTCTTGCGTGAGAAGTCGGGTCAGTATCATGAGTTTCGAAGGCGCATTCTAGACTCTCAGCACCACAGGGTCCAGCCAGGGTTCAGGACAAACTTCGCCTGAATCACAGGGCATTTCTCCTCTGAAGCCAATGAGATCGCACCCAGCTTGATTCGGAAGAATAGTAAAGAGAATTTATCTGGACGGTACGGCGCGGTCAACGAAAAGGAAAGGAATCGGCTCGAGCCACACGAAAAGGAGCAGGGTCTCCGAGAGTCCAGCAAGTCAGCATGCACAACCGCTTTCTCGTCGCTGTGTTGGGGACGCGAAATGAGGAGGGTAGGTCTGGTAAGGATCAATATTTTTAGACACAAAAAGCCAATAAGATCTGCATATCACGGCCAAGAGTTGGCAAGATGGAGTCTCTGCCGTTGGCATGGCGCATATATCACAGCTTTCTCACCTCTGGTTGGACAGGATACAATTATTGCTCTAGCTTTCTCAAGCCTAGCAGATTCGTTCGAAGATCGACCCTGCATGGCTTGCTCTACGGCAACCTTGCATTAGTGGAGAGCAAGAATAGTTATCGCCTGCAGTAGTTCAGGGCTACCCCTCTCCAAGATCTGTCTTTCTGCAATTCACCGCACCTTTTACCGCCCAGATGGAGACGCTCCTGGACTACGAATGTTGTAAGTGGTCGACTGTGCTCCGTTTCACAATAGTCGAGTATAGTCAACCCCTGTTCATGCTGTGGTCGTTCATCACAGTCGATATGCAAGTTGCTACAAGCGTGGGCGCCAAAACGGTCGCTTCACTATGACCTTCAGAAAGAAGCGCTTTCTATACATATCAAGGTTTCCTCAAGGCACTTCCGAAAGGGGTCTCTTCTTGATGCTTCTTCATCTGAAACTTTCGACGAGCGCATCGTCAATTGTTTGTACCATATAGGCACGTATGACTACTGACAATACCTGGGTGACACCTTCAACATGGAGGAGTATCAGACCTCGCCAGATGGCGTGGTCGAAATGATACAGAAGCCCACAGCGTTCCCCTCATTCCTAGGTCGCCGATCATACATCCCAAGACCTATATCAAATGCAACAGAATTCGATCTCGACAATGATAGTGATTCTGACAGTACACCGGCAAGCTTGACCTCGCGAGGCAATAGTAGCACTTCTGGTGCTTCTTCACCAGGGCTCAAGACGCCTCACACAGCTGGTCTTGGCGGTTTCGAGTTCCATTTCGACAACAAAACAGTGTCTCCAGCCAACAGTGTTGCTGACATCGCGGAATCCCTGGATCCTGAGTATGTCGAACGGCCAAAGGAAGCCGTGCCAGAGTTGCTTCCCACCGCCAGACCACATGTATCTGGAAGGCCATTCACCGCCTTGAACCAAGCTGTCGCTGAGCTCGACGAAACTCAGGTGAGGAGATGGAGGCCTGATCAAGTTGCAGAGTGGATGTCAGATGCAGGCTTCGACGCGTCGGTGGTCGAGAAGTTTGTGATTCACGACATCTCCGGATCCGTCCTCATTGACCTTCAGTTTGAAGATCTGAAGGAACTCGACATAAGTTCTTTCGGGAAGCGTCATCGGGTCATGAGCTCCATACATCAGCTACGGAATTCTTCATTACTATCGGACTCTCCACTTGCACGAAGTCCATCGAAGTCAGCTCAACAACCACGTCGAGCTTCGAGGGCCTTGACTCGAAGCGTAGCCCCAGAGGAGAGACATGTCATCGCCGAATCTCGTTCTCGCTCGAGGCGGCGAGGTCGTCAGCCCAACGACGCAGCTGAAGTAACGCCTGCCGAGTCAGTCTCGATTGTCGCCATCGAACAATTATTACCGAAGCCCCACTCATGCTCGAAAGGCGAGGACTGCTCAAAATGGAAGAAGTATCAGCGCAAGATTCAACGAATTCAGGAGGAATTCTCAGATCTGCAAATTGATCACGTTACTGAGCCTCCAGAGGAGCGAAGATCTACGATTCAGCCGTCCGTTGTCGGATCATCCGACATTCTGGGGCCAAATGAGCCCATCTCCATCACTCCAGAATTACTGAATGAGATACAAGCGCGAGACCCTCAGGAAAGCATCCGCCAGTTCTTGAACTTCCAGCACGTACACAACTCGGGTCTACATGGTCCTTCACCACCACCGTCGTCATCTGCAACTTTCGCTGCGCGGTCTACTCAAGGCCTCAGCGAGCATCTCAAAGATCTGCCGAAGCTCACCATCCCAGATGACATCCCCAGTACCTCCACGCCTTACAGGACACCACTGGCAGAATTCTCCAACTCTTCGCAACTCCAAGACCAACTCAAGCAACAGCTGAGGAGCGATCCGTTCCACTACGGTGGCGTTGCATCTCCAGCTGACATCTATCGAATCAACACACCAATGTCGGCATCAGATATTCCGGTGACTATGCATCCCGAAGATCCCATTAGCGAACGCTATATCATCTCACAGTCGGTCCCTCCCGAGATGCGTTATGGTGGACCTTCACTCTGGACCACTTCGGGTGAGCCCATCGAGCGGAGCCAATCGACAGCGCCCTTGCCTCGAAGGCGGACAACACTGAAGAACTCTTTCGCCCCTGCCGTCACTCCCGTCCAGGAAGACCTCGCCTCTGTATCGCCAACAAAGATGCAGTTCCAGTCCCCAGCCAGTGCCCCTCGTCCGAGTCGCACCAGCACTGATGTGCTCTCGCGAGAGGGCTGGATGCGAAAACGGCGGACCAACCGGCATATCAGATCCAATGAATGGTCAGACAACTACTTCCGCCTTTCAGGAACGCGCCTGGTCATGTTGGAGTCCGACCATCCATCGACGGTAGCAGATCCTTTGGAGACCATCAATGTGAGCAACTACTCTCTCCATGCGTACAATGTCGCAACATCATCGAAGCTCTCTGCCGCATTCAAAAGGAGCATTCTTGGCAGCGGCTATATGGCATCAGAGCCACGCTTCGCTTTCTCATTGATCCCAGACTCCGACCGAGACAAAGGCTCCAAGCTCTTCAAGGAGTCCAACAAGAGCCATCACTTTGCCGTCAAGTCTGGACCCGAAAAGGTTGAGTGGATGCGGAGGTTGATGCTAGCCAAGGCTGCCAGTCGGAATGCTTCTGGATCTGCTGAGTTCTGAGTATCTTTGCTATCGTCACTGATAGCACCAGTCACCCATCGTCACCACGACCATTACAACCACGAATCTCCTTCGTCACCAGTGCCACCGCCGTCGGTCATGCACGAAAAAGCTACAGCTCGCCTCGCGGCAATCTCCTTACCTGATACCCTTCTCCACAACCATCACAAGATACTCCATACATTGACGACGATTTCACGGCTTATCGGCGCCGCCCGATCATAAATTTGACCTCGCGGTCTCCATCCCATACCATCAGCATCGAACATCATACGATACCTATTTGTGTTTTCTCGGGAGTGAAGGAGGGACCTCATGGCATAGCGAACGGAGCATTGACCGCGCCCTTCATTGTGGAAGGAGCCAATTGCGGCAAGAAGGATCTGTTACGGTTGACACAGGCACAGATCATGCTGTGCTGTGCAACGCAGGGGACTTATATAAGTCATCTTGGCTCGCTGTAGCTGTGAGAGAAGAAACAATAATGCCAAATTTTCGACTCATCTTGCTGTTTTCTATCCATTCGAACTCCAGTTCCCACACACCTGCAGATAATCGGGTTCATGCCGCCGTCCACCGTCGTCTTGCAGTAGTAGACTTGAAACCCATCGTATTGAGTGCGATTGGATAGTGTCAATATGTTGATCAGAGCGCGCGTTGCCAGCCGTAGGTCAAAAGTTCCGATCAGCTCGCACTTCTGGTCTCGCCGTAATCTTCGTGGAATCCGCTCGTGGGAGGTCTCCCATGATACTCTGGGAAAAGATCTCGTCAGACGACGAGTGTGTACACATGGGTGCCACTGTCCCAAAATGCTGGTACGGCGAGGACTCCATCGCAACCCAACGGCAGTCACGGGGGAGGCCATCTCTTGCATCCGCGGAAGCCCATAGACATATGCTAGCGGCCGTACCTGTGAGTCAGCCCCTGTCGGATCCGAAGTCCCCGCGAGTACTGCAAGGATTGTGCAGCCGATCATGCATGCTCGAGGGGCGGGGACGCTTGGAGGCGAAACCCCTTTCGACAGTATTCCAGACATGATAGAAGATTCAATCAGCGCAATCTGACCTGTCAATTCCAGGAACATACTCTTCGCAGGCTTCTTCTCTGCTATAAGCCAAATAATCGTCCTCGAGGCAAATTAGCCCGACCATAGTTTTGCGGCAACTGCCACGACAGCAGAGTACTCACCGAGACCGGAATCAAATCTAGGTGACGTTTGGGTGACTCCGCATCGGACAGTGAAAGCGGCTTTCTGGAGACTTCGACACATACAATTCTCACGCATTCCGATCTAGACGCTATAGTTGAATTCGGCCGTGACCGGTTTATAGCGTACCTGGTATTGACAAACTTCTTGCTATACCATCGATGGGACGTAGGAATTCATTGGCGACGAATCTTTGACGTATAAGTCGAATGAGTCAAAGGACGGCGTGCTTGGAATGACGCACCCGTTCCGCTGCCAAGTATTCAACTTAGGTCGACTTCAGTGATATCACATGTATCCGGATGGAGCACATCGCCCTTGCAGGCGCCCAGCGCGTCCTAGCAGGTGAAGGACAACACTAGTCTTGATTTCAGGACAATGTCTAGATAGTTTCCCACAGGAGCGGTGTAGAAGATTCCTGAGAATCTGGAAAGTCCAGTGAGGCAAAATTCGCACAGCCATGTGATTCCAGTGGCGCTTTGTACCACCCACACCAACCCGGGGGATGATAGCGAGGCTGAGCGGTGACACATGCGGGCGATAACGGCCTGCTTAGTGGTCAAGCGGCATCTCGGATATCGTCACTAGCGCCAGCGGGCCGTTCCCCGGAAGCCTAGAGACCAAGCCTGACTCGGAACATACGGAGGTTCCAAATTTAAAGCATCTCTGCGACACAACGATGGTCCAGATGGCTGCTCAGGGCAGAAGTTCCAAAGTGCATGTCGGCTCGGACAGGATGCTTCTCCCTTAGGCTAGCCATGTAGCTGCTCACCCATTCGAGACTCGCATCTACCAGCCCCTGCTTTCAACACCTGCAGTAGTGTGCAGCAGAATATTGTCCCAGGCACTCGGGCGCACACCGGGATTCGCCCCAGGATTCGTTGTGTGCTGTAGTGGATTTGCACAGTCAGAAGATTGTCGGGTCTGTCAGCGCTCCAGCTCGTTCACTGTGCTGCGATAGGAGCCAGTTGAAGAGACGCACCCTCCCAGGACACAGTCAGGGGGAGTATTGGCCATCTGGAGTGTAGCGGTGCCATATTTGTGTTTGAGCCGCGCATAAAACAGCTTCGACCACTCGCATCTCGATGCCAGCGTCATGCAAATAATGGCATTTGACGTGCTCATGGCTGTCCCTCGAGTCTAATATGCTCGTGACTAGCACGAGGCAACAGTGTGAATATTCAGGCCAAAAACAAGTTGTGTGCGTGTGCGCCTAGCCCACAAGTCGAAGTCAGCAATCAAGACCAGAAGGCACTTCTGAACGGGTCGAGCGGACCGGAACAGGGGAGTCACCCGGGTCGGGTATGACACTAAGTATGCAGGTGATAAAGTGCCAACGTTTTGTGATTGACAGGGAAATTGCAGCTTTGAGCACTTCGCATAGTGCTCTCTGCCACCGCAGTACCTTGATAGCAGTTGAGGAGGAAGTACAGAAGGGAACCCTGATGCGGCCATGAACACGAGGTGCTTGGTAGACAGTATACTTCCCGCGCGGCATGTTCTGCGCGCGCAGCAAGATCGTCTGCTAGGCGTATAGGTGATATAAAGCTCCCCGGGTTCCCCGCCTGTGATTTTCAACCATCTTCTTCCTAAGAAACTCGAGCATCTACCAGCCAGGTGAGCACCATATCGCTTGTTGCAGACAGTTAATCGCAGTAAGTCTCATCTGTTCAGCTGGGATCCATGGATTTTTGATTGCCGGTCCGTTCGGGGGCTCGGCACGCTGACTTGGTGTACAGCATATTCCCTAGAAACCTGAGGCTACACAGCACCGATTGACCTTAGCTGCCATGGACTGCTATATACAGGATTCTGGCACTGTAGCTGACCGTCTTGAGAAAGCCAAGCACCAAGCTCAGCACAGCAAGCAAGGCTCCAAGAAAGAGATCCAGAGGGCGATTGCGAAGCTGGAAAAGTCCATGAAGAAGAGCACCGACGACAAAATTCTGGCAGATGCTCGTGCCCGACAAGCTGGTATGTATCTCCTGGGCAGATCTTCATCGCTAATACAATGTGCTTGTAGGTCGCAAAGCGGGCCGGTCCTGGTCCTGAGAGCATATCTCATGGTGGAACTGCAGACCAACACCACCTCAAGTGAGCTAGCATTTGGTCCCACATACGACGGCGTCAGGGTATGAAGGGATCCCGCGATGGTGGCCAGGATTTCAGGAAATGTGCTCCGAAGGCCCGAAGTGTCCATAATCTCACGGAATCGACGGACAAAAGCTTGGCAGTGATGTTGTGTAACGTTGCCTCACCGGTATTTACAGACAAGGTCGTAGGCGGTACGGTCAAGTAAGCGCCGTTGGCTTCTGCAGCCCGCCTATCGCCGCGCATCCTTGAGGTAGTGAGCCAAATGCAGGAATTTGAGGGTCTATTGTTAAGGACTCCTAGTACAGTAGACGTTGACGCGAAAATTCCTGATGCATTGCGCCACCATCCACATCGTGATGACCTTTCGGACAAATTGACGTGCCAGCTCAGTCGTCTGCAGCCCGTCATTAGGCCGACACGGACGAACAGCATAGCTGCAGAGGCCGGCACGGATACGAGGCCTTCGGTCATCGATGGAGGCCGCCATCTTTCGTGGGGTGATTCCGAGATCGTCGACGGCATAATCCATCCCTTTATGCCGGTGCAACGTGATCTCTGTGCCTCGTGACACGGTGCCTGGGTGTATTGCAGTCCGATCCAGCCGTTACGTGTTTTGGATACCCCACGTTTCCCACGCCCAGACAATTTTGTCCCGTAATCCGGGGCCCGCCTTACCCTTTTCGTCTCTGGTAGTAGATAGGTGGCTTGTCTATGTTCCGAATTTGCTTCACTCGGGCGCGACTGGCAACGTCTTGTTGCCGCAAGACTGACCTTTAGTGGGTGCACGTTACACATGCCACGCAGATCCTGTCTTCTTGTCCTCACAAAGACTCGCGTCCCAGGCGGTGGTTGGCGAGTATACGACCCGTGGGGCGGCGCCTTTGAATGATGTCCTCTGGCCGCAAGTAAGGTTGCGAGACGCCAGACTGACATTGACAGGGCATGTATGGCGAGGCGGCGGCAGCTGGCAGGTCCCTCCACGCTTTCATCTTGGTCTGAGAGTGATCTGCAACGGCATCTTGAACTATCATTGAGCTGAGACAACTGAACTGACACTTCCAGTCCACTGTCATTGTGTGTATGAGCGTGGCAGCAGACTTCCTTGCAAACGGCTCCCGTCAGAGTAACGCATTGAAATCCAGCAGTCGAGTCCGGGCACATTTCATGGTCGTTCGACGGAGTCTCATGACGGAGACAAAGCAGCTAAAAGAATCCATGGGCCTGGAATGTGGCCGAAAGCTAGTCAGCACCGCGACGAAGACTGGGAAGACCGCCTGCCGCCGACAAGATGTGGATGACCTGGACAGATTCATGCGGTCATCTACTGACGTTGACGTACTCCTGAGGTCCAGAGACGACTGGAAAGGTATGTTTGTGTCCCTCGCGCTCATCACTCATGCTAATGTTTCGCAAGCTCTGCAGAACGGACAAGCGAGTTATGGTGACACAAACATTGGCCAATGAGCAGATATGTCAGAGGCTGAGATCAATTCCACGACTGCCAAATGAGGTTTGAAACTTCGACGGCTTTGACAATGGGTGCGTCGTGGCCAGCTGAAACCACCTCAAAATGAAGGTGGTCTCCGAAAACTGCCGTAGCATCTTCACGAAGCTCAGTAGCATCAATAATAGAGTCACGATCGCCCGCAATGATCAGCAACTTTGCGTTTGCGCCACTTTCGCTGCTTCTTTGCGCGAGCTCTGCGCTGATTCGTCCCCAAAGTTCGTGCTGGTTCTGAATTGGACCGTACCGAATACTGGACATGAAAGCTGACACGAAACCGTCGTGATGATCGACTTGATGAACCACAGCCCTTTCAATCGTCACATCAGGATGCTTTCTTGACAAAACCGCAGTCGAATTACTCTCGATCGGGACTTCGGCCTTGACAGCCTGCTCAGTTCCAATCTTTCCATCGTTCTTGGGTGCTTTGGGTGGGTACAGTGGGGTCTTTAATCGTCGTTTGACCAACCTGAGCAGTAGCGGCTCCGGAATGACTCCCTCGCTGTACAACAGACGGTTGCTTCTGCTGAAGTGGCGAGCACGAATTAACCCAGAAGGGCAAAGAAGGACCAACGATTCGATGTTGTGGGGAAAGTAGGCTGCGAAGCCTGCCGAAATTCCGCCTCCGAGGGAGTAGCCAACGATTGAAAATCGGTGCCAGGGTAGTGGTGAAGAAGCGGTGGCCAAGAGAATCTGTGTTGAGAACAGGCGAATATCGTGAGGCAGGTCGGCCGGATTCTCTGAGTAGCCTCTTCCAAAAAGATCAAACAACATCACACGGCAGCCCTTGTCCGCCAACTGGTGTGCAATGCCTCCAAGGGCAAGGCACGGAGTGCTGATGCCATGAACCAAGAGCACCTTTCGACCAGTTTCTGGGCCAAATTCGTACACACGTATTGAGCCATAAGGTGACTGCACGTCTCGAGCTCCCGGCAACGAATCCGGCGGATATGGCAGGTTCTTGTGCTCGTCGGTCGATAGCTTGGGCAACAGCGTGCTCAAAGGAGAAGCTACGATCTGGCCATGCTTTCCACTGACCAGGAAGCCGCGAACGAGCAGGCCTAGTGCGAATGCGGTAACACTCGCCGTAGCCAATCTGCGGTCGAGGTTTTCGTACACTTCCTTCACGTACGACGCCATAACCGCCAGAAAGGGTGCAGTTGTCGAATATATGTGAGAGAGGAAGTGCTACCTCGGCGAGTTGCCATGAAGAAGTCGTCAGCAGATAAAAGTGGAGAACGTCATCGGCGTCCTGCGAATTTTCCAGCGATTCCAAACCCGCCAAGCCGGCATGTACACTCAGGCCCTTAGCCACCAATACCTGCACGTGTACCGACCACTCGGGGCTCGCCTTTGTGCCTTTTTACATATCTACAACTCTAAGACTATGAGCTCGAAACAGCTCGGGGTATCTTGAGACTTTTGGAACGCCATCTGGCAGAAATGTCCATCCTCAGAACAGGCCAGAAAACTTCAGAGCCTGACCACCATTCTTGTCCTTCCCTTTGTTCCGCTTCCGTTTCTTTCGCTTCGATTTATCTGCTTCCTCGTCACTGCTGTCATCAAAGTCGTCTTCGTCGTCACTGTCGTCTGACTGAATGGCACGTTTTGTTGGTTGTCGACCTCCGCCTGGTATACCTTTGGCTTCCGTCCATACTTTGACCACTTGCCCGCCACCACTGACCAACCGACCAGTGACATCAAAGTCTAGTCCAACCACTCCCTCGACCTCATCGTGGCGAATGTCCCAATCATCGAGAACGCCGTTTCTTCCCACCCGCAGAAATCTGACAGCACCATCCTCCAGACCAGCTGCCACGATCTTCTCGTTCATCTTCAGCTTGCCGTTGCCGAATTCTAAGGGTACTTCGACCATTGACTCGATGCCACTCTGTGTCCGGTCGACCACCAGTCTTTCGTCTTGGTCACCCCATACGCCTCGTTCCCACAGACTGACAATGCCATCTCCTTGACCGACAAGTACCTTTTCCCCAACGCTTGTGCCGCCCTTCTTGAGACCTTTTATGCATACGGCGCTTGTAAGTTCGACTTCCTGATCCTCACTCGTGCTCAGAACACCTTTCCTGATATCGGTAACGACAAGTGTGCTGCCGCCAACCGTCAGCCACTGTTTCGGGAAACCGCTTGTGCTGGCTTCTGTGACCGGTAGAGGTATCAGGCTGTTGACATGCTCCTTGTCATGTGGGTGCCAGGTCTGTGCTGCCCTGGCTTGAATCTCTACTCCTTGCTGTCGAAGGTCGTGAAGATATAGCTTGCCGGAATCGGTGGCGAGCAATAGAGCTTGCGGACTGAGGGCATGCAGCACAGTAGGCGCGTCGTCGTCACCAGTGTCTTCATCGGCAGGAATAGCAATTTTGCTCACAACTTTGCCATTCTCGCTATGGAATGCCTTCACCAGACCGTCTGTGCCCCCAGAGTAGCATACCGAGCCATCGTGGCTGTAAGACAGAACGCGACATGATCCCTGATGTCGTTTTGTCTTCCATAGTGTGTCTATTGCACCAAGACCATTTTCTGAGGCGGTCGACGATCTTCTGAAGCTTGAAATTATCGGCGGCTTCCCGTGGCCATTCGCCCCATTCGCTTCTGCATTTCGCCCATTGACTTGTGGATCGACTTGGCTGTCGTCGTCCGAAGGCAGCCTATATGCAATGACATGACCCGACGAGAGGCCGACCGTTACAATTGGCTCGGAGGGATGTAGCACCTGTGCGAAGAGATCGGCCGGAAGCGGGAGGGTGCATATCGTATCTAACATGCTGAAAATCGAGGCTACCGCTCAGGCATGTTGTGAATAGCGTAACTTCGGTGCATTCGCACTGCCGTAGGCTCCTGCTGCAGGATCTGAGCCTTTGCGGACAATTGTAAGTAGCGGCACTGGTGTGACTGGCGTCGAGCTGCAACTCATAGCATCACATTATTTTCTGTGGAGAAAGGTACCGCCGCTTCCGATAAGTGGATCTGCACCTTCTTTCTTCCCGGGGTCGTCACCCTAAGGCACAGGTTTGACTGGCATGTCTTTCGACTCCTACCGGCTTTCCGTGGAGCAGCAATGGCCTGCGAGCAGAGCATCGACTCCGTCGCATCAGAGCCCTTTGCAGAGGTAACGACTGTACTAGGTCTCCTTGTGTATGCTAGATCACGAAGGAGAAGCCGTCCGCTACAGCGTGGGCGCTTACGTCAAGCGATAGGCCTCCTTGGGCTCCGCAAGCGCGTAGCCTGGGAGCACCTGCAGATGTTCGTCCTAAATCAATCGGCAGGTGCTTGATCAAGTGCCGATGCTGGCTGGAGACGACTGAAAGCCAGCCATTTCGCGCCGACCTTCGTGGTCAACCTGTTTGTAGAGCAGAATGAGGCAACCATAAGGCAAACGGCTCCAATCATTGCTCGTCGCAGAGTCTCCAGTCCTTCTGAAACGAGCTCATGCTGAGCGCGGGTAATGTGTTGTCATATCTAGCACGGTATTGCTCGAAATAGACATTTGATGGGTATGTTGCTATTCTCGGGCTCACGATGTCAGTCCTGCTCTGCAGTGATTCTGCAACAGAGATGAGAACCGTCGAATCGCGTCTATTGCATACTGGAAGAAGCGCGTGTAAGCCACATCGAATCCATTCATCGATGATGTAGCCGCGTCCTCACGAGATGGGGCAAGCGCATTCGAAGTATGCGCCTTCGATAGCGGTCAAACAGGTGAGTCTCGCCAGCTCTTAGGGAACTCTGCCTTTTCTCGTCATGATCGGCGGCATCGACTGCCTTTCGATCCTACAACTACTCCCAGCCCTCGAGAGCTGTATAGCGTTCGGCACGGTGATGACCTCGACTACTCCCACGCAAAAGCGCGACTGTCGTTGGAGGCGCTTTTGTACTAATGGCACAGGTACAAGATCCGGCTGCGTACATATATCAAGGCATTTGGACCGACTGGACCAAAGGAAGTGATACTTGGGGCCTGACGTTGACTCTGCACCCCGACAATGCGGTGTTGGTGACGAGTGCGCTTGCTGTCTTCGTCACACTGGCTGGTAGTCAACTCTGGACTATCGTGCGCTTCACTCTCCATCAGACTGGATCAAGGCCGCAGCCTGTACCTTCAACGCCAAATCACACCAAGCAGCAAGTTATACTGAGGAACGCTCCGACAGACTTAGCGACGGCTCGTCTTATGGCGTACGACGCTTGGATATCCCGTGGCAGGGGCAAAGGCCGCAAACTATCGCCACGTGCTATATGGATCTCCGTCGTGGCGATCGTTCACGCACTTCTGTTCATGGTAGCAGGCACCTTCTCGAATTTAGCAATAAGCACCGGCTCGCAAGTGGACGGAACTGCGGTCCTTTCACGAAGCAGTCACTGCGGCATTTGGAATGAGACCTACTTCGATATTGTTGCAGGTGGGAATAATCCGTCCAGCAGCGAAACCCTGGACCTGTCCACCAAATATATCGCCAAGCAAGTAGCAAACGTGCAGCTGAGCGTTGAGTATGCACGAAAATGCTATCTATCGCAGCAGGGTCCGATTGTGCCGTCATCGCCTTGCAATGTCATGAGGAAGCCGAGGCTCAATTGGAATACACGAACGAATGGATCTTGTCCATTCAGTAACGGCCTGTGCCACGAAAATGCTGATGTCGTCATGTACGAAACCGACACCATCAATTCGCATACAGATCTCGCATTAACGCCAAACCACAAGACCGTCTTGACTATCGACGAATCACGACATGTGCGGTTCTGAACGATACAGATCGCGTGCGGGATTGGGACGGTGAAATAGACGTGACCAGCGACGTCTTTGAGCGAAAGACTGCTCACGCATACTATGGCCCTTCGTCATATAAGCACACCGACTGGACGTATGCATACTCAAATTTCGCGTCTCTGTACGATAACTTCACTGTACAGGTGACCACACCTTATCAAGTCGATGCCGAAATCTACTGGGCTCTGAGTGACCCCGCCTACAGCACCAGTGATTTCGAGCCGATCGAGGGGCTCCTTCAGAGCTCTGCGGACGTCAGTCTCTTCTTCTTGAGCTTTTCCGGTATGTATCTCGAAGCGATAGACGATCCGTGGTTTTCGGCAAATCGCCTACACGAGGTCGATATACCTGTTCCTCTTATGAGGAGAAGGTTTGCCAGGGATGCTGCGATCAGCACCATGGGCTGTACGGAACAGCACCAATTCTGTACTCACGATAAGATCTGCACACCCTTTGGCGGTTTCGATCAAGTCCAGAATCACCAACCATTTGTCGAAGCCATGACTGGCCACAGAAACGCCACCTTTGATCGTATGCTACGTGCGATTGCTTTCAGCAGCATGAAGGAAGTGGTGGAGAAACTCAGTGTCACCAATTCGCCACTGCTTGCGGTCAACGAAATCGCTACAGCGAATACGGTTGTATCTATGCCCCTACCTGCAACACAGTGGCAGCGGGAACTGATGTACTGGCACTCTATTGCCATGGCCCAGGTCCAGCGTAATGTCGTGCAGTGGAGCTCTGGACAAATCGCTCCCGATCCACAATTTCTCTTGCCTCCGCAGGAAGAGCAGGACAAGTGGTTTTGTCAAAATCAGCTGATACCCTCCACTGTCTACCAGTCTTTCAGTATCATGTCAATCATACTGATATTGATCTTTGGGATGTTGATAATAGTCGTCAGCCTCAACGTCGAGGCTCTAGCACGTCTTCTGAGACGCTGCCTGAGGCGATCCGAACCGAGGAAGGACTGGGATAACGATGATATGCTCAAACTACCCGGCAAGTTTCGAGATAGCTTTTGGAGACCGCGTCCACCTCCAAAAGACAAAAACAAGTCTCCCACTACGCCCACTACACCTACGTCTCGATGGGGCCGGTCGCCGAGCGCACTGGCACCTCCGAGTACGGGCTTGTCAAACGACACCACTGCCGTCTCGTGGACTCGGTGTTCGTCGCCAACACTACCTCCCGCTGACCGAGTGATTCCAGTCATCACCATCTCAACGGAGGCTTCGCATGTTGACCAAAGTTCTTCGCCGTACTCATCCCGCCGTCCACATCGAGACTCCTGGATGGCCATCAGTCTGAATGAACTTGAAGCGGCAACGCACTCGTCAAATTCCCCAGCTCAAGCACAACCCGAAGATCGCAAGAGGCTGTCAAGGACGCTTTATGAGGTTTGCCATTCGCCTTCCATGCAGCGGCTGAAAAATCCTCTCAATTTCCACGTGCCTCGACCACGAGGCTCATGGATATGAAAAACTTGAATGGGCTAGTGTCACACCTTTGTGACCAAGCTTTGCCAGTAATCCTAGGCCTGCTTGGTGATACAATCGATCCGGACTAGGCATCGAGGTTTTGAGAAGTCCTTGCCGGTCTGCCACTTCTCGCACGACCTTCAGATCCCAGGAACGAGACTTAAAAGCCACCACTACCGGTACCTTTCCCACCGCCACCAACGCCACGGGCTTCCACATCGGGACTTCGCTTGAAGCCACCACTCCCATTTCCTTTGCCACCACCACGAACACCACGAGCGTCGACGACGACGTTACGCTTGAAACCTCCGCTGCCATTGCCTTTGCCTCCACCGCCGACGCTCGGTCTTCAAGTTGAATGTCTCGCTTGAAGCCACCACTCCCATTTCCCTTACCGCCGCCACCCACACCTCTTTCTTCCACGACGATCTCACGCCTGAAGCCGCCACTACCGTTGCCTTTGCCACCTCCTCCAACTCCACGATCGACCAAATCTGCAAATATCTGGTCAGCGATGCTTGTCAAGCTCTATATGTCTCAGCGTACCAGCAGGAGCGTCGATAGGAGCAGCCATCGCCATGGATGCCATCATGGCAACGAGGATCGTAAAGACCTTCATGTCTTGATCTTGAGTTCAGTCCGACAAGTGTCTGGCTCAGGCAATGGCGATGATCAGATTGAGAATGAAAGCGAACAAGGATTAAGTCCGGCCAGCGGGTGTCTTGACGGAAAGATGCTTGGTAATGATTGAGCAATTGCGGAGGAATGTAAGGAATGTGTTGGTCGATGTGTCTCAGGTCTTGTTGCGTTGTGGGGAGATCGGCCCTGCTTTATACCCGACAAGCCGGACTGCCATATCCACAGATCAGGTGCTGGCTCAACCGAAACGAAACGGAACGAAACAAATCACCTCAAAAGCGCTGAGGTACCGGTCGACAACAGGCCATCACTAAGTCAATTTGCGTCCATCACGAGCAGCGACGAATGCGATCGAGTGGGCCTCCTGGAGAGCACAGCATCACACGGGCTGGGTACGCAAATAGGCGCTTTGGCGCCATGGTTATTGAACTCAGAGGACAGGGTCGAGAAGACTGACGCCCGCGTTCGCACCACCCGTGCTACAGCAATGTCAGAGACAAGGATGTTGAACCCGAAGCGATGATGTTTGGTGGAAACAGCTCCATCCAGAGAATGTGAGCAGGAGGTCTCGACATCCGCCAATCAGACAAACTCAAGGAGAGCTGGTGTTGAACCGCTGTGGCCGCATGGATCTGACGGTAGTTGTACACCAAAGTTGAAAACCTAACGACGGATTGGGACCACTACATTATCGAGGGCTCAAACCTGTCATTGCAGTACAATCTGGCTTCGAGATTGAGGTACAAGCTGCAATCGCTCGAAAAGGCAACTTTGCAGCGCTTGAAACGGTCGCACTTGGCCAAGCCAGCAGCACTCACGAATGGACGAGTTGCGACTGGCCCGCAAGTTGGTACAAGCTTTGCGAGCTAAACAATCGATGAAGGAAACAACTGGAGAGCGATGGCGGATGGAAACATGCACAACGGCGTCATCGAACGGTCAGGTTGGCCCTCTGCTACCTCAAAGAAATTACATCGGTGGTGTGTAGTAAAGACGAACGAATCGCTTTGGTTCGAGGTTGCCTTGTCTGAAACGCCCGTTCACCCAATCACAAGGTTTGAGGCCAGTCTTGGCGCTAGAAGTGGAACACGCCTGACTGAGGTCAGGGCGGTTACAACAAATCACAATCACAATTTCATCGTCCATAAGGTATTCGAATGCATCATCGACCGTTGGACTGGGCGAAATGACTGTCCATGTGGTCACCTATGTGTCTCAGAAGGCCACTGCAGGGTCTCGAAGGCCGACTATTGTTTCGTTTCTCTATATCATCACAGTCGCTCGAACCCTGTCTATCCTCAGATTGCTCTTGTCGTCAACTTCCTGATCAGAACGTGGTTCAGCGCTTGCGTGTTCACATCGACACCTCTTGCAGATTTCCAGTGCGAGAAGAACGGCTATGCAAGTCACATATATCTCTGTTCGTGCTGCAGCTCGCGAGCAATCCCAACGTGAAGGTTCGCCCTTAAGCTGCATAAGCGAGAAATTTCGCGCGAGAGCTACGTAGGCTTCGGGAAACGAACCGAAGTGACCTGCAGCGTGCATGCATGTACCCATGCAGCCGTTTTTTTGTTCCTTGGGCTACATCAAGACCACTTTTACGTTCCTGGCCTTGGCCTCATCGCCCGGACCCACGTCGTAAGACTGACTGCTTGTGAGTGACGGTCGCTATAGCAAGCGCCGTGGACTTCTTCGTCCCAACGATACAGCATGACCAAATTTGGTATCACTGTGAGATGCGAGCGCTGGCGCCAGAAGAGTGACGTCTACTCATAGCCGCACCGTAATTCGCTGGACTGAACATGAAGCCGGGTATTGTGTTCAATTGTCACACACTGGTTGTGGTTGCCTCCTCATCCAAGCATGGCGGGAAAAGTGTTGACGCAGTCTAACGAAGACGTTTATGAACGAAGCACATTGCCAAGAGTGTCGTCCTCTCGGAGTATCGAATTGCCGCCAGCAAGACTGCCAGCTTTAGACTCGAGTGGTTAGACAGCGGAGTCGAGGCCTGTCGCCACGCCCTTTGATTCTTCTGTTGTCGTCGCGCTGTATCTGCGCTTCTCATATGACGGCTCTTCGGAGGCATTCGCAGCTGCTCGAGCCCTCAATCGGTCTGTCAGACTTGCCTTGTGCCACAACGCGTCTTGCATGTCCTCGGTTGACTTTGCTTGCCAGTCATTCCAACCCGTCGAACCTGCACACCATGATTAGTTTCGAGAAAGCTCAGAGTGTGGACCCTTCCTTGCGGAACGGACATCAAGGAATGTACTGAACATACTGAGTGGGAACATCGCTGGGTTCTTCTCCAACAACGCCCAACTGCTACCAGTCCCAGCAGAACTGAAGTCCCAGCTTCGGTCTGCTCTCGGTACTGATGTAAGGACATCCAATTCGCTCTGCAACTCTCGACAATACTGATCCAGAGGCAGATCATTCACGTCATTGCCGAAAGGATTCTCGATCTCAGCACCAATAGCCCCTAGCCCGAGAATGATGTAAGCAGCGAACGATGCGCCAGGAATCGTCAACCATCCAAGTGGTGCGTAGAGTTGGAATGGCAGCACAGCCACGTAGACCCAAGTGATCTGTGCGATTGAGATCTGGTATGCAAGTGGCAGAGGATGATTGACGATGCGTTCCGTGCTGGTAGCTACGTCTGCCATGATACCTGAAAGGAAGTCAGTGATTTTCAGAAAGCCATCCCGGCTCTGCAGACATACCAAGTTGAGTGACGATGTTTGATTGCAATGGACCGTTTGTGAGGAGCCCGGTCGAGGCTATGTGCTCCAGATACGATTGCAAATAAATCAATATCTCCTGCGGAATGTTGCCAATGTTGAAAGTCGCCTTCTTCATGGTCTTGCGAGGATTGGATTCGGCGAAAGACACGCCCAAATACTCCCCAGCGCGCTTCAGACCACCGCTAGCTTGGGGGTGAAGAGCCGAGATATCGTCGGCGTTACTGACCATGACATCGAGTGCGCTGATGAAGGGTGATAGATCAGCATAATCGGGAGCAGCTCGAAGCGCAGCCTATGCTTCAGGGCCACAGCGAAACCCTTGATCAGATTGATGGCGGTGACTTTCTGCCACAAGTCCGCTTTGCCTTGGCTGGGATCCTCTTTGTGTCGCTCATTGGTATGAATCCATATCAGACGGGCAAGATTTCGGCTCGCAAGCATTAGGGTCGCCCATAATCGAGCACCTTCGATGTATCGTTCGTAGGCTGTCGACGAACGGAACGAAAGAGCTAGACCGACCACGAAACCCAGAACGGTGAGCAGCACGCTGTTGACTGCCAATGGATACACCAATTTGGATATTACGGTAATGGCAGTGGCCCAGCATATGACGATCAGCTGCGGAATGATCAACTTGGGTATGATCGAGCCATGTATCCGGAAGAAATATGGCACCTTCGAATGGTGTTTGATATCTCGAGGACCTCTGAAGAAGTCATCAAGCTCGAGGCTGTGGGCAGTCGGTTGGCGGGACGGGTTTGGCGTGAAGTTGAGCTGCTCGGTCGGTGATGAGCGATGAGATGCCATGATGAAGTAGGAGAATCGTAAATATGCAACTATTCGCTCATCAAGCAGAACACAAACACAAACGCTGGTGCTAGTCGAAGTCGACAATGTCCATGAACAACGCAAAATGAAACCACGAGCAAGGAAATCTGACAATCGATGTCAACACGAAAGAACAGCTGAAGTCAGGTGCGAGACTGAATCTCTTTAAAAATTCACCTGTGTTTCATCTTGCTGTATTATTTTAGATGCCACTGCGTGGTCCCCGACATTGGGCAAGCAGTTCCTAACCAGTTTCAGCCAGCCAACTGCCTGGAAGGATCCGAGGGGCGTTCTAGGCGTCGACCTTACTGGCTCGGTAGTGAGAAGTCTTGTGTCGTGGCGCCCCTGACATTCTTTCGGGAAGTTCTAGCAACGCTTGTTACAGCCTTGCCGTTGGGGCAAGGAGCTGAAAGTCAGCATCTCGTTCTCGCTTTGAAGACCTTCAAGATAAGTTGATCACTCGTGCTGAATCTTCTGCTTTGTGGGCATTTCGACAAGCGCAGCCAGATCGAGAACGATTACAACATTGAATGCTGGCCAAATTACATTTGGATTTGGATGCTGAGAGACATCAGGGATAGCTCCGATCCAGTAAACTCTTGGTGCCGCTTAACGTTCCCTTCCGACGCGGGCGGCCCCGCTTGAGAGGCGGTGTCTTTCCCCTGGACTAGCTCATCTTACCGAACGTCAGTTCTTCAAATTTTTGCTGCCACTACAGGAGATGCATTTCACCGTACATGTAAAGCTACAACGCAGTGTCTCCTTGGTCACTGAGCGTGAGCCTCCACATTCACTCAAGTCATCAATGAGAGTCGGCAGTTCCCTGCGGAATCACGAGTCCATTTACGGACGGCCAAGCATCTTTCAGCTATGCTTGGCGTCATCGCTCTCGTCCCCACTGCGGCAGCAAACCGATCGACAACGTCTAGACCTGTGAGACCTGTAATCGGTTTCGGAACGGCGCAGGGTCAGCATGATGCGGAATCGATGTCCGAACATCACAGGCAAGAGAAGACATGCACTTTTCATTTCGCAGCTCACAGTCACCTTATTTCCAACAAAAGTATTCAAGCCTGGCAAAGTTGATTGTCGACCGTCAACTTATGTGTGAAATGGATTTACAGAGCACTAACTATCACACAGCCAAGTCCAGCGTCAGATCCCAGCCTTCCTTAGTTCCTCTTCTGTCCAATCCCACAGTGCTTTAGCAAGCTTGTCGTCCCTGCATTGCGCGCTACCTGGCTCTGGCACACCGACCGGCGAGAACATGCCGCCGTTGCTCACATCGCCTGTCCACGTCGCCGCCCACAACGGCGTCAGTGCGCCCTCCTCGACAGTCAATTTGCCAGCGACGGCGTCATATGTGCGTTGCATCAATCCTAATGGGCCCCATCGTTTGCCCGAGCCCAAGTAATGATCCAATAGTCCTGTATCCACCCTACCAGGCTGAATTGCCACATGCACAACATCAGGCCAGTGGACCACCGACTGCCTCGCATACAGGATCTGGGCGAGCTTACTGATCGAGTACCGTGCATATTCGTTGACGTCCTCACGTTTGCCCTTCTGCTGGTCCAGTCGACTATGCTGGGCGATAGTCCCGTGTACGCCGCGGCACTGGAAACATGCACGACTCGGACGGTGTTCCTTTGCATCTCCGGAAGTGCTTCAGCGGTCCTCTGTAGCAACGGCATCAGCAACTTCGTCAATGCTGCATGGCCAAAGTAGTTCGTTGCAAATTGGAGCTCATAGCCGTCCGCTGACAGGGCGGGAGGGTTTGCCATGATCCCGCCATTGTTGATGAGTATATCTAGTCGTGTATTCTCCGCCAAGACCTTGTTTGCTGCGGCACGGATACTCTTGAGATTTGCGAGATCGAGCTCAAGGTATTCGACACATGAGCTGGCGTTAGGATTGGCCAGCAGAATGTCTTTCAGGGCAGCGTCGAACTTTGTGCGCGAACGTGCAGCTAGGTAGAGACGACGCGGATTGTGACGAGAGAGCTCGAGTACGGCCTGCTTGCCTATACCTGCATTGCCGCCAGTGACAATAATGACGCGGCCGGTGAGCTCCGGTATCGATGTCTTTGGGTCGAATGCGTGGATGTTCTTGTAAGGATTCAGCAGGCCCATGGCGACCGTAGCGAGTTCTTTGGCGCAAGTGGATTTCGGCTTGAACACCTCAGCAATGCCCTCGGTGGACACAGGGGACTGGGACGAGTTTCGTAGAAGTCGCAACACAGTCTCCAAGGAGCGAAGAGCATGTCTGCTCCTGTTTACATGGCAGCTTCTTATACTGAATGCTTTTCTCCGCTTAGCGCGTAGTACACAGGGCCACGATCCAGCACCAGCAAGCCATGCAGCATCGATATGCTTGAGTCCCATGTGCAGCCAAGCTCGCACCTGCATGCCATGAGGATCCGGCTCCATCTAGAGAACGGATTGCTGATAGCCGAAGCCGAGAGCCAATCGGCGCTCGGAAACGGATGCAGCTCTGGCCGTTGATTCGCTGGCCGCGCTGGTCGTGGAGACCAAGCGGTCACATTATAATTCGTTAAGTATACCTCGTAATGACTGCCTCAATAGATCTTACACTCGAGGTAGGCAGCCGCCTTGACGATTGAATGTGCTCAGATCTTGGCGGAGTCTCCGAGGCTATATCCCGCCGCAATTCCAGTACTGCCCTCTTCAAGCAAGCCTCCATGATCGTCTTCGTCCCGGTCGTACTTGATCTCTAGTCCTCGCCATGTTCGATTGCGGGTCAGAAAATCCGCTGCTGGCGACGCAATGCCATTCACGGAGACCACTTCGCCATTCGATCTTTTGGTCAAAGCCTGTGTCGGCGTAGGCGCTGTATCATTGCCATTTGTAAGCACTCCCTTCGGCTGGCCCATCGGCCTTGTTCTAGCAACATAGCGACCGGTCCGTAGATCGAATTCAGGAGGCTCCGATTCGTCTTCGGACCCAGTGTTGGCCTCTACCGGGTGCTCGGTCTCGACAGCCTCTATCATTGCTTCATTGTCCTCGGCAGCCTGCATAACGCTGCTGAAGTCGGCCCTCCAACGACCAGTCCAGATTCTGCCAGTATCAGGCTGCAGTGCCAAGTCCAATTCAAACGGCGTAATGATTGGCTTGTAGAAGTCTTTACTGTCAATGAGTGAGCTCTCCCAGCAGCCGATGACGACCCAACCTCCGATCTCAGAGAAATTGGCGACCTTCGCAGCATTGATCTTTCCCACGACGAACAAATACGATTTCTTTCCTGCGTTGGCGATCTGCTGCTTGACATATTCGACCATGGACAGGTAGTTCTTGACGCTTAGTGTGTTGATGAGGATGCCCCAAACCGAGACTGTTGCAAGCGATGTGATCAAAGCGTATCGCCGTCGGAGAAGCAGACCTGTCGATCTCTGTAATGCTGCCGAAGAATCAGAGACCATAGCTTCACGATTTGTAGGATAAACAAAAATGCTTGCAACACTGGACGTTAGTGTTAAAAGCAAGGACGTCGGTGGATCGGAGATATGAAAAATATGCCACGAGCTCAACGAAGAAGGGTCAGAGGCAACTGAGGCTGGTACAGTCCGATTCGGTATCGATGAGGAAGGGTCATGCTGAATTGATGCTGCGAAGATGGCCGTATAGCCACGAGATCCCAGCGACGCCGCAAGACTTGCGACGTGTGACTCGTACGGGACGTCGGCAGTAATGATAACTCTGATTGCATGGTCTGGAAACGCCTTCTGAAATGCGGATAGGGCAGCTTCATGGTCCAAATCCCGCCTCGTGAAGATATGCAGTGCAGGCAGGCGCGCAGTGGGCGAGAGGCAAGCGCGACCATAGTGGATAATTGCGTCCGCATCCACATGCTCTGCAGCGATCTCATCCACGCAGCATGACCCATATGATGTGTCGGCAAGTATGGTCAGCTTGACCGGTTCAAGATCCTTGTCTGTCAAGGACAAGTCGGCCAAGCCGTTGATTTCGTTAGCAGGTACGCCTTCGGAGGTTTTGGGCCCGTTAGGGACATCTGGCGGCTTGAGGCCACGAGCGAGAAGCTGATAGACTCGCGCAGAGTGCGACAGCATCTCGTCTGGGAACTGTAACGCGACTCTCCGCCATCGCTGCTGTCTGATCTCTGCAATGGTCCTCTGAATTTCGTAGCGAACGCAAATCTGTTCATCGGACAAAACGTCGGTGACTGGATGGACATCTTCGGTGTCATTAAGAATATGCGATGCAGGCGTAGACAGCACTGGCGGCGCACTCAGATGTTCCACCATAGCTTCGTCTGTGGAAGTATGATTTATCAAGGCAGACGAATGTTGTGGCCATGAAGAGAAAATCGATGTACGATTGTACGCAAAATCTTGCCAAGTCAATGCTTAGTCACCGCAAAACCAGTGTTTTCCACTGTTCTTCCAGACGTTCTTAGAGCCTGCCGGCTGCTGCAGCCAGCGCTATCTATGGCGTTCACACGATGCGCGGAGCGTGCGCCCTGCGCGTAGCTAAACGTGAGCGTCGTCTGTCTCTCTAAATGTCAAAGCTGGCTGTCTTACTAGAATTGCCATTATGCATTGATGCCGATCTTCCAGTCGTTGGTGGTCTCCTCCACATCCCGCAAAATGGCCCTGCGGGGCTACCAGGTGTATGTCGGCATAATGTTTTTGGCCGCTGGCCTAACCTTGATGAGTCGCTCTTCGTCGTGACAGAGGTTCATTGCAAAACAACAACAACACTGTCCTCGACCGTAGGCTTAAGTTTTACAAAACCACTTTTACAACCTCGACCTGAGTAATCGTCTATCGATACATCATGGAGGACAAGGTCCGGGATTTGAAGATATGCATCATCGGAGCAGGTATGGCTATCGGCGAGAACTAATCACGTAAATGCAAACTAACTGAACGTCAGGCATGGGAGGGCTGACATGCGCTCTTGCGCTTGCGAAGAGAGGCTTTCGAAATATACATGTGTACGAGTTCGCGCCAGATCTCGGATTTGTTGGTGCTGGAATTCAGCTTGCACCCAATATGGCCAGGATTCTAGATCGGCTTGGAGTCTGGGACGATATTCAACGTGAGGCAGTCGTCCTTGCAGACACGTCAATACGGCAAGGCAGCTCCGATGAGGAGCTCGCTAACGTTGATCTCGGCTATGTTGGTACTACCTACGGCTACCCTCATATGGTAGGTCATCGGTCATCGCTGGCAGGATCAATCTTCGCAGGGTGTCAAAGGGAGGCTGCAGTCAACTTCCACTTCTCGACGTCGTGTAGCGACCTTTCCTCGTTCTCACCTCGACCATCCTTCACAGCCAAGTCGGCCTCAGGGTCCGAGAAGGTGGAATGTGATGTACTCCTGGGCGCAGATGGGGTTAAGTCGCGGACGCGAACTGCATTGTTGAATGCCATCCACGCCACAGCGGAGGTCGAGGACTCTGGACAAGCGTGTTATCGTATCATGCTCACACGTGATGAGATGGCGCATGATCCCGAGCTGCTGAAGCTTATTGACACGGACAGAGCAACAAGATGGATAGGTGCAAAGCGGCATATTATTGCATATCCGGTCTCGAACAAGTCGATATATAACATCAGCACTGCTCAACCTGATGTAAACTTCGCCGATGCACCGTCTGCCACGTACACGACAAAAGGATCTAAGTCAGCCATGCTTGACGTATACGCAGACTTCTGTCCAATGATACAGCGAATGCTCAATCTTGTCCCTGAGGGGGAGGTCTGTGAATGGAAACTGCGGGTCCATCAGCCTCTGCCGACATGGGTCCACGGATCGGTGGCGCTCGTAGGAGACGCATGCCATCCTACGCTCCCTCACATGGCGCAAGGTGCCGCTCAAGCAATAGAGGATGCTGCCGTACTCGGAGTCGTCCTATCGCGCCTACCCGACTCGGAGCCTGACAGCATTACGAAGGCTCTCAGGGTATACGAGGTCGTTCGAAAGGAGCGTGCAGAGGCGCTCGTGGCGTTGGCTGCCAGCTCGGGGAAGGCACTTCATCTTGGCGAAGGTGCTGCGAAAGAGGAGCGAGACAAGCAGTTCGCCAAATTTCGTCAGGGCGGCAAAGGTGACGTGCCTGACAAGTGGGCGGACGCGGACGTGCAGAAAATGGTGTATGGCCATGATTGCATGACCGTTGCAGGCGATGTGTTTTATGAAGAGTTCGAGAAACTCTCCTGACGCTTTGCACCATGCTGGAACCGGAGTGTAAGCGCCGGCAGCTATGCACTCCTGGCCGGATTTAAGTGTGCGAGTGCTCGTCTGATGTGGTCGAGCTTCATATTCGACAAGTCTTGCTGAGGAGGCTTGTTGAAATCACAGTCAGACGAAGAAGCTCAAAAGACTGATCATCAACCACAGCCCGGCCTGTCCCAACAACATCGGCCTCAGTGTGTTGCTGGCTTCCACTGCTTCGTTCCAAGTATAGACGCCAGGAATAGTGACCTGCTGTTGTCAGTACAACCTTACCATCTGAGATCAGAGCTTCATTCATACCTGCTCCTGCCAGAATGGGCTGAAGTGGAACCAGGCAGCAACTGCTGAGACAGCCGTAACAGTGTTCAGGACAGCAGATGAGCCTCCCAAGAACAGTGTGTAGAGACTTGTCCCAATTGACAGCAAGATCTGAGGATGAAGTCAGCTACGATGCTTGGGTAGATGGCACGTGTTAAAGCCACATGCACTGGCTACCGGTTCCCGTGACAAGTAGCACTTACAGACACAGCAGCCGCTCCCTGCGTCGTGCGAGTCCGCCACAGCTTGTCGGCAGCCATCTGACTATATTGTGCCGCCGTCTCAGAAGCGGACTCGTACGTACGCAGCCGCACAATAGCACGGTATGACAGTGTTGCTTCGTAAAGAGCCAGCGCACATGCTGGGGTCAGCAAGCCAGCGAGCAACATGTTTGGAGTGTGCGCTGCTTAGCAAATCGAACGACTTTCCCTGAAGTTGGTCTGCTCGAGCTGGTCAACAGACAACATCATCAACACCGGTGACCAAGATGTTCAAGCGTGATGTAATGCTAAAGGCAAAGCCCTACGGAGATTCGCAGAGTATAGGGCACTCAGTACGGCGCATCCCAGCGCCTGAAACAAACATTTTGCATCTCGGAGGCCTCTGGTTCCAACAGGCACGATAACATTGACAGTTGACGACTTCACTGCCTCCTGGACGTCAGCTTTCAGGCAATCTGTGGGGTCCACTGTCGATTAGGCTCGACTTTATCGTCTGGAGCAAATGGCTGTCCTTAGGACGCGCAGATTCGACAGTGTTGGACGTCGAAATGATGAATGGAAGCTCATCCGCACGCGGTGGTCGCTGCAAGGTACAGCCTAGCTCCGTCCAAGGCCAAACCGCCTGATACGTAGCGCTACCGCTCACGAAATGCTTTGCGAGCAGCTTTAGCGACCATCGGAAGAGCCCCACGGGCGACTTGCAGTCCGCATCCGAAAACGCGCCTGTTCCCCTCCTACGCGGGGCAGATCCGGGACAATTCGTGAAGACATTATCCTGACCTCATTTTGGGTTTAGGAACAAAATAGTCCTGGTCGCCGTCGTAATGCCTGCTGTCTACTTCTCCTGCGAAAGGTGAGTTGTTGATTTATTGCGAGTCATCTCTCAACAGGTCATACTTCCATCGCAGTGTTCACCATGGATCCCTTCGAGTACAACGCGAACCCCTCGCGCGTGGTGTTCGGACCCGACAGCATACAGAAACTGCCAGACGAGCTGCGACGACTGAAGTTGTCCTCTCCTCTGCTCCTGACAACGCCCCAGCAAGTCTCTTCCGGTGAAGACCTTGCTAAGATCCTTAATGCCGCCTCAATAAAGCCGGCTGGCACGTACACCAATGCCACTATGCATACCCCTTCACATATAACCAACGAGGCGCTCGAGTATATGAAGTCCGCTTCTGCAGACAGTGTCGTCTCGATTGGAGGTGGTTCGACAATTGGTCTCGGCAAAGCCATCTCAGTGCGCACCGGCCTCCCTCACCTCTGCATACCCACGACCTATGCGGGTAGCGAGATGACACCTATCCTAGGCGAGACGCAGGATGGAAAGAAGACGACACGATCAGATCCAGCTATCCTGCCAGGCACTGTCATATACGACGTCAATCTAACCATGACGCTGCCCACCTCCCTCTCTGCGACCTCCGGCGTCAATGCAATAGCTCATGCCGTTGAAGCATTATACGCGAAGAACAAGAACCCTATAATCACAATGATGGCGCTTGAGGGCACAAAAGCACTTGCCGAATCCCTTCCCACCATAGTCGAAGACCCCTCGAACCAGGCTGCCCGAGAGAGAGCGCAGTACGGCGCCTGGCTTTGTGGCGTCTGCCTCGGCAGCTCCGCCATGGCGCTACATCACAAGCTCTGCCACACGCTCGGCGGCAGCTTCAATATGCCTCACGCAGAGACACATACGATCGTGCTGCCTCATGCTCTTAGCTACAATGCTCCTGCCATACCTGAGGCGATGAAGCTGCTGGCGGAGGTCCTTCCAGGCAGCAATGGCAATGCTGTCCAGGGTCTGAACGTTCTGCTGGAGAAGCTGAAGGTGAAGCGGGCGTTAAAGGACTATGGGATGAAGGAGGAGGACGTGGCTAAGGCGGCACAGATTGCGGTGAGCAATCAGTATCCGAATCCGCGGGAGATCAAGGAGGAGCCTATCAAAGAGTTGATCAGGAGAGCATGGGCTGGCGAAGATGCGAAAGACGACTTATGAAGAGATCATCATTCCATTGGGGATTGTGTCTTGTGCAATGATTCGCACATCTGCATGCGCATAGTAGCACAGGGATCTAGTCAAGCAGACTGTCCCACAAGGAAGTCCTCAATCCCATAAAAGCTATGCTTTCTTGTCAAGTCATCAAGCCGCGTGGACTTGCAAAAACTCAATAGCTCCTGTTCTGCCCCTCGTCAAGAGTGTTGTCTGTGAGCTTGAACGTCCTCCTTGGTCTCCGTGATCTGTAGCGCCTTCGCTTAAGCACCATCAGCGTCCTCCTCAACCTCAGCTTCCAAGGCCGCAGCATCGGGGTCCTCCTCCAGTTCCACTTCCCCAAACTCCGCCGCGCTCAACGGCTCATGGCCTGTGTTCATCTTTCCACCTGCCGGATTTCCTTCTTCCAACCAACGCACAATTGGCGTCTCGGGCGGCCAACCCAAGTGCACCGTGTGAACCGTCAGAGTACATTTCGGGCAGATATATTTGACATCTGGAAGCCGCTCACGACTCTTGACCAGTCCCAAGCTCAACGTCGTCCAGTCTTCGTCTCTCCAGGTGAAGGTCTGCGCGACCGGCTTCTCCTTCTGTAGCTGTGGTAGAGCCGGAAGCAGAGTAGGAAGCGAAGACTGCTGTCCTGCTGCTGGGGTACCTCTACGACGGTCTACCTCGGCCCTACGCGCAGCCACAGATGAAGCACTGTATGGCATGGCGGCCTTCTTGGGGCAGTTCTTCCAGTACTGGCACTTCTTGCCGTTGATGGGGAGGTACTTGCGGCAGATGTAGCAGAGACGGCGTTGCTTGAGCTTCTCGCGTTCCTTCATCTCCGTGACGCTGTCTGTCTCTGGTTTCTGTATGTACTCTGGGTTCATGAAGCCTTCGAGCATCTGCATGAAGCGGTGGCGTTCGATGTCGGAGCCGTAGCGGTCGCGAATGACTGGAAAGCCAGCGCCAGCTTCTATAGCCAACATTCCCAAGCGTTTGTGTGTAAGGCCGAGGAATGTCTGTGTGATGGGATCGCAGTGGCCCATGACGCGCTCCAGGACTTCATCTGGCAGAGATAATAGAGAGTCGGGCCTGGAAAGGACGTTGGGAAGATCCTTGATGGGATCGTACTCGGATTCGTCCATTGAGACGGAGCCTTCAGAAGAGGCGTCTGAATCATCGTCGTGCGTGGTTTTGACCTTCTTGGCACCGCTAGCGACCACAGAGTCCTCCTCGTCTCTCTTCCGCTTGTTGGAAGTAGAAGCAATGTCGGACTTGTTGGCGTTGTTGACCTCCTGAGCTGTATGTGACTCCTTCTGCACAGAGCCCTCCTCAATATCTTCAAGGTCAACAAACTTACGCTTGAGGCCCATCTGCTTGCCATGAGAAGTGTCTCGCACACCCTTCTTCTCTCCCTCGGCTCTGGCCTTGTTCGCAGCTTTGACTTCGTCCTTTGCGGCCTTACTCATGCTTCGAGTGTACGTGATGTTGCGCTCAATCTCGGCCTTGGCATTAGCTTGCTTGACTTCGTGGTAGAGTTGTTTGGCTTGGCGCTTGCGCTCATCTGCGGCTTGCTCTTCGGTCATCTCGCCAGCAGCAAGAGCCTGACGGGTAGCTTCCTCTGCTCTGGCCTTGGCCTCCTTCTTGGCGTAACGCTTTCGAGCGCGGCGACGGGCTTTCTTGGCGGCTTTACCGGTGCCAGGTGGGTGCTTGGAGAAGTCGTTGACGGTTGGAGGAACGTAGTTCTTTGCGCCTGGGCCATGAAGCGGTTTGGGTGGGAGAGGAAGTCTCTTCTCCTGGACTCAGTGAGATCGTCTGCCACGACCGCTATGAGAAGAAGACTTACGAGACATGGGATGTGGAATTTGCGCAGCGGCTTGTCGCGACGAGCTCTCTTGAGAGACTACTACTAGTGAGCTTCATGTTGAGGCCAAACGTGACTGAACTTACAATAGGTTGGGCCGGAGCTCCAGTCAGATAGCCTGGGCCGCCAGCGGGTTGGAGACCTGACATTTTGATCCACTGCCCCTGTTGGATGGGTTCTCAGGAGAGACTATTCGGTTAGTTACGATGTGTTCAGATCGTTAGCGAGGAGTCGGGCTCTGCGGGTTCGCGAAACGCTAGGTGGTGAAAGGCTTTACAGAAGTCGGAAGAATGCTAGACGGATGGACATCCGAAGAAAAAGGCAGCACGACCTTTGTTTGTTGTGGGCAATAGACTTGTCACTCATTCAACGTCTTGGCAGGGAGGCTGGGATGTTGATTCAAGTGAAGAAGGCGATAAGTGGGCATGACTGAAGAGAGGAATTGGCCGTGAGTCAGATGCCGTTGCCGGACAGCAAGTGAACGTACGTCTCGGGGGATACACTTGACAGTGGTTTCGGAGTCTTTCTATCGCCGCCTGTGTGAGTCTCTTGTCTCTTGACAGTCAGACCTTCGTTCAGCGAAGACCATCGTTGACAGCTAGGTGTGCCACGGCAATCAATGAGTCATGTCAAGGCCGGCCACATCACCATCGAGGCCGATCTGTTCCAGCAAACATGAAGACAAACTTGGACTTCGCACCTGCAACATCACGTCGACATCGACGACGAACGCACGCTTCCTAGGGCTGCAACATCGCTGTCGTTGGTCGTCATCGGTGCCGACCGGCTTGCCGCTGCGAGACTTAGGGCATTCGATGCCACACCTGAATGGCATGTGCATGATGTCACGAGCTTGCGATTGGCAGTGGTGGGCCACTTGGGCTGCTGGATGCTTCGACAGAACAACGGATGAATACACTGCTACAGGTAGAGACCCAGGAGGTTGAAAGCGAAAGCGAGGTGCGGTCAAACTTTGGGGGCCGTCCCTGCCAAGCGCTCGGACACTTTTCATGGGCATGCAGCATTGCAGGCATTAGTACACCTTAATTTGAGCCTTCGTGATCAACATCAAAGGATCAGAGCAGCATAGGTTTCGCCTTGCGGGCGTTCATGAGGCGCTACTGTACTGACGTACTGACTACTCTAGTGCGAGGCCTGACTATGAAATATGCGAGCCTGGCACGACATACATTGAGGTCATGAATGATGAAGAGTTCGTGGAGTTTGCGGCACGTTTGGGACGACGGAACACGCTAAATACGATCGTTCTATCTCATGCACGATGAAATCATTTACCAGAAGTGCGTTGGGCCCTCGGCCTCTATCTTCGCGCTGAGAAATGGACAGAGTAAGTTCCAAGGAACGGGTGCGAGCACCCTACTCTGGACGTTTCTCAGCGCGAAGATAGAGGCCGAGGGCCCAACGCACTTTCCCACAACTATGTACAAGGCGAATTGGAAGGAGCTTGAAGAGGTCCATGATAGGGCAGGCGCGGTAGTCAAGATGCACCTGCCTTGGAATGCGGTTGATCACGACAAGACTCCATGCACAGTGGGAAGACACTGGCAGTAGCAATGTGTGGAACTTCCTGGACACGGGCAGTCACTGATGACTGGTTCTGAAGACACTCTGCACTAAATGAAAGCCCTCCGAAGTTCTACAAGCGCCATCATTGCCATGGCCTGGCCATACGGCATACTGGTTCGAGGAATGGCAAAGTAGTGCTCCAGGCTTTGACCGACTGCGGTCCCAAAGCTTGTATCACTGAGCTCACCATCCTCGCCAATTCTGTCCAAGACCGCATTGATGGCCTTCATGGCAACTTCAACGTACTCCTTGCCGATGAGCCGCTGCCTGGCTGCCTTCAAGAGACCGTACGCAAATCCAGCAGTCGCCGATGCCTCTTCATAGTTTCGATCGTCTTCAACGTCGAGTACTGTGTTCCACATCCCATTCGGCAACTGATGCTTCTTGAGCGCAGCGCATTGCGCACGCAAGACCTCGACTAGGTACATCCTCAAGGCGTCTCCTTCAGGTAGCTCTGCAATTTCGAGGAATTCGGGAATCGCGATAGTGATCCACGCGTTGCCTCTTGCCCATCGAACGTCCGCAAAGTTATGCCCAACACCATGATCTGCACCGTCATCAAATTTCCAACCATGGAACCACAAACCTGTTTTGCGATCTTGCAAGTAGTTCACATGGATCAGGAATTGCCTTTTCGCCTCCTCCACATATGAAGGTCGCCCCAAGACCATGCCAATCTTAGCGAGTGGCAAGGCTGTCATCATGAGTGTGTCATCCCAGAGCTCGTCCTCGTTGAGAAGATCATACGTAACATGCTGGAACCCACCACCTTTCGTCCTTGGTAGATCATGCATCGCCCACTCAGCCCACTGCTCCAGCCACGGCCGATATGCTCGGGCCTCGCCATGAGGATCCTCTTCATAGACGAACGCTAGGGTTAGCATAGCAGCCATTGTATTGATGTTCTTCGTTGTGCCTTCTGCCAAGCGGCCATCGAACCATTCCTTGATCACGCTTCTGGCACGGGAAAGGGGTCGAAGGAATTGGTATTGGTATAGACCATACAAGCCGATCCCGTGCGTCCACTCCCAGTCATTCCAGCCCTTGGTGTCAATGACCCGGCCATCAGCCAATGGCATCAGAAATTTACCAGTTGTATCTTTGATGCTGACAAGGTTGGAGATCAGGAGCTCAATCTTATCTTCAGTATCTGCAGCAGTGAGGCCATTGATACGTAGGGGAGTAGGCATTGTGATGGGTGGACGCGTGCGGAAAGTCGATCTTGAGGCTCATTGCTTCAGAGATGCTGGGGCTTCTCTCACACAAACGCTTCCTGGGACGTGCGGGGGCATATCGGGGGCTCTGAGATTTCTCACGCATGGTGGGGCGTTGTCCGACAATACGCCGAAGGGTCTCGTCGGTATTCGAAGTGCACTTTCTTGAGTAGGCAGAAAGGCATAAGGTGTGAAGAAGCAGAGGCGCTGCCTCAGACCCACCTCAGACGACCTTCCACCCAGCTGCTTCAGAGTAGCGAGCCCAGGACCCCATGAGAAAACCACGAAAATTCGGTCTTGGAAGACAGGCAATGTCTGATGTCAGTAGACCGAGATCCTGTTCCCTAGCCTAAGCGAAGAAAGAGCCCGAAGGAAGGGAAGTTGGAATGCCAGCACTGCTGACCGCCCGGATCTCGCATACCACCGCACCTGTAGGTGACGTGGACCCGCGACGTCGAGGATCTGCTTCGTCAGAGCCACATCGCACCACACAAGATCCCAAGGAATCCATTGGACCTGCTGGCTCGACGATTGAGATATGAGCCGGAGCATTCATGCAGGCGCTACCTTCGCCCATTCGCCAGAAAAGTGCCCGTTCTGCGATCCTCGTCGGCTGGATAGTCACGTCAATGGGGATACCCAGACCAATAGTACTCACATCCTCCTAGATCTGGTGGCGAAACCCTCCTCGACTAGCCAGAGCTACGTTCTGGCAGAGCGTTTCCCCTACCTGGCCATCGCAGCTTGCGGTGCTGCATATTGAACCACGTCACGACTTGCGATTCGTTCTGTCAATAGCTCCGCACCCTCCTGAGAGCAGTGGTCACCGAGAGTGATTGGCGTATACGAGGCGATAGGATGACCACCATATGTCCTCCAGGAATTGGCGTCACTCTCTTCGTGTGAAGTTCGTCTCTTTGACTGGTGATGGAATTGCTCCGGATGGTAACATAGTGTTTCGCTTCTGGCCTACAGATGCGATCTTCGTCTAGTAGCCCTTGTGCAGCTGAGGCAGAGCGACACGCCTATCTGGCCCAGAACGTCAAAAAGTCGATAGGATGCGCTGAGTGTGTCTAAAGATCTCAGCCGCAAGGCATGGCGACGCTGCCGTCAGCTAACGACTCAACAAAATGGTGTGTTCGGGCCACCAGCCGAATCAGCAGTGAAAGTACCATTATTGGCAGTTGTCCCCAAACCAGACTTTGCAACTCAGGACAGGAGTAAGTGGCAAATTATGCAGCTGCGCAGTCCATAGCGAAGGTGATGACTGTAGACGATGAAGTTCGTACCCACCTCAAGCTCCGCGCTCGAAGTCCATCGCTATGATTCCGGCGTATCACCGCCAGGAGTCCAGTGGTCTACATGCCGCGAACACTCCAACATCCGCCGCGACGCGAACCCGACCACTCAGCACTGCCAACTCTCGAGACGATGCCTCAGAATTCCTTGATTTTGCACTTCGTACTCGCGCTGTCAGCTGGTCCATCTGGTGATTGCAGCAATCAATATCAGCAACGTTGTTGAGGTGAGGCATCCCAAAGCTCAGCGTGTTTGTGAGTGAGTCTTCTCATACGACCCATACAGAGACGAGCCGCCTATGTCTTCGATCGGCGGCCCTGTACCCAAGCTGGGGTACCTCCGATATCAGGGCTATCCCTGCTCATCGAATATGAGTGGACCGTGGAGAAGTGCCGGGTGCCCACGCTCGCTAACGTCGATGCTCGCATTTCGACAAAATTGCAGCATTTCAGACACGATCGGCGACAAGCAAGGCAGTGCAATACACATGTTGGCCGCATACTCGAGTTATTGAAGCTCACCCCTTTGTATGATCATTCGCTATCACTCTTTTAGCGCTTCCTGCATCCCGTGTAAGAAGCGCATCGAAATTTGGCGAGGCGAGAGATTCGGACGCGCTGGCCAAGATAATAGCAGCAGTCTCGGTAGACCCAAGCGAGGTTCCCCATGACGTCGCGTCTTCGAGAAGTCTCTCAGTAAACAGATGAGAAAGCGAGGGTGTTTTCGTCTGCATGGCAGAAACGACGGCAGTTGAGTAATTGCCATGAATACGGAGAAGCTGTCAAGCCACAGTGATCAGCAACCCGGATAATTTTGAAAATGAGATCCCCTTCAGACATGGAAGTTTTAGGAGGTTTTTCTCCACAGATCGTCAACGTCAACGGCCAAGGTGACCGGGGTGCCTAGCCCAACCTTGCGCCACCCCTTGTTCACCTGAAATATTGGCGATCACTTCCCGACTTCTGGTCAGTCCATACCACGTCATTGGGTGTGTGAATGCTGGGTTCTGCCGTTAGGTGTGTTCCCCTGAAATTCGCTGCAGGACCGTTGGCCCGCGTTGTCAATGCCACGAGCACGAAGTCAAAGACCCTGCGCTTAGCAAACCGGCTCTTTGCGCCTCTTGACCGGATTGGAAAGCTAGACAGATCGTCAATAGTGTCTCACTGGGCTCGGTATGTTATTGGTGTCGCCTATAGACGTCGTCTGTCAAAAGTTGGCCACAAGGCAACAACGGCATTTCAGTGGACCCAGTGAGCTCCGATAGCCTGTGGCAGAGCCGGAGATGGTCGTGCATTTCGCGTCTCATGTCGTAGGCTTGGTGCACTCGTAGAAGATTCTGCCCCGAACTTCACTCCTGTCCAAGACCATGGAGTGGATTTGCAGATCGAGCACTATCGTTTCTCCCACAGCCGACCTCGCCTCGACTGCAGCAGGCCAATGGTATGGACCAGCTTACCGTACGTTCCGAGCAATGTATGTCAGTGGCTTGAGGACGAGTGTTGGTTTTTCTTGCTGCAGGCTCATGGAGTGAGCATCATCTCAATTTCTCGCACCGGGGAAATGCCTACCGTCTCGAAAACTTGAACATGCATCGATAGACGAGATCATCGCGACTGTTCCTGAGACGAGGCATGACGCTGATGATCTCATGGTAAGATTAGACCTTGACAAGCTGAGGGATGCAGCTTGCTGATCAGTACTCTCGGTTGATGATCCTGATCGTGAACGTGTGCTCCGTCGACGTCGTGCAATAAGACCTTGGACAGGAGGAGCATACCAGTTTTCTATAAGAAGGCCATGAGTACCTGGTCCTCAACAGACTCTTTTTCATCCATCAGCCTTCTCTCCAATAAAGCAACAGCTTCACCTCAGCCATAATCAACAAATAACACCTCGGCTTCTCCGAACCACTCAACAACATCAAGATGCAGTTCTTCACCACCATTGTCGCCCTCGCTGGCGCTGCTGCCGCCCTGCCTGCTGTCAGCGTGGCACCACTGAGCGCTCTTGAGCAACGCCAGCTGCCCATCTGCAGCGGTCTTACTGGCTCGGCACAGTGCTGTGCCACCGATGTGCTCGACCTCGCTGACCTTGACTGCGCTACCCGTAGGTCCTATTGCATTCAGGAACTCCAGCGCATGTGGCTAACATCTGTACAGCACCTGATGCCGTCACAACCACCGAGGAGTTCGTTGCCAGCTGCTCTGCGATCGGCCAGCAAGCTCGTTGCTGCGCAATCCCGATTGTACGTTTGCTCCTGCTCTTCCTATCCAATTGCGAGTACGTTCTAACAATTTTTCCGCAGCTCGGCCAGGCCTTGATCTGCAGCGATCCCGTTGGCTTCCCAGGCAAGCAGTAAATGTTTGCTTGGAGTCATGACGTGATGGGGCAATTGAACGAAATGTTGTAATATAAGGCTGCATAGTCCGGCCGAACAGCTTTGGTCGACCACGGGATACTGAAAGCTCGGAGCTGGATGTGTGGATGTGTAACCTTAGACGGGTGGGAATGGGAACAGCAAAACACTTGGCCTGCATTGGAGAACTTATTTCGAGAGTCTGCAGAACTTTGCCGACAGTAATAAATCCAATGCATCTGTCAGTCAATCTTTGTCGTTCAGTGGTGGATGTTCGTTTTTGCTGTGCACTTGCTGGAGGCTGTCAGAAAGCAGTCCTAGTGTTTCCCACAAGTTGAGCTACGCCAGCTTTGACACCATCAACGATATAAACTTTCTTTCCTGCTTGGTCGCCCAGCTCTTCCACACAGGCCTGTCTTACGGCTTCTTCCAAGCCTACCATACCCGCACAACCCAGACAAATAGCACCGACATTATGGTTGCCCTGCTTTAACAGCCGCTTGGTCGCTTGCTTCATCTTCTCTCTGACTTCCTCCGCTGGTAGATCGTGCAGTTCCGTGGCATTTAGGCCAGTCGTCTCTGTCCCGACATAGCGTTTGCCCTTCTCCTGACCCAGGAATCCTTTCACCGCGTCTGTCAAAGCTTTCTCCCACACTTTGCCCGTACTCACGATTCCGAATCCCTGGCTCTCGTCTATGAGTGACAGGCTTGCTAGAACGCTTGCTTCGAAAATGCCCGTGACGTACTTTCGTGCGCCCTCACCACCCGTACCTCCAGTCGCTGCTGCTGACAGAGCGGAACACTCGTGTTTCAACTGTGCTACCAGTGGATGATGAGAGTAGCATGCGATGAGGAACGCATCGTAGTGGGGGACTAGCGGCTGGAGGTGAGGGAAGCATTTGGCTGCAGACTCGGCCGCGTCGTCCGGCGAGTTTATTGATGGGATTCCCGGAGCAGGACAAGTAAAATATGCGTCGTGCACAGGAAGATGAAGAGACTTCACAGCAGGTTCGAGTGCGGCTGTCATGTTTGTAGTTGTGTTAGGATTTACGATAAGCAACCTGGGCCGCGGGGGCGAAGATGCAGCATCTGTCGCCATGCTCGCCGGTAATCTCAAGTTCGATGATCACGGAGACCCGAGAATTACTGTGTATGGAAGTTGTATGGGTCGGATGGCTGACACATTCTGGTCGCGAGCAGAACGTTTGACGTTGGAAAAGGTTACGCCAAGCTCAAAGTGATGGGGGCGGGACCGTCCGTCCAGAGGAAGAGGAAGGCACGGCACGTGAGGGCTTATTGAACATCGGATATCTGGCAAGAAAGTGTGTTTTCCCGCCTCAATTCGAGCACCTGTGCCGGCAGTACCACACGTCGATTGCATCTGCGCAGCATTTGGTCATTAGTAGCCATCATATTTGATCGCGTATGATGCCCTGCAGCATCTCGTGCCATTTGCGTCGCCGAGGCAGATTTACAGATGCGACGAATGTCTGGCTGATGGTCAAGTTGACATCCTCCTTCGGCGAGGCATCACAACTGCTGCGCCTCAAGCCACTGCGGCGCGCAACAGGTCTCTCCCGACATAGCATCTCCTGGCGAGCAAAAGAAACCTGTAGCAAGGACTTTTGGTGTTGGGCAGCAAGATATCCGTATGACGTCGCGAAGTGGAGGACTCACCTCCAATAGCCGTCGAGGGGCTTCATCATGAAGCACCGCCACCTGCCGGTGCTGCTCGTGACCAGGGACATGCCTCGCTGCCTGCTGGCTATCTTGCTACCACTAACCAGATTCCAGTAACTTATATGTCAACCCTTCGCCTCACATCCTTAGCAGCGTAAGCAGGCCCAAAGAACCAATTACCGCCCAAAGATCCCCGGCAGGCGAAGCCCCGTCCTTCAGAAATACCGCTTTCTTGGCCCCTTGGGCAGCCATCAAAAATGTCGAGCAGACATGATGATGATTACGACGACCGTCCTCGACGCTCTGCAAAGCCAGAAGTTCCCCTTCCGCCTCCCATAGACGACGTGGACTACGGTGACGCACCAAGCCGGAAACCCAGACGTGCTCATTATCCTGACGACGATATCATCGATCTCCGAGACAACGATCCGCCGAGAGGCGATAAGAAAGGACGAGACAGAGACGACCCAGGTCTGAAGCCGCCCAAGTCGTCTAAAGCCGAGCGTGGCAGTTCGGCAGGCAGTGATCGGCCACGACGTCGCCGTGATCCCTATTCCGACGCTGACGACGAAGACCTTGATCCCCGTCCGCGAGGCAAAGACAAGAATCGTGACCCAGGAAGAGATCGCGACAGAGATAGAGACCGAGACCGAGACCGAGGCAAAGATAGGATGCCTTCGTACTCGCCTCAACCTCGTGACCGGCGCAGGAGGGACGACCCATACGGTGATCCTCCACCACGCCGTTCTAATACAGGCTACGATGGGTACGATGACCGTCCGCGCCGGCGCAAGGACGACGACTATGATCGCGGCTACAAGTCAGATCGCGACCGAGGAGGTGGGCGCCGCGGATACGATGATAGATATGATGATCCTCGACGCCGTGACGATCGGCCCCGTCGCCGAGATGATGACTACGACCGAGGCTACAAATCTGACCGCGACCGGCGGTCCAAGTACGACGACCCACGTGATAGAAGACGATACGATGATGACAGAGACCGGGACAGAGATCGAGATCGGAGTCGCCGACGCGGTGGAGGCGACAGGGACCGCGACAGAGATCGTTATGCCAGAGACAAGTCGCGCGACCGAGATCGGGATCGGGATAGACGGGATAAGAAGGGAGGTGGTGGTTTGGATCTGAAGAACTTCGACGTGAACAATATTCAGGGCTACATGGAGAAGGGGCAGAAGTACTACAAGAGTGCGAAGCCATTCATCGATCAGCTTCAAGGCATGCTGGGCAAGAAATGATCTGGTCGGTAGCCATGAATCTTTGCCGTGGTATGTAGGACGGAGTAAGGAGCGATATGCAACAGGAAAGAGATCTCGAGAGCGCATGCATGTCACGTACGCTGGTTTCGCAGATACCTCAACATGGTACGAGCTGATTTCCTCTACTTTGGGCACCAGTCAGCAGTGACGAGCAGGTACAGTGGCTTGGGTCAAATGCTAAGCACGCAAGCCGTCATCGGAGGCATCAAAGATTTGATAGGAGTGTCCATACGACCAAGCAAATATATTCACCGGCCTATGCTTTGCACCAGCCCCGAAAGCCGTTTGACTGGATGTCTCGCCGCAGGTTCAATGCATATCTCAGAACGAGGGCACGGCGAATCCGCAAGCCTGACTCCCTCGGCCGTTCTAGCATAGGCAGATACTGCACGGTCGAGAATTGAGATGCGATCTACGTCAACCGGCGTGGAGTATGTCTGATCTACGCGCAAAGGTTCACGTCAACCGGTTTACAACTACCAGGCTGGGCCGCGAATCGACTGCAGCCGCGGCTCCTTCTTCACGCGTGTTGAAATCCGATCTTCGATATCCAAAAAGGTATATGGTATTGCGTTCCAGGTATAGCCTGTTATTAATGGCTATGGGTTTTCATCACATTCCGATCGTGCAGAACATTTTCCAAACATCGAATAAACTAGCGACAGACAGACATACAACCAATCAGGCATATTTAGCAATGCTTCGCTTCAATACCCAGCGTACTCTCCTCTATCCGCCCTTCAGAAGCTGTCACCATATCCGATGCCAGTCACAGACAAACTCCCTCTTACCGCGTCCCATGCTCTAAAATTCCGCTCTATCTGGCCCAAAGCTTACTGTGGCTGCTTGTCAGTCTGAATTCGAGCCAGCAAGGCCACCAGTCCACCAGCCGCGCCAACGCCGGCCAACAACCACCAAGGACGCCCAAGCCCGGCCGCCTCGTCATGCGAATCCCTATCAGCTGCCGGCCAGTGACCTGGCATCGCGACCCTTGGACCAGGTGTATTGTTAGAGCTTGATGTGATCGCATTTGGAACGGGACTTGCGGTCGTATCAGCAAGTGTGGTCTCTGGCTGTGGAAGTTGTCGAACTCTAGGCACGAAGTCGTTACGATTGCGATGTGACCAGGACTGAACGCTCGTGCGCGATGTTGATCCTTTACGAGCCGAAGCAAGGTTGCTAATCTGGCGCTCTCGAGGGTAAACTTCTGGCGATGGCGCTGGGATTGAGAACTGAACTTGACGTCTTCGAGGAGAGCCGTTCGGCGATGGCGGTGTTACTGGGGCAATTTCTGATCTTGGATCCGAGGCTATGGTCTGACGTTCATCAGCTGCCGCGGACGGATTCTGGACACCGTATCGTATGAAGATATTCTCGGTGGGTGGATTCGGGAAAGACGTCCTCAGTGCCGTTTGGTCTTCGTTATTCTGACCTAAGGCTGGACCGGCTGACTGGCTTGCTGCTCCTGGATTGCTGGATAACACAGAGGCGCCCCGAACCTTGTCAGACTGAGCAATCTCCCCGACGCGGTTGTTGAGTTCGAGGGCTTCTTCGGTGACCTCGTTAGCGCAAACGATAGAAGCGTCGTCCGTTACAGCAGACTCGCCAACTGGCCACTGTCTAAGCTCTCCCGTCATGGCATGCTGCTCGCCTACGAGCGACGACGTCGTGTTCGTGCTGATGGCTCCGGAATCCACAACAGTCCCGTTCGTTGTCGCACCGTGCTGGGAGTCAGACTGCTTCTGCTTGACTTTGGGCGTATACCGGGGCACGAACGAGCCCCTGCCGGGATAGGTGATGTCGTACTTGTCGCCAATGTTAGGGATACCACCGACTCGGCCAGCAACCATGGTACGTTGGAATGATACCGGCATCTTGCTAGGCGACTCGTCGTCCTCCTCAACTCTGACGACTGGATTCTCGGCTCGTGTTTGTTCTAATTGTGTCTCAATATGACGCCAGAGTCTTCTCTTGAAATTTCTGACCAGCTCTTGCTCAAGCCCTTCTCTCCGGACCTCGCCATTAGGAGTCTTGACCATCTTGGTTCGGTGATGATGCGTGCAGAGCAGCATCGCTGCAAGATCGACAAGTTCTGGCTGGTCGACAATTTCACCGGCCTCGAAGGCGCAGAGGCAACGAAGGATTTCGCTAGCTCTCACCACGCATTCCTTGCTGATAGGATTTCCACACCGTTGGCCGTCCATGGCTATTGCGGAACAGTGTAACGGCCATTCGATGTTGAGCTCCAGGACAGAAAGCACATTTGTCGAGCACTGTTGCAGCACTTGCTGCAGGAGATGTAGCTCGCCCTCAACCTCGTCGCGGGATGGAGCGGACATGCTGTGGATACTTGGCGCCGATGAGCTGCAAGAGAACGTATCTGGCGATGGATCGGGCGATCAATGATTGTTTTGAGCGTTCTGGCTACTTAGAGGTGCTATGATATTCAATTTTGTGGCTTCTGGTTGAGACTGCTGTGGATGTGGAAGTAGACGATCTTGAGAAAAGGTCTGACCTCCACCATGTGCATACTTGATCTTTATACAACCTTGGATGCTCAATGTTTACGCAGATCGTCCAGCTTGGGTACCGGAAATGTCTTGAGAGCATTGCCATGTCTCGGATCGCTTTCCATATCTGTGGATATGATTGGGACATGTACCTGCAGGCTTCCGAGAGGAGAAAAAGACCACATCTCCAGGAGCAGACACGAATTCTGCCAGCCCCCAAAAGAAAGATGCTAGACATCTCGACCGTGAGTGTGAAAAGCGTCTCAGATCCTCAAAGAAATTATCCGAAACAGCACAAACAACACACAACCGTGGCGGTCGAGACTCTCCCGGAGCAGAGAAGATGCTGGACATGTTGTCTACATTGCAAATTGCTCAGCAGAGTGTTTGCTGTCTTGGAGCGTGTGGTCATTGGTATTCTCGGAAGTCTTGGACTTTCAACGCAAGACGTTTGTTGGCGCTTGAATGTGGACTTCCTCGGCAAAACAACAACATGACCGTGAGGTGATGCGACGCCAGGCTGGGACGCATAGACTCGAGATGCTGACCAGGTGCGCCCACCAAAGGAATGGCAAGCAAGAGTGGATGTTCTGCGTTTGCCAAATCGAAAACAGCAGATCTTGACGTTCGAATGTGCCACTCGATGTAGCCGTTCGGTGCCTGGCGGATGGGCAGTGGTAAGAGATGTTCTAAGCGCTCATGGGGCCGGTGTTCATGTCGTCCATTGACACCAGCAGCTACATCAGCCGAAGAGGCATTCCGCCGACCTGTGGCATACACACGTCAAATTCACACATTCAACTGAATATAGATTTCAGAGAGCATATCGTAATGATAAGGCTATGCTATCGGATCCGACGCCACGCAGGTCCCTCCTCAGCCCACTTTCTCGTACGATTGCTGTAGCAGATAACAATCCTAAGAGCCCTATGAACGCCACGCGAACTCTCAAGGAATCATGAACGCCTCCTGAACCACCAACGCCTGGTAATGCACGCGCTCTCTGCGCCATGCTTGTTCGTTGAACCACGTATACTTGACTAAAAACCGCTCCGACCAGATCTCTTGATTCTCCATTCGTCCGACATCAGTCGTCCTCATCACTCCATCGCCATTGAGTCCGACAGAACGGACACATCACAGCAGCCCTCAACATGCTCGGCGTGGCTATCGACGGTCCGATTTCCTCTCGAGCACGCTCCTGACTGTCCAATAGCCAGTGCGTCATACATCCCTTGTGGAAATTCTGGCCGCATTGCGCACGACAGAAGACCACTGGGTCTTCCTCCTCCGGTGCTGAGAAGTCGTCGAGACAGATCGGGCATTCATGGAGAGGCCGTCGGTGTGGTACGTATGCTTGAGCAAGTGCGGGTTCTGGTGATGTGGAAGTCGCAGGTTCGGTGGAAGCTAGATCAGATGCGACGGTAGGTGAGGATGGGTTGGATTGGTGCTCCTCGCTAAGCTGTGCTTCCAGGCTGTCCTGCAATATCGCAGCAGCTGGCTGATCTAGTTGTGGTTGATTGACGGTAGCTTGAGCGTCTGTAGCATCGCCGTGTGGAATAATTGCGAGTGCCCCAAGAGCTTGACTGAGGACGTCGGCAACGCTGACGGAAGTCGACGTCGGTAATGCGGGTGTATTAACGGACGATTGGAGATTGTCGTGTAGTGGTGCATCGGACGCCGTGACGACTGTGCTGATCGCTGGGTGTGGCGTAACACTGCTGGTCTGTGGCGACGATGGTGCTTCAGCTGTTGCTGTTGTCTGGAAAGCGGTAGACAATGATGTAGACGTGGCAGTAGCTGGGGTAGTAGCTGCAAGATAATTGCGTAGCACATCTAGTGCTGCCAACACCGCCTGTGTGTCCACGTTGGTACTTCTTTCCTGGACCACAGGATCATGCCTTGTTGGCTGATTGGCAGGTGTAGGTGCAGCAGCGAGGTTGTGAGAAGAGTCGTTGGGAGACGTCTGTGTGGCTGAGACTGACAACGCTTGATTGTGGTTGCTTTCAACAAGAGGTTGCACGGCTGCCGGAGCTTGTACAGCTAGTGCAAGCGTTGCGTAGGTTGTGTGCGTTTGAGCTGTGTCAGACAGGGCATGCTGACGGCTTGTCACTATCTCATCGGGTTCTAGACCGGTACGATAGTCCCTGAGTATAATCTCCCACTTGTTGGCCAGACTCAGGACTTGTGAGTGACTAGGCTTTTGATGCCAGCGAGGGCAGAGGGTGAAGAAAGCTAGATCTTCAAGAGTAGATGAGGATACTTTTCGTCTTGGGTCCTCGTACGACAAATTATCGAGTATCTTGTTGGCCTGCTGGATATCTGAACCGCGGATAAACCGCTGACCACACGGCGTACCCCTCTTGGTGATTCCGTTGCATTCTCCAGGGAAGACTTTGAGAACTTCGGCTGGGTCCCACAGAGGCTGGCGGCGAGCTGCAGATGGCATCTTGGAGTATGGCTTCGTATCTTTAGATGAGATATAGAAAGGCAAGTAGTGTGTGCAAGAAGAGGAAAGGAAGAAGGTGTGCGTGACCGCAATAAAATGTACCTCCTAGGAGCTTGCTTGCGCCTCTTTGTTCATTGTCCGAGACGTCGCAGACCACCCAGTCTCACGTGTGGCTTTGCAAACCCCCTGCCAGGCCAGTAGCCTACCTGCCTGGCTGAGCAAACAGCTTCCCTGTAAGGTACTTTGGCAACAAGTGTTCCATTCGGCCTGAGCAGGTACTTGTCTCTGTCAGTCCTGCCTCCCGCTCCTCGATGGCAAGCCATGGCATGCTTTCACGAAGCTGTCGATGTCAGAAGTACCTGACCCGTGTGCTCATGACCATGACCAAGGTTTCTGGCGTTCCTCGACCGCCAGCTGATACGGCTCGCTGCATAGGCGTCCTTACCTTATCATTGCCAAGACAGATGCGGGCTCACTGAAACAATCTGCGGCCGCTCACGGACCATGGGACCTGAGAACAGAACGCTCACATGCACAACGGTGCAGCAACTCCCACTGTGTAAGTCCGGGGGTCGTGAAGAGACCACTCCCTCGACGCAGGCAAGCTAACCATACTAGAGCAGGTCTGTAAGAGGTCGGCGTCTAATGTTGCGGCACCAGCGACGCAGTCAATGGGTCAGTGGTCGTATAAGCGATGGCTGTGTCAGTAGCAACCAACAGAAGCATCCCCTTCGACGAAGCGAGCGACCTGGGACGAAATGTCCATGACGCAAATAGTAGGCGAAGAACTCCTGGGGGTTGTGGCTTTGCGGACGCCCCTCTTGCAGTCATAGCTCTGGGCATGGATTAATACCTGACAGCGACAGTGAGGTTGCATCGAAGATGTCGACCGGCCTGGGCCGAAGCTCATATCGTATTCTGCTACAGATGGTGTAACGATATATGTGACAGTTTGTGCTTAAAGACTGACCAAGGCCTCGATATGCTACGGCGTCCGTTTAGTGCGGGCTGCTGCACCCTGTCAACCGGTCTTTCGCTGCAGTCTAGAATCACCTCAAGTGCAGGATTCATCTTGCCGTCCGGTCTCGAGACGAGGAAATCTCTTCTCTTGTCCGTTCAATATTTTTTTGAGTCACGATAGCGCACAAAGTCCCGTGGACACATTGGCCGGCAGGACTCTCGTAGTAATACTGCTCTTCTGTCCATTACGAATACTCCCGTCGCCGTGCTCTCCAGTATGAATAGGTCTATACACGCCCTCAGTCTACACAGCATCTATCCACACCCTGCCTGCCCACTGCACGTTTACGGGTCTGCATGCCTCGCTCGGGGCCCAGCGCCATACAAACCGACTATAAGCTCCCACATGAACTCGAGGTTCGGGGCGCCCGGGCGACACGCCATCGACCATAACGCAGCGTTCCTTCCAACCTGTGCCCTCTACGGCCTGGTGAATCTGTCCAAGTGTGAAAGCATCGTGAGCCACGTACTTGTCCCAAACCCACGCGACTTCTGCATGCATATAGAATATACACCTGCAGCCGCAAGTGTCGCGTGGACAACGGCGTCTGAACAGTGGGTCGTCACAAGCTGCACACTAAGGCTCGCGATCGGCGGGCGCCGGAGATGGTGACGCGTTGTGTTTATGCGGGAAGAAGTGGTGGCCCTCTCCCTCCTTCTTGGCTTTGTGCTCATGACCAACGGCGGGCTTGTCTTTCTCTTTCTCCTTGTCCTTCTTCTTGTCTTGCTTTCGCATCGACTCGGCCATTAGTTGTTCAAAGGCCATGTAGTCGCCTTCTTCATCTGGGTCGCGCTCGGCCTGGACCCACTGTTAGCTGATGCGAACGAATAGGGAAGGGCAAGAAGAGCGTACCTTTTGGAAAATAGTACCACACAGCACCAACGCATGAGCACGCTCCACACGCTTCTCAAGCTTCACCGTCTTGTCGTTCAGTACCTTATCGCACACATCCCTCAACACGCCTTGGATCTCGAACTTGCTGCCCCGCCACGCCGCAGCGAGGATCTTGCCTGTGACTTTACGCTCATACTCGGCCTTCTTCTCATCCGTCCAGTCTGCACCGCCGGCTTCTTCGAGCTTAGCCATCTCCTCCATGGTAAGCTGCGCATCGATGGCGGTAGAGATGGTCGTCCATGTCTCCTTGGCAAGTGTGCCCTTGTCCTTTAAGCGCGAGAAGAAGCCTGAGATGCCCAAGAACTTCTGTGATTTGAGAAACGACGTAGCTTTTTGCAGGTAGGTGGTGCCGATGGCGTGTAGGATTTCCAGACCAAAGGACTCCATCTTCAGGTTCTCAACTTCGAGGCGGGTCTTTTCTTGGAAGGCATTGGTGACTTCTCGGCCCTTGTCGGTCTCAGTCCAGACAGAGATGCGGTCGATGAGTTTCTTGGAGAGTGAGTCGACGCGCTCTTCGCGCTTCTTGCGGCGCTCGGCTTCATACGCTTCGAGCTTCTCGCGCTGCTCTTTGGTGAGTCCGCCTTTCTTTTTCTTCTTTTGCAGCTCTTTCTCTTCTTCGGTCAAGCCCGCGGCTTCCATGCGGGCGTCTTCTTCCGACTTGTCCATGATGGCCTGCTGGCCCCAATTTCTTCGTGGCGTGGATGTGCCGGATGCGTGGGGGTCAGAGGTCTGTGATGATGGGATGTCGGCTGCTGTACCTGATGATACGTATGGTGGTGGTGGAGCAGCAGCGGCCGGCTGTGCATATGCTGCGGCCTCTGCCTCTTTCGCTTTGGCCGATGTCGAGGCATCAGTGGAGTTCTTTGCGTCGTCGTGGACATTCAGCTTCTCTTCTGCCTGCTTCGCTAGGTCCTCCTCCTGCGCCTCTTCCATGTGCACTTCCATCGTATGTGTCAGGTCTTTCATAAGCGTGAGCTCGCCGATGTAGTCAACGAATACATCACCACCAAAGATCATCGAGAAGAACTCCGAGGGATCCTCGAATCCGGCGTTGGGCATGGCCTTCTCTTTGCCGTACTTGTCGTACTGTGCTCGCAGGTCTTTGCTGGATAGTATTTGGTATGCTTCACCGATAGCTTGGAATTTGACATGTGCTTGCTCATCACCGGGATTCTTGTCGGGATGGGTTGTGATTGCGAGTTTGCGGTATGCTTTCTTGATCTCCAGCTCCGAAGCGTCTGGCTTGACGCCGAGCGCATCGTAGTACGATGTGTCGACCACCATGGTTGCGGATGTGTTGTAAGCAGTCACAAAGGGATGTCGCTATCTCAACTACTGACGCGGAGTGAATGCTGTGCCCAGCAGGGTAGGAAGACTCGAGTGAATGCCTTAGGTTACGTGTGAAAGCGATGGCAATGCTTAAGTTGTTTCAGCTATGACTCTGTGAGCGATATGCTGTATAGCGTGGAAAGGATACCACTCTGGGCTTCGATACAAAATTGTGAAGATTAGGCACTGACATGAGATGCCACGAGGATGCGGCTTGCACAGGCGGTGACTTCATCCTTGGCAGCAACGTAACTTCCTCACTGACGCCGGTTGACCAAAAACTTGGCAACTTTCGACCTTCAATTTGTTCAAGCTAGCGGGAGTCTGTCACCCCCGATCCCCCGGGCCACTCGTGCCACCCGGAATCAGTGCACCGTTCACAACGGGGCTAGCCTGCTGCATGCTACGAGAGCGAGCAAGTCCAGCGGCCGCGTTTTTTTGATGTCAAGCGCGCCTGTACATAGGGTCAGCATACATAGTCCCAGATCCTCAATTTTCTCATAGCGACCACCTAGCGAAGTTCGAGCCTCTGGCAGATACTCTCCGGCGCCGCAAACATGCCAAAAGCAAGCAGCATATTGTACTATGCCCTGCATATCAACGAATTACGGTCTATGATACAATGGTAGGACTTTGCCCAAGATCAGACAGTACTCAAGGCTGACCCAGTACCAGGAAAGTCTGGCATACACCTGTGCATGAGAGAGACGAAGAGAAAGAGTCCGCCAACCTGAAAAGATGCTTCCACTACCTCGACCTCACAAGTCGGAGCTTCTCAGCCGTGATCAAAGAACTACACCCAGACCTGCTGGTACCAATATGTCTGTTCTACCTGGTGCTACGAGGCTTAGACACAGTCGAGGACGATGTGTCAATCGACATCAAGGAGAAGGAGCCTCTATTACGCAACTTCAAAGATAAATTGGAAATCGACGGCTGGAACTACAGCGGCAACAGACCAGAAGAGAAAGACCGCGACCTGCTCGTCAACTTCCAAGTCGTGATCGAAGAGTACAAAAAGCAGAAACCCGACTACCAAGAAGTAATCAAGGACATTTGCAACAAAATGGGCAACGGCATGGCCGACTACTGCCTAAACGCCGAATTCAACAAAGAAGGCGTAAAATCCACCGCCGACTACGACCTTTACTGTCACTACGTTGCCGGCCTCGTCGGCGAAGGCCTGACCCGCATGTTCGTCACTAGTGGCTATGGCAACCCGCGCCTGATGGACCGCCCCAACCTACACAACAGCATGGGCCTCTTCCTCCAGAAAACAAACATCATTCGTGACGTCCGAGAAGACCACGACGACGACCGCCACTTCTGGCCCAAAGAGATCTGGAGTAAGCATGTCGACGACTTCGCCGATCTCTTCAAGCCTGAACACAAACAAGCCGCCCTTGCCTGCCAGTCCGAGATGGTGCTGAATGCACTCAACCATGCCGACGAATGCCTCTTCTACCTCGCCGGGCTGCGCGAGCAATCCGTCTTCAACTTCTGTGCTATTCCCCAATCCATGGCCATCGCCACCTTGGATCTGTGTTTCCAGAATTACGCCATGATGGAGCGCAACATCAAGATCAGCAAAGGTCAAGCCTGCCAGATTATGATCGAGTCCACACAGAATCTGCAACTTGTGTGTGAGGTGTTCCGGAAACACGTACGCTCGATCCGGAAGAAGAACAACCCACGGGATCCGAACTTTCTCAAAATCAGTATTGCGTGCGGAAAGGTTGAGCAGTTCATTGAGTCAATATTTCCTAAACAGACGCCTGAAAGCCTGGCGGCGGCGAAGGCGGAGGGCGACAAGGCCGTTGGGTTGGGCGAGTCGAACCAGATGAGCACCAAGGAGACATTTTTCTTGGTCCTTGCCATATTTGGTGTTTTGTTCTTCGTGTCTGCGATGATGGTACGTCCCTCCTCGTTCCATATTGCCACTGACAGATTACTAAAGTCGGACAGATATTCATGGCATGGCTCGCAGGCGCACGCTTCGACATGGTCTTCGACGGGCTCCGGGAAGGCTGGGCGGAGCTCAGTGTCAAGCTTGGCATTAATCCTCCTCCTCCAGCCCACGTGCGGGCTGCAAAGGCGATCACATCTTCAATCGCATCCGCAACGGCGTCGATAAAGAAGGAGCTGTAGGCTTGGCGGTCCCTACCCACCTTACAGAGCGATCTCGGTTTGATGTACAATAAAGAAGCAAACATAATCAGCATTCTGGCATACAGCATTTGTACCTGACCTTCCTAACCAATTTCTGATCCTTTTTGGACCAAGCTTGTCTAGAACCTGCCGCACGGATGTCAAATTACAACTCAGTTTCACTGTTCGATGGCTGTTGTTGTGCCGAAGATGTGCGCATATTGAAATCACATCTGGCTTGATTCTCGGGTTTACCGATCGATGATCATTGACGGCGTCGTAGCAGGCTTCTTGTTTTCTATGATGGGCGCTGTTTATGATCCGGCCAGACATACCTCACCTACGAGATGCTTCGATTGTCACAGGTGCTTTCGCATTCAGTGAGTTCACGTAGCGTTGGGTTAGTGGGAAAGGAGGGAGATGTTGAATTGTGTTTTATTGCTGGGGAGGCCTCTGTAGTTGCCAGCATTATGGCGTACACACCGAGCCATGCTGGAAGCCACGTCTATGAAACAGCGAACTGATCTGGACGCTCGTCCAGTTAGCCATGCTCGAGACTGTCAGTCCTCGCACCCGACCTCGTTCACTTCGGTCGTGCCATGTAGCTTCAAATCAGCAATGCATACTTAGGTAGACATTTGGGAGCAATATCCACCAAGTCCTCTCTCGCGCACTTCCTGTCCAGGTGACTCATGTACGCCTCGTCCAGGTAGCCATTCTGAGCTCTGTCAGTCATCATTCTCGACTTTCATCACTGCGGCCCTGGATGGTAGTGTGTAATCCAAAACCGCATGGGGGTCTGGAAATCAGAATTCACAAAGTCCTCCTCAAAGACCTCCCTGTCCATGTAGCCCGAGTCAGGCCTTCTCGTTCTTCACCCGCTCGAGCTCGCTCTCCATGCCACCCGATCCGCCCAGAACGTGCAACTCGATGAACATGTCCTACGATGCTGGCGTTAGTCTCTGTTCGGTCTCAAAGGCGAAGTGGAAGGCGCAACTTACGAACTCAACTATTCCAACACCCTCATGCTCGTATAGAATCCCTTTCATACTAGGCTCGTTGCCATTGTCTTCGCCTGACAGCTCGCCGAGGATAGTCTCGGCATGCTTGATGCGTACCGTCTTGAAACGCTGAAGATAGTCTCCTACAATATCGCGGTTCTGTTCCCAAGTGGCCTCCAGGTGTGATGCGAGCTCCTCAGGACGTGACAACGGAAAGTCCTGTATGACACAGACGAGACCTGCTTTGGACAATGGACCTAGTACTGCGCTTTCGGGCGTTCGTCTGGGCAGCACAAAAGCCTTGCAATTATCGCCGATGTGATCGACATCGAAGATTCGCATCATATACTTGGTTCTGATGGTGCGAAGCTGTGGTAGGCCTTGAAACAACAAGTGGTGCTCGTCTGGGGCGTAGAAGTGGGTGCAAGGGTACTGATGTAGCTCAACGTGCCGGACGTTGTGTCGGACTTGAGTCATGGTGAGTGTATCTGAGAGCCGAAGGTAATCCTGGGGTGCCTTCCCTGCGGTAGTTTCGACGGTGTCTTCGCAGTACTGGATAAGTCGGTTGTATCTGGGAGCAACTCCGACAACGGCTTCGTACAACCAGGAAAGCTGAGGGACACCCCACTGCACTGTGACGAGGGTGATGAGTTCTGGCCAAAGCGGTTTGGAGTCTTCCTGAGAACGCTTGGGTGGTTTGATGATGTCTCGAAAACGCTTGTTGACGAAGGGAACAGCGACTATGCCTCTGCGGCCAGCCTCGGACGCTGGGTGTGAGGAATCGCCAAGCAAGACGGCGATAGTGCTCGAGGTGGCCAGTGTCTCAAAGATCTGGCGGAGAATCTCCACTGGCATGGCAGAGATATAGTCCTGCTCTTGAGGGAGGATGTTCGAGGCCGATGCCATTGCACCTGCGTCCACGGTCGTCGATTCCATCTTGGTACGATGGAGTCAACGTTGGTGAGCCTGAGTGGTAGAGACGAAGGAAAGAAGTGGGAACTCATGGTCACTATATAGACAGCAGATTGCGGGCCACAGTCACTAAAGCTGACTTCACTGGTCGCGAACGGACGGTGAATTGGGCAACGCGAGATGGGAGTTGCTCGGAAGACTGAAGTGAGAGAAGACTCAGCTTGAAGAAATATGGATGTTTTGCCTGTCTGCCTGGATCCAGTCCCCTTTCCATGAAGTCAATTTGTATCGAGCGCACGAGTCTTGGGTTGACGGTTCCCTTATTGACGAGCCACCGCAGCGGTAGAGAGCTGCTCGTGCTCTTCTTGAGACTCTTTCCCCCAGTAGTCCCTAGACGCCTTTCCGAGATCGTCGAAACTGGGGTACACCCGCAGAGTCATCCTCAGAGTCCTCTTCAGAACCCTCTCAAGAGTATTTCCCACTGTAATAATCATAGTCATCTTCTGGGTCATCCTCGTTACCCATTTCCCTCATCTCCTCCGGGGTATAGAAGTCAATCGACACGTCCTAAATTCTGTCAGTGCTTTCCGGTCGCAAACGGGCGGCAAGCAACTTACAAACGTCATCAATGCCCATCGTTCGCGACAATGTGGACACTCTTCTTCTACCTGCTCCTCGACAGAGCACTCCGGATGAACGTGAGTCAACTGCCAATGGGTAGTCTTCAAAAGCGTAACCCGGATTGTCTTAGCTCTCTTGCGGAACCTCAGCACCGGGCTATTGTTGTGATCCCAATATTGTTCCAACCACGCCCCGAGTTCCGCTGGACTTCCGAATTCCAGGTCGCCAGTAGGGTGCCTTGAGCCGCGGGGTTTGGGTTTACCATCGACGACCTGAGCCGTGAATGTGCCGGCTTCGAGATTAATGTCTTCGATGTCCTCAGTGCGCTGGATCTTGAGTGTGAGGAGGCGAGGGAGCATTCTGAAGGAAAAGAAGCGTCCCTCAGGATTTGTCCACGGGCCATCGCTACGGCGATAAACAAGTTCGATATGACGCACAGTCTCTCGGACTTGTTGAATGGTCAGCGCGCCTGACAGTCGGAGGTAGTCGTGGGCGTCGATAGACACATTATCGTGGAAGGCTTCGGACAAGTAGTGAAGCTCGTCGTGGTCTATCTGTATGGTGGCGAGCGTGATGACATTTGCCCATTCCGATTTGATGATTTTCTGTAGGCGCTCGTTGACGAATGGAAGAGCTACTAAGCCTCTGCGTCCACTGGGTGAAGCCGGGCCCTGCTCAGAGGAAAGAACGAGACTGATTGTGCTTGAAGTGGCCAGGTCCTCGATGATCTGGAGGAGAGTCTCGTTTGGTAGGCTGAGGAGGACTCTGTCAGGGATCTTGTTGCGCTGCTGCGGCTCGGTGTCCGGGACACTGGCCATCACACTGCCATCCATGCTCAAGTCTCCCGTTCGAACGAGATGGCGGGTACACGGCTGGTGGGTTGAAATATGGCAGTTCGAACAATAACAACATTAACAAGGGGACTCCACTCACAGTATATCATATACCTATCTTGTGCCCCAGAACATTGCGCAGGCAACAGCCAGCCACTGTGACGTCAGGTATCTCTCATGAGTAGGGCAGCCGAGTGGTTGTGAGAGAGTGGACGATAGTGAAGGGAAATTACTCACTTGAAGAAGAGGCAAAGTTTGTCTGCCTGTTTGCCTGAACCCAGCTGCCTTCCAAGGTTACCAAGTTGCAAGCACAAAAAGCTTTCGCGGTAGACTTGACACAAACATCGGTGACTTGAGACCAGGTTGGGACAAGTTGAGACAGGTAGAGAGTTGGGCCCTTCTCAGAGTCATATACGTGAGCTTGTAGGACTCTATTGTCCTTGATATCACACGCCTTTCTGCCTCTCGCGCTTGGCTCTCCCTCGTGATGGGTGAGTCTGGATTAGTTCTGAGGCTTTGCTTGCTTGAGTTTCCGATAGGTGTCACAGATGCATCAGTCCATCGTGAGACACTCGTCAGATGTCTCTTAAGTTGAAGAAAAAGGGAATCTGTCCTTTCACAAAGTCATCCCTGTCAGCGATGTCGTTTCGCGTGCTGATGTACCTCTCACCTCTCAGTGTGTTTCGTTTGAAGCGCAGGGTGCTCCTGCCGCGCGAACATTGCTCCACTGCGAGCCAGAAGGACCAAGCGGAGTAAGAGCACCCAAGCGCTTGCTCCTTGAGATAAGTTATTCGATTGCTAGTAGTCTGCACTTTTCGTTCTGCTGTTCCGGTGGCGTCTCGAATCAGCATGTCCAGGCACGAAGACACAACACAGGAGTTGGTCCCTCATGCGATACTCTAACCTCTAGGGCCCAACTTCTCCAGCGCTCTTGCACCCTGCTCCGCCCACTCCTGCCTCGAAATCCACATATTCTCCTTGTCCGCCATAATGTTCGCCAAGACTGCGCCACCCAAAAACACCATATGCCGCCGCCGTGGAGGATCTTCGATCCTGACCTTGAACTTGTTTAATCTCTCAGGATTTCCATTCAATACTCGTGTCAGCCACAGCTGCTTAATCTCCTTTTCCAGTCTTGACGGAAGACCTGGATACATGCTGCTGCCACCAGAGAGCACAATAGCCTTGTAAAGTGATGATCGGATGTCGACATCAGCGGCCTGAATCGTGTTGAATAGGAACTCAGCCATGCCGGGCTGCTCAACATCTACGAGATGTGGTTGGAAAAGACATTCGGGAGCTTCGAACCGCTCACTGCCAAGCTTGATGACGCGGCCGTCTGGCAGAGTATATGATTCAACCAGCACCGTTGTATCTTCGGATAGTCGTTGATCGAGGGCGAGGTCGTAGGAGACGTAGCAGAGCTCTTCCTTGATCTGCCGTACGGTCTCGAAGTCAGCCGTTCGGTTCAGGGCGTAGCCACGGCGTAACAGTAAGGCTATCAGATTTCGAGTGACGTCGCGGCCAGCCACGTCCAGGCGGCGAGTGAGGTGGGAAAGGACGGTCGATTCGTAGACAGGCACAATATGTGTCACACCGTCGCCTGAGTCGACCACGACGCCGGAGGATAGACCTTGTGCGTACAGTGACAGGACTGCCTGAATAGCCACGTATACACCGCCGAAGCCGTAGTTCTCGAACATGACTTCGCACATTCTCTCGCGGTTCTTCAGAGGGTTCATGGGGGGCTCGGTGAGTAGGATCTTTCGGCCTTCGGGATTTATGTGTAACCGCTCGTTGAATGTGAAATCCCAGAGATGTTGCATGTCCTCCCAATTCTTGACAATGCCGTTCTCCATCTATCGGTGCGATGCCGGTCAGTAGGTTGGCTATGGAATCGGAGGCGTCGGACGTACAGGATAGCTGATCTGGAGCATTGATCTCGCTGCTGCAGCCTCGTCGCCGCACATTATGTCCTTTACTATGATGTCGCCCGCTTGCTCTTCCGTTCGTAGGATTGGTCGCCCAACGATGGAGGGGAACTGGACTTCTGGGAAGTTCTGTGGCAGCGTTTAGTCCTCGTCCGCCAATACGGACCGAGAGCATCTCACCTGTCCGGCATAACCGACTTTGAGGAAGCCGGTACCTCCATCGAGCACTGTGCGCCGTCAGTAAGCCTGGTCACTGCCAGTATATTGTGCGCCTACCGATCGGTGGTTCAGCCATCTTGGAGGGCGAGAGGCTATCCTTAGTGAACTGGCATGCCACACCAATGGCGATTAACCAGAGATACTCGATACTCGTAGGTGATCAGTCGGTTGGGAGGAAAAACTACTGGCAATTCAAGATGCTCTCGCGAATGCCTGTTCACAGCCCACCACCACGCACGATGTCTGCGGAGACCTTAATCGGCCACCGTACTGGTCTTGCGCTCATGGCCTGTTAGATCTCCCCTAGCTTCGCCGGCGAGCTCGTCTCTTGCAGAACGGTCACGGTGTGGGTACTTGTCTTATACGTGACACCAAGGTTGGAAAATTAAATCCAACATAGATTATTAGCGTTAAGACTGCGCACTACTTGGGTTTGCGACTGAATACCATGCTCAACGGGCAGGCTAATTGCAACGACTTTCCATGCGCTCGGTGTGGTTGCGACCCTGCAGGATCTCGGTGCCTTCCTGCAAGGTTGCCACATGGGCCTGCATCTACGCCTGGGCATGGTGAATACAAAATATGCATCAAAATTTCCATTTCCAGCGCGACGCTCTAGCCCAGGTCACGACCACGTCGCTCACACCTACAGACACACGTTCATCACAGTGAGCTGGTATGTATCGTACGTGCCAAATCTCGCGAGCACGCCACCTGCTCATCCCGAGAACAGCTTCGTCATCGTGCATGCTTGCATTACGAGGACAGATTCGCACAATTGGTGTCCCTCTCTCCGCTGGCGTCAGAAGCCGGCAGATGTGCATTCTATAGCATTCTCGCGTCTGGCAGGGACATGCCTGTAGGCTGGACGAATCTCGTGGCTTTTACTGACCATGCAGGTCAACTTGATGCCTATTGCTTTGAGATCCTGTAGTCAATGACGGCTCTCGGTGACGTGGTCCTCTCCAGTTACAATTGTGTTCAAGCAGAGAACCATGTCTGTCTCAAAACCGCCAATGTAATCAACCAAGGTCGAAGCTATCTGGTTGCAAACGTACCTTCCCTGCAGTCGATCGGGCCACCAAGCCTATTGCTCCAGACTGTGTTGCCTGGAAGAGTTTTTCAATTGGCAGGAAAGAGCACCAAGCGTCGACTGCCGCAACGCAAAGAGCCGCTGCCCGAAAGCATGCTGTGGCGCCGATTGTTGCGAAAAGACATGTCCACATGACCCGTCCTGTTAGCAGAGCGGCGATTCAGGTCTGGCTCTTCTTCATTCGCTGAGATGGTGCTCTGAGCCGATGGTGAGAGCGGTGAGCGAAAGAGACCTTCACAAACGGTGACGTTGCTCCACTACCGGAGCCACTCGCTCTTCATCGCCTGCAACATCGTCTAGAATACCAGCCTCTGCTAAAGGCGGGATCTGGGACCTTCTTCTCGATCGCCCTTTCCTCAGTCACTATCGACGATTTATAAGTCAGCGACTACCCATGCATCCATGACTGCTGCAATTTCTCGCATTTGTGCCTGCCATATCCTCGGCCTCATGAATACAGACTGTTCCGGCGTCCCAGCTTGCGTTTCACTTTTTTGCCGACATCCCACTTTCTGTTCCTGAGTACATGAATTCACGATTGCGACGATAATGAGCATGATATAAAACCACGAGCACGAGAAATTTAAAGACCCGCTCCGAGCCGCTGTTCTTGCATTACGCAGCATTCGGGTGCATTAGAGCAACCTGATCTCAGCAAATCATCTCCTCACCCACCCACGCCCGCCTACGCTGCAGGTCACCCTTTTACACACAAACCGGGCGCCTTCAACTTAACACCTCGTCTTGCCTAGCTGTTCTTCTGGAGCACATGCTACATTGCCCCTGGTCGCACACGGCATACGACCACCCATAGCGAACCAGGAAGCATCGCGGCCCAACCATAGCGGTTTGCTGCCGTCCGCGCGTTCCACCTAGCTGCAGCACATAAAAGGGCCTTATTCCAACCGCCCATCATGGATATGGCAGTGCCGGCCGTCTTCCACGGCGTGAACATGGGAGCCCAGCATTTCGACAAGGTTTATGATCCGCTCAAGAAGAAATATTACCAGCGAAAGGGCTACTATCAGGAGGATCCAGACATCAAGGACTACCGCACCCCAGAAGAGAAGGGCTACGTGCTTCGTCGACGGCGGGATGTCGGATCAGATGAAGAGATCGTTGAGACTGTCCGTCATCGAGGCGAAATCCTGGCGAAGGCACCTGGACGTCCCAAGCAAGTTGCGCGTCGAGCCAGCAGCTACGATGATCTGAGAGATGCCGGCAAGAAGGCCGCAGCTGGAGGCGCAGCGGCTGGCGCAATGGTTCCTTACCGGAAGAAGGACTCCCGCAACGGCTACGGCAGCGACAGCGAAGGCTCGGTTCCACCGCGCTCACGAGTTCGACCCAAGTCCACAAGCGGTCGCAGCCATGCCAGCCGCCGACGCAAGAACTCAAGCTCCTCCTCGTCCTCCGACAGCAGCAGCCTATGCTCTAGCACCGAAGACGAGAAGAACGTCAAGAAGATGCAGCGCAAGAAATGGATCACCGGCACATTTGCTACCGTAGCCACCATTCACGCCGCCACAAAAGTCTACAGCAGCATCGAAGCACACGACAAGCGCATCGCAGATGTTGCTACCGGCAAGATGAGTCCCGAAGAAGCACATAAGAAGCAGAAGACTGCCCGCTGGCAGGACGCGGCGGCCATCGGTATCGCAGCCCTCGGAATTCGTGGCGCCATCTCGGAGTGGCACGAAGTGAACGAGGAGCACCATCAGCACAAGGAGATGATGGAGAAGAAGGAGCTGCACCACAAAAAGCGTCTCGAGCAGGAGCGACGACGGCGAGCCCGCGAGCGAGGTGGATACTACAAGGGCAGAGACGGGCAATGTACTACGATGGCCGATGCCCCAGAGCAGTGACAGTAGGCGGGGGAGGTACGATGATAGCCGCGCGATCGAGGACAGTGGGCGGCAGAGGCGGATGATTGAGTATGAGGATAATGGGACCAATGGCGATAACGACAGCTATGATTACGACGCGTACAAGAAGGACTACTATGGTGGTAGAGACAAGAGTCGTGGGCGAAGGGACAAGAGTCGGAGTCGGGCGGGAAGGAGTAGAAGCCGCAGCCGGTGAGGGAGGGCACTGGAAGGTCTCTGGGAAATCTCACCGTGCTAACGCCGCAAGACTGCAAGTCATGCAGCAGATGAAGGACTGGATCTGGCGGAACAGGAGAGCATCGCGGTGCCAGAAGACGAGATCACGAACGAAGTTACGACTTACGAAAGAAGCAGGCATTGAGCGATCAAGCAAGCATATAAAACACTTTGGCATAGCGAATACACTTATCTGACGAAGCCACACCAGATCCTCACGTGGCTTTGCGATCCTGTGATTGACTAGCAGTGGGGAAGACTTCTGAGGCAGGAGCAACCACGTTTATGTCCAGAAGCGGCAATTATTTGATGGGAAGGAGCAGTACGACAGACTCTGGGGTATTTTTCTCTTCGTTTTCAATGGACTCACATATAGCACTTACTTTTACAGACTGCTTGCCCTACAATTGTGCTATCTGGATGCTTTATGTGACGACGAGCCACCCTCATGACCAGTTCTCATTGCAATTGTCTGCTGTTCACGCGAAATTGACACTGCCGCCGAGTTTGCTTTACACGGCACAAGTCAGATATTCAGAACAAGCTGATGATTGCCATGGAACGCCATTCAGCTCAACCTGGTCCTTACACTAGTAGCTGTGTCCAGATGTAAATCGCTTCCTGGTGATCTGTGAGTGCCTGCCATGGCACATTGGGACTCGGCCCTGCGAGACTCTTCCGGCACCGACGTCCTCTGCAGACCGGTGTGTCGATGATAGAAAGCGGCAGGCATAGCGGCGCTCCTGTGCTAGCCGCTTGGCCATGGGGTGATCGAGACACTTTTGGACGGCCGGAGCTGACTGATTGAGGGCAAGTGTGCCTCACACTTGGAAGCAGTACATCACGCCGCGCAAGTTACTGTACGAAGTAACATTCACTGGTCCTGGCCTGTCCGCCTTACCTGCCCCTCAGAACCCCTCACGGCGGAAAGAGGCCGCCGCAATCCGAGAGTCAGGCTCAGCTCAGCCCCAGCTCCAGGCGCTAGCCTCAGGAACAATATATATTATTGTTGCCGAATTCTGCTTCCAATTCAGCGCATTTCGAACACGAATTGCTTCCTCCAGTCTCTCGTAGACTGCACGGACCGCTGGCGCAACGGTAGCGCGTTCGACTCCAGTTTGCTCTGGACGGCTTCTGGGATCATCTCAGTGCCGGACAGCTTGGAAACATCGAAAGGTTATCCGTTCAAATCGTATGTATATGACTAAGGCACGATCGTGGCACAGTTCTGACCAGATTCGCAGGGGTGTGGTTCAATATCAATCGTTTTTTGGTGTTTTCGGTGACCACTGGGCAGGAATCCGAAAAGGGAAAGGGTCGTTGTTCGCAAGGCTGTGGTTCAGCCCGGCCGACATTGGAGCCTTTCCGAGCATAGACCCATTTAAACAATGTGAACTTCACGACCACTCATTTACAAACACTACATCTCCCTCCTTCATCCCCTCCTGCACAGTGCCTTCGCCCTGTCGTCTATCTGCTATCCAGGGCAGCACTTTGCCTTCATCACGAGCGCTCCTTTGCAGCTGCCATGGCGTCCATCCTTACCCAAACTTTTGACGACGACGAAGACTCCGAGACCGAGTTCAATCCCGGCGCAGAACAAGGCTCCGACGATGAGCAAGACACAAAACCTGCCACGACCAATGGTCGGTCTTCTGCCTCACCTGCTCGACGCCGGTCACCAAAAGCAGAAGACTCCGACGATGAAAAGCTAGCAGATGACAATGGCGAGGACGATGAAGGAGAAGGCGAGGATCTCGACGGAGATGATGACGACGAGGAAGAAGAAGACGAAGAAGATGAAGGCATAAGATCCCGACCTCGAAAGCGCAGACGCGGTGGCCTGGGAGCCTTCTTCGAAGAAGAAGCCGAAGTCGACGAAGATGACGACGACGTCGAGGGCGACGAAGAAGGCCTCGGACCAGAATTCATCGAAGAGACCCACCCGGACGATGACCTTCCTGTCGAAGCTGACCAGGATGATCGAAGACATCGAGAACTCGACCGCAAACGACAACTAGAAGCCTCGATGGATGCCGAGAAGCAAGCTGCTGAATTCAGAGAACGCTATGGCCGGCGCACTGCAACCTCTATGGGAGCCAAGAACTACATGCCCCAGAACCTGCTCATGCCTGATGTCTCGGACCCAAGCATCTTCGCCGTGAAGTGCAGAGAAGGGAAGGAGAAGGAGATCGTCCAGAGCATCAACCGCAAGTTCTTCCAGCGACAGACTGGACGCGATCCGATGAAGATCTTTTCCGCCTTCGAGAGAGGCGAGGGTGCTATGAAGGGCTACATCTTCGTCGAGGCTCGAAACAAAGCTGATGTCGAGAACGGTCTGAACGGCGTGCACGATGTCTACCCGCACAGCAAGATGAACCTGGTCCCGATGAAAGAGATGCCAGATCTGCTGCGAGTCATGAAGTCGAAAGAGCTGGAGCCTGGCGCCTACGTTCGCATCCGAAAGGGTCTCTACACTGGCGATCTGGCGGTGGTGGAGGACGCCGTGCCTAATGGTCTCGACGTCCTCGTCAAACTCGTGCCAAGATTGACATACGGTCTCGACGAAGACCAAAATCACAGCGCCACGCCTGATGCCAAGCGGAAACGACCTGGCTTCGGAAATCCTGCTCAGAACCTCGCCAACCGCCCGCCCGCTCGTCTATTCAACGAATCACAGGCGAAGCAGAGACATGCTCGCTTCCTTCAGCAATTTGGTGGTCTAACCAGAAAGGAATTCCAGTACAGAGGAGACAAGTACGAAGACGGCTTTCTCATCAAGAACTTCAAGATCAACCAACTTACCACCGAGAATGTACAGCCGAAGCTCGAGGAAACGCAACTCTTCACGAGCACAGGCCAGGACGGTGCTGAGACACTGGACTTGGAAACGCTCAAACGCAGTCTGCATGACAAGTCGACGGCTGAGAGCAGCTACCAGGTCGGTGATGAGGTCGAGGTGTTCTCAGGAGAGCAGAAGGGCGCGATCGGCCGGACAGAGCGTGTCACTGGCAATATCGTGTCGATACGCGTTTCAGAAGGCGAGCTCAAGGACCAGCTGGTCGAGGTACCTGTTAGAAGTCTGCGAAAGATCTTCAATGAAGGAGACAACGTCGTCGTTGGCGGAGCCAGCAAGTATCGCGATCAAGTCGGCACGGTTGTCGCTATTGAGAATGACAAAGTCACAATATTGTCTCACGACAACCAGATGGAGTTCACTGTCTTTAGCAAAGACTTACGGATAGCATCAGGTGCAGGCGCGAGCACTGAGAGGAGCCCATTCGAGGTTCGAGATCTCGTCCATCTTACAGCCACCACATTCGGCTGCGTCGTATCAGCTGACCCGCAAACGGTCAAAGTCATGGACCAGAATGGCTCGATCGAGACTCGCCTTCCATCAGCACTATCCAAGGTCATGCAGTCACGCAATGTGGTTGCAGTCGACAAGAACGGCTCCGAAATTCGTCCTGGTGATATGGTCAAGGAGGTCGGCGGAGAAGGCAAGTCCGGCAGCATTCTTCACATCTACCGAAACTTCATATATGCACACGACAGAACACGTATGATCGAGAATGCAGGCATTTGGGTTGCACGGAGCAGCAATGTCATTGGAAGAAGCTCTCGCAACGGTGCAGGTCTCACCGACCTGTCGAAGATGAATCCGGCCCTTGCAGGGAAGGCTCCTAATGGCGCGCCCATGGCACCGCCGCAGCGGCCTGGCATTGACAGACTAATCCGGAAGAAGGTCAAGATCACCAAAGGTCCATACAAGGGCCATCGTGGTACGGTCAAGGACACGACTATCAGCGAAGCTAGAGTCGAGCTGGAGTCGAAGAACAAGACCGTCAACATTGATAAGGGCCAACTTAGCGTCATCGAGTACGTATTCTTTCGCGTTCGAGCCCTTGAAGCTAACATGAACAGTCTCAATACCGACCAAACAACCCCATACCACGAGTGGGCGAGAGGTCAGCGTGGCACAGGAGGTGCACCGCCAAGGATGCAAGCCGGTCAAGGTTTCCCATCTTCTCGTGTCCCGGATGGTGCTCGCACGCCCGCAGCAGCCTTCGACGGTGGTCGCACACCAGCATGGGGCGCCTCCTCAGCACGAACACCTGCATGGGGCGGTCCTTCATCCATGGCCGACTCAAGCCGTACCCCATCCTGGCGTCAACCTACCGGCTCGCAAACCTCCTACGGCGCCTAGGCGGCAATACTACCTACGGAGGCGCAGGCAATTACAACACGTCCTCCAGCTCCCGCACCCCGGCTTGGTCCGCGAAAACCCCGTACGGCGGCGACCACGGCTTCTCTAGCTCAAGCGGCAACCGTGACTTCGACGCCTTCGCCGCTGGCGCTGGCGGCAGCCGCACACCCGCATACAGCGGCGCGACCACGTCACGAACTCCAGCCTGGGGCGGCCCGTCAGCCGCTGCATCTGCACCCACACCCGCCGCTCGCGCGTACGATGCTCCTACCCCGGCTATGAATGCGCCTACCCCGGGTGCGTTTGAGGAAGCATACACACCCGCGTATTCCGCACCTACGCCCGGCGCAGGCTTCAACGATGGCGGCCACCAGGGTTATCACAACAGCAACAACGAGATGAATGCACCGACGCCACATTTCGCCAAGGCCGCTAACACTGTGCCGTTGAAAAATAATCGGCTTGCGGTTGCGATGGATGCGCCTACGCCGGCTGCGTACGGAGCATCTGCACCGACGCCCGCGGCTTATGGCGGTGGGCCAGTGTATGATGCGCCGACACCAGCGGTTGGTGGTGGGCCGCGGTATGCAGAGGACGATGATGAGGATGACTGAGCAGGTGATTGACCGATTGGTTGAATCGAGCAGAAGCTCGCGATTCTGCTGAGCGTGTACAAACAACAGGTGCTACGTTTGAAAATGCAGCACACAAGCACGGGAGATTGCAAGTTGAGTACGCCGATTATGTTGGACCCGGGCTCAAGTCGATCGTCTACGGCGATGGACCTGGAATTCATCTGTGCCCAAGTTCTTCCAGTTGCGAAGGGCCTCGCGGCGGACAGCGAAAAGCGATAGCTATGCTTTCAAATCAAATTCTTTCCGAACGCCTGTCTTCCATTACTACCGCTCGATCTGCCTTAACGCTCTTCCACCTTCTCACATTCCAGTGTGGCAGCAACATCTACACGACGTCCCGTCAGGAGACCGCACAGACAGCCCAGCCTAGCTCTCTCGATCATCTTTAATGTTCGAAAGACAGACCTTTGTCAGCCGGTCTTACCAATGCCCCGCCCCTACAACCACAACGCCAAGACTGCAGACACAACCTACCATCCTGACCAGCAGGCTCAGTCTTGGTCCAACAGAGCTGCCCCTACTTCACCGCCCATTTCAAGGGCCATTCTCCCAGTGCAGCCCAAATTCTGGATCCATTTGTCCAAACCGACGGACCACCATTTTGTTCCATGAGGGAACTGTTTTCGGTGACATGCCCGCCCCGGCGGGGCGTGTGCTTCCTGGATATACCGAGCAGATTTACATGACACTGAGGCGCCATGAACTTGATCCCCGGGGGCTTTGAGACTGGGAACGTGAGGATGAAGAAGTCGATTTTGTGCAGGGGCTAAGGCTTCCCACGAGACCGGATGACTAAGCCAATCTTAGAGACCGGTTGACCGCCATGCGAAAGGCGAAGCGAATCATTGCCTCGATCTCTTTTCCATGACCCAGTGTAGCCGCACAGAGTGGCAGTCCAGTCGACGTCTTGTCAGGAGACCGAAATGGACCGTATGGCCTGACTTGCCTGAAAACCCAGCCCAACATGTCCATAGACAGTCATCGTGAGCCAGTCTAGCTGGTCCCCAGGCGCCTGCTCAGTAGATATATTCCATCACCTTACGCATACTAAGACAGGCACACCCATCATCACCGATTCACGACGAAACTGCGGCTGAATACACTCCGGGCTTCCTCGTGTCATCGCGCTGTCATGTTCGTGCTCGTGCAGTAGCGATCATCTACGAATGTGCGCAAAATCAGTCCTCATGGTCCTGCAACGCCGCCATGCGGAGACAGCACGAGACCGGATGACAGGGTGCAGGCGTGCATTCCCGTCGCCGGATGACGCAGAATGCTATCGAAGCCGGTTGACAAGAATCACTATCAACTACCCATTGTCTCGATATCAGGTGTGTTCACCAGCCTGCCTCAAGCGACACCCTCTGTCGCAGTCATCGCCTGCTAGGCGAGGGCGCAAGTACTCTGTCCCCACCGCTTGTCTATTCACGCGCTTAATGCTTCGTTCCCTGCCCTGCAGTGGCATGCGATGCTAGGCTCTGAACCAGTACCTTCCTACGTTCGACGGATCCCGTGAGGTGGCAGCAAATGGGATGTCGGTGTCAGGCGCCTGCCCCTGGAAAGGAGGAGATGGAGGAGGCGATCACGGAATCTTCGACTAGGAAGAATGACGCATCGCTTGCTGTGCAGACATCCCCATAAGAAATTGTCCAGTTGGGAAGGGGGTTAGGAACAACAGCAGGAGCAAAGGACATGCACGGCTCACGACAAAGCCAAAGAGCACCGGAGCACAGAAGATTCTCATCGAACATGCATTTCGTTCATTCTCCATTGTACACTGACTGCACTCTTCGCCTCTCATCTCATCGCAGCCGTGTTGGTCTCGATGGACGAGCACGACCTTGAAGACGCGTGATGATCGACACCGCTTGCTCATCCACCCATCCATCCATTCTGACTGGCAACGTGAAAATTATCGGATGCTCTCTCTGTCTCTCTCACTCGCTCCCTCATAAGATTCCGTAAGCTCCCAAGCGCCAGTCATCGGTTATGCACCATTTTTGTGTATCTTTTGCCCATGTGTGTCTAGCATGCATGCGTCGTAGAGTTGCTTTTTGTCTTGTAAGACAATCCGTCCACCCACTAATTCATCAATCCAGCTAATACTGGAGACGCTTTGATGCCGCTGATGACCCAAGTTTTCCCGGTTCCCAGCAAAACCCTCAAGAAGATTCGTATTCAATCCCTGCAGCCCCAAAATACATCAAGCAAGCGCAAATCATTTACGCCGTGCCCATTTTCCGATATGCAAATGCATTGTGATCGCCCAAAGCGGCAATTTGGAAGACTCGCTGTCCTCCTTCGATACTGTACAGACTGCCTCCTTCGTTGCAGCCGAATGATCCGCTCTTCGAACAGGATCATCATTTCCATCATTATGTTCTTTCTTGTTCCTTTCATCTCATACCTCAATCATCGTCAACTTGTTGAACGGAGTGTTCTCGTTACCTCCACCAACGCCTTCACTCAGGTAGCTGTTGGCACTTCTGCTCTTAGGGAGGCCAGGCTTCGACATGCCATTTGGCAATGGTGATGAATGGCTCGGAGGATTGAAAAGCTGCCCTAGCGTCGGATCGTATTTGGGTTGCCTCTGCTGAGGCGTGCGTTGCGGACTGACGTTGACCCCTTCTGCTCGCCGCACCACTTCTTTCAGATCCCTCGTGATGACGCCTGTCTTTGCAACAAGCTCCCGCAGATCCTGAGTATTGAATGGTAGCTTATCACGCCGAGAAGCGTAAGGTGAGTTGGCGGATGCCGAATCTCCTCGATTTTGGTGAATTGTCTGAAGAAACGACTTTGCTTGAAGCAGACTCTCGCCTCTGGGACGGGTGGCACTAGGTGGTGTCGCAATTCCAGAGAACGATCGAACATTTAGCGAATCTCGCTTGTTGTCCTCCACACTGATTCGTCGAACGTTCGGTGAGGCGTCCTCGCCAAAGATATCTGAGGATGTTGGCGAGTGCGGCTGAAATGGCTCTTCATCCTCATCGTTCAGAGTGGCCAGGTTGATAATATTCTCAGCATCAATCCATAGATGTGGTGACTGGCTTTCGAGTATGCCGAGAGCCAATCCCTGTGCTCGCAACCTCTTCAGCTCCTCCACTAGAGACATAAACTCCTGCACCTGTGAGAATTGTTGATGTACACTAGCTTGTCGATCAATAATTGCTTGTGGAACTTTAACACTGCGTATCGAATCTCGTGGACCTGGTGTGTTGTTGCCTGTACTGACGGGTAACGATGGAACTGGTTCATCAACATCATCGAACTCGAAATCATCGCTCCATTCTTCACTCACGCCTTTCTTACCTAGACCCCACGTGTTGAACTTGGCATTCGCAGCGGGAAGGTCAAGATCATTGCCGTTGTCACGATTGACGGGCACACTTTGACTTCGGAGGTGAACAGCACTAGGACCCTTACGACCAGATGCACGACTCCGATTCTGTTCGTTCGCATGCTTGCCGTGGACTGTTTTTGGACGAGGTATGATGTCTGAACCAGCGACTTGATTCTCTGACCAGTCGAAGATCGATGAACGTTTGCTCTCAGACTCCGAGATGTCCATCAATCGAGCCTGTCGTCGGGCGATTGGGCTGTTCGATGGTAGTACGGGACTTCTAGGCTCATCGTGGTTGGACTTGGGAGACCAGTCAATCGAGTCCTCATCTTCGATGTCCATGTCTATGTCTTGCTCCAGACTGGGTGTTTTCAAGGTATGATGAGGATGTCGAATCACGCTCGCCGGCGGAGAAGAACCGATCATGGTAGGAACGACACGTCTAAGTGGCATCGGTGTAGCATTCAGCTCTTCGACGCTGCCAAAGGGGTGCTCCTTCACAGGTGTCAGCGTCAGGTGATCCCCGTCTCGCATTGGCTGATCGTCATCGTCGTCCCAGCCTTGTATGCCAATTCCAACGGGACTTTGCCAAGGTGAGGGCTTCGATGAGGAATCATTAAGGGTGCTCTGGTGCATGAGCGCTTCCAGAGTGTGGACTTGACCATCGACGTGCTCATTTGATTCGTCAAAAATTGTTTCGATCTTAGGCTGGCGGTAACCAGATTGACTGCTGACCGTTGCACGAGTAGCCAGCGAGTCATATGCTGTATCGCTCTGGAAGTCCATGGAATCGTCGTCTGAGAAGAGCCGCGTGTCATTGTCAGAGCTGGCAGTGTTTACCTCTGAGTGTATGACTGATACGCGTTTATTGATTGAGGGGTTGGCGCGTGGTGCCTGAATAAGCGGAGGGCTGGAAGCAAAAATAGGCGTTCCGGGCGGGAGGTCTATGTCGAATGTCGATGACCTCGACACTGGCGAGAGCGGTGACCGCGTGGAAGGTATGATCGATCCATGAGCGTTCTGGTTGGACAAGCTGATGCTAGGCTCTGTGAAGTACCGCGTTCGTCCTGTCCTGCGGAACGAACTCAAAGATCGTTTCAATCTCTGGCGATTCGGTGGAGCGACAGTCGCGGACGAGTCAGCGAATCCAGTCTGATCAGCATCTGTGTTGTGACGTTGTACTGCACGAGGACTAACGAGAGTTGCCTGCTGCGAATAAGGTGTTGCTACCGTGTTAGGTGCAAATTGTGGACCAGCTGAACCATAGCGTTTCCTAGCATATCCGCTACTGAAGAACGGTCGAAATATAGAAGCACTCGACTCTGGGCGTTGATCTTGTTGCTCCTCTTGCTGCAAGTACGCGTCACGTAGCGTTGGAGCAGGATTCGAGGCAGACAAAGCCATCATTGAAGACGAACGTTGATGGCTAGTGGCTGGACGGCGGAAGAGTGATCCCTTCAAACCATCAGCCGAGATGAGGCGTTGTGATGTAGCACGCTTGACCAGTCTGTTGCTGCTGAGGGATCTTCGCTGACCTGGAGTCGAGTTGGAGGTCGAGCTCAGATCCAATTTATGGGTTGACGAAGAAGGACTCGTGTAGTTCAGTGACGACATGGTGGACAGGCGGCGTTTCCACGATGACTGGGGTCTCTCATCGTCCTCGTCGACGGCTGAGAAGGGTCGTCTGTGCAGAAGACCAATTCTCTGTTGTGAGCTTGCACGTGATTGTGTGTTTTGGCTGGTGCTCGTTGAGGCCCTCTCTGGATCGATCGGGCTCTTTCGACGGAAGAGGGACGACGAGAAGGGTCGAGGTAGGGCAGGTGTAGGTGTCGAGAGTGTCTGTGTTGCTGAATCTGACACTACCCGTCTGGAGGGAGGCGGTAGCGAGGGCGAAGACGTGTATATGCCGTCTGAGCCTGGTGACTTCCGCTTGCCGGGGCGTAGTAGCAGTGTCTCTTCACCTGCACCCAAAGCAAGACCAGCTACTGCTATGCCAATCGTGCCGAACGCCGCCAACTGAAACACAAATTAGCCTCCGAATTAAGCACAATAGACATTGGGAAGAATGCAGGTACCGTTGCGGCATGCTCTTGTCGCTGCTCCATATTATTATGATGGCTCTACTAGGAGGAATGCCACCCGCCCACAGCCCCGGTAGATTGGCTGTTGTGAGTGATGTTGCTCTTCATTGCGAAGGCATGATTCGAAAATGACGTGACCAAGCGGGTGACGAGTCTTTCTGTCGACTGTGTGCTGGGTGAAACAAAAGAGCCGAGTCGTTGTGTGGTGGTTGCTGTGGTGAGAAAGAGCAAGGCAAGGGAGATTCGAAACGCGCTGGCTGCGGAGGAAACGAGAGGAACCAGGGTCCTCGACTTCGTGTTCTAACGACCGTGCAGAGGCACAAACAATGCTCGAAGGAATCCACGACTCTCCTCTCCAACAAAAGCAACAGCAATAACACTGACGACGAGAGTAGCAACGATGAGAGGGAAGGTGAGAGTGAGAGACGGCAAGGTGCCCAGTGCGAGCCGGCGTGGGAAAGCAAGGTTGAACTGGCTACGGGTATGCTTTGATGCTATTCTCTTTCCTCCCATCTTACCAGGGCCTTCCTTGCCCGCATCCTCCCACTCTTACCGCTACCTGCTTTGGTACCGCCCGCAACTACAAATCCATCAGCGTTCGGGCTACGGTCTACATAGCTACACGCCTTGGGTACGTGCAATGCTGCTCAACTCTGCAGCTACGATCTGCTCTAAAAGTAGGCAACTCGACTTTCTGGAGTTCCCCAATCTGAGCTTACGCGTGACTACTGCTCGCTATAGGCCCTACGGCTTCTTAGGCGAGCCTCACGCGGAGCCGACTGGAAGGAGTGAGATACATGCTGCTCCAGTGATAGCCACCACTGTCGTCAATGTACTTTTCCGCTTCCACAAATTCCAGCGGTCGCGTGCAGCTCATTACTGTGTACCTGACCATCCCCCGTAGTACAAAGCCATTGTTGTTCAGAACCCAACAGCCTGTGCCTGCATAGCCGATGCGCTCTGTAGCACATTCTGTCGTTGCCCGTGGGCGGTTGAGATGCTTCAAACTTGTGCCTGTAGCTCGAGCCGTGACCTTTCAAACACAAGGCTCAATCATGAAGCAAGCTAGGCAGGGCAAACCGCATAGCCGCTCGTCCGCCATTGTTGACAGCAGACGTTAGGCTGCAAATCGTTCTCGAGCATTGAGCACCGAGCATGTCACTGTCAGCATCAGAGGAGGGAAGTTGCTTGTATATCGAATGCACCGGCACGTTGGACAAGCTAATGAGACCACGCCAATACATGGGCACCGAGCGCCTCCATAAGCGTCAGGAAAGCCAACGAATCCTTCCAACAGCCAGGAACCACCACGGAGAAGACTCTGAAGTCAGAACGACGTGGTTTGCTAGCAGCTGGAACGGCAGCGAGCGAATGACAGCCCTGAAGTCTGAATCTCGGGACAGCCAGGTGTATTTGCGACTCCAGCGCCATGGCAAGCCTATCCTTGCAATCACGCACTTCAAAAGTCAACAACTGTGGATATATCACTCCGACCTGCAGCAATAGTTTTGTGCAGCCCACCAAACACACTTCGAGTTGTGTGACGCGACAGGACGAGCTCAACCGCGATGACAGTTGAGGCTCCGTGAACAGGGTTGATGTTGATGTTGACAGCGAAGCACCTGATCAAAAAAGTTGAAACGTAAACAGACAAGCGAATTTAGGGCCACATGCCGACCCATGTGCGTCCTTCGTGGTGTAGCCGAATCTTCAGCCACAGCAGAATCTAGCATAGCTCCATCGCCCATCTGTCGTGCCTAGCCCTCGTGTTGGAAAAGATCCAAAGAAGGAAGCAGCGCCAACCGAGCAGGGTCCCCATGCGCGCTAGTTCTTGCAAGCCGTGTTGGTCATGCCACTTTGACGCACTTTTCCAAGGATATTCCACCGCACAAGCTGACGAGCGCGGCAGCACAAGATGACCACGGGGCGGTAAAGGATCTGCCGCCGCCCGTATCGCCGTCGGCATTGGACCAAGCAGCTGTCGACGAGCTGGAGTACCGCTTATTCGGCAGAAGTTCAAGACACGCTAGCAAATTAAGAATAAGGGGCACTCAAACTGTACGAAATCTCGCGTCATAGGGTTGGCTCTGACGTCCGACATTATAGGCCAGCAAGAGCGGGCGGGGTATCAAGGAATTGAGCGTTCCGCCGTCAAGTATCAGAAAAGACAATGTTCTTGTGAGATGGATTGGTGCATATTGTCGACGTCAATTGTTGCAGGTTGTTTGCTGCGTGCACACATCAGCGGTCGTCCGACATAGACTCCTGGTCTGCCAGATTCCAAACGGTCGGTAACAGTTGGATGGTTGTGCAAATGATTGTGCACAAAACAGCTAAACCTCCGCCCGTCGGCTGTCGTTAGAACGGAGTGTCTCAGGTCTTTTGCCTGTCAAGCCAAGGCCTCGTAATTGCTCAGCAGTAACAGTCATCAAAGTGACCAACTCCGGCCTCTTCACCGGATGCGATCATTTTGTGGTCAAAGATCATCAGGTGTTGAGCCTAGCTTTGACGGCGGATGCAGGTTTGATGGCGGTCAAAATTCTGCCGCTGCAAGAGGTTGTTCGAGGTCAGGTCGAGATTTCCGGCGGCGTTTGCCAACTTGCGACTTCCGCACAAAGCCAAACGTGCATCCGACGTGCGCAAGCCACACCGGGCCTGAAATTTCGCCCTCACTTCAACCTGCGAGACGGCAGTTCGTCGTCCTGGCATCTTGGCAGTCATAATGTTGACTAACGCTTTCAGCGTTGTTCTTGCCAATGCGACGACTGTTGCGATCCAGCAGGATGCTACTTCGGCTCACGAATTGCGAAATCGCTATCATTATGATGTCTGGCTCGCGTGCTCGTCTCAGTCGTAAGGCTTACCGTGCTCGGCTTTCCAAGAAAACGCGTGACTGCACCTTTCGATTTCCGGTTTTGTAGCTGTGGCTGGTGCTTTTGACGCGTTTTAGGCATAGTTTCTATAAGTTGGGGTACCTGCAAGCGTGCCTTAGCGGCACATGAAAGCCAACCTTAAGCAAGTCATGCCTGAATCGTCGCTTACCGAGAACCTTTTTCCTTCCTCGAGCGATCGAGGACAGCAGGCCTCAAGTATGACGAGCCGTCAGCCGTGCGAAGCGGAAGGAGATTATCACGGTCTGTCCGAAGCTTGTTGCATTCTCTACAAGCTCCAGGCCTAGTGAGCAGCTGCAACACCGGCCGCATCCGCCTGGGCAGATATCTTCTTCTTGTAAGCCTTGATGTCGCCTGGGAACTTCTCCACCTTTCCCTTGTCACACACCCATAGACTGGTGCAGACATTCTGGAGCATTGTCACGTCGTGGGAAACCATCAGAACACCTCCCTGGAAGTTGTTTAAAGCTGTGGACAAAGCATCCATGGCCTCGATATCAAGATGATTCGATGGCTCGTCGAGGACCAGTATATGTGGATTGGTCAATGACAGGCAGGCAAATGCCACTCGAGACTTCTGACCTCCAGATAGGAGCTCAAGCTTCTGAAGGCCAGTCATGCCCGTAATGCCAAATGCACCCAAGTGACGACGGTATTCCTCGTCCGTTTTGCCAGGGTAGGTCTTCTGCATGAAGCCGACAGCTGAAGTCGACATATCAAGTGCGTCGACGTGATGTTGTGCGAAGAAACCGATGCGCAGGCGTGGATGTTGCGAGATGAGGCCAGAGGTAGGCGTCAATGCACCGATGAGCAGTTTCAGCACAGTGGTCTTTCCAGCTCCGTTCGGTCCTACGATGCCGATGCGGGAGTCTAGCTGTACGTCTAGATCGACATTGGCAAGCAGTGGTGTTTGGGGATTGTACCCGAACGCCACGCCTGACATCTGGATGATCGGTGGAGAGAGCTTTTCGACATCAGGAAACTTGAACGAGACAGTGTACTCGGCCTCTGGTGCTGTGAGTACCGGCATCCGCTCGAGCTTCTTGATCCGGGATTGTGCTTCCGACGACTTTGCTGCATTGTAGCGAAACTTGTCGATGAACGCCTGCAGATGCGCGCGCTGGACCATTTGATTCTCATATTCACGCTTCGCTGTTTTCCGTCGCTCTTCCTTTGTGGCATAGAATGAGGTGAAGTTTGAGCTGCGGTAGTAGTCGAGTCGCTCTGAGTGCTGATGAATGATATCGGTGGCCACTTCGTCCAGGAAAGCACGATCGTGAGAAACGACAAGCACTGTGGACGGATACGTCTGGAGGTAGTTGGAAAGAAAGGTGATCGACGGTACGTCCAACATGTTTGACGGTTCGTCGAGCAGGAGCAAGTCAGGCTCGCAGAACAGAGCTCGAGCAAGAGCTAGACGCATACGCCAACCACCGGAGAAGGTTCTGGTTGCAAATTGCTGGCGTTCGGTGCTGAATCCCAAGCCAGCGAGAATACTGGCAGCCCTGGACTCGGCTTTGTCTGACTCCATCTCTGATAATTTGGCATGTATGTCGCTCAGTGTGGTATCAAGACCCTCTCGCTCGTGGTCGAGGCGAACAGCATCCTTGGAAGTGTCGGCTAGGCCATTTCGTTCGGCTTCGATGCCGGCAAGCTGCTTGCTTATTTTCTCCTGCTCAGCGAGTAGATGTTTTCGCCAGACGTCTGCATCGAGAACTGCTTGCAAAGCTGGCGTGTCGTCCCCTGTGATCTCTTGCTCGACGTGTAGAATGGAAATATGTGTTGGGATGGAAACTTCTCGTCGACTCAGAGCTCGGAGGAGTGTAGATTTACCAATACCGTTCTGTCCAACCAAGCCGTAGCGACGACCATATGCTAGGGTCAGATTTGTATCGGTGAGAATGCGTTTGCCGCTGATCGAGACATCGATGCCGTCCACTTTGATGTCTTTGCTCTTGGAAGCGGAGTCTCCGCCAAGCTGAAGAGGATTGACCGCCATGAAGAATTCTTCGTACGATTGTGCTTCGTCAGGCTGATCTAACAATCGTGACGCTTCGTACTCGACGTTCTTCATCACTTTCTTCTCCTGTTTAGCGCGAATCTTCCGCTCTGCCTTCTCCAGCTTCTTCTTGTCAACTTTGGATTCGACTTTTCGGGCATTGGTGGCTTCGAGATCAACGCCTGTGCCCGACAGACCCAACGTTGAGGAGATGTTGCGTTGCGAGCTGACCTGTAGAGACTGGTCTAGACGCTTTGGAGCGAAGGGCATCTGTCGCTGTTCGCCGTTGGTCCCATCACTGCCCAATTTTGCCACAAATTTCTCCACCAGCTTCCGTATGTCAGATTCATTCTTGACGGAGAAGTCGCCGGACGCCGATATCAACAGTGCTGTGATAGTTGCCAGGGCCTCATCCAGCGGCGATTCTGGACTTTCTTCAGCGACATACTGCTTCGAGGCGTGATCAAGATAGCCAATGGAATACTGTGAGATGATCGGATCGATATTCGGGATCTGGGCTTGGATCTCTGCCTCCATAGTTGAACGCGATTGTTGAGCGGCTGCTTGAATGCGTCTGAGTACCCTTTGCAGCGAATCTGGGTATACAGGGGCAGTAATGCCGATGGCTGTTCCACGGACTCTACCGCGGATTGTTGTACGAGATCGACAAGGCAAATTCAAGGCAATCTCGAGTGCGCCTGATGCGCTCCCTTCTCCGCCCTATTCCTTGGCGCTTGTCGACTGACCTCACCGAACTCACCGCAGGACTTTGAAGGTCTTGACATCCGTCCGAGCACTTCAAACACCACTATCCTTGGCCGTGGCAGCTTGAGATCGCAGCTGCGCAGCTTTCGGTGTCCCCAAGAACCTCCCACGAGCTTATTCGGCTGCTGTCCTGGTTGACAGGCCAATCCTGCCATTCCTGCTCTCCTCCTTCAACTACTACGATAACGACGAGATTGTCAGGCTTCGTCCTTGTCGCCACTCGCACGCACACAGCGAGCCGAAGTGCTCTGTTCTCGGCCTACCACAAGAGATCCAAGCAAAGGGCGTCCTGCCCGCCCTCAGCATGTTCACCCAAACACTCCGCTCGGCCGCGATCCGAGGCACAGCCCTGACAGCGCGTCCACGCTTCGTCCCCAGAACGACCGCACCCTTCACACGCTACCTCTCAAGCTCAAGAGCGGCTCGAGCAGCCGAGAAACATGACGATCACGACTCACACTTCGACGAGCCCGGCGGCTGGCTGTTTGGTGTTCCACCGGGGGAGAAATACGAGCCGGAGGGATGGGAGTTTGACTGGTTCTACATCTTCTACCCGAGTTTGATCATTGCGGGGTTAGTCTACAGCATGAAGGAGGATACATCGTAAGTAACTTCGTCTCATTGGAACCTCAATCCCAGATGCCGCCGCAACGGCCATTGCAGCCCCGCAGACCAAGATCCACGCAGTACAAAATCCGAGGAGGAACTTTTCGAACATCTCGCCACGTTCCACACGTATAGTCGTATTTGCTGACATGCTCCTCCACAGAATACAAACATGGGCGCTGGAAGAAGCAAGACGGCGACTGGAGAAGGAAGGCATCCTTGAAGATCCCAATCCGGAGTGAGAGTGACCGACTGCCACGGAGTGTTGACTGAGAGTTATGCTGGCGTTCTGTGCGCTTTGAATTGAGACATATGCGAGAGACAATCGCACTTTCCTTTGCTATGGTGGTGGGCTCGGGTGTGTGCCTGAGGGGGAGACCTTTAGGAGAAACCAGCGATAGAAACAGTCTCGAACATCAGACATTCTACACGTTGACAGGCGGGCGCTTTGAATTGGCGTCCACGTCACTGGCCTTCCTGCTGCTCTCGTCCTTGATCTGTAGCAGAGAGATTCACATCTACTGCGACTTTCTCCTTAGGTAAGCTCACAGTGCCTGATTGCTATTGGTCTTCGCAAAGCCCAGCCTTTTACCACATCGAGCTTGAAGCCTACTACCTACCTAGGTATTCCGCCGCCCTCATGACCGTCCATCAACGGTGTGAGATAACTGATCTTACAAAGCTTCTAGCCGAAACCGCTATGAGAGAATTTCGAGTCTCTTGGCCTGGCAGACGGGCTCATCCACGCATCATCAGAACATACATGGCCGACAAACATATATACTTCAATCTTTGTTCTATGACCATGGAGGCAAACATGCTCCTTCACTTTATCCCCTCGGACACCGCACATCATGGCCAATCGACTCGTGGCGAATGCCACAATTCCAGCATTCAACTGTCCGCCCGGCACGAAAATGCACATCCTCAACCTCGCCGTGCTGAACGTCGATGAAGCTTGGTACCCATACCGCCCAGATCACCCTACCAGAATCTGACGCGACAGGATCCTCACGGGCAACAATGGCTCCACGGTCTCCCAACCCAACCCGCCCTCCACCCGCCGTGACCTGGCCTGATCGCCGGCCTCATCCACCACCCACATCTCGGCCTGATCCTCTTCGAAACCGGCTGCGCCGAAGACCTCAACATCGCCTGGCCCGCGCCCGCCACCGACCTCTTCCCCCGAACCGTCTACAAAGAACACCATAAGTTACCCGCCGCCATCGCCGCCGCGGGCTACTCCATCACGGACATCAAAGCCGTCATCATCGGCCACCTCCACCTAGACCACGCCGGCGGCCTCGAGCACTTCATCGGCACCGACATCCCCATCTACGTGCACGAAACCGAGTTCAAACACGCATGCTGGGCCGCCGCCACAGGTGCGGACGCAGGTGTGTACCTGACGAACTACCTCGATCTGGAGAAGTTGAATTGGCAGACATTTGACGAGGATGTGTGGGAGGTGTGCCAGGGGGTGACGATGAGGTTGATGCCGGGACATACGCCTGGGTTGTGTGCTATGCAGGTTAATTTGGAGGAGAGTGGGGTGTGGATCTGGACGACGGATCAGTTCCATGTTAGGGAGCATTTTGAGTTGAAGGTGAGTCTGACGTTGACGAGGAGGGCTGAATAGGGGAGATGAGGCTGACGCTTTGTGTGCATAGCAACCGCAGGGATGGCTGACGAGGGACTATAATGCGTGGGTGAAGAGTAGCAAGGCGTTGAGGAAGCTAAAGGAGCAGTATGGTGCAACGATGATCTTCGGTCATGATCTGGACACGGTGAAGGCGTTGGGATTTGAGGAGAAGGTATTCCAGTGATCTTCGGTCATTGATGGCTTGTCGAATGAAGTGTAAATCCTCGCTGCCAGGATGGAGAATCTAGCGTGCTGCAAGATCTGTTGAGCATGGCTGATTTGGGGCTAGGAACCTGTACGGGGTGACTGATGACTGGCGTCCAAGTTGAGCCGGGCCTTGTATGGGTGCTGTGTCATTGTTCAAGCGGTCCAGAACTGCACCAGACAATATGCCCGCGCCGTCTGCCTGCATGCTCTTCGTATCTTCATACGGCACAGAAATTCGGTGAGCCAGAACCCGTCGCTGCCGCGTACTCGAACGTCTCATTGGGCCACGGCCAGCAGCCCACCCTTCATCTCTAAACGTGATCCCTTTTGAAGACCTTTCGCCGGGGCGCCCAAGCCACATCCCTCCCTCACAACTCCCTCTTCGCCCCTCCATCGCCCTCCACACCTGCAATCCCCACCAGCTCCGTCTCGAAAACCAGTATACTATTCGCCGGAATTGGCCCAACTGACCGAGCCCCATACCCCAACTCCGGTGCAATTGTTAATCTCCGCCGCTCGCCGATACACATATCCGTCAACCCTTGATCCCAGCCCTTGATGACTTGTCCCGCACCGAGCTTGAATTTCAGTGGCGAGCCGCGGTCGTAGGAGGCGTCGAATTGCTCGCCGGAGGAGTGGAGGGTGCCGCGGTAGTCTATTGATTTGGGGCTGGTGTTAGTGGGTGTGCGTAGCAGGACCATGGGAGGGCGGGAAGGAGTAGGAAAGGTTCCAAGAGGGTGGGCAGGCCTACGCATCTGGATGGTGTCGCCATTCTTCGTCTTGCGGTCACATGTTATGTCGGGTGTGAGGTGATCGATTTCGAGGTTTGCGGCGAGGGCGAGGGGAAGGAGGGAGGATAGTAGGAGGACAATGAGGGACCGCATCTCAATGGCTGTTGTCTATGTGTGTGGTGTTCTGTTCGAGGCTTCGATCAACACGGTCTTGTTCTGTGTGGCCCTGTATCGTTCTCAATGGTGATCGTGAGTGTGGTAAGATGCTCGCAGCAATTGGCTCTGTGGAGGGGCAGAGACGTCAACGTTGGGCCGTGCGGCTTGGCCCCTAAAGTCGTCGTTAAGGGGACGCGTCTGTCGGGCTTCCTGGCATCCTGTTCATCACGTACATTGTGGACATTGTCTACTGAGTTTCGCCCATGCACTAGAGGGATCTTTTGAGTATGAAGCAGGAGATAATGGCACAATGCTGAATTGTCTTCTGAAGGTACATATGGTCAAGTCGCCGCTCGACTGCGCGCTCTCTTGCGCACGCTGTTCCCAAACGCCAAATCCAATCACGTTCTGCCAGGCAACGCCGAATCGATACATCTGATGCATAATCCATAGCATCGACAGCGACGACAACGCAGTAGTGGACAGAGCCACCATCCGATAAACCCAAAGCAACCATAACGCCAAACTTTTCGATCTTCACAGCGAACAGCCTCATCAACCCAGTCTCCGACTACAGTACCTCGTTCACCATCAGCGCCAACCTCCGTAATCTCCATCAAATTTGTTCCAGCGAAATCCACCGCAGCAATCGCAACGACAAGATCTTTCAAGTCCCTCAAAGCCCGAGCACATCTCTGGAAGCATCCACTTCTCCTCAACCGACATCGTCCTGCACCTTCCGTCGAACACTGTGCAGCCAGTCCAGCACCCTGAATCTCAATAACTCCCCAGTATGATGTCTGGGCCCCCATTCCACCACTGATCAGGCCAGCGCATGGCAACCAAGACTAAGCTGGTCTGCCATGACATTCCCTCTCCTGATCACTACCTTTGTCGTCTAGGTTCTGTCCTCCACGCGTGTTGACTTCTATGCCGGATGTGTCGCTAAGGATTGTACTGCTTCCAGGTTTGTGCCTTCGGGCTTTCAAGACCCATCTGATCTTGTGTTGCATTGCTGCTTTGTGCTTTGACTGTCCGGAACTCGTGGACCTCACTTGTGTTGGCTGATGATGATGTGGTGGGCGGTCGTTGACAGACCTATGAAGCCGACGTTCCCTTCTGTGGCGACTCAGGACAGGTGCTTGAGAATCTCCGGAGGAATAACATACTCCAGGTCGTTGAATCGGTCCCAGAAGTACTCATCCGCCTGTCCTTCGAGATCACCCCAGCCATAGCGGTAGCTAATCGCCTGCTTCAGCTTGCGCACAGCAAGGGCATTTGCAACATCAGCTTCCGTTACCGTGTCACTGACTTCGGTCGCAGTGGTGACGAGGTTGTTGAGAATGTCATTCCGACCCTCAAGGCAACCAACTTCGCAGCCAAGAGCCATTTCGAGCTTTCTCCACACGTACGCCTTCATCTCGTCACCAATCCCTCTTGGACTGAGATTTGCGTCGTCCTTGTCGTAGGCGAACAGAACCATGCCATAGTTGGATCTCTCGTTCTTGACAGTGGCGAGAGCAGGGATTCCGTGGAAGGCGAACAGCTCTGGCAATGTCTTGCGTTTCGCCTTCTGAAGCCTCGCCAATGTTTCCCAACCGCTCTCTGTTCCAGCAGACTCGCTTCCGGATTCTCCCGCTGTACCAGCCTTGGACTTGTTGGATTTGGGTTCATCTGTTGTGGTCTCCTCATCATCTGAGTCTCTCTTTCGCTTCCGAGCTGGCTCAGCGGTCTCTGACTTGGTGGTTTTTGGCTCGGTGGTCTCTGGCTCGGTGGTCTCTGGCTCGGTGGTCTCTGGCTCGGTGGTCTCTGGCTCGGCGGTCTCTGATTCCGTGACCCATGACTCAATAGCCGCTGGGCCGTCGACAGGCGGCTCACCCTTCAGGTATCGGTCCCGGCGCTTGATGCACTCCTCAACGTACGTACCGCTAGCCTCCCATTGACGCACAGTCTTGAAAGGCACAAGCCACACATCCAGGCCTCGGTTGGGATGACTAAGCTTGAATTTCTTGATGAATCGCTTCTGCTGAAGCTTATGGAAGTCAAGAAAGTCGCCGAAGTGGTATGTCGAGCACGTTGACTCGATCCATTTGATCAACTTGTTGAACTCGCGCTCGTCGGTCACGCCGCAGGCCTTCAGGACCCCTTCGATGTCCGCCCAGCGCTGTCTGCGAGCCTCAGCGCGTTCCTCCTCTTGCGCCTCGCATCTTCGATCGCAGCGTTCCTCTCAGCGTTCGCCTCGCGCTCAGCGGCAGCTTTCTTGAGCTTTTCGGCCCGGTCCTGGCGTTCACGCTCCTCTCGCTCTTTAGCATCAGCCAGTCTCTGCTTCTTTGCGATACGCGCTTTCTTGTTGGCTTCCGCTCTCAGCGCTTCCAGTATTGCGGCGTTCGTCTTGGTTTTGACCTCACGTTCGCGGGCGGCGTCTCTCTCCTCAATCTTCTTCTGAACATCGGACTTCGAGGAGATCTGGTTGCTGCCAGTACGACGGGCACTGGAACCCAGCGGCTTGCTCGGCTTAGACGGCACGGGCGTCTGAGATTCTCGACCTCGAACAGAGCCCGTCTTTGGATTGACGTTCTCTTGGTTGGAGTGCTTCTTGCCAGATTGGTCGGCGGCAGAGGTTTGCTTGAGTCTCTTGGGCGCTGAGACCTGTGGCTCAGCGTCTTTCTTGATGTCCAAAATCCGCTTGCGCTTCTTGCTGGGAGGCGTAACGTTGACCTTGTTGATGGTCGGAACTTCGTTACGTTTTCTGTTGGCGCTCTGGCTGACGCCGTTGGTGGCGATCTTGTTGGCACTCTTGCCGGTGTCCTTGATGGTGCGCTTGGTGACAGGAGCCGGCTTGCTGGTGCTGTCGTTGGACAGCTCATCAAGCTTCGCGACCTTGGTGGGACGGCCTTCAGCGACCGTACTCTCAGGAGAAGCCTTGCGCTTGTTGTTGATGATCTTTCCAGCCTTGCTGGGTTGGGCAGAGGTGAAAGAGTCCATGGCTATTGCTGGACTACTATGCTTCAACACTTGGTCGTGGTTGACGAAAGATGAAGTCTGTATGTTGACTTGTGTCGAAGGTAAGGCTGAACGCTTGTTCAACGAAGATAAAGTTCAAGTATCTTGAATTGGCGAGAAAGGATGAAATGTGTCGAGGCGAAGATGATTGTGAGTTACCTTGAAGGTGGTTCGAAGAAGGAAGTGAACTCAAGTGAAGGTTACTGTGAGTGGTGTCCAAAGTGTGTCGAATAAGTTTTGACAGCGACGGAATACCAAACCGTCAGGCTTGAGACCTCAAAATTCTGGCTGACTTCAAAGGTTGCCGAATGCGATGCGGCGCGTGACAGGCAAGTGGTTGTCAATGTCACTAAAGTATGGCGCAGCGTTATTCGAGTCGAAAGGGTTGGTAGTAAGTCAAAGTTGGTTATGGGCGATCTTGAGGAAGTGGTATGAAGAAAAGAACAAAGAGGGCGAGGTCAAGGCGCGAGGTAAATCACATCGCGACACGGTCAGAACTTCACTTGAGTCACGCAGCTCGGTTTGACTCGGCTGTGCAAAGGAGGTTGGGGCTTCAGCATTTCACGTGGTGGACGACAAGTGACATTGAAGGCAACCAGGCGCAAATATCTGGTGATGTCGCAGGTGAAGCCGACCTATACCGGCACGAGCTGCTCTTGGGCAACAATGACAGGGACAACGCTGTTCCAACACAACACTGCCTCGGAGCAATTGTCATCGGCAGGTTCGTACGACGTTGACGAAAGGTCGCCGAAGACCTGCTGGACCGCTCAACACCTCTGCACCTTCGAGATGGCACTGCCGTCAGCATCGCCCAATGTTCTACGTCGCCGTGCCTTCGCGACACTGCCGCCAACACCATCGTCCAATGCTCTGAAGCTGGCACAATCATCTCAGCAATCCTGCAAACTGCTTGACGCGCCGCCCGAGATCCGCCAGATGATCTATCGCTTCCTGTTCGGCGTCCGTTATACTCTCAATATCAACGAACACCGCTCACCGCGGACTGGCCAATGGGTGGGGACCATCGAATCGCCATCAATCCTACGTGTATGCCATCAAATTCGGGACGAAGCTCTAGCAATTCTTGGCGATCATGTCATTCTCACTTTCAACAACCAAAACATCGGAGTGCCAGCGCATGTCATACGTGGTCTGTCACCAATCCTGCCACACATCCAAGAGATAGTCCTCGGCCACGAGCGCGCGTCCCTGAGGGTGCCCATACACAGCATCATCAAACTTGCTCCAAATCTAAAGAGGATCACTATGCACTACATGGAATCATCTCTGAAGACGACCAAGATGGACTACCATGTATCATCATTTCCGCTGGACCTCTACCGAGTGCAAGCCAACCTGAGACTCAATCTAGGTGGACGGGACGAGCGTACTGGCTGGCCGGTCTCTGACGCAGTCTGGCAATTAGACTGGGAATCTCTCGAATCTGACCTGATGAAAGTGCTTGATCACACATTGGGTAACTGGATTGGCCTTGCCAAGAATATACCTGAGGATGACATACGCGCGTGGCTGCAGCATCTACGCGACACATTGCGCGAGCACGGCATGGACTGGGACCATAGGTACGAAGCGGAGTCGATATACTTCGCATGGGTGAAGATGCCTCCTTTCGAGCTGGTGGTCAGACCGATGAGCTTGTACGTCAATTGCAATAGCCATGCACCTGGGAGCGGGAACTACTCAGGAGGCTTGCAGGTCAGTTACTGTTATGTTCGCTTGCGATGCCCGCAGTCATTCCAGTTGCTTCATCACCTTGTGTTCCAACTGAAGAGATTCCCAAACTAACACTTTGCGTGCCCCTGATACAGAACTACGAGTACAATATTTCAAGCAGAGAATTCCTTCGCAAAGGGCCTCTTGACTGTGGCTGCAATCGCGACCATAGAATCACTGACGTTCAATTGGTCGGTAACGACGCATTATGGGAACACTTCGCGGCCATGGGACGGAGTTTTTGGTGATGCAACGTGACAGCGGCGACTGAGCTACGGGAATATCGGTACACTTCCACGAACGCTTTGCGGCCAACGAAGCTTTCTCTTAGATTCTACAGGCCCTCGTATGGCTCGGTGGAAAAGGTCCACCCTGACATTCAGCACGAGCTCGTGTATGCGTGCCACAGATGCGGGACACGGGGAACAGAGCCCAGAGGCGCGTATGACAGTAGGTGCAGCGAGGTTCGAGCACATGCTGATAGTATTAAGTAGCCAAGAGGACACCTCGGTAGCGAATCGGACTCCAGTGCAAGCGCCCTATCCCAGGCTAAAATGCTGCAGTGAAGCTCAAGCATTCAAGATATCTTTGAAACACTCGCTTTGTCTGCTCTCTGGGGTCTTCGAATCATCGCTTTCAGAACTCAATTATTTCTGACCTCTTCCACAACTCCATCTCTATCATCATTCTGCCACCCGTCAGCTGGAACTCTCCGACCCGCATCATGCCCTCCTCCCCTTCTTCTTCTCCTCCTTCCCATATGCCATCGCCTTGTTCGCCCAATACATCTTATCCGACAACACCCTCGCTTTCGCCTCCTCCGCCAACCGCTTCTCCTCTAGCTTCCTCGGATTCATCGCCTCGAGCAGCGGATTGTACTCCACCGCGATCTTTGTTGCTGCCGCCTCTGCTGTGACTGGTTTTGTGGACTTGGACGCAGTTGGAAGCGATGCTCGAGGCACGATTTTGGCGCGAGGCTTGCTTACTGCCGGAGCAGCGACGAGCACCTTCTTGATTCGTGGTGCTTTCTTGGTGGTGGTGGGAGGAGAAGGAGGACAGATGTTGACCGCTTCTGGGTCGAAATCGCCGCCGAGGAGGGCTTCCAGCTCTTCGATCTCTGCAGCGAGGTTGTTCTCTTTGTTGCTGCTGTTGATGCTGCTGTTGCTGGAGAAAGGAGAAGGAGAAGAGCGTGACGAGCCGGAGAGGGAGGCCAAAGATGAGGAGGAAGAAGACGAAGAGGATCCGGCCTTCTTCGCCTTTGGACGAAGTCCCCAGCGGGTTCCATCCCACACGGCGACCTGATCTGGACCAGCCAGAGGCTTGGGTAGAGATGGAAGACTGGCACGAAGGGGAGCAGAAGGAGAGCGATGCCGACGGAGTGGCTGCTTCGTGGTGATTGGTTTGTTAATGCCGTTCTTTCTGGCTTCGATTTGCTGGCGCGTCAAGCCGTTGCGGAGGGGAGAAGTGGTTGGAGCCATTGTTGGATGGTAGTATTGGAAGGCTTGATTTGTATGTGGTTGATCTGGAAGAGAGGGAAGCGAAGATGTGTTTGGGATACGATGGAAGAGAAGAGCGTTGAAGCGAAGGGAGTGAGATACTTATAGTTGAGAAAGATACTCACGAGGGCGCGGAACAATAGCAGATACTCATTGAAAGGTACTCAATAGGAGTTTCGAAGAAAGACAATAAGAAACACGTGGCTGGGGAATCGCAAATGCAGCGCGAATACAATGATCAACGATCCATCATTGAGTAGTGTGTCATGAATAGAGAAACGTCAAAAGAATGCGCGAGGCTCACTAGAGCAAGAGACCACCGAGGGAACGATCATGAAAGGGTGATTGTGCAACGACGCGATAACGAGATGAAGCTCAAGCGACATGCTTGACCTTTCAAGATCTTGTCCAGGAACGATTCCGAGTATACTTGGGCGTACGCGAGACTACATGAACGCATGCGACATCTGGCTTGACACGGAGCATGATTCGATGTGCTTGACTTCCGCCCCTTCCCCCGATTCCGCTCCGCTCAGGTAGCCTTGGCAAGTACTACTGGCATCCTGTCTCTGTGTTTGCGTCGATATCGCTGATTTCAAGCCAAGTATGTCTTGTCATTGGGTTCGCAGTAAGTAAGTTCATCCATCTATAACAGTCTAATCGCCACACATGTCCTCTAGCCAAGTCTAAGCAGTGATCTATATGAAGTATGCGGTGTCATTGTCCTGCGATCATGTGAAGCTCCAGGTTCTGCTCCTTGCAAGCTTCTACGATGTCTCTTGACACCCCGTCCTCGCCTTCAACAATGATCAGAGTCTTCAGCTTATCGGCCACGACGGACTTGTTCTGAATCAAGCTTAGGAGGAGATCGGTCACTTCCTCGTCCGTGCCTATCGGATTGAGGAATTCCAATTTTTCTAGCTTGGGTGGCAATCCGACAGACTGCAACCGAGGCTTCTTCGATGTTTTGCCGAAGAGCTGATAATCCCAATTCATTCTTAAGGTCGTCAGCTCTTGATACTCCCGCATCCGTAGCACTTTGCGCCCGCTCAATGATGCTGAATCGATAGTAACGCTTTTGATAGAATGTCGTTGCGAGTTGAGAGCAGAGATGTAGTCGCTAAAGGTATCAGAGCTCTCCTCCAGTTCTGGCTCCGGCTCGGCTGCTTGTGTCATGACGAATTCCTCCAGGCCTGTGGGGAATTCAAGCAAATCTGACAGTCCATCATCATTGATGTCGCAGTCGATCAGATGCAGCACCTTCAGGTCCGTAGGGCTTGGTCGTTCTAGGAAGTCAAAACCTCTTTCGTCCAGCTTCGCTCGTGTGATCGTCAACCGCTCCAACGACGGTATGGTAAAGACATGGATATTCTCGCGAAGATCCCAGTACTGCTCATCAGCTGTCTGATAGAACAAAGAGCACGTTTTTAGGCAAGCCAGATCGAAAGGTCCGTTGAACACGTTTCCGATTCCCCTCAGTAGCACATCTGGTAATGAAATCTCCAACTTCTCGAGATTTGACATCCTCGAGAGCGAATTCGAAGGATCGTAATGTATTCGGGCAGGCGTGTCCAGGGCTAGCTGAGCTAGTTGTGCTGATGGATATGCGAGTTTCACCTCAACTATGATAGATGCTCGTCGTGGTCTTCGACCAAGCGATTCGCTGAAAGTGAGGTGGAGTTCAGGCGTCTCTAAGAGAAGCGTCTTGTACAGAACGGCATCACCTAGTCTGTGGTAGCGCCTGTTGAGCCTTGAGACGCTGCATAGATTCTTCTTCGTAATTCGTCCCAAGGCCTCAAAGATCTGTAAGAGGATCTTGTCGGGGAGAACGGCCAGCTGGTCCTTGCTCTGCTTCGTGAATCCATCTGTTTGATTGACATTGTTGGGACGATCATCGATAGACATGTTTTCGTAGATCCGAGTTGTTGTTGACGGTCTCCAGAAATTCAATAATGCAGCTGCTGCTGAAGCTATTCAGGAGCGGGTCGCTGTTGTAAGGCGTCTCAATGAACTCCTCGGACCCGCAAAAGTCGGTCGCTGGCAAGTGGATGCGGATTCCGTTCTGTCCAAGGAGAACCTTGAGCCTGAAGGAACTCAGCCTACTTCCTGGACTGAACAATGCGGTCTACGGCCTCCTATAAATAAGAGACGCAAGCGGTGCGACTGCCGGAGCACTCAGGGATCGTAATGGCGCAGCATCTGAGTTGTTGTAACAGTACTGTAGCAAGTCACCAAGCGTAGATCTGCAAGCCAACATGGGCTTCATCAGAGATATCGTCAAGTCCTCCAGACAGAGGCAAGAAAATGCCGTAAGTGATCAATTAGAAGGCCGAGAAAGTCGAACAGATTAAGAGGTCCAGCGCTCTCATATCGAAGCTCGAGTCCATGAAAATTCTGTCAAAGTCGCCGCTCTCCTCATACGCATCAGCCGAGTCGCTCACCCAGAGAATACGCTCGATGATGCCGGTCTCGATGAGAAGCAATAAGATCGGAGTTGCGAGAAGCCAGGGGCAGAGACGTCTCAGTTCAGCAAATTGTCAATCCAGTGCACTCTGAATGCAGTTCTTTTGAGTCTGGCACGTGTTACAAAGTAGCCGGTCAGGAGCAATGATATGGTACGTCAGGAGAATTCCAAGATTTAGCGAGTCGACATTACATACACTTGAGAATAGTAGAAGGACAGATAGCGACGAGACGGTCGAGGGAGGCTTGACCGCGCCTACGGAGATAGAAATGTTCAAAGTCCGGATGTCAGTGAAGTCGTGCGTTGACGTCATTGGAGATTCAAGTTGATGGAATGATGCGCTCGTTATTTTCTATCTTCAAATGGTGCTTCCCTGCTGGCGACCATTTCTGTGCTGTGCTGTGACACTCGATGGATAGTATGCAGCGGTCATATACTTGCGCCCGTTGCGTGTGAGCTTTCAACGGCGGGCAAGCAGCCCAACACGACAGTAAGATCGCCAAGATTATCTCACGGCGTGGATGCCCAAGACTCCCGTTCCAGTGCTGCCCGAGACTCGCCTCACGCGACTGCTTCAGCTGGTTGGAGCGCGCCTGCAGCACTGGGATTCTGTCTGACAATATGTGGCGGATTTTGCACGTGTCAACCTTGGCCGAGCAATCTGGAAGACAATGACTCCTCTGCAGCGATGTCGCATGTATATGCCTCGGAATCGCAGCAGACGTTCGATGAAACGCCCAAAGATGACTCACTAGTGACATCTTCGACATTGTCAAGCATCACGAGACTGCCGCGCGCGCACACTTGATACAATGCGAAAAGTCCTATGAGGTCGTGAGATAAGCTAAACGTCCTTCCGGCCGCGGAATTCTATACTCCACTCATATGGGATGCGGGATTCGGGCCATTTCGTCTAGCATATTGGACGACTCGTTGTGTCGAGTGGTCACTGCAAAAGTCCATGGTTCCGAATATTGATGTAGCAGGCTGCTACACGAGGTCGTGACTCGTGTTGCCCGAAATCCGAGCATTGCGTTATCGCCCGTTGTGGTAGGCGCCGCCAATTAGCGGGCAAGAACGAGTGGGAGAGACGTGACCCCTGTTGTAGTTCTCGGCAAGTCACAAACCCTACCAGACCAAACCGTCGGTACGATACCGCCAACCGGGAGCATCCCCAATTTCCACCTCAAACTTGAGGTTGAATGCCCTTTGTATGTACAGAATACTTTCCGACAATGAAGTGCGCGTGTTGGGAGAAGAAGTGCTATCGAAGGTTCCGGGACTTTGGGCGTGGTTCGCCTGCGACCTCGAAGCCTAAAACATTCAGCTGCGGGCACTAAGAAACCGCGTGTCCACCACGTCAGACTTTTGGTGGTATCGTATTCTTCGTCGAAGCATGCGGCATCTGCTGCCAACAACAAATTTCTTTAGCACGGAGATCTTCGCTGTGAGAGGTGACCGGCCGAGAAGGACACTGTCGAGGTCGTGCCTGCGTTGCTGGGTTGCACTCAAAAGTACAAGATCTGGGCCGCTGGAAAGAGATTGGCTAGGACCCCTGAAAGCGATGTCTTTTTCGAACCACTGGTTCCTTTCGATTCGTCAAAAGCCATGTGTTTGAAATCTATGTGCTACATTCGAACGTTAGACGATCGGCAAGGTGCGTGAAAAGTTGCTGTAAATGGTTTTCATGTTTATCAGAATTTATTTTGGCCCTCATTATTCCTTTCCGTGTGGCTGTGGTAGGGGCCAGTGCCACAGTACGCCACACTTAGCTCAGCAATCGTCCGGGTAGGAACTTTTAACGGGAGAAAACATTTGCCAGACCCTTGCTAGGCAGATTAGCTCGCACTTGCCCCACACGTAGTTGCCTTGAGTGCTGGGGGGCTATCTTCGAACCTTCCCTCTCTTCCTTCCAGCCTGCCATGACTCAACTATCCTAAGGTCCCAGGCTAACGGACACAGATCGTGACGGGTAACTTACGTCTCTCGCTAGCTGGCTGATTGCGTCAGTATTGGTCCTTTCTCCTCTGCCTGCTCCTTCTCGCTGGGACGTGTCTCGATTGAAAGAACTCCTCGAGAGTGATCCGCTCCCATGCAGGCTCCTCCGAAGGCAACAGAGCCCTCCTTGAGATGATGCTTCCGATGCCCAAATCACTCTGTGTCCCATCGACTGCGGCACGTTGGTATCAGCCTATCGTACCAATATCCAGTGACTTCTGCTCGCTGCGCCTATCTGCCGCCTTGTCTGTCCTCCTGTTCCAAGCCCACAAGTGGTCCGCTTTCTGTTACTTCAGTCTACAACTCGAGAAACTTATGGACAACTCAGTTCTGCACATCCACATAAGGAGTCATCACTCATGACATGGTCTCGGAAGTTTGAGGCTGTATCTTCTCGAAGTTTTGTTACAGCAGCTCTGGACAAGGGGCCCAAACCCAATCGTTCCCACGAGATGATCATCAGGTAGGCAAACAGCCAGGCTCCGCACTCTCATTCGTCATTCGAGGGTCCATCTGATATCCTCGAGCCTATTGCTGCCTTGCATAATTCTCAACGGCTTGTCCACTGGGTGCTTTCTGACCCGTGGCGGAGACGGTCTTCTGCTCGAATTGTCTTCCTTCTTCTTGTCTTCCAAACACAATTCAATGTTCTTTTACAAGTTCTGGTCCTTCTGCTCGCTCCTTATTATCATTGCTGCTCCACGGTGGGTACAGGTAGACAGTCTCGAAACAGTCAATCAACCATCAATGCCTGAGGCCGTTGAGTCATTTAGCAGGTATAAACAGGCAATGTTTTTGCTCATGAAGCCAGGAATCTACTTCTCTCTCAACCAGCAATACACGGTCACCTAGTGTACAAGTCTTACGAATCAGAGCTTCAGCCAATACACCATCACCCATAGAATCAAGGCATCAAGTGCCTTCAACCCCAGACATCAACACACCATGCTGTCACTATGTACGGAAACGATGTCGACGCCTATGGCAAGCCTCCCAAGGATGAACCCTGGCCGAAGCGGCCTGGCACAAACCGCCAGAATCTCGTGTCCTATGGCAAACAGACTCATGCAGGTCCACCCCCCTCGAAGCCATGGCCCAAGCGACCATAAGATCCTATTCCATATGGTGCCTGATGCCGCATGGAAGGGCCATACAAGCACAACAGCGCAGGCAAGGCATGAACTATGGTTCTAAGGCAGGGTGTGGACGGCGTCCTCATCAGAGCTCCATGAAGTTTCGGTCCTGGCAATCCTCAGAAAACCCACCAGCCCAACGAAAGACAACCTACCACGCATGGAGTAGTCAAGCAATTACAAGTCCATCGCGGTCGATACAAGGAAACATCTGCACATCATGGCGCAATCATCAGTACAGGAGGCCGCTCAGTCACAACCATTCGTTCCAGCATCAGCGACCATACATCTCTACTATCAGCAACCATACATCTCCAGCATCAGCAACCATAGACCATCAGCATACATTCATGACCTAAACACTTGTAACACCACATCACCATCATCCACTCATTCTCAGCCTCGACGTACTCGACGCCGACCTGGCCCCCAAAGAACTCCGCAGCCTCGCAAGAGGCGTTCATATTTCCTTTTTCAGCTGGGAGGATGCACCGTTACTACATCACTGTCACTTTCGATTAATCTACGGAGTTAGAAGGCATGCATCGGTATGGAGCGGACGGTCTTCTCAAGTATCATTCGTTTGCATGTAGCTACCACATCAATACTTCGTTGTACATCAAACTCCAGCATGTCCCTCTAGCGTGCCTCGCTTACCTCGCATGCTCGCTTACAGCACATCACACCGCACCCGGCACTGTCACCCATGAGCTCGATGCAAGGTACACTACCTCCCTAGTCAAACGCATTGATCAACCTAATCTCGCGTCCCGTCCTGTAAAGGCTCTTGTATGCGTGCCGAATATCTTCCCTTTTCGACCTTTCCAGCACCGGAAACCGTTCCATGTTGTCCTGCAAGCCGCCCATGACGGCTTCTGATCATACATGGCTATTGTTGTCTATGCTAACCTGTCGTACAATAACAGATGGGGTTCGGGGATCGCCTACTAAGCCCGAACTGCTACAGAAAGCGGTCAGCCAGCGTGCAGCCAGAAGTAGGTCGACTCCGTAGCTGGCGCCTTACAACGAGCTTAGCCTGCCAGCCTGTCGACTCAGGCACGGCTTATTCAGTGTTGAAGACACTGTCATGTTGGATTCGGTAGGTCCCGCGCCAAGTAGTACAGTTACTATGTACTGCACAGTTATGGAAGCAGTATTCAGCATGGCATCTGCCCGACGTTCCCCGGGCTTGGATTGGATATGTAGCATCGTTCACACACAGATTGCAGCATAGGGCTACCACTAGTGCATCACTGCAGTCGTAGCGGTGGAGACCCTCCGGGTACGCCTCCGCCGCGGAGTGAGCAGCACGAACAGCAACACCCCGAAGGCAGCTGACATGGCATAGCAGGCATACGCGACGAGGAGTTTCAGCGAGAATACAAGGGAGTCGCAACTGCGCGAGTCAAGGGCACGGCACAACATCGCCTCGACAAGTCGAAATGAATAATGACATAGCATTATGATGGGCCCATAGCCCGAGAATCTGTGGAGGAGGCGCAAATGTCGAGGCTGTTACGCCGAGCTGCGAGTCGAATGCGATGCCCTCATGGGATAACATCCGCGGCCGCCGTCCACCGGAATAAATTGAACGGTTTCGCTTTGATGATTGTCATTAGCTGATAAAAAAAAGTCGTTGAACTCGTCATACGGCGCGCCGTACTCTGTGGCGTGCTGTGTCGTGACATCGTAATGCAAGAGAGCCGTTGCTCTTGACACGGAGCATGATCGCTCTCTGCTATGGGATGGCGAAGTGTTCTCCATGCCCAATTGTTTCCCGTCCGTCTCTTAAAGACATTCATTCGCCACTGCCAAAGACAGTCTCGACGAACTTCCAGCATAGGCGGTGCACGTTGCCCTTGTCGAAGCGTTTGATATCGAGTGGACCGCGTTCGAAGTGGGTGGGCCGATCGGCATCTACAGAGGCACAGGAAGGATTAGCACAGTGTTCGACGGCGCTGAAAAACATTGAGAGTGGAGCGGCGCGCGGAAGAGAAGACGTACAGTATCGACGCGTGAACCCCTCCACGTGCTTCATGAGCTGGAAATTGGCTGAGTACGCTTCCTCAGCTTTGCGAGTCTCAACGGGTGGTGGCAACACATTCGACTGTCGAGGACGCTGCCGCTTCTTGGTCGCGAACTCGTGGAAATGAATGATGTACTTTCCAAGTTTCTCTTCGACTTCGTCGATGTGCAGTTGAGCATCGGGAAGGGACAAATTGATGCCCGGCTCCGTCTTTGATAGCTCGCTTAGCATCAGCAAGCGTGACTGAGTCTGGCCAATGATAATGAGGAGCATGAAAGCAAGCGAGAAGGCCAGGTCGCGTTGTGCGAGTGAGCCCCCGACAGTCTCATCTTTGGGCTTCGCTCGTGCCATGGTGAGCAGTGTCTCGTGGAGCTTTGCAAGTAGCTCGCTCGTAGTCTTCTTCAGGAACGGGAAGATAGATGCCTTGACGAACCTTTGTACAGTCTCTGGTGAGATATACTGCGTTGTGTCTGCTGGTCCAGGTCCATTCTCGAGGTGAGCAAGAAGATGGCTAATATGCTCGGGCTCTTTCACCAGAAATGGGTGGTCCAAGAGGTAGTTGAAGTAGAGTGCTGTATGCGCTTTGCGGATAGGGTCGAAGTAGGTGATAGCAGTAGCGTTATGATGAAACTCATGGATCTTCTCCGCCACCTCACCTACCCAATGGCAGCTCATATCCTCGAAGCATCTCCAGGGCCAATAGTAGCCTCCCTCATATTTTCTATCGAAGACGCTTTTTATTGAGTTGCCCAGTTGGTTGAACAGATTGTTGACGAAGCTGTCCTTGTTGAGCGAGAACGGTACGATGGGCGGATCCCAAGTAGGCTTGGTATCGATACTCCCGCTGTCGTTATTGATCTGAAAAGATTGTAGTATTCGCTTCTGCTCTAGCGGGCTGACTTCCCGTACTGGGATCTGCAGGGGCGGTCCGCCGACGCCCATGCTCAGACTGATTGTGAAATCGGGTCGATGCTGGAGATAGGTGAATCCCGCGTTATCAATGTACCTGTTCGTTTGCGCTAGATCATATCGATTTGCGATCGGTGTCGGGAAGAAGTAGTCGACTCTTTGATCGAGTCTGTCCCTGAGACAGCCCAGCTTCCACTTTCTACCTATCTTGTTGCCGCATCTCCCGCAAGGATTGCCATCGTCGCACTTCTCTTTCATACACGAGCATCGTAGGCAAGCTCCGACGTCGCGAACTTTGTTCGCGTTGCGGCGTCCTTCCTGAGTCAATGGCCCTACTCGCCTGGCTCGGCCGGAGCTCGAAGCAGGCGAGAGGGCCGAATTATGCGACGATGGACTACTGTCCGTATCCAGGTTCATGAGGTCATCTTGACGTAGTGAGTAAGGTGCCCATGGTCCGTACGATTGTGGGAGTCGTTGGAGGCGGGTAGGTGTGGGGCCGTTGGTGAATTCAACTGGGTGTACAAAACTGTCTGTTTCGGGGCTAGTCTGAATGCCTGCCAACGAGGACGAGGTACTTTCAGTTGGCGTCACTATTGATCGTGTCAGCGAATCTGTGCTCATGGGTTGGGAGCTCGACTAGTAGCAGCAATGGCGCCTAATTCAAGCTCGACAGCGTCCCCGATCGTGACCGCTGGGCAAATCCCTGGAGGCCGGACTTGGGCACCGTGACCAAGCAGGTGCTCCGTCGTCAGCATATTCGTAGGTGCCCACATTGCCACGATGACTCCATGCGCGTGTTTTGCAGTCACACAAGGATGGAACTCACATATGGACAGTGGTTGCGACGGGTCCGACCACGGCGAGAACGTTGCTGGCGAGTCGTCGAAGAGTTCTGGCGTGCGGTTCTGCTCAATATATCCGAATGCGGCAGCGTCGTCAGTGCACGGTGTATCTTCCGAGTACGGAAGTCGATAATGCTGGTTCTCGAGCGAAGTTGATAGAGTTGTGAGGTAAGGACTGGCATGCGGACTGATCTGCGTGGTGCTCTCCGGCGTCGGCGGACCGTTGGAGTTGGAATATGAAGTTCCAGGGGAGATGGTCTGGGACCTCAGAGCCTCCTGATGCGGCTCCTTCGAATCACTCCAGAGCCTCAACGGAGCCTCATTAGCTGTTGGAAAGACAGAAGTACCTCGATATGCTAAGGTGGTGTAAGGCGCGGGGCGCGGCGGTTGGTGGAAAGCTTTTCGTGAAGGATCCGCTGGTTTGCGAGCCATTCAGCAGCACCCGCCTTGCAAGCAGGGTTAGTCACAGCCACAAGGCAACAACGGGTATCAGATGGGCTTCAGTGGAGTCACTGGACAAGTTGACAATAAATTCAGAAGGCAGTGGCAACAGAAAAGACGGTCAGTCGTCAGACTGCGGTGAGTCGAGGGTATATGCGAAAGCCTGAGGCAGTCGCGGCCGGGTGGAAATAAGAGATCATGGACTGGTGGGCAGACGAGAGTGCGCAATCTGCGGTTCGGGGGAAAATGGAACATACTTCGGTGCAGAGCATCTCGAACATCTCCTAGTAGCAGCATGATCGCGAAAGCTCCTCGTAGATGCAGTGCTGGACCCATAAGGTCGACGTAGCGAATTGATGAAGGGATGGAAGTGGAAGGCATACTGTTCCTGGGCACGGGAAACGGTGATTCTCGCCACGCTTCGCCTGATCTTGCCCAGTGCATTCTGCACGACAAGCCCATAGTGGTGAATTGCGATTGCGCTAGCATTCTGTGCCTTGCTGACCGGTTAGGACGGCGGGCGATGATTCGTTCGGTCGAATCTGTGACATGGGGAATGGGGCGCCTCGTGCATGTTTGACCTCGTTGTCCACTCGCTGCAACGCTTTATCTGATGGTCGATTCGTCACGATCAAAGTGCTCGTCTCATGTCGAGGGTGTCATTTTTGTCGACGTGGAGGACTGTGACAGGACAGACGAGCTGACTGCCACATCTTGTGAGCAGAGATGCGGTAGGTGCGCAGTACTCTGCAGTCGCGCATGCGTGGGCAGCCGCGGCTCTCACAGCCTTGGCACTCGTGATCAGCATCGAGATCCTCAGCTGATTCACGAGATCGAATGACATAAATTAGAAAAGAACGAAGTAAAGAAGAACTCGTCTGCATGCACAGCGAGGCCGGAGAAGAGGAGAACTGCGAGGCACGATGTTGTATTTTATAAGATAGGTGCATTGGCTTGACCGGTGTTGGCTCGGGGTGTGCCGTCAATTTGCACTGCACGACATGGCAGCTGGTTGGGTCTAGCGCTTCAGAAGGATCACTCCTTCTGGTAGTCTAATGGCGGCCTGCCCATTCAATTGCTTCGCTCAGACCGGTTTGACGGCAACGACACCTCCGATGCTGCGATCACGGTCTTAGCCTTTCGCTGGAGGGTATGGCAATCGTGGACATTGTCGCAAATGGGATGTTGCATGCTGCCCGAGTGAGTAATGCCATAATAGTTCCCTTCCTGGCCGACCACATTTTTAGTGACCTTGTGACAGATCATGATCACTAGTTCGTGCTTGATTCACCAGCCGCGTAGGTTGCCTCAATCAGAGCAAAGGATATCGTCGATGGCTTAGCCGTTAATTCTGTACACATACTTTTTGTCCATGATCACTAGCCTTCTGATCTGATCAGAGACTCCATAGGCATCGTAGCAGCGTCACGCTGCCGGGGTATCCATATGCTCATTCCATCCTCTGTCTAGAATCATAACGCCATATCGCCATCCCACCGTAGGTTCCGATGTCGCTAAAAATGCCTCGACGTCCAATGACATGTCCTTGCTGGATCAGCCCGCTCAAATGGTGTACTTAGACTTCGCACGGGTGCTGCCAGCATGTGCGGCATCTGTGTGGCCAGAGAATTCGAGCTGCTCGCTAGCTGGAAGCTGGAGCACTTCCTTGAACTTGGTGCCAATCTTGACGAGTGTCTCTTTGGCAGCAGCCTTGCCAGTTGTGCGCGTCCAAAGGCCAATGCGGAAGAAGCCCTTGCGAACGTTCACGACGACTCCCATGATCTCGTTGTCACCCTCATCCTCCAAAGTCTCGCCGATTGCTGCGAGCTGAGCATGTAGCCAGAGCTCATCGATATTGACCAACTTCTTGTCTTTGAAGGAGTATGACCACTTGCCACCATGCTTATTCTGCGGGTCTTCCCATTCTGGTCGTACACCTTTCTTGAAGAGATGGTAGTCGGATTTGACTGCAAGATCGGAGACGGCTGTGATGTTGTTCTTGGATATGTTAGTGATGCTATTGAACAGTCGTTATAGTACCTACGTAGACACCCCAAAATTCTTCGACTGAGTCGAATTGGACCACTTCCTTCAGCAGATCGTTCCAGTTGTCGCCTTTGGACGAGGGAGGCTTTGTGAACTGGAGCTAATCAGCAAATGTTGGAGACAAAGTCTTAACAACATACCCAGAGTGACCAGCTGTTGAGTAGAGGATGCTTGACGTTGAAGTTATTGACATCGTGGAAGACTGTCTTGATCTCATCGCCGGTGGATGGCACGGTGTTCTCGTCATTGACGGTGGGACCAGCGGGTGTGGCGACGGCAACAGCGACTTCGGCCATGATGGTCTATGATGCTAGAATACGAATTTCGTGTGAAGGTACTGAGTGATTGTGTGTAGAGAGGCGGATGCGGAAAATGTAATGGAGGAGAAGAGAGGCGTGGTCGAATGCGACAAATGGAGTTTCAATCGACTCTTTGAGAAGGCGCAGTCGTCTTTACAGGCTGACTGGCTATAGTAAGGTAAGAGCGATCCGAGGCGCTCCTGTCAATAGATATTTCGAGGGCAATCGTGCAGTAGGAAGTAGGCGATCGTGGTAGAGATAAAGACAATGAACGGCTTCATTCGAAGAAGACTCGAGGACCGCGAAACTTCACCAGCAAAAGTTGTGGTTCCAAAACAGTTTAGCGTGCTTTTCTTCCCTACTTTATGCATGAGACACTGCTGCCGTTCTTGTCCTCAATCCTGCAAACGCCATTGTCACCATTTCGGAGTCTTTGAGAACATGTGTCGCAGAAGATGTAGCCATAAGAAGGTCGTGTACAGTTCACGTTGACAACGCTGGGTCACATAAATGACCTATATTTCACTGCGAGTTCAGATAGCTCAAGTAACAATTCCAGCCCAAGCTGACAATGTTCACAACCAGAACCCGATGCTCCAAAGGCACAATGCTGAAGTTGGCGGCCTGTACGGCTGGCCATATCGTCCAATTGGCTTTCAAGCCAGGGATGTAGCTCTTCTGGAGCTTCTCTTGCGGGCTCTTGCCTTCCAAGACGGCCATGGTCGACAGGAAGACAAACATGTTGGTGCTCGCAAATATGCATTGGTCGGCCAGAACACGAGCGACTATAGTCTGTGTCTTGTTCTCGAAATTGATCCTCCGTTGCAGAATGCCGTACCATTTGGTTGCTGCCGGCCCGAAAACGACTATCGTTGTCAAGAGAAGGAAAACCAGACGCTGATATCAGTACTCACGACCACCATAGCCTGCCATGCGAGCCGTTCGGGTCAAGTCCTGATTCTTGAAGCCCTTCTTCTCTACCGCTTGCTGTGCCAATGTGTCGCCTGCTCCGAACAAGACCTTCCGTTCATCAGCCTGAGTCCTCTAGGTCCCGATTCCGTCGCTCAGACTTACTGCACTCATGACAGCCTGCGTCAGCAAGGGCTGCGCCTTGAGCTTGGCCTGATACCTGTGTCTTTCATTAATGTCTATAATCCTCGCTCAGGGGCAGTTACGCACCATCGGAGAACCATAATGGCTCAATAGGGACAGGGATGCAAACAGAGTACGCTTTGTCACCGGTACATGGTAGGCGGAGTCTGTAGCCGTCACAGGAGGCAGCACAACTCCTTCGTTATCAGGGTGGATTTCGAAATCTCGTCGGCGACGTCACAGGCAATTCAGCAAAATGGGAGGACGGGGTAGAGCGGGAGAGTTTCCGTTCCAGTCGGTGAGATGCGGCTTACCCAACTTGCCCTAGTGCAGCTAGGCCTTGGCAGCGGCTTCGCCAAGACTTCGAATTGCCCGCACCTGCACTTCTAAAATTGTACCGACTGCGACAACATTGAACTACGACAGCGAACGCGAATCCTCCTACCATCCTTCCGAAACCGAATAGTCATAACAATCGCACAGTATGGCTGACGCTGCTCCCCGCCGTGGAGGTTTCGGTGACCGTGGCCGTGGTGATCGTGGTCGAGGCGACCGAAGAGGACGAGGCCGTGGCCGACGAGGCGGCAACAAGTCAGAGGAGAAGGAATGGCAGCCTGTCACAAAGCTCGGTCGTCTCGTCAAGGCCGGCAAGATCCAGTCAATGGAGCAGATCTACCTGCACTCTCTTCCCATCAAGGAATACCAGATCGTTGATTGGTTTCTGCCAAAGCTCAAGGACGAGGTTATGAAGGTACACGCGACGTTCCTGGCGATACAAGAAGAGTGCTAACACAATGTAGATCAAGCCTGTCCAGAAGCAGACCCGAGCCGGTCAGCGTACCCGATTCAAGGCCATCGTCGTCATCGGCGACAGCGAAGGTCACGTCGGTCTCGGCATCAAAACTTCCAAAGAAGTCGCAACCGCCATCCGCGCCGCGATCATCATCGCCAAGCTCTCCGTCCTTCCCATCCGACGTGGTTACTGGGGTACCAACTCGGTGAGCCTCACTCTCTGCCAACCAAGGAGTCCGGCAAGTGCGGTTCCGTCACAGTCCGTCTCATTCCCGCCCCGCGGGGTACCGGTATCGTCGCCTCGCCTGCCGTCAAGCGTCTCTTGCAGCTTGCTGGTGTGCAAGATGCCTACTCATCTTCGGCTGGCTCAACCAAGACCCTCGAGAACACCCTCAAGGCCACATTCGTTGCCGTCGGTAACTCATATGGCTTCCTCACACCCAATCTGTGGAAGGACAACAAGCTGGTCCGAAGTCCTCTTGAGGAGTATGGAGATGTTCTGCGGGAAGGCAAGCGTTACTAGATGTGTGTAGCGAGACACAATCAGCAGATCTATGGAGTCATGATGGACATTTCACGTTCAGGAGTCCAACAGTCGAGAGGATGCGGTCGATAAGCGTAGCTTAAACAGATCTGCACAGTTCTGTCTACTGGCTCGAACACTAACGAGCAATCAAAGAATTCAAACATTCATTCTTGCTCTATGAAATGGCTCTGTGCATGTTCGGTGTTGTCGGTGTCGTGTGCGAGGTCGTGGCGCATGTCAAACTCTCAGATATGCAGAGAGCGAAATTGTACACACATATCGGATGCCACCAGCGTGCTTTCGATCCTGCTGCTAGAATCCTATGCGCTCTCAATCAACCTGCCGTTGAAGTGTAAGCACCTTCAGCACCGTTGGTGACCATCCGGCACAAGGCTCAGCACTCTCTTGTACATCCATACCATGCATTCAATCCGTCTACGACGCTCCTGACTACTCTAACAGCTCAGTCATCATGCAGCGCGGCTTCCTCCAATCCCTTCAACGCATGTTCCAACTCCCTCACCCTCTGACCCACCCGCCTCTGTACCTCCTGTGCCGTCTCCGGCGTAGCCTCTTTCAGTGACCCCTCATAGGTGCTTTGCAACTCCTCGAATGCTTCCCGCGCCGCAGCCCGGTCGTCCGCCGCATACACGGTTTTCTTCTCTGTTTCTTCGGCTGCGATCTCGAACTCGTCGCGGGCAGTGCCGTAGAGATCTGTGAGGGTTTCTACGAGGGCATCTGCGGTAGGCGGCGCGGCGAAGCGCTGAGAAGTAGTCGAGAAGGTACGGATGCTGTTGGTGTTTCTTGTGGTTGAAGAAAATGTGCGCAAAGTCGTGGTGCCTTTGCGAAGGTTGAGGGTCAGGGTGAGCAGGGAGTAGGTCGGGCGAGTTCTGGGTGTAAGGGCGAGCTCGGATGGAGTCGATGAAATGACGGAGTTTTGGCGGAGGGGTTTGGATTGGTGGTAGTGTGCTAGGAGGGCACAGGTAGGGATCGATGGTTGAAGGGAGGTGCTGCTGCTGGTACTGGGCCGCTTGAGGGCGCGCCGGGTCTGGCGAGCGAGGAGGGTTGCTATCCGTTGTGGCATTTCGTGGGCTCTGTCAGAGTGGTATGATTCAGCGATTCGCTCGTAGGAGATAGCTACGCGAAGTCAATGCTGTGCCTCTCAGAATTTCCGAAAGGAGTGATCGGAATGGCATCCAGAAGTTCTCTGGAATGACGTCGTCGGAGGACTTCCGCGACTTTACTTTGATTTACTAACAAACACATCTGCAATGCCCATAGTACACGCAGCACCCGCCATCGTAAGATGTGATCGTAGACGTAGCAAAACACTAAATTGTCGTCATGTATACACATGAGTCTATCTTCACACCGTCGCCGTCTTGAGTTCGGTGGGATTTCGCAGGGATCTCTGAGGCGGATGCGTCAGATCGTCCTTCAGATTTATATTCGGGTCTACCCATACACCCAGGACCTAGTCGAGGGAAGAGGATTGATCTGCGCACAACGATAACCAACGCGAATCAGCTGGATGGTCGAAGGCCAACAAGTCAGAGGGACCGTACGGATCTTGCCACTGATTGTGTTGCTGTGCGGCCTTCTTCTGGTCCACCTGAACATAGAGATTGTCGCCGACTACACCGGCGCAATCCTGGCGCGTTCGAAGGTTTTCTCCAGGCTGTTAACCACGACGAGCCACATGATGGCCCCCAACTACCCTCGCCCAGACCCAAGCACAGTCCAGCAGCACCTCGCCGGTAGTGCCCAGTCCTGGCATGGTCAGATCACACCCGATGGGCCTTTCCAGCCAGAAGTCGGCCGCTATCATATGTATATAGGCCTTTTCTGTCCCTTTGCGCACCGGGCCAACATCATTCGGCACTTATTCAACCTTCAAGATGCCATTCCAATATCAGTCGTCCGGGCGTATCCGAAAGGTGACGAGAACGGGTGGCCAGGATGGAAGTTCCCAGCAGATGATGCAGAATATCCAAATGCCACGGTCGACCATTTGTTTGGCAGCAAGTATCTGCATGAGGTATACTTCAAAGCAGATCCAGAGTATAAAGGTCGTTACAGCGTACCCGTCATCTGGGATAAGAAGACTGGGACAATCGTCAATAATGAGAGCGCTGAGATCATGAGGTGGCTGCAGGGGGCCTTCCAGGGCGTTGTTGACACGAAGCGACAATCAATGGACTTGTATCCCGAACGTCTGCGAGATGTCATCGACGAAGTATCTGAGTGGATGCAGAGCAATTTGAACAGAGGTGTATACCAGGCCGGCTTCGCCGAGACACAAGAGGATTATGAGAAAATGGTTCCGCCTGTGTTCGCCGCACTTAATCGTGTCGAGAAGATGATTGCGCAGAATGGCGGACCGTACTTGCTGGGGAAGACCTTGACGGAGCTGGATGTGCGAGCATATGTAACAATTGTCCGATTTGACGCTGTCTATGGTAAGTCCTTTCTCAAACTCGGATGTGCTGCCATCTCTGACTCTGTCATGTAGTGCAACACTTCAAGCTGCAACTGGGCACGGTCCGCCATAACTACCCGCAGATCAACAACTGGTTGAAAAAATTGTACTTCCATGTCCCAGGTTTCAAGGAAACCACAGATTCAAGCATATCAAGGAAAACTATACGGTAAGTGTCCTCTTGCCTGAGTTTGTGTCTCTGCTGATACTTTTGGCGAACAGAAGAGCCACTACTCGATCAACCCAAAGGCAATAACGCCCATGGGGCCTTACCCGTACGTCGAAGAAGGGTGGAGGGAGAACCTAGATGTTGTTGGGGGCATCGAGATGGAGGAAGTCGTTGACTTAGAGCGACAACTGAAGGGAGGTTTCATCCACCAGATATGAGGTCAGGTAATTCAACAGCGATCTGCGAATATCGAAGCAAATTGATCACCACAGCTTGCTTAGCGACCGCGAAGATCGGCAAGATAAGATCGTGCTCGAATCTCGTGGTGCTTGGATGATCAGCATTCACCCGTTGATCTGCTTCTAGTCGATCCTGACAATAAGATCTTGAGGCTGTCATAAAGCCGTTGTCCTTTGATGCACAAGCCAGCCGCTCGGATCTTCGTATGGATGTTAATGTGTCTTTGCGTCTTCGTGAATTACCCTGTACGTTCGAAGCATAGGGGAAGTCGCGCGCGCGAGCTCAGCAAGGACGAGATACCTGTCCGGTTCACCTGCCTAATTCGTACTTGCCAGGGTTGTGGATAATGCAATCTCGTTGCATCTCCTTTCCTCCCCTATTGAATGTTATCGCAACCCTTTCATTCCGGCCTCCGTCGCTTGCGTGGCCATCAACGAATCCGGAGCGGTTGCAAGGCCTGTCCAAGCCTTGAGCCGAGCTGCGAGCCTGCGAATCATTATTATGCTCGAGCGACAACCGCTGATTGCCTGCCAAATGTTGCTCGACGCGCCGCCTATTCGAGCTACGTGTGCAACTGCTGCTACATCAAGCGCAGCGCCCAACAAGGTGAGGCCATTGAGGTCTCTCATCAGCTGAAGTATGGAAGCTCGCACTAGCAAACCAGCGGTGATCGCTGCAAGAACGGTTGAAGAACCTCGTCCGTTCATGACAACGACCGGGGCTTGTCATCCTGGCGGCTGCGGCTGTGGCTGATTGTGGGCATCGCTAGTCCCTCACGGCATGCTAGAAATGACGGTGTGTGCTCCAAGAGCACATCCTGATCGAACTTTTGAAGTCTGGCACATTTAGTGTGGTCACGCTCGCCATGCTCATTCATTGCAGGATGCACAGATTTCTTCAGTTCTTCGGGAATGTTCTGCATATCCTGTGAGGATCCTGACAAAAAGACTAACACGAATGCCATGTGTCCACATCCTTCGTCCAACGTTCGATATCTTCACCTGGAGGGTTTAGCTCCAGGCACGCCCGGACTGGCGATGCTGATCGTGCGCTTGGAAGATCCACCTTCAAGCCACCAAAGCCCAATCTCGATCATCCCTGCCTCATTTCTGGCCAAACAAATCCCTTGTTTGCAAATCGCTCCTCTTGCTCTATGCTACCGTCGTTTCTGCCAGGCTCTCGTTGTCGTCCTTGCTGATATTCGTTGCTATCAAGCGAGATACAACATGCTCCAGCACTGGCTAGGCCTTCGTCTCAACCCTGAGCCTACTGCCTAACCACCTTTCGACAACACGACCTCAGAACGAGCGACTGAACTTTTGTTCTGCCACATGAGGAATTGTATATTGCGAGCAGACTTGGAGAGGAATCACATGGGTCAGCACCACACTTGTCCTGGTGTGCACGAACATGCAGTATCAGCCGTATAAGCCGAGCAACATTGCGACCGTCCAGTGCTCGAAATGCGACAAAGCAGTTGATATTGGGCTAATATCAGAGCACACATGTGCCGCACCTTCGAGGCCACCCAACACACTCCCGTATCCAGCTGGCATACCGCAAATCCGGACACCGCCTAGTCCGGCTGCTTCATTTCGAAATGTACAGCCCCGTGGGCCTTCATTGCATCTTGGGCGACAACGACCGGTGTTGCCCAAGATCGACTCATCTCTTACTTGTACGTGCAACAGCTCCTGTCCGCGTGCTACCACAGTCACTAACGTCTTGCAGGGCAGAGCAGCGAACTCACACCAGCCAGCAGCGGCCAAGGCTCTTTACTCGCCTCTCCCGTAAGCACATCTTCAAGTCATAGATCAAGATCGAAGACTCGAGCACCGGCCATCCGACGACCTCCCTCTCCCGAACTCCTCAGTCAAGACTGCGCCTTCCCGCCGTTCCCCGGCATGGGCGCCTCTAAGTCAAAGTCATCTAGCAAAGACCGGTCAAAAACAAGAGCTGCAGGGTCAGCCAGGTCCTCCTCCAGCCAACCTCAGTCACCGTTAAGTCATAGCAGAACAGTGTCGAGTACAAGCTCTACGACGACAACGGCCACAAAGTCGAGAGGTCGCTCAAAGTCAACGTTCGGTGAAGGACCTCGCCCGACTACAGCACCCGAGGGTCACGCGCCGGAATTCAGTTCGCAGCTGAGAAATATCGCTGTACCGCCACCATCAGTGCCCAACATGCCTCCTCGGCTACTTCGTTCGGAGACATCCCCGACTCCGCCCATAAATCGAGAAATGCAGCCACCGTTAACAAGGATGCGAACCTTCGACAACATTATTGGGACCCAGGACAGCCCCGCCGAGCTTGACGGTGCAGAGTCATCGACGGCTGGCAAGCCGCCAGCGGAAAGAGAACCGACATACAGAACAAGGCGCCCACCTCCGATCGAAAGCGGCTTGGGCCTGCCTCAGTCCTCGCAGCCACTCACGTCGCCTGCTCCTTCGTCCGCACGATCGCTCAAGCGCACCCTGACAGAGAAATTGTTTGGTCGGAGACCGTCAACAGGACGTCGTTCTATTGTTCGAGCTGCCTTGAGCGACGAACCAGACTCCACGCTGCGCCACCTGTGCCGCCTCTTTCCTTGACGGCAAGTGGAACTCCACCGTTGAGGCCTGCAAGACCCGCTGAATCGGAATGGCCGGACATGTCTCCATCGGCAACTGGGTATACTATGCAGACACCGTCACCAATAATCACCATATCAAAGAGCAGCTCACCGGAGCTGGATCCTGCTCCAGCATTCGAGCCGAATCAGGTCGTGCAGGACAGGGATGCCTCGTTTGCTGCTCTTGAAGGGTCAGCGCCATCAGCACCGTCGAAAGAGGAAAACCGGAAAGACAGCGAGACGCTCCCCAGAGACGATGACCGAGGCCTAGGCATAGCTTTCGACTTTGGTCTGGACCAGGTTCCAACCACTGGCCCAACGACTGCCACTGAACAGACGCAATCACACAGACAGTCTAATAAGGTAGATGCTGTTGAGAACATGCGGCGAATTTCAGTGGACTCTGCCTCTTCATATGGTTCGATCGGATTCACGGACAGGACGTTCAGCTCTCGATCGAGCCCGCCTCCGCCAGATGAGACCACACGCAAACGACTAGAGCCCACGACGCAACTTGCTCTCGAAGACAACTCACATATCGCACCACCTCCACCTCAGCCTCGAGCGGACGAGTCCATGGCAGAGTCGCCCACGGTTCCATTCGATACGGATGGTCATCTAACTGCATACCTGGCCAAGAACGATCCTGCAGCTGTTGTGACCGCCTCAATTGATACGTCAGTCGTGTCACCTCCACCTCAAGACCGCAGAGTGTCCAGCTCTTCATCCGTTTTCTCGGATTCAAATGATGTTGACATGGTGCCGATGCAAGGGTTTCGTCCCCGCAAAGACTCACTGGCTGGTGCTCCGCCACCTCTCTTTCACAAGTCCACCTTACCCGCTCGCACAAGCTCAAGGCCTGCTGTTGGCGAGAGCAAGAGCACCCAGTCTTCGATGGAAATGCCACTGCCAACGCATTCACCTCGACAGGATTCTTTGTCCAGTGTCAGTAGTCGAAATGCTTCCAAGGGTACGTGTCGAGGTTGCTCGCAGCCAATCCTTGGCATGCAGAAATCGGTGTCCAGCGCAGACGGCCGGCTCAGCGGCAAATATCACAAGGAATGCTTTGTGTGCCATACCTGCAAGGAGGCCTTCGCCACAGCGGAGTTCTACGTCCATGCAGATCAGCCATACTGCGCTCATCATTACCATAAGTTGGAGGACTCTTTGTGCGCAACCTGCGGCAAAGGAATCGAAGGCTTGTATATGGAGACAGCCAACGTGGCAGGCCGCGGAAAGGAGAAACACCATCCAGCGTGTCTCAAATGCACGACATGCCGCGTCCAGTTGACGGATGACTACTTTGAGCTGTCTGGAAAAGTGTACTGCGAAAGAGATGCATTCCGTCTGGCAAAGCATCCGCGGGTGCACAGCAGGGGACCAGCGCGACCAAGTCCACTTGTCCGTGAATACATTCGCTCTGGTACGGACGCGATCAATGGCAGCAACTTCCCAGAGCGACGACTCAATCGACCAATCTTGCAGGCACGATAGCGAATGGGTATTCTTTTCTACTGATATCGATTTTGAGAGGTATTTTTAGCGAGCATCTGGCGAAGCGAGACCGCACTTTAGACCGAATTGCGACACTGGAATTTTATCTTGGACACTGTTATGACGAATTTATGAAATTAGAACTGGTCGTGTGAGCAGAACATGTCACACAACAATGGGCTTGCTGCATGGCAGGCTATGCCGCAGTCGCTAATGAGCCTGCTTGTGTTATTTGAGTGGCAGAGCCGTACAGCGCTTAGGCCAGATTAGGTTTCATGAGAGGGATCGTTGAGGTGGTCGAAGGGTCGGAAGAGGAACGTCGTCGAAGTACCATATCTGTGGAAGCGGTAGGTCGATTCGATCCCTGCATGCTGACTACCACGCTTGGCAGTCGTATCAGACTATAGCATAATGGATTAATCTAATTCGACACTGCACGAGGTCTCCTGCATACCGCATTGCATACTGCATTGCCCATCGGTCCAAGCTGATCATACAGGGTCAAGTCTCTCGCTTGTGGCTAGTCTGTGCTACACCGCATTTCTGCGCAAGTATATGTCTCCTCCGCTACCTTTGGATTCAAGAGCATCAGTCTAGATCATACTTCCACGTGTCTCAGACTACATTGCTACCGCTTGCTGCTCGTCAGCGGATGCTTGGCCGGCTTGGCTGAGATCTGGGATAGTGCACACAACGCGGTCGTTCATCAGGGTCGACCGTGGTCACGCGGTACACAGTCCCACGTAGGTGGATTTACAAGCATGAGATGGTAGTAATTCGCTTGGACACGGCGACAGCAACCCAATAGCGAAGACCACGACATTGAGCACCGTAAGATATCAGTGCCGGACACCCAATCAATGGAACTCACGAGAGCCGAGGCCTGCAAGCTAAGGCGCCCCCGGTATCCACGAGAAGATTTCGTGCAGCAAACATGTCACCGCAGCGAGGCCCATGGATAGTGATGGTGGATAAGTTCAGTGCTGAAATGGACCGGAGTCCTCGCTCCAACCAGAAAGCGTACCGGAAGAATAGAACGAAATTGTGGTTCAGATTTGAGAGCCACACCCACCGCTCATTTGCTGATGGAGGGGCAGAATGGGTACGGGATAGATAATAATTTGACCGCACAACGCACATGATTCAGTCAGGCATCAATCAGTCGGTTCAGTCCAGTCTCTTTGTTGATAGCAGTAGACGATCTCTAGCTCCGTGCTGCGGCTCGATGGCGGCTAATGCATTCGTATGGCAGCCTTGGGACCGGAAGTTGTGGAAAGTGTAGTCAGAGCAGGTGGAAGGCGCGGATGTGAGAATCTCACCACTTTAGTCAAGGTTGGACAGTAGATATTTCAATCCCACAACTGTCCCATCCCTACTCGTCTTCTAGACTTTCTTCTCTGACCAGCATCCATCGTCAAACACATCACATCGGTCTCTATCGACGTCTTGTCACTGAGATCGCCAAACTGCTAGGCTTCGGCCACCCCTACACAATTCTCAACAATAGGATCACTCTCGAGTGGTCCGCGCAAATCAGCAAAGACGTTTTCTAATCTGCTCCCGTCGTGAGTCCGGCCCATGCCATCCCCTGAAGACCGCTTGTTGGCATCAATCACAATCATGCACATTGCCGGTGGAGTAATGCTGTCGGTCCTGTTCACAATGCCGTCGTCGCCACGCTGCCCAACAATTGTTGCCAACTCATACTGATATGCCCTTCCTCAGGTTACATAACCCGTTCAAGGGTGCTCGTCGCTCGGCCGCTCCTGGAGGGGACTCGGGCTCTGCCAAAACTCGATAAAGCATTTCACCACTCTCAAACGCCCAGCTACTACTACTCACCACATCAGCTTAATTGTTTTTGGCAGAAATGGCCCCTCACGCCGATGTCGGAGCAGGCACCATGAACGGGTTTAGTATCACGAACGGCACACTGACGCCCCCAGAGTTCATTCACAACCAGAAGGAGACATTCATCGTCAACTCTCCCGATGTTCAGTACTCTGCCGACCAAATTAGGAGCAAATATGTCTACCGGACCACCACTGTGACCAAATCTGGCGACTACTACGTTGCCGCTCCCAAGGAGACAACGTATGACTTCAAGGTCGATCGAAAGGTCGGCAAGACGGGTCTGATGCTTGTCGGTCTCGGCGGAAACAATGGGACTACAGTCACTGGCGGCATTCTGGCAAACCGACGCAATCTGACTTTCGAGACCAAGGAGGGCCCGAGACCCTCGAACTACTATGGGTCACTGGTCATGAGCTCAACGATGAAACTCGGCACCGACGCCATCTCGAATGAGGAGGTCAACATTCCTTTCCATGATGTACTACCCATGGTACACCCGAACGATCTGGTCATCGGTGGTTGGGACATCTCGAGCATGAACCTGGCAGATGCCATGGATCGTGCTTCCGTGCTCGAACCGGATCTTAAGCGACAACTCCGCAAAGAGATGGCTTTGATGACGCCTCTGAAAAGCATCTACTATCCCGACTTCATTGCCGCTAATCAGGAGGACCGCGCCGATCACATTCTTGAAGGTTCGAAAGCCTGCATGGCCCACGTTGAGCAGCTCAGAACTGACATTCGGTGCGTCCTTTCGCCCGTCCTGTCCATCTTCCCTATGACTGACCCGCTGCTAGTGATTTCAAACGCAACAACAACTTGGATAAAGTCATCGTCCTCTGGTCCGCCAACACGGAGAGATTCGCTGAGATCATCCCCGGCGTCAACGATACTGCCGACAATCTACTTAAGGCAATCGAGCAAGGTCACGAGGAGGTATCACCATCCACAGTCTTTGCTGTCGCCTGTATCCTCGAGAAGACCCCGTTTATCAACGGCTCTCCTCAGAACACATTCGTACCCGGCGCTGTACAGCTTGCCGAGCAGCACAACGCTTTCATTGGAGGGGATGACTTCAAGTCTGGCCAGACCAAGATGAAGTCTGCTCTCGTCGAGTTCTTGATCAATGCAGGCATCAAGCTCACCTCCATTGCTAGCTACAACCACTTGGGCAATAATGACGGCAAGAATTTGAGCTCTCAAAAGCAGTTCCGATCGAAGGAGATCAGCAAGTCCAATGTTGTTGATGACATGGTCGCCGCGAATTCTGTGCTCTATAAGAAAGGTGAGCATCCGGACCATACTGTCGTCATCAAGTACATGCCTGCTGTTGGTGACAACAAGCGTGCTCTTGACGAGTACTACGCCGAGATCTTCATGGGCGGCCACCAGACGATCAGTCTGTTCAACGTTTGCGAGGATTCGTTGCTGGCCTCGCCACTCATCATTGATCTCGTCATCCTTGCCGAGATGTTCACTCGCATTCAGTGGAAGAACAACACCGAGCCGGAATACAAGAATTTCCACTCTGTCTTGAGCGTTCTCAGCTACATGCTGAAGGTATGTCGACGCTCTCTTTCCTTTGATTCCACTACTGACACGTCGCAGGCCCCCATGACGCCTCCCGGCACACCTGTCGTCAACGCGCTGGCCAAACAGCGCAATGCTCTCACCAACATCTTCCGTGCTTGTGTCGGCCTTCAGCCCGAGTCCGATATGACACTCGAGCACAAGCTCTTTCCCGAGGCGAAGAGCAAGAAGCTTGTTCAGTGATATTCCTGGTCTTCGATACGACAGTGACGGCCGATGAGATACCACCTTCCACTGAATTCATCATGCAGTCCGCAACAGCATTGATCCGGGTCCTGGAGGCATCCACCAGATTGCACAGAACACATTTCCTTACTAATCTCCTTACCACTGAAACACACGAAAAGACACAAGAGAAATCGACATTTTGAGAACCTGCTTGGGGTACAGAACTGTTCCATCACCACAGAAGAACAACACAACACAAAAAACACATCCAACTTGAGCTTTCACTCGCTTGCATCATGCAACCACTAGGCATCCAAGAGAGCGAAGACATGCACATATGTCACAATAGATCGAGGGTTCGAAAGGGTTGCATGGAGAATTGGGAACGGTATTCTGGTGTGGCCTTTGTGAACACTTTTTGCTAGATCGACAGATTGTTACTACTATGTTGTTGCTAGCAGAATTACAATGGCTTTTCAATTCGAAAAATTCAGCTTCTTTCCATCTAACATCGTCCATCATCGATCTTGGAGAGCGAGAAGCCTGGCAGCTCCGTCCTGCGTGGTGGATGATAAGCAAAATGTGATGTTGGGGTCGCTACTTCCTTTCGGCGCTCCCCCTGCATTCAAGACTTACCAAATAGTCTTTGCTCATCCTCAATTATTTTCCTTCAAACACTCAAACCTGTGCGGTGTCAAGCGGAAGTGGACGGTTTACCTTGGCTTCTCCTTTACTTACTTGATTCGGTCACTACAGTCCGTCATGTCGCTCAGCGAACCTCGAAAATCGTGCAATGCGGCAATTCCGCCTTCAGTCATCGAGACCTACCACAGACTACGCGCAGGCGTCCGGAGACAGGTCACCTGGAAGCTTCTCAGCGAGCGGATCGAAATATGGCCCGACCGGGAGCATCTCATGTATCTCAGCGCGGTCTTGCTGGAGTTGCCGTTGTTGAGGCTGTGGAAGGACAAGAAGCTGTACTGCATGCCGTGCGAGCGATGCGGGGGTGTCGTCTTCGGCAACGAGGTCGTCGGGATGTGTGAGCACTGTCAGCGGGCTGTGGAGCTGAGGATCAATCCACTGGTCTTAGGGCTCTTGAGTGATGAGACGGCGGGCTTGAGAGGCGAGCATAATCTGTTGGTCGCAGATGAGGTATGGGAGAAGTTGTTTGGACTCGGGCAGGGGACTGGGAACGATGAAGCGATAAGCGAGAAGTGGTTGAGGGAGCGGGAGCGGATCGTCAGGTACCAGCGGTTCACGTGGGTTTTGTTATGGGTTCGTGGTTGGGATGGAGGGAGACTGGTTGTTGTTGATGTGCTTGACGTGAATGGTACTGAGTTGTGACCAAAGCCGCTAAAGAGGTGAGAATCGATTGCTCATCAGCAGTCAGCGACCCCAGAGAATGCGAGCCTAAACCTGAACTGCTTTTGCTAACATGACTTGTCAAAGGACTCGTTGGTCAGCCGAGACTGGCACGAACCAGATGCTACGTCGTATCACTCATGGCACACTCGCTATCGCGGACGAAGGCTTTGCCGTCCATTGCGCCTTTCTCCGGTCGTCCTCTGATGATGTGAGTGTTCAGCAAGCCAGACTCTTGCGATGAGACGAATAACCATCTCACAGCTCCTTCCGGAATTGCCGCTTATCGGAATCGAAGAGGGCATTGAGCTCGCTCTCTTCTCGGCTCTCGCGCTCATGGCGTTCCTGCGTCCTCGACAGGGTTGGTCCAGAGCTCTCTGCTCTCCCGCATAACTGGAACTCACGTTGAGAAATCGAGCACGGGAATTGGTGGGCGGAGCGATATCAGCACAAACAAGCAAATGCTAGAAGCCTTGGCGGGCGTCAGCGTGGAGAGATAGCGGAAAGAGCTTGCCCAGGAAGCGAAGGTCGAAGCCTTTAGCAAGCTCTTGGGTCCCCCCACCACCGCACGCCGAGGTCCAACACTCGTCATTGTCACCATCTTTCCGGCCCAGCTTTGACCACACGTGGGATAGCTACATACTTTCTACGGATAGCTACTGCATGTCGCTAGCATGTAGCAAGGATTCAGCAGCACGAAGCGGGGGACGAAGAGTGGTAGGTGACATCTTTGGACCTGCACTAGTGGTGGCCGGATCGAGGAAGTCCATGATACAGCTCTGCAAGCTGCATGGAAGATATCAAGGTAGGAAAATCCTCTTGCGAGAAAATGAGGCTTCTGCGTCTGCTGTGGTCTGTCGCTGTGTGAGCTGCTCCTGTCTGCTACAATCGATTTCGTCGAGCTCTTTCCCCTCGTTGGCTTGTCTGGCCCTCTCTGTCGTTAGTTGAGTCTTCTTTGAGCTCAGCAAGCGAGATGGTGTTCACCGTTGCAAAGCTCGCCGTGGCGGCAGCAGTCCTGAACAACGCAGTCAGCGCAGTCCCTCTTGCCGGCCGCCAAAGCGGCAAATATGACTGGCACGACTCGAATGGTGGCCACACACCGATCGAGCCGCCAACGCCGGGCTCTGGCTACTTCATATCTTACGGCCCACGTCCATACTACCTGCTTAACAACATGACAGACTCGCCGTTGAAGCGCAAGCTTCAAAGCTGTGAGAACGGGCCATTTGAGATCACAGCCTTCAGCATCGCGCATCGCGGTGGCGCAGATCTGCAAATACCGGAGGAGACTGTCCAGAGCTCCGTCGCTGGCGCGAGAATGGGCGCTGGTGTGAATGAGTGCGATGTGGCATTCACGAGTGATCTGGAGCTTGTCTGTCGCCATGACCAATGTGATCTCCATACCACGACCGACATCATGAACCGACCAGAATTGCGTGAGAAGTGCAGTGTTCCTTTTTCGCCAGCCAACGATACTGCACCAGCCAGCGCGACATGCTGCACAAGTGACATCACTCTAGCAGAGTTCAAGGGTCTCTGCAGTAAGATGGATGGCTTCAACAAGAGCGTGAGTGATCCTCGTACAAACAGGGGAGCATACAGACTTACTTTCAACGCAGGCGACCACACCCGAAGACTTCACCAAGGGCGGCATCCCCGTCTGGCGCACCGAGCTTTACAATACGTGTGGCACGGTCATGACCCTCGCCGAGTACATTGATCTCACGGACTCATTCCCTGGCTACCGCAACTTCACGCCCGAGCTCAAGACACCTCCCGCGGCAGTCACCATGCCCTTCCCATCCGAGAACGGCAACTACACCCAAGCCCAATTCGCGCGCGACATGGTCGACACCTTCCTCGAGAAGGGCATCTCCCCCTATCGCGTCTTCCCCCAATCTTTCCTCCCAGACGACGTCTACCTCTGGATCGAAGAATACCCAGACACCTTTGGCCCACAAGCGTCTACCTGGACGAAGAAGCCGACGACCCAGCTGACTTCCCCGCCGCCGTTGCCCGCCTGCCCGAGCTGGCCGCCAAGGGCGTCAACATCATCGCGCCGCCCATCAACTACCTCCTCACCGTCACAGGCGAGAACAATGAGACTATCATTCCTTCAGACTATGGTTATGCTGCGAAAGCGGCGGGGCTGGATATCATTGCGTGGACGATGGAGCGGAGTGGGCCATTGACGAACGTCAAGGCGTCTGAGGATTATTACTTCAGCACGTTTGCGGACGGGGTCAAGACTGATGGGCAGTTCTTTGAGATACTGGACATGTTGGCGCAGGAGATTGGAATTGTGGGTGCCTTTAGTGATTGGAGTAGTAGTGTGAGCTACTATGGGAGTTGTATGGGGTTGAAGGGGACCTATGGGGAGAAGTACCATGCTGCGCCGTATCGGCAGGGGCCGCTTTAGGGCAGGGTGATGGTGGTGAAGTGATGGTTCCGCCCTCATTGTTGAAGAGAGACGATGACGGAGGGGACGAAACACGCGAAGAGGCGGACGAGTGAGCTACTTACCTCGCTACTATAGACAATTAATACAATGTGCACATACCTAGACTAGTCCGGATTCAAGGTCGCTGTCAAGACTCTCCTGTGAAGATACTGTTAAATACTGTCTTCGAGTCGACCTCAAGGGCGAGAAGGCGCGACCACGTGTACGACCGAAAACCCGGGACGACGCGGGGAATTCTGGAGGGTCGTAAGATTGCTGCTTCCAACTTATCCGGTTCTAGGCCTCGTGCACCTGGAGATCGTCCTCTTGTACGACAACCTGCAGTCTCACGCACCTCCTGCCTCTGCTCGAGTTTGGTCTTCCAACACCTCATGACTGCTTAGAAGTCCGCGCACACTACACTCATCACCACTACTCGAAATCAGATCTAGCAGCACTCGAGCTTTTGAGCAAGACCCAGCGACGTCCACAGCGTATCCGCTCTTCTCCAAACGATGACAACGAGTCCTCGCTTCACGCGCCCGAGCCCACCGACATCATGACCCGACGGAAACGCACACCAGAACCAGAGCCTGCTCGCAAGCGCGTGGCCTTTGCAGCGGGCACAGCATCATCTTCTTTCCGCATACCTGCTTCGCTACAGCAACTCTCTGCGCTGTCAGCGACGCTTGCGCGCTCTACGGATGCGCCGCGTGAGCTGGGAAGCTCGGAGATCGTAGCAAAGGCTCAAGCGCTTGCTGGCGCACATGCACCGACGAAGGTTGGCGTGGGGCAGAATGGACGACAGCAGCACAATGGTGTCCAACAACCGGACTCAGTTGCTGGTGCCAAAGAGCTGAAGTGGAGGAGTATGCAGCAGGAATTCCCGGAGGAGCAGACGTGGGTGAAGAGTGTCGCCAACTACTCGACTCAGGGTCAGGCTCGCGCGTTGGTGAAGAAGTATGCTGGTGTACCGACTGACCAACAAAATCTGGCCATGCGCTATGATGCCATTAATGGTGGTATCATCTCTGGAGGATCAGGAGGCACAGTACAATATCCACATGCGCAGACGCCTACACAGCCAACGAGCAGTCCTCTAACGCCGAGCTATCGCATCGAGCCGGATGGGAAGATCATCTTGCTGGACACACCGGACAATCGCAATGTCAGCCCTGTCCTCCCGACACCTGTGAACGCGCAGGACGACGAGAACGGCAAGAAGCGCAAGTACACGCAGTTCGTCGACAGACATCAGTACAGCTTTCCTGTGCAACAGGTATGGGTGCAACCTCAACTCGATAGGCTAGGTGTTCGAGTCACGCCCGACACTTCGGACACCAGTTCTCGACGGAAGGAAGGGTTACGAATCGCTAGTGACGATCCGGAGATCGAGGCGCGCCGAAGAGCTCTAGAGCATGAGCTAGTACGAGGAGGCTTGGCTAACGGTGCCTCGCCGTCGCAACACATACACAACACTCCACCTCCGAGTGCTCCCAGAGTCACCTACAGCTTGCCCCAGAAAGCGGCGCTTGCTGCGGCACAAGTAGGTGGACATCTGCCAGCACAGGTCGGTCCTCCGAGAATGCCGACTCCCGAGAGCCTTGAGTATGATAAACACCAAGCAGAGATCGCGGCGTTGATCGCTAGGAAGCGAGCAGAAAATGCTGCATCTGGTCAGATGGCTCGCCTGCTGGATTTGAAGAGCGCACATCAGCAGAAAGTGGCTTCGGCTGGCGGAGTCGCGTCACGCGTGTGGTCTTATCCTCAGCAGCCAGTATTCCGTCCACCAGCGGTCCCGACTCCCGTGGCGGCTCGGGTTGCTTCTGCGGCTACTTCGGCGAGGCCTGTGATGGGTCAACAGACCGGCCTGGCAGACGGGACAAACGACGGTCGAATTGACAACTCGAACGAATCCGACGAGGACGCACCTGGCGAGGACGACGAGCCGGACACATCAGGGGTAGATGGCAATGATGCAAGCAATGGCATCCCGAATGGCGGTGTTGACACTGTTACAAACACGACGCAGCATCTAAGCACTGATCCGGGCGACCTGGCCAGCTTGTTCTCCTCGAGAGATCCGTCGCCGCCTGTAGCGCAACAACAGCCGTCAAGCTACGGCTACGACGGTCCCTCGGACGGCATACGGAACAAGGCCGACGCGAGCACCACAAACGGGCTACCACAAAGCCAGCGAGCAGCAGAAGAGCAAGACGCAGCAATATCCCCCTCGGCACAACTGCTAATAGCGTTGGCAAACGCCACACCGGCATCGAGCTGGAATTCATCCGATACTACAACTGGGGCTGTTCCTGCTTCTACACCGCCCACGACGTCCACGAAGGGATCTGCACATACGAATTTCAACGTGTCCGGCATGCGCGTGGGCAAGCTTGGACCAAGATTGCGAACGCTCTATGGTGCTGGCCCTCTGCGGTAGAAAATATCTGGGAGATGATGTATATAGGTCTCGCTGAGCTCGTTTCCAGGAGCGGCAGCGATGGATGGAACGGCAACGAATTAAGAAAGAAGACTGCTGAGATGGCGCAAGCAGCTCATCGCGATCGAGTTTGCTTTACTACGAGTTCAATGATGAGCATGAGCACATGTATGGGAGAAAAAGGCGTCTTTGCGAATACAGTAGCTAATGTGTATCAAAACAAGGAGATGTTAGGCATTTATGCGGTCAGCCGGGGACAGTGCTGAAAGGGCACAGCCATCGTCGCATACAGAGATGAAGAGGATGAGCATACTTATATGTACAAATTGAGGCTGTATTCTTAACATGCTGACCTGCTCATTCATGTTCGAGGTTTGGACCTGTTAACCGTCTTTGTTCAGACCGAAATTTGCGAACATGATCCTTGAGGAGAACATGCCTGACCTTTGGGTTCACATTTTATATTCTCTTGGGCGCTATCTGAGACCGGATGGCTATACAGAACTCCTGGCCCCAACCTACTACCGGATGACAAGAGATTCGAATCTCTCATTTCGGTATATGATACGTTTGGTGACTACATAATCTGTGGCGGATTCGTTATGCAGGATACAAGCTGATACAGTTGGCCATCACACTCATGCTGTATGTCATGTTCGTTGCTTCATGAGCGTTTGCATCCGTCCGACCCCGAACTTACCACCCCCGAATTCGACTCCCTTGAGCTATCTGTAACAGGCTCGCTAAGCGGTGCCTCCCAAACGCCCTCATCGGGTCATCCTTCAGCCCTCGAGTGCCGCCTACCGAAGCACATCAATCATCGATTTCGGCAAGTGGTTCACACCGCAGGGACTGCCAGCTCAAGGCACTTCGCCAATCTGCAATCACTCAGAGCCTTCCATACTTCCACTGCTAGTCGATCTAAGGTCGGAAACTCTGGGTGTGATGCCTGGAGAATCGAAGGATGTGGCCTGTCCGTTGTTCAGCGCAGTCATGTAAGACGCCTCCAGCGACGTGAGAGAAGGAAGACCCCAACTGTTGCCGTCTAGGGACTCCTCCGTCCGCACCAGAAAGACTAGAGCAGCAGCCTCCAGCTTGTTGTCGGCATCAGCATTCTCGTCAGACTGCGAAGGAGCACAGCCGAAGTACAGGTCATGACAAGGCACCACTGCGATACCTCGCATCCACGGCTTATTAGCGATGCGGGAGTAGTACTGGGCGCCGACTGATCCATTCAGCAAGCAGTGGCCGGATACGACTTTGCGGCCAGCGTCGTGAGTGTGCTGGAACAGACGCGACAGCACATCGTGATACTCGCGCGCTGCTGAGGGCGAATTGAGTCTGACGAAGACGGACACGAAGCATCCCTCCTCTCCATGTATGTACTGCAGCGTTCTGTGGACGATGTCGCTTGTCTCACCTGTACATATTTTGCATTCTCGTTGCCGAGCACACGCTTTAGGGCCCTTGGGAAGTCGTCCGAGACCAATGCTCCACCACTCGATGGGAACACTCCGAGGAAGTTGTGAGACTTCTGCAGCGACAAATGGTGGCACCGCCTTTTTGCTCCCGTCGAGTGACTGCCAGTTTGGTAGTGTGTGTAGATGAGCATTCGCCGGCGCTCGATATGTGGCGCCGCGACCATCGTAGCGTGTCCTGTTTTGGACCAAATCCCACACGTCGACTTCCTCGTCTTGGTCTTCATTGCCATCTTCCAATCCCGTGGGCGCGGAATGCCGTCTGTACCATATATCGAAGGCCTGTTGTGCAGCTTGAGCGAAGTTTGCCGACCCTGCAAGGAGAGCCAACCCCCACATCCATAGATCGACCTCTCGCTCTTGACCAACGCGCCACAGGTGCTGAAGACTGAGGGCTATATTCTGCAGCTCATCCTCAAACGCCAGTTCCATCGTGATGGGACGGAGTGGTATTTGTCCAGCAAAATTGACAAGCTCTGCTCTTGAAGCTGGATCATCGTCGAAGCCGATAGAACTCAGTCGCTCAGCCACAGCTTGACTATACGGCCCAATGTTTGCAGGTGCCCAGTAGCTTCGACTTTGTACGTGGAGTGAACGTCTTGCATCGGCATGTCTCAAGTCGATAACTATGCTCAGTGACACTTTGACATCGCTTTGTAGAGCAGTTGCAAATGTGCAGCGGGCTGGAGGGTTGATGGAAGAGAAGAGCTCTGCGTAGTGCACATTCACTGATGAAAAGTCGTCCATAGAAGCCAGCAAAAGCATCGTCGACGTAACATTTCGCACGGTGATGGACTCATAGAGTCCCAACAGTCTCGAAAACATCTGCAGAAATGATTTGACGACCAGTGAGATCTGCTGCATCTGCTGAGCGGCTGACATAGCGCCCAAACTAGCACTTCCACCTAAAATGTGGTCAGTGGCACCCTCCTCCATGAGACTGGGCCTCAGAGCAGCTGTGATATTCGTGACGGCCACGTGATGGGTCGAGAATGCCATTGTATGCTGCAGTAACTGATCGCCGAAAGCTTGTGAAGTCTCGTCGGCCTGGAGAGGATGCGGACGAGAGCGGCCTGCCACCTCATCGACGCTGTGTTGCCGACATTGGTTGACAATGGCTGCAAATGAGACATCGAACTCAGCCGGTATCCGAAGCGGCTGCTCCAGGTGCTGATCCTCCGGGTCCTGAGCAACAACCTCAGGTGCATTGTCGAGCTCCAAGGTAGCGTCCCCATCCCCCCACGTCTGACTTGGTCTCCAGTTGATTTTCTTTCGCCACAGAGAGCGAGGACCATTTACTGTCAGTGTCTCGTATTCTCCACCCTCTCCAAGCACACTAGCACGATATTCGGCCTCGTCTTCGATGAATAGATTCCTGTTCCTGAAGCCGTGACCAATCGCGATGATCGTGCCGGCATTCCCGAGGCTTCTGCTGAGCAGTGTCGGAGGGATACCATACGAGGCTGATTTGACCAGTATCGCGTCACAGCCAGCAGCGAGCATGTCGTCGAGCAGACCAGTGGAAGAATCGTTCCGTTCTGGTGGCGGAGGGAGGAAGGGATACTGCCATAGATACGCCAGCGGGGTCATGCCCATTCTCAGAACCACCGATTCGACCCTGGTCCGCTGGTATGTTGACAATATGGCACCACTGGAGACTGCATTTGCTGCCGGAATGGCTTGCTTGACGGTGTTTAACAGAGACAGAAGGTCTTCCGCCTCGTCACTGCCGGTCAGTCTTTCGAGCTGATCAGGCGGCTGATAGTCTTGCTGCATACATATGCTTCTACCCCTGATCGGCTCTGGAATACTGGAACATTAATGCACTGTTCGTAGAGTGGAATGACTTTGTGTCCGACGGTCTGATATGTCATACTGTCCATATCGTCGACCGTCCTACCATCGGCCTGCTGTGGAGGGCATAGATTAGCAAGGGCCACCACCTTGTGTCCATGATGAAGGCAATGAAGAATCGAGTAAAAAGAGTCCTTTCCACCTGAGATGAGTGCTATGACGTTCAATGATTCAGGCATATTGGCTACGATGATGCTTGTCGAAGCAAGAAAGAAGGATGTGAATGTGATGTAGATGCTCCGTCAGAACCACTGAAGTGCAGCATCATCTCCTGCCGCACATCAAGGACGAGCTGCGAGATCATGGAAGTTGCATCCGTAGGTCACTGCGAGGAGCTGCCATTGCCACTGCTTCTGCCATGTTATCGACATGATGCTGCTTCCATACGCGACAACTTCGAGTGTGAGAAATCTGATGAAGAAGGTACAAGTGGTGTGCGGAGGCGGCTTGGGGTCGCACTTGAAGCATGTGAATTTTGTGAGTTTCTCCCCACAGTCGAGATGACAACACGCGTCCTCAACATTTCTCAGCGCTGGGCATGGCATGAGCCAATACTGAAGCCTATAGTCTGCGGATGCCAGCATGGTCGCCGCTCTGTCTTATGGCTATCCACCATGATTGACAGTTAGCCTGTCGCTCCGGCGTACTGCTACAACGCTGTGATGAATCACCTGCGTCCACCCGATGAACGTTTGGGTCGACCAGAGGTACAGTCGGACACAAGTGTTCAGCGACCACTCCTCGAAAGGTCGCCGCACCCATATCTCCGTCGGTCAAACACCTTGCAGCAGCACGATCCGAATAAATTGACGCCTCCTGCTTCTCAGAATGCCACGTCTACCGAAAGTGGAACAGAAGCCGACGATGAGAAGGGCACCATCCTACGTGGTCTACCAGCCCCTCCGGTTCGGACACACAAGGGCTTGAGAGGCTCTACGCCGCGAGGATTGAGTCCAGCCGTCAGCCCGTTGCCTACACCACCTGCCACGAGAAATGTCTCGTTCGCCGAGCTAGCAAGGGCGGGCGATGCGAAAGATGCATTGGCAGAACAGCGTAAGCAAGAGGCCTATCGGCAACGGAAGAAGGCAGAAATCGTTCGCCGTGTGACAGAGACTGTACTCCTGGCAGTCATCGTTGGCCTCGAATGGCTCACCGCGAACCGGGTGGACCGGCATTACGCATCAGTGGTGTCGGTCACGTCGTTTCTTACCATTCCCCCATTGCTGTACGGCCTGTACCCGATACTTCGAGCACTCCAGGAGCACCAAGCTGGGAGACCGCCCGTCGAAGCTCTGAGGCGCGGCTATCACATACCCTCGCGATTTGATCCTGGCCCATTGTTGTACCCTGTCATCCTGCCTTTCGCGATCACACTTGTGTTGGCTGACCAAGATGCCGGCTGTCCCATAACAAGCATCGTGTGTGGTTTGTCGTCCTTTCCGGACGCTCTCTTCGATGTGCTAGGCACGCACTCCAGCACCTTCTACGTGCGCTGGATCCTGACAGTTACACCTCTCTTGACAACAACATCGGACTACTCCAAGAATATCACGAAGTCCAGCCTAAAGCAAGAGATGGTCGTATTGTTGTTTCCTCTACATCGGTCACTGCGTCAAGCGTTGAGTTACCTCACCACGACAAGCTTGGATCCAGCCGAGCTCGACCTCCTGTCTACAGGCTTGATCCACCTCTTCCTTTTTGCGAGCTCTCCACAAGCACGAATCCTGAAGTCCGTCCTATGGATCGGCGGACTGAGTGTATTCGTCCTCTGCCGCCGCCTCATGGAATGGGAAGTCGAGCTGGCTAGAATTCCTCGATGGAAGTTCGCGAAAGTGCCGCACAAAAGCGCTATTTCGCACCGTCTGACACGGGCATTCTCCGCTTTCATGTCAGAACCGGTCCCTACATCAGAGAGCTCCGATGACGAGATTGATCAGCGTGCGAAGCCACAGCCAAAGTCATTACAGCGCGTCAGAACATTAGTAGATCCGGTTTCGGCCGTCAAATCGGTCACGAATGGCATCAAGCCGCCCCAGCGAAGAGCCACAATTTCTGACCTCGATCCGATGGCGATGAAGGTTGAGCGACGGGCGCACAGGCATCGACAGGTCCAGACTTTACCCTTCTTGGCTCTCACTCTGCAACAGGCTAAGATCAGGAAGTACCTCTACGCAGCCATTGTTTACGTCTTGGTCGTCCTGATCATCATGGGACCTGTGCGCCACTATGTTCAAGTCACTGCACTGAATGGCAATGAGCCTTTCTGCTGGGCAGCCGGGTACCTCTTTGGCAACATACCAATATTCCGGGGATGGGTATACTGGCTCCGGCTCACAGAGTGGATCGCCCTGCCTGAACGCATGACAACCGACGACGGTTCGTTCGCCTCACTCACGGAAGCAATCGTTCTCATCTCCCAGCCAACAAACACACGACTTGCTCTAGCCGCATATTGCGTCCTGGTAGTCGGCACGAGCCTGATCGTCGTAACAAACCTCGCACCGTATGTCGAAGTCGATACTCGTCGCAAAGTCTTCCACGGCGCCATGTCCGCCATGCTCCTCCCGACCATCTTCGTCGACCCTTGCTTCTTCGCTTTGGCCCTGATCATCGTTCTGGCCGTTTTCCTGCTCCTCGACCTCTTCCGAGCTTCTCAGCTTCCACCTATCTCTCGTCCTCTGACCACTTTTCTTGCCCCATATGCCGACGGTCGTGATCATCGCGGACCTGTCATCGTCAGCCATATCTTTCTACTTGTCGGCTGCGCTATCCCTCTATGGCTGTCGCTGGCGGGTGTCGAGCGAACGGGTCAAGATCCTTGGCAAGGCTGGGAGGTCGAGCAGCGAGATATCAGCATGGTCGCTGGCGTAGTCTGCGTGGGCATGGGCGATGCTGCTGCATCACTGATCGGCCGTCGCTACGGGCGGACAAAGTGGTATTGGGGTGGAGGCAAGAGTCTGGAAGGTAGCCTTGCTTTCGCGGTGGCTGTCGTCATCGGGCTTTCCTTTGCCTGGCTTTGGCTGAGGCTTGGCGGATGGGCTGACTGGACTGTGTCGACATTTGAGATGGGTACAGCGTTACTCAAGTGCACGGTCGCGGCCTGCGGCGCAAGTCTGCTCGAGAGCGTACTGACAGCGGCGAATGATAATGTGGTTGTGCCGGTCGTGTTGTGGGTTTTGGTGAGGGCATTGAGGATATGATATGGATACTCAGTGTAGAGATGACGATTATAGACATTTACGAGATTCCTTCCTATCTTATCGACTACGATTCGCATCGAGCCATGTTCTTCACGACAAGTAAAGCGGGAATGCTGCGGTCTACCTCACACAATTCTGCATTGCCATATGACATGCACTCTGCACTTGCCTCCACCGGCCGTTGGTCGAATGAGCAGGTATGTCACGACGATGATGCGTCGCAAAAATCTGTAGCGATCTTAACACATGAGTCTTCCTTGACTCGGCCGTGAGCGAAGACCTGGTATAGCACGCTGCACGTCGGCATAGTGTTGTCTTGATGAGCGATGTCAACGCCACTGATCGTAGCACAGCGTGATGGAGTCGTGTTTGCGGCATGCAGCTGTTGATGCTACCGTATTGCCGTTGGCGATGTCGGATCCCAATGTTCGCTAGCAACAACGGCAAGGACTCGGCATGAGAAAGAGATCAGATGAAACCAGCTTGAATCTTGGAACGTTGCCCCCCTGCATGCCACGTGCAGCTCACGCGCCAAGCCATGCAGGTACATCTGTCACAGACAGCGCTATGGCTTTCCGTCGGTCTTTGAGTGGACGTCAATTCTAGCAGGATCACTTGGTCACGGTACAGATCACTGTTCGGCAGTAATTCGATGATTTGTTTCATGACCTATGCAAGTCACTGAGTCAGTGGTATCTGTGTTTCTGTAAATGGACTCCCTAGTCTACTGCTAGCTTATTGTCTTACTGGCTTGTGCTGAAAGTGTGATATCAGCGGAAGGATAGGTATCGATACTATCGATTCAGCTTGAATAGGGTCCTCGCGAATCCTGGGGCGGAGATGGGTGGCAAATGACCAGTTCTCCGCCGACGAAATTCTCGCCGATGGCAGCGACGTCAATCTAGGTCCTCCGCGTGGCGTCGTCAAGATTTGTTGAGTCGACGTTTGTGTCTCGCGAGTCGCGACTCTCGCCGACACTTCGTGGCTGCTCCGGCCTTCGTAAGTCTTTAGTCAACCTCGGCCAGCGGTGCCGAGTATAGCAGCTGGGTATTTCAATTGGATGTCAAATGTGGTAGCGGCTCGCGAGCTTTCACGTCAAGCAGTGTGAGGTATATCGTGCATAACCTCAAGCCACCAACCACGAAAATCGTGCCAGCGATTCGGGACTCACATGTGCGCTCTGGCCTTGTGGCCTGAGTCTTTGCGGGACGACGAGACCCTTGAGGTTTGTCTCGCTCCCGCAATCGAGTTTTTGCGCAAGACTCCTCGCTTTAGACTGCTCGGTGGGTGGGCGACGAGGATGAAGGATCGGGCGAAATTTGCAGCTGAATGATGCCATCTCCCGTGCTCGATTATAATTAGTGCTGGACAAGCCGGTGCCGTCCGGCCGGTCGGGGACAACCTAGCTCGACGACCAGGGCAGGCCCTGAGCAGGATGCCATACTCCAGATCAACAGTCCAGGTCTCTACTATGACGAAGTTGCCTTGACTCCTCTTCGTAGAACTGTCTGTCGACGTCGACAGCTGATCTTCCGATGTTCTGATCTACCGACAGGAAATTGCTGATGATGCGTTGCTGCATGCACGAGCTGATGGGTTGCCGAAAGCGGCTGAGCATGCCGGTTCCATGAGAAAGAGTCCGCCAAAATCGCTCAATCGGTAATGAAATGGTGGACCGGCAGTGAAGCTCTGGACCAACGGCAGCCTTTTGTCGATGCCACTCGATGGCACAACGGGCGGAGAAAAGTGCCCAAGCCATGTCCAAACCTGGCTAAGCACGAGCAATAATCGCTTGCGGCTATCAATCTTCCCCGTAGGACCCGTCAAGCCATGGCGTTCTGGGTGGCCGCGATAAGCTGATAGAAGAGTGGATTGGAAGCAATTTCCCCCGGAAGAGCATGGAAAGTGCTTCCGCCGAAGTAACGTGGGATTCTTCCAAAGAGACGCCACTGGTGTGATTAGCTCGGTATGGTCTCCAAGCGGATCGACGACTATTGTGCAAAGTCTTCAACTGAGCAATAAGTTGCGCTGACTGTGCGGCCAAGTGGGATCTTGGCTGTTTGGGCCTCCATCGTGACTGATGTGATCGACCGCACGACCAAAGTGAGAATTGCTCGAGATGGATGATGAGTGATGGACTTCAAGTCGAGACTCGCTGACATGTGAGAGTGTGCCGAACCTTTGATGGCGTGAGCTGCGGACTCATGGGACTCGGCAGAGAGTCAAAACCGTTACAACAGGCAGAAGAAGCGAGGTTGAAGCGATTGTCGTTTCTGAAACACAGCTTGCATACACGGGCAGAGGCAAAAGTTGGAGTCGCAGTGCCGTACCTGCATAAAGTGAAAACCCGAGCATTGTTCCTGCAGTAGAGCCATGCAGCCCAAGAGTTCAAGGCCACACACAAAATACAATGCTACCTTTGTTCCTGAAGCGAGGGCGTGAGTCGACTGGAGTCTGACGCTTCTGCGACAATTCGTAGTCCAAACTTTTCTGAGGATATCCCGACGGTGGCACCGTGGCAGCAGACCCTTGAAGTCGAATGAGATAGAGATGCCTTCTGGAAGGAAGCTAGGCACGGGCGGGCTTAATTTTGGTGTCTTGGAACGGGGCATTACAGACGTCCTAGCTTCAGGCTAAGAGGCCCGGTGGAAGGGTATCTGTCAATCGCCCGCGCAGCTGGGAGCCCTCTGGCTTGGGCTTGAGTACTGGTGGCGACGAGTATGGACCAAAAGGCGCAAAAGCAGCAATAATTCTGCGGTGGTCCCTAGAGAATCGGGTACAAGCGGACCTAGATTTCGCAGAGCTGCCTGTAGTCACTGCTACCCTTCGGTCTGTGCTCAGTTGGAAATAGACCACTTAATTTTGACTATCGTAGGTGTGTGCATCTGTTCGTCGGTCATGATGCACTACTTAGACGAGTGACAGTGACATCTATGCAGCGTCCGTCCAACAATGATCGCAGATGATAAGGCAGTATGTCCTCGAGTATCTCATTCGATGCGAGAGACCAGGGCTGAATTCATTATTGCACAACAGGGCCGAATGAACAGTGACTTCGGTGAGACCAGTGCCTATTTTCGGGACGTGATTTCAGCCGTGGTAGAGGCTGCCGGTCTGCTGCAGGAGCGAACGATAGAGTCGCGATCCCACCACTGCGCAGCGCTGGAAAGATGGCTTCATCCGCGGCAGCAATCAAGACTTTCTGATCGATCCTATCGATAACTGCGATCCATCATGAACGTAAAATTTTCAGAGGCGTTTCCTTCTGCGCGCTTTAGGAAGAAGGGCGTGAAGCCCGCATCGACGCGTCGTGGTTGGTAGAAAGCAAAATGTGAAACACGCTGGGCTGCTCCACTGCGAGGCCGGGGAAGAAGGAAAGCAACACCACGATGCAGTAGCATGTCTTTTTCTACCGGCAAGCGAGTTTGTACTCTGTCAGAAGAAAGTGAGGTGACACCGTTTTGGTCACGATTAAATCATCGGGGCTCTACTACTTGTGCACCTCATACTGTTGCATCCATTGCTTCTTTTTCACGGAGCTCATGTATGTCTTGGGCAGGTGAATAGTGTCCGGCCAGCTGCTGTGCTAAGGTATGTACGGCACACCGAACGCCCCACGAATCTACTACGTACAGTATATTGGTATACTGCATGCATGTCTCTCAGTCACGCGTCGCGCGTCGAAAGAATCTTTTCTCTCGCTGACAGTGGCGAGAGTTTTTCCCTGGCAGCACGCGTGTTGATCACAGGTGTCTAGAATGTCAACGCGCTGTGTCGTATACAGTGAGATCAGCGGCATGCGTGGTGGGCTGCTGAAGGAGCGATGATAGACCATCGTGATGGATGAATCACGCGGATCAGTCTGCAATCGATAAATTGATTGGCGTGTTGCGTGAGCCTGTCAGCATCAAGAGTAATGCCGCGAGTCGCCTTCTCCAAGCGCGTCCACCGACTGTCACGTCCCGGCTCTCCCACAAAACGGCCCAACCACTCTTCTTCGAGTTCCTGCATACTGTGGTCGAAGAGCTGTTGACTACTGCAGGCCAAACTACAGGCTGAAATACCAGGCCGATGTCCAGCCATACACATATACTGTGCCATTCGCTTGCATAAAACCGGGCTTCACCAATCAACATTGTGGTTGGGTTGGTATACAGTGATCTCATCATGCTTGCCAGCTTATCCTCTCTGGCAGCGGCGCGTCCGATCTCCATGTCTACATGCATCGCGAGCCAGCCAGCTTCTGACTCGGCTAGAATGCGAGTTGTTTTGGTTGCGTCCGAACCAGCAATGCTCAACGTGTACGCGTCAGAAAGCTGGTATGAGCATTACTCGGAGCAACTCAACTCATCAACTCTGGAGCACTCCAGCATTCAACATGCTTTTTCGTTTGTCAAATGCCTCTTGCCGGCGAATCTCAGAGTGCTGAACAAAGTGATGGATCAGATCTGCGTCATCGACGATATTCTTGATGCTATCCAATTTCCCGTGCATACGGCACTCGAGGTGTGTGGCAGCACAGCCTAGTCGCTGCTGCTTTACGGATGGAGCGCGCACTTCTTGAGACGGATTGGAAAGTTGGCTTTTGCCTGGTGAGACTGTGGACTCCACTAGAAAGCATATGGATGGAGCCGGTGCCGCCCCTAGGAGGCTAGAAAGGTGACTACGGATGGCTCCCCTGGCATCCTGGTCAGCTCGGTCCCTGGCTAATGCAGGCACCTGTCCTATCCCCACCACTTTCTGGACCCAGGTAGGTGGACTGCTCTGGTGGACTGCCTCACACGCTGCTGAAGCACTGCAGACGAGGACCGAGTCTGGTTCCGGCCTCTATCGATCTTCTTATCCTTCGATGCATGCCCTCGGACCTTCGTCACTCCTTCCTGTCCCTCATTCATCATATTGAGGTTGTCGTTCTGTCTCGCGATCTTCCACTCTTTAAACACCTTGCGTTTGACCAGGCCTACTTTTCGGATCTTGTTCACTATCTTGTACCATACAACCGTGAACATTATCCAGTACCTTCCTTTGACCGGCCTGTAAGAACATTGTACTCATACCATAATCGCTTGACGACGACGGCAACACTCTGAACACCATCCTTCAGCTACTGTATAGCATACCACACCACAACACTCATTGGACCTCCATCTGGAATTTGCGGCAAGAACTTCTTTGTGCCAACCTGTAACAGAATCAGTCCGAATCACAACCTTGGTCACCCGCGAACTAGGCCTGTGCTCGACGACGCCAGCCTTCTGACGTATATACACATAGAATCGAAGCAGTCGTCGCGACAGATCTGTCATCGCAATGGCTACCCCTCAGATTCAGTTTTACCAATATCGACCGGACTCAGATGCGCGTCACAACGCCATCTTCACACCGATGCCCCAAGAGCAGCAGCCGATGTATGCTCACCACATGGGATACCACCAGCAGCCCGTACGCTACCCAGCACCTCCTCAATACTGGCAACCACACCCATACCCTCAGCCGCAGTATCTGCCCCAGCGAATGATGAGCCACAGCGCATCGCCACCTCTCACGTTGACGATGCCTATGGCGAAGGGTCACATGGAGCATCTGATGGATCAACGACCACCTACGCCGTGTTTGTCGGCGTGCCCATCGACCGCTAGCAGCCCACCTGCAAGCAGTGTAAACCAAACGCCCATCCACCCTGGCTACTTCAACTTGCCCATTGAGTTTGGCAAGGAGGAAGTGACAACGCCCATGCTGCCATACGAGTACAGCGAGTCTGCTGGTGAGTATATGAATGTCACTAAGAAGGAAAAAGCAAGGCTAATGTTGAACTCGCAGAACTTCATGTCTTCCCGCATCCTGGAGATGCCAAGCTTGGAGGCCACGGACCGCTGAGCGGCTGCAATTCTCCGAGTTTAGGGCCCGCCTCGCCGGCATCATCTTCTTCGTCGTATCCCGTTGCTGAATTTGTTAACTTGCGCGACCTGACTTCTGGTTCTCTGGAAACGGCACCCGTCATTCCATCTGTACAACAATTCCCACCACTACCAACACTTCCCCTCGAAGAAGAAGAACATAAGTTTGCTTTGACCACTACCACTCTCCCTATCACCCCTGCGCACGAGCCAACCGACCCTTTCAACGCGTCAAGTGTAGCCCCTGCATTTGAGCCATCTTTCTGCAGCGACCTCGAATCTGAGGACGAGTTCAGCTTCGTCAACTTTTCTGAAGAGGTGGCCTACAACGGTGACAAGCGCCAGAAGCTGTCACCTGTAGCTGAAGAAGAGGACTTCCTCAGCGTTCACAGCTTCGGCTCCTTCGACGAAGAAGAGGCGGCCCGCGCTGGTCTTCCATCGCCTCCTTGCTCGTCTTTCTCTGACGATTGCGGTCACATCCACGCCATGAACGGCAGCGAGTTCGAATTTGAAGGTCTTGCTGATGGCTCGCGTCCTCAGACGGCCGATGGCCAGCAGACTGGCATGTCGACCGGTTCGCACAGCCAGTCAAGCTCCAACGATGGTCACGAAGGCCACGCTCATGGCTCGCCATCCGGCGGCGCCCCATCAACGAACCGCCGTGGTCGCAAGCAGTCATTGACTGAGGACCCCTCCAAGACATTCGTCTGCACTCTCTGCTCGCGTCGCTTCCGCCGTCAAGAACATCTTAAGAGGCACTATCGATCTCTCCACACTCATGACAAGCCCTTCGAGTGCGGTGAGTGCGGCAAGAAGTTCTCACGCTCTGACAACCTGGCACAGCACGCCCGCACACACGGTTCTGGTGCCATCGTCATGGGCGTGCTTGAGAACGGCGAGCTGAACCCTCAACAATACGACGAGGAGATGGGTCACCGCCTGTACGAGGCTGCCCAGGCCGCTGCTCTGGCTTCCTCGTCATCCTCATCAAGTGGATCTGACTCCAGCTCATCGCAAGAGAGCAAGCGAGGCAACAAGAAGCGCAAGAGAGATGATTCTTCTGCTTAGAGATCATCTGTTCCATGCTTTTTGTTCTCCCTCAATGACGACCATGAATTTACGCGACACAAGACCTGACCACGACAAAAAGTCTTCAGAGACCAATGACGATCCCCAGGTACGATGCATATCACATCCGACGGGGTACCCGATCACGGCAACAAAGTGGCCCAGAGATTACTTCTTTAACTTCACACCTTCGACCCTTGTGCATTCTTTGTCCCTCGAGAGTCAGGACATAAATTATGATCTCGATTTCAATTCAGTTGTGTTGGGAAGTGGTGGAAAGAGTTGAACAACGGATCGAGAGAGAGAGAGCTATCTGCACTGTACTACTACTGCATCACATTTGGTGTGCATTCGAGCAGGAGCGATTCAATTCTGATTCATTTCAAGACTGTTCAGTGGCACAACGTTCTGCATTTCCCGTTCAAGACCAGGTCCACAACAAAAGACTTGTTGCTTAGGACTGCGTCCGAAGGCTTCACACCAAATTCTCCTAGAGTCAGTTTCTTTCGGCCTCCAAGGCGCGGAGGTGCGAGCTGTAATACTAGTCGTCAATCATAGTGTGAAGAAAATCGTTCAAAACGTTTGCTTTTCCTGACCTTTTTGGCTTCTTTATCTACGCCTATCGATATCTCGCCGCTGTTCGATAGCGAAGCGAGACGGCCCGCAGCCGTGTCCAAGATCATGGGCTTGTACACCCCTGATTTCCTAATGAACATCATCTCATCTCCTTTAACCATTGAGTGCGAGACAGCAGGATCCGGAAGAAGTAAGGACTGTATGAAACTGGTCACACAATGATCTCACGTCTGCAGAAGCAAGATAGCGCCATGTATACGACCTAGAATTGGCAAGCAGAAACACCAGAATCAAAGCGGCAGCTACGACGCGACCGTCATTCCTGCCGCGCGCGACAAGGCATGCCCGAGCCGCCGAGGGCAGGCGCCCTCCGTCCTGCTGACCACCAAGTCTGAAGACCGCCTCTGAAAAGCATATCGACTCTCGTCATTGGATTCTGGCATGCAGGCAAAGAAGCGGCCCTACTGCAGGAACGCGTCTCGCCCGCTTCTACTCCGGAGCGGCAAGCTCAAAGTTCAGGTCCCGGCTTCTATCTCCTTCACTCTTTCCTCTAGACTTCTTTTGAAGAGGAAGAGAATGACTTGCGAGTGCTCGGAGAGTGGCCGTAGTTGATTGGAGACTGCTGAATATGCTTCTGGTTGTGGTGAGTAGTGAGTAACGATGCCGCTGAAGGCGAGCATCCGTCCCGCCCGAGTTCTACTTTGCGCGTTACTCCGCGTCTTCTTCGGTATGAGATAAGCGACTACAGATTTTGACAGCATTTCTTTCCGTTGTCGATGTTTTCTTACCACTTTGAGCGCATGATTGATCATATTCATCCTACGCAAGCCGGCGCGCAACCGGACTGATCCGACTACCGAACGATGCACGTCCAGGCTCGGCCATATGCCTTCCCACATGACCTCTCCTTCGATCCCAGGACCACTGCTCTCATCATAATAGACATGCAGCGGGAATTCTGCGAGGTCGGCGGCTATCTCACAGAGTCACAAGGCTACCCTACACCGCTTCGCGCCACGATAGCGCCCATCAAATCTCTGCTTACAGCATTCCGGGCCGCCGAGTTCCCAGTCTACTTCACACGAGAAGGCCATCGCCCAGACCTCTCAACACTGTCCTCACGTGAATTGACCCGCTCATACATACGCACAGGCAAAGGCATAGGCGATGACGGCCCACTTGGCCGGTTTCTTGTTCGCGGCGAGCCTGGTCACAATATCATTCCTGAGCTTGCGCCTCTTGAAAACGAGCCTATCGTCGATAAGCCCGGGCGCTCAGCGTTTGCGCATACTGATCTGGAGTTGATGTTGCGAATCAGAGGGATCAGGAATCTGGTGCTTGTGGGTGTCACGACTGATGTTTGCGTGCATACCACGATGCGGGAAGCGAACGATCGTGGCTTTGATGTTTGTCTTGTGGAGGATGCGACAGAGGCAGGGACAAAGGAACTGCACAAGGCTAGCGTGGCGAGTGTGCTAGAGGAAGGAGGCATCTTCGGCTGCGTGACCACTACGAAGGCGCTGATGGTGGCTTTGGCAACATCGGGAGATGGTGGTCGACATGATGATGATAGTTGAATGGAGTGAAAGCTTTATACACTCTTCAGCGATGATCAACTTCGCGAGACAGAATCACGACACCTTCGTAACGAGTGCTGGCTTTAGCCTGGACGGGTTTCTCTGGCTTGAGGGCTCGTATTGGTCATCAGAGTGACCATATGGATAGCCTCATTGAGGCCTCGAGGTTTCAGGTTCAGCGCACTTCTTGGCCCATGGCATTGCTGCAGGCCCAATGATAGCAACATCGAAGATGGACGCTTGTCAGAACCCAAGGAAACCTCTGTTTTTTGCAACGACACCTTTTCTCTGTAGGTATATACAATCCTACGAGGTATACGAACGGAAACCTCGAAAAGGAAAATGCCCATGCCAAGCCTAGACTCGACGCCATCGGATCCACTACTCCGGGTCTATATCTATATTCGCAGCAAGCTTTGCCTTTGTCCATCCTCCTGTACGATCCCTTCCCCAGACTAGCACCGACTTTACAAGCCATCATGTCTACCACCGACACCAACGATGAGCTATCCGTGGCTCACCACCCCTTCCGCACCACTTACCCACCAGGCCAGTTCACCCCCGCCGGCCTCCCACCCTACCCACCACCTCCAAACAAGCACACCACCGGCTTCAAACTAAACCACATGATGATGCGGATCCGTGACCCCCAGGACTCACTGCACTTCTACGTCACCCTCATGGGGATGCGCAGCGTCTTCACCATGAACACGGGACCTTACACCATTTACTATCTTGGCTACCCGTCCGAGAGCTCAAGACAGGACGGGAAGAGCATGATGTCAGTTCGGAGGACGGGCTGAAGCGTTACGGAGAGGAGACGTGTGCCAACCTCCAGCACACGTTGGGTCTGCTGGAGCTCTACCACGTGCACGGCTCCGAGCGCCAGCCTAAAGGCTACTACAACTCCGGCAACGACCCAGCTCGGGGCTTGGGATTCTCGCATTTGGGCTTCACGGTGCCAGACGTGCGCTCGACGCTAAAGTACCTCCGTGCGAACAACGTGGAGGTCATCAAGGACGTAGGACCAGGGACTAGTACGAGGCGTACGGTACCGATTTCGGAGGCGGAGGAGAAGTTGGGTGTTGGGGTGGGTGACTATGAGGGAGAGGTTGTGGAGGAGAGAGGGAAGATAGTGGAGTTGAGGGAGGAGTATACAAAGGTATTTGATGAGATTGCGTTTGTGAGCGATCCGGATGGGTATACGGTTGAGTTGGTGCCACAGGGGGTTGATCCGTTGGCGTAGGGTGCGGGTGGCAGAGCGATATTTGAGCAGAGTGAGATTCGGCTGTGGATGCGAAAGGCCGAGGAAAATGCAGCGGAGAGGATTTGTCGACAATATGGATATGATACGGTGCAGAGGCTGAGCAGGATGCATACAGAGCAGTCTCAGTACATATCGAGATCCATAGACATGCTCAGTGCGGAACGACTCGGCCTGAGCTTGGCTAGAACAGTAACGTCTGCCGATGTGAGCACTGGTCCGTCGACGGAGCACATTTGCTCTGTGACTCCACAAAATTGCTATGGGTAGCGTCTCAGAGTTCCTATTAGTTTGATTTGTCGATGTTCTGAGTCGTCAGTTTCGAGTGTTAGGTCAGGCAGAGCCTGTGCTCGCAAGGAATCTGTCCAAGTTGAAGAACGTTCGCCTACCTCCATCGCCCCTTCAGACAGTGCGATTGCAGACTTGATCATTGGTCCGAGCTCGTCCCACCAGATAGCAAGCGAATGCTAGCATGGCATGACGCTGACGAAGTCTGCCTCGATCTTCGATGGGAATAAAGAAGGAAGACATCGAGGGTGCGACAAGTACTTATCTTCTTCCGTGGGGTAAGAATCCACCGCAAACCGGGAAAAGCCATCGCTTCACTGATACGGCAAGACCCGGCGAGGAGGCATTCACCGCTCGTTGTGTGATCCAGGCATAGTTGCTGCCTGTTGTCATTCAAACATGCCAGGCAGCCGCACAAGTCTGATTCATGCACTGAAAAGTGAATGCCTCCTAGCCGCGTAAGTGATGTACTCTTCTCGGTCTCCGTCGGAAATCCACTTTGACGAAAAGGCATAAGTAGTTGAGCTGTCCTCGACTTTCTCCTTTGTTCTTCTCATCAGCAACCAGCTGCAAAGCGTCATCACTTGCCACGTCAAAATAGCAGCTATTGCTACCTGAAGGGGCGAGGGTCTCCGAGTCGTTTCCTTGACGGTACTGTGAACTCTCGAACACACGGACTGCTTGTTGCGACAATCGCTGTGTTGGCCATCTTGAGGATTTCAATTCGGAGGATAAAGAGTCTATTCAAACCATCACGCCAGCAAGCACGCTTGTTGGTGTCGTGCTGGCCCAAGAAGTGAGAGATCCTTCAGGTACTTCAAAAATGTCGAGTTGCTTTGACCAGGGCTAGCACGATCGTGGCTGTGGGCTAGATACCTGTTGGAGTACGGGAATCGGATGTTGTCAGCTTTATCGACACCATTTCACTTATATCCACAATCACTCCTCCGACGTGATTCGGATGGTCCTCACGTATGATCAGAGACTCCTGTGAGTGTCAGATGCGCAACAGTATAACACAAATGTGATGAGCACCTTTGGTCATCTGTTGGTCTGGACGAGCGACAGGAAGGCATTCAAGGCGATGTCGTTGATAGCATTCCTTCAACTACTGGCATCGCCATGGGAGTACCATTCGAACCCCGCTCGGCTGGTGGCTAATATGCCATTTGCGCTTTCAGAGACTTCGATAGCAAGCAAAGTCCTTGGTTCATTCATCACGGTATGAGCACGTGAATAGTATTGGTTGTGCACACATGTGTCAATGGATACCAGTTGGGAAAATGGCTTCAGAGCATAAGTCAAGATTTTGAGATCATAGACCCAATTTGGGGACTCAGTCTCTTCCTATCTTTGTACACTGTATATTTCATCACCAGCCATGATAAAATCGAAAAGCAAGTCCCTCTCTTTAAATCTGCGGTTCTAAATCACGTATCGCGCTATTCCCAACCCAGGCTAGCTTCCAAAACACTTGGCATCAAGCCTGCCCTCAAAACTTCTCCCGACCCCCCAACACCCTCCCTCGTCCTTCCTCTGTGCGGCGCTGATCCATCAACTCATAGAGTTTCCCAAAAACGTTGCTTGTCTGGAGATATTTTTGTCAATGTCATGAAGTTCCAGCTCAGGTGTCTTGGACAGCACAGAGAAAGGCCTAATTGCTTTTGATCGATCTCCTCCCAGGAAAGGTTCTTTGGCTTCGATGAACGAGGTGGACCGGATGGGAGGTTCTGCGCGGAACGGGCTTTGTGCCTGTTGGCGTGGGGTCGGACATTCTTTTCTTTTTTAATGATATGATGATATGGTGGTGCTGGTTGGGAATTTTGGTTGCCCAGAGCTCTGGTGAGCGCGGGACAGGTAAGGTTTGCGTTCTGGTTCAAGCAATAGGTGTGATGTTGTTGAAGTAAGTCGAATTTGCATGGGCAGGGCTTTGCCTGTGTCTGCGGCAGGCTTTCCGATATTCACAGGGTTTGACCGAGACTGGGTTTCTGCAACACTGGGTTTTAAGATCTATTTGCGGTTGCCTCCCTGCGACGTGCGAGCATCAGCAGGCAGGCTGCGATGCCGGTCGAGAGGTCGACAAGTTGAAGGCATTGTCGATACGGCTCTCCCGCTATGCTATCTGAAGGTCTCCAGAAAGACGTCCCTTCTTTTAACACTCACTACGATGATTGAACACAAGGTTTATTCTTCTAATCATTGCTGTCATGTCTATCGTGTCCTTTTGGGTGCCGCAGAGCTGATGCTAAGAATGTCTTGCTCACATTTATACCTATTCATCGTGGGCGATCTTTTCAATCTTGCCATCCCGCTTTTCGCCTGACTCGCCGATGATGCGGATTCTGTCAATACGGACCTTTTCGTTGTCGCCTTCGCTCTCGACCACGAACAGAACCAGACTTGTTACATTCTGGAACTTCACGAATCTCAACTCGACCTTCGCCGTATTCGTCTTTGTGTCCCAATCCTTCTCTGATATTGTGATCTCTTGTGTGGCCGGTAATCCGTCGGCCTCGTCAAAGCCAAGTATGCCGGGACGATTGACGAAGAGCTTCAGTACTTTTGGCCGCGAAGGCAATTCATCGTCATCTTCTGTAGGTTTCTGAGAGGTGATGTGAAGGGAGTGAATCTTGAGGGTTGACTGGAACGGCAGGAATATCATTAGCTGCTCGTCCGTGTCCGACTCGACGCGGTCTTTCTTGTCGTCTGCGAGTACATTAGCGTGAGACTATGAGCGCTGTGTTGTTAATCCGAAGAGCACATACCCTTAGCCTGTGACTGCTGAACAATCGTCCGCGCATTCCCACCAGCCGTATCCCAATTCAACAACTCCAGACTTGTCACGTCGACTTGTGATGTGATATCGGAGTAACCTCGAGGCAGTTCTGCACCAATCCAGTTCGAAGACGAACTCGAACCCTCTCCAGCTGTGTCGTTCTTGCCCGCCTCTTGTGCCAACTTCTTGACGGCCTCAGATAATCGTCGTGGGTCTGCACCTTTGATGGTGTCTGTAACTCTGGCGTTCTTGAAGAGCATGAATGTGGGCATCGCGGTGACGCCATAGGCACGTGCCAGTTCTTGTTGCTGGTCGGTGTTGATCTTAGTGAATGTGATCTTGCCCGGTCTTGACAGCGCAGAGGACAGCTCGGCATAGGCAGGGGCGATTGCTTTACACGGGCCGCACCAGTCTGCATAGAAGTCGGCGACCACGATTGTAGAATTCGCGAGGAGTGTTGAGAACTCTGCGGTCGAGTGAATCTCGACCAGTTGGTTCGCCATCTCGAACGCGGACGAGGTGGGGTTTGCCTCGAATGCGGTCAGAGTTGGATACCGACTATGCGGGCTCCGAGGACTCTGATAGAGTGGCTAAGGACGCGACGGCTTGGAGACAGCAAGAAGACGACTGGTTCACGGTTGCTAGAACGTAGCGAGCTGGCGCGTGTTGCAAACAATTTGTAAGGAACCGTATACACTTTCAAGTGATCCTTAGGGCTTAGCATGACTAAATCCGGGCGTGGGGCTTGCCCGTCTAGGGAGATTTTTATCAACACTCGCTTCAGGCTTTCAAGTGCCCTCTCACCGCCTCGACGTGCAGGCGCACAAGCTCCTGTGAATTGGGTCAAGACCTCAATGATTGCTGGCTACTATGGTCGATAGTTTCAGCCTTGTGGGAAAGCGGAAGTGGGATCCATCGCTCCTGCCTCAAAGCAGCAATAAAGCTGGAAGGCGCTCCTGGTCTGAATCTGAATGTTTGCATCTCATAACGTGCCCATCCTCTTTGATTTCAGACGCATTGCCTTCATGTTTTGACCAGCACGAAGAGAACCATGGCTCCCTCCTTGATGAATCCGGGTGACGATCCTGCTCTCATGCGGTCAATCCTGGACCTCCCAGACAACTTCAAGGGTCCTCGCGGGTGTCTTCAGCATCGGTGTCAACTCGAGGCATGTCACGAGGTCAAAGTGTCGCTTCTGCGTTGCTCCGGCTGCAAGATGGTTCGCTACTGTTCGAAGGAGCACCAGACGCAGGATTGGCATCGCACAAATCAATCTGTAGCAAGATCAAGAAATGTCGAACGAAACTCGAGAAGGAAGAACATGCTGTTCGCAATGCTACCCCTGATTTTGTAAGTCACTGCGTTATTCCTGATTTCATGGGCCTGGAGTACGGAGAGAACCACTGATACGACGGCTCTTCGCCTTGAATTGATCCTGGCAAGCTGTGGGCACAAGAACCGAGCGTTTTCTCCAGCTTTGGCACAAGGATTTCTACAGCGCCCTCCCTGGTTAGGATCTCTCGATACATTCTTCCTGGTGTTTTGACGCTCAAGTGAGGCTCATCTCATCCTATAGACTCGGTCAGCGAAAGAACAGGAGGCTTTCAGCGCCCTCCCAGGCCTGAGAATCCACAATGAGTAGCATACAGGCTTCGACACGAGAAACGCTCACTACTTGTGTCCACAGCCTGCCTGGATGGGCCCATACCTACTGTACCCTGCGAGCGCCCACATCTCCTCATATCTGTCTTCATCCATACTAATCTGATCATGCAGATGACTCCAGCCAATGCGTTCGAGACTAGCGTAGGACACTTCTGGGGCATTCACAGTACAAGAGGCTACATGAGGCACGATTTGGTCTGGCCGATACAATTCGACAACTCGGAACCCTCGACGGCGTCACTGGGGCTCTTGCACACATGCGAGACATGCTCCGGTTGTGCAGGAGTGACAACATGGGGTTGCGCGACCTGATCCCCGCATTGATGCTGCAACTTGATCTAGATCAGGACTGCTATGACTTCATCAAATGGTGGGAGAAGGTGGGCGAAGATAGTCATTACGACTGGGGTGACACCGACTTGCCCTACCTCGATATCAAGGACGCCAACATCTTCGAGGATGTTTCCTGGATGAAGTCAAAGTATGGCTCAGTACATCAACGTACGGCCATGTTGTTGCTCAAGCTGAAACTCCTTATCGACATCATCAACATCAAGCTCACGCGCAAGGTCACTGCTTCGCGCCTGCCTGTCGAATTGTGGAGGCGCGCAGAGCTTGATGCGATCCGGAGCCCGGTGAGCAAGCAATGGGCCGGCAAACCCTATCAGGACCTCACAGCCACGCAGCAAGAGCTCGAGGAACAGATCAAATACACGGCACGATACTTGCAGGACTCGAACCAGAACTTCATGCAGATGTTGTTTGAACCCGAAGACTACCTCGGGGAGCGTCCGAATGCATATTCGCCGGGTTCGTACGAGGAGGCACAACTGGCGTTGAGCTATAGCTACGCTGCATGGTGGGAACACATCGGTGTTCTGGAACTGCTTGACTCAGCGAAAGCCATAGCTGGACGGGACTCAGAGAGCGAGATCGCCGACATGATGAAGGGCGAGACGTTCAAAACACATCCAGGCTCGGACAGAACAAAAGAGGAGCTGCTCGCGGACGTCAGTCGCAATCGCCTGTGGGGATACTTTGACGAAGCCGTCGAAGATGCACTTTACCTCGGAGAGGTCAAGCCGTCCCAGGTGAACCAAGAGCGGCGCCACGCGCTCTGGGAACAGGCTGTGGCAGAGGAGGAGGCGTTCAATGAAAGCGATTTCGATGAGGAGGAGCTTGACGAGAGTGACCCAGGTGAAGATGGCTTCAATGCCTGATCGTGGCATGTGTTGACGGCCAAGACGGTTGTAGGGGATGCTCGTGCTCTGAGCCATTCCCTTGCGGAGCACATGATCAAGTCGCGAGATCAGTCGACGAAGTCGTCAAGGCATGGCCGAGAACTCGAGACTGATTGCAGGGAGAAGAGCAGTGTACGCTGCTCAGCAGTTTGGGCCCCTTAGAGCGGGACAAGTGAGACACGCACCTAAAAAATTCGATAACATATCTGTACTGTAGCGAAAGACGAGTGTATGATTAGGACTGTGGATGTGCTATCCCCGAACGACTTCGGCACCGTCTTAGGTTGCCACTGCATTCATTCACTTGGAGGCAAACTAGGCGCTCCGCCAGCTCAAATGCTTAATTCCGGGTGCGGGGCGATGCTTGATCTGCGCCTCGTCAACTCTGCTCACACCGCATGGGAATGCAAATACTTCGCTCTGAAGCGGAACAGATCGTCCGCCGAACAGTCGCGTTGTCCACGAGGAACGGCTGCTTCTGCAGCCCGAGCGACGAGCGGCACGTCAATGACTCCGAGAATCAGGACGAAATGTTCTTCCATGACCGTTGACAGGCTGTGAGTGGTAACAATACCCCTCGAGGCAAAGCCTCTAATGCAGCTCGATGCTCCCCTATGACCCTGCTCTATTTTCAGCTCGTCATCTAGGACATCGCCGCGATCAATGAGCTGACGAAGCGGATGGACCTCCTTCACTAGATCCCGGTTGACTCATCCCAATCTACTATGGACTGCATGTCCGGGCGCCTTCATGATGCTCGAACGCTTTGGCTCGGTCGCTTCATATCTGGACGCAGGCTTACTTACTCGAAAGCCAACGATGCACCCCGGCCATGAGCAGCCTATACTAAAAGTCAGAGGTTTCTCGCCCTACCTGTAACCTTGCCATATCAGAGTCATGCAGTAAGTTCTGACCGCTCAGGTACAATACATGGATGCTTCTGCCTCTGACTGGCTCCGTACCGTTTCAGCACCTCAAATTTCTCTTGCTGCCTTTTCCTTGCTGGACGCCTCACATCTCGGTCTGGGTCGGCCGGGGAGTAGTCCCTGTCTGGCATCGCTTACGAGCATTTGACTGCCGTTCCACGTTGCTGGATTCCGAATTCGCCCCTTCTAGAAAAGCCCGTCGATCAAAAGCTGCAGCCCTATCGTCAACCTTACACTACCTGATTACTTCCTACGCGGCTGAAATTCCGACTCTATTATCTTTCTTCTTACATTCCGAGTTTGACGCCACTAAGGTCTCAGAGTCGCCTCTCTCGGCCTGCCGGACTCGTACCAATGGCTGGGAATGGCCTCTTTCAACACTCAAGTGCTGTTCATTCCCTACCGAGGCAATTCAGTGGGCAAGAAGGACAAGGATCCTGGAACCGTTTCTCAGCAGAAACATGCTGCTCGAGAATATCATCGAAAAGCTAAGCTGAAGAAACAGTCGCAGCGAGCAAAGGACAACAAGTCTCTCGACAATGGCCGTGGGGAGACTTCTACCGACGATGGCCAAATTCTGGGCTCCTCGTCTGAGCGCTCTGTCTCGCCAGGATCAACGGAAGGTTCATCGCATATCTCCTCACATACCGAACTGCTCAACTCGGGACAATGCACACGAACACCATCGCCATTGACATGTCTGGGAGCCGGCAGGGTCGACCCGTTCGATACAAAGCCAGTCAAGGATCTTACGCCTCACGTCCACCACATGGTAGACTATGCTCTTACCTACCAATGGCCGATCTTCAGCTTCGTCAACCCCGGATTGACAGTCGAGAAGATGAAGGAGGCAGTCAGCGTGCGCCTCAACGCATCGCAAGCATCGTTTTACACTGTCATCTACGCCGCCGCGACACACTATGCCCTCTCTCGAGTAGGCGAGCAAGCCTCCGCCCTCAACCAAGTTTTACGGCTAAACTACAAAGACCGAGCCTTGAAGATGCTGCGCGAAAGCCTGATTGAGGCAGCCGCGACCGACGACATGCCGTTGCCGATTTTACAAGCTATGTTTGCGTTGACATCATATGGAAGCGGTACGACCGAGCACATCGCGCCCATGAAAAGTCGAGACATGAAGAATCCTCTAGCTGTCTCCTTCGACCTCGACGTCTATAGCCGGATCCCGCCCGAAATGGCGCATGTGCAGGCAATGTACCACTTGATCGAACAACGGGGCGGTTTGCGATCCCTCTCCCGGCCTGGCTTCGCCCAGGTCATTGCTTTGTAAGTTCATGGACCCCCCAGCCAACCTGCGTGGTTTATTGCCCACCGTACGCGCTCACAGTCAAGCTCATCCAACTGACTCCCTCCTCAGAAACGACACGTTCATCAACTTCCGTGTCCTGCAACCCCCAACCTTCAACCTCCTCAAACCCATCTCGCACTACTTCGCCACCTTCTCCGTCGACCCGTCCACGATCTGCCTCATGTGCCGACCCCTACAACTTCTCCTCCCTAAAATCCCCTCCTCACCACTCCTCGACCCCTTAATCGACCTCTGCCACAAAGTCCTGCTCGTCACCCTCGCCTACGAGCAGTATCAGCGCTTCGACCCACAGGCCACCTCGCTGCACAACATCCTCATGGCGCGGCATTCCGTGCTGCATGATTTGTTGGTGTTGGGGGACTATAACTCAGCGACCACGACTGTGCCTAAAGCATGCTCGATAGCGCGCGCGAAGTTGCAGTCTCAAAACTCAACAACAAAAGTCCCACGTGAGCCAACAATCTACGCCCTGACCTACCTCAGCACAATGTCCTACCTCGCCCTTGACCTCTATCCGTGGCATGACCGCAGTCCGGGGCCGCACGCCGAGCTGGCGAGGAGGCTGAGTAAGGCGATCAAGGATGCGATACAGCTCAAGTTGGTGCAGGGAAGCGAGGGGAAGCGGTATACGGTGTTGTTCGAGTGGGCGAATGAATTGTTGGCGCGCTTAATCGTTCCGCTCGCTGAATGAGCAGACGAGATACAACGGCTCATTGTTCCAGGAGTTGGTAGTGTGCAGAGTATCGGGATGGCACGGTCTATATTTAAATTACAGCATGAAAAGCAACGCAAAGGTGAAGCAACGCAAAGGTGGCACAGTAGCATGGCGTTCACAGGCGTTGTTCGGCACGAAGTTTGGATCGATAGGTATCTACCTATCCCACGAACAGCTCAAGATGATCATGAAATTCGAAAACCAAGTATGGAAGTCACATCTAATCATTCAACATGAAGTTCTGAAACATGTAGAAAGAAAGAAGAAGGGCAGTGCACGGACCATCGGCCGGCGCCGCTTCCGTGACATCGCTTGTGTGGCAGCGACAAAGAAAGACCTCGACTCCTCCTGCCATTGCAGGCGACACCAGCAAGGTCTCGAGGCTGTCCTGCTGAACCGTCATAGAGCCAAGCCTGGTTGTGATCATCCATGATCTACCAGAACACGCCCTTCCGTGATCGTGCATTCCAAATGCCTTGCTGACTTAGCCAAGAAAGTAGGTAAGCTCTCGGTTGGCTTCGCTGCAGCGGAATTTGTCATCGCGGAATCAGTGCGATAGCGCTCGCTCGCTCATGCTGACAGGCGTATCGGTACAAAGGTACTTCGCAAGGCTCGGGCTCTTGGCAGTGTGAGAAAGTCGTATGGGCGGGTGTGCGGGCAGCATAGGCCTTATCGCATCAGGCAATGGGAGTAGCCTTGCTTTTGGACGCGAGCTGCGCCAGAAGATCAGCTTCCAAGACCTCAAGCCAAGTCACAGGTCCAAATCCCACTCGCCAGCGCACACCCAATCTTCTTATACGTCTTTGAACTCAACAACTCCGCATGTCCCGTCTGCCCAGCATGATTCCACCCTTTGCTCATCGTATTGCACACTGAACTCCCCAGGCCTGGCAATTGGGGCATCTCGCACAACCACCCGCCCACGAAGACTGATTCAAAATTGCCCGAGTTTCCCGGAGCCATGACCTGGCCCATAGAGCCGGAGTTGAGCTTGTGTTTGAGCTGGCCGCCGGATGATTGCGAGGTATCGAGGGCGTTTGCTTCGAGTTTGGAGTCTTGCGTGAAGGGGGAGAGGGACATTTTGGAGCGCCAGGTGTTGACTGTGGCCATGTAGCCTGAGCCGCCGCCGCCGCCGCCGGATGCGGGTTGCTGGGCTGTGGGTTGGGGTTGCTGCGGCTGTTGAGCGCTACCGGAGGGTGGAGGCTGGTTGTTGCTGTTGTCGCCGCTGCTGCCGCTCTGACCTCCCGAGCCACCGTGTCCTCCGGCGCCACCTTTGTAAGCCTTAGCCTTGGCTCCTGCTGGATAGCCACCGGCTGGAGGGCCCTGAGGTTGTTGTGATTGTTGCTGCGAGGAGTCGCCTCCAGATGAGCCCTGCGACTGATCCTGTGGTGGCTGTTGTGACTGCTGCGGTGGCCCACCACTTCCGCCAGGTGGCTTACCACCGAATTTGGCCTTCACCCAGGGCGGAGGGCCACCGCCACCGCCACCGCCTGGTGGCCCTCTGAAGCCAGATGGTGCGCCAGATGGTCTTCCTCGCTCGACTAGTGCGGGTGTGGGAACTTCGAAGTCGTCATCGGTAACTGTGGGGTGTGCGATGGCAAGGAGGGCGATGAAGAGAAGAAGGTACGTTCTGAGGTGTATCATGTTTCTCGAGATCTTTCTTTGCTTGTGGGATCTCGTTTGTGGGTCCCTTAGGTTCGTGAAGATCGCCTGGAGAATAAGAAACGGTGGGATTGAAATCGTTGAACGCAGCAAAGGCAGCTGCGCCGGAAGAAGGAAGCGTCTTTGAGTACTTGTCGGGATTGGGCATGGTCGTTTCGTTGTTGTGGCTTCAGAATCGAACAAAGCAATTCTCGAGAATAGCAGCACGAATAGTATGGGATCAATGAGTTGTCCTCGGGATCGAGTCGAGTGAACAAAGAAAGTGGGTGTCGTCTTTGTGTCATGAGCACGAAGTCGATCCGCTCATGGCCAGGACGCGCGTACACGACAATTCATGGTGCTTGCTGGAGCAGGAAGTGTGAACTTGGGCCGCGAACATCGGAGTGCTCCGAACGTGGTCGAGGAAAGGGACAGGAATAGCAGTCATTGAGACACGGGGGAGCAATTTGCGTCTTGGAGTTGGGACAACCAACATGCAGCATTCAATGCGTAGGAAAGAACGTACCGGCGACCCTGAGCGACAGCCTGCTTTTGATAAGAATATTCATTCGCGATGGGACGGTCGAATCAATCGACCAGCTGCGTATGCTACCTGTGCAGAAGGTCACAACTCCCGAACCAACGCGCGCAGCGCCCTTGACCAAGTCCGCTGCGATCGTGTCGTTTCATCCATTGTGGGAGCTGCTGTCGTAGGTGCCAGGCGATACCGCTTTCTGTGGAAACACTGATGCTTGCCAAGTCTTCTTCGCTCTAAATCTCACAAGTGTGTTCATGCATCGTTGTAATGTTCGTCTTAAGGGTCGTGTTCGTTGTATGATCCAGGTCGACTCCTTGCTCACATAGCGATCTTTGGTACGTTTCTGTCTGGTGCCATGCTGCCCTCGATGCGACGTTTAGCCTCTTCTCTTTCTCGATCGGTGACTTCGCTGTTCTCTTTCTTCATATCTGGTTTGTGAGAGTCGACGTGAGGAGAGTGGCCAATGGACATGCCAACGCGAACCTGAGTATTTGAGTCAGCCGTGTTGATATCAGACAGAAGCTTTTAGTGTCACTTACCAGCGTTTCTAGAGCGCCTTTGCTGTTTGCGATCAGATCATCGTCGTAAACCATCTTGCCCGGCTCGAAGAAGACGAGAATGGTCGAGCCGCCAAATTTGAAGTACCCGAGCTCTTCAGCGCGCTTCACCTTCTCACCTGGTTTACGTGTGATGACAGTGCTGCCCACCATCATGGCGCCAATACAGACATACATTACTCGACCATGAGCAACGCTGTCAATTGGGACTACCACACGCACGTTCTCACCATACACATCCAGCGCTGAACGAATGGCCATGGGGTTGACAGTGTAGTATTCTCCTTCGATCGTCTTGGGCGTACCGAGCACTCCATCGACTGGTATATGGAATCGATGATAGTCCTGCGGGGCCAGCCGGAAGATGCCCATGCTACCACCCTGGTATCGCTTCGCATCGAGCGGGTAGGCATCACCGAACAGGCGAGAGATGCTGTAGTCTTTTCCCTTGACCCAAATGCTTGTGGCGTCATCAATGGTGTTGAACACAACCGAGCGACAGTCCGCTGGCGACACAATGATCTCCGGACGATCAGGGGCGGAGCAAGGTCTCGCATTTGGCTTGAGAGCGCGATAGAAAAACTCATTGAAGTTCCGGAATTCCGAGGTCGGCAGCAGAACTTCGTCCATATTGAGCTGATGGAATGCAATAAATCCCTCGATCTGCGATGCAGACGCAGGATCGTCGTATTTCTTGCCTTGCTTGACTGACAACGATTTCAGCATCTTCTTGATGCGTTTCCGCTCCATCTCTCGAGAGCCAAGAGCTTTGTAGAGCACGCGGATGCCAAGTCGAACATAGACAGACATTCTCTCCTCGTTGATTTGTCCCGTGATCCGATCTTGAACGAGAATGTTTGCGCTGTTAGCACCAAGCTTGTAGCCACCATAGCTGATCTTCGTGATGACTTTGGAATACCACTTGCGCTGAGCTTGCGACTGTGTCACGAAGCCGCCCATAACAAGATTGTTGACCTGCCTCCAGTCGGCACTGGCACATGTTGCAATATGCAGGACGATTTCGGCATCCGTTCTCTTATGGAGCTTTGGCTGATGACAGATTGGGCATTCACGGACGTCAATAACATGCTCCTCTTCGGCTTCGTCGCCCAAATCATGGCTTGTAGTTCTGTCCATCACCGAGGTCTGACCGATCTCGCCCGAAGGCTCCAATGCAGGCACGGCAGAAGGATGCGTTATGTTCAGGATCTCTTCACTTGAACTGGACCCGGTGGTGTTGGACGCGTTCGAAGGCTTGTGAACCAGTCGCACAGCCTTCTCGGCCAAGGTCTCCTTTCGTGAGGCTGTCTTTTCGAGGGCGTCCTCAAGACAGATGACTGCCTGGTCAAAGGTCAGGTCGTCCAGTCCAGAAGCCTCGTTTTCTTTCGCGAAGCGTTCGAAGAAGCCATCGATTGTGGACTCTTTCAAAGTCGATCCGATAGTATCCAACATGGTCGATAGCTCGATCCTGCTGATCCGGCGGCTGTCATCGGCATCATACTGCTTCAGCATGGCTCGCCAGAATTGCTGGCGTAGCGCCGTGTATGGAACAAATTTAGCTTTGATCTGCATCATGGGCGTATGTTTGGCTTCCCACCGATCCTTGTTCTTCAGAACCAAAGGAATGTCGTACATCTCGAGGCCTGATTCTTCAGTCGTGATATCGTCCCGGCTCGACGCTCCGTTGCCACCGTTCCCGCCATTGTATGGACTGCTAGTAGGGGCTGCGATCCCAACAGGCGCCGCAGCACTTGTGGCAGCGAGCATTGATGGCTCTGGAGGTGAAGGTTCACCGAACATGCCATTTTTGACCGAGAAGGAAGAGTCATCGCGTTTGGGGCTGGGCCGGGCGGCCTTTGTTAGACTCTGAGTAGACGCACTGCGTGACAGAGGTATCCGGAATCGGGATCTGCCTTCCTTCTTCTGGACAGCGGGTGAATATTCTGGCGGTTCAGGAAGATCATACAGACCTGTGTCTGGATCTTGGCTGGGCGCGGTAGCAACAAGTGTTGGGACGGCGAAAGAAGCGGATGCAATAAAGTCATTGCCTGACATATTGTCTTTATCCATGATGCTGAAGGTCAGGGAGTAGCCAGTCTCGTTTGTGTTCACCTGGAAGACCATCTTCTCGTTGAAGACCGGGTTTAGATTGTGACGAATGACTCTGGTACGCATGACCTTCCTGCCGAGGGCAGTCACAACGAATGGATCACAGTCGAAGGAAGTCCGTGTCATGTTGCGCTCTGGAGGCAGATCTGTAACTTTGACGATCTCAAGGAAGATAACGCCCGCAACGTCTTTCGCTGTTCCGTGGAAATCATAATCGCGTACACTCATCGACTTGCGGCGAAGCTAGCGAGACGCTTCTTGCGCCGCTTCTTTTCCGTTACTCCTGACGTTGTTGGTCCAAGTTCCTGCTCTGTGGTATCGTCCAGGTCGTCAGCGAGGCTCTCGTTATCATCGTCGTCATCGGCGTTGGTTGAGACGCGTGAGAGATCGTCATCCTCCTCTGCCATCTTCAGAACGGTCCGGAACTTCTTAAGGATCTCCTCCGGGGATGCGGACGGGTTGGCTGAGTCGATCAGGGAGAAGCGGACTTGGACTTCGCCCGAAACAATGTCCTGGCGCTTGCCTTCTCGTCTCCTTGACTTGAGCTTGAACCACATGGGGTCTGTTTGGATCTTGCCATTGTTGAACAGTTCCTCAACTGCAATGTCGAACTCGCCCATGTAGTCTTTCTTGAAACGGTCCTTGTCCCAGCAGACAAACTCTACGAGGGGCACATCCGTCAGTGGCATGTCGAGGCAGATCTTCCATTCTGGATCTAGAGTCTTGCTGATGTAGGGCGTCTGCTGTCTTTCTCGTCCCAATGACACCACCAGGTATGGATCCGAGGTGCCTGATCTGTCTTTGGCAGCAAGGTTGCGACCCTGCCAGGGTTAGCCAGTGTAGGGCCGAGCCGACCATTGTGCCTACCTTGATGACATATACTCGGAGTATCAGAGGCTTTTCAACACTGTAGATGCTTGAGGCTTGACTAGGTCCCCGCGACGGGCTTGGTCTCCTGCTGTTTTGGGTGCTGCCCGTCGTAGAGGCAGACTCTTTGTCCCTCTTGGGCAGACCGCTGAGGCGGTGCGGCAGCGAGATATGGACCATTCTCCAAGCGTGTGCACCAGTGCCTTAGTGATCGAAGTACGGTGTTGAGGTTGACATGGGAGTGCGAAGAAGATGTGGACAGCGCAGCCACGTAGCTGGGCTGGTGGAAGGATCGGGAGGATCGATGTGGAATTGCCGGATGCGGGACGGCGAGGGGCCGGATTGCGAAGGAATGAGTTGGTCTAGGGTAGCAATGGGCGAAGAAGGAATACTGATGGTGCGAAGGTGATCCGGCGGGATTTAGGTACAAGTCCAGCTTGCAGAGAAGGTGCAAAGCAAGTCGTCGTAAGCTGTATAAGTCGGTCCTTCTGAAAGAGTGACAGCCAAGTAGAGTTACAGTTGCGGCATCGAGGTGGGGGAGACCTTGATAGCAGGATTGGCCGCGGCGCCGGTAAAGCTTCGAAACAGGCTTTGAGGGCAGTGTGTAGACCGGCTATTTACTCTATGTATCCTACAGTGGCATCTACAAACCATCGAACAATGCCCAGCGGACGTTCACTAATGACAAAGTAGCAGGTGACTGGGTTAGTGGACTTGAAGTCGTCATGGCCGCATTGGCACGCTGCCGCTCCGGCTCCCAATTTAGAGGCATCTACTCGGTTAGCGGCTACGAGGGTGATGGTCACGAGCATTGCCTTGTCAGGCACAAGGCGACCTCAAACAGTATCGCATTGGACATGGGCTCCGGGCAGCACCAGGACATGAATAAAGTGTGCCACCACATGTCGTCTTCTCTTCAGTCAATGATCAAACAGGGGCCGTAAGTAGCAATCCGCATGCACGTGCGCTGGCTTGTATCAGCTCAAAGGACAGTCGGGGAGCGGCTCGTTTGGCTGCATTGATACCTACCATGGCCAGGCACATCGCGTGCCGAGACTGCAGATGTCTGCTTCATCAGGCACAAGAGATGAGCTAAGCCCCACGTGCTGGCTTTGCATCGTCGATAGCCGTGCCTTCCGCATGGCATCTCGAGCTTGCCATTGTCCTCTTACCAACACTTGCTGCATCACACGCAGACAGACGGAGGAGAACGTCAAGGAAGGATTCGTGGAGCGGAACCTAAAGAACAATTGGTAAATGCCGTAGCTGGTTCAGCTGGAGCCCCTCCACGATAGGACCGTGAATTCTCGCGCCTCGTCCGTGTGCCATTGCAAGATGCGTGGCATGTGGACGGTGTGGAGGAACGGACAGATCTCAAAGCATCCTAGACAGTCTACCATTATTGTGAAGCATGGAAGAAGAGGCCTCTCAGACAATCATGGTGAGCATGGAAGGAAGAAAGAGCAAGTCGAGGAGGGACTCATCGGAAGAAACTAGTCCTAAAGCAGCCATAGCGCCTTGGCGACCTTCAATGTAAACAAGAGACGAGGGAGTGATGAGGGCCGAGCAGTCGTTGCGCCTCGTGCCCTCAACTCACCGTCGACGACTTTCACACAGCCAACCACGAGAAGACGATCGCCTCTCACGTGTCTCACCTATTTAAATCGCTCATTCCTATGTATCGATACTCTTGAGCACACGCGTTCCGAACGTGTAATTCCTTCGCGACACGACGCGAGAGGAACACGACAATACCAGCTCGATGACCGCACTCGTTGCGCGCGCACCACTTCATCCGCTTCCTATGTCATCAACTCAAAGGACTACACGCAGATTGAGCGCACGCATACAAGCCAAAGATGCGACCAGAGGAGACGAGAACAGCTTACCCCAATCGGACGATGCGCCCACCAATGGAGGGTCCAAAAACAATGCGCGAAAGCGCAAACCGAGTACGTTCGAGGACACAGCTGAATTACGATGGGCACTAACCAGCAAAGGTTACGAGGAAGAAGACGATGGCTTTATGTTCAGCAGAGTGAAGAAGAAGCGACCCAAGGATGTGCCTCCAGCTATACCGGAGGAAGACGTCCCGGTCAAACAGAATGCCAGCATTGCCGCGACGAGGAAGCCTCTCGTCGCGCGCCCCGCAGATACGACAGCGACTATTGCAATACAAAATACTGAAGATGGCACCGAAATAGCCACGACGAAAAGACAAAAGAAGAAGATGTCGTTTTCTACACCAGTAGCTACCGAGAAACAGCCAATCCGAAAGTCAAAACGATTATCGCATGAAGATCAACAACACAATCCCGTCCACAAACCGCGACGGAAAATGGGAGTCGCACCCGAGAAGAGCGCTAGCCCAGTACCATCGCCACGAAAGACTGTTGAAGCTGAGGTTCCGGCCGAGGTGGCGTCGGTTGGGGAACAATCAGACAACGACTCTCAGCCACAACACTCAGGCACGAAAATTGCCTTGCCTTTTGCTGACACGCCCGTGATCCGTCGAAACAAGGAGATGCGTGAGAACAAGAACGGCCAGCGGCGAAGCAGTCTCAGTTCAAGGGGCAGAAGGGCGAGCTCCTTGATTGAGACTGGCAATTCGAATGGTGAGATCACTCCAGATAACCTAGTCAGACCACTCACAAACTCGATAGCGCTACCCCATGACGAAGTGGACATTGCCGACTTCTACAAGCACATCGAAGCAGACGGACTGCCAGAACCTCGACGCATGAGACAGCTCCTCAGCTGGTGTGCGACCCGGTCGCTAGATCAGAAGCCGATGGGAGCGACCTTTGAGGTGTCTAGTGCTATAGCAGCAGCACGAGTGATACAAGACGAGCTACTGAAGGACCTGGGAAACAAGTCAGAGCTGTCAGATTGGTTCTCGCGGGAAGATGCCGCTCCGCCACCCAAAGAGCTCCCAGAACGACCGAATCCTAAGAATATTCAGAATACGGACAAGATTGCCGAACTCGAACAGCAAATCGAAAAGTGAGTACCGCGATGAGTTTCTGAAGAGCCGAGCTGACAATATGTAGACTCAAATCAGAGCGAGATGCACTGGAGAATCTCCTCAAATCACCTCCGAGCCAGAAACATCCACGACCCTCGGACCTCGATGCGTCGCTACTTAGCCCGGAGGAGGCAGAGATGCTGCATCAATTACAATCCCGACCAAACCAAACCATAGAGTCCCGAGTGGACCAAATTTTCGATAAGCTGGAGCCGAATATCGACGCATTTGCAGATGGAGTGCACAAGGTGGCCCAGTACAGAGATGCTGCAGACAATGTCGCCAGCAGGGTTCTCTCAATAGCGGCAGAGAAGCTGGCAGAGCAAGAGAACGAAGGCAGAAGGCGAGCAAAGCCAGAACGAGACCGAAGTCCACGACGTGACTTGGGTAGTGTGTTACGAGGGCTCAGCCGAATAGATCGATAATGACGATGGTGGGCAGATAAAGTGTCCGAAGCAAATGAGTGTACATGATTTGAACGTTGTTGAGAAGAAATCCGAGCTGCAACAGCCAGCCAATTGGACAGAATGATATGTGCTGTCTGCCAGTCAACCAAATGCAGCTTTTCAGTCTCTCCCGCTCCTGAGCGCTCCTGAAAGGGTGGAATCGACCGGATATGCAGTGGCAAAGTGGGAGCCGGGGCTTCTCGACTCATCTCGACCTGGAGCGCAGCCGTTTCAGACGTGGACTTGCCGCCAGTGCTCTGTCTTCACCGCGCTCGTAAGCAGCATTCCAGTTTGGCAACTCCTGACAACCGGGACGGTGGTCTCCATGATTTGTCGCTCGCACGATATACGGGAGTGGTGACGATGTCCCAGTTCGACACGCTGAGAGTCCTTATCTCTACGACTACCTGATATCCTGCATGATGAAGCCACGAGATCTCGATGAGTTTTTATCTTGAGCACCAGATTTCGATGCTGTCTGGAGTTGATGTCAGCCAAGTCCGCTAGTCAATGTACGCCATCGATGCATCGTAACAGAGTTCATCAGCTGTATTAGGGTGCCGTCAAGCATTCCAGCGCCCATGCTTGACGCCGTGAGAAGACGGCCTGAACCGAGCATCAGGAGTCGAACATGAGACGTCTAGTATGTCATGAATATATTCAATAACTGGTAGGACGCCACGATTCTCGTTCTCGTGCTTCCCCGAGGATCGACAGGACAACCGCATGCACAGCCACAGGTACAGATCTTGAGCGCCACAACAGCTACGTCATTTGCAAACACCAACCAACTTCGACACCCTCAACCAAGAAATCGCCGTGCCAGTTGTGATACAAACCAGCAACCAAGATTCGCTCGCCAGATTCAATGCAAGCTGCCGTGCCTTGGCGCATTTCGCTTTCCACCTGGTCTGCGATCTTCCGCCCTGTTCATTCGACGCCACAAAGTTTGAGACTGGTCGCGCATGCACTGCGCCCACCCCTACCTGCCTTCATTCTTGTTTGTCTGCTGGCGTGACGTCTCGCTTCTGACAGGCAAGTGCTAGTACTTATTGACTGCAATCCCTCTCTGCCGCGTTCCGTCGTGACACTCTCCTCACACCTGAAATCCAATCGACACCCACAGACCAATTCCACGCGCACAGAGACCAGGTCACCCTTTCCAAACCGCCCTCCACCAAGCTCTTTCGCGATCCATAACACAAAACAAAATGCCATTCATCTGGACCAAGAACTGGGGTGGCAAGCACGCCGGCGGCGGCATCAGCGCAGACCGCCACGGCGTCAGGAGAAATCCGTTCCGCATCAGCTTTGGGAAGTTCAGCTGCTTTCGATGATTCTTGCGAGCTATAGCGAGTTCCCACGCCGTTAATTAGCTAGAGCGTGTGGACAACAGTACTCGCCTTCGCTCCTGGTGTGGCGGGATAAAGCAATAGCGATGGTTGCGCTTGAGTGAGGTGCGGAATCCTGCGGCTGCGCCCGCGTGTTGCGGAGACTGCATCAACCGAGCAGCATGCGTTTCTTGTCTTTGAACGGTCACTGCACATCATTGGGACGGATGTGAGGGAGACCGGCAGCGGACAGGGGAGTGCCGGTTGATTGGATGTGCCGGGCGATCACGACGCCTGCGATCATGATTGATAGGGAAAGGACAATGCACAATAAATGATATCAGGTTTTGCCGCGTACCACTATAGCAGCATAGAGTCATTGATCGAGACACTTTCCATATTATTCCAAACCGATCATTAACGTGACTTGTTCGTACATATGCTTGCGCTCGAAGAATGCTGAACGCTATCAAGTTGCTGCAATCTCAAATGACGCCGTTCGGCTTCTTCTGCCCTTTCACTAATATGGCTGGATTCCGTCCCACGAACACCACCTCGTCTTCTAAGGACGAGGCATTGCCGTCCGTGGATCGGTCCAAATGACGCTGTATGAATGAGTATGCCTGCTCTGGGATCTCATCGTTGTCAGATGCCTAATCCACAGCCATCTTCTTCCCACCACCAACGATACCCGCATCCTCACTGTCCGTAGTACTCGTCGCAGGTGTTATCTTCTTCGAGCCCCCAACTCCACCATTCTCGTCCTCGTCCCAGTCATCATCGGGCATGTTCTCGTCCCAGTTGTCCAATTCTTCCTCTACCGTTCTCGTGCTGACCACACCCGTTTCCTGCCCGTCCAGACCAGCCGTCCCACCACCAGTAACTCCCGACCCCTCGCCCAACTCCACGTCTTCACCCCCATCAGCAAGTAACGCCGCAAACTTCGCCCTCCTCTTCCTCTCCGCCGCCCGTCGATGATATGCATTCGCAACCCCCAGCGCCGCAAGACTCCCCGCTACGTTCGCAACGACATCCCACAAATCAAACTCCCGCCCATTCGGCAATAGTCCCTGCGCGACCTCGCTCCCTAGCCCCAAGAACACGGTGACGACGACAAGCGTGATGTGTAGGACGCGACGGCGGGCGGTGTCGAGGATAAAGTAGAAGGTCAAGGTGAGGGCGAAGAAGCAGAGGAAGTGGGCGACCTTGTCGGTGTTCTGAGGGATCCTGTCGCGGACTGAATCTGGAGCGGACGGGAGGGCGGAGTGTGGCAGCAGGCCGGCAGAGGAGGAGAGGAGGAGGAGGGCCAGGAAGGCTATTAGGAAGGGTATTCGGATTCGCATGGCTGGTGTGTGTGGGTGTGATTGATGGAGGAGGTTGTAGATGGATGTGCTGCTTAGGCAGTGACCCAGCACAGGTCCGGTAGCTATTGTGAGGCGTGCATCTGTGGTGGGCAATGTGACTGTGGTGATTTGTTTGCTTGGACAGAAGTTGATGAGGGCACAATAGGCTGCTTGTGAATGTTGAAGTGCCAATGCAGATGGATAGAGAGTTGAAGCCACGTAAATGCACTTAGTAGTCTCAGCAACTTGAAGTTAGAGATGAGCCGGGCTTAATGCCTAAGCTCCCTTTCCAGGTACAAATTTACCACTTGTAAGTACGGGTGCGGGCAGCCAATGGGGCAATCCCAGGCTTGGAGAGAGGTGACCGAGTCTCTTTCAACCTCACAGGACTCCTTGCCCTCACTACGGCGCAACGTCAGCCATCAACTACCTCGATCTCTTCCAACGGCGCGCCCATTCATATCATCTCTGATCGTCTCGAAATCATCACCATTCGATTCTCCGCCTTCGGCTCCCCATATACACTCCTTTTCCGACAATTTATCGCGTGTCCGTCGCCATTCGCGCGAGTTGCCAAACTGGAGTGTATGACCTCGTTCTGCCCTGAAGAGAGGGGAGACGTGCGCCAGCTGGGCCATGTCCAAATGGCCGGGCTCGGTGCCTCACCAAAAGCCACCAGATGACGATAGCCATTCGGTCTCGTCCAGTCACAGGATGTACTCTGGCCTACTGAAAGCGCCATCACGTCCTCACACGCCGCTGTCCGCCAGACTGCGCGGCGTGGGTGGTGCTGGTGGCTCTCAGTCCGGCGCACCTCCCGCGGCCGAGCCCGACTCCAACATCGAGGACGATCCCCAGATTCAGAAGTTCCGTCAACTATACGACCAGACTGAGTCGCGCATTGCCAGTCTGTTTGACAGTGTCGGGGATGTCATCAAGAGTGTCAAGAAACTTGCTATTGCGCCCAAGTCGCAGAATATCGATATAGTCGCCGATGCACCCTCGATACCCCCTCCCACCTCCAAGAAGCGGAAACTCGACGATGACTACGATGATTATGACGATGATGACGACGAGGACGACGCAGCTGACACTGCGTCGCCGCTCAAGGAGAAGAGCAACAAGGTCCAGATCATTGCCGACGTTGCCACGTCGTCGCCCATCGCGCGTCCTGTCATCAACTCCCGACGTTCCTCCGACAGTGGCCGGATACCACCGAAACCTCTTCCACCTGCCAAGGAGAACCCAGAGGATGCGCGGAAGAAGTTAGAGGCCGCGAAGCGCCTCGAGACCGAGACAGTCAAGACCATGTCGCGTCTGATGTTCTTCACCCTCGAGAACGATCGCGATGCTATGCTCGACCAGCAGAGGTTAGACGAAGCCGAGCGACGAGCGGAGGCCGAAGCAGAAGGACATGCCAGTCGACAGAATGCTGCCGCTCAGCAAGGCAGTCTCAGTAACACCAACCTTGGTGCTTCCAGCTTGACCCTGAAGAATCTGATCGAGCGAATCGACAACCGCAGGAATAACGTCAACGCCACGGATGCTGAGATCCGCGCATTGCTAAGTGAGGTGCGGAAGAACAGGAGCAAGTGGTCGAATGAAGACAAAGTCGGTCAGGAGGAGTTGTACGATGCCGCAGAGAAAGTCCTCAACGAGCTCAAGGCTATGACAGAGCATTCCGCCCCCTTTCTCAACCCAGTCAAGAAGAAGGATGCGCCAGACTACCACCACATCATCAAGAATCCCATGGATCTTGGCACTATGACCAAGAAGCTCAAGAACTTCACCTACAAGTCAAAAAGGGAGTTCGTCGATGACCTATATCAGATCTGGAAGAACTGCCTGAAGTTCAACAGCAGCCCTGATCATATTTTCCGTAAGCATGCCCTGTACATGCAGAAGGAAACCGACAAGCTGGCGCCATTGATTCCGGAGATCGTTATCCGTGACCGAGCAGAGATCGAAGCCGAAGAAAGGCGACAGCAGATCGCCAACGGCGAGATCGACGACGGTGCAGAGGAGAGCGATGATGAGCCCATAATGGCGTCTCGCGGTCGGAAGGCGCCCAAGAAGAGCGCTCAGAAGGGCACCAGTACTGCGAGAAAGTCAATACCGGAGTCAACACCTCTACCCGACACGAAGCCTGTAAACACAGCGTTGAACTCGGTACAGGACTTCCGTGCAGAGTCGGAAATTGACGGCAGTCAAGGTCATTCCACGCCGCCCCCGGGCACTTTGACGCCTGTCGGAGCGGGACACGGATCGGTGCTGGGTGCTGGCAGCGAGGCCCCTGATATGGATCTCCCGGCGTTGCCGACCACTCAGACAGCTGTTCCGGAGTACGAAGACGAGGACTACAAGCTGTGGAAGCAAAAGACGAAGAAGGACCGCGCAATGCTTGCCGCTGCCAGGCACAAGATGTTCCGAGGAGACAAGCTCAATGCCGATGAGGAGGCACTCCTCCGGTCTAAATCTGGCATGAGGCGATGGCAAAGGATTCAGCAAGAGGCTGCAGCCCTCGATGCTGCACAAGAAGGCGACGAGTCTCGCAACAAGGCATCCACTTCGCTGTCGGAAGGTCTCGAGGCCGAAGAGGAAACGATGCTGCCTGACTACTACGACTCATTGGCCGCGATCCCGGACCTCGATCCCAAACTCAGGTGGGAGCGCGATAACACTGGGCAGGTCGTCGTCCAATTCGAGGAATATCTCCGCCTCTTCCCAGAAGGACAGTTCAAATCGCCCGAGTCGACCTTCGCCAAACGTATTAATGCAAACATTGCGCAGATGCAAGACACGAAGAAGATCGTCTCCAAGATTGGTGTTGTCAAGCAGATGCAGCTTCAGACACAGACATACCAGAACCAGTTCAGCAAATATCAGCCCGAACCATTTCACGAGCAGGACATCGAGAAACACGTCCAGTCCGAAGATGGACCCATTATGGCTCCCTATGTCTGCAAAGCCGCGCTGCAAAGGGCCGTTGGCAAGATTCTATTCACGGCTGGTTTCGAGGAGTACCAGCCCGGCGCCCTGGACGTGATGACTGACCTCGCAGCTGATTTCTTCCGCCGCCTCGTCTCCACTATTGTCACCTACAAGCATCAACAAGCCATGCCTATTCTCCCACCTGCCCAATCAGTCGTCGACCCTTCGAAACAACGTCCCACGATGACCAACGAAGAGATCATTCTCCTCACTCTGCACGACAACGGCCTCAGCCTGACCGACCTCGACCTATACGTCAAGGAAGACACCGACCGCCTCTCCACGAAACTTACCACCATGCACGAGCGCATGAAGGCACACCTCGCGGACCTCTTGCGGCCCGCTCTCAACGACGACACCGCTCAAGGCCAGGGCACCTTCACTGACGGTGGCGAGCAATTCGTCAGCGGTGACTTCGCTGAAGATCTCGGCGAAGACTTCTTCGGCTTCCGAGAATTAGGCCTCGTGGGAGAACTCGGCCTTGATTCCCTTACCGTACCCTTCCACATCCTGCACGGCAGGCTCAACATGGCGGCCCGCCAGGACGCGTCGACCAGTATCATCGACGGGGAGAAATCGTTCAAAGACCCACCGCGCTGGGCCAAGGTCAACCCCGACAACGTTGACGAAATCGTTGGCATCGCAAGGGGATGGTTCCAGAAGAAGGTCGCCGAAAACGGTGGCGATCGACCTCTGCTGGAAGATTACGAGCTGCCGCCGAAGCAAAGGCCGGGGTATGGGCGGCCGCGGGTGCCGGCGAGTGGGAAGATTGGGGAAGGTAGGACGAATGCTAGTCCACAGAAGAAGCAACCTATCAAGGCGCCGCCGAAACCGATCAGCAAGGATGGGAAGAAGGGCGGTGGGAAGCAGAACGGTGCGGCGGACAAGCAGGTGAATGGCATCGACGTCGATGGCGATGATGAGCCGGTGCCGATGATGAATGGCGTGCACACTACCAACGGTGACACAGCACCAGTCGATGCTGATGCATCTGAAAGTAACGGTGCTACGAACGAGTCGCCAGAGAAGACCAAGCCAGTCTCTAGCACAAAGGGCAAAGGAATCACCACCTCTGGCAGCACAGCCGAGAACGCCGACACCGACGCAGACGACACAGCAGCAGCAGGCGGCGCTGTCAAACCCGCCGTCCTGAACGGGGAAGGCGCCATGATGAGCCCGGAAAGCCTGTAGAACAGGAACAACGCAACGGAACGAAACGACCAGGGAGGAGCTCCAACACCAAATGCTGGTCGTCCGTTCAAATGTCCCCACGAGAACTGCAAGTACCACACCTTGGGCTTCCCAACGCAGTACGAGCGCGATTTTCACGTCGACGACATGCACGACCCCATTCCAGGTGCTCCGGAGAGGTCTCGTCCATTCAAGTGCCCTCATGAGAACTGCAAGTACCACACTCTTGGCTTCCCAGCAAAGCACGCGCGTGATCGTCACATCAACCATCAACACAACCCCAACCCACACTATTACCAATGCGACTACTGCGAGTTCAAGACAAAGTGGGAGAGCAATTGCAAGCAGCACATGGAGAACGTGCACGCTCAGGGAACTCCGACAAGGGCTCGTCTGTTCAAGTGCCCTCATGAGAGCTGCAAGTTCCACAACTTGGGCTTCCCAACGGGGCATGAGCGTGATCGTCATATCAACGACCAGCACGAGCCCAACCCAGATTACTACTAGTGCGAGTATTGCGAGTTCAAGGCAAAGCGCGAAGACAATCTCAAGCAACACATGGAGAAGATGCACAAACCCGATCCACACTACTATCAATGCGACTATTGCGAATATAAGACAAAGCGCGAAAGCAATCGCAGGCAGCATATGAAGGATATGCACAACCCCAATCCGCACTATCACCAATGCGAGCATTGCGAATACAAGACGAAGCGCGAAAGCAATTTCAAGCAGCATATGGTGAAGGTGCACAAGTTTGTGTATGAGCGAGCGAAGGGAAAAGACAATTGAGCCTGGAGAGCACCGTGGGGAGGTGATGGTCACGAAGGGCAGCCACCAACTTCGCACCGACTCAGGCGAGCGCAGCGAGCGATTCTCTGGTCGTGCCGCAGGCGCTCCTCACAAAGAAACGAGTATTGGAGTGTGCGCTGGCTCAAAGCTTTGGTGAAGGGATGAGCGAATAAGAGATGTGTTGGGGCAAGCAGTCGACGACGACAGCGTTCCAAGAAGTCTCGGACGCAATGGGGAAAAGCATGAGTGGGAGCTTACCACAGGATTGGGAAAAGGTCAGCAGCCTTGATGTGTACGCACGTGTACAAGTGCCTCAGGAGTTTTGTATATACGTTCTCCGTTCAGGATTTCCGCTGCGACCTGGTTTGGGCGGCCAGCGATGAAAGGCGTGTCTTGGTACCTTATCCGAACATGAACATGATTAATCCTCAACGTCGACTCGTTCACATGCGCTTGTCTTCTCTATCTGGTGGTATTGTGGCACTTGATCAATTCTTGTATATGCCCGTTGACCTGTCTTGATCTACCACATCGCACAAGTATATCCGACGTTGCAACATGAACAACAGCCCCTGCGTACCTCCCCACAACCAGCAGGCAGAAAAGAAATGCCAAATAGAGCAGCGAGGAACAAGCTATAGGCCCGAGCCATGCTATTGATATTGGTCGTTGCCTTGCTGTGCTCACCGCTCGTCCAGAGAGTTGTCGACTAGAAGCATGGTCGTTGTCCTGCGCCGGATGACACGATTCGATTGGAGGTCGTTGGAGACTGCCATATCTGACCAACGCCAAAACCGGGCTACTGCCTCCCGCACCTCCACTGGAATGTCTGAGCCGACCAGAGCCATATGTCAGCGACCAAATAAACTGCACTTGCTTGGAGGGACGTGCAGCCACTCTCAGTGAACTTGTGACTCGGCTCCATGGCGCTGCTTAGCGCTCCGCCACTTGCTCGACCGAACCTGAACCACGCCGAGCGTGTGGGCTGCTAAAGGCCGGACGTTCAGCACTATAAGTCGAGGCATACAACTGATCGGGCGACCCCCTCCCGGGCAGCTCCCCTTGACTACCGCCGCCATGTCGTCCATGCGCGGCCTCGTCCAGTTCATCGCCGACCTCCGCAACGCACGCGCTCGAGAACTAGAGGAGAAGCGGATCAACAAGGAGTTAGCCAACATCCGTTCCAAGTTCCGCGGCGAGAAGCTGGACGGGTATCAGAAGAAGAAGTACGTCTGCAAACTGCTCTACATCTACATCCAGGGCTACAATGTCGACTTCGGGCACCTCGAGGCCGTCAACCTTATCTCGGCAACCAAGTACAGCGAGAAGCAGATCGGGTATTTGGCGGTCACGCTGTTCTTGCATGAGCAGCATGACTTGTTGCACTTGGTGGTGAACAGTATCCGGAAGGATCTGATGGATAATAATGAGTTGAACAATTGTCTGGCGCTGCATGCGGTCGCGAATGTGGGTGGTCGGGAGATGGGTGAGGCGTTGAGTGCGGACGTGCACAGGTTGCTGATCAGTCCGACGAGCAAGGCGTTTGTGAAGAAGAAGGCGGCGTTGACGTTGTTGAGGCTGTATCGCAAGCACCCTGGGATCATACAGCAGGAGTGGGCTGAAAGGATTATTAGTCTGATGGATGATCCGGATATGGGTGTGACGCTGTCGGTGACGAGTCTGGTCATGGCGCTCGTACAGGACAATCCGGATGCGTATAAGGGGAGCTATGTCAAGGCGGCGCAGCGGTTGAGAAAGATTGTGATTGAGAACGAGGTCAGCCCGGATTATCTGTACTATAAGGTGCCGTGTCCGTGGATACAGGTCAAGTTCTTGAAGCTGTTGCAGTTTTATCCTCCTTCAGGTAAGTCCACAAGGCGGACAAATGGCCGCGTGCTGATCGGTGAGCAGAGGACACATACGTCCGAGGACTCATCCGAGAATCTCTTGCAGCTATCCTTCAAGCCGCCAACGAGATGCCCAAAAATGTACAACAAAACAACGCTCAAAATGCGGTCTTATTCGAAGCCATCAATCTTCTCATTCACCTCGACACAGAATCAAATCTCATGATCCAGATCTCATCGAAGCTGGGCAGGTTCATACAGTCTCGAGAAACCAACATTCGGTACCTGGGCATGGATGCTATGACCCATTTTGTCGCCCGGTCCGACACCGTGGACCCTATCAAGCGACATCAAAATGTCATCATTGGCTCATTACGAGATCGAGACATCAGCGTGCGGCGGAAAGCTCTCGATCTTCTGTACAGCATGTGCGACACTTCGAACGCTCAGCCCATTGTCAACGAGCTCATGCGATACCTTACATCAGCCGACTATTCGTTACGAGAAGAGATGGTACTGAAGATCGCCATCCTAACAGAAAAGTACGCCACAGAAGCACAATGGTACATTGACGTCTCCTTACGACTCCTCGCCCTGGCCGGCGACCACGTCAGCGACGAGGTATGGCAGCGCGTGGTCCAGATAGTAACGAACAACGAAGAACTCCAGGCTTACGCCGCTCAAAACATCCTCGAATACATCAAGACCGAGAACTGCCACGACACCCTCGTCAAGATCGGCGGCTACCTCCTCGGCGAATTCGGTCATCTCATTGCCGACAACAAGGGCTGCAGCCCCATCGAGCAGCTTATGGCTCTGCAAACGAAAATGCTTTCCTCTCCCGACGCACTCGCGCCCTTATATTGTCGACCTTCATCAAATACGTCAACCTCTTCCCTGAGATCAAGCCACAACTCCTGCAAATGTTCAACTTCTACAGCTATTCTCCAGACTCAGAACTCCAGCAACGAGCATTCGAGTACCTGAGCTTGGCCAACATGCCGACCGATGATCTCCTACGCACAGTCTGCGACGAAATGCCGCCCTTTTCCGAGCGCGCCTCCATCCTTCTGCAGCGGCTCCACAAGAAGTCCGTGGGTACGAGCGAGCGCAGAACATGGGTCGTTGGCGGTAAGGACGCCAACACTGACAAGCAGGAAGTCATCCTCGCGCAGAACACCGGCTTGAAGCGCACGTTTACGACTATCGTCAACGGCGGCAACCCTGTCGCTGCAGCTCATACGAATGGCGCATCAAATGGAGCCACTAACGGTACGACCTCCGCCAGCACGGACCTCATGGGCCTCGACCTCAACGGCGCTTCCACCGGTGTCTCTGCCTCGCAGCCCCGAACCTCGCCTCAACAACCCACCTCTCCCCCGACTGGAGGCCCGGCTACCTCCTCTTGTCGCAGCCCTCCACCCTCTCCGGCGTCCTCTTCGAAGACGCCCAACTCCAAGTCGGCCTGCGCGCCGAATACCGCTCTCACTTGGGCGTTCTCAAAGTATACTTCACCAACAAATCTTCGTTTAGCGTCGGTTCCTTTACTGTCACCATTGACAACCCTGCACAGAATAAGGGGATTCTAAAGATTGATACGAAGGCCATGGCGGATTCAAATGTGGAGGCGCAGGGACAGACGGTCATGACGATTGTGCTCACTTCCATCAAACCCTTCACAGAGAGTCCGACGATGAGAGTGAGCTTCCTTGCTGGTGCGCTGCAAGCATATACGCTCAAATTGCCGGTCCAAGCATTCCGCTTCATGGAAGGCAGCGAACTAGGCGCCGAAGAATTCTTCAAAAGGTGGAGGCAAATCGGGAATGCCAATGGGATGGAAGCGCAAGACACTTTTGCCGCAGACGCAAGAGGCTTTGGCACCATTGAGGAGAGGGTTCTACGAGACCACGGCTTCAAAGTCCTGCAGAATGTTGATCCGAATAAGGCGAACCTCGTTGGGTGTGGAGTTTATCAAGGGGAGGGCGGGAAGATGGGTTGTTTGGTGAGGCTGGAGCCGAACGAGGCGGAGAAGGTATGTTGCTTTGCATCGGGGTTTCCCGCCCACCCCAGTTTCTTTGACGGATTCATGTGCTAATATTTTCGTCAACAGAAATACCGCGTCACGATCCGTGCAACGCAAGATACTGCGCCTGCTATCTTGCTGGCGAAGATTCGTGAGCGGCTCGTTCAGGCAGCATCGAGTAACGGAACGGCAGTGGGTTCATAGAGGATCCCCATGTCCCGACCGCCGTTCGGTATCATCAAAAGGCAGCCATTCAGAGAGCAAAGGATGCACCGCCAGCTGGTGGGCACAGGAGCTCTGTTTCCGGAGCCCGAAGCGAGGAGATGGTGGCAGGAGGGCAGTCTGTTGTGCGATCTGAGCCCTCCGAAGGACAGAACTTTGCTGTGGCGGGCGAAGTTTGGAGGTACCGCTGGACGAAGAGAGCGGAAGTTGGAGGAGTAGAGACGGGTGGGGGAGAGTGACAGAGCGGCAGGACTGAACAGAGGGCCAGAAGAGAGGGGTTGAACAGAGGTGGACAAAAAGTGTTGTGTATAGGTAGCATCGTAATGAGCATTTCTAGGTATGGACTATGAACATCTGATGTGGTGCGGCATGGTAGGCCATTGCGTTCCTTCCAAGAATCTTGTCCGTGCGTGTCCTTCCGTCCTGCAGCATTGATCTGATCTGGGTGGTTCTCCCTGTCAAGACAGACAGTGTCGAATTCTCTTGAGCTTTTCGCTATTTGCGAAATCAGGAAGAATCATCCCTCACACCACCTGCAGCGCGCTTCTCGCCGCCACCAACAACACCCGCATGAGCGCCAGCGCTAGCGACGCTCTGGCGTCTCGCATCCTTCAAATCCGCAACAGTGCCCACATCGAACTTGTACAGCGGCTCGAGCTGGGCTCGCCTGTTGCACAGAACATACCGCTTGAACCACCAGGGCAGCCACGTGCCGGTCTGGTACTTGATGAATGTGCGCGTAGGGACGGCGAAGATGTAGTCGAGTTCTTCGAGGGAACGCTGCTTCGTCTCAGGAACCCACAGAAAGATCCACACGAATGCGATCATGTTCAGGCTGCGAAGAAGCCGAATGCGCCTGTGGGTGTGAAGGCGTTGAGGATCTTGGGGAAGGTCAAGCCTAGGACACCGGCCCAGAAGAGACAGGTAGCGACGGCCCAGCCCATGCCGACCTCTGTAAAATGGCCGTCAGCTGTTGTTCCACGAACCTAGAGGGACGGAGAAGAACATGGCTGAGGAGTCACATGGTGAATCACTTACCGCGATGCGAAAGCGGGAAGACCTCAGCCGAGTATGTGAACGGAACAGGTCCTTCACCAGGCGAGTAGAAGGCGCAGAAGAGGTAGACGAAGAAGGCAATGAGACCGAGATGGGCGGCGGAGGAATCGGGGATGTAGAAGCTGGAATATCATGTCAGTCGACGGATTTGTGATACGCACGAGAGCAAGACGTACGAGAACCCAGCGGCCAAGAGCGTCCAGGCCATTTGGGGGAAAGTGAAGAGCAGCAGTGTGCGGCGGCCAAAGGTGTCGATCGTGAAGAACGCAGGGATGGCGAAGACGAAATTGACTGCGCCGAAGCCGAAGGAGGCGAGTAGCGCCGTGAACTGAGAGGTACCGGCTTGGATGAAGATGGTGGAGGAGTAGAATGCCTGCGGGAAGTGTCAGGATACCGTCGCTTGATGGATGAAGCCACGGAGGGAGCTCACGATGATGTTGATACCACACATCTGCTGTGCAATCATGACGACAAATGACGCCAGAGTCGCTCGTCGTACACGTGGGATTGTGAACAGTTGCATGAAGCGGCTGAGGTAACTAGTCTCGCCCACGATCTGCTCTTCGATCTCAATCTGAGTGCTAATGTAGTAAAGGTCTCGAGCAGCAAGGATGGGGTGGTTGCGCAGCTTCAGCAACGATGCCCAAGCCTTAGCTGGCTTCTTGTGCTTGATGTACCAGCGAGGACTCTCTGGGCACATGTACACAAGCACGGCCAGAGGGACCGCAGGAATGAATGCAGAGCCGAGTTGTAGACGCCAGCCGATTGGACCTGCGTTCCAGACGGCGAGGTTGAATGCTGTGCCGAGGAAGATGCCGAACTATGAGTATGATTAGCCTAGAGAGAGAACGATCACAGAGCGACTTACAGCGGTCCAGAACTGCCAGGTCATGACCAAAGCACCTCGAATTGCAGCAGGAGCATTTTCTGCGCAGAACACTACACAGACATTTAGCAATTGGTCACCGCACAAAGTTTCGATACTCACCAGGAGTTGTGGCGCCCTTCAAGCCCATTCCAACGCTGCAAATTTGATTAGCCTTGTTGCGGGCAAGGGGCGTATGCTCGAGGATAGCATTGCAAGGTTCAGGAGAGCAACCGCCTTCCCATCCCGAGATATATGCTCAGGCAGTCTTCGGAGTAACGCTCATTTCCGGACGCAACTTTGACCACGAGAGAGCGACTTACCCCATAATGATGCGAGTAGCGAAGAGTTGTTCCCAGGTATGAGTGACTGCACCACCGATTGGTGTAGCGATCAGGATGAGAGCAGAGACGAAGATAGTACCACGACGGCCGAGATAGTAGTTGCTCGGGTCCGACAGCCAGCAGCCACAGAAGCAACTACCCATGTATGGCGCAGCTAAGTCACCTGTTAGAATGAATGTTCCTCGGGGGAGAATAAAAACCATGAGACCAACGTCTCGCTCAAGTCAGGTTCTTGGGGACACATGCCATTGACAAGTCCGATAATCCAGAACTCGCGGTCAGTGAAGGGAGTTCCGGTCGCCTCATCAGACAGACCGAAGACCACAGGAAACGAGAGGTTGGCACCGTTCGTGCCTACAAAGAAGGTCAGCAGCTAGAGTAGCAGGCAAGAAGTGGCTACTAACCCGTCTGATCCCAGCCCTGCACGGCTGCACCGATCGAGCAGACAATTACGGTCATGTAGAGCTTCCATGGGTGGCTCCATTTCTTGTTGACTTCAACGCGCAGAGCATCCTTCTCGTCTTCGGCAAGATCAAGGTCTTCGAAGCCAGCAGGATTTTGAGCCACGAGCGCGCCCTTCTTCAGAAGCTCAGTCTCAGCTGTGAGGCCGGTGCGTTGAGCAAATCGTTCAACCTGGGCGCGGTTAGTGATAATCTGCGCGAAGTGTATCAGGGAGGCCTACATCGGCAAAGAGCTCGTCGCGTGGAACATCAGCAAGAGGATTGGAGATTCTGTATTGCTGTCAGCCTACGCTATCACAGCGATGTGTCATATCATCGTACTTGGCGTCCAAGTTCTTGCCTCTGTTGGCATCTGCAACAGAGCGACGACGACCTTGCTCAGCCGACGCACCCTTCTCGTAGTTCTCAGCCTGAGCTGAATTGGCGTCCTTGCTGTCAGCCATGATGGAAGGCTGAGATCGCGCAAAGAATGCTTAATGGAAGCTTAGGAAAAAGAAGGGAAACGGTCAATCTTGACCTACAGGGTCTGTGTGCTGGTTTATAGCGGCACAGTCTCCTCACGAGACTTCAGCTTTTGACCAGCTGATCGACGCGTCCCCAAAATCTCCCAGATAGGAAGTCTCGAAGTCACATCGTTCACCTGGAGACTCCAGTATCGTCCCATCCTTGGCAACTTCGATTGCGGGCGGCGGGGGATATCGGTGCTGCCAACCACTCACGTCTCAGGAAGCGCGCCGTCATCGACGAAGGCCGGAGACAATTGTGACGTTTAGACGCATGCGAAGCAGCGCCGTCCGTACTACCAAGCGGCCAAGACAGCCAACAGCGTCTTATCGCACAGATGAGCTCCGCTCGCGCCAATGAGCAAGCCGGAGGAGAGTGAAGCCAAGACGATGATCCACGATCGAGTGCGGAGAGTTGTTGACATAGTGCATCGCCTACCTGTACATCTGTAAATTTGACTCTTGTCAATCTGTGATCTTGAGCGGATGCGGCAAGTCCTCTCATGCGCAAGACTTTGCGTTCCATTCACGATGCAACAGTGGCGCAAGGGAAGAATCTTGGAATTGGGGAAGACACGGGCGGGGCGGATCCCCGTTACAGCAGGCATGCGAGGCAAATTTCGCCTTCCAAAAGTTGCTTGGACGCGACGCGCGGAGAAGTCCAATCCTTACTCGAGGAGATGATGGCATTGCGTGCAGCGGCCAACATGTGTCGTTCTTGAGTTGCTACCAATGATTTTTGTCGTGAAAGGCCTCCTGACAATGTCTAGTCGGAGGTCGGCAGTGATTGCCGAAGCGAAGGGAGAGGCCAAGATTTCTGCCAAGATCGATGACCGCGCCAAGTCGCTCCGAGCAGTTTCTCAACTGCATTGGGCTCAAGGACCAGTACCGGGATACCTTTGCTCGGAACACAGGACGGACGTGGGCAAGTTTCGTACTACATACTGCTCATGACGGCTCGCTACAGATACACTGCTTTGAGAATGTTGCTGGCGGCTGTCGTTGTTCCATTTGCTCATTGCACTTTTGGCGGGCCTCGTCGTGGACGGCATCACAGCTGATCATTGGTCACATGAATTGCCATGGCAGGAACGCTGTTGGACTCTGTTCTGGCGCATTTACCTCTTGCTCGACGTCAAAGCTAGCCAGAGCTCGAATTCTTGCAAGGTTATCAAATCGGTTCATCAAAATCATAACATTCATGAAGCTTGGTAGTCTATCTGCCTGTGTCAAGCAAGTCTTTCTGATCTGCCATTGCTGTGAGGCTGTTGTCATCATCGTCATGCAAAAGGAAAAGATCCGGTCTGTCATCCTTTCAAGCCCTGGTCGCTCGCACTTTCCCCTACCCTATACTGCCTCCGCAAATGCGTGAGGCCCCAAATGCTCCAATATGTCGCTCACTGGCTGCGCTTCATCTTTCGTCGATACTCCAAAGCCCGCTTGCGGCCGGCAGAGCTTTGAGTGAAAGCAGCAGCGCCACCAAACGGTCCAGCAGGTGTGTTGTTGTTGACTCGGACAATGCAGACGTTGTCTGCGCCGCCGACGGAGCCCTCGCAGGTCATGCCGGCGGGCATCTGGACAGTGATTGGGTTCTCGCTCATGGTCACACGACCGAAACCCAAGAAGCCTGGAACGTCCTGAGTAACCTCCGCTTGCTCGAACGCGCCCATTTGTGTGCCGCCGGAGGTGGGGTCGATCATGGCGTTGAGAGGGCCGCCACCGTCAGCATTGACCTGTGCGCGCATGTTGGTCAGCTTGCAGCCCAAAAGGGAAGTCCATGATGCATAGACAAGGTAAGGGAGCATACCGAGTAGAAAGTCATGGTGACCTCTCCATTGTCGCTGGCAGTGGGCAGACCACTCTCTGCGCCAGTTCCAGCCATCTGGCCGACCAGATTCTCAGAGGCACCCAGCTGTCTTACTCTCATGCTACGGCTCTTGGAGCGCTTGCGCTTGTCTGGATCCGCAGCGAGGTCCTGGGCAATGCTGGCTGCGGAAGCAGGACGAGCAGTCCCATTTCCATTGCCGGATCCCATGAATGTGGCAATGCCGTCAGCGGCTGAGACAGGTCCAGCACCCTGTGTGCGGCCCAGCGGTGATGCTTCGCCCGAGCGAATCTCTCTTTGACGGATGATGGCCGAGTCGGCTTGCGAGCCGCAGCCGTTTGAGGAACAGTCACGGGGAGTGCCATCGGCGACTGTCATGAATTAGTATGATGCTATGGAGTGGTGTGAGGGGTGTACATACCAGTCAAACCGGGCATCTCAACACCATTAGCACCTTGGATGGAGCGAACCATGCCATGGGCAGAGGCAGATGCGACCAGCGCAGCGGCGAGGATGACAGACTTCATCTTGAGTAAATATGGTAAGGACGGTAAGAGGCTTTTGAGTCCGGCTCAGACTTGCGAAAAGAAAGAATAGAAGGAAAGGAAATGCCTTGTTGAGATGATGCTTTGGATGATGAGGTCTGTATGTCCGACATGGCTAATGGGAGGGGATATATATACACTCCTACCTAGTCAAATGTGGTGGCCTTCGTACGGATGACCACATCGCCTGGAGTTTGGTAGAAGATGCAGGTGTCTCGGGCGGTGTGTCGTGCATCGAAACCCACGATGCTTCGAGAATTCACATTCAGCACTTGTGATAAAACGATGGCCGTCCAAGAAAACCGTTATTCTCGTTGCTGATGTGTCTGGAATATACGGAAGCATAGCCTGAGTTGGTGTTCTGCCACGGCCGCTCTGTACTGGGCGTGTGTGTCGTCTCAACTCATGTGCCGTGGCGCCTGTCATCCAGACTTAGCTTCCGCAATCTGATACTCGCTTCCCTGTCGATCCGAGGCTCGCTAGGAAACTCGGCTAGCATGTATATCTCCCGAAGTTCTGGTGTTGGCCTGTACACAACCAGCCGTGATGCAATCATGGCTATGCTCTCAATCGAGCTATTACTTGTGCCGCACTTTGTTCCTATAATGAGACCGCAGTATCGATACCAGTTGCGCTTCTGATTCATTTCTGCCGTCAACTGACCGAGCAAAGGTGTGGAACATGCACTAAGGCAAGACAGCTCGCCTGCGCAAAGATCGTCGGCTGGAGGCTCCCATCAGGGTGCCTTTCCAAAACGACAAGGATCAAACTGGCGGAACATTTTGTCATTCCTACGGTGGCTCTGTCCACAGCAACCACGATATTCTGAGGAGGGAGGAGCGATGAGGTCGTTCCAGAAGCTTGAAATCCTGGGCTTGGCATCGACCGACCTCGGTTTTTCGAACTCCAGCTTTGCGGCGATTGGTCGGCCACGTCTTTTCTTAGATGTTACAGGGTTGTCTCATGTGTTCAACAGAGACTCTTTCTGGTAACAACTTGTCCAGATGGAAGCCACAGAGTCGCCACCACTTGCGGGCTAACGATCCGGGGCATATGGAAACATTTTCTGTCGCGAAATGTCTTGCTCCTGCTCTGGGAGAACGCCGCCAGCACCGTCTGCCTCTAACAGCTGAGTAACAACAACTTCGCTGATCAGCAGGATGCCAGGATTTAATCAGCCCTCACAAGCTTGCAGAGATCACGATCGCACATTTGTTATCGACTCCTTCGCTACCGAATATGCTTGTTTCACTGATTCCGAGGGACCTTCAGTCTCGTCGCACAGCAAGACGCTTCGGAGACGATCGAAGGTCTCTCGTTATTGTCTCACTGACCATGATGGCCATGCGGCATGAGTCGTAGCCTGCAGCACCATCGATCTTTCTCGCCGAGCAGTAATGGTCTCTTGAGGCAGGTAGGAAGCCGTTCACGACAGCACCGGCCATGGTACTGTACCAAGCCTTCTCTCCGTTACCATGAGGAAGCCTCAAGTTCTCATAGAAACGGTCTTGCTGCTGACGTCTCTCAGCAAAAGCAGACTCTCTCGGACGTGCCTCGAATAATGGACGTTCGAAGGCAGTTGCCCCCGCGATTACTGACTTGTGAGCAGTTTTCTGCCGTCAGCGATCAAGGCGACCATCACTAACACCTCCTCGACGTTCGTCTGGCTTGTGTATCGTTCTTCACACGGATCCATACCACTGGCACTTTCCCTATTGTTTCTGTGCTGTTTATACGATTTGCGGCTCCCTGCAGCCTGCGCCAGTTGACCTGTGCCAGAAAGATCATATCATTCTCTCCCCTGTTGACTCCCACCACTTCGCCTCCGCGATGGCGTTGAGGGCGCAGCCGCCATGAAGACAGCGATGGCAATGAGTCCGATACTCTGTTGCACTCTCTTGAGCATCGACATTGGTGGCCGGCTTCGCTGCTGCACAGGAGGCAGATACTCCAGGTTTGGCTTCGACGGCGGTTCTGCTTGACGTGAATGCTGGGTCGGGTTCTGCTCACTTTGCTCCATGTCTAGGGGTACAACCGAGGCTGCTCTGGAAGCGTGAGCTGTATTGCCAACAACCGTTTTTCGACAATGATGCCGTTCGGAGCGTGGTCTTGTCGTATTCCGTCTTACAGTCCACAGGCGGGCGCAACGCGATAACGAAAGCGCACAGATTTTCAGCAGGTCGAATGGATCTGGCCTGAGGATATGCTCGGGCAATCGAAGCGACTGAGAGATGGCTCGCACACGCTTACCTAGTATAGACGAATGTGAGTCGTCTCCTTTAGGTAATTGAAGTCCCGAAATTGTTGGCCTAGCGCCGCGTCGGTAACGTAAGCGGTAATTGCATCTTGACGCCCAATGGCACACATACTAGTAGGTCCTTGAATGTTACATATCCCTGGCCGTGGGCGAGTCTCGCTACCTGCTATAATCGCTGATGGCAACGCAATGGAACGGACCAAAGACCCGTGGGCAAGCGGCCGCACGCCGCTCGCCTTATGGATTTGCGCCTCGAGTGATTCCACATCACTACGCGCCAAGTCACGCCTTGCCATCAACAAGCCCTCGACTTCTGTCTTGCTCGCCGCGCTTCCGCTCTCGATGATACTGCCAGTCGCTCAGTCCCTACAACGGCTATTGGCACCTACGGGGCACCCAGGATACCTTTCACGATGTCCACGAGCTCCTCCGTATGGCTATGCGTTGGACAATGGTCCCATGAGCGTTCAATAATATTCACATCTGGTCGCTTCCGTCCATCCCTCTCATACTTGATCTTACGTCCGGCATTGATCAAGTCGATGAAACCTTTCTGGAACTGTCCCGGCACGATCATGTCTTCGGTGGTTAGAATCCAGTTGACTTCGTTCACGTCGTTGTAACCGGCATAGCTCAACTTTTCCTCAAATGCAGCGATCGAATGAGACGCCATGCCGGATTTGGCGACAGAAACAGCCTCAGCTGAATCAAGCTCTGAGAAGGTGAGGGGTCCAGCGACATCAGGGTCGAGCGTCATGTAACCGTCTGCTTCCTGTGCAAGGGATGAGCGAGTGACAGGTGAAAAGGGGGGTGGTATAGAGCAAGGTGAAGGGGACTAGGACAGCCGCCGAAGATTGAAGTTTGCCATAACGGTAGAGGCAGCGGTATTGACGAGCAGCCGCAGGCATTGGCTGTTTCACCTTCTCCTGGAGATCTTGTACACTACGCCGCTGCCTCTGTATGTATGGGAGACGCTTTAGGAGGGTGTTGCGATGAATTGCAGGCACGACGAGGAAGGTATGGCTGGTGGAAACGGAAGAGAAAGGGGAGCACTGACATGCTTCTTGACAAAGTCTGGAAGATTGTTGCCAAATAACTCGAAGTTGCTGACGCCTTCTTGCAGGATGACGCTCGCCAGGTAGATGACCTTTTTCACGCCTTTGCCATCCGATCTGTTTACGGCACCAAGTTCTTTGAGCGATTGAGAAGTTGGAATACCGCCATAGGAGTGGGCGATCAGGGTGACCTCCTTGCCCTCGGAGAGGACCTCTTCGACCAGCTTGGTGATCGCGGAAACGTCGTCGGACACGTTGCCTGGTTTGCGGTCGTCGAATGGTCCGACGGAAGGTGTGTGCACAATGCGAACGTCTTCGACGCCCGACTTCTTGAGCTGTGTGGTAAAGCCATCATACATGGTCGGCGTGGCGAACGAGCCCGGGACGATGACAAGTGTAGGAGCCATGGTGGAATATTGGTCGTCACGAATATATTGGACGATTGGGATTAGGACCTAGCAATTGCAATCGATAATTGTGATTCGGGTATGTGTGTCGTATGTCGGGCGCTTTGAATGGTCTGGGACTGTGTTTGTCGTGTGTGTGAGTAGCGATATTCTGTCTTTACACGTTTGATCAAGACCTGTGTTCAGCGAGCAGAAGTTATAGTACGTCGACTAAAGCGTCAGAGACAGCGCTGACCAACACGGCGGCCGCCAGAGTTTAACATAAAACATTTGTGCCGAACACGCTTAGGCAAACGCCCAAGCTTCCTGGGCCTCTGTACGACAATGCTCGACGGTGGACGCCTGAATGCTTGAGGCTCGATCTTCTCAATACCGCGCCGCCCGCCTCCTGTTTGAGACGCCGGATGGTCTTTTGCGGCGATGGTTGACCGCATCTTCTTGCGAGGTGTTCCAGTTTGGGGTCCAATCGCCCCTGATGACGCAATACTTGAAATGCCCGGGCCGTTTCGAATTCATCAGCTATTCATTTTATGTTCTTGCAGTTCACGGTATCGCCGCGCAATGACTCTACTGTAGCATACAGATCAGCTGCTTGCACTGGCCTCAACACGTTCCACGTTTGGCCGACGATACACAGAGCAGTGGACCGGCGTGTTGTCGCTACCTTGCCACGGCCCCCAAGTTCGAGACTGCTCAGACTCGGTACTTTCGAGCTCTTCACTTCCAGAACAGAGCTGAAGCTGTCATCGTATATGCTGTTTGCGGGAAGATCAGACCAAGTCTGTTTACGACAGGCCCTGTGACGCATGAAATTAGACTCGGGAGTCTGAACCTCAACAACACCCTTCATTTAGTCGGTCGTGACTGCCATTGCTCCGAAGACCATTACCCACCGTGTCGGTGACTGACTGAACGCCAGACTTGTGAGTCCTCTGTCTGTGTCTTTACTCACGACAAAAGTCCAATCAGAATGTGCCTACTTCGATCCTGGTGTCGCAGCTCCTGACGAGAGAGCGCACTACTCATATCCGTTCCACACATACTGCAAGCGACCTCAACCGCGCTCTGCACAATCTTGAACGCGTGGCTGACTGCGCTCGGAGTGCTCGGTTGGCATTCGATGAGAATGGTCGGGAGCAATCTGGCGATAGAGCGAGTCCCAGCCCATCAACCCACTAGCCCACCAGTACTGGTCTGTTCTAGCAGTCCAGTGCCTCCAGGCGCCAATCCTCGTCATGTCTGCCTCGGCGGGCTACTACCCCGTAGGACTTTCTCGCGGAGATGCGGGGATGACTGCTTCGATTCACCTCTTGGCGACCCACCACCAAGCCTGCCCAGAAGATGCCGCATGCAACATGACCTGTTCTCCTCTCCCAACATACCGCGATGCTCTCTTCTGATGGACTGCACCAAGTATCCCTCGGAACATTGACTGGTGCGTTAGACGGTGCACTACAGTGTCCCGAGGCATCTCGTGTGGCTCAGCCTGAACAAACTCTGACCCAACGTCTTACACTCAGCAACATCTGCAACACCGACCTGCATTGTCGAAGCGATGCTCTGATTCCAGGCATCACCAGCATTCCGCACTCTTGGCGTGCATGTCCTCCACCCTATGACTCGCCACCTGTCGTGGCACCCCTTGGCTGCTGTGAGTGGAAGAGATACCTTACTTCATCGGTCACCATCCCGGCGTGTTCCCCCATCTAATTGCCACCAATGCGACCATTTTCGTATGCATGTCTGCAAGTTCCAAGCCCTTGGGCTGCGAAGAGACCTAACAAGTCACTCAGCGCTGAGTCAATGCCGCTAATGCATACAATTCGCAGTACTGGGTCCGCGACACGGGTTTCTCTACGCGAGCATGCATGTCCAGTGAGTCTTGACTGGCTATCAGTCGTAGCGAGGTACTCCTTGGGAGTCTCGAACGCTGTTTCCCCATGATGTGCTCGGTCCACGACCCTGAATCAACATACTTCAATTACCACTCCGCTGGATCTGATGGAGAAGTCTCGGGTTGCTCAGCTGTATAAAGCCCATCAATCTGTCCAGAATTCTTGCTAGGCGAGACTGCCATTTCTTCTCATCTCTTTCGGTGTCACCATGGCTGCCAACACTGACAAGCAGGACTTTCATTCTGCCACCAAGGAGCATGATATCTCAGAGCTCGAACATGCCTCCACATCCTCTGAGCAGTCCTTTGACAAGGAGACTGCTGCAAAGATCCGTCACCGTGTTGACTGGCGCCTTATCCCAGGTAAGGAATGGTCTCGGATTCTACTAAAAGTTACGCTAGGGATAACAGGCTAATGAGCGCAAGCATTGGGAGCCATGTACGGCATCAGCTTGATGGACCGCAAGAATGTCTCCAATGCCGCCATCGCTGGCATGCTCAGGGATCTTAAGATGACAACAGGCCCTGGGTACAACCTGGCCAACATGTGTTTCTTCATCACGTACAACCATCATTACCATTCCTCGATACTCAGCTGCTGACTTGTGCAGGTACATCCTCTTGCAACCACTGATGATCATCGTCTGCCGCAAAATGGGTCCTCGATTCTTCCTCCCGCTGATCTGCACGCTGTGGGGTTGCGTGATCATTGGATTCGGCTTTGCACAGAATTGGCCGACCTTGGTGCCGTTGAGACTGCTACTCGGTGCGCTGGAGGCAGGATACTTCCCCGGATGCTTGTGAGTCTTACACACAAAACGGCATTTGCAGCGACTTGCCGACTCACAACCCCAGATACCTCCTGAGCTGCTGGTACACCAAATTCGAAGTCGCCCGCCGCTACTCCGTCTTCTACCTCATCGGCAGCATCGCTTCCGCCCTCAGCGGCATCCTCGCCTACGCCCTCCAACAGATGGAAGGCGTCAACGGCATCCGCGGCTGGCGCTGGATCTTCATCATGGAGGGCGTCATCACCTGCGCCGTCGCCATCTTCGCCTACAGCTTCCTCATCAAGTTCCCCGACGAGGAGCGCGAGAAGCCTTCTTGGGGGTTTCTTAAGCCCGACCAGACGGAATTCTTGATCAGGAGGCTTAATGCGGATCGGGGGGATGCCGATCCGGAGGAGTTCACGTGGGGGAGGTTCTTGAAGCCCGCTACGGAGTGGTATATTTATGGGTTTCCGTTTATTCTTTTGTGAGTGCCCTGCCCCACTCACGACCATGAGCGATGCATCCCTCCAGGAGTACCCTACTGACAGACAGCAATAAGCCTCATCACAACAATAGCCTACGCCTTCGCGTTCACCCTCCCCATCATCCTCCGCAACAACCTCAAATTCTCCGTCGCCATGTCCCAGATGCTCGGCGCTCCGCCCTACGTCGCCTCCGGCATCTTCATGTACCTCGCTGCGTGGTACTCTGATCGCAAGAAGACTCGTGGCCCGGTGCTCTGCTTTCTCTGTTTGGTGAGTTTGATTGGGTTGCCGATCATGGGGTTTGTGAAGAATCCGTGGGTGCAGTATTTCGGGATCTTTGTGACGGTCGCTGGGACGAATAGTGCAATTCCGAGCGTGATGGCGTATCAGGCGAATAATATCAGGGGGCAGTGGAGGCGGGCGTTTTGTAGTGCGAGTTTGACGGGGATTGGGGGCATTGGGGGCGTGGCGGTGAGTGGTTCCCTTTGTAACAATGGATTGGCGGCTGGAGCTGACGCATTGCAGGGCGCACTGATATTCAGGACGGAAGATGGGCCACTGTTTGTACCTGGCTTTGCGACTTGTATCGCGTAAGTGGACTCTCGCCTCTTCTCTTCCATGTCACGGGGACGGATGTAGCAGATTGCTGACTGGGTTAAGGTGCAATGTGCTCGTGATGGTCACGGTGGCAATCATGACTTGGTGGTTCAAGAAGAAGAATGCTCAGGCTGATAGGGGCGAGTGTGTTCTGCTGGAGGATCCGAACTTCAGGTTCACGATTTGAGCGGCTTGGAAAGGTTTGTCGCGATGTACGAGATCTGGGCCAAATTTCCCAGAGGGGTCGACCACGATGTGGAAATAGCAGAACATGATGAAGTGGGTCTCTAAAAGCAATGCTTGGATTTTGGAACGACGATTGTTGTCCGGCGATCTGTGACCGTAATGGAAATGATATTTGAACCACGATACACACCTGCTCCAATCCCTGTGAGGAGAATACAGTAGCATAACGTTGGCAACCGGTGCTCCTGACCTTGAACTAACAGGCACGCCAGTAACGCCTCCCTAACCCAACCAGATCCGCCCAGCCCAATCCGAGAGGCTGACGGCTTCTGGAAAGTCCGTGCCATCAGTCCATCCGATGGTTGAGCTCTGCTCAAGGACAGCTTCAAGCCTTGCCAGTGAAGTCCGTCTCGGTAGGCAGCAGCCCGCCATCACTCGCCTTCTCACACGTGCAGCTGTCCTCACTTCGCTTGCCACATGCGCATGTCTTGCCGGAGACGCCTGCGTTTTCTGTTGATGCACGGTCGCATGTGCACTCGCCTGCTGGTCGGGCACCTGGTTGTTTGGTCAGCATTGATCTCAGAGTCATGCCAATGCGCCTTGCTACGACGTGGGCTTGTTCTCGTGAAGGATGAGTGGGAGACTATGGTAAGAAAGGACTTACGGCAAGAACATCTGGCGCCAGATATGGTGTTCTCGGTGGACTTCTTCTCGCAGTTGCAGTTCATTGCGGATTGCTTGCCACAGGAGCAGGTGGCTTTCTCGGCGCAGACGCACTGGTCGGCGCGGCCGCAGCAGGTTGTGGGCTTGACCATCTTGGTGGTGGAATAATTTGGTCGGTGTTTTGGCGAAGTTTGAGGGATTTGCGAAAGCGGGATGGGAACTTCTGGTCGGTAGAAATGTGATGATTGTTTGTGTGGTAGAGAATGAAAGGGAATGTGAGTTGATATACTTCGTGTTTGGAAGAAGGCAGTGACGGAGTGATGACAATGAAGCAGTTCTGATTGGCTGATGATGGATGTGGGTCTAGCTGTGGTTGCCTGTTTTGCATACGGGGCCAGTTGGAAGCGAGGCATTTGCAACAGATCGGCAACTCTGGTCACCTGAAGGCATTCGGATGACCGAGAATATACCTTGATAGGTGCGACAGGCCCAGCGTGTCTCGTTAACGTGGGGCTTCATTGCAGCGTGTGAAGTATTCGCTGAAGCACATGCCAACTCGTTATGACTTCGTACCACCAATGCCTGCCGATGCTCTCTGAACACAAAAACGTCGAAGCGACGATAGTCTATCTACATGTAACACCGACGCCTATTCAACCTCGAAGATTGAGTACTCTATACACGTCTCGGCGCATCCAATGCCTCCCAAACCGCCAACTTGCCCTGCTCGCTTGTGGTCAATCTATTGTGGCCACCATGTTCCAGCAGCTCCCATCGAACTACCTTCGCTGCACCCCCATCCCATCGCAGCCTCGTCCATGCCTCTTCTCCGGTCTTGATCTTTTCTGCATACACTTCCTTTGAGCCGACTTCTTCCAGTATCGCTTCCCAATTTTCCCTTCCGTTGCCCCATAGTACCTCCCAATCGTTCTTGGCATGTATGATGGTAAGATCAAGGGGCACGTCCGGGGCACGGACTAGCTCGGTCAGTCGTCGGACAGTTTCCCACTTGTCCACTATCTTCCCAAGGAATATGCTTTGGAGATATGGCCAGGCTATGAGTGGCGATAGCAGAGGCGGAGTGAGACCCTTGATGCTGTAGGTGTCGAGCAACTTAGGCAGGGACGGAAAGCTGGCGAATAGGACCAATGCTTTTGGAGCGGGTCGCTGCAACTGTAGCGTCCAGGCGTGGTAAGTGGCCGAGGACACGAAGGTGCCGAGCGACTGACCGACGAGGACGATGCGGTCTGCGGAGATCGTGCTGTTGCTCGAGGTCATAGACTGGATGACCTTGTCCGTGAAGTCGGTCGGTGAGCTCGGCTTGTCGTGGCCGGTCAGTGCCGACAGGAGGGTGACACCATCCAAGATAACTCCGTCCTCTGTGGGAGAGCCAGAGGACAGTCCGAAGCCTCGATAGTCAAACCCAATGACATGGACGGGCCGCTCGGGGGTTGATAGCGAGAGAAAATTCTGGTATGTTGGAACACGATGGCCCGATCCCAGATGTGCGGCATTACCATGGAAGAGAATGACCAAGCGTGCTTCTGGGTTCTCGAGAAGGAGGCGTAGATTCGGCTGCTGGGAGGCCACGGAGTAATCTGCTAGTTTCGGCGTTGCTTGAAGCGTGGACTGATGCTCCTTGTACAGATGTAGAGGGAGGATGTGCCAACAATACAGAATCTCTTCGTCGATTGTCTTCACCGTGAATGGCTGGACCTGCTGCTTGATGAGTCCGAAGTACTCCACATCTGAAAGATCCTGCCATCGCGCCGGATTGACGTTGTGGGCATAAGTGGCATTCCGCTGTATACTTGGTACAGTCAGTGCTATCAGAGCAAGCATGTACGCCGCTCCGGCAGCCGCCAGAGTCCAGTAAGTCCTCGTCAGCAGGCCCATTTTGAGGACTGACCCAGGGTAACTGGGCTGTCGTCTATGTCGCCATTATGGTTCTTGGGGATTTGTGATCGAGGCTCGATAGATCAACCTCAGCTGAACGGTATTGAGCTCCTCTTGAGGTTGAGCAGTTAAGAAGAAGTGGATACAGGTGACTTACTGGTATCAGGTGTGTTGGCTGTTCTGAAGCAGTTTATCACCTCACGTCACCGTAGCTATACGGCGTATTTTGCGGCCAGTATTACTCAAGGCGCATCGCAACTTCCTTCTGCTGTCTGCTGCCTGGCCACTAACATAGACATCTCGCCATCGGTCTCTGTCTCTTTCATTCAAGTAGGCACGATGGCAGATGTGACTCCCGCGAAACGAGTCCTACCTGCCAGAGACAGGCGCGAATCTGCTGCGAAGCGCTACTCTCCAGCACCACCCACGGTCACCCGCAGAAAAGTGTCGACTAAGCCTGCCACCCCATCGACGCCCGCTACTGAGGAGCGAGCGACCAGAAAGGCATCAAGGCGAGCAGTGAGATCGCCAACGCCGGAAGCAGTGCCCACGCCACCTCCTGAAGACACGCTTCCTACCAAGGTCACATCGTCTAGACCACTTCCGACGACCAAGCAGAAGCAGGCGTCAAAGTTGTCTGCCGAAGACTACCAGTCTGTTGCGGAAAGTGCTATTCTTGCCGCCTCTCTGCATCGATCTCGTATGCAATGGCTCTCAGATGGTATCTTCAAGAAGTACTGGGTCAAACCAGTCAAGAGGAAAGGTGTCATTGAACAGCCACCGAACAATCCAGATGTCAAGTCAATGACCAGACTCGGGACCGGGACTATTTCTGCTGAGCCTCACAAATTTGAAGTGACGTTTTATACGGTCAAGGAGGCCCTTCCAATGCAATACAAGCCTCCGGTGCAGCCTACGCCTCGAGTCTCAGCGCCGCCTTACCCAGCGGCAGCCCCGCAAGCTCTCTCCCAACCTGCAACTCCGGCCAGCAGTGTTCAAGCCGTAGTGCCGGTGCCCCCTCCCAATCAACAGGCAACTCCCGTCAAGCAGGAGCCGTCCGTGCCTCCCGCAAAGCCCGCGACTCCTAACGTGCCAATCGCAAAGCCCGCGACTCCAGGCGTGCCACCTTCGCAGCAGACTGTTCCGGCGGCACCACCGCCGCCGAAGACCAACTCAGACCCGGTCATACAGATGTTGGCGGCGCGAGCAGCCACTGACGCGCATTTAAAAGAGCTGATGAAGGTGGTGGCGACATCCAAAGCAAATGCAGAACAATTGAAAGAGTTTCAGAAGCATATCGACGAATTCAATGCTGTTGTAAAAAAGCAAGAGCTGGAGAGGCTCGAGGCGGAGAAGCGGGCGAAAGCGCAAGCTGCCGCTAGCCGAACGCAAGCGGGCGCACAGCAGCAGCCGCCACCACCAACAACGACAGCAGCACCTTCGTCCGCCGTTCCACCTCCTGTCAGTGCGCTCGCCCAGGTACCGCCGAGCACAGCTACGCCTTCGCCTGCGCCGGGAACGACTCCATACGCCACTCCAGGTGCCGCACACCCGTCTGTATACAACACATCGGCACCACGACCACCGCCACCTGCCTTTGCGACATACCCATCGCCTCGACCAGTGCAGGAATACATCAAGCATATCATCCTAGAGTTTCATGGTGACAGTGCCACCACAGATCGCTTCGTATTCCCTGCCTATGCAGCTCTGGATATGAAGCCGGGAGGACTTGAGATGCTCACATCGTTTTTCGTGGAACGAAAAGGGTCCGACTTGATCGCAGCTGTCGGAGAGGGCAACACGGAAGAATTGGCTGCTGCTCAAGCTAAGTGGAAGGCAGATGTGGAATACTACCAACCTGTCACCATCATGGTACGCGCCAACCAGCACAAGACAATCGAGACGATTGCGCGGGCCGCAAAGACTCTGCCCGAGGTGCAAAGTTATATGCGACATGTACTTACCAACAAGACACGCGCTCCGACAGAGTATTTGGTTCATCAGCTGCCTCGCGAGAAGGGCGTAGCTGAATCCGACATGCCATCAACAGACCTAGTCGACAGTGGTGTGGAGATGGGAAGCGATGACGATGAAGACGATGAGCTTAAGCCGTGGTACGGCAACGCTTGACGGCACACATGTGTACACTCGATACTCGACTCTCTCCGCATGATCCGGGAAAGGCCCATTGCCCAGGAAACCAGGTGCATTACTGTTCGTGCAGTTATGCGTTCCTGAATATACCCCGGGCGGGCTCTCTGAGAGGATAGGCGCAGTTCTCCGACGAACCACGCGAATTCCTGCATTCCTGCCTAGGTTTAGCTTCCAGAGGCTGATTACGCTTCTCTATCAGCTTCGCAAGTCATGAAGTCCTTCCCGGAGGCTTCAGATAAGTCATTGATTGTCGTTGCAAGCCAATATAGCGCAATGTCTGTGTACGGAAGAAGGTTGTGTACGACAAAGCGCGTTAGTCATCGTTCTGGTGTTGGAGGTCGCCCCACGCTTATTGGACGGGCTACAACGTCAGTTGGTCCATCGAGATGTCGGGCATAAAACCACCTGCAAAGTTTTCCCTCAACTACACTTCGGGACTCGCTTCTTGCGGAGACCTAATGCCTACTGGTTCATCTGCTCTCGCTAGGCTGCAAGTGTTTCCCAGCAAATCCGCAGCCGTTATCTTTGTTCGGTTTTACCTTCGGTCCCAAAGAATTGCTATACCCTGCACATTTGCTTGCACGCATCTCATTATTACCTATTCTCACCCAGCAACTTAGCCGCACAAGCCGCGGCGCGCAGCCACAATCCCAGCACATGGGGCGGCCTCTGACTGTGGCTTTATTTCTGACTTAACCGCCACAGCATGTCTGGCTCTCTTCTTCCTTCCGATTCTCCGTTACCTTCGACTGCCACTTCTGTGTCTCCTACGCCTGCACTGACGAAGCCCTCCCAGATCAAGTTCTATCGTCCGGCGCAGATGAGTCTCTTCGCCCACATTGCGACATATCCTCCACTGTCGCAGGTCTCGATTATTCCTCCCAGTCGCAAACAGGTAAATCTCACCAATCGTGCATTTGACAGAGAGCGCCACCGTCTCCAAATCATTACCCCACGATATCCAGAGCGCGCCCGGGCATGATTTTCCCCATATACGAGATTGTGTTGTGCAAAGCTGATAGACTCGCAGTTCAACTTTACAGTCATCTTAGAGTCGTCGACCTCATTTCCAGAGCGACCTTGGGAGGTCTCAATATGGTACGATCATGGCGCATATATCGGCAATAAGACCCCATGGAGGGCTCTGGATCTCCAACTGGTTGAACCGGGTCCATTCTACTTGAGCCACGACTCCAAGACAACAATCCGCCGATACTGCTTCTCCGGCAATCTCGACAGTCCATTCCCAGTCAGCGATCGCATACAACGCGGAAGACGAGTGCCTTTTACGGTTCGCTATCGCACAGACCCCGACTCAGAGTGGCAATGGGTGTTCCACAACTTCAACATAGCCGATGGTGAACTTATACTGCAGCCACCAGTCGATCCCAATGTAGTAGGAGTATCGCCAGTCGACCTGCAAGAAGGATGGTCAGCCCGAAAGCTCATCAGCGAAGCGCCAGATGCTCGTTTGTACTCGATCGAATCGTCCGACTCAATACCACCTGCTCCAGATGGAGAAGATGCCCAAACGCATCGTCGTGCGCTCGGTCGTGTGCTCAGTCTGCATCGATGGTTCGCTCTTGTACGGATATGGTCGCCGTGGCTAGGCCCAAGGCATGGCGACTCGAGCTTCCATCTCACAGAGCCGGCACTCCTCATATCATTTCTTCGATCAGATGGCATGCAGGTCGTGCTGCTTGCTATCAATGGCATTGACGACGCTCTGACGACGTTCTCTTCTGGCGACAATGGAGAGATCGTGGTAGACATGCGGAATGACACGACCAAAAATCGCAAATTCAAGATACTGGCCGGGTGCGCGTGGAAGTTTGACATCGCACTCGCTTCGGTCATATATGAGCTTCGAAAGCAAGCCAGGCACTCGCCTGCATGGCTGGAATCATTGTCGCAGATCCCGACGGAGATTTTAGATCAACACAAGGCACAGCAGGGGCAACGAAGACAGTCGCAAATTCGCGTCGACTCGCTATCGTCCGAATCCGAGTACGCCATAGTAACGACCGCTTATGAGCAGCACACTGTGTCGGAAGCCAAATCGGCCAAGGCACTCCGTCCAATCGACACTAAGACCAATGGTAGTGCCGCCACGCTGACAAGCGACATCATATCTGCAGAGCCAGAAACGCAACCACAGCCCCAATACCTCGCCTCATGGTACGACTCCCTGGCCTACTGCACCTGGAACGCCCTTGGCCAAGCCCTCTCTCCCTCCAAGATCCTATCCGCCCTCCAACTTCTCGCCAAAGCCAACATCAAAGTCTCAACCCTCATCATCGACGACAACTGGCAATCTCTGACCGGCACCCAAGGCACCACTTCACAATTCCAACGCGGCTGGACCCGCTTCGAAGCCAACTCAGAATTCTTCCGCGATGGCCTCGCCCACCTAATCAAAGACATACGCTCACAAAACCCCTGGATCAAAGACATCGCCGTCTGGCACGCCCTGATGGGCTACTGGGGCCTTATCGCACCCTCCACAGCCCAGTCACAATCCGAGATCGCCTCAACCTACCAGACCCAAATCGTGACCATCAACGAGAAATCACCTGCTCAAGGCCAAAAGACGGCCATTTCTCCGGAAGCAATCCACCAGCTCTACACCGACTTCTACACCTTCCTCTCTGCATCCGGCGTCACCGCTGTCAAAACAGACGTGCAATTCTACCTCGACGAGCTCACCTCCACTCCCGATCGCCGCTCCCTCACCCACCCCTACTTATCAGCTTGGACACAAGCCCACCTCCGCCATCTAAGTGGCAAAGCCATAAGCTGCATGTCCATGACGCCCCAGATCCTCTTCGGCCAGCTCCTCCCCGCCGTCGGCGTGCTCCCGCGTATCGTCCTGCGGACCTCCGATGACTTCTTCCCCAACGTCGAAACCTCCCACCCATGGCACGTCTTCTGCAACGCGCACAACAGTGTTCTCACGACCCATCTAAATGTGTTGGGGGATTGGGATATGTTCCAGACAAAGCTCCATGACGATACCATGGGAAATTGGTCAGGAATGCACGCCGCCGCGCGCGCCGTCTCCGGCGGGCCAATCTACATCACCGACGAGCCCGGCAGACACGACGTTGACCTAATCGACCAAATGACCGCGCGCTCTGTACGCCCCGACGAAGGCCGCGTCGTGCTCCGCCCCAGTACGCAGGGCAAGACAGTCGGCGTTTACGACCGGTACGAGGAGAAAGGCGTGCTCAAGATCGGAGTTTGGGATCGTGGCGCCGCGAGCGGGTTCGGCAAAGAACCCAAGCTTGGTACCGGTATTCTAGGCGTTTTCAATATGGCGGAGCACGAAATCAGTGTGCTGCTACCCGTGAGTAAATTTCCGGGGTTGGAGGTGGAGGACGAGGAAGGCCTGCAACGATCGAGTCGGAGGGGGAGCGAATACGACGTCGTCAGCCCTGGTTCTGCTTCCGGCCCCAGAAGTCCGGTGCGAGCACCGCCTTCGAGGAGTGGGAGTAGGCCTGGGAGTGGACCGAGCAGTGTGTTTGGTGACGCGCCTTCGGATCTTGAGGATGAGGATGATGAGTTGGCTGACTCGCCTACGGCTATTGCTGCGGCCAGGAACCGGAAGTGGGTGATTAAGAGCCATGTTACGGGGAAGATCACGCGGCCTGTTCGGCCCGGCGCTCCGCTCAAGAGTGACGAGTTGCTGTTGTGTAAGCTGCCGCCCAGGGGGTATGATGTCTGGACTGCGGTTCCTGTGCAGATTGTCGCTCTAGCGCCTCAGAACGGGGAGGAGCAGGAAATCGAGGTAGCGGTCATGGGTCTGTTAGGAAAGTTCACAGGCGCGTGCGCCATCACAGCATGCGACGTCAGCACCGCCGAATCTGGCAAGAGAGTGAGAGTCGGCGTCGGCCTAAAAGCGTTGGGTGTTCTGGGTATCTGGGTCAACCGCTCGTCTACTGGAGCAGAAAACGGAAACGATGGGAAGCATGAATGGCGGAAAGACAAAATGATGGTCATGATCCAGAATCGCGCTGTTCCGGAGGACTCTGTGAGCATTAGCGACGAGGGCATTGCGGCGGGAGAGGGAGCGAGAATCATCAAGGTTGATGTGGAAAAGGCATGGGATGCCATGAAGCTCGACGTTGGCTGGAGCAACGAGGTGAGGGTGGAAGTTCTCTTCGAGTAGATAGATCATTACGGATGGGGATTTGTGTAGAGCCCGCCTCGTGGGTGAAGACCGTTGAAACTACACACAGACGCCTGACGTTCCACTGATAGAAGTCACAAGCACGCGCAAGGCTTCTCTCCACGCGATGAGTCTCTACTTCTCGTTGCTTCCACGTTACAGCTGAGGCCACGCTGGCTGAAACTTCCGTTTGCTTTAACGTTACTCGTTGGCGATTCATCTGAGGAGTTTCATGGCTCAGTGAGGCCTTCGTCTTGATGGGTGCAGAAATATGGCTGACGGAAGCTGGTTGCGGCGAAATGTACGTATATATCAATTTTCTGTTGACTAGCGCCTCGCCACTTCAGACAACGTCCCTATGCAGGTACTTCGACACTCGGTGTCACCAGCCCTACTCCTCCAATGGCCTAAACGCAGCGTGCAGGGGCAGCCAACATGACGTGCCTCAGAACTGCAACAATCCCTCCGCTTTTGCACCCGCTCATCATCGCTGCAATGTGCCAAAAAACAATAACTCCGTGCCGGTTCCCAGATGTGCGCCCAACATCACGACCGACAAATGTATGCTGCTTCTCGCCCCTAAGCCTCAGTCTCAACCCCACCAGCCTTGTCATCATCATGATCAAAAACGTCCCCAGCCTTACTGACCCCCTGCTTCGCCTTACTAACCGCATAGTCCAGCTCCTCATTCCCTTCCACTGCATCAACCCCCTGTGTTTCCTATGCAGCTGTTTCCTGTGGTCTTTGTAGTCCCTCACCTGACTCACTACCCCTCTCTTCCCGTCCTGGCTGTCATTGGAGCCGATGAGTTTCTCGATTCTGTTGACGGGGTTTAGCTTGCTCATTTTCGATTTGGGGTCGGAGTCGGATTCGTCGGCGGAGGAGTCTTGGTTTGTGTGTGGCTTGAGCTTTTCCTTGGTTTGGGAATCCTGTTGGGAGAGTCCATCGACCGAGGAGTCGGATGAGCTGCCTTCACCGTCTGAATCGTCGGAAGAGTCGCGCTCCTCAGCAGCGACGTCGAGGCATTCCATCACGTTTTTGAGGTCTTGTTGGTTGCCCTTGTTGGCGTATTTCTTGTGGTACCCCGACAAGCCCTGCCAGAATTTGAGGTTCACTTCGAGCTCACCGATGGACTGGCCGTCGTAGTTGCAAGATGTGGTGGCGCGTTTGAGGGCGCCTTTTTCGGTTTTGTAGACTGGGATCTTGACGGTCTTGTCTTCGTCATCGGGTATCTCTTTCAGCCACAGGACGGCGAACTGTGGTGGGTCGCCTTTAGGCAGGTGGGATTTGCCGATGTGGATTATTAGGGGTGATGAATAGCGTTTCTTAACGGCAAGGAAGATCGACTTGCGGTCCTTTTTGGGCGTCCAGTGGTTGTTGTCGGACTGGTGGTACATTTTGCTCTGAGAGATGCTGGTGCTGAAGTAGAGCTTGGATTTGTCGACGTCGCCCCCGGAGGCTTTGATGGGTGATTTGATCTCCAAGGTGCCGTAGTTCCAGCCACGCATTTCCTTGGGCCATTGGAGCTCGACGCTGCGCCAGACCATGCTGATGCGGATGCGGCCGTAGCCCATGCCGCCGGCGAGCGGGTAGGAGGCGTTGACTTGGCTGCGTTCGCGGAAGATTTTGCTGAGGGGGAGATAGACCATACCCAGCAGGGCGTCGTTCTCGCGCTCACGGTCATCGCGGACAGAGACCATAACTTCGGTGTCGCGCCAGTCGCGGATGAAGCGTTCAGTTCCGGCGTTGAAGAAGGGTTTCGCGTTTTTGGGCTTTGTTCGTGTGCGGTAGACTTTTTGGTGGTTGATGATGATGGTGGCGTAGCTGGAGGGAAGGTCGGCTGCCTGTTCGGCTTGGTCTTCGGAATCGCCGTCTTTGTCGTCGCCTTTTTGCAGTTGTTGGACTTCAAGGCCTGTGATGTTGTGGATTTGAATGCTGAATATGCCGGATGGGTAGTCGTTGGGCGGAGGCGAACCGGTCAGGAGCTCATCCTGGAGTTCCTTGAAGTCTTGGGCCTGCTGTTGCTTAATTTCCTTCTCATGGGACTTTGCTTCGCGCATCTTTCGTTCGGCGCTTTCACGGGCACGATGCTCGACATCTTCCGGTGTCTTGAGATCTTCCTCGGCGTTCTGGCGCTCGAGCTGGTCCTGAGTGATCTTCTTCTTGGCGAAGTAGCCGACGCTCCAGGTCAAGGTGCCAGGCATTTCCTCGGTAGCGTCTTCGCCCATGAGTCCGTCTTCTCTATCGCACATCTTATTTCTGGTTTCCTCACTGTGCATGAGGTCTTCCAGATCGACTTCGACTCTGCCAAGGTCATCGTCTGCTGTATACTTATCCGAGTCCCAGAGCTGAATGCGCAGCTTCTCGCCGGCATTGATCTCTTCTGGCGAGACCAAAATATTTGCATACTCGTCCCAATCCGGTTTCTGGTCATCGATGATGACGCGAGTAGAAGCTGCCGGCTTGCCGAACTTGCCCCATGACACTGTCGCGTAGGTGTCACTTGATCCTGACATAGGCCCAATGCCGGCATCGCCTTCTTTGTAGCCTCGTGCGCGTTTGATCTGGATGATCATGACGCCCTTGCTGATGGTGTCCTTCTTGAAGTCATCCCCAATAAGCATGTCCTTCAGATCCAGAGTCAGGGACTTTGGTGCCACGTATTCTGACAAAGCCGCATCAATACTGGACTGTACGAAGCCGGAGATCAATGGCACGTCCATGATGTTCAGAGCGTGCTTGGATATTGGTATACAGCTGACATCGACTTTCGGTTGTCCCAGGAAGGTCAGCGTACAAAGACTGAAGAATGGTGGATCTGGAGTCAACTGTAGTCGAAGTCGCATTTTGCCAATTGCGCCTTTTGTTTCGACCCAGACAGGTACGGCTATGCCACCAGGCAGGTAGAACTTGAGATAGAGATGGGCGTTTTTGGCTTTGGCCTTCAGCGACTTTCCGGAAGATCGAGCGCGGTATGCAAACGCAAGCTCCATGTTGACAAAATCGCCCTGCTCTGCTTCAAGACCTTCCTGCAGATCCTGGTCGCCATCGTCATCCTTGTTCTTCTCCTGTTCGTTCTCGCCCGGAACGTCCCGATCATTGCCTTTACTCGAATCCGGTGAAGTGAGCTTGCCGTCCGAGTCAACGGACTGGCTTGCTGCACCTGTTGGCAACCAACGAATGCCGAGTATGCGAATCGATTCACTTCCCTGACCAAGATCATCGACACTCACCATCCTAACGAGGGAGGGAAGCGATTGCTGCATGACGTCCTCCAGCACTGTGGCAAGTCAGTACCTGCACACATGCACTGAGCTCGTGACGGTCAAGACATGAGGTAGCTGGTCAGGGTACTATTGGATGGATGACAAGGAGCAGGAGCTTTGACTTACTATCAGCGAGTGATGTGAACAGATCAGGATTGATCAGCGGCCAGACAGACGTGAGGAGGCTGTTCATCCAAGCCACGGACTCTGGAATGATGGCCTCTTCCTCATGCGACTGCTGCTCACGATCCCTTGCGGAATCCCATACTTCATCCTCCCACAAATCTTCAACTTTCTTGCCGATCCAATTCTGCACAAACTGGACAGCCGCAAAGCTGCCAGCAGCTGTGAGCAATGACGCAATGAGGAGCGGTGACCGCCAGTATGATTCAGAATTTCCGACCAGATGGCCTGCAGCGACAGCTATTACAGCGCTTGCGGCGACCAGCCCTAGCCCAACAGTAAACCCTAGGCGATGAACACTAGTAAGCTCACGCTTTACATCTTCGAACGACGGAGGTGGGAAAAGCTTCTGAGTGCCATCATGAACGCGTTGTGTTTCGTCTTCCTCATCGTCAAGCTGATCTTGATCTTTGCTGGCCGCACTTAACCCCGTCGCCGTCCTTGGCGTCGAGCCAAATGCAGGGTAGTTTTCCTTGGTCCGCTTCAGATCCTTGGGCGTAGAATCGTAGATGATGACGGGTAGATGCGTAACAGGGTCTGTGACCTCTCTCCCGCCGTCTGTTCGTTTGTTCTTTTTCATGGCTTTCCTCTTCTTCCGAGGGTCAGTCTCGCTCGCAGCATTCTCTGTAGCCGACTGCTTGTCCTTCTGCTTGCCCTGTTTCTTCTCCTTGGCCTTCGAAGGGTCTTCGTTGGCCTGATCTGGTTCATGGGGCTGCGGTCGGCCATACTGATGGCCGTTCTGCTTCCTCTCGTCGTTGTGAGACGATGATGGAAGATTTCTGTTCGCACTTGGGTATGGGTCTTCATCGCCTTTGCCGTCGTCGCCTGTTAGGATGCCTTTGGCGGTGTCGTATGCTCTTCGCACTTTGTCCCCCGTGGCCTCCTCATCTCGTTCGACGGTCGAGGCCTCCTGCCTATGCTGTTGCTCCTCTTTGTATTTCTTCACCGTCGGTACTGGGTGCTTGGATGTGAACGGCTGGCCATAGCGCTTTCGACTTTCGTCCTCATCAATGTTGCTACCTGGCATGGTGCTGCGGGGTTGTGCCGTGGTCGTGTGAGACTGCAGTCAACGAGGACGCTTCATGAGGATAGTTCAGGTAGGTTAGGTTTTGGATGACACGAGCACGACTGTGGGGATCAAGCATTAGCAATAGCACCAGATCAAGGCACTGTCGAATGATCGACCACGATCGCGAAGGCCACCACGGTAGTAGTCAAGCAGGATTGCACCTTCCAAGACTCCGCAACACGCGGCACCTGGGATGACGTCGGTTCATAAAGGCCATCATTCGGCAATTGACACATTCTTTGAGACCGTTCATCGCAACGACGGGTCTTTCTGTACAGTAACGTGGCGGGACTGTACGAGACAGCAGATGTTGTGGTCGGCAAGATGACCAAGAAGCCATGGCGTTGCCGGCTTGATAAGAAACGCGTCGACACCTGCAGCTGGCTGAGCTCCGCCTCGACCAAGAAGCTGAGGCCCCAAAATGATCGCCCGGACACAATGTCCGGTGTAACGGAATAAAAGTTCCGCCCACACTGGCATTGAAGCATCTACGTTTCTCCTCTACGCCATCAAGACTCATCAGAGGCGGTCGCAGATAGCACAATGACTCGATGTCGGACTCGCAGACGCATTATGAGCTCCTTGGACTCTCGGCCGGCTCCGACATTACGCCCAAAGACGTGAAAGAGGCATATCATCAAGCTCTTCTCAGATATCATCCAGACAAAGTGCACCGATCAGCCTCGTTGTCCTTGTCCACAGCAGATGCCAAATACGTGCCCACGATCGACAGGATCGTTGAAGCATACAACACGCTACTCGATCCCAGCTTGCGGAAGGCATACGATGCTTCTCTGAGATCATCAGTGAAAAGTGTTGCTCATCACGGGATCGAGCTCTTCGATTTGGAGGACTTCGAACATCACGAGAATGCTGACGGCGACCGCTGGACGAAGTCATGCCGTTGTGGCAGTCCCGTAGCGTATGTTCTGAGCGAGGAGGATCTCGAGCAAGTCGTTAAGGAGCAACCAACTCAGCCAGATGGTCTGCAAGAAATTCTTCTGGGATGCCGAGGATGTAGCCTCTTCGTCCGTGTGACCTTTGCGACCGCGGAAACAGGATGAGTCATCATACCGTCAAATCATGACGACGTCTATAAGACCACTGGGTCATGCCCCATCACGTATTCAGCCGTGCAGCGAGCACGATCGAATCTCTGCCAGCACGCCCAGACCTCTTCGACATACAGTGTCATCAGCGACAATCAGATCTATCGATGTGTCATCGAAGCGGTCAATGTATATTATGAGCTGCAGGTCGGAGGTTGCACCGCAGCTCGGGAGACCTCTGCGACGTTTTGTATAAGACTGTGAAAGATCCTATGTTGGATTGGAGCGCCACTTCGCACAAGTGCAAACTCGATGGTTTGTCTTGTGGAAGGCTCACATGGGCAGCACTGCCACAACCATCGGCGTTGTCTGAGGTTCGGAGGGTCCATAGGCATCTTCCGCGGCGCTGAAGGGCAGAGCAACACTTAGACTCCGCTCACCTATGGCGCTCGATCGAGTGCTCTCGAGCATTTGCCGGTGTTTTTTGTAGAACACGCTTCTGTTCACCGATCGAGCGAGACTTAATCCACCATGGCGGAACTGTCAGTTACTCACGACGACCGTGGACGCGTGGATGCTACGAACACCGCATCAGGCCAAAAGATAACAACAACGGCTGGGAATGCAGCCGACCTCGCAGGGATTCGTTTGCTCAAGATCGAGAAACCACGATCATGCTGTCTACGAGGGTACCATCGGTGTGTCTGGACTTGTCACGACAGCACACCAGACCCTGCATCTCTTCTCTTCTTTCACACTCTCCGTGTGACTAGACTTCAAGATGAGTCAGTCCGTGAATTGAGCTCGAGCACTGTCAGCAGCACTCAACCATTCTTCTTGCTCGACGCGAATTGAAAATATATCTGTGCAGATATGTACAGAATTTCGCTCCACTGTCACAATTCTTCAAGCATGCCGATCTGTGCATCATCTCGACGACTTTCGTGCGATTGCACGCTCCGCTCCACACCACTTCCGTCTGGAGGGTAACGCGACATGACCAAGAAACCCAGTCAGGCCCTGTCCTTAAGCAGTGGGAGAGCAAGTCTATAATGCTGCTACTGGGCAGCTCTTGACCAATTCCAGCGTGCTTTGTTACATTCATCCGTCGCAATTATACACGGAATCGCTCGCTCGCTCTGGCAGACCAAACCGCATGTGAAGAATTCAGCTTCCTTCATCGGTATCTCTTCTACCGCAAATGTCACTGCGCTGCAAGTTTGACCGAGTTGTCGGTCGACGAACACTCCTGGACTTTTCCATCTTCGGTATCAATTGCCCTGCCGCAAGCACAGTTGACAATTCCACACGAGCGAACGCCCTTTCTATCAAAGCTTGCCAGTCACCTCTCGCATCGACCGTCACCACGCGCATGCTACAATGCTCAAGCTCTTGCACAGCCATTCTTTCCGTCGAACTCTGCGTCAAGCTAACCCTCAGCACAGCCTTTGCTGGGTCTCGACCACCAGCACTCAATCCCAGTCCTTTGTTCTTCGACCCCTCCTCCCATTCTGTTTACAATCGTCACCGCATGTCCCACCTTTCAGAAGTCCCGCTGCCCTTTCCTTCTGCTTCCGCGTCACTTTCCTTTGTTCGCAGCACTGCAACCCGAGATCCAGGCCGATCTTTCAGGGTCCTCGATCGTGAAGATGCCAGGCAGCAGCGTTTTTGCTTCACCGGCGACGACCCTCGACCGTCTGGCATGGTGGGGCATAGAAGCATATATGCGTGGCTTGCCCCCAGTCCATCGACAGGTCCCCCATCCATCGTTCATCCATGTCTTGGCATCTTATGGAGTCAGGCACATCAAAGCATCATAAGTCATCAATGGTCTTGATGTGTTGTCATGTCTGCTTTCGTTCATGAGCTTTTGTACGCCTGGCTTGGCTATTGACTTGATGATTTGTGTTATATATATCATACCTTACCAGGGCTCTCGGACCCTTTGCGGACATCCGCCCCTTTTGTCGTTCAGCGACACGGCGTTCTGGCCGTCAACGTCTTTGCACGGCGCTCTGCCTCTCCTGGCCTCTGACATCTTGGACGACAACACCAATCGTCACGGCCCCTTACCGAGGCTTCTCATCCGTCAGCAACCTTACCTGCATGAAACATTGCTGGTACGTATACTCGCCGAATGTGAGTGATACCAATTCGACCAAGTCTCTCGACCGATCTGGTACTGATGGGATTACCGAAGCACCTGCTCATATTGCCACAAACTCGAACCTGTCCACGAGCACGGCCAGGTCGTCTTTCTCAATACGGTCTCTGCACTTGGTATGGGTTGCACGAACTCCAGACCTACCATCCGGGCCGGGCCTCTCTGCGCCATGGCCTGGTGTCTTGAGACACCGATTTATCAGACACGGACGGGTCCGCCGGCCTGCCGAGCTGCTGCTTGCCGATTGGAAGCGGCCACGGGGCGTGGCCTTTCGACTTTACAACCTGTCTCTACTCGGTTCTCCGCTTCGGGCTTGCGATTATGGAACGAATCCTACAACACGGAGGTGCTTACTGCAACCGTTGTTTCTTCCTGTGACAAGTTCGCATGTGCTACACGGGCTCTCTCTGCGCTTCGGTTCCGATCTCTCCGCAGCTTGTCCGAGGTAGAAGAAGCTCGCACGGCGCCTGCTGTGGTGGGTTTTACTCTTGTTCACGGGCCCTCATCATCGTTGAAAGAGACACGAAAAGCTGGTTTTAGTCCAGCATTGCACGACTATCTGGCGTTCCGTTCCAAAGCAATTCCCAACATGCACATTGGGGCCGTTCCCTGGCTGTGCTCGCCGTACTGACGCCGTTTGGCGCTGGCCATTTGGTCAGTCCGCCATACGCCGGCGTCTCTTTTCGCATCTCTGGCGCAGCCGATCGTACATCGCTTGCACTACCTGCTAGACGAGTTGTGCCATGTGGTCACGACGGAGACTGCGTGTGCTTCAGGTTCGAAATTCCCTCGCCTACGTCCTGCCTCTGACCAGTGGCGCTAAGAGGAGCAGCCAGAGTATAGTACTGGCCAAGGCCGTAATTGGCACATTACTTGGGGCCAAAGATGAAAGGACTCTTCACGCCCGCGATAAGACACACAACACGTGAGTTCTTCCGGCTGTGTATGCAGAAAATGACCAGCGACACGACTGAGGAGTATTATGTGCAAGCTCAAGCCAGATCTGGCGCAACTTAGTCACTGACCAGAATGGACGTTGTCGCCCACGAGAGTCTCTGCTCTCACTGGTCTCTTAATGCAGGCATTGTTGGATTTACATGAAGAGCGATACGCTAGGATTGAACGCTCGGTGTGAAGGGAAGAGCATTGCTTGCTTGGGACATCGCCGGTATCATCACCGTCGTAGCCACTGATCTGGCCCACATCTGGCACGAGAACAGCGACATTACTGAGTGCTTGAACGCCCTGACCGCCTGGGAGGTTGCCGACAATGCGACAAGCTCAACCAAGCTTCACGGCGACAAGACTTCCATGTTCCGTACGAGAAGTTACCAGGCCTCGCTGACGGAGCAGTCCTAATTCCGTTGAATCTATCGACGTGTGGTTGCGGTGCATCCATACACTAGAACATCTCAACAAACACCCGCAGCCATCCCATAACAAGGACTCGTGTGTCGGACACCTTGGATTTTTCGATCCAAACCACTTATCTGATATCAGCAGAATCCCGGAATCATGACAGAATACCAGACATGCGTCTACGGCACAAACACCGTGTCGAGGAAGGTACGGCGTCTGGATACCCAGGATAATTCGGTGTTCGACTCTACGAATCAGGGTTGCCAGGAAAGGACGGAGCCAGGAGGTGTACGCTCAAAGCAACTAGAGGCATCAGCGTGGGTTGCCACTCAGATAGCCGAGTCAGATAAGACCTGGTAATCAGGTCTTGCGAGCCAAAATATGGTTCTCCGTAATCCGACGATGACGGCAGCCAGAGTGTGTACGGACTGCAAGGAGAAGCCAAGATACGCGCTGCTGTGTTCCCAGTGAAGAGACATCAATTCCGACGGTCTCTATTCTTGCTGGTTTGGAAATGAAGAGATTGCCGGACTCCGGCAGGCGACACTTGTCGGAGCTGGACACACGCTTTCCAAGGTAGGGTCCGGTCGTCAAGAAGTTCGCACCGTGGAAATGCAACATGCTCGGTGCTTCCTCCGACTGGCGGCGTGTAGTGGACAGTGCCGGCGGCAAGGATGTCCGTGAGGACGAAGGCGGCGATTCAAATACCGCTAAAGATCACGCTGCGGTCTTGCTTTGTCGACACCAGAACTGCAAGCTGTTGATGGGAGCTACCACCTTGCGGCCAACTACGGAGACGACCGGGCCCATATAGAAGTGGCACTTGCGGAGGTCTGCGCGTTCTATGCAAAAGGCTCTCAAAAAGGATCATATCCTGCTATCAAGATCCTGGTGTTCACGATGACTCAAAGAAGGCTACCGGCATGGAATCCGACGCTGAAGAATCATTTGCAGTTCCCGACCATCGCCGACATCATTGGCGCCAGCGTTAGTCCGCCCACAGCTGTGTGCTTCAGACTATTGGTGTCTGGAGAATGTACACGGCAATACCACCTGGCTCTGGCTACCTCGGACCGAGATCGCACAATGGCTGACGGGTGGTGTTGAGTCCGAGGGCGGCACGCAGTCGAGAGTGATATGTTGTCAACATCATCCACCTACGGGTTGTCAGCAACAGTACTCATGCTGAGGAACAATCGTGGCTAGCGTCGTATGAGTGGCAGTGGCGACACTGAACGACACCGAAAGAGCACATGCTTATGCTGTCGGCAATTTCTCAGATTTTGGATGATGGGATTTCGTCTTATCGCTGGTGAAACTGCAGGGTTGAGTGAGCGGCATTGTGGACGCTGATTCAAAAGTGTACCATGACACGAGGTGAGGGAAAGTCTGTGCATTCAATGGCTGGAATCGCACACGTTGCGCTTTGGTCGGAAGTGCAAAGTTCCGAGTATGGCAGACAAGATCGTACAGCAGTCCACACGTTGATCTCTCTTGTGCTGGAACTGCAGGTGCAGCTCACTTTGCTGGACGACTCGGTGTGATGGATCTCACAGAAATTGGCCAGACAAGCACGGAAGGAGCCAAATGCGTCGTGGGGCCTATGTGGTTCCGCACGAGACCGATACAATCTAGACGTGGATGAGGAGTGGACAAGCCTCGTGACGACTGCAAAGTTATCTCAGGTTTGGCTGACGAGTGGCCTTGACCATACAGAAACGCGCACGCCCACCTCTGGTCGCTTGTGAAAGTCAAGGACTCGCCATCTACACACTCTTTCTGACCCGGTACGAGTCGAGCGGTCAAAGTCTCGTTCAGCAGCTGACTGAGTTGACTACAACATGTTGCAACACTTCGATATCTGCGTCTCGCTCTCCCAAAGTGCTCTGCGATTACACGGTCTCAGCGTTGTCCCATCATACTCATGCCAGAGTATCACGAGGGTCGTGTGTCGGTCGCGAAGCCAAAGGCCAAGGCATGGAAGGGCAAGTCTTGGACGGGTGTGGCTGGGCAATGGTATGATTCTAAGAAGACAGCTGGCCAGGTCAAAATTACCCTGGAATGTGACACAATGCACTGCAAACCGGATCCCCGCTTCAGAATCAAGTTCTTCCGTGAGCCGTACGGCAACTTCTCCGCTGGAGGACGATACGCCAGGAGCGTTTGACGCACGCTGACGGGGATCAGGAGTATAAGGCGGTCACGCCGCTTGGGCTAGGCTTCGAATGTAGCCACGAGCCTCCGGGTTCGAAGGCGACGACGCAGTGGCTGCGCTGACTGTGACATTATTTACGCCTTTGTCAGCACACAACGGCTAATGCCTGACGGTGCTGAGCAAAAGATCCGCACTCGAGGGAACGATGTCGATTCTGGCACGGCTCTTAACGGCAGCCACCCCTAATTACACCGGGATACGAACCTTGCCCAGACTTTGCCCTCATGCGCATTGTAAAATGTGTGTGAATCCTGAATCCATCGCCTACACAAGTGATGCAATCCTGAGAGGAATCATGATGGAAAGTGCAGTCAACTTAACGGTTGGCTGTACTGCCTCCAGAGATACAGGCGACGACAGCCAAGATTCACCGTCATGATCCACGGCTGACTTCAGACACCCTCGGTGTCCCTTCGTATGGGTTAGCGGCAATGTCGAGATGCCCTTCGCCGCCATTCTTCGCTATCCTACGCGACACACTCGTCGTCTTCACCACGGGTTCGCTTCCGATGAGTGCAATTCCTGCGCCCTGACGCACATCAGCAGCGGTTCCCACTTTCTTTCTCCGCCTGTGGTAAAGGATGCTATGATGGACAACATCATCAGCAAGTACAAGTTTCCATAGCCCGAGGGCTCGAGATGATGTGTTTCCCATTGGGCAGTAAGGGCAACATTATGCTAAAATTCAACCATTATGATGCATGCCGCAGTCAATGCACTGAAGCATATGCATGTGACGCGGATGTCGCTCGACTTACTGGCTGATCACGAGAAAATCTACCAGCTTTCGGTCCTCAAATCGTCTCGTGTATACGAATGGTCACGGTGCTTGTGAGCAAACCTCTTGGCGGGCACGATCCCCAGAATAGAAACACGAGCAGATCTTGACCCAACATATTGACGCGCTACGACGTCCCCCTCTTTGTCCTTCCAGTTCGCTCACGTCGCCCAACTTTTCTGGAGACCGTCAAGCCTCCCACGATCAGCACCACACCCGCCATCAACATTGACATCGAAATCACCGCTATTGACACGACCATCACATCCACTGACCTCGACGTCTCTGCCATCGACACGACCGCCCACCCCATCGACTTCGACTTCTCCAGCAATACCTGAGCGATCAGGACAGCTATCACAGATGCAGAGAGGCTGTGCCTTTGGGTCGAACTTGACGGCGATCAGGCGTCCCGAGGGCTTGCGAAGACGCTCACCTACCAGTGCTCGTTGATTACAAAATGCTCCGTACAGAAGCGCTTTCGTCATAAGCGCAACGACTCCCACCGTGCGAGGAGATTCTTATGGAGCTGTCTGGGCACAACTTGCCCACATAAACGCAGTATCTCACCTACCGCTGTGGATCCATCCATGGGCATCGAGTCTCTCTAGGCCCGTGCAACCGATGTGCTAGCACTCATGCCGAAGTTAAAGCAAGATGTCCTCGGAGATCCACATCTGATCGAGCCGCGGTCTATCGCTGACACATCAAGCCTACCAACAAGGCGGTCTCGTGGAAGCACTTTGAGGCTGCCATGAGTTCGTTGAAGTACGAAGCTATCGTGAACGGTGAAACGAGCAGCAAGGTAAATGTATAGCTGACGGTAGTTTGATGATGTGCTATCGAGGAGCTCAGTACCACGTCGATTTGTCTTTTGTACGAGGATGAGCGCCCTCATAATCTGTACGACAAAGCTTTTCGGGAAGTTCTCGACGGCCGTTTCCCCCCGGCCTTAGTGCAATGACGCTATGCTATACACCTGAAGCGCCGCAACGATGGGCTACAAGTAGTGAGCTGTGCAGGCCTTCGTCGCTTCGGGGCGAGAGCGAGAACTGCCACATACCGGATTCAAGAATACGCTCGTTGAGAGATTCGAGTTGAGCAGACAGTATGTCCCACGCCGCATGGCATTTCTGGACCGACCGACGCAATGCTAGCTTTTAGTCCAGCATAATTAAGGTCAAGCTGCCGTACGAGCGGCGCTGCTGTCTCGGTTCGCTTTCCCTTGATGGCGCCTTCATCAGCACCAATGAGAGTGTACTGGGGGCAGCAACATATGCACAACGCTTCACGGAACGAATCTGCATATGTTTCTCTATCTACGTTGCGTGGGCTAGTTGTCATAGCTAGTGCTGTCCTGCGCCTCGAGGGCATAGGCATCATCATGTTCTGGGCCTTACCACAGGCAAGTCCATCCGCGACCACAACCTCGCTGCCTTGTCTCGTGGGATGACAGTTCCATCGGTCGGAGAGCGCGTGCAGACACTCGCCGCTCCGCGACAGCATCACTGGTGGGGCTCATTTCCAACACTCTTACTGGCGCTCAAACTGAGTGCCGGAACGAACGAGCTGTCTGCGCGGCGGGGCCATTTAAACAGTGCACGGACTTCGCATGGTGATCCCAGTGGCGTTGCAACGCTTCCCCGCCATCATCGTGCCCCGGGAGCGAGCAGGTATGAAACCACCACGAGGCCGATTTCGATGTTGGGGTACCAGCTAGCATACTTACTTGTTTACCGTATGAGTGAGTAGCAAATCTAGCCCTCGATGCTGGTCGAAATGATGAGGAAGCAAACCGGCCTTCCGCTCTTCCCCTGGCGACTATCAGCCTGATGGCCGCACACGAGAGGTCAGCAGACTTGGCGACCTTGGAACGGATTCTCCCGGCGATCGGCTCCCGTGGCAATCTCCGAATCGTTGTGGCGATCTCTACCGTAGCTGCTGATACTATACGGTGCATGGATTGCAAAGACAAAGCTGGAACCCGAGAAGAGAATCACTCGAAGATAACGCACATCTATTGGAACCGGAACGATGGCATTATAAGGTCATATCATCCGTTGCAGAGGGGTGAAATGCTCTTCAACGCTATGGCGCAGAGAAAGGTTCCTACACGCAGTCACGGCGAAGGGATGTTGGGACCCCTTTTGATGAACAGACTTATCGGTCTGTCGCTCGGCTTGGCGCAAAGGACACGAGCCAGGCAGAGGTATTTTTGTCGAGAGCTGGTAGCAGCTTCCCAGGTCAATACTAACGATTGAGGCCATGTACACATTGGTCCAACGTTTGTACACCAAGCCCGCATGCAGGGCATTGAGAACTCTTGCTCAGATACAACAAGACGAAACGCAATCTTGGAGAATGATGTCACTCTTATCATGTGATCCGGGTGTATTGATTGGAAACCTTCCTGGAGAAAGACATCTTACTTAGCAAGTCGGCAATCAACGTAGAGTCGATCTCCTCAACACGGAGACATGGCTGGGTCTTCGGGCCCGTTCGGCAAAACAATCTGAGGAGAGGTATAGGAGCTTGTCAATGTCGAGCTTCTTCCTGTTGCTGGACTTCAAGCACCACCTTCAAAGTCCTTACGGGCCAGGAACTTCCTCAGACACGACCTTTGACGAGGACAGATCCCTATGCCCTCAAAGCTGGGTCTGTTCTCGCGAGCTCATCTCCAGCCGCAGACGATGCTCCTGCCCCAGAGAAGTCCACACACTGTGAAGCACCGACTCCGGTCTGGGCTTGTATCACGTACACGACACCACTATGACCGACGGAACGCACGACATAGCGGCTCAAGCTTTCTTTCTCAGCGACGTCTACTGCCCTAGACCTTTTATAGCTCTCATGGAATTTGATGTGTCGGAGGAGCGACGACACCCGACGATCATGTGCACATCCGCACTTGAAGCAAGTATCCTGCCAGAAGGCTCAGTCCCACGGCGAATGCGAACGGACCGCTTGGAGACCTCGTCCAACAGCTGGGAGCTCTCCCCAAGATATACCTCTGAGGACCGGTTGGACGGGTCCCAACACCTGTTCGAAGGAATAATTCAGACCAAGCAGTCTATATCGAATACCCAGATCAGGGCACTTCGCGAAGCTGGACGAAGAGAAGCCTATCGGGAGTGACACACCCAGCAAAAGATTGCAGTATATCGCAGCTACTGGCCTTTACCAGCCAGTCATGGCTTACGCACATCGCTATGGCGCGGGCAATGACCTTTCAAGAATAACGTTCGTTCGTAGACGCGGCAGAAGTGAGTGGTATTCTTCAGCTCACCCTCCGCTCAGCTGCGGAAGTCGTAAAGCAAGGAGTCTTCTGCAACAAGTACCCTACCGTAAGACCGCGTCGCCGACGCCGAGGCAAGCAGAAACGGTGCATATGTCAACTATTTGGCTTACGAGGCCGTTGCCGAGCTCGTAGTCGGAACTTGTATGACTAAGAAGATACGGAATGGTCCATTGAATAGCTACAGGGTGGTGTACGCGACTTGCTGTGGCAGCGAAGTCGCAGCAAACTCCCTCTACACGCCGCTTCTCTCGCTACGACGCCATCAGTGCGAGAGGTGTCTCTGTACTCCCGGACGAGGTATATGATATGCATGATAACATATATGCACGCTTATGAATGGACAAGGCGTAGCTCTGCTAGGTGCCAAAGTCTGCACTGGACATGGGACTTGTTTCTTGGGATTTCACGGCGTCTCCTGTGCTGCAGGATTATGCGAGCAGTGATCTCGCCGTTGACATAGGTCTGAGTATGGGGCATCTTACCTATGGCACAGAAGCCAATGCATCAAACTGCATCTCAGACTTGTACCCATGCTCACCCCTGAAAATAGCTAAGACGATTTAGAAAATGCTCGGGCGGGTCTCGCCACAGCATGGGAGACTGTGTTCCTTTGCGTTTACCTCGGTGCCGAGATTGCAGCGCTGGCATTGAAGCGATCCTCAATGCCACATCTCACAGTGTCCTCGAGTCGAAGATACAACACTCCCACGGCGGCTTTGCGCTGGGATTTCGCTAGCAAGTTAAACAGAGCCCAATCAATCAATACAACGCTAGGCAGAATCGAATGCATCGGAAGCCACGAGTCCACCGAAGGCGTCTAGGAATGAAGCAGGCATCTGCAGGAATGCTTCCCTCAGTCTCGGCTGGCAGCATTGGCTTGATGCCATCAACCAGACGCGAACCAGAAGTTGCGTGACACAGCATCGTGGTGACAGTATACGTCAGCGACATCGTCGCCACCAGTGAAGCATGCAGATGTTATGCACGTATGACAGTGCTGAGATCCAGGCAGCAGCGGCGGGCTTTGTTGCGTGAAGTTCAGAGGATCGATGGAGATCTTCGCATCTGGGGGCGGCACGCCGACCGTAACAGCAGTACCACACGGTGCGAGGCACTCGATGCACTGCTCGATGACTTTAGGGACGCCCGTGCAGTCGATTGAGTAGGTTGCGCCGGACGTGGCTTTGCAAAGTTCCTTGATCTCCTTCACGACGTCGGTGTCAGTGGATGGCTTAAGCAAGTCCGTTGCGCCGAGGTCCCGAGCGAGCTTCAGTTTGGAGTCGACGAGGTCGACGCCGACAATGTGCTGGACCCCAAGGTACTTGGCGGCCATGAGGCAGAGATGCCAACACCGCCGAGACCGAAGATGACGATTGAGGCGGTTTGAGGAGGTTTGAGCACGTTGAGGACCGTACCCGCACCAGTTTGGAAGCCGCATCCCATAGCGGCATAGAGTGCCATTTGGTCTGGGTAAGCGCATTTCACAACGGAGCGTTCTTTGACGACGGAGTGGCGGGCAAAAGAGGAGTGCCCGAAGTACTGGCTGCGAACAGTGGTGAAGGGCGAATTCTTGAGGCGTGCGGGCGTTGAGCGGTCTTCGAGGCGCACTGCGTTGTGTTTGACTTGTGGATGGGGTGGCAGAACGCTGGATGGCCAGAAACACACTGCTGACATTCGCCGCAGACATTGAAGGACAGAAGGACAGCATCGCCAACCTGGAGGGACTTGTCCTTGACACCCCTGCCAATGGCTTTGATGTAGCCGGCGCCCTCGTGGCCGAAGATGGCAGGGAAGTCGACCATAGGGAGAAGGCCTTGCTGGAGTACGACGTCCTATAGAAGCAACATTGAGCCAGATGCTACAAGAGTGGCTGGTGACCTTGAGAGGGATATGCATACCGTATGGCAGATACCCGAATACTTCATCTCTATTAGTAACTCATCGTCGCGGACTTCGTCTAGAATGACGGGCGTGAGCTTGAAGTCATCACCGGGTTTCATCACCACAAAGGCTTCAGTCTCTACGTTCGTAGGTAAGGAGTCCATGCTGGCTACGTCTCTGTGGCCCCTGCTTTTGACTTGACAATCAGTATAAGCCTACGTGCTGTTGGTGGTCGGCTGAGTAGGGAATGTCAGGCGATCTGCCGCGATGGTCCTCAATAGGCGACAGGGCCACGTAAATGTCAGCGTATATGGTCATTAAAGCCATCACTTTTCGAGATGGGTATAGTGAGGCACATATGCGGCATCTCGAAAAGCCATGACCCCGCATTGCAAGCATACCTCCTGACATCTGCTTGACGCCATTAAGTGAGTTCAGGTCAAGCTGCGGGATGCGAGCAGTCGGACGTGTTCTCTGGGTGAGTAGCGATGTCGGCACCTGGATGCTAGTCAACGATTAGCTTTCTCGGAAACTGATGGGCAAGGTCTGGACCAGCTCCGAGAGTCTCGAAATCTTTGCGTCTTAGAGGGAGCATCGTGCGTTGCTCGTTGGACTGTGTGGTTGCAGCTCCGCGTCGAGCGAGCTGTATGATATCAGCATGTCTTACCGTTCCTTGCACAGAGACCGCAGCATGTTCATGTCTACAATATGTGGTGTAGTTGAAGGGAGGATCGCGTCGAGAGACGACGAGATCCGTTCGCTTACGTAATTGGGTGGATTCTCTCCGCATCTACCAAGCCAAGCCAAGCCCTTGCTACTCTCCGGGAGTCATGGCTCGCGAAGATGGATTACAGTCGACGCACGCGCCTGAGGTACCAGTATCGATCATTTGGCGCTACATGCTGGCTCGACATCACTGCCGGTTGCCCACGTCGAGTTCCCGAGCTCAGGACCCCACAGCTGCCTTGGTAATTTGACCTGGCCGCATTTGCAAGCAGCAGAATCGGATTCATGGAGCTTCGACGGCGTCCAGAAATGTTCGAGACATTGCTGATTTGCTGACAACAATGAGAGAGCAGACTTCGCAAGCATGTGATGCATGCAGGCTGCGGAAGGCGCGGTGTCAAAATGAATTGCAAGAACGAGCAGTTAAGTCAGGAAATCGCGATGGGGACGATGAAGGCATGGAAGTCGACACTGCAGCTGCTGCAAATGAAAGGGCACAGCCATGCCAGAGGTGTACGAAACTTGGTATTCGATGTACCTACGACATGCCTGTGCAGCGAAGGGGTCCGAAGGGGCCGCGCAAGCGCAAGCTCAGCCAAGATGAAAATACTCAGTCCACCCCTACGTCTGCCACCAACGGCAGTGTGCACAAGTTTGAAGCTTCTACTTCCGGTCCAGCGTCTTCTCTTAACAGATCGCCGCACATTCGCACATGCTCTGGAGTCACGATGACCGGGAACGTTCACATGGAACGATACTCGCCCACGTGGATCCGGACACCCACCTCAGATCACTTCAACACCCATCGGCATGATCAGACCCCCGAAACCTCCTCTACGCAACAGCACCCTCGACAGCATGACTCAGTATCGCCACAGTGGTCTGATCCAGTTACTGGCACTGCAACAGATAAGCTCTGTGATCGTGACACTCTACGCCGCATCATGGACGACTACATCCTCTATGTTTATCCGGCTATCCCGATCTTTCATATGCCGACTTTCCATGCTGCGTTCGACGCGCAGAAAGACACACACGACGTGGACTTCTTCTGCCTGCTCCTGGGCTTGGCAGCTCTCACAGTGGGCATACTTCCCTCCAAATTCAGGGATTATCAGCGCGCGGCCAGACCTGTGCGTTTTCTCAGCCGTGTCGAGATGATCGACTACTGCTACGCACAGACCGTAAATTCTCGCACATCAGCTTATTTCGACGAGGTCTCTCACACCAAATGGGCGATTAGTCACTTGTTCTTTCTGGCGTACATTCACGTCGGCAAGGTGAACCTGTCTCGTATGGTCGAGCTTGAATGCAATCTGTTTGCACGACTTCTCGAGCTTCACCGCCCGTCTGCCTATGTTGGCTTGAGCTGTATAGAAGTCCAGCTTCGCAAGCGAGGCTTCTGGCTTATGTTTTATCCTTACGTGCATTTGCAGTACTCTAATCTTAGGAAGGAAAGACTATCATTCATTGATTGCGCTATCCTTCATGAGCTAGACCTCGAGGAGCTACTACCGGTACCGCATGATGACGAACAGATCACAGAAACGTCCTATGGTTCGCCACCTCCACCGGACACACCATCACTTGCTGAAGGATTCAATTGGCGCTCCCGACTGTTCTGGTCTGGCGTTAAGAGTATCAACCAAGACCGTCAGTCCCGTCGCGATACGATACATTGTCAATGTACACGACGTCAGGATCTTTCCGCTTATCTTAATTTCCTCCATGCACGTCTCAGAGAGCTCAACTACCTTCTTGATGGTGCACCATGGTACTTGCGACAGTGGGTGACGAAGTCTGAGTCAGGTCAACACAACTCACACCCTGACGCCAGTCTCAACTTGCAAATGGCTGTTATTCGGACAGACATCCATGTTACACACGTGTGGCTACAGTCATTGCTGATGGATCACATTGAGTCGTACCATCCCGTTAACATGGGTTCAGTGCCTTTGCTGCCACTTCCGCAAATCTCGACTATGTCACCACCAACGCCAGACACCCCAGTCAAATCCCAGCGAAGCGCTAAAGTGGATTGGGCTCAGCGTGAAGACCTTTGCCGTCAGCTACTACAAGTTCTTTACATGGCGCCGGACCTTAGCCTTGAGGCTCTAGGGACAGTGCTGGTACATAAGGTGAGGGATGTGGCTGTCTCACTGCTTGCTTGCCCGTACGATGACAACGCTGCGGGTGAAGGCGCTGATGCTGGCCCTGAGATAGCTTCGACAGGGTCGTTGGGGCCAGCGACGCGTGCCAAAGCGTACCTAGCTGATTTCTCGCGAAAGCTAAATGAGCTCGATATGGCTGAAGGCATGAGCAGTCACATTCTGCAGAGCTGGGTAGACACAGGAAGGATGACTGATGGACGGTACGATCACTGGTGAGCGGTCGATTGGTGATCAATTCCGATCCCCATCGCTATGGTTACACGGAATGTGTTATCGGAAAAACCTCAGCGTCCAAGAAATGCCGACAACCACGCTCCCCAGCCTGGTCGTTGAGCGAAATCAGCCTCAGGTGTTGGAGGGTTCGGTTTCAGTTGACGCCAGTTTGTCCCTCTGGTTTCGTACCCTCTTTCACGCTCAATGGATTCCAGGACTTCGTCTGACGCCCGCGGCAGGAGCTTCTGCCACCAATCGAGATCATCGGACCCCAGTTCGAGCCACACTGTCTTCGACTCTCCGTTGCCCTCGCTGCCTGGCACGAGTGACTCAAGTTCAGTGCTCATCAGCTTGTCCCCTAACTTGATCGCATCCACCAGAACGACTGGGGATCTGTGCGTCTTAAGGCGACAAAGCCAACTTTCACTGTGCCGCCAGCAGAGGCAGCGTTGACGATATCCATGGTGTCAGGCTCCAGCGACGACTTAAGGAAGTCCACGGGCCCACGCCCTTCCCGGAGAAGGAACTTGACGATATCGACCTTTTCTGCCTGAATTGCAATCCACAGTGCTGTGGGACCGTTGATGAACTTGCCGTTTCCAATCTGGACATCGATCACGTCAGCGCCGAAGCGTGAGAAGAGCCATTGAATGATCTCCATATTTCCTGTAGCGGCGGCCGCGTACAGGGGAGTGACGAGCGCGCGGTCCGTCCGTGGAGAAATGGCATTTGGGTTTATCGATGGATACAGGGTGTCAAGCAGCTTCATGGCTGGCAAGTTGAAAGCGTGTGAGGCTTCAACGAAGGCGCTGTTCAATATCTCGTGCCTGTTCTCCGGCAGAATGTCAGTCGCGAACTGTGCGCTTTCGGCGAAGCAGAGGTAAAAGATGCGAGCGAGCGCAGAGAGTATGTGGTCGGAGGCTTTAGATGGTGGTGCGCTCGCGAGGTCCAAGAAGCGACCCGAGAATGCATCCAACGTTGCCGGCTTGAGAGCCGGGAAGTTTCGCGTCATGTTCCTTGGCGAGATCGAGGTGAGGTATGCAACAAGGACGGGCATCGAGGCGGGCGTCTTGTTGCCATGATGAAGTGTCCTGCGGAGAGCTTCCTCCAGGACATCCTTTTGCTCAGGTGTCAATTCGACAGATCCGCGATTCTCAGGTGGAGGCGTAGGATAGCCCGACTCGTTCAAGGTGAGCAGAAAAGCCTCTAGCTCACCTCGGCCTGCCGCTGCAGCTTGCAATGCCATTGGAGTGAGCAATTCACTCTTGCGCTCGGGTCCAGCGGCATCCAGAACAAATTTGATGATCTCCAGCTTCCCGCCACCAGCGGCGAAGTCGAATACGCTTGCTTTGGGCTCTGCGTCTTGTTTGGCAGTCGGGTCTGCTCCCTTCTCGAGCAGATAACGCACGATCTCAACTCGGCTACCCCAGCTTGCTCGCATGAGCGGTGTTCCGCCCATGTCGTCTCGTGCATTCACATCTACGCCCGCCTTCTCCACCAGGAACCTGACACAGCTCAAGTGGCCTTGAAAGCTCGCGGCATGCAGAGGTACCAGCGTTGCCTCGTCCTCATCAGCTCCAACCCCAGGCATAGCCTTCACACCCATTTCATACAACGCCTCGAGAATGTATACCCGTCCCTTGACCGCAGCCCGGAACATCATATACAGACCCCTGTTCGGAAACTCCTCCAACAGCCTCTTGAAAGCTTCGATCCGCTCGGCTTCAGAAGACAGAGACCAAACCCGCCGCTGCACGATTTGATCTTCGCCGAATGAGTCATACCAGTGTGGATCGGACAGCCAGAGTTCGTTGGGGCTGCCGCCGGCGACATGCCAGACCATTTCAGGGGTGAAGCGGGTTGGGTCGACCTCGTGTGGGGTGCGCCGGTAGGTTTCGTTGTTGATCGTGATGAATTGGGGGGCGGAGCCGGTGAAGGGGTTGTAGAGAGCGGTCGGGTCGTTCTCCTGCAGGGTCGGCTGTGTTGGTGAACGTTGAGGTGGAGCTTCGATCTGAGGTTCACCTTCGTTGGGGGATGCTTGGAGCGGTGCTTGAGCTTGGTTGTCGTCGGCGGCCATAACAGCGGGAATGTGTGCGGCCGACAGGAGTGGAAGTACGATGGTGACGGCGATGGTGGCGCGTCTGAGCGAAGTATGCTGCGTTAGTGTCTTCAGTGTCGTGCGAACGACGTCCATCGGACTGCTCAAAGGGCCGTTTACGTTGTAAGTACTGTATGTGATATAAGTGCTATCGGTACATGTCAGAATATTGCAAGACCGGCCACCACCACCAAACTCATTGCCTAGTTACGTCTGTCTTATATGTTGTCCCGCGCTCACCGGCCCCCATAGTGAGTTGTGCAGTGTGCTGCAGCATCGATTAGAGCCAGAAATTGGGGCGCCGGTGGTTGCCTGGCCGTGCCTGTCGCTTCATCTAACGCCAACGCTAGTCCATCGGACGAGTCGAGTGGGGTCGGACATTGCGGAAACCAAGCGCGTGTCAACCTTGCGCTGCATCATTGCCTCGCAAGGCATTAATGCATATATGCTAGGTATTCTTGCGCCTTGCTACGCGCAGTGATGCACAGTAAGACAATCTTGCTTCCGTTGCTTTCCATCTCAAATTCCTTGCGGACACCACACCCTGGTCTCGGTCTATTTCTATTTGATGACAGTCCCTAGAGCTGGCAGCTCCTGTTCAATTCAATGACAATCAGCCCTCCAAGATCTCAAGAACACCTCCCACCAAATGCAAACTCCCGGTGACAAGGACAACCTTCTGCACGCCCTCTTCAACGACATCATCTCTGACCACACCTGCTGTGTCCTCGATGCTAGTCTTGACTTCTACCCTTGCGTCCGCGTCCAGCTGCTTCCATGTCGCCGCAAGTTCATTCTGCACGACTAACTTGTCGACTTCATCTGGATTGGTTCCGACTGAGATCAGGTCTGGCGCTGTCCGCTTTATTATGGAGGTCGGCGAGAAAGTTGTGTTAGGCGTGAAGAGGGCAGTACTGATTGCTTGAGGCAGCAAAGGTGTCAGAGTGTCATAGAGAGCGCGCGCGAGACCTGAAGCGTTGCGTTCGCGGGTCTGTTGGTTGAAGACAAGGTAGATTTTCACTGCTGTGACGGAGGGTAGGGTGGTGATGTGCTTGATCTCAGAGGCAAACCACTTGCCAGCGAGCTGAATTGATTCTAGCGTGTGTCCTCCATCGATACACCATGTGATGTTGCCTTCGTGACGGGTGTCGCATCGACCGGGCCAGCGTGCGGAAGCAATGCCGTCTGAGACTATCGTTCTGAATTTCGCATCATATGGCGTTTCGGGTTCCTTCTTAGCAAACCATTCTTTGACGATGGTCATCGCAACTGACGCGTTCTCCTTTTGGAAGTCGCCCTGTAGGCCCAGTTTGGTGCGATTTTCAGCAAGATCGGGCATAGTGGTGACCCATGTCAGCTCTGTACCAACGCTCTGTGCGACCTCCTCTAGGACCGCCTCGGCGCCGGGCTTTTCCTGATTGGAAAGGGGCGTATAGCATTTGGCAGATTGCTTCATGATACCGGCCTTATGTCGAGCAATCTCTGAGATGGTAGAGCCCAACATGCCCACATGATCGATGCCCAAACTGGTGATTGCAGTGACCACAGGTGACGGAATGATATTCGTGCTGTCATAGGTGCCGCCCATACCGCACTCGACGATTGCTATGCCGACCTTCTCGGAAATGAACGTATGAAAAGCCATCAGGGTGAGGAACCGGAAGTAGACCGGCTTGGTAGCACTCCCAAATTTGTCCCACGTCTCGAAAAAATACTTGGCGAATTTCTCTTCTGACAAGGGTGAGCCATTTATCTGTATTCGCTCTCGAACGAAGCGCAGATGAGGAGACGTATACAATCCAATCTTGTAATCTGACGTTGCGGGGAGCGATGATCGGTAGCGGTTGAATATGGAAGAGACGAAAGCTGCGGTCGACCCTTTGCCTTTGGTACCGGCAATGTGTATAACATTCAGTCGGTCCAGATCTGCGGTCTGAGCCTCTTGTCAGCCACTAGACATGATGCGACGGTTATATAATGTCACTTTGTGCGTACGTTGTATCCGACCGTTGTCCAGAAATCGACCATTTCTGGAATCGCATTCTCGTTGAGTCTCGGGTTTTTCCTAAGTGCCTCGACAATCTGGTGATTACTTTGAAGTGTGTTCAGCGCCGCAACGGCATCCTAGAGATTGTCAGACGAGCGCATGTCGAGTAGATGGTACGACTCACAGCATAGGACCGCGCCATCATGCGTCTCGTGGTCGAGTAGTCACGTCGGAAACAGGTCGGGGTCGCATGCAGCTTGAGACATCGCTGCAGCATCAGCGAGCGCTCAAGTAGTGCCTGCTATTTCCTGCGCCTGCCTGAAGGTCATCCTGAGGCAGGAAGGTGCGCATGTTGGTAGTCACAATCCCGGCGGAGGATGATATTGCCAAGCCTGGATATCAGTTCCGCGATTGCTTTTTTGCAGTCATTGCGCCAGCTTGATCTCGTCGCGCTTGGTAGCCTATCATTATGGGCATGGCTGGGAGTATCACAGGCGCTGTCCGGTGCCCTCGTGCCGCTCAGACTGTCTCATAGAGCGCAGTGCCATCAGGCGGAGGAACATCTTATTTCTACTAGAAACACCACCTGCCAATACGGCTCGCCGGCACCTCACAACATTTCCACGACCGACGGCTCAAGGCATCGACAGCAACTATGCGTACTTGGATTAAGGCGCAACTCGCGTGTAACCAGAGAGAATCATTGACCTGCACGCGTCTGCCACAATAACGTACTGACTTTCGACAACTGATTTAGGCTCAGTGAACCTCGTGACGAACAGCCCAAAGCGGGTGACTGTGATATGGAACAACTCACAACACATCTGCCAGAGTTCTGGAACCAACAGGCCGCCAACCACGCCACTTACAGCCTGTGGGCTTCATGTGCCTGAGCCATAGCCACGAACGGCAACGAAGCCGCCCGGAGTATGTTAAACCGCCAGACCCTGATCTTGGGCCTGGGGAGCATAGTGGGGAAAAGTCGCCTCTAGAAATTTTCCAATACGCAACCAACGACATTGTGCCGAAGTTTACCTGACTACTTCGCCATCCGGGATGCTGCTCATTCAGGCTAATTGAAAGATCACTGCGTGCTGGACCTGGTAAGTTCAGGTACGGAGCAGACCTGATGCCCCACGCCGTGGCGAATATGAACGGCAGCATGCAATGTCCTTCGCCAGACGATGTTTCATCTGATTCCATTCACATGACGACCCTGCAGGACCAACCACGTTGCCGACTCACGTATATTTACCCCACTGCTCAACTGCCTGAACTCTCATCCCGGCTGCGGGATGAGAAGTCCACAGCAGCAGGATAAAAAGATTGTGTCTCGCTCCCAATTTTGCCTGTCGGTCTCGACATTGGCGCAGAGACACATGTGGACAGGTAGATAAAGAGAGTGTATGACCCGCGCAGCTTTCAGGTTGCCGTCATCTCCAGTTCATCTCGAGCTTGTATGAATCGTCTTTCCCAGATCCGCAGTCACCTCACCAGACGAATCTTCACGCCTACTTTTCACGCGACATCCTCTACTTATAAATCTTCTCTCCCCAGTCAGACTTTCTCACGCAGACAGCTATCCACCATGTCCACACCAACCGTCAAGCTCTCCTCAGGCCACGCCATGCCCCTCGTGGGCTTCGGCCTGTGGAAGGTCAACAATGACACCTGCGCTGACCAAGTCTACAACGCGATCAAAGCGGGCTACCGCCTGTTCGACGGTGCCTGCGACTACGGCAACGAAAAAGAGTGCGGCGAGGGTGTTGCCCGTGCCATCAAGGACGGCCTTGTCAAGCGCTCCGACCTCTTCATCACCTCCAAGCTCTGGAACTCGTTCCACGACGCGGACAAAGTCGAGCCCATCTGCAAGAAGCAGCTCGCCGACTGGCAGCTTGATTACTTTGACCTTTACCTCATCCACTTTCCCATCGCGCTGACATACGTCGATCCGTCCGTTCGCTACCCACCAGCTGGGAGAACGAGGGCGGGAAAGACATCACTTTCGGCACTGCCACGATTCAAGAGACATGGCAAGCGTTCGAGAAGCTCCAAGAAGCCGGCCTGGCTAAGTCGATCGGTATCTCGAACTTCTCAGTCCAACTTATCATGGATCTCCTCCGCTATGCCAAGATCAAGCCCGCCGCCCTCCAGATCGAGCACCACCCATACCTGCAGCAGGCCGGCCTGATCAAGTTTGCCAAGGAGCAAGGAATTGCCATCACCGCATACTCGTCCTTCGGGCCCGCCTCATTCATCGAGTTGGATGTCAAGGAGGCGCAGGGTGCTGGACCACTGCTTGAGTCAAACGATATCAAGAAGATCGCAGAGAAGCACGGCAAGACGCCTGCGCAGATCTTGCTACGATGGTCGACGCAGAGAGACATTGCAGTCATCCCAAAGAGCAATGACCCCACGAGGCTGGCGCAGAATCTCGACGTGGGCAGTGGCTTTGAGCTGGACAAGGGTGATCTGGAGTATATTGGTGGGTTGGATCGGCATTTGCGCTTCAATGATCCTGTCAACTATGGAATGAACATCCCGATCTTTGTCTAAGCTTGAAATAAAGCTCCAGCGAGTGCGCCGACTCTGGCCGCACAAGATGAAACTTACGCTGAGGTGAAGTCAGTATTGGGCTTGGTCATATCGACAATCAAGAGCATTGTCCTCACGACGGCGGTCGCACGACTAGGAATTAAGCCTAGTGGCCTTCAGCTACGACGTGTGCGCTGCGGTCTCTCGGAGATATTGACAGTCGTGTCATTCGGGGCGCGGTGGGTTCATCGTACGGATCAGCAGTAGATGCTCATAAGTAGATGCATAAGATATCATGCCAGGAGCGTGGTTTGGCCGTCTCATCGAGGTTCATATCGGAGCGAGAATTGGCTAGACTATACGTAGATCACGAATGAACCATTACGATCAACTATTTTGCTCCCTCGCTTACGTCGTACAACTCCGAGCGTGACACTGGCACACTCTTGGATTATGTCGGAGATACGATCATACATATCAAGCACCAACATCTGAGGGCCTGGGAAAATAAGCATGACATTCCCAACAGCAACAAAAGACACAACCTACGACATCCCCGACCACAATACTTTGACGAAGATCGCCACCCTACCCATAACAAGAGAAGACGGCACCCATATTCCCTTCAGCTCCCTCTATACCAACCCCGACCAGAATCCCGGCACAAAGCACCTCATAATCTTCATCCGCCACTTCTACTGCGGCAGCTGCCAGTCCTACGTAGAAACCCTCAACCACAACGCCTCCACCTTCCAAAAGCACAACATCGTAATCACCATCATCGGCAACGGCCACCCCACCGGAATCGCACCCTACCGCGCCAAAACAGCCACCAGCTTCCCCATCTGCACCGATCCCAAGCGCGAGCTCTACGCCGCCCTGGGCATGACAGTTACGCTTTCCGCGGGCGAGAAACAGCCAGAGTATATCCCGGGCTCGATGCTGGCAAACGCACTGAAGAGCACGTGGAATGCGGTCACCTCGCCCGCTGTATGGGGAGGGAAGGCAGGGAATTTTGCGCAGAATGGGGGTGAGTTGCTATTTGTTCGGGGAGACTTGAAGTGGTGTCATCGCATGTTGAACACGAGGGATCATGCTGAGTCTGGGGAGTTGATGGAGGTTTGCGATGTTCAGGCGTTGGATGCGGGCATGGCAGATGGGAAGTGAGGCGTAATGTACAAATTGGTATGATTAGATAGTGCCTTTCTATAGGCGTGGTATCTCATTTATCTCTCAATTTCATACGTCGTGTGCTGTAGATCCATCCAACTCCATGGCAGCGTCTTGGCTGCACGATTACATAGTCCTCTTCAAATTCTCCTCAAAATAAAGATTATATCAACACCAACGCCAAGGGCAATATGACTCCAAGCAACTCAGGTCTCCCTGTCGGTCTGCTCACACCGTTGCCTGAAGCAATGGCCGGACTCGATCCTGATGCTGCCGATGCTGATGGTGTCGCCGAATCGGACTCAGATGCTTCTGTGGCACTCGTCTGGTCCCCAAGGCTGCTAGCGGGAACGCCGGTAGTATATGTGGTTGGCCCTGAAGTGGTGATTGTCGTCTGCGAAGCACCCACGGCGCCCATGACCAAGGTAGCATCCGCCACTTCATTGCCGGCGAAAGACGTGGTTGTACCGTTCTTGACGATGATGACGGTCATAGCTTCGACCTCGGACCAAGTATAAGTTGTGGCCGGTGTGGGGGCGATACCGGATATTGCTGTTCCCGTGACGTCTGTGGTCACGGTTGTTGGCACCAGCGTAGGGGATGATGAGGCTGGCGTCGTACCAGATACTGATACTGTGACCGTAGGAGCCACTTCGGTTGGTGCCGCGCTAGTAGAAAAGGCGGTTGGCGTTCCGCTAATCGTAGTCGTAGTGAATCCTGCACAGTAGTCCAAAAATTGCTGAAATTGGGGAGCGATGCGAAGAAAAGTGTCGGTTTCTGGTAAGTTATCCTGCTCGTGATAATCTATGCACGCCATGCACTGCGATAGACTAGTTAAGAAAGCTGAGTTCGGCTGACATAGTTCATCTGTCTTTCCGATAGCCTGGACTTCAAGCATAGGATTGTTACACCATGTGTAGCAAGCGCCTGGAATATTGGTCTGAGCTTGTCGCAGTCTCAGTCCTGTGTTGTTATTTGCTGGCGCAGCAGGAGGTGCAGGTAAAGCAGTCGGTGCTGGGGGCACCACAAAGGTCGAAGTGATCGTGACCACTTTGTCGACAACGAATATCTCGTAGCCGAAGCCGAAGTCAGTAGGATTCACGTTGAAGTAGCTGTCAAGAGCATTGACGCCGAGTCCAGGCGTATTCAGTGGCGTCGAGTTACTGTATATGGTATCACCCCAATTCGGCAGAGGTTGTGGGAGACCAGGAGCCGGCACACACTCGTTCGGTGAGCAGTAGAAGTTGCGATCTGGTGTACCAGCCTCGAAGTCGCAATTCTCTTGCAGAGGCTTGCAGATCCAACCAGGAGGACATCCCCACCTAAAAGTATAAGTCAAGGTCTCGCCAGCGTAGGAAGGAGTACTCACGTCCATTGAGTCGGCATGGGCACAGCTACAGTGAAAGTCGGGTTGGTGATACGAGTTGGACATATTCGAAGGCTTGTCAGCCTGGTCGTAGATGTATATAATTCTAGTTCTTCTGTCGCGGTCAAGGTGACGAGCTGTGTCGTTGGCGTCGTTTCAGTAATGGTCGTAGGCACAGTCTCTGTCAGCGTCGTCGAGGTGGTCTCGGTGAGCGTGGTAGAGACGGTCTGAGTCTCAGTGGTAATTTGGACTACCGTGACCAATGAGACCTCAGTAGTAGGCTGAACAAAAGTCTCAGTCGTTGGCTGTACGAGGACTGACACTTCTGTGGTTGGTTGAGTGGTTGTCACAGTGTCTGTGTAGACGACGGTCTCAAAGACAGTTGTAGTACCTGTAACTAACACATAGCTTGTCTCCGATAGTGTGACTGGTGCCGGGCATGTCGGATAGATCGTCGTCGTTGTGGTTTGGATCGGGTACGGTGACCATGCTGTACCAGTGGCCGTAGCGTGCGCCCCAGCTGCCAGCACAAGCCCAGCTGAGCGCGAGCGTTTGTGCATGATAGCAATCCCGGTGAAATATCGTTCACTAACTCAACACCAAACGAGGGTCGGGTATAACGAAAGTACCGGCGCACACCAAGCGAAGGACGGTATGCAAACCCTACCAGGACGCCTCCAATTTGAGTTGAGTGAAGGGATATAGAAGGAAGAAGGTTCTCAAAGTAGAACACAACAAGAACACATGTATGAAGCTACATCGAACCTACCATGATTGCCCAATGCAACAGCGTCATGCTGGATACTTGGTATACTAGTTAGTATGGCAGGCACAATAGCGCCACACTATCCAAGTCAAGACCGCGCTCCGAGCAGGCACAATCCTGCCCACCTCGTGGTTGCGTACCATGCTTCGTAGTGCGAATTTGGGATATGAGCAGGAACCTTGCCAATCAAGCTTAACCAGTGAGCTGTCAGACGGCAGTGGTGGAAATGCTAAGCCGACAGCAAAAAAACGGTGAGGTGATGGCAGAGAATTCAGGTGAGCCGTTCGAGTTGGCCCCTCCTCCGTGCGGGGAGTGGATCCATCGAAAGCTTCCGACAACGACCATAACTTGTTTTTGCTATCTTTATCCAGCCCCCCATCCTCGACAATCGTCGTTCCTGACGTTATTCTCCGACCTCGGTACGCTGTGATCATGCACAATCTGGCTCTGTGCTGCCTGTCTTCCTGCAGAGAGTAATACGATGTTCTTGAATAAGTTGACCGGTGTGTCCCGGTTCTATCAACATCGAAGCAATTCCTCGCAGCGACATGGTCTCTGCCAAGCAGAACGTGGCAATGCCGCAGAGACATGCAGGTCCGGCCTCAAATGGTAGTTCAGAGACGGTACATGTAGCCAGTTGCAACACCTGAAGTTCTTGCGTGAGCGACAGGGGTCGCGCCTTGCTTTGAGACATCCTATCTCTTAGCTCTCAGAACGTGTGCCGATCAAAGCCGTCATCATATCCGGAAGAATTCCTCCTGGACCCTTCTTTAGCACTGACGTACTCACTGGCAGTGTTTCTCGTTAAGCGATATCATGCGCCTATCGCAAACTGCGGAGAAAGAATCCAGGGCTCACTACAGCACTGACAGGTGAAGTGGCGGTTCAAGCACACAGCCCAAATGCTTCCTCAGAGGCACTGTAGGTACCCTGCATGCTCTGAAGTCTTCGACATGAGAGAGTTCAGATTCTGGTCCTTGTAGCAAACCTAGTCCTACCGACATTGTCGTGTCCTTCTGGTTGACAACACAGCATGCGACCACAATATCGATGACAGAAAATGTCACGACTCACCGTCTACAGTCTTCTCCTTCTGGTGTCCTACGTCACTGCGGCACCAGGCGTCGAACAGAACTACACGATATGTAATTGGGCCCGACTTCGAGCTGGTATTGTTCGAGACGCAATCTATCTCGATGGCGGCCTGCTATGGTGGCAGACGGCCTTTGTCGACGGGTCTACACCAGTCGTCAGCAGCAATGGTGGCGTATCAGGCGAGCTGTACAGGCTCAATCTTTCCCAGCCATTCGAAACAAGCACAACAAATCTTTCCGCACTACTCGAGCCTATGCCGAAAGCCGGTGGTCAGGGCAACAACATTGCCCCAAACTACATCGATGGCACCATGATGACGAATGATGGTGAATTATACCTGTACGGAGGGCTTCCACATTTGACAAATTCGACCTCGGGCCAAAGTGAAGAGTCTGTCCTAGGGTATGAGGCATTCCAGTACGGTGCTACGAGAGAGAGCTGGACGCCAGGCTTCTACCAAGGGTCACTCGGCACGAACGTGAGCAGATACATCACTAATGGCGCTGGAGCTTCCGCACCAAGTGAAAACCTTGGCTATTACTTCAGTGGCATGCGCGGTGCAGACTGGGGAGAGATTCACTATGAGGACGCTTCCGCTACTATTCCTGCTAACACGTTAATTGAAGTGGATATGTCGACGATGAGGAGTGAGAAGTGGACCAACTTCACGCTACCTGACGACATCGTCCCGCGAGCCAATGCTGAGTTGGTGTGGCTACCGGTCTCACAGCGTGGTGTACTTCTTGCGATTGGAGGTGTGACTGAGCCTGAGGAAATATATCCTGCTGGTCTCAATGATTCTCAACTAGCGAGATCGAAAGCCATCAGTCCTTCATTCATGGAGAGCATACCTATATACGACATCGAATCCGAGAAGTGGTATACACAGAACATTTCTGGGACCGAAAAGCCACCTCAGCTGACGCAATTCTGCTCAGTCCTGGCCACAGAGGAGGATTCTTCGACTTGGAACATTTACATCTACGGCGGGTATAATGGCATTGACGCCAGTAATGGTCCTTCGGACGATGTCTGGGTGCTGAGCTTGCCTTCTTTCACCTGGACAAAAGTGTACGAAGGAACGCCGTCGCATGGCCGAAGTGGTCATCATTGTATCTCACCCTACCCAGACAAGATGTTCGTCATCGGTGGAGTCCATCAAAGTCAAGCTGAGTGTGTTGAAGATGGCTTCATTCAGGTCTTCGACCTCAACACGTTGACATTTACCAACGAATACCACCCCGACCAATGGCAGCCGTACAACCAGTCTGAGAAGATCTCCACCACAAGTCGTCGCTTCGTGAAGCGACAAGCTCAGTGGTCGAGTCCCGCTCTGGAAAGCATATTCTCGACCAAGTACACACGCGAGATACCACAGTATTATCCGTACAAGTCCGCTGCGCCCGCAGGCAACGGGTCTACAGGAACGCAATCCTCTGGCTCGTCAACGAACAAAGTGGCTATCGCTGTCGGCGTATCCATTGGGGTGCTTGTCGTGGGCCTGGCGCTCCTGCTGATCCTACTGCTCCGCCGAAAAGGCATGCTACGATCAAGATCCAGCATGAGCAGCCGCACCAAGCGAAGCAGAATATCAAATTGGCTCACTGGGACTAAAGAGTCTACCTCTCCCCACCACAAGAGCTTCAACAGTTCCACCTCCGAACTCGATGGCGACCTGGTACAGCAATACTCGAGCGCATCAGCAGTCGTATCCTCGGAATCCTCCTCTCACAACTCTCATACACCTCTAGCACCAGCCGAGCGACCGCACAGAGTTCCGCAAGAAATGGCAGCAATTGACCGGCCCCGCGCGCCCTTTGAACTTGCCACACCATACAACAACCAATCACATCCGCGCCATTCCAATGCCGTCGATTATGCCTACGACAATGCAAAAGGCCACTCGTCGCGCTCCACCTCGTCAGAGTATCTGAAGAACCCAGCTGTCCACGACCGACAGATCCGAGACTCACGAGCATCCGTGGATCTCGCCGATGCTGCACGCTCTACAACCTCCTCCGAGGAGTCCGGCTCAACGACAGCATGGCCACTACCAAAATCGCGGCCCATCTGGGAGCGATCGCCATCGACAATATCCAACAACGCTGAGCCCACCGACCACTTACTGCCACCGGCAGCAACAGTCCCAGCAATCCCACGGCAATACCGCTCCCTTAGTAACGACGCCACACCCTCGCGCCTTCGTCCCGTGCTTCCCGACACCCAGCCCAGCAACTCCAACTCTAACTCATCCTCGAACCCATCGAGCCAAAGCAAGGACATCTCGAGCATGAGCTCCGCCCCCGACCACGTCGTTAGCCCGATCCGTGAGTCCTCGCACACGGACGATGACCTCTGGGAGTCTGCCCCTCCCAACAGCAGCCGGCATTCCCATGCATGGACAGCAGATTCAAACCCACAACGACAGAGTCTCATGGACTCGATGGTCAGCCCGATCACGCCCGACGAACCGCATGGGCCTGGAAGGTACCATACCTGGGAGCGAGAGGAGCCTCCGAAGTTGGCGGACGTAGTGGAGGAGCAGCCGCGACGGTACAAAAGCTGGCAAGATCCTCCGCCAAAGATAGCGGAGGAGCAGCCGCGGCGGAGCAGTGAGAACGAGGGGCGGGAGAATTGGTGGGGAGGGAGGTGATCGAAACAGGCCTTTGCCCTGTGTTTTCCCTACTTGTACAGTACACGAAGTCATGTCTGCCTATGATTTGAAATGCATTCAGCACCACGAGACAAGAGATCAGACTCTGGTCGCCTTGTATCAGAATCGAGGACCTGGATAAGCTGCCTCAACAGCAGGAGCCACGAATATATACACACGAATGATAGACTACTGTAATTTCAGGTACCTCACATTCCCGCTCGTCCCGCACCTACTTCAGTCTGTGAATCTTGCATGCAGTGCAGATGTCATGAACTGTTCGGACGGTACCCCTTTCGGGCCTCCACTTCTTCAGGCAATATCACTTCGAGCAACGAGCCTTTCAAAGGTATCCTCAGAGCCACAGTTCGTAGCGGCTACAACGGTTACCACGTGTCCCGGCCCGCGGCCCCTTATGCCGTCGGCGTGGACATTGCCTAGGCGTAAGACCACGTATATCTAATAGCCACGCAAAGATAGTACGGTTATATTAAGCTCTCGGCCAAACCACACCGCGCTGCCATCCGGTCTCAGCTGACACCGGATGACAAGGAATATCCAAGACCGGATGACAGGGATCCTCTCGAGCTGGTTGACAATAGACGTACCTGCCTCGCGACGCACCTTCTGCGACACTGCAGGAGCGACAGGCTGAAGACATCGCACCTGCCTCGGTAGCCACTCTCTGCAGCACTGCAGTAGCGACCAACCGACAGCATCCGTACCTGCCTCGTTACACACTTCCTGCCGCACTGCAGGAGCGACTGGCCGGTGGCATTCGTACCTGCCCCCACTAAACACCTCGGGCCAGCACGGTAGGAGCGACCAGCTAACGGCACTCGCGCCTTCCTCCGTAGACCCATTCTGCTGCACTGCAGGAGCCATCGGCTGGCAATATCCGCAGCTGCCGCTTTGAAAATGGTGTGCGGCCGGAGCGAACGATCGAGGGCACTCGCACCGGTCTCGTACATACAAATGCCGAGTCATCCGGCGTTGCATGCAACTCCCCCCACCTGTCGTCAAGACCCTCAACGGCCGAAGACGGATTGAGCACCAGAACTATCGACTTTCTCTTCAAAGCCTCCCCCACCTCGAAACTTGTGGGGTCCGACGAGGAAAGCTGATGCTGTGGTGTTCGCGGATTCTCATGCTCCGGGAGGCAAAGCCTCAACGGGGAGACCGGATTCTAGAAATCAGCTCGTGCAGGCAACTAAAATAAGGTCGCGCATTCCTCCAGGTATAGCTGTAATATTAGGTTGACTGGATAGAGGTCAACTGGGAACCCCATCTGGCTCAGGGGCCAATGCGTGACTGGTCTGTAGCAGATGTGACGAGGGATCGAAAACTGGGTGGAGGTCTTGTGCGCTGGTGATTTCTACGGGAGGTGTGCTTGTCAACCGGCGTTCTGGCAGACGGAAACGCGGCAGCGTGTCGTAAATATGCAGGCATGGGTGGGCAGGTGCAGATCCCGGGCACTGTCCGATGCAGTCATCCTGCGATGCTGTAGAACGCATCTATGGCCTTCTCGTCAAAGTGAATAAAGGTCTTTTCTTGTACAGGAACTACCCCAACGCTCGAGCTACTACGCCGACGACTAATCAATCCTCCATATCGTCCGGATCCCCATTATGCTCACTCTCGGACTCGTAGTCGAACTCTCGCGGTACGGGCGCCTCTTCCGCGCCTTCCTCGTCCTCGTCCACCGCAGTCAAAACACCAGCAGCTGCAGCCGCACCAGCCCCAGCAACGGCAGGAGCAGCGACAGGCGTCTGAGGCTCAGCAGCAGCGCCCTCCGGCCGCAGCAAGGAAGCCGGAGCAGCTTGTCGAACGGGAGGAAGGTTGATCTTGCTGACGGTGAGAGGAACGATCTCTCTATCGGAGTCGGGCTGAGTGTCGAGGACAACCATGACACCACCCGTAATCGGCTTCTTGACTGGTTGCCATCGCTTATCGGGGAAGGAGAGGTACTTGAGCTGGCCTGGTAGAACACGAGACATGTTTGAGATCTCATAGCCGACCTTCTCCTTCTCGACCCGTTTCTTCTTCTCAGGCTTTTCGCCTTCCTCCTTCTTGGCAGCTTCGTCGTCCTTTGCCTCCTCAGACTCCAGCTTGGCTGCATCTTCGGACTTCTCGACCTTAGGCGTGACAGGAGTGGCGGTGTCGACGTCCATGGAGTCGCCTTTCTCGTCTTTCGCTTTCTTTGCCTGTCGGCGCTTGGCTTGGGCTGTGGTAGAAAGAACAGCAGTCTTGACCTTCTCTGGTGCCTCATCAACCTTAGCAGTCTGCTCCGGTGGGTAGTCAAACATGCTCGGGCGGGTATTGCTGTGGAATTTGTAGACAGGTACATCAAGCTTCTGGTCCACTCCAATGACTGCTGTCGGTGTGAAGGAAAGTGATAAGAAATGAGCAAGCGGATGCCAGTACCAATACTGTGTGAAGACGACAGCACCCACGATACCTGGCAGGTTGAGATTGCCAGTCTGTGTCTGAAGCGAGATCGTGCAGTTGCGTCCACCAGCGTCGATGATGCCCATCGCCATAGCATCACCGAACTTGCACATGGCGTCTTCGTGTCGGTCTGAGATCATCTTCAGCATCGTCTTGCGGATAGTGCTGACCTTAGGATTCATCGCCTCGTTCTGTTGTACCATGATCATCGATAATGCTATCAGAGCTCCTTGACGAACGAAGTCGGTAGGGTCTTTGAGCATCGGTTCAAGCAGATCGATGGCCTCGTCAAGACCAGTCCCGGCACAAGAGATACCAAGAGCCATGGCTGCACCATATCTGACGTGTGGGTTGTAGGACTCGGCCAGGAGCTCAACCATGCGCGGCACACTGGTGTGCTTGCGGAAGAGAATGAAACCCAAACTCAGCACGGCGATGCGTCGAACATCGTCACTGACATCGCTGACGGCGGTATGAAGAAGCTTTCGAACAGCCTTGTTGCTTCCAGTGCCAACATAAGCCATGGCGATAGTAAGGATACCACCATATCGCAAATGCGGGTCTGCGTCCCCAAGCAAGCCATTGATTAGGATATCAGCACCCTCTTGCCGGCCGTACATGATCATAGCCATACCGATGGCGAGCCCTCGGATGATCTTGTCATGCTGAGTTTCCCGAGCGTACTGAATCATGTCTTCAAGTTGTTTGGTGTTGCCAGAGCCGAGCATGACGAGACCCATCGCGAGACCAACGGCTTCACCATTAATGGCCGAATCGGTGTAAAGCACATTCTTTAGGTCATCGTATAGAGACTCGTCTCCCGAAGCCATACCAGCGACACCAAGACCGAGAGCGCCGCCGTGAAGAATGACTTCTTCGGTGGCATCCTTGAAAGCCGATCGGATGTATTCAACGGCCTTGCCCTTATGGTTGGCACAGACAAGACCGTAAGCGTACAGTGAGCCGCCCTGGCTATATGGAGAGCTGGTAGAGGGGGGACCTGCTGCTGAGCGCTTCGGGAGATAGGGATTGAGCAGTCTGTCGACCTGGTTGACATTGCCTTGATGAATCACGCCTAACGCAGCTGTTGCCGTAAACTTGGACCAATTGACAGCCTTGCCGAGCCATTCCAGATTCTGTCTGAAGAAGTCGTCGTTGGCGGTCTTTGCGTGCATGAAACCTGTACACAGCGTTACCGCGGTATGGTAAATCGAGTTACGAGCTTCCAGACTGTCCTTGACCTTGTTGAGTACTGTCAGATCAACCCGATTGGACTTGTTGAGAAATTCGATGTTCAAGTGTATCGACTTGAGGCCATCAAGGATATCCTTGATCGACTGGACGGCTTCCTTGACTTCGGGCTTGACATCAGTCTTGGTTGGTGCAGGCGTGCCAGCTGAATCCTGGAGCTCTTGCTGTAACTGCTCGTTGGGATCCTCAGTTGCGGCCGTGTACGACGGAGGCGCGTTCTCATCAGTCTCATCAGGAACGAGTACGGTCAACTCCTCCCGGACCTTCCTCAGGAACTCCTGTGTGCTGTTATCGTATAAATCGAAAGATATCTGGTAGGCAACAGCTAGTGACCGAGGATCGCCTTTCTCAACTAGTTGCTTGAGGATGTCTGATGCCATGGAATGTTGATCGAGGTAGACAACGCATTTGGCAATGGCAAAGTAGTCGGGAGAAGGAATGTCGTTGAGTAGCTCCAGAATCAGCTTGAGGATCTCGTTCCGTAGACCACGCTCTTGTACAACACTCATGCAGATTTCGAGCACGTATTCCATCAGCTCTTCGCCGTGCTTTGTCACACCGCCATCCTCTTTCTGTTCATCTTTCGCAGCGCGCAGAATGACTCGTCGAAGGACCTCCAGGTTTCGAGCCTCAACAGCAATGCCGATAACCTGACGATAACGTTTCTCGGCGAAGCATTGCTCGAACAGTCTCTCGATGATACCGTTGAGTTGTTTTTGCAATCCTCGCTGTTGGATGATCTCCTCTGGCGAGCCCTTGTTCTCGTCACCCTCGATGACAGCACCCTGCTCTAACGAAACGACCGTGTTTTGACGAGACAGCAGGGACTTCGAGGGCAGCGCAGACTGCGAGAAGGGTGTGACTGGCGATGTTAAGCTGGCAGAGAGCGTGGCAGCGCCACCGTCTGCACCAGAAAATTGTGTGTCAAGTTCGGGAAGGGTGGCGTTGGATGCGGCGACGAGCGTGGGATCTTTGGAGGCGGAAAGGGCAATCCAGGTGTCGACGCATTTGCCGATGATCGTCTCCTCGAAAGTGGCGCCATCGTTCAGCTTGAAGTACTTGCCGGCATCAAGAGCAAAGGCCATGCTCTCGCCATAGTCTTGGAGGTGGTAGTAGACCTTCGCGGCAACGATGGCGGCGAGATTGCGTTCGGGAAACGATTCATCTTCGTAGAGTGCTTCGCTATCGAAATAGTCAGTAGGTTTGATCAGATGCAAGCCTCGGGATGGCTTACATGTCGCCCACGGAGTCGGCAATCTCTGGCCATAGCAGGTCGACCTCGTCATGCAATTGCTTCAGTGCCCATGCTTTGATCTCTGGTTCTGGCTCAGCGAGATAGCCGATCACGCCCGCGGCCGACACAAGGCCAGGCATGGCTGTTATGTGAGTGGCCGGTCCTTGAAAAGCTCGATTCGTGACTGGTAGTATGTACGAAGATATGGAAGGTGTTTGATGTTTAATCTGTGAAGGGAGCGCAGGAAGGCTCAGGTCAACAAGCGACCTTGCCCCCGGAATTCTCGGGTTCAGACAAAGATAGAAGGGAGCTTAGATAATCGACGTTCGCGATCCAGAATGGCTCTGTGTTGTACAATGCTCGACCGCGGCGGATCGGGATGAAGGAAAATGGAAGGAGATAGGAAAGGCGATTCGCGGTGATGGAAGCACAGAGAGCGTGTCGCAGACTCAGCCAAACCAAAAGATGCGTCAGTCCGCAGCTGCCTTTGCCAAGCCAGAGCCTCGCGCCGGCGGTCGTTTCCGAGAGCCTTACGGGCCATCGTGCTGTTGGGTGAAGCTTCGAGCAACCCTCCCTACTCTTCACTGCACATGAAAACGCAAGCTGCGTGAGGCAGGATCGATCAATGAGGACAGGTTCACCTGCGCGTGCTACACAAATACCTATCGGGCTCTCAACATGTACTGACCTGGGCTTCTCGAGGTGTATCAGCTCGATGCCGTTTAGACTCAACGCCAGCACTCTTTGATCGTTCTCTGTTAGCATGTCGACCTCCGCAAAACGTGTGGTACATCCCAACATTGGTCTTTGCGCATTGTCACACGCCCCGGTCGCGCTCAAGAGGCACGAACGTTCGTTGAGCCACGGTCTCTAGCCTTGGCACATCCCCAGTACCTTCCAGCCGGCGATCTCCAACCAAACACGCCAATGCAGTTACCCTCGCTTAATACGAGCAATGACGCACATGCCTCGCTGGCTAAAACGGCAGACGGTAGTAGCACGGCAGTTATACAAACGTGGCAAGGATTCACCTTTTCGTCTCGTGTCTGTTATGAGAACCGGGTCACTGCTCCGGACGCCAGATACTGGATTTATCCTGGTCGCTTGGACGATGACGGATAGTGCGAGGAGGTAGGTGATGCCACACGGTTGCATTCGATATGACGGACCTCACCTCAAGTTTGAATTGCTAGAACCGCTTGCTTTTGATTTTGCCTGCATTCTCGTTGTTGCCAGACACCTCACCACGCCGTTGCTGTCGCACTGTTTCTGAATACCTGCTCTTGCATTTAACATTTGGCGCTCAATTACCAATCAGCACTACCGACGAAGCACCGACAGTCGTCTATCTTGACCTTTCCAGCGCCCATCAAGACTCTGCCCAGCCCGAGCGGATCTGTTGGCAGACCAAGGAGACATCAAAACCAAGCTCAAGGAGCGCTCACCGGCGTCAGGAGGAACAGTCCAGCCTGAAACGACTTACAGACCGAAAGGCAGCTACCGATCTCGACCAACCACCAGATCGCCACCATGGCGGACGACCCCGAATCCTCCTTCGGAAAGTGCTACTTCGACGACTCAGGCAAAGAATCCCCATCCCGCTTCATCCCCTGCGGCAACGTAAACTTCCAAGGCCACATCGCCTGCTGCCAGTCCGGCAACGTCTGTCTGTCCTCCTCCGCCTGCTATGACGGCCTCACAGGAATGACCTACCGCGCCGGCTGCACCGACGAATCCTACGCCGACCCAGCCTGCCCTCAGAAAGCCCAGTACTCCGCCGAGGCATGGTTGGGGTATACCTACTGCAACGGCACCTCGAACGAATGGGTCGGGTGTGACGACAACAACGGTCCCGCGACCGTCACTCCGACCTCGCCGTGCTGGTGTCCCGAGGAGACTGGCAGTGCCCGAATCGCACCATTCAGCGATGGCGCGAGTCTACAAAACATCATGAGCCTACCGACAGCGGTGGGCGCAAAGGCACAGTGGGAGGGCGGGAACTCGCCGAGTACGGTCAGATTGAGTGATTCACCGCAGGAGACGGGGAGTGCGAGTACGAGTGCGAGCCGAAGTGGGAGTGGGTCGTCTTCGAGACCGGCGAGCACATTGGTCACGACCACGGCGCAAAGCACGGAGATCAATGGGACGCCAACCGTCAGCACCGCTGTAGTGACGAGCACAGTCGCAGCAGACGGAAGCAGTGGGAGCAGTGGCACCACCGGCAGCACCGGCAGCAGCAGTGGGTTGAGCAGGCGGGGCCAAAGCAGGCATCGGCGTCGGTGCCGCACTTGGCGTTCTCGCGATCGTCGCACTCATTGCTTGGCTGCTACTCAGACGGCGAAAAGAAAGACGGCGCATCAATGGTGGCGCAGCCATGCATTCCGGCAAATTAGAGAAGCAGCTACCATCAGCATTCTCCTCTCCCGAAACACCACATCCTACTATCGCAGATCGGGACGAACTGGATGGAGCGGCGGTTGGCGCTGAGCACAAAGACTTGACAACTGGCGGACGATACTATGGCAACGACGGCGCAGCGATAGCGGCGCCCGTTGGAAAGAGCGAGCTTGATGCGGTCGACAACGAGAAGAAGTCTCCTATCATACCATCGCCCAGGACAGATGAGTTCGGGCGGCCGAGATCAGAACTTCCGGCGGGCGCGGAGACGAGGATGTCGGCGGAGGGGAGAGCGAAAAATGATGGTGGATGGGTGGTGCCTGGGAGGGAGGGAAGAGTGTATGAGAAGGGAAGCATATGAGAAGGGAAGCATATGATGTGGGATTCGGCGAAAGAGGAGATCCATGTAGCAATAATCGTAATGAATACGACACCACGCTAGCACAAATCGGGCACCAACGCGTCTCGATGTACATAACGCGTTACACAGTTTTCCCTGCTCCATTATTAAACCAACCAAGCGCGCAGAAATGCCTTATGTGTCGCTGAAAGTGGAACGAGACGGGGAAGGAACAATCAAAGTCTCCCAACACGATCAAAAAGGCGACTTGGGTCAGGTGGAAGTCGTGCCCGCCGAAGGTGCCCAGGAGGGCAACAGGAAACGAAAGCTTGAGGAAGAGAGCCAGGGTGGTGCCAACGAATACGAGACTGTAGAAGTTGTTGTTAGAATACAGGTCAAACGACAGCAGCCTGCAACATCTGCCCCTCTCAAGTCGGACGCCAAACGTCAAAAAACTGAGCTGGATGCGAAGGCACCCGACCATCATGAGCAGAATGGTGCCCGCAGCACAGATGCGAACATCAATGCCAACATGCTGCTGGCGGGTGACTGGCGCGCAGTCTACGAGTCTTTCTATAAGAGGGTCAAGAAGAGGATTGACGATGCTGTGAAGCAATCATGTCCCAACGATCATAAGTATTTCAAGTCGTATGCGACGCCACTGTCCGAGGTGCTTCCCGATATCAATCGGCCATCAGAAGAAGCACGCACGCATCGTGGGACAAGAAGGGGCGCGTATGCTTTGGACAAAGCTGAAGAGGCCGTGGCAGCAATATTTACCCATGTTGTGACCAGCAAAGTCGGATGGCACACGCCGATCAAGTCTGCAACCAAGTTGGACATGTCGTCGTCAGGCCTGGATATCACTGGACTGAACAAGATCGATGCTGCTCTTGCAAAGCTAACGCGGACGCGGCTGTTGTGTTACCCGCTCACTTGTACTGAAGTCGACGGCGACCAAGTGGACATCAGGAAAGTTGTCGAATACTGGCACAACGATCTGGACCGTATCAACAATAGCCTTGTGGGGGTATTCACGGTCAGACCGCAGCTCTTTCCCCAAAGCTGGAAGGTCCTTCACGATGTGTGGGGTGTCCGAGACGAGCTTGATCCGTTGTGCTATAGATGCGAGGAGTTGGAAGAGGAGTTGAAGGATGCGAAGGAGGCCTTGAAGCAGGCCGATCGATCCAGCTATTCACGAGGACAATTGTACATGGATCTCTATCCGGACGATGACAGTGATGACTATTACTGACTGTTGTTCGCTCCAGCAGTGTATCACAGCGCACCACACCAGACATACCTCTTTGAGTGGCGTTAGTTGAGGGCGTTGGGGACTTGGGATTACCCGATTTTTGGTCCGAAGAGTTTGGGGGAGTCAGAATCTCTTGACGAAGTGGAAGTAGAATACAATTCCGAGCCTTCCGGGATTAGATGCAGTTTCTTCGTGCCTGCCCCTGAAGCCGCAAATAGTATACACCTTCCACACAACGTTTCCGACAGAGAATGAGAATCTCAGCTGGAAGGTCCAAATGACAGGGCAACCACAAACGAAAGTGCCTGCCTCACACGCCTCATGACTCCATCGCTCCTAAATCCCCACAACGCGTATATTATCACACTCGCAAACCTCAGCATCTAGGAAGGCGCCCAGACTGTATCCTCATCTGACCACCTGCCTAACAGGCGCCATATTGCCTGCGCGACTAGCGAGGATCCGTATATTATCGATGAAGCCATCCAACAACTTGTGATACCGGCCGTCATCTCCAGCCCTACACTCCTCCAAGGCAGGCAGAATAGAGTCATTCATGATCTCTATCTCAACTTCGTGATCTTTCAGCCCACCACCTCCGCCGTGCTCAATCTGCGTCAAGTCGATCTGATAGTCGTGATGCTTGTAGGAGATCCGATCCTTCATACGATCCGCTGCATTCCCGCCAGCATCAGGAGGCTTCAGATCCGAATCGGCACCGTCCCAGGGCGTCTCGAGACTTATCGAAATGCGATAATCGAAGGCGTCGTTCGGGTTGTAGATGTCCAGATCAGCGAGCCGGGTTTTGATGATTTGATCAGTCATCTCTCCACCGTCTTTCTTGAACGTCCTCCGGACTTTCATGGTGTGCTTGGGGTTGTGCCAGTGAGCCAGATGCTGCATATTGTCGACGCCCATTTTATTGAGCTCGTAGTACTCATCCCAGACCTGCGTGTGGGAGTACTCCATAGGATCGAGTTGGGCGCCTGCCTTGTTCTGTTTGTGCGTGTGAACGATGACGGCGTTCAGGTACTTGTTGAGGATCGCATGGCTATCCTGTAGGGCAAGAGATTAGTCTCGTGGCAACGCAAGACCCAGAAAATTGGCTTCGGAATAGAAAGGGATGACCCTGCTCTGCAACGAATCCTTGACAGCCGCGACTGTTACATTGGGAGAAGACTGCTTACCTCTGACATGACCGTCGCAAACTTCGTCTTCATCCCAGGCCAGCCATTCTTGTCGAAAACAGCTTCGCTGATGACCGGCAGGCGAATGCGTTCCTCGCGGCCGGAGCTGTGATCGATAATGACGCCGAGCTTAGCCTCAATCTCGAACACAGACCCTCGAGGAGGGGTGCGTGTTCCAATAATCTGATAGATCCATTCGCCGACAATAAACAACAGGTCGTTTCGTGGCTTGTCGATCAGATGAGAGAGTCCAGCATGTTGAGGTCGCGGTTGCGGTGGGCCATTCTGTGGCAATTGCGGCGCATCCTCTGGTTTGATAGGATTCTGACGCTCTTCGACAGCCTCTGTTCTTGGCTGCCTCTGTCGTGGATTGTTGCCTAGGACGAGTCGGCGCTTGCGCATACTCTGTGCCCAGATCGGCTTCTCTTCCCGTTTGATTCTCTTCTGTGGAGGCATGCTTGTAGGTGCCAGTGCTGAGATGACGCTAGCTGTACGCTTCTTGCTTGTTGGTTTGGATGACGGGGGACTCGGCTGAGGTGGAAGTGACGAATGCGCTGATTGTGGTGTTAACGCCAAAGGAGGTTTCGCACCTGGACTTGGACGAGACATTGGCTGAGGAGGAGGTCGGTGATCTTGCATTGGTGTTGGATGCTGGTGGGCGGAATTATGTATTATAGGAGGTGGCGCCTGTTGGTCCATCATTGCAGGTACGCCAGATGATGCTTGGCTTCTGACAGATGTAGCGGGTGACTGTTCGTAGGGATGGTTGGAGAAGGTAGATGAAGTGCGCTGTGGAGGCGGTCTAGGTATTGTCTTCGGGCTGACGCTCTCGTCGCTTCTTTCGCGCTCTTGTCTTAGCCGATCTTCATCGGAAGGAGTTCTTTGTATACTGCTTGCTCGTGAGGGCTCGTGGTGTAGTACAGCGGCCAGACTCGGATCTCTGCTGTGATTTGACCCCATTGACCCAATTGAGGCTCTCCTCAGGTGGTCATAGCCTTGTGACGGAGGTCGCTGAGAGTGTGCTGATGGACGCGCATAGTTCGTTGGAGGTGGCCCGAGTGGTGTTGAGGGTGTTTGTTGATGATGCGGTGGAGGCGGTGACATGTGGTATGTTTGTTGTTGTATGGGCCGACCGTTTGCATGAGAGTACTCTTCACGTGTCGGTGGTCTCTGGCTGATTGCGCTCTGTGGAGTGTATGCTTGAGCATACAATGGTGTTTGACCCGGATGATACTGCACACTGGGGGTTTGTGGATGTGCTCCCATGGGCGAGGGAGGGGGAACATGTCCTGGTGTGAGGACATGTTGTGGTGTCACGCTATCTCTTCGCGGCGTGTAGTGTGCGCCTCCAGGGCCAGGACTCTGTGCGTAGCCGCTGTGGGCGGAGTGCGCACCTGCGCTAGGAGTCGAAGCCGAATGTTGTTGCGGTGACTGAACAGCGAAGTAGCTGCCTGGCGCACGTCCGTCGGAGGGGTATGTCGATGTTGATAAGGGCGTCGGACGGCTAGGATCGGCCTCGTATGGTGTGTGGCTATCACAAGGGCGGTCTGACACTGATGAGGTCGATGTATGGATGCGAGGTGGTGGTGGTCGCTGTGCTGAATCGTTCAGCATCGACTTGAGATCCATGATGCGCCGGAGAGGCCTGCTGCCGCCATGCGATCAGACAGGCACTATGTGTCTTCTATCGTACATGTAGCATCACAATTGTACTTTCTGATAACACCGGATGAATGAACTCGCTGTGTGGACTGCAGAACAGGAAAAGGCATCAATTTTGTATATGGACTGTCCCAGTCTTGGTCTTTTTTCGCGTCTTCAACTCCCGGCTTTTTGTGGAGCTCAGCCCTGGGGCCTTCCATTCAGCCTCGCCATCGATGGATCGCATCCTACCGGTACGATATTATGTTTTGGTACGCCATCTTGTGCTTCTGGCTTTCATGTAAGGAGGACTACAGAGCTGATGTATGTCGACGCTGTGCTGAACCAAGTTCATTTGATACGAAGCGCTGTCTAAAGAAACGCCATCGCTCCCGAAGTATGTATCTCGTTCTGCTATCATGTCATGCGTGAAGCTCCCAATGCAGCTTTCCGTCCCAAGATCATCACGCTATGCGTACAAAATTACACGTCCAAAGGCGTCATTGCAAACGTCATACGGTTCACACCGTTCTGAGGTGCCAGAAGTGGCACCGTCGGCATTAGCGACCCGGTCGTGACTTCCGAAGGCAGAACAATTGATCCCAGGCTGGAATTTCGTCGAAGGGGCCCAGGCTTTATATCTTGCTGATCACGATCATCCGAGCCTGACGACTCGTCGATGCTTGTCCGTGGGCTCCTGTTACCCACGCTACTCGACCGCAGAAAATGTGGCGGGCTGGCAGCGCGACGTTCTTGCCTCATCGAGCGAGCGCGATGCTGTCGGCCATCCTCCGGCAAGTGAATCAGCGCATTTAAGTCACGAATTGCTCTTTCTAATGCGAGCTCGATCTCCACGGTCGTCCTGATGCGGGCCATCTTGGGCCAAGTCGCTCGCTCTCCGTCACGAGTGGCCTGTCGCATGAATTCTGCTGTTGGATTGGCGACCATGGTGCAAGCTTCCTTCCACGTGATGTCCGGCAGGATAGTGATGTCGCCCGTGTACTGCTGCGTCAATATCGCACCCCACCTCCACAAGGCTGGAGGAAACCCACACTCAGCTGCAACATGAGCGACACGAACGAGGCTTGCGTGTACGCGACTCTTGACCTTTTGCGACATGCTTGGATGTAGCTCGGCCGAGGTAGGCTGTATGCCCTCGAATCTTTCCTCCGGGCTCAGAAATGCTCGAACGTGAGGATTGGTCTGCGCGACAATCGACCATGATACGTTGAATTGGCGCTGGAGCTGTTGCATCGGTATATCGTGGTCGAGCGACCCATCAACATAATCAAATGGCTTCTGAGCTCTGGCATTCTCCATCCATACCCGCTGTTGTTTGGTCGCCGGATCCATTTCATAAACAGACGCCCCGGGAAACACTCCATATGGCACTGCGCAGCTAGCGCATACTGCAGACCAGATTAAGACATTGGGAGCAGTTTTGTAGTTCAGGATGACCGGTTCTGCGGTTGAAGCCTTCGATAAAGCGATGTTGAGCACCCGATGTGTCTTGTTGTGTGCCTTGATGAAAGTCATGTCTCCGAGCCATTCCTTCATTACTCGCTCCAGATAAGTAGGCTCGAACCAGCTTCCAGTTCTCCAATATGTCCCCAGCCTTCGGTAGCACCAGGCAATTGTGCCATTTTGGGAAGCGGGCGCATCAAAGACGCTAAGGTTCGAGTCCGGGAAATGCAGCAACGCATCCTTCATCTCTGACGGCGTTCGAGTTGCAACAACAGCGGCCACAATGCTTCCAGCACTGCAGCCTGAGATGATATCAGGGAGCAACTTAGCCTCAGACAGTCCTTTGGCGACGCGATATGCTTCATCCCCAACAATGCACCCCCAGAGAAGCTCAATGCTGTGCGGCCGTAGTTATCCAGGGCTTTTTGCATGGTATTCCTACAGATGACAATGTCTGCCTTGGTAACACTTGGCAGCGACATCCGTTCGACAAGTTCCTCAATAGTGAGCTTCACGGTTGAGTTGTACACGTCGATCAAACTTTTGGTGCCGAACCAAGAATGTTTGTACAGTCTAATGTTGTCCATTCCACCTAGGTGCCGGTCCAAGGCTGATTGTAGCGCTGAGTATATCTGCTGTACATTTTGCGATCGGACGGCATCTTGGAGCGCCGAAATGTGTTTCCGGATGACATCTGGTTGGTAGTCCGGTTCGATGCTTTCGTGGGTCGCCTTCCAGTCGTCATGACCCTGATACAGGTCCAGTTTCTTGGAGGTTTCGACATCTTCTTTGAGTGTCTCCGCCTTAGCTTTGTTCTCAAGCAATTGTCTCTCTATCTCTTTCAGGCGTCGCCTGCTTCCCTTGCCGTATTTGGCTTCGTAGTACGCCTGCTCGAGAAGCGTCTGGCATTTTTCATCCAGACGACGTGCAGCTGCGCTCACGCAGTCCACAGGCGATGACAGAATCGAAAGACCGAGAAGGTTTATGCGAGCGGCTAGGAGCGCAATCCGTACCGAGTAGTTGTCGTACTCCAGGAGATCGTCGGCGCAGAAATTCCATCTTCTCATAAGCGGCATGTTGAGGCGTCGCTAGTGAGTGCCATCGAAACGGCGTTGGAAAGCGTGTCTGTCTCGGACACCAAGTTGTTGGTCAATAGTCAGGGAGGGCAAGGCCGCCGTCGCCAGGCTACCAAGCGAAAAGGAAGTCGCACAAGCTGAGCCGCGCAAGCGCATGCATGAATCACTGAAATGACAGACAAAAGTTGAAGGGTGAAAGTGTTCAAGGCCCGACCTGTCAGGTGGACATCAAATGGCACAGACCTTGCTTGGTAGTGGCTCGGGGTACCTCCAGTCTCACATTACCTGAGTAGGCAGTTTCGGGGGCAGAATCCGGGGGAACTGACTCGCCACACGACTTAAGAAGAGGGCAACAAAGGAAACGCGCATCGAGTTATTTGCCATCCGGTGATGTACTGGCTGAAGAAAGTCGGCTGATGTCGCAAGGTACCTGAATTCATGTGGGAAAAGAAGTATGTCAGTCATCTGCCCGGCTAAATTTGATGCATTCAAATTTGGGGTTTGCACATGTCAGTTTTGCTCGCTTCATCGCTCCTTCAGCGATGGTCATGCGAGCAGAGGCGCACCTTCCTCGCTTCGATGCCGAACTCGTCAGGTAGGCAGCAGCGGGCTTGCTCGTCGCTGCCATTCGACTTTTGTTTACCCGGGATGGGAAAGCAGGAATCAGCTGGCCTCAACTGCGCCGCGTCTGTGCATGATCGAGATGATATCACATGCTTGGAGAAACTGCCGTGTTACCTCAAGCTTCGCTTCGCTTCTGCTGCAAAGTCCCCCCAACATGCAGTCTCGAGATCTATAAGCCGCTCTCGTGATCACAATTCGATTTTACCCTTCTCGCAATTGGCCATTGCCTCTCAGTATCGTAAATCAAATTCCGCTATTGCTCCAACCTCCCTTCAGCCGTGCCAGAAGGAGTTATTTGTTTGTACTTTGTTTCCAGCCAAGTTCAGCACCACGGAACTGATTCCCGTCCATTGACAGTGGCGTCAGTCAGATATGTACACTCCTCGATGATGCGTGCAACCGCGACAACTCTATCGTTTCCAGCTGGTGAGGCATCTAGGAGCGCACTGGAGCCATTATGCTGCAGAGAGAGGTGCGCTGATCATCACAACATCTGAGAGCTGGACAGGTCCCTGAGGAAGAAGTAGATCTCTTGCAACAGGGAGTATTGGACTGACGTGAACCTGAACGGCATTCGGCAGATAATATGTTTTGCTGTGTCCGTAGTGGCTGGTGAGGTCGCTAGTGGGACACCCGCCGCATGTACTAACATTGAAAGCGTTCAATGGTCGAGAACGCAGTCACGAACCATCAGCTATGCTCGGCAGCCAGGCTTGCACGACCCGAAGAAGGCCATCCATTGCCCCCTTTTCGATCCAGAAGTGTCCCGCACCTTCAATCTGAGACCAAGACACCTGGCGATTCCTGGCACTCAACCCCTCAGCCCACTTCCGTGCTTTCCTTTCCGCCACGAAGACATCCTTGGTACCAAAGACGATACACGTCTTGCGATCAACCAACTTGTCTTCCTGCCGCAGCGTGTCTTTGATTCGCACCCGCCCTGTCTTCCGATCTCTCAGCTCGAATGTCGGCCTCGAGAACATTGTCGTCGCCAAAGACACAGATCCAAGAAGAGGAGAGATCAGCAGGTAGACTGTCTGTACCTTCACCAGCTCCTCTCCCGCAGGAGAATGAAGTTCACGCGGACTCTCAACAGTGGGCGTATGTAACTCAGCCGGCGAGTCACGCTCACTAGAAGACACCTGCGCTCTGATCCTCTGCCCCACTCTATCCAGACTCCTTCTGACCTTCTCACCATCAAAGCTGACTCTGCTAGAATCACGACTGATCCTTCTGCTTGCAACTTCAGATGAGTCATAACCGCCCATCGCAACGTTGCGCTTGGGCGAAGAATCAATGTCTGACACTCTGAGACTGGGGCGGCCTCTACCGATCGAGCCACTTCTGGACATGGCGAAGTAAGCTGATAGATCACGTCCTGCCTTGTCCGCTCGACTGCGTATCTCGGCTTCGGTGGAACCCGGTCCTGCTTGCGCGAAGATGCTATTGACGATCTCGTAGCTTGGGAGGCAGGAAGCGATCAGTGAGCCGTATGAGTAGCCGCCGAGTATCAGTGTTGGTGCCCTAGCAGGTGGCTGCTGTGCTGGTGCTGAAGTAGGCGTGGCACTGTCGGCTGCATACGTTGCTGACACCACAGCATTGGCCAGACAGAGCATGAAGCCGTAGAGACTGACATAGTCCGCTAGCTCTGCACGGCCAGTCCACGACACTCGTCCGGGAGAGTCGCCAGCACCCCTGCAGGGAGATCAGTACATGATCGTCTGCCTTAGCCAGCCAACGTGAACGTACCGAAAGTTAAACGTGCCTAGCACAATCCCTTGCTGTAGAAGCATTGATCCAACCGAAGCAACCACGCCATCGTCGAAGCTGCCGCCAAGAGAAGCGTATGGATGCGCTACGATAGCGAAGGTCCAGCCGAAGAACTGTTTGCCCTGCTGGTCATTCTCGCCGTGTCGGTAGCGAGGATAGTAGATTCGACAGTCGAGCTCAAGATCATCGTGGAGACTCGGGACTGTGAACGTTGAGGTCGGTTGCGGCAGCGTCATGGCGTCGCGCTTTCAGATGCTATGTTGGCCATGATGACCATGCAGCGAACCAGATTGTAACGACAGCAACTGATCGAGAAATACACTGAGCCGGTCTGTAGCACACACAAGGTCAAAAGGGTGCTGCCTGAGGTTTGTTTACTGTTGGCGTCTCGAGTTCAAGACGAGGTCGAGTCAGAATTTCAAGAAGGGTAGCTCTCCTGCCTAATCGGGACTTCTATCAGTCGCGCGGCTAAGTTTGTAACGGGACGGGGGGAATTGCCTCTTCTGGATAGCTTTCGAGGCCGGAGTGACGGCGGCGTCATGACAATACCATGCCCGATTAGACTGTACGCATGGGTTGCGCCTGCCGCCCACCTTCGTAAGAATAGCTTTGAAAGCTGAGTACTGAGCATCTGATCACTTGGGCATCATCATCAGAAGAGCCCAAGGAGGCAGCACCTCTTCGTTTCTGCCTTCTGTTGGCCAAAGGGAAGAGTACTTTTTCAAGACTATAACTACACAGCCTGATGTGTCCTTCGCCATCATTACGCCCATTTACCCAACACGCTCATGACAACCATCCCACTGACCAAACTAAACATACCCACTCCGGTCTTCCCCAGCCCAGCATCAACCATATCACCGCCTTCCACCACCCAGTCTCTCGCCCACATGTCCACCAATCCCACCCAAATCAAGATCCCAGCACTTACGGCATCCAACACACCTATCACCCACAGCGTCGTAGGATCATTACCATTGAACTGATTCAGCACACCAATCCCAATCGCCATTCCCAACGGCGTGATAAGCGCGAACGCAAGGCCCATTACAAAATTCGTCGGCCAGAGAGAGGTGTTTCGAATGAGCGCGATACGAGCACCGAGTGCGAGACCTTCGAACATCTGGTGGAAGATGATGACTACCAGTAGCGTGCGGTAAAAGCTGTCGCCCGCCACAACGAGGGTGACGCCGATTAGGATGCTGTGGAAGAGCACGCCGGCTTCCATGACCATGACAGACAGTTTTGAATTTGGGTTTGTTGGGGAGAAGGGGTTGCCATGATGGTGGCCGAGGGCAGCTAGACCTCCATTGCTGGCAGGCGATCCCTCTTTGGGAACTCGTGATGCGTGGGTGGCCAGTTCCCCGGATCCGTCACTTGTTGATGACGGCAGGTCAGGAGTGTCTTTGCTAGCCCTGGCCACAACGATGCGATGACCTGCGTACTCGATGAGGAATGAGACGAAAATGCCTGACATGACGAAGGCCGAAGTTGTAGCCTCGTACTCGACGGTGCCGATGCAGGGGTTTGTGAACATTAGATAGGCGTGTGTATAGAGCTGGAAAAGTATCAGCTTTGTCAATGTGCAGAGGATGAGGCAGTCTCACATGAACGAAGGCTGTCGATATGATCACACCAGTACCAAACTGCTTAATTGAGGTAAAGACAACGCTGTTGATGGCTCTGAAAGGCAGCTTATCCAATACCATCGGCAGAAAGACCGCGATGGAGCTCGTCGCCAGCATCGCAAATAGCGTCCCAATTCGCAAGGGTATGTCGTAGTCCCTTTGTCGCACCGCACAATTAGCACTGGCGGCCAGTGACTCGCTCTCTGACTCTCCAGCGCCTACACAGTGTCTGGAAATAGTCAGCTTTGGGGACCAGGCGCGCTGCATGAACGTACTCTACACCTGCATGGAAATGACAGTCCAGACCCTCGCTCTGTCCCTCTTCCTCATGTTCGTGGCCATCATCATGAGCTTCCTCTGCCACCACAAGGACGTCATTGCCATCAGGATCTACACAGAACTGCTCACTGTCGTGCGAATGGCAATCAGTATATTGTGCCGGCGTCTCGCCTGTCGCAGTGGCCTCCAGAGAAATCTGCACCTCATGACCTTCCCCATTAATGCAGAATGTATCGCTCCCATGTGCATGACAGGAGGTCACTGCTGTCGTTTGGGCTGCAATGGTAGTTGAAGCTGAAGCTGGCGCCGGTGCTGAAGTTATGGACGCCGTGTTGACAGCTAACGCAGTCTCCTCGCCATCTGGTCCGTAGCAGTACGCAGTGGTCCCATGATCGTGGCAGTCGCTGTAGGTCGTTCCGGAGACGGTAGTTTGCTGTGAGAAGACAAGCGGGGCGAGGGCAGTCACTACGACTATCCGTGTTTGTAGCATGATGTGAGTTGATGGACGTTGCTTCCTGTATTGCTAGACAGACAGCAACTGGTGATGACCGGCAATCAAGTAAATTTGATCGGATTGTGCCTTCCCAATGATCGAGCGTCAAGTCATCTTGAGAAGCGGCTCGAATTCATAAGCACAATGGATGGAATACAACGTTGAGGGTCTGTTCTGTCAAACTCTGGTCGGCCAAGACATCCGCTCAAGGTGCTCATTGTGTATGTGGGAGGAGACGGCACATCATCAATCGACTCGGTGCATTGATTGAGCGGAAAGTGGGAGCAAGTCCAGAGCGTGGAAGGCGCGGTTGACCATATTGGAGCGCGCCAAGGTGAGGAAGTGAGGACCTTGATGCCAAGCCTCGCTCACCCATGAGCCGATCCATGCAAGTGGACGCTAGCAAGTGCTTGTACTACAACGGACAAGCCATTGTCGTGCCAGATTATGCACTCACAAAGAAGGCCTGAATTCATACCTCCAAGTATGTGTGGGCATTGCGTGTGGGCGTCGGGTCTTGTTACTGATATTCCATCATGATGAATCGCTTATTCCAGACGTGTTGTCAGGTCCTGGCGGTTGGTGCCAACGTGGGTATCGGCAGCCCATGTTCAATGTGGGTGATCCACTCGGGAACGAAGGCTGCCAAGTGTGGTGTCGTCGAAGGTGCTTCAAGCAAGGCAAGAACGTACACCGCACGGTGATCCCATCGGGGAGTGGTGAGCAGAATTTTCTTCTCGTTCTTGGGGAACCGACGAGGTCAATGATGCCATGGCCCAATGCCCAGACATCGATTGAGGACCATGAGTTGATGCTGCTGAGGGCCGTGCTTGTGACGTCTGTGCGGTTGCACTCACGAGGCTCTGGGCCAGGTCCGATGCAGATTTCGACTGTAGGTCAGGTCGGCAGCGTCCGGTCAGCCCCAGAGGTATAAGAAGCCCAAACGGAAGTTATTCACTCGTGAGTCCCTGATCGTAGACGTGATCTAGCTTTCATAAGCACATCAAACGGACCTCACCAAAATGGCGAGCTTCATCAGCAAGACCCTGGTCCTAGCAGCCACCGCCGCGCTCGCTGCACCTGCCGCTTACCTGGATACCCGCCAAGCATATGAAGCTGGCGACGAGCAAGCTCCCTGGAATGCCGGAGCTGTGACCGAATACACAATCCATGAGTCATGTAACGCCACTCAAGCCAGCCAGATTGCCGATGGCCTGCGCGAGGCCGTCGAGTTGGCCGAGCACGCAAAGGCGCATATCCTTCGATGGGGCAACGAGAGCGAGATCTATCGCAAGTATTTTGGCAACGACCCACCGTACACGGCCATCGGCAGCTTTGACATCATCGGCAATGGCGACAAGGCTGGCGTGATTTTCCGCTGTGACAATCCTGATGGGAACTGCGAGCAGGAAGGTCAGCAATCTCATCCCATATTAACAGTGCACTCATACTGACGTCTGTGAAAGGCTGGGCCGGACATTGGCGCGGCTCCAACGCGACCCAAGAGACCGTCATCTGCGACCTGTCCTACATCAACCGTCGCTGGCTGAGCTCCATGTGCGGTTTGGGCTACAACGTCGCCAACAGCCCCACAAACACATTCTGGGCATCGGATCTGCTGCACAGATTATACCACATTGTAAGCACCCACCAGTACTCACAAGTTCGAAACTAACCACGCTCACAGCCCTCAATCGGCAACGGCTACATTGAGCACTTCCTCGAAACCTACCAAGAGATCCTCGACAACGCCGGGCAGCCGGGCTCAAACGCCACTCACGATAGCGACGTCCTGCAGTACTTCGCCCTCGAAGCGTATGCATACGACGTCGCTGTCCCCGGAGAAGGGTGCTCTGGTGAAGTCGAGGAGGCCTCGACGACGGCCGAAGCCGTTGCAGCTTCTACTACCGTTTCGGCAAGCTCAACGTTGCCGCAGACCGTGACTGGTACAATGAGTGATTCGGATACGCATGAGGGCGGTGAGCTGCATTGCGATGATTAGATGGCGGTTCAGTCCCGATCAATGGACATGCATCTCGTAGTGCATCAGGAGTCCAAGAGGGCGATGAAACTCACCTGTAGGTCGATAAATCCAAGTTGGAGAGCAATTGAAACTCGAATCCGACTCCGTGCACGTGACCAGCTGGGGGCGAGTCCGCTGTCGGCAGTCGTGCTCACAATGAAACAGTTGTGCTCAACAGTGATTTCTCGGTCTTGATCCTACATCTATCGCAAATGCCTTGATCTTGAGAATGTTGCCCGACGGAAATATCCCTTGACAATCGCAATAACACCGTGCTTGCAAATGCCTCCCTTGAATGAATGCGCCAATAATGTCAACACTTTTCGCAGGACTCTAGAGCCTGGCTCAAACCTCCCCACAAACAGCCAAACCCATCAACTCCCCCTAGCCTCCGCCAGAATCTTGTAACTACTCGTCTTGATGCTTTTCGGCTTTAACCTCGGATACAGACTCGTCACACTCCTTTCCACTCCTCCGCCATGCGGATGAGGTTGGGGAGGGTTCAGGAGACCGTGGATAGTATAGCCATGGCCGGCGTGATGGCCCGCTGGACCGATCAAACCCCCCGCGCCAGGTGCATTCACTGCGGCATTGATCATTGGTCCATACTGGGACCCAGGCTCGCCTTCTTCATCCGCTGTCGTGGAGGACTCCTCGGTGACTTTGCCATTCGAGCCGCCGCCCATCTGGATGCCGTCTCCTAGCTCCACGAACTGTGCGCTTGGCCGACACTCGCCCAGGCGCTCGACGATCTCCTCTGACCAGATGCCCCAGACATAGTCGCCGTCGAGGATCCAGTACGGATTCAGATGTGTGCACTCGGAGTCTAGGTCAATGTAGCGAATGCGGACGTATTTCAGGTTTACTGCCCATTTGAGGGCTTCAACCGTGCCGAGAACAAGGCGCTCGAACGCTTTGATGAAGACCAGATTCGAGATGCCTGCGGTGTCGGCCATGAACCCGCCAATCTCTTCCTCGAGCTCTTCGCCAGTGACCGTATCGACTGTGGTAACGCGCCGGCGGCAGCAGGACTTCACAACGATCTCGAGGCTTTGTAAGCGGCAATCCGTGCGTGACTTGTTGAGGCGCTTGAGAGCATGCATCCACAGGCATTCGCAGACTTTACCAGTGAAGCTAAGAGATTCGAGCTGTGGGATCAGGTCGCCAAGACGCTCGCATAGGTGCAGCTGCTTAGCGTCGCCGATTTTAGAGGACGAGCTGAGCGTGCTTGTGTCTTTACTGTACATACCGTCGAGGCAGATATTGACACTGCGCCATTGGTGCGGCGGGCTGAGAAGGATGTAATTGATCACGAGTTCGGCCTCAAGACGAGGTTTGGCGTAGCTGCAATGCCACTCTTCGACATTGGGAAGCGCTTCCTGAAGGTGCGGCCAATGGTTGTAGTCGCGCATGACGTTCCAGGCACCACGTATCGCGAAGGTGCGGATCGAGGGGAGTTTTGTCAGGGTCTTTGCTGGCACAAGAGTGTTTTTGAAATGCCGTATCATATTCGACTTCTTACAGTGACCGCCTTCGAGTGTAAACACCTTTGCGAACGCGAAGAATACAGCGATGTGGTCAAAAATCTCCTCGAGTGTGGCCGTGGTTGACGAGACTGGTCTGACGAATAGACCGAAGCGATCCACGGCCATTTCCTCTGGTTGGTGGGCCAAAGGGTAGTTGAAATGCCGTGGCGCTCCTGTGCGCAGTACAGCGAAAGACTCGTCATTTGCTAGGCTACCTTTGTCGCCCCATACTGGCACCCAGACCTCGATGTGACGGACGTACTTCCTGAGATCCCAATTGTCTGAAAAGAAGTCCTCGCATTCCTTGAGCCCGCCTCGGGTCCCTTTGATCTTGATGTGGCGGTAGATGCGCTCCTGCACAAGCGTACGAAACTCCCGGGAGACTAATGCCAGGTCTGACACCGCTTTGCGACGTGGATGACGCATGAGACTGGACACGTTCTTGCCACGTAGCGAGTGGGTGTTGCGAGACACCGAATGCATATCGCCGAAGATGTAGTCGATGACTTTGCCCTGTACTTCCGTCGGCAAGTCTTCTAGCGATAGTCTCTGGGTGCTTTCTGAAGAGCTACTTTCTTCCACATCCTGCGTCGGCTCGTCTTGCAACGGCGCAGGCATTTTACCTGCTCGTATCGTCAGGTGACCCATACTGCGCCCTTCGCTTTGTCGCACATCAGATAGCGACGTCGATGAGGGCATCTTCGACGAGGTGTTGTGAGGGTGATTGGGAATGCGACATCGCTTCGTGCGGCCTTAGATATCGGCGTACACAGAGTCGGCTGGTCTAAGTAGCCGGACTGGTCGTGATCGACCAGTGTTTCCTGGATCTGCATCTTTGCCGCGTGTTGGGGTTACTTGGTGTGCTTGAAGGACGTCCTCATCTGTCGAACGAAGCTCTTGCTTGTCAAACTGGAATGAATGAGGATGTGTAGCTAAGTCTAAGAGCTGACAGTGCACTGGTCAGGCCAGGCTAGCGGCCGGTGAGTACTCTGATGGTCGGGTTGGACAGGGCGCGGCTGAGAGAGTCTGTTTGCTCCGGCGCAAATGCCGAACGTCAATGCCTAATAAGATAGAAGAAGGTACGGAAGCGAGTGAAGGCTTAAGACAATGCTGCAGCGTAAAGAAAGGAAGCCTCTAATCAGCAAACCAGGCAGTCGTGTGATTGAAGAGGTGAGGTAACGGAAGCACATTGGGCAGTGCCTCCTTCAGCTGCCAGTCATGAAAAGAGGAGTTCGTTCTCTATCGCGCGCTTCCGGAATGCCAAGCAAGAATGCCAATTTACAGAGTTGAGACACTTAATCTGTGCTGGTCCTGTTTCATCACCCTGCGGCCTATGGCTGCGCTCTGGGCTCTAGATATATCTGTGTCTGGTCACTCTAGAGGTCACAGTTCTACAACTTTCGACAAGTCACGTCCAACGCCTATCATTCTTTTTCAAAAGCACGATAGGCATGGGCCAAGTCGGCAAGTCTATCTCATCGTTACCAGCGCATAGAGACAAGGACCGCCATATTCTAATGGCTACTTGCTTCATCCATCAGATGGTCTCAAGTCTATTCATTAGTCAAAGTGCCCAACACTGGGTTGGCCAGACTTGAGGGCATCAAGGTGATGGAGCCAGAGGCAAATGCCTCTTGAGCCGAGCAAGTAAATCTTAGCGTCGAGTGAGCCATCTCAAACATTGAGTCGAGGAGCTGCCCGTCAAGAAGAGCCACGCGGAGAATCTGTGCTGTCTTGATTGTCCGACGTGAGGGCTCAAGCAGCTTCGACTGAGCCGAAGGTGGCGCAGAAATCTGGCACCAGCGTTTGGGTCAGATTGAACTTCATCTTTCGACTGTATGAGATCAACCAGACTGACGAGGCCAGAGAGTGCACAGGTATGAAGAGGAAGATCATGGCTAACAGAACAGTCAACGTACATCGCGTCAGCCCAACGCTGCGGAATGATCGCCGTTGTGGCGTCTATGTAGGAGCCGGATCATCTCGATAGAAGATCCCAGATCATCAAGGCCTCACCTCTGACAACATCATGTTGTGTGATCCTCACTTTGATCATGGCCAAGTTTGATGTGTTGAGACAGACACGATGGTGGTGCACACACTTGTTACGTCTCGACTTGAGCAAACAATGCCATTGCTGCATCTCAAATCTCAAGCGACCTGCCAGCAATGGCATATAACTCAGGCGCAGAAGCGAGGCGAAAACCTACCTCTGCCTGCCGGAACCTGTTTCGAGATCACTCCGATCAGCACGACTTCTTCGCAAATGGCCCTTCCCGAGCGTGCCTGTTGATGTATTGTTTGATCTCACAGCGTACTCCGTAGGAAACGAAGTGGTCTCACCAGGTGTATTTACAACCTGGCCCGCCCTCGAGTCGTTTCCATCCTCGACAATTGCAATCTGAACTGCCGACACGGATGATGAGCTGTCAACAGTGAGACCCGCCCCATTCGTGACAGCGGGCACCTGCATCTCAATGTGGCACGATCGGAGGTCTAACAACCCAACTCAGACACCATCGCGGCGGAAGTCTCCTGGATTGCCGTAGGGCAGTGCCCACTTCTCCATTGATGTCGTGAGGTGATGCAGCGATTGTTTGTTGATCTGCAAGAAGACCGCGTTGGGCGCTGTGCAGCCTTCTGCAGGTGATCAACGTTGATCTCAGGCTGCGGTCAGGTATCGTTGAGAACATCGCTTTCAAGTCCGGCTGAGACCAGAAGTACGAAAGCTGGAGGAGGAGCGCTAAGTCTCTTTGGCAGAGCTCTAGAATCAATTTCAATGTTTTGCGGCGCATGCGGTCAACACAGCTGTTTCTCGTTAGGGAAACGGTGGAAGGCTCCTGCCCATTTGGGCTCGTATTCTGCGTGTTGGGCGCGAGGCTTGCACCGTGCAGGGATTGGCTGTGCCCTGCAGCATCGCTTAGGACCTGGCTGTATGTCAAACGCCAGAAGTGAGTTCGCATAGCGGAGTTACCTCGCAGTCCTCTTACCTGTGATCCAAGTTCACTTGCAGAAGACGTGCCAGCCATGGCTAGCAAGAAGGCAGACCTACCGTAGAAATCGTACATGTGGGCGACGGCGCACTGCATGGATGTAGCAATGACCGAGAAGCTGAAGTACTCTTCGAGAGGTATCCTGATGTCGAAGGGCAGTATGAAATACAGAAAGCCATACCCACTGATTAGCGACTTCCATCGAAGTACATATACCCGCTATTTCCAGTCGATACTCTGATAGACTGGGATCCCGCGCAGCATCATCACAGAATCGGGGATGTCGTATATGATTATGCAAGACCGTTGAAAAACAATCGGCCCTTCTGCGCTGCGGAAGGCGAGTTCTCCTATTGCTGCAAGTATACGGCAGTGGTCATGGCGTCCGCAGAGATTTGGATGACATGAAGGCCTGAAGACCGTCCCCAGTTGGATCAAGGATTGCCCTGGCGAGGTCAGAAATACAATGTATCTTGTTTTTTTAGGGCTGACCAGCAAGATCTTGGACTCCTGGAACCTGACGTACGAAGCAGTCTGCTGGTGTGACCATGGACAACTCCAGCGGCCACAGATAATACTCAGTAAATGAGCATTGTCAACAGTCCGGGAGGGCAAGCGGCTCGTTTCGATGCAAGAAATCGGCCCAGACTCAATTCTCGATGAAGACGACGTTGTGTCGCACCACGTGGGTTAGATCTGGCTCGACGTCGTGGCGCCTGCAGCCACCGGACGACGCCATAAATCAAGTTACACCCTGCAGAAGTCGCCTCTCCCTCTCATGTAGTTCTGTGCTGATGAGAGCCCTACCGGCATATCGGCTTGTTAATCGAGATGAAACCTTAGCATGTCTTGGATATCGATCGCGAGGTAGCCTGTGGACAGCGAATCTCGGTACCAGAGTTTGTATACACCTATTTTTGAGCACAAAGGCATCAGAGCCGTTCGGTAAGGAGGCATGCGAGTCAGTGCTTTGCCGGGGGTCCGCACATGAAGCCGTTACACAATCGTGTACTGCAGTTGTGCAAAAATCATGTAAAGTGCATCAGCTTTGTGTGGATTTGGTTCTGCTTAGCGATATTGAGGGTAATACAAAGTCTTGGGCAAGCGAGGTGGGTAGCAGCAGGAAGTACGCCCATATGCAAGATACCTGACAGCTGTCAATCGACGAGCGGCTGTACTCCGTACGAGTGGGTTCATGCTGCACAGAGCCGGGGGAGGATTCAGTGATATTGGTGCGACGCCTGCTGGCACAACAGCTCGACCAGCCCTGGTCGTCGCCTATTCCTTACGTGGGTTTGCGATGGCGTCGCTGTCTCGCCAAGTCTGGACATTGTAGATGGAAGCACTGACGATGGGGGACGCGATCGACCGTCAAAACGGTGCTTAGGTAACCTTCAGGCACTGTTCTAGCTCACGGAGTATACCACAGGAGATTTCCGCTGCTAACTTATGGAAGGACAAGCAAAGCCGAAGACAACGAATCTATGCTCTTTACTGGATGGACCAGAGAGGGAGCAGGTCGATTGAGTTCACAAATTTGGTTGGAGGTAACTCCATCTGCAAGCCTCAAATCGGTGCCACATCTGGCGAGTGGCAACACGGTCCATCTCGCTGCTGATCCACAGTCCACGTGTAGCAACGATCTTCGAAATATTAGACCTGGCTTCGAACACTTGACAGCTCGTGTTTGAGCAACGTCTCGATCTTGGTTGATTACTGTGTGATGGCGCTGCTTGAGAAGCCGACGATGCGCCACAAGAAAGTCCCGACTCGCTCTGGTTTCTTCTCTTAAGGACACCCCGTGATGACCGGAGAAGTCGGGGCAGGTAGGAGCTATACCTGGTAATCGACAGGAGGTTGGTGGCTTGGAGACGAGTCGTTGTTGGAGGTGCCCACCCGCCAACGGCTTGCCGGGCCTTGCTTATCTGGGCATAAATCTGTTGCCTTCAGGGTCCTATTGGGCATTGTTTCATCGACGATCAAATCTGCTCGGGATTATCGTAGATCTTACTCGAGGCATATCGTCGTGATGAGCCGAAATGCGAGCCGTCTGGCTGGCTGGAGTACGTTTGGGCAGCATTCGATTCACAACTCTGGTACCGAATAATGTGAGATGTGGCAATATACTGCGCATCATCTATGTAGCGAGATACTCGTATGAGCAGTGATTCGCAAAGGTGGGCTTGACGAGGGTCTCTCACGAGGGGGTTTTGCTACTGGAAATGTCGCTATACATTGTTACTTCGTCGGTCGGTCATCACGTACCGCGACCATCCGCACATGGATACCGTGCTTGAAGAGATCTCCTCGCCGACCTTGATAGGACCCTCAAAGCGACATTTATTCATAAAAATGGCAGCAGTTCCAGTTGTCGTTGATGAGCGTTACATCAAATCTGGCTTACGGTTATCTCACAGTCGCATCACGATCCCTCATCCTTACCTGCTTTAGCGCCGTCGAGGAATCAGCCCCCTCCCCGGCCCAGGCATGACGATCGCTCTGTGCCAGCCCTGACTTGGACGTCGCTTAGAGACAATTGTGGGCGTGTGCGCACCTCTGACCACCCCCGTCCAGTGCCTGAAAGGAACGCCTGCAACGGTCGCTTGGTCCCCCGTGAGTGGTCGTAAAGGGCATGGAGCGTACACTAGCAGTAAAAATACCAAATGGCAGCGATTTGGGTACCAAACTAGAAGCCGCCCAGCTCAGAATAAGCTCGCAGAACTGCAGCATCGCCTTTAGCGCGATCGAGATCAATCGTTCTCGCTTTCATAGTTCCCTCCCATTCCACTTTGGCTGCGTGCTGTTTCCTTTCTGCTGGGTTGCTCCCGTTAACACTTTCCCTTCCTTCTCCTTCTCAGATCTGCCGTGCATACCATCATACTTACCTATTCTCTTGCTCGTGCCTTTGGACCTCATCAGTATTGTCGTAATCTCGTGAGCTGTTATATCACCAGCAGCGCCGCGGGATCGATCAGTCAACTTAGGGATCACTGTCGTCGCGGGCGCCGGTCGTACCTTGCCAAAATACACGATCAGTCCCCCCTCCACACGGACCCCCCGTCAATGACAACCTGCGCCACCAATACTTACACCCTTCTCGAACACTGGTCGACTCGACAACAGACACTTGCTCATATTGACAAATAGACTGCGATTGCTATCGCACGTCCATTGTTACTCGACGTTACAACTGGCCTTGCTATAAATTCGGATATCCGCCGCCGCCTTGTGACAGGCCTGCCTCAAATCGGCTCGGTAACCTACAGCCACCACGAACTCGAATAGATCTATCCACATGGTTGACAGCTCGATCTGTGGAGTCAAAGCAACAGTATAGCGGGAGTTCGCTCAACAACCATGGCTACTGTCGACAGCGTAGACAGGCAAAGGTAGTCTTCACCACTTGGTACCAACAGCCCATTGTTCTAACCGGTAATAGGCCTGCGCTACCTTCTATCAGTCACCTTGATCTAGACAAGATGAAAGTAGAACGTCCAGAGGGTCGGTTCCCTTCCATCAACGCCATCAATACATCTGCACCGCCCTTGGGCAGCCCTAATGCCCCGTATACGGGACCGCCGCCACCTTACTCATACCACAATGGTTCCAATGGCCCGAGTCAACCAGGTTATATATCGCCACCCGAGTCAACAACTAGAAATCCCAGAGACGAAGTCGACAAGGTCTCGCCTCGAAAGTCGTTACCCTCAATCCACGAGGCATTACGTGAGAACAAAGATCTTCCACCACTAAGCACTGCCACAAATTCTGGGATGCCGTCGACACCGTCCACAACTATCTCACAGCACTTTCCAGAAGGAGCAAGAGGACCATCTAACCCGTTCTCTGCCCCGTCGTTCCGAGATACTTCTTTTTCAAGTCAGCTGCCACCATCGACGTTGCCTGCCGAAAGTCGTCCCAAGGACGTGTATTCAACGCAACCTCCGCCACAGTCACCCCGAAGCAACCTCCTGCCGTCGTTCCACTCAGGTCCTACCATTGGAGCCAGCTCGACGTTCTCGTCTCGAACAGACTTGCCTCAAGCACCACCTCGATCTCCTGACATGGGACAGTCACGTCATAGTTTCCAAAGTCTTCCTAGGCCACCACCATCAGCGTACAGAGACGAGCCGTACCAATTCTCTGGCTCGCCTGCTACCCACGAAACACGTGTACTTTTTGATAGGGCGCCCGACGCCACATACGAGAACACCATCAAGAGACATATCGGTGTGCATGAGGCAGCCAAAGAGTTGAGCGAGGTGAGACAATCTCTGGATCACGCCGTTGGCATCATAACTAACAGTCGATAGATACGAGAAATTTCTGCGCGAAATGCAGACATTGCTCATAACTGGACGCAGCGATACCATCAAGGCAATCGTTCTGGCTTCTTTCAGGATTCTCTACCTGACCTCAGCGAGATCGACGATATGATACGTCACTCGCAAATGATGACAGAGAACCTGGCCCGAATGCGAGAAGTGGTGATACAGCAGCAGAATGCGTTGTCCGATCACCGTGCTCGTTTTGCGCGACCGCCTGGTGAAGAGGAATATCACAACAGGCAAGAAAGCTACGATCCTAATGGTTATGGATTGGACGCGAAGAAACGGAGAGGCGTAAGTCTACTTTCGGAGCATGATATGATCAAATGCTAATGAAGTACAGAAAGCTGCACCTCCTGGCCGTTGCCATAGCTGCAATCGTGCTGAAACCCCGGAATGGCGACGTGGTCCGGACGGTGCTCGGACGCTATGCAATGCTTGCGGCTTGCATTATGCCAAATTGACCCGGAAAGTGGGCGCCGGGAATGCTTCGAAGATACGCGGCAGTGATATTCGACCGAAAAATCATGATCTGGGACATCCCTAGATCTGTTACCAAAATCTTTACGAACGATTGGCCCTACGACGACTGGCTGTTATGCCACGCACATGTACATAACTACCTATCATGGTAGATTCGACGACATCTAAAGCGATCTCATCAATTCAACCTCAGCATTTACTGCGCATTTCTGGTGTACTGGTTTGGAGAACGGACATCTGTACAAAGTTCGACATGGAACGGCCTCCAAAAGCAATCGTTTTCTCCCGTGTTGGAATCTGAGGGCATCACAATGGACGGGAAAAGCCTTGTCAGAGGCACGTCACTAAGGCCTTCAGCAGCGGCCTTCTCAGAGGCGCTGTTTTCGATGATGGGGATGCCATATCAGTGGCGAGAGGCATGGCGTTTTGTTACTGGGTCACGATGATACCCGGCCGGGACCGCGGCCTTATTAGAGGTTTTGCTGCCCCATACTCGATTTCGGGCATTTTGATGAGTGGGTTGGGATCGATGAGCATATTGAGATGGATACGATGAGGATTTTCACGGAGTATCGCTATACTGCGCAATGTGAGGAGGATGGTTTCTACACACGTGGATCTGAACGCAGCTGCCTGAGAGCATTCCAACATAGGCATGGGCATCGGCAGTCTACGATCGCTAACTAGCTACACACGTCTGTAGGATCACCATTCATCACTTTCCATGCGATTTTCGCATCGTCACTGACTCACTGTTCTTTCGTACTTGAGGCGAGCTGGTTCCGAACCTGCAATGCTCCCCGTTATGGGCTTTGAGTAGATTCTGACAGTGGCACCACCGTGATCGCTTCCGCCCCCCTGTCACGTAACTTTGCTGCCCAAATGCACGATCGATGTATCGCTGATCGGATGTGGCCAAAGTTAAACTTTCTACCTCGTGCATTGGTCCGGAGATCGAGCCAAAAAGTATCCGAACGATATCCGAGTCCGATGCGTAACCTTGTTTGTGAATGGTGCCTTTTTGCCGCGGCGGGAGAACTGCGGTTGGGCAGCAAGGGTCTGGATTCTAGACCTGCTTGGTGGTCACTTCAATGTCGATAATGTGCGGCAAGAGATTGTGGAAGCTCAAGGAGTACAGGTGCTTCTTCAGGTGGGTCAAGAGCACTAATAGCAGTACGTGTCCGTTATGTCGGAACGCGTTTACTTAATGCATAGGTAGAGGTAGACATGACGCGCCTTTGAGGCGGAGGGTCATGAGTTGATCGTCAGAACAAGACCTCGGGATGCTTTGACCGTCAAAAGTGAATGCGCTGAGCGTCTCATCTACATGACTTGATCGTGAGATGAGTCTTCCTTGCATTTTGAGGGTGTCAAATTTTCGATGGTACAGCGCTCTCCCTGGCTGGAAAATTTACGAAGTTTTGAAACGTTCTTTGTGTCTTCTGGCTGTAAAGTCTTAAAGTCAGCGAGATGATTTTGTGTCTTCAGCGCGCTCCCTGGCGACAAATGCACGCTGAGGTTTGTGAGAACTGCTTGGAGACAATGACCGACCGGCATGTTACAGCAGTCATAGTACCTGCTGAGCTGCCACAGGTCTGGTCACAGGCATGCCGATAATACTGCCCGTATTTCGACTATCTACAGCTCGCTTACACCAGATGCTCCACACATATCCTAGAGAAGCTCGTACACCTTCCTCGTTTCACTGCACCATAGATCCTGCACAAGCCTCTCTTGCGACCAAAGTCCATGGGCAGATCGCGGACCGCCTAGTCAGCAGTAGAGTGACACCCTCTCAAAAGCGCCCAGCGAAATTATCAGCCCACTCGAAGCCTGCCCACGCCCAATCTTCCCATTTGATCATGTCAACCCACACGTCTTGACTAACTTTCAGCTCCGGAGTCACTGCATGTCCAACGACCTGGTCCGCGAACAGGCGCATCTGGAGAGGCATCTGGACGTCGTTGTAGGTGCTCTCGACAATTTCCGTGTCGATCATGTCGGTCTTCATGCTCTTCGCGCGCGTGACGAGGAGCATCTGCTCTTCCTCGTTGAAATCTTGCGAGAGTAGAGACACTGTCTCAGCGCGGGTAAGGAAGCTCTGAAGCGAGCTTGCCTTCACGCCATGTTGTCTCTCGAGCCATCGACGGTACCGGTAGGAGTCGATGAGCAACTGATCTACATCGCGTTTGGACCGGTTAAGTAGGCAAGTGACCATCGCGCAGGCGGCGGAAGGGGTCCGCGACCATGACTTCGAGTGCGACGGCGTTGTTGTTGTCGAGAATTGATGGCTTGCGCCTCTTGATGGGGTTCTTGGGGACTGTCGTGGGGCCGTCCCAAGGGGGGAAATCGTTTTGCTCTTTGTTGTTGATCGGCGCTGCTTCATCAAAGTCGTCGTCTCGATTCGCTCCAGCCGGCTTCCTGGGGACGGGCTGGGCCCACACGGGAATCTTGTCGGTTTCTTTGTCGCCAGTATCTTCTTCGTTGTCGTTGGGAAGATTACCACGCCGAGCTCCATTGATTATTGCAAGCGCATTCGTGGCATTGGCATTCCTTCGCACAAGCCTTGGGTCTTGAGTCTTGGCTTCTTGCTGTTGTTCCGGCACTCGCAGATCTGGTCCTTCTGGACGAATCTCCTTCTGGACGACAGCTGGACCAGGGAGCGCTTCGTGCTGCATTCTTGTGTCCCCAAGGCTCATCGAGCGCAGCGGCAAGCATTCCCGCAGATGGCGGTCACGGTCAGCCTGCCTGCATGCCTTGGTACAATATCCGACTGCTTTGCATCGCCAGCAATACTGTAACATTGCACGCCTGCTACAGCGTTCACAGCCGCCATACACCTCTTCTTCTGGCTCAGGCCGCCATCGATCTGGGATTGGGCCTCGTGGCCGGCTCGGAGGCATGGGCGGCACTTGACCAGTCTGTTGTGGTGGTGATCTGCGACGAACGTCATCATTGTCGTTGTCTGCTCGGAGACGCTTGTTGCCTGTGATTGCGTCGTATTCTCGGGGATGCTTATTGCCAGCCACTGGATGGGCTGGTCGGGGATCAGCCTCGGGTCGCAAGAAGTTCTGATCTGCTCGTGCCGTGTCGTCCCCATGAGCATTCCAACACTTGTCTGATTTCTCGTGAGCTTATACGCCGATATAATCTGGCCAGGGGCTACTTACCTCCCCACTTACACGAACCATGTGTCTGGAAGAACCTGCAAATGCTTCGCTTACCCATGATGGAAAATCAGCAACCGCTTTCGTGCGTGACCCGGACGTCAGGTGTTAGCAGGCATGCTGGCGCGTGGTCTGACGTGGTTGAAGTCTTGCGTAGCAGGGACAAATGATAGCAGCTTTGCAAAAACATTTCTAGATGTTTAGGTAAGTACCCCACAAGGGGAACTTCATGTGAAAGGGAGAAAATGCCAGCTCCTTCTTACCGTTACCTCCATATTTGCGCATGGCATTGTCGCTGAGATTATTGTCGGTTGGAGATTTCTTTCTCTGCAAAGCTGCAGCGGCAATATAACGGCAGCACATCACGCTAGCAGCAAACCAGGGGTACCAGTTGAAATCCAGACCTTGTGTAACCTGTTCCTTTGATATTAATAGTCTCCTTAAGCCGATCTTCTCCTCGCTGCAAGAATTCGACACATGTGTCTCTGCGAACCACGAGTTCCCCACTCTTCGCAGCCCTGCTGTTCTCCAGACTTCGGATGACTGGAATGTCGGACGGTATACGAGCAGAGTTGAGGGGAAGGCGACCCACAAAAGGTCGATGCGCAGCAGGACTGGTTGCGTTGAGCTGAACGAGATCGAGGAATGCTCGTCCTGTCGATGGACATCGCTCGTCGATCGTTGAGGTCCATTCTCGTGGACAGGGGACGCAATGGTAGCCTGGAACGGCATCGTTTCGGCATAGCAGGGCCAATGATCTAACGATACAAGCTACGGGATAGCGATGAGTCACACGCCCTTCGCTTTTAATGCAGCCGCATGGCCCCAATACGAGTACTTGTTGTCTCGATACCTATCCCCATATCACATCTGCAGGTTGCCTCGTTTCGCCTGACGCCTGGTGTTGACGTCAGTGTCCCAAGGTTGGAGTTGGGGAAAGCGCGATCTCTAGCGTCCTACTCCCACATTTCCGTTGACTCCACGATCAACCTGAACACGGCGAGCAGTCGTCGTTGCTACTGGATCTTATCATCGCTGTGACCTGACGGACCTTGACGCGAGTTCCGTTAGCAGCAGTCTGACCTACGTATTCGGGCTATTTTCTCGATTGGTGGCACTGCTCCCATCGATCGTTATCGCTGCTCGGCTCCCATCCCCGCACAGACGGACAGGGCCGGTATCGCGCTCGCATATTGTGACATATCGCGCTTGCGTTTCTGTGAGCATTTAGTCTCTTCTGATCATACAAAACTCGCCGAAGTTCATGCTTCGATCAATTTTCCAGACCACTCCAATCTCAGCCAGCCGTGCTCGCCTTACATCTATCTCGAAGCAACTCTCACAGGGAAGCAGGATGCTTCTCACGACAGCAACAAGTACCAAACCACGGGTCATTCTTGGTTTGATGACCTTCGGCCCACCCGGTACAGAGTCTAAAGGAGCCCGTGTCACGTCTATCGATGATTACAACTCCTGCCTCGACTATCTGCAGAAGAGTGGGTACAACGAAGTCGACACCGCTCGCGTCTACGTTTCCGGCGACCAGGAAGCCTTCACCAGAGAGGCGAAATGGAAGGAACGTGGCCTTCAGATCGCAACGAAATGTATGCCACACAAGCCCGGCATGCACAAGGCCGATGCTCTCAAGGCTACACTGAATAAGTCACTGAGGGAGCTGGGAACTGATTCAGTTGATATCTTCTACCTCCACGCTCCGGATCGAAGCGTGCCATTCGAGGAGACCTTGGAGGCATGCAATGATCTCTTCAAGGAAGGCAAGTTCCAGTATCTCGGACTATCGAACTATGCTGCGTGGGAAGTCGCCGAGATATGGAATATCGCGAAAGAGCGTGGTTGGGTTAAGCCGACCATCTACCAAGCCATGGTAAGTATTCGGTTGCGAAACTCAGATGAGCGAGTCCTGTCGAGCCACGTTTTGGGAAGATGACTGAATTCAGTTCCGATCCCCAATCTGTACATATGCTGACTCTCTCACACAGTATAATGCAATCACGCGTGACATTGAAACAGAGTTGGTACCATGTTGTCGGAAGTACGGCCTCGACATTGTCGTCTACAATCCTGTAAGTTTGCTAGCAAGACTTTTTCACTCTACTGACAGATTGAGCTTGCGGGTGGCATCTTCAGCGGCAAGTACAAGTCTGCCGAGTTACCAAAAGAGGGTCGATACTCCGCGACCAACGAAAGCCAGGGCAAAATGTATCGAGACCGGTATTTCAAGGACGCTACTTTTGATGCCCTCCGCCTGATCGAGCCCGTTGTGCAGAAGCATAACCTCACACTCCTGGAAACGGCGCTTCGGTGGGTCAAGCATCATTCTAAGCTCAAGATCAATGGAGTCCGCGAGGGCGGTAACGACGGCATCATTATTGGTGTGAGCAGTCTAAAGCAGCTCGAAGGCAACATCACGGATCTGGAGAAAGGCCCACTACCTGACGAGGTGGTTGAAGTTCTGGACAACGCCTGGAACAATATCACGAAAGCATCTACGCCATTGTACTGGCGCTAACCTTGCTCCAGCTCCACAATGAGTTCCGCAGCAGGCCAGAATCTGTCAACTCCCTCTTTGCTCCACTACAGGATCGCGACACAGTACAGCACAGAGTAAAGAATATTTGTTGGAATTGTTCGTCGCTGCCTCTTTGCATATAAGCCTTGTGTTCCTTTACCATGATTTTCATTCTGTATTTGCTTTCTATCTCATCCTAGCCAGCCCAAGGTTCGATCCTGCTTCAATTTCACAACAGTCTACTTCGGACTCACCACATTATGAGACAAAGCTTCCAATGAGCGGGACTCACAGACTGCTGACTCAGAATTGGAGGAACTGGGTTCCTTTTCGTACGGACAGCTCAGTCTTCACCATGCTGGACGTATTGGTACACTTGGCTGGCAGTATTAATTGTCATTGCGGATACTCGACTTACTTCTTTGCCACTTTGACTTGGTCTGTGGAGCCTTTGAAACCCTTTGCGCTGCTGGAAAACTGCTCCGGGAAGATCTCTGGGTTTTCCGGTATGTCCTTACCGTCTGGCTTTGACATCTCACCAGTTGCGATCCCTTCGACCAGGTTGTTACCAATTTTCCATGTTTGGGTTTCTGCATAGACATGAGCAGTGAACCACTTCTGGTTTTCCATCTGGCGGAACTCGAGCGTCGCATGCCACGGAGCTGGCTCATACGTCTGGACCATGATAGTTCTCTTACCTAGAGAAGGGCCGGCTTGGGTTCCTGCAGCGCGCTTGTTCTGGACCAGGGGTACATTGGCGTTGGGGGAACGTTTGCTCTGGAGGAGGGGTGCAATGGTGTTGCCGGAGCGTTTGTTCTGGATCAGAGCTGGAGATGGTGCTGCCGCCGCTAGTGGTTTCCTTACAGACCTCGTGTTATGAATGTCAGCACGAACACGGACAACATCGCAGTCGTATTCATAGGCAATCTCTTGGATGGTCTTCTTGAGAAATGCTTGGTTCTGGTCACGGACTGCGCAATGGTACTCAGTCTTGACAGTCCGCTCGTTGTCGGAGATGTCGAGCTTGACGGCTTTCTTCCAGGGAGAGGGCATTGTGTCGGTTGATACTATTAGAGGAGAGTTTGTGGTGTCAGTTGGTAATGGTAGAGATGTGGCTGTGAAACTTGACGTGTCGCGCGGGGTTTCGAGGAACGTTGACTGACGGGACACAACACAGAGGCACGAACCTCACCGTGTACTTAAAGACCTTCCCTAGGGCATGCATCCTGCCCTGCTGCCTACAAACAATGAATCACGGCACTGGAAATGGCACAGCCAAAGAAAGCAATAAGGCAACTGACAAGGACTGAGGCTCAGCACGGCACATAGAGGCACGGAGCCGATGCTGCCCCGTGCTTTTGTGTCACTTGCTAAAGGTCACTTTCTGTCACATACCAAGAAGGCAAACAAGGGCAGACTGCCTTCTTGCCTTGTTCAACAAACAAAGACGGTTGCCCTTTCTGCAAACATTTAAGCTCATTTCACCTACAAAGACAATCAACACCTAGATAAATCCGGGACCATCTGTCAGAAGCCTGGTTTGTGTCAGCACTTCAAAATTGGCAGGAGCTGGTATTTGAACTCGTCCAATACCGCATCGCACCATACTACTAAATCTTTAAGGCTGCAATCAACAATGTCGGCAGACTCAAATTCCGCTGCTGCTGCGGCACCTCCAAGTGCGCCGGACTGTGCTGCTGAGGATGAGCCTGAGATCGCAAACAATGACGGCACAATCGAAGAGTACTACTCGAAATATGTCCCTGCTCCTGACGGCATCGAGGACATGGAGGTGTACACTCCAGGAGGTTTTCATCCCATCCATCTCAATGACACATTTCAGAATCGCTACACAGTCATTCACAAATTGGGCGCTGGAGGCTCTGCAACAGTGTGGCTAGCGAGAGATAGTCAGGATGAACGCTACGTGGCTCTCAAGGTCGTATCTGCGTCAATGTCCGGGTTCGCTGAAACTGAAGTCGCCACTCACAAGAGACTGCGAGCCAGCATTGGCGAATCTGCTCTTGGCGGATTCGTAGTCCCCCTTCTGGACGATTTCTGGATCGAGGGTCCCAACGGTCGACATATGTGTCTGGTGCAGAGCGTGTGCGGTCCAAGTCTGAATACTTTCCGACAGTTTCGGCTCATGAAGATTCGGCCGGACCTAATCAGCGGACTATGTATGCAGCTTGTTCAGAGTCTCGCACAGCTACATGAGGCCGGCTTGGTCTATGGCGACCTCAGCGGAGGCAATGTCGCTTTTGCTCTGAAGAACCTGGATCACCTCTCGGTTGAAGAAGTCCTCGAAACTCTCGGGCAGCCAGAAAGCTATCCTGTAAGGGTCGCACGGAAGTCGGATACCGACTGGGCGGCAAAGCATGGCCCTCACACAGTATATGACAGCATCGAGTTCACCGTGGGTGCCAGCCTGGATCTGCTCATACCTGAGGTAAAGTTGATCGACCTAGGAGGCTCCTACTTCCTACCACGAGAATTCGAGGAGGATGGAGCAGCATTCACTGAGAGCTACGCAGATCCATCTAGCCTTGGTTTCAACGATGCCGCCGACCAAGCCAGCGATATTTGGGCCCTGGCTTGCATTCTCTTCGAGATGCGATCTGCCACGATTTTTGTCGAGAACATTGGTGCTGGCGTTTTCTCGCAAGTGCTCGATCGGATAGGCCCCCTTCCCAAAGAATGGCAAGACGATGCTGAGAATGCTGAGGTTGCCGCACATGTCGAGGAGTCCAACCCAGTAAACGCGAGCAGGGAAGCCTCAGCACAACCCCAGTCAAAACGCCAATCATTCATGCTCGCAGTCAACAAAATCACAGGTTTCACCAAGCTCAAGCAGCTCTGCAACGCTGTCTTGTCATGGGTCGTGAGGAAACCCTCCGCGAAAACAAAAGAACAGACTCGGTCCGACATGGTCTACATGTGGGACAGTCGAGGTGACGACAAAACCCTCCATGGCCAAATCAGGAACATCGGAAACTGGCATCCGTGGCATAAACTCACCATCGAGCAGCGTCGCGCACGTCTCGAGGACTACAATGCCGTCCTGGAGGACAAGGAAGACACCAGTGACAAGGCGCTCGATCGCGGTCCCCCGGGACATGCGGCTTTGTCAGATGAAGAAGCGGCTGATTTCGAGGATCTTTTGCGGAAGATGTTCACTTGGGAACGCTCGGAGAGAATCACCATCGGAAACGTCCTCAAGCACCCCTGGTTCAACAAGAAGTATCTTGTTGAGGAGAGTGGTCCTTGGCTACAGTATTACTACTATGGTTGCGGTTATAGTGCCTTTGGTGTGAGATACATCTAGGCGGCACGACAGGATCAGCGTGCTGTCCACAGAGGTCACATCCACGCTTTGTGAAGAGGGCATCAGTACATCGCGCTTGGCTATATAGCAGACTCGACTGATGCACTACCCACATATATTACCTAGCAATGACAACAAGTCCTAAAAGTAATTTCGTTCCTTTTCCACCGCCTCATTTCTCGTTGAATGCTGACCCTCCTTTTCGAGTCTTATTGCATAGACGTGTCGCAAGAAGTCCTGGAGGCCGAGGACGTCGGCAATCTCCCACTCCGGGCGTGTATCACCACTAGCCACAGGCAGGAGAGTAGTCGTCCGTTAGCTAGATGATGCTATGTCAGCTTCCTCAGGAAAGCACCTTCCTCGGATGGACATGAACTTGCGCAACCTAGTATAAGGTCGTTCTGAAGTGCCCGATCTTTGTTACAACCAGCTGCAGGCGGTCGCTGGCTTTTCATCAGCAGAATGTCCATGCCAGAGAGGGTCAAAGGGAGAGCTCGAGTCGCGATCACACATGGGGCAAGCGGTGGGGCTTGGAGCTTCTTACATTGACTTCAATTCCATTCGCATTGATGCCGCGAGTTTGTTCTGTCATTCATATCTTTGAAAGAGCAATCTTTCTTGTTGGCCGGGATCACAGAGACTCCTCAACCGCTGCGGCCAGATAGAGAAGCAATGTCTGAGCATTGGCGGCGAGCTGCAAAGTCACACGACGCCGAGTCAGGTTTGTTTGCTCTTTCCAACTTCAAGTTCTTTCCTCCGGTCGCATCAGGTCTTCGTTGCCATGATCTCTGCGCTTCATATTGCCGGAGGCATGTAAGAACGGCGGACAGAACCTCAGCTTGCACAGGCTCAGGTAGGACTGCGATCCGCAACCCCACACTTTCCGATCGTACCCTGCAGATCCCCTGCCTGCGAGACGGTATCTCTTGTGTACACAATCATTATGCTGCCAGCATTCCTCAAGGACTCTTACAAGCAGTACAAGAACGATACGACACGCTTCACGACATGGCTCGTCAATGCTGCCGTGCCCTATGCTTCAAGCCAGCAGGTCTGGCATCTGCGCCTCCAGCAAAGAAGAAATCCCGTAAGCCGTTCTCGTGGGAGTCCTTCGTATCAATACTTGACTAGCACCTGACTGTCCTAGGAACACAAGAAGTATCGGTCTCGAACAGTGAGCTGATCAAAGCTGCCCTCCCGCTCGCAGATTCACAGCACAAAGCGCCGTCGGCCTTACTCACCGTCCTCCGCAGGGCCATCTCCTTGAGAAAGAATGTAACAGCCTGGTGCCTGGGTCGACGGGACAAGATCTCCAATAGTCGACATGCACATTTTGTCGAAGTACTCGAGCAAATTGTCGAGACTTTAGCATGGGAGACTGCAAATGTGGTCAGCAAGAAGATCAGCAATGAATCGCAAGACAAAGTTCGTGAGCAGAACAAGGAGGACGATGCACAGAGCTGGATCAACCGATTCGCCGCACTCGAAGTTGAAGATTTGGAAGACGTTGAATCCAGATCAGACAGCCTTCAGATCATCAAAGCTGTGCCAGTGGAAGAAGAGGACTCTGACGATGATGGAGGTGCCCTGTCTGATATGTTCTTCAGACTCTACTGCTTGTTCTCTGATCTCCACAACTGGAGATTGTTCCTCCAGGAAGTGGTATGTCCAAACTCCTGTTTGATATTGAGCACACATACTGACATATTCTGCAGTGGAGAGAGTACGCTGATAGGTCTCTGGACCTGATGACTGCTTCGGTTGTAACGGACACCGCACTGCAGCTGTCGCGAGACTTGATTGATAGTGCCCTCAAAGATCTGCCAGACGAGCTTCGGCTCCGCTTGGTAGATGGCGAAGCGATGTCGGTCCTAATGTTCAACACTGCTTGCATGTTCCGTGACGGCGACATGACACCCTCCACTCATTTGGGCCTTACATACAACGTCGCCATGGATGATGTCGCAGAAAAATGCTACATCAAGCCTTTGATTCTGCTGCAGTCTATGATCCCGGTCTTGCAGGCTGGTAACGTCCCAGTGTACAAGCCAGGATACTTTGGCACATATGACCCAAAGACAGATCGCGAGAAGAAATCTGTCCCCGAAAAATTCCAGGAAGACAAGATAATCCTGTTGGAGATCTTCCCTGAGTTCTGCCAGCTCGAAGCGCGAGTTGGCTTGGACTTACCAGTACGAGATGAGATCACGGCGGGCTTCATCGACTTTCTCAAAAAGAAGAAGGTCAGTTTGTGGCTAAGCTTTGCCGTTCAGATACTTCTCGATGCTCACCACGCCTGCCGCCGCAGCCGAACCGGAGCCTTTGGCGACTTGCGGATGTGCAGCTTGCGGATCACTCGAACAATAGACGACTACTTCAAACTCGCACAGACACACCCTCAGCCTGGATTCTGGCCAAAGACTGCCGATGAGGGAATTAAGGACATACGCACCTGCATTGAAACCATGATCGAGAAAGACATTCTCCGAGAAATCACGAAAAGTGCTCACATCACAGTTGGACGATCATCATATTCACCTCCGTCGCACCTCTTGTTCTCCCGCCACCCAGTATTTTGTGGTCTGTTCATGTTGCAGCTCAATCTGAGAATGCAGACATGTGGACAAGCACTGATCAATCAATGGTACGATGTCCAGCAGTTGGCTTTTCTGGCCAATCTCGTCCAGCAACAGGCCCCAGGACCGAAACTACACTGGCCAGATATTGACGTTTTCGTGCGCATCCATGGAGAGAAGCAGATCTTCATTGGTGATCGACCGAAGGACGCAGCTCAGTCCCTGAATCGTTTGGAGCTTGCAACGGGCATTTCATCCGCTACTCGCTTGGCAAAAGACACAAGAGGTGGCCGGAAGGAGTGGCATCGTCCATATGGCAAGGATGCTAGACTGCTGAAGCCCACCAACAAAGCGGTCAATCTGTTCAGAGCACGCTACGAAACTTACCAACACTCCAATGCGGAACTTCGTGTGGTACAGCACTCCGACATCAGCAAGTACTTGGACCTACTGTCTCAGGAGTCCACCGAGTCTGGAAAAGCCGTGGCCATAAATGGAAGTGGCCCGCTACCGGTAGACAAACTTACCAACAGTCGGTGGCGAAAAGAACAGCATATCAGTGGGTTGCAATTGCTGTCATTGATGAAACGCCAGCTGTACGAAGAGGAGCCGATTCTCACCTTCGACTACTTTGGCATGCACAAGCGATGTATCGAAGTATTGCGCCTGATCAAAGCCAAAGAACACCACAAATTTGTCCAGTATTTCACAGACAGATACATGCCCAACGATTCCTTCATAGCCAATCTGGTGCTACTGATCCTGCACGTGGCGCGCGGCTCCGGGAACACTGCTAAGAGCATGAATTTCGCCACAGACGAAAAAGCCGTAAGTCGGATGGTGGTGAGCTGCGGCGAAGTCATGGCTGAGTACCTGAAAACAAACGGAGAGACCGCGTGCAAGCAGCTGAAGACTTTTTGTGTCAATAAGAGGGCTGTCGAAAGATTGATCGCGGACGACAAGGCAGCTGTTGACAGCCAAGTATCAGAGAAGGGTGTCTATACCATGCTCAGCTTGGAAGATGTCATTGGGCCGTTGGCTATTGAATCGATCAGGACGGGGATTCCGATCGGATAAGAAGGAGCTGCAGCCATTTCGTGAACGTCGGCGTTCGGAGGCTAATGGCAGGACTACAGTGATGATTGATCGCCTACGAGTCTTGCATAGACGATCACTTCGTCACTGCCTGGACCTTTCACAGATCTGACGACCTCATCAAACCCCCCTGACGATTACCCTCATGCATGAGATGTCCAGCACCCTCAATCGCCACCATTACTTTCCTCGCGGCGCCGCATACCCTGGACAACTCGGCAGCCGTCCATCTAGCATTCGCACTACTTTGCCCTCCATCCATCACCATCGTCAGCACCTGGATCGCCCGCGCGTCCCCCTGTATGTACTCCGGTAACGTGCTGTACCGGAAGAAATGGCTCAACACTTCAGTTGTCCTCGATCTGCCTCCTTCTCTCTGGATCGACGTCCATCTTTGGCCAAAACTTTGGTCTGACTACGCCGCTGCTGAAGTGTTCTGAGGCGTGGTCATAGTCATCTGCTTTGGCATATATTCATAGGAAAGATTACCGCCACAACACCCGCGATCACGTCGTGTATCATAATCTTTGGCTCTGATTCTCTTTAGTCAGAGGAGAGGCATGCTTGAACAAATCCTGCAGACTTCTCGGAATTCACGATCGTGGAAATGCTATGACTGAACTAGAAATGCTCATCGTCACCATGAAGCCCTTCGACAAGCTCAAGGGGTTGTGGATGCCGGCCGCAAGCGCCAGGGTCAATATGTCGAGCCAATGCTGATCCAGGTAGTTGGGAACATGGCACGATCGACACAACAGTGAGAGTGGCAGACGACGGTAGCACAAAGAAGAATGAAACGCGTAGCTTTTGAGCAAGGTCTCAGCGCGCCGAAAGAGTGGTGAAGGATTCCTCGCGGAGTTCTCGGAGGTTGGGGAACGTTTGGAGAAGCAATGAAGCACCTCGGCTTTCCTTCGACCAAGCATAGAACCAATATTAAGTACAATCGGATACAACCTCTTTGTTGAAACATTCGCGTGAGATGAAGGTGAGGATATAGCGCTGGCCAGTGACATTCACTTCAGCTGGCGATGGACGAATCGGATTCAGAGCTAGAGGCTGTATGGCAGCCGGTAGCGGGCGTGAAGCCACCACTACAAGCCTACCGGGAACACGTCAACGCCAAGTTCAAGCAGAATTTCGAAACAACTCAGCAACTATATCGATGGACTGTTGACAGACCGCATGACTTCTGGATCGACCTGTACCAGTACATAGGGTTGATGCCGGCTTTGCCACCAAGCATCACCAAAGCTTACGATGACACCCTGCCAATGAGCCAGAATCCTCAATTCTTTCCGAAGCAAGAAATCAACTATGCTGAAAATATTCTGTTCGCCAACCCGAACCCACAGGCTCCGGCACTGATCGAGGTGAGGGAGGATCAGGATGTCTACAATGACAAGCCCGTTACGCTTTCCTGGGCAGAATTTCGCGAAGCGGTCAGGAAGACCGCGAGTGCTCTCAGACGAAGCGGAATTAAACAGGGCGATCGTGTCGCAGCGCTGGTGGCAACATCGAACTGGGCGGTGACTCTATTCCAGGCAACTGCCTCGATTGGCGCGATCTTCACCATCATCTCGCCCGAGATAGGGACTTCGGGCTGTGTGTCACGGCTAGCGCAAGTCTCGCCAAGCATCCTATTTGTCGATAGTCATCTTCTGTATAAGGGTAAGCTGACATCGATAGCTCGCAAGGTCGAAGATGTAGTCGGCCAGTTAGACGAACGGCCGCAGGTGTTCACCGTGCCGGTTGCGCCTGCACCCTCGAAGTACGACACGATTGATGCGTTTCTCTCACGATCGGACCTGGGTGATGGCCTGACATTCAAACGGGTACCTTTCAACTTCCCTCTGCTTATATGCTACTCTTCCGGAACTACTGGACAGCCGAAGTGCATTGTGCACCATCATGGATGCATACTGAATTACAAGAAAATTTCTGCCGTCCAAAGCGGGCTTAGAGTTGGTGATGTTGTCGCCCAGTCGGTGAATACCTCTTGGGTCGTCTTCTATGTCATGTGCAGCCATCTGGCTGTGGGCGCCACTTTACTCCTATACAACGGAAGCCCGCTCTATCCTGATGCAAAGCAATTCCTGCGGATTGCGGACAAGTATCGCGCAACGTACATGGGTCTTTCGCCCCGGCTCCTGCTCGAGATGGAGATTACAGGCAGTAACCCCAAGAGAGAGTTCGATCTGTCTCAACTCCGCCTGGTGTATACGACCGGCTCACCATTATCGGTGGAGCAGTACCGGTGGTTCAAGCGCTCTTTCCACAATACGACACAGATCTGCAATGCTGCAGGCGGTACAGACACAGCGACATCTATTTTGGCGCTTGATCCTTGCGCGCCTGTCTATGCTGGACAGATTCAGGTACCAGCTTTGGGAATGGCAGTGGATATACTGGATGACAACGGCCAATCGATAGCTCACACAGGGGAGCCAGGTGAGATGGTCATTCGAAAACCGTTTCCAAGCATGCCGTGTTTCTTCTGGGGCGATAAGGACAATAGTGTGTATCGCGCAGCCTACTTCGAGCGTTTCGACGAAGTGGATGTATGGGCACAGCACGATTGGGTCAGCAGGCATCCCAAAACAGGAGGCTACGTGATGCACGGCCGGAGCGATAGCGTGTTGAACCCATCAGGCGTGCGATTTGGTTCAGGTGAGATATATGCCATCGTCGAGACGTCGCCATTTACGGATTATATCCACAACACTCTCTGTGTCGGTCGACGTCGACCACGTGACGTCGATGAGCAGGTCTTCCTTTTACTGCAAATGCGACCTGGTGTGCAGCTCACAGCAGAACTCAAGACGCAAATCAAAGATTCCATTCGAGCAGGACTGAGCCGCGGCATGTGCCTGCATTCGTCGTGGCAGTCCCGGACATACCAGTGACAATCAATGGCAAGAAAGTCGAGACAGCGGTCAAGAAGATCATCAGTGGTAAAGACGTTGAACCGAGTGCGACCATACAAAACCCTGACAGTCTCGTCTGGTTCAGAAAGCTGAGGCATCTTGAAAGAGAGCCTCGGGAGACGAAGCTCTAGTCGCAACCAAATCACTAGGGTTTTGCCACCACAGGAGCTGCACTACTAGCACCGACGACCGCCATGCTCCTCGACCAGAGTCTTCCAATCAAAGTCGGTGGGCCGCCATCCCAGCTCCTTGAGGCGATCGGCCCTGACTCTCGAGCTACTTCCCAGGATATAGCCGAAGAGTGGTCCATGCTCCTTGACAACATCCTCCTCGCTTAGGAATCGGACGTCGGCGCTTTCGATCTTGCCTTCCTTGACCAGTCTCTCCCCGACAGCTTTCGCCCGATCCATGAGGCTAAGCTCAAAGGCCTCCACAAAGTAATAGCCCCGATCGCCAAACTCCAATCTGTCACTTCCGTCAAGTACAAGGTCGACGACGAATAAGATTGCTTTACCGAGATCCCTAACTGACACGGTACTCCAGACGTTCTCTCCTTTGCCTAGCAGGAAAGGCGCGCCTTTGTCAATGATAGCATTGTACCAGAGCTCTTGCACCGTCTCCTGCGCTCCCGGTCCCGTCCCGCGACCTAGAATCGTTGGTGGGGACAGGAGGAGTGTTTTGACGTTCAGCTCCTTGCCGACCCGACGGACGACATTGTCGGTCTTGACCTGAGTGTGGCTTTCGTCGATGCGCATAAGCTCATCGTAATCGCTCGAATCGTTCCACACACGTGGACTGGCTACACCTAGGACATCATGGGTGACATTGCCTGTGCCAGAGATGTGCAGGAAGACAGGCTTTTCGCTTTCCTTGGTCATGCTGTTGAGCGGATTCTTGGCAAGTCCCTCGATCAAGGCTTGAACGGCTTCGCCATTTTGACCCGTACCATTGATCACAATGGAGGCTCTGCTGGCTTCATTCTGAAGGAAAGCAGTATCGTCGAGAGAGCCTATGACAGGAGTGACGCTGGAAGAGTAGCGATTGGTGATCAGCTCGGCCCGCTTAGCATCACGAACTATGCAGCGAACGGGAATGGATGGATGAGACTCGTGGAAGTAGGTCAAGAAGGTCCCAGTGATATATCCGGTCGCGCCAGCATGAGCAGAGAAGGAGAGGCCATGTTGTGCGTTGGCAGGTGTTCTGTCCTACAAGACAACTGATACCGTTGCTGAAGTCCTCATTTTATAGATATGGAGAGCTAGCTGCTTTGCTGTGCATTGGAACAATGGTCGTCGTCCGCACGACCATGAAATTTTCTTCCTTTCCATTGCTAATGCTGGACCATGGACCTTTGTTCAGGTCAGCAACGGCTGTTGAGTACATGAGCCGCCGACGAAGGTGGCCGTTGACACGGTGTCTCCCTCATCGTCTGGTCTGGCGTTGTGCGGATTATTGCGAATCCGCCGTCACTGAACAACGATGCAGGAACTATTGGCTGCGGAATGGCTTATTCCGCAACGTTTCAGCCTTGGGGCCCACTGGCACCTGGGCAGAGTCCGTCCGTATACCCGCGGTTAACTTTACCGTAAAGCCGGCCATGGCGGTGGTGCTCGGGGATATCGCAAGCAAGGTAGTCTCGAAGGGCTGATTGCTACATAAGCCAGGCGTACATGCTCCGCCATGTGACGACCGCAAACGTCGAGTCACGATCATTGTACAACTCCTTCTCACGGCTCGCCAAGTCTTTCCGACTAATGAATTTGTCAGGTGCCCTTGGCGTTTCTCCTCGAAGCCAAAGATCCAGGACGTCACTCTTCATTTTGTTAAGCTCAATGTGGATACAACGAGAGATTTCGTTCTTTAGTGATTTGGGGCTGTCTCGAATGCCTGTGCAATACCCACCTGCATGTTCCGTTGCAACGGCGCCTTCCTACGCGTTGTTCTTCGTGCAGTCCGTTCCACTGAAAGAGCTAAGCTATAACTAAGCCGATCAGTGGGGCTCAATAGGGCTTGAGGTGCTCTGTTCGAGTAGCTGGAGCCTTCGACAGGGCCAGAAGGACTTCGAGCTACCCTAAGCTGACTCTGACCATCATTGATGTCTGATCATCATGTATATGGAATACTGAAGCGGTCAGGTGAGACAATAACAGCATTTGGTTTAACTGACAGACCAGAGACAACCCCCGGAGTTCAGTCGTCCGTCGGATCCGCCTGGTAACGGCTTGTCATGTGCTATTAATAATCGCCTAGTACGGTGTGCTGTTCATTCTATTGTCGAGGTATCATTGCACAAGTATACCTACTGATGGGTAGCGCATTCCACCAATGGCGGGATCAAACCATGATCGCAACTGCCATTCTCATCGTGCGAGTGTAGGCATTACGTGACAGACCATCAGCAACAACTTCCATCGCGACCTTTCACATCATCAGGCATACATCTCAAGATGCCGTCCACGGCGAACATATCGATGAAGGCTGCTCTGCAGACGCGCGCTTCACTCGCGTGCCAGAATTGCCGACGCCGCAAGATCAGGGTAAGCATTTGAGGAACTTGCACAACAGTGGCATGAGCACGAACTAATGCGATTCAGTGCGATGTTGCGTCGATGGTGGAGGGCCTACAATGCACCCCATGTCGACAAGTTGATTTATCCTGTGCTGTTGATCGCGGTGGTGATCGACGGAAGACTGGATCCCGGAAACACGTCGAGACTCTGGAACAGCGCATTCTGGATCTTGAACGTGTACTCCAAGGGCATGCAAAGGCTCTGCCACAAGGCGAGCGCATCGGAACCACCGTCGCAGACACTACGTTGGATGATACAACTGCTCCGACTGTGTCAACTCGGTCAAGCCCGTCTGTGGCGCTACCTGACAGCGCGGAGTCACTCGTCGTCCCTCGCTCAGAGCCTGCAAGGAGGCTGACTGCTTCGAACAAAAGCGGCACCCGTTCGCAGTCGAGCAACAGCATTCGCGATTTGTATGGCAACACGGCCCGTGATACAGCCTATGGCGAACACGAGTTGACTACACCCTTCAGCACTTCAGCGCCCATGAGAAGCCAACCTCAACTTGTGCAAGCCTACACAGAGCCGCACAATCACATCAATCTAGGGCCCGCCGTGGACAGCAATACGCCTCAATTAAAGATCTGGCTTCTCAAGTCGTTCTTTAGGTATCAACCGTTGGGTGTCAATATTGTGGACGAAGAGCTCTTCTGGGAGCATCGCCAGAGTCGCGCAATGTCTATGTGGTATTCAGACTTTCTCGAAAACGTTATGCTTGCTTGCGCTACCCGATTGAGCAATTCTAGCGCCGTCCGCGTTCTAGGAGAACATTTCTCAAGTCAAGCGAAAGTCAATATCTGTCAGGCATTGGATTATCCTTCTCCAGCATCTATGCAAGGTTTCCTGCTACTGAGCGAATATGAAGTGACTCAAGGCAGGGAGCGCACCGGATGGCAGCTCTGCGGTAAGTGCTCTGCAAATATTGCGTCTAATTGTCCACTGATCTGCCTTGACTGACTCGTGTAACCCTAGGGATGGCTTGTCGATTACTGCCTTGTGTTGGTCTATATCGAGGCACATCAGAGTACCCCGAGTCGGAGCACATGAGACAGCAACGCTTTCGACTACAGGGTGCCTGCATAGCTTTGGAGGGTATATGGTGCTTGTACGTTGGGTGCTCAACCTCGATACAAAGATCCGTCATACAGACAGTGGCCACCTCGTGTCAAAGGCAGCAGGGCCGCGACCCAGCGACACTGTCTATTTGGCTTGGTCTCTGTGGACCAATGGCTGACATCTGCGACTTGCTGAATAGCGAGCGTCCGTTGACTGAGAATGCAAAGACCCGCCTCTCGCGACTAAATCTCAGTATGAGCAGCTGGCTCGAGACACTGCCAGACAGTTTCACCTACAATGATGTATGCATTGCAGACCTCCACCCGACAGCGTACGAGATACAGATGCAGTACAACAAACTCCAGATCCTCATACACAAGGCATTCGGGGACGGCGATGGACCGCACACCACATACAATGCCGTGGTCTATGATGCAGCCATTCGAATTATTCGATTGCTTCTGATCTACCGACAATTCCACGAAAGCGGAAAGGTCCGAGTTCGCTCATACATGCTTGACGCGGTCAATATCGCTCTAGAAACTCTGGTCGAGCAATACCTTCGATACCCCAATCTTATTCAATCGCATGAAGGCGACCTTCAGTGGTTGCGTACGGCCATTGCTAGTATGATCGAGATTCAGCCGCACTTCCCTGTCATTGGACGCACTTTGAACTTGCTCATGGTCACCGTCGAGGGCACCCTGCTGGCACCACTCTTCCGTACGCCGGAGTCCTTTCAGGCCTCAAATTGGCCACCACTCGAATCTTTTGCAGCGACCACCGACCAACAGTCCGGCGTTCTTGAGACGTTTGACAACCATGTATTGACGACTGTGGACCAATTCGAACCGGACGATCAACTTGCATTGGACGCCTCGCTACTATCGTGGCCGCAGCCTCAATTTGGAATGGAATGGAGCCTCCCGACCGAGCAGTTATCAGCAGTCTGATCACAGGTCTCTGAAATGTGATGGGCTCTTCTGCCTGAAAACATATTCTCTTGCTGGGAACGGCTGAATCCATTGTAACACCAAATTGGACTGTTGGTTCTCGGAACTGGTCGTTGTCCTTTGAGTACAACACTCTCGCAAGGGACAGCGTTCAAAGTCGGATTTCGATCTACTCATGAGCTTGTCTCTTTCATGCGTCAGAAGTGGCGGATGGCGGTTCCTGCTCATCTGCCTCCCATCCATCCCGCTGGTCCTTCGGAATACGAACAAACAGTACCGCTAGAGCCATCGCAGCTGCACCCAGACCAATGCCGACGTACAGGGCACCACGATAGCCGTGGACTTGTCTCCGGCCCTGTTCATTGGTATATGCCTCTACGGTGCCTGCGAAGCCAAGACCAGTGCTCAAGCCGTAGGACAACAAAGTCCCAATCAGCGACCCAGCAACACCTTGCTGATGGCGCTTCACTGTGTTGCTGGCAATAATTTGCGCAGCAGTGAACAAGAGATCCGGCCCCAAGGCTGTCAGAATCAGTGCAGGGAATACTTGAGCCCAATAGGTCTGCTGCTCTGGCATCGTGGATAGCAAGACTGAAGCCACACATGAGGCAAGGGACCCCAGTGCCATGACATGTTCGGCAGCCACATATCGTATGATCTTGGCGCTCACAATGGCAGCAATTGTACCGCCGACTCCAAGTGGTGTGAATGCCGCGGCGGTAGACAACAGCGTATAGTGGCGAACTTCCAGGTTCCAGAGAGCAGAATACCAGATGGAGATCCCGACGCTCATAAAGGCGAAAAAGGATGCAAGGGTCATCATGCTGAAAGATGGAGCACTCCAGATGTCCAGAGGTAAGATGGGGTTGGCGGTGAATTTAGCTTCCCAGATGGCGAAAGCCACGAAGTGCAGGACAGACACAATGAGGAGGATGTACTCATATGGGGTGTCCCAGCCAACAGCCGGTGCTTGGCTATCAAGAACGGTTAGCGATATCTTCGGATATGAGATGTCGGCATGCTCTGACGGATGTTCTGCGCAAAAGAACTTACTTCCAGACGAAATTGAACAGCACTAGACCGCCCACGCCCAGGTATGAGCCGATCCAGTCGACACTCCCTCCCTTGTCGAACGGCTCCGCTTCTCCGGGTACAACTATAGTAAACATTGTGAATACAACCGTACCGAGCATTGCCCTTGAAGAAGACCGTATCAGCAGGCGTCCATGACTGGCCAATTATCTGCGTCTCCAATAGCTCGATGGGTTACCACACCAAGGAACCTGACCAAGGAGTTCGAAGCGAGGGACAACTCACAAGAAGAAGAAGATCCACTTCCACTGCACCAACTGCACGATCAAAGCGGCCAACACACTTCCTAAGAAGGCTCCGATAGGCGCCGTGGCACCGAAGAAGCCCACTGCTATGTTGCGCATCTTTCCCGGTGGATAGGTGATGGTCAAAAGCGCCACAGCGTTGGGGACGATCATGGCGCCCCCTATGCCGCTGATGCCACGAAGGATCGACAGGGAGACAACACTCTTCATGAAGCCAGAGATCAGATGGCCAACGGTCCAGATTACTCCGGCGACAGTCACGGTGTTCTTGTGGCCGTATATAGCGCCTAAGCGGCCGCCCATGAGGACGAACGCGCCCTGGGTCATTGAGTATGATGCGATGATCCAGACTGATTCTGTTGGTTCTGCGCCGAGGCGTTTTCCGATCTCTATACCAGTGCTGATTCCTGCGCCGTAGGGCATCATCTAGATCGGTGTCAGCGGGTCGGAACGGCGCAAGAGAGGGCGCAGGCAGTCAAGAAGCCTTGGGACGTCAGCGTACCTGCACGAGTTGAGTCAGAACGATTGCGACAGCTATCAGGATGTCTCGAGCAGGCAACGCTTCGACTCTCTTTTCACCTCCACCATCGTCGGCTGCTGTCGTCGCTGCCGGGGTTGATGCGCGGCTAGCATGACGGTGTTCTTCGGCTTTGGTCATGGTCACTGGCAACTTCACTCGAACAGGATGTAACCGTCGAAAGCGACCGGGGGTATATGCTGCTGTTCATGTTGACGACGAAGATGTGGACGTGAACTGGTGGTAATGCTTCGAATGCAGTGCGGTTGCTTCTCCTAAAGAGGCAAGCAGCGGAAAGATCCCCTGCTCTTACAAATCTTTTGTGAACAAAAGACAGTACGAGGCCGCTAGCTTGAAATACGAGTTATACTAAATGGTGATGGGTACTGTAGCCGTGGCGCGGGTAATGGCTTACTGCCAGTAGATACTCCGAGATTGATAGTGACTTGTTCGCTTCGGATAAGTAACGCCTTTCGTCTCCATGCTGATAGCCGAGCAGATTGCCGATCAAGCACGGTATCGACCCTGGATTTGGATGGTAGAAGCTGGACCCAATCGAGGCCAAGGATGCCAACAAAGGGTGGCAGGAAGGGAAGGTTTGGTTACTTTCGGGCTACATGAACCATTCTTGTGACAGTGTCTCACCGCGCCTGCACGCCAAACACTCGAGACCTTATCCGCCGGTAGCATATGATCGATGTAAACTTCTACATGTCTATGCCCTTGACATCACTAGACTCCCTGTGGTCAAGGCAGTGCGTCAAACCCTTTCTTCACAGATCGTGCGTATCCAAAGCCACAGGCTACATGTCTAGACTAGAAATGCAACTGTCCAGGGAGTCCTTCAAGCTTGTCCACTCCTCCTGGCCGAAGAAGGAACGAAGTAGCTCCTTTGACCTCTCAGTCGGCACAATCTCAACATTACCTGTGCGCGCGGGCGGAAAATCTGTCACTAGCTTCTTGCTCGATGGCCGAAGTTCACGAAGATTGTCAATTACATCCTTCCATTCGAACCTGCCTGCCAAACCAAAGAGACGCTCTGATGTCACGGTCTGGTTTAGCAAGGCGATGACGTGCAGGCGTGCAAGGTCTTTGGCGTCGACGAAGTATTCTAGATTTTGATTGTCAGAAATCTTGGGTCTAGAAGGGTCCTAGGACTGGATAGATAGGTACGTTGGAAGAGCTTACGGCTGAGTATGATCTTGATTATGGTGTCGTTTCCTTCGAGCAGTAGGGCCGTCAAGACACCGCTAGAGCCGATATTTGGGTGGAGGACTTCTCCAATCTGGTCAAGCATCAGAAAGAAGCTATGAGAATAAGCAAAAAGGGAGGCGTACTGTGTAGTCTGGCAGGACAGAGTTCAAGACATATCCTGGCTTGTGCTTCTTCACCCAGTCGAAGGCAGCACGTTCGCCTGCGGTCTTGGATGCCGCGTAGACCATAAGGCCTTTGATTTCGGCAGGTGTGTTGGGATCCCATGCCGCTGCGATTGAGGCGTCATTCCATGTATCTGAAAACACTGTCAGACCAGTTAACATTGCGAGTCGCGACCTTGCGGGCGGGAGACGCAGCATTGGGCAAGAAAATTGAAGACTGACCTTGGGTCAGTTCAAGACGACCATGGCCTGCTTCTGGGATCACGGCCGCGACCGATGACGAGGTCAAGACTACTCTTTTGACAGATGCGATTTCAGAGGCAGCTTGCATGACAGTTTCCGTAGCGTTTACCACATAAGGGACCAACTTTCCAGCATCGGAGTCAAAGCTCACGTCAGAAGCCTTCGGTTCGATTCATATCAGCAAACGCCCACACCACATCAATTCGACTAAGGAAAAGAGATGCTTACCACGTGAATGACACCGCTGATGCCGGCCAAAACATCGAGCAGACGTTTCTTGTCATCAAGACTGGGAACGACGACTGTCTCAAATTTCCCTGCCCCATACTTGTTGTCGAATAGCTCGTTTAGCCATGGCCTTTCCGACCGTACTGTACCTCTTACTGTGTAGCCGAGTGACAAGAGTACGTCGATAACGTTCGAGCCGACGAAACTGTTTGCGCCAGTCACGAGGATTCGCTGGCCAATCTTGATGGCATAGGACTCCGGAGCCGCCATCATCGCAGCATACACACTGCTGCAAGGAGTAGGTAGATGTGTGAACTGCTGTGGGCGACAGTACTAGCTGTCGCGACTTGGTCTGTGCTCCTCTTTCCAGTATTTGGTATCGAATGTTCTACGGACTCACCGATCTTGTAGCTGCCGCCTCACCACAAGTACTTGAACACATCGTCGCACGCAGCCTTGCTCATACGCTCACAAATGCTGCCACAGTAGCCTTGCGCGTATTGCATTTTGTGTCTCTCCTTCGATCGAGAATTGCTCAGCAGCCCTTCGGAAAATGTAGCCGCGGAGCCAGCGTTTGCGGACAAGCACAGAGTCACTGCTCAATGACGCCGCAGCCATGACAGCTGGCGTTGAACCTACATTGCGATCTGTTGAGTGGAACGTTACCTCATGGGGACGCTCTCGAATCGCTGATTGATGATGAAGCAGGAGAATGAGCAAAGGACGAAGCTCCCTTTCCGACCATCATGCTGCGCGTCATTTTTCCTTGGCGCGTTTGGCTTTTTCTCGCTTTGAGGTTCGACGTCGTGCTGGATCCTTTCCTATCAAAATTTGGCGAAATGTGATGTTTCCCGCGTGCCGTACGTCCGCAAGGCCCGCAGCAAGGCACCTACGTCTCTGCATGTAAAATCATTGTAAGCACGACAAAAGTTTTGCAACGTAAATTCCAGCCGACAGCGTCGTCGCGCAATGCCAAAGGCTCATTGAAGCTCATACCGAGCTATGGACAATTTGGGCCTGTCTCCATCGTTATGGATGAGCCATAGTCAGCCTGGACGAATATATGGTGAGCACTTTCGGTCACCAAGGGAGTGCTGGTCTTTCTGTGCATTCCATCCAGTTAGTACATGTTGAGACGACATCATGGGTGATCCGAGCAGCCGTTTCATTGCAGCACAGTCAAAGAAGTCATCGCTTCCATCTCATGAGTCAACACAACATGCCGCGAAGGACCAGGGCCTTCGAACATCTAATCCGAGCAAGTGGTACTTCGCGACAGGATACCTCCTGATAGCAGTCTTCTGCTACTGGGGAATGTGGATCAAGCCAGCCCAATATGGGCTTTTCAAGCACTTGGACACAGTCTTGACAACCGGCGAGTTCCCATACGATTCTGCTGGCGGCGTCCCACTCAAGCGCAACTACATTGGGGTAAAGGCTGTAGATGACATTTTCGTCTTCTTGTCGGCGGTATACACGTCTGCTCTGGTGAAGGACTGGGAGCCGTCGCTTCGATTCATGCTCTTGTATTTCTTGGGCATACTGATCCAGCCTTTCGCAGTATGGATGGTGGAAGGGTTCCGGAGGTCTAATCGGAGAACTCTGCTGTCATTGTGAGTCCTACGTCTCACTCGCCACTCCGTGGTCATCTAGCAAGTGTTCTTACCGCTAACACGTAGCGCTACAGCGTCACCGTCTGGTTCGGTGCATTGCAATTCATCGGCACCGGGATCATCATACCACTGTACTACGTTGCCTACTGCTTCGTGTCGGATCGCAAGAACTACTGGGTGCCTCTGCACCGAGAGGTGCCTGTGAAGTACTCCGACACCCTAATCTGGGCTGTCACGGTTGGCTATACGGTCCCAACGATGGTCCTGTTCATGGACCATCCTGATCCGTTCACCTTGCAGAATATCGAGTCCTTCTGGCAGATCTCCCCATGTCTCGTACCACCTCTCTGCAGTTTGCTTGCCTCGTTTCATGGCTTCATAAAACCGACAACTGCGGAAGATTCGAAGCAGGAACAAAAGCAAAAGTCGCCAAAGCCCTCCCAAAACATGAACTCTCTTAAGCATCTCTACCTAGTTACGGGCGTCATGGGAGTACTGTTCCACTGGTACTGCATCACGAAGGTTGTCTTCGACCCGGAACTGACGTTGTCCTCTGTGTTCTGGCCAGACTTCACCACGCAAGACAAGACCCTAGGCGAAGGCGTCAAGTTCATGCTCTTGATTGACGTCTGGACATTCGAGGTTGCCACATACATCTGGTCATGTCAGGCAGTCTGGGAGCTGAAGAGGATCGGTCACACCGACGCCGATGCTACAAGAGCTGCAGCGCTTATTGCTCTGGCTACCGTGGTCGTCGGACCTGGGGCTACGTTGTGTGCGGTTTGGAGTTGGAGGGAAGAAAAGCTTGCGACGACCAAGAGCGCTGCTGCACATCGCGAACTGTAGGTGGTCGAGGGATCATCGATTCTGTCCCCGGGCTGGGCTCGTGGCATTAGGTGTCTAGTAATGTCATATATGTATAGCTATTCAACTACAACTTGATTTGTGACTGCCAATGATACCCTCTGCACTTTCCCGATCTACGGAGTTATTCCACTCCACACGTTGACTCGGACATATGCTCCTTAGCTCCTGCCCGGCTAAACCTTTGCTGCCCCGATTGCGACTCCTCACGACCGACCGGAGTAAAGTTCATAGGATACTCACAAACCACAACGGTCGCGCCTGCTCAAGCCGGGCCAACTCATATTCCGCCGTCGACGCCGACAAGTGAGCAGGGTTTTTTCGAGCTCTTTCCCAGTCCCAGCCAGCTCTGCGACCTCCGATCGAGCTCCGCCGGCGCCGTTCCAACCAGTGCTGCCGCTACCGCTCAACCGATTGATCAGCCGACCGCTCACGATGGCTGCCGCAATCAAGGCGATCAATGCGAAGATTCGCTCGAATCCGACGCTGGACTACTTCTGCTCAACACGTACGTCCCCATGCTATGGTCGTGTGCGCCCGACAGCGCACGCCCGACCGGCTGCATTCCATAGGAGCTTGTTGGGCAGATCAGATGCCGATCGCAGTTGCGCGTATGGCGTCTGAGTCGACTACAAGCTTCTGCAAGAGCTAGCACTGACATTTCGTCGCACAGATTTCTGGGGCCCAGCATCAAATTTCGGTATTCCGATGGCTGCGATTGCGGACATGAAGAAGGATCCTGAAATGTACGTTCTCTACTCCACTGGCCCATGGTCGGGGCACATCCAGAAGAATCAGTCCGTCAGTGCGAAGAGCTGCCTGTCGAACACAGGCGAGAACCAGAAAGAGGCTCGCTGGATTAGCTTATAACTATCTCATACTCTGGCAAGTGACGGACAATGCAGCTGACAGTCCCTCTTTCCACGATCACAGCATCTCCGGACCATTCACAGCCGCGCTGTCCCTCTACTCTGGAACCTTCATGCGCTACTCGATGGCCGTGACTCCCAAAAACTACCTTCTGTTCGCCTGCCACTTCATCAATTTTGGGTCCCAGACGGTACAAGGTTATCGGTGGTATGATTACTGGTAGTAAGTGCTGTCCAATCTTCTCAATCAGGCGACTTGCGGAATGGAGGAAGTGTCACTGACTGGGGTATAACAGCATGGGTGGTCGCGCAAAAGCACAGAGTTTGAAGGCGGAGACAGAGGGCAAGGCAAGCGAACTGGCGAGCAAAGCGGAGGGCGTGTTCGAGAGTGCAAAGGGCAGCGTCAAGGAGGGCGTTAAAGAGGTACAGAAGAAAGTCGGCTCGTGAGCTTGTCGTCTGCTGCAAAGTCTGACTGTGTTGATCAACATTCTGAGCTCTCGAGCAACGGGAGTCCCCTTCATACCGGCTTTTGCGATCCAAGCGACAAGTTCTCTGTTCGTCGCTTAGCCTCGACACAGGTGGCAACCGTTTTGCAAGCCACAACATGCCCTGATATGAACCAAGCCATCTGGAGCTTCCGCGCCAACTCTCTCAAGCGCCTTCTGGATCTTCTCCGGTGACCACGACATCGTCCTGAAGCTCTTCCCCTGCGGCGGGCCGTCCTTATGTTGTCGCACGGTCATTTTATAGTCGCCATCCGCTTGTCTGAAGTCGACCTCCTCGATCACAGCTTTTCTCTCCTTGTCAAAGAACCTGCCATTGCCTAGATCGACCAGATCACCTTCCCCGTCCTCGACCGACTCTGTCTCCACGTACTCATAGATGCCGCCAGGGTCCTCCTTAGGTAAGATCGTGCTGGTTGCTAGGAGCTCCTCGTCATTCATGTCCTTGAACTCAAGCCCACCAGCCATGGCTCGGCATAGACGAACATCACCAAAGACCCAGTGCAATGTGTGTGCGATCCGCTTGTGAACGACCACTGGAGAAATGTCGGAGCTGGGGCCACCGATCCAATCTACTGTAGCCTCATAGTCCGAGATATCGTCATCCGACTTCGAGTCGCGTCCGCCATGTCCTCGCCATCATTCCCGCTGTCGACCTCATTGAGAGTCCCAGTGGAGACGTTTTCCTCGTCAGGGATATCTGCGGAGCTGGTGTCTGCAACGGGAGTCTCGTTACTGTCATCACAGATGCTCTTCTCGGACTTGTCGTCTGCTTCCGGCGCGGTGTTCTGACGAGAATTGAGCAGGGCGGCCTCACGATCCCATCTGGCACACGAGCCCTGCTAAGAGACGGTCAGTGGCATTCGGTGCTGCGGTAGGTGAGCTCACAATGAATCCCTCAATTGGACCGGCAACCAATTGCCACCAGGTCATCAGTCTCTTCGGCTTCTTGCCGCCCTTGAACGAGGAACCTCGCTTCTGAACCCCAACGGGTCTCTCGTTGTCGGGCGGCGGACGTCGTATGCTCTTCTCCTTTGACGGAGCCATGGCTGTCAACTTAAGAAAGTACTCAGGAAGGTATCGTGGTCACGGATCTGGGTCGAAGATAGTAAGAGTGTTGAGAGGATGATCAAACGAAATGAAGATTGATCTGGTCTGTTATAGCCCGGTCCATTCACTTTCGAGGCCCTAATCGATGGTGAGTCACTGCTTCATTCACTGTATCATGGGATCTCACAGCTTCTCAGAGCATCAAAGTCCTCTGAACACGGCTTCCAGTCTCAAGTGAGGCTCATCTGACACAAGACAAGACGTAAGTATTGCGAGGCGAATACACATTACATTATGCTACTGATAGCGAGGCTACTTCTGATACACCAGCCATCCACCGGCCCATGCCCTGCTCACAATGTCCGCATTTCTGCCCCACACCCATTCTATCACCCTATCGGACCAAGAGTGCGAAGGGCAGTGTGAAGGAGGGCGTCAAAGAGCTGAGGTACAGGAGAAGGCCGGCTCGTGAGGTCATTGCGTGCTAGAAGATCGAGTGGTGTTGACCAACGCTTAGGTCTTCTGGGCCATGCCAGACATTCTTTTGGTATGTACACCTTCATACGTACGCAATGCTCGAAGCGAAGCCGGTCATTCGACCGCAGTCCTTGATCATCCCCATTGATCACGGTCGCAAGCTGTGAGAGCAAAACCCTGGCCTGGCATTCAAGTTGTCTCCCACCTGGCATGACTTCCGGTTGTCAAAATTTTCTACAGCGTCCTTCCTGGCCACGATTTCTGGACTCGTCTTTTCAAAAATAAAATTCGAGACTTCTTTTTAACTAATCTCACCGCTGGCCCTCTTGAGCGTCGGACTGGATTCCGACATAGCTCAAGTGATTGTTACCACCTGCTCTGATGAGCGTCAAACTGGGTTCTGACGAGGCTTGACTCTGATGAGCGCCGGAGTCGGCTCCCGCGGAGCTCAAGTGGTGGTCACTGCTGGCTCTGCTGAGTGTCCGGCGGGGTTCTGACGAAGCTTGCGTGATAGTCGCTGCTGGCTCTGTCAAGTGTTGAACTAAATTCCGACGAAGCTTGAGTGATGGTCACACGCTGGTTGCCTAGTGCGAAGCATGCGCAATACATTGTCCTAGTCATGACTAGACTACTTTTGATGAAACCAGTCTACCACCCACCCATACTCTGCTAACATTATCCGCATTTCCTCCCCACACCCACTTCATCACCCTGTCCGACCAGTTCTCCCAGCCAAAGATATCCACATCGCCAACCTCATCAGCATCACTCCCCAGCGTGATCTCCTGTGCATCAAACAGCATCCCCTTCTGGAACCCACCAAGGCGCCCCTCCATACCAACGACCTTGGCACCGCCCATCGTGCCCAGGTATAACGCCTCTGCCACAGGTATGATCAAGCTGCTATTCTGACCCTCTTGGAAAGACAACAACTGACTGACAAGGAACGCTTGTCGGACATTATCGAGCAGACTCGGGCTGAAACCACCAGCTGCGTCTGTGCCGAGACCAACTGCGATTCCAGCGTCCCGCATCTTTCGTACTGGTGCAATGCCGGAACCAAGTGCACTATTGCTATCCGGACAGTGACTGACGCCTGAGCCCCTCGCAGCAATGAGTGCTATCTCGGCATCCGTGACGTGCACGGCGTGCGCGAGGATCGTGCGGTTGGTGAGCAGGCCATGAGCGTCGTATGTCGCGGCGTAGGAGTCTTGCTCAGGATACATCTGCGCGACCAGGGCAACCTCGCGGACGTTTTCATCAATATGCATCTGGGTGGGAAGGTTCTTCTCGGCCGCGATCTTGCCTAGTGCGCTCATGGATTCGTTGGTGCAAGCAGGTGCAAAGCGAGGAGTGATAATTGGTGCTACCAGGTCGCCGCTTGGATCAAGCGCCTGAACATGATTGATTACTGCCCACGTTGCGTTGATAGCTGCTTCGGTCGATTCGTCGCGGTAGTAGTCTGGGTTGTACTGTTGGTTGTCCATGCAAGTGCGGCCAATCAGTGCACGCTGGCCCTTCTGATACGCCAGATCAGCGAGCAGGTTCGTTGCGGGGACGTCAATTGTGGCGTAGTAGGCGCAAGTAGTTGTGCCGAAGCTCAGAGTTGAGTCGATGACACGGTTGTACACGCGCCGAGCGCGTTCGTACGGATTTGGTGGGCTTGATCCGGTCCAGTTGGCATATTGTGGCGATTTGAGAGTGCTGAGCGATGACTCCATGGGAAAGGTGTATTTCTGGAGCCAGTCGAGCAGAGTTCCAGCGAAGAGACCGAGATTGGGATACTGAGGCGCGTGGATGTGGGTGTCGATGAAGCCAGGGAAGAAGAAGCTGTTATCGGTGGTCGGAGTGATGATCTGAGTGGATGTGGAGACACCGAGGGCTGCTGCTGCGTCCTCAGGTCGACTGACATTCTGAGCTGTCGCGGCGATGACTCCACGTCCATCGTTCGTCGTAACGAGGATGGCCATGTTGGGTTGTATCGACAAGGTCGATGGGTCGGGAGTGGAAATGAAGCGGCCATAGAAGATAAGCGGATTGGAGGACCCGTTGGTAGCTGCAACGGCAAGGGAGCCTCTGGCCTCGTGGGCATGCTGTGGACTATAGTCACGGCCTTGAGGATGGCCGTACACAGTGCTACCCATGAGTAGCAGGAGTGCTGGTAAACGAGTGACTGCTTTCATCTTTGATGCTATAGAAGACCGGAAACGAGTGACAAGCGATGCGTTCCAATGCAAAGGGCCGTGGGAGTGACAACTTTGGAAGCCGCTGAAGTGAAGTGGCCGACTGGCAACGCAATTCTCCTACCTATACATCTTGCCGTCGACCCGTCCAGCTCTCTTCCTTCGCGGGCTCAAGAGCACGCGGTGGCAACAGTCTCCAGCCTCACTGGGGCTGTGAGCGTGGTACATACTTCGTACATGGCCTAGAGCCAAGAAGCACGAGGGAGTGGAGAACTGAGGCTCTTTCCGTACCTAGGTAGCAAACGTTTCAGGAGGTCCGCAAAGGTCTATTGTGTTAGCTGAACCACCTGTTCGTGGTAAGCCGTGCCAATGCAACAAGTCGAGAATGGCCGGCGGTGAGGAGGGTTGCCAAAAGGAGGGACCTCGAACTACCTTCGCACAAGCGTCCGGTCCACATCCTTATACAGCCTGAAGTTTGTGTGCCCTGAATACTATCGCCTGCTATCAAGGCTGGATGTGTCTCGCTTAACACTCTGAGGCTAGCAAGCTCACGATGGTATCCCGTCGCCTGCTTTACGGCCCTACGATACAGATGCGGGTCCGGGGTAGATGTGCACGGGAGGGACGCCATGTCGGTACACCACCATTGCGGCTGGGTGGGCAAAGACTTCAGCTCCAGACTCTGGTCCAAAGTCGCCGTCGACACGCTTTGAAAAGCTATGCGCGTTCCAACACTAAGCTGTCGAAGTCACATTTTGCACACGCGATATCGTTAGAGCGATAGCCTAGAGGATAATGAAATTCGGCAATATTGCAGGGAGGAGTTGTGTCTCCCAGAAATCTGCGGTTCTGACCTGTCATCCGGTCGCTTGGCCGCACAAGGAAAGTCATGCGCTGCTCGCCAAAGCTTCCTAGTGAGATGCCTGGAGAAAGTTTCCGAGTTTTGCAGCGCTCTTGCTCTCATGTTGCACACTTCTTCTCGTTCTGAGTACACGTGCGATCAGAGACGAGAAGCCTGATGGCTCATGGCTCTCAATTGAAAGCCCAGACCATACGATTGCCCACCCCGAGGGATCGACAGACCTTCCACATGGCCTTTTCAACCTTTTGCCGCACACCCTCCCATCACGGCTTGGCAACGCTCAGCCGCTCAGGTTTGCTGACTTTGACATTATTGACTTACTTTAGGGTTCTTGATCAGCTTCAACTCCCAGGGACGCATCCGGCCTTTGGAGGACCTATGCCCTTCCAGGTCCACGCGCATTTTCTTGTATCGCATGCAGCTTCCGAGCGTTCCAAAGGCGATGCTCGCCATCCGGAAGGCTTCCACACTCCACCACAGAACCCATGTTTTTGAGACGTTCCTTCACCATGGCTTTGGGAACGGTCCACACCAAGGACCCTTCCCCAGATGTGATAAGCCTGTCTGCTGTCTGTCGTCTGTTGTCTGTCATGTGATCGGATTTAAAGTAGGTACGGTTCTGTTCATTGTGAAGTGGATGCTGTTCCTCCTCGCCAACTTCTGGGACCGCTTGCATTCCCAAGCGCCTCAAGTCTGAAGTAACAATACTGTCAGACCCGTCGCGATGGTTCATTCACAGATGAGCCCAATCGGCGAGCAAGACGAAACAGACCCCAAGTCGCCCATGATTGCGCTCAATCCCATCTTCTCCCGCGATCAACCCAACACAGATCCCAAATCCCCCATTGTAGAGCTCGCCACCATTCCCCTGAACCAGCTCGGCATTCTATATCGCCCAACCTCAGCACTGGCAGTTACCTACAGAACCTACAAACGCCGCTTCTTCGGCTACGCTCTTCTCTTGCTCCTCTCCCTCCTAGTGAGCTGGTCCTTCACCGCCTTCGCGGTCGTCATCGACATCACAGCCGACTACTTCGACACCACTACCAGCACAATCAACTGGTTCGCCACCATCTGGCTGTTCTGCAACACCATCGCCTGCCCGCCTGCAGCATGGGCCATGCGCGTCAGCGCAAAGCGCTCGCTTGTGTGCGGCGCTGCGCTGATGCTTGCCTCCTCCTGGCTGAAGTATGGCGGCACCAAGATCCACAACATGGGTCTAGCAATGTTCGGCCAGATCCTATCCGGCTTCGCGTCTGCATTCATCTGCAACGTCCCGCCGCTGTACTCCAATGAATGGTTCAGTCCAGAGACCCGCGCCACAGCGACGGCTGTAGGCTGCATGTCCAACGTCGCTGGCGGCGTCATGAGCGCGCTGGTCATGCCAGTCTGGGTGAACGATCTCAGCGACGTTCCCATCACTGTGCTCTGGACGAGTGTAATCACCACCGTGGTTGCGATCCCAGTGTAAGATGCTCTCCCATGGTCAAACTTGTGTCCGGAATCGAGCGTTGCATTGAAGACTGCCCGAGCATATGTCTCGGGTTGACAGAGAAGCTGCTCTCGTTGACCTTACAATCCTGCTTTCTATCATACGCCCTTTTCCCGAGACAAGGCTAATCAGATACGCAGTTTCTTCATCCCCGCTGCACCACCAACGCCTCCCAGCGCAGCCGTTGACGATGAGCAGAAAGAAGTGAGCACTGTCAAAGAAGAGCTCAAGTGGATCGGACGGTCGCCGGAAGCAATGCTGATCATTGTCGCGTTCATGACCGCCTCCGGGCTGTGGAACTCTGGCTCGGCACTATTGTATGAGATCGTGCTACCTTGTGAGCTTTCCTCTTCTTCCCCTTCCCGCACTGAGAACAGCAATTGAACAAACTCCCACAGACGGCTTTACAGCCAGAAAGCAGGGGTAGCAAACGCACTCCTCAACTCCATCGGTCCGCTCACCTCCCTCCTCCTCGGCCCCCTCGCCGACCGCACCCGCCTGCACCTCTGGATCGCCCGGTGTTGCGCTGTCCTCCTCGCCATCTCCGTCATCGTGTTTATCTGGGTCCCGCAATCCCACAACTTGGCATTCCTCTACACCATGACTTCCTTGCTGAGTGTCGCGGTGCTGGGCGTGTGGCCGATCATGCTGGAATTGATGGCCGAGATCGTGTATCCGCGGGGGTGTGAGGTCGCGGTGTGCTGTATGTTTGCTGGGGTTAGTTTTATGGGTGGGGTGTTTACTATCGCTGTGAGTACAACATAATCCGTGCTCTGTTCATCGAAGCAGGCTGACATGTGAATGACAGATGGGCTACATGAAAGATGCAGAAGGCACCCTCCAACACGCGCTCTACCTACAGGCTGCCCTGGGCGTCACCGCAGCCATTCTATACCTCAGTCTCGGTCAATTCGGCCGCAAGGAATTTGTGCGGATGAAAAGGTATGCTGCGGAGAAGGTCCTCGAGCCGGTTGCGGAGGACTCTGAAGCAGACGTGCGTGGTGTGTCTGAGGTCGTAGCTTGATTCAAAAGGGAGGTGGCATGGAAGCCAGATTACGGGTTCTCCGGTGTTCTTTGGAATCTGCGCGTTCAGACTATGGTTCGAATGTAACTTGCTTTCACTGTTCAGTTCAGTGCGGAATCTATACCTCAATTCTGGGGTACCCCGACGACAGCAAAGAAAAAAAATATTCATATGGCAATGAGTCTGTGCTCGCCTCTACTCCACCATCGTAGCTCTACAGGAGGCCCAGAGCGTTACGTACTCTCAGGCCTCTCCTTCCGTTCTGTGCGCCCACTGAAATCGAACGAGAATGGCAATGCTGTTCAAGTCATCCGGCGTGCCCAACGTCATCCAGTCAACCGGTCTCACTCCGCTCTTGCTAAAGCCGGTAGACCACGGGTCGCGCCTGCCGGAATGGCTTCAAGCAGGGGAAGCAGTAGTCGCGATCGAGACCGCGACCGCCCTCGACGCGAAATGGAAGGGGTGAGAGGCATCGTGCCTGCTCCAACAAATCTACCTGAGGATGTATGGAAGGTGGCACGTGCCGGGTCGGGTTGCACCTTCTCGGTGGGGATGCCAGTCAACCGGTTTTCGCACAGCCTTAGCGAAGCCGGCTGATGTTGACTTGTACTTGTTGTAATTGACTTCACCTCGGACGAAAGACCTTAAGAATTCTCTTGTGATAGCAGAGGATTTCTCAGAGACTAAATCAGGTTCAACCCTGCTTAGTCCGGTTCCAGCTCGGTGCAGCTCAGGCCTACATTTTTGAATCCAGATCGTTCAACGACATTCAAGTCGACTGACCTCCATAGCCATAACGACGAGAACATGGTCGCTTGAGTGCTCGCATAGATAGTGAATATATTCGTTTCGTTAAAGAGAAGATGGCAGTGCACTGAATCAGAAATATTCCCTCTCCTGTACAATGCTGCTGGTTGCCAAAGATGAGCCTCAATCTCGTTTCCAGGCGCGAGTCTCGGTGTTCTGGTTTCTTCAGCCAACCGCGTCCGACAACATATCCGTCCACGCAGGCCAAGGAACTAGCCAACCCCTCGCACCCAAAGGTTGGACCGTTATGTAAAGCCCTCTCCTTTCTCCCTAAACAACTCAAAGCCCAAGCAACGCGGTCTTCAAGTTGTGGTTCGTGATATCACCATAACTCACGCACCTCACTTCTTCGTAAAGTCATGCCACATGCCACCCAAGATTCCGCCACCTCCAACCTTCTGCTCATGATATCCTGCTCTCTTCTCGTCCTGACTATTGCGCTTGTAGGCGTTTAAGCCTGCAAATTTCTCTGCGCCGGCTGCCGATGACTATGATTGGTCCGGTCAATATGCTGTCATTTCTGTCTGTACGCTCGTAGAGCAGGCTCGCATGACACGAAAGAGACGATAGCAGGAAACGAAGAGGGTAGGAAGCACTCACACGTCTCCGCCCGGCAATCCCAGCGCTGACGGCACCAGCAGCCTCGGACACACTAGCAGGCTTCTGGGTGGCGGGCTTGGATTCCTCCTTGGGTGGGGAACCTGACTGGGAGCCCTGGGACGAGGTGCTGTTTGAGCGGGGCTTGTAGTTGTACTGTTTCATGAACATTTTGGTGGTTGTCTTAGGTAATCTGGTGGGAGGTGCTTGAAATTGGTTTCAGTGGTGGGTTGGTGGCTGTATGGTGGTAGATCGGAGTCAGATGGTTGGTCGAGTACTTTGTCACTGGTCTGGTAGGTGCGTCGTGAGGATTCCTGTATGCTTAGGACGTCGAGGGCGTTTGGTGCGATGGTGCGATGGTGTGATGGTGTTAGAGATAACAAAGAGTATTCGACAGTCGCAGGCTGTGTTATAACAAACGAACACAACTATTGCACGTGCTTGTTTGTCGGTGGTCGTGCTGTGTGATAGGTGTATGCAGTGATCGCCCACCAAACTCGATGACGTCTGTGGTGTCCAAGCGCGGTACAATGACAGATCGGAGACAAGATTTGAAGATCGACGGGCCAACTCTGGGTGGTCTGACTGATTGAGTTTCTGTCAGTTCAACGGTCGAATGATAGATTGTCTTTGATCTGGATCTGATCAAGGGCTGATAGTGTTAGAGATAGTGGAAAGGACGACAGTGATGAAGGTAGGGCGAAGCGAGGCGAAGCAATTGTCTCGATGCGAAGGCCACTGTATATGCGTGTACGCTCTTTACAAAGCACGGTCGAGACTGCCCCACCATTCGATCGAGCAATCGACCAGACCTACCCATGTCTGAGTACGCAGTGCTTCCTGCACTTCCGGATGGGTAGCAAGTTCCTGCCATGTTGCTTACAATGCCTACCTCAGTTGCTCTGCTGAACCTGACCCTCCAATCCGATGCAGTAAGCAACAGCTCCTGCCGCTGGAGGCCACCCAGTGCTGCCTGCAACCCAGTAGAATTTCGTCACTTTGCAGGAGCTGCCACAAGGAAAGCTCGAGGGAAGCTGCCGAGCAAAAGGCGCTGCAAGCACGCATCACCACTCGCGCAAGAGACGTCGTCGAGAAAAGTGGACCACATGCCTAGTCCACTGCACCCCGCGCTCAGCTTTTAGTGCTTCGAAACGACGATCAGCAGGCATGCCATTGGTGGTCCTGTTAGCCTGGAGTCCTCCAAGACCGTCAAGCATCACATGCTTTTTCTCAGATCCAGGAACATAATGTAATGAGAATGCCATACCAACTAATGACCTGCTTTGGCCTTGTGAAAGGCGTCCTATGGATAGCTAACCTGATAGCAATGACCAATACAGTACCACCCCAGGATCATTGTTTTCCCAGTCCTTGCTCGTTTTCGGGGTATAATTTTAGGAGCGCGTGTTGCAGGAGCCTCAGGACTTCGCAATCTTGCAGATCAGATCCGATCCAGCCACTGAATCGCCCTCCTTGACCTTCAGGTCGCTCACCTTGCCTGAGTGAGAAGCACTGACGACCATCTCCATCTTCATGGCGCTCAGGACCGCAATTGGGTCTCCCTTTTTGACTTCAGAACCCTAATTTCACCTGTTAGCAAGAACATGCATCGGGAAGAACTAGGTATACGTACCTCCTTCGCCCTCACTTCAACCACAACACCGGCCATGGGCGCTCCAATTTGACTGCTGTCGCCAGGATCAGCCTTTGGCCGGCTAGTGCTCTCGACTGACGCATTCTTGTCGTCGACCGAGACCACTCGGACTTCGCCGTTAAGTTCGTAGAAGACCTCTCGTTGACCTGTCTCATCTGATAGAGGGCCAACAGCCAGCATCTTCAGGATGAGGACCTTGCCCTGCTCGAGCTCGATGTGGAACTCTTCACCGATCTCAGGCTTGTTGAGGAAGAATTTCGTGGGAAGCACTGAGAGGTCGCCGTACGTGGCGATGAACTTCTGGTAGTCCTCGAAGACCTTCTGGAACATGATATACGAAGCAACGTCGGTCTCGCTAGTCGACTTGTATTTTTCCTTGATCTCCTTGCGGACCTTCTCGAAGTCGATGGGATCGAGGTAGAGGCCGGGTCGCTTGTCGAATTTCCGGCGGTCACGGAGAGCCTTTGATCGAAGCGGCTCGGGGTAACCAAACGATGGCTGTCCAATTTCACCAGCAAGGAACTCGTAGACACTGTAATCAAGTTAGCTTTGTTAATAAAGCTCGTTCGAAGGACTTACGATCCGGGGAAATCAAGCTCGCCGGCCTTGTCCACGACTTGTTCAGGACTCAACTTGTTGGAGACCATGAATTGAGCAAGATCACCAACGACCTTGCTGGTCGGCGTGACTTTGACGATGTCTCCGAGGAGCATGTTTGCTTGTTCGTACGCTTTCTTGGTCTCAAGCCATTGTGCGCCAAGTCCTAGCGTGGTAGCTTGGAAGATGAGGTTCGTAAGTTGACCTCCGGGAATCTCGTGCTCGTAGACAGTTGGGTCGGGTCCAAGCAGATGGGCCTCGAAGGGCGAGTAGACCAGACGAAGCTGGCTCCAGTAGGTGTCTAAACTGCGAACATTGGCAGAGTTCAAGCCAGTGTCGAGTTCACCGCCGTTCAGAGATGCGATGATTGCATTGATCGACGGCTGACTTGTCATTCCAGACATGCTGTCGGAGGCAGCATCGACAACATCCGCACCTGCTTCGGCGCAAGCGACCATAGAGGCCACACCTGTTCCAGCCGAGTCGTGTGTATGAACGTGGATAGCAGATCAGGATACTTTTTCCGGATAGCCCCGATCAGGATCTTCGCGGCAGGAGCTTCAGAACACCAGCCATATCCTTGACACCGAGAATGTGAATACCAAGATTCACGATCTTCTCAATGAGATCCATGTAGTACTCGAGGTTGTACTTCTTGCCTGGAATAAGCATGTCACCGGAATAGCAAACGGTGCCCTCCACAACACCGCCAGCCTCCTTCACAGCCTTGATACCGACCTCAAGCTGATCGATGTCGTTCAGAGCATCAAAGATTCTGAAGATATCCATACCGCACTTCTTCGCCTGCTTGCAGAAGTGGTAGATGGCATTGTCGGGCAATGACTTGTACGCCACACCATTGGCACCTCGAAGCAGCATCTGGAAGGGGATGTTTGGCACAAGCTTCCGCATCTTCTTAAGACGGTCCCACGGATCCTCGTACAAGAAGCGCATGGCGACGTCAAAGGTGGCACCGCCCCAACACTCGAGAGCGAATGCATTGCTGAGAGCGTAGCTGGTTTCCTTAGCAATGTTGCATAGGTCGACTGTGCGGACACGAGTGGCCAGTAGCGACTGGTGAGCGTCTCTCCAAGTTGTGTCCATGATCAGACAGCCCTTGTTGGCACGAACAGCCTTTGCGAGTCCCTCTGGGCCGTCCTTGTCGAGAACCTGCTTCCACCCGACCTGGCATGGCTTCGAGAGATCGACCTCGGTCTTGCCATCCTCCTGCATGATCTTAGGATAGATGATGTCACCCTTGAACTTCGACTCGCCAATTTGGCCAGCAATGCTGGATCCATTGACTGCAACGTCGCCAAGGTACTGAAGCAGCTTCTGAGCTCTGTTCTGCGATCCGATCAGCTTGAACAGCTCAGGAGTATCGTCGATGAAGGTCGTCCAGCAACTGCCCTCGATGAAGGTCGGATGGGTAAGGAGCGATGTCAAGAACGGGATGTTTGTCTTGACGCCTCGGATGCGGAATTCGACCAGCGCTCGGAGCATTTTCCTCCGAACGATCTCGTAGGTGGAGCCATGGCATGAGCATTTGACCAACATGGAATCGTAGTGGGGAGTGATGATCGCGCCAGAGAAGCCATTGCCACCATCAAGACGAACACCGTTACCACCTGCAGATCGGTACACCTCAATCTTGCCAGTATCAGGCTGGAAGCCCTGCGCAGGATCTTCTGTGGTGATGCGGCACTGAATGGCGAAGCCGCGAGTAGAAATGCGGTCCTGCGTCAAACCAAGCTGCGCGAGCGTAGCACCTGCAGCGATCTGGATCTGAGCAGCGACAATGTCAATACCAGTGATCTCCTCAGTGATCGTGTGCTCGACCTGAATACGTGGGTTGATCTCGATGAAGTAATGTCGGTTCTGTTGGTCGACCAAGAACTCAGCAGTGCCTGCGTTGCGATAGTTGGCGGTCTTCGCGAGCCTGACAGCGTCGTTGAGAATGGCATCGCGGGTTTCGACCGGTAGATCCTTCGCTGGCGCAAGCTCGACAACCTTCTGGTGACGTCTCTGAACAGAGCAGTCACGCTCGTACAGGTGAACGATGTTGCCATGGTTGTCACCCAGAAGCTGCACCTCGATATGTTTGGGCTTGTCGAGGAAGCGCTCCACGAAGACAGTGCCGTTGCCGAAAGCCGACTTGGCCTCGGAGGTGGCACGCTCGAAGGAGTCCTTCAAACTTTCTTGCTCGCGGACCACACGCATACCACGGCCACCACCACCGAACGCAGCTTGATGATGATTGGAAAGCCATACTTGTCTGTGAAGCTCTTCACGTCCTCGTACTTCTCAACAGGGCCGTCAGTACCGGGAACGCAGGGCACGTCGGCTTTTGCGGCAAGGTTCCTGGCGGACACCTTGTCACCGAGCTCCTCGATAGTCTTCCAGCTGGGCCCGACGAAGATGATGCCAGCCTCTTCGACCTTGCGAGCGAACTCAGAGTTCTCAGACAGAAACCCATAGCCAGGATGGATCAACTCCACCCCATGGGCCACTGCAATCTTGATAATCTCGTCGCCGGCAAGGTATGCTCCGATAGGAGTGTATTGACCTCTCGTACCGATCATGTATGCTTCGTCCGCCTTTTGCCTGTGCATACCAAGCCTATCCTCATAGCTGTAAACAGCAACAGTCTGGAGGGATAGTTCGTGGGCGGTACGGAAGATACGAATGGGGATCTCGCCTCGATTGGCAACGAGAATCTTGTTCAACTGCATTATAGTTGAATTGGCCCTCAGCCGGTTGTGAATGGAGTCCTCGAGACGTCCGCCCTTCTCGAGCGGCGTGATCGTGCCATCTTGTGCAGCCATGTTGGCGTTGTTTACGTTGGAGAGTGCTGCAATGCTTCCAAGGGAGGGCCGGCAAGCTCGACAGAGCTCTAAGGACGTTCCTTCTTGCACTGAGTGGTGAAGCAGACTGGCTAAAGTTGTTGTGAAAGAGTGAAAGGGCCAACGGAGCACTGTCCGCAAGCTTCAAATAGCAGTGCAGATAAGTTTACCCAAAATATGATGTTGAGGCTGCAGATGCGGGACTGCGGGACCTCGAGACTCGTTCGGGTGAGCGACCTCGGGGATCCGAGGTAAGGCGTGGGGTTTTTGTGCTACCAACAGCGGCAGCTCTGAGCTGGTGGGGGTTAAGAGAAAGAAAGATAGATACTGCACGTGAAAACTGTGATGCTTTCGTTATACGACGTTGCTCGTGAGTAAGAAGGGAGGAGCTGAAGGTGCTCGAAAACAGCTCAACACTGCTGTACCTGCCAATACTGATGACGCAGTAAGAGCTTCATCTGAGGAAGGTGAAGCTCTGGTACATGCCCAGAGCTGTGGTCGGCGGGGCAGCCACGCCGCTTATCTGTTTCGTGGTGATCATCCTCTACTGATAAGTCACTCGAATCGATACCATGTTGACCTACGTGCAGCTGCAGACCATCGCGTACTTTGCATTTCTGGTCTGCTTGACTAATGAGTCAGCCGCTGACTATTGCGACAACGTAATTCGAGCTATTCAGAACAGACAAGCTCCAAGGAGCACTCTGTTATGAAATCTGAGTACATGGATATTTTGAAGACGAGGCTCGTGCCTGGCGCCCCACGCCCCGAGTGATCTGCATGATTTATCGGGCTCCCGGAGAAAGCTCATCCATGCTCAAATAGCTCCCTGTCAAGCATCAAAACCTTCGATTGTGCATCCCATCTTGCCGTCGTACTTATCTCCCCTGAAAGTGCTTGAAAGAATCTCTTTCATATTACTGGTATCATCGACTTTTACATCCGGATACCTGTGCGTCGTGCACAAAGTCCGGGTCTGCTATCCAGCAGGCAGACCATTTCCGAATCTGCCCGCAATCGCAGCTCGGGAGAGGATGTCAACCCCGGCTTTCGGACATTCCCCGACATTTCACCATGATGCCTTCTCCATCGCATCAGAACGCTCGGGGGAATCCGGTCGGCTGAGGAGTGATGCCATTAGTCTGACCATACGGAGCAGGCGACGGTGATGGGTTGACGGGTCCTTGGGTCAGCATTAGCCGACCACCGAGGATGGGAGTGTTGTCATCGTCCTTCTTCTGGCTGGCTTCCCGGGCCTTGCGCTCCTCGTTGTCTTTGCGTAGCTGTTCGATTGTGGCCGATTGTTGACTCATGTAGCTAATCATGAATGGCATGGTGTAGTCATTGAGACCATGTCGCCAAGAGATTTCCATGACGGTGTGCATTGGGATGAGATCGTAGCAGGCGTAGAGCATGCCAACGTAGCATTCCCGGCTGCCAATATCGACGAACTGTAGCCTAGTTAGTGATTGATGAGCAGATAGAGGTAAGAAAACTCACGTAGCGCAGAAGCTCCTCGACGACATCGGTCTTGCCTGAAATAGCAGCGGTCTCGATGGCGTCCTTGAACAGCTTGTCTTGCTTCGACAGAGCAATTGACTTTTCCCATCGCTTGTTCTTGCGGTAGATTTGTGCAGCAATCTGGCGGAAGAAGACGAGTTCGTGCTTCTCCAGCCGCTGAGCAAGTCTCATCGCATCGTAATTGTCGTAATTCTCAACTGAGTCGCGCAACGTCTTGTAGTCTTCCTCCTCAATAAGCAGCTCATGGATGGCGTCATTCACGGAGCGCTTGTTCTGGTTCTGCACGTTCAGGAGGAACGGCTTGATGAAGGGAATGTTGTCGCTCTGGGTGAAGATCTTGACAACACGATTGACATCTATCCGCGGAGTCAGAGCTTGAAGGAGGTCGGTCAGCAGAAGTGGTTGCTCCTGCAGGTAGTGGTTGATGGCACGATAGTAGATCTCCAGGTTGGCGACCTTGACGATGATGTCCTTGAAGGAGTGGTGCTCCCATGCATCAGCAGCACGCTCCATCATAGCCAGAGCAGCGTTGTCCCATTCGTCGTAGTGGCAGTAGAGGAAGATAAGCTCTGGCCATAGGTGAGCTTCTTCACAAGCCCGGATCATGCGGGGGATCGCAATGCGAGACCAGAATAGCTTGAGGTGCTCCATCACTCGATCAGGGTGGTGCTTGCTGAGCTCGATGCCCAGCTGAGTGAACATGCCCATGTGTGCACGCTCGAGGCCAAGACCTGCTTCAAGGAGAGAGATGAGCTCCTCGAAGTAGCCGTTGTTCTCATATTGCTTGACCAGGTCTGCAAGCTCCTCTGCATGAACGATGAGATTCAGACCGCAGATCTGGGCCAGGCGGAACTCCTTCTTGTCAACGCACACATTGTTGACTTCTCGCCAGACCTTGACACTGTTAGCGCGACGGGCGCAATCCACAGCTGATTGATATTCCTCCAGGTGGACAAGGGTAGTGGCGAGCTTGGCCCAGTTGGAAATGCTGGAGAAGAAGATCTTAGCGGCTTGGTGATAACCCTCCTCAAAAGCTTTGTCGCCAGATGCCTCCACATCAGCAACATTGGCTGCGCGCAAGAAGTCTTCCAATTCGGGTAGCTGGTCGAGACGAGCGTAGCTGAACGCCAATGCTGTATCAATGGCAGGTTCGCGTTGGGTCTTCCGGGCCATCTTAAGGTATTTGATGAGGTCTTCATCCTTCCCTGCACTTGAGGCGGTCTCGATCACCTCGTTGTAGTTGCTCGGATCCTGGGCTTTGATGTATGACTCAATCGAGTCGCTGACCCGTAGACCGTCAAGCTGAGCTTTGGCGACCTTGCTCCAGACTTCGGGAACGTCCACTTCCTCGGCATAATCATAGGCCCTATCCAGGCTGACAATGTGATCAACGAGTACGCCAGCGGCCTCCACGTGATTGCCGGTCTTTTTCCGAATGGCGAGGGCTTCCTCAAAGAGACCTTGAGAAATGCAGAGATCTGTGATTTCGTCGACCGAAAATTGGTCAAGTCTGTTGATGTAGTCCATCAGACGAGCCTTGTCACTCTTAGCAGCAGTCAGCATAAGAAGGTTCTGCAAGCTGCCATTCTCGCTGAATGGTGACGGCTCAAGGATGATCTTCTCGAGCAGCTCAATGAGCTCGGCAGGAAGATCGGCATCGACGAAGGCCTTGACAGCGATTGACACCTTGTCTGGCTCAGTGGACTCTGGAACTGCAGTCGAGATGATTTGATCGACGACCGAGCGACGATAGTCATTCTTGTCGTCGAGAACAAAGGCATAGACTTCGGGATCGGCTCGCTCGAGAAGGTAGCGAGCAAGAGCTCTGAACATGCCATTCTCCTGCGTCAGCGTGATCAACTCCACGTCGTGCTGGCCTTTGCGGTATGCGATGTATGCCAAGTTAGGGTCTCGCTTCTCGCAGTACTAGTGCACCTGTTAGAATCATTGTGCATAGGGGGAGAACTAGGACCGAGCGACTGATGTCTCGCTCGGCTCAAGTGTTGCGGAATACGTACCTTGCCAATGGCAAGAGTGTCAAACAGATCACTGTAGATGGCGTTAGTCATGATATATATCACAGGGAACCTGGACCAGGAGAACAGAGTCCTCCTGGCAAGGGTGGTTTGGAGATACGTACTCCTTCTTGAGAAATGACTCCGGATCGTTGTTGGTGTCAATGTAGACCTTCGCGACTCCGTTGTGCACCGCTGGATCTTGACTGCCAGACTGCAGGGCGCCCTCCAGGAAAGGCAGCAGGACCTTCAAACGGTTCTGAGTCTCTACCTCACTGACGAGCTCGTCCATAGGCACAGCTGCAGGATCGACAGACCGCAGTAAGTTCTGAATGACACTTTCTTCGCAGTCGAGTGCCAAAAGGGCGCCGATGACCTGAGGCGCTCTTGACGGGTTGACCTGCTGAACGTACACTTCGATACTCTTAAACTGCTGATTTCGGTAGAGGTAATTGACCAAGTCCTTCACGAATCCAAATCGGTCGCAGACGATGATCAGAGCTGCTTCTTGTTAGCCGGCATCATTGAAAGGGGAGGCATTTGCTTACGAAGCTGTTCACTGAGCCTAGCTTCTATGAGGTAGTTCTTGACTCGCTCAGGGTTATAGTGGCTGTTGTCGCGGCAAATTCTCTCGACCTCCTGCATCTGTTGCATAGTAACGGCGGCCTCGATGTATTTGAAGACGACATCGGGATCCTCGCTGAGGTTGACAATGCTGCCAAGGAAGTAGTAGAGGCCTTCAGCAGTGCGGTGCTTCTCCAGGAGTGCAACAATGCGGTCGGCTCCTAAGAGCTCTGAGTACTTCGTGGCGACCTGAAGGACTGCCTGGAGATTCTGGCGGATGTTGACCTTGAGCATCTCGTCCATCGAGTCAAGTGACTGATCGACCGACAGTCTGCTGAAGTATTGTTGGAGAAACTCGGGAGTCAGCTTGTCGGTCTGCACGATGATCCGCTTGATGATCGTAGGGTCGTCAGTGTTCTCCAAAGCTCTCTGTAATAGACCCGCTTGCTCGCAGAGTTGTGCAATGCGTGCCTTGTCGTAATGTGTGAACATCTGGTTGCCAAGGATGGCATCGGCCACTTGAGGAGCGTTGAGGAGGTTCATCTCCAGTAGGCGAGTCTGAAGTTGTCCTTGATCTTCACGATTGTCCTTGAGAGCGTCGAGAAGGAAAGCAGTAGCTTGTTGAACCATGTTCTGCGACATGAAGATGTCGACGACGCGACCGACATCAACAATGGGACCGCCCTCAGTGTTTGCCAGCTGTGTAGCGAACTCGGCACCCTTGTCGGGATTAGTGCGGACGATGTGCTGCAGGAGCTGCACAAAGTCAGGCTGATACCCGGACTGAGCTGAGTATGGCAGGATCTCCTCGAAGCGTCCAGTCTCGGCAAGGGCAGCGACAGTCTTAGCCGGTGCATTAGCTCCGCGATAGATTTCCAGAGCAGCATTGATGTCATGTAGACGAACGATGTCACCAAGCTCTTCTGAGTATTCGAGCTTTCCTTCGCCCATCCATTTGGTGAGGAGTTGCCCACGGTTCTGCGCCAGTACAGGCTTGACGAGTTCCACAGTCTCATATCGGTTCAGCTTGCCCTTGTCAAGCAACATGCCGAAGTATTGAAGGATGACTGACATCTGGCCGCCCTGGACTTGGACATTCTTGAAGCGATTGATGGTCTCGGGCGTCCGCAGGAAGCCACGGGGAGAATTGGCAGCGAACTTCGCAGCATCTTGATAGTTGCCACTGTTGAAGGCATTCTCGAATTGTTGTTGGTACAGGTTATCCGCACCCGCAAGCCCAGCTCTTGCTGCCAATTTAACGGCGAGTTCGGTGTGCGCAGGATCTTGGAGGAGGAATGGGATGACTGAGTTCTCGTCGAGGCTGACTGACAGGACAGCGCCTTTGCGGTTGATGGCGACAAGACCGGTCGAATCGGCGTCTGGCGCGGTGACGAAGACGGTCTCGCTCGAGATGCGGTTCACGAAGATGCAGGTACCAGTCTCGAGGTCGTACAGGTGGATGAAACCGTACTTGGTGACCATATAGATGATGGAATATTTTGACGAGACCTGCATGGCGACAGGGAAGTCGTTGCCGGCTTCCTCGGGGAAGTAGACATCGACCGCTCTCTTGGTGAATCTAGGACCGGTCTGGCTGGCGTCGATCTCGACGATATGCAGCTTCGCGCTTGTTGGACCATTTCGGACGGAGAAGGTGAACAGCTTGTATGGCTCTGAGTTACCTTCGGCTTGGAAGGTAGCGAAGGCAGCAGCATGCGCTTCGATGTTCTGAGAGACTCCGCGTGCTTGCGAATGAAGCTGCAGAGCACCTGCGACGCGACCCTCTCTCTGCGAAATACCAATAATAGCCATCCACTGCTCATCAGCGCTAACACGATAGTTGATGATCTGGTTGCCAGCCAAATTGGCATTCCGCTTGAACATCTCCTTGGGTGCATCTTGTGTTGGATCGAAGATGTTCCAGTGATAGACGGTGCTGTCGGTGACTAGACCAAGACTCGTCTCGCTGAACCACTTCCAGAAGACAACATCCTCGTTCATCGTTGTGGATTTCAGCTTGGCTTTGCTAGCCAGATCGTAGACCTGGATGGTTCTGCCTTGAGCCTTGAGAGCGAGGATGTCGCGCTTCCAGTGCATGATGGCACTGTCGGCGGTGATTGATCTCTTGACGATCTCATTGTTCTTGAGGTTGACTATTATTACTTGCGGCTTCTCATCGTCGCTCAACTTTTGCCGTACGCAAACAAAGGAATCGGATTCTAATGTACAGGTGTTGAAGCCGATAGACTGTGGCTAGAAATAAATGTTAGAGGCCTAGTAAACAGTAGCGGATGCGCAGGCTGCGCTCCAGAGGCCGCAATACTTACAGAGATGCCCTTGTCGCCCAGCTATGAACATGTCAGTCGGTCCTCTCGATGATGGAAGCGGTGCGATACATACCTGAGCCAGTTCCGAGAACTGGATAGGCAGCTGTCTAGCCATGTTGTGTTGCGCGCGCTCCCTCCCCTTGCGCTAACATGCACGAGTCTCAGACCGCAGCAATCAAAAGTACAAGACGGGTCTGCTCCAAATGAGGGTCGAAGGGTCCTGGCAACGAAGGAATGAAGAAGAATTCAAACGCAGCAGGATGGATGGTGTGAAGTAAGGCAGTAGGAATTGCAGATGGGATGGGATGCGCAGCTCCTGAAGCGAAGCATCTCGACGAACTCCAAATCATCAGCAGCCAACAATATTGCCAAGCCCGGAGAGCCGCATTGAGTAGGTCAACCGGTCGGTCCCAGGCTATGACTATCCATACTAAGCGTCTTTACTGTCTAAAGCTGTTCGCTCCTAGGCTAGGGAGGGCGCTGAAAGTCTGGTATACATTGACTGGCCGAGTAGGTGAACTTGAATGAGCCTCACTTCAGAGTCACTTCGTAGAAAAGATCTGTTGTAGACCTTCTGCCCAGGGAGGGCGCTGTAGTATAGTTGCTGTCAAGCACTAAGTCCAAAGACGTCACTCTGCATCAGCTTCATTCTATTTCCTGAATGTGCAAGTGCTTTATCTAGAAAACAGTCCAGGGAGGCCTCTGTTCATAAAATCACAAAATTGCAAGTAATGCTGCATCGCCCACTGCTAGCCCAAGTCCGCCACTATTCGGCTAAGCCAGCTAAACGCACCGACGAGATCAAGTTCTTCCCGCTGCTCGCCATCTTCTGTCTCGGCACCGGCGTATACGTGTACATGGTCAAGCAGCGCGCCGCCCTACCCCAGCAAGAGATCTCCGGCGAGACAAGGAAGAACGGTCGCTACCAGCGCAACGCTTAAGTCCCGGACGTCTAGTAACTAGCTATCGAGAATCACTCCTCGGGCGGGCACTGTAGGACAAAAAGGACGAAAGCAAACTGATATCATGCCGCCCGTCGACCCAACAGCCGGCACAAACCCAACCCTCCAACCCGACCTTCCCCTCGGCTCAACCAACCTCACGCCCACCTTTGACCCCAAAGAAGTCACCGTCGTCTACATCCTCGGCGGCCCCGGCTCCGGCAAAGGCACACAATCAGTCCACCTGGTCCAGGACTACGGCTTCACCCACCTTTCCGCCGGCGACCTCCTCAGAGAAGAGCAAGACCGAGAGGGAAGCGAATATGGCGACCTGATCAAGAAATACATCAAAGACGGCGCCATTGTGCCCATGGAGGTCACCGTAAAGCTACTTGAGAACGCCATGAAGGCCAAGATCGACGAGAATAAATCTGGCAAGCCGCGTTTCCTGATCGACGGCTTCCCGCGCAAAATGGACCAGGCGATGTATTTCGAGCAAGCGGTGTGTCCATCGACTTGCACGCTGTTCCTCGACTGTCCGGAGGACGTCATGCGAAAGCGGCTGCTCAATCGGGGCAAGACCAGCGGGAGAGCAGACGATAACGAGGAGAGCATCGTGAAGCGCTTCCGGACGTTCGTCGAGACCAGTATGCCTGTTGTGGAGCACTTCAAGGAAGAGAATCGGGTTGTCTACGCGAACGCTGACGGCGAAGAGGGCCAGGTCTACGAGGAGGTCGTCAAGGGCCTAGGCGAGAAGGGCATCCATCCGACACGACACTAGGAGCGGACCAAGGTCAAGAAGATGGCCAGAGGCCGCCTGACAGGAATCGTGCGAATCGCAAAGTTCTTACGCGCGGTCGCCAAGGGAGCCGTGGCTATACCTGAGGTACCTAAGGTACCTGTGGTGGGCAGCGTCGCGAAGAATGTCCCGGTGGCAGGTGGTGTGCTGTGATCAGGTACAGGGAGGACTCTGTTCGTACATAGTGCAGGGACGATTGCATTGGTAAATATTCATCCTCAGACAAACCACGCTCCATCCTCACTGCCACAGCGCCCTCCCTGGCACGGTTTCCATGATGGATTTGTTGCTACGAAGTGACGCTCAAGTGACGCTCGTCTCAAAACGGTGAATTGATCTGCGAAACATTTCTGGACGTTCAGCGCCCTCCCTGGCCAGATTGTCATTATCGATCTGTTGCTACAAAGTGACGCTCGATTGACGCCCTTGTGACGCACGTCTCAAGCCTGCCGCTTTGATCGGCGAGACAGGTTCGTACCTACAGCACCTTCCCTGGCGTACCTTTCGAAAGTGAACGATCACTATTGACTAATGCTCAAGTGAGGCTGATTCCAAAGATCTGCCAGTCTAATAAGACCGCTCATTTCGACAGCGCCCTCCCTGGTCCAGAGTTCCATGATGGATCTATCCTACCAAGTCCCGCTCAACTGACGCTTGAGGTAGGCTCGTTTGAAGCGTGATGATCTGGTCTGCAAGATTTCTGGACTTTCAGCCGCCCTCCCTGGCTAGTAAAATCATGGAAACAGCGAAACACAACACTGTGTCAAAATTTCACACAGCGGCCTACTTGGCCAATTTCTTGATGTTGATTTCCAGACATCAGTATCCTACCTCTGAAGATAACCCTATCAATTCACATGCAGTCCAGGTCGAGTCCATTGGTACATACATCCTTAGACAACTACGTCTCATCCTCACTGCCACTCAAACTACTATCCTCTTCTCCATTGAATCCACCAAATTCGTCGACCTCGTTGTCCTGAAAATCATCGTCCTCCTGCGGCGGCAGCATCACAAAGGCCCTTAAACACGTGATCCGATCGCCTGTGTCGTGGGTGCCCACCAATGTGCCAATCTGTTTGACATCCGCCTTGCTTGAGCCCTGAGCCAGCTGCTCGGCATCTACGTACCATACGCGTACCGCACCATCGCTGCTTGCTGTGACCACCACCGCTGAGACCGAACCATCTTCTGTATCGAGGGCAAGGACTTCGAAATCTTTGACTCTGCCGCTGACGCCTGCGGCGCGTCCGCCGATCTGCCATACTGCTCGCGCAAGTGGGAGGTTGTTGTCGTCGGGTGCGTCCTGTGTGGTGGTCGGATCGAAGAACACCACTCGTCCGTCTTCCGTGCTGATTGCTATGACTTCTTTCGTGCCGAACAGGCCCCACCAGAGTTGATGGATCTTGCTTGGGGGTGTGGCTATGATCCTACACCTCGCTTTGCTGTCTTCTCCGAAGACCACCGCACCCCTCTCAAACGCCACCACAAAGTCGCTACCGCTCGGAGACCATCTCACCCTCCTTCCCTCCCCGGTACTATGCTTCGTTTCTTTCACCCCCTCCAGCATCTTCCGCTCAAACTGCAGCACCCCCGCCTTTCTTCCCGTAACCAGATTCCACAATCTCAAACACCTCTCCCCCCGTCCCACACTCAACATCACCTTCCCACTCCCATGCACCCCAAAATCATTGACCCCAGCACTTACCACTCCCACCGCATTCGTGTCCCCGCTCGGCTGTCCCACCGCTTTCGGCCTCGGCACTTGATACTGCTCACAGTCGCGGATCCCGCACCCTCGACACACTTATCGCATTGTCCTCCCCTGCACTCAACAACTTGCCGCGGCTAGGGAAGTGGACGGCGGTGATATTGGAGGCGTGCGAGAGGAGGGCAGCCGAGTTCGCGGTTGGCGCGGGTTCTCGACTACCTTAGAGCCGCCGAGAGCAGGGAGGGCTGGGCCAGGTGGGGGTGGGCGG